ATCAATTTACCAATTCATTGGCTTCAATGTACTTCTGCTTGATGACTGCACGATTGTTAGGACATTGTCTTCTGAGGGACGAACAGAAACCACTTGCCGGTCCATTGTGTCCCCAAGCCGAGCTGAGAAGCTTGGAACTAACACATGACCATTTAATCATCACTGACGATTGAAAGTTTAACGAGTGCGTACCATGAGGTTGGTATATTGACCACCTGGCATTTCGTGATCGAAGACACTCGAGTCGGATGCCCTGACGTTAGCTTCGAAGCAACTGTACAACATACGAACTTGACTCCAGTACAAGTTGAGTGCTTGAATGTCTTCGAACCGAATGCCGGTACCAAGAGACGTTTGCTCGAGTGCCATACAAATGGCACCCATTGATGGTTGGGACGTCAAGCCCGACATGCCTGTCGTACAGAGAAGGCCTCAGTCCAACTGTGCGCCATCGAAAAAGTAAACACTGACTGTCTATAGCAACGTCAACAACATCAGCACCTGCCGCAGCACAGGCGATCATGCTCGCAGCAGCGATACCCGCGGTATCGTGAGAGTGAACATGGATAGGAAGATCAGGATGTCTTTCTCTGATGGCACCAATCAAGCTTGAGAAAAAAAATAGTGAGCAGACAGTCCCCTGTATGAGCTCTGATGGACTCACATCTTGGCGGCCTCGGGCTTCAATAAACCGGCCATGTCTTTGACACCAAGAACATGAATTCCTTCCTTGACCAACTGATCGACGAAGTCGAGGTAATATTTCAGGGTATACTTGGTCTCCGTGGGACTGGCAACATCTCCACTGTAGCAAACGACAGCTTCACAAACACCGCCGGCCTTTTTCGCAGCATCTATGCCAAGTCTCATCTACGAGGAGGATCAGAAACGGACCCTTTCTATGAATATCGACTGCTTACATTTTCTATTGTGGAAAATAAAAGACATCAGTGAGTGAACGCACACGATTGCTATAATAAACCTACCAAAGTAGTTCAAGGAATCGAAGACACGGAAGATGTCGAGGCCGTTCTCGACAGCCTTCTTGGAGAAGTCGTAGATAGCGTTATCGCTGAGAAACAATTCAAGTTACGACATGGGGTACGATTGTGAAAATACACACGGATAGCTGGTGTAACCTACTCCATTGGCCCCACGAACGAGAGCTTGGAATGGAATGTTGGGAACGAGCTTCCTCAAAGTCCTCTAAATGACCGACATTATTAGCGCCGACTCCCTGGAAACTCTATAAACTCACCAATCGCTCCCATGGGTCCTCGTACAGGAACCTCATCGCCACGTCGAACGTGGCACCGCCCCAACACTCCAAACTGTAACAATTGGCTAGCGCATAACTCGTTTCCTTGGCGATGTTAACCATATCAATAGTCCTCAGACGGGTAGCAAGTAGAGACTGGTGGGCATCACGCCAGGTAGTATCCATGATGAGAGTTCCTGGATATTCGCGAACAGCCTTCGCGAATGCCTCTGGACCTTTCTCGACGATGATGTTTCTCCAACCAATCTCACAAGGATATGTGGTATCGAGGGGTGCTCCATTGACAGGGTCTTCACGGTTTTGGAATTTAGGGATGACGACATCGTCTTTGAGACCTGGTTCACCCTTCGGAAATCCGTCGTCAGTGGGTTAATCATGGCAAAATGAAGGAAATGGTACTTACGGTCTGTCCCTTGATAGAGCTACCATTGACAGCAAGGTCTCCGAGATAAGCAAGCAACTTTTGGGCACGGTTTTGGCTTTGAACCAGCTTGAAGAGGTCGGGGGTATCGTCGATGAACTGAGAAGAGTTTTGAACACGTCTGCAAACCGTCCACAGAAATCATCTTACCGTGGTCCAGGTCTTACCGCCAATGAAAACGTCATGTGTGAGCAGTCGGAACAGGAAGGGAATGTTCGTCTGGACCAAACGCTTTATTGAGGCAAATTCAAATAAGCACATCGGAACAAACCTTGACACCACGGATTCGGAACTCCACAAGGGCACGGAGCATCTTTCGTCGGGCAACTTCGTATGTCGTACCACTGACCGTGCATTTTACGAGCAAACTGTCATAGTGAGGCTGAAAACCAGTGAGCTACATTCCAATCACACTCCAGTGTACTCACAGTGATCTGGGCACCGGCAAAACCTGATGATGCATCGAGACGAACACCGTTACCGCCTGCGCTTCGATATACTTCAATTTTTCCGGTATCGGGTTGGAAGTTCTGCGCCGCATCTTCAGTAGTAACTCGGCATTGTATAGCGAAACCACGTTTGGTGATTGCGTCTTGGGTAAGGCCAAGCTGTGGCAATGTGGCACCCGCCGCAATTTGGATTTGGGCGGCAACGATATCAATACCAGTGATCTCCTCTATAGATAACATTTAAGTTGGATCAACAATTTCAATAGTAAATGACGCACCAGTGATTGTATGTTCGACCTGAATACGCGGGTTGATCTCGATGAAGTAGTGTCTTCCCATCTGGTCAACCAAAAACTCTGCCGTTCCCGCATTTCTGTACCCTACGCTCTTGGCTAGCTTGATTGCGTCGGACAGAATTGCCTGTCTGACTTCTTCGGGGAGATGAGTTGCCGGCGCCACCTCCACAACCTTTTGATGCCGTCGCTGTACAGAGCAATCACGTTCAAAGAGGTGGATTGTGTTACCCTGAGCATCGGCCAGGAGTTGGACTTCAATGTGACGGGGGCGTTCGAGGAAACGCTCAATGAACACAGTTCCATCACCGAATGCGGACTTGGCTTCGCTAACGGCACGTTCGAATGCAGACGCAAAGTCGGATTGTTCCCGTACGACACGCATACCACGACCTCCACCTCCCATGGCTGCCTTGATAATGACTGTGAATTGTGATGAGATATTTCCCGGTCATACGTAAGGGAAAGAACGGACCTGGGAATCCGTATTCTTGAATGAATGCAGCACCCTCTTGGTAAGTCTCGACGGGTCCTGGAGTTCCGGGAACAACAGGAACACCACATTTCATAGCTGTTCGACCGTCAGCCAGAGAATTAGTAGCCAAACGCGATGAGAAAACAAGCCGTACCAAGCGTTCGGGCTTTAGTCTTGTCGCCAAGGCCATCGATTACTTCTGGAGAAGGTCCGATGAAAGCAAGCCCAGCTTGTTCGACCTTCCTTGCAAAGTCCGCGTTTTCAGAGAGGAAACCGTAGCTGCGATCGATGATAAGAAAATTAGTATTACCAGAAAAGCTGAAAGGGCGTACCCGGGGTGAATCATATCGACGCCATGTTCCAACGCGATTCTGATGATATCGTCTTGGGCCAAGTACGCACCGACGGGAGTTAGACCCTTTCCGACTTGGTAGGCTTCGTCGGACTGAAAACGACCCTAAGTGAAACTTCCAAACGGATGCAAAGGAGAGTATACCTTCTGACGATGCGCTGATAAGCGATCCTCATACGAGTAGATGGCGACAGTGTGCATTGCCAGCTCATGGGCAGTACGGAAGACACGGATGGCGATTTCCTGGACATGCTAGAGTATAGACGGAGCCACTGAAAGAATATAAGAACATACGCCTCTGTTTGCGACGAGAATCTTGGTCAATGGCCCGGAATGACCAGCCGACTTTCTCCTCATCGTCTGGATGGAATGAACGGGGGTACCCGGAGCGCTGGGGGTGCCAACGAAAATGTGCGCGAGCCTTGGGGGATGAAGGGTGGTCATGGTAAGGAATCAAGATGGGAAAAGAAGGAAACGACGCGTTGAGGGAGAGGTAAAGGCGTCTCGAAGGCGATGGTAGATGATGGTGGTCAAAAGGAACTCCGAGACACCGTTGGGGGTGATATGCTATCGGGCCTCGTGTGGCAATACTGATGGCGATCTGATCAAAAATATGATCTAATATTAAAAAATAAGGTCTCTCTGGGACAGCGTCCACTCGCTCGACGGCAATAACGCGGTTGCCCCGCATCATCTCCACTTTTTGCCAAGTTTGCGTCCGTACCCGTCTCTGCTGCCCGGTGCATTACTATCCGACATATTTACGCGACATGAGTGTAAGCGAAGCAACAGGCGAATCGTATTTCCTAGGGGAACCTCGCGGTCCGGACTGCCCATTATCGTGCTAAACATCATGCGCAAAGCCGCGCCGCCGTTAGGAGTATCTCGCACGTCCTTCGGGTTAGCTGGGGTCAGCTGGGGATCGATATAATTATTTACGGAAATATTGGGGTGTCGCAGCTTGCCCGATACAGACTCGGAGAACTACCCTACTTTTCCCGTCACGTCGTGCCCTCAGGGCAAGGAACACATTGCATCCTCTTCAGGGGATTTCAGAACGACGCGCTACTGTAAAGTGTGGTCGAGATAAGTATCGAACTTCAATGGTTTCGCACGTTGTTAACTTGGTGGAAATTTATTACGGCGTTACTTAAATAAGAATGAGAAAGATAAGAGATAAACGGTGTCATATGAACCCGCCATACGCGACGTTCCAAACAGCAATGTTTTGGACCCGAATACTCCGTCCGGGAAGGAAAGTACATGCCTATGCATGCCAGTCGACGCCGAGCATTGCTTGGCTGACAACAACGCACGCGTAGGCGATGACAGTCCTTCTCCGGTGACGACGAGAAGGGCTTGGGACTGCCGATGATGCCTCACCGTATAGAAATTCCACTTCACCGAACAGCTGCGCAAGCTACGGTATTCATTAACCAACGATTTGCTTTGAAGATTGTTAATAACGTTGAAGCGCTAATTGGTCACCTTATGGTTTAGTTCCAACATATGATACAACACAGTGAAGCATGTCAACCTCCGCGTTTAGACATTTGTAATGGGACCGCCGTTTCGTGAGTTCCCCGCCTCGATCCAATCTTTCATCCATTCTCCTGATTGACTAGCTCACAGCAACACGGAATCTGACCGCGTCTAGCTCCCATAACGTTAACGTAATCCCTCCCATATGCATTGGACTTAAGTCTTCCCCACGCGCAACGCCGCGAAGGATTCAAAAGTGGCATAAATGATATAGATGACTCTAATGAAACATACTTAGCTCGGCTGCCAAAGATCGATAGTGTCTGGGTCGACGTCATGCCCGTAGGTCCCGTAATTTATACCTCTTTCGTAACATTTTTTATACACGTTCATTCAATCCTACTTAGCAACCCTAAGATTAGACACATAATCGTTCCAAGGCAGTGCGATACGCATCGATTTTCATTCCAAAGTCAACGTTTGAATACAGTGAAGGCCATCCAGGCCAATAAACAGGATCTAGGATAGATATAGATACGTTTCGGAGGCTACAGGGTTAGGGTGAGGTGAGCGGAAAAGCTATGGATACATATAAGATGTAGCGGATAGATATGCTATAACAAGAACAGCAATTGAAAGCAAGGATGAACACATGAAAAGAAGAGGGAAAAAAGTCCTTGTGCGTTTAATTATTGCCAAATTCACCGAAATCAGGTACGGCACCCATCGACATATCCTCAGCGCTAAACAGGATATCGCTCAACGAAAACCTGCCGCCAGTGACAGCCATCCTCGACCACTCGTCACTAATATCCTCCCAAGATCGTCCAAAGTGCGACGAAATGGAGAGGCGCGTCTCTTGAGGCACCATGGTCACGTCATGTATGTCTGCAAGAGACATTCTCTGCTCTTTAGGCATCCATCCGAAGGCTGGCATCTGAGGCTGGGGAGCGTAAACCGGCAACTCCTCAGGGCCTGGAGAAGAAGCTTGGGAGGAACTGCCTTGGGATGAGCCTTGCGAGGAAGAATAAACCGAGGAGGGAGCCAACGACGGAGGAGGATAGTCGAATGGACCCACGTAATCGACTTGCTCGAACGGAGAGACTGACACATGATGGAAGGATGGAGGCGGAGGACAAGTAGCGGCGAAGGGGTTAAGGGAGGAGAAGAGAGACGTGTTAACTTCGGGTAGGGCAGGCGGTAGATAGTTCGACTCGAATACCGGAGGCGGGTAAGGAAGGTAAACAAATGGTTGAGTCGAAGAAGGACGACGAGGAAGAGAATCCGAAGACAGAAGGGACGGAAGTTGGATAGGACCGCCCGCCAAGTCAAGTTCAGGCGGGACGCTCGAACTCCTACGACTAACCAGTCCCAGAGCGAGCCGCGTCTGATCCAATTGACGCACAGCCTCGGCGAGTTCATCACCCTTCTTCCCATCGAGCAAGAGTGAAGCAACGTCCTGACAGCGCTTCTCGTCAACCTCAACTGGGCGCTGCTTAGGCGCCGCCTTCTTCTTGCTCTTGGTGGACTTGGTCTTACCCTTCTTGTTCTTATTGTGTACGGGGCGGAACTGATAAGTAGGATATTGTTTTTTATGGCGAGCTTTCTCTTGCCGCGCACGGGCTTCCCATTTTTTCTTCTCGTTAAGAGGTAAGCCGTGCCAGATGCCGCCTAGAGGGACATGAGATAAATGAATGACAACAAAAACAAAACGCCGTACCAATGATTTTAGATAAGCTCCCGTGATTCGTTTCGATGCTACCAGGGACGTGCTTTTGGCGCACAAAGTCAGCACGGAAGAGCATGAATGCGTTAGCGGGGCGTGGGATGTGATTGGGGTCCTTTGACTTGGGTTTTCGCTTGGACTCTGGGCGAGGCTCTGTGCTCGCCGGGAACAACATAGAGTCTTCATCTTCATCACCCATCGCAGCATCGTCATCATCAGGTTGGTCGTACGAGACGGGGGTCACATTGGGTGCGAACGATATCTGCTGAGTCGGCTGACCTTGTGGGCGAGTACCGTAAGAACCCCGCGATGCTAACGAGCGCCTGCGAGAGGAACCGAGGGAGATGCTTAGGCGATGGCGAGACATGTTGTCAAGAGAAGGTAACAGAAAGAAGGTGAACAGACAACGACGGGCGTAAAAGGGCGAGGGCTCACACGGATTGGGGGATCAATGAGTCCGATTGTTCTCAGCCTTTATACTTTCTGTTGCCTGACATCAGACCCCGGATACTTATTTGATCTTCTTCGGCATCGCTCGGCATCACCATTCTCGATCTCACCGATCAATACTCGATCCAAACGAAAACACATCCAAGGACATTCAGACATACCTGATACGTATTTCCTTGCCAATAATGGCCTAATTATCTGTTGGTCTTGGTCTTTGCAGCCTCTGCAAAGTTCCAACGTCCCCCATACAGATGTCAGGGTCCTTCCCAATATAGTCTCTACTTTGTGCATCCAAAATAGGCCAATCCCTTATGCCCTCACACCGGCTTCCATTCGTATCAGAAAATGACCGATTCATATTCCTCGACGTGCCTCTGGACTTTTTCGACTGGGGGGTAGGGATATCGTTGAGAGCCAGGGCTTCCTTCTTCAATAACATGATCTTTTGTACACCTCAAGTAGGCTCGATTACAAGAAATTGCGTCTACAATGACTCCCATAACGCAACACAAGCCCAGTACAATGTTCTCCTTTTCAGAAATCACACACGGATCTCCACGTGTTATCTCGACCTACTTCTAAATGCATGCGACTCCGGACCACCATTCGCACTCGGCATTTGATCCTTCTTTGAGGCCTTGTATTTCTTCTCTACTTTGCATTTGATTTTCTCAGCGGTGGTATCGAGGGGTCCTCTCTTTCCCTTGTTTTTCGGGCGCGCACAGGTCTGTGTTGCGATAGCTCACGATGCTCCCGCACGCCATCCTCGGTTCACATCAACGATCTTGCGACTCATTTGCAAACAAAAACAGGGACGAATTTCTGCGGCCCCATTGTCCTAGCTTCTGTCGACTATCTTGGGACAGAAATCAGGCATCGACAGAACCCCTAAATGCTCTTGCATGGGGGAGTCTGAAGCAAGGACACAGGTACTAGATTTTAGCTCCATCTAGAGCGCAAATAATTTTTACCACGTTGTTATGGGCTATGGCAATCACACGTCATTCTTATTTACAGGTTCACGTACAACATCGATACCCTTACAGGGCACATTTCACGGTGATATGTGTTTATGTCAGATTTCCCTAATTCGATACTTGTACGCGCGATTTATACAACGATTTCACACTCTACGGCTAATCCTTTCGATATCTACCACACCTACCATCCCTCTTTGAATCTCCTGGATCTTGCTTCACGGAATACACACCTCGTTTTAGCAGGTAGTAAAACATCTTGATGACATAGTAACTTTGTCACCAGATCCCATCAAAATGGCATCGGGTCTCTTCATAGCAAGGGGTACGGATCTTAAGTTCTTCTGAATCGCGACTGCATCTTGGCTCCGACTGTTCAACCGCACATGTCCCCAGAAACGCGTCTTGCACACTCTGTATTCATTGCTCAAGTGTTTGAGACAATCAGAGGACATACCTCAACGCTCAGAATGGATCAGATGCAGATGGTTGGTGTAATCTATGTCTGTAGCCTCATTGATTGGACGAGCAAGTAGATCCTTAGCTGTGGTCCTTCGAAGACAGTAGAGTTTCAACTACAGAATCCACGCCGTCAAACACCTAAAGAATCTTAGGTTATTCTGGTTGAATATAGTTCGTTATGCATGATCCTGCAGGAGAGAAAACAAAGTCGTGTCAAAAGATCTACCTATCCAATTCAAAATAAATACTATATAGTGTCTATATCTCACCAATGTGTCGCGCTATAACTATTGATTGCAGTAGTGACCTACCCATACAGATGGATATGCACAGCTCTTGTCTACCAACCGCGAACTCACGGTTTGCGATTGGCCAAAGGAATGATCGAATCGCCTTGTCCCCGAAGCTCTGCCTTCTTCTGGTTGTTCTTCGCCACTGCATAAAGGACACCAGCAAAAAATCCGACGCCAATAGCCGATGTAGATCCTAATGTCACAGGGTCTCCGAAGAATAGCATCCCAGAAGCTGCAACAGGGAGTTTGTTTAGAGCTCCCACCATACTGTTGACACGTTATATGAGCAAAACATCAGCGCGAAAGGAGATATTTTCACCTATACGTCGTACTACTGGTTGTTCTGATACACCAGGCGGTAGTAAACGAGATGCCAACAGCCGCTGCGCCTGAAAATGCAATGGCTAGTAGCAAGACATGCCGTGTATTTTCTGGGCTACGAAACGGCAAGTGTCAGTATTGTGATACGTACATCATGTCGGTCGGGCTCACAAGTTACGAGTAAGACTTTCGGAACCCCAATCCTCTACGACCAGAGAAAAGACCAAGAGAACTGGTATTGACAAGAGATTGGAGTAGAACATGGAATCCCAGTCAGAGAAGCCTGTTACTTTAATTTTCTTGCGCATCGTGAGGACCTAGACTAGCACTGAGAACTCGAGACATGTTGTTTGGGAATAACACTAACATATGCAGCACTCGTTAAACAGTTGACCAGCATCCAAAAGTAACCGATGTTCAAATGGTGTACGGCGCCGGTCATCGACCTCAAATTCTCCAAGCTAACATCGCTGAACCCCATAGACGTGGTATCTCCCATGGCCGTAGATACATCAGACCAAGCAGCTATTATGGAGGATACAACCTTCACGGACAGTTATTAGATACACTCAATACGTCGAACAGGACAGGACTTACCATGAAGATAAACGAGATAAATGTCAGCCCTGTCACCCGTCCCCCAAACCATAGGACCTCACCGTACGCCTAGCAGACATGTCAGAAACATAAAGAAAAACCATCGAGGTCCTTACAATGAGTATGATCGTCAAGTTCTTGAAGATAGTATATACTGGGATCGAGAGAAATTGCTTGAACGTTCAAGTTAGGAAAAGATTACAACGACACTTCTTGTGTCTCACCAAGCTCTTTGAACCCGTGTATATGACAAAGACGAGCATGAAGCTAATAGGAAACCACGCCTTTGCATCTTGCACGTCAAACGTTCGAAAAGAGATGATTCCAAGTTTTTTCACGGCAGTGACACATGCAACACACACAGTCGACTGGATGCAGAGTAGCAAGAAGTTCATCGAGAAGTTAGCACCTGACACAACAAACTATCATTTCTCTCAGACTCAGTCATACAAGAGAACCTGGCCGACAGACCTTGTTCACGAGGGTCATAACGATAGAGGCACAACAATAGCAAGCTATGGGTGGAACTACAAGGTGTGGATTAGCCAGGCGAATTGAAAGAGAAGGAATGACACACTTGAAGATGCATGTCTTCCTTCGCTAGCGCCGCCATTGGCAATGGATTTTCTCATCTCAACCACGTCTTGTTCCAACCTGTCCTCGGATTTCCCAGACATAAGCGCTGTTACTGCCTGAAAGTCGTAGCGTCGAGAAGAAAAACGCGTATCTGTCGTGAATTATGAAGTAAAGCAAAAAGAATGTTTGTCTATGTCCCCCGGAGGGATGAAAAGGATAGAGAAAAGAATCAAAAGACAACGTGGAGCGCGCTACATCCATTTCAGATAAACAGCAACATACATCCGATGTACGTCATCATCTTCAACCTCACAGTTTACTACTTACGGCAAAAACTACTTGTAGATATCTACCACCATCAGACACCAATTTCACCTTTGAGGGCCTGCGCATAATACTCTCCTGCATTTATTTTCTCGTACAATGACTCCCCGAGCCCAGGGATGCATTCAATCATGGCTTCTGGATCAGGCTTGAAATTTTTGAGGAAAGAGGCAACGGTAGGCAACAGTTTAGACTGACATTACAAAAATACGCCACAGAGCGCCGAGTCGGCGTTTTCAAAGGGTCCTGTCCAGGCTTCAGTGGGAGAACAGCATGATGAACGGTGCTTTTGAGCAGGTTGTTAGACCGTCGCGTCAGCTGTTGCACTCAGTTAGCTCAAGACGCAACGCAGGCTGCATACACATCATGTCTCCAACCTACGTTACCACGAAAGTCAGTCGTCAGCTCAAATGAAGGAAGAGGGAGACTCACATTAACAACGAAAACCTCTGATCCTGGGTTAGGTTTTACATCGACCCATGAACCGTCTGGTCCGGATACCTGCAGCCTGCCACACATATCTTGCCATAGAAGCGTCACCTGGTGAGTCATTGAAGAAATCATCGAAGATAACACGAATCGATATTTACAGTCCCGAAATCTGTGTGCGCACCCAGCCGGCTGTGGCTTCCAGTTCGCAAGGCGGATAATGTAAGAGGCTAATTAATTCTCAGTCAGTGGCTTGAAGTACCAAAAGACCATGGGTTCACCGGAGGGCATGACAACGTGTAAGAAGAAGTCTATGTCCAGATTGAGCGAGAGTGCGAGCAAGGCCATCATACGCAGGTGCAATTCATGACAAGCAACATGAAACGTATTCATCGTCTATTCTCCATTAGTCATCGGCACTAGTGATAGGTAGGTCGAGCAAGACTTACCTCTTTGAATCCGGGGATGTCGTTCTCATTAGGCCAGTGCTCTGGGTAAAGTGGGTCTGAGTCGTTTCCAATCTCAAATGTCTCTTTCTGGTCATTGGCTATTTCTCGTTCGGTGGCAATCTTGGAGGGTTCTGCGCTCAAGGAGGCCTGCTCTCTACCGAAGGACAGATACCCTCGATTGGCTTTGGACGACTTATAAGCCACCGGGAGAAAGCGATATATCATCAACAATGAACTGAACACTGAACACTTACAGTTATCCTTGGTAGCTTGTGGGAGGTCGAAGAACTGCTCATTCTTGCGTTTAATCTTCCATTAGAAGGCTGAAAGATTATTGGAAAAATATAAGACTGACGTATTGAAACACCTTTTTAATCAGCTCTGGAGCTACTAGGCACTGCCAGCCCGTGATGTAGGCGAAGCCAATAGTCTCATAGGCGTTACGGAGTTCAGCAGCAAGGTCCTTATCCTGCTCGAGCGTGTTTGTGCCTGACAAGTAGTCCGATAGGTCTATCGTTAGAAGAGACATAAGTAAGAGATATGGCTGTGTTTACAAGGAATACACGACACTTCAGTGCTAGTATTATAAGGCGACGAGTTGTTGATGATAAGGTAGGTGGATAAGGAACTATCGGAGGGTCGGGATGGCCGCGGGTAGCTCCGCCGCCGATCAGTCGTCCCTATCCTAATCGTTATCTCGACTTTTCACTGTACCCCTCCGCATCATCTAATAAAACAGACATCTGAGGCACTTCAGTCAGTATTTCTGTCGTGTCACGCAGCCATCACTTACGGCACTGACTTACCTATGGCATTGTTTAGACGCTTCAATTTTCAAAACTAGTTCTGGTCATGATCCTGACTATTATCCCTCTACTACTAGAAGACCTCGCTTCTTTTGGAAGCTCCCAAAGCAGCAAGGGGCATTGGCGCCCGAAGGTGTATGATCGAATGCGGGTAAGAGCTTCCTATATTCCAGTGTACACTGATAGTAAAATCGAGCGCTTTCAGACCTAGATCCGACCCCTCCTTCCGCTCAGAACTGGGGCGTTTTAACTTGGTGGACATTCTGGCTCAGCGCAGTTGCCGACCCCGCCAGTTGGCAAACGGGAGCTAGTATTATCCCCCTCGGTCTCTCCTGGAGGGACGCTATTACGATATTGTTCGTCGGGAACATCATCATCGCAATACCCATCATTTTGAATGGTGTTATAGGCAGTAAACTGCGAATCCCCTTTGCAATTGCTGCGAGGTTAGCTTTTATCTACATAGTGTCTCTTTGCGTAACTGATGAAGTACGCACAGAGCAAGTTTTGGAGTTTATTTCTCTATCTTCGCCATAGTATCCAGGATTGTACTTGCCTGGTTCTGGTTCGGAATCGAATGCTATAACGGAGGGTCTGTAGTTTCGCAAATGCTTAGAGCAATGTCGCCTTCCTACGACAATATCCTGTGCGCTGATATTCTCCTCTAAGCTTGCAGAGTAATTTAATTAACATGTACCTCTCCAAGCAACTATCCCGAGTCGGTCGGTATATCCACTAAAGATATGTGTTCTTACTTCCTCTACGCTGTCATTCAACTGGGGTTCCTCTGTATGTAAGCTTTCTTTGTCAAGTGCACAAATCACAAGAGACTAATGTACGTTTTAGTTCTCCATCCCTGCGTTACTTCCTTGCTGCTAAGACAATGATTGTGCCTGCAGTATCATTCGGTATGATGGGTATGTATATATTTAAGCTTCCCCGCACATCAGAGATGTCAATCTCTATTTTTATCGACAGGCTATCTGGTGCACAAGGCTGGCGGTGGCGGGTCCCTTATTTCACAGAAATCAACATTATCAGGAAGCGCATACACGTCCGCTTGGCTCCTTTGTTTTGCCGCCATACAGGTATGTCACCGCTGCCGAAGCTTATTGGACACCCACCTCATGACCTTGACAGGGCAATTGGGCAACGCTTGCATGAAATTCTCCGGACTTTACAAGGTACTCGAAGGGTACTCGCTCTCAACTTACTCAGCTTCCGGCTATCCCGATTTGTGGGCTCTTCATTACTGTGTCAGTTCTCCATGTTTGCCGAATCCTGAGCGGTTCTTATACCCATATGTAGATGCGGGATTGTGCGAGCGAGTGCGAGCCAAGTCATCTATGGAGAAGCCCTCTGGAGTCCTTTTGACATTCTAGCGCCATGGAGTTACCGAACCGCTGTCTGGTTTTACGCCTTTGGATGGATCATCCTAGGCACATGTCTATCTTTCTCCAACGCCGACGCCACTCGCACTAGGGATCCATTGGATCAAACATCACGGCCAACTCTGTCAGCACCGCTAATGATCTCACTTCGCTATTCCCAAGATACATGAACCTTAAACGCGGGCAGCTCGTAACAGCGCTTATCGGAGGATGGTCGATGGTCCCGTGGAAGGTTCTCGCTACCGGGGAAACATTCTTGACATTCATGGTGAGTACGTTGTGCGTGATGGAAGTATGGGATCTCATCAAAGCACATTTTCAGTCTTCGTACTCTGTCATCATGGGTCCCATCTCCGCACTCACGGCCGATTATTGGGTTCGTGATCTCCGCTGCATAATTGTCTTGGTCTGTCTTTATGTATTTTCCAGTTCGTCAAACGTGGGGCATACGACGTCAAAGCTTTATACGATCCACACGGGATCTATTGATACAATAACGGACTCAAGTAGAGAGCCTTGTTAAAACGCTAGTGTTGACAATAACGCCGAATCTTGTAAGACTTCGGGTCCGATTTATTTTTCACTGACTTTTGTTGCCTCAAGCCTGGGATGATTAACGCTGTCAATCCAGACATCTACATTGGCAACATATCGTGGTATTATGCTCCGGGTTTCATTACAGGATGTAGGCCTATTCTCTTTCTTTTTGTCTAACGTACAGCCTTCTGATGCTTTTGACTTCTACTCTCGCAGACATCCCGGCTTTCGTCGTTTACACGCTACTCAATAAACTGTTCTCCCATACTCCTACACTGATTCCGAAAGCTATCACCGCCGAGGACTATTACGAGCAAGAGAATTTTGAATCTGCGGAGAAGGAGAAGCAGAGTGATTCGAATATCGTTGTCTTGGCAGCCTAACAGCTTCTCTTCCACTACCCATATTTATTGCCTTATTATCTTGAGTTGCTCAATGGTTCAAATCCATCCCAAGAACAATAGTCATCCCTATAATTGTCGGGACGGGTAAGCGGTCACCTGCAACACCTCTTCGGTAATGAGATAAGGCGAGTTATCGGGCTTGAACGTTAAACGCTTTCCCACGTAACATAAAGCGACACGTGTGTGCGGTGTCAATACGCTAAGTATGTCAGGGAAGGAAGGTTGTTTTATTCGATGCAAGGCATGTACTGTACATGTAGTGATCAAGGTTCTTTACTTCCTACCTCGGAATTTCTGACCCACCGATAATGCGCGAATCTTTGTAAGCTCCCCTGAGTGAAAAGTATTATCACCGTGAACTTTCTCATAATGGAGCCTCACCGAAAGATGTCGTGTCACAGGTTAAGGGCACCATCTCGCCGATATGAAATCACAAGTGACAGAAGCTTCGTTGTAGTGCCTGGATGCTCAATGTTGTCCGCCACAGAATATAGGACTTACCCAATACGCGCGAGAACCAAATGAAAGGCTCAGCGGCGGCGCTAACCATTTCCGGATGGCGCTGGGCTTCACAAAACGTGAGTAGCATCAATCAAGATAAGAAAAGGGAAAGAATAGCAATGCAGATTCTATTTCCATCTGCTTTTTTCATGTCTACGAGTCGTGATATCCCCAAAACTACAACCGGTGTGGCAAGAATGAAGCAACCACCAGTGACGCACATACCGTCGCAAGCAGGACGTAATAAACCATGTAACCTCCTAAAAAGCTCTGCTTCAAAGAAAGGGAAAAGAGTGAATTAGCAGCTGCGGGCCCGATGGCCCTGCAGATGCTGACTGCCATTTGACAAAGCCCATTTGTTGCACCTAATGACGCTCGATTCGGCGAGGCGGCAGCAATATAAATGAAGACAGCGCCTGAGTAAGATAGAAATTAGGGATTTGCGATATGAAAAAGGGACACTGAACGCACCATACGACAAGCTAATGACGATCGATGATACTATCTGAACGGCAAGAACGACCCATACCAGCGTACATAACCCATATGCTTTCACCAAGGTGCTGATGACAGGGAATGACACAAAAACAGGAATCGAAGACGCCATCCCGATGAGAAAAGTAGTCTTGGAGCCCAGGGTGTCGTTGATTCGGGCGAAAAAAAAGATCTGGAATAGACCGTTAAAAATGCCGTACACGGAGAGGACATTCCCAATGATTGCAGGAGACAGTCCGAGGCCTCCGAGTTCCACTGGCATCGACATAAAGACAGGTTGAATAGCTTTAAATGCGATCTCGACCAAAGAGAGACACGCGTAATTGGCACCGGCGACGAGAACTCGTGGAATGAGGAGGGAACGCATAGGAAGAGGTTTCTCATCGTCGCTAAGCTCAGGCGTTGTCTTGTTGGCATCCCGATTATTTGATGACTTGAAGAATAGACTGGAGACGGGCTGCGGGTGTTCGACAGTTTCTTTGAGATACTTGTATGTGATAAGCCATGCGACTGCAGAGAAGCATGCGGGAACGGCGCAAGGGAGAAAGTACGGATACTCTTTTAAAAAATCAGAGTTGCCGAAGAGGCTGGGGAATTGCTCTGCCGGGCGAGCGAGGGCTCCGCCAATGATGGGTCCCAGTGTAGCACCCGTGCACCAAGACTAATTGAAGATTAGTTGCAGATTTTGATTCAATAGAGTATGCCCTTCCAGCACTTACAATCGGAAGGTAAGCGTATGCCTTGACAAGGAATGAGTCAGTCTAGAGATAGAAGAGGACATTATACGAGAGACTGACTTGGGATATGTTTGTCGCATCAGTCATTTCTGCCATCATACTGCGACATGTCAGAGGTAACGACACCCGGAGGTTGATATAAAAAACACCTTTTTATAACACCAATGTTGCCGTCTACAACGTAAGGGCGAGTCAGAAAAAGAATATGTCTCATGTGGAAAGAACATACTAAGTGCGCCGTTGAGAGAGCGGCTCAAAACAAGACCCCAGAAGGTCTTAGAGAGACCGAAGCAGTACATCGAAATGCAGAGGCCAAAGAGCCCAGTCAGGATGACAGGCTTGCGTCCAACACGGTCGGAGATACGACTCCATTGCAGTACGGTCATTGATTGGGTCAGAAAGAAAAGGGATTGCTAATGGTTTTTTAGTCGCGCGAAGATTAGAAGAGAGAAGCGTTCCACTTGCCATGACCCCCACATAATATCCGACTTTGGTCTCGTCACCATGGGTGATTCCAATGTCTCGAATGAGCTAGAGAAGGGGTTACACACGACTTGAAGATGAAGGACAAACACCTTACTTGGGGGGCAAAAGGAAAGATAACTTGGGAGGTGAGAGGCTCCGCAAGCTGGAGGACGAGGACAATGCAAAATTGGAACCAGGGAAGAGGGGTTCGTTTTGGCTTGTGCTGGGGACGGAGCAATGGGGATTCCTCGTCGACGAGCGTGACGGTCATGACGATAAGAGGGAAAGAAAGGATGGGGGCGGCACTTGCGGCCCTCAGTATTTGAGGCAAACAAATTTGAAGGCAATAATGAACCGGCTCGTAAGTTCCGTCTGATGACTCGCGTACTAGGGTCTTTACCTAATATCATTAAATGAGTCATACAAAAGGTACGATGGGTGCTCAATATTTTCTCGAGTCTTCATTGGTAGAAAAGGACCTAATCGACTGATTCCTGTAAGAGACAGCTCAGTTCATCCGGTACAAAACACTGGCGCAGCGGTACAAGTTGTAAAACGTAGGAAAATACACCCGGATCTATTGCCGTCAGATGACAGTCATGAAATCGGCCGATAGGCCAGCGAAGAGGGCATTTGAAACTCCTGATAGGCAATATTGGGTGTCAAGCATGCGATACCGGGTTATCTCGACGTGAAGAATGCGAGGAAACGAAAGGAAGAAGGCAAAGAAGGCGAACGACTGGCCTCATGGAGAAACGAGAGGTCGTTGCCAAGCACCAGCATACACGGGATTAGCCTACCACCACTCGTCACCTGTGCAACGGCCGCAACTTCAATGTCTCCCTCATGGCTCTCTACTGCCGCCTCCATTGGTATGGCCGTCGGACCTCCTTTGGTATCTCATTGTCTAATTTCACAAATATTCTTTGCTGGCTGACACTTGACGCTAGGTCTACGCAGACCAGGCCGCCTCAATCATCCGTAAACGGTCAGCGTCCTTGCACACATGGATGGTCTTGTGAATTCGAACTTGTTTCTAGGGATGCAACCGGCTTTTCTCGTGACGTTTGCGCTATTTTGTCTGTACCAGCCTCTTCTCGACGCCATCTGGTCCCTGACCGTCTTCTTTTAACTCAGGTTGCTGGCCAATATCACTCGATGCTTCTTTTGGCTGGGGTATGCTTCTTCTGGGCCCTGGCTCCCTGTCCGCGGCTAGATCCTTACACGCATGCAGAAATCATTTCGAACTCGCCCTTCTTTTACAATCTGTTCTCATGATATTGGCCCAGGTCCGTACTTCGCATTTTAATATTCTACGTTCCGTATTCAATCCGACCTAGCTCGCCTTGCTTTACATATGTATTCGCTACCGTCCCACAATCAGCCCAGAAAATTTCGGCACTTCCACCAGGCCATTCTCATTCTGGCAGTGGTCGACGTATACTCAATACATCGAATTCCTCGCCGGTTTTATGTACGTTTTCTCCCTGTATCACCTTAGCGAATGACGACTTACGGTGATTCACAGTTTACTAGAGGCAATTTTATTTCTGATATTAGGACGTTCAGATCTCTTCGTGTCGCTGTTAGGTTTCGTCGCACTGGGACTTGAGAGTACTCTACCTATACCTCAATTAATTAGGTGAGCTCCACTGTAGTCATTTGTTCTCTCGTCCTGACCCGCTATCTTCATTGAGCAATTTCAAGCAACGGTCATTGTATGGCTTCCGTATGTCAACATTAATTGGTTGGGCCGGAGGAGACACGTTCAAGTGCGTAATTGCATGTTGATCATGTCCCCCTCTTACACTATCACCAGAGCTGTCTATTTTTTCCTGCAAGAGTCACCTCTTCAGTTCAAAGTCTGTGCTATCTTCCAGCTATCTATTGACTTCGGTAGGTCGTCGATGGAAAGTCCATATGTCGCGTATCTCATGCGACCTGTATAGCTATTGTCGTACAGCGGCTCTACTTCGGAAACGCCCCGCCTCCAACTGTATTGGTTGATGACGATGATCTTGAGCAGGCTCTCGCATTGGCAGAAGAATGATAACAGTTATAGAATCTGTGCGGGAGATTGGCGATTGGATGATGTACCAGTCCTTCAAGACCTCGAAGACCTCGACTGCTAATGTTCAGAGGGGTTATGTTTCGACCGACGGTCACCAGGTACGTATCCAGATGTGGTCCCCTCTTGTTGCCGGGTATCTCTATTTACATAACGCGGTTAGCACACGTTGTTCCTGTATCCAGTCGGCCAATCATAACTAATACTATTACCTTCGTACCCCTGCGCCCTGGATTGGAACATCAGCCGGAAGCGAAAGCTTCCGCTTTATGAGTTATGGCAAGATCAACCAGCTCCACGCGCTCACACGGATTGTTTGACGCCTTCTAACTGAGCAGCTAGTCAATGTTAGAACGCTCATTGTCATAAAGCTCTCGACTGTCTTTGCGTTCAGGGTAGACGGTTCCGCGTGCCTTCACAACCTTCCTCGATTCAATTGTGATCGGGTGGCCTGACCTCCTAGATCAAAAGGAAAAACCCCATCGCGCTCTCCTGAGGCTGCTGTGCGATTTAGAATTTAAGTTGAACTACCCGAACCTATACGTTCCCGCCCTCCTTCTCTTATCTCACCATGTCAGAAACATCTGTGGAGTCTTTGTCAATGGAGACGGTTCTCCGTCTCGGGACCATAGCGATTTGCATTTACGAGTAGGTGATCGTGTTTCGTGTCAATGCATCGTTGATCCCTCTGTTAGTTATATCAGAACTCTTCCAGCTGAGTACAAATTCTGGCGGGATAAAGGGCCACAGATTCGTCCCAAGTTGGTCCATCCTCGTGTTCCGAACGAAATAAGATACTGACCGAGTCGTGCAGCCTCGTCCTCTTCGTCCTTATTCGCTACATCAGTGTCACTGTATTGGTTGTTAGCAACGTCGGATACTTTTCACATTCCTTCGGGGAAAAGTCATGTCAGAGGTACTACATGGTCCCCGTGGTCTTGAAAGGTATGAGAAAACTTGACTTAGCCTTGATTATCAATTAACGGGATTGTAGCCCTTCAGATGACCGTATGCCAGTTCATCCTTGGACTACGGTATGCTATAATACCATAAGTGCTTCTGCTCTTTGTTAAAATATCAGACAGAACATACAGCATCTCTCGACGCTCACAGCGGATCAAAATATTTCTCATTGTCGTGACAGTGATAATCACTTTACTGGAGTGGTTCACAAATTTATACGGCCGTGTCATGATTCGAACGGACGGAAGGTGTGTGCTTGAATATATAATGTTGATCCTTCCTGATATGGGATACGTCATTTTCTCCAGCTGCACATCGGGCAACGACCCTTCAAAGCTGGTGAACTGGACATTCTACATCTGGGCCATGCTGTCAGTTACCTATTCCCTTTCTCACACATACGCCACAGCAGTTGACGAGCAACTTTTCTTACAGTTACGATATGATAACTCTAGGATTATCCACATACTTCCTGGTCAAATCCGGTGGCTCCGGACTGTCCTCGTAAGTGTTCAGCCGTCCCTTCCGATAACTCAAAATACTGAAACTCTGATCTTAGTATGACCGGTCTAGTGAAAGCCATGGTTGTTGATGGCCTTGGATACATCGCGCTCCTTACTAGTACGTGATCGTTGAGTTACACCATGGATCCGATTATAATGATAGGTTATAGTAACGAACACCCTAAACCTTATCCTATACCGGGCCTCCAGTCTCAGCGCCCAAGCTGCTGCGTAAGTTCCATGTCAGGAATCCGTCTAGATTGCGTTTCTAACAGATCCGATAATTCAGCGCAACTCTCGGCATCGCTTTCACATGGATCATGTCGCAGAACATTCTGATAAAGACTAGAGGTGGGTGCAAACGTATTCATCTCACAGCATTATCTCACGAAGGGCTTTATGATCAGACGCGGGTATGCGTTCGTACAAGAACCATCAGCCATCGAGTGGACGCACACCTTACAGCAGATCCGATGATCAAAGTCCAGCAGCCGTTGCTGTCACAACTAAAGGCATTGAACTCGAGGTACAGGTTACGATCAATCGCGAGCAGGATATCGATGAGCCTGGAGTTAAGTGGGATGATTCGAGATCAGATGTAGAGAGTCAGAAGATGAGCAGGATTACTAGGTGAAGAAGACACAATTAGACCTCTCGACATGACATCATTTTTTGGGTTTCATTGAACAGTTATGAGGATATCACAGGGTAAATACATAGATCTATATACATTGATTACATTTAGAAAGTAATAGCTTTGGAAAAGGGATACCACGCCGCCCCATGAAGTTCTGAAGCCTTCAGTGATGCGAGAAACAGCTGGGAGTCGACGAGTGGGGTCTCGTCGACTCCACTCGGCGGTGTCAAAGTCGAAAAGCTCTCGGATGGAAAGGAATTGGAGCCCAAATAATAGTTGATATTCATTATTGCTCACTCCCCGAAAAATAATGCCGGCAAATTGACAGCCCTCTCTAAACACTTTCGATGATCGTGGATGGGCCTGGAAGCCTTGAAGCAATATTCAATATCGGCGACGTCGGGAACAGTATCTGATTCTTAACATTCACATTCACATGAGAACGGTGCATGACTTAAACAATCGCTTCGTAAAGTTGTCGCGTGTATCACCAAATTTCCAACTACCATGACAGCAAGGCACTAAAGACTCAAAGTTCGAGGATAAAGAACGATAAGATACGAGAATAAGGTAAGTTTTTAATGGGATCCATTCACTCCGTTGGCCCGTCCATTCTCCTTTTTAGCCTTCAAGCCTGCAAGGTAGGAATGTGCCTTTCCTAGCATCCAGATAGGAAAAGAGAACTTGAAGTTCGGGTATGCGATTGCACATGTTTTGTTGAAGACACCTTCAATTGCCTCTTGTGCCCATGAACCGTCCTGAAGAAAACGCATGATTATCAAATAACCGCAGATAGAAGACGATACTGAACGTACAGGTAGCTGTCTTGACATTACCAGTTGAACGGCCTTCTCAATGGGTTCGGGATAAGGATATTCCGCATACATGAGAGCCATGGTAGCCCAGCAAGTTTGGACAACTTGGGTTTCAGCATGTTCGATCCAACATTTCTGCTCGCAGGTCTGGGAAGACTGTCAGCGGCCGTCAGCAACAGGCGGGATTCAATGATACCTTATAACTTTCTCCCCAGCCGCCATCAGTTCTTTGTTTGCTAATCAAGAAATCGCAAGCACGTCTAGAGGATAGACTGGTTTCATATGTTTCACCGACCAACGATAGACTCTCCAGCGCAAACTGGGTAGCATAGGTGAAACAGATACCCCACGATCCTAGCCAGGCGCCTTCAGGTTTCTGTATGTTGTGAAGGAAGACAATTGCTTTCTGGATGGTTTGTCTATCGGGGCTCGTCAGAGCAAGGCAGGGAGATCTAGAGTGACACTTACTCGATATCTTTCCTGCGGTAAACAGGATAACGTTTCCGGAAGATGGACAACGCTGTGATGACGGAGGTCGTACATTCGGGGTATGTGTAATCAATCATAATATCGCCTGTAAATGGTTCAGGCATGATACTGACGTCTGCGAATGGAGGGTTCTTTACCGAAAACCTCAGCCGGGTTGAGCAATTCCAGCCATCTTGGACCCCGAACACGTTCATAGCTCGCATACCCTCCGTCGGCATTCTGCATTGAAAGTAGTACATCTACGGCATCGCACAGGCGCCGCTCTGATACCAAATTGGGTGTAAACCTACAAACGTAGTAAGAGAATGTCATTAACACAAATGTTAAACCGGCCTACTCGAGATCTTGGCAGTATAATACTGCTTTGAGGCCTTCTCCAGTGCAGTCTGAAACGGTATAACCTTGCTCTTTAGTGCTAGATTGTGCTCATCGATCAGTAGTGTCGAAAAAGGTGGGAGAAAAGCAATCTTACCTGAAACCCCATGCACCTTTGGTCATATGCCGGTAGGAAGTTTCGAAATGCATCGGATTCGCAGTCATTTGAGCCTGCTCCAGCCATCCCAGAGCTCTGATGAGACTCTCTTTGTTTTCTTCTCGGTGCGCCAAACCTGATTCCACCACAGCTTGGGTGATAAACCCAATATCCCACAGTTGGCTCCCGTTAGTTCCTGTCATCATCATTCCGTCTTTTCCGATCCACATGAAATCTTCTCGTTTTTCTTTGTGTAGTTTGTATGCATCACTCTGGTTGCCCTCACGGTGAACTCGAGCAACGAGATTCATCATTTTGGAAACGGGCCCCAGCGTTTGATATCCAGTATTTTCGTCCTCGAGGATGATAAGCTGGTATGCACGGTCCACAGCTTTATGCCTAAGAGGCGGTAGTGTACAGAGCTCATAGGCCCCAAGCACGACGTTGATCATATCGAATACAGCGGCATGCGGCGAATACAAGTCGACCTTGCAGACATTGTTCCGTTGCGCTGGCCAATCTATAGAGTAGTAGTCTTGCGTGTATAGTTCCTGAATAAAGATGAGACGCAGTTGAGGTGGAAGCAGATGATACGAACTTCGCGAAGGGACAAAATAAGCTTATCTTCTGGTGCTTTAAATCTGACACCGTAAAGATAACTCATGGGAACGTATACCGTTCGGGTGTGTATCCACCATCGATGTGGGTGAAAGGGGAGTGCCTCCGGAAGTAGCCTGTAAGGATACGTTATTGGGTATGGTTTATCACAAGGAGCAAGTACCAACCACAGTTCCGGAGGAATAGGATTGTTGCCCTCCCATTCATAAACGTTTAGCACGGAGAGCCAGAATTTGCCCCAGGCAGGGGACGCTAATGCAGAACCTGAAAGAATATAAGATGAAAGGTCCCATGTAAAGAAGAGCAGCAACATCCTTACCCATGGCGTGTATAGTTGCTCTGCCCTTCCGGCAAACGGGATGGTCTGCATCAACGCCAAGGATACGTAACGCGACATAGTTCAACGCGGTGCCGAACATGGTCGATTCGCCTTCTACGTGTCTAAGGTTGGTTTGAGGAGAGCTGCGCCTAGCATATGCATTGACCTCACATTCCCCATCCGCCATCTACAGGGTTGGCGCGGTTCATTAAGTACCGAATCATTTCCAGTCTCTCTTCTGTCCTGAAGCCCATGCCGGAGACATAAGAGCCAATTACTAGCCCGGGCAACAGGAACATAGGACCGCCGTATTCGCCTGGCCAGTGTCCATCGTGACATTGAAGGTTCTTATAGAATGTGTAGCCGTTTTGCGCGGCCTCTAAGGGATCTTTGGCTCGGGGTAGTGCAGGAAGGCCCTGTGTTATTATGAGTACGGTATGAGAGAAAGACACAAATGTCGTACGGTTGGCAGACCCAGCCAATGTTTATCCAAAGCAGTCTGAGGCCAGCCCGCGCATTCTTCATCGGTCTTGAGATACCGCCAAGTGTGACGACCGCCTTCACCAGAAATAAAGCGCCATCGAGAATAGTCGGTAAAGGGCACAGCAGGAGAATCTGGCACAGCGAGGGGTGAATAGGACATGAGAGTAGAGGCAAAGAATCGTACCACTAAAATGACATTACTCCAAGATACCGGAGCGATCAATTATGGTATAACCCGGACCACATCACGAGCAAACAGTCGCGTACAATGTCCTTTCGTGATTCCATCGTCGTCATCATCGAGACGAGCAGGACCGTCGTCCGTGCTGGCCTGGGTCTTCACGAACTCCTGAAGACACCCACCGTTGTGCGTTTTTCACTTTCTGCTTCAAAGTTCAAGTTCATTCATTGTGTAATAGGAAATACAAGCGCGCGTCGGTTTGAGGCCAAACGTGTCAAATGGGAATGAAGGCGCCATTGCAGTCGATGGAGGAGGTGCGGAGGCATCTACTAGCCGAGCACCTTCACAACCGCCCCAAGTTGCGACCGTGAATGACTACCTGGTTGGAGCGCAACTCGATGAAGCGCTGGCCAGTGGCCAAACTATCAATGTCTTTTGGCCTTTTGAGGGCGAAAACATAAAGGAGTGGGCACAGGCTGAAGCTATATGGTGCGCCTTTAGAATTTTCACCTCAGCGGCCGTTCATCATGAGTTCCAGGAAACATGTTCTCTTCAACCAACTGCAACGTCGTCGTGTTCAGAATGAATCTCCTGTTATCCTCGCCATCCAGCCTGGCATGCCACGCAGTACCTACGAGAAAATATGCCAGATCTTCTTCGAGCGTTTTAATGTTGCAGGATTCGCCATCATCGAACGCCCTATGGCCCAGATATACGCTGGCAACAGTCTTAGTGGTGTTGTTGTCGACATTGGATATAACACAACGGACATCACCCCAATCTATGAGGGTTTCATCCTTCATTCTGCTCGGTCACACACTGATGTGGGCATTCGCCATTGCGAAATTTATCTCGCAAACCTCCTCCGCTCTAACACTTCTGTGATGTCGGTTCTATCCCCTCCCGAGGCAATGCTTTCACCTGAGGACCTACAACAGACTCTTTTAGACTTCTCAAAATATATCTGGAGCGCGGGCTATGTCAAAGTCCCGTCCTCTGGTGAAACGGCCATTGTGGAGGACGAGGGTGTCACGGATATTGCAGCAGTCCTCGTCGCGGGCAAGGAGAAAGCAGTCATTGAGAGCGGAATGAAAAAGAAAGCTAACGCCAAGGCTTCCGCCGCCGAACAAGCACGCGCACGGGAGATTGAGGCCCTGGACTTGGTTACAATTCAATTCCGCGACAAAAGTATAACTTTAGGGAAAGAGCGTCATCGATTCTGTGAGCCGCTTTTTGACCCTACCTTGTTGGGAACGATACCACTGTCCGACGTGAACGTACCCATCTCGTATGCTGGCATCTGTCCTATACAAGAAGCGACTGGGCATGCTGTCTCTCTCGCAGACATCGACCAGAGATTGTATATCTGGCAGGGTCTACTTGTCACTGGTGATCTAACAAAGAACATCAAAGGTGAATAAGTTCTACACTATCTTGAATGTGTGGTAACTTCGTAATAGGTATTGCGGTAGCACTGCAATCGCGGCTTGCTCCTTTTATCAGTAATCCTGAATTGCAGACAGAGATCCAGCCAAGAAGCATCCGAATTTTGGGCGTGCCGGAATACTATCCTGAATATAGAGACACTGGAGAGGGGTATGCTGCTTTCCTTGGGGCAAGTATCACAGCGAAGGTGAGTCGTTTCCCGTGAAACCTACGCCATGAGTACTGAACTTGTCCAGATTATCTTCAATGATAATGGGGGCAAGAACTCTGTGTCGAAATCAGATTATACAGCTAGAGGACCTCATGCCATAATCGAGTTCACGCCAACACTTTTGTAGCTAAATATATAATACCTCAGAATGCGATATTTTGGCCCATAATGCATGACATTTTATATGTAAAGGTAGCAAACATAATATCGGTACCCATAAACGCACTCATGCAGTGTTGCCCTCTGCAAAGTTGAGGAGATCCGAGTCTCCTTGGTCCGAAACGGTCATGACACTAGGGTATTGTCAGGAAAGTGAAGTCCCTTCAGTACAGAAGAATGACATACCCGACTCGGAAAAGTTTACCAGCAGCGGTACCCAGGGCCACGTTGGTGCCAGAGAAGTGGTGCACCGTAGTTTTTGAGAGCATGGCGTAGTACTCAAGCTCAGATTTGCGGAGGGGCGGGCAGTTACCAGCGATCAAGACGAGCTTGGCTACAGAACAGAGCGTCAGCTCAAGGGACCTTCTCAGCCTCACGCTCCAGTCCCCGGGAGACATTGGATAGAACCAGCGTACCTTTGCCGCTTCGCATCTGCTTGAGGGCGGATTTGTATCCAAGAGTATATTTGCCTGACTTGACGACGAGGGCAAGCCTAGCAGCAATGGACTCGGTGGACTTGGATGCCTTGGATTTCTTTGATGGGGCCATTGCGTCGTCGGTGGTCTTGAAGTTGTCGATCAACACAAATATTATTTTCCTCAGATAGTGAGCTCGAACTGTACAGTCGATGATTAGAGTTCAACCACCGCCGGTATTTGCCGTAGTCTACCCCAGATGATCCGACCCACGTGAATCGATCGCGTCGCCGCGCGCATCAAGATAGGGGTAGATCAGGACGACGGAGAGAGGGATTCCGATCCCGGGTACTAATTCGTACACTCGGAACGGGATGAAGATCTTCCAGGTTTTACCCAGTAGCCAACACAATGTCCGTAACATCCAAGGTGAACCCAAACTTTGTTGTACAAGTCCAGCCAGGCGAGTACAAATCCTTCCTCAAGTCCCTCAAGGTGAGTTTGGGTATGTCTCAGCTTGCGACCTGCTTCAATCAGCATAATTTAGGCATTTGAGGAAGGAGAAGTCATTGCATCGTTGGAAGGTGTTACTAGGGCTCCCAAGTCGTACAGAACTGTTCAATGTGGGCTTGGACCCAAGGATCACATCGAGCTGAACAGTGATTTTGTTTACGGTGCGTCGAGTGGTTCATCTTATAAAATCAGTACTGATCAACCCGCGATAGTGAATCATTCATGCGAGCCAAACACGGCGTTTGACTTGTCCTCCCCCAACCCCGCAGACTGGCATATACGGGCGTTAAGGCGCATCGAAGCTGGAGACGCACGTTAGTACCATTGGTTGTCGCGCATGTTGTTTCGATGTTGACGTGAACAGTCGGCTTTTTCTACCCTAGCACGGAGTGGGATATGGATCAACCATTTTCTTGCGAATGCGGTACAAAGGTGACGTATTCCAATCATCCCGACAAGTTTCTAATGTCTCTCCAGACTTGCCTAGGAATTATTCAAGGTGCTAAATACTTGAGTAAAGAAGAGTTGCTAGCTCGTAGATGGGTCAGCCCCTGGATCCTCGACTTGAAGTCGAAAAGGATTGATCAGAACTCGAAGGTATCGGCAAAGATAAGTTCGAGGCTTTAGAACCTAGGTGCTCAGCTCCAACTTGGATGCTACTACCGAAATAAGAAGTACATACCCAATTGTAACAGCCACTATCTTGATTTGTAAAAAACAAACCAAACATCAGCGAGAAACAGCCAAGCTTCTCCGGGATTAGTAGGACTGTAAGCGAGCGCTGGGTTATTGGAAGGCACTGCGTGGGATTGTTTGAATGACACTGAGCCTATACCGACTAAGAGGTTTGCTTTAGCGTCACTATCGTTTTGAAATCGAGATTCAGCTTCGTACGGCATCTCTTGTGTCATGGTGATCATTGCGGACATGAATAATGACGGCAGATTGTTTGGCTGAGCGGGAGGAAAACACGATTAAAAGGGCCAAATTCCTACGAAGCCAAGTGGAGCCGACCATGATGTCTTCTGTTCAGACTTCCAAGTTGATCAAAGCTGTAGCTGATTATTGCATCAAAATCAGCCTCCAAATTCGGACCGGAAGTACGCGACCGTGACGCGTTACGCGCCGTGGTTTGAAGGTCACGTGCCTCAAACCCTTTGTTGAAGACCACGATGGCGCCTGCGAGGGGCTCAATGGACAGCGACCACTACGATGACGACCACAGTACTGATGCCGAATTCGAGAAGGAGCTCGTTCCGCCTCGAAAAAGTGGTGTCCGCAAACGGCTCAGTGAGGCATTCATTCCGGAAAACGACAGCTTCACCTCAGACTCCGGTCGCGTCCCTCTCAAATCGGTCAGCATTAACGATGACACTGCAGAGAAGAGGAGAAGAAGGAAGAGCACCAAGATTCCTGGAGTTGAGGCCCCGGTTGCTGGCCCTTCGAGCGATCCTAATGATCAGGGTGACACTTCGCGCACCAACAGACCGAAGCAGCAGCTCAATACAGTTGCCCCACCTGTCATCAAGGTACCACTGGATGTTATGAGCTCCAACTTTGAAGAGTGGATGAAGATGGCAACAGACAATGTATGTTTTGTAACTTGATATCGTCCTCTGTTGTTGAAACATCAGTCAGAAAATTAATGCCGCCAACTCATGGAATTTTGCCCTTATTGACTATTTCCATGACATGTCACTACTCAGGAATAACGACGACAATTCCATCAACTTTCAACGCGCGTCATGTACTCTTGACGGTTGTGTCAAAATCTGGACGAGTCGGGTTGACAGCGTCGGTTCTGAAACTGCCAAATTGGCAAGTAATCTTGCGTCTGGTCGAAGCGATGAGGCGGAGCAATCGGGCCAAGAGGATGTAGAGGAGGACCCGACGCAACCGAAAAAGAAGAAGCATCGTTCTGCTGCCACCCTCGTCAAGGACCCTTCCCAACTCCGGGTCAAAAAACTTGAGCTCGAATTCAGTGTAGATCCGTTGTTTAAGAAGACCTGCGCCGATTTTGATGAGGGTGGTGCCCAAGGCCTTCTAATGAACCATCTCAGTCTCGGTGTTGGTAACGATGGCGGGCTAAGGGTTGTTTTTGACGCGGGTGACTCTATAAGCAAGGGTGAAGATGACGAAGATGTAGATGAACCAGAGGATTTCATAGATCTGAGCTATCTTCGCAGTACGTTTTTGATTTGCCTATTTATTCTCGCCTCGCGGCTGACCTTTAGGTTAGAGGAATTTCTACCCGATCTTAATGCCCTAGAGTCTAAGGAGATTTGTCACTCTCTCAAAAACTTCGCCTTTTCCAAGAATAACTTTTCGTCTGCGGATACGACTTTCTACCGGGACAATTCACAAGCCGACTTCGATGATGATGACGAAGAGTTTGGCCCGGCGGATAGCTTCGACATGGATACCGACAATAGAGAACAACCCGTTGAAGATTTCTTCCAAGGGGATGAAGCTCCAGCAGACGCTTATGCAGACGAATCATTCGATGGCGATAACTTTGGAGGAGAAGACTTCGGAGGCGGAGACGAGCATTCCAATGGCTCTTATAGTGGTTCCGCTGACAAGGAAGGCAATGGTACGGGTGCCTATGCACCGTTCGATCCTCGTCAAGCTTCCAATGACCATAACCTTGTATTGGCCATGGGAGATGACGTTGATGCTACCATGGACTCCTTTGACAAGACCTTTAATACGAATTGGGCGGGTCCCGAGCACTGGAAGCTCAGGAGACTCTTCAAGAAACGTAAGCTTCAAGCGGTCCTGAGATAAGTCCTAGTTCTGACCATTTGAGCAACAGCAGCGGAGGCAGATGCAACCAAAGGTCCCAAACCCCGCCGAGAGAAGAAGGAAGCGTTTAAGATCGACTTTCTGACACCACCGGACCCAAACAAGGACCTGGATGATATAAAGAAGGAGCTGTTTGCGCCAGCAACTAGGGGTGTCGGCATCAATCTTCCAGGAACTAGCGCTGCCGCCCGGAAGAGCAAGAAGAAAGGGAAGGACAATGAAAAACGCGATGATCATAGGCTTCCCGATGACATGCACTTCACGAGTAAACAGCTAGTTTCCCTCTTCTTGAAGCCCAAGTTTTCAGTACGTCCTACTATTCATTCAGCGCATTGCTCTAAAGGTTTGTACAGCTCAAAATGCGGGGTCGTCGCTTTGATAACAGTGAAGAGGGCGGAGAAGTTGACGAGAGATATTGGGCGCAAGCTGCCGCAGATCAAGCCGCTGGGCGGGGTAATATCGACCAAAGTAAGGAGTCTTTTTTCTCGTTGTCATAGTATCTGAACCCATTGCGAGCAGCTGAGAATGGCGGCGCGGTTCCATTCAATACGCAGTTCTTTAATGAAGACGACGACGACGATGTCCCAGTCTTCGGTTTCGATGATGCTTTTGAAGCTGATGGAATGGGTGTTCCGGCAGAAGAAGATCTTTTAGCGGCTACTCAAGGTCAAACGCGCCGCATCAAGCCTGCCTTTGTCAACTATACCAAACGAGCGAAACGAGTTGACGTGAGAAAGTTGAAGGAGAATATCTGGAAAGGCCTCGATATCGTAGTGTCTCATGGTAAAGCGGACGATGGAATGGTGTGTCCTTTTTTTCAGCTCCTCGTCAGTTTTTAATCCTCCTCTCGAAGGATGTCGACGAAGAAGTGACGTCGACTGACCCTGCGGAAGCTCGGGAATTTGGATCTGTGTTATCGGGATTGCAGACCTCTTATCCCCAAGATAAGTTGCAGGAACTAAGTACAAGCTTCTGCTTCATTTGCCTACTGCATCTTGCGAACGAGCAAGGACTTAAGATCGAAAATGGAGAGAGTTCAACGACGGGCATAGAAGAGGTGGAGGGTGTCGGGAATATATGGGACCTAAAGGTGCGTGCTGCCGCCTTAATCATCTAGATCAGAGCTTACATCAAGACATCCAGGTGTTCAGAGATCCGACTGCTACGCCTTCGGCGTGATTTTTCCGTCACGATAATGTATTGACCTTTTTATTTTTTGATTTGTGCCACTACAATCTATATTATATCATTTCATACGTCTGCGAGAAATATGCATCCTGTATATTATTACTACTGCTACGTCCTGACATTACTCGGCATTTCACAACTAATAATCAGTTGTGACACTGCAGGAATTCCGTTTTCTAGCACAGTATGGGTAGCAAGGGACGTCGAAGCGTCGAGGGCTTGATGTTTGTCCCGTAACAACAGTCTCGCCCTCCATCGCATGAAACCTATCAAGTTGCATCTTCCATCATCAATCTTGCTCAACAGATAATCCTGCCTCAATCTGCTGGGCCAAAGCATCGACGCGTGATTTGAAAGGGTTGAACAAGATGAAGCCGGGCGGCTCAGTTGGACGAGGTACAGCTGGATCAAGCATCGGAAGTGGCCTAACGACATCCCTCTGCAACGGAGGAGGTCGATGCCATATGACCAAATCCGTCTGAAGAGAGGAATACTTGGTGCGATCGTATGCGGGGAGATCATCGAGGATGATGCTGGAGGAGTTTTTGTCGTCTATCAACGACTCAGATACTGTATACTTGAGCCTTTGGGGGGAACGAGGCAAGGATGGCCCGGGGGTTTGTGAAGCTCCAGTTGCCCAACTGAGAGATTTTCGCGGAGGTCCATTTGCGACAACGGGCAATAGCACAGCTCCCATTGACGGGTCTCGTAATGGCGGGGGATCCGGCAAAGATGACGGACGAAACATTCGCGATGAAGGCAGGAAGAGCTTGGAACACTGGTCCACTCTTTGACCTATGAGGGCGGCATGAGCACTGTGCAAGTGGCTTGTCAAGTGTGAGGAGCGTGTGAAACTGGTCCCTTCACATTGTTGAAATGGGCAGATCAAGGCATGGAATATTGGCATGTGTGACATATCTATGTGTTCGCGTATGGACCGCTCAGATGCATGAATGGGTGCACTACATCGTGGCAAAGGGCATTCATATTGTGCATGCTTGACACCCTGTAAGGAAGACTGAGTAGATGAGAGGAAACCAAAGTGCTTGTACTCACAGTCCCTTTGTCATGGACCCTCCTACAAATGCAATGTACAAACAAATGCTGTAAACATCCAGTCAGCTGGGTTGGTCAAGATACAAGACAGGTAGCAACATAAAGAGTCTTAGCTGCACACCAAGTTCGCACCTTACTCATTGCCTCCCAGCATGAAAGAACCGCACCACATTCCTTTGATTCCTTTCCATGCAATACATAATCACACCTCAATCCATGTCCATGAATTACTGTTGTCCTTGATATGTCAAGGTATGAATCAACTGTAAGCTCAACAGTTGAAGGGGTGGTCATAACATGGACAAATCAGTCATGCAAAGTGCATGGACATTCACAAATGACTCAGATGAGTCTGGAATTTGCGTCTGTCCGATCGGGTATGATAAGGAAGGAGGGGGAAGGCGGGGACGAGAGCTAACCTTTCGAAGCGACCGAGTTCTGCCCAAGTTTTTGGTCACAAATCACGTGTTGGTGACTCGTCACAATCACGGTATTTTCGTACCATTTCTCATTTCACAATTCCGGAACCGTAAAGTGTAATAATTAAAAGAGTTGCAATACTAAATAAGTATCGTGAAAGAAAAGGGAAAGATCCAAGCAAACCCTAAGTTGCTAATCAGTACCGAAGTTCCAATAACTCTTTCCTCCACTAACTGAATTAGCGTCCATTCACCGTAGCAGTAGAGTCTCTTCTCGTAGATGTAGGCCCTCCGGAAGAATGTTCAGCCGAGTTCGGCAGTGTATTAGGATGGTCGGGAATCTTATCAATCTCTCTCTTCGCTTCCTCCCAAGCCTCAAGGTTCTGGAATGCAAATGATTCTTAGCTATATCCCAAGTTGTCTAGAGAGTTGCACTGTACCTTCTTACACCAGTCACGATGGCTTCGTGCCATCGCTATGGCCATCTCCCTGAGATCAGCAACCTTTTGTCGCTGGAACCGATCCAAGTCTGCCTGAATGGTGGAACTAGAATACTTGAGATCCTGAGCAGAAAGGTGCAAGGCGTCCTCAAGCTGGTATACTAAATTAACCGCCATCCCCAGATAAAATTTCAAGTCAGCGTACCTGGGAGATGTTTTCCCGAGTCTTCGTTATGCTGTTGCGACGAGCAGTCTCGGGGTCTGCGTCCATCATACCATGAATTGTATAGCTGAGAGCGTTCAACAGTCCCATGCCTGGTGCTCGTGTCTTTCGCCGGGCAGGGTTCGGGCCCGGATGGGGTGGAAGGTAGCCGGAAGAGTTATTCTCTTCCTCGCCCGACCTTGAGGAGGGATCAGCTTCGTCCTCGCCTGCGGCTGCACTAGAAGTCATGGAAGAACCATTGATACGGCCTCGTCCAAGAGCCGCTTCTAGACGTCGGGCCTCTCGCTCACTCTTTTCTAGTTCTTCAAGCTGTTCTCGTTTCGTCTCAAGAGCGTCCTGGGTCATTTCGTATTGGACGTGCTTCTGGTGTCGATACGCAAGAAGCTTCTTGATGATCAGTGCAAATTGAGAGTACTCGTGAAGGGGCTCGGCCCAGTTCTGCTCGAGCTCCTGAAGCTGTGCCATATGTGAGAGCGAGAATAATCCAGCGCCAAAAGAACCTACCAGCTTTGTGGTTGAAAGATAGGTAGCATCCACGGCCTGTCCAGTTTTCTCAATGGCACCGGAAAGCTCGCCGCTTTCGTTGAGACTGAAACCGTTCAGAGCCGCACCAAGTTCGGAATGATCTTGCCCGTAATCTGAAGGTAAGGTTAGGACTACTAGACCTGGGACCACATCACAAGACTCACCTGACCATCGCTTGATGGTCCGACGTGTGACCTTTTCCATAGGGCCACTCAGGTGTACAGAGAACTTGTTGGTAAATGCTTCAGAATCATGAAACCTCTGGTCCGGATGTCTCAGAGGATGGGCGGCTGATGGATTTGGGAGAGCAGCGTAAGCAGGTGAGGCATTCTGATCCGTGGGATTGTGCGAAGGAGCCTTGAGGATATTCTTCGGAAGCAGTGACAGCGGCGGTGAGTTGAGAACCTCCGTCTATTAATGACAATGAGAAACAGCCCAATGTAAAATGAATAATATGCGAGCGCACCCACGAGACTTCGCCGTCCAAAAACCGATGGAAGACATGCTCATTGGATAGGATTGGGTGGCGAGCTAAACGGTTTAGAAAGGTTTGAAGCATACGCTTCCTCCTGCCTATCAAGGCGGCATCCTCCTTAGCTTTTCCTTGTTTGATAGCGTAGTCGCCTAGTGTCTGCTTCGACGGTATAGGTGGAATGATGAGAGTAGGGTACAGCTTCGACAAGCTAATTCTCAGCGATTCGAATTCTGAATATCGATGATGTGCTTGCGCGTTCTGGATGATTATTCTAGTCGATATACAGATGCATGTAAGTGCAAACTCACCCCGGTCTGGATGATATATGCGATATAAGGTGAGTTCGAGTTGACAGATGTCTTCACCGCGTCAGTTATCTTTGGAATAAGAAGATTATTTGAGTATAAGGGGACACTAGGACTTGAGCACTGACGATTATCTCAACGTCGTCGCCAGAGTGTAGGACGCGGTCGCGAGTACAACAAAAATCGCTCTTGTAATTAGATTGCACTTGCCGACTTGAGGAAGGATATGCAGAGCCCTTGGCAGACGCCGACGAAGAGAATCTGCGCGACACATTGGGAGGAGACGGTGGTTCAGAGATATCCACCTTTGAAGTGGAAGAGGCCTCGGACGAAACACGGTCGGCGTCTGTTTCGAAGGGGTTCTCGTCGTCGAAGGCGTCCATTTATTCCAAATTTCAATGTGTCTCGATGCTGTACCTTGTTGAAAGAGACGTAAGATGTCCGTGCGACGTAGACGAGACAATCTTTGGTACGGTAAGCAAGAGCAGGAAGGACGGCTCAAGCTTCACGTTTCTGAGAGACAAGGAAAAATCAGGACAGGGTCGTTCCAGTGATACTGCGCACTGGGAGGCTGTGAACAAGTGCGCGTCCAGAGGGAAAGGGATGCAATGTTTGGCCATGTTATATTACGATCGGCTCCAAAATGAGAACTGATTTCTCCCAGTACTAACTGTTCAACCAGCCTTATTCTATCCAAAAAAACTTTTACCCAAAAACTCTGAAACCACTCTCCGAGATACCCTCTGCATCATGCCGTAAGTCAATACCACCGTTTTCCTCTCTATGACGGTCCAAAGCATTTTCAAATCCTACACCAAGAAGTGACCCAAAGAGCTCATCGATTTGCTGGTCATGCCATGCACCATTGATGGTGACAGGTACCATGAAGTTTTGCAGTTTCTCATGCACTTCGTATCTATATGTTTGTGAATATGAGTGAACTGAAAAGATAGAAGAGCCATACCGTATCTTCCTCCCTTTACTTGCCTTAGTATCAACTTTTTTCTTCGCCTTCTTTTGCTTTTGCACGACTAGCCAATCATCTGCTCCGTTCTTCTCAGCATCTATGACATCCCGGAGCAACTGTTGATATAAGTCTGTGTCGTCGAAGATTTCAGGGTCGTGCTCTTGCTCCTCCTCATTTTGACCGTCGAGCACTCTTCCTAGTCGCTCAGCCCTGCCCCGCCATATCTGAGTTCTCGCAAGCATCTTATTCCCGTCGGCCAAGTTTTCGTCAATCAACTGAACGACTGTTTTCGAATTCTCAGAATTCTTCGAAAATGCATTGCGATTTGATGGAAGTAGGACAGATGGTGCGACAGCCTGTATCTTAGAAGACCACTTTGAAAGAATTTGCAAAGCGTGACGATGATACCTGTCGCGTTTTCAGTTTATGCATGTACTCGATCCAGTGGAGTAAAGACATACGCATGCTCAGCATCGGACGACGCTTTGGTTGCTTCGCATATGTACGCCTCATACTCTTGCAAACTATCGTCAGACGAGAGTCTCCGTCGCTTACGAGGCTGAGGGCTGATTGACTCGAGATTTAACATTGTCTTGGAAAGGATAAGTCAATGACCTGCGCATAAAGAATAAGTGCCAACCTGCTGCAGGTCGAAAAGATCTTCGGACAACAACGCTGCCTCATGAAGCATGTTGGTTAATGAGTTCTGATCCCCAACGAACCCTTCATCACTAGGCTGTTCACGTATGTTTAGAATAAGCATTCGTGAATCAGTGGGACGACATTACCGGTGGTAATCTGTTGGCGGCGTTGACTGACTTTTGTAGACGGATCCGGGCATTCAGTAAAGAATTCCATATAGACTGGGTTACGCAAATGAACATACTAGCATTGATTCAAAGGATAAATCTTACCAATTGTTGGGCGACTGCAGCGCCCTTCTTCCGATCTTGCTCCCGACCTCGCTTTAGTGTAGACGACAAATCATCCTGGTCAGTGTGCTTTTGATTGTCGGATCCAGGTAATGCATTTTTCTTCTCGAATGTGTCGTCTCCGCCATGGACCGGTTCCTCGTTCTCGACTTCATCCTCGTCGTCACCCTGGACAGAGCTCTCCTCCTCTTCATCCTCCTCCTCACCTTCGTCCTCATCCTGAGAGCTTTCTTCCATCAGCTGTTTCCTTGAAGTCCGAACCGAGTCATATTTGGGGTCCAGAATACTATCCTGTTGCTTCCGCAACGAGCTCGGGCTGGTATCCCAATCAGAACCACAGGCCTCACAAGTTCTAGGACACGCACCCCACATCCAGATAATGTTCCCTAGCTGCAGGATTTATATCCTGCACGTCGTCGTCTTCTACGGCAGGTTGAATGTCCTCAGGATCAAAGTCTGTCCCAATGTTAACGACTGACAGATATCGCTGTTTTTGTGCTGAACACACCTGGAGCAGTAACTTCTAGCTGGGCAATCTGCTGGGAAAGCGAAAGACCTGGGCACTGAGCATGTACTGAGGAGCTTTGAAGAAAGTCTTAACTCACGAGTGGTAGCCATGCCGGTCAACAAAACAGAAAATTTTGCACTCGATCAATGATCATCATTGATGACACATCACGCGCGCTACCTAAACATTTAACAAAGATCTAATAAGTTGCCAGGTTCCAACGACTGCAAAATGACGGGCTTCATTGCACGGCAACTGACCAGCTGATTCGGTGTGGTATATGTCCCCTTAGTATAGTGAATACCGATGAACTACATATTCTGTAATATAAATTTTATTTCTCGTTCTTCGTATATACTAAGTCCCAGTAACTACCATCACAACACTAAATTTAAATAAGTCCTACCAACCTAAGCGCAGTACGTGGTTATTCCAAAAACACAGAAGATGGTACACATGCAGCACAATCATTTCTACGAACCGAATCTCTATACTGTATCGAGGTTCGATAGCACCATATCCTCGTGAGCAGTGTCTTTGGTAAAGTACTGTCGGACCCTATGCCATGCTTTCTGCCATGGATCCTTCGGGGAATTAACAAGAGGTCGGTCATCCCTTTGAGCTATTTGCTCGGTGACAGATGGGGTTGTTCTTCCAGACGGACCAACACCACCTTCCTCAAGAAAGGTTGTGAGATCTGCAAGTATATTAGGTATATTATAATGATTTGATAGCCAGGTAGGGTATGCGTATTCTTGGAGCCTCTGTAAGCAAACGGGCCAGGCGACGTCATTGGGACGAAGGCGTGCAAGGTCATAAAGAGGCTGACGGGAATCAGTTGCGATGGTAAGAGCACAAATGGCAAGTAGGACGTCCGGCTCATGGAGGTACTCCAAGAAGTTTTGACATATCTGTGGATCTAATTTTGAGGATGGCAAACCAGTAATGAGCGCTGATATGATGACCGGTAGGTGAGAATAAGAGTTAAAGACGTCGTCATCACCACAGTGAAGTCTCTCGATCGGCCGGTCGAAGAGACGCTTGGCAGCAGCATAGTCGAAAGCCTCATTCATGGTGGGTGGAAACTTGGCAAGACAGCAAACGTGTTCGGATAATACCAGATGAGTATCGTCATATTCTAGAGCCAATGCGCCGCCCTCGAAGGCGACCTGAACAAACTCTGCAGCCAGGTCTGGAGTACACCAGTCTTGGTCGAGGAACGGAGGTAGAGGGGTTGTGGATTCCAACACGGTCAGAAAAAGTGCTAGGGCAACACGTCGGTGTTTGCCAAGCACCTCCTCCTTGTGAAATTGAACTGATAAAAGGGTGTATAATATCTTCAGGGAAGCATGCTCGGGTGAAACGATCAGCTTGACCTTCTGGGACATGGTTTGCTAACGGTGTCCATAGAAGATCGTAGAAAGCAGAACAGCATATACGCGGAAAGTCGGCTATTTGATGTCTTAATGATTGCACGGACTTGAATGGTAGGGCACTTATGGACTGTACGACAATGCTCTGTACGCTGGGATTGGATGACATTGAATATAGCCAGGACAGAGCGTGTACATCCATGTCATCTGCATATCGCTCGACAGCTGCAATTTCAGCATCTTTGAGTGCGCGTCATGGGGCTGGTTTTGTCGGAGTCGAGGGGGAGTAAAAATTGAGGATTTTCAAATCAGTCCGATTAAACAAGGCGGTATTGTCCATGATATAACATAAAGAGGGAAGATGTACCGCGATAGCGGTGTCTTGTAGGGACATGAGGGATATAGGATTGGAAAGAAATTCGTGGCCAAGTACGCAGCAAATGAAACGGAGGCAATGGCTCCGACGACAGATACGATGGACACCCGAAGGGAGATGATAAAGAGAACCAATCCCACCAGGAACACGGCAAGAGATACACTCATGAGGACGGGAAGCAGCCCGATAACGAAATCCACGCCCCACTGTTGCAGTCCCATATAGCGGAATTGACGCAGGCGGCACCTGTCCCGTGGTGTTCCTGATGGGATCGACATATACTGGTGGATCCACTGTTTCGTCAAAACAGCAAACAGTGCAGTGGAAAGCCTGAGGGAGAGACTGGTAAACCATAGACCGTTAACCCATGAGTCGGATGCCGAGGGATGAAAGGTGAGGTCCGAGCGAGGGACATCATTCACAAGGGAACCGTTCGCCGCTGAGCGTTGGACGTCAATGAGCTCGATGAGAAGCAAAGCGGTCACCTGGCCGTAGTCAACCTGCAGGCTTTGGGATATCTGTGCAACAAAAGTGGTGACCACGGCCGAGAAGAGACCGGCCTGTTCGCCTAGTGTGAGTAAAGAAATCGATGACAAGTCAGTTTGGGCACTGACAAAAACGAGAAGGACATCCAAGGCGTCTCTCCACCCTTCAACCATCTCAAGATATTCAAGGTACGTTCTCCATACTCTAGCCGTTGGTCCCATCTCCTCGTACCGTTTATCTTCGGGGAACTTTTGCTCATAGTCAAATGGATCACTCCCTTGACGTATATTAGACTCCCAGCAAGCAAACAAGCGGGATAAACACACCTCTGACGACATATTCAGGACGGTGGATGCCCATTGTCTTGCGCCTCGACTTTCGTCGGCGGCGCCGCGAGTAAGCTGTTCCATTTTCGACTTCTGGCTGCTGGCCGTCATCGCAATGATTCCAGCTGGAACGAGCTGCTCCAGGATGGTCTTCATCTCTAGAGTCATCAGATGCCCTCGAATCGTCGTCGATCTGTGCACGAACGTCCTTGACTTTCGGATTGGCCGTCATCCTCAGAGTTACAGGATGTCCCAGATGGTTATCGTCGCTATCGCCTTGTGTGGCATGTATAGAAGACATAGGTGTCAGGGTGGGACCAGGACAGGACTGGCATAGGCGCCGTGAGCAGTGGACTCTCCCACGATCGGGGCCCGGTCAAGCGCCGCGAGGCGATGTTTCCCAACAGCTTCACTGAAATCACTTGCAGACGAGACGATACTGCATTCAACATTGCTGTAAAGAACCAAATCTGGACTTGGAATCCAAACTGGCTACTTCCCTGTTCAGTGTTATGCATGATCATTGTCGCTCCTGTTCACAGCTTTGAAGATAGCCAGTACGATGCACCCGACGCCGCGGGCCTTGGGGTATATCCACGCATTGGGGCGAGTCTGAACCCATTGACCTGACCTCGGATAAGGAAGACGACCACGATGATGATTCTGAAGAGTTTGATCAAGTCAGAATCGAGGACGAAGACTGGGATAGCTTACACGATGTGCAGGATGTTATCGCCTCAGACAGCCTAGTACTGTCTGAATCAGCAACGATGACGCCTTCCAAACTTGCCGCCTACAGGTAGAAAACGAACAGTCTGAGTGTTGCTGTCAATCATCCTTCTCAGTCGACGGCGGCTCGCAAAGCCATGAACACACGTGCAAAAGACCAAATAGTCTCGTAACTCGCAAAATATGGCTCACGAATCGCCAACATGAATCATAGCCTGGGCGTGGACGTGAAGCAGAAAGGTGCATCTGCCCCAAAGACAAGGCCGATCGCACAACGACGGGAACACGTGTGATACTGCCGTTTAGCAATGTGGAGGCATTTTCAGGAGGTGGGGTGATCGTACTACTACTAGGGCTGAGGAGGCCGTGACAAGCGAAGAAAATGAGCAGACGTTGAAGAAATTGATGAGCAAGCTAGAGGAGAAGCATAGCGCGTTCAAGCACGCGTATATCCCGCGAAAGCCGGATGATGTATATATGATCCAGACATTGCTGCTGGCGACGATGAGGGCACGATTCATACTTCAAGTCAAGTAATCAGTGTGCGTAGAATATCGACCGACACTTGTACGTTGTAAATACGATACTAATAAATCTACGCGAGGGCTCGTCACACTTTCATTAGCAAGACTCCATCATGTTGCTGCGGGTTAAGAATTGCTGATAGTCGAGGTCTGGTTGTGAAATCACTTCACGGTAATCTACTCATCCTAATATTTATACCTCATGAGAGGAGGGGTCCCGAAAGTAAGGGATGTTCAGGCTCGGTTGAGGAATAGTTTGAATACTTTCTGGCGAGACGCCAACCCTGATGTCCGCCTTCCCAAAGGGAGAACCCACGGACTCGTGTATTCCAGAATAATCCATCTTGCGAAACACCGTCAACGATACCCAGCAATAACTACGAACGAATTATATTCTAAGACCAAAATGACGTGCGAGGATTAATAACGTCCGGAATATGTAGCATATCACAGAATGCCTCCGTTTGCTGATTGAAGTACGCTGATGCTATTCGGGATGAGTGAAAGATGCAAGTTCAAAGGACGAGAGAACTCACGCTGCCTCCTGCTTTCTCTTCCTGTCGGGCCAGGAGCGGTGGGCTGGAACTGCTGCACAGAGCCCACAGGCCTGTCCTCTCCAACGTGCTCTAATACCCACTCAAGATGCTTCCTCACAAGTCGGCTGGATAGCTCTTGCGGGGGCAGCAGCAATCTCGTCTGGACCTGGTTGAAAAATGGCTGGAAGGCCCGCGTGATGGCGAGCCATTCGGGATCAAAAGCGAGTTTCGTGGTCCCGCTCATTGCGGGTACATCGATGACCTGAAGGGAGGTATTAATGTTGCTTCTAGCGAGGAAAGGACTCGGAAGCTGACCTCTATACACTTGCGCCCTGAGAGACATTTATCCAGGGCGGTGAAGTTGGTTATGGAGTTATCGTGTTTGACCGTCGCTTTGAAGAAAGCATGCATATGCGCCGCGAACCACCACCCCGGTTGCATTTCCTTGAGCAGATCCATGAGCGGCGGCGCGCCAAATGTCTTGTCGGCTATCTCGGATTCGAATTCGGGTTTGTCTCTGAGCAAGGTGGCGAGGTCACCATGCTCAGTTATCCCCCGGGGCCAATCATGCGAGAGAAATATATGTGGACTCGTGAGTAGCGAAAGCTTGCGAATATCATATTGGCGGATCCGGTATATTGACTTGAGCGCATATTGGTCGTACGGCAATTTTTCAAAGTATCCATTTTCATAGTGCTTCTCGGAGTATATTCCCGACGCGCCAGCGATTCGCACTCCGTTAACTTGGACACATCCAGATCGGCCGAGGTAGTATTGGTTAGGCGCGACCCACCCGCCATAGTGGAGTTCTGTGAGGTAGTTGGACGCTTCATGGTTTCCGCCGATAAATACTGTCAGAATGGGAGCAGTCTTTTGGCCTGTGTAGTATCTGTACCAGGTTCCGGTCAGCGGTGAGAATTTGGAATGGAGAAAATAGTCGCACTTTGGGAAATCATTCAGGCGTTTATGTTTAGACGGGACGGCCATGCATTCGAGATCTTGCACGTTCCGTGTGACCTGAAAGTCGCCGCAGATGAGGAGGAGATCCACTTTGTACTTGCCCTTGCGCTCCATGCTGGCAATTCGCTTGTAGATGTCGTCGAGCCTGCCGTGGCAGCATCCTTCAACGGCCACCTGGGTTTGTATACAGAATAATGTGGGGAAATGCGAGCGGTATCTACCTTTAGTGTTTTTGTTGAGAAATGTCGACGTGGGGAGCGTAGCGGTACGCGACAAGCACCCAGGCGAAGCATTGTTGTGGAGAAAAAGTTTCGTTGACCGGACCGGTATTACCGAGCAACTTCGGCAGTATTCGGTGTTCTCGGTCATTCCTGATACTATCTATCGAGTCGCCTGCCATACCTCTCATTGACAAAGTTATCGTCACTATCACCCTCCGTTTTGAAATTATTATGCCTCTTCGCGCGATGCGCCTTCATACTGTTCTGCTTATGCAGATACACCACACTTTCGATCGTCCCACACATCGAGAGCCTCGCTGTGCCAGTCGACTCATCGATGAGTTATGCAGCATTTGAGAGAAAATTTTCTGTCGCGGTTGAGTAATCTATCACTTCACTTGCATGACTCGGATCCCTTAAGCGTCCTGTAACACCGGCTGGGGAGACAAGCCAATAGTTGAAATATCCATGTAGTAAACTTAATAACACAGATTGTAAACTTCAATCGCCGATGATCACCAAGAGTCCGATTCGAACCGCTCCAGTACTGCATTGGAGTCCTCGACGTCCTTCTGGGCCTTTTTTCTCATGTAGAATATCGGGCAATCTTTACTTGTGCACAAAACATCCTGTTCAGATGTAAATATAGTATTGCCATCGGAAATTATGGTCCGCACCTGATGAAGGGAACCTTGACATCGTTGACACTGAGTCCAGAGCCGCGAAAACCGGATCTGTAGCTCTGAGGACGCCGACACCTGCTTCTGGTATAGTTCGCCTATTCGAGGCCTGCAATTGTTGCAAACAGCACCATCTGGGATGACATGAGATACAGAGGAGAAAGAACCTTACGAAACATACTTGTTTTGCTATTCGATTTTCGCAATTGCGTCTTACATCCTAAGCAAGTTACCGTTTTCACCGCAAATTTCATCAATCCCCCTACAGTAGGCGTCGCAATTTGTATGGTTCTGGTATGATCCCCGGATACTACAATGGAGAATGAGTCATAAACTCGGGGGAGACAGCAGTTAACATAGAGACGAACACAATGAATTCGCCTTCTCTCCCAATATGGGCTCGAATATTCTCATCAGAGGCTTGGAAAGTTGGTTCTCCAGATAGTATCTTGTATCCACTGGTATGCTGTTGTCAAGGACGTATAGCGGATCTTCTGACTTCTCGTATGCCGCAGCACCTGCAACACTAATGAGCCGGTGCTACAATGGGAGAAAACCGGAGATCGCCTTTCACCTTTGATACCCTTGACGATGACATATGCCACACGATCACCTAAAGCAGGCGCGGAACCTTGAAGCATTTTACATGTGAATAATAACTAGCAGAGCGTCGACTCAAGACATACCGGCGTCTCGCTGCTTCATTCGCTCAGCCAGTTCGACGTGTGCTTGTTTAGCCGCATAGTCTGAAAAGAGGTTTTTAGATGGCACCAAGGTGAAAGAGAACGGTACTTACCGCTCTTTGCTAATGCCTTTGTTATTACCAGTTGAGACATATCGACTTTGTTTTGAAGCAAATCGGATATCGTCTGCTTAACATACCTGAAGTGTTATGATATGAGCCGCAAAACAAATTAGAAACAGTGTTGGAACATACTCCTCGGCACCGCGAACATCCCGATCAATAAGCATTTTATGGAGACATGTCTCAATGACAGTGGAGACCAGGCGACAGTTATCCCTACGCACAGTCTAGCCGCACATGAGCTGTTGCAGACTTGTATAGACATAGATTGCTGACCTCGATACCTTTGGAATCCATCTTGTCATACTTATCTGGCCGTGTCCAATAAAGACCAGCGTAACGCTTTTTGCTGATAAGGAGGTAAGGAAAGTAAACTTTCTCGAACTCGAGCTTGATAGGCTTGATGAACTTGGCAGTGACGAATTCAGCAGCCTCAGCACCTGGGGAAGCTTTAACACAAGCGGTAGAAAGGTAAAATATCGCTCCCACCTAATTCCATCACTTTGACGAGATCAGTGGGCCCAAATTTTACCATGACAGAGTCTGTATCGCCATAAATAACTTCTGCATCGTGAGAATGACCATTCGCAACACAGTACTGTGCTTCAACCTCCTATACAATGATGAATGTGTTTAGCCTGTAATTCGTAAGCGAGAAAAGTGGCCTTACCGATTTTGTTCTCTCAATCATTTGTCGCCCATAAGACGTAACGCTAGATGAAATGGCTAAACAAGGAAGCTTTCCAATGGTGGCGCCAGTAAATCCGTAGACGGAATTGGCACTGATCTTGTATAGAGATCAACATAATGGTCATTGAAGAAACGGTCAAAGGATGGCATACCTTCAGGGCCAGCTGCCGTCCATCGAGCACAGCGCGCTTGAAGGGATCTGTTTCCTTCTTTAAATCTGCTTTTGCGCGTTTACGAGCTGATATAAGATCTTCTAAAACCGTCGGAAGTAGACCCTTTCGTCGGCTCGACTTAACAAAAAAGTCTTATGCGACGTTAGTATCATGACTCGTTCACGACAAGGCAACTCACCATGGTTCGGTGTCCTGATGTAGTCGACATCTTCAACTAGTTGAAGACGCTCAACCGTGCTCTTGTCAAGTAGCGTTGTGTAGCATAAGTTGTGAGCCATCATGATTGAGGGATACAAAGAACTGAAATCGAGCGTGGCGATGGGTGCATCGTAATAACCCTTCTTCGGCTCGATAACCGTTGCGCCTTCATATTGGTCGTCAGTACCTGCAAAACGAATTAACAGATGGAGCGTCATTCAGTAAAGTTACAGACCTTCTCCTTTCAAAGACGGGATAACATATCCCTCCTCATTGGCTTTACGGAACAGCTGTGACAGCACTTTGATAGATTGACCGCGAGCTAACAGATAGTTGAAAGGGACTCCAGTCACCCTAGACATTTCGATGTAATTGACGAAGCACATAAGTTTGTCCAAGAGACGCTGAGGAAGATACGCGTCCTGTTGTGAAAGAATGAGAGGGTCATCGAGATCAAGTGCTAAGAGCAAACCTTTAAACAGTAGACAGCAAGACGTCGACGAGATTCCGGAGTGCCGTTCTGGAGCTCAGTAATCACAGAATGATGTACATCCTCCTTTTGTTCTCCCAGAAATTGCGCACAGACAGAATTAAGGGTATAACTACGTAGCTTGTGCTCGCGCTGCATGAACTGTAGAACATCGAGCTGAAGACGTCCATCCAAAGGTGTATCTTTAGAATCGCGCTGCCCGTAGGCCTTGGAAGAAAAGTGTGTGTTCACAGTTTTAGTTTCGTTATCTGTTGTAGAGGGTGAGTAACGAGCACACTTAATGTGACAGAAACTCTCACACTTCATCCGGCCCAGGAACGGGAACTTTTTCAGCTGCAATGCTTTGGCTCGGTCAAGCAGGTAAGGGAAATCGAAACCTCCGATATTGTATCCGATAACCACGTCCGGATCCACTTGTTCTACGAACTTGCGCCACTCCAGTAACAATTTGCCTTCGTCTTTATGCGCGAGCACTTGAGAACCTACAATAGGTGAACAGGAATTGAGGGTGAAGACATTTCGTATGAACGGCTTGGAATCGCCTGAACAAAGAAAGTGAGTGGCACCGTCATTTTTCGCGCTGAAGCGGACGAACCTTGGCGAGTGACCATGTTGGCTATCTGGATAACAGGATCGACGCTGGCCTCAGGAAAAATGCCTTTTCGACCCGCACACTCGATATCAAAGCTGAGTATCCGAAGAGGCGCTACCTTGGACCAATTCCCCTCTGGCGCATGGGAAATGAAAGCGTTCCATCTGCTCTGTTGAATAAGAAGATGAACAGGAATATGGTAGCACTGCGACTGACCCCATACTGATTTCCAATTGACAGTGCGATCTCTTTCCTTCATCGCTTATGATTTTGTATTTTCCACCAGGAACTTCGATCCAGTTCATTCCAACGACCTAGTCCGCGGCTAAGTTAGGATTGCATAAGAATAGCGGAGAAGAAATCGAACCTTCGTGTCAATCATAAACCGAAGTGTATAGGCGATGTTGCTTTCAAACGTGGCGATCCCTTCGCCATCCTTTCTTGCGAAGAGACCGTTGAAGTCTACAGTGTTCTTTTCGAAGAGACGTAATCATCGCAGACATACAGTCAGTCAAAGGAACGGTCTGACACAAACAAAAAACTTATCTCGAACTTTCGGTAGGTTTCTGGGTTCGTTGATGGTGATCTTCAAGAAAGGCACTCGGTCATCTCCTCGATAGCCCCAAAGACTTCGCTTCTTGACAATTTCAATCCCGACGACAACATCGTAACCAACTTGCGTCTAGCAAGGAGTTAGTCGTACGCACGGTCAGCTGCAGGCAGAAGACTTGCATTTAGGTATGTCGCAAAGTCACCAAGATCATCTTCGACAAAGCCACGAGGTTGACCGACGTAGAAATATGGTAAGAAATCAGTAACATAGGCGAGAACACTATGGCCAGCCTACAGAAACATCAGAAAAATTCCGCATGAAGATGTCGCTGCGTACTTCGGTGACTCCAAACATACGCAGACTGATAGACCCTCCATGACTAGTCTCGTCGATGTCAATTTGCTGAAACACTAGGCCACGTAAATGACTGCTTGAAGACGACAGAGCGTGGAGTCTGCCTTACCCAGCTTATCGGTCTTTTCATTTATGGGTGGCAAAGCCGGTCGCGCCCAGCAATCAGCACCGCCTTCGGCATCTTGTAGAAACGCGATAAATAAAAGTAAGCCTATGTCATACAGGATAATTTCGTACCAGGTGTATCCCCTGCCTCCTCCTTAATCCGTTCCAGCACCTCGGCAAACGATGATTGCGTTGGCTGGGAGCCATGGAGTGCACTCGGTGCCAGTCTCCGTTTCTTCAAAGCGGGACCTTGCTCACCACCATCGCCTCTGAAAGCGCGTCGTCAATGAACGCGTCTTGGGAGGCTTGAGCGCGATAGACATACCTTGGGCGGACCAGAGGTACATTTTCCTTGATTGCTGAAAGAGGCGCCATATCTGCGCGACAGAGGGGATGATGCAGAAAGGGAGTGAAGCGACGGAGACTTGATGGTGAAGGGAGAGGCAGACGTGACAGAACGCGTCTGAACAAGGCGTGCCTTATGCTGACTAATCCGGCAGTATGAAGGGTGTAATTGCCAACGTCTAGCCAAGTATTCAAAAATATTCCAAAATTCTATGTTTGCCTTCCCATCTTCTAATTTCTGTCTAATCATCTATGCTCTCAAGGATCTAGATACAACTCCTTCAAAATGCGTATGGCATCTACAGGATTGGCAACTGTGTGGCCAATGGTCCGAGGGTCGGTGAAAATTTCGTAGTCATTTCCTCCCTTGGAGTAGACGTCACTTCATGCTAGTACATTTAAACATCAGGTTTACCTTGTACGTCTTGTCCCCGAAGAAATGAATTTCTTCGAAGCCTTCATCTTCGACGTGACGAAGTGCATACGTCTTATCCCAGCCGCGAGGGAATACATCAAAGGAGATTTGGCCACCGATTGAATACGTTAGGTCATAATCGGCAAACTTCTCCTGGAGAACCTTAACAAAGGCGGCTCGTAGTCCGTGAATCTGGAGCAAACTTAGTTACGTGCATGGGGATACCGGAACTTTATACCTTGTCATAAGCTTCGAATTCATATCGTTCCTCTTTCCTATGCGGCTGTCAGAACTGTAATACAAGGGTAGATGATATAACATACGTAGCATTGCGCCCAATGGGACTGACGTTAATCATGCCATTTCGGAATTCAACAAAAGTACCACTGGAATATAGAAAAGTCAGTCCAAGTATAGTATCACAAATAGGGTTCTGGTGCTGACCGTTTCACCGGGACGTCCATATCAGCGAGATAGTGGAGAATAAAGTTTACAAGCTTCTTGTAGTTGTCCTCGCCGAGATACTTGATGAATGACTGAGATTGAAGCGGTCGTCCCAGCTTGTAAGCGATCAGGCCGTTTTCGGCGAAGGCGTAGTCAAAGTCTTCGACAGCTGGATTTGATCAGTAGAGAAGAAAGGAGACAGTGAACACAGCTCACCATTACTTCCATCGACAGACAATTGCTCTGAGATTTTGACTAGATCAGATCCTCCAACGAAACCTATGACAAATTTTGTCCTGAGCTCGCGCAAGACTTGGATCATCTCTGGCGAGGCAGTCTGGCGACGGGTCAGCCAGTTGCAAGAAACAAAGGCGTTTCCGTACTTGTCGAGCACGAGTAAGCGTTTCATCAACATCGAACAAGAGAAGCTTCTTGTGTAGTCTATCCGCAAAAACTGAAGAAACCATTAGGGAATATGGTGGTCCACAATTGAATCTGATCAGACACGTTTACATGGTAAGGAGCGAGAATTTGAAATCAACATCTAAAAGTGTCCGGCTATCGTGCCGTCGGATCCGGTGTGCTTTGGCTTTGACTCTGACCGTACTCATAAGTATCTTGATTTATTAGACATATTCAGTGCTCGAATAATCTCTCAAAAGATGCAGAGGCTACATGTTTTCTCCCTTCCTACGGAGCTCCTCGACACTCTTACACCCAGGAATCTCGTCAATCAAGAACTACCAAGACGAGCGCCTTCGCCTTCGCCACCTGCTGAACCCACATTGACCAACTCTCGGGCGTGTAACATATGCAATGGTGCCACATTTCTCGATGTCTCTGAGCAGAGAAGCCATTATCGATCCGATTGGCATCGATATAACGTCAAAATCCGTTTAAGTGGTGGTTCGGCTGTAAACGAGTCAGAATTTGCTCAGCTAGTAGACGGTAAGTCTTTTCATGAACGATTTTATTCTCCTTTTGAATATCTGTAGCCCTCGACGACTCGATATCGGGGTCTGAGTCCTCATCTAACGAAGGTAGCTCTGAAGATTCCGATGCCGTTGCTGCTCTCGTCGGCAAAACAAAACGCGCGATTCGTTCTGCGTCCCCAGAGTCTGTCGCTAGGTCAAGCCCACAGACCGCCTTGACTTGGTTCCATTCCCCACCTGCGACACAGATTGGCGTCTATCGAGCCTTGTTTCCATCGGCATCCCATTATCTGGAGGAACTAAAAGCAATGCAATCATCGACACAAGATAGGACGTGGACGCTGTTTATGGTTGCCGGTGGTCACTTTGCTGGTGCGGTCGTGCGTGTCAGCAGATCAGACAATGACAAAAAGGAGGAGGCAGAAGCATCCCAGGGGAAGAAAAAGCCAAAACGCCCGAAGCCCGAAATAGAGGTGCTGAAACACAAGACATTCCATCGATATACCAGTTCGTATTCCTTTTTGTTTTGTGACTGCTTCTTTTGACTCCCTCCAGCACGTCGGAAACAAGGAGGATCACAATCTCTCAACGACAACGCCAAGGGTAATGCAAAGAGTGCCGGTGCTTTGCTCCGCCGATATGGTGAACAGGCCTTGCGAGATGTGAGCTATCAATCATCCTATGATATTTGGTCATACCAACAGTAATTTCAGGACATCCGCAATTTGATCAATGACTGGCAAGAAGAGATTAATGACAGCGAAAGGATCTGGATCCGAGCCAGTGGGTCTAATCGCAAAATTTTCATGGATTATGATGGTTCCATCATCAGCAAGAGTGATACCCGTCTCCGTACTTTCCCTTTCCCAACGCGTCGCCCCGTAAGTCGCTACGCTATTTGACGAGCTCCGCAAGCTCAAATAATATTCTCAGACCCAGGCCGAACTCACAAGATGTCTGAACGAACTAACGGCGGTGAAAGTATCGCACCTTACCGAAGAAGCCTTACGTGCACAGGATGAGGAATACTTAGCCAGTCTTCCGAAACCCAAACCAACTCCCACCGTAGCAGCGCCTAAAGAACCCGCGGAGAAAGTAAAGGCTCCACAACTTTCGAAGGAAGAAGAGTCATTCCGCGACAAATGGTTCCGTGTCGTAGACATGACTCGGAAGGGCAGGCTTGAACCGCTGAAAGCTTTCTGGGAACGTGAGGGTCCGGGCATGGGAGGCATTGATGCGTCAATTCCGGAGTGGACTAACGAGCGATGGTGTACCCTCCTTCAACTCGCAGTTCATGCCGAGCAAGAAGATGTGGTGCATTGGCTCCTAGAGGATATGAGAGCAGACCCCACGATACCAGTCCCTGCTGGGAAAAGTGACGAAATCCCTGAAGACATAGAATCTACCGGCAAGATTACCGGTCGCACAGCTTATGATCTTGCTCAAACTCGGACGATCAGGGATGTGTTTCGTCGCTCGGCTGGACTCCATCCTGAACGGTGGGATTGGTTCGGTGCTGCTCGAGTTCCGAGCGCTTTGAGTAAAGAAATGGAGGATGATCGGGAAGAGAAGAAGAAGGGTCGCAGAAAAGCTCTAAAGGATCGAGTGAAGGAGCGGGAAACTAGGGAAAAGGATAAGCAGGTGGAACCGTCATTTGTCGCGTCTGATGTTCCATTAGCGCCATCGGTTAAGGCCGATATTCCTTCAGGTCCTAGAAAGCTGGGAGGGACGGCAGGTTCATCAGAAGCTACGGCAGGCTTGAATTCAGAGATGCGGGCTGTAGTAGAGCGTGAGAGACGCGCCAGAGCCGCGGAAGCTCGACTGAAGGCATTCTCGAAATAAATTTTAGGGATGAAGACAATACATCATTTCGTTTCGAGCCTAATGCAGAACCCAAACCCAAGTCACTTAAGAGAGTTTAACAGCCCAGCCATTTGTAGGTTACAACCGCTAGAACGGCTCCGAAATAGATAATATTGAACTTACGATGATTCATGGAGTTGACTTTGAAAGTTAATCTTCATTGTAGCTACTATTTCGGTTCTCGATCTCTACGTCCATCTTCAGTCAGCGTAATGTCCTTATTCCAATCGCGGGCGGTGACATCGACGTCCTCCGAGCCTTCTCTATCATCGAGTAGTGGCGATGGCCCGGAAAAGATCGTTTTGATATTGGTGGGCTTGATTGGCTCCGGCAAGGTATCATATCAGTTTCTCCACTTCCCGTCTTTGCTGCAAGTTGTGCTAGCCATCATTTTAGAGTACATTTGCTCAAGCTCTGCAAGATCATTTCCCTAACTTTCGCCGATGTAACCAAGATGATCTTGGTAATCGGTGGGTGGTCGAGCAACTCGCACGGGATTCTCTCCGCCAAGGCCTGTCCGTGTGCGTCGATCGCACCAATTTCAATGAAGCGTGAGTTACGGCCTGTCATAACAGATGCCAACTGATTTCTTGGGCCTTAGGCAAAGAAAACATTGGATCCAAATAGCCCAGGAATTCCCCGGTACTTTGATCTGGGTTATTGTTTTCGATACCCCCTATGAGGTGAGCATGCACCGCAATTGTGGTGCCCATTTCTACTTGCACTCGGCCGTCTACTAAATTGGCATGTTGCTCACAGGTTTGCGTCTCCCGGCTCAGAGAACGTAAGTTCGATTCTGGTCATTTGTATGTAACGATATCAATCACCCCATACGCCTGTTTCAACAGGGAAATCTCATCCAACCATTGAGACACCCGAGCAGGCACTCAACGTACTTGCACGCTTTGCTTCGGAGTTCGTTCCCCCAATGAGCCATGAAGGTTACCACCGCTGCCTCTATTTTTCTGCGTCAGACCATCCATCACCCACCTACTCTGAATCTGATATCAGTACCATTCTCCAAAGGGTTCGCAATTCTGTGCCTGCATCACCCTCAGTTTCGGCGCCATCCCGTACCTTCATTTCTAAAGCTCCTCGAGGCTCGCGTCCCTTTCCGGCTTTCTCCAATCGGAACAGCGGCGGTCGCGGGGGCTATAGGCGTTACAACTATAATCAGGCCCAGTTTGGTGGTGGCGGTCATAGTCAGCATGAATCGTCAAACGGGGACTACGTAGACGCTGAGACGGTAGCACAAGACCGTGAAGTTGTCAGGGATCTGCACAGTCAATCCACTGCCATTGAACCTGCAGGGCCTGTGACCTAGAAGATCGTAACCACGAGGTACCTTCGGCTATGGAGGACTCTAATTGGACGAGAGGAACTCCACAAAGATTTATTCCATGCGCCGTCTTGAACAACGAATGATTTTATGTAAGAGCGGTGTTTGCAATTATTGAAAAACTATGTTATTACCGATCACATTTGTCTCGGCCTGTGGCTTAGTGGCTTCCTCTTGTGACTATAAGCGGACAATGGAAGACGATATGTATGCGCAGACCATGCCTTTCTCGTCGACCGCTAGTCCGCGAAACTCTCTTGGGTTGCCACGAAAACAACGCCCGCGTGAAAGGCAGGGAATCTGTCATTCAAGGCTCAGGTTTTTCCGAGTCCTCAGCGGCTTTCAGGCGTTGGCCAAGTATTTTTGCACTGACCTGAAACGACCATTCAATTGTCTCGCAAGAGCTGGAAGGAAGATGATATACATTACGGATATGCATTGCCGCACGCTCAACTCCGAAGTCTTTACTACGCTGATATTGTTCAAGGGCCGCTTCAAGTTGCCCAGCTAATGCAATAAGTTAATTATAGTCACAAAAGGTCGAAAAGAAGTGAAAAAAAGCTTACTAGCTTCGAGAACCGCCGCGAGATTGAATGCAATTTCAGGGTCTTCCGGTGAGAGCGAGGATGCAATACTGCATGATCAAATGTCGTTAAAACGCTGAACAAAAAATGAACGTATTTGACGTACTGTAAATGGTGTAATGCAAGGTCTGGGCGAGGAACTGGAGAAATAATATATGCACTAGCCAAGTCTACCGGTAACCGGTGGCGGTCAGGTAGGGGAAAAGGTTAGTACGACATCACATACTGGTATGGGTATCCGGACTGGCTGGCTGAAGGGCTATGGATTCTTTCCATACGGCAATGGCTTCATCAAACTCCTCTATCGAAATCAGATGAGTTTGGTTCGCATCCACAAGAGGGTGACCAACTGAGATGATAATGCGTAACACCCAAATTGAAAAGGGAGCTGGCATTTCGTTTGATGTCGGCACTCCGCTTATACAGATTCTTTGCAGCCTCAAGATCGCCCTCTTCAAGTTTCTGAGTTCCCTGTTCGAGACAACGGGAAGCCTCAACTTCGGCTGGATCGGTCGCAGTAGAATGCGGAGTAGTAGAGGTTGCCCAACCTGTAGGTATATTTCGATTGCCTGAATTAGGACATGCCTACAGAATAACTTACGCCTCGATATTCCATGAAAACCCGAAAACCTGGATTCAGGACATATCCGTTTGGAAGCAGTAATTGGCCGAGAAGACAAAAGAGATACACGGTGTGACTGTAAAACAATTTTGTGGGTACTGAGCCGAGAAATCGAACGCCTGCAGAATGACATGAGGATACGGTTTGACTTGTGTTTGGCTTTAAGTTTTGGTGAACCTTGACAATTAGAGTGTTGACAGAAAAGGTATCTGGGATCACGTGCGATGATCTCGGTCCTTGAAATTTTTGAGCCGGCCGATCAGTTCAGCTTGGATTCAAGCCACATCCAGCTTCTTCCGAGCGCCCCCTTCCCTATACCGTCCCTATGTCGTCGTCGTCGCAGGCCTCGTCCTCAAGCAGCCCAACAGACTACCTACGAAATGCGACATTCTCTCAGTCCCAAGACTCGTCGTCGTCGTCTGGCGGTGCTGTTACCGCATCTGACCTGCTAATGGGCGCGTATGACCCAGCAAAGCTGCACCCGCTGGCCGAGTTCGGTGACAAATTAGATTATCTTCTTCTCGAAGATGAAAAGACAAATGATATCCCTGGCGCTGGTACTGCTGTTCCCTCCAGGGGTTTTAGTGATGATCTCTGTTATGGAACTGGTACCATGTATCTCGGTGGTGCGTAAGATCTCTTTCATATTACCACTTTTGCTTTCCCTTTCTCGCTTTGGGCCTCATTTTACTCCCTGAATACACTCTCACCTTATCTCGACATCTCGGGTGTCCCATCTTTAGTCCTCTTATTGTTTTTCTCCATCACATGCTCACCCTGGTTTACCAAGGTCTGGCCCTTGGTGGTTTGTGGGGCATGCGCGAAGGCGCTCGAAGACCGCTTGCTGTGTCAAACACCAGACTGCGGATCAACAGTATCCTCAACTCCGTGACTCGACGAGGCACATTTATTGGCAACTCGGCTGGTGTCCTCGGTCCGTCCTATCAATCTACCGATATCATCTCGTACTCATACACTACTCCCTGTATAGCCCTCGTGTATAATGGAGTTAATTCTTCCATTGACGCTATGAGAGGAAAGCACGATATTCTCGGAAGCATGGGAGCTGGTGCAATTACGGGAGTTCTGTACAAGTCAACGGGTACGCACTTTACGTTCTAAGAGCCATTTCTCCGTGATCTTCACACCTTTTCGTCTTCCATAGCCGGAGTAAAGCCCGCGCTCTCAGCAGCAATTTTCATGTCCGGGGTAGCAGGAGTTTGGAGTTATGTCAAAAAGATCGTTTAATCGACACCTTATGTATTGTCTAATACTAATCCCTACTTCTTGGACCTGGCGCTTGATGGTATCTGTGAGCGGATTCTATGGAATTTTACATGAGACCCGACTGATGTTAGCCATTCAAAATCATCTGTTCCAGCTAGATGGCGGCATATCCTTTGCCATATCAGGGCCCCTGATCTGACATACTTCCAGAACGTTAGGTGATCTCTCCAACCTCGTTTTATTTCCCTCGTTGGCATTGGACGTCATCCCTTGGGCAAACACTATAAATCATTGTTGCCTAGCCACGACATCTGATTCCACTGTTCATTGCCACGTACTTGATCTACGGGGCAGTTTACAATGCTTGATCTTTTCACGTCCTCCTGCCTCTTGCCATCTCATTCCCTTTATGACTTCCCTCTCAGTGACGAATGTCATGACTCCAAACACGTTGCTTTCCAATGCGGTCGTTCGTCCTCCACCACTTTTCCTCTTGTGCGGTCAGGATTTGGTCGACAGCGCCACCGCAATATTAGGGTATGTGTTCAAATACGTCGCTTGCGTTGAGTTTGTACCAACCTGTGTCACCCACTAGTTCCGTCTTAATGCCGTCGTCTATTACAAAAACAAACGCTCATTTTCAAGGACATACGTTCTACGACTCAAGGTCAAAAGCATCGCCTCACGCCAGTTTTCGCATTCACACAAATCTCCGCATTCAACACGCGTCTGCAGAGAAAATATTGATTCATCACCGACTCCACAATCTTTTAGCAGCCATGTATATTCCCAAAATCTATCTCAATCCTCTTCCACTTCGTCCGGGCGCAGATCAGCTCCAGAATATCCTCCTCCTCATTTCGTTCGAAGGCAGCCCCGTATTCAAGTCTCGTCCCTGTTATCCGAATCCTATACTAGGTTTGTACGAAACTATTCAATTGGTTCATGATCCGTTGATATACTGGTCTATCATATAGAACCTATCAGCTCGAGGTCGTTCAACAGCCACAGAAAACAGCCGAGTTTCGGAATGCCAGCCTTTCCCGGCTACCGCTCACCCCACCACTAGTTGCTAGACTTGTAGTGAGGGATCCTTCGGGCAATCCGGTCATTCCGTACGTGGCATTACACCGCCGCATCTGTATACTCACTGACTTCCGATGGTCCAACAGCCAGCCGGAACTTCCATTTCTCATTGCCCATCTGTCGCTCTATACGGACAACGGGCTCACACGTATGGACGGTGGTTACACAATGGGCCAAGGACCGCCTCTGTTGTACGGGAATTTAGTTTCGTCTCTAGACATTCTCGAAGACCTTCAAGGAAACACGGGCCTGTTCTTTATATTTCCGGACGTGAGTATACGGTGGTGTGGACGTTTCCAACTTGGTATATCTCTGTTGCGAATTTCTAGGCTAGTGTTTTTCACCTTTTGGCTACGTGACTTTACTCATTAGTATCAGCCCTTTCAGTACAGACTCATCTGGTAATATCAGCTTGGCTGAGCAAGGCACCGTACTCGCCGAGACACGGACTCTTCCATTTGATGTACTACCACAGGATCAATATACAGCAGTCCGTGTGTTCTTTTCCTTTCGTTGTAGCCCTCGGCTCCCGCCACTTACTTCGCTCTTCCTAGCACAAACGAGACTAACGCAATCCTTTCTTCGGCAAGGTGCCAGGATGTTTTCATTTTTGCCACAGTCAAGCCCGTAGACATAAACAACTCTTCGTTCTTCCACGACGCATTTATTAAAAATTTCGCCTTCGTTATACATCAGCGCCCCCCTTAGGGATTTACTTTTTAGACTTGAAAACCCAAGCAATATGCTTATAGTCTTCGTCTTCAAATATCTTCAATGGAGTTCATTATTCCTTTACCGTTGGCACGACACAGCATTAAGCTATTTTTGCGGACCTTAAGATGAGAGACAGGTCTAAAAAAAAACCTGATCGAGCCGGTTGCATCGCTTTCGCTGCGGCAGCACGTGGTGGATGACTACATAAGATCCTCCCACATCCTCCTGCCATCCTCACACATCATGTCCGCCAACGACTATTACGGAGGAAAACCCCAAGGCCAGTACTACCCTCCTCAAGGTATGCGTTCTGCTCAAGTGGAGACTGCGTGGCCGTGTGGAATATCGTCATTTGAATGTCCTTGACCGCCACGAAGGAAGCTCTACGTTATTGACACCATGCTGACTTGCCACATCCTTCGTAGGCGCACCACCAGGACAGGGCGGCTATTATCCGCAGGTACATTTGGTCATCATTTTACCGCAAAGATACCCATTCATTGATGATTTAGGCACCTCAGCAGTCTTACCAGGGCTACCCCCAGCAAGGTTACCCCCAGCAGGGAGGCTATGGCGGAGGATATCAGCCCCAGCCTCAGCCCCAGACAGTCGTAGTGTTCGTCGCTCTCCTGAGATCGTCTTTGTGAACCCACTGACCCGTTTATACAGACAACAGCCCGAGAAAGGCGGAGGCGGGGGCTCAGGTGGATGCATGGCTTGCCTGGCTGGAATGTGTCTGTGTTGCTGCGCTGAAGGTCCGTCTGCAGTTTTCTGTGCGTTCTCGAAGCTGATTCTTTTGCAGAACTCTGCGAGTGTTTGTTTTAATCAAGCCTTATGGTGCAGTACGGGCTGTGGCCACAGACAATATGTTTTTCTTTCAGACACCATGCGGCTTTTACAGCTGCGACATGGGATGTTTTTATTTTTCTTACGCTTAGGTCTCCTATTTTCTCTTTATATATCTCTTAGTCGTACATGTATCAGTTGCCCCGCATATATCGAACAAGTACACCATGAAATCTGGAGCTGCCAACATCGGATGTTTTTTTTGTCCCTGAGTATATGCGGCTTCCGCTGGCGGTCGGTTAGGCGTTCAATGCGGAGATTATGATTGGACGACGGCCCTAGTTCCGCCTAGTTCCGAAGCCGTGAGCCGTGACCGTGACGGGCTTCACCTGCTCTTTCCTCCAAAATCCTACATCGAAAATGCTGTCAAGGCTACCCGCTGGGGCCTTCAGGAATGCCGGCGCCTTTAGAGCTTCACGTTCGACTTTTCAGGCCGGCTCGCGGTCTACTGCGGTACGAGCGTCATTTTCTGATACTGAAATGACATTCCAACGCCCCTCAGGTCCGCTTCGCCTCCACGCATGCTGGCTCCAGTTCAAGTGCATTCGAGGTCAGTATTTTCGTTATTCTTTATTGCTCTGACTGTAATACATATTGTTGTAGGCTTTCATGAACTCTCGCGTCACTCTCGTGTCGGCAACTCTCTTCACCGCGGGCACCATGGCTTGGTATACCCATCTCTACGGCTCTCTCCCTTTTATTGGCGAAGCCCATGCTAGCCACCTCAGCGATGCAGGTCTTCACCCTCCTGCCTACCCATGGTCTCACAATGGCTTTTTTGACACGTTTGACCACGCGAGGTATTCCGGTTTTGCCCGTCGTCTGCGCGCTTATTTGACTTGAATCTCGTTTTCCAGCATTCGACGCGGCTATCAAGTGTACCGTGAAGTTTGCGCCGCTTGTCACTCACTTGACCGTATTGCCTGGCGAAACCTCGTTGGTGTGTCACACACCGCCGATGAAGTACGTGCCATGGCAGAAGAGGTTGAATACCAGGATGGTCCCAATGACCAGGGAGAGATGTATATGCGCCCAGGAAAGTTGGCAGACTACATGCCCCCTCCCTACCCCAATGAAGAAGCCGCTCGGGCCGGAAATGCAGGTGCATTGCCCCCAGACCTTAGTTTGATCGTCAAGGCTCGCCACGGTGGTTCTGTGAGTCTCTTTGCGTTCATATTGATGCCCTCTACTCACGCAAATACCAGGACTACATCTTCTCGTTGTTGACCGGATACGTCGATGCTCCCGCTGGTGTTGAAATTCGTGATGGTATGAACTACAACCCATTCTTCCCTGGCGGTGCTATCTCCATGGCTCGAGTATTGTTCGATGGTATTGTCGAGTATGATGATGGTACGTTGCAGTCCATGGCAGTTGAAAGTACCTGACGCCTGATCCAGGTACCCCCGCTACCACATCGCAGATGGCAAAAGATGTCACGACTTTCTTGAACTGGGCGGCTGAGCCAGAACATGACGAGAGGAAGAAGTACGGAATTAAGGCTGTTATCTTGTTCTCCGCTCTGTTCGCCCTCAGCGTCTACGTCAAGCGCTTCAAATGGACTACGATCAAAAACAGGAAGATCTGTAAGTTCTCACGACTTCACCTATCACTGTTCGCTCACTGTCTTCTAGTTTACGATCCTCCTGCGGATAAGGGCCATTAGATACTGTGTATTGTAGATAAGATGATCTCAATAATTAGTCAACTTGCACATGGGAACACTCAATTTGTTCATGTTTGGATCGGGAGCCGATTGTCGTCGAGTCCAGCAGTGGGCCTCTGTAACTGCCACCTGTGACCATATCCTGCACTTCCTTCTCCTCTCACTAGAGCTTTCGCTTACTCGCGATGTCCTCCGCGTCATGGCCTCCACAGCTCAAGTGTGTACAAAACACTCTTCAATGGCTCTTGTTAACCTCGAATCACAGAGACTGGGTCGCAAAATGCCTAGGCCAAATGACAGATAGCAACAAAGTGGAAGCCCAAGAAGAATTAAGAAAGGTAATTGCTGATGCTTTCGCGGCACAAACACTCTGGACGACGGACTGGGCTGGGATACAATTGCAAAGGTCTTTGAAGTCCTACATATTTTTCCTGCCATATTATGCATTTATGCCCTGCTTTTCCTCCCTTTAGTTTGCTTCCCAAGCAGCCTATACTCAAGCGCAAGAGGTATGTCATCTACACATGTTTTGGAGTCTAACGCCGTTCGAGCCTCCCTCAGTAACGACCTGCCTACATCCAACAAAAAGGCCAAGAAGTCTGCACTCAAACAAGCCTCAAATCATACTTCGGACTTCAATAATCCCACGGCCTTGAATCGACGTGCACAACGCTTCCAGCGAGAACATGAAATCGAACGACAGAAGTCACTAGGCGGCAACGCTACTCTCAAAGCAAGTCAACAATATGCTCACTTGAACGACCGACCAACGACTCGCCCATCTTCGCCCTATGTGAACTCGGCTGATGATCCCGATGCGGACCCGGTGCGTGGGCACCTCCTGCTGGTATTCGTCATCGACTTAACTTCAGTGTCAGAACGTAATTGACTGGGACCGGTATACAATAGTCGGGAGCTCTCAAGAACTGTTCAAGGATTATCTGCGATTAACTTCTGTGCGTTGTGAGCTCGTCTTGCTCCAGCATCTAACTCGCTCCTGCAGGAACCCAAACCGGAGCAAATACGGCCCTACGCTGTCCTCCAGCAAACTCTTTTGGAACTCAAGAAGCGGTGGCGAGAGAAGTGTTCGTACAGCTGGATATGTAATCAATTTAAGAGTCTCCGACAGGATCTAACGGTGTGTATCTTGTCGTCCTCTCCATTATGGTGTTGCTTTTTTCCCTACATTTGACTCTCCGTGCAGGTGCAGCGAATAAAGAACGACTTCACCGTTCAGGTCTACGAAATACACGCACGAATGGCTCTAGAAAGTGTATGTTGTTCCTTCTTAAAGTCTGCATATCTTGATCTTGGGGCGCTCTAGAACGATATGGTTGAGTTTAACCAATGTCAAGCCACGTTGAAGACACTATATGAACTAGGAATACCGGGAAAACAAGAGGAGTTCACCGCTTATCGCATCCTTATGCTGTTGCATGGTCGCAACAGAAGTGGTCCGTCGTGTTTCCTCGAGACCGTAAACGACCTCTAACCTTGTTACAGAATTGAATCTCTACGTAGGTCAGCTAACACCTCGACAGAAATCGGATTCCGCCGTAAAGCATGCACTGGACGTGCAGAAGTCTTTGGCTATGGGGAACTATCACGCACTGTTCAAACTGTACATGAATGCCCCGAACATGGGCGGATACATCATGGATCATTTGATAGGTCGAGAAAGGGCCAAAGCTCTTATGATCATGACTAAAGCGTCAGTCTTCATCCTTTGCCTGCGATCTACTATTGAATGGTGTAAACAACAGCTACAAAACTCTTCCCTTGAGTTTCATACACAACGAACTGGCTTTTGACGACATTGAATCCGCACGCGAGTTCCTTACTGAACATTCCTCGTTTTTTTTCACCAACCCCAACAGTCCCGACACAGAGAAGATTCTCGACTGTAGGCCTATCTTACCTAATCTGACCCAGGCTTACGAGGAGAAGTATCGGAAAGTCGGCATCAGAGGGGCAATATGATTTTCCTACTCCATCTCCTATCATCTTTTATTCTTATTGCTTTCGACGTTTATTCCTTCGTCATGACAACATCCCACTGGCAATACTACCTTTCTCTTACAGGCATCATGCACCATTCTCCCACAACGCCGAGATAGCCATGGCAGGTGTATTATTTATTGTTGGACGGGATGAGTACGCGTAATGTCATGTATACAGCATTGCTTTTTAGATATGAATGAAAAACATCAATCGCGCATTCTCGCTGGAATAAATCTGCGCACGACGACCTCCCTAACGGAGTAGTGCGAAAAGCAAGCGGGAGATTTAAGCACATCCGAGGATAGTCGTGATCGTGCTGGTATGGTTACGTAGGCGAGCATCAAAGTCTGAAAGGAGTCAACACCAAACTGTTTGATGAATGAACATCGTACCTTTTGCACTTGAGTGTTGGCACGGTTGATCGTGCTGAGCCAGGACCATGCGAAAGGCGAAGCATTTTGGACATTGAGCACCGAGTTTTCTTGATCTGCAGGATCTTCGTATACGGGACATATGACTACGGAAAACCTGTAGGCAGATTTAGTGAAGGCCTCATCGAGGATGGCATGACTCACTCCGCATGAGAGAAGACAGGACCCCGTTTATACAGAAGATAATCAACACAAAACTTGAGTCCTCCTCTGACGACCCAGCCGAGAGAGCGATAATAATGATACACAACATAGTTAATCAGGAAAGGATTGTCGAACTGAAGCGGTTGCACGGGAGCATTTGGTATGGGAGGGAACAAGTGCACCTGTTGGAACATATTCCATATTTGCTCGAGACTCATGGGTTCGTGCTGAATAAAAAGACATTTGCATTGAGAACAGTGGATAAGATACGCAGTAGCTAACCGTATCAGGATTCAACACAGTGAGACAGTCAAAATTCCATATGAGAAAAAATGCTTCGGGTAGGGTAAGCTGAAGATGTTCAAGGTCTTCCAGTTCTTCCTCATCTGCATCTGGGGATGATGGCAACGGGAGAGAAGAAAGGGGTTCGTTCGTTGTTGCAGGGGTTGGTTTCCATGTCGCTGCGGAGGGAATGTTGGGTCCAGAAAGAGCAGGAGTTATGACGCGTCCTTCGGATTCAAAGATGGCCTCTGCCTCTGCGGCTACGGCAGCAATTGCACGCGCACGGTCTAACTTGAATTGCTTTCGTTCCGCCCGTCGCTTTTCACGGATCTCCTCAGATGTAATCTCTGTAGCGATTTTAGAGAGTGTAGTTCCAGGGAGATAGAGGACTTACGTTTTCCTCGCATGGTCTTCTGTCGGGCGAGCCAGCTGGGTTCACTCCGCGACAGGTCACCCTTGCCAAAGAAACCCCGTCTCCAAAGGAGCAAAGCATCTGAAGAATTTGTCACCCAGACGGAGCAAGTCGTGGGGTCGAAAATAGCCTCGCAGTGAGGCGTCTGAACTCGGGCTACAGATAGGCCGAGAAGGTTGAGTACAGACCGTATTGGCTTGGGAGAATCATCGGTGAATAGAATGGGTAAAGGATTCGAGTAAATTCTGTTGTTTTCATTTCGGCGGCCTCCGCCTTTGAAGGAGCTTTTGAAACGTCCAGATGGCATGATACGGAGCTGTTTGAGCTTGGCTCTGCGAAGTTTTATGACTCCAAAAAGCAAGTCCTCGAGAAAGAAATATGCGCAAATACACCGGTCCGGTGTCCGGTATAATCCGGGTGATCATCAGCCAATGACAATCTCTGCAATCAGTAAGCCCTGAACCACAAGGCCAAAATTCGCAAGTATACAGAAGAATGAGGTGCTCGTTACAACAAAATAAACGGCCTGGGACCCTTTCAATCAATGGCGGCAGCTAGGAATTCGGAATTCCAAGACGCTTCCATGTCCATGATTTCTCCAAACAATCACAAAGGTATGAGGTGCTTTATACGCCAAAATGATTTTTTCAGAAATGCCGGTTCAGCTTGCACTTGCACTTGCACGACTACCATTCCCATTTGCTGAACCGTATGTCCCTCTTTATTTCTATGACATTGAAGCAACCTTACTGATGAGCTTTTGTAGACCATCATGACCAGTACCGTTGCTCGGATCGCCTACTTGGCGTCGGACACCCTGGTGGATCTTCAGCTACCTCCGCCAAATACTTCCCTCTCTATTCAGACTTTCACATCTTTGTCAACTGCCTCCAGACAGAGACCGGCCATCGTATCAATCCCTTCAGGTGGTGATCCAGTAGGGTCCATCCTCCGAAACGCCAGTGCTTCCCTCATCTCCTTCACCGCATCAGCAAACCCCCGGACCATTACTAACATCATCCTTCGCATATCGGAGTTGTCCTCTCTACCACTCGTACTCCATTTTGCACTTGATGGTGACCTCTCTGATGTCCTTCTTCTACGGTCCGCCATCCCGTTCTTCTTGCTTTCCACGACAGCCCAACAAGCTCATGACCATGCCCTGCTGGCATCCAAGCTAGCTCGAACAGAGAAAAAGGCCGTCGTTCATGCTTACTATTCAAGCACCGCGGATATAGCGCAAGAAGTCCCGGAGGACCAGGTTGTCCCATTCCTTCTCGACAGCAGACTTTCTAAACACTCTCCGGCCGCCAGCAACGGTCATGTGTCTACCACCAACGGGAATGGTGTCAATGGACATACAAATGGCGTCAACGGTACAAACGACCATGCGAATAGCCATTCAAACGGCCATTCCGAAGAGTCTACGGACAACTCGGCCGTAAACGATCTTTTCAAAGCGTACGAGATTGTGGCTCTGAGCACTGTATCCCTCGTTCGTCGGCCCCTGAGGCCCCTCGTCTCACAGGGTGCGAGTGACGCAGAGACGATCATCTTCACTTTGGGCCATGAATTACCAGCTACAGCTGAGGGCGTGTCCATTACATCCGTATCTCTCGTTACCCCTCTCCCTCCCTCGCGCATTATTGCAGCCATTCCTCCTACAGCAAAGAGAGTCATAGTTTTAGAGCACATCTCTAAATGGTCGATGAAGTGGACGCCATTGTACCTCGACGTGGTCAGTGCCCTGCAAGGCCATGAACCACGCCCTATCGTTCAAAGCGGTGTTTTCGGCGCTGTCGATGGCATCGCCTCTGTTGACATTCTCAAGTTCCTACAGCACGCATCGACCTCCTCGCCGTCGACGCGGCTTGAGTTGAGTCCACCATCGGCCTCAACGCCTAGTAGCATTGCACCCTTAGTCCCCAAGCACGAAGCATCCTATAGTAAAATTCTGGCGCATCTCTTCGACGATCGTCTCGAAGTCGCAAACTCGCCTTCACTGGTCGCATCTCAGGGTGAGATTGCTACGACTCCCGAGTTTGCGTTGGGTCGTGTACGAGCGCAGCTGGAGCAGAGGCAACAGCTCATTAACGCTGTTCAGGAATTGCTGCAGAGCGGTGCAGTGGATGTGGAACTACATTCATTGCTGAGTAAATGGACACTCGCAAAGGATGACAGTAAGAAGAGCAAGGGTCTCGGGGAGGAAATTGTGGCATCGCTGAAACTTGACCCGCTACCGCATCCTGCTGCCACACGGATTCTTTCTCTCAGGGCACATTTCCCCGTTGTTTCCCGGTGGATCATCGGTTCTGATGCATGGTCGTACGATTTGGGATCATCCGGGCTGCACCACGCTGTCGCGTCGGGCCTGAATGTCAACGTTCTTATTATTGACAGCCTTCCATATTCTTCTCGCAATTCTGGTGAGCCCAGCAGGCGGAAGCATGACGTGGGCCTGTATGCTATGAACCACGGGGACGTTTATGTTGCCAGTGTGGCCGTTTATTCGTCATATGCGCAGGTTTTGCAAGCATTCACAGAGGCTGACCATTACGACGGGCCGAGTGTCGTCCTGGCTTACTTGCCTTATGTGTCGGATAACTCCCCTGCTCTCGAGGTACTCAAAGAGACCAAGCTCGCGGTTGATTCTGGGTACTGGCCCTTGTATCGCTGGGATCCTTCGAAGGATCGCGAGGGGAAGGAGCCATTTTCTTTAGACTCTGACTCGATTAAGAACGACCTCCAGCAGTTCCTTGACCGCCAGAATCACCTTTCTCAACTGGTTCGATCGAAGCCAGCGATGGCCACTGAACTAGTCAGCAGCTTAGGGCAGAGCGTGAAAGAGGCAAGGAAGCAGAAGGCGCAACAGTCATACAACGAACTCTTGTCGTCGCTGGATGCCCCGCCTTTGCTCATCTTGTATGCTTCTGATGGTGGAAATGCTGAGAAAAAGGCCAAGCGCCTCTCCCATCGCGCCCAGGCCAGAGGACTTTCCACCACCACCCTGGCTTCGTTCGATTCCATGCCGCTGGACAGTCTGGCTCAGGAAGAATACGTTGTTTTTATCACATCTACCGCTGGGCAGGGTGAGCCGCCTCAGAATGGACGTCAGTTTTACAAGGCGCTCAACGCTGCAGCTGCGAGTGGCGATCGGACCCTGACGAAGCTCAAGTTTGGTGTCTTCGGCATGGGTGACAGTCACTACTGGCCCAGACCCGAAGATGCACATTACTACAACAAACCTGGAAAAGACTTGGACTCTCGTCTAGAGAAGCTGGGCGGCGAGCGTGTTGTGGAGTTGGGACTCGGTGATGACCAGGATGCAGATGGTCCTGAGACGGGATACAAACCCTGGGAGCAGCTTTTGTGGAAGGTCCTCGGAGTCGACTCTATCGAGATCACAGAGGCCGAGCCTGAACCCATTACGAACGAGCACATAAAAGCCGCCTCACAGTATCTGCGTGGAACGATCGCCGAAGGTCTCCAAGACTTCAGCACCGGCGCTCTTGCACCTAGCGACGGCCAACTTACGAAGTTCCATGGTATCTACCAACAGGACGATCGAGACATTCGGGACGAGCGACAAGCGCAAGGAGCAGAATTGGCGTATAGCTTCATGATCCGAGTGAGGATGCCTGGTGGTGTTTGTACGCCAGAACAATGGTTGCAGATGGATGAGATCGCAGACGAACATGGGTGTGGCACTTTCAAGATTACGACAAGAGCTACTTTCCAGTTCCACGGTGTCATCAAGCGACACTTGAAGCCCGCCATCCAGGATATTAACAGGGTTCTCCTCGACACACTCGCCGCATGTGGAGATGTCAACAGGTACGTGCAATACTTTACTGTGCGTGACTCTCGTCCTTATGCAAAGCAGAAACGTCATCTGTTCTTCCATTCCGACAATGTCGAAGCTACATAGTCAAGTGTTTGCGTTCACGAAGGCCGTCAGCGAGCATCTCATTCCCAGGACAACTGCATACCACGAAATCTGGCTGGATAAGAAAATGGTTGCAGGGGACGCCGTCAAGGATTTCGAACCACTATACGGCGAATTTTATCTGCCCCGAAAGGTATTTGATCCAGTTCCTGTCGTTTCGCCCACGCTTACAGTGCCGTCTAGTTCAAAGTCGCTGTTGCCGTACCGCCTACCAACGACGTCGACGTTTTCGCCAACGATCTGGGCTTTTTCGCAATTGTCGGTAACGACGGTGAACTGACTGGTTTCAATGTCTCCGTTGGTGGAGGCATGGGTGTTACACACGGAAACAAGAAGACATACCCCCGGGCTGGCAGTATCATTGGTTTCTGCACTCCAGAACAGGGTAAGCTCGTCGCAGAGAAGGTTATGTTGACCCAACGGGATAATGGAAACCGTGCTGAGTACGTCTTCTGTGTCGACTCCCTGGTTTCATCGCTAACTACTCCTGTTTAGTCGAAAGGTAGCGCCTAACTATGGAACGGTTCTTTTTATTATTTTGCTCACTCCTGCATCTAGAATGCTCGCCTCAAGTATACGATAGACCGCATGGGACTTGACGTTTTCAAGGCGGAGGTTGAGAAACGACTTGGTTTCGCCCTCCAGCCTGCACGGCCATTCACCTTTGACCGCAATGTCGACGACTACGGCTGGGCGACAGGCGAAGATGGCAAGCACCATTTCTTGATGTTCATCGAAAATGGACGCATCCAAGATGAACCTGGAAAAGATTTCAAGACTGGTTTACGCGAGGTTGCTAAAGTGCACAAAGGCACGTTCCGGTTAACAGCTAACCAGCATTTGGTGATATCGGATGTGCCAAACGAGGAGCTTCCGGTCATTAAAGAGATCTTGGCAAAGTACAAACTGGACAATCTCGTGCATTCTGGGCTTAGGCTGTCCTCCTCAGCATGTGTGGCATTCCCGACATGTGGTGCGTAAAGCCTTCTATCATTAGATTGCACACAGCTGACGAGTCCGTCTCCTTTAGGTCTCGCCATGGCAGAATCAGAACGAGTAAGTGGCTTGGACGTTTGCGCATTTTGCAATGCTGATTCTGTTTTGCTTACAGTATCTCCCATTGTTGATTGACAAAGTGGAAAAAATTTGCGAGAAGAACGGTCTACGGAATGATTCAATTGTGATGCGGATGACTGGATGTCCGAACGGGTGTGCACGCCCTTACCTCGGAGGCATGTCGTACTCTAGCCTTGAAGATACGTTTTCTGACTTCAACTTCGCAGAGGTTGCCTTCATTGGCAAAGCACCCGGTTCATATTCGATGCTGCTTGGTGGCGGATTCTATGGCCAAAGATTAAACAAAATTTACCGAGGTTCGTTCTCCTCACTTTTTTTCTGCAGTGCTACGTTAATCTTGTGATGCAGAAACGGTCACCGAGCCTGAGATCTTGGCTATCCTAGAGCCCATGATCAAAAGATATGCTCTAGAGAGATTAGAAGGAGAGCGCTTTGGTGATTTCACTATTAGGGCTGGGTACATTTCGGCCACTACCTCTGGTAAAGAATGGTACGTGGGCATGGGTGGAGAAGGAGAATATAAAGAATCATCTTGATGCTGTTGTACTGGTTAATTTGACGAAATTAATGATGTTTACGGGACGAAATGTTGCAGTTTTGTCGAAGAGTTACCGATGCCGTATCCCTGAATAGGCCACGTTCATTCCAGCGACGTCATGCGCAGATCGTTCTTGGGAAAATTCCGGATAAGATCCATGGATCATCAAAGTACTTGGAGGTGAATTCGTGTGATTTTATGCGAAACATAAGAACAGCATCGACATGGCTGTCCGGTTTCGGGTTCTTAATAACCGACCGCATGATCGGTCGATTGACTGATTCAAAAATCTCATGCTTCTTGACATCCCTCTTCAGGCGATCTATATAACCTCCTCCTCCTAAGCATCCGGCATCGTTTATCCCCTCTCTTCTCTCTCCCACTCATCTACAACAACGATAGCAATGGCGGTCATCACTACGCCCATTACGGAGCTCTTCGGAATTAAGCATCCTGTACTTCTTGCTGGTATGAATGTCGCGGCGGGTCCAGAGCTAGCTGCTGCTGTATCCAATGCCGGTGGTCTGGGAGTCATCGGTGGCTTTGGATATACCCCAAAAATTTTGCGTCAGCAGGTACTTGCACGTTAGCCTCGGGCAGATTGTACAGTACTGAAGGCGTGTCTTGTTAGATCAAAGCAATCAAGGACGACCTCAAGGATCCTAGTCTGCCTTTCGGTGTCGATCTCCTACTCCCACAGGTCGGCGGAAGTGCGCGCAAGACAAATGTACGTGTTTCCATCTAGGCGTTGGTAATAAACACTAACAGGATCTCATACAGTACGATTACACCAAAGGAAAGCTTGATGAACTTATCGATGTAATTATTGAAGAGAAGACGTCTCTCTTTGTCTGCGCTGTTGGAGTACCCCCCAAGGAAGTTGTCGAGCGCCTGCACAAGGCCAAGATACCCGTTATGAATATGGTCGGCCATCCAAAACACGTCGCTAAAGCCTTGGAGGTCGGTGTGGACATCATTTGCGCTCAGGCTGGCGAGGGCGGCGGGCACACTGGGGACACGCCCGCCAGTATTCTGATCCCGGCGTGCGTGGATGCTGTCAAGGGACACAAGGCGCCGCTAAATGGGCAACCAGTGTATGTCATCGGGGCAGGCGCGGTCTATGACGGTAGGTCCTTGGCTGCTAATCTCGCCTGGGGCGCCCAAGCAGTTTGTACGTCGATTATGCTTCCTCGCTTCACTATTCGTGAACACTGACACGTAAGGGTAGGGGTTGGAACGCGTTTTGTGGCATCTGTCGAGGCTGGAGCACCCAAAATTCACAAGGACCTTATCGTAAAAGCTGGGTACGACGATGCTATCACCACCCTTATCTTCACTGGTCGGCCGCTACGCGTTCTTAAGACGCCTTATGTAGCAGATTGGGAGACAAATCGCCAGGCTGAAATCAAGGAGTTGACTTCAAAGGGGGTCATCCCAGCCAACTGGGATATTGAACAACATCCGGAGAAATCTATGGAAGGTCGTCCTTGGTTAATGGGTAAAGTTTCAGGGGTATATCTTCTGACTTGTTCATCCTGATCACCAAACTTATCGATATTTTTCAGCTCATCAAGGACATCTTGCCTGCGAAGGATATTTTGGAGAATATGGTGAATGAAGCAGCTGAAATTTTACAACATAATTCATCTCTCGTCAAATCAGCCAAGGCAAAATTGTAGCCGTTATATTCTGGTGGATCTATTTATTCGCATGTGTATATACACTTCAATCATACTCCGGATTATTCTTATCGTGCTCCAATGCTGGGAAATTATTCCTCTGTTGCTCTTCCTCCCATCTTGCTCTCTCACCCACCTTCCGTGAGTTGCTATTATCTTTGGCTCTACTTACCCGAATTCTACCCCCAAACGCCAAAGTACCGTCCAGCTTTTTCGCCGCCTCTCCCGCCTCCGTGGCATTCGTAAAATCCACGAAGACATAAAAATGGTTGCGCGGACCTGGCCTGTGGACGGGTGGGGAAATCATCTTGCTCACAGCCTCCCTGTGAATTAACGGTTAATGCTATCAATTTATATGTTGAACGCAACTCACAATTGAAAGCCGCGGAAAAGCTCACGAATGTTCTCATTGAGGACGCGATGAGAAGCCATAGTCGGCAGCCCGCCGACGTACAATCGCTTCCCTTGAGCTGCATATCCTTCCCAGTGATCTGAGGCATTCGATTCGCGCCAGCCTTCGAAAACGAGCGGGAAGATTTTCGGCGACGGATGCGGCCTCGGCCTCCTGGCTTTGCCTGGACCAATCTTCACTGGTCTTCCCAAAAAGTCGCGCTGGTTGAGGTCTGCCATTGCACGATTGGCTTCCTCCCTTACTCCCGAAGATCGACAAAGCAATACGAGAGGTTCCGGCCCGTGAAGGGGTCGATGGAGATATCAATTCGTTTTCTGTAGGCGCGCGTTATTAGGAGTACCGAATAGAGGATAATGTCGAACACCGGTGTAACCATCTCCTTCGAATAATGCCTGGACGTCCTGTTTCTTCGCCATATAGGGAAGATTCCCTACATATAAGCGGCGTCCTTCCTCGATGGCTTGCAAAGCGCTAGCGTCACTCTCCAGATAATCTTCATCTTTGTGAGCAGGCAACAGTCCTTCCTTGGCCTTCGACTGTTCCAATGGACGAGATTCAAAAGTGCGCACTGCTATGAAAGGCAGGCTGCCGACGAGAATGATAGGTTGCCGGTAGAGCGTTGTTTTTTGCTAGGAAAAGAGGATGGCAAGTGGCGACGAGTCATTATTAGCTTTGGAACGCCAATTTGAAGACAGCGTCTGAGGGACTGAGTGAGTTGCTCATAGTCAAATCCAAGTTCAATCTCAGCTCAAATACCGCTGTCGGATCGTAAGACGCTATGTGGTGAGGGGTATTGCTTGCAAATTACACAACTCTACATGTTTGTTACTGGATTCATTTCTATTTCGTGAGCGCAGCCTTCAGGACATCCTGCAACGACGCAACCACTTTATCTACATCTCCGCGTTCGGGATCAACCGCCGTAACTCCCATATGTCTGGATATCCGTTAAGCATGCATGATTTAAGAATGAGAGACAAGTATACACACCCAATACGGAAGTACTTGTCTAAAGAGAAAGAGAACATTTAGCCTGAAGACACTGAGCGACATAACAGAAGATCACCTTTGATTGCCGTGTGCAGACCTCCTGCAACGACAATTCCCTTCTGATTCAAGGGACCGATAACTGTCTGCCGCACTAACTCCGGCAGGGAAATATAGCTTTGAAAATATTAAGTTGACATCGAGGGAGTCAAATCAGTTGACGCACCGCTGTCATTCCATTGGCGGCATATGCAGGATCCGTCGGGACCTGCTTGATTCCCAGGTCTGCGGCTACACCCTTGATACGCTGGCTGACTTCCTTATGCAGCCTGAACCGTTCAGGTAATGAAGGCTTTGATTTCGTGATTTGGCTGAGGGAAGCATGGTACGCGTAGATGAGGTTGACGGGCGGCGTTGCGAAGTAAGCTGCGTTCCCGCTTTCGTACGCTTTCATGATTGGTAGCCATCTACATGCAAAAATTTGTCAAACATAATTACGAAGAACCTATAGGATACGAACTTCTTCCAGCTGGCATAATATGAAGTTACAGGTGTCTTTCGTGATTCGAATTTCTGTAGAAAGTTCTGTAAAGCCCGGCAGTGACTTGATGAAAACTAGTCACCTGAATTGCCCTCTTGCTCGCTATAAGAATACTCAACCCTGGAGGGGTGCCGAGACCTTTTTGACTAGCAGTCAAAACAACATCAAGATCCCATTCATCCATGAGTATCTCTTCACTGGCAACTGAGCAAACAGCATCCATTACGACCTAAACTGCCTTTCAGTACGCGTCTTGTCGAGCAGGAAACGCGATGCTCTCACCAGTGCATCTGGCGAAACTCGGCGAACTGTTTCGACAATTGCCTTCGCGTCCGACAGTACCCCTAAAATAATGATCAATGAAGGTCAAGGCAGTCGAAATGTAAACGCACCTGTTGAAGTGTCGACATGGGTGAATGTAACAACCTTATAGTTTTTCGCCTTCAACGCCTTTTCTATTTCACTCTGGCTTACAAGCGGCTCCAATGTCGGCCTTGACCTGAGTTGCTTTCCCGCCGTATGTATCTATACTATTCCGGAAGTCAGTAAAGACGAATTACACGAGTGTACCTCACCAATCGGCAAAGCTGTCTCCAAAGTAGCCGCTATGCAGTACGAGTACGTCCTCTCCGGGTTCTATCAGGTTGGCGGCGACCTGGGAGAAGATGGTATGTTAGAGGTTCTTTCTGGGCCACAAAGCCGTGACATGCCTGGTCCCATCCCAAGGTTCCACTGCCGCTAATCAAAAACGGCTGTCCTTCGGCTGAAAACACGACATCCCTGACCCCCCACATGAACAAATTATCTCCGGCGATGTCAAGAAACACTCGAACCTGGTCATCCGGATGCAGTCGCCAAAGACAGGAACGAATTCTGGCGACACATGGGACATGGATGGATGGGCGTTTGCGTAGAGAACCTAGACATGGTCAGGTAGAGCCGGGGAAGGTTGTGACAGTCTCCTCACTTCATCGGATACTTCGATGGGCCCCGGAATACTTTGGAGGGAATGAGAAACGATCACTGATAGCAGTACAGTCGTCCTTACACCAATAGCCTTTCCAACGACTTTAGATTGAGGACCGATACCAGAGCATACGGTCGCGACTCACTTGTGAGGTGCCTGCTTGAAACCTTGTGTGGCCATAGTATACGTCCGTCGGGATACGCGGCGGGCAAGGGAGGGTAACACGGCTGAGATGGTGGTACGGAAGGAAGAACGGTACGGCAAGGTGAGATAGGGCAGGAGCATTATTTATTATTATCAAAATGGAAGGAAGAGACAGTCTGGCAGTCTGAATCAAATACTCCAGGCCCGGCCGGCACAAAAATAAAAAAATTCCCCCATGGCTTGCCTTTAGACCTTCAGCGTCGCGCCGTACGGACTTCCGCATCTCGACATCCTTGAGGCGATCAGGGATTATCAGGAAATATGCAAATAAATCTTATCGTTCCTGTCGTCGGAATATCTTTGTATTCGTATATATGCACAACGGATGCCCGTCATACTGTTTGAGTCCGTACTCCTCGAGCATTAAACATCTACCGTTCAATTGCTTATAGTGGAAGCTTACCGCTGTACGACCCGTCTTTTACTTTTACGGACAGTAAACTCCAGTTCCCGGACAATGTCTATGATCATGCGACGAGTATGATTCTCACCGTCATGGCGAACTTCAAGGCAAGCAATCATTAGTCACTTCTAGTTCCTTTGAGCACATCCTCATGGCTTCCATTTGGCTGAAAACGTACAACAGACTGGAGCTACCGCCGCAGTGAAGAACTACTTACTCGGAGCATCCTCACGAGATGGTTCACGGGTAGCCCAAGCCTTTCATATAGTGATTCTTCAGCAGCAGTCCCGGGTCGGATTTGCCGAGTCCAGGATTGAATATACACCTGAGAAGGCTTTACTTACTCCGGAAAGCCTCTTCACCTGAACGTCCGCCTCAGCTGCCCCGTCGTATGCGTTTTGGTTCCGGAGTTTGGCCGCCCCGTGGTCACTAGGTCTATGTCTTCGGCACAAAGATGATACAACATGCCTATCGGGTGGGAGACGTCCGCATTGCGACTGATTATTCATTGTCATATCATCTATTACAGCCCGGTGCAAGGATTTGACAGACGCTGTTGACACATGTAAGTACTTCATTTCCCGACTGACGCTTTCAACGCTTTCTCAATGGTTTCAATGTCTCCTCTTCTCTCATCAACAACAGAGGCGCCCATATGACTGAGACGCGGTTAGCAAGGTTCACTTCTCACGGAAAGAATGCGAGGCTTACCCTATCCTGATGTATTTATCTAGGTTACGGCGTCAGCGGTGAGTATCTGAGTGCTTATCGCAAAATAATCTCAATCAACACACCTTTGACGTCCTTGTGCAGGCCGCCAGCAACAACGATACCATGCTCTGTCAACCGAGGTATAATGTCTTTTGGTGCGAACCCATCGGGAACATATATCTAGTTAAGTGTTAGCATTCGAACATCGGATTCAGCAGTCCCAGTCTTGTGCTTACCGCAGTCATCCCGTTCGCTGCAACACTTTGCTTCTTGGGTATCTGGGTGTAACCCAACTGCTGAGCTACAGCCTTGATCCTCTCACTGGCCTTCTGATGTGCTCTAAACCTCTCTTCTAAGCCCACTATTATCTGCTTTAAAGAGGCATGATACGCGTATATCATGTTCACAGGCGGTGTAGCAAAGTACGCTGGTGAACCAGAGTCGTATGCGCGCATGACAGGCAGCCACCTATACGCCTATTATTCAAAGAATATTCGGGCCGGAAGGAAAGCGACACGAACTTTTGCCAACTCGCATAGTAGGATGTCGCCGGAGCTTTCCTGCTCTCGAATACCTGAATGTCGCGTTAACTCCTTTCTGACTGGAACTAGCCCAAAAATACCAACCTTGATCGCTCGTTCGCTCGCGACGAGAATACTCAACCCTGGCGGTGTGCCTAGTCCCTTCTGACTCGCCGTGAGGACCACATCGATGTTCCAATCATCCATGCGGATTTCCTCGCTTGCGACCGAACATACGCCATCGACAATAACCTAATAATCAGAGTCTTCAGTCCCGCAAAACACATTCAAATAGAATATAGCTAACCAATGTTTCTGGTGAAACTCTCTTGGTGACACTCGCTACCGCTTTCACGTCTGATAGAACGCCTAACCAAACATCATCAGCCGGTAGTATACGCGGCTAATATAGGAAAACACTAACCGGTCGACGTGTCGACATGGGTGACTATAATAACCTTATATTTTCTCCTCTTTAGTGCCCTTTCAATATCTATACTTGGCACCACCTCGCCCAAAGGCGCCCGGACGTGGTCAACGCTTGCGCCATAAGCATGGAGACTAGAACACAACCGCGGAAGAAAAGAATTACGAACAATTCCTTTAAGCTCGGAATCAGGTCGGATCTACGTACCAGTCAGCAAAACCATCCCCAAAGTAGCCATTGTTCACGACTAGCGCAGCTTCACCGGGCTCTACAAGATTGGAAGAAACCTGTGGTCTCCGTTGATTTCGGGGTAACGCAAAAAGGAGAATTGAACTTGCCTCGTCCCAGCCGAGAGTCCCGCTGTGTGTTATGACGTAAGCATTGGTTAGCAGAGGTAGAGTAAAGTACACACCTCCCGGCTATGATGAAAGGCATGCCAGTGGACGTATACAGTACTTGTCTATGCCAGCCGAGTTAGGAAGTAGTTCGGCGATCGAGTCATAACGGAAGTGGCCAGCGCACCTGGTCATATCCATACACTCTCTAAATATCTTCACAAACCCAGGCGAAACGTGGGACATAGGCGGCTGAGAAATCGCATCGAGGACCTATGCGTAATTGAGCACGATGCAAACAAAATTGGCGTATAATATATACTTCGTTGGTCACTTCAATAGGCCCGGGGATGCTGATTTATTCTTCAGATTCTCTGTTTGCGAAGCAGAAGATTTTACACGTACGCCAATAGCCTGTAAATTGGGAGGGTGTGAGTTCTAGCTCAGTGTGGGGTAATAAATGCACCGAAGCTCACTTGTGGGGTGCCTAGGAGGGGCGGGTGAGTGCTGTTCACAGGTCAATACACATAAAATGGCCATACCTGTTGAAACTTGGATTCTGACATGGTAGTAATGTACTAGGGTAGTAGTGTCGCGGTATAATATACAAAAATCAGTATGCGCTGGACCCGGAAGGTGACTCCCTGTGAAACGATGATGCCGGCGGCTGTTAGAGAAAAGCCCAAAATTTGGGCTGCGGTCCGATCATTTCCGGCCCAGTGATCACAACGCGCGCGCGAATGCTGGTCCAGTGACCGACATCTCAACATAAACAGGTACCACTACTTGTGGACCAGGATATGTGTTTGTGCCGGCCAGGCAGTTTTTGTTATTGTGGTCCAGCGTGAACTGGTCATAAGTAAGTGCCAGGTAGATTTTCCGAACACGTAGTCAACTTCACGTCAACGATACATACTACGTGTACCGACATGCATAATACTGATAAAGTTATAAAGTACTTAAATCACCAGCTGGCCCCCTGCTACACACATTCTGTCCAATATTTCTTACAATAACTACCAACGCCCAGCCATTGATTAACGAAGAATGTGATCAAAAGGAACTCGTGCTGCTGGAACCAGTTGCACCGTGATCATCATCAGAAAACTTTCCGGTAAGCGAATGGAGAAACTTAGCAAAAAAGAAGAAAAAATTCTGGAACAAACGTCGAAATGGAACTAAGCCACCGTTTTGGCGTGCCAATGGGTTTCCCAAGGTGCCATATTGATACCACGCTCGTGCTTACGGGTATCTTCTACAATAGGTAGAAACGAGGCCATACGCGGCTTGACGGTATCAGTACATAATCCGTAGCAGGGTAAATGTGAGCATACCGTAGCGCTGGATGGTGCCGCACGAGTGCTAAACGAAGGCGTCTGCGAAAAATCGGAAGATTCCTGGGATGGATCGCTTGTTGGTAAGCCGCTGAGTTGGAATGTGCTTATAGGGCGGTTGGCATAACTGTGCAGGTCGAGAACTGCAAAGCTGGGATCAGAAACTAGGACGAGAAAGGGGAAGGAAGATATACGTACTGACGCGGGAGCTCATCATACTTGTGATAGCTATCCCCATGGCACAGAGTATCGTAGAATTACTGGAGTTCTTATAATACGCATAGAGCGACAGATTAAGGGCGTTAAATAGGGTGGTGGCACCGAAATATCGCATGGAGGAATGCCACAGAACATCGCTGAAACCCGAGCGCAAGTTCTGCTTGTTAGCAAAGCTGATGGCAAGGCCTCGATAGGTCATCACAAGGATTGCAGCATCGAAGACCAATGAAACCTGCCAATTTTATTGATATTAGCGGATGGTCCGAGTGCCGAAACTATAGGGACCCACCATATAGTACACCCAGCTAATGTTGACATCGTCGCTGTACTGAATGAGGCAGTTCCCTGAAGATCCCGCCGTGAACTTCCTAAACGAGTACAGCTGAGCGAAGATCTCTAGTCCGGAAACTATGATACCGAGAGCAGATAGGGCAACTGCGGGTCCAAGCTCGTTGTTGCATATCGCAAGCGTACGGACGACAAATACCGCATGACTTGCCCAGGATGCGATGCACTGTGTTATAGGCATGACACGCCAATACGGTGCGCAGGTTTCCATCGTGAAGCCACGCGAGAAGAAGCCGACCAAGTTCAGGACAAGGGCAATGAGCCCCAAGTACTGGGATATAATCAACTAGTGCCTGATAAGAACGCCTGGGAATGTACAAACCCTCACAAGAATGAGCAACATGCAAGCTGTACTGAGATGAAAAATTGAAGATTGTCGTCTGTCTGTAAAAGATTTCCTTCAGTGAGTTGGATTATCGCAACAGGACTCGGACTCACAGAGTCGAATCTCTGCAGGCATAGTCAAAATCCAGTCATAGATGTACCAGGACAACGCGGCCTAGGTGAAAATAAATGAGATCCTAAGAAGATGGACAGAGTAGTGCTCACAATTCGCATATATTTAGTGGCATCGTTCCACTCCGTCATATTGGCCGGTGGTTCGAATATAAGAGGCCAGCTCTAACTAGAGAACGAAGGTATAACAAGAGAAGCGGAAGTGACGGCCCTGCTTGCCTGCCGACAACATCTGACCTGTCCGATAATTGCGTATTCAATGTACGACATCGGATAGAATAGACTGCGAATTCCGAGCTGAGTGTCCATTGACCGTTGCGTTGTGCCTTGCGGCCCCCGCCTGTTCGTCACCAAGCAATCAAAGGACCCCAGATACATTTCAGATACGCGAGCGAATTTCGGCCAAGCTCGCTAGGTTAATTTTCGTTTTTCTTTAAAGCCATCATATGAACTTGGAGCTTGTGATTCTGTCAAACTAATAGACCACGGAGCAGAAGAACGGAATAATACTGGGCTCTAGTAACAAACGGCTCTGAACTCTAATGAGACGTCAGCGTCCATTCTAGATTTATTTAAGCGGCGGTTACCAAGTCACAGTGAGTCGTCGGACGACGGAGAACCGTCACCGTTCATACCATTACCATCGGGTGGCGCCAAGGGTAGCAAATAGCGGGAAATTGTAGAAACGCCACCTTGTGCTACATGATACTTGCCCCAGAAAGACAATTTCAAGAGTTGATTGCTTTGATGTATGGCTCGTGCGATTTCTCATAGATGAGTGTACCGTTCATCACGGAGCCATGCTGCCCCCCGGGGCCGAATGGTTCGAGCATGGTCTAGAGGCAGTGCCGTGAATAATGCTCGGCAAAACCACTTTTTCGAATATTCGTTAGGAAACAGGCGAGCACTGTGAATGACTCCGGACGGAGTCGTACTTGGCTAAACGCGTAAGTACATAGGGCGATCTTCGGCATTTCAGGTACGGGGTCTTGGGATTTTGTTGCCTGTTGTTGCGATGTAACGCTGATAGCGCAGTTTTAGTCAGGGCGGGTATGGGGGGGGGGGGGGGGGGGGTCGCAAGCATGAGAGAATCTCGATGTCGGCGACAAAGCCCTGTCGACGTCGACATCAAAAATTTTGTGCGGCGACGTCCTCGGAAAGTAGGTCGCTACCGTACTAATGCAGAGGAAAGTGAATTGAATGATTGGGAATTACCGACCTTTTGCAAGCGCAGCACCGATACAGTTTCTGCAATCCGTATAGATGCACAGAAATTAGGTTGCTAAGACATTAAGAGGGATGGGAACTGGGACTTGAATTAACACCTAGAAAAAAGAATGCAGGCTTGAAATTCGAACAGAACTGTCAGCATTGCCAGGTTTTGGTGTCCTTCTCTAGGAGCCCAGGTCTGTACGCGGTTTGAGGTTTTTGTTTTGTTTTGTTTTCAGAATTTAGATGGTTTCCGTTAGTTTCTCGAAACCCGGCAGTGTTTATGCCGGTATTTGAGATACATGCTATGTAACGACCACACTCCAGAACTTGGATCTACGTCCGGGACGGGACCGAACGATGCCGCAGTTTGGAAAGTGCGGAACGAGTCCTCAAGAAGAAAGGAAGGGTATTTGGAACATGTCCGTCAAGTCTAAGCGACTCGTATAACAGGGACGAAGGACGGGATTTAGGAGAGCGTCTAGAAGATATTGATAATGAGAAGACTTGAGGATATTCATCCTGGTCCGAAGAGAATGGGATGCATCTGCTACCGACCCGGATTGCGAGGAGATAGATGCCAGCGACTGATGAATTGAAAAAATACAGATGGGTTACTATGTCAGCGAGGGATCTACGGATGTGTCTCAGTAACAGATTGGAGAAAGAAAGATACCAGACCACTAGTTAATAGCAGCGACATAGAGCTAGCCTTTTCGTAGGACGGTATGCGTCCATTTCTCCTCCATACTCACGGTGGATTACTAAGGAGTGCACTTATTCCCAAATGAGGAATCGAGTGAGTTTAGACTCTGATGCCAAGTATTAGTACTTCGCGTCTGCCATTAATGGTTCCTTCTCTCAGACGCGCACTTGGGAAGGATGTATTCTTCAGTGTGCTTAAATCGTAACACCGAGAATATAGCACTAACAGCGAAGACATCGAGCTGGCCCGGCTCTATATTACAATAACTCATATCTCGCAAGTCGACAATTGCTCAAGACCCATTTCGGAAGGTCATCGGGCCTCATTCTCAAGGACGGGAGATGGCATTTCCAGTCCTCAAACGAGCCCGAGCCCCAAATTCCAGGTATCAAGCGTGAGATCTGAGATTTCGAGAGGCTTAGCATCCAGTCGCGCTTTGGGTTACCGTACGGATTCACTTACGTGAGCGTTTATTTCCGAGGGGATTTGGTAGCACATAAGCCTGTCGTTGTGAGCCTCTCCCACGTCACGTTTGCCACAGAAGTAACCTGCTTTTTCGATGGGGCTTGATCTCGCGATTCCAACACTAAAAGCCCGAGAACTAAGGGGATGGACGATTCCAACTGCCCCCAGTTACAAAAAGTCAATCATATCAGAAGGGAACGCCTTCAATTTAACCACGTTGAGTTTGAACGTACTTCTCAAATACGTTGGAACAATTTGAAAGTAAGTAATAGAACCCTGTACCCAGCGTGATCTCAAACTTACTTTCTTCCTATTGTATTATTCATACAACAACTTGAAGCGTAACGCCGAGGTCCGGAACTTGAAGAAAAAGGGAACTACAATCGTTATGGGACCGAAGCGTTATCGTGAGTTCTCAGAGGCGGGCTTTCCTTAAACAATACCGCCACTCACACAACTTGAAGTGAGGTACCTCCTCAGATGATCGGAGGTTCACCATTCGTGCCGTACGTAGCACAAGAGAACAGAGATGACAGACGAGTTTGTCACTGTAGGATTCCAATACCCACGCCGGAGACTCGGTGTCCCTCTTGTGTGTAAATGGGGTCGCCGGGAGGAAGCTGAGACGAAGGTCCAGGTAGTTAAAGCATTATATTCTTGGGTATCATGCGACTACATCGGAATGAAAGCACATAGTCCCCGAGTAGATCATGAATACGTTGCGGCTAAACAACACTATGAAGAGCGAGGAAGACTCGGCCCTCTCAATCAGAGGTTCCCCATACCACAAAAGAGCCGATGTTCTCCTCGAACCAGAGATAAACCCAGAACGTAAAAAGAAACAATAAAGAAAACAAATGCTATTCAGGCGCTGGACAAATGACGGATCGGTTCGATGATTCGAAGACGAGCAGGGCCAGGTCTGATGTAACTGGAATGAAAAGAAGCCTGAAGAAGAAGCTATCAACGAGTCGCTTTCTCAAGCACTGGGTGGTGTACCTAATGGACTGGACCAGGTATGCCGAAACTTTGACTCGTAGGGCTCTAAATTACATGGTGACTGGTTCGAGTCCAAGATTTGGACGCCAATCAGAATCGAGTTCTCCAGTCCGTGTGTGAAGTTCTGGGAGTTTGAAACCTAATAGCCCAAAGAGAACTGACTCGGAAGGAGCGGTACTTCCATAAACCGTGAGGGTACGAATGCCGTCTCATGATGAATTGGAGCGATGCAGCCCCAAGAAAAGAATGCGACAGTGTGTACGGAAAACGTTCCGGCAGCAACATCAAGGGAGACCTTTTAGTGGATTATCAATATTCTTGTGCATCACTGTAACTGGCAGATAAGCAGAAGGTTCAATCGCAAGTGATGGTGGCGGCAAGAAAGAAGAAAGAAAGTTTAGGTAGTACAGAAAACGTGCCGGCATCCAATGAACGATCTTCCTCTTCGTGAGAACCAAGTTCGACATTCAAATTGCGACAAAATCAGTCGTAGATGTCCGCAACCCTAGTGTTTTGACTATCCTTCGAATTAAGTGAACGAGTAGGAACAACGGATCAATCTAGTGAATCACACTAAAGGGAGACACATTCCGAACTCGTAAAACAAAAAAAGCCTGGAACATTGTTAACAAAAGAAAATCGAGGAAACCTCCCTCCAGTCTACACGGCGGGGACAACTAACCGACTTAGTAAAAATAGGCGTCGGATTCAGACCTCTGGAAAAACATAGCAGCCTCGTTCGTGATAGTTTTGAATGTAGCTTTGGAATGTTCCATGGAATCGAATGGACGGTTCCTCCTACGGTCAAATGAACTGCGACCAGTGATGAATTAAAACAAACCGTAACCGCAAAGCAGGATAGACCCTGGCGCGCGTAATAGAACGCACGTTCAATTGTGAGTAGCGGGATTCATTCTCCCATGAGGAACTTGGCCTCAGATGAGACGCCCAGATCTCCCTATGTACCGGTGATCGGTGTTAAGCCAACCAAGACACAGGTTCTGATTATTCATTTTTCTTGACGTGCTTGGGAGAAACCAGAAAAAAAATCACCGTCGGGTGTGAAAATGATACGCGTGCGGTTTTGACTGATAAACGTCAGGATTTTTCCCCCCTATTACCTTTGAACGTAGATGCAAGTGCACCGCCGACGGGACCGAAACGTCATCCTGTTAACGAATGCAATTGACCGGATCCGGAATGAACAGTTCATTTCCGAAAAGCAAGCTGCGCGCGCGTCTTTCTGTGCTAAGTCTTCACGCCGAATTTTGGGGCACAGCGCACTCTTTTTGGTAGCGAAACCCAGGAGACTGGTGTATAATTCCGATGAAGATAGCTCCCAGATCTTCAGTCTCGAAACGAGTCTATAGCTGGAGAGGAGACGAAATTTACAAATGAGGTTCTCGTAGGCCCTGAAATAAATGGCATTAAGAGGACTAACTAACTAAAGACTCTCTTGACAAACGACTCTTTGGCCTCGGAGTAGCTGGTGACAAAGAATTGGCTCTTGAATGGACTTTTGTCGTTAGTATCGGTGCACCCGCCCATCTCTCCTCCATACCCGCCTTGACGCTCCACGCCCACACGGCAAAGAAGACGGGGGTGCAGACCAAGACGTTGGCTACTGCCCATAAATCAGGATACCGGGCAGGGGCGGGGATGAGGAGCTCTGCGAGGTGGAGCAGAAACGCAGCGGCGTACACGCCCACAGATAAAAGTTTGACGACAGTCCACCCATCACGCGCAAATGAAAACGGGTTGCATCCTACGAGGCGATTCCAGAGGAGGAGAGTAGCGACGTACTGGAGTCCGACGCCGTCGCGTTTGAGGAGGGGCCACATACTGAATGCGGCGGTGTTGCTAAAGAGGGTGATCCACTCTGATTTTGTTGTGGAAAGCATGAGAGCTGGAAGGAGGGGGACGAGGATGGTCTTTTCGTGGACCTGGAAGCTGAAGAGGAAAAAAGCGAGTGAGCTGGTGAGAAGGGCGTATGGGAGAAGACGAGGTTCTGGGGCTTGGACCATTAGGAGAACAGCAGGGAGGAAGGCAAGGACGGTTAGAATGGTTGATAGACGGACGAGGCTTTGGACGGAGAGTAGTAGGCGCCATTTGATGAGAACGTTGGTAAAACACCAAAAGTTGGCGACCTTGTCTTCGAACAAACCACGTGCAAAAGGGAATATACGATGAATGGCCTGGGGAAGGGTGGAAAGAAAGGGAGTAAAGACGAACATAAAGGTGGCTGTTGTGACGGCGGCGAGTTTGAGGAAGAGGAGAGGCGTCTGAATGCACGTTGCGAGGAGGAAGATGCCAATGGCAGGAGCATAGTACAGCGCCATCTGTTTGAACGAAAGAGACAACGAAAACAAGATAGCGCCGACAAGGTAACGTTTGTTCACGAATGCACAGGCTGCAAGCAGAGTAAGGCCAAGCATTACAGAATTGTATTGAAAGTGCCCAAAGTCGACGAGCAGTAGACATGGATTGGCAAGCGTAGCGATGATAGACGCCGACTACAGCGAGTCAGACAAGAACATGTGGAATAAAAGAAAACATACCCTTGCTCTGGAGCTTGCTGACCCGGGCCGACACCGCGCCCACCAAACGACAGCCGGCACCCATACCGCCGCGTCGAGCACGACTACCGTCCATCGCATGAACAATTTCAGACCCTCACTCTCCATTCCTCGACTCGAATCCAGCGCGAACCATCTGTTGTCGAGCTTGTTCCCGACGAACCCACACAACCAGCTCACATACGCAGTCAACGGCGGGTAATCCAGCCCCCACCATTCCAGCTCGTACCAGTACCATTCCCTCGGCGCCAAGTGCAGCGTAATCTCCATCCAATGCCTCTGTGCCTCAAAGTCGCCATACATCGGCGGTGCACCCTGCCCCGAGTATGGTCCCAGGCCCACCAATATTTTGATCAACGTCGTCGCGGCGATTGTCAGCAGCAACGGATGGTATTTCACTAGTCGTCGTGCAGCAGTAGACGGGGCATGTGGGGCAGAAGGAGGCGCTATGAATCGTACGGACGACGTGGGTGATGCTGCGCGTGAAGATGCTGGAGATGGGTCCAAGTCGTACAGCCACAGCGGGAGGTGACGTCGGGGGCGGGGTGCGTGCAGTTCTGGTCCTCGCAGGGATGCATATCGAGGTCGGGCGGTCATGGGAGAGGAAGGAGTGGCAGAGGATGCCCGTCGTCTTCGCACAACATCGACGTCCGCCATAAGTTGCTTATGTTTACGCAATTAGCCCCTAACCATGCGACCACCAATCACCAACCTTTGTTGTAACACACGCTGTGCGGCGGCTTTCCCTACGTTATGCTGGTTCGACTCTGAGGCGACACCCTGTCGAGTGATGTTCACGCTAGGACTGGCCAAATGGAATACCACCGTGACTTGATCCCGCGCTTGTAAGAGGCTCGTCTTCAAAGCCTGTCCTAGCAGGTAATAGCCCTACCCGAAGAAGCTGCTTTACTTCATTGTATCACCTCCTTCTCTCTTCCAACACGGTCTGCTCAACGGTCTTTGCTGCAATATATAGGACGACGGCTTACAAGCGCTTGTGTTCTATCTATCATGTCATGCTAGTTCAACTCCGTTCGTGACTTGCTCCCCTATTCCTATTTCGTGAGTTTAACACTGGGACGCACCTTTTTCAAACCCCATTCCCATGCTCAAGCGCTCAACGTCTGCTTGAATCTTGAACAAAAATAGAGCGATCTCACAGGTAGACAAAACATTCCGAACGACATTTACAATGAACGCGTGCATCATCTCATGACAAGACTGGCGAGATCCTGCCTCCATAAGAGGGATATCCCTCAAGTCCTTCGTAACAGCTTCCCAGCTCCAGCAGCCCCACCCGGCGCAGTATTTCACAGTCTGCATCCCTGCTAAAACCCACAAGCGAATGCGCCCTGTGCGATTCATTTTACCACGTTTGCGGGAATCTGAGTACAGGCGCTTGAACGGACGAGATATTTATGCTTCAGCATGCATCCTGTCAACGCACATTGCTTTCTACCGGTATTGTCCACGACTGTGGGTTATGTGACTCGTTCATGAGGCACAGCGCCTACTCACAGCTTGAACTCGTACCACCATGACACCAACACCATCTACTCATACTGCCCCAAGCAATCACGACGACAATCCCCCTCGAGCCGCGTCTGGTGGCGCTGAGAATGACGGTCGTTCAAGTCCACCTCGTGTCTCTGTAGACCAAGGTCCTATCCCTGTCACACAGGCCAATAAAGATGATAATCATTCGAAGCAATCCGATGACCTTGGGAGTGGGGGTCATTCCGGAGCCTCTCGTGCCTCCAAAGGCCAAGGACACTCTCTTCATACTACACAGACTGCCGATAATGATGATGGCCACTCGAGTACATCCAATGACTCTGAGGATGACCATCATTCCAGGGCATCTCTTGTCTCTGGAGGTCAAGGCCAGCGGTCAGGTCTGGAGAATCAGCGACCTTCTTTACGGTGGGGACGACAAAAGGTGAAACACAAGGTGATGGGCATGCACCGTCGCAACTATGTTAGAGGTGTGTTCTATTTACTCCTTGGTGCACATTAAACCTCATTTTAATTTCAGCAAATGATCCGCTCAACTATGAGCAAAGGTTTCCAGAAGATAAGCGCTATGAGGAGCTGGGACCAATGGCCAGGGTATGGAAAACATACATTGAAGAGTGCACACCACTTGATCTGGAGATGGTTGAAGGATGGAGAGATGCTTTAGATGTTCTGCTTGTTTTTGTCAGTGCTCAGATTCTGATATTCTTTATGTTGGAATCCTCGGTGTTGCGCAGGGTAGACTCCTGGCTGGTAAGGCCAGTTGATATGAACTTGTTATTCTATGGCTCCTACAGAGCCTGTATTTATACTACTTTGCAATGTAATCTAAAATGTACTACAACTTTCTACTAGTCTCGTGCTTACTCAGCAACTCTCGGCATGATGCCAGATTGCCCCTTCTAGAACTTTCCGGCAAAATCCCAACACTTTACTTCTTTGCTAACATTAGAGGAACAGGCTGGTCTTTTCTCAGCTGTGGTCACTACATTTGTTGTTCAGACATCTCAAAGTCTGCAGGTTGACTATGGTCAGGTGGCAACAACACTGCTGATTGAGCTTATCAATGTCCAGCGCTCAATGGCAAATGGATCATCTGTAAATGATATCTCTCACTCAGATCTGACCTTTCATCCCTCAACATCTGACTCATGGGTCAATGGCTTATGGTTTACCAGTCTCTCTCTCAGTCTTACTACAGCACTCTTTGCTGTTTTGACCAAACAGTGGATCCATGAGTATATGACAGTCCCATCAAGAATACCACACAACAGATGTCGATTGCATCAGTTTCGATATATGGGATTGCAGCAGTGGGGTGTGGACCTCATTATTGGACTGCTACCTGTCCTTATGAGTGTATCTCTTGCTGTGTTTCTAGTGGGACTGGTTCTCTTTATCATTCCCCTTCAGATATCTATTGCATCTGTTGTTGGAGCCATTGCCTTCCTTTCATTTGCCACATACTTGATCACAAATTTTCTTCCAATCCTGTACCCCTCATGTCCCTACAAGACACCACTGTCACAATACATCTTTCCTCTTTATAATTATATCATGGACAATGCTGCCTTGTTCAAGCAGACTGTTTCTACAATCTTCAAAATTCACTCTTTCTCAACTCCAACAGAATCAAAGACAAAACCACATTTTATAGAATCAGCTCCACCAGCCTCACATGCACTCAAAGATGCTGAAATTGCAGCTGTCAATAGTGACAAGTATGCTGATGAAATAGATGTGCATGCTTTGTCCTGGCTATATTCTACGACATCCAACCCCAGTGTTCAGACCATTGTTATACAGTCAATAAGTGCTCTACCACTTAAATCTATGAAATTATTGAGGGATCAAATAGTTGATCTTCCAGATATATCTAACACTCTCACTGATCTTGTATTTAAGTGGAGAAGTGGTCACCTGTTCTCAAAAGATCTAGTTAATCGTCTCATCCGAGTATACCTCCGCCTCAATAATTTTATGACTATAAACATTGATATTATAAAACCCATAAAGAGCCACTTATCCCAGGATTTCTATGCTCAACTTTTGTGTCTTGCCTCTGAGGATGGAAATCATGAGATCCGAAGTTTAATTTTATCTAATTTATCTGCACATATTGGACAAGAGATTTATTTGCAACCTATTGTATGGGCCTCTCTGCTCTGCAAACTCCTACCATTTGGTCCAGATGATCATAATATGATCAAATGTTTTTTCCAACACACTCCAGGAGTCTCTTGGCAGCCTGATTTCCCTTGTCCTCCACCAGCTTTTGAGCAATGGTATAGGAGGAAGAAAATTGAAATATCAGATGATATAGATGGTAGAAGATCAAAAACAGTCACTCTTGGCAATGCTATTTGTTACTATCTGTATCCATGGGTAATAGGCCAGCTCCAAAGCCAAATGAATATTATGAACAGTGTTTTCAATCCTGATGAATACCCTTCTCCTCAGAATCCCAAGCTTTGTCTTCTTTTGACCATGGCTGGCTCACTCTCTATTCAAAACACAGAAATTGAATATTCTGCTGAAAGTCTATTCTGCCAGGTCATCTCAAATCTTGAATGGTATTTTGGAATCAACCTTGAGGCAAAAAAGCTTCCCACAGTAGCAGTAGATCTTACCAATCATCGACTTGTTACCCTGAAACTGTTTTACACCTTGTTATCATCAAATCATCTTAGCATAGAAGAGGTGCCAGTTATACATAGACGTGCTGTCCTTAATCTTTTTTTGAGCATGGTAGAATCCACATCCTCTTTACTTTTACCTATAGGACAAAATTGGTGCACCTCAGATCTAGCTGCAGTATTTGTCAAGATTTTCTTTGATGATGACAGATGGACTGGATACAAACATTCAAGTTATTCTTGGGATCTTTTATATAAACATGTCTACCAACTTTTTCAGTTTCCCTTCATCAAGAATGAGGCCTTCAAATATGTCACAACCAAACGTCTCTTTGACCAGCTGGTGAAGATAGTTCATCAAGATAATTATGATGGTAGTCTTGATTATGTTTTCCTATCATATATCATACCAATATTTATTACCAACCTCTCATCTTTGGAGTTGGAACCTCAGATATCCAAAAATTTCTTGGAGTATCTCCATGAGCCTGACATCCTATTTACCATTTGTATTATACTTATTGAGCTTTCTCTCAGTGATAGCAGTGATTTCTGTGATGTCACCCTCCATGATCTTGCATGTCTTTCTCCCAATAATGATGCCTGGCCTGTTTGCTTAGACAGACTCCAAGAACACACATTTAACATTGAACCATCAGAGCTACATGAAATGCATGGTATTCTTGAAGGTCTCAGAATCTTTCTTGGAGGAGATGGTGTTGGCCCAAAATTTAGAAGAACACCTTCATGGGCTGCTGAACTTGAAATAGCTCAAGTGGATGACCATCCTCCTGTCAATTCTCTGAAGAGTCTATGGCAGAATGTATGGCATAGGATCCATCAGTCCTTTACTAAAGACACTGCTCATGAAGACATACCACTATCAAATGTCAATCCTGTATAGAGATTCAGTTCAGAAAGATATGTATTTAACTTGTAACAGACATGATTGTATATTACTTAGGTGTGGAATAATTATTTGCTGATCCATAATTTAATGAGTAGTAAGTAATGCACACAGTGCCACCACTAGGAAAACTTGTTTGAGTACTGTGGTTATCCTCTAGGTCTGATATGAGAAGAAACATGCATTTATAAAATGGTGAGGGCATACATTCATAACTATCTGAGATACTTAACAGCCAAGGTATGTGCACCAATGATATGAACACACTCCTCTGTTATGCAGATAATGAAATAGCAACTATATTTCACCTGTACCAATGACACAACATCAAATCTAGCAATCCCAGAAAAATTATATTAGACTTGTATCAAAACAGCTCCTCCTCCTCACCCTTCCAATTCTTTGCTTGGTCCCAATACCCCTTCAACCTCTCCCCAAGAACCTCCTTCGCAGCAGAGTCCGTCGGACAACTCTTCGCCTTGAACGAACTGAACGCTCGTTCCCTCAAATCACCCTCCCACCAACCAGCACTTGTTGTCCTCCAACGACACCTCTTCCTCCTTCTTCCCATCTCCTTCTGCATCTCCATCCTCTTGCAACTCTACTTCTTCCCCGCCCCGCGGTCTCGACGCCTCCGTCCAAACAATCCGATGCATCATAAGCCGCTTGTAATTCCGTATAAACTTCGCCGCTCCCTCCACGTAGATCATGCTAAAGTTTGGATTGAAGATGCACAACCCGCTGAGGTTCATCTGCTCGGCATTCTTCCGGACCTTGAACCGATGAGACCCATCCGTGAGCGTTTTCACCCTACAAGCCATCAGTAACAGCCGACACAAATGTATGAAACCGTACTTGAACACCGCCCCGTGTATACCCTTCTTCTCCTCATCTGACTTTTTGTTCTCCACCTTTTCCCTCCTCTGCTCGTCCGTAAGCTTCCGCTCCGCATTCATCTTCTCGTGCCCATGTTTGCGCATCGCAACCTCTCGCCTTACCCGCGCCTCGACCCTTGTCGGGTCTTGTACCGCATCGCTCGTCAGAACTCTCATCAGATTCGCGAGACGCACTGCAACCATCGTCAACGAACAAAATAGGACACTAGTAACGACACCCACCTTTAGGAGGATCAGGAGGCAACAGTCCCATACGAATTCGGTCCCGTTTGTCTTGCAGCTCCCCTGCACGGCGCAGCTTACGCATCTTCTTTTGCTCCTACAGCCCCGATTAATGAAATGTCCATCCCTAGTACCAAATACATACCTTTTTCGTCAATTTCATAGGCTTCAATGCCACCTTGTCCTTGTCTCCAGGCGCCGGGATAGGAATAGGATGTTGGATATATATCGTAATCGGAGAATCCGACGTCTTGATATTCATCGCTTGAATTCCATACGACAAATCATCGTACGTCTTATTGGGCAGCAACGCAGCATCCCACCACTCTGCTTCGGGAGGAGGAGCGCGCTAAAATTCCATCAACAAAACGCACAAAACCATCAGCACCCTCACTCACCTTGACGCTTTTCTCAATCCCCATATCGCTATCCAACCCTGCCTTTCTCGCGCTCTCCGCAATTCGGTGCTTGAGCGCTTCGAGCTGCGCCTCCTTTCGCAGCTGGTCCGCCAACGCGACGTACTTGCCCTTGGGGTTGAACCGGAAGTTGCGACCCATGCGATCCTTGGGAGCTCCTTCGATCGTTTCCTTGGATGCGTAAGGATTGGCAGATTCCATGATAGGTACTGGGGTTGGCGCTGGAGGGGGTGTTGGGACGTTTCGCGTATTAGCCTACAATAAAGTAAATACCCAGACCGACGATTATAGAAAAACACGTACTTTGATTGACGCAAACTTGGGTTGCATGGGCTTATATCGATCCTTCTTCGATTGAGGTGCAGCCGGCGTATGATCCAACAGCAGCGGATGCGCGGCCATCTTCAAACCTGCACCTTGTTGGGCAGGCTCAGCCGGTCTATTCTTGTTCTTTCCAGTTTGCGGAATCGACTGTACAGCCAATTCAGGTTAACATACACATAGAATTACACAGACCGCCTGCTCACCATGTAAGGATTATCCTTCACGGCCAACTTGCTCTGAGCAGCCACGACCTTTTTCTTCGCCTCTGCAATCTTCTTGGCGAGGTCGTCCGGGAGACCAGGGGGTGTGGACGAGGCGCTCTTGACCATAGGCACGGCGGACGCGATAGGCTTCACAGGTGTCGGTGCAGCGATCTTCGCACCGCCGCTATTCATGGCAGCGACCTTGGCGGCGATTTCGGCACGTTTTTGCGCAATGATTGCTGCTTGCGACTGAGAGTGTCATTGAGTCGAGTCCAATGCTTATCAAGAGAAACACTCACAATACCGGAGCTGCTCGACGTCTAAGTGAAGAAAAATCATAGAAACATAAATCAGACACAGAATCAAACGGGATAATCACCTTGGGAATGAAAGGGCACTCACAGCATCACTACTACAAGAAACCATTAGTCAATAAACCACAAACACCCAATAGAAACTACCTTTTGAGTTTCTTGTTGCTACCACTCGCTTCGCCATTACCCTCTAGCGGTCGTTTCCTGTCCATGGCGGAGAGAGTCAAAGAAGCGTGGGACGTGACGTGACGTCACCCGTAATGTTTTCGCTCTCGTCCATCACCTCCCTCCTCCGGCCTTCCCTCCTCCCTTTCCGCTCCCCCATAACTCTCCTCACTCGCTCACGCGGCCAACTAGCACCGCGAAAAGTCAAATACCTCAAACGACACAAGGGTCGCGTGCCTATCCCCATCGGCGGCTCCACCCGGGGAACGACACTAGCTTTTGGCGATTGGGGCATTAGGATACGTGGAAATGGCATGCGGTTGAGTGCGAAGCAGTTAACGACGGCGGAGGATGTGATAAAGAGAAAGCTGAAGGCGTGGAAGGGCGCCAAAGTGTGGATGAGGTGTTTTCCGGATATCCCAGTTTGTATAAAGGTGAGTAGTCCGTACAGTTTGTAGGCGACAGGCTAACTATTCGCGTGCAGGGTAACGAAACACGTATGGGTAAAGGAAAGGGTACCTTCGAGTATTGGGCGACTCGGTAAGGAGTATCGAGATGTTCTCCCCAAATTACATTGACCTCGGCATTCAGACTGCCTACGGGGCGCGTCATCTTTGAAATCGGTGGTGTACCTATCCGAGAGGAACTTGCGCGTCAAAGTGAGTCTTTTAATTATGCCTTACTTTCCAAACTCATCGCCTTTACAGTTCTCAAGCAAGCCTCGTCGAAACTGCCCTGCAAGATGGAATTCATCAGTCGCAAGACATTGCCCCGTCTTGGTCGCCTCCTTATTGAGCCGCCGAAACCTCCAACAATGCCAGGGAACATTGTAGCCGCGGCTGAAGTAGCAAAAGCGTCTAACGAGATGCGAACAACAGCATAGATACAATCGAATAATTTGCTAGCTTGAAATGAGATGAGTCTTGCTTTGACCTAGCTATACTCTCATAAGATTCCAAAAATTCTTGTAAATAAAACACTGATGACTACTGCCTATAAAAATACCTCATAATCGCACTACTATGCGTAACCGTCATATTAAACAAAGGATGAGATGCATTCACCCGATTCGCCTTCCCTCCAACAAACTTCGAGCCCGCTTCGTCTTCCTGCCAACAGAGTGCTTCGGAAAACACTTTCTTCTTCCTTGTAGACGCATCCGAGCCTTTCCATCCCGACTGCAGTTCTTCAAATTTCTTCTCCGAGGGGAAAACCCTATGCTGCGCAGCAGACAAGCCCGCCAGACAATACAGCGTGTGGTACGCATCTGCACTCTTCGGTGGTTTATCCCGGAGACCGCCTACAGGATGCTGCCCGGCAAGGAGAATATACTCTTGCAGCGCCTCCCGGTTGAGCAACGATTCGTCCATGTCGATCCACTCATCATCGCCATCCTCATGCCTCTCCTCTTCATGAGGAGGAGGAGGAGACGAGTGATGATGCCCATGAATCACCTCCAAAAGAGCGAACGCACCCCCAACCCACCACGAATAGCATCCATCCACAAGCTTGTTCGTCCGGCCTCTAAACCCTCCAAGCTCGATCTCCACTCCTTGCATCTGGACTAGCCACCGCAACAGATTCTTCTCGTTAATTCCATCCAACTTTTCATCCGTCATTGGCCGAAGGAGAACCCAAGACGCCAACGCGCAGAACGTGTAACCCCCATGCGCCTCGCCCAGCGGGGGCCTAGGACTCTTCAGCAGCGATCCGTCCTCCCCAAAGTAAGGCTGCGACGCAGACGCAAACCCTCCTTCATAGGTCTGACACGACCTGACGAACTCGGCAGTCCCTTCCACCAGCTCGGGCGTCATAAGATCAAGAAGCGTGGCGACGACTAACAAACAATAGATACCCCGCATATCCACTTCAGCATGGTGGGCAACGAGGAAAGATCCGTCGGGTTGTTTCAAAGACATGAAGAATTGCGCCATCTTCACTCTGTGTAAAAGATATCTCAGACTCTGCGCTATACATCTCGACGACACTCACCTATCAATCTGATCCCATCCACCCCTTTCACCCGGCCGTCCTGCAATAGCCAGTGCACACACAGCAGCATACGTCGGGAGGAGATGCGCCGCCTGTCCCGGTCCACCTCCAAACCCACCATCAGGGTGCTGCCAAGTCAAGATCGTATCAATAGCTCTAGTCGAAATCAGCACCACTACATCTCAGCAACACAAAACCACGAACACACCTCTGCTTATTCCCCGGATCCAGCGCCACTCCAAGAACACTAAACGCTTGTAAAGTCCAAAACATCAACCACGGCTGACTCGCATCCTGCGATATATATCTCGCAGGGAATCCCTGCGCAAGGTTCCGCACAAGCCACTGCATATGCTTCGTCTTCTGGAGTTCCAAAGAAGAAGCCTTTGCATTATCAAAAGGCAGATGCTTCAGCAGGACCTCCTCAGTTTCCCGTTGAATATGAGAAGTCGATGTAGGATAAGCATCGGTAGGCGTGTATGTCGGTGTCATCGATATAGAAATGTTACGTCTAGAAACGAATAAAAGACACGCTCATTTCATGTGCGTAGCCTGGATGTTTGAGATAAAGAACAAAAGAGCGTTCATGGCCATCTTTGTCAACCAACGTCATTTGATCACTGAATTTCAATCCGGACGTTGCAGTCAAATCCCACATAGCCCAGTAAACGGAAAGCAGTATACGAATTACACGATGATAGCAACAACGAAAGCGGAAAAAAAAAAAAAGAGTCCATCATCATACAACACAACCTTTAAACTTATTGCTTCTTCCCCGCCTCTATCGCCTCCCCATTCTTACAAGCAATAATCTTTATCCTCGGAGCACTAACAATCTCGCTCCCCTCCATCTTGAACGACGGATCCTTCACGATGAACGTCCAGACATCATCGCACAACCGGTATGTATGTAGGTGACCCTACCCACCAGTGTCAGCTCCACGAACGAAGAACAGAGCACACACGCACCTTCAAGGACGTCTTCACCTTGACCTGCTTCACCATCGTATCCGCAAGCGACTTGTCGAACTGCCAAAGGCAATAAGCATGTAGAACACCTCGTCAGAGAACCCCCACGAAACCTGTTGTAGAACCTTCATAGCCAGCTGAGGTGTTATCGCTCCGCTTGTAATCAGCTCATCCAGTGAGTCTGTCAACGCCATCCCGATGCTTTAAGTATCGGTGAGTTCCATGTCTCTCCGCGGGCGAGCGGGACATACGAAGATCCACGGTAGAATTCGTAATAAGCAGTCGCCATGCTATTGGTGAAGATGCAATCGATTCGGACGGATGAAGATGCAATGGAAGCACTACAGCGGCAGACGACGGTCAAGTTGCAAGTTGATGCAATTGATGGAAAAGAAGTCACGTCACGGTAATAATTTAATTAGTGGGTAAAGTTCTTCCGCGGTATTTCTCTTTCGGATTGTTTGAATCTCCTCATAAATTGTCATGAGATAAACGTAAGATACATGAGCGAGTAAGTAACGAGGATTGGATATGATGGTGGATGCTAGATGCTAGTGATAGGCTTTGGAATGGGAATGAGAATACATATGGCACATTGAAGAAACAATTCAGGCAGGCGCACAACACATTTGGTTTTGAAACAAAGAGAAAAAAGAAGAGATAAGAAAAGGATATAGAAGCGTACGAAATATTTTGAGCCTCCATCGACTTCATCATCGTTCTCTGGACGATGTGTTTTCCGCAAATCCAAACGAAAGAAAGAAACACGCGACCACCCATATTTTATGCAATAGGCGAACTTCCTCCAGCCTGATGAAAGTTCGTCCTTTGCGAAGACCCAGTACCCCTGCTTTTCGAGTTCGGGTGATGCGGATGGTGATGATGGAACAACTTCCCGCTACCCTTTCCCTTTGAATTTTTAGGAATCGCAGCCATACCACCAGCTTTCCGCCGCAGCTTCCTCTCTCTGCGGATTTCTTTACGCGTCTTCTCGCCTTCTCCAGTCGTGCTCGCGTTCTTCGTCCCCATCTTGTTCTGCCACAACATCTCCGTTAACGGGCTGCTTTTCATGACGCCGCCATACCCGTGCCCATCAGATGCCGTATCGGAATTCCAGCCGCCGCCAATATCTTCACGAGTCTTGCGGAAGGCGCCGACGGATATGAGGTCCCATCTCGTGAGGTTGCGCATGTGTTCAAATGTTGTAGGCGTTGGTGCGGAGTGTTCGGAGGATGATCCCTCGAGGAATGCCGAGTCAAGGACATCGTCAAGTTCGATGGACGGCGCCAACATCGGATGTCCCGACTCGGGCTCAGGGGAAGTGATGCTAAGTGCGTTGATGGCTTCGGTGGTACTGCTGGGAGTTGTAGATCGTTTCGGAAGGATGAACTGTGGCAGAGGGCGGTTGATCTAGAAGAAAAGACGAGGCGTTAAAAACACGATACTAGAAGATAATAAAAAATGACATACGCCTTCAATCCTTCTTCTTCCTCTACCTCTTCCTCTGGTCCTCGGATGAGGTGAAGGGGCTGGCTTGTGTTCATTGTCAATGACAACCGTTTTGTTATCATCGACCTCAGCCTCGACCTCAAAACAGCCTTGTCTTGGTCCACCAACAGTCTTCGGTCTGGTAACAGTTTCCTCCTCCTCTTCCTCTTCGTCATCGAACTCTCCAAACACATTCCCTGTCAGAATATCTCCGGGTGTACTTTTGCTCATCAGCTGTCCCCGTAACGCGCGCCGACGAATTGGACTCATCGTCGACAGAGGGTTGATAGACTCTACGTTCAACTCGAACGGAAGGTTGAACAAACGCATCGCGCGTTCGTTGGGCAAATCGTCTGCGCCTACGAGATCTTCGTCTGTGGTGTCGCCGCCATCTCCCAAGTCTTCTTCTCCGTCCTCCTCATCCTCCTCATCTGCATCATGCATATTGACGTCGTCGTCATCGTCGGCGCCACTAGGTGAAGCGCTACTGTCCACAATGAACTGGGCAGCCATGGCGTCGAATTCTGCTTCAAGAACACCACCTCCAGGACCGCTGGTGAACATAAGTTGGCCATCCCAACATTCGGTGACTTCGAAGGGAAGATCCCGTGGCGGGATACTAGCGAGAGCTCCAGCGAGGGCAGCCGGGTCTATTGAAATATTTTCCTGTTCTTCCTCGTCGTCAGAGGAGGAAGAGGAAGAGGAACCAGAAAGATTGGCAAAGAAAAGCTCTGCATCGAAGCTAGATTCTTCGTCGTCTGACCATCCTGTGGCCATTCCAGTGTACCCAGTACGGCCGTCTTCCTCGTCGTCTTCCTCCTCTACATCACCATCTTCATCTTCCTCGGCAGCTTCTTCATCCTCATCGTCGTCGTCGTCGTCATCATCATCATCCTCATCTTCAGTTTCGCCATCCATATCCACGTCACTGGGGTCTCCTACACTCGTCCTGCGTGGGTGGATAACCCAACTATCTCTTCTTCTGTTCAGACTACTGGGCACGTCATCACCCAGTAACTCTCTCCTAACTCTCGCACGTTCTTCAGCAAGAATGAAATTCTCTTCTTCCGCCTCGATTGAGGAGTCGGTATCAAAGCCGCCAGAGTCGTCCGAATCAGTAGACGACGCCGTAGACGACAAGGCAGATGCTGAGACGAATGTAGGGAACTGTACGGACCGTGCGTCGTCGTCATCAATGTCCGTAAGTTCAGAAGAATCAGTATTGGATGCCACACGCTTGCGCTTGGTGGGAGGGGTTTTCTTTTTGAATACAGGTTTAGGTGGTGGTTTTCTACGCGTTGGAGGTGCCTTCGTTGGACGGGGAGCGTTCTTTGGAGGCCTGCCTCTACGTTTTGGGACATGAGCCGAGGAAGCGGGTTCTCCGTCGTGTGCGGTGGCGAATGTCGTCTGTTCGATGTGTTTTCCACGGGAAACTGGCTGGGACTTGGTTACACGGAGCGCTGGAGGGACTGTGAGGCGTATTTTGAGAACGGGTTTCGAGGGCGAAGAAGAGGGCGCAGGGTGATTGGAAGAACAGGTGCATTCGCCATCGCACACAGGGCAAATGTCGTCGTCGTCGTCGTCTGGGCTGTTTTGTACGGCGCTTACGGTATGGGGATGAGTAGGCGACATTGAGTGAGTCTGTTGGGAGGGTATGTCTGATGGCCACCGTTAGCGGTAGCTCTAGATTTGGCGGACGACAGAGGAAGCGAGAAACCATCAAAACGTAAAAAAGCCACGCTGCAGAGACAACATACGGGCAAGAAAAGAGAGGAAAAGGGAAAGACAAAAGAAAGAAATCGCAAAGAATCTGAAGATAAGGTAGAATACGTGTAAACCGTAGAGAAAGCTGGATGTGCTGGACACACCAAGACTCAATGGCCCTGATGTTTGGGGCGTGTGAGCGACAAATCTGGAAGACACTCACATACGAAAGAGTTTTTGGGCATGATTTTGAACAATTAAACATGGGTAGCAGAGTGTATCCAGGTTGAAGGCGAGTAATGTCCAACGGACGACGTGACGGTCTCGGTGCAAGAACGAGATGGGCGTGAGTGGTCCAGTCACTATTTCGCAGCCGCACACTAATAATTTCACCGCATTATTTGCGTCTTATTTCAAAATTATTCACAAATCACCTCTCTCCCATCAATTTCCTCCTTTTCTCCCAATTTCTCCCCTTATTTGGCAACGCCATCGTGTCATCACCTCATGTCGTTCCCTGCGCCATCGATAATAACAGATAAATGTCATGGAAATTCCAAAGATAATACTCACTCCTCGTGTCCATTGCACCGGCCTTCTCTGTCGAGGTGTCGGCCCGTATCCTGTCGTTGCTGTTCCGTCTAGTCTTTCTGTCTTTTTCGGCCTTTGGCTCTCATAATTTCTGGTAATGCGACGTCCTAGGTTTCTCCGCGTCGCTGCTATAGCGCAAATTCAGCGAGTTCCGAGTACAACCCCCGGCCTCGCGAATCATTTCTTGATCTATCACATCCCCTACCGGAGCTACTACTCGATTCTAATGGCTCAGAATTCCTGCAGATGCACGGTCACGGGCTCCGTCAGTCTAGACTAACCCTTACACTGCTCCTCGGCCACCTGTCATTACTCCAGATATCCCATCGGCCCCACAATCCCACAATCCTTACGGCAATGAACCCTTCTCTACATGCACCGTCTGCCTACAAATTCTATAAGTATTGCGTGCCATCAACTACTTCTACGTAGCTACTCATTCAATGATGTCGCCCTCCAGTCAGCTTCTACAATCCTTCGATCCATTCGCGACCCATCCATTCACCAGATACTCTTCCCCTCCGACGCCCAATACCGCGCCGACGTTTATCCAGCCTTCTGAGTCACCTTCGTCACCTCCTGCACAGAAACCTATTGCGTCATCTTCCTCTGCCAAGCACCCTGCATCTACTTCCACATCACGCATCTTCACGTCGTATAGCGGGAGGCTTTCACCAGACCCCGAACTCGACCAAATTTTGAAGAAGAAGAAAGCACCAGCCAAGAACAAGTCTTGACGTCGGTCTTCCCTTTTCATCTCAAGTATCGTCGATGCTGATTTTCCTGGTAGCCGTTAGTGTACGCGTTACATGATTGTAATCATACGATTACAATTCAGTCATCGGTAGCAATGTTGATAAGGAAGGATCTTATATATAACACGTAGGAGGAGGCGGATGAGCGAGGAGAAGGACGGAGTTATCTCATGTGTTTGCGCCATCTTGAATCTGGTTCTTGGTTACTTGATTTATGAAATGCTTCCGAGTCTTTGCACTGTCTCTGCCCCTCATTGAATTTGTCCTGTTATAAGAATAGCAGAGTAGGTTCAACTACTCATTGTCGACGGATCAATTGAAGTAGAATGTCTTGGCCTTCGATATCAGATACTCTTTTCTGGCAAGTAGGTACCAAAGGACAAAAATTAGGGTCCTCCGTGTCCAAGGGGTCTGCCTACGCATCTTCGAATGAAGCGGCCCAGCCGCCCAAGGGAATCATCAGGCCACGACGCCCGGTAAAGCTGCATATCAAAGGAGCATTCCGTCTGTCACTGTACGTATACTTAATTTTCCTTCCAAGAAACGCCGTTTCAATACTCTATACGCGTAACGTACAGTCCCTTAGAATGAGAGATTATTCTCATTGAAGCGGCAAGCGGGTAGATCACGCGCCCTCCGGTGATAGATGCAGTCAGGACAAACAGACCCATGATCCTTTCGAGTACAATAACTGGTAAACGCGTCAACAACAGTGCCATGTCGCAATACGTTAGCTTATGAGTTACTACACCCCAGGCAATGGTTTCGGTGTCATTAAGCTGATAGCAGCACGGGACCTCTCACGCCGAAGAATATGGAACTCTTGTCATCGGTGAAATATGTTCAAAGCAAAGTTCAAGATTCAACGAAAGGTATCGATGATCGGTGACGAACTTGGAAGTTGAAGATCCGACGCGTCCAGCACAGCCACCTAAGCTCAGTCCTCCGCACCCCCATGTCATCAATTCCAGCGACATCAGCAACCCAGGCCAAAGATCGCCTTTACGGCCAGCTCGCAAGCAGCCTCGGGAGGCTTAACAGATCTATCAGCACTACTGCAGATCTCTGCGAGCAGCTGCAGGTGGATTTACAAGCTATGAGAACCTTTGCTGGGCTCGACGCCGCCAAGTGAGGACCAATGTTGACTCTGTACGACGTAGTTTTACCCTCTCCATAGATTCATAGCGATTGCATCTCAATTGAATCAGGAAGTTGAAGGTGATACCAGCGCGACATCTGGCAGCGATGATTCACGGTGACGCGTTAAATCGCGTAGGTTAGCAATAAATATAAAGATTCTTGAAACAAACATTTGCTAACGTCTTTCTTAGGACATTTTTGTAAAACTAGAATATTATCCGTGTGCAATTACAGGTATATATGTAACGTACAAAAAGTAAAGACCACCGATTATCGTCCAGATGCACTGCTTCTCAGCGATTCTCCGTCTGCGACCCCATTCACTTGACCGCCACCTGAGATACTCGTGATAGTCTTCTGGAGTTCGTTCCACTCAGACTCCTTCGGCAAAGCCATGTCCCCGATGTCATACACATAAAGTTTGCCATCACTACCTCCCAAGGCAACACGTCTGCCATCTTTATGATCCCATTGGAGCTTGTTGATAGCACGCCCTGATCCAGTCGTAGTTGAATCGAACGGAACCTATGCGATCAGCCATCAGTCCACGCAGAGTGTGTAACTATCCAAATGAGTCGCACCTCAGTATTCGCATTCAGATTCCACAAGTCAAATTTCCCGGTGCCATCTACTGTGCCAAAGAGCGCCGGATGTGCCGGATGCCACTTCACGTCGTAGACATAGTCATCTGCCTCGTCGAAGGAATAGAGCGGTGAGATGACATGGGGACTTGTCGATGGTTTGGTCAGAGATTTACCCCTCCACAGCTTCACAGTCCAGTCCACACTGCTTGTCAAGAATAGATCGGAGAAATCTACTGAGCCTATGAGTGGGTGGAAATGGAGGCCCATGATAGGTCCGGCATGGCCTTTGTACACGTCGTATTGGTTCAAACCAGCCTTTGCGCCAGCTCGATCATACCGATTAGCTTGGTACACATTGCCCTCTTCGGTGCCTACCCAAAATGTGGTTGTTTCGTTGTCGGGGAAGTCTAACGTCGTCACGGCGACCTCTCCGGTTTTATTGTGCCCAGCGTGAATGAGCTCCAAGGTTTCCTGGCAAATGAGGAATATATGAGTATTACGGCTTCCTTGGTATTGTCATTTAGCGCGCACCTGAGGCTGCGCCAACATGTCAACCAGCCAGCTGCACACCGTGCCATCTGTACTACATGTGATCAAGTTATGGGCATTCTGAGTTCCAACCATTTGCATCGAATACACTGGATGAGTGTGCCCGGCGGCCGACAAAGGTGTCTTCAGGACTGGCAGGTGTTTGGATCGGTTGTCCCACAGCAAGATCTGACCGGAATACGTGCCCCCAAAAACTAAATTCGAATGGAAGGGGGAGAATGTAACGGACAAGACGTCAGACTGCGGACGGAGACGTTAAATTTCAAGGTGATTTCCCGGGTATTATAAAGGCTTACGGACTTGGGAATGAAAAACAAATTCTGGACGCTCGAGTAGATGTAGATTCCATACGGCAACGATACCGTCAGGCTCATTCAACGCGGCAGGATTTTTGTTATAAGAAGCCACGCTAAGCTCCGGATACTACGTGGAATTAGCTAGGGAGAAGCGAAAAGGAGCTGGCTAACCTGCGGAGACCAGTCAACATCAGTGATAGATCGATTTTTTCCGTAGCGTTCGTCCCAGAATTCGCAGACTCGCTTGACGCGTCCTTCGGACTCATCCCTGCCTGCTGTCAACGCTCTGCGAAGCGAACAGAAACATTAATCGACTAACCCTCCGGTTTCGGTACCAACTCTATAGTCGCGAATATAATCGTAATGGTCATTCAGAGCTCGATGGAATATTTTAGTAGTCCGATCCACAAATTCAAGAAGCTCGGGTGCAGCAAGGATTCCGGCAAGTTCCTCGGGTGGTATCTCTATCTCGAAACATTAAATACGTCAAAAAATTCTCTAGAAGGAGAACGCGCACCCTGAATCTCCTGCTCAATCTCTTCGTCTAGTTTGACACTCTCCGCCTCCAATTCTTGGTCCAACGCTTCCTCCGCTTCAGCTTCCTTCTCTTTGAGCACACGTTGCCGTAGTTCCTCTTCAAATGCAGCTGAAGGTACCGTTTCCACTTCCACCGTCTGTACAGACTTGCTGTATATTACGCGTTCCTATAAACTAGATAAATAACCGTTCTGACGCGTTGTTGGCTAACACACCTTTCGAGGCAATTCAAAAAGTTCTTGTTCCACATCAACGAGATCAGGTATGAAGCGAGGAGTGATTTCTCTGCTAGCAGTCAGCTTCTACGTCTTCGTTGAAAGCGTGTATATCGCACCGATCTATAACGTTGTCGGTGGCAGAGCTCTGCGATGGAGGCAAAGTCGTCCCTACACTAGATGAAAAGTCACTAGCACGACTAGCACGCCCTGAAACTGATGCCGGGAGATTCGGTTGGCCAAGAGACGGCGTGCCAGGTATTGACGATCCTGGTGTTAGGTCGCCACTGTCCCCTCCTGTTCCCCGGTTGTCGCGTAGAAGATTATTGAGGATATCATCGACGTCGCCTAACCGACGTGGTGTGCTGGTTCCCGTGCCAGAGCCCTGCTTTGAAAGGATTTATTCATTCAAAAGTGGTATGCAGCAACGCCATACCTCACGATCCGAGGCTTTCCGTTCATTTTGTCTATTGATTCTTGCCTGTCGTAGCTCAGCAAGCTTAGCTCGTTTTGCCTCAATTTCTGCTCGTCGTCTGTCGGACGACATTGAAAGGTACTGGAGAGTAGGACGTAAGGATGGATTTCCGTTTTGGGAAGGCCCGAGCTGCCTTCTACCTTTCCTACTTGCTTGATTCTGTACCTCGTTCCCTTGAAATCTCTACTAGCAGTCACGGTGGATCACCGACACTAATAGCATGAAAATATATGCATATCCAAGCTTACAAGTGCCTAATTCTCCAGGGACCGACACAGCTCCTTCAGAGGGTGCGCTAGTCTGGTCTCTGCTACGCTGATAAGTGGAACTCTTCTCTGCCCAATCGAAAGTGACAAACGTTTTGGCCAGTCGTTGTGCAATAATGTGTTCAAAACACATATTTCTGTGCATGGATTTCAACTCCGGATTGAGAGTTGGGGCTGACCTGCAGTTCTGTTCTGGGCACCTAGCGCATAGGATGGCTCAAAGCCCATCTAACACTTCTAATGCCAGCTATGATGATTTCAGCACTACAGACCTGCCTTCTTGAAGTTTGAGAACTTTGTGTTGTCCCCCCGTTACGCTATTCGCACGGTGTGGACCATCGCCGCTAGGAAGAAAACATAGGTTATCGCCGATTGACTGGACTGGAGAAAGAGAAGTCAAATGCTTCAGACATGCCATTAATACAACTACGTTCTATTATAACAGAGCAGCTATAGCCTATGAGAGACACCGGCGACCGCCAGCGGAGATGTAGACGGAGTTCTTGCATCTAACAGCCAAGGAACAGAGCTATAATCAGGTTCCATGGATCATGCCATTCTCTTGAGTACGATATCTCAATATGGATCGGTGAAAGGATGACGGTATCAAGGAACACGTATGACCAGAAGCAATTTAATGAAAGCAAGAATCTGATGTTCAAGTTAGAACATTTGACAGAATGTAGTTACATGAAAAGGCGGAGACGACCGCCTTCGGTGTATACCTGATACAAGCCTTCTCAAATTCCTTATCGCTGTATAGCCGACCTTCTTGTCCACTATCGTATGACAAACAAGCACTTCTTGGACACACAAAACCTCTGATCGCGTTTATCCAGTGCCACAGGATATATCAAACAGACCACGGACTTGACGGTAACGCTGCACCCATTGACCATGTTTCGAATGAAACCAGACCTGTAGGGTGCGGGTATCACGCCTGAAGCCCGCGCTCGGCCTCCAAACAGTCGTGTTCTATTGACACTTCCCAGACAACCTTCTCGTAATTGAGTGCTTTATGGAAGGGCGCCTGACGAGGAAACCAGGAAGAATGCAGATAAATATTTGCCGCCTTCGGATAGTTCAGAGGAGATAGCGACCGGCTAGTGTCGTAAGTACATAGTTATTTGTCGTTCCAAACTGTAATGTATTGCCATTGGCAGAAGTTTCCTGTTTGAAGCCTTCCAATATGCCCTCGAGGGATATCAAGCACCAGATGACCCAATCCCTGGGTAGGGTCGTCTGCACTCCGGAGAAATACTTTTATATTTTCGCAGACCATCGTCAAAAGGCCGATTCGGGTATCATCCTCGGAACATTTGTATTAGGAGTTATCAGCCCAAGTCCAGGGCCACCTTGGGGCCAGTATACCCGTTTCCTGTAATCGTCCCAGGTAAGCCACTCGTAACATCCTTTGTGCAGCGCGTAGTCATTGCGCACCCTGTCGTCGTAGCATAATACTTGTGTGAAAGTGAAAATTGTGGGAAGGTTGCAGGGGAAAGCAGCGGCCCGGGTTGCCTTGACCGAGCGCGCGACGTGTCACGTGCAGGGGTTGCCTTTCGGGAAATTCGACCCTCGGCTCTTGACAGTGTACTGCTTAACTTTACCTCCAAAGATTAACAAGCTCAGGCTTATCCAACTGTCCCTTCTCTCCTCCTATTTTTCTTGGGCAATAACCAGGTCTAACACGGCGTCTTACAAGTCTGACAGACTCGACAACTGAAATGTCTTTGTGTGGGTCCTCAAAAGGAGCTTCCTTTGGCCGCAGACCAGTACGTTCAGCCTGTGATGAACATGTCGTACTTGACCTCTGATTTTGCACCCAAAAGATTCAAAGAAAGGTGGTTGGTGAGATACTATCTTGCTGTATGTATTGGTTACACCGTCTGAACATTGTTTGAGAATAGTCTGCGGCGATGGTGCTTGCGGTGCGCCCTTCCACTTTCCTCCTTACTCCCTGACCTTATCATTTTGTCATAGGCAAAACATCGCTTCTCAACGTGTTCACGCGTGGATTCTTTACCCAAGTCTAGTACGTTGCCTCCGCCTCGTAATTGCCACTCATGTCTCATCGGAATGCTCAACACGTTAGTGAACCCACCGTGTTTGAAAACTATGTCCACGATCTTCTGGTCGACGATCAGCTTGTAGAACTGAGCCTTTGGGATACCGCCGGTTCGTGACCCACCCATTAGCAGACATACTCCCTATGCTGATTAATACATTTAGGACAAGAAGAGTTCGACCGTTTACGTTCGCTTTCTTATGCTGAGACACATGTTATCATGATATGTTTTTCCGTCAGTTGCTGTGAATTCACCTTTGGCCGTAGTTGACCTGTTTGAGTAGGTTGACAATCCAGTTTCATTGGAAAATGTTGAATCCAAGGCAAGATACACTATCGCTCGCCGCTAATGTATAGCACTCACCAGTCCTGACAGTGGTTAGACGAAATTCTTGAGTACTGCCCAGGGGTCAAGGTACGTGCTCGGTCTTCTGATTCAGTCTTCCTCGAGTACTCAATTTGCGCGTAGCTGGTGCTCGTGGGTCAGTCTGCTTTCAAACGATTATCATGTCTAGTCTCTTGCTCAGAATTCGATCAGCTTTGAAATGTGACCTTCGCGATGACAGAGCAGTAAAGGACCGGTTACTACGGTACGGAACGCACCCCGTGGAATATGAAGAAGGGCTTTCAGTGGCTCGACGAATACGAGCATCCCGATATCTAGGTCTGTTCATTCTGTTGTGCCATTTTGCCAGCTCATGCAAGTCCATATCAGAATGCAGTTCGAAGCATAACCGTGGTGTCACCGAGGTCTTCTATGAGGCGGCCCGCGTGTCACTGAGCACGCGTGCAAAAGGTTCTCGAGACAACTGCATCGTAATGTGAGGGAATCACTCAACATCGGACAATCTCTCGAATGGAATTCTGCTAAACGTATCTACATACCCTCTACCTTAATTGTCCTCCTGCATCTTGCTTTCATGCACCGTCATATAATAGCCCACTCATCTACACATGTATTTCTCCATGTATGCATACTGTCGCAGTTTTTCTCTGACAATCAGGATCTCAAAGGAGCGGAATGAAATCATAGTAAATTGGCATCCAATTAAAAGAAACGTAAGTGCGATATCCGAAGTCTAGAAAGTAAAATGTTCGACGTTTTTAATAAAAGCCAGTCATAGCAGGCGCCATCCCGTTCATTGTTGGAGGAGCTTGTCCCGCAAACCCATTCGTCAAAAGGAGAGTGTTCCCGAACCCACCCGGGTTGATCATGGGCGCTTCTGCTTCAGCCTGCTCCTTTTGGCTCTCCTTCTTCGACCGCTCTTTGACTTCCTTCTCAAGCTGTGTCAACTATATGGACATGGGATGTTAATACAAGCATTACCCAAATGAAAAGTCACGCACCTTGTCAACCAATGACCGTTGAATCTGTATCTTGTATGGCATGAAGAAATCATTAAGACCATGCTGCCATGAAAGCTCCTCCACAACATCGGATCGTAGAAGGTCAAAACAAATGTACAATATTGAGGCGAAGCACTCCTTGTTACCGATGTCCACGAAATATGAAAGCAGATCTTCGGCGACGTCAATCGAACTCGAGGTGGCGGCTGTGATCATAGCGTCCTTATACAGTTTGTCTTGCTTGGACAAAGATATCGACTCTTCCCATCGTGAGTTTTTCTGTTTACCAGAGATCAATGATGGCGTGGTATATATATGTATGAATTGATTACCTTGTAGAGATGAGCGGCGAGTCTTCGGAATTCTAGGAGCTCATGCTTCTCCAATCTCCTGGCGAGTGCGATATTGTCGAAGTTGTCAAAGCTATCGATTGAGTCCCGCAATGTCTTGTAATCTTCTTCTTCAATGAGCAAATCGTTGTATGCGTCATTGACAGAGTCAATGTTGAGCTGTAAAACATAATGATCAGAACGACACGGTGACAGCGAGACATTGGCAAGGTTTACATTTTGGACGGCAATCAGATACTGCCGGATAAGGGGTATGTGGTCTATGCTCCGGAACTTGCGTACCACGCGGCTGTGGTCGATACGTGGGATAAGAACGGACAATAGATCAGTCAGCAAGGTTGGTTGTTCCGTGAGGTAGAAATCAAGGGCCTTGTAGTAACTGCGTGAGGGAGGTTAGTGCACGCAACGATAAGCCAAAGAAAGACCCTGCTGACATTTCAACGTTCGCAGCCCTGACAATGACATCCTTAAACTGGTTGTGTTCCCAAGCATCAGCTGACCGTTCTATCATCGCAAGCGCCGCATTATCCTACACCACGAAAATAGTGAGTCGCTAATAGATGGAAAGGAAAGAGGACTGACAAATTCATCATATTTGATGTACAAGAACACGAGCTCAGGCCACAGGTGCGCCTTCTCAGTTGCTTTGAGGACCTTCGGAATATTGATGCGAGACACAAACAACTTCAGGTGTTCCATTACTAGCAGGACACCGTTAGTAAAGGAAAGAGTACAAACGTACAAACTTACGTCGAGAGGGCTTGTACTTGCTGAGCAAGATCGAAAGCTCAGTGAAAATACCCATGTGTGCCCGTTCTAAGCTGAGACCAGCTTCAAGAAGGTTGATGATCTCCTCAAAGTGGCCACGTCGCTCATATATTTGTACCAGATTCGACAATTCCTCCTTTAAAAAGATCAGAAAGTCGAATACCTTCATAAAAGGGAGAAACTCACCGCATGAACGATAATGTTAAGACCACAAATTTGGGCCTGCATGGCGTCCGTCAGCTCAATATCAACCAGTATAACAAAATAGACGAACCAAGCGGAACTCAGACTTCTCGATACAAGCAGCATGCACCTGTTTCCAGACCCTGTATATCCTTAGCACCATGAAAATAGAAACGATTGTAACGAACTTACTGTGTGTTACCTGCCTTTCTTGCGCTCTCTACAGCCGCTTGGTTTTCTCCCAAGTAGATCAAGGTCGTAGCCAGTCGCGCCCAGTTCGAGATGCTCGTGAACAAAAGCTTGGCTGCTTGATACAGCTCATCCTCAAAGCATTTTTCACCAACCTCGAGAATATCAGCAACATTCGTCATGCCGAGGAAATCCTCCATATCATGCAGACGGTCCGTTTTAGCGTAGGCGTAAGCCAGCTCAGTGTCAATCTTAGGCTCTCGCAGAGTCTTGCGAGCCATCTGGAGGAAACGAACAAGGTCGTCATGCTTGCCGGCGTGGTTGGAAATTTCAATAACTTCAGCGAAGTTGGATGGATCCTCGGCCTTGATGTACGAATCTACGCAAGCAAGGGTGAGTTACCAGGACACGAACGTACAAAAAGAACAACCTACCAATTGAATCCTTGATCCGAAGACCATCCAATTGGGCCTTTGCAAGTCTGCTCCAAACCTCTGGCTTGTTGACCTTGTTCGCATAGTCGAGACCACGATCGATGGATACTATGTGTTCAACTAGAACGTTCATGGCCATAGCATGCTGTTCGTACTTCTTGTAGATGCTGAAGGCTTCCTCGTACAACCCATGCTCCGTCGCAATTCTGGCAATTTCCCCAGCGTCGTAGTTTTGAAGCTTATTGATATAACCGACGACCTTGCCTTTATCTGCACGGATAGCAGTGAGCAACAGCAGATTCTGCAGGTTGCGATTGTCACTGAATGGTGAAGGATCAATGATGATCTTCTCCAACAGCTCAATCAGCTCAATAGGAAGGTCGGCCTGGAGGAAAGCTTTGACGGTGATGGAAACATCATCGGGATCTGTGCACTCAGGAAGCGCAGTCGCAACAATCTGGAGTGGAAGGGCTCGTAAGACGGCTCGTGGACAGCAGTAAAACAGACCTTACCTGGTCAATCAATTGTCGACGGTGAATATTGTCCGGAACAAGTACTTGTGCCCAGAGGTCAAGCTCACGACGCTTGACAAGATAGCGTGCTTGCTGCTTGAACATTGAGTTCTCGTTTGTGATAGCGACAAGCTCTTCATCGCAGAAACCTTTGGCGTAGGCAATGTAGGCAAGGTACGGGTCCCGTTTCTCACAGAATTTACCGACAACTAGAGGCTCGTACAACTACAACCTACAATTAGAATGGGTGAATCAGAGGAGAACAAGCTACTCACGTTGTTCTCCTTCAAGAAAGTCTCCGGGTTGTTGTTACTGTCGATGTAGATCTTCGCGATGGCATTGAAAACGGCAGAATCCTGAGAACCGGCCTGAACGCGAGCCTCGAGCCATGGCAGAATCAATTTCAACCTGTTCCGTTCCTCTACCTCATGAACGAGTTCATCGACAGGGAAGTTACCAGTGACGGAGGCAAGGAGACTCTTGATAGTTGCCTCGTCGCAGTCAACATCTAACAAGCCGCCTACAACCTGAGGTGTTCGAACGGAGTTGACACGTTGCACATATACTTCGATGAACTTCGTGAGCCCATTCTGATACAAGTAGAGAACAAGGTCATGGACGAAGTCGAAACGATCGCAAACAATGATAAGGGGAAGTTGGTCGCCGAGCTTGGCCTCCTTGAGGAAATTCTTGACCTTCTCCGGGTTATAATAGTTGCTCTCACGACAAATACGCTCCACCTCTCGGATCTGGCCAGTTCTAGTAGCGGCTTGAATGTACTTGAAGTGAACCTCAGGATCGGTGCTGAGATTGACAATGGAACCGAGGTAATAGTATAGTCCTAAGAAAATTCGTTAGGAGTCCTGTGAAAATGCCGACTCCGCTTACCCTCGAAAGTCTTAAAGCTTTCAAACATCTCTATCAGTTTGACCGGTCCCAGAATGTCAGAATACTTCGTCGCGATTTGAATAACCACTTGAAGATTCTGACGAATGTTGACACGAAGCATCTCTTGCAGACAAGCCATGGATTGTTCCGTAGTGAGACGGCTGAAATAGTTGATCAACCACTAACAAAGGCTGTCAGATGCGATAAGCCAGATAAAGAGTCGTCTACGTACATCCGGCTGCACAGCGGTGGTGTGGACAATAGCCCGCTTGATGTCAGCGAGATCTTCATAATGTTCGAGGGCCTAGAGAACGTTAATGATCTGCTGGTAGGGCTCAGCAAGAGACCTACCCTTTGTAGTAATCCCGCCTTTTCACACAAATTGGCAATTCTGGGACGATCATAATGCGTAAACATCTCGTTGCCCAAAATAGCGTCCGCGACCTGAGGTGCATGGACAAGATTCATCTCCAGCAAACGAGTCTGAAGTGGCCCTTGTTCAGGCTTGTTATCCTTCAGAGCGTCCAGCAAGAATGACGTTGCAGGCTGGATCATGTTTTGAGACATGAAAATGTCAACGACCTAGGGGCAGAGTGATAAACGGCGGGTATGTGGTAAAAAAGGCTTGTACATACTCGCTCAATATCAACAAGGGGTCCATTCTCGTCGTTCACTAACAGAGCGGCAAACTCAGCCCCTTTATCAGGATTCGTACGCATGACATGCTGGAGCAAAGCAACATAGTCCGGTGAATAACCAACTTTCTTCGCGTAAAGAATGATCTTTTCTGTTTGTCCAGTCTCGGCGAAACATGCAATGACCTTGTTAGGGACGTTGGCGCGAAGATAGACACTCAAGGCAAGAGTCATATCATGCAGCCTAACGATGTCACCGAGTTCTTCGCTACATGTTAGCTGTAAACCAAATTAATGCGAAAGACCACATAATACAGACAGAGATGCCTACCTTGTTCTCTTTCAACCATTTTTCCAAAAGCTGCTTCCGGCCCTGCTGCAGAACCGGCCGTGCCAATTCCAGCGACTCCGAATGGTTCAGTTCGCCCTTCTCAAGAAGTATACCGAAGTATTGTAGAATAGGGGACAAGCCACCAGGTGGGGCTGGCGCTGCTTTGAATGACTCAATGACTTGCGTTGTACGCAAGATACCCTATATCATGGAGTAAGCAGAGATACCGTTTAAAAAATCCAAAAATTCGTACCCGAGGTGAGTTGGCGGCTATCTTTGCAGCTTCGCCGTATTGTCCGCTCTGGAATAGCTGCTGATACTGCTTGACGTAGAGGTCGTCTGCGCCCGGAAGGTTTCCCCGACTAGCCAGCTTGAAGGCGAGCTCGGTATTGTTGAGGGTCGTAAGTATGTAAGGGATAATGGTCTGTTCATCGACATTGACGCTCAGCACCTGACCCTTCTTGTTAATGCCGATGATACCGTTGGTTGCTTCGTGTTCGGCAGTGACGAAAATAGTTTCCCCCGAAATACGGTTCATGTATATGCAAGCACCTGACTCTAGGTCATAGAGATGAATGAACCCGTATTTGGTGACGAGATAGATAATTCCATGCTTTTGGGAGACTTGCATGGCTACGGGGAAGTCATTGGTCGCCTCAGGAGGGAAGTAGACGTCAACGGCTTTCTTGACAAAAGGCGGATCAGGTGCAGCATGGTCTATTTCAACGATGTGCAACTGTGCGAAGGGCTATTAGAACTGGTCATGACAAGTCTTAACAGCACAAACCTTGGCGCCTGCTGCGGTGCGAACAGAGAACGCAAATAGTTTCGTCGGCTTCTGATGACCATCCAACTTTAACTCTGCGAAGGCTGCTGCGTGTCCTTCAATTGCTTGGCTGACCCCTCGGTCGCGACTATAGAGTTGCATTGATCCCTTAACCCTGAACGCGGAGGGGTTTGTCGTGTTTCCGGAAATACCGACAAGAACTAGCCATTTGTCATCTGGAGTTGCGCGGTAGTTAATGATCTGAGTTCCCGCAAGGGTAGGATTCCTGTCGAAGATTTTCTGGGGCCCGGATGTTTGGTCTGCAATGCTCCAGTGGAGGACAGAGGACTCGGTGACCATGCCAATGGTAGTATCGTTAATCCACGTCCAATAGACAATGTCCTCATTGCTAACATGGGACTTGACCTTCTGCTTAGCCTCAATGTTGAAGATTTGGAGCGTGCGCCCAGCTGTGCCATTGCCATTCAATACGTAACTAGGAGAGCAACAACAGCCACGACATACCTTTCAAGGCCAGAATCTTTTGTTTCGGATGCATAATCGCAGAGTCTGCAGATATTGGGCGACGAAGAACATTGTTAGCATCGGCAAGGTCTACAATGACCACCTGGTTCTGTTCGCCAACTTTCTCCCGTACACAAATGAAATGGTCAGACTCAAGCGTCAAGGTCTGCAGACGTGAAAAGTGAGTTAGGCCTTATACGAGAGCGTTGTAGTTACCTAGAAAGAATGGGGAAGTCAAGCCGGTCAGTACACGACAGCATATAAGCAATACGTGGGACGCGAATACCTGGAACGAGATAGAAGCTGGCTGGACGCCAACGCTTGAGAGCTGAAGGTGCTCGCAAAAGGCGATAGGTTTTGAAATATCCATGACGGCCACGGCAGGTGAATCGGGGGGCGTCGGACGCCTGTACAGGTGGTTGACGAAGGGATTCGAAGAGGAAACTGTTTGTTGCCCGTTGTTTGGCTTCCTCCACCGTCGCTGCACCGGTTCATCATCATCTGTATATTCTTGGAGAACGAAAAGACTTTTGCTTACCATCGTTGGGCTTTTTGCTTCAGGACAATATCTAGGAAGGATAAATCTCCGGGAGGAATACGTTCTGCACGCCTCCAACACCTGTTTTCTTAATCCTAACCTGCACGTGTTGTGCTCGCCTCCTTTCCAATGCGATAATCTGTGATAGCTGGTCTTTTGGTGATTTGGCAGAAGCGCTGCACTTTTAGCACGTTTAGGGCTTGAATGTCTGACCGGTGGTAAGGGCATGTATATATACAGAATCTTGATCAATATCGATACAGGTGATGATACTATGGCTACAATGTAGGGAGATGAAATGGGACTCTTCAGTGCTCTAATCGTGGTTGGAAAATGGTTGATAAACTTGTAATGCTGCGTATCTCTTGCTGTCCATCATTTGGAAGCAATCCATTTACACCATAGGTCCTCACACTGCTTCTGATTCCAGGACGTCAACTCGGTGAACTCTGCGAACGCTTTCTGGGGAAGCTGTAGCATCCCTTCCGTTGGCGTGTGAAAGGCATCGCTCGAAGGGAAAATTGCGAGGAGATCTGAAGACGCGATGCGTGCTTTCGGCACGTGTGTCTCGAGAAACAACCTTTCGCCGAAGGGCATGAAAGTATAAACGTCCAGCCATCCGTCGTTTCGAGTATGTGATCGTGCAGCTAAATATCGGAATGGTAAGCAAAGTGGTTCTCATACTGATTCGCAAAATCTTTAATGTTAACTTACATTGTACAATCGTGACCCGGTGTTGAACCATGGCAATGGCAACAGCTCCGTCACTCAGCATTTCGCCTCTATGGGATATAAAAGGAGAGAGAGAGAGACTCCGCGGACAATGAAGAGAAAGTGGTTTCAGATACCTCGGCTGGTAGGATTGGAATCATACGTCCAATTTATGCTTTTGCTCCCCCGCATGTTGTGCTAGGCATCCATTGTTCTCTTATCACACAAAGCGGCGTGTTCTAAAAACGTGGCCTTACCTTGCATTGTACGCTCCTGAAACTGAACAATATGGAGGAGTCGTAATAGCAAGTACAAGGCCATTTCCTTACTGGGCCGATGGATGATGAATATACGCTGTTCCGTCTTGTGATGGTTTATTGTCTGCATGGGTACTTGTTGTACTTTGAAGCTTATCCCCTTCTTCTCATTCCTTGCAATGTCAGAGCTGTTACTGATAGCATTAGATTATATTGTAACAAATTTGTCTAGTTCATTAAACTTGGTTTGACGGGGGTATGGTACATTTTTCCGGAAAATACAAGAGGCCAAGGTATTGAGATAATAACGATAAACCCAACCGGTGGTGAATGATTGAGTGACGAAGAGCAGAAGAATGAATCAAACTCAAAGGCGTAATCTAGGTTAGATCACTGAGGGTGCGGCAGTGGCCGACGAAGCCGAAGATGAGGCTGCCAAGAACCCATAGACACGTGATGCAAGCTAACGAGAACGAGATCCTCAACTCGTATCGTATTTGGTTGTGTGCCAATTCGCCAGTCAGGGCTCGAGTCGTCTTCCATTGGTACTGCTTGTCGTTCCTACAATGGTTTAGAAACACTTTTATCCGACACAAAGGACGATACAAACCTGAATAAATCGCTGCACACATTTTGCTACATTCTTAGCCAATTTAGAGCGGGTGATAGGACACGGCGGTGTTCTAAAATCTCTTGCTGGGATCTGTCGACTCCACGGACGGTAACCAGGCCACTGGGAGGCAATTCAATGAAAGTAATAGAATGGAATGGAATAGCTTACTTCGATTCTCACAGAAACGCTTGGTCCTCGGTCCTTGAACATTGGTTCATCACGATCAATTAGGCGCCTGACCCGTGAATGCAAGGCGTCAGACAATGCCAAACCGCATTCTGACGGATCCTGAACCCAAAAATATATTGGCGGATCCAGATTAACCTCCTCCACATATCGACGGCGGTCGCTACTGGTATGAGGCTTGTACATGATTTGTGGAACAAATGGGTATCCAGCAGGAGACCGCCCAATAGCCACCGCCTCCCGGAAAAAGTGAGCCTGCTCCCTGTGAGTGTATGTCACTTTCCCGAGCTGAGAGCCAGAGACATCGTGTGGTAGCTATAGAGAAAAGAACATGAGATAGCTTCATACAGCACTTTATGATGAAGAACTGACAGGCGGCGACGCGGGCACAGGCGAGACAGTAGTGCCTGCACGAGGTGATGTTGAAGGCAGTGGGCTGTTATGTGCTGTAGGTGGTGACATGTGTGATAATGCAAACACCGATGGTATTTCATTGACAAGAACGCTCGTGTGGTCCTGGGCGACACCTATTGCAGCCGGCGGGCTACTGGAGTCGGGATACTGGAAGGGGTATGGCATGTATTGAAACTCGCTTGGTGGGTAAGGTGATGCAGAATACGGCGGCACATCACTTGTCGTAGCAGAAGAGGGCGCTGCAGCGTTGGACCAAGTAGGGTCGTTATAATTGGAACTACCACCGTAGTTTGGGGGAACAGTGACGGTCTGATTTGAAGCCGTGTCGGCGCTGGAATCGAATGGTGTTTCATCCCAAAGAGGTTCCTGGAAAGACGCAAAATGCATGGGCTGGTCAGAGCTGGCGTCTTCCGCGTAACAGCTATTTTCTGGTTCGGCCCCTTGCTGTAGAAGACGAAGTTGAGATGAATCAGCAGGGCATAGAATAGCGAAAGCTCACGTAGGGATAGAAGCCCGACATTGCGCGAGGTGTCGCGTATGTACCTGTCAAGCGTTGAGAAACGAAGTCCCGACCTTGCAGCAGGTAGTCGGGAGAGGATGGATTCGGTGGTGAACGTTCAACAAGCAAGGGACCGACAGGATGACACATGGGATCGTCCGAGGTACCAGTCAATCGGGACTCACTGTTTGTGGAACTCTGGCATAGTGAAGGGAATTAGTCGAAAGGTGGAAACGCTGAGGTGTACACACACCTTATATATATATGATTCACAGCATCACTGGCCCGCGAGCTTCTGCTGTCGGACGCGTACCGGTGTTTGACGGAGGAAACCTAATTAAAGCAAAGCTGTGAAGATGAATCTGGTCATTTGCCTTTGATCAAAGATGATAAGCAAGGCATTTTCCGCGCCCGACACGAGAGTCACCGTGTACTGAAGAGATCTCAGGAAGACAAAAGACCGGTGCTACATAAAGTGATGGGAGCATATACATTGCGTTTAGAATTCCGTAGCAACACGTCCAGGCAACAGATCTGATAATACGCACGCGGTGCGGTACCTTCGCCGAGTCGTTTCCAGAAAAGTGCAACGAATATTCAAGACCAAGGTCCAAGGCTGCGCAGGCGCTAGCGCTCGTGAGAAAGGCACGGTCAAGACAGGTAAGTAACGAGTACTTCGGGTGACTGTTGATGATACGACTCTGCACTACACAGCACAAACATCACTGCTTCATGCAGCTTGTCGAACTGATTCCGAAAGAGCTCGCGATAAAATTTAGCGACATTGCCTAAGAGGAAGCCAACAACCGAAGGACATGGAACTGAGCCGACACACGATCTTTTTTCTAGCTAGAAACGGACAAGCATTCCATGAAAAATAGATCAGCACCGAGTGGTAAAAGCGGTGTATGTGTGACGCCGATTTTTACCATTGATCGACTTCCCAAAACGGCGTTTCCTTCTTTGGACAGAAATTGATGGGAATCTTCCCCGCGTCTCTTCACCCAACCTTCAACTACTTGACCACAGCTCAGAGCAGTCCAGGCTATCTACATCCATATTATAATTTACTCTTGTTCTCACAACAACAGTTACGATGTCGTCTCTTGCTGGCGCACTCGGGCCTCACGGCATTCATTCACCTATGAAATCAGAACCTGGCGTTGTGAAGCACAGAATTAAAGATGAAACAAAGTCAGAGGAGGAGGAAGAGATGGATGATTTATTCGGTAACGATGCTGCGCTGGAGGTAGATGCACCAGCCGAGTGAGTGGATCTCAGCTCGTGCCGCAATTGCATGCTGATTGTATCTGAACCAGCCTCGGATCACCTGAAGTCTCAGGACAAGAATCCGAACGACTGCCTTCGCCAGAGAGAGAACATCGCAGGGCACTTGAATACGAGGAAGAAGATGTGCCACCCGAGGCGGTTGTTGAACTGCAGGAAGCCGACGTTTCGTTTCCCAACCTTCCAGTACCCAAAAGCTCAGATGGAGACGTAAGTCCCCCCTCTGTTGATCACCGAAATCGAGCCTCAAATTTGAATTAAAGAAATGGGTCATTCGGATGCCTAATTTTGTCAAAATTGATACCAAGCCGTTCCATCCAGAGACGTATATGGGACCAGAACACGACGAAGAAGAAGGCCAGCAGGCACAAACCCTGCGGGAACAGAGTATGACCATCAAGCTAAAGGTGGAAAACACAGTACGGTGGAGGTGGACTAAAAATGAATTCGGTGATGATGTGAGTTAGTTTTTTTCTCATCTTTTTCATGTGTCGTCATGGTCAACTGTAGGTTAGACAGTCAAACAGTCGTGTCATACGCTGGTCGGACGGCACGTTAAGCCTTCGGCTTGGAAAGGAATATTTCGATATCAACCAGAGTATCGACACGTCGGGAGGGGTCCCTCGACAAACCTTTGGTAGTTCCCAATCCCAATCCCAATCACAACCTGCAACATCCCTCGGCGGGAAATCTCAAGGCCTGACCTATTTGGTGGCGCAGCATAAGCGTTCACAGGTCTTACAAGCCGAGGCTCTCATCGCCGGATACATGACACTTCGACCGACTGGAATGCAGTCTGAAACACACCGCATGCTTGTGAAGGCAGTGAGCCAGAAGCACAACAAGGTCGCTCGACTGCGCTTAGCTCCTGATCCCGTCATGGATCCTGAACGCGAGATGCAAGAAATGATTAAAAAGTCAGCGAAGAAGGCACCCAAGAGGAAACATGATCGTGATGATGAATCTAGTGGGCGGTCAAGGCGACGATCTAGGAAACAGTACGACAGTGATGAAGACATATATGGGGATGCAGGATCTGATGACGACGACCGCGGCAAGAAAAGTAAACGAAAGGGCGGGGACGAGGAAGGTGGAAGTGGTTATCGAAACGATGACTTTGTCGTTTCGGATGATGAGGATGATGATGGGCACCATGGAAAAGCTGATGAAGAAGATGATTTGGACAAACTGGATGCTATGGCTGAGAAGCAGCGGAAAAAGTTGGGCAATGACGATGCAATGGATGTGGAAAGTGAGGAAGAGGACGAGGCAAAGGTCCGTAAGGCCAGCCGCACACGGAGACAAGCAACATACGATGATGAAGATGATGAAGAGGAATAAATTACTCTGATGGACTGACTGCACGTTTGTATGGAATATACAAATGTCTCTTGATATCCTTTACGCGCTCCCCGGTTCCGCAACCTCCTACTTCCGTACCGCACCAACATTGTCCTTCAAAACACCATTTTCGTCCCATTGCCCTGTCGGTTGAATTTCTTGAACGATTGCCTGGTTCTCCGGGTTGCCTTTTAATAGATTATGCAACGTAAAGATAGCGTGCTCTCGCAAATCTGTCACATTGTTAAGGTACTGGATCACTGATGATGGCAAGTCGGGATACTGACAAGGGTTCCTCTCATCAATAACGCACAGGTTCATCACAACTTCAATGCCGCCACACTGACGTACGCGATCCTGAACAGCTTTCTGTTCATGGCACAAAATTCCCAAAAGTCTAACGAGGTCCCTCTTCAGATAGAAAAACCCTGTGTCGGACGCATTTGAAAGCGGTGTGGGCGCTTGGCCAGTTTGAGTTTGGACGGGTTTCCCGAAATTTATTCGTGGTAGGAACCTATCCAGTAAACGGAGGAGCTCTGCCCGGTTAATAGAAAAAATTACGGAACTTTGGCATGTGAATGCACACCTATTAGACTTTCCGCCAGGCTGTGGTTCTCGGACCGTAGCTCGTTAAAGAGGGCTCTGATATTGTGGGGAGAGGAGGATGGGATGCCGGATGTCTCTTTCTCGGCATCCAGCGTCACTGTTACAATACACTGGGAGACCAGAACAAGCCCCTCGCAAACCTTCGGAAGCATAATGTCTAGTTCCGTAGGCGGAAGTATCATGTCGGACGGTAGATTAACGACCGGAGAGAAGTGTTCGGAAGAAGGAGATCCCAGAGATCGACGAATCGCCCGCTGTGAATACGACGACATAGAAAAGAAACATGTACCCAGCATTTGGCTCAGCTTGACTAGAATCTTCGTCGTGGTCGGGTCTTTTGGTTTCAAGGGAGTCGACTGGAGATAAGAATCAATCAGTTTGAGCAGAACCGTCTGGTGCGGTGTCACTATTTCGTCTTTTCTGGGAGATGTCGTTTCAGCTGATATCTATCAGGCAAAAGAACAAAAACATTGGACGTACATTGACAACTTGAGGTACAGCTCTGGCACAAGACCGACTTCCATTAATCGACTGAATATAGCATACCTAATGATGATCAGTGAACGGCAGGCATCGCATCAGCTTCCAAGGGCCCTACCCAAGGTCGAAAGCACGGGCTTCCTCACTGCCCTCCTCGGCTTCGTAGATTTTTGCCATCTTGTCAAGCAAGCAAACACATATCCTCGATCCGACTGTCGCATGTACCAATAGTCGTCTGCGGACACTCGCTCAGATCACGAAAATTGTCAGCGTGAGAAGCTTACGCTCGTGTTCTGCTGCCTTGTATGCAGTTTTGGATGAACATCATCGCAGGGACAAGAGACTTTCCGTCTGACGATTGCAGGAGCCGACTACATCCCGTGAGAATCGGCTCAGTTAGTTGCGAGGAACAAGAACTACTTACATTAGCACAACTTGATCTTCAGGAAGATTCATATACGTATCCCAGAGGGATTGCATGAGGGGCTCGTTGGCGGTGATAAGATTCGACATGGTCTGAGAGAGAATACGGGCCACCACAAGGTCTGAAAAGATGATATCAGACCGCCTCCAAGTATTTAGCCGGCAAACAGACCATCTTGATCCTCCATCGCAGTCCAAGATGTATAATAATGAAGTAGCCGTCTGATGTCGGGTTCATTTTCACTGTTGGCTTGAGCATCAGTATGCTAAACGGCTTGGGATCACATTTTTAAACTCACAAAGCATGTGTCTGGTTTTCAGTGACCTCAGCGACGAGGTTCCTTGTCAACCGAGCTAGACTTTGACAAAATTTTCTCAAATTTTGATGTTTCAGAGTTTCGGTGGAGGCCTGGTCGTCATCGTCGCCATCCCAAAAAGTCAACTGAGTGCGAACGAGGTCCCGCCATAGTTTACGGAGACAGGACCAGAACGCGGGCTTGCCGGTGCCAACATGATATCTAGGAAAGCACATGTATGTTCAGTTCTAACTTTGCTAGTAAATTCAGAAAAACACAAGTACCTAAGATCGCGATTCTTGGCCAACTCGGAGGCAATGTTGTCCAGAACGGCAGAAAGAGAATCTACAGCTTCGGATGCATTGATGTCAAAAGCAGAACAAGCATCTGTGAACCTGGAAACTAGCGCCTCTGCGTCCTGGGCAGCCTCGTCCGACATAAGGAGCCTCTATTGGGAGCTAGTGAACGTGGACGTCGAAGAGCAACTCGATCTACCATAAACTTTTCCATTCAAGCGCTGCACTGGACCCACGCTATCGGGATGATCGTCATTATGTTCTGTCACCGGCACGCTCCTCTTCATGACTTGACATCATGACACCGGACCTCAACATCTCTCTCGAGGATCACCTCCGCGATACCCTTGCCTCGGTGCAGAGCCTGCTCCCTCGCGAGCTCTCAGCGCAGTTAGAGGTCTACTTGACCTTACCGAAACCCGCCCTGATTCCATATACCGTGCTCCAATCTGTATCTCAATGGTCGCGGTCGTCGTCAGGATCCTCTGCTCTCCGTTCAGCCACGCCTCCTCGAGATCTGAATGATTTCAGTATGATCTCGCTCCTTGCTGGGACGACAACTTCGCCTGAACGCAAGTTTGGTTCTTATGTTCCCCCGCGGGATCCAGAGGAAGTAGAGGCGGAGAGGAAAAAGGAGAGAAGGGCCATTACGACGCTCATGAATGCGTTACTCAGTGTTGGCGGGTCAGGATTTGCTGCCTGGTGGGCGTCGCAGCACGCAGGATGGAAGAAGGAATGGGTACGCTCAATAACCACACATCTCCTGCTCCAGTTTCTTACGCATTTATTTCTTCTAGCGCGCCCTCTTTGGGCTGTTCGTTGGCTTCATTGTTGCCATTGCAGAAGCAGTGCTATATCTCATTTGGCAATCACGACACTCGGCTCCAACAAAGAAAACTCGTCGACGACGACGCTTGGTATCTGCAAGGCACAAAAAGAACGACGGTGACGGTGATTCATCGGTTGCAGAGACAGAGGACAATGATAACAGACTCCGACGACGAGTTAACCCAGACCAATCAGTTCCCAGAGAATAATACAAAATATACACTACTAACACATCTTCAGGGTTCTCATAAACATCGAGAGATACCACCCAGTCAAACCCCATATTTCTAATTTATTGTCCTTCCCAATCCCTATTTCATTGTCATCGTTAGTCCCTGGCTTTAGTGGAGGCAGCGACATATCGCTGTGGGTATCCGTTGCGTGTTCTATTTGTTGCGAAGTTTGTAAATCGGACACGTCTATTGCCCAGTAAGGGCGTTGTCCACGAAACATGGAAGGCCGAAGACGCGAAGGAGAAGTCATCGCAGACAATGGCAAATGGAAAACGTTGTCGACTTCTGCTTGGGACACTCGCTTCATGATGTCGGATATCGAAACCGAAGGCAGAGGTTCGTTGTCTGCCAACGACGAGACATCTTCTTGCTGAGGGTTGATAAACCCCTATAACAAACGTCAAAATCGCGACTGATGCAAGAGAAGAGGGTAACGTACCACTAGCGGCCACACGGCCATATCACCCCTCATATTAATCTCTGGAGGACCGATTTCTCCCAGGATTTCGACTTGCTTTGGGCCTACGCCTATTTCTTCGTGCGTCTCTCGAAGTGCGGCTGCTTTGAAAGAGTCATCCTCCTACGCGTTCATCGGTCAGGGGGTAAGAAAATACGAAAGACACTGATGATACCCACTTTATCCACCTTTCCTCCCGGAAAACTAGACAAAGAAAGATCAGCTATTGCTAAACGAAAGCCTCATGATTAGCGCGCTTACCTGACTTCACCAGAGTGAGTCCTCATATGCTTTGCTCTGACCTCAAAGAGGATTCCTGGGACACCATCGAGGTTGCAGAGGGGGATAAGAACAGCAGCGTTCTTCTTCCCGGGTATATATTGGGGTCTCGCCGCGTCAAAAGCTGGTGTTGGATCGAGCACTGCCTGAATCTTCTTCAAGGTCTCTTTCGTGAAAGGCTTGACCGTAGACAAGAACGATGGAGTTCGAAGAGTATGTATCACGCTTGTAGACGCTACGGCCATGTCGATTGCATAGCCAGGGGGGGATAAGGGAAAAAAAATCTGAAAAAGCAAATGAGCGATGAGACACGATATATTATATGAAATGAAAGTGACTCACTATTACTTGTACAGAAGAAGAAAAGGTAGAGGGAAATCTAAGAGGAGTGTCTAAGGATCTATAAGAGCTATAAGTAGTGTAGAGCAGAAGAGAAGCACCGGTGCTTTTGTGTTGACTGCGGTGGTCTACGCCTCTCGACGGTCCGAATCCGAGTCGGTCGTTTATGTGCGGAGTTTCAAATTAACGAACCCAACCACGCCGCTTCCTTCCATTGCTGAATATTTCGCGCTCTCGTCCTGCCCAGAAAAAAATCTGGACTCTCCTTAATCACGGACTAGTACCGAGGATGTCCCCCCGTTTTCTCCGAAAGGCGGTTGTCTCTCGACTTTAGAGCTGTTAAAACGTGTTGTTGCTAACATGCTCTGGACATGCTCTGGCTCAGAAGCGTTATCTCTTATCAACGTAAACCGAACGGTCTCAATCCATATGTATCCATAACAATCAATCCACTTCAAAGTCTAGAGGCGGTGTTATCCCGCCTGCGAACTGTCGATGCCAAATGGTACACGGAACAACGTGGGTTCTACCGCGCCACGCTGCATGATAGTTCCCATCCAAAAAAATAAAGACAGCGACAACGAACGTTCATCAGAAAAACACGACTTAGATAAGCCCAGGTCTGGAGTTGAACGTGCCTGCTGTTAGATCTCTCCTCGCCAAACCTCCCACCTCTTCTTCGCTTTAGTGCGTGGGCTAAGCACTTTCCAACCCCCACGGGGATAAAAGAGAAGATAGTGTCGTTCAGCGCTCCGGTTCTCGCCATCCCTAGTTTTCATCTTGTAACCATCCAGGCCGTCCTAACACACGCATATGAAGGCTCGATGCGGGACTACGTACCAAGACTTCTTGGGCTTCGCAGACTGATTGTAACTTGCTGTAGTGGGGTGGCAGTGGGGAGGTATCCGCAAGGACGGCTGTTCCCCGCCTTTTTTGTGAGGGATTTTTACGCTTTCTTCAGAGCTGATTTGAGTGGGCCGTCGCTCCCACTTGTCAACTTTGCTTGTCGTCTTCATATCCTCTTTTTTGTGACATTAACAGTTCTCTCATTGTGAGCGCTAACTGCGCAATTCAATCGCGACTCCCTACAAATCGTTGAACGTCACATCTTAAAGCCGCCTGTAACCCAACCACGGACACCTTTCATGCTCATATTCCCCATTGAGTGCTATGAAAAGGAGCATCCTTATGTACGCCCCCCATCGACTTGCGTCTCCAGAGCCACCTGGGTAGCTGTGACGTACAACTCTCCGGAGCACCGCTCGCCACATATCTTTGATTGTCTCTGGTATCACTGATACGGGTTCGCAAGTTCATGTCTTGGCGCCATCAAAATGCATACGAGGGAAATCCAAACTTTGACGGAGCTTTTTAATTGCGCGGATGGGTTGTCAATGAGTTGGTGCTTCTCCGACTCGGGTATTGATGCAGAGAGGACAATCAATTCAGTTCTATGCTGTGTCCTCACGGCTAGACACGTCCATCTCTTGCTCCCTCTCATGAGTTGTCCAAGGCTGTAGTTTCCATTGCATTGTGTTCATCATGTCACTAAGACATCCTTGGTTATCGGAGAACCGTGATATTATCTCCCAGCCTTCTTGTGAGCCCGGCCAGAGTGGGATACCAAGTTCAAAGGTACGAGCATTCGATAACTCTTCTCACCCCCACGGTCGCCCGAATTCGTCCTTCGCAGGCACCTGACGCTTTGGCCACGTCTAGTTCCAGATTCATCCCTTGGCGCTCATACGACTGTCTGTATCCCCTTCGACTGGATACAGAACTTGGAAATACATATGTATTCAACATGGACTATATGATTTCGTTTTGCCTCGCGTAAACCCGATCATCGTCGATCAGGGAGGAATGGACGGTCGTGTTTCTGGCAATAAATTTCATTTTAGTGCCTGTGATATAGTAGATCTTCTATTCTTGGCGGCCCAAATATATCATTTGCAGGAGACTGGGATACAGCACCTGAATGGTAACGGACTCTTTGTTGAAGCTGCCTGGACGCACCCTGGACTGCTGGCTAGGCATGATGTCATTGAGATGGGGGTTGTAAGGTATAACAGCTATGGTCAACTTCTTCGGAGCTTGCAGTCGGATTCGAATGGACTTGTTAATATGCGAATTCACCTTCGATAGATGCATGTCTAGACTTCGCTCTTACCGGCAACTTATCGGTTACTTGATCTTCCGATCACAAAGAGCACTCTGCAGCTTCCTCGCAGTTCGGCGGCGGGCGCTCTTAAACTTGATTCAGTCTTAGTAAGACAAAAAAAAATCATGTCCCCCGTACAAAAATTTCGACCAACCCAGGACTCGAACATGGAATCTTCAGCTTAGGTAAACACCGGAAACTGACGCGTTAACCATTACGCTAGCCGGCCGACATAAAAGGATCAAATTCAAAGATTAAGAGGACAGCATTATCTAGCCAGGCTAAGTACTGGTCTTTTCCCACACTCGGTATTAGTGTCGGAATGTAGCGTGCTTGTAGCTCAGTGCACGAAGGATTTTTGCAACGGTTAACAAGGTATGTATGGACAAATTCTATCAAAAATGGAGAGCAAGATGTTCCTCCTGTACGAGACTATCAACGATGTCTATTTTTTTGTTGCGTATACTCGTGCACAGATGAGTATTGCAGCAGGAACAATGCATAGAAGGCGGAGAGACTTGAAGATTGTATGTTTGAAAACCCTATTCATTTCTCGTAGATAAAACGCAGAACCAGAAAAGAAGAATACAGGCTGCGAGGGAATCTTTTGGAAGTACGCGTACGGGAAAGTAGACTTGTCGCAAGATAATATCTTTAGTTGGTTACACTTCGATCGAGGGAAATTAACTGGCTCGGGGTCTAAGGGGAAAGCAAGATGTCCCTCCCGCACCCCATAAAAAGCATTGTCTGTCTACGACTAGGTTTGTCTGTCTACGACTAGGTTAACGGTTCGACATTTATCGAGTACGTTCTTGATTTTTATTTGTGTTCTCTTCATACGCAAAAGGGCGTAGTTGATAGTCTCATCTGTCCAGTGAACCCGTAAAGCTGTAATTACGAAGTGATAGTAGGAAGAGGGGCTGAAAACTGTAAAGCATTCTGTGTCCTCCGTCAATGCAATGACGGCAATTAATAGGCTTCGATAATTAACGCCTGGACCCTTCGGGTCCGTAGAAGGTACTCTGCAAGGTTCTCAAGTAAATCTGAATTCTTGCGGATGAACGAGGGGCTATGCATCCCATTGGCAACAGGTCTCTTGTCAGTGGCTTCGCTGGTTAAAAATGAAGGAACTCGGCACGGCACGGTTGAAGCGTCTGCGGCCGAAACGGATTTCAATCGTCCACGTGACTAGAAATCGCTCTTTCCAAGCTTCCATCATCTATAAAGCAAAGCTGGCGCCGTCATAGCCCTCACACGACTATCATTTATCCTTTAACTCTATCGCTGCCATGCTTCGAGTCCCTGCACGTAGTTGCATTCGGGCTTTTGCTACAGAAAGCGTGCCGACAGCGTCGAACAACCTTCCCCCGCCTTCCCCGCCGCCTCGTCGTCGTCGACAAACGAGGCTTCATCCTGCTCCCCGCCCATACGAACCGTCATCCCCGCTCTCACGACCCCAATTGCCGCCCAGTTTCGGCAAGAACCAGCTTCTTCCCGTCAGTAACTCGACCCGTGCTCTTTTAGAAAGTGTCGTTGCCGAATTTGAAGCTCCCATCCGCTACGCATTCGCCTATGGCAGCGGCGTATTCGAACAAGATGGATACGACACGACCGCAGAACCTGGCAAAGGTGGACCCGTTCTCGATTTCATGTTTGCCGTCACCCATCCGAGCCATTTCCACTCCATCAATATGCATCAATTCCCGTCGCATTACCCGCTCAGCGCAAGGATGTTCGGTAGTGACTATGTCTCTACTGTACAATCTACCGGCGGTGCAGGAGTGTGGTTCAATGCCTATGTACCTATGCCGAATCAGGGGGTGACGATCAAGTACGGTGTGACCACAGTCGACAACCTCTGTGATGACCTACTCAACTGGCGCACCCTTTATCTCGCGGGACGTATGCATAAGCCTCTCCGGATAATCAAGGATGACGCGCGGGTACGGTTGACACAACAAGTCAACCTCGTCAGTGCCCTACGATCAGCACTCCTTCTCCTTCCCGAAGAATTCTCGGAACGAGAACTATTTGAGAAGATAGCTGGAATCAGTTATTCTGGGGATCCACGGATGGTGTTGCCGGCGGAGAACAGGGGGAAGGTGGGGAACATTGTGCGGAAACAGGAGGCCCAGTTCAAAGAACTATATGGACGGCTTGTGGGTGGGTTACCTGATGTGGATTGGTCAAGCGAGGCCGGAAGGCTAAAACAAGACCTTTCACCCCTAGCTAGGGAGAAACATCTCCGTAAGCTACCGAGGGTTTTGCTAGAGGCCTTAAGGACCCGGCATATGGCTCAGAACGAAGAAGAGGAACGCTTTTGGATCCGCCTGGCTGCGGATAAGAGGCTGGATACCTTATTAGAGGGTGGTACGTCACATTCTCGTTACTGCATTCTCCCGCGCTAAGTGTTCTTACAGAGATGAAACGTATCGTCCGTCTGCCTGCAACGATCCAGAGCGCCAAAGGTCTCGTCAGCGCCGGTATAGGGAAGAGTGTCCGGTATAGCCTAGCGAAGGTTGGCAAGTGGTGGCGAGGCTAGATACATAGACTATTCGCACAGGATATAGTGCACTACCCTACTCGGTCATTACAATACGTACGGAAGGCTAGTAAGAATTAATAAAAAAGCAGAAGTGTAATCACACGAGGGATTTTAGTGTCGACTATTTTCCAATGCTGCTGCTACTCTTACTTGATATTGACCTTACTTCGAGATCGAATGCGTCTATATGAACGAGTAAAGAAATATATAAGGGCAGGTCTAAGTGGTGAATATATTCCTACATAGATCCCAACGATAGACAATAGTTTACACAAGCCGACGTACAAGAAGATCCTAATATAACAGCAACTGTATACAAGCAAGAAAAGATTACACTGACATCGTAAAAATAGAGTAGGGGGTTGGTTACACGTTCTATTCCCCAGTAGAAGCCGCAAAACGTACCCTAGTTCATAGCCATCTCCACAAAGTCATTCCAAGTCGTGTGCAACGTATTGGCCTCTGGAGACCCGGAGCTTGATCTACGCTGCCCTGGCCGAGGATTGTTGTCCAACATAGGCGCCGATCCGTACCCGTTGATTCCGTTCTCCATACCATAGTCGTACACAGGGAAGTATTGCGGGAAACCATTCAGGGTTTGTGAATGTCCGTTGCTCATACTACCATTCTGGCGATGCGTAGCATGAGTGGGGGACGAAGTCTGCTGCTGTTGTTGGTGGTGATTTTGGAGCATGGACTGTGACTGGGAGAGGAATGATGGATCCGACTGGAAGGTGGACGCCGAAGGGACTGACGACAAGCCATACATGGACACAGGGGATATGTCCGGATCCGAAAATGAGGTGTGGGACGAGGTTGACGACAGAGGCGCTGGCTGGTGATTGGTTCCGAAGGATCCAAGATACGCTAACATATTAGAGTCCATATCGGTGGTGGGAGGTAGCGGGAGAGGTACAACAGGAGCATGTGAATTCGGAGAGCGCTCGAGGAGGGGTGGAGAAGAGGGTTCCTTCTTCACGAGACGCGACTTTCCGCCCAACATCGCCAACTCGTCGTCTTCATCAACTGGTGACTGAGGATCTTGGACAGAATAACGGCCGGTGGGAGAACCTTTTCCTTTTCGGAAGTCATCAAGACTCATGTGGGCCTTTTCCTGCAAACGAAGCATGATCGCCTACGAGTGAAGGATGTCAATCAGACGTAAACCCCCATTTATAAAAAAAGACGTTACCAAAACTTTGCCCGCCCGGAAACCTCGAGCAGTCTTGGAGAACAGCTCACAAGCCGAATCGAGTTGTACGAGTGCAGATGGCGCCAGACTCATGGACGGGCAACGAGTAACGATGGATCCCAAAACAATCTGAATTACGGATGAGCTTTATCGGGATGTGATGGTGGAGAGATAGCATACCGCGCAAGAAAACATGTGACCCCACAGGAACCAGATTCTTTCGCTGGGTTCTTGGAGTTGCGTATGGAGATTGCGCATAAGGGCCACCAAAGACCCCGCGCTACGATATGCGGCAATGACTGATGTTCCGTACGGACTACCAAGCGGGTCCTTTGGATGGTCACTGATGGCTCGAGCAAAGAAGCTGCGATGGAGGTACAATAAATCTAGTTATCGATCAGAAACTGATACACGAGTGAAGCAAACAGAATACTTACTCATTTCTCTGATTGCGAGGACGACGTGGCGTTGCAGTGTTAACATGATCGTCTGAGGGAATCCTCCTGGTCGGGGCTCAGAGCTGCCAAAGCCGGCTACCTGAAGAACCGGCGGTACGGGGAATGCACGCAGTTTACGGTCTAGTTGGAGGATGGTGGCATAAGTGGGGGTCTTAGCCCCAAATGCTTGATCGTGCAGAAGGTTCATGCATTCCGAAGAGAATCTATGCTTCCAAGCATGGTCTTCCAGGGAGGAATTTCGGGTCAGACTCAATCAAGCTATAAACTAGAAGTTCACTTACAACTTTGTTCGTCAGAAGGATCGTTCCCGTGGGGCATTTTACAATCGAAATGCGCTGATGTGAAGGATGCCGGTCGTCCGAGCGTGAAACATTGCCACGAATCGTACGTGAACATCTCCCAGAAAAGTTCTCGCCGGCGTTGGGTTTCGTGAGGGTCGATTCCTTTCCATCGACCGCTATCCCGATCTTCCGGAAATGGTTAGACTATTTGTAAAGAGCGAGATAGACACAACGACTTACGAAGACCGATCTAGAAGTAATGGAAGGATAAGTGCCACTTCAGTTGTAATGTAAGATGAGCGCTTACACTTTGTGCGACCTTGACCGCCATACCCATAAGGGCCCATCGAGTACCTGATCCAGCGCCATTCCTATCAGACAAGAATAGGTAAAAGGTCATCAGATACTGGGTGTCCCCACAACAACGTTAGTCAATATACATACTTATGGAGTAAGATGAACGGACTCACCAAGGCTTGTACGGCATTGATTGTTGGGGAATCGACGAATGAATCACGGAATAGGGCGGCTTTGGCGAGTTGGTGGTATTTCTCGGCCTCGATATTATATGCCGGTAGAGAAGTATCCATCAAAGTACCGATGGCGAGAATCATGAACATAAGGGACAGTCGATGGGGAAGAAGAGGGTCGTCCGCCGAGGGCAAATTGCTAGTATCGTAAAACTGATGGTAGACCTCGAAGTCAAACGACTCTTGGGGGATGGGGTTGTACCTATAGCAATAGATAACATCAGTCACAGAAGTAACAATCACGGATAGACATACATCCATGCAGCGTTCGTGTAATATATTGAACGCAGTTCAGCGGCTTTATCCGCAGGCGGTAAGTACCAAAATAGGTTTTGAATACTTGTGGAATCTTCGTGTAACGGGTGGGGAACGGCGGATATAGGAAAGGATGCGGCACGAGCCAGAATTTCCGGTGGGAGGATGTTCTGAAGATTGAGCATATGATCTTCATATTCGTCTTCGTCACCATCTTCGTTCTAAAATAGATAGAATAAATTAGGATTTCATCGCCTCGCAGCTCAGGGTTTCGAACCTGCAAAAAATACTGTGAAGGGCATGTGAGTCTGATTTCTGTCAAAGTGATTGGCTTGGCCTACCCAAGAATTCGCAGTTTGGCCGTAATATTTGGCACGACCAGATAAACTCAGCGACAATGAACCGAAAGCATCTACGACGTCAGGGTTGTTTTCTTCTTCCTTCTGCGATGAGTTATCAGTATTCCGCATAGAAGGCGGCTCCCTTTGAAGGGGAGCCTTGATCCGCAAGAGCTCTTCTGAAAGGAGAGGATGTTGATCCGAAGAAAGTCTGCTGTGAGAAGAGCGCAGGGCATCTTCGAGCTCACGGACACGGTTAGCCAATTCAGATATCTTTTCGTGCAGCTCTTGAGTAGAGGCGAGAACGAATCTATAGTAATTTACATATATCAGCCGTCAGGACGTCCAAAGAAGTTTGAAACTCACCGATTTCCTTGGCCCGTCGTCAACGATCCCTAGTTTTCGAACATTCAGATGCGGGCGGGGAACTGACGGATGAAGGACGTACGTCTGGACAAATAGCTCCACAACCTCGCTTTACACAAGAGCTGCAAGGTATCGAGCGATCGCAGCGTAGCTTCAATCTAAATGCTAGCATGAGATATTGTCGGGCAAATAGGCGATAAGAGACGCTGCACCTTCTACACTTTTCATGTGCAAATTTTAATCAGCCAACAGTGATACCTGAAAGTCGCCAAAATGTATCGTACCTCTGCACAGGACAATCTTGTAGCTCCCTTCCGTCGTTTTTTCTGAGTCCCGTCATCAGCATGTAAATCTGCGCGTTTTGCAGCGGTCGGGGATGACATGGTGGGTGGAATCACAAGAAGCGGACCGGCTTTGCGGATTCGCTCTAAGTACTTCAAGGATGGTTGCCGAATCTTGCCGGAGTTAATGCCGCGGAAGCAATACCGCCGCCGGTATTGCCGTTGTTCGGTGGCTGTGACCGTGACATGTTTCCTCCTGCCACCCTGAGTGTCCCTTGTCGGTCTGAAAACTTTTCAAACCCCCCAAACCCCCCAGCGCTCTCTGTACACCCTTTAGAGATTCTTGTCGACCGCAGCGTTTCGCCCAACACAGGAGAATACAGCTGGGAAATCCCAAACTTAATCAGGTGGCGACCGCCTTCACCGAATGATTGCATAAGATGCGAACTGGAAGGAAATGATGGGGGACTCCGTCGATACTGGATCCTACCTTTAGCTGGAAGTGGACCAACTTGGAATTGGATTACCATCTGCATGACCCGTCTTCAGCCCGACTAAGGCCACAGGGTACACAGCATCCACACTGCCTTGTTGTATCCAGCTAGAAGGCCAGAGCTGGACGTAGGCCATCATGACTGTATGCTATCTTGGGAGTTAAAAAGAGCGATAGGTGGGATCTTTTCCCACGTGTCCTGGTCGGAGATGTGCCCTGATCTGGCTAGGTCGCGATCAGATTCGCAGATTTGTCGCTGATATTCAATTTTACCCCGCATCTTTTTTACAGTGTTGTTGTTCTCAACAGGACTGAAGATATCGGTGTTTGTATTTCACAGATACACGCGGGCGCTTGGGTGAAACGATGAACTCGACTCTATTTGAAGTGTGGCGCCACTGGAGGTAAGGGGTATAACTTGATACAGCACTTCCTATTAAGAATACAAAGACGTTCGACGACCACGTAATGACGCACTCACCGACAAATACATGATCCTGCGGTTCCGAGGAAAAACGTATCTAGATCACCGTGATCCGTAAACTCACCCTGTGTCTCTCTCGGTGTACACAAGTTGAAGCAAGGCCGTAGAATGTTCCGCTAGGACTAGTATGGAAAGAGATCAGCTCTGACCGCCCCATGAAGATGTGCGGTGGACTGACCAGTATTGAAAACTCGATGTCATGAGCACCTTGCAGCGGGGTTAACGGCACTGATAGTAGGCGGATCAAGGTCGGAAGTCCACAATTGGCGGGTTAAAATCTGTCAGTGATGATTCTCTGTTGCATAGATACTTGCATCGAGGGTCCATGTTCTAGCACAGGAAGACGTTTTAGAGTCGTCACGTAATGCTGTTTCGTTAGAAAAATAGGCTCCTCACATCCTCAAGCTCAAGTGTAGATTGTTCAAATCCAGCCATTATATTGAGATACAAAACTATTGCGAATTCAAAGTTACATACTCGAATCGTAGCAGTAAAAAGGTCGAGACAAGGGACTAATGTAATGCTCATAACGGTCGTAAGTGGTCTAACGGGCAAAAAGATATTAACCGCTCCATCATGATGCCAAAACTTCCTTCTCGACATGCATTGCCACTCCGTTACTGTACGGAGGTGACGATCCACCCAGACTCCCTATGTCCGATAATGAACGCACTACCACGTCATTATGTGAACTTTCTTCGCTTGTAGGGCTCAGCGGCTCATTCATGGAAGACGCGTCCGAGAAGCTGTAAACCGAATCACGGTGAGGAACCTGAGGAGTGGCAGCGTTCGATTGAAGGGCTGAATTGGTAATATTTGAAGCGGTTGAGGAGACGCTCCCTCGGGAACTGAAAAAGCCACCGATCTTTCGTGTGAGCGGTACTCCCGAGGCATTGAATTGGGGGGAAGGTGCGATAACAGGTGAAGCTGTAGAAGTTGTTGCGGTCGAGCTAGGACCATTGGCAGGTTTTACGGAGGTATCGACTTTCCACAGCTTGAATCCCCATCCAGCACTGGCCTTCTTTGCCTCTGTCTCATCTCCGGTCGTGGTGGCAGGCAAAGGAGGCAGCTTTACACCGTCCCTAGCGTCAAGGTCGACGGTTCCAACATTGTTTTCGGAAATAAATTCCCGCAATGCGTTTACACACGTGTCAGACGCTTCCTTGGCTTCATTAGCCTCCGAGAGCTCGTGCTTGGTCTCTTCAAGCTCATCCTTCACCGCCCGCAGTTCCTTCCGCAGCGCCTCTAGCTCCAGATTGAACGAGTCTCTGTCGGCTTGAGGAGAGCGATTATAGATACCTGATATTCGGCGAGACGAGGTGGCTGACAGTTCGGGGGGCACGATTAGCGTTTGCGAGGACTGATCATCAAGGCATGTATCAGAAACTGATGAAATACGTCGATGAGCATTCGGACGTGTCGTGTGGGAACCTGTAGCAGGGGTGAACGAGGCTCGCTTGGACGACCCAGGGGTGCTGAAATTGTTGAAACCCGCACGAGACAAGTCCAGCGGCATCGGTCCGACACTTTGTCTGCGGTTCTGATTTTCGGATTGAAGCCGCATAAGACCACGTCTAGATAGTATAGTAAGCGACAAGTTATAGCAACCAAGCAAACAAGGTCGAGGCATACCTGCTCTCTTCCACCTTTGTCCGCAGCATCGCAATGGCATCCTCATCGTCTTTCATTTTCCGTCTCGCCGTCATGAGCTCCTCTTCCAACTCTGTCGCCTTTTCTGTTACGGCTTGCAGAGCGTCCTTGAGCTCTGCTTCGTTTGAGTGCGCCCCTGAGACAAGCTGAAGCAAATCATCCCGCTCTTTGGTCATTTCGGCTAATGAATGGCGGAGCTGCATGACAATATGTGCAAGAACCTGCGGGTCGAGCGATTCACGCTTTGGACGTGTATCGTGAGTATGGGCGTTGTATGCGGGGGTTACTGGTGGCGATTCCATGTCCAGTTGCTGTTCAAGTTCGAGACTGAGATCAATAGAAAACGGTCGTTGGGCCTTGGGAGACGAAGGAGAATGGAAAGCCTGCGACATGGCGGTAGGCGGGACTTCAAATTCTAGGTGGTTATCAGTCTGTTCGGACTGCGCGTGGAGGTTCATCGTGGTCGTGAATGAAAGTAGAAACAGATTTCAGCGGTCTCCGGACAATTGGCTGCCACCGCCTGCCATGTGAAACGGTGCACGTGGTTCCTTCGCGACGTGTTCCAACTCGGAAATACTAATAGTAATAGCCACTCGGCGATGCGACTCGGGTGTTACCCACAACCACCACCGCCCCCATTGGTTTGTAGCAACAAGAAGACATATATATTCCAAACATGCAAAAAATCAGTATATACAAATCAATGACTATACTTACAAGAATCAATTGTCCCAGTTTTCCTATCATATTGTACACCACTTGTTGCTCAGCCTGCTCAAAACACATACACGGTATCCCATTATTGTTTTTCTTCTATTCAGACGCATGCGTCAGTGCGTCAACACATATTATACCTTCTCTTTCGCTCCAAGGGTATCCCCATCGGTGAAGCCATTCGCGTACGCCGGTTGCTAGTCGCGCTCGGGATGCCCCGCGAGCCACATCTTGCGAACCAGTGTGCTTTTCTTCGCCGACAACAATGTATGCTGCGAAAAAAAAATGGGGTCAATGCCAAGAAATTTCCGTGATTACGCCGCAGCTCACCTAAACCATAGAAGTGCTCAGCCTCCAACTACGAAAAACATCCGAATTAGCTGTGCTCAGCAAAAAGAAACATCTGTTAACTCACTGCCAGTAAGAAATCTTCCAGAACTTCAGTCGCCTCATTCGAGTGCAACCCATGTAAATCAAGCATACTCTCTGTCCTCTCCTCAGGAGTCAATTTACCGTCTCCAGTATCGGTTCTCGCGATTCCCAAGATGACACCATAACCCCCACCACAGACACGCCCTCGAGCAGCTCGATCACCAGGGTCGTCTGACCAGCTGGCATCCCTGTTTCTAACAGCTTGCTCAGCCAGCGTTGCGCGCTCACGAACGAGGTGTCCGGCAGCTGACGCCATTTCTGCACTCATCTTGCTGTTCAAATCATGTCCTTCCCTACTGAACCGCTTCGCTGCAGCGCCGTCTCCTCGCCTCCATGCGTCTGCGGCACGAGACAAACACGCATTTCGAGCTGCACCAAGTTGCAAAGCGCGAGCACGGTATGCCATGTACAAGGAATTCACCGACTCCCCCGTGGGGAGCGTGGGCAGAAGTGCCGGAGGACGGAGTTTAAGTCGAGGCGATGGTTTGGGTGCGACAATCGCCGATCGAGTATGAAGGTTGTCGGCTGAACTGCCCATGGCTTCGCGACGTGCGGGACTATCGGCATGAGCTGCTGGAGCTGGTTTCTTGACAGCCGCGGCAAATCTTGTTCGCCCGGGATCGTAAGCTCTGTCTGCGTATCCTCCCCGTCTACCTTTGCCATTTTCATAACCTAAGACGGGGAATTCCTCTAGTCCAACCGTATGAGCAGCAAGCGGACCAGTGCCTGGCATTACATTAGCACGAGACATGGCAATATTCAGGCTCGTTATATCAACGTCCTTAGGTAGATGGTGCAAAAATTCGCAGCTATCCTGCTTTGCGCATGTTCCCCGAAGCCAGAAACGACACAGAGCACGCTCTAAATCATGACTAGATGAAATGAAAATTAGTTTTGAGCATCACATGTAAAACACGGAACTATACCTGAATCTGCAGTCCGCCCGAAGACACTCGCCAGCGACAAAATACCGGCAGACTCTATTCCCTCCTTGAACGGGCCGTCCATTAACATATCTAGGAGCCGGCCGTGCATTTTGGGTTTGAAAGCCTCCTCGACCACGCACAGCTTCTCTAGAGACAAGAGTTACTCGGCCTCCCATATTCTGCATACGAACCTGAGGGTTTTGAGGCACAGACGGCAAAGCTCGGTCAACGAGCCAAGCCATCGCACGATCAAAGTCGTACGCATTGGCAGCGAGGGCCTCCTCCAACTCCGAAGGCGCAAGAGTAGAACCGAACACAGAACTGAGAACGTCAAATGGCGTCATCCCGTCGGTGAGTACTGCAGCAGCTTCTGCTTCTGCTTCTGGATCCTCTTCTAGAGGGTCTTCAGAGAGCAATGATTCATACGAGGCGTACGAAGGTTGGAATTGATTGTGCATCTCCCCGATTCTGGGATCCTCGGGGGACATAGAGGAATTAGACGACCCGGACCACTGAGCATCGAAATCCGCGGAATGAAACGTATTGAAAGATGGCACAGGTTTCTGAGCAAAGGGATCAAAAGGATCCTCCTCATCACTATCGTGTTCATCAGGGAAGAGCGGAGAACGAAGAGAGGAACTGGGCGTGAGTGACCGTGTAAGCAAAGGTTGCTCAGGAAGAAGGGGAGCCGCGATGGCTAGATTAGACGTGGCTCTAAACGGACTGTGCGACCAGAGATCTGGTGATGGGGTATCTGCACGTAAAGGGCCCGGGTTAGATGATGCAGCAGAGAGCGGTCGTTGAATGGGCTTGAACTCGGAAGCCTTGGCATTTAGCAGGCGCGGTGATGACAACGGCGAGGCTGGTAAGCTGGCTGTGAATTGGGCATGAGCATGGGTCACCTGGGCATGTGAGAGAACGGGCGACGACGAAGGCGAGTAGTCACTGCCGCGCGCCGACATGTAAGACGACGCCTGGCCGACGGCGAGCGGCGAAGCAAGTGGTGTGTGAGGTCGGCGAAATACAAGAGCTCGTGGTGAGCTAGGCGCCGACAACGGTGTTTCTGGACGAGCTTGATGCAGACGGCCCGACGCAGTAGACGCCCTTGATGACGGTCTCGAAATAGGACGACGGATGGGCGTCAGAAAGAGAAATGGAACACCTGCAACGTCGTCTCGGTGCTTGTGCATGAGATCTAAGACACCCTGCTCCGCCTATCCCAAGGTCAAGAAAAAATATTGCCAGAGAAAAAATTACGCACGGTCTCATCATCCAGGCCAAAGGACTCCTTCACGAGCGCCTTCAGCTCGTCTTCGCGTTCCTCTACCAGCAGGTCCACGACCTGATTCACCAGCGACGACGAGACCCGTCGAATCTCTTCGCCATCAATATCACCCTCGAAGCCATCTATGGGTTTAGACTGGCGCGCCAAGGCCGACAGTTGGGCTCGAGTGTGGGGAAATCTGGGTTGAGGCAAGGTATTATGCTCTCCAGAATCGGACAAGTTGCCCGGGTCCTCAGGCAGTGATAGTAGAGACATGTTGTTACAGGTGAACTGGGGATAGAGCAAAGAAAATGAAAAGTGACATAGAGACAGCAAAAGAAAGCAGAAAAGAGAAGCAAAAATCTGCCTCACAGGGTTGATGTTCTCCCATCATCTGATGCCAATTTGGACAGCACAGTCCTGATATGGATGCACCAGCTTAGGAAGCAAATAATCTTGCCTGCGACTCGGGTTTGCGTACAAAAGCAATATTATAGTGGAGAAACAAAGTAAATACGACTATTGACATTGTACGTCTACACAGTAATTTGAACTTCCCCTAGTTGCCATGATCGCGATCACTGCTCAACAGGCCTTATACATTATACTGGAGTTCAAACCGTTTGTACGCAATTGCCGGTACACAGAGAGAAAACGGTCTAGATCTTGACGTTAGGCTACGTGTTTGAATAATATTTGCTGTCGCCGACGTCGTTGTTCGTTGTCAGTGCGGTCTGACAGAAGGTATGGGAAATAAGTTCCGCGTGATTTGCCCTGAAGCGCAGGCCCCAGCGATTTATGAAGCAGAGCATGGCAAGCGAGCAGAGGTCGACAAACTGTGGCAATTAGGCTGAGACTTGCATATGCTTGAGCGGTAACCGATATTATTGATAATGGATCGTAACGAGATCGGACCACCGGGCATTGCGTGAACGGTAACTCGCCGGAGCCGTAGTACACAGTTCAGTGGCAAGGCTTCGACGAAATGTCACCCACACGTCTCGATTAACTGTGAATTGCGGCCAACCGCCGTCTTTACGAAAGCGTCGATGATCCCGCCTTTCCGAACAACAACGTGTGAAGAATTCGGTGATTTCGTCGGATGAAGAACGTGCATGGCGGTGCCTAGGTGCTCGAACCCTTTTTCAGAAAGACTAGGGTAAGTCATAGAGAATCAGTCGAGAAAGACGCCCAATGTACTCATCGTCGCCTGCAGTGTAAGAACAATGACCAGATCCAAGCCAGATTAGGTGAATCTCACTCGCAGGAGAAAGAAACGTTCACGGGTACTTGATAAGCCCGCGTCTTGTACAGATACGACATACATTTCCGTTCTTCGGAAGTTAAAGCGAACAAGAACGCTGGGAATGAAGACAGATTCGTAGAACAAGTCGAATGATGTCGAGGTTTCCGAGGAACGACCGCGTACTCCCTATTGGCTCAGCATTTCCTTACTAGGTAAACCTACATGCCGCCCGAGGATGGCTGATAGTCGTCCTTTCGACAAGAATCCGGGGCTGGTAGAGGGACTAAAGTGCCACAACGCTATTAATCGCCACTGAAATTGAAATGTTCACCGAGATAGCCCGATCGTTGTATACCAGGAATGAGGGAAGACTGTCGATGCCCGACGTGGAAGATGCAGAAGATGAGACGAGTTCGTTTGACCCGGGATTGAATACTATATATTATGGCCCGAGACCCGTTAGGAAATAACAAGGACATGCGGGTACTTGAGTGGAATCACGGGGAAAGGACGGTGGTAGAGTCCCGAGTCAGGGAAGGCCAAAACCAGTACTGCCAGCCCTCCTGTGACCTTCAAATGAGTAAAGGAAAAGAGATACCTGAAGGATCGCTCTGCTCTTGGTAATTCGCAGCATACTGCCTCGATGCCAAGAACTCCACGGGGTTGTGATAACGCGTCATGAGCAAGGAAAACTGAATTTCTAGATCAAAGATATTGTTACGCACATGTGTGAAACAGTAACGTGACTAGTGTCGGCCTTTCCGGATGCCACTGGGGTATCCCCCAGTTGTCCGCAGCGAAAGCTAGCTTGTGGGCAAAGAGCTGATGGCTGACTGATATAAGTGTATGTATTTTGCAGGGCCGACAGGGAAGCAAAAGAAAGAACCTGAGAACCCACCAGGATACCGAATGGCACGATTTCACTAGTGGAACTAGGAGAACGAAAAATCAAAACATGGATCCCCGGGACATCCATTGGGAATAGTAGAAAAAATAAATTCTATCGAGCGCTGCGCTAGACGCTCGGGTACTAAGTAAGAGCTAAGAAATCAAATGGTCGGAGAGGGGTAAACAAGGACAACGTCACCGGCAGACTTGCCGTATTGGGTTCAGATCTGAGCACGCACTGTATCCTCGAATGGCTCGTTGCTGACTGCTTCACCGCTCTCCACTACCACAACCATCCTATGGCGTCTGCCTATCCACAGGACTCGTCTCTAGTGCAACGACATAAACGCAGGGGAGCTGCTCTCAGCTGTGCCGAGGTACAGTGTCGCGTCCTTGTATTCTCAGTTCGGGAGGCTTATTCAGACCTGTCTTGTTCTGTCCAGTGCAGGAGGTGCGATACGCGTGTTCACTATCTCCCCCTGAAAGCTGATCTGTTGCATAATTTCTAGATTGAAGCTCAAGTATGATTTATTTTGCTTCCGTTCCCAGCCGCGGCTCATGCTCCGTACAGGTGTAGTCGTGTGTTTCCTTGCAGGTAAAGCTTGTTCGCTCTGTCTGTGGTAGCTATATGCTTATTATCTGTGTACTAGCAATTGCGTGAAAAAGGGTATGGCATTTATCCTTCGACGCGGCGTCAGTATCTCAGTACCTGCTGTGTAGGATGTGGTCCCATATGTCCTGATGGTATTTCATGTACCAGATTTTGTCTGGCATTTGTTGTAATGACTGTATCCAGGGTCTCTGACGACCGGCAAGGGAAATCGGTGTGTCTTCACGTAACTAAATGTCGATTGATTTCATTCAATCGTTGCCCTAGTTTCGTCCTCGCCAATACTGAGGCGCTCCACGATAAGATTGGACAACTATCAACTCGCGTGCGACAGCTCGAAGATGCCCTCGCTGAATCACATTCTTTGAATTCCCCCCATCCTCACCCTCTACTAAGCGAAGAGCTCCTACAGATTAAGCGTCCACTGGAACGAGAGAGACTCGACGAGCAAACTCAAAAGGAGAACCACGCGGAAAATGCAGACGCAATTAACGCCCTCGGCTCCCTGTATGATTCAATTGACCTCTCCCGTCCTTTTACTCAAGCGTCCATTTCCAGGTCACTATCGGAACGAGGACGATCGTCGTTCTTTGGCCAAGCTGCCAATTCCTGGGTAAGTCTCTGAATCGCTGATCTCTTCCATAACTCATCACGTTCACAGTATCTCCTGAAGGTAAGAATTGCAAATTCCTTGTTTTTAACCTTCGGGCTTCCACGTTTCCAGAACGAAGAAGGTTCCGAAGAAGATGATGACTTGCCCACAAACTTTGAAATCACGATTCCGATGGAACTGCCATGGCTTGAGCACGCATTTCCGTTCACTCCATCTGTTAGCAGATGTGCTGACGAGATTCGGCACTCTCTACACGGTTACTTGCCTAGCGCATCTGTGGCTAGGCGACTGTCAGGTATGCCTTCTTCGGTTGTGTTATCAGCCCCAGAAGCCAGGCTGAAACATGTTCACAAGAACAATACTACCGACATGCGGCTTGGATGTAAGTTTCACATGTATCTCCTGGACTTCATCTCATCGGCCTCGATAGGTATATGCCCATCAGCCAGAAAGACTATTTTGATACTATCTTTCGCCCTGTGTATGAACAAGAGTACCCTTATGGCGAGGCGATCAATTCTCACAGTCTAGCACTACTCTTCATGGTCCTGGCCATGGGTGCACTGATGGACCTCGAATTGCCAGCACATTCACCTGAAGCGATTCAGTATTATCAACTAGCAAAGGCTGCGCTTTCCATCAACTCTGTCTTTGAGGAGCAGTCAATTCCGGGGATACAGGCATTAGTGAGTTCCTCATTCATGAACCCTATGAGCATCTTATTGACGCAGAAAACAGTTCATCATGTGTCATTTCATGTTTTGGAATGACACCGAAGCTCGTTGGGTAATGATGGGAATCATAGTAAAGTTGGCGCAAAGTGTTTGTCATTTAATGTCTTTTTTAATTTGTGGCTCGTTGCCTGATATGCCTGATCCACAGGTTGGACTCCGTAAGCATGATCAGTACACTGACAGTTTGCCCTTATGATTGGTGATTGCGCCCGTAGATCGTGATAGCGGCAAGTGGAATCTTGATCCAGAAGAATCCTACCGGAGGCGCTGTCTTCTCTGGGAATTATATGTCTACGATTCATGGCAGGTGAATAGTCTTGTTCCTGATGAGATGACATTAGAATGTGACATTCATTCAGTCTCTCACTTATGGAAGGCCTCCATCCTTCGCTAATGTCCATGTGGACGCCAAGTTTCCTCAAGATGCACCGGGTACTCATAATGCCAATGGAGAAATGAGTTGTAAGTCCGATATCATATCTCGTCGTCCATTTCTCTGAACATTTTTGCCAGTCTCTGCTTGGAAGTACACATTCGCCTCGGAATGTCTGTCCATTGTCCATGATCAAGCTTTTGGTGCGCGTCCGCCCAGCTACAAAACATTGCAAGATCTGGATAGAAAGGTACGGTCTTACTATGTTCCTCCGAGCCTCCAGGTGCCTGGATTTGGCGGCGCGAGGATGGGACCGGAGCTTGAGCAACCTTCGACGCAATTGACTATGCAGCGCTACATTGCATTTGCGATCAAGGAGATCAGTACGTGACGTTCCGCTTCTGCAGTTGAAGTTGACCTCATATCTCCTTTAAGCACTTTTTTATATGCATCGAGGGTTCTTTGCACAAGCACTTGAGGATCATCCCTTGGATCCTATGGGTAGCAAGTATGCGCAATCGGTGCTGGCTGCCTATACCAGCGCATGTTCGTTCGTGGGCTTGGTGGAGAGCCTTTTCAAGCAACATCCCGCCTTAACGGAGCGCATGTGGTTTTTGTTTACCCACGTCTTTTCTTGTGCGGTAAGTTCACATTCCTTGTCTTCCACGAGTTTCAGTACTAAATTAGCATCAGATCGTGCTTGGTTCAATTGCCATGAAAGCTCAGATGGCCCTTGCCCCATCGGCGCTATCGCACCTGGAATCTGCCCATCAACTTTTCTCCCAAGTCTCGGAAAGTTCCAGGACTGTAAAGATACTTGTACGCGACGTTTGATTGCTTCTCTTGCTACTTCTGTCTCACGCTTCTGCTGCAGGCAGTCCTCCAGAAGCTCAAAGAACGGGCGCATACGGCTCTTTCGAAGGTGCGCGGGCTCGTACCGCCTGACCCGATATCTCGTCCCTACCCCGCTGTCCGTGTCAAAGAAGAAGTTGATGAATTCGCAGCCCTAGGTGGTACGACACGACTGGTTTCACGGAGAACGTCTTCTCTTCCTTCTTCCCCTTCTTCCCAAGCTGGCTCTAGTCCCGTGTCTCAACCTGCATCACCGCCCGGCCCCGGTTCACCCATCACTCAAGAACCCCAAGGCGGTTATCAGTCAATGCAAGAATCTGTGAACCAGTGGCAAACATATACCCCTCAGCCGCAACAAGAATACCAATTGGCAGAATACCCGTTGTACCCTAACGTGCCCCTTCAATCGGAGAGCGCCATGGTATATAACATACCGCAGAACCAGCATGGGATGACGTTGGACGTTATGCCCGAGTATTATGGATATAGCAACGGTAATGGGGCCAACGTTAGAGTTGGATATGGGCAGTATACCATGCAACATCCTGGGGAGTACAGCGCTCCACCGGATCATGATTTACAGGTTTCGTGGTCAAATTTTATGGCGCAATACAAGCAGATCTAACATATTTTTGGCGTACTTTTTTTTTGATGTCGTTGGATTTTCAGATGTATTTGTTTATGGCATGTACTTGTATCGCTCTAGTTGCTGCTTCATATTACGGTCGTGTATCTTTATAACGTCGCAAGGACAAATATATTTCTTGTTTATTGCACTTTATGCTGTTCCGGTCACGCCGCCAATAATTGCGACATAGGACCAGATGATGTCATCATGTACTAAGTGGCTTACAATATAACTCTCTTTTGACGCTGTCCTTGCTTACTACAACTGCTGCTGTACTCATATATAAAGCGCCTGCGAGTGCTGTCTATCTACATACATAATGTCTGGCCCAGTCGAAATTGAATCTGTCACGCAGTGGAACGAGACTCTCCGTTCTGCGACAGCAGCAGGGCAAACAGTCTTCGTCGACTTTCACGCAGTATGGTGTGGACCTTGCAAGGCATGTACAATCTCCGATCCATCGATCTCGTATCCTGAGCACTTCTCTAGCAAATCGCTCCATTTTTCGCCCAGTTTGTGCAGAAGAACCCTCAAGCGATATTCGTGCGTGTCGATGTCGATGCACAGAAAGCCATCTCGTCAAAATACCGGATATCAGCCATGCCTACTTTCATCGCGATCAAGGCAGGTAAACAGGTCGACTTCTTGCAAGGCGCCGACCCACGGGGTCTTGCCGCCATGATTACTCGACATGCGGCTAGAGTCGTACCTTTGTCGGCGGAAGCAGAGGCAGCGAAGGAAGAGGGAAACAAGCATTTTGCTTCGGGAGAATATACTGCTGCTGCTGAAGCATACACCACCGCGATATCTCATGCGCAAAAATCCCCACAGTTGTATGCGAATCGTGCTTTGGCGTATCTCCGTCTCGGAGGTAAGGAAAACCTACCTAAAGCGCTTGCTGATGCGGTAAAAGCAACTGAATTGGACGAACGGTGGGGTAAGGGATGGGCACGGTTAGGCGATGTTATGCTTGCAGTGGGAGAAGATGAGACTGACCCAGAGGGTGTGAAACATATGGTGAATGCGGCGCAAGAATCATTCGAGAACGCTGTAGGTCTACTCGAAGGATCTGCCAGTCAGCAAACAGGTCAGTAACTTGGTTTTTTCAAGATTTCGCGCAATGTTCACTGGCTGCAGAGGTCAAAAAGAAACTGGAGGCAGTTCGGGAACGACTTAAGAAGACCGCATAGAAATTGCAATTGCTGACGCCGTGTATGCAGTACAAGTGTAGTGCCGTAAATTGTATCTGTACAAATATTATCGTCGAGTCCGGCGAATAAATAGCATCCGGAGTTACATAAACACGTTATCCTGTGAGGGTGATCTCCTCGGGTCATTGTAGATTTACCGCTTGCTCTTTCCCTTCTTTTACAGTCTCTCTTTTCTCGTAGCATGCCGGTCCCAGATGCTAAAACGCGTAGCAAAATAAGCTTGAACCCAAAAGTCTTGTCTACTTCGTAGGGTGCTCTCTAGGTCTGTTGTTAGCCATCGCTAACCTTCCGCGACCAGTGTTCCCAGTAGACACCTGCCGAAAATACTGATTTCAAACGCATTGTTCGCGACATCACTACACCTAGGGAAGGATTGGCTCCTGGAGTACGATGTAGGCATCTTTTGGGTCGTGATGAGAGTGTTGGCCTGCGGTGGTGTGGGCGTTATGGTTTGGGAGGGCTTGACTGGTCAGCTGGCACGGCGGAAAAATATCGAGGTGCGTTCATTCTATTGTACTGAGAACATTTGTAGCTTATCCGGCCAGTGGTCTGCACTTGGAACAGCATCGTTGCTTCTCTTTGCCCAACAGGCATGTCTATTCACGGCTCTGTATAGGCTCTCATCCATACGGTATGCCTACATACCACTCTTTTTCTGCGTGTTTCTGACGGAGTGTTGAAGTGTCACCCTTTTCACCCAATTTTCTTCACTATGGGTTGATAGTGTCCTCAACACGCGTTCTGTATGTCGTTTCCGTGTATCCGAGTCCGATACGTTGTCTAATAGGTACACCAGCCTCGGAAGGCTCTCGCAATCGTCGTAGCCTTTGTTCTCTCCGCCCTTTTAGACGCAGAGTTCGATGCTGCAAATTTCGCCCGCTTAATGCCCGGCTATGTGGCATTGCTCATCCATGGAGTATCTTCAGCTGCCCTCGACCACACCCTAGGAGTCATCACGGTTTCTCTTGGCACCACGTTCACAATCGCTGCCACCACGCTTGGTGCTTCTATCTTTGCCCTACCGTTCTACATCTTTAGGACAGTGGTACGTTGAATTGTCTGAGATTCAAACCATAGACATTCATCAATCATTCTCTACAGCTCACATCAAACTCAACTCCGGCACTCCCTTTGATCTCGTTGGCTGCCATTCCTTTCATAGCGTATTCGCTGCTATTCTTCCATCCATTGACTACGCGATCATTGGCACATGTATCTCCCATACCGCAACATGTTGTTCTATCCTATCCGTTCACTCTTATTTTTGCATCAATATTCGGGCCTCTTGCATTTTCGCAGATTCCCCGTTGGACGGATCTCTTCGTGGCTTCCCTAATCTATATCGGTACATCAGTGCTGCTCTGCGATGAAACTGATGCTAATTGAATCTACAGGTCTCCAACCAGAAAGTATGGAGTCTATGACTGCCGCTCCTCGTACTTCTACCTCACGTCTGGTCCGATCATACCTCAAGACCATATTGTCTAATGCAGAATCTCGAAAGATCTTCTACTTTTTGATGCTCAATATGGCGTACATGTTGGTTCAAATGCTGTATGGTGTGTGGACCAATAGCTTGGGCCTAATTTCCGATGGTCAGTCCTTATTGTGCGGTTCTGTGGATAACGTCACTTATCTTGGATGTTCAGCGATCCATATGGCTTTTGATTGCATGGCAATTGGCGTAGGACTTTTCGCCTCCGTTATGGCAACCTGGGAACCCAACGAGAGATATACTTATGGGTGAGTAAAGCCTGCGGTACATATTTGGCGTACTTATATGGTCCAGATATGGTCGTATCGAAACACTTTCCGGCTTCGCAAATGGTATATTCTTGATCTTGATATCTATCTTTATTGTCTTCGAAGCTATCCAACGAATGTGGGCATCTCCTTTGAACAGGAAGAAACTTATACTGACAGGTCATAGTTTGGAACCGCCAGAAATGAACACAAGCCAGTTACTACTGGTCAGTTCCTTAGGATTGGCCGTCAACTTGTTTGGGATGTTCGCCATGGGCGGCCATCACCATCATGTATGTCATTACAGTAGTTCTGCTTCTGTGTCTGACATATTCTTAGGGAGGTCATTCGCATTCTCATGGACACTCTCATTCGCACTCGGATGACCACAACCATGATGCTCCCCATCAATCTCATAGTATCTCTCTGCCCAATGGTCATTCACACTCACCTTCTACATCACCTATGTCACCAGGTCCCCATTCGCATTCGCATAGTCACTCACATCCACATTCGCACTCACATTCACCAGACTGTGATGTTTCGCATTCTCATTTAGAATCGCCATCTCTCCATGTATCACACGAGGAATCTCACTCGGATCCACACCCACATACAGGATCGCACTCCGAATCTGATCATTCGCGCTCACACTCCCACAGCCATTCGCATTCGCCGCCTCCCCAGGTCAACGGTTACCACTCTCACGGACCCGAGCTTTCGCATCTTCCGAGTGCGTATGCAGAGCGTACCAAGCGCCATGTTCCTCCTTCACTAAAAATCCATCCGACAAATGATACTTCGGTTCTCTCAGCAATTGCACCTCACGTTATTGCATATGATGATGTCCCTTCGCCTCTTACTCCGACGTATCGCTTTAGTGATGATCATCATCTCCAAACGTCTCATTCTCCTTCAGTTCACCATCATGACCACGAGGGGCACAGCGATAATATGCGTGGAGTATTTCTGCATGTCATGGCGGTACGAACTAGTTTGCACCGGGGTATTCTTACTGATCCTCCTTTGCAGGACACCCTAGGCTCTGTAGGCGTCATCGTTTCAACATTGCTAATCCAGGTGTATGGATGGACGGGCTTTGATCCAATTGCCTCTCTTTTTATTGCTGTCCTAATCGCGGGAAGTGTACTGCCTTTAGTCATCGATACTGGCAAGGTTCTATGCTTGGATGTTGCTGAACGCGATGTTAAGATTGAGAGTGCTTTGTCTGAGGTTCGCCTGGTCAGAAACGTAACCTATTAACGCTGCTAATAGTATTCTCCTACAGTTAACATCTATTGAAGGTCTCGCCTCTTACTCACAACCGCGATTTTGGCCCAAAGATGCTTCAAAGACGATTGGATCAATACATATACAGCTCACACCATCTTCGTCGTCTGTCGATCCTGGTGGTCCACACTCCAGCCAACGATTGTCATACACGCAAGTAGATCGTGTCATCGAACGTGTTGATACTCTTCTGCGGCAGAGAATTAATGGTTTGGAGGAGTTGACGATACAGGCCGAGGAGGTCAAGGGTTATACAACAACGTAACCATGTATGTATATTATGACATGAGATTTGGAGCCTCAGTGTTGGATGTAAACATTTTCTGTGTGAAGGTCTGGATGTGGCTGTGCGGGTCAATTTGACTCGGAACATCGATGAGCCTTTTGTCTTTGTCCCTCTTTCCCGCAACACAGGCGCAGACAATCGAATCGAGGCGTCGATCGTTTAAGGAATGGGGAAGATCCATGACCGAGGAGGAATATCTGCGTCGGGACGCCGAAATGGATAGTGATGAGCACGCGTCCAATAGAAGACTGACAACTTGGTAAGATTCTAACTGCAACAAATCACGACAGATATTGATTCAAATCAGGGTTTTATGTTCACGGGAAGACCCCGAATCACTGGGATTCAAGTGTTCGTGCGAAACGTAAGTAACCTCAAACTAGTAGAACGTTGGTAGCTACTGATATTTGGTTCTGAGCTAGCTTTCGGCGCAGGGGTCTAGTCCTTCGAAGAAATAGTGTGCAGCTAGATAACGATGCACTAGGGGAAGTAGTTTGCTATGCAATCGCGTCGGTATTTACGCCGGAACGGTTTCGACGCCAAGGGTACGCGAAACATATGATGCGCCTGCTACACTGGGTACTAGCTTCTCCTTCGTCTTTGCCATCTACGTTTCCGGCAGCATGGGGTTTACCCCCGGAGAAGCCTTCTTGGTTGGCACATGGTCATTTCTCAGCGTTGTGGAGTGATGTCGGCCATTTCTATCAATCCTGCGGCCCTACGACTGACACCCAAGGCTGGATAGTAAGAGACGCTATTTCTACCATATGGAATGTTGAAGCTGGCGACACGGACGTCGATACTAGTAGACGGTGGCAATGGCTCAGTGCAAGTGATGTGGAAACACTGCATTCTATTGACGACCAGAGAATCAAGGCGGACATGGCGGCCATGTCGCTGGCTTCGAGCGTTGGGGAGACTTTCTTCACTTTCTTGCCTGGACAAGGTGTTGAAAAGTTCCAAAAAAGCAGGTTGGAGCATGTCTGGGGAAAGTTCAAGCCTTCAGTAGAACACTGGGGCGTCGTCTGTGGGCCCATAGAGCCCGGCAAGACCATGACAACATCCGATGAACATACTGCAATGGCGACGTGGACCTTCGAGATGAAACCGCCGACTCTCCTCGTTACTCGTCTACGGGCAGGCAAGGAAAATTTTTTGGACCTGGTGTCAGCCCTGAAGTTCGTTGCCAGAATGCACGGGATGGAGAGAATAGAAATCTGGAATCTACCGGAAGTACACAAGAGTATAGCGCAGGAGCACGGTGCAGTGCATATAGAACGAGAAGAGCATCTTCCAGCGTTCAAGTGGAATGGAGCGGAGGCCTCGAACAACGTTGTATGGCTGAATAATGAGAAGTGCGTTCCTTCCTTTTACAAAAAAAAACATTTTGAGGCTAATGTTGTCAAGGTTCTGCTGGTGCTGAGCATTATAGGCAACTCCTGGTGACTAGTATACCGTTATACGAAGTTGTATGTTACCCTAAAGTGCGGTATCATACCGGACAGAACACTAGCATCAGAAACAAATCAGAAAGTCACATCATCAATGAACTTGGTGCCGGGACTTGGTAAGTTTGTGCTGTCAAGGTCTTGTACCAGGTTCCTGCACGTTTTTCCCAGTGCCATTCTACGGTTTTGCAGATAAGGGATGAAACGTGGTCAAATTCTTTTGTTCCTGACGATCACCATCCGATGAATTTATCATCTCTGACCATCTTCCCCGCCACACCGGCCCAAGTGCTAGAGTCAAGGCGTAGATCCTTCGTACATTGGGGAGGTCCCCTGACCGAAGAAGAGTTCTTCCGTCTAGCCACCGAAGTGGAACAAGGTGAAAGTGCGACGAACGGGAAATTGACAGCATGGTGAGCCTAGGATCGTTTGCTCCCACATTGATCAATATCAGAATGTGTTCATTCGCAGGGTTTTATCTCCGCGAGATGATCCAGGCTCATTGGATTTTAAATGCTCGTGTATGACGTGAGTTTGATACACCCAAAGTAATATTCATCGATTAACGTACTTGGTAGTTTCCGGCGCAAGGGCCTCATACTTCGAGGGCACAATGCTCATAAGGCCGATGCTATGGTCCCCGAAGAGGTATCCTGTTATGGGGTTGCAGCGGTTTTGACACCAGAACGGTTTCGACGTCAAGGATACGCGAAACATATGATGCGTCTACTGCACTGGGTCCTTGCTGTCGATCCCTCCTTATTTCCCATGTTTCCGAAAACATGGGGCTCACCGCCTCAAAGGCCTGCAGGGATACACCCAGGTCATTTCTCGGTGCTATGGAGTGATGTCGGTGACTTTTATCGATCTTGCGGCCCCACGGATAGTGTTCCAGGGTGGGTGTTGGATGATGCCAGCACCACGGTCTGGGATGTCAAAACACTTGATGTGGACGCTACTACAGATTCGATTTCAAATGAGAAATGGAGGTGGTTGGCTGTGGATGATATACAAGCGTTGTATCCTGCCGATGAAGAGAAGCTCAAGCAGGATCTAATTGCGAAATCGTTGGGCTTGGACTCTGGAAAGACCCTCTTCACTTTTCTGCCTGGTCAGGGTGTCGAGATGTTCCAGCGAACGAAGTTGGGATTTTTTTGGAGAAAGCTGGAGTCACCAGTAACCCACTGGGGCGTCATTTCCAGGTCTTCTGACAAGGCAACACATGATGATGATACTGTCTTCGCAACTTGGACATTCGAGGCGGTGCCCAAAACTCTCTTGATAACCCGACTGCGGGCTAATCAGGAAAACTTCGGGGATTTGTTCTCAGTCCTAAAATTTGTCGCTGGAAGACATGGAATAGAGAAGATAGAGATATGGTGTTTACCTGATGCGCTCAAGAGCGTGGCACAACATCACGGGGCGATCCATTTTGAAAGGAAAGAGCATCTTCCTGCGCTCAAGTGGTACGGCGCCGAAAGCCCCACTGATGTGATCTGGTTGAACCGGGAGAAGTCTGTTTTTATCTGTTGCATCAGGGATTTTGACTGATTTTTTTCAAGGTTCTGTTGGTGCTGAGTTATTTAGCGCTAGACTGCCGTGGCAATCAATAGTTCTCTCACTTTGCGAATATTGGTCCAACGAGCAAAGATGACCTCGTAATGAGTGTAGTTAAGACTATATTAAATTCCCTATCACTGTCACCGATTCTATCTTAACATGTGAATGCAGTACAAGGAAAGTGGTATATCTGAATTACTCTGTACAATTAGTCTTCCGTCCCAGCAAAAAATGAGCGAATGAAAAGACAACCGCTGACATCTACACGGCATTGCCATTTGGCGCTCCGTTTCCATTTGCTGCCGGGGTATGCGCATCTGCGTTGGTAAGGTTCCACGGACCGGCATCACTCAACGAGCATCCTCCCTCGCACTGGCACAGCCCTCCGAAATCTTTGGGAAGATTCTCGGCCGGGATCTGCGCCAGTAACTTATCTTTGTAGTCGCTCCCAATGATGTCAATCTTGCTGACAGTGACCTCATCCAACCACGGCTTGATAATCCGCCATACGGCACTGAATGCCCAAGGCGCGTTGATGATGTAGAACTTGCCCATGGATTCCGGGTACCTGTTCTGGCCGATGGACGAGGCCGACATGACGTAGTCCTTGACCTGATAGAAGTTGCTAAGAGAAACGTTCCACAGGTCAAGAATTGTGCAGGATGTTTCTACGGGATGCCCGCAGGCCTTGGAACAGGCGGGTAGGCGATCGCTGTAGTTCTTTTCGTACTCGTAGACAAGACGCTGGAGCTGGCGTTCCTGGGTTGTGATTCGGTAGAGCTCTTTTATGTTGAGGTAGCCAAGACGCTCGATGTAAATCGGTCGGCCATCCTATAGAAAGAAACAAGGGCAACTGTAAGGGACAGGGTTATGGCCAAGTCGTAGAGCTAACCTTATCCATCTTGTGGTAATACTGAGGATAATACTTGTCCACGTCTCTTTTCTCCTTGAAGTCGAAGTTCCTGGAATACAATGAGAAAGGAATTAACGCCACGAGAAGAGATGCCGTACTTCATAATCTCCTCAATTCCAAACTCTTTTCTCCATTGCTCGCACTCCTGCAGCATTTTTTTCGCGGCTGCCACATCAAATTTGCGGGCTCTCAAGAATCTAATAGGAGCGGAGTAAGTCATCCGCCCGCATCGTGGGCACTAAAATCCTGTCGTACGACAAAACTAGAGCCTAGGAAAGAAATAGGGACAGACCTGAGCATGAGTTCATCATCCATTCTCTCCTCATCGAACCAGCCCTCGTCCCTAACTTCCTTCTTGAACTTCTCCAAAGCGTGAAGCTGAATGACGGTAAGGTTACCCAAACGTCCGGGGCCAGGCTTGTAGTTGGGGTCGGTGACTCCCGCAGGCATGGGGCTTGCACTGGCGGCTTGCGGTTGTGTGGAAGACATCAGACGACGAAAAAAGGTGGAAGAATACGGGTATGGCAGATGTCGATTTCTTATCGCCCAATGCAGATGAAAGAGAAGAAATAGTCAGAGGTGCTGATATGAAAAAAGGATAGACGGAGCGTGGGTGTCGAGTTGGTGGTGATGGATGGTGATTGAGAGCTACCTAGGGGCTCGGACCCTAATAAGGCTGTTCCCGCAGACCCTAACTTTGGGCTACCACCGCTATGTCACTTATGTCGTGTGCGCAGTCGCGATGCCGATAGCGGTGCTAGAAGAACACTGAAGAACAACGGGCAGAGAACAGCAGTCTGGACAAATTACTTTCTGCCTTGGCATTCCAGTATGAAAATCAAACAAGCCGTTTCGTGGCAACAACACTGGAGGTACCGATGAAGAGGTTGCAGTGATTGTCAAGCTGTATTGAACGAAATGGCGAGATGACCATAAGAACATTGTTAGTCGTGTACGCAAGGAAATACGAACTCGTGTTCCCTCTCCTGACAGTGCTATTGATAATCGTGGCGCGTTAGCCTTCTAACAGCACAGTAGAAGTACAGAGAACCATTCTTAAGGAATGATTCGACATGTAAAAATGAGTAGAATGATATATCACCGGTCAAAGTATATTACAATGACCGAATCTCCTCCCGTGGTTGCAGTGACTTTAGCTGGCTTGAGCGAACAAAAAGTTCACGACTTCCGGGCCGGGCACAGCCTAGCAGAGGCGACCAATCAATTTAGTTTTCTAGTTTTGCTCTGTCCATTTCAATCAGGAATCTGCCTAACTGTTGGTTCTGTACGGTTCAAATTTCTCTTCATCTCATGGAATTTGCGGAACTGAATCCTCACTGTCGCAATGTAAAAAGATTGTGTGTTCAAGTAATAATACTTTGACCGTCCGGGCGTTGGGATACCTTATCGACACTCTTGAATGACGCTCACTTATTCTATCGGGATCTCAGATCAACTGGTATCGTCTGCACGTTCTTCCCCGGAGGGTTTATGGTGTCTGGCTTTAGTGTCGTGTGGGATACTCACCAATTTCCCCCGTTGTCTTCAAGCTCGCATGAAGGAACAGAAGAAATATATAGGAGACCAGTAGAGCTTATGTACATAATTTCGATTGACAATTTATCACTAATTCTGTTTCTAGAAGAATCCGCCTCAGTTGATGGTAGAGATTCTCCTTACCTTCGACACTGTAGATTTTGAAGGCGTACGCAATTACACCGGACGAAGCAGAATATTATCAAAGTCGTGCATAACCAGAGGATTGTGTGACCAATTTAAGGATACCTTTGATGCAGTAAGTACCAAGTAGGTATATTAGTACTTAGTCGTAGCTACTTGGTAGCAGGTTGAGAACTAGTCCGATTATTTCAATATAAATAAGGTAGATTAATTCGCTGAAGCATCTGTATTTACACGCTGTGAGATCGATCAGCTATCAACGTTATATATCAACCCACAGATATTTGATATCCAACAAGTTGTTTCTTCAACTTGAAATGTCGACATCTTGCTGCTGTCGGACCGTCGGGCCGCTGAAGAACAAGTGTCACATCACGTGCTATCGCGTTTCTGTGACGCCCTCCCAGTGCCTGAAGCGTACCTGGACCACCACGGCTTGCGTGCATCGCGAGTCGCGACCTAGCCTCACCCAGTGCCATGACGGACGAAGAAGTGGTAGAAACTTCAGATCCGGAGGAGTTGGAAGAGCTTGCCTCTTTCGCGCGGCGCGCTCCTCTTCCCCCGAAGATCACCAGCAACCGAAAGGTGCACGAAGAGTCGAACGGGGACAGCCCTCCAAGGAAGCGTACGAAGGTTGGTGAACTCACTGTGTGCCAGTTTTTATATGGCTAATGCTACCATAGCTATCGCACGGTAGTCCTGTCGTTGCGGGGCCCGCTTCAGTACCAGGCTCTTTACCACAGAGCTCTACCCTTCGACCCTCTCCTGAGCGACTTCCGAGCCCTCCTTCACCCATTCTTCCTCATATATCGGAAGAAATCCAAGCGGCAGATCGTACGTTCGGAGGTCATTTTGAAGAAGAGGAAGACTTAGGTGCGGGGTCTGAGGGTTCACAAGATCCTTTGGATTTTCTGCATGGTTATGGGAGACCGTCGCCCGGGCCAGCGACCAGTAGCTCAGAAGCAAACCAGCGCCTATTCTCGTCTTCTCCACTATCCTTGAATGTACACCGTCGTCCATCTACGCCTCCCTCGCCTGCTGTGCCAAAGTTGACACCACATAATAGCCCAGAGCATCCTGAATTCCATGCCACTGTTTCCCGCTCCCACCGGGCTTCAGCATCCACTCCTCCACGGTCCACCGCGATTATCACAGGAACTTCCCATGACGATTATGACGATCTGTTCCTGTTTTCACCCCAGAAGCCCCGCTCACCAAACATGCCATCCTCTCCTCTCACTCCTACTTCTTCACCAGGGACCAACCTTTCCAAACCTCCGAGAAATGATTCTTCCCCTAGCCTCCCGCATTCGCCGTCTCTCATTCCCCCTGAAGAACGCGAAGCCCTTGAGCGCGAAGGCTTCAGTCTCGCTCAGAATGAGTCCCGCTATTCTTTCCGCACGCGAAGTATTCGTCAAGTTAAACCGTATGAATACGACAAGGCATTGTACCAGAATCAGTTACGTGATAACCCGGACGCTATCGTCAAAATGAGAAGCCCTCGTCGCGGCGACCATCATCATAAAACCCGCGAAGACCAGTATGAAGAAGAGACTCAGGATCAGGAGTATGTACATACAGAACATGATCGAACAAAACCAAGGAGTCGGAGTCCAGAACACGTCTCACGGTTAGGCTTGCCTGATCAGCTGTCTAGTTCGGATGAAGAAGACAAGGAGATACGGGCGACGCGCAGAGAGTGGAAGAGAGTGGAGAAGGAAAGGAAAGCACGTGAAAAACGGGAGGCAGCTGCAACCAATAAAGGGCGCAGAGAGGAGCGTACAATTTCACCAGCGGTTTCGCGACATACAAGCGTTGACATTGGGGTAAGTACTCTTCTCTAAGGTTGGATGACTTTACCCTAATTTATGTTATAGGCTGATGCTCCAACACCATCATCGCCACACAGAGACGTGCGATCGCTCTCGCCTAATCGCGCTGATCCACACTTGCCCTCTCCACCACCCCATTCCCCTGTCTCTTCCAGGTCTTCCCCGGCCCTGGGTTTTCCTGATTTGTTCAATGACGACAACGACCCGATGCCATCTAACTCGTATGACACTCCGATTATCATCGACGATGATCCGGTTGGTCGTGTACAATCTTCCGCCAGCGAGCCTCCTCCAGATAGAAACACCTCTCCCAGTGGCAGCGATTCAGAAGATGACCTGAACGTAGAGGATCGCAAACGAATGAAGGTGCTTAAACGAATGTACCCGGCTTTTATGTTGGGTAAATTTGGCAAGCAGAATACTACCGCTAAAAATCGCAAATCCCGACGCCAAAGTTCTACTGCATTATCAGGCAGCGAGGCGGAGGAAGTCAATCTGCTCCCAGGACAAAGCCGATCTAGGATAACTAAGCAGCCGCGGCCGAACAGACAAATTCTCGGGGACTCGGAGAGCTCAGACGACGAACCACCCATCCCAAAAAGTGAGAGTGAAAAGAACGATGACGATGGCAACGACATTGATGATCTACCTCACATTATTGACGGTGGCTTATTCGACTTCGAAACCGTCCATGCTGCGCCGGACGTTATTGAAATATCAGATACATCAGATGAAGAAGTCTTTTACGGGGACGACAATGGTCATAATGACCAACGGCCATCCCGTCAACCCACGAGGAGGGTCATCCTCAAAGAGAAGGATGTTATTGACTGCATGCTTGATGGTGAAAGGCGGAGACCCAAAAAGTCAAGGAAACGTCATCTAGCTTCCTCTACGGGGATTCAGCGTAGTGGGAGACACCGATCATCATCGGTGTATCATTCTGCGACAGGCCATCAGAGTAACGGGAAGAAACGTGAGCGTCAGACCAAGCTGACTTTCCACCGATTAGCGAAGCGCCCATCCTCACGACATAACCCTGTCAATGACTACCAATCATCTGACTCCGATGTGGAATTTTCGAATTCTGGCACCTATAAAGAGCCTCGAATTCAGCGTATTGACACCGAAAAGGCGGCCAAGGAGAAGAAAAAAAGTAGAGAGCAGCATCGCTGACAAGAACGGACTATACATTTTCACCGCAGCCAAAGGTACCAGGATAGCAAACGGATCCGGGAAGCGATCCTACAATGTATCTCTTAACATTGACTTGACCGACGAGGACTTCAACAATGCATTAGCGCCATCTTCACAAGGTGGAACGGATCGTAGAGTATTTGCTCCTCGCAAGCCAAGTCGGGACATTCCGTCTGCCATTGATGATCCTGAACCGCAGATCGAAATCAGCGGTTCCCAGCATGGTTCGAGTCATCCAGATCGTCCGACAAAGTTCCCCGTGGACGTACCACTGTTATCCCAAGGTATCTCCTTTGCGCGGGATACCTATGTTGGGAAAGGGTGGCTCTTCGAGTTAATACACTGTCAGTCGTCCCGACCTGCAAGCTCCCGATCCGACGCATTACTCCTTCCAGGGAATCAGCCTCGCTCCAGATATGTCTATTTCTCAGTTCGTTGACGCGCTTCCAAAGATATGGGAAGGCCTGTTTAACTTTGCCGTCGACAGTACCCGACATGGATGGTGATGTAACGATCAAAGGATGGAATGGTCTAGCGCGTACAGCGTCTCTTCAGCTGTCACGGCAACTCCACATCGGCACGGAGAGTGCAACTCTACGCGCGGCTGTTCAGGACGAGATTAGCCGGCTCTTGGCAAAGACGCGCACTCCAGAATTCATCGCGGCGTCAACCGAGATTCCCGCATTGAATCTTTGCTGGTTAGCCGTCGAGTGGTCCGTTCGCCTCGGCTTTCGCTTGCCTCAAAGTCTGCCTCTCACTTTAGAAGACAACAACCTTCTGCTAAAGTCGATGATCCGCTTGGTTCAATGTTTGGCACAGTACGGACTCCAGAATAGCATGGATTCCGTTCCGGATAGCGGGCCTTTCGAGACTGTCACAGTTGGTGCTCGTACTGTTGAGTTGTGGACATGTGTCTTCCATGTTGCAAATACGTTCCGAGAAACGGGGCAAGGATTCCAATAATGGTCTTCATCCCTTTTGGCAAATCGTGGAACAAGATATACTATCAGAGCCGGTTGGCTCTACCCACTTACAGGTTAGCGAATGGATATGGTCAACAGTGTCCAGTCTTTGTGCGTTGTCCCAGTTCTCGGTACATGGGTCTACAACATCTGCCCCTCAGGCTCCGGCTGCGTGGAACATCGTCACCAAGGCGTTGAAGACAATTTGTCTTGTCGAAAACAAAGATCGTGATGCCTCACTTCAGGAAAAGAGTAAGGCAAAGCGCGACCAGTACATTGGCACTGTTGTGCGACGTTGTTTTCAGCTATGGAGCCGATGTCACTGGAAACTGGATGACGTTTCTCCGACATTGACTCATCTAGCCGATGTCTTCCGGAGTCGACATTTTGCCAACTTGCGACACGAAGAGTCTAATTTCCCCGGATTTATGCGTAACAACGATCTATCTATGCTGTCCCAGGTTCAAAAGCATGACAGCGCTTTTGTCCTCTTCCTGAAGCTTATCGTCCAGTTTGCGCATGAGATCAGGCCCCCAGATTCCTCAGTCTTGCCTGTGAAAGTCAAGAAGTTTCTATCTCTTGCTGTGCCTGTTGGGACTCTGGCATTTTCTAGGCGCTGTCCGCCAAGCACCAATGAACTGTCAATGTTGCATAATCGTCATATCGCGACAGCGATCGCTATCTATTTGGACCCTGAAAATCACGTTTCGCGGATCGCACATGCTCAGTCCTATGTCAAATTTGACGAGGCCGATTTTGGTACACGCTTGGTAGCTATGCAGGCGTTGATGCATTATTCCCGCTTTATGGTCGCGCTTAAACTACCTTTGGCTGGTGTCGCAGAGTGGCTGCGTACCATCGTGGGCATCGTAGTGGACGAGTATGATCCTGCAATTGACCACAAGAACGATACCGTTCTACCTGTGCAAACCGTGCTGCGATGCGTACGTCGAGTATTGGACGTTTACAATGATCCTGCGACTCGCGATTATCCGGAACCTGAACTACTCCGTGCGTTGTTTCTGATTTCTATTGACTCGTTCTCATCCTTTGTTAGTGTGCATTGCTAAGATCGTGAGGAACAGCAAGTTACGCCAAGAAAATTGGATCGGAGGGGAGATTGTGGGCATCCTCGCCCGCTTTTTTGATGCGAGGGCATCGGTCCTACCTCCTCCTGAGCGCCCTTCCGTGCCATCGACTATAGAAAGTCAAGAGAGCCAAGACGAATATGGAATGTTTGATTTGGATATGGATGATCCGGACTTGTTGGCAGCTTTGGGCGAGAAAGATCCATCTACTATTTGTGATTTCAAATCTAAAGATCAAGCTCTGTTCAAGGTGATTCTGTCGCTGATTATCTTGAGCCTGGACTAAAATGTGCATAGTTCCTTCACGAAGTATCTTGGATACCATATCAATTATTGAAGAAGTTATCATCATTTCCGGAGACCAAGGTTATTGAACTCGATCGTTGTATCATGACCTGGTTGGGGTGTGCTTCCGTTGTCGTCCGCAATGGGAACGACAAGGTCTGCTGTGCTTGCTTCTGATAATCCGTTTCCTATTTCTTATTTCTATACCTATAGAACTGGGAAGCTTACTTCAAGCTATTGGACGCTGTTGTTAATCATGAAGGAGACGCTCCTTGGAAGTACCATGTCCACCTGGAAGGACACTGTTGTATGCTCCAACTTGACCCAATGATATACACGGTATTTCAAGATTTGATGTTTCGCCGTCCATCAACTAACGACGTTTGTTACCTACAGAAATGGAATAACAAATTCTTCGGAGCAATGCTTGAGTCTTTAGTTCCTATCAATGTCACCATCGAGCACCAATTCTTGTCCCAAATTTTGAGCATAGATCGCTGTCAACATCCTCTCTTCAAAGATGTTCCTTTTCAGCCAAAAAACGATGGCGACTATCATATATCTGAGGAAGATTTTCTACACTTGCGTGCGGCGTTCGTGAAAGGTATTCTTGCCTCCAATGTGATGTGATGATCATTCAAAACTTCGAAAAGGCATCTTTTCTGCTCTTAACTCGAGGCTTTTGGACCAGGGTTTGAAGAACGAGAATGAACTCTTTATTGGGCACTGCATAAAACTATTCTCTCGGATGCGCAGTTCTCGCTCGGTGAGCTAATACCCCTCAGAGTCACCTAGCGGAGTTACTGACTAGAAACACTAGTCCCTTGAACCCGGATCGGAAAGCCTTCACCGATATGAGGCATACTGCCGAGAAGTGACTTTGGAATTTCTCCAACAGCCTTTGCTACGTTCGCATAAGCGCCTGGACTACTGGTCAGCTTGGTCGAGGGGAATCGGAAGTCCGGGTCGGTAGCTAGGATCTTGATCCCGATGATAATCATGACGATAGAAGCAGACTGAATTCAAATTGAGCCAGGTCATCCGACTTAAGTGTTCCAATGTGCGGCCGGTAGGTATCAACCTTTGATCCAGGCTTTTTCAGGCGACACTTACAAACTACGTCCGACTGCCGTTTCATTCAGCACCGATGTGTGGGATATAATACTAGCTGTCCCGCATCGGGATACAGTAGCGCCGTCTAAAAATCCTTCTGGCGGAATTAAAGGTCCACGCGTCTCCATCGGGTCGTTTGTTCTTCCTGTCTTTTTCAGCGGCGCAACCCTAGATATGTTCGTCAACTTAGACGGAAGCATGGTTCCGGCGATATCAAAACCGAAGACCCATCACGTTAAGTGTACCTTGGGTTCACTTCGGATTACATGTACTTTTCTTGTCACCCACATGCACCTGGGAATACATATGTTGGTGCCGATTGCATCATAGACCCGCGGCTATAAGTAGTAGGATCACTAACCTAGCCCTCAGAAGGTGTCGATGGCTATCTTCCAACCACCCCCAGGGATCGTGTATCTGTTCAGGACTGTCATCTCCGTCCTGATTCTTCCTTGTTCAGCTTTCTGGGCTCTCCAAGCTGGACTACGACAGTTCGATGTCATTCTCTCTTCATGGCTGTACTTGGTCGCTCCCTTGTGCCAGCTTATCGTCAGTATCTTCTGGAACTTGCTGTCCAGATTTTTCGTACTTCGGGATGCTGCCGCCAAGGGGGCCGTCATGATGCCCTCTGTTCAAGAGACTAGTATCTCTATCGTACGAAGTATGCTTCATAGCTTCAAAAATGGATATCCAGGTTCGTTAATCGCCCATTGACGGCATCCTTTTTGGCTGACGAACAACATATTAGCTGAAAGGATCCAAAAATGGAGTGAGGAGTATGGAAACACTTTCTCTTTCAGTCTGTTTTCAGAGACGCGGGTGAGCGATTTCTGGATCCTTGATTTTTAGTGAACCCCATTCTTACCTTCGTACGAGATGGTCACGCTGGAACCAGAGCATGTCAAGGTAAATACACCGGTAATCCCTTCTATTATATTAACCACTCATCTGTATAATCAGGCCATCCTAGCTACCCAATTTCAAGACTTCCAGAAAGGTTTTCATTGAGATACTAGTATCGCGTCGTGTCCTGACAAATAATTTAGGTCCTGTCACTTATGCCACGTTCGAGTCTCTTCTTGGTGCCGGTGTTTTTAACTCTGACGGTAAGAATTTTCAATAATCAAACGCCACAAACGAAAACTGAGTGATTGTAACAGGTGACATGTGGAAGTGAGCATATTCAGGTGTCCCTCGAGCCTTTAGCTCGTGCTGAACATTCTAATCAGATTTCACCGGAACATGACAAGGCCGCTTTTCAATAAAGACCGCATCAGTGATTTCGACAACTTTGAGCGGCATGCTGCAGGTACAATCGCCCAAATCAAAACTAGGTTGCGGGAAGGCTATCCTGTCGATTTCCAGGTAGGTTCTCTTAAGTAATATCGGCGAATCTATTGTAAACATTCTTGTAGGATGTCGTCGCCCGATTCACTTTGGATTCAGCCACTGAGTATCTGTTCGGAAAGGACGTCAATTCGATGTCGGCTGGTCTACCTTATCCAGCTGGCTCTCCTTTGGCGGATCATCCCCATTTCGTCAATCATCCTTCTAACGCATTCGTCAAGGCGTTTGCTAAAGGGCAAGAGCAGAGTGCTGTTCGACTCCAAGGAGGACGAACTTGGCCGCTCCGTGAATTCTGGGCAGATGCCGTTAAGTCATCGCGAACGGTTGTTGACGAATTTGTTCAGCCCATGCTAGCGGAAGCTCTTGAGAAGAAGGCAAAGGGCATCAAGATTTCCAGTTCCGAGAAAGCTATTGGGGAGAATATGTCCTTGTTGGACAGTCTTGTGGAAAATACCGATAGTACGTGTGAAGTTTCGTTATCAAACTTGAAACATGTGTTAATTGTCGGCATTGCTCTAGATACCAAAGTAATCAAAGACGAGCTCCTGAACATCCTTGTGGCTGGAAGAGACACGGTAATTGGCTGATCCTCGTTCAATTTCAGTTTGACTGAGCAGAAACCATGATGTAGACTGCTTCCCTTCTCACCTTTGCAGTATACATGATGTGCGAGCATCCAGATATGGCTGCTCGCCTACGCTCAGAGATGCTGGCGAAGGTTGGTACACGACGGCCAACGTATGCGGATATTCGTGACATGAAATATTTACGAGCATTTTTAAACGGTGCGCTAATTCCACAGTACCTTGATTCACACGCTCATCGGACGTGTGGTGTAGAAACTTTGCGGCTGTATCCACCTGTGTATGTGATACTATCCTATCGATCTGAAAGCGGCTGACCGTGTTAAAAATCAAGCCCGGGAAATTCTCGGTAAGAGATACTTGTCGAGTCTTCTTGATCTCTTCGATAACATGTACATGTTTTAGAACTTCCGAGGTGGCGACCACCCTTCCGAACAAAGGGAGCGCACCATATTATGTTCCGAAGGACACGAGGTTAGTCCTGTCAGTGCTACTTCGCAGATTGTCTTAATGCCCCACTATAGAGTAGTGTATTCTGTATTCTTAATGCACCGACGGACGGACTTGTGGGGTCCGGACGGTAAGTTGCTAGCTATCTTTCAGCTTAGCTTTACTGATTCTAGCGTCAACTACATCCAGCTCTTGAATTCGATCCAGACCGTTTCCTCGACAGTCGTCTGCACAAGTACTTAACTCCGAACCCTTTTATTTTCGTCCCATTCAATGCGGGTCCAAGAATATGCTTGGGCCAACAGGTGAGAGCGCTTGCCTTGTGTGGCAAGTATTCAAAGTAACTTACTTTTTTATCAGTTCGCTTACAACGAAGCCTCGTATTACCTTATTCGACTGCTACAGACATTCTCTTCTTTCAGTCTTGCCATGGACGCTCAGCCAGCTGAGGGCGTTCCGCCGGCGAGTTGGGTAAAGTCTTCTGGAACGACCAAAGGCAGGGACAAGATAATGTTTGGATTGCACCTAACGATGTACGCTAAGGTATGTATTAGAAAGCCTTCTGGAACTCCTGCTTCCGCCTACTAATATCACGTTATTGACCTTGCTCGATAGGCTGGTATGTGGGTTAGAATGGAAGAGGCAAAGGACGATGATTTGGAGGCGGCCTTATGAGCACTTATTCCGAGAAATGTAGTTTACTTAATGGATATACAAAGATGATACTATCTTATGATTCTGACTGAATTCTACATATAATTCATATTCACTTTCTGGGGTGTGAGGGTGCACTGATACCGCCGTAGAAGAGAAAGCAGCTAGCAAAACATGCGTATTAACAAAACAATATAAATTACAAGTATATCCAAAAGCCTTGTGATACAATGGAAGCTACAACCCTTCGAAAAATGACAGATCCTGAGCCGACAAACCCCCTATCTTCGTTGAGACTGCTTTATTTGAGGTCTGGGAAGGCTTATGAATGTGGTTTTGTGGTGGCCGTAACAGAGGTGCAGATGCAGGCGTCGGCGCAAGTATTGCGGGGGATGATTGCGATACAGTTAGCGCACCAATAGCATTCATCTGCGCTTGTTGCATCGGTGATGATATACTCTCGTCTCCACCAAAGATATCCAGCTGAACCTGCTTTTTCACACCACCAGGCGGAGGCTCCAAGGGAGGTGGGATCGGAGAAGGTGGTGAAGGCCACTTCCCGTGAGCAGCAGCACTTTCCATCAAACTAAGCGTTCGTTGGTGCTCTGACCGATTGACCTTGCGTTTCTGAGGAGGAAGCTGTGCAGGTGATCGAGTTGGGGAACCAATGGGTAAGTTCGAGGCCAATGTGATTTTGGGAGGACGAGCTGAAGTTTTCGCGGGTACAGCGGGCGGAGATGGGGTACGTAATGTGGGTTGCACGAAATCATCAAATTCATCAAAGCCATCCGCGTTATGCGGACTACTACTGCTTGTGGAAGAGAAAAGGCTTTGCTCTGATGAGAAAGAGGAGAAGCTTGCATCAGTATACGCCGATGACGCAGCACCATCGCCTTGTGTTGGAGTAGCATGGAAGTCAGAGAATTCTTCGTCGTCGAACAGTGATAATGGTGCAGCAACATTACGAGGAACTGGATTGTGTATCAGCACTGCTGGAGCGGGTGGCGGGGGGCTAGGAACTGGCGTCTGCTGACGTGATGTAGGAGGCGGTGGAAGAGAAAAGGAGAATGGCGAGACTGCAGACTGCTTGGTGGGATTGGAAGACATTATGGCGGTAGGTATTCGTTTGGAGGGTTGAAATGGGCCAGGGTTACTGCGCAATGTCGATGAAGGCATTGGCTTAGTAACGGGGGTCACGTTTCGGGATGGTACTGATTGCAAGCTCTTCACTGTTTCTGGCACTGAAGGCAGGGTCATCACGGTATCCATTAAGGAGGATGTTTGTAGAGGTGCCGGGGGAGGCTGAGAAGGGAACAGTGATGAGATACCCAAAAGAGATGGTGAATCATCTTGAAGGATGGTGTTTGACTTGGGGACGCCGTTAGCCAAATGATTCTTTGGCGGCGGGGCTAGCGGAGGTGGAAGTTTCTCAGGTAGAGGGGAAGACTCGATCATGTCTGAAAGCGAGGGAGCATCTACATCGTCGACCGCAGCGGCACTAGGCACAATATCAGACAAGAATTCCAGATCATCTGATGATAACGCAATGGAATTCCGAGGACTTGTTGTAGATGACTTGGTTCTGGAAAACCTGGTTAAGAACCGGGAAACGGCTGAAGGAGGAGGAGGTGTAGGTTCGCGATCGGGCGGCGGCGGCAAAGAACTTGAATGACCTGCAGATGTGGTTGGCGATAAAGGGGATGAAACTACGGGGGATGAAGACGAAATGGATTTCCTGTGCGTATCAATACTGGACCTAGGAGATGTGCTCACACTAGGACTTGGCCACCGGAGAAACTGGCTTGTCTGTAACGGGTGGGGTCATGGATCTACGACCGAAAAAGGATAATAAACCTCCTGCGGATTTCTGCTTCGTGTCTATCACTGGTGGAGCGACATCCTTTTCCTTAGGTATCACTCGCCACCCCGCGGGAACAAGATCATCTTGTGACAACTCAGGCCGGGCCTTCACAGAAGCTTCCCAGGCTGTGGAACCTTTTGACGCCACGTAACGGGCCAGAGGACTAAGCCGTACCATAGGTGCATGTCTAGTGAACTTTAGGCTTTCTGCCATCTTCTTGGATATGAATGTCTTGGAGAAGTCGGCATGAGGCGGAATTGTGAGGTTGTCGGGCACGAATTTCTGAATAGCCGAAGAACTTTTCAGACCGTGTTCAGTGCTGGGATGTTTTCCGAGAAAATAAAAACCCACAGTTCCTGCATATCCTCAATGGACTGAAGATTGGCTTCGTCCCTTACGTCTGGCGATGGATCATCAGGCCATAGTTCATGAGACAATTGTTCGAATCGCTGTACAATAGAGGCCAACAATTCTGGAGGCTGCGTCGTTTCAGACGAGTCGCAAAAGAAAGAACGAAATGAACATACAACATGCAAATCTCGCCTTGCTTTCTCCTGCTTTGCAATCTCCCATTCATCATCGCGCTCTGTTTCAGAACTCCGGTCTGCGAGGGCCCAATCGGTCTCCCAAGAAGTTGAAGCTGGATCGGATGAGAAGGATGGCTTGGATGGCGTCCAGGGATCCGCCTCTGCATTATCCATACGAAGTCCAGTCTCGAAAGTACCAAATGCATCTGGACTGCCAGGTTGTGATTCTGGCCGAGAATCCTCAGTACTCTCGTCGCGAAAAGACGGCAGTGTCAGTGACGGTGGACTAAAAACGCCAATTTCCAGCTCCGGCGATGCAATTGGAGAATATTGAGGTGACTCAGGTCGTGAAAGTACGTCTTCCTCCGTAGACAACGCTGCGTCCGGTTCGGCCGTTAATTCTACATGTGTATCATGATCAGTGTTGGTCAACACGGGCTCGTTATTTGACTTTTCTCCCCACAATGAAGTCGTCGGCTCGTTCCATTGTAGGGCATGGGATGACCAGGAAGGAATACCAATATCAGCTTCTTCATGGTCATTGTTTGAAGTGGCTGGAACAGACCACGGTGTAGGAGGTGACGGGGAGTGTTGAGGTCGCGTATCGTCTCCCCAAGCATTTGCCCAGGGATTGTCCATTCAACAATGTTGAGCACGATGAAGACAGACCATCAAATGGCAGGGAAGGACGGACAGGGAAGGACCAGGCCCGGACGCAGTTTGAAATTCAAAACGGGTCATCACGTGCATGACATTTTGCAGTGCAAGATCCTCTGCTTCTCTCCCCACCACCATGGACGGCCCAGCTGAGCGCAGCATTGTCGATTGGGATGAGAACGACGTACACAACTGGCTAGCAAATCTTGGCTACCCGCAGTATGAAAGTCAAATTAAAGGTATGTTTCGTTGGCATTTCTGGCGACAGGCTCTAACAGCCTTCCACAGAACACAGAATATCTGGCGATGTCCTTTGCATGGTCGACGCTGAAACCCTCAAGAACATTGGAATTGCTACCGTCGGACAACGTCTCGCCATTCTTAAAGCCGTGTATATGATAAAACTTGCCCATAATGTTCCGTTAGAAGCCGACGACTACGTACCGCCTTGTCCGTCCACCCATCTACCTTTCCGTATCAGACTTCCTGATAACATTCACTAGCTGAAGCTCCAGAGCGCTTAGGGGATGCAACGGTAGAGAAACTCCATGCCACTGTCAGGGATCAGGGTGAGACGGCTACCATTCTCTCGAACATGGTTATAATCTGAGCTTCCATTCTACAGCCGAAAGATTGCGTATTTTGGAAGAAGAGAATCGCAATATAAACATCACTTTGCAATCATTCCTTGACGACTACAATACTTTCAGAGGGTCCATAGGACGATCGGTACGTTCTGTATCGGCCTTTCTCCGTACCAGTCTTCTATAAATTCGCAGATTCATCAGGATGATAACAGTCCTCTACGCCGTCAACCTTCATTTAAATGGGCGCAATATGTCAAACCTGCCAAGTCGCCAACCAAGGCCGACCTTGACACCCCCCACTCATCCCCGCAGCAGCTCGAACACGATATAGCTCCGTATACTCGTTCCAACGGACAGCCGCCACCACCAGCCCCTTCCACTTCCTCAGCACCGGAGAAGTCGCGGTCAGGTTCCTCCTCCGAGTCCCCTAATCCGAGCCAATCTGTGACGAAGCCGTTACGGCAGGAGAGTTCGGACAATTTGAAGAGCTTCAAGGTCAGTCTAGACGATCCAACATGGAAGGTCCTTCCGGCCGCATTGAAGAAATACCGCATCAATAATGATAACTGGGAAAACTATGCTATGTTCATATGTTTCGGGTCCGCAGGTATGTCCACTGCCTTTCCCACATTTCATTTGATCTTGATCCGTTCATAGGCAATAGGATAGAACGTTGTCTAAGCTACGACGAAAAACCCTTGCTTCTCTTCCAAAAGTTGAAGGAGGGCAAGAAAAACCCCGTCTTTATGTTGAAGCACATTAAAGATATCCGTTCACCAATAGTTGTTGCTCAACAGAAGCACGCTGCTCGGAAAGCCTCGTCGGTTATGTCCAATGACGGAACAGCCACCGGACCCAGTCACGGGAAGCCCTCACGTCCAATAACACGGCCACCGAAGCTTGAGGTACAAGATCTTTCAGCGCCTGCTCCACTACCTACCGGTTTGAGCGGTTTGAGCCCTCAGCCAGGATGGCCGGAACCTGGCATAGCCTCGCCGTCTGTGGACCCAAGACTTGGCGAAGATGCACTAGCACCAGGATCGGCTACCACACAGAATACATTACAATCAACGAACTCAGCGATGACCGGAGCAACCGTCGTCGCCAGCTCAAATGGACATGATGGTGTTAAGGTGCCAACAGAGCAACCTCACAGTGGGCGAGAATTACCAGTCGCTTCATCTGGAGTATCATACGCAGTAGCGATATATCCCTACATGGCAGAACAAGAGGACGAATTTGATGTCGTTGTGTAAATATTATGACCCTATCTCCTTCTATCCATTCTCTACTGACATGTACAATCTAGAGGTGACACCTTCGTTATACTCTCACGAGCTCGGGGCTGGTGGGTCGTGCAACGGGATCCTACAGGTTCCGGGATCGTGGACACGGATATTGTCAAGCAAGGATGGGTACCTGCAGGCTGTCTGCTGGAAACTAACGTTCCCGTGGCTTCCGCTATTGCAGAGGCTACGGCCGCCAAGAGCAGCACAGCTATCGTTGGAGGTTCGCCACCATCGACTCCGGTATCGAAGACGCCTATTCTTCCGCTGAGCATTATTTCGACAAGTTTTCCGGGAGTCGCGTTAATGGACTACAAGAAGAAGGGAGAAGAGGAACTGGACTTGGCAAAAGACGACGCCTTGCGCGTCTTCAAGCGATATAACCATTGGTCTTACGTATGTAGCACTACATTTCTTTGGCGACGCGCCACTGACTTTATGTTAGGCTGTCAAAGAAGAAGGAGGTGATCGTGGTTGGGTGCCGGTTGGTTTTCATCTGGCTCATCTCCTGATGAATTCCGTACTGATCTTTCGTCATTCTAGTCATGGTTCATTGGGAAGGTCGCAACTAGTGGTGTTCAGCCGGCCACCCCAAGCACTAGCGCACCTGCTCCTGTATCACTGGACGATACTAACGGACAACCATCGCCAATGTCGTCTGCATTTCCTCCAGTCCAACAACGGAGCACGGCGGCAGTAATTTGACCCATCCGTATTCACTATTCACTTTCGCTGGGTTTTTGGTTTGCTCTCGGTTTTTTTACGTTCCTAACGCTATCTCTTTTGTTTTTGTCATATATTTACGCACTTACATTGTATTTTAAATGCAGTCCTCGTCGTTTCGGAGCTTTGCTCCCTGGTCATTCTTTATTAACTCTCTTGAAGCGTAATTATGGGTCCGGATCCGCTATCCTCATTCTATCGGCGCTTGGGCGCCTGAGCGCCTGACTGCTCGCAATGGACACCATGGCTTCAATGTACCTGTATCAAATCTGCTTTGTGCAGCCTGTACGTTACTACTCGACTACCTACACACTCGCTGCACTGCACCAAATATTATGGGAGCACGTATATATTCTCATCAACTACGGCATACAAATGCAGACATACATTGTCATAAGTAAAGTGGGAAGCAAGTACAAAAAGAGTGTGGTAAGTATTACAGGACGAAGCGATTAGCTAGATAACATTCAAGAATTCCACCGATCATATATATAACAGAGCCAGTTCAACGTGTATACAGCAGGACAAGGGAGAAGTCTAGGCATCCTCATGTACCGCCGTGACGCCACCGTGTGCGCGCAGTTTCATGACCGTCCGAGTAGGCTGGGTCTGGAACAGGAGCAGAGTGCCCGGCGTTCACTTCTGCCCGGGTCAATGTCAAATCGTGAAGAAACCCGATGCCAAATACTTACCAGGGTTATGGTATGAACTCGGACGACTTGAATATGGCGGCGGCGGCGGCATGCCAGATTGAAGAACAGGCGGAGGTGGAACACTACCTGGGAGTGAAGGTGCAATATAACCACGAGAAGGAGGTTCGACAGCTTGCGACTGAGGTTGCTCGACACCATTGAGCGTGTAAATTGTCCTTCCATCAGGATATGTTATAGTAACGTGTTCATTACCCTGGAATGGAAGAACATCATAAACATGAAATTCGAAATGATCAGGGAAATTAACCTACATCCCAGTCTCTTCGCTTGCGGCGACTGTGGGTCACACCATTAATGGTTTGTGTCACAGTACTCTCACTTGTCCAACCTCGTTGACCTCCACCACCCACCGAGAAACGTGATGCCCGCGAGGTTTCAAATGCAGGGCGTGAAAGGGCATGCTGTTGCATGGATCTTCCGATCGAGAAAAGACCGCCACCCATGCCGGACAAGAGAATATTGATGCCATTACGGCGACGGGAAGCAAATGGATCATCATCAAAATACGAAACATCTGTGAAACTTCGCCGAGGCTCATAATCGTGCGGACGATGATGAGATTGAGTATTGAAGAAATTGTCGAAAAGGACGAAGGGATCAGTGAATACAAATGGATCCGGAAAGCCCGTATCTTCATAAGGGGATGGAGACGATGAGCGATAACGAGGCTGGGATCTATAGCCCTCGTGGCCCGTCCTTGGTGGGGGAGGAGGCGGAACCTCCGGCGGTGGGTAAGAGCCATGTAAATCATAGACCTGTACATGCCATGAGGTTGATACTGTGCAATAAGCGGACGTAAAACATGCATACTCTTCGTTTCTCAACATCGATCAGGACCTCGTAGGCATTGTTTACCTGTTGTACTGATTAGAAGCTGTGGAAGGGAGCATGCCCAGGACATACCTGGCGGAATTTCTCTGCAGAGTGTTGTTTTTCAGCAGGTGTGGCATCAGGAGAAAGCCTGTCGGGATGTGTCTTCAAGGCCTTCTTCTTATACGCCTTACGAACTGATTAGGTTGTCCGTAAGCATATGAAGGTACCAGTACGGTGAGAGAGCCTACTTTCTTCCGGGGTTGCATTGGGATGCAAATCGAGGACTTCGTAGAGATTCGTTGCCATTGTTGTGGGGGTACCGCGGAGAATGAGTGAGACCTTGCTGAGGGAAGGAGGTCAAGATGCAAGCCGTCTATTCTCGTCTATTTCAGGTCACGGAAAGAGCTCGAATTTCATATCGGCATGTCACGTGCACTCTGCATGACGTCGACGATTTTTTTCGACGGCAAATTGCTCAAATCATGCACCTCCATGAAACTATATTTTGTGCCACGGCATCCGCCTCAAATGGCCCTGGCACCATCGCCATTCACGACATACAAACGGGAACTCCCTTGTCCTCTTTCAAGCAGACTAATGCTGGTACACACTGTACGGCATTCGTCGAGTCTGGCGATTCTCAGGGAGGCTTCGTCTTAGCTGCACAACCGGATAAACCACTGCTTAACGTGTATAACTTCCAAAAGGTTCGTCATTCTTTCTCCTAGTGACGCAGCGAATTCAATAGCGTCAGTAGGATCAAATCAGCTTAAAAATGGTATTACCAGAAAAGTTGTCTTGTATTGCAGTGGATCATAGGGGAGAATACGCCGCTGGAGGGACATCTACTGGTCGGATATATCTGTGGGAGGTAAGTTAATATTCTTGTCCAATGCATAGGCCCATCTCATTCAAAAAGGTATCCTCTGGTGTTCTTTTTAACTCGTGGGACGCGCATTACCGCGAAGTAACAGTGCTGCGATTTACCCAAGATGGTGCTGCATTGATATCGGGCAGCCAGGACTCTGGCGTGAGCGTCTGGTCCGTATCCAGGTCAATATGAACCCAGTCAGAATTCTTGACAGCTTTAACTTTTCTATAGATTGTTGGACGACGATTTACAAAACGAACTCGTCTTGCCTTACTGCACCTTGGCCGATCATACCCTCTCGATCACTGATATTATCTGCGGCCTTGGTATATTTCCAACTTGCAGAGTTCTGACTGCGTCTATTGACCATTCAGTCAAGGTATTTTTTTTTTCGCTGGGATCCAAGTCCAATGCCCTCTGACGCGTTTTCAGCTGTGGGATCTGTCGTCCAAATCGCTTTTGACTGTCTTTCAGTTTCCCAAAGCAATCACTTGCCTTGCCTGGGACCCTACGGAACGCTTGTTTTTCGCTGCATCATCAGATGGGTCCGTATATCAGATGAACCTCTTCAGACAGTCGAAAGACACAATGAAAGGGCGCACCATGGAAGCCATCGGTGGCGCTGGTGTCCATGACATCATTCGTATTGATGATGAAGGACCTATCCCTTCGAACAAAAGGCTGATATCCACTGGGTTAGTTTCAGCAATCCTGGCTGGACCTGTGACTGACACTTCTCTCTAGCCAAGACGTTACTTGTCTCTCGATTTCTTTTACTGGCTCTCTTCTACTGGTCGGAACTTCCTTGGGGTTAATCCACATTTATGATATCGCATCTCATCAGCTACTACGTGCTATTTCTACGCACAAAGGGTTTTCAATAACTTACCTCGCCACCATGCTCAAACCGCCTGACCTGATTGGCCATATCAGTCTTAGCATGAATTTCACAGATGCTCGAGATGCCATCCCAGTGAAGCCGGTGCTTCCTTTCCAGAGGATGCGAGATGCGAAAACACGCGATACGCATGAGGTGTCCCTTCTTTTTCCTCCTAGAAATGCGGTATGACTTCTTCACATTTATCATACATATATCATTATTTAATTACACCGTTTCAGGAATACGAAGATGAAACGGCATTTTACCCTTCATCGTCTCTCCTTCGGGACCAGGAATTCTTTATCAAGCCTTTGGCCTCGCGCGAAGGAGAAGCAGATCAAGACGCAGCTTCTTTGAGTTCTAGGGTGACGACCCTCGAGGCCGAAGTAGTCCATCTTAGAGAGCAGCTTGGGAAGGCAAAAGGGCTGAATGATACGATGTGGGATACCGTTGTTCAACGCATTATAGGCCAAACCAAAGCGAAGAGTCCTGGTGATGTCGCACCCTCTGCGGAAAGCGACAGGCCCCGTAAACGTGGTCGGACAAACACGTAGTTAGAAATATCAAATATCTGTATAATCTTGTGCGTTGTTGTCCTTCCGGGTACAGCGACGCTTACTGATTCTATAGTGGACAACCTAGATGTGCATATTATATCCATCTTGTCACCATCACCATTTCCAGTACATTCAATGTTCAGCACTGAGCCAAGTCCGATTTTTCCGTATTCAATACGCAATCTAGGAGGTGGTAAAGAGTTCCTCGGATCAGTTCGTTATTATTAACTGTTATATAGCCTTCCACCTTTTTTGCGACATTATTTCAACGGTATGAACGATAAAGGTGGTGATATATAAACGGAGTTTCCAGCCAAGCAACTGATCTATCATACGAGGACTTCTCTGCTTCAATATCTGATCTTCATTTCCGTAACCTTTGTAGTCACATACGGGAGTGTACAGCACATGAATGAATGTCGTTTTCCAAGGCGACGACCGTTATGCATATCTCGACCTTGCGCATGGGTCATTTTTTGTCTCAGCTCACCTGCAGAGATGTCCAGATCTGTTCTCCTCCACCAACTGATGATCCTGTCATAGATCTCGAATCTAGCCCTATGGCGCGCGAAGTGGATAATGGGTAAGATTAACTTCCGTGTAAGCTAAACGTTGAAAGTCCAATAACACCATCTTTGTAACTGTGGGCACTAAATTTAGTGTTGCTCAGATGCGATATGTATGTAACAGTATTATCAGTCTTCTATTCTCACGCGGAAAGATATTCACGTTTGGATGGTACCACGAAGGTACATCTCTCCGTGTACTATATACAGGGACAATGCATGATGTAGCCCCCTACTAGCCGCAACGACGATATCATCGCAGCATCTCACCTCGAACATGGCGAAGTGTACCCATTCCATGCGGTCTAAAAGGTTTTATCATCCGAATATAGCGTTACCTCCGACCGCCAAGCGCTTCAATTGGAGCAGCGCAGGAACCACCAAGATCCTTGTGGATGTATGGCAACAACGCACCTCATCTCAGCATACAGTCATCATCTCCAATGTATCTGCAGACTGACCTGCCACCCGTTGAACGCGACGATTTGTAGCGGAGATCGTTGCGTTCCATGAGGCCCACTCGTTGTAGTGGCAAGATTCTTCCAAAATAGCCCAGTTCTAGTACACAGATCAGATCCACTTCCGAGTTGTACTTAGTATGTTATTTACGGACACTGCTTCTCTAGGAACGCACATAGCACTCGGGGTCTGGGAGTCTCGTGGAACATGTATCATCAGGATCCCACCCCGGTATATGTTGCTCGGTCTGGCCTGGTGTTTGGTCGGGGATATAGTATCAATCAAGCCAGCTCAGTTTGGATAGCACAGTAGTTAAAAATGAGCTGTTTTGTTCTGGTCTATATAAATTTGACCTGTAACAGGCATTCCTCGGAACTCAATCAGAGCCTACCAATGTCCACGTTCATCATCATCTTCACAATGGCACCCAACCACATCATTCCTTAAATTTTATAAAGTGTTCCAAAATTGCGACAAACGACAGAGCTCAGAGACAAAAGGTAGAAAACTATACATCAGACACCCTTATTGATTTTATCCTCTATTCCCAGTAGCTGGCAAAGGCTACGAGTTTGTCGATTAGGAAACATAGCCGCTATCAATAAAAAGAAGGGATCAGCCAACATGTTGACACAACTGGAACAGAATTACTGACGCTGTTCAAACTTCTGGTCACCCTCACTGCCCGGCCCAGGTGCGGTTACGCAGAACTGCTGACATGACTCGACTGTTTTTTCTGAGCCGACGTTCTCTTTCACCCATTCCAGTTCCTTGTGAACCATTTCACGCGCCTCTGCCTCGTCAGGGAATGGACGTTGATATCGTGTAGTAGAGAACCAAGGATTGAAGGCTCGCGTGATAGCCAGCCATTCAGGGTCGAAGCATAAGACTGGCGGTTCGTCTGATACATCTTTCGGCGAAGGTATATCAACAACCTGACAATAGGATTAAACTACAAAAGAACGCATGACTATTGGATCCATACCTCCAGAAACTGCTTTTTGGGCATACATTTATCCAACGCAAGGTATTTAGTTTCAGATCGGGATGCAGGTATTGGCGGAGGCGCCACGACTTCGACTTCCTCGTCATCCAAAGATATTTCGTCCGGATTGGTTCGTGGTGGCTCCGCCTGGAGGTCCATCGATATCTTCATCATCGATGGTTATTTCATCGGGATTGTCAGCTTTAGCAGGAGGACCGGCACTATGAACAACGGTTGCCTCAAATCGTACGTGCATGTGCGCCGCAAACCACCAACAAGGCTTGAGCGTGCGAAGAAGTCCCATAAGCGGCGGGGCGCCAAATGTACCCTGCTCTATCTCTGAACGAAAGTGTGCCTTGCGTCTGATGAGGTTTCGTACGTCTCCGTGCTGATCTATGGATTGTGGCCAGTCATGAGACAGGACGACATCAGGGTTTGAGAGCTAAGCACGACAATCGGTGAAAAATGCAGTGAAAATATAGTATGCAGGAGACAGACAAGAGAGAGCCTTCGAATATTAAATTCGCGAATGTGATATATGCTTCTGATCGTACTGGAGTCGTATGGTATTTTTTCGTAGCTTCCTACATGAGGTGTGAAGTTAACGAAACTAGAGAATGACAGCCACTTTACCTGATGAGAAGTTATATCCCTTAAATATCCCTGATATACCAGCGATACGTATGCCATTCACCTGGACACATCCGGCATGTCCGAGGAAGTAGATATTAGGAGCTACCCATCCGCCATGATAACTAGAATCACATCAACTTCAGCGTCACCATTCAGAACGATGAAAAGTCGACGTACAGTTCCCACATGTAGTTCGACGCTTCATGGTTTCCCCCAATGATGATAGTGAGGATGGGAGCTGTCTTCTCACCGGTATAATATCCTAGGTTATACGGCTGTGAGTGCGATAAATGGGCTCTAAAGGAGTAGAATGCACTTGTAGAATGTCTGCAAGGCCTTGTACTTATTTGGAACAGGCCATGCATTGCAAGTCGCGATGATTCCTCACGGCCTGAAAATCGCCGCAAATAAGAAGAAGATTGACTTTATACGCATATTGCGTTTCTAACTTGGAGATGTGCGCGTAGATGTCATCAAGCTCGCCGTGGCAACATCCTTCGACTGCCACCTATCTTAAGATCAACACGGAAGTTATAACAATTTAAACAAGGAATACCTTCATTACGCGTGTTCGTGATGGGGAGGATCGTGGTGGTTGTCGTTGGAAGGAAGCTAAGTCACCCTAACCTTAGGAGTCAGTTTAACGGCTTAACGGCCCGGAGCTGGAATTCTGCAATAGAGCTGGAATTGGGCTAGAATAACATTATTTATGCGCCGTTTGCAACATAGTATACATAAGCTACTGGTTATACCGCCCCTTCAAATTGTGAACACTGGACTCTACCCATGGACAACAGTGTCATCCTTTCCGAGACTTTTTCTTGGTAGTCGATGGTGAAGGAACTTGAATGGTTCCGCCAAGAGCCTCTCCAGCAACGCCGTCCCCATTCTCAATATGAGTCTTCGCCTCCAGATAAAACATCACATCGCGAAGCTGATCCTCCAAATCCCTGATCTTAGCTTGAGCCTCCGCAGACTGCGTGTTCCCAGCTTCCACCTTCTCCTTCATCTTCTCCAAATTCTTCATCAAGCCTTCACTCACTGCTCTCTCCTCATCTAGTTCTTTCTTTAACCTCTTGGCCAATTGAGACATAGTATCTGCTCGACTCTCAGCCTTAGTTTTGTCTTTGGTCAACTCTGCCACGCGCGCTTCCTCTTCTTTCATTCTTCGATGCTCCCGCTCCCTCATATCCGTCTGAGCATTCTCAAAGTCGGCAGTGAGCTTCGATACTATCTGCTTCAGATCATTAACTTGGGCTTTCAGCTCTGCCGTCTGGTCCTCATAGTAAGACCTTTGAGAATCCAGCTGCGAGGTCAACAGGTAGGAGTACTCGATTCCGATGGCTTCTATCTTTTCGGCACTGAGCGCGTCGGCAGGGCTCGGTCCTAAACCTCCCTCTCTTGGACTCGTGCCCATGGATGAGGCTGCGCTAGGGAGCTCTACTAGCTTCCCGTCAGCTTTGTTTTGAATGAGACGGTGAACATATCCGTCTCCGGCATAGTCCCAGACACGTTGTGTTTCCAGTTCCAATGAGTAGAGATGTGTCGTCAACTGATAATGTTCCTGAGCATGGGCACGGCCATATCTACCGCAGCCAATATTGCCGCATATAAGACAAATCCAGAGGTTGGCAGTAGACGAGCAAGATGAACATGACGACAGAGAGTATGTAGAAGGATTTGCAAAGGGGATGGAACGAGTAGACGAGGAAGACGCCGGATGGGATGTAAGAAGCGTCTGAGAATATCGGCATACGGGGCACCTGCAAAACAAGCCGTTATTACATGCCTAGCGACATTGAGCTCCACGTACCTGCTATCGCCCCATTTGCTCAGACACATGCAGTGGAATGTGTGAGAGCACGGAACAGTAATCAGTCCGGTGACTGCGGAGTCCATCCGTTCCAAACAGACAGGACATGTAGGTAGTTCATATGATGGTCCCAGACCAGAAGTAAGACGTGATATTGAATGCGATACATGGTCGTCCATCTCTACATTCACAGACAAAACATGAACAACGTGGCATATTTCTGGCTGGCAGTAGAATGTCAAATTCGTTAAGATGTAAAGTAGGTGATACCCTACCTCCATAGAGTTGAATGGCTTGCCGTTATATGCCTCAATAAACTCAGTGGCATCCTCCAATTTCGGAAACTTGATAACGACTATCGAGCGATTTGGAGCAGAGTCCCTACGAAGGGGGCTTGAATAAAGTAAATAGAATAACAAGAAGACCCTACGAACCGAATCATACGCAAGTGAGATATACTTTCAGCGGCTGGAGCTACAAAAGCGAGGAAATCGGATGGTGTCATCCACGATGGTACAGCCAACACGCCTAGCATGATCCCATCTGTGTTGGCATTAGACCTGGTGAAGGTGGAGGTATCCTGCTCGTCGGGCTGTTTGGCGGACTCCCGAAAGACGTGAACTATCCCTTCCGGTAAATTGGTCGACCCAGTTGCTAGCTGAGTGTCACTTGGTACAAATGTTGCTACCGCAGGTTCTGTACTACGATGTCAACCAACACTTGAGGAAATACGCGGCATGGGACCAAATGAGACTCACCGTGACTATGCGCCTTTTCTTTTCCTACAGCATTCGAGGAAGATGAGCTCATTCTGTCCGACCAATCTAAACGTATGGGTCCAAAGCGGTAATCCTTGTTCCAGGGGTTGAATGTAGCGTTACGACGAGTAGTCGGAATGGGTTTGTGAGATGGAAGATGCTGAAAGAAAGCTGGGGGAACAGCGGTGTCTGGCAAGTCTTTCTTCGATGATATGATGATTCGAATATGATATCCTCGCATGACAGCTAGCATGCCAGAATTGGCATACCAGGTTCTTGAAAGTTCTGGTGAAGGTAGGGGATGCTTTGTCAGCATATCGGACCCAAATCTGTCGCGATCACAAACAGGACGATCTCATCTCATTACACGGTACTCACCTTCAGGCACGCCGGATGCATAGATACAAACAACTGCACTACGAAGCTCAAACCAAGTCAACCCCCATACTATCTAGTAGTATTTGAGAACAAGGAATTGGCGGGAAGCGTCCCTATTCGCTCTGAATCGTCGTTTTTATTCTGTGTGCTGCTGTCGAACCGCGTGGGAACACCGCATCCCCCAACGTCCCTATGCAACCTCTGCACCTCCGTACGGAGACCGGTAAAATGGAAATTGGATTACTTCAGAGAGCGAAGGGAAAGAGAGAAGAAACAGAGTTCCCAGCTGAGAATTGAGAGGGAACAGCCTGAATTTGCTTAGTTTAACCACGAGTTCGGTACTTTGTACTGGTTCCTTCTAGGTTTTGTATTCAGAAATCCTTACGAAATTGTGTATTTCTTATCCATAATCATACATTTAGCGTCCATTCAACGACGAGAGCTAGAGATGGTCCTGTACTTCACTCAACGACCTTTTCAACTCCCGGAGGGAATCTTGTATCCTCCTTGTTTACGAACCTGGATGGTGAATCGGTCTCAGAACATGTCCATCCAGCAAGTCTATACCTACCTCGTCAAAGATACCCATTTCCAACAAGCTCTTATTGTGACCCCAAAGCGAACTTTGATTCTTGCCATCTCGAACACACCTAGCAACCTCATCGGCCTCGAAATGCCATCCCACTTGACATAGGCCATGAATGGGTAACTTAATGAGCGAGCTACAAGTTCTCACCTCCAACATATTCAAAAGCCCTTTTCTCCTCCTTCAGTCACTGATCCTTTGTCATCGAAATACTCCACAGTGTATTCTTTCGGACAATAAATCGGAGGAGATATCTTGATGATACCTCGTTCGAAACGGATGGTAACGCCAGGATTGATGGGACTCAGGTTAATACTGCAGCTAAGCACGGCTTGAGCGCGAAGGTTAGCTGCATCAAAGGTAAGCGTGAATGATGTATTCGAATCTACACCAGTCAGGGGCGTCTTGAGCATAGATGCAGAAACAGATGGGACTGATAGTTTATTGTCGTGATGCTCATATAACGCCATGATTGCCTTCGTAATAAATATCAGCGCAATAGTGGTTGTGAGAAGAAATTGAACTACCCAGACAAGGGGATAAGGCCCGCTATCAAAACGTGATTGAAGGGCCGTCACACAATTTCTACTGGTACTTACAGGTCAAGCAAAGCGCCTCCTCCCAAAGCAGGGTCCAGTATGCGATGTGTCTTAGGAATGTCTGTAATCATCGGTGATTGAGAACGTGTTCAGGAGGATATCAAAACAAAACAAACTTTGGATATTAAAGTTTCCAGACAGATCAGCCTGGAGTACTACCGGAGGTCCTAGAGTTCCACCGTCGATGAGCTTCTTGACCTCCAAGCTGAGAGGCTGGAATCTCGTCCAAACTGCCTCCATGAAGAAAACGCCCTGGTCATCTGCAGCGGATAGAAGGGCCCGAAGTTCATGACCATTACTAGTAACAGGCTTCTCGCATAGAACGTGTTTACCAGCTTTGATAGCGTCGAGGGCGTTCAGGTAGTGATAAGTATGGGGTGTTCCTGGACATAGTTTAATTCCTTCGAGCCGGGTAAAAGAGCCAAGATAAATGCACCAATGTAAACAGCATCAACGTCCTAGGTGACAACTCGAATGTAATTTATAGTAACCAGACATGATTGACGCACCTTATCAGCGTAAACCTCTTCATAGGATCCATACGCTTTGATCGACGAGGCACCCCCGGCGTTTGTGTTAATAAATTCTTGAGCTTTCTCGGTGGTCCTTGAGCCCACAGCCACTACTTTGTGAATTAGATCGTGGACATCGCGGCTGACCAAAGGACCTTATTAGCAGCTGTATGTAAAGGTTGTACACTATCCCTGCGAACGTTTTCGGGTCTACTAGTAAATCCTTCAAATAAACTTTAGCTAGACCTCATAGAGATAAATGATACATACTTTGACAAAAGCGCTGGCTATTTTACCAGTTGAGATAATTCCCCAGCGAAATACTGAGAGGTTCAGTGGTGGCCATTATTAAGGAGTGTTGATCGATGATGTCAGAAACTTGACGGCTTTGACGGCCCGATACAACGTGATGATACTCCTCTCTCGAACAAATACAGACTGGGCATTCCCTTGCCGATACACTCACCATACTCTTCGAACATTCCCCAATCCTCATCTCAAATCTTTGTCCCCAGCTTACCGGGATCCTGCCCACGCTCCCACCACTGCGTTCGTACTCCCAGCTCATCGATATCTCGCTCAGCCAAGTAGGCACCTGGGAACATGATATGAAGGCACAGTTTATTGCAGGGCATCCCAGAATCGGAGAGAGCAAGAATATCTCCAAGCTCAGTGCCAATGAACAAGGAGCGACGTCGACAACTGCGGCTACACCGCCAGAGGTTCTGGCACGGTTAGCGCACTTGAATGCATGCTATGAGAAGAAATATCCCGGTCTGATATACATCACATTTGTCAATGGAAGAACGAGGGCAGCTATTGCAGAGGAAATGGAGGACAAGTTGGGCATCGGGCATTCTTTATCACTCGACGATCCAGTACTTGTCGATATCGAACCCGTTACGGTAGGGAGCCCTAGTTGGATTTCAGAGCTTGACAGAGCAGTGGTGGATATTGGTCTCATCGCGAAGAGCAGACTAGGTGCATTGGGGGTAGAATGAAGCAAGGCTCGTATAGTCCATGTACTGTCACCATCGTCAGCTAAATACATACAGCAGAATCATCCAGTAAATACAGAAAATTTCCAGTTACAGGATCCAGATGCCATACTTGTCCGAAATAGTCAAGTTGCGCGTTTAGCTGCAGACGCAGAGCTCAGACGTGCTGCTCGTCGCTAGGGCAAGGCTTGTTAATCGGCTCTCGTGGTGTAGCAACAAGGAAACACACCATGAGAACATTCTGTTTCCTTATACGCCATTCAGGGTGAATATTGTCCATCTCTTCCAGCATCTTCTGCACCAGTGCACCTCTCTCCTCTGCCTCCCGCAGACGTGCCTCCGCCTGTTCCTTGAGCTGTTGATTCCGTTCTCTAATTTCCTTCAGTCGCATTTCATGGACCTCTTTCTGCTGCTTGACCCATGCATCACGCTCTCGCAACCGGCGGGCATGTTCTTCCGATAGAACTGGCTTAAACCCGCGAGAAATGATTCTCGTACGGAGATTATAGTGCTGGCAGATAGTGAGAAACAAAAAGCGGTTGCCAATGGTTGCCTCACCGTTCGTTTAACCGGATCACTCAGGACCTCTAGAGCTTCCTGGACCTGGAGATGAAACGTTGTAAGTAGCACCATGATTTGGTAGCAGACATACGCTACCTTGTAGAATCGGGCCTTAGCTGCCTGCTTTTCCTCCTTCAGAGGAGCCAAGGTCTAGCTTATCCGGATGGGTTTCAAGTGCTTTCTGCTTGTATGCCCTGCGAACTGTCCACATGAAACATTCGTTAAATTTCTGTACCAGTACACGAGTAGTCGAGAACGATATCGGTATACCTTCTTCCTGCGTCGCATTGGTGGAAACTCCTAGGATATCGTACAACGTTCCCGACATCGATAGCTACTTTGAAAAAGGCATAAAATTAGCAAGTTGAAGTTGAAGATAATTATTCGGTGGAAAGAGGGACGTTGCGGATCCAGGTCAACTTCAACCTTCGGAGTTTGCGCGACGCGCCACTCATCACGTGTTGGTAATTGGTAAACGAAAAAATAGGCGATCACTCTCGCAGTGGCATGGGTTCTTCGCGGTCTACGATGTTGACTTGTTTGTCAACAACGGCGTAGAAAACATTGGCTGTTCCCTTGATAGGGACCGTTTGCCAGTGCGACTACTACTACTACTACTACTCGCCCTTCCAGTCACTCTTCAATTAAGCGTTCAATTATTAAAACCGACACTCCTAGTAGGCAACTCTTCGCGTATTACTCAGCCGCATCATCTGGACTTCTGGTCCTCAATTATCACATTCTCAGAGGGATCACTGATTTCAAAACTGTTGAAAAGGTATTTGACCGCCGAAGATTTCAGTCTTCTTCGTTCAACCTACTGATACTGCAATGGGTGCAGTGTCTCGCCTCATCTGCTCTGCGATTGCGTTCGGGCAGCTCCTCAATACTGGTCTCGGCTGCTAATGTCTTCGTCCCATTTCATGGTTTATCCTTTTGCTTCTTGATGTGTCAATAATCTCACGTCTATTTCAAACAGGTTCAAAACTCATACTCATACTCTCAGGAATGATTGGGCAAACGACATCGCTACTGCTCAGTCAATCGGTATAGATGGTTTTGGTGAGGAGTCTTGCTTATGAGCCTCACAACTTGTTCTAAACCTTTACATCTAGCCCTGAATGTTGCCAGTCCCAGTGATTACGAACCTGACCGCATCGAAAACGCGTATGCGGCAGCGGAGGCCGCGGGATTTAAGCTCTTCTACTCTTTTGATATGGTCTCTGTCAGTGGAGCATGGTCATCAGACACTATTGCCGCCCAAATTGAAAAGTACGCGACGTCTTCAAGCACATTCCTATGGAATAACGCCGTGCTCGTCTCCACTTGTGCTGGCCAGGACAACGGAAATGACTTTTGGGCGTCTGTAAAGTCTACGCTTTCTGGCCAAGGAATTGACATTTCTTTCGCGCCCGCCTTGACTTCTTACCGGGACCCATCTCAGGCAGAGACGATGCTGTCTACCTTCACGTCAGTGGACGGCTTCACTAACTGGTGGTCCTGGTATGTAATATCTAGCTTCATAGCTTCCCAATCACTCATTTTGTTTCTTCTGTAGGCCCAACGATGGTGCGTAGCTGGTCATAAGCCGTAACAAACACTGATCTTCCTCTTGCGTCATCCAGTCAATGAAACGCTCACCGTAGACACCGATCTTACAAGTCCGCGGTCAAGGGAAGTCGAACTGGTCCCTACATCATGTGTTCGTCAGTTTACTACAAATGCTTCCCCCTGATACTCATATGTTCCAGCTGTATCACCATGGCAATTCAAAGATATCAGTGACCAGAACTGGGTTGAGCAAAGCGATACTCTGTGGAATTACCGATGGCAGCAGGCCATTAATGGCGTGCAGCCCTGATATCGTCGAAATCGTGACCTGGAATGACTACGCAGAATGTAAGCCACGTTTGATTTCTATGTGCAGGACGCCAATTCACAATTTCAGCTCATTATACCGGCGACATCAATCCTAACGTTGCGGTAGGTAAAATCAAACTGGTTGTAAGATAGCACTTTTAAATTTTTTTCAGCTATACGATGCTGCCTCCTATGTTACTGGCATTGATCATGCCGCATGGAGAATTGTAGCTCAATACTACATCAGCTACTTCAAGAGCGGCTCCGCTCCTACCATCACCGTATGTGAAGTATTAGTGATCATCAACATTCGCACTTGCTAACATCTTATAGGAGGACCAAGTCGTTTTCTGGTATCGCGTCCATCCCCGCGAAGCGACATGCTCCGGAGGGACCCAGCCTCGCATGTACAATTTCCCTGCGGATGCGGTGTTCGCTTTGGCGATGCTCGCCGAGGATGAAACCGTTGCTGTCGACATAGGCAGCACCAGCCATACCGAGTTCGCCGCTAAAGGAGGCGAGCTCACGATGGGGGTCGCGTATTTCCCATTTGAAGATAATCAGACTCCTGCTGTTAGTCTCGTTCGCAACGGTGCTACCGTGAAGTCGACAAATGGACCGCAGCCCATCACGACGAATTGTTCATACTACAACTTTAACCCTGTAGTGGGTGCTTTGAGTGCCTGAGTTAGTGATCCTTGACTGTCGTCGATTACTTATGCCCTTAGTTATCTCATTGGACGCTTGATTAATACATGGATTATACGGATTGAGACGCGTAGCCTTGTTCTTTGCGCATACGTTTGTGCTCCTTCCAGTCACTGAGTTCGGACTAATCAGTATAGTGAACACACAGACAAAAAAGGGCGGTAACGTACTTAAACTGACATTGCCGGATGCAATACTACACCTCACATCTAGAACATTTCATCGTCGCAGGTGTCTCGTTATTGGGTAAGAGACATTCTAAATACGCACAGACTAGATTCGCCGACGTATTCTGTTCCCGAGCTTTGAAATCCATCAGAAGCGGAGTTAGATGTGCCATTGGATCTTGCGTTTCTTTCCCATGACTATCCACAGTCCTAACACGCAAGCTAGGTCGCTTACCACACTTCTGATAGGACTTACGGGAATTTTCACTGTGTTTTGACATTGTGAGAATGACTCGTTGTACGCAGCATGAACTATACCGGGCACGCCTTGACGGAGATCCAGGTTCTTGTTGGGAGTGTGAGAGAAATCCCTGGGCCCATTGGGGCAAGTCTACAGCACTGTGCAGTCTGGTTTGTAAAAACTTGCACTAATATCAGCATTCTTGTACGAGAAAGCGAAGGGCGCGACTACCTTTCGGTTCGCTGATAACGCATTGATAGTCTCTTCCACGGAACCCACGTGTTTTTGACGGCCTTTTTGTTTTCAGTAAGTGCCAAACTGATTGGCAAGCCGCATAAGAACAGAACGAATGATGTCCACAACAGCTTCGATCTATATAATCCGAAACGATGAGTGGTGTATAGCCTGGTGATTGAAGCGTAACTTAACCATCATCGCCCGACAAGTTTGAGACTCGACGCAGAGGACCTCAGATTTTGCAAAACGCTTCCCAGTGAGGTCTGCCGGTAAATGTTTCTTCTGGATGATAGAGCGACGGTTTACATCGAGGTATAGAACGCATGAATCGTTGAAAATCATCGAGCATAGCCTGTAAATTTGATTGACCTGCAGTTGAAAGCATCGAAGGTAACAAGAGTGCTGGAAGTACTTGATAGTAGCGGATGAAGATAAATTAATTTACTTTTAAGTTGGTTACCCCGGCTTAGCCGACTTATGGGTCCCTTTCTTCGATTCGCATATCGCTAGCCTATCCTTTTCGAGCAATCCATGCAAGGATTCGAGTCTGGGGTCCGTATAGTATGATAACAGGCTAGGGAATATTCCTGCTACGTTAGTAGAAGGTCTTATAGGGGATGGATGGTAGCCGAGTTTTTGACAGCTCCCCGAGCCGAATGTCATCGGACTTTCTATGTGTGGTAAATTTGAACGGCGCGCCACACATAAATTTCTGTTAAAGTCAGATTCTCGGTGTGGCAGTTTCTTTGTTTGTCACTTTGTTTACTGTGACTCAGGTTACTATCACGCTCTCCACGGAGTTGCTCGGCCGAACTTCCATTCAGCTCTCCTAACAGCGATTCTGAGAGAAAATGCGAGCTGGTGGCGGCATCTGCCGCCACCGAGCGAGGCTTTTTCGAGCAGCACCCTTATTACTGTTAGTTTTTGAAGTCCTGATCATAACTATTTACTAACTGATTCAATTCACCCACATCACCAATGGCATCGGCTCTGATTCCAACTCTTAGGTTCAATCGTGTATAAGTGAGGTAGTTTTAAAACATGATGCCGAGGTCTCAAGTAGTGTTAGTGTTGGTGTTGGTAGTGGATGGACAAGCCGACTCCGAAACGACGGGCCGGAATATCCCCGATTCTTTCCGAGATAAGGACGACACAACTCGTCAAATTAGGAGCCAAATTTGTCATGATGATTTACGCAAAATACGCGTCATAGGCGGGCTCGTGAACGAAAATACTCCACTGAAAAGATATAATGTGAGGCTGTCTCACCAATGCTATCACGGTGAGTCCGAGCCGTTCATCTCATCGCAATCCTCTATAATGGCAAATATCATCCGTTCTGCCAAGCCTAGCAACAATTGGACGTCGAATGAATTGGCTGCATATAACATCGCAGTCTACTGCCAATCCATGGATGACTTCTTCGGATACACGCCCAACACAATACCTGACGGAATCGATCCTGCTTTCCTGACCGCTACTGTCCCTCCCGACGAAAATCTATCAGATCACACCTATCGACTCCTTCAATACCTAGATATTGCCACTCACGCCAGCTCCAACCAGGAATCAGCAATCAACGATTTTGCCAAAGAGCTGCTTAGCTTGCTTGGTTTCGAAGAACGAGGGACTCTTCTGCGATCGCGCTATTCCATTCCTTTCATGATATGCGGTGACGATGGGCGTGTAGCAGAGACTAACCTATGTTTGGTTCAAGGCAACATGACGATTCTCCTTGTCATTCAAAACGAAACGGCCATCGGTACCAAGGATCCCGAAGTGCAGGTCATCGCTCAAGCCATTGCTGCTTTCCAATACAACAACGTAGCTCGCGATCGCAATGGCTTAGAACCGCTTGATTCCATGACAATCCCTGCCATTACTATGATCGGCACTCGTCCCGTTTTTTACAAAATACCCGTCACTCGGCAGCTGAGCGATGCCATTGCTATGGCCCAGTACCCTGTCTCGAAAACAAAAGTTGTCAAGTGTGTAGTTGCGCCACACTCCCGTCGTCTGAGCGAAGGAATGGAGGTTCCTGAGTTTAGGCGAGAAGTTGTGCAACATTATGAGGCTTTCAGAAGAATGTCGAAGGAATGCTGGAGCCATTTCATTATCTAATTTGCTTTGGTCAGTCTTTTAAGTCGTGTCTTTTGAAGTTTGCCACCATAACGAGCTTTCATAGGTAGCCTGACCGTTTCCCATCCCCCTTCCTCTGTCCCCTTGCTCATGAATAGCATACTATAGGCCCGTTTTGATGATTATGTATTTCAGATTCGAACATGCAGATAGCTTTAGTCTCTTGGTTGTTCTTAAAGAGGTCCTGCCCTCCCTGAACAACATGAAGTTTCTTCCGAGTCGCACAGGACTAATGTTTGTCAGCACGCTCAGTTTCAGCTTTTGACTGTCGTCGGCGTCCGCTCTCGCTTGCATAACTGTAGTCTTTTGACTTCGGAAACACGTTTACTGCTAACATTGTTTATATGTTTATATTATTGGAATCGGAAAGAATCGGGGACCCGGCGCAAGCGCCGCTACCGACATCCCTTGCATCAGGTTCACGGCAAACTCGGCGCCGTATGTACTACCTCGCAGGTATTTTATCTCGTTGTATACTTGAGTTATTCATACTGATTGAAGGCTATTATTGTTTGTATATACCTTTGTGCTTCTTCCAATCACTGGCCTGGGGTGAAAGTTGATCAGCAGAGAAAAGGATGTCAAGACTTGTTCTACCTGGCAATATCTACTGCAGTAGCGCGTACTGCAGTAGGCGCATCACATAGTCACGAAAACACTCTGATTATTGTGTGAAGAACACATGGTGTACGCACAGTCAACAATATTAGCGAGTCACTGGGTCGGACGTGTCATTGGGTCCCGTGCACTCTTCATGCTCGTCCATAAGCGCTGGAGCCCTAATGCGGGAACGAAATCTACCATCGCCCTTCTGGACAGCTCTATACTGGATACGAATACGTGTTTCCCAATCACACCACCTGTCGACGTGTACCAACCATTTCCTCACCTCTCGGCGCTGTGTCCAACGATGATGGTAAATCTTCCGACGGCTTTTGTGGCGTTGGCATTAGCGTCGTCAGTATTCACAGCGTCTCCCACGTCCTTCAATGATTCCTTTTGCGCCATCTCCACGGCCGTATCTCGCGAGGCTCCCCCTGTGTATTGCCTCACCTCACTTGAGCCCGTCGAACCCACGGATACAGATGCTCCACTCTTCTTTGAGGAGTCGAAAGAGAAACAAGCTGAGCTGCAGAAGCAGAAGCAGAAGGGGAAAGAGAATGGCGGGGAGTGTGCAGGCATCGATGGTCAAACATCACCGTTCGCTTCGTACGATCCTACGGATGAACCACTATCATCCCATTTTCAGGTCCCAATAGCGGATAGATTCAATTATGCGGCCCTCGAGTGCTCTGCTCGTGTCCGCGCGTCTCATCGTTCAGCAAAGTCGCCGTCTTCCATCCTATCCTACAAACGCGATAGGTACATGCTGAGCCCATGTACTTCCAAAGACAAGCAGTTCTTAGTTGTGGAATTATGTGACGAAGTTCAAATCGACACCGTGCAGCTGGCAAACTCTGAACCCTTCAGTGGGGTTTTTAAGGACCTTACTGTCAGCGTGGCGAAGACGTACTCGACAGGTGAAGAAGGCTGGACCGTAGCAGGGACCTACAGAGCCAAGAATATTCAGGGTGTACAGGTCAGGCATCACTGCGACTACCATTACCCCGTCTGACCTCCAACAGTCCTTCCATCCGCCTACGTCGCTAAGCCACGACTTTTACAGGTACATACGGATAGACTTTCACTCCCACTACGGCAACGAGTACTACTGCCCCATCTCCCTGCTCCGAGTTCACGGCCTTCATCGTCTTGATCAAGGGAAATGGGAGCAACGAGAGACAGAACACCGCGTAAAAGAAAAGAAAAGTTGCTTGCTACTCGCCTCGACGAGCCCGAGCCTGTCCAAACCCCTGCAGACCCCGTTACGGTTGTTAATGCTTTAACAACGAATATCGCTAAACCCGTTATCCCAACCGTTGATCTTGGTCTACTTCCAGAGTGCAGCTCTTCACCAAAATTTGGTCCTGCTACTTCTGAACCCACAACTAAATTTACCAGCTCACAAATTGTAGCGTCGACGACAAAGGTCATTTATTCTCAGGGCATGACTCCTCCGAATGAAAGTGATATTCTTTCTGCAGATACCGTGCAATTTTCTCCTTCCACTGTTAATCTCTCCGCAAGTACATCGCTCACGAATTCCGCTCTCGCCAAGATCTTCTGTCTTCGGATACCGGTGGACACTCACAGTCCGCCGCCATTATTGTCACGGCTTCTGAAACCCTCCCTCCTTGTAAAGTAATTCGTGCCGAAAAAAATTCACTGTCAGGTGCTCGAGTTTTGTTACGTGATGCTTTATTTTCGTCAAGGGTACACTACTTCTACAAGATGTCCTACTCAAAGAAGAAGAAACGGGGCTCCCTCCCAGGAAAATCCAAAGAACCCGAACGAAAATTCTCCCCCTCGAACGCATCTTTCGAACGTCGTGGCCATTGAAACGATGCGGCCCAGATCCATAGGGAGCAAGAATGCAGGGAAGGAAACCTCGCCCGACTCACTGACATGCCCATTACTTGAACCGACGGGTGCCACGATCTCTATACACCAAATGGTGACGCTCGTCCCCTCATTCGTTGTGAGTAGTTCTTGAGATCTGGCTCGAGGAACTTTTGGTGGTTTGCGTTTGGAAGCAGATGCCCTTGGTGCCGTCGTAGAGAGGATGACGAAAATAATTGTGTAGGTGTTTCGACGACTTTTCGAGGTGGTAGCGAAAACTTCTTAGTATCAAATCGATGTGATAGTAAGACCGGCCTGCAGTTTATTGAAGCCATGAACCAACGGCAATTCAGAACACGGGAGAGCGAGGAGAGCAAGGAACTTCCCTTGCCATGTCATCCTTCCAAGGTCGCTTCGTTCGATATAAGTATTACGCGGTGGCTTCGACTAGCATCGAGGCTGGTAATTTATGGCACGACTAGTACTCAGCATAAGTTATACTTTTGCTTGTGGCCCGTCCACATGCTGATTAGGAGTTCCTATCAGGACTTCACCTTTCCCTGCAACGAAAAAGAGAGTCGGGACCGGGTGTCAAGCTGGCGTCTTGCAAATAAACTGTGTGCTCTGTATGAGTTGATAAGACTCGTCGAGACGTAGATGACGACTGAGTACTGAGGGTTCATGGGGACTGAATTGCTGCTAATACGTGTACGTTATCTTTGGGCGTGCAGGGATTGGCCGATACTACAAACAACGAGAAGCCTCGACACGGAAAATTGATTGTCAAGGGTCATACATTCAAAGTCCTATATCCAATACCAGATGGCTTATACACACTCCTAGGCAATGACACTGCGGCAAGTCATCACTGTTTCTGGCTAGTTGGTCAGCGAAGACGGAACAGGAAGTTTGAGAAATTGTCAGTGATTAGTATGGACAACAATGTATGGGAGCTTCGTCGCCTTGGTGTTGTGCCCAAGGAAGTTAGGTAGAACGGTCCTGTGTTGACTGAACTGTTTAGCACTTACTTAACGCAGGTTTAATGTTAGTAGTATTATAGGATAGGGAAAGGCATAGTCTCTCTCACCTACAGCATTGCTTATTTTCTAGTTAAGTACCATCATTTCCCATTTGATTTGATTCTAATATTCTTGGGGAGCGTAAGCGAAAGAAGAGGTGAGCAGCAATATTATATTATCGCAGCTGTAGTCGCAGCGACTCTGGTTTGAAGGTAGATCGGAACCCAGCCAGTGGTCGCGTGCAATCCTTCAAATTTTCCCCGTTGTGAATGTGTCCCCTGGATATAGAGTGACGGTTTCCATCAAAGTACAGAGCTTGTCAGCAGGTGTAGCCTCTCCAGTGTCTGTTCTACGACCGGAAATATCAAGAAAGTAAGTGAATAGGGACATGTAGTTCTGGTGGTGGCTGGGGACAATTTTTTCTTCGTCGCATAGTGTATTTGATTCACACGTCGATGGCGAATGATGACAAGTGATGCATAAAACCGTTTCAGAGACTCGAGTGCAGCGTAAAGTACAGTGGCAAGCAATGGATAATAGTGAAGAGACGACAGCGAAGTCTGTCATTGAGGTGAGCGACACCAACGGCCCTGACAGCGCTACCACTTACAACGTTGGTAAAACCCTGCATGATAAAGAAAGATTTTTGGCAGTACATTTAGCTAGTCAAGAAGAATCAGTATGCATTCAGGAGCGAAACAGCCAGCAGACATACCCAGATTGTAGACAGTCAGCCAAGTGCTCAACCTGCCTTTCTTCTTTCCACTGGCGAACCAACACCCCAAACCAGTATCCGCAACGTCAACAGTCTTCCTACTCCGCCGACTAGCAGTCCCGTTATGCAGGCAACGCCCACGAGGACATAGAGAGGGTAGATGAATTCTAGAAGGGATAGGATGGCCCGCGCCGGTGTGAAGACCACGATATTAAGGGTTACTTGTGTGAATACGGTGAGCGGCGCGAAGGCGTAAATGAATACTGGAAGTGGCGAGAAAATGGGATACGAGGCTTTGCTAAGTGCCCAGTGTGCTGCTCGAATACCCGCAGCTGTAGCACCCGATAGAAAAGAGAGATACTGAGAAAAGAGAGGCAGCAGAGGCTTGAGGGCCTCCAATAAAGGAGCATCCAAAGGCACAGTTGGTGAGGAATCCATGGTGGATATGGGGAAAGAGAAGAAAATAGGGGCTTGTTGCTGACGTTATTACACCTAAATACGTTTCATTTCCTTCACATTCACCATGGATGCAGTTGAGCGGGCCAATGTAGAGCGCCAAAAGCGATGGTAAGCAGCAAAGTCTTCGAAAGCACTTTATTCATTGTTTTCTTCAGGGTCAAGGACCAGAAGGTCGGAGAGGGAACGTACGCCGTAGTATACAGAGGTTCACTTCGCGTTCTTGCTTTCATACATTCATACCAATCCTTCTTCCAGGGAGAGAAGCCTCGACTGGACGCAAAGTCGCCATAAAGAAAATCAAAGTTGGTCAATTCAAAGATGGTCTCGACATGTCTGCGGTTCGGGAGGTCAAATATCTGCGAGAGCTAAAGCACCAGAATGTCATCGAGGTGCGTCAGTTTATTTCTTTGTATCTTTCGCTGTCTGATAAGTCCTAGCTACTAGACGTATTCTCGTCCAAGACGAATCTGAACCTTGTCCTAGAGTTCCTTGATTCAGACCTAGAAATGATAATAAAGGATCGGTCTCTCGTCTTTCTCCCTGCAGATATCAAGAGTTGGATGGCCATGACTTTTCGGGGGCTCGAGTTTTGCCATAGAAATTTCGTCTTGCATCGTGTGAGCATTCAACTGCCCTTGCCTACCTTTACGTCGTACTTACGTGCATCTCGCTAGGATCTCAAACCTAACAATTTGCTCATTGCATCTGATGGTCAACTAAAAATCGCCGATTTTGGTCTAGCCAGAGACTTTGCTGATCCTGGATACAAAATGACATGTCAGGTCATCACGCGGTACATGTTCTCATCGTTACGGCCTAGCATGTTCTGACATGCTTCTAGGTGGTACCGACCTCCAGAGCTTCTGTTCGGTTGTCGCTACTATAGCACCGCAGTAGACATCTGGTCTGTTGGTTGTATATTCGCCGAACTAATGCTCCGAACACCCTACCTCGCCGGCGAGAGTGACATGGACCAGCTAAAGACCATCTTCCGTGCACTAGGCACACCGACGGAACAAGACTGGCCTGTAGGTGCCGAATAGAAATAGTCGTATCCTCGTCTCATATCGTTGATAGGGCCATACGAAGCTACCAGACTATGTTACTGTCGGTCAGTTCCCAAAGACACCACTCCGCGACTTGTTTACTGCGGCAAGTCCCGACGCGCTGAATTTGTTGAGCAAATGTCTTATATATGAGCCACGGAGACGTATCAGTGCCAAAGATGTCAGCAGCAGCTCTTTCTGTCGTGAATACCATTGACTGAATCCTATGACAGGCTTTACACCACCAGTACTTCTTTGCCCAACCGTACCCCTCACATCCTTCGAAGCTACCAAAGTGTGCCTCACAGCTAGCCGCCTCTCGACCGCTCGAAGAGGTTGATGCCAATGTTGACATGGACTCCACTGTTTCCAGTGGCAAGAGTGGCTTGACGAAAGCAAGGCCAAAACGTAAACTCAACTCTCCTTACGACGACTCCAAGAGTAGGTCCATTGCTCGACGCTTAGATTTCACAAAGCCGATATCAGGCTCATAGTCAGACGCGTAAAAGAGAAAACTGTCCGCCCAACACCCCATGTTCATTCTTCTGTAACTACTGTAGCTACGATTGTGTAAGATATACAACTGTGATAAAAGGAAAACTGGATGCGATGACGATGATTGCAAGATTGAAGAAATGGGGGAAAGTAGACAGTGAAATTGGGAATTTGAGAATCAAGAAAATAATTTTATCAAGCGCGGGGTGTATCGCAGATCGAACACTTGTCGGCTCCTCCCTGCGTCAACATACAGGCAGAGCATTGCCATTGATCCGGAGCGGCGACTGGATGGTTTCATCCCCGCGGCGGCCCAGTTAAACGTCGCAGCAGGAGCAGCAGGTTTGGGCTTTTCCCGGCGCTCGCCACAAATTTGACATTTCTCCGCGGCAGGATCCTTATTTTTGAGCGTGCATGCATCACAGGACCATTCCCCGGGGGCCGCCTTAGCAGGCGGCTTCATTCCAGCAGCGCTCCAATCAAAGGACTTGGGTGGGGCTGTGGGGGCCGGAGCAGCAACTACAGGGGTCGCAGCTGTTGGCTTCGATGGACCAGCCACCGGAGAGGACGGGAAGGAAAATGTGGGTAGCTCAAAGGTAGATGTAGCCTTCGCCTTACTACGCGCCTCGGTATCCCATGATTCAGACGACAATGGCTTTGATGAAGTGGACGCAAAGCTGAAAGAAGGCAACGACAATGGGGAGACTGCAAGAGCAGCCGCCTTTGGGTCAGACCTACCGGGTGGGGAGCTCACCGTTGGCGAGGACGACGAAGGAGAAGGGGTTGCGGGGAAGGAGAAGGTTGGTGGAGGCATCGCTGCTGGGAAAGGGAATGTACGAACTGGCGTCGCGTTTGCACCAGGAAGAACCGCGGCAGCGAGTACTGGAGCAGGGGGAGGGGAGCTTGGGGTTTCAGGCTGGTAGCTAAACCTTAGCTTTGAGGGTTCTTTGGGGGCATTCGAAGATCTCCCAACACGAGCAGACGACATTGGGGAACCAAAAAGAGAAGGCGCGGGCGGGTTCGATTCGCTGACTCCATTCACCTTGATTTCAGGTTTTAATGCTTCAGCGTCCTTAGAAGGGGTGGAGGTGGTCGTACGGCCATTGACAGTGGGCTTCATCCTCTTGGTGGCTCGCTGGGCTTCATCTTCATCACCTTCATCTTCGACGTCCTCAACGGTGACTCTGAAGGATTTAGGTGCAGCGATAGCCTTGGTAGCCGTAGCAGAGGTGGGCGGACGCGATCGTTTGCTACCCTGAATGAAGACATAAGCAAGAAAGAAAGCTTTTTGTGACGACAACGAACCTTAGGAACAGTGGCTTCGATGATTGCCTGTGGTGAATAAACTTTCTCCTTCTCCTTCTTCTCTTCCACAGCTTGTTTCTTTGGGATGGCAGGCTTTCCGGTTGCTCTCAGTCGTTTCGATTTAGTTGCTCTGATAGAGCCCGGCGTTTGATAAGGGTTACTGATATCCGGTTTCTTGGTAGGCGTGTTATCTTTGATCAATGCTGCCATGAAATTTGCAGCACTGGATTGTTTCTGTGTTTGCGGTGGCGTCTCGGGTGAACCAGGAGAGGTTTGACCCCAGGCTTGACGCAGAGGGGATGGAACAGCAGGCGTGGTAGGCTTGGGAGGGACAAAAGTAGGGCGGAATCGAGGGGTCGAGGTGGAAGCCGGCAGTCCATTGAGTTTAGGCGGACTTCCGTTTAACGCTGGAGGGTTGGCGGACGATATTGAGGAAGTATTAAAGGCTGGGGAAGCCATTGGGGTATCGCGTCTAGGGAACGGAATGGACTTGGGTGTTGTGGGAGTGGCTGACGCGCCACTTGGCTCGGCGAAGGAGCTCCCATGGCCATTAGTCACGCGCCGTCTCTTGGTATCTGCTTTCGTATTGTCCGTGATAGAAGTCAACGTAGAATCCCCCAAAATCAAACGGTCTGGGGTGGCGCGCGACGGCCCAAACGCTGGGGATTGATATCGACCTCGAGGCCGAACCTTGGCGCTGCCGCCTCCCTTCCATCTATAATCCCCGTTAGGATTCTTGCTAAGCATCTTGGTCGGAGTGGCAGGGCCACCGGCCTCAGAATTCGCAGTCAAAGCTGGCGAATTGCCACGGTGTGGCGACGGACTGTTAGAAAAACGGAAGCGTTCCCGTTCCCGTCCTTGGCCTGCAATAACGTTAATATTGGGTAGGATTATAAAACGGGCAAGATGTGACTCACGAGCAGCAGCTTGCATGAGTTTATCAATTAAATTGTCAGCGTCCGCCGCCGGAATAGTCTGGTCGCGTCGATCATGGAGGTAGGCGGCGACACTCTCTAGGGCCGGGTCGAGTGATATCGGCAAAGCGACGGAAACATTTGCGGGCGTGGCAGGGACGGTTTGAGGAAGAACTGGAGGATGAATGGCTGGAGGGGTGGCTGACGCGCCTGAGGTCCTGTCATTATTCGTGTTCGAGGGTTGCGTCGTCTACAGAAGAAAATAGTTGAAAGTGGCACGTAGACAAACAATAATGAGAACATACAACTTGTCCTGCACTCGGTGATGGCTGAGTAGGCGGAGGACTAGAGTCAGCCACCGGTGGTGGAGGCGATACTTCGTCGTCTACTTCCATGTCATCCCTGGACCGCAAAGGGTTGAGATAGTGGAGAATCCCTGACAACGACCACATCTAAAAATTTCAGATAAGTGAAGTTTCAACAAGCAGGAAGATTGTGACAGACAGATTTTTTGGGCGGTTGTGGTCGTTGAGGTTGTGGCTCACGGCGAACATAAGGTGATACCCGATGGGTTCGAGTAGGTGTGCTTCGAATGGCGCTCATGTCGATATCCGGGACGTGTGCTGGGCCTTCAAGCAGATGGTGGAGATGATTTGAGGTAGAAAAGTACAACGCCCAAAAAAACAAGGCTGCGAGGTGTCGGAAGGCCAGCCAAGACAAGACTGCTTTAGGGCCGGTAGTCACGTGCTCACAAACGAAATTGTCACACCTGTAACTGTCACGCGCTCCTCCGTAAACGCTACGATGCCGGAGAAGGTCGTAGAGACAGCATATCCCGTCATTGACACTGACCCTCATGCATACCGGGTCGTGAGATACATGCGCCCCTCCGACTACGGTGCCTGGGCCGCCGTTACCGCTGCTTTTCCGGCCGCCTTTTTCGCTTGGGGTACGGACCAATTACTTCTCTCAGCAGCTTCAAAGATGTTCATGATCTTGCAGAGATGGCGGACCCATCCTCAATGACACAGAAACAATTGAGATTAGGCATGCGCGGAGCTGGTATTCTTGGTCTGTTCGGTGGATTCTTGTTAGCATACCAGCGGTCCAGCCGTGAGTAACATGTTGCATTCAAAGTTATCCGCAATGCTCAGTGGTTCTTCAGTCCGCTTCTTCGGAATGTCCGAGAATAAACGGGAGGAAGAGCTGGATTTGCAGGAACTGACGCAACGCGCGAAGGAAGGAAAGTCGTTGTACGGGGAATCTCCTCAGCCTCAATGGGTCCAAAATGCTGCCCATCAGAACTCCGTATGGTCGCAGTTTAAATTTTGTAAGTTCTGGATTTTAATCTTGTCTTTCCATCTTGTTCAAGTCCTATTTTAGCTGCTATTCCCATGTAAGTTGACGTCGCTTCGGTAACTGCTCGGTCTACTCACTACAAACAGGTTCAACTTGGTCAATCATCCTTACCATGGTACCGATCCTGCAAAGTATGGTGTAACGACAGAAGACACTACGTCAAAGTGAACAGCAAACAACAGTATGTGGCCTTGCTTCGTCTCTCAGTCACCTTAATGACTTCCTATGAAGCGATGGAATGATCCTAATGATAGCGTAGAACAGCTGTAGTGGCGCCTCTCGACTCGCTTATATGCATCTGGAATTCAAATCGGAATAACTTGGAAAAATGTTGAAGTAAGAACGGTTCATTGTCGGTGCCCTGTACGACAGTCAGTGGCAACGGGGTCTTGGCGCAGCAACGACGAATCCTTTAAAAACCACCTACTACTTGGGAATTAGTTGTAACTCACCAATGGCAATTGCTTCTCGCCTTCTCTCTCTGGTAATTCCTGCTCTCGCTGTCAGCGCATCAGCGCTCGATCGTCGAGCTGAAGGTGGTTACATCCAAGAGGCTTCAGGTCTCGCCTCTTTCACCACCTACTCTGGGTGCAGCTCCCCAGGTTTGCTTTGCCCTTGTCCGTTGACTTTGTTATAAACATCCAGCAGCTTGTGGCCAAACAGTGACTGGATACACTGCAGCCATGAATCAACTCGCCTATGGTGCCGCAAGCGGCGATGGTGCAGGTGACGCGTGCGGGCGCTGTTTCGCTGTGACGGGTAAAAAAGATCACTATCATTCATATCTTTGTTGACTTTGTACAGCAACCGCCGATACGTCCAACTCTGGTTACACCGGCCCCTTCTCCACTATTGTTGTGAAGGTCTGAAGTCTTTGAAGTTCTTGACATGTAGTGTGATCCTAAGCAACACAACCCCACCCTCTAGGTTACCAACCTCTGTCCATATACTGACACGGTATGCGCGCTCCTTACTGCCCCATGACACTGTTGACGATGCAAATTCAGGAATGGTGTGGTCAAACCACCAGTAACCCAAATAACTCGCACGGTTTGCCATACCAGTGAGCATTTCCACGGGTTCGGTGTTTGTCTTGTATTGATTGTCTTCAGCTTCGACATCTGCGCAGACGACGGTGCTTCCGATGTATTCTTCCCCTCAGGCCACACTGCTCTTTCCGGGAACTTTACCGAAGTCTCCTGCGATGAGTGGAGTGGAAGTGACGGTAGCAAGCTGTGGGATACCGGTTGCCTAGACGGCGAAACTGCCGATTTCTGGCCTGCGGTTGGATGCGGTAACGTAGGTGCGTGCAATCGTTGTCGTCACCTCTTATAGCATTTGACGTACCCGTTTAAAGGTACCGCCCCTAGTTGAGCTAGGTGAACCAACATCAGCAATGATCTACATGTACAGGAGGAGCTTTAGCGGCTTTCGCATGGTCCTGGAGACTAGTATCCCTCTTAGTACCGTTGATACATACAACTCTTGATTCATTTTGTGATGCTCTATCAGTCCATCGTGAGATTTGAAACGTTTTCAAGTTTCAAGGCACTGTTCAGTACGAGCAAGAAGCGCTCCTGATTTAGTCAAATGTCCGGTCCATACATTTCTGGCGCTGATCTCGAGCTTGCTTCGTACCACCATGTTGGCATTCTCTTACCCCAGATGGAGAACTGCTTTTGGAGCGACTAACTTAGCCGCCAACAACGATCCTGGCTTGAAACTTGGCAAAGCTAGCCTCATTACACCGAACATATTTCTCTCGGATTATTATACAGCTCGTGACGAGAAAGAACTCATCAAACTGGGCATCACCCATGTCGTGTCTGTCCTGGAGCATGATCCTGTTATTCCCAAATGCATCCCAGAGAAGAACAAGCTGAGGATTCAAATCATGGATAGGCCAGACGTTGATATCTTGCCTCACCTCGAGCGAACGACCGAGTTCCTTCGTCTGGCGCTAGAGGAACCAATGAATAAAGTCTTGGTATGGATATCTTCCGACTATAGATTACATCTCCTCATTCTCTACGGGGCTGTAGGTCCACTGCTTTCAGGGAGTCAGCCGCAGCGCAACTGTAGTGTGCGCGTATCTGACCTCGACTGGTATGTCGGCGAAAGAAGCAGTGAAATTCGTCAAATCGAAGCGTGGTATTGTGCAACCCAACATAGGGTTCGCAGCGGCAGCTCGAGATTTATGCCAAACGCTATGCGAATGTATCGCAGTCTCGTCGTGAAAATACGTTTTCGAGGAACATCAAAAAGCTGAAAATCAGTGATGGGGTTGCCGAAAGGATACGGTGGTTGAAAGGCAAGGGCGCAGAGCCTGTCGAAGTACAGGAGGTGAACAAGTGACAATGCTGGCACTTTGACCGTGGATATCACTGGAGCCTATCATTGAATTCAGTAAGCGAGAGCTCAAACCATGGTTATTAATGATGCTCACCAAGTTGCAGTCGTAATTTTGTTCACAAATCAGGATTTAAATCGAGGTCCAGGTCGAAGAATTGTGGTTGAGGAGCACGGAGATCTTGCCTGTACGGGTTCGCCCCGGGGCCCATCTGGTTAGCGTCGGGGCCTTTGGGTGATACGGTTGGTGCTGGATCAATCCATTTTGAGATGCGAAATAGTCTACAAAGTAGGAATAATATACCTCCAATAGAATGTGTTTCTCCTGGCAATCCAAGTGGGGCCTCTGCATTGAGACGACCCCGGCGCATCTTTTCTTCGTTTGGAAAAGGTGGAAAGAACAGTGGTGGAGGAGGCTGGCCAGGCAGGCTCAAGTCCGGCATGTTGGGAGGGGCAGAAGTAAATGCGCTTAGGCTCTGTGCATAAGCCAGCAGCTCAGGATACGGAATAGACCCTACACAACTGTGTCAACACCGCTGATACCATAACAGAAAGAGAATAACGCGCCTTTCTTTGCATTTTCAATGGCCTGCACCCGTTCTTCGCCTTCCTCAATCATGGCCTCCAGCTCGCGTTTCTCCCTTTCGAGTTCCATGCATATTTCTCGCCATCGAGCATCGAGCTCAAGGATCTCATTTTTCAGTGCTTCTATCTTTCTTTGTCTAATTTGATGCGAATGCGCAGTGTTCACAGCAGAGGCCAGAGCCTGGTCGCAGGCAAGAAAAGCAGAAACTGGTGGAGGTGGCGGCGGTGGTGGTTTCGTGACAGGTGAAAGTGAAACGAACAAGGCCTGCGATAGTGTTTGAAGGTCGGTCAAGGGGGCAAGAAGAATAGAGGACATGGACGAGGCATCGTCGCCTGTGGTCATGGTCGTCGTGGCCAAAAGTAGTATCGCGTCGGCTGTTTACCACGATGTCATGTCACATTTGAACCACTACCCCGAAGAATCCTACGCGCTAACGGAGAATGGCCAGCTCCACGATACGAACAAGTACCACACTACGCAATACCAGGACGGCAGCTCCATCGACTGGCTGTATGAAGAATCCCTAGAACGAGAACGGACACAGGCGCAGCGCTCACAGCACGGTATACGCGGCCTCCTCCTTCCATGGATCGACTCGGCTCGAATGTGGCTGGTGGTAGTCTTGACTGGCATTGGAATAGGCCTTGCTGGAGCATGGCTAGACGTTCTCGTCAAGTGGTACGTTGCCTTTCTGAGCAGCCTCGCGAATATTAATGCAAATGAAACTTCAAGGTTGGGTGACCTCCGGGAGGGCCGCTGCACGTACGGTTTCTTCTACAATCAGAATACTTGCTGCAGTGGACTGGATCGTACGCACCACATGTTTGCTCGTTGCGACTAGGTCTAAAGTTTACCTTAGCGGGAGAACTATGCAGAGAATGGCGAGCATGGAGCGAAGTATTCAATATTCGCTATATTTTTGCGCAGTCTCTGTTGCACTCCTTCATCTATGTATCTCTTGCTGTAAGCAAACCTTGACCCCAACGTCTGTGGCTATATGAAATCCATTCTCGTAGGTCGCATTTGCAGGAAGCGCAGCAGTCTTGGTGAAGACCTACGCTCCATAGTAAGCATCGCGTCTACATTCCCCCGATGGCGCTCATAACTTCTTTCAGTGCTTTTCACACCGGTATACCTGAGATCAAAGCTGTACGAACGTCACCATACACTCTCATATGAATACGTCTCAAGAGCATATAGATTTTAGGCGGCTATATTCTGGATGCCTTCCTAACACCATGGACTCTTCTCATCAAGGCCCTCGGTCTAGCATTAGCGGTGGCCTCTGGCCTTTCCCTCGGTAAAGAAGTGTGCAACATTCATCTTTCTTTGGATGTTTTCAAACTATGGTTGTAGGGACCGTTAGTCCATGTAGCGTGTTGCATGGCTTTCCTTCTGTCGAGGTTCTTCAAGCAGTTCAGAAATAGTGAGGTGCAAAAACGAAAAATCCTGGCTGCAGCCGCTGCCGCAGGTGTATCAGTAGCCTTCGGTAGTCCTCTTGGGGGTGTTCTATTTGGACTTGAAGGTAATCTCACTTATAATATAGCGCGACTTTGAAAGCTCATCTGCCTTTACAGAATTGGATACCTTTGCAGGTGAAAGTGATGTGTTGTGGAGAGGTTTCGTAGCATCAGCCATAGCCGCCGTTGCCTTGCAATACGTAGATCCTTTTGGGACCGGGAAACTTGTGCTTTTCCAAGTTAATGCCCTATTTTGGAATCTTTTTACCTCACTAACTTGATTATATTCAGGTTACGAGTGTGACAGGAGATACATGGAGAGCCTTTGAACTTGTGAGCCCAACACGAATCCTAACTCGTATGTGATTGACTCTTTAAGATTCCTTGGCTTGGATTGGGTATCATTGGAGTAAGCGTTGTTCACTTTTTATGAAATCCATGTTTGACAGTCTCTAGGGAGTCGCAGGGTCTCTGCTAATCAAGTTCAACGTCGAGTTTGCCTTGTTTCGTAGAAATTCGATCCTGAATGAGTGGCCCGTCGTCGAAGTGGTGGGTGTAAGCGCGTTTACCGCTGCTATTAGTTACCTGGTAGGTGGTTTCACTTCTTATACGTGATTAATGTAGACCATAGCATCTTCTAGGTTGTCTTCGCGAGGTCTGTCAATCATCCGTCAACGTGGTCATTGTTCCTCAGCGCGACGTTTCGCAGAGCCCAGACGTCCGAGCTAGTATCCAATCTTTTTCAAGAATGTGACCCGTCAAAAGGCGACTACCATGGTCTTTGCAAGTGAGCGGAGCACCCTTCTTATCTGCAACGTGCATTGATGGTTTCTCAGTCCAACAGCATTGTGGGAGAATGTTTTTCTTCTGATTCTAACAGCGATCATCAAATTTGGGCTCACTGCTTGGACCTTTGGAATGATGGTACTGCTCCTTTATTAACTCGGGCCCGATGACTTTTGGACGTCGCAGATCCCAGCGGGAATCTTTCTTCCTACAATCGCGATTGGTGCATGTCTAGGAAGAGCAGTTGGTCTATTAACGTACGTAGCTTCCATTTATTCCCTACAAATAACCACGTTCAACGTACGACAGGCAAGCTTTGCACAAGGCATATCCTACGGCATGGATGTTTTTGTCTTGCCCTCCGGACCCTACAGTTCGCTGTGTTTCTCCGGGTTTTTACGCAGTGATTGGCGCCGCTGGCATGCTGGGCGGTGTCACTCGTATGACAAGTTGGTTGCAGATTCGCTTCTTCATATCCGGACTAATATCTCCTACAGTATCTTTGGTTGTCATTCTATTCGAGGTAATCAATGTCCTGTTTCTTTGCGCATGCACTCATTCTTCTAGTTGACGGGTGCACTTTCGCATGTTTTACCTATCATGATTTCTGTCATGACAGCCAAATGGGTTGGGGACGCCTTTGGGAAGGATGGAATCTATGCTGTGTGGATAGCAATGCGGAAGTATCCATGGCTAGCGCCTGGTGATTACAACGACCAAGGAGAGACCGGTGCCCGTATTATGAGGCCAGTAGAGAAGCTTGCTGTCATTGAAGACGGTCAGTGCACTCCTATGACACTCGGTATGTTTCTTTTTCATCTCTGTGGTGGGATGGTATTGTTCAATCCTACGAATTAGGCAACCTTCTTAGTACATCGACCTTTCACGGTTATCCCGTTGTATCACAAGGAGAGTTGATGGGCTATGTAACACGCGATCAGTTAAAATCAGTCATAGGTGGGTCCTATCGGAGCCATTTCTATCTCATGTTTATGATTTTTGGTGACAGATTACCTCCCCGAGGAACAGCGATCTAGAAAATGCGTATTTTACCCCCAATTCACTCGTACACCAGAGGACAGTATCAACCTATCTAGCGTTCTTGAACAGTCCATCATGCAGATTCGGAAGGAAGTCCCTCAGGAACTAGTCGTGAAGATGTTCCAGAAATTGGTAGGTTTCCAATAATTCTTCTATGGCCAAAGCTAAAATAATATGCTGCGAAGAACCTCCGACATATATTGTTTACTCAAGAGGGCAAGTTAGAGGGTATGGTGACAAAGACAGACGTGGCTGCTTTGTTGACGGCATGAGTTTCCTCATACTGGAGCGCTTTCTCCTCACAATCCCCTGACGTTGTGACATGTCATTTATATAATAGACGGAGCCTGTTTGTACATCATCATTGACGCGTCTTATGCCTGTCTTCATGCATTCATGTGCAACATATATACATGGATTCTAATTAATTTGCCTACAAGAGTCCAGCTGCCAGAAGCTCCTTGTGCCACGATAGGGGAGACCGGCAATTCCCGAGAGGTTACCACGGACCCACTTTCAGAACGCGTCTTTGGACCTCCTTGTGCTCCTGCTCGCCCTCCTTTTTCTCTCTTTCGACGACCCATTCCATTCTCTACCATGTCGCACTACAGCACCAACGACGACGTCTTCGGCTCAAGTTCCCAGTTTCTTTCACCGCCAAAGCCCAAAGCTTTACACCGCAAATCGCCTTCACGACAAAGCCTGAATCCACGTCGTTCGACGGCCTCCTTGCGGAGTGTCTCTAGTCTCTCGCACGCCATGGACGACGACGCTTCCAATGGACGCTTCTCGTTGGCCCATGAACTCGCAGTAGCGCTGATGCCAGAGCCAAGCGCAGGCTCCATGCTCCTTGCCGAAGAATTCGGAATCGAGTACGACGAAGGAGCTGAGGGTATAGATCAAACCCCCCACCACGATGAAGATCCACATCTCACTGCTGGCGGTGAGCCACTGACATTCGCATCCGAGTCAGATTCACCAGCCAATACCCCATTCGATGACATAGACGATTCCCATTCCGTGTACGACCCTATTCTCGACAGTCCGTCAGCTAATAAACAACGACGGCCGGAAAAGAAGGATGCCATGGAAATACTATCCGAAAACCTAGAATCCACCGATAAATTCCTCTCACATTTGCGGCGCATTGACGTTGACATGGGGTCTTCAGCGTCACAGCAGCCGGCTTTGGAGAAGATTGCAACAGATGTCATACGTAGAATTAATGACACCGTTAGGGATCGGGAAGGCCAGGTACGGGAACTGTTGGAGTATGAAAGAGAGCTACGGAAAATTGCTGGAGAGGTCGGCGGGAACGATGTGCTCGGTCAGCTGGAAGAGTTTACGCCGCCAGATGACCTTGTAGATGGGAAGCCGCCTGTAGAATTGCCTCACTCGGAACCGCGGCATTTGGATACCGTGGAGGAAGAACATTTTGCGAACCTTTCAAATTCTAGCGAATGGGATATGGATCCTGAACACCGCCATCTAGGAGATTATTCCGACGACGAATCTGATATTCCATTTTCGCCTTTGAAAGATTCCTTCCCGCCACCGCCTGCAATACACGGTCCTGCTACACCTGCTGTGACATTACCACAACTAGCACATCTGCGCTCCTTCACGACCTCCCTTGTCAGCTCCCTTTCTACCATCTCTGAGCAAGCACAGGTCAATGGTGCAGCTACAACAGAAGCAGGTCGGAAGATACGAGCGCTAAAGAACAAGCTAGGAGGGTGGCGGACAGAATGGGACAGCGCTGAAAGAAGTCGACAGAAGATTGAACGATGGGAGGCAGGAATCATAGACGGGCCGGATTCCAGCGGGGAAAACACGCCCGTCACGTCGCCAACGCGTATTAATGGGATGAAGAGAACAGATGGTCGCCAAGTCGTTCGCGAGCACTTAGACGCCTTTCAGCTCGCTTTAACAGACGCGGGTGTGAAGACTCAAGCCATCATGGCATCATAATGGGCTATTTAACGCTTGTGTAAATTTTCGTCTTATTGCTCTGCATATTTCACGGCACATCTTCCTACATTTTTATACTATTCTGCTCTACTGTACGATCTCATTACATATAGCACACTTTACTCTTTAGAACCGTAACTACTGGCTGGGTTCGCATCCATGTCGTGTAGCTTCATACTTATCTGGTAGATGGAATCGATACCCGTCGCGTTAACCGCCGCACTTAATCCTGTTGACCTGATTAGATTTGCGGCGACTGTACGGAAATTTAATACTAACCAATTAGTTCTGAAAGACAGAGAAGCGCTTCAGTCTCGGTGCCGAGATCCAACAGAATACTTACCGTGCATCGACGGCTTCTTTTCTGACAGCACGCTTGGAATCATCTAGAACTTTCACCAGCTCTTTGACAACTTGCGACTTGTAAGGATGCAAGATATCATAACGGACAATCTGCGGCAGGATGGCCAGATATCGGGTTGCTGCGATTCTTACTCTCTGATAACAATATTATGACCATGAAGCTCGAACCGTTAGAAAAATTCACATACCATCGAAGGCATATCCTGAATCCTACTGTTCTTCAGCATCTTGGATATCAATGATGGGACATGTTCGGCGACCAGGCTTTGTTCAGGCGTATCTCCTTCTGCAGCAGCAATGAATGTGTCAATGACATTCACGTGTGTACTTTCATCGGGAAGGTCGAGACCGCGTAATAGAAGAGGTATTAACTGAAGGTGACATTAAATGACCGACACCAGGACCAAGAGGAAGCGACTTACTGTAGGCATCTGTTGTGAATATAATGATTTTGATATAGATTTAATGAGAGATGCTAGGGCTACAAGATTGGATATTTGTTCATCAGGTTCTAAAGGGATTATTAGTAGTCGCGGTCGAGAATGGAAGATGCCTGCCTACTGCTTGCGTCGTTTGCCCCGGTAATGATACGGGGTAAAATCTTGCTAACGAATCGTTGCACGTGTAAAATCTAAAACGGTTCTAAGTGAGAGTAGATACTCAGTAATTGTCCACTTGCCTTGATGACTGCGTGATTGCTCTTCGACAGCACATCACCAGGTTCAACAACTTGTCCGATTGCCTTGGCTGCATCCCAGCCAATACTCTCGTCCCCGAACACGCCAAACAGGCGGTCAGAAAAGTCAAGAGTCAGCGGATGGCTCTGAACCAGGAGCGCTTTACAGATCTGGTATACTGTGAGTACAAGGATAGAAAGGTAGGACATGCATATTACATGGACCCAGGCCGCAACACCTTGCTGGCGCTGAGGTACTGTCAAGGCTGTATCGGAACAGTCTATTTGGTGCGAATGTCTCAAGCTGTTGAGTGAGGAATCCAGAGGCATCTGCTCGGCGATTAACGACATATACTCTGTAGAACGAGGCGTAGACTTTCCTGCAGTATGCTTGTTAAGAATAGAAGCTAGGATCTTCCAAGCAGCTTCTCTCTGTATGTCATTGTCCGCTGTCGTAAGACTCCACTTCAAAATATCAGCTTAGAAAGTCGTCCAAGGAAGGGACAGGTATAGGAACCTAAAAAAGCCATAAATTCATTGCGAGGGCTAGAAATGAGAAAGCTCTATACTTCTTTTGGTGCTGCAATGACTTGCAGCGGCAAATAAAAGGATCAGATTCTTTATCGGTGTAGAGGCAGATTCCTATATCTAATCAGAACGCAAACCTAGATGGAGAAAAGGATATTCACCTGGAATGGATGTATCACTACATCGACGGGAAGTTTTGGTTGCCCTTCACAGATACCGGCGACATTTCCCGAAAGAAACGCAGAAAATACGACAGCCATAAATATTTGATATTTCCTTCAAAGGCCATCAGCATAAAGTACAAGTCAAATTGTTCGGGTCTTACTCCACCGTTAGGCATTGAGTCACTAGACTGATAATATCCCCAGCAACGAGGATCAGCCTAGGATCTGTGGCTATCACATAACCACCATCAGAGTTCAGAGCTGAATAGATAAAAAGGTTGAATAGTCTCGGTACAAGTCGGTCGATGTATTTAGGAACATCAACGTGCCTCTCGTCGACTTTCGATGACATTGTCTGGGCAATGGACTTGAGGATGGCATGCGCATACGCAGCGCGAGGTTCCAAGTCAGCCTCGATATCTGTAGAAGAACAAAGAAGCTCGACTCTCGTAGTCAACCGTATCATGAAGACCTCGAAAAGCTCTGGTTGCTGGCAGAGAGTGCTCAGCGCTGTTAGAACACGCCGGTATTTTATGCGATCTGCGACTGCGTCCCTTGAAGGAGGTCGGTCGGGAAGGTCGTTGAATAAAAGAGGTAGAGTTTGGTCAACCACATGATGGGGAGATATAGTAGTTATAGTTGTCAACAATTTCAGTGTATCACTACAGGTTCAAAATTAGATTGGGCGCAAATCGAGACAGTCCCTGCATACCTTTCGTCTTCATTTTCATCGCTGTTTCCCTGCAGAACCTCATTAGTCTTATGGACGACGAAGCCGAGTTCTTCATCTGTGAGTAAATTTTTCGTAGATACCATTCCCAAAAGACAGGCCAAGGCAGGTCGCCTGAGAGAGCTAGTTTGGAGACCTGTAGTGACAATGCCAAGGACTTCATCTTTGTAGAGTAACAACGGAGGCTCCGTGACTTCCGACTGTTGGAGGTTGGAAACGGAATCCCTTGCCGCAGCGATGAGGTCCGACAGCAGCAATAGATCAGATAGTCGACTGGTTGTCTCCTCAAGTGTAACGAATAGTGTAACTAAATGTGGTGCCGTCTTCGAAATAGTGTAACGGGCAACGGAAGCTGAGAAAGGGGTTTAGCTGGAAGGAAGGAGACACTGGAATGAAGAGACTAACGGGTAGTTGACATAAAAGCACAAAGAACCTTGATCGCAGGCCTCGCCTGACTTTTCTCCGGTTCACGAAGGATTTTGATACACTCTTCGCATGCGTCTTGAGCCAGGCCTTCGATGTCTGTTTTCGAGTCGTCTTCCGCCTTCGAGTCTGCCGAATATATGGTCTTTACCAAAGATTGCGTACAGCTCAAGGCCATGTCCGCAGTGATGGTATCGGTCGGTTGGAATATCTATTCACGGCAGTATTGGTTTCGATCCGCAAAGAAAAATGCCCGGTTCCCACCTCCAACTTGAGCGCATTCCAAATTTCACGCGCAGAACTCCTGGCCAAACCAGCACCGTACACGGGGAAACATTCTGACATGCTCTGCAATGTATCCCTCTGTACAGAATTCCTTCAATCAAACTCTTGAGCAACAAGAAACGTTGGAAGCTACCTTGGTCATAGGCGATCCGGCTGTAAGCTTTTCCAAGAAGACAGGTATAGCCATTGGGCCAAACGCAGGTGTTGCACTCAAGCAGCGGCTTTGGGCCTAGTAAATGAGTGTGGCTCAAGTGGAATTCAGCGGACTTACCGAAGATTGCGTTTGAGGTCATCAGCACTGATACCGTAAGGGTCATTTGGAGGTGGTCGGAACGTGATGGGAAAGTAACAGAACGTTATGTTGAAGAAACCCTCCACAAAATCAGATATATCAAACTCGACGAGAATTACTCGTGCGATTGCGAATGCGACCAAAAGATTTCTTGGATCCTTTTCGCCATCTGCGAGGGTGATATAACCAACCAAGAATTCCTTGTTCATCCGCTTTAGAGCTTAGATATTGTTAGTCGCGAAAATTTCCTTTCAAATGAAGGCTCACCATCTCTGTGACGCGCCATGAAATTGTCAATGATGGAATACACGACCAGCCGTACTGACTGGACGAGTACTTTCATTCTGACGTATGTGAATAAACTGCAGTCACGATTGTCAGGTTCATTCGCCTGATTGGATCTCTCAGACTCACGCTTTGATAATGACGGGCACATCTTCATTTGTACAGTTGTTAAGACGAGAAAGTGAAAGCAGTCCTTTCAGAGCAGGTATTATTGTCTCCGTGTCCTCTAGTTTGCTGCAGTAGAACGTCACAAGGACTCGTACTGAAGAAAAATGAGTCATTGCAGACCAGATATAGGAGCGATGTTCAAACCAGATTGGCGATTTAATTTTTCTGGGGGACATCGGTCCAGTACCAAAGACAGGAATTCAACGCCTATATGACGAGTATGAACGTTCAGAATTCATATCTAGCATTGCAAGTATTACCCTTGGTGCGAAGATTATCTTCTTCAGAAGTTAAGTATTCTCCCAACGCCTTGCACGATATTCAAAAGGGACGTTCGACCATCAGAGACCTCTTGGTGAAACATCAGAATAGACGAACCGGTAGCAAGGAAAAGCAAACGCACCAGACACCGTCGCTGCAACCTCCTCGTCCCTACCAGACGCCATCCATGTATGCACAAGCCGCTCTGTCGATTCCATCGAAGTCAGAGGGAAGAAAGCCGGAACCACGTGCAACCAACATTTTTGTCATCGACCACCACGACGAGCAGGTCCCCAGTCGCGTCTGCAACTCTCGGAGAAGGCGCCGACGACGCGTCTCATGCTATCTCTGGGTGCACAGGCCGTTCGATGTATCAAAAAGCATCGTACCCCATGGCTTTCCCTGTACTACTCGACATCCCGCAAGCCACCGCCTACAGATTTGCCCAAGGATAAATGGAACTACAATACGAGTCCGCTCTTCAGCCCTATCGTCAAGGACACCAGCCAGTACCCCATCGTCACTGCCAATAGCCTCGAGTCGAATACGTTGGCACCACGCAGTGTGAAAATGCTCGCTCGGGATTTCATTGAGGATTCTCTGTACAATCCGAACTATGGCTATTTCTCAAAACAGGCTACTATTTTTGATTCCAAGCAAACACTTTTTATCTTCTCAAAGCTCCGAGATTCGACGGAATTTGAAGCGGAGGTTGCCAAGAAGTATGCCGCATATGAGGCGGACCAGCAGTTGTGGCACACGCCAACTGAGTTGTTCAAGGTCGGCATACTACTCCTTTCTATATTGTTTCTCTTCTCTGACGTTGTAACTTAGCCTTGGTATGGCCAGGCTATTGCCCAGTGCCTCGTCTCGGAGTACTTACTAAAGTACTTTCCTTACGAAGACTTCATCATATACGAGATTGGCGCTGGGAATGGAACCCTAGCCCTCAACATTCTGGACTATCTCCGTGATGAATATCCAGACGTATACGAGCGTACCCGCTATACCATTGTTGAAATCAGTGCAAACCTGGTTGAGCTTCAAAAAGCCAAATTGCACGATGTACATCCCTGCGTGAATGTGGTGCATAAGAGTGTGTTTCATTGGGACAAACGCGAGCCTGCTCCGTGCTTCTTCATGGCCATGGAAGTCATTGTAAGTTGATGCTTGTTTCAAATAGACACTCGACTAACGTCGCCCAGGATAACTTTGCACATGATGTTATTCGATACGATATGGAGACTCTAGAACCATACCAGGGAATTGTTGTCGTCGACGATGACGGTGACTTTGAAATGGTCTACACACGCGTTCAGCGACCCGTTGATATCAGCGTTCTTGGAATTGCGCAAGACTCTCGCACATCCTCCACCTATCTCCAAGGTGTTCCGGTCCTCACAACTGTTGCGAAAGATATACCGCACGCTCCCTTTTGCAGCAAACATGTCTGTAGAGGAATACATCCCAACGCGCCTTTTGAGTCTCATACGAACCCTGCGAAACCATTTTCCCCCGCCACCGACTCCTTTTGTCAGATTTCTCGCATCTTCCTGAAACTATTTCCGGCGTGAACTCTCCCGTTGTTCAAACGCGGTTTAAGAACACGACGATTGCCACTGATACACTCCTCGTCCGGCCGGGGGCTTTCGACATATTCTTCCCTACCGATTTCGATAGGCTCAGAGGACATGTATGAGTACACTCTATCCCAGCCACCTACACTATCGCGGCCATCTTCCGACAATTTCCTACCCTCACGTTCAACACCGTTGACAGCGCATTCCTTGTCCTTGTCATTGGGGGCTGACTATTTTTCATCCAGTCGTCGGACGGATCGCCGAACGCCTCTCGACTGGAGTGACAGTCCGCAAGTGGTTTGCCGGTGGGAGAACGAAAATCAAGCGTGTTCACGCATGCCGAGTTTTTGGAGACAGTACGCAGACCTTTCACAGACTCGACTGCGCAATGGGGAGAATCCCTATGCTTGATTTCTACAAGAATGTCAAGTTTTTGTTTTGAATAATGGGATTTGCAATAAATTATCTTGTACATTTCTCAATGAGTCTCAAAGAAACCAGAGCCGATGGTAAGAGATGAATATGTGTGTGTGCCAACTTTTTCCCGAGTGGGGTAACTTTGATCGCGGTGGCCAAATGTGGGGTACACATACTCCGACCGGCATACCCACGGATGTAAGACGCCTGACGCGTGGAAACGTAGTTCTTATTCCTTTGCTACCGCCATCACTTCGTCTTTACTGGGCCGTATCTTTATTTCTGAAGACATGGTACGTGTTCACCTACGGGCTTCAGAGTCACCCAAGTTGAGACATGTTCTCCAGTCTGCTTACCCCGCACTTGTCATGGGATCCCTCTGTGTCTTTGGAGGCGTAACCGGGTTCGCGAGGACACGTTCAGTACCGTCAATAGTCGCCGGCGTCAGGTAACACTTCATGGCCCGTTGTAAGCACAAAGTGTTGAATATTCGCCAGTGTTGGCGCTCTATACCTGTGGTCGGCGGACAGCATCCGCAAAGGGACACCCAATGGCTTGGAAGGCGCACTAGGTCAGGCTCTGCACGCCAACTATAGAATTCGCTGATCACCTTCTCAGGCGCATCTGCACTTCTCCTTCTGTCTTCTCTACCAGCGAGTTGCCAAAGGACCCGTGCCTGCCATCTTGACCGTTACCTCTGCCTTGGCCGGAACTTGTAAGTTTCATCTGCGATCCGCAGGACTCTTCTTCGTTTCTCAATTCCTGTCCCAGACTATGGAAGAGTCGTGTACAATCTGAGGCAGTAATTATGAATCAAGTCTATCAGCTGACACCAACTCGCATTCAGGTCTCAGTTGTATTAGCACTTTTGAACGAATATGCATTTGCCTTGTTCGTTCACCTTGAACTTGTTGCAAATCAAGTACCTCCTGAATGCGATCGATGATCGTGTACGCCAGGCTCGGCCGACGCTTTGCCCGAAAGATGACCCAGTCCTTCTACACGTGACAGCAGGTTCCAAGCTTTTCTAGCATCCCCATACCCAATAAGCACCAGGAAAACACCCAGGATACACCATAAGAAACTGGAATACCAGAGGTGAACATATCGGCGGTCGGTCGGCAAAACGATCGCGCAATTTCAGTCGTCATAATCCGAGTCATCTTTTTGAACCCATCAAGAACCCATTAGCATGTCCAGCCTTCGTTAGTACCCTCAAAGTCGCGGCTCTCCTCTCAACCGCACTCTCAGGAAATGCTCGTGAATGCAGCTGCTGAAAATGCACTGGGCACTCTAGGTATGCCCCCTTCTCACCCACTGGCAGCTTGCCACGATTAACAAGCAACCCCCAAGGAACGGTCTGTTGGACTATCCAACTGTTACCACAGATCTGGAAGACCTGGCGTGAGAAATCCACCGAAGGGCTCTCACCCTGGCTCGTGTGTGTTCTTCATCTTATCGTTATCGCTCTCAGCCTGACAGATCTTATCCTACCTAGCCTTATCTGGGGCCTTACTGCTATATTCCTAGGGGTGTACGCCATCGTGCAAAAGCTCAGCATCGCACTCATAGTACAGCCCCAACTTTTTGGAACATTATCCTTGATATCATGGGGACAGGTACCGGCCCTTCCTTAGTTCCCCATATTCCATCTGACATCCTGTGCAGTGCCAATACTACGACAACAACTGGTCTATAAAACGTTCAGTCCTTGCGGTCGTATCCATCGTCTCCCTAATAGGCGGTCTCCAAGCAGGAATGGTATTCGCCGTGCGACCCTCGTACGAACATGGAAATCACCGCGGTGTTGATTTCTTCGGTGTCTTCGCCTCAGTCATGCTCTCCGCCGGCCTTTTACCCCAATTTTACGAGATTTATAAACACAAGGAAGTCATCGGGATTTCGAAACTCTTCATGCTGGTTGATTTGTTGGGAGGTGCGTCCACTTGAACCCGCATATACCCAGGATTGACACTGTTCTAGGTGTTTTCTCTCTGCTGTCCTTGGTTTTTAGAGATACCTTTGATGTCCTTGCAGGGGTTGCATATAGCTTGGTCGTCGTAAGCAATTCCCACAACGGTTATTTCTCTCCAACTCATGCTGCCTAGGTTCTGGACGGAGGAGTTATACTACTAGCAACGATTCTCAACCCTCTCGCTCACAGACGGCGGCAACGTGCTGAAGAGGAAGCATTGGAAAGCGGGGTCGAAACACCAACAGCAACTTCGACTCTGGAGAAACATGACTTTGATCCTAGTCCCTCGGAAAAGGTACCCGTGTAATGATTAGATTGTATAATGTCTACAACGTAAGCTTAATAAATAGAGACGACAACAATAATAGATCCTCCCTCGTCATACTCGTGTACGCTCCTCATCCGTGTTACTGCTGCTCTCGTCCGTTCCAAGTTTTGAGTGACCACGCGAGCTAGAGGTATAGGTCATTTCGTCGTCGTCAAACAAAATATTGTCGTCTTCCTCCCCACTAACAACACCGCCTCTGCTCAAAGATGAAGGCGGCATACGCCGGGGTCTGCTTGGAGGAGCATTGACAAAGTCTGCAAAGCTAGAAATGGAATTTCCAGTGTTGGGGGTGCGAGCTGGCGTGCGGTAGAAATCTTCTATCTCTCCCTCCTCTTCGTCGCCGAGTCCCAGCGATTCGTAAGCACGGTTAGCTGAGAAAGACGTCGGGCCAGCATGCTGCCTCGACCGCGAAAGCAGACGATAGGAACCTTTTCGCAGGTGCGTTGCATACGAATAGACAAGGAGGATGAAATAAATCTTCAAGTCTGGGTTAGGCCGGGCCACAGGACAGAGACCGAGACGGTTTACCTTGGATAACCACCCTAGCGCGATGACCGTAGCGGCCATTCCCTTCTCGTGATTCCATATCTTCATAGCGGCCTCTATGCGCTCTGATTCACTAAGAGGCTGACCGGCCATGATCGCGCCATTGATGATTTCAGTCTGAGCAGGCGAGTTCGCCTGGCGACTGCCATCATGAGGCGTCTGAAACCACCAGGTAACAGCAAAAAAGATTGTCCATGATGTTGAGAAGACGTGGTCGGCGAAGTATAGGTGTGCAAAGTATAAGGTATGCTTGGGGTCTTCCTACGGTAGCGCCACAATTCAGGTCCGACGCGGGGTAATAGAGCGCGATTCTCACCTCCTTGACAGCGTTGAGCCCCCAACTAAATGCCAGCAAGGCGACGACGGAGTATATGTACAAGCTGAGTTGGGCAAAGGAACCACCGGCACCAGTGACGACGGCAATGAGACCATATACTCCAGCAACCTTGTTCAAGAGCTGTGTACCGTCAGATTTTAGGCGCTGTACGCTGTTACGGACGACGTACAACGAACATAAGGGCGACAACGACGCCAGTTTTTATGTCAAGGAGGCCGAGGAAGGAGCTGAAGGGCCATAGCCGCCATTCAGGACGGAGAGTAAGTTTCATGACGGGTGGGAGTTGAAAGAAAAGGAAGGGGTATTACATAACGCACCTCACCTTCGACTGTACCAACAAGGCTATTTTTTTCTTCGACACTTTTTTATTCTGTATTTCATGGCCAACTACTTTTCGAACCATTCGCAATCTCGTTTTCTCGCCAATTCCTCATCACCAACGGCCACCCAGCAGCCCCAACAACAGCAACCACCACGTTCTCGCCTGCCAACATCGAAACACTTTTCAACCTCCGTCGCAACGAATTCTGTTTCTGAGCGTTCTGTTTCAAAGGAAAAAGTAACCAGCAGTAATGGGTCGTCAGTGAATGGCTCTGCGAGCGTACACCCTCTGAGAAACACGTATGTTCGTGATCTACCGCCTGAAATACGATTTCGGTCCCTGACATTTGTTTTTAGGTGGGTCTTTTGGTTCCGGCAGCAAAGAGCTCCTGGGAACAAGATTGCGAGTTACGAGGAGGGTATTAAAAAGATCTCTGCTTTCAGCTCGGTGCGTCCTTCCCGCAGTCCCCAGTCATTCGCCGCCGAACGGTGCACAGGTAGAGTCCTTCTGGTCTCTATGGACACACTTATCTCCGCCGTCATCGCTGCAACCCACGACGGACTACCTGCTGTTCCACAACGGGATACGACGGCCTGTTTGGGAAGATCCGTTGAATCTGTCCGGAGGCAAATGGATAATACGACTAAAGAAGGGCGTGGCGGACCGGATCTGGGAGGATCTCGTCCTGGCGATTATCGGAGACCAGTTCGATGTTTGTCGTCCTTCGGAGGATGCGGTGAAGAATGCCGGGGCGTCTGATGGTGAGGATGGACAGACGGAATGGCCGGAGATATGTGGATGTACGATCAGTGTGAGGCAGAGCGAGGATATTGTCAGCTTGTGGAACCGTATTGACGGTGACATCAAGCTTCGAGAAAAAATAAGGTATGTCGTGAAACTTACATGTCTGTTGAAAGGCTAACATCCAGTCTAGGGATACGATACGGAGAGTACTGCACCTGCCTCCTACGACTGTAATGGAATACAAGTCGAATAATGGTACGAACCTTTCTCTCCTCCAGGTTGCATGACCTTATATTCCCTTCCAGACTCGATGCAGGACAAGTCGAGCTTCCGCAATTCTGCAATCGATAGGACACCGTTGTCATAACGCATTTTGTCAATCATTGTCTACAGAATAAATTTAGCATTTAATGTCACGTGAGAGAATGACGCATGTCTTTCAAATCGTCTTCATGAATTATCAACCACTGCGCTAAGTCAGAAAAGCTCATAACCAGTGCATGTCATTCTCCCCGCTTTTGATAATCCGCACAGCATCCCGCTTTCCGTATATAGTTCGCACTTCTCTTCCACTTTTTCTCCACTCTCGAACAATGACTACAGTAAACAAGACAGACGACGAATGGAGAGCAATCCTCTCCCGAGAACAGGCACGGTACCTTTAGCTTCTATAAGGGCCGGCACTGACAATTCTTTCAGTTCCGTGTACTCCGTCAGAAGGGCACTGAACGCCCTGGAACGGGCGAATATAACCACCACAACGAGGAAGGAGTCTACGGTTGTGCTGCTTGCGGGACCCCGCTGTACAAGAGCGGAACCAAGTTCAATGCACGTTTATGTTTCATATACTATCATCTACATTGTACTCACATGTGCACAGAGTGGCTGCGGTTGGCCGGCGTTCTACGACGGTAAAGATCTAACGCGTAATACCCATTTACGACGCACTGACACTTCGTTCAGCCATCCCAGGTGCCGTGACCCGCCATGAAGATAAATCTTTTGGCATGACACGTATCGAGATAACATGCACCGCCTGTGGAGGTCACCTTGGGCATGTATTCAAAGGAGAAGGATTCAGTACCCCCAGTACGTCATTTGATCACACTATAAAACTGCTATTCAACGTTAATTCTAGCTGACGAACGGCATTGTGTCAACTCAATATCCTTGAATTTCTCCAAGTAGAGGGTTTGAATGTTGTATTTCTGTGCAATAATGCAATCAGGATGGTTGTTCCGATATTGAAGTTTGGCGAAGAGCAATACAAGCGGATGTGATGACACAGATAGTTCATCCCGTTTTGTACATCAGCTACAGATTACAGAATCTTCTGAGCATCGAAGAACAGGTTCAGTGATCACATTAACTATCCTCCTCGTTAAGCTCGAAGTTCTGGGTCGTCGATAGCATTGCATATACCCAAGCACCAAGTTCTACTGCGAGAAGCACATTGTTCCCAGTAGATGGCAGAATTTCCAAGTGTCTGGAAAGGTTCCTTCGGGTCCGCTATTGATTGTGACATACGCGATTATCTGCAACAGCTAATGAAACGCCGTCAGTAGTTATAAGTGACGCTAGAAGCAATAACGCGCACCAGAACGAGTCGCAAACAGGCAATTTAATAGCGTATTCCGCTGTCAGTCCGCCTTTACATGTCACAGGGCATCCAAGCACCATCCATATTCTCTGCATCTTCGGCAGATAGACCGTCAATGAACACACCTCCCCTCCTGTTCTCAGGTGAAATGTCAATACCGATATGGGAACAGACTTTGAAGAACTCTGGCGGCATCGGGGAGCGTATTCCCAATTTGTAACGCTTATTGGGTCCAGAGGACCTAAATCTCTGCATTGGACACTTAGTTAGACCGTCGACTGGAAATGACCGCAATGAAGCACTTGCCTCCATAGCGACATAAGATGAGTGCAAGAATAACCTGTCTTTTGGAGCACAGCGAATGGGAGGTATCTGAGAATACAGTCTCTCTCCGAGAATGGGAGCTGCAACACCGTCATCAGTGGGTTCGACCCGACAGATTTCTTTGGACAACACACCATTCAGAATCTTGGCGAGATGGAAACGAATCTGGTGTTTATGCCCCGTCAAGAGATTCAAACGCAACAGCGACAACTTGTTAGCCTGCATTCTGACATATAAGCAACTTGGAAGGCACTTTCCCAGCCTACTCATTATACGCACCGAAGCAATTAGTTCCCACTCAGTGATACACGCTGAATCTGATGCCTTGCCCTTTGACACATATCCATCTCGGAGCTGCAGTGCCTGCGATATGACACCGTTCGTCCCTGGTAACGCTTGAGGAGTAGAATGGACCAAGGCGAAATACTGTTTATCGATCTTGCGCTGCTGAAACTGGCGAGATAAGTCACGAGCCATGTCTGTAGAGCGAGCAAGAAGAAGACATCCGCTAGTTGGCTAACGTCACGGTCAGAAGACAGAACTTGGATCAATATATCAGATCGCTCACTTTATCCAGTCGGTGAACAGGAAAGAGAGGTCCGTCAAGTCTATGCTTAGTTTGTATTTCTTGAATGAATTCTTCAGTATGAGAATGCCATAGCTTTGAACAGAGCATGCATACCACACAAAAACTTCTTGAGCTGGTCGTCTTCCTTTGAAGAAGCTTGGCTCACTAGGCCTGGCGGCTTGTTGATAACAACGACCCTCTTGTCTATGTACAGGACATCATTTCGAGGTAGTAGTCCCGAGCTCTGCCTCGTTTTCCGCACCAGAGCTGCGAAGCCAGGCCTCGTCATGGACGAGTTCGTAGAAGGGGTCGGAACTCGGGCCGAGAGAAAATTCGATTCCTTTCGGTCCGGTTAGCCGAGACTTAGCTTTTGAAAGTCACTGCTGATTCAAGTTGAACGTTGAACGTTTGAACATTGAGATAAGTAACTAGGTTTATGTCCATAAGTTGTTCGGTGGTGCGGCCAACTTATCAGCTACTTTCTCCGTGCCCCTGTTACCAACTCACTCTTCCACGACAGTGAACATTGCAGAATCTGCCATGGGCATTGTTATTCATGTTCATTTCTATGTTCCAGCAACAAATGTGTTGGTTAGCTGCTCTGAGTATGTTCTCCTAGCTGATGACATCTATACCATGAAGGACCAGCTAGAACACAAGTTGAGTATGACGGGAATTTGAGGCGGACGCGGAGATTTGATTGTTTATCGTATTTTGGGCACGAGACTAGAGCGCAGACGAAAACCAAAATATGTAAGTCGTTGGTTTCTCGCTTAATATTTACTCTGAAGTTGCAAAAGCGTACTTCGGAGTACTGGTCCAGATCCCACCGTCCCGTCTTTCTCACGCCGGACATTTCTTACTATTTGCGCCAACTTCCAAGTACTCCTTCAAGTGTTTTCCCTCTGTCATAACTCAAGTCATCTCGAATGACTCGGACAGGCGGACAGCGGCATCCTCTGCCTTAAGCTGCAAGTACTTATACCATGGATGCTCAAAGTTGAAGGTTCCTAAAACTCCAATCTTGAAGTAACCGCGAGGATTCAGCGCTGGTCAATGGACTTGCGTTGCTTTTTCTCCGACGGCCCGGCAAGAAGACTTCAAATGCACATCGCCCATGCAACATGTGCGTAGAACGGCTTCTCCTGATTGAATCCATGTGTTCATGATAACCAGTACTAGAAGGTCTTGGCTCCTGGAGGACATGGCATCCATTTATGTTCACCAGGAGGCCGTTTCATAGATAGGTCAGGCAAGAGTACAGTATGACTTGACTATGTCATGTGTAATGATTTCCGGCTTGACATCGTAGGACACCCGCATGGCTTATGATGGTTTTTACAGTATTTCAACACGACGATGTATATAAAGCGTTAGTGACGCTTCAAACTCAACGAGAAATGGCGTTTCTCATCTCAATAGCTCTCTTCCTCAGTCTCGCGGCGTTTTCCCTTGCATCCTTGGGAAATTCCACCTCTGAAGTCTCCGTTTTGCCAAGGGCTGGGACGTTTAGCAATCCGTTGAACAAACAAAAGGGCGCGGATCCGTGCATGCGATACATCAATGGCGTTTACTATATGACATCTACCCAGAACACGGACATTTCAATGTGGGCGGCTACGATGGTTGAAGGAATCAAGACCGCTACCCCCACGGTCCTCTTTACGGATACCACAGCGGGCCGAAATTTCGACTTCTGGGCACCCGAGTTTTGGCACCTTGATGGACGATGGTATATGTAAGTCTAACCTCGTTTTCTCTGTCTCTCATGTCTGATTCATAAGACTTTTAGATACTACGCTGTGGCGGGAAATGGAGATGATAATACTCATCGCCTCCACGTCCTTTCTGGAGGTACGGACGCGACCAATCCGATGAATGGGGCGTATACCCACACCGCTTCTCTCATTCCATCAAACTTCGACTTTTGGGCTGTCGATGGGTCTATTCTGGAATTGAATGGCGCGCGTTACTTCATATTCTCGGGAAAGACGACGGATGTTGTATGGACACAATGCACATATATCGTTCGTATGAGCAGCCCCACGACATTATCCGGAAATGCTGTACAAATCAGTTGCCCCACTCTTTCTTGGGTATGTGCTATTCTATATCTAGTTCGCGCGCGCTGTTGACGGAAATAATATGATACAGGAAGTTGCCGCTACTCCAGTCCAAGAGGGACCAGGTGCGTTACTTTCTACTAGAGTCTCAGAGAGTAGCTCATACGGTGAATGCTAGAGGCCATTACAATTGGGGGCGTGACACATGTACGACATCTTCCTGTGTTTTCAGGTTGTAAGGATATGCTTATCGTTCCCATAGATTGTCTACTCCGCTTCGCACTGCTCTACAGATGACTATGCACGTTCATTTCCGTTTCTATGAGTGGAAGGCGCTAGTAACTAGTTTTTAACAGGCCTTGGGTTTACTCACCCTGACTACCGGCGCTAATCCCCTTCTGGCGTCCAGTTGGACTCAGGCAAGTAGACTAACGGGCATCTTCCTGAACCTCATGCTAAAGCCCGCTTGGCAGGCCACATCTCCCGTCTTCACCAAGAACGTCGCCGCCGGGGTTTACGGTCCTGGCCATCAGTGAATCACATCTTCTCAAGTCTCTTGGCATAACACTAATAGCTTGATAATTTCATGTTTGAGAAAGACGGTGAACATCTGTTCGCATATCACGGAAAGAGCAGGCCTGGACTCGGCTGCGGCGATTTGCGTACGACCAGGGTTCAACCATTCAGTATAAGTGGAACTACTCCGATCTTCCCAGCCGCGATAGGAGATGGTATAGCAGTGGCAGAGCCATGAATATTCAAGATGGAGAGCCCGACACTATCAGTATACGGCTAGGTTTTATGAACATTTTCTGTCCTGTCCGGTGACGATGATATTCAGAATATATGTTCAGCTTCCTTAACGCCACTTGGCAGCTCATAGTGAATTGGAGGAGCACTGGGATACAAGGCCTTCCTCCATTCAGGGTTGTATCGAGCCATCTTCATGTGATCCATTGTCACACAATCTAGAAAAGAACGTCAAGATTAGAAAGACAGACCTAGTACAGTACGTACGAGAACTCAGGTACGTGTCGATTTCACCAAATAGCGAAAACATCAGACAAAGGACTGGAATCGACACGTCTCCATCTAAACCATTTCCGGGCCCATGGTCAAATTCTTCTAGTACCTCATCAATGAGGCCTTTTCCTTCACCAGGTTTGAGTCCCATGAAGACTTCAAAGTCCTGCCATATATCCGCCAACTTGAAAATGCCAACGGCAACGGGCTTGAATCTATCAAGCACATTTTTGGCATTGGGAACATGCTCGACCATTTGCAAAACAATGTGGGTACGGCCACGAGAAGGATCTCGTTCTAGTTCGAGAGCGCTAGCAAAGTGTATTGTGCACTCTTTCTGGGGCGCATCTCTCCAGATATGCCAGTCACTTGCACGTTGAGCTTCCAGAGGAGCGGTGCGAGAGAGCTCTGCTATCTTCTTGAGGTGCGCGGCAAATTCCCTGAAATTCGATGTAAGTATGAGGGCTGCTAATGAAATCTCAGCAACGTGACGTACTTGCATACTTCTCTGACATCCAGATATGTCGTCAGAAACATTGTGGTACGACTTGTAAGTACTTAGAAACGTACTTGTGATAGGGCCAGTTGACTTTTTGGCACTGCTTAGAACTTGTCAACCTTATATATCAGCATCACTGTGACCCAGAGGCTCGACAACGCTTACCAATAATAGATGTGTTGGCATCGAGCACACTGAGCGAGTTTCACCTGAGGTTCACGTGCATGACAGTTTCGACAGGCCCTGTAGAGACGTTCGTCGGTTTTCTGTGTGTGTTTCCTGTCTTCGATCCATTTTACACCACCAAGGCCTTTCAAGACCGGGTCTGTCTCCTGATCAAGGTCGGTAGTAAACATCTCAACAATCATTAGGTCCGTAATTTTGTGAGGATTTTTTTTGAACCATTTGATCAACCAGGTTTCCCTAAAACGATTGAGTAGTTGTATCGGAATGAAAGGGAGTCCGTACAGTTCACCAGCTTGCTTTGTTTCTCCTAGTCTCCGAAGTACACGAGCAAGATAGACTTTCCCTCTAATCACATTATAAGTGGCAGTCGAAAATGTGGTGAGGTTTGACTCGTTCACAAGGCGTGACAATGCTTTCTTTGCTTCTTTGTCATCTGTCCTGGCTCGTGCAAGGGAAACTGCATAATTGCCATATAATACTCTGTTATTGAATATTAATCATTGATATGCTGAGTATAAAAAATAGCCGATAGTTACGGATTTAATTTCGCAACATTAGAGATACCGGTACTCTCCACACAGCGTTTTTCATCCGTCTGAACAGCTTCTCGTGAATGACGCAGAGCTTCGATCGGACGGTCGATTTGGGGCCCTCTGAGAGACCATTAATAGAAAGTCACGCATTCAATGCAAAGGTACTGACAGTAAATGGTGCGCCACCTTATTTCTGGCATTGGAGAGCTGTGTGCAGATTTAGACGCGTGTCTGAAGAATGGACATCCACCTGCAAGCTCACCGCAAAATATCTAGCAAAATCAGCCATTTCGCCTTGCTGATTGGGAAGGATGTGTCCGACACTCCTCAACTGATCCTCTGAGCATTCTTTCAGGGCGCGAATGAACCATTCCAGTGCCCAAACACATTGCAGAAGAATATCGGATGGAACTGAGGAGAAATACATTACCCAAATACAGCTTATGTCCCCGAAATTGTAACACTTACCGTCAACTACGTTGCAGAAATAACTGAATTGAAACAGGTTTGGAAGTATTGTATTGTAGATCAACGCTGTAGGAAGAATACCGACGTCCTGGCCTTGGGAGTTTCGACCGAGTATTGCTTCGGGTTCCGGCTTTCGCATAAGTTCTTGAACTGCATTATTCTAGGATAAAACGCGAGAAATCAGGTGTAATGTCGAACATACCATATGCAGCTTCCTCGCGAACCAGGGCGAGATCAGGTAGTTTGAAGTCAGCAGGCAAATCATGGCCTTCGAGATGGGCTCTTGGCTCCTTCACCGTGCTACTACGAGCAACACTCATATCCCTGGAGTCTGTAAGTGATGGTTCAATGTCAAGAAGCTTAATGGCGGAGCTTGAATTTGGTTTCCATGAGACTTACTTGTGGCGTGCGTTTGATCCTATGTTCAATCCACCTTCTCGGTAATCGAGATAGAGATGAACAGCTACGGCTTGCTTAGCTTCGCCATGCAACATCTTTGCGCGAACCATGACATGATGCCGCCACTAGCACAACGAAAGCGATTCCACATTTCGACTGTCAGCAAGTTGAACGTGGTTCAACCCCGGTTAGCACATATGTGAATTAGCAAAAAGTCACGGAAGTAGTGGTTTGTTTTAGCGTCGCAATATGCTTATAGCCTTATGGCCATGCTCATTTCCAAATATTAAAGACTTGCGACTGTCCGAAAACAACTCGGCGAGTATTCAAAGACCTACAAGATAGTGAGTACGTACTGGGACGTTGCTTTCACCCCTGCTTGCGTTTTAACTTGTTGATTTGCTTCTAGACTTGAAATTTGTGGTCCTTAACTTCCCGTGGTTGCAGTATCTGGTCGCAGACATTGCATCAGAAAGACTAATACTTTACTTGGTAGGGAACGCAAGAAGCCAATTGCCTCCGGCGATCATCGATCACCCCCTGGTCATCCCTTCGTGCTCGTCCTTCAGGCACCAGGAAATGCCTACGCGGTGGGAGTGACGCCTTAGAGAACTCATCCTGTCAAATGGAGGTGCGAAATACTGTAAGTCTTCGCCAGAAAGAAAATAATCATATTGTCTCTTAGAAGGCAACGCGGAAGCTGGGATACGCCTACATAATGGCAGCGACAGTGGTTAGATTCATATGATGCCGAAAGCTCGTCGAGAATACAGGTACAATAGTGTTGTCATAGAGCTCTAAGCCGGGGCGTAGATATATGTACTTGCTGGAAGGGCAACGAGTCCTCACAAGCTTGATTGACCAAATTCTGACGTGAAAGGCGCAGGTAGTCCACTACAATTGACAGGAGGCTCTTTGAAAGTCCCTACAGCAAAGAACTGGGGCCAATCCGAGTCATAGTGAAAACGAGCTTCGTCAAGCAATTGGGACATGGGGGCATAGGTAGCAGCTGAGGGAGACCACACGACAAGAGAATAATAAGGTCCGTAAGGTATCACAAGTGCCACGGCATATTGGGGGAGTCTGACTAGTCTCTGCGAAATCAAAAATTCGACGAGAAATGGTGTTGGTGGTGGGTGAATCTATCCTTTATCATTATGTGTGACCATGTGTGACAGTGTGACCATTTGAACCCTTTCAACAACACCACGACGCGTTTCTAGCATGGAGTCCAAACTCAAAGCATTGAAAGTGGTTGACCTCAAGGCCATCTTAGCCACAGCCAGCGTCTCTCTTCCTGCAAAAGCCAACAAGCAGGACCTCATTAACACCATCCTTGCTTCCCAGGCTGCCCTTGACGCCTACAACACCCTTCACGACGTCCCTGTCGTCGAGGTCGCACCTCCCAAGGCGCCAGAAAAGAAGGCAGAACCTCCCACTCCTGTGAAGGCAAAGCCAGCTGAGCCTCCTAAGATGCCGCCAAAGGCAGAGCCTGTAACGGAGCCTGCAGCAGCAGCTGCACCACCAGCGTCTGTGCCTGCACCGGTCGAGCCAGCGACGGCAGCAGAAGCAGACGTGGATCCTGAACTGGAGAAGCGAAAGCAACGCGCTGCTCGATTCGGCATACCTCTTGTTGAGTCCAAACCGGATCGCAAAAACGCGTCACGGAAAAAACAGCCCGCTACGGTGGATGTAAGACGTCTTTTGTTTGGTTTTTACTGTCTTATTCATCTCTTTACAGGACCCCGACAAGATTAAAGCCCGTGCGGCGAGGTTTGGAATCGCTACAAAGTCTACAACCTCTCCCCCTTCGAAACGAAAGGCGGCGGCTACCATGACAGAGGAAGTTGATGCTGAAGAGTTGGCACGGCGGAAGAAACGAGCAGAGCGGTTTGGTCCCAAGTCCACTGTGTGTACTCTACCTTCAAAGTGTCCATGCACAACTAACCCCAAACACAGTGATGATAACGACGCCTGATTCTCACGTACTTATATGCTCCGCCGCTTGATGATGACGACCCTATGCCGTTATATAATGACGCGATTGCGGATTTTTCCCAGCATCGAGAAAATTACAGACTCACTGAGGGACGTATGTATCATTACGCTGCGACGGATACTGTTCCAGTGGATCGGCGTCTATCTGTTCTAGTTTATCATTATTATTGCATTCGCTACATGTATGCACAGGATGATTACAGTGGCTACATTACAGTTTACACGAAGTATAAGCACACTTAAATAGTGAAAGGACGGCATAAAAGTATCAAGTGAAGCATAGTGTATCAAGCATATACGGACATTCAATCCTCTGTCAAGTCGATGACAGGCCCAGTAATGACCATCGGCTTTCGAGGCTGCTTCCTCTTGGTACCTGCGACGACTGAATGTACAGACACAGACGTCGCTGCATCTTGCGATGGCGCATCTACCTCTATTGGTGGCGGACCTGGAGCAGGATGCATAGGCAAGGTAAACTGCTTCATGCCCTCAAGAGCCCTTAACACATCCGCATACCGCCGTCCAACCAGTTTCGAAATAACATCGTCATCTCCAATCATGTTCAAAAACGTCCTCACGTCCGCCTGCCGCGCGGACCATTGTAGCGAAGCAAGCACGTCTGGTCGTTTCCTCACCAAAAGTCCCTGCGGGCGACCCGAGCGCACGGTCTCATATGTCACCAGATCAGTAGCTCCTCGAAGAAATCCCTCAATGTGATTTCTCTTCGCTTGAAGAAATCGGAGAGTAGTCTCGGCGGAGGTGTTTTTGAGGAACGTATTGAGCATGCCACATTCAGCACAACCGCAGCCCAGCCGTCGTATGTTGACAGCGCGGGGCTTGGCTCCCAATACATCGTGGAGGTAAGAGCCAATAAATATCTGCATGATATCAGCGAAAGGGGGAGCGCAAATGTCGATCTTTTTCTTCTGCAATAATTGCCGAAGTTCGGGGATGAGAGGCGTGTATAAAGCTTGGAAGTTGGCATGGCTCGGAGGCTTGCGTTTAAGAATGGTTACGAAGAGGGTCTTGCACATCTCTGTGTGGTCAGTGGAAATACACAAATCAACTAGTTGTATGATTCGGGTGACCATCGGTTGCTGGGGCGCTACAGGAGGAGGTCCTGTGTAGTAATAAGGGCGAAGATTGGGTACAGCGACGACAGATTCCCATAGGTTCAGAACGTTGTCAAGGCACTGGACTAGGAGGGCAGGCTTGGGAGTTGAAGAATCAGCGATAGTTTCTTGTATCGTGTCTCTATTCGTATGGAGCGAATTAACGAAAGCGATCCAAAAAGAATAGAGAGAGGGGCTCTTGGCGAGACGAGGCATGATTCTAGTGGACAATTTCATGATTCATGATTCATGGCAACACGAGTATGGATTTGAACTTACGTTTCAGAAAACCAAGCTGTACCTTTCTCCTTGATGACCGATATCAAGATGGGTACATCCTCAGAATCCGGAGTCGTAAGAGTCAGCAGCGCTTGGGACAACTGCAGTCGACTCCACTCTCTGACGATTAGCTCGTCGTCGGTGGCCGCTTCACTGATGCCCTTGAGGAAATCATGTGCTATCTTCAATTTGGATGTCTTAGCGACCATTTTTTCCAGACTAATGTACAGCGTAAGCGTGGACGTGACACAAAGAAGGCAAAGAGTAGCTCACACAGGACGTACACCTTCGAACGTAAATGTCCGCCAAGCAGTGACTATTCTATCAAGGCCGTAAGCTGTTAGATCGAAGGCCGTTGCTTTCACGATGCGCTTCCATATTTCAAGGTTTTTCCACTTGATAGCGAATTCAGACATGGATAACGCAGACTGTTTGTTCTGGATATTCAGCCGATCGATAACCAAATTTGCAATCTTCAAGTCGTCAGCTGTCGGTACTTCAGATCCAGCGTTTTTAAGACGTTGAAGGCCATAATTTATGCCACCGGCCGCTGAAAAGAATACTCTTGGGGAGTCATCTTCATGCACGAGCATCAATACCGTTCTTCGGTAAACTAGGATAAATCAGTTAGGTGTGATCAAGGTATGAAAATAAGCACTTAGGACTTACAGTGATCCAGGGTTCCACCGTACTATGAAAAGTGTCAACGCTGATGAACGGTAGAGTAGGGTGTACGAACGGCATACATTTCCCATATAACCTTCGTATTCTTCATCGTCAGGATCTTCGCCATCGAAGGGATCTTGAGGGACTAGACTATCGTCGCTCAATTCCAGAGATGCCTTTCCAGATGCGAGTAAGTGGTTGCCCTTCATATCGACGATGTTATCCACTGTAAGAAATGTCTCATAATCCTCGCCCATACGATAAGAACTTTCGTCTTCCGACTCGTCATAAGGGTCGTACCGCCTTCGCTTCCAACCATAGCTTGAGTGGAATCCCATATCCTCGGCCTGACCGCTTTGCCGATACGACAAGCTGCCGAGGCACACTACGTAGTCCAAGTCCTTGGCCACACTTTGCAAATGAGCCGCTTTATGAGCGTCCTGTCCTTTCAAAGCCATTGCACCAATTCGCAACTCGGCTGCACTGTACTCATGGCTTAAGATGTATGCGACAAGATCTAGAGGATCAGACTGGAAGCGGTCCTTTCTCCATTTCTGGAGGACTCTTCGTAGTCGATGTACAGCTGTATGCATATTGGGTAGGGATGGAAGAGGTGCCGTAGGTACGGTTTGAACAAGGTTGTACGAGAGCGCCAAGCGATAGCCTGATTTGACAGGCTTGACTTCATGGAAGACGTCTGTATACCAGGCAAGAACTGCCGTGGAAACTAAAGACTGTTCAGAAAAGTCGAATACTTGGGACGACCCTGAGTGGGATACATGAACCTCGCCACCCTTATACGAGGACGGGAGAATGATGATGATGGTGCCGAACATTCCTGGGACTTTTGCGGTGCTTCAGAGATTGTTAGTTGACGTCAATGGTAGAACGGTATGACCTACTCCTGATGTTTATGAAAACTGATTGACAACATGTAAGACACACAAAATTAGAGAGGGAACCTTCACTGACTGCGAGCCTTCCTGATACAACAGGAGCTTGTATAAATCACAGCGAACATTCGCAGAGGGTGTTCCAAGGCTCTGGGAGACAGTCGGTACAACAGTCTGTTTCACAAAGATATCCCACAGCGGATTTTCAAATTTGATGGATCCCTGGTCGATTTCCCATGTGTCGCGGACCTCGGTATTGACGATGGTCTGCTCGTTATGACCGTAAGGTGCTTGGGATGCGCAGTCAATGATGAGCTGCGCATCCCGAGGGCTCAAGGGAAGACCTATGGGGCCAATACCCTCGATGGCAAGGCACGGATTGGGAGCCTGTGGGAATGGACCGCTGTATGCGTATGAACCTTTGAAGGCGAAATCGCCACCCATGGCAGCTTCAAATTCTTCCTGGCATTACCATTAGTGATGTCTACTGTTATCAAATCGTAAGAACGTACCCTCAAGTCCCCTCCATCAGATAATACTGACTCGTCGTCGTCATCATGTTCATCTTCCTGTTCAGTCGTATTCTCCATGTCGATGTCTATATTCTCAGAGCCGCCACTGGTCGTCTTTTCAGGTAACGTGGACGCTTCAGGTGAAAGAACTTCTTCCCCTGAGAGAACAGTTGGTATTGAAGGTGTCCACGTTTTACCTCCAAGCGACGGTCTTGGCGGAGTCTCTGAGGTCGGTGGTGGCATAGAAGGCATCCGCGTCTCCCCGTTCAAAGGGAGTCCTGAGTCGGCACCATCTGCTTGCGCATCCTCCCTTTCAGGACTTGCAGGAGGCACAGAAGGTATCCACGTTTTGCCACCGACTGAGGCGCGTTCCTGAGGTTCGGTGAGACCTTCTTCAGACAGAATGGTGGATTCGGACTCCTGGCGTCGGAGTGGTACCACATAGTAGGTCTTACCGCCAACGGAAGGATGGGAGTCGGACGGTGGCGAGGTAGCGCGACTGCGAGGTGTAGCAGCGTCTTGGGAGTCGGGATTGTCGTTCTCAACTGGTACAGCATAGCATGTCTTACCGCCAACAGTAGGACGGATATCTGCAGACACGTCCACTTCTGTGTCTTTGGAGTCGATAAGCATGGCCTCGACGTCTCGCTGATCCTCGCTGTTTGTGTCTACGCCTGGGGAAGCGTCGCGACTCGCTTGCGTTGGGCCCGCGGCGCTGTCAATGGTGGGCGCGACAGTATCCGGTATCGGTAACGAGGTTGTATCGGAAATGTCGTTCATTGGATTGAATACTTGAGTCGGCAAAACAGAAAGGACTCAGAGCATCGAGTAGCGAGGAAACGATGCAAAAATAGGGACTGAAAGGTGTCTTCAAGGAGATACCTCGAAGCGTCACAGTGCACGTGTTTTGTGGTCACATTTAATATCGCGGTTCCCTGCGATCGGCAAATTCGGAAATTGCCAAATGACCGAGAATTCTGACGACCATGTTGTTTGCAAGATGTATGTTTTTCTCCTCTTCCACTAACTGCAGCTCACCGCTCCTTTCAGATGCCGCAGACAGGTTTCAAAGTATACCTGTCCAACATGCAATCTCCCTTACTGCTCCCTGACGTGTTTTCGCTCCCCTGCGCATGGCGACTGCTCTGAGACGTTTTACAAGAATGAAATCCAACGTGATGTCAGTGCAAACCCGAACTTGAAAGCGGAAGAGCGACTGAAGATGGTGGAGATGCTGAAGAGATTCGAGGAGATGGAAAACGAAGATGACGAGGACGAGGATGATGGTTTGGCAGAGCGATTTGAAGGTATCGATCTTGGTACGTCTTTTTCTAATTCCAGCTTTCGGTCGACTCATGAATTTCACAGACAATACAGATGAGCTTTGGAGCCGTCTAACGCCTGCCGAGCGTACCAAATTTCTAAATGCCGTTGCTGATCCTTCCAGCGAGCTCGCTCAGTCCCTTCTCGCATCTGAAGAATTTGAACGTTCTCCATGGTGGGAAACGAAAGTCGAACCAGACTTCTCCATTCTCGAGGTCCCCACGACCCTCCACCCGCGTGTTAGCCGCGCTTTGATGTATAATTTGTGCGGGATAACAATAGCATACGCATACACCACTCGTCACCTCTCTTTGGCCGACCCGGGAGCCAAGGAACTGATGAAGAATCTTGTGCCATTTCTTGCAGACTCAAGGTCAACATTGGCTCATACGTCTCTTGGGGAAGCTGTGACGGCTGTTTGCTCTCGCGGGTCCATTGACCCGCAAGCACTAAAGGTCCTGTTGAAGGACACCACAATTTTATTAAAGCCTCGTATCGTAATGGAAGATGGAGTCCATCCCAATCACCGCGCTCTCATCATGCTATCAGAACTTGCAAGGTTGTTTGCAGGAGGCAAAGTGGCGAAGAAACTCATCTTCTACGGAGCTTATATCATGGAAGGACGGGGCCTATTGGCCATGGTAGTGAAGGAAGTGGAAGAGATGCTCAACGCGGAGGCGGATCAGAATTTCCCACAACCTTCTACAATAACCGACTTCAAGCTAGGACGAACGGCCTCCGCTAGCATCGAAGAGATCGGATAATTCAGCGAATCGATTTTCTCACAATTTGGGCTGGATTGCCCTGCTTCTCTACAATGCTATATGGCTCTAGTGCGAGCTTCGTCCTTCCTTTGCCCATCGCTCTTGGTGGCAAATTGGCGTCAGGATTGCTCTCGCTTCCAAGGATCAGTGTATTCAACTCGTATCTGCATTCGTTGGGCTCGTGATGGCGCACATGCGCGCTCATGCAAATAGGTTACAGTACGTTATGTATGTACCTTGAAGTAATATTATCGTCTGTGTTTAGTGAGAACTATCCTTTCCTCCACTCAAACTTCTGAAGAATTCTGCATATGCATTTTCGACATCAAATAGTAGCTGTTACCATTGTTCAGAATGAGGAGGCTCATTTTAAGTGGATGGACCTACCTGCCGCGACTGCTCCTCGGTGATTTCCTCGGACGCTTTCATGGCATTCAGTGTAATCAGCCTAACAAGATTGTGATTGACAGCAGAACGTAGATCAAGAAGATAACCCTTACCATCCAACCATCTTACTGTGACCTTCCCAAGAGTCTTTGCCTTTAAACCGAGCATAACCGGTGACCAGCTCCTGCAGGTATGGATATAGCTGATCTTTGGCTCGCAGGCGTAGTTTCAGAGCATCCATGAGAGTAATAAATCCCTAGGAAATACGTTATTGATGGTCCGAGTTGCCAAATGGAACATTGCACACCTGTGTCGTTTCAGCAACCCACTTGCCTGTCTCCGGGCCAGCTTCGCTTGAATGCTCGACTGTCGCTGGAACTCCCACTTGGATCCGATGAAGAGCTGCTGGATTGTCCATCTACACAACAGGCATAAAAACTCAAGACATATCGACAACACGAGCCCACACTTACTCGGTACCTCTGCATGAATTGTTCAATAGACAACACATCATCGCCAACGAGCTTCAACATAGTCTTGTACTGTGACAGCAGCCGGGTGCATGCAGGCGAGTATCTCTTCAATAGCAACCTTAGAAAACTGTTCATATCACCAACAGCCAATCACTCACTCTGCCGCCGTTATCGAGTCTCTCACATAGGCTCTCTCGAGATAGTCCAAAGCCACGATTATACCAAAAAGCGTCGCAAGCAGGTTATATCTCTCGCGGTCTGCATTGTTCGTATACAGACGGACCTCCTCGTCCAGGGAGAACGTCGACATGATGGTAGCTGATTCGGATACGGCCCGAGATCCGATCCCGCCATGCTCACTAAGACTGACGATTATTTGACGAATTAGTTATCTTACCTGAGCCTCGTCGATGTCAGGAGGCGAGCACTGAGAGTCCTGTTAGAGTTCCCAGCTATTCCGACGTACAAGTGCCCAAATGGCGGATGTGACCTTCAAATTCTCGGAATGGCCCCCTGCGCTGACCGACAGCCAACTAGAGGCATTGCATTTGCAGGCGTCGACCTATGCACTGTCCCATGGCCTTCTGTATCTCTCTGTGCAGCCTCCACGACTTCCAACATCAGCGATACATGCACCATTATCCCTTCTTCCTTCACCATTTCCTAGACGTCTCTTCAACTTTGCACAGAGAATCCAGTCCACGTACAATGTCTTGTATTCCCGTATCGCCATGGATGAGGACTTTTTAGACGAAATAATGGGGACTGAGCGCGGCGTTGGAAAGGTCGACACATTTACTGGTCAGCTTTGGTCCGGATGGAAGGAAATTCGGGATCGAGGTGGTGCAGTACAGGTATGCTGAATTTCTCCTTGCGAGTCTGTTGATTTCAAGGCCTTTAAGCCCTTGCACCTAGGCCTATTCAGATCCGATTATCTTTTACACGCATCGGATTCAGACAAACTGGCTCTGAGGCAAGTCGAATTCAATACGATATCATCGTCGTTTGGGACTTTATCTGAGCGAGTTGCCAATCTGCACCGGTAAGCCGTGTTCAATATTTAAAGCCCACACCCTTCTCATAGTAGAAAGCCATCTTTATTCTTTAACAGATTATTTCAATGCTTCTACGTGGCTGAAAGCAGAGAATTTCTCTCCAAATCAGACCACTGCCGGTCTGGTTGAGGGCCTAGCAGCCGCGCATGCCGCGTACAATATCCCTGGGTAATCGCTTTCGATGCTTTCCTACCAAACTCCTTTGACCCAAAATTTTAGTTCTCAAATCCTATTCGTCGTTCAGCCAGGCGAGCGAAACGTCTTTGACCAAAGATGGCTCGAATACGAACTGCTAGAAAGGTCTGTCACTCTCACATCATTTTACTTGTCACTAATCGTTCCATAGGCATTCAATTCACGTCATCCGCCAAACCTTCGACGAACTAGCGTCGTCAGCCTCGATTGACCCTTCAACATCTGCTTTACTCGTCTCTTCCATTGAGATCTCGACCGTCTACTTCCGCGCAGGCTATACCCCGACAGATTACCCAACTCGATCGCATTTTGAGACCCGCTTCCTCCTCGAACGTTCCAAAGCAATCAACTGCCCTTCGATCCCTCTGCAGCTTGCAGGTGGAAAGAAGGTGCAACAGGTTCTCGCACAACCAGGCATATTGGAGCGCTTCCTTGGCGAAGACTTCACGGTGGAGCAACTCGAAGAGCTGCGTGCAAGCTGGATGGGAATGTGGGGTCTTGATGAGCCGGATGGGATACAGAAGGCCAGGGAGAGATCGGCGGGGTTGGTATTGAAACCCCAACGAGAAGGCGGCGGTAACAACGTCTACAAGGAGTCTATTCCCCCATTTTTGGATACCCTGTCTACAGAGGAAAGTCAGGCATGGATTGCCATGGAGTTGATCGTACCGCCGGAGGGCGTGAAAAGCTACTTAGTGCGGGCTGAATTGACGGGAAGCGTGAAGACGGAGGTAGTCAGCGAATTGGGGATCTTTGGGTGGTCCTTGTTTGGGAACAAGAAGATTGTAGAAGAGAAGCAGGTCGGATGGTTGGTCAGGACCAAAGGCAAAGATAGCAATGAGGGCGGTGTTGCAACTGGATTTTCTGTCTTGGATTCATTGCTTTTGGTCGATGACTGAAGTGATGCATGGATTCTTACCGACGCTCCTGCAGTCCTAGAAATAATGAATAAGTACCTTTATGTGCGCGTTGACGTCCTTGAAATTCGCGTCTGTGATAGTGGTAATTTAGTACAATAAGCCTATTGGCCAGTCTACCTTCTACACGATACATTTGGGGCAGTTACCATAACATTAAATTTTAACTACCTTTGCCGATGCGGTTCTTCCTGCCTCTCTGAATGTTTCGAGAACTTTCCAGGCATTTCCTGAAGTGATGCTCTCGAGCGCCATTTTTGCTCCCTCCTCAAAGTCACTTGCCAATCCAGCAACTACCAATAACGCTGCTGCGTTCAGCTGAACGAAGTGCAAAACTGGCGTCAAATCCTCTGGGATGTTTCCACCAGAATTGAGTAACCTCTTGAAGGTATCGGCGTTTTCTTGAGGGCTACCACCCGCGACAGTGGACAGTGGATGCACATCCAATCCAAAGAGCTCCGGATGCAGCGTCAACTCAGTAACCACACCATCTTTCAGCTCCCAAGCATACGTCGGCCCCGCACAGCTGATCTCATCCAGCTTTTCGTAGCCACAAACAACTAAAGCACGCTCAACGCCACCATCACGAAGTGACTGAGCGAACGTTGGACCGATCTCGGGCTCTGCGACGCCAAGTACCATTCCTCGCGGGTTTGCCGGGTTAATCAAGGGCCCGAGGATGTTAAACATGGTCCTAAAAGGAAGAGCCTTTCGGTACGGTGTTATATAGCCTAATTCGGGATGATAATGGGGCGCGAGAATGAAGGTGAATGGAACACGAGGAATGGGCATAGGTGTTCCTGGTGTTGGGGCAACGAAAAGGCAATCCAGGGCCTCGAGAAGGTCTGCTGCACCTGACGATGAGGTTGATGCGCGACTACCGTGCTAGACGAAAGTTTGAGGGCGGTCGCAAGACAAGAAAGTAAAAACAATACCTTGATGACTCGGGCCCCAGCACCAGCTGCAACGATCCCTGCCGTTGTGCTAACATTGAAAAGGTTGTATCCATCCCCGCCTTTATGTTAAAATGAGTATGTGGTGCGAGTAAAAGGTCGGCGAGTCGCACCTGTTCCAACAATGTCGACGACAAAGTCATTCTCCGTATCTTGCACTGCAGCCTTCAGCGCCTTCTCCCGCAACACCGATGCAGCTGCCGCAAGAGACTCTGGCCGTCTCTCCACCCGATGTATGTGTAATGCACTGAGAAACGCTCCGATTTGTACGGGTTGGAGGACGTCGGGGGTGAACAGATGGTTAAGCGCCTTCTTGAGATCATCTGGAGTAAAGTACTCGGGTGTCTGCACCAGCTTGTTCAGTAATGGCCTGAAGGACTCTTCCGTGTATGTTTCCTTCGAGCTCGACGCCGTCTGGGGTGGCTTCCAGGATTGTGTCATGGTGAAGCACTGGAAAGGAAGTGAGTCAAGGCCATCATGACGAGCCTGCATCATGTGTTGGCAACGGTCACATTATTTTTAGTTTTCCTCTTGACCATCACGCGCACCGACATACTCGGAAATGGCCTTCGTTTGTACGAACAGAGAGGCAAGCAATTGTATCGATAAAATATGTATCTAGCTCCTGAAATTTCGCGTCGCGCGTCAAGCTGCCAGGCAAAAAAATTATGCCGATCGAATGTACCGCGGCCGAGATTTTCTGTCTCAATTTATTCGCGGTACCTGCACTTCCTCAATTCAGTGAGACGAATCGTGTATGCTTGTATTATCATCAACAGGTACCACTGAGCCTTTTGAATGACTATAGAGAGCACAGTTTATCTGACGCCTGCCTTTCTTACGATTGTTGCTCTCCAGCTGTGCCAAAAGTACTCCTGCCGATTCGCCTCTACAAGGGAAAATGTATCCATGATCCTATGCTACTTAGAGAATGTTTCTCTGCCGTGAACTTGCGATTTTAGGCCCTTCGCTTTAGCTTGATATATTTCTAGCTCCATCTACGAACTCGTTTCAACCAACGCTCAGAGATTCGTCTCAAGGTAACACCGGGTTCGAGGGGATTTATGGATCATCAGGTTTTACAAGCTAAGGCTTCTTCAAATAGTTCAAGGAAGAGGTATACGGTCTGACCGAAGGCGTGCCAATGGGCGTCGCTGGTACTTGTGCAAGAAACGGGACAATAGAGAGCGTACAGTAGAGATAACTATATATGATAGGTACTGTTCATGCCATCTCTACAGACATAGATATCAAGCAGTTTGATTGGTTTCTAATGTACACAGTTACATCGCGAAAGGGTGCAAGGTGTTCTCTACCTTTCAAAATCAAGTATGCATGTAGTTCTTATCATATAACGACAGTCGTACAGTATAGTATGCGCTCCAACAGTCAAAAATAATACTGGATGAAATAAGATAGAACCGCAAGCTCTATAGCCATCAAGCCCATCTACCCAAGAGTGCCATAAGCGCACAGCCAGCTAGCATGCATGCGATCGCATACGCTAACCGGCCGTTTGAGCTGGTCATCATTTCCTTGTTAAACAGGAATTCATGAGCGAGCAACTGTAAGATGATCCAGTCAATAAAAGCTTTCCAAGAGGTGAAGCAACACTTACTTCAACCAGACCCGTGTAGATCAAGATGCCAGAGCTGAACGCATCCAGAACACCGCTGACGATGGATGCAGTAGGTGCTACCAGGATTATAGGTGGTACGGACACCCAGGCCGGCTGCGATTCCAATGGGTGTCGTCAATCCGTATAGCGCTGCTCCAGCAAAAGGTACCCAGTGATACTTGGGCGGTAAGGTCCATGTAGGCGAGTCGGGAGCCTATACCTAGTCCTTCGAACGTTTCTTCAAATTATGCATTAGGAAAGAGTAGGCGGTATATAAAAAGGCCCTTACGATGGAAGACCAGGACGACGAAGAGGACCTTAAAATCTTCATCGACGGCAAGCGTCAAACCAATCAGTATACTTTTCGAGAAGGAATGAGGAGCATGAAGACTGTAATGACGTGGCAAATCATACCTATGCAAAGCGACACCAAATTCAAGGATGGCAACACCAATGATCTGCGTTAGTGCGGAATCCAGGACTGCGATGTTCATGTTGATTCTCGACGTCGACTTCGCTGTCGCTGATTTTTGATTTCGATTCATCGACGTTGCCTTCTGGTCCATGTGCGGCATGGCTACCCGCGAGGTGTCCGTGTGCATCTAGAAGGAGAAACGAGGTGATGGACGTTGGCGGGGTGTGGAATGGAAGGTAGCTTACCATGCCTCATGCCGATCTCTGCTAGTTTTTTCGTCCCCCATCGGAAGGCAATGAGTTCGACGATAAAGATGAGGAAGATGCTGAGCATGCACAATGCAAGTGCATAGGGCTGGTATAGGAATAGTCAGGGTGTGGAGTGGGAAGGAAACGATAGGGAAGACCGACATAAACTTGCCATCCTTCTGCAAGACACTCAGAAGAGAGGGCGTCAAGTGCAGGTGATAATAGATGGATAAAAGCGGTTGCGATCTAGAAGGAAAAGAAAAAAAAGGAGAGTCAGTTCGTTTGTTACGTCTGGTAGCAACGATGACAGTCCGTACAATGACACCGCTTCCAAAATATTTTGCGAAGCTGCACAGTCGATTAATGATAGATCACCTAAAATAGCAGCACAAAAGACGCACTCAAACACGGCTGTCGGCACATGTAACCAAGAAGACCTTCTTGCTAGGACAGGGAACAATGCACCAAAGCTCGAACCCACTAAAATTATAAAGATCGCCGCTACACGTAAACCAAAATAAGAGTCGGCGCCGCCACCAGAGCCGCAATTGAGCTCCCCGTCGTCTGCTCTGGGTAAGATGTGCATCGCGGTTGACATTATGTCGAATTCGAGAGAAAAGACTTGAACAGGACTATCGTACTGGAAGTCACTGGAGAGCAGCACGGGGTAGGGAGTAGGACTTTTATGTCTAAACGAGGCAAAACTGCGACACTGTTTTTTGCATGTGGACCTGGTGATGACGACTTGGAAGGTCCTCTTGATCAACTTCAAATCCGGGCGCCAAGCCGCGACAGGTGGTATACGTCCCTTATTATTGGCTGCAGATCACGTGCGAGTACCCTCTCGGTCACGGACCTAGCCAGTTATCCGCGCAAAATCACATTGGTACTAGCCGATGCGGTACATACCAACGACATATGTACGCCAGATAAGATTTCTTGCCACCGTCTGGCTGGCGAAATTGTAAGAAACTACATGGATGCGACACTGACAGGATACTCAAAGGTAGACACAACGCTCAAGCTAAGCTCAAAATATATCTAATATCGAGAATAAGTACGCCACAACCGTCCACATTTACACAGGGCTTGATGGCGACTGTGAAGGTATATCGGCAACGCCACCGTCAAAACCCATACAGGTACTTACCGGCAGCTACAGGAAAAACGTCCGTCGACTTGTCTCCAGCTCGGGCTGGATTCTTGAGTCAGCGCGTAAATACTTCAAGACGTCTCTTCACTGACCTTCCAAGCCCACAGGTACTCATCTTGTTTTGGTGGAACAACCTTCTCAGGTTCATCTTTGGCCTCCTCAACACTAGCACTACTAGCACTGTTCTGGTCTCGTTCGTCTCCGGAAACTCCGTTGTCAAACTCTAATCCTTTCGGTGCCTCCCCAAACCTCTGCACAGCAGGTATTCCTTTTCTCAATGAACGTAACTTGAGCGTAAATCTCGGTCCTATCTCTTGCAGTGCTACCTTCTCCGTAGATCGGAAGGCATAACTGAACGCAAAATTAACTTGGATATATTTTTAACAAGGACGACATACCGGTGACGCCGAAAGAACAGAAAGTCGCGTTGATTGTGAAGGGTGACTTACCTGTCGACCTTCAAATTCCGGCATGGGAGGGAACAACGTCTGGAACAGTCGACCAACTGTATGGCCCAGTCGTGTTACAAAGTTATTGAGAACTAATTCAGGGAAATGGGAAGTCGCCCGCGCATGGCCCTAAAAAATGTCAGGAACCTGAAGCTAACAGAATCAAAGCGCATACATATATTTGTTTCGTTAACTCGATTGAGGTTAGCTTAAAATATGCCGTCGGGCCACTTGGTAGGTGTATCAATGTGATGGCATCTGCACGTACGATCCATTCAGGCAAGTTAGTCAATTCATCAGCGGGCAGAACGCACTCGGCTTTTTCATATCCTCGTTAACGACACACATATGCTTGTACCCCCTTCCAGCGGCCCATCCCGCTATCCGTCCAAGCTCGAACCCCTTGCCTTTCTTTCTCCGTATGAACTCGGCACCGGGAAACACACCGACGATTTCGTCACAAAAGTCGTACGTCGACTTGGACGCTTTGGGTGAGGTCGTAATGAGGACTTTGGGTGGGATCGAGGGGTCGTCAGTGGACGTAAAGTAGTCGGCAAAGGGGTCGTTGGCGATGTCCACCGCGGATTCTCCAGGTGCTGAAGAGCCTGAGGCCTCTTCCTGCGAAGGGTCAGCGGTGAGGTAGGAAGGGTCGAATTCTCGGGTGTTGTCCAGTGTACGTGGCACATTTTCAGCGAGACGCTTCTGTTAAATGTTTTCAGCCTCTGGATTCCTTAAAATTTACCTGACTACTGACTTTCTTGGCTGCGGGATCGTTAGCTTCAAGCTTGGCCTGTGCTAGCCGTTTCTGCAATTTCTGCTGGCCCTTCGCCTTTTTCGATTTCCTTGCAATCTCTTCTCGTTTTATCTTGTTTTTGATGGAATTGGGCTCGAAGCGTGAAGGTGGCATGGTGGAGGAAGAACGACAATAATACTTTTGGTGAGAAGTGAACTGTAAATGACCGTGGGAATTTGCTTCCCGATAGCGATGAGGTCACTGGGCATGAGACTTTTACTCTTTACCTCCATCCTTGAAGCTGTCTTTCACGAGGCTACCCACACTAGGCCAATGTCTGCTCAAGTACCACAGGAAGGTATGCATTGAGCTACTCCACCCAGCTTCTTTACTCATTCTTCGTACAGAATTGCCTATACTCGAATCAGTCATCAAGTGCGCTCTTTCTTTTTGACATCATCTGACTGTCCGCCCAACGGCAAAATTGCAGCATTCGAAATAGACTGACAGCGCTGAAGAAGAACCGGGCCGGATTCATCAAGCCTTCGGACGTGAATTCTTTGTATCAGGCCGTGGTCAAGCAAGGTGCGTTCATTTCCCCGTGGTGCATGGAAAAGGCTCATCGAAACCATTCATAAAGTGACCAGCTTAATGATGTCCGCAATGACAACGATACCTATAATAATCGCCTCGATACCACCCTTGCAGACGTCTTCACCCTTCTCTCTCTGTTCTACCTTACCATAGGCAAGACGAGAGACACTCCAGCAATCTATTCCCAGCTTGCATCCATGCGAGTGAGTATTAAAGATCTCTATCTACCCTTCGTACGATCTAATTATATACCTGTAGCAAATTCTAAACCATATGACCGAGTCCGCGGTATACAACGAGTCAGACCTTGCCCCATTTCAACGACGCCTCAGCGATCTTCGCCAAATAGTCCAGCGAGACGCTTCCGCCGGAAAGCATCCGGAGGCACTGACGAAACTGCTTGAACGACAACTCGGCGAATGCGATGGTATCGTCCGAGATTTACAAGACGGTCTCGCGGTGCTGTCCGACGAGCTCGTCCCTGTCCACGAGAAGCTTGTCAACCTACGACGAAAGCTCGTGGCACTTGGCTCCAGGGAAGGCTCTCATAAAGCTGAATTGAAACCAATAATGGAAGAACTTCGAAAAATTGATTCGTTGAGTGTCTTCCCTTAATGAAGTGGCAATTACTCATACAATTATTATCATACTTAGGAAACGCGTGGAAGGACGATTCCTTGGACCCGGAGGCAACGTTCCGTCCTCACAAGCAAATTGTTCTTCGCTGCTCGAAAATTGCTTTGAAATCGCACAGGAAATCAAGGCAACCGAAGAGTCCAAGAATGTCCCGGAATCGCTGAAGCCAATCTACGATCGTCTGAGCGAGATCAGGAAGGAGCTAGAGGATCTCGTCCTGACACATCGATGGAGTTTACGAGAGACCGATTTATGGAACTACTCGCTAAGTCTACAGGAAATCGATAAGATGAGGATCGACGGAAAATTCACGGATTCAGAGGGTAATCGACCGAACGGTCAATACGTAGGCATCTTATTTTATTATCACCGAAAGAACTCTCAGCATGTGTATCTGCGCAGGTGCTGTTATATCTGTTGCGCCGATGTTACGGGCTCATATATCGGCTGCTGTCGTCCAGCGAGCCCGTTTCGGAAGAGCTTATGCCTATCGTGGGTGTCTTGATGCTTTGGTACTGCAAAGAGGCACTCACGGATCGTGGATGTAGGCCAACAAGCTGAACACCGTCAAGAAATGCTTAAACGAAGTGCTGAAATACGGGGGCCCATGGAGCCCACGCGAACTTTACCCTGTGCGTAGTTCTTTCATTTCCTACCAACCGAAATGCCCTCTCTATCCACCTTGTGTGAGAACTTGACATCCGTGGACTCGCTTACTTACGATCCTGTCCTTCTGTGTCTTCTTTTCGATGGTCCAGTATCAACTAGCTCTTCATCAAATCGAATCAAGGAGAAAGGACGGAAAATTCATAGGTATCGATGGTTCAATCCCCGAGGGTCAGGGTATTGTTATGGCTCATCTTAATGAATGCCATGAGCTTATTGAAATGGTAGAGTTCTCATTTTTGGTCGCAGTGTGTACTTGGGAGTCTGATTATCTTCCTAGCTCAAAGAATCAATGGACGAAGCTGGCGAAGACGACGATGACGAAGAGTACGATGATGATGACGATGAAGAAGAAGAAGCGTCAGGCTCCGATGCGGAAACACCATCATGACGCTGTCGGTTGCTTGCGCAGCTGAAAGAACGAAGAGGCTTGAAGTACATCTTATTCTGTATCTTGATTTTGGAAGCATTCAATAGTCCAAGTTATCGCAAGTAGATATGTGTGTGTGTGTGTGTGTATACAGTTTTACCTAGTCTAGTATGTCGTTGAGCTTTTCTTTGCGTACGCTACCAGTATAGGAATGTGAATGCGCGCAAAATGCCACTTTCAGCCGGGACGCGCAGGCACGTGAGACAACACCGCTTATAAGCAGGAGCCCTTGCCCAACTTGAACAGTATCACCCATCTACCTATCGTTCACCGCTACCGCATCCATCCACCATGGCTGACAAGATTCGAGAGGTCAGTTGTTGTCTATTCACTGTGCCGATTTCATCTGACGCCTTTGTAACATACAGAAAATGAACAACCTTCGCTTGGAGGCAGACAATGCTGTCACTCGCGCAGAGGAGGCCGAAGCGAAGAATAAGAAATACGAACAGCTTCTCCTTGAGAAGGACCAAGAGATTACGTCTTTACAGCACAAGCTTGCGTTGCTGGACGCGGATCTGGAGAAAGCCGAAACCAAGGTTCAAGAGTACAAGGTGGCTCAGGAGGAGGGCGAACATTCCAAGTCGACGAACGACAGTCTACTGAGGAAGATACAGCTGCTCGAAGAGGAGCTCGATGTCGCGGAGAAGAACGTCAAGGATACCGTCGAGAAGTGAGTCTTAATCGTTAGCCCCATCGCACATAATGGGTTACTGATCACTTGCGATTAGGTTGCGCCAGGTCGATGTGAAAGCAGAGCACTTTGAGCGCCAGGTCGGAAGGGTCGAGCAGGAGCGCGATATGTGGGAGAAGAGGTGGGAAGTGCGTATATATTTATCATTCCCTTCCTTGCGAGACATTGCTGATTGCCATCTAGGAAGCCCAGGCAAAGTACAATGCGTCGAAGAAGGAGCTCGACGAACTCCTTCAGACTATGGAAGGGCTCTAATTGGATTGTCGCCCGTACCCACCACCCCCCCTTATCTGCTCTTGTCATTTGTACAGCACACATTACGCGCAGGAGCGTTTTATTTCTTTCTTTCGTACTGGCGCGTTTGGCATACTCTACTTCAATTCACGAATGCAATAACGATTAACGGAAATTTATCTGGCGTTGCAAACTCAAACGAGCTTCCGATGAGGTGCTATTGATATAAGTGTAAGACACAGCCTGAAGCCATACACTCAAGCTCAGCTTCAAAACCTCACCAACACGACTTTGGTTCTGACAGAAAGATTGGGTCCGAACACGACAGGTATGTTCAGAGGTCGAGCTTCCTGCTTCGAAACTTCGTTTGCGTCTGGCAGTGTCAAACCGGCCGACATTCGGCGACGTCGTCCTTGTCTTTAAATATATTCTTAAAGTTTAATACGGTGTACCCTTACGGATTGAACGTTGAACGTTGAAGTATTGATTCCGCGGCATAAGGAAGGTGCACATTAATTCTCTACCATATAATGAGTTGTGTTTGAGGAAGTTACCTTAAAGTTACCATTGTTGACTCTGACATCATGACATTCGGGAAGCTCCGAAGTTGGAAGTTCTAGTCTTTAACAAAAATCCTGGCAAGTACAGGATCGCCATTTTCTTTCCAAGTCTACCATCTGGAATTACTTTTTCTTTGTCCCAGCTCTACCATTGTAGTCGTCACGGTCGCGCCTCCTTAATGCCCTACGCGTAAATCACGGCTGCGCATAAATATTATCACGCCATGCGGCCCGCAAATTGGATCCTTCGGCGCCTCTCAGGGTCGTACGACCACCAAGCATCGTACAGTTCACGCTTCCTCACCATTAACAGCGATTCATGCTGTTTTCTAGGAAAAGTATACTCGTCAAGGGGAAGAAACCGCTCTATGCTGCCACCAAGGTGCTCAATGTCTCTTCGGCTACTGCTTCGTCAGCCTTCGCAAAGTGCTGGGTCCATAGCACAAACAAGACACGAACGCTGCTCAAGACGGTGAGAACCCAGAGCCAGGGTTTCCGGAGGGCGTACTCTACTAAGTTTGGAGGGACGGGGTCAGAGTCCGAGTCGACGCCATTGTACCGTGCGTCGTCATCTGAATTGACGTACGTCTCGGTCTGACCGCCTATGTAGAAAAGCTTGTCGCTGCATGGACAAATACGCCGACGAAATGGTATCCGTTGCCAATCGCTGTCGGTGCCCTTCTTTTGGTCGCCATTCAATACCGGAAAAAATCAAGACGGGCGGGTGGGGAAGTTGAAGTGGATGAACATGGAGTTGAAGTCATCAGATTGAAAGGCCCATGGCATGTGAGTAGCTTTATCCCTTTTCTGTAATGACACGTTCGAGCAAATATCTAGGTACATGTCCTTGGTGCCCTGCCGCTCCGCAATATGTCACGCTTATGGGGATACGTGAACTCCCTCCAGCTCCCAGTCTGGTTCCGTCCGTATGGTTTCCGTATCTACGCCCTGGCCTTTGGCTGCAATCTTGATGAAATTGAACCTGCCGACCTGGCGGCGTATCCGTCTCTTGGTGATTTCTTCTATCGCAAGCTGAAGGACGGCGCACGGCCGGTTGATGACGCGATTCTTGTCAGCCCTGCTGACGGGAAGATCCTGCATTTCGGCACTATCCAGGACCTCCGTATAGAACAGGTCAAGGGTATCACGTATTCCCTGGACGCGCTACTGGGTGTTGAGCGCCCAGGAACGCCTCCCCCTTCTGTCGCCGTCGTCGCACACCATAATATGCCTGTCGTAGATGATCACGAATTCGCCAATGTCAACGGCATAGAATACAGTCTTGACAAGCTTATCGGATCATCCTCTACCTCTGGATCAGCCACTCCAACTTCGGAGAACAACGATCGTCCAAAGAAGTTCGGAGACCAGGTTGACGCATCTGTCGTGGAGCCCAACCAGAACACTCTTGTTCATGACGCTTCCGTCGCACTCGAGATGGGTATTAAACCTACCTTGGGGCGCAGACCTAGCATGATCGCTCGTCCTGGAAACTCGCTGTACTTCTCCGTGATCTACCTAGCTCCAGGCGACTATCATCGATTCCATAGTCCCACAGCCTGGGTAGTCGAGAAACGACGGCATTTTGTCGGAGAGCTGTTCTCTGTTTCGCCGTGGATGGCCAAGAGACTGGAAAACCTGTTTGTTCTGAACGAGCGAGTGGCCTTGCTTGGCCGATGGAAATACGGGTTCTTTGGGATGGTTCCGGTTGGTGCTACGAATGTTGGTAGCATCAAGGTGAACTTTGATGCCGAGCTGAGAACGAATCTGAGAGGTAGGAAGCCGCCTCCGGGGACGTACACAGAAGCCGTGTACTCTGCTGCGTCCAGTTTATTGAATGGGCAACCATTAGTTGCGGCTCAGGAGATGGGCGGGTTTTGTCTTGGGAGCACCATCGTATTGATTTTTGAAGCTCCTGATGACTTCGAATTTGCGGTGGAAGCTGGCCAGAAGGTAAAGGTAGGCCAGAGACTTGGAGATGTAGGTCAAAGTGAAATCGGACTGAGGGGATGTCTTCTCTATTGTTTTTCTGTGTTTTGTAAGAGCGATCGCGTTTTATATAAGTAATTACGTCCTTAAACTAACTACTTTATAGGGACGTTCAACATGTCTTTGCAACTTGTATATGCAATCATCATTTATTTGAAGTTATCGTTATCATGTCTATCTGTTTCTGGCCAACATGGATCAGTGGAAGAGATCTTGAAGTATCGATTCAACGACTCGATACCCTCCCTAAAGTTGTCGACATCCACAATCACTCTCATTGCACATCATGCTAACAGACTTCTCTCTATATCCGGGCCAATATGGAATATTTGCCAGGGAATTAAAGTCCTGATGTAAAATCTTGAAGCAAGTTCCATGCAAGTGTGTCATTCCGAGCGGTGGTCTAAGGCTGGGCACGGGTGACGCCAAACTGAAGGCGGAGAAGAGCATATTAAGCATATGGTAGGGGATCGGGGTTGTGAATCCCTCCTGCAATCCAGGTCCGCTAGGTGGCCAATACTGCAATGCCGGGCACAATGTATATGTCACCCGGTGGAAGAGTTTGCGAAGTTGGACATTCGGTACAGTATCAATCCCTCATTTCACTACACCCTGAGAGACGTCGGTTCAAACAAAACTACCAATGTTGTCGGAGGCTTAATTTCCTGTCCATACGGGGATTGCAATCTCACCACTACTCCCCTCATCACGATGAATAATCCCACAACTCTCAAGATTTAGCATATCACGAGCTTGCGCAAAAAGCAACTTCCGCTACTAGCATAAAGATCATCAGAGGCGTTCGTAATGCATGCAAAAGAAAAGAGATACCTGGCGAATGTCAATTCTAGTTGCAGGATACCGAGAGGCTACGCCTTCTACATCTATAGATACACGTGAGTTTCCTTCAGATGGTGACTCTACCGAAGCAAGTGGATCAGAAGCTGGCGGAGACAGTGGCTGATAGGGTGACGGCGACGTTGTCTCGTCAGAAGCTCGAGGCTCTCTGCTTGTGACATCAGCATATGCAGGTATCCGAGAAGACAAAGTAGAATGAGTTGGCGAAGGATAAGGATTGTGACCGCTTGGTCTTTCTCGCACGTCGCGCTTCTGCTGGTGAACTGGCGTATTATCACCGGTGGATGATAGAGGAGGCGGTAAGAAGGTGATGACGCGCTTGGACGAACTAGCACTCATTCCCGACTTCTTTCCAGGAGCGGAAATACCCGGTAAGGAGAATGCTCCAGTGCGCATCTCCGTCGCGGCGGCCCTAGTAAGAATTGTAAGTTAGCAAAACGAGGGCATCGGATATGAATAATAATACTGACTTAGTCATGCGCTTCTTGCGGTTATGAAGAGTGCTCCATTCTTCGTCAGGATCTATAGACAACTTGTATGCATTCGGTCTGGCAGTTGACCTCGGGGGTGATGGTGAGATGCGTTGCCTTTTGTGGCTGGATACGTGCATATTTGTTAGAGACGGGTGCCTTGGGTTGCGGATTCGCATAAGGACCGGAAATGGCAGGCGGATTCCAGGCAAAATGAGGGGGCGAAGTTCCTTCTGGATCCGGCCTTCGAGGGCCTTCATTTATGCACAGGAGGGGGGAGGCTGGTGTAGGCAGCAAGCGAATAGGCACAGGCGTGGGAGGACGAAATGGCTGAGGTACTTCGGAGCATTGTCAGAGTAGACGACATGAAAAAGGTATGAGCGTCACCTGCTGGCGCAAGAGGTCTGGACAGCCGTAATTTGGGTGAAGCATGGACAGAAAAATGTGGTGCCGTATTAACGAGTGTCCTTTGAAGTATGTTCCGACGAGGGGCAAAGAAGGGCTGAGGCTGAGGTCGAGCAATTGATCGTATTGGACGAGCAACAATAGGCAGAGGAGAAGATAAGGAAGCATTGTTAGTAGGGGAAAATGATATGTCTGGCCGCGAAACGGGAGAGGAGAAGTAGCTGGCGATAGGACGCTGAGTTTGAAAGGCGCGAGGAGGCTGAGGACGAGCATAGATTGACTCTGGAGCCCTTACCTGAGCATCAGGGCTATCCTGGTCGACGAGAAAAGGAACATGAACAACAGCATCAGTAGGAGAAGCTCCTGGCAGAGATAAAGCATGAGAGTTAAAAGGACGATCGCGAGTTATATGTGTTTCCACGGCTTGTATATGAGAAGGACGTAGTGAGGAAGGGAGTGCGTTGGGACTGACTGGAGGCCCTGTTGGAAAAGAGGTTGTTTTTGAGGCAGATGGAGCACCAGGGGCCATATCACTGTATATATGCGTATCGTCTGGGTGTACTTGAGGCTTGGTCGATGATTTCGGCAGAATGACGGGAGTATTGACATGTTCATGCACGGAGTCTCTAGATGAAGGACGAACAGTAGATGGCGTAGCATTGGCTTGAGGAGAAGACCTTCGAAACTTGGACTTTGCTTTCTCTGACTGTTTTTTCAGCCCGTCGACTATCGACCCATTAGTCTTCCTCCTAGCGTTCATAGGTTTGATAGGTCGAGAAGGTTCATTCTTCGAAGACGGTCGATTTGTGCTGCGAGCAGCCGCGTTAATTTTGGCAATGCTGAACGGGTTCGGCTTGTAGACAACGGTCTCCTTTCTCGTAGAAATGTCCAAATCGTCAAGCATACGGCTCTCGTCCACACCAGAGTCGGAGGAAGAATCAGAATCAGAACCAGAGTCGTCCAAGTCACGGTCAGTATGTCTGACTTTCGACGTTCTGAGATTGAAAGCCCATCCTGAAGAGCTCTTCTCTGCTGGAGCTGCGCTAGTTGGAGGCATGATTTCAACAGCATCGACGAAATGGGCAAGGACAAAGATGGGTTGACCGGTCCGGACGTCGACCTCGCGACGCGCAGTGTGCAGTGATCGAGGCCTTGGATAAAAATCGAGTCTATCTTGACTTCAACGTGCGGAAGAAAATGCTGAATTATTAGCCATATGGACTACTTAAGTAGTACTAGATACATGATAAATTGGTAATTGCCCTCGTGAACCCAAAACATTAGATATTATGACTACAACGTTAGATATGCTTGTCGCAGTCCAATAAGATATGATAAAAAAGTAGCTGAAGTTCAGCGTCCATGTTTAACGAATGAAATAAATATGCATCAGGCATACTCCAAAGTCCAAATGATGAATAATAGGGCGTGATAACTTTAAAGAGTCCGGAACAAGTTTAAGACGGCTTTGCATACTTCTCTGGCAGTTCAAGCTGTTCCATGGCTTGTAAAATCACTGAGAAAGCACCGTCATTGAATATTCTCGAAAGAAGAAACCGAACATACCAGCAACCATTCCTCCAGCAGCGTGCTGTGAGATATGGCAATGCACAGTCTGAGGGCCTGGATTTTGCACAACATCTTCGACAAGTTTCAGCCGAGCTTCCTCAAGAACAGAATGTTGGACTCACATCTGAGTGCTAGCCAGCTTCCCTCTGGAGTCGACGGTATGGTATTATATCCATCTCTCTTCGGAGGGTTAACAAAGTTGAAATGCTCTGGAATTGCTTCAGCTGCCTCGGCCACAGTTGTCCAGTTGAAGCTGCCAGTTCCATGACCCATGACCCAAAACCTGTTGAAATGCTGTGAAATAAAATTAATGAGCGAGGAACCTTCACTGAAGCAGAAATATAATATCACCTTGTGGATGGGATGTGCTGGACTGTGAACAGACAAGACATCGTCAGACCAGAACAATTAGAAAAAGAATATACTCACTTTGCTCCATGGACAATGAATATCAAGTCGACAACACTTCCCACCTCCGGAACGACGTAAACACTGTCTGCTAGGACCAATGAAGATCCAGCGTAAGGACCAACGTTCTCAGTCGCTGCCTCGAGGACACCCCTCCACACGGAATCCCAGATCAGCGGGTCGCCATTCTCATACACGCCAGTCTGCAGACCAGTCCCGTTGGCCGTCCAAATTGTTGCATTAGGCCTCTTCATGTTGAGGAAGAACGTATGCGCCACTTGGTCATTACTCGGAGGGGGATCAGCGACGTAAGGTGCAGCTTGGTCACTGGTATAGTCGAATATGGTGGCGTTACACTCGGCACCAGTAGCAGTAGTCAAAGCTGCACTCGAGTAATCGATGTATGCAGTGGAAGTGGGAAGAGCTGGGTACCCGGCGGCCGGCTTTACCAACGTTGGAGTAGCAGAAGGGTCGGGCGAGGCATACTGGAGGATTCCATATCCGGTTTTTACCTGTGGAGCGACATTTGCAGCAACACGGATGGTATACGCTTCTCCTGGTGTACCAGTAAGTTTGACCAGGGCTTGAACTCGGACACCGGAATGGAGCTGATTATTCACGGTAAGAAGAAGTCAGGAATGGAAGAGGAATCACGAACAGAGACAGCTGAGACGGGAGTTGTAGTATTCACGTATTCACCCTCGACAGCTAAAACAAGAACGGTCAGAACCAACTTCATCTCCATACAAACAAGATAATACCTACCAATGATATACATTGGATGCTCATCAATGGAAAAGACTTCCTCCCAGAGACCACCGTTGTTTACTAAATTCAGCATCACCCAGGAAGTGTTGTGGTTGTCCACGTTGAGGGTGTACAACGGATTATCGACACCTGTACAAACATCACCGTTGATGAGATATTACGGGTTCCATAGAATGCTACTCACCTTCAGAGGCGCATGTCAACCACAGCTCGTCAGGCACAAGGGCTGCATTCGCTTCGAATGCGAAGCCTTCTGCTGGAGGATTGGTAATACTGTTGTTGAGATAGAGACAACTGTCGACCTGTAAGTATGGATGAACGAAAGAACCGACGAAGCAGACTCACCCCTGAGCTGTCAGATCGCCATTTCCTCTGGCGGTTCCGATAGCCGCTAGCTCATCTGCAGAAGGACAGACAGATGAGCCTTTGCCATTGATCAGGATGGATTGAACACATCTGTGGACAGGGTCCCGTTAGCTCTAATGAGTAATTGGCAATCAGAAGGGCATACAGAGGTTCAATGTTTGCCTCTTTCCATATTTCGCCGATCTCGTATTCGGGGAAATGACGCCAGTCCATTATCATAATCGACTCGGCGTGGTGCTCAGCCGCATACATCTGGAACAGATCCAATGGGTCTTCAGATATCTGCCTGAATGGTCGCTCCCGTTTACGGTCGGGGCTACATACAACGTAATATTCAGATAAGAAGTTCAAAAAAAGGCTTTCGGCATACCGGATATACAGGGTCATGGCCATACCGTCGTCCTGTTGAGATTCTAGAAGTAGAAGATGTTAGGGTCAGTAAATTTTTCGAAATTAAATGGCGTGACATACTAGAATGTGAATGAATAAAGTAGAAACCATGTTGCGTCGCGTTCCAACAGTGCGTGAAGTTGTTGCCTGGCTGAATGATAGGTTGAGTAACACCAGGTACCTAGAAGCCCAATGAAATATTGATATCGTTAAATATAGTTCGCAGCAAAGAAGCACTTACGCCATCCGACCAAGGTGTACCTTTTTGCTCGATACCATGGAAATGCATCGTCAAAGTCTCGGTGGTGTTGTTAATGACGACGAACTATTTTCCACAAGTGAATAAGGCGCGACCATGGCAGCCTAACTCAAGCACACACCTCGACCTCATCGCCCTCGTCAATGGTTAACGGGTCGGCGGGGAATTTTCCATTGAGCAGATATACCATGCTAAACGACGTGTCAACACAAAAAACGAACAGAATCCAGGATAACATACCGCTCTTTGGCACCATCAGGATTGGCATAACCCTCGGATATTTCCAGAACATAATGCACCAAGTTGGCGCCGTTCTTTCCACCACCAATGTGGTATGTGAGTCCCAGGGTTTTCCCAACTCCAGCATGGACATCAAGTTCTGCAGAACGCGCTACGCTTGTACGACTCCCATACTGATGTGCATCATGGGGAAGCGCTAGAGAAAGCGTCAAGAAAAGGGAAAAGAAAGATAGTAGGTGAAAGGGAATAGAAGAATAAGACTTCATAGCCCTTCAAAACGAGAGGAGGGGGTTCGTGAACGAATGACAAGAGACTAAGAGGAGAGCAGTGGGGATAATTATAGAGAAAGAAGAAGTGAAACGTTAGTGTACTTTTGTATGCATCGCGCCGAGCCTTCTTCTCGGATCTGGGCGCGAAGATCAAACCCTGAGGTCATATACCAAATTTTTTGATGGCAGGATTGGAAGTTAATATCTGGACTGAGGCCAATTTCATCGAGCATCCCCGTCAGGTGGATCTCGAGCACGGCAAATCCGATCCAGGCTGCGAGCGAGAACGCGTTATTTTTTTCTCGTCGGGAGGGTGGCATAGAGTTGTGGTAATTCACCCTGTACAAGGCTGTGCATCGAGTTCGTGCCCGTAGGCTCTACCTTACCTTCACACCCGTTCCATTCTGATTCGGAGCAAGGGTGGGCTCGATGGTCCTGTCAGATGAAATGGACTAATACGCGCCTCGTGGTGAGTTGTAAATGATTTGTTTAGCCGTCTTAAGCTCTAGCCGCCTCCTTTGACTGTTCTGAAGGTGTACGCGGTGTCGTTTAACCCCGCATTATTTTGAGCGTGCACAGATAGGTACCGGGATAACGTACGTCCCCGAGATTGAAACATGTACAGCTGTTCACTGCATGTCAATTTGGAACGGTACCCTCATTTAAAGCGTGAAAGGAGCGGAGATCCGACGCCTTGAAGTCGGCGAAGAAGATACGACGGCAATTGGATGTCCAGATCGTCCGTAGCGCGCACCTGATACGATTGTGGTTACGACCTGTACACACGTGTTGATTGTAGTGGAAATCCCGGCCTAAAATATCGAGGCGCACCTTGGTGACGAGAGTCATAAATCAACGTACGAATCGAGAAAATTAAAGCGGCCTGCTAGGGCCAGTCGCATGATGAAATACAGACTGGGACTGCGCAGTCGGTGGGAGGTGGCAGTGTCGATATTTGGCATTCATGGCTGATCCAAGCATGATCGGGATCTTATCCTATGTTCGAAGAGAACGGAAAACAGCGGTATGTGCTAAAGAAACTGGAGTAAACACTTAACGGCATCGATGCATATCCACAGATATTCATATGGATTGTACCTGGACCAAGGAGAAGTGAAACATATACAATGAAACACCGATGTTGACCTGACCTTTCTGTCACCGACAAACGACACCCAAAGTCTCAACTTAGAATTTGCTAGAATTCAACAGATGCGCATTTCGGACGTCCCACCAATCTCCCTTATCAATATTAAATGTCGTGGTTGGTTTGTTCGATGAGATGCTTTGTACCAGGAACCTTGCGTAATTCATTCGAAATTAACCCCGAGTGGACTTTATAGAGTTGAATTCAAGGACGGTCAAGGGACCAGAAGGATTCGGTCCCCCTACGCCGCACCGGTTTGCTTTCTGACACATAGTCTTTCTGGAAAAGCTCACTCGTTCCAAGAGCTCTCGACACAGGCGTTAATGGTAAGAGTACACCCTAGTTCTTGGGCTGACCAGTACGCTCCAGCATTGACCAGCTAGATATTGCTGATGATATTATATTCTTGCATGGTCATTGTGCGATAAGGCTAATAATAAGGAGGGCGCTAAATTCTCTCAACTCGAAACCCATATCAAGTGATTGGTCAGGGGTAGTGGCGGTGCAGGGACCAGGCTAGGGCCTGATAACATTAACGCCATTTGACTTGTTCCCTTCACACAGTCGCCCATTAGGCTTTAACGGACACGATACTGTACCGGATCTTGTGCTACCATGCGGATTCTGCTGTGACATATGAGGAGGAGATAATCAATGCACCTTGCCTGATTGACTTCTACAACCTCGAATTCCGACGAACTTGAGCTCCTTGGGTAGCGTTACTTGGCTGTCGCGTAGATTCTTGTGGCGGTCGAAGACTGGACGGTTTACCTAACTCCCACTCAGGGTAAATGTTGCAAGTGCAACGGCAATGATCTCACGTGCCACGTCTTATCTTTCGCACTAGAGAGCTGCGAGTCCTCGATATCATCTCATTACCCCGATACCCATTTATTTTCGGCTTATCGCAGACTGTGGCCTACGCAAGACTGTCTGCGCCCCCCCTCCACTTGACAAATATTCCGAGCAGGCCACACATTCTATGGAGCTAGTTTCTCGTGTGACCTTATGCCTGGATGTTAGCACCTGGTACTCACGTCCGATCAAAGAGCACCATCATCAGGATCATTCGAACGCGATAACGCTTCATTGTGGCGACTATGGTACAGGTGGTAGGCCATTGTAGGTCACCTATGCTGGTATCTTAACTTTGGACCCGTAGGCATCATCATGGTGCAAAAATTGCGTTCCGAGGCGCAGTCTCGCACCGGAATAGAAGATTCCAACTGAATGCTGATCAAAGAAGCGTTCTAAAAATAACAGTGTGGCACAAGGTCTTCTCATTGAAGACCATATGCAACGTCGGAACTGATACGTGCGAAGCGAATATAAAGTCCGGTGCAGACTAAGTTCCCCCTTCCAACGCTCTTGCCCCCACAGAGTGTCCATTCAAAATGGCTGACAAAGTCACCGACGAGAAGGTTCGCAATTCCGAAATCGCATCCTCTGTCGAGCATGAACTAGATGGCATCCATGATGGCCTCGAGTTCCCCACCGAGGAAGAGATCGCAACCTTGCGACGGGTATCTGACAAGCTGCCATGGAACGCATATTGTGCGTATTTTCTGTACCGTATGCCGGATCTGCCCTGATATTCCCGCAGTGATCGCCACTGTCGAGTTGGCTGAGCGATTCTCGGTGAGTGTTTGTGGAGTCGCAGGCACTGATAACTCATCCGGTTTCTAGTTTTATGGTTGCAGTGTCGTATTCGTGCGTAATCAGAACGTAACTTAACATGAAATCCAGGTTAACCTTTCCTTCTAGACAAACTTCATTCAACAACCTCTACCTCCAGGCTCGCGCTTTGGTAACGGAGGTGCGGATGGTCAGTCTGGCGCTCTTGGCAAAGGCCAGAACGCTTCCACCGGTCTTACTACTTTCTATCAGTTCTGGTACGTTCAAGTTATCCCGGTGTTTCCCCGTTCTCAATTTTCCCAAGGTGCTACTGTACTCCTCTTCTCGGAGCCTACATTGCGGACGCTCATTTGGGACGGTACAATACCATTTGTATCGGTGTGGCTATCGCTTTTATTGGACATGTCATCCTTATCGTTTCCGCTGTACCGGGTGTCATTGAAAAATCGGAGAGCGCAATGGCCTGTCTCACTATCGCTATGATTGTCATGGGCTTGGGTGAGCGCTTTCATTCCGTCAGCTAATACCAATGCTCACTTCCATGCAGGTACCGGTTTCTTCAAGTCCAACATTTCTCCTCTGGTTGCAGAACAATATCGTCGTACCAAGCTCTTTATCAGCACCACGAAGAGCGGAGAACGTGTGATCGTGGATCCCGTTATGACGGTGTCTAGTGTCTATATGGTTGGTAACACGTCATTTGGCGAGTTTCAATCGCTGATCATTTGCCTGAAGTACTTCTATCTGTTCATCAATATCGGCGCGTTGGTCGGTCAAATCTGTATGGCTTACGCCGAAAAGGTACCGTAGGACTTGGCTCTCAAACTAGCCAATGATTGCTCATACTTTCTTAGTACGTCGGATTCTACCTAGCTTATACGCTTCCCACCGCTGTATTTTTGTTGTGTCCGCTGATCCTCTGGGTCGGGCGCAACCGGTACATCCGCTCTCCTCCCACCGGATCCGTCTTCGCGACTGTCATGCACCTTTGGTTCTATGCCATGAAGGGCCGTTGGAGCTTGAACCCTGTCAGGACCTACAAGAATATGACGTCTGCAGACTTCTGGGAGAATGCCAAACCGAGCAAACATGTTGCTTCGAAGCCACACTGGATGAATTTTGATGACCAGTGGGTGGACGAGGTTAGACGTGGGTTCAAGGCTTGTGCTGTATTCCTTTGGTTCCCGGTCTATTGTAAGACTTCACTGGAACCTCACCGTGGATAGACGCTGATCCGACACTCGCAGGGCTCTGTTACAACCAGATTAACAACAATTTGACATCGCAAGCGGCTACTATGACCACACACGGAGTACCTAATGATGTGTTATCTAATTTGGACCCCATCGCCCTCATCATCTTTATTCCCATAAGCGAGATGTTTGTACGTCAGATTCATCTGAGAAACATACTGCGTATTGATTCTTGTTTTATTCTCTAGATATATCCTGCTCTCAAGCGTGCCGGAATTAACTTTACTGCCTTGAAGAAAATTACCGGCGGGTTCTTCACTGGTCAGTTTGCTTATTCCTAACACAATTTCGGTGTGTGCTCAACAAAATCTTAGCTGCTACTGCGATGATTTGGGCCGTGGTCGTTCAGCATTACATTTACAAGGTATTTGTCACCGCGTACCCGACATTACATGTTCGCTCACACACTACTGTATGATCGTCTAGACCAACCCTTGCCATTATTCCGCGTCTACATGTGAGGATGCAGATGGCAACGCTCTCGTGTCGCCCCTAAATGTTTGGATCCAAACTGGCTCGTGAGTGGACTACTATTCCCATGTCACAAACACTTGACTAAATACATCTCCTCAAGTTACGTTCTGATCGCCTTCAGTGAAATTCTCGCCTCTATTACCGGCCTTGAATATGCTTTCACCAAGGTTCGTTGTTCCATTGTTGCTTTATGGTTGGTTGTTGACCGTCGGTATACAGTCCCCCAAGAATATGCGTTCTCTGGTGATGAGTATCTTTTTATTCATGTCAGCAATCGCCTACGCACTTAGCGAAGCCTTCGTTGGTGAGTGTCGCGCATATTCTCTTTACACGCCGCCAGTTAATCCAGTTAACGACAGCTTTGGCTGCTGATCCTTTGCTCGAGTGGAACTACGGTGTATTTGCTGTCATGTCCGGTATCGCTGGCCTTCTGTTCTGGCTCAGTGTCCGGAAATTGGATAGTGAAGAAGACGAACTCAACAACATGGATGAAGGCCACATCACGATGATGAGCGAGGATCACATCACCAATGAAAAACCCTAGATAATACGATTATTTTCTAGATGTTCCTGTATTTCAACAGGACATTATCATGGGTTGTTTACGTTACAGAATTACTTACCTTACGTTGAAGTATATGTTGGATGAATGTTTTACGATCATTGTATTACCACTTCGTTTCTTAAACCTTGTGTGTGTGAAGATTTAGCAACATGCAGTTGATAGAGCTCGGCATATTTCCTTCGGTATCAAAAACCGTTGCCTTCGGGCTATGAAGATTCTGCATGTTGCAGGTTCTGGGCTACATATCCGTACGGGTACAGCCTAAGACACCATTTCCCACTTAGTGTTTCACGGTTTCCCCAGAGTGAGTTTACTGCTTATATTTTCATAAGTCTCTCACGCGCATCCCGCTTACTGATTAACAAAGATAAACCGCCTCCCGGTCAATTGAACTCTCCATGACGATGCTCGTCTGATGATATTGGGCGAAAGAATATACCCCCTTCGACAAGGGCTCCTTTTGCATTCGGTGCCAACTACGAAGGAAATCAATTTGATATGGGTGGTTGTACGTGCGAAAGTAATAAGGCGTGGGAATTTCCTGCAGGTAAGTTCAAGTTCACACTTCCACCTGCCTTTCATAAATTTATCTTGCCTTCTTGATGGTACAATCACACCGGGAAGATGACAATTTTTGGCAAACCTGAATTTTGAGCCTAAATGCAACATTTTAGGAGCATAATTTGGGGGCCAACAAACGTCGCGTTTTGGAGGATCCAAAACCCATGCCACCCGCCAGAGATGAATTTCGGGAGCATTCAAATTTCATGTAAAATCTCTGCCAAATTCGACCTCCCAAAACGTCACCTTATTGTCCGAATTCTGGTTTCCCAAAAATTCTCATTTTTCCGGTGTGAATAGGTATCAAGTGCGCTTTTCTTAGCTTGTGTGCATCAGCGCTTTTACCTTCTTTTGGGATGCACGTTTCATTGATCACGTACTATTCTATGCTTGACTCTGGAGACCATTGGAATCTCATCAGTGTGTCGAAACCTGTCGGAACTCCAATCAGCTCGGACGTCATCGATATCTTCTGGAGTTGGCCACGCCTCATTAAAAGAATCAGACGGATTCATGCTATCGCTGAACAAGCAAGGCTTGGCTCTCGCCGGCTCATGGGCGAAACTCAATCCGACGTTCATTTCAGTCTTCCATCCTGGGATCTTGGAGAGCATGTCTCGCGCCTCACTGGTAGTCTGCTTCTCTCTCCCGCAAAAACTGTATGCGTGGTATACGAAGACCGAAGTACCTCCATCTCAATACAAAGAGAGTGGGAATTCTTCCAATTATAGTCTGGTCGACCTTCCATCCGAGGGAAATCAGTCCATAGAGCATGTGGTTATGTTCATATAAAAAGATTCCTTGATACACGGCCTTTCCCATCTTCCTTGTCTCATCTGCTCTATCGATGGCTGGAATACAAGTCGAGGCTGATTTGGCTGCCCTCAGTCATGTCAAGGAGAAGGAGGATGAGGATGAGAAGGGCGTTCCTTCCGACGTTGCTACCTCCGAACATGGTCATGAACTCGATGGTATTCATGATGGGCTGGAGTTCCCTACCGACGAAGAACGGGCAACACTGCGCAGGGTTTCCGACTCTATCCCATGGAATGCGTATCGTACGTCTCTTTGTTCTAGGGGACAGATTTATACTGATAGCTGTGGTATCAAAGTAATCGCTATTGTAGAGTTGGCTGAGCGATTTTCTGTACGTTAGAGCTTCCAGCTTGCTCCACGTCCATTAATAATGCATTCGAAGTACTACGGATGTCAAGTAGTATTCGTAAGTCCCATTCTACTACGCCGGTGCTCGTTTATTTCATCAATCGTTAATTCTAGACCAACTTTATTCAACAACCCTTACCAGAAGGCTCACACACCGGTGCTGGATTTACGAATGGTCAATCCGGTGCTCTTGGACGTGGTCAGCGGGCGTCTACCGGTCTCAACACCTTTTACCAGTTCTGGTCAATGCATTTGCCATCATGACTCCCCTGGTCGCATACTGAATGACTTCCCAGGGTCTATGTCACACCATTGTTTGGAGCTTATATTGCGGATACGTACTGGGGACGGTTCAATACAGTCTGTTTCTCTGTCTTCGTCGCTCTTATTGGACATATCATCCTAATTGTATCCGCTGTCCCTGGCGTCATTGAGAAAGAGAGTGCAATAGGCGCATTCTCGGTCGCGTTGATTGTGATGGGGATTGGTAGGTAATCTCTGTTTTATATCATAGCCTGATCCCTAATACATGCATAGGAACGGGTTTCTTCAAGTCTAATATCTCTCCTTTGGTCGCGGAACAATACAGGCGCACGAAGCTATTTGTAACCACAACGAGAACAGGAGAACGTGTCATTGTAGATCCCGCTTTGACCATTTCGAGGATCTATATGGTACGTCAACCTTACGATGTCTGCTGCTGCTGCGCATCCTAAACAGATTCACGCCTAGTATTTTTATCTCTTCATTAACATCGGTGCTCTCATCGGACAAATCGCAATGACATATGCAGAGAAGGTGAAGTTTCTTTCCTTCTGATTTACTTCGCATAATTAAAAATCCGTGCTTCATGTAGTATGTCGGCTTTTGGCTTGCCTTCACTCTACCCACCATTATTTTCCTCCTTTGTCCTCTCGTGCTGTGGTTCGGCAGGAAAAGGTATATCCGAAGTCCACCCACCGGATCTGTCCTCGGAACCGCCATGAAGCTCTGGTTGTATGCGGCGAAGGGTCGATGGAGCATCAATCCGATAAAGACCTATAAGAATATGACCGCTGCAAATTTCTGGGAAAACGTCAAACCGAGCAAACAAGCAGGAAAGAAACCAGCGTGGATGAACTTTGATGATCAATGGGTTGACGAAGTTCGGCGTGGTTTCAAGGCTTGCAGTGTGTTCCTCTGGTATCCTATCTACTGTGAGATGATATTACGTTTGGGATTGCCAGAGATATTGAAACCTCGTCTCTTTTTGCAGGGTTGACTTACAATCAACTGAACGCGTATGCATATTCTGTATTGGAATTTTAAAGTACCCTCAATGCCCTTCGCAGAAACCTGATATCGCAAGCGGCCACTATGACCACCAATGGCCTCCCAAATGACGTTCTGTCGAACTTGGATCCGTTTGCTCTCATCATATTCATCCCGATCTGTGATGTACTGGTGCGTGCTCACATATCCCGAGAGAATGAACTTGCGACTTACCTGAATTAATTTTAGATTTATCCCGCCTTACGACGCGGGAGAGTCAATTTCAGTGCATTGAAGAAAATTTGCGCTGGGTTTGCGACAGGTTTGTACCCTGGCTTTCTGTTTGCATCGAGATTAAACAGGATTCAGGTGCCGCCGCGATGATTTGGTCAGCTGGTAGGTGGATTGCAAATGTCATTTTAAACTTGGCGTACTCATCAGTCAATCAAGTTGTTCAGCATTACATCTATAAGGTATTGCCTCTGCTTCTAATCATGTTAGCATGCGTTCACTCCCCACTTCACAGACAAACCCATGTGGCTATTCTGCTGGGACGTGCGAAACTGCAGACGGACACCCATTAGTTTCTCCATTGAACGTCTGGATTCAGACCGGCTCGTGCGTTTACGTTTCCTGTTTTGTAGATTTTTCATGACCGCATTTGCTCAGGTACGTCCTCATAGCATTCAGTGAGATCTTAGCGTCCATCACGGGTTTGGAATATGCATTCACGAAGGTGATTTCTTTCTCATGCTTGCTGAAAGACCCCGCTGACTTCTTCCTTGAGGCTCCCACTAACATGCGGTCTTTGGTCATGTCGGTTTTGACTTTCACGAATGCATTTTCTGCCGCCATAGGAGAAGCTTTCGTGTCCTTGTCTTCCGACCCACTGTTAGTTTGGAACTATGGCGTCATGGCCACGATTGCAGGTGTAGCGGGTATAGTCTTCTGGTTTGCCGTCAGGAAATTGGATGCCGAGGAGGACAGGCTGAACAATATGCAAGAAGGACACATGGAAGCTTCGAAGCCGGAAGCGTAAGATGTTGGTACCGGGCGATCTGTCCTGTGTATGATGTTTTCCCAATTAGTAGGAGTATCTATATGCAAAAATCCCAGGTATTTTTGATAACAAATCGAAATAAATTAGTCCCGGCACTTAAGCTCACCACCAATCATGGCAAGCGTAGCACCTAAACACCAGCCCAACTCCGTCCCAGCAATCTTCTTACCAATAGTCACGTCTCTTTCATCACCGAATTCGTACCCGAGCCTGAGAAGGCCGTTCATGAAAGTAAGATCTAGACACCACTCTGGACGGCCCTCCAGTTCTTCTATCACCTCTGGGTTTGTGCCCCAATGAGGGTGCTCGAGCCAGGCCTGTCTTCCTTGGCATACAGTCTTTGCCAGGTCAGCGATACCCCCGACGGTCAAGGATTCTACACCAGGAGCGAGAAGGGGAGATACGCGGTCATAGAAATATGAGAGCAGAAGGACTCGCCCATCCGGGCTAGGAAAGGAGTCTAGAAGAGACGGCTGGTAGACGCCGTTGAAGGAACACGGCTTGAGTTCACATACGGCATCTTTTGCAAGCACCAGTTCAATGACACGATTGCATGCATCATAAGAGCCGACCTCTTCACCGTACATGGTCAAGTTGCGGCCATCAATCTCCACCACCTTGGTGGTACCGCGTGCCAAACAAGGATTCGCTATTTTCGCAGTTGTGCCTTCTGAAGACGATGAAGATGGGGAGGCGGGACGAATCGATGACATGAATTCAACGAGTTGGTGGACGTGTCGTCTGGCGCGCATTAAGCCATACCCCAAATAGGAGTGCTGGTACAGAACATGGGATTTCCCGCTGAAAGTGAGGTCGTACTTGTGTTCACCTTCCTCGAGGCGGCCGTCGCTTTGTTCCCACCGCGGTTCAAAGACAATTTGGGTGGATGCTCCGCCAAGGTCTAATACCGCATATGGCATGATCGAAGACGAAGAGGACGATGCAGATGAGAGGGTTCCGAGAAGATAATTAGCGGTTATCCAGGCGTATACGCCCTCTTCACTGCCGTCCATCACCTCCACACCACCTTGCTCTACGAGTGGGAAGGGGTACGACGCGCTAAGATGTTCCTTGACTTTGTCCAAAATGGCGGAACTCTTCTCGGGACCTAGCAGCCTCAGGCCGGCGGTAGCCTTGACTGCAACAGGCGCGCATTTTTGCAATGACACTGGCACCGTCTTCACTGCCTCGGCCATGAGCACATCCAAACTCTTGGCAGCGGCTTCTGGATCGTCTGGATAATGCGATAGCCCGGGCTGTGTCATTTTGAACACTTCATACTCGTATGTTGGGCCAGAGGCTGAACAATGGTTGAACTTGTAGATATGAATGCGAGAGCCCGTGGAACCAGCATCAACCATAAGGGCATATTGAATAAGAGGCACGGTAGACGAGTAGGGTGAAGTACAGTAGGTGGTACCGGCAGGATTGGGATCAGTATCAAAGGACAAAGGTTTGTCATCGTCTACGGCAGAGATGGGTGGCTGCTTGCTCGGATTGTTTGGTGCTGCAGGAAGAGTGGGTGGATTGGTCGTCACAGGCTTTGAAGGAGACCACGGAATCGTTGTATCTGCTCGAAATTTGAGAGAAACGCGAGTAAGAAATGCTAGAGACGTACGGCTCTCTTCAAGCTCTGCTGTCGAATCCGACACCCAAGAAGGTATATGTCTCCTCTCTCTGGGACCAAAAATCCAGACAAGCCCTATAAGGACTGCAGCTCCGACAGCAAATTTCTTCCACGCGAACTTCTGTTTCGCTGGATACCCTCTACTGGGACCCATTCCACCCTCGATGCGGTCATAGTTGGATGAGCGAGGGGACATGATATCCTTTCGCAAGCGAAGAGCAGACGAATATTTGCGCCGTGCCGTCGGACCGTATCCTTGGAAAACAGAGAAAGCTTGGGTATATACGACAGCGCTATGCAGTCGCTGCCACTGGCTGTGTCGAAAGAGTGTATGGCACTGCCACCTATGATGGGCTATGTAATAAGACAAAAATAAATAACAAAGTAAATAAATGTCTCCACATGAGAATGATGTTCTTGGCACTGGCGACCAGCAACAGCACTCAACTCACCACCTGAAAGCTGTCTGGAGAGCTTTCTTTCTTCGCCCAAACTGGATTAGAAAAATTCCCTTGCTTTGACCGGCAGAAAACATCTCAATCTCAATGATAACGAGCATACCCGACTCTAATTCGTAATGCTTTTGCCTGCACCAGTGTCCTTTTCCGCAGCAACGGTCAGACTAAAAGCGCTGCGCCGTCCTCGATGGATTGCTGCTGTTCTGGTCCTCTTTCTTCTATGGCTAGTCCTTCCTTGGTTTACCCGCCCACCGCCGCCCCCTTTGCCCTTTCCCCCTCCTCCGCGTACAGCCACTGCCAACCGCATTCGGAATGCTTTCATACACGCCTATACCGGCTATCTCACCCATGCATTCCCCGACGACGAGCTCCGTCCCCTCAGTCTCCGTAACACGACCAATCTTAATGGATGGGGTCTTACCGTCTTCGACGGGCTGGATACAATGTGGATCATGGGTATCCCAGAATTATGGGATCATGCCGTAGAGTACATCGCAGAACACCGGTTTCAGATGCGACCCAAAGACTTTGCCCCGTTCTTCGAGACCAACATTCGTTACCTCGGAGGTATGCTTAGCGCGTACGCCTTGTCGGGTAATCCTCTGTTACTCGAAAAGGCAGACGAGCTAGGTGCTGCGATGTTACCCGCCCTAGACACGCCCTCTGGACTGCCAGCATTTGCTGTAAATACCCGAACAGGGTTAACGAGACCAGGGTGGACTGGAGGTACACTGTGGGCAGAGGCTCTCAGCTGTCAATTGGAGTACAAATATCTCGCTCACCTCACTTCCAACCCGACATATTTCACCAAGGTTGAGGACATCATGGCTATGATGGAAACCGCAAACTTGACTGGACCTGGTCTGTTCCCAACAATATGGGACACAAAGACAGGAACGTCCAGAGGACGTGTCTTCAGCGCTGGGGCATTTGCTGATAGTGCGCACGAGTACTTCCTGAAGCAATATCTCCTCACCTCACATTCCGAGCCACGCGCATTATCTCTATACATCGACGTAGCGGAAGCCATTATCGATCACTTGCTCTACTACCTGCCTTTCCGCGACTTCCTATACGTCACAGATATCGACCTGCCTACTATGAAACCCTCATACATATTCGAGCATCTCTCCTGTTTTCTCCCTGGCATGTTCATGTTGGGTGTGCATACTCTATCCGACAAACTCACCCCCGAGCAGATAGCGAAGCACAAATGGGCAGCCAGAGGACTAGCCAAAGCATGTTGGCTCACGTACGCAGACATGCCTTCCGGCCTGGGTCCAGACGAGGTCATCATGCAGAAAGAAGGTTCACTAGCTTGGGTTCGTGCTTATGCAGAGTGGCAGCAGCAGGGAGAAGAGGGCGATGCTCCTGGTTCGCGCGAGACTGAACCTGAACCTGAGCGAGACCTTCGTGGTTATAAAGTCCGGAAAGGCGCGTATCTTCTTAGGCCTGAAGCACTAGAAAGCTTCTACATTTTGTGGAGACTTGGAGAAGGCAATGTCTGGAAAGAGCGCTCTTGGAAAGTCTTTGAGGCAATCGAGGCAGTGGCCAGGACGCCTGAGGCATATGCGAGCGTCACTGACGTTGAGAAACCAGTATTGGATGGGGAATTCAGGCTAAAAGATGAGATGCCGAGTTACTTTTTAGCAGAAACGTAAGTCGATTTGATATTTCTGTTGCTAATGCTCGGGTGACGCTGAATCTTGCATAGGCTGAAATACTTGTATCTTATGTTCAACGACGACGCCGAATATCCTTTTGAAGAGTGGGTTTTTAACACAGAGGCTCATCCACTGCCGGTGTTCCATTGGAGCGAAGCGGAGAAGTTGGCCTATAACATATCTTCATGACTCAGACAGACTTTACTGTAAAGCATCTACATCTTCCCGTTAATTTCGTCAACGTTCAAGTGGGAAGATTTCCTATCTTTCAGTTGAATAGGTCAGGTTCCTGCGCCGATTGAAGTTTGGTTAAGAGTACTGAAGTTTGCATGCATCCAGCTGTGGCAATATACATCATGTTGTCAGGGTTGCTAGGGAGAGGAGTATAAAACCACGGGTGCAGGCCGAATCACAACCAACGCAAAACGGGACATTTCATCTTGTATGTAAACGACACCAAGGAATCATTGTAGAAGGTATGCCTAGACTATATATACGTACAATCACCAAGGATATCAGTGCGTGTATTCAAAAAAAGAAACATGATACAACGGGCGTTGATCAAACTAACTGGGTAGCTGTCGATAAGCTCTGTTCCCAGCCGCCCATTGGTGGCCCTTATCAGCCGAAATACCAGTGGTCACCACACCGATAACAATAAGGACGCTGGCGATCCATGAGATAGTGTTAACAATGTATGCGGTTCCTAGTTAGAGGCAGCAATCAGTATCGGTCACTCGGGCTAGTATATAGAAACATACCAGGCTTTGACTGGTCAAAAGTGGGATATCTTCCCGTCCTATACATCTCCGTAACGAGTCCGAATGCGAGGAGCTGAAACACAGCTAAGAATACTACATCAGTCATGCCGCTTCAAACAATAGAGAACGGGAAACTCACCTTGAAGCGCCACCAGCCCCGCAACAGCCCTCCAAATCCGCCTTCTCCTCGAGTGCGTGCTAACTCCAAACATGATCGCCACGAGTGAGACCGCAGAGAAGCCTATGGCCAGCTCCATAGCGTATCCTGCGCTCGTCCAGGACGCACAAAATGTTTCGTTCCCGCTCTGGCATTCGTCAGTCTTGGTGAGAGGGAAGCGGCGGCAGCTCCTCTCGGTGTAGTTACGGTCAGTGTCCGAGTCAGGCAGGCTGATGACTTTGGTCTCGCAAAGCTGTCTCAAGCCATAGCGAACGGTGATTTTGGTGTGGAGAATTTCGGGAGTCTTGTAGACGAGCCTTCAGTATACTGTTAACGAGTCATTCATCGTCAGAAGAGACCGTAGGCCAAACCAGTCAGTTCGTGTTGACGCTAGGATATTCTGTTATGAAAGATTGTTGATTAGCGATATATACCAGTGAAAGATGAGGCAAATTACTAAAATGAGCACAATGGCACAAAAGACAGCAGTAACGCCATAGGATGTTTTGCGCATGGTGGCAGTGGAGTGGAAGCAAGGGGTCCGTGCGGGGCGTTTGGTATAGTCGAGAAGCACAATGACGTCACTTCAAGTCCTCGGAAATTGCCGAGTAGTGTTAACTTGTTTGCGGCCACTGACTCTGCGAAAGCTTGGATATTCGCCGAATGGAGTTGGAGGAATATCTTCCTTTACCTTTATTACAACCTTCTCTGGTCTCTCCACGATGGAGACGTCGTTTTCTACTGGAACCAGGCCGCTGTTGTCACGATGGGATAAAGCCGCGGTGAACCAAAAAGAAACATAATTTATGCTCTACCTACTAATATGAACAGGCCGCTATGTTGTGTAAATTCTGTCGATGACTGGTTAAATCGCTATACTTGGCTGGCCTTCGCTTGAGTAAGTAGTCTTCCACCGTCACTTCCGCTCAATCTTATCTCCTCCCCTGCATCCTGTGCCCCTTCATTCACATAACGAACCTTCTGTGTCGGGTTAGGAAAGTCGTATTCGTCGCACTCCGATTCCATTTTTCTATCTGTTGCTGCATCGCCTTTTTGAGCATGGGATTTTCTCGAGGTTGGTCATCGGCAGGCCATATACTTACATACCTTTGTGACGGCTTCAAAAATCCACTGGTGATTTTGAAGAGAGTCCAACAAACAGCTGGGCCCCCTTAGGATCCTCCTTTAAAGCTGCCATTCCGAACCGTACCATGCCCCAAAAGTAGCGAATACATAGTCTCGACAATAAGTTTTCTTTGAAGGTTCGAAAGGAATTCCCCGAATAAGAACATACAATACATTCAATGCCGCGATGTTCCGCCAATAGCAACCTCCAGCATTACGTTGATAGAGAATAAGACGCCACATCAAATACCAGTAGCATTGTAATAAGTAGCATGCGTCTCCCAGAGTTGAGGGTCTCATCATTAACCATTGACATTGTTCGAAGTGAGGTAGTACAGGTAGTGACAGGTCGATCTTATTAATTTTAATAACGTTTACACATCCTTCTATCTGCAATATAAAGGGCGCCACTTCGAATCTTTTCTAGCCCATCTCCGACTATGTCGCTATCTTCATGTGTCTCCGAGTCCGACCATTCTCTGGCGGCAGCATCTTCCTTTGACCTACCTCCGGCTGCACCCAAGCTGCTAGTGCCTCTGCGTTCATTAGGGCCCGAACATTTCATGACTCCCGTGTTCCCCTTCTTCACGCGATACATCTGGTTCACTATCGATGCTAAGACGACCCTTGCTGGTCTTAATGACCCAGAAGTGGACATCATCACCCAGGACATGAGGGGGAAAATATACGTTGGATGTGCAATAGACGTCAGATTCTCCACAATTACATTGCCCTCAGTAATTAAGCTCATCTTTGTCTAGCTGTTCAATACACGAGGCCCCGATTTTACGGGCGCCGAAATGGAGCTCCTTGCACCTGGGTAGCCAGAGCAGTTTACTGGCATTGAGTCATGGATGTCATTTCCGCTGGCCCCCCAAGTCGAAGATCCTCGACCAGATCGGGAGCCCCTTTACCCCACAAATGCTCTCCCGCTTCCCGGTTTCTGCCACTGGACTATCCTCCCAATTGTGACATGTAAATTCCCGAAAGATCGAAGAGAGCCAGGGGATGCGGCGCAGCTCGGTTCTACAGCACAGCGCCTATACTTTACCGCCAAATATGACGACATGAACAGCCAGGAGCCGCTTAAATCAAATATGCCACCAGCAGGGGCGTTGGCCAGAAACCCATTCTGCGTGGGAGGCTATGATATCTCGTCTTAGTCCATCGATGATATCGCTGACCCTAGAGATTTCTTTGCGGAACAACAGTTCCTTTATAAGTGCATTGTAATTCTCCATGAGATCCTGCTCTTACTTGTCACCTACAGATTAGAACAAGAATCTTTGACTCGCCGACGTCTTGCTGAAGAGGACCTATCAAGAAAAACAGCAGCTTCTTATGCAGAATATAACCACACGAGGTCCCGCCCTCGGAGATGGAGGGAGAAGTGGAGTGAATATTTGTCTCACATACGCCGTCGCGCATCTCTTGCTTGTGTCGGAAAGAGCAGTAACATTAGTAGTACGAGTGATTAACTCTCTTCTTCAAATGTCTAGCCATACATTTTCACCCCGGACATCATGGCCCATCACATACTACATACGTAGGATGGAAAGGCCACTCGAACGGTCAAAGGAACGTACCATCAGGTTCTTACGAAGTACCTCCCAGTTGGCTGCGTTGAGACACTCCGTTTTGTTGCGCTGACGGGTATCAACCAGATCAAGGACATCAATAACGATGCCTTTGAAGACTGGCCGATCGATCGCTCATGACCAGAATGGTACTGCATCGTTCCGGTTCGTAGAATGGCATGCAGAGTACAATTGCCTACCGTCTTTGAAGAGAATGACAGTGACCAGGTCTTTGACAGTAGCAAACCTCTACGACTGCCGACACCAATGTCGTGGTGAATGATCTAAAGCATTAGGATAGCTATTTCGAAGCTATGTGATTATGATCGACTTGCAATATCCCCCAGCTTGGAAGACGTAACCAATCATTGCATACCTCAATGCACTTCCATCTCCCACGATGAATGGAACAGTGTCAAATCGCTTCCAGTGGTTCCCAGTAATGAGTCAAGTAATGTTGATGTTCCCTTTGAAATGTCCCTTTTGCATAGGTCTTGTGGTTCGGTCCAGGTAAATCACCGCCCACCATCAATTCTGCTATAACGTGGTCCTTGGGCCTTGTGTAACTGCTCGTATTCCGTTCCTTGGGTGATTAGATCCGGACCGTCCTATGGGTTGACCCTTGGAATATCACTGGCTAAGATAAACTCTGCTATGTGGGATATTTTGGCCTTATGCGGCCGCTCATAGATTCGACGCTCTGCCACCGAATCCGGTGCCGCAATGCGCCAAGTGTCTTTCATGAAGACATTTCGTTTTCAGCTGAATGGTAAACGATGAAGCAGCGGGTTGCGCGGCCTGTAGGATAAGTATGACCTTCAAATGGTTTGCCCGCAATGAAGTATGCGTGTTCGGGGTCGAGATTGATGTCATCGTACACGGCGAATGTGTATAGCGTCTCTGATTCATCTGTGTCTAGGCTATGCTGTGCTTGTGCCGTTTCGTCTGGTGTGGGCACTGTAACAGTGGTATCCCACCCACGAGTCACGTTACCAGCATGACTGAAGCGCCAGAAGAATTCCTGCAGATAAGTCGATTCACCCGAATCGTACGGGAACGCACGCGTAACAATCACGCCTGTACGATCCCAGCGTAGCAACCTCGCCTTGCTTGCACAGATAAAGACGGTGAACGGGTGGGTATGATGTTGGGAACCCAGTTGCGCGTTAATATAAGACACGAGCTGGCCTTGGATATCGTGGCCCAGCTCTGAGCTAGACTCAAGCGCTCCTTCATCACTGAACGCGTCATTCATGGCGGCGAGCTTGAGTTCGACATGGGTTTCCATGCGAGAGAACTGTGTGATAGGATCTATTATATCTTTCGCCTTGTAAACCGAGATTTCGGGCTTCAGCAAACCAGGATTGAAAACACTGGGATCGGGAGTGGCATGGGTATCGACAAGTTGCATATTCATTGAAAATGGTGCGAGAGCATCGATCTATTTCAAACGCAATCAATAACCCACAAGCAACGCGAGTAGCAAGCACGACATACCAATGGATCGTACATTGCTGTTTCGGCTGTCTTCTTCGCAAATCTTCTGGAAGGCAGCAACATTATCGTCAGGAATGCCTGGGGGACTTCCGGGAAGAAATTGGCCCAAAAGTTCTCCACATCCATTGAACTACATTTTTGGTGTATCTCCTCGACCATTGTTGACATTATTGCAGCACGCATAAAGTGGAGGGAAGTAAATGGTGCGGTTCCAGACGCGTTCAAGCATCGAGAAGGTTTTAAGACATATTTACAGCGCGATTTCGATGAAGCTGCTTTTCGCGGGATGGCGGTGAGAGGGCAAGTCGGTCATGAAGTTGTCACGGTCGCGAGTTTGCATCGGTTATGATTAATTTGACTAATCACTCGACAATTCTACTTTTGATAAGTACCACCTGCAGTGGACGAAATGCACTTCATATGACTGTCAGAATCACCTAAGTGTCGAGAAGAAAATGCATTTTAATTTTGTCCGCCAACATCATGCGTATACTCTCTAATTAACTTATGAGGTGAATGACAATACGTGATCTTCGACGACCTTCTTGATCTTGCCCTCCAATTCAGGGGTGATGTTGCCTCCCGAGATCTCCTCGAGGAGGGCAGTCTGTGAAGCCGCGAGGTGCGAGCGGAATTCGGCCTCCCATTTTGTGATCTGGTCGACAGGGATGGAATCAAGCTAGTTGATGTTGGATTAGCAGTAGTTATAGCTTTGGTGCTAACAAGATACGTACGAGACCGTTGACACCAGCGTAGATGATGGGAACTTGAACTTCGGTGGCCAAAGGCTGGTATTGACCTTGCTCTGATTAGTAAAAATAAAATGAGCAAATATCCAGGAAAATAGATATTGCAGCATACTCAAGAGCTCAGTAAGACGGGCACCACGAGAAAGCAAGAAACGAGTGGAAGCATCGAGATCAGAACCGAACTGGGCAAAGGCGGCGACTTCACGGTATTGTGCGAGGTACAGCTTGAGGGAACCAGCAAACTTCTTCATGATCTTGCTGTGAATGAAACCGGCGTTAATGTGGCACGTGGGAAAATAGTGAACAACATACGTCTGGGCAGCGGAACCGACACGGGAGACAGAAAGACCGACGTTAATAGCAGGGCGAACACCACGGAAGAAGAGTTCAGCCTCCAAGAAGATTTGACCGTCAGTGATGGAAATGACCTGACAGCAGAAGTTCAGCATGGATGAAAAAATTTGGAGATGGAAAACTGACGTTAGTGGGGATATAAGCGGACACATCACCACCCTGAGTCTCAATGATAGGTAAGGCAGTAAGAGAGCCTCCACCGAACTTGTCGCTCATCTTGGCAGCACGCTCAAGAAGACGAGAGTGAAGGTAGAAGACATCACCAGGGTAAGCCTCACGACCGGGGGGACGACGAAGGAGCAGAGACATTTGACGGTAGGCAACGGCCTGCTTGGACAAGTCATCGTAGATAATCAAAGCTACGCAGTATAGATGAGAATTGAAACATTTTCCACAGGAATTTGCTTACCGTGCTTGCCGTTGTCACGGAACCATTCACCCATAGCACAACCGGAGAAAGGTGCGAGGTACTGAAGAGGCGCGGCCTCGGAAGCAGTAGCGGCGACAATGATAGTGTACTTCATAGCATCGTTCTCCTCAAGGGTCTTGACGAGCTGAGCGACGGTCGAACGCTTCTGACCAACAGCAACGTAAACACAGTAGAGCTTCTTGCTCTCGTCCTGGCCCTCGTTCCACCTCTTCTGGTTGAGGATGGTGTCAATAGGCGACGGCAGTTTTACCGGTTTGACGGTCACCAATGATAAGTTCACGCTGTCCACGGCCAATAGGCACCATGGCGTCAATGGGCTTGAGACCTGTCATCATGGGCTGGTTGACGGAACGACGGGGCAAGATACCGGGAGCCTTCAAGGAGGCACGGCGGCGCTCGGCGGCTTCGATGGGGCCCTTGCCGTCGATGGGGTCACCGAGAGCGTCGACAACACGTCCGAGAAGGCCGGGACCGACCGGAACGTCGACAATTTGACCAGTCCGCTTGACGGTGTCGCCCTCCTTGATGAGACGATCGTTACCGAAGATGGAGACACCGACGTTGTCAGCTTCCAAGTTCAAGCACATGCCACGGACACCAGAAGAGAATTCCACCATCTCTTCGGCTTGCACGTTCCTGAGGCCCCAGACACGTCCGATACCGTCACCGACGCCTAACGAAACATGAGATGCATAGGCTACGAGCCCCAGGAAATTGACTGACTCAAAACGCGGCCAGTTTCCTCGACATTTCCACCAACACTGGTGCCAGAGATGCGGGACTCGAGTACGGAGGAGACCTCAGAAGCAGCTAGTGACGTGTACACAGTGAAGAGGACAGCACCGGAACGAAACAGGAATGAAGTACTGGTTGAGAAAAGCTGGGAAGAGATAGAAAAGGGAAGGAAACGTACCGGGTTTTGCTGTCGCATAAGAGCGGGACACTACGGGAGTCGCCTTCTGAATCCATGGGTCCAATGAGCCGCTGAAAACGTGCAAAAAAAGGCAGAGAGCTGACCTTTGCATGGGCGGCCAGCGCACGGGCGCGCGCCGAATTTCTGAGGGCAATACGGTGCATGGAGGAGGAGAGAGGGGAAGGTGGAATACGGTCGAGAAACTTTGAACCGCAATCGGCGTGATTCGGAAATAATTTTAAATTCAGACTCCGCTCCGGCGCCGCCCCAACGTTCCCAAGCTTTCTGCCGAGCTCATCGTCGGACACAGCGATGGCGGCCCTAGCTAGTCGAGGTAGGTTATAAGTTCCTCGTATCATACGCGTCGCTGACCATCTGTAGTTCTAGGTCCGTCGTTTTTCAGAACTACATGTAGGGCTGCCCACACAGCGGCGGCACCATCGTCAACAGCAAGCGCACTCGAACTCATTCGCTCTCAGCCTTCTCAATACGTCGTTGCCTCCATTGTAGGCACCAAGTACCTCTTGTCTCCGCGAGACGTCCTCACCATACCCCGACTACGCGATGTCAAAGTCGGTGACGTTCTTGCATTGGATGAAATCCATGAAATTGGCTCCCGGGAATACACGCTGCGCGGTAACCCTACCATACCTGCCAGCCGTATAAAAATTGAGGCAACAGTGGTGGAGCATACAAAGGGCAAGATGGAGTTCATCTTCAAGAAAAAGCGGAGAAAGGGTTACCAAAAGACGAAGAAACATAAGCAGACGTATACGCGTCTTAGGATTGGGGACATTGACATACCGGCCGTTGCAGATGCAGCACGATCATAATACCGGTTCCTGTTTTGTTGTTATCTTTGCACTATCTGATTCCTTAAGTTTGGTGCGCAGTGAACTTATAAGAAGACTTCACCTTTGGAATAGGCGCAGTCGAAATCAGACCAGACTAAAACGGTCAATGCTGTTCCTTGGTACGAAAGTCGGTTTGTACCGTTCCTTGCTGGAAGGGTTCAAACTTCGCGTGGTACGAAATTATCTTAGAAAGAAATTGACGCGTCAGATAGTGGACATCGACGCGGCAGTAACGAGACTAATGTTGTGTCTTCCTGAAGTGCTGCAGCGCAGCCCGTTACACAAATGCTATATTCGTTGGTCTAAAGCTTTCAGGATCGTTTTTCGCCAAAGATTTGCAGTCCAACGTAATTCCGTCGCGTCCCGACAGGAGCACATGGCTGCACAAAGGTCAAGCAAATTTACTAGTAGACAACAACAAGGCAGTGGCTGTCAGAATCCGTCTCTTTGAACGGCACCAGTTTTATGCCTGATGTGGACGGGCCAAGGACATATAGATGGCGTTTTTTGTCATCATTGTTGCGCCTCGTATTTTGATCTGGTACGCATTTAAATTCATCTGGGCTATTATGGCTGACTCCACTTGTTCATTTATCAGGGACAAGGACTCCAAGTCATCAAAACTGCATTACTGTTTCTGGTCAGGCCTAATTATCGTTCGACCTACCTGCGCCACTTCCTCTGCCTATGCTATTTCATGACATTCGACTTCATTATCGCATGTCAGATTGTTCTCCATGTACTAACACTAGGTACCGACTAGGTCTCATGAGCTATGAGTGGCGTTAGGTCCCTCTACTCATCAATGATCTCGGATGAATTCTCCATCGTCTGAGGCACAAGCGGTCGAATAGGCGTGCATAATGCTTCATTTCTCAAGGCACAGTCGGCCCCGATCTCGGTAGCTTCCTCCAAGTCTACGCGAGTCTACGGCAGTCAGCGCTGTAATTCCTCCCGCATTGTCTGGGTCCTTCACAACGACGCGGCGAAGCTCTTGCTCCGAAATGACTTTAAAGCCGGGAACTTCCCGGCGCAGCTTGTAAGTTTTCAACATGAGCAAGAAACTAAATCAGAACCTTCCCTCAACAGGTTTTCCTTCTTGTGTTATCGCAAGGTTCTGCAGTATAACTGTGTCTTCGATATATACAGGAGCTACCAAGGCAATCTACTAAGGGATTCACCCTTGCGGAGCGTGGAGCTCATGTACTGTCGGTCTTCAAATTTACCTGTGAACCGGAGTAAATAACTGCAGATTGGATTTCTAGAACAATCAATCAGATTAGATTCCAAATCCATCCGGCATGTGTGAGTAAAGGAATTTTTATCTTCTTGAGGATGTGCTACTGAACTGGGCATCTGGACAGCTTGGGTGATCCACTTTTGCAGATGAGGCGCTTAGTCAGGCTACTCGAGAACCAAGGAACTGCCCGAGAATCAGACCTGGACTGCTCGGTTACGATTATCAGATAACATATGGTAACCATTCTTGATCGGATCTAAAACTTGAAAGGTTCGCCTGGCTTCCACCTGCCCGTTTCGCTGACTTCTAAGAGCCAGAGACCCGTCGTAGGTGCCTTCTATCTTCAGTCAGTATATACTCAAACACTCTTATTATTTCAATTCAAGAGTTAAGGCGGGGGAAAGCGATGTGCGCCGTCAATTTGCGCCACTTAGAGGATCATTATTCAAGAAACACCAGTCTGCCCTCACCACAAGGCACCGTATTCGAATTTTCGAACTCGGATTCAACTCCGTTTGCGCATGGATCTACTCGGACGCTCGGCATATTTTCCCGAATCTATAAAAGGTAGGATTTCTGAGGTACTTTTGTTTCGTCCCTCTTTTTCACGAGCGGTCAACCCTGTGCTATGGAGCGAGCTACAGCTATCGAAGAGACCAAGTCTCACACTTGGACGGAGAGTTCTGTTGAGAAGGCGGGCGATCCCGATTCTCAGCCGAGCACTAGTCATGCTCCCAAGGAGGGTGAGGTTGCGGGTGTTGCGCGCATCGAAGCCCTTTACAGGGTATTCGGCGGCAATGGCGCACCTCTATGGGTGCTCTATCTGAGTATCGCCCTCATTGCCTACGTTTATTCCCTCGATTCCAACACCACTAGCAGTTTTTTGCCCTTTGCTACCTCTGCCTTCTCGGCGCACTCGTCTATCGGAACAATTGAAGTAGCTGCCGAGATCATTGCTGCTGTTGGAAAACCGTTTATTGCCAAGCTTGCGGATATAACGTCGAGGCCTAGGGCTTATCTGTTCTCTCTCTTCTTTGTAGGCGTTTATTTACCTTGCTTCTATGCTCATTTGACCCAATTCCTGTTAGTACATAATTGGTTACATCGTCATTGCATCTTCCTCGACGGTAGGCGCAGTTTGTGCCGGAGAAGTGTTATACACAATTGGTACCACGGGATTAGACCTTGTAGGTCCATCGTCATCTTAGTTATGTCCCCGCTCACATCTAGTTTTGTTTAGGTCACCGACATCATCGTTGCTGATCTCTCTCCGCTCAAATGGAGAGGCTTTGCGACTGCACTTCCGTCATCCCCGTACATCATCAATGCCTTTGTTGCTGCCGAAATTACTAATGGTTTCATCCCGGACAAATGGCGATGGGGTTATGGGATCTTCATTGTGGGTGCAACCACAGTTATCACGCTTCGTCTGTTTGACAATATATTAGATTATGCTCCCTGTCGTGATGGCACCTGGTTTGGTTGTTTTGTTTTGGGCAGAGTACAAGTCCAAGCGAGACAATATGGTGTCTATCGCTTCCAGTACATGGGAGCGTCGTAACGAGGGCTCGGATGAGAAAGTCACCTGGTTCACTATCGCTCGCGACTTCTGTATTCATGTGGATGTCTTCGGCCTTGTCTTACTTGGAACGGCCTGGGCCTTAATTTTCTTGCCATTCACTCTCTACTCCGACGCCAAAGGTGGCTGGAAAAATCGTATGTGTATTATCTCTTTTTTCCCCAGCACTATAATACCCTGAGCAGCCAGTATGATTGCCATGGTCACTGTCGGAGGCATCTTAATTTTCGTCTTTGCGGCATACGAAAAGTGGTGGGCACGATACCCGCTCATGCCCCCCCGTGTGCTTAACAGGACCTTCCTCGGTGCCGTCTTCATTGACGTACTTTATATGCTGTCCGGGAATATGCGATCGCTGTACTATTCAAGTTGGACCTGGGTGGTTAAGGACTGGTATGTATAGGCGCCCTTAGGCGATGAAAACGAAAGCTTACAGAGTCAATAGGACCACCCGTGAATGGACGTACTTTAACAAGACCGTCACTGTTGGTCTTTGTGTTTTTGGTATCACGGCAGGATTAATCCAACGTTACACTCACCGTTACAAAGTGAGTATCTAGTTTCTGTCTATTACACTTCCATTTTCTTACTAATTTATGACATTCAGGCGCTACAGTTTACCGGACTGTGTATTCGAATCATGTAAGAGATGGACGTCATTCGTAGATGGAAATCAAGCGTAACATGTTTTGCAGCGGTATGGGTTTGACCTTCTACGCCAGAGGCGACCATGCTACGTAAGTGCTTTGATGGATGGTGCTTGCCGCTGACTTCCTACCTCGCTCTTCAGAGATGTCGCCCTTGTTTGGACCCAGCTCCTGATTGCCATCGGCGGCGCATTTAGCGTTGTCGGTTCTCGGGTCGCGTCTCAAGCATCAGTTCCTCATGCTGATCTGGCGCAAGTCATTTCTCTCATATCTCTTTGGACTTCCCTTGGCGGGAGCGTGGGCAATGCAATCGCCGCTGCAGTCTGGACGTGAGTCGTTCTGGTTTCTGACTTTGTTGTTAAAACATCGCTCTAATTCTTTGTCAGTGGTAAAATGCCCTACTATCTCCGAAAGCACCTACCCTACAAGACTCAGGCCGAGATCAGCAAGATCTTTGGGTCCATTAAGACGGCACGAACTTTGGGCGACACGGACAGGACCAACGTCATCTATGGTAAAACATTCTTGCTTATTGTGATACATCTAATGGTCTGATCTGTTTCGCAGCTTACAACGACACAGTCTATCTTCTCTATCTTCCTGCATTAATCCTTTGTAAGTACATTTTTCTAAGTCTCATATCGAACCCCGTTAATCCTTTGCAGCTTTCCTTCCTCTCGTCATCTTACTCTTCATGCGGAACTTTTACCTGGGTGATCACCAGAATGCCGTACAAAACGTTGGCATTGACGGGCGCGTTCTCGACAGTGAAGAAGATCCTAATGAGAAAGAAAGGAACACTAATAATGCTGAGAGGGCTTAGACTTTAATCTGGAAGAGTCGTTAGGTACTCTTTCACTTAGCTTTTCAACACTTCTCTATGTTCGTTAACTTTAATTGTCCGTACCATAAATGCGACCTTTGCTCTCTTACTAGTATGTGACGTACACAAAGGACAGATTTCTGCTTGATTATTCATTATAAACGACGATGCAACAGTCAGTTGAAGACATAAAGTCTTCATATTTCTCCCTCTTCTGGAGTCTCTGCACGAGTGTCGGGTTTCTTCCCTATACTTTCTTCCCTATCATAACGCGGTCTCTGTGTCTTTCGTTAGAAACTATCTGCAGATAGAGATAAACGCAAACCTTTTCTGCGCGATCATCCGCAAGCCTGTCCTCAGGAGCATCCCGTTTTTCTCGAGGCTCCTCTTTTGGGGGACCCTCATCTCGACCCTCCTTCCGCGACGGTACATCATTATAATTAGGACCATAGTCTGGCCGCGAGCTTCTCTCCCGGTCCCGGTCCCTATCTCTATCCCGTCTGCGGTCGTCCTTATCATCCCTATGGTGTCGTGACCGATATCCATCACGTTCTCTGTCTTTCTCGTCCCTATCAGCTCTCGGATATTCGCGAGAAGATCGCCGACCGTCATAGTCATCATGACGGTAATGATGTCTTCGATTGTCTCTGTCGTAATCTTTGCCTCGTTCCCTATCACGGTCTCGCTCCCTGAAAGACGGTTCCCGTTCGCGTTCGCGTTCACGATCCCGGTCTCGCTCTCTGTCGTGTTCGCGGTCGCCATCACGCGCAGGTTCTTTTCGCTTCCTGCTAGTTGTCGACCCTCCATCCTCGGAACCGGCTGCCTCGCGCAGGCGTTCCTAGTGCAAATTGAGTAATGCACCTGGTAATTAAGTAATACGAATACCTTTTGTCGTTTTACAAATTTCGCAAAAGCCGATCGACGGGATTCTTCGTCTTCTAAGGCCTTGTATTCAGGTAGGTGTTCGATGAAAGGTACGACCTAGAAAGCGATGTTACTACCAATGGCGATGGGAGCAACTCATACGCCTACAGCTTCATAAGACAACGAGATATCCAATGGTTCAGGAAGTTTCTTTAGAGCATATCGTAGATCGTCCTGCAGATGTCGTTGCCGCTTCTCCGCCCTTCGTTTCTCCTCAGCCTGTTTCCGAATTGCAGCATCACGTAACTGCAATACGATGAGTTCATTATGAGAATGGGAAGTGACATGTGCTTACAGCAGCATAGATGTCATGAATATCTTCCGATGTCAGGGCTTCTATGTTTGCAGTGCTGACAGCCTTGAGGACGTTCTGGTATTGTTCCTCCGTAGTCTCTGGCCCTACGGCGAACCCCACTACTTCGGCGTCTCCCTCAACGCTTTCTGGCCTGTACCCCCTGAACGCCTCAGTTACGATGTCAATTTTGGCATCTAATTTCTGGTCAAGACCATCCACTACATCCCAAAAAAGCTCCAGTTGGTTGGAGCCCGGATTTCCTAGCATGTTGAGGTATCTTTCATCAGTACTGAACAAAGGATACACGTGTTTCCATTTGCATCGCGCTTTGATCTTCCCATTTTCTACTAGCTCTCGAAGCAAAGCCTGTAATAAATGAGTAATATCAATTGTTTCATCCGTCAGTAAACGCACTTTGAAAGCTTCTCGGGCCTTTCTTTCTTTCCTCGTCTTTTCGACCTGCGCCCGGCGCATCTGCTCCTCGTACTCCCGTTCTCGCACCCGACTGTAGTCCTCAAATGCCAGTAGGATATCCAGAGAAGGAAGTCTTTGGAGCTCAGGGTCTGATTTCCACTCATCTGAATCGAGAATGAGGTTGTGAGCCGTTCTCCATCGGGTAAGAACATCCACATCAAGTTGCTTGAAAAGCGACACCACCTTGGCAGTGGCTCGGGTACGAGCCGCAGATCTGTCTTGCTAAAGATGATCATGTTATCAGCTTAGCTAGATTGTAACGGAAGAATGTGCCATACCGCGTCACGTTGCTTGAGATCTTGAATGTATTCCTCAAATATGAGTTTCCTTTCAGCCTCAATCCTTGCCTGCTGCCAAATGGGATGTTGAGAGAAAAGCTTATCTGCGGTTGCAAAAGTCGTGTAATGGAACACACTCGGGTTGCCCTTCAACATGTTTCGAATGGCCGGCCTTAACTTCGCTAGTCGAGCTTCCCGCTCCTCTTTTTCTTTAACTTTTAAAGAGGTGGTATACTACAGAAAATCGGTCAAGGAAAGGAAACATCGGAGACGATAGGCGAACCTACTTTTTCGAAGACACTCTTTTTCTCCGCAAGGGAGTTTAGCGCTTTATACAGAGGATCGGTAATGATAGCTCGCATTGTTTGATCCCATGTCCAGTTGGCATCAACTCCAGCCTTCCTTAACAAGTGTGTGAATGCCTTTTCTCCCTCCTCCACGGTAGCAAAGCCGTTGTGCGGTATGACAGGATCGTCCGGAAGGTTCGGTCGAGCAGGTAAGATACTGCTTGAAGCCAGCGGAAGGCCTCCTGTATGTGCGCCCACGGCCAGTTCATTTCCGTTCGGTTGTGTTTGACTGCCATTGGCGTCCGACGCTGGAGGCGCAGTCAAAGCAGGTTGGCTGAAAGAAGTTGTCAGTCGAGGCGTGAAGGTAGAGGACACCTACGCACCCAGCCGGTACCACCGCAGTAGCTTGACCCTCTTTCTCTACCTTTTCCAACACTAGCAAGAGCTCATCCGGCATATCCCATTTAGACTCTTTCGTTTCAGTCTAGAGAATCGTTAGTTGCTGTCAAGCCATTTTACGCGACTGTAGGACAAACATTGTAATAATACTTTCGCCCTCCAGAGAAATATTCCTTCCATTTCGTTTGATTGAGAGCGCGCTAAACAAAGATACGTCAGGCTGTGACCGAGTCGAAGGAAAGAGAGGCGCACCTCAAATGGAGTTTTCAGCTCTGTGGCAAAATGAACAAACGAAAGCAGCAGAAGATTGAAGCATACGCACCATCTGGCTTTTCCCAGACACTTTCCCTTGTCCCAGTGTTGAACCAATATGTCCTTCCTTCGGGATTGCGATGTTCTGTCTGCAAAGGATATTAGAACCAGGCTGTGAACGTGTCGGGATTGACAGGCATACCCAGATGTTCATCTTGCTGAAAGTACAAAGGCAACGCTCAAATTCTTCGCTCCGTGTAACAGAACGAGCCTAGCAAGCTGCTTGACTGGATTAAGTACTAGGGCCGTCAAGGTGAAAGTCTAAAGAGAAAGGAATATTGATATCTGTTAGGATCACAGGCTAATGCCTTTCCGTAGTCGGCAATGTACGTGATGCCAGTGTGACCGCAGTCTGTGTCTCGCTCCAATGATAGTGTTGCAACCTCTTTTCTTACCGTCACACCGCAGAGTGCCCTTTCCTTTGACTTATGTCCTACTAGCTCCCAGGCAACTGTGGTACGGACTTTCATCCCAGGTATCTTTATTCCATGTTAGAAGACATACAAGACATGTACTGGAATCATCCTCTGTCGTCGGCTATACGCAGTCTTCGGTACAAACCCTACGTCCGCAACATTTTATATGGCGGCGTCGCGCTGACGATACTTTACGCGCTCTACAACTCTGTGCAGCGACACGAGTCTCTTTCCTATGACTTCCCAGAAGAAGTTACGGTGCCAACGCCTCCTCAAGTCTGGGATGAGAGGGCACGTCAGGTCAAGCGAGCTTTTCTCCATGCTTACCATGGTTACGAGCGTTATGCTGCTCCACACGATGAACTGAAGCCCGTTTCCACGGGGTACAAAGACAAGTAAGTACACCACACCAAGTCGGTGACTGTGTTCTAATTTTGGTTACTCAGTTTCAATGGCTGGGGTGTCTCGATATTCGACTCTCTAGATACTATGGTTCTTTTAGGCCTCGAAGGAGAGTATGAACGGGCACGTTCATACGTTGAAAAGACCCAATTCGAGTTGGCAGAGGTCCGTTGTTCCTTATTGACGTGGACGTTTCTGACGGATCGCCGCAGCACACCTTTGTTCCGTACTTTGAAACTACCATAAGATACCTTGGAGGCCTTTTGTCAACCTATGCCCTCAACCAAGACCCGATGCTGCTTAAGCGCGCTGATGAGCTCGCGAAGAAGCTGGATCCTGTCTTCAATACCCCAAGCAAGCTGGCATTGTTCGGTGTCAATCCGTCGACGTGAGTTAACATCCTACAATTGCCAATTTGCTTATGCCAATAGTTGATTTCAGCGGGGAAGTCGTGGGTCCAGATATCGGCATTTTAGCCGAGATGGCAACCTTGCAATTGGAGTACACGTACCTTGCGAAGGCAACGGGAAATAGAGCGCATTGGGAACGAGTAGGCATATACTAGCTTATTCAGTCCACCTTTTTGATAATTCTCAGGCCAACACTGTCATTAAAGCGCTATCTTCAGCCTGATCTGCGCCAAACCGGCGGCATGTTCCCTATCGGCTGGAATTTGACTACCGGACAACCTCACGATAGTACGGTTTACACTTTGACCTCTCAACATTGTCTCATAGTAACCCCACAGCCCATTTATCTGTTGGTGCTCAAGCGGATAGTGCGCACTGAGTATCTTCTGAAGCAATATCTGCTGACTGCTAAGACCGATAAGGCTAATCTTGAAATGTGTAAGTTGATAGTCCTACTCCAAGTGTTATGTTCACATACTCTTTCAGATATTCGCGCGACTACACATATCATCACAAATCTCATGTACATATCACCCACCCGGCACCTTCTCTATGTTACTGACACCACGACTCCAACGCATGAAGCGCAAGGAACGCCAACTCATGTCTTTGAACACCTATCTTGTTTCCTCCCCGGTCTTTTTGCCTTGGGCGCTCACACATTACCTCTGGACGATCTTGATTCAATGGGCGTCAACTTATGGACCTGGCTGCAAAGGGTAACTTCGGCCATGCTGGAGATGGATATCGAAGGCTCAAGCAGTTACAATCTCAAGGAACTACACATGTGGGCAGCTGAAGGCCTTGCGCAGACTTGTTGGCTCACCTATGCTGATATGCGAACTGGCTTGGGTCCGGATGAGACACACATGCGCGCCAGTGTTCATAGTGTCCTGGGAGAAGGCCATCTGTGGATGGATTCCATGGATAGATGGAAACAATCTGGGGCCAGAGGAATACCTCCTGGTGTTGGCGATAAGCCTCCAGTGATTTACACTGAACAGCAGCGATTACGCGGCGGACCGGGAGGAAGAGATTATGCGATCAAAAAACCCGGATACTTGTTGAGGCCAGAGGTGGGTTTCACAAATTGCTGTTCAAAGAGTTACCATTAACACAGTGTAGACAATTGAATCGCTATACATCATGTGGCGCGTAACTGGAGATGCAAAATGGCGAGAACGCGGATGGAGAATCTTCGAAGCAATAGAGAGGCACACGAAAACGCCTTATGGATACGCAAGTATTAAATCCGTAGAAGTCGTACCCCCACCCAAAGACGACGATATGCCTAGGTATGCTTTCATTGGCATCATTATCTTCTTGGCTAACGAAAAAAAAAATTCAATGTAGTTATTTCCTGGCTGAGACGTACGTTTTATCGGTCATGCCTTGCATATCGGGCTCTAATTATCTTCCACAGATTGAAGTATTTGTATTTAATGTTCACTAACGATGACCCGATATCACTAGACAAATGGGTCTTCAACACTGAAGCCCATCCACTGCCCGTATTCGAGTGGTCACAGGAAGAGAAGGAGTTATTCAATATCTAGCATATCTAGCATAGTAAATTGTTTTCGCTTGGACCTATAGACTGCTTTGCGTGCCAAACGATGGAGGAACTTGGAAGATCGGCACCGGCACCGATGTACCGATGCCCCAATCAACAGGTAGTGGCCGCCTGCTCACCATGTCCTCCATGATGCGTATGTTCTCCTCCATGGTGAGGACTCTCAAAATGGGCAAGTTTGTCGGGTCCCTAGATTGCGGTACCACGTAGATCTCTTCCTGATAGTTTTGTCGCACTTCTTCATTCGTGATTTTTCAGTTCTGTTCGTTTTCTCATTTTCGATCAATATGCCAATGTTGTCGCGCAGCACCAGCTTGAATTTCCTCAGTACTATCAGCACCCTGGGTACGCATTTCGAATAGGCACTTGTATGATTCCTCGTCTGATAGCGAGTTATCGCAGGTGGCACGACCATGATCCTTTGGAAATACGGGAGTATTCGAATAGGTGTATAGAGGAGGCGGTTAAGACTTTGGAGGCTAATGGGTGGGCCAAAGAAAGCGTCAAGGTTATTGGTGCGTGTCAACCGTCCTTTTGTCGCTACCGTTTTACTAACGGGTAGCATGCTATGCAGGTATAACAAACCAACGCGAAACTACTGTCGCCTGGCACAGAACGACTGGAAACCCGCTATGCAACGCAATCGTTTGGGACGACTCTCGGACAAAAAACGTCGTCGCACACTTTCAACAAAAATTGGAAACCGTCGGTCTTCAAGTCGAGCCAGGCGTGTGGACGAAAGGAGAGGAAGGCGTCGAAACTCTGCGTCAGACGTGCGTTTCGCGTTTTTTTCGGTAGTCTATCCTCATCCAGATCCATAGGACCGGTCTTCCTCTCTCAACGTACTTTTCAGCCATTAAGCTGAGGTGGATGATAGATCATATACCCGACGTCTCTGAGGCTCACGAATCCGACCAGCTGCTTTTCGGAACAGGTCGAATCATGGCTCTTTTATGTGAGTCTGCAGGTATATATGACGTTTCACCATTAACAACCGCCTCGTTAGAACCTCGTAGGAGACACCCAAAAGGCTCGGCATATATGCGAAGTCAGCAACGCGTCCCGTACATTACTAATGAACATTAGCACACTCAAATGGGAGCCGTTCCTGATGGATTTCTTTGGTTTACGGCCATCCATTCTGCCTAAAATTGTATCGACATCTGAAGTCTATGGACACATCGCCAGTGGACCTTTGAAGGGCGTCCCAATCGGTGGTCTTGTCGGTGACCAACAGGGAGCGTTGGTTGGGAATCTATGTTTGAGGGAAGGTGAGGCAAAATGCACGTATGGAACGGGGGCTTTTCTGCTGTTTTGTACTGGACATGAGATCGTGAAGAGTACTCACGGCTTGTTGAGCACGGTAAGGTTAGACCTTCTCTCTCCGCCACATCATGTATGTATATCATTCTAGATTGCCTATCAGGCAGGACCTAATGCACCGCCGGTCTACGCATTGGAAGGAAGTAGTGAGTGCTCTCGTATGTTTATCTAAGCCGTGACTCGCTGATTATGTATATCGAAGTATCTGCTGCCGGAAGCGCCATCAAATGGTTACGAGACTCCATGCAACTTATAAAAACTGCCGCAGACGTGAATACATTGGCGGCTAAAGAACCTACAACCGGGGGCGTGTACTTTGTAACCGCATTCTCCGGGTTACTCGCGCCATATTGGGATCCTGCTGCAGCTGGCCTTCTTATCGGTATTTATGTTTGTCCATTTCAGAGTGTTTTCCACTGATGTGACTGTCAATAGGCGTTTCGCAGTATACCAACCCGTCGCATATAGCCAGAGCTACACTTGAGGCAAATGCTTTCCAAACTCGTGCTGTGATAGAAAGTATGAAGCTCGATTCTGGGACAGACCTGCAGCACCTGAAAGTAGATGGTGGTATGACAAACGGTGATTTGGCAATGAGTATCCTCGCAGACCTAGGAGGATTCAGTGTCATTCGTCCGACAATGCGAGAGTAAGGACATCGCCTCTTTTTCCTTCGAATAATCATTCTAACGACAGTGCTTCAAATACTCAGGTCTACTGCACTGGGCTCTGCGCTACTTGCGGGATCTGCTGTTAACCTATTTGGTTGGGACATACGGAAGCCGGAGACATTGCTCGAGGTTAACAGAACAGGAACACGAGAATTCAAGCCAAAAATGAATGGCGCGGAGCGTGAAAAACGTTGGGGTTTGTGGCAGCGCGCAGTTGAAAGATGCAGAGGATGGGACAACGGCTCATGCGACGAATAATAGATATCCAACCAGATGCAAACTCGAGTGAGGGCTCATTGATACCAGTTTACTTAGATAGCGTATTTCAGTACATACTAATACCTATTCATATTTAATGTAATGGGGAATAATGCTTTGGCCTAAGTTCTTAGCCCGTTTCAAATGGCTGATCGTGATCGAGTTATGATCAAGATTCCTTCTTCTTGACCATCATCGTACTCGGATGTACCATGGACAATCTCCCCGAAAAGAATGAACTGTATGGAACAAAAGACTACTGGTGAGAACTCTTCTCGAGTACTTGCCTCACCTGCTCAGGTGTTGACTGACGATGTGAACCGCGCTGAAGGGATCGACGATATCAAGCGTTCGCCTGCTCCTGATGTTTTTTCTTACCTCCTAACCACTCAGAATAACCACTATAGAGAATCCGATGACAAACCTTTTGACTGGTTCAAGAAGTACTCGGACATTGCAGACTTGCTTCGCGAACTTATTCCGGATAAGACATCTAAAATTTTGATGCTGGGATGCGGCAATTCTACTCTTTAAGAAGATGTGAAGCATTCATGTATTGATTTATATAAGTACTGATTCAATTGTCTTTCCAGATGTATGATGATGGCTACAAGAATATTGTCAATGTGGATGTGAGGCTTCGCACCGTTCTCGATTTTTCTGTCACATTCCGACATCTGGATAGTATTCTTCTGTTGTGATCGAACAGATGCAAAAGCGTCACGGAGTAGACCGATCTGAAATGGAGTGTAAGGGACATTTGTTTGAATAAATTCATCATGTGTACTGTACTGATTGGATCCCCTTAAACACAGGGCGCGTCATGGACGTTCGTGAACTTGAATTCGGCGATGATCACTTTGATGTCGCCATCGATAAAGGAACCATGGATGCCATGATGACAGCCAAGGGAGACGTTTGGGTGCGTTGTATTGAAGCGGCGCGATATTTCGAACTTGTCCTGACCAAAGATCAACTTAGGATCCCCCCGAACAAGTAGTCAGCGACTGTACAAAAGAAGTGGATGAGGTGATCAGGTCAGTCCCTGTTTATGTTTTTAGCCATGGTTTATCAGATCTCTCTCAGGGTTCTACGAAAGTCCACTGGTTTGTTTTTGTATCTAACGTTTGGGCAACCACATTTTAGAAGGCGGTTTCTTACGAGGCCAGAAACCTCACTGCAAATCAAAGAGCTAGGAGAGGCATTTCATTACTATTTGTATATAGTGCGAACTTGACGTAGAGTTGCGTGTGGGCGCTTGTAGGGCTTGATCGGCCCGAAAACGGCTGCATTTATTCTGCCGCACTTGCGTTATCCGCATACATTTGGCATCATGAGAATTACAATCGACGCGTATCTCACGGCATCCTAATGAGTCAGCGCCCTGAGGAAGCTATAAAGCCTGAGACATTGGGGCCTCTGGCACTTGGTTCCAACTGAGTCTCACTCCTACCACCACCATGACTGCACCGAACGACCAATACAAGCGCGTTATTCTCGTTACCGGTTCCAACACTGGAATCGGCTACGACATTGTTAGGCTCCTCGCAGAGAAAGGACATACCGTCTATCTTGCATCGAGGAAGGAGAGTGCAGGGAAGGAGGCACAGTATGTGTTTCCAGACATGCACTCAGGGAGATAGGTTGATGGGTTGTTCAACAGGGCGAAGTTGAAAAAGGAGCACAACCTTGATGTCAAGTTCGTTCAGCTCGATATTACGGACGAAGCCTCAGTCAAGGCTGCCAAAGAGACCATCGAAAAGGCGGAGGGAAGACTAGACACGCTAGTCAACAACGCTGGTACACAACTCTATCTTGTTATAACGACAACTTTCTCATTATAAAGCTACATAGGTATGAGTTACATGTCAGAGCCCCAGCAAGCTAGCTCAGTGTCGCTCACCACAATTCGTAATGCCTTTGAACCCAACTTTTTTGGCCTGATACAGACAACGCAAGCATTTTTGCCTCTTCTTCGTGCAGCTCCTAAAGGCTACGCATGCATTGTCAACAACACGTCCGATATGGCATCTAATGCTCACCAAGCCGGCCCCAAAGCTTCTATCCATATCGTCGCATACAACACGAGTAAAGCTGCAGCAAACTCTTACTCGATTGCGTTGGCGAAGGAGTTGGAAGAAGAGGACATTAAAGTGAATACAGTCACGCCTGGGTTTACAACAACCAAGTTGAATGGCTTCCGGCCGGGTGGGAAAACGACGGAGGAAGGTGCCTCTGTCCTTGTTCCTTGGGCATTGTTAGGGCCCGAAGATAAGGGCAAGACTTGTGGGTCCTCTTCGTTGCTTTTTATTCATCATCTGACTGCTCCGTTCCCTTAGGCTTGTTCTGGAGTTACAAGGGAGAATTTCCATGGTAATTTTTGAATTCGAATGTACGGTAGATACACAGAGCAGCTGATTTTCGGCATACTTGTTTCTGTATCACATTCCTGATGATGAATATGGAAACACTGGAAACTATCAGTTTGTAACTCTATGTGTTAAAAAAACCCACCTGCCTGGTTATCTGTCCTTCAAAGACATTTACGAAGATCCTCGAGGGCTCAGGCGTCAGATTATCTGAATGAGAGAGCAGGGGGCGAGAGCAACCGGCAACCCTCATATACCCAACCTTGGACTGGTAAGCCATGCGTTGAGCACAGACAACCATCTTCATCACGTTTCACAATCTCTTGGAACGTAGAAAGAACGGATGTCATATATGCCGGCATACCACAGGCCGCTTGAACCTGCCGATCAAGAAGAGGTGCCGGTTGTTGCCGAGTCTTCTGAGTTTGAATTTGAGGTCCTCATCGGGCAATTACCGGAGATTGCAATTGGGAGGATTAATTTCAGGTCTCGCCTAGGTCCCTGCCTGCTGTACCGACCATCATCTACGATGTCGAGCTACGACAAGGTGGTAAAATTGGCCTGCAAGCCAAAGGCTGCACCACCCAAAGCGAAGGTTTACCCTTTCACCCCTTCCGAGCATCGTGGTTCTCATATTCATCCAGTATCTCGACCCAATTATTGCTGCAACATGGTCCGAGGATGGTGCTGTCCACGACGTCTGCAAGGCCCTGTCTCCACGGTTCCGGGAGCCCAATGCGATTGTATGCACCCTGACCTTTCGAACTGAACGTCATTCATGAATGCTGTCACGTTAGGTCGTGTTCAAAGCCCTGATTGTTCTGCATACCATGATTCGTAATGGCGCCACAGACAATGTCCTGTCTTATCTCTCATCTACCGAGGTTCTGCGCCTCTCCAACGTCTCTGCTGGCAACTGGGAAGGTCCGCGTTTCACCGGTCACCCGGGTTCATGCTGACCATACTCCAGGCTACGCGGCACCCGAAAACCTGCAGAATTATGCAGTTTATCTTGAATCACGGATACGCGCGTATAGAGATCTCAAGCATGACGCCGTGCGGGTACAGGCAGAGTCGAACAGGGATATGCGCAATTCGCAGTCTATAGAGGAGGACGGGTATCGGGGCAATAGTAAAAGAGGCAAGTCCGCTCAATCCGCTGCTCCATCGAGAAGCAAGACTATTATGGGCCGGAAGCTGCGGTCAATGACCGTGGAGAAGGGTTTGCTACGCGAGACGCGAGCTGTTCATAGGATGATAGATGCTTTGGTGGAGTGCAGGGTGCGCTATTTTTCTTTTCCTTCTTTCATTAGTCTGACTGGAGACGTAGTTCTACCTCGACGATCTAGAAGATGAATTGACTATTACTGCCTTACGAATGTTAGTTAAAGATCTTCTCATCCTTTTCCAGGCCGGAAATGAGGGTGTCATCAACGTACTAGGTAGGTGCTATTTGGTCTGTCCCATTTCTCTTCCTGAATATTACGCAGAGCACTACTTTGAGATGTCGCATGTGGACGCCGAAGAAGCCCTTAGCTTATACAGACATTTCTGTCAACAAACGGAAAAAGTTGTTGAATATCTTGGAGTAGCAAAGAAGCTCTTGAATCTTCTCAATGTGCCCGTTCCCAATTTGAAACACGTAGGAACAGCAATATTATATCCGGTACCGTCCTGACATTTGCTCTACTAGGCTCCAGTGTCACTAGCCGGTGCCTTACAAGAGTACCTCGACGATCCTAATTTCGAACAAAACAGAATAGAATATAAGACTAACAAAGAATTAGCAGAGCGGGGGTCGAAGGGTGGGCCTACTCCTAAGAAACCGGAGACTGGTGCGTCCAAAGGTACTTTATCTCTCTGTTAGTTCTTCAATTTTGCGTCAGCTTCCTCCTCCACCTTACCAACCAAGACTTCATCTCCGCCTTCCACAAGTAACAAATCTATGGCTAATAACGCCCAGACGGGTTCTACCAATGGTCCAGTGATCGACTTTTTCTCTGCCATCGAAGAGGAAGCACCCCAAATGTTTAATGCTCAAGCGAATAGGTTGGTTTTTGCCCCTGTCATTCTTGGATGCATCTCACCGCTTATTTCTTAAGCCCCAATGCCAATCAGTATCAGCAACAGGGTACCGTTAACCCATTCGTCCTACGGCAAATGACCGGGCAGCCATTCATGCAAGCTCCACAACAGATGCAGCTTCAGCCCACGGGCTTTCCTATGGGTGGGCCAGCGCCAAATCCGTTTGGTCTTTCAGCACCTACTCCTCGACTACAGCTGCAACCAACAGGCCATCGTCCATTTTCCACCTTCCTTCCTCAACCGACAGGTCAGCCCCAGCTATCACCGCAAGTCCAACAGCCACAAGGCTTTTTGCAGCCGCAACCAACTGGCGCCAACCCGTTCCGCCAAAGCATGTTGCTACCTCAAACGACGGGAATGGCTTTGTTTGGTGTAGGAGGCAGTGGTGGTTTACAACCACAGCAGACTAGTGCTTTCATGAATGCCAATCCTATCATGAATGCACCTAACCAGAATCAAGGTCAGGGTGCATTTGGGCTCCCTTCAACAAATCCCCAATCATTTTCCGCCTCTTCTTCATTCGTTTCACCTGCACCTCAGACATCAGCATTCCAGGGTCATGCGAACGTACCAGCCAGACCAGCGTCGACCCCCTTAACGTCTTTCGGTCCATCGTCGTCTTCAAGTTCAACGTCTCCCCCCGCTGCTCAACCGATCAAAACACACCAAACTGGGACGAGAAACCCATTCGGTCGAGTTGCGACGCCGCCACCGCCAGTACCTAAGCAACCAACACTAATGGAGCTTGCAATGGGTATGCATCTGAATGGGAACGCTACGAATCAGGCTCAGTCACAGTCCAACCCATCGAGTCCGCCTGCACAATCGCAGCCAAACGGACAAAGTAACTTCTCTTTCGGTAATAGTAGCCTTAATCCTGGCGCCACGGACATTTCCGGTGTCGCGTCCTCTTTCGCGTTCAAGCCTTCTGGTTCTGACGGAAAGCCGGCTTCGTCATCCAACTTCCTCAATTCTCAGAATACGTCAACAACATCAGCGGGTTCCACCTTTTCAGACACTCTCTGGTCGTCGCTGTCGTCCCAGCCGACGGGCGCCACAAATGCTTCATCTTCGCCATCTATCTCTCTCACACCTTCATTAAAATCACAGCCGACAGGGTTCCCTGGACTCAAGCCGTTTAAGCCGTCGTCTTCTTTTGGTGCTTCTTTGTTGGAATCACTACCGCCTATTCCTCAGTCGGCCCCAACCACGCCTGCTGTGACCGGTAATGGAACTTCGGCCAATCTCCCGTCGGGATCGCCAGCATCCCAGCAGACAGGAGCGTTCCCTTTCAATACACAATCCGCCGGTTCACTGCCTGGCAGCCAGAATCAAAACAATCTTAACCCCGGGACGCAACCATTAGGCATGGGCGCCTTAAATTCACAGCCAACAGGAGCTTTCAGTGCTTTGGGGCAGCCAAGGTCAACGCTTGGTGTGGGCCTGCGTCCACAGATGACAGGTTCAGTAGCCAATCCCTTCCGCGCGTCCTCGGTAAACGGTTTGACAACCGGAGGCGCATCTCTATTTCAGGCACCCACATCAGGGTTAGGTGGCGCAGGCTAATGCTCAACAGATGGGAGGAAATCTCTTTGGCATGTCCGGAGCCGGGGCTTTTGGGTCTCCTTTTAATCCCAACAGTGGAGTGCAACAGCAGAGCACGACGACATCCTTGATCTAACGTATACCACACTCTTTTTGCAACGGTTTTTGGAATTCTATATATATACTGTTATTCTCGCAATCCATGCTATCAGGCTGCACAAGCTTAGTATTTTTGCACATATGTTTTGCGTTCGGGACATTGTACCTTTTTAGTATCTATATCTTATGCGTAATCAAATCATTGACGACGACCTTACAAAGTGTAGTCGTCGAAGTCGTCAACTCCAGGGAACTGGAAGGTGAAAAGTATCGATATCCAACCGGACTAGGTGATAGTCCCCGACCAGTTCGAAAGCCTGTCATGGCTGTAGCAAGGGAGAAGACTGTAAATATTGACCAAGAGCTACAGGATGATGGCCGTGCACAAGTCCTGGAGCCACAAAAAGTGCTTCCTCTGGATATACGGAGAAAGAAGGAGCCGAACACAGGGCCGAAATAGCCGAGCCCACTTGGACTCTTCCCTCAAACATGGCAACTTCCGCCTCAGTCGAAATTGCAAAGGCGGCAAAGCAAGCATTCGAGGCATCGCAGCTCATCCCGGCCGAAGAACGCGTCAAGGCTCTCCATTCCATTTGCATTGCTCTCCAGGCCAATAAAAATGAAATTCTTTCCGCAAACGCAGATGATTTGCAAGTATGTTTTGGTCCGTCTTCAGATGTTAAGAATCTCATTCATCGGCAGGCTGCACAAGGAGAGGTTGACGCTGGCAGAATGAGCGAGTCTATGATGAAAAGACTGGACCTGTCAAAGGGGGACAAATGGGATTCCATGCTTCAAGGCGTCCGAGATGTCGCTGCACTTCCAGATCCGACCTCAGTGGTCACGTACGCTTCTGAGCTGGACGATGACCTGGAATTGTATAGGGTGTCGTGTCCAATCGGCGTCCTACTCGTCATTTTTGAATCGCGGCCGGAGGTGGTAGTGAATATCGCTTCTTTAGCAATAAAATCTGGTGGGTTTCGCGTTCCTTTCTTCATAAATGAAAAGGATATCGATTATATGTAGGCAATGCTGCTATATTAAAGGGCGGAAAGGAATCAACACGAACTGCTGTCCTTCTATCGAAAGCAATCTCAGAGGGCCTATCGCAGACGTCTCTCCCTCAAACATATATCCAGACAATTCAAACACGCGCAGAGGTTTCTTCCTTGCTCGGACTAGACCAATACATAGATCTAGTTATCCCTCGTGGAAGCAACAGTCTCGTCAGAAACATCCAAAACAATACTCGAATTCCTGTCATGGGCCATGCAGACGGTTTGTGTTCCGTCTACCTTGACGAAACTGCGGATATCGAAAAGGCAGTTCGAGTTGTCGTTGATTCCAAGGTTCTTTTTATCATTACCATTGTGTATCCTCGTCTAATGATCCACTAGACTGACTACCCATCAGCTTGCAATGCTGCAGAATTCCTCATCGTGCACGAATCTCTACTCAAAACAATATGGCCTGTGGTCGCACAAGCGCTGATTGCATCCAGAGTGCATCTGCAATGCGATCCTTCTACGCTCGACGCTGTCAGGTCACTAGAGGACTTTGACGCATTTGTCCAACCAGCAGACGAGTCTTCGTTTGCGACAGAGCATCTAAGCCTTACAATGTCCGTCACCTCGACTCCTTCCCTTCAGGATGCAATTCAATTCATCAACTCCCATTCATCACATCACACGGACGTTATCGTCACTGAAAATGAACAGGCTGCATCGGTCTTCACTCGCGGTGTAGATTCCGCCGGCACCTTTGTTAACGCCAGCAGCCGATTCGCAGACGGATTCCGCTATGGCTTTGGCACCGAGGTAGGTATTAGCACGGGGAGAATACATGCCAGAGGACCCGTAGGTCTGGAGGGTCTGGTCATCTACAAGTACATGCTCAGAAGCAAAGCCGAAAAGGGTCATATTGTCGGGGAGTTTGGTGCTGGCAAAAAGTCCTTCAAGCATAAATCCATAACCGCGAAAGCAGTCCCATTTTAGTAGGATAGCACATTTCAAGTGATGATACAAAGGATGTAAGGATATATACCATGTCAGAATCTATATGTCATTATCCGCGGATCTGTCCGTTACATTATGAAGAATCAACCTTGGGCTTCTTCTCACAATTGGAATCTTGAGCGTCGTCTTCCGCCTTGCGCTTGACGGCAGAAGTGTCCTCGGGAGCCTTTTTCTTTTTCTTCACGACCATTGAAGTCAAATCATTGACTACAGGCTCTTGGTTGGGCACCACCGCCGACCCAGCATTGAGCTCCTTGTCAAGTGCATGCGCAACCATAGCGGGAGCACTCTCTGTGACGCTTTCATTCGGCGAAGTCTTCAATTCCTCGATCTGACCAGTATTTAGAATGTTGAAAGCAATAAAAGTAGAATGCCGTACCTTCAAAACGAGGTCGTCCTTCAAACCTTTCAACTCCTTGATCTCGTTTTCTATCTGATTTGTCGTCAACCTCTCGACGGCGTCTTCGCTGACAGATTTTGCCTTCCCCTTCCCTTTAGGATCCTGCTGAGCAGGCGGAGGTAGAGCCGAGGAATTAGGTAGCGCAGCTTGTAGTTCAGCAAGTCTGCTCTCCAGGCTTTCTAGAGCCTTCTCTGCATGGATGATGGAATCCGCGAGTCGGCCGGATGTGAGGTCAAGCACAATACTGAGCTTGTAATGAGCCTCTGCAATTTGACGTGATGAAAATGGTAGCAGCTCGACTTTCAACGCCAAAGCAGATTCATAATCTGTGATGGCTTGGTCGAATTTCTCTAAAGAGTGAAAGGAAGGCTAGTTAAAGTGATATCAACGCCTGATAGAAAAAGCAAACGCACCCGTTTCCAAAGACACGTCACCAAGAGTGATGTACGTGTCTGCCAACTTGAGGCCCACCTGCTCATCGCCGCCTGCTGCTTTCTGCTTCTCATAGATAGCACGGGCCAGGTCCAAAACTTCCCAAGAAGCATTAAAGTCGTCTTCAGGCTCTGCATCCTCATCCTCATCGTCCTCAGCAGCAGCAGCCTCCTGCTGGGCGCTCTCCATGGCCTGAGCAAACAAGTCAACCGTGCCATCCTCCGTGTCTTCTACGTCTCCTGAGAAAGAAAGGATAGGGCCTTTTGCTGACGATCCGGAACCGCCTGGTGCTGGTATCGCGACATTAGTCTAAAGCCAAACAGGAGTGAGTGGCACGACACACCGTTGTCTTCCACGTTCTCCTCAGGTTGCTCCTTTCCCAGCACAGAGTTCTGTACGATAGCATTCTCAAGCAATGCCTTTCCGTATGCGAAGTAGAGATCCTCTATCCCTGGTGCCTCATCCCCATGAACGTCAGTCCTGGAGAAGGGAAGAAAAACGCGTCAAAACGCGCAAGTATAAAAGGCAGACGCGGAACTTGCAAGAGTTCAAGTGCAGTAGCATAATGGTCCACTGCTTGTTCATATTTCTTGAGTGCAAAGGCGCGTTGTCCTTTCTCGACGGCAGCCTCCACTGTCGTACTGCGTTCCGGCGTATCTTTGGATGCAGCTTCGGCTGAGCTTCTGTGAAAATATACTGTGATGAGCAGAGTATTGTGTCAGTAGATGTACACTTACGATGCCATTTGTTGAGGTAGAACGGGGAAGGTGGTGGTGGTGGTGGTGGTCGAAGTAACGAAGGTTGTGACGCGACGTGTCACAACTTGGATTTTGAGCCGTTCTTTTTTGTTGCCTTTGTTCTTGTTCTTTGTTCTGCCACTTCTGCCACCAAGTTTCAAATTCGGCACGGTTACGACGTACATCGCTTGTGGCTCTCAGTACGAAGTTGCTACCAGCCACTCAATTGGACGATTTACAGTTCTTCTACTAGACGCGCCGGATCACTTCCTTGGAAGTTGGTACTACTACACTCTGTCTCTTGTAACCATGGTCACTTGAACGAACACTGAAACGATGTGATCCACCTGTCTTCCACTTGGTTTTCTTGATTTCGTCATGCAACACATTCTGCACTGAGTATACAACCTGCCCACAATACTTTTACTCAAAAACCGCCGGCAGCAGTTTCATTTTCTTGCGAGAGGGTTTCTAGACACCTGCTTCATAAGTGAAAGCTTCGTTGCGAACATAACATCCTTGATCTTTCAACACTGCTCGTTATTCAAATTTCATAGCTATTCAGGTGTTTTCGGGTTTTCACCCTCCCCTTGTCTTTGCTTCTCCATCACCGCCCGTTTGCTCTTCAATTTACCTAGTTCCTTCTTCCCTCTAACTTGGCTACCACTAGCGCTTGCTTCGTCGATATCCGGGCGATGCATGGGATTATGCTCGACGCCAGTGTTTTTGGGCATGGATTTTAGCGCACCATACAGATCCAATCCATTCAACTCATTCGCTGAGGCTGAAGCAGGTTTAGTTTTCACTATTAAAGGGAAGCGGCGGGCAATACCTAATATCGGGGAAGAGTTTAGCGTTGACAGAATCTGCTTCTGAGGCACAGGTAAGGCATCATCCGGAATTGCGGATAGCTACAGGAAGGCCAATTAGTACTCCATGGAAGGAATCTAGGATAGCATATACCTTCCCTCCCGTTACAATTTGGGCCAGGAAAACAAAAGATGTAGGTATACCCGATTCGGAATATGCGCCGTCAACAGAAATCCATATGATAGGTGCCACCGCTCCTTCAAAGGTCAAAGTAAAGTCCAAAACCGGTTTATGAACGTTATAAGCCTGGATTTCAGAAGCTGATCCGTCTGTTGGGAACTGTGTTATGAACAGAGCTGTACCGCTGCAATTTATCGATGAGTAAGGGATGTCGAGTTAGGCATATAACAGTTACCCAACGATGCTGAACAAAATGTAAGTCCTGTCCTCCCACACTATTGAATCGATTTTCTGCACGACTAAGACCGTAGCCTCCTCTTCGGCAATGGCTGATGCCTCCTCTTCGAGAATCGGAGTGTCTTCATTTCCTTGCGAGACATCCACATCCATATCTGCGGGATCTGGCTCCTTGTTTGCTGCCTTGCCTTTACCGCTTTTTTTCCTGCGCTTGTTTCCCTCTGGCGACTCTTGTTCGTCATCGTCGTCATCAGGTTTTCTGCCTTTCTTATAAGGCTTAGTTTTTACCATTATAAAGTCCTTGACCGCATCCCAGATCGGAATATCACACTTCCACTGGCCTGACAACCAATCCCACACTTTGAGCTCGGCATCCCCGCCGCCTGATATCAAAATGGAAGGATCAGACTTTAGTATATGAAGTGCGGAAACGAATCTGTTCGATTTTAATGAGCATACGAGACGATAAGGAAGAAAAGAGCCAACTTAGTGGATCCTAGACAGAAGGTTTCAATACAGTATCCTTGCGGATACCAACTGACTCGGATATGTTCGTCCCTGTCTGCTGTGATGATAAATTTCTCATCGGAAGAAAGTAGAAAAGTGGTAAGGAGGGACGTGTGGCCAAGGATTAGGGTTCCGTTGGAAGCAGAAGGATGGGAAACTAGAGAAGTTCGATCACGTTGTTCTTCTTTCGTGTCTTCAACTTTTGAGATGGGGGGAGGATCAAGTGGATAGCTAGAGATATATGTTAGCACAAAAAAAATAACAGATGCTGTTACGCACCTGAAAATGTCGCCAAATTTATCTGACACCAAGATGGTCTGTCCGTCAGCGGTGAAGGCAACGTTGGTAGGCTTTTTAGGCAATTCTCTGGCAACACGCGAGTATATCAGCACTAGCGAAGAGATTGAATGACAAACAGATGGAAGGAGAAGATGATACTAACCTTTCACTTGCGACTTTCAGATCTCCGTTTCCTACACTCCAGACTCTAAGTGTTTTGTCATCCCCTACGGTCGCAAGATGGATTCTCTCGTTATCCAGCACAGCACATCTTATCGTTCCAGAGCTCAACAATGTCTTTTGTTCCTCAGGAGGAAAGCTCGTCGATGAAGATACAACTTTGCCCGTCCTGTGGTCCACTGAGTTATCATAATCACATATGAAACAAAAGACGAACGACGGGTCTATTATCTGTATGTGGGGTCCAGATACTGCAATAAACGTTGATGATGACGGGTAGATAAGTTCGGAATAAGGATACACGGGCGAATCCATCGTGGTTGACTGAAAAGTTTTGGCAGATTGAAAATGCCGGCATCATCGGGCCGGTTAGCCGAATCCGGTTCAAAACGATCGATCATTTCCCAGCTTGAACTATCACTACGAACGCAACTCAGAGCTCAGGGAAAATCTGGAAAAGGACTCGTTCTCATCAAGAGGGAAAAACTTGTGCCCCTTGTCAACTGTTATGTCGCTGGGGGACTGGCTTGGATCATCTGCTTGTGTGATATCAACCCTTTTTTGTTGATTCAAGCTCTTGTGTGGTATACAGTGCTCAGTACTTATTCTAGCCAACCAAACTGGCCATTTAGGTTAAACTAGCTCGGCGCTTGAGTAGCAACACTTATCCGCAGACCCGATTCTTCTTTATCGTCTCACCTACTGCTCCCTGGCCTATCCTTAATCTATCTTTGCTGGACCTTGGTGGCGCACACCTCGGTTACTTATTCTTGTGGGCAGGGCCGTCAACCAATTGGGCAGCCGCCGCTCTATACATCTGATCCCGCCTCTTCCGCTCAATTTATCGTTTCCTACTTACCTGGCCCCGTCTCTGTTCCAGGTAACGAAGCTGTCGGCCTGTATTCCTCCCTCCGCCTCTCAGAGTCTTCAGTGAGTAGGTTTTCAAGGTTCTGCATATTACCTGTAACTCAAGTCAACCCTGTCTTGACTTCTAGTATCCATCATGCTATATCCCGTTCTGGTACAGCCTCATGTTGTGGAGCTTGAAGGGGTACCCGCGGTCCCACTAGTTGTCTCCAAGGACAACAATGCTCAATCGTCGGTCCGAGTTTTCCACGGCCACACCCTTAGGTCGGCGTTGTGTCGAAGTTGTCTTGAAGTGCCTGGATAGATTGTTCAGGTCGGTCCTCTCCCTGATGGTGCTTACGGTGATGATCAGATATGAACATTCTCCCGTGGTTGACCCTTCCATGTTGTATTGTAGTTACTGTTTCCGAGGGACGGCTAAGTGTGCCGTCGGAGATGCAGTGTCTCTTGCCTGGGCGGTTACCTCACAAATCGCCGCAAGTGCGCTCATTTGTTGTCTACCGACGATATATCTTTATCGGTGTTACTCTAAGGGACTGACCTGGCTGGTGTCTCCTCGGCTATGATGCCTGATGCTTAAAGAATACTATATTTTTCCTTCGTCTCCAAGAACCAATCGACTCCTCGGGTACTCATAACGGTCTCCGCGCAAAGGAATAGCTCCCTTCACCTGTCCGTGTACCATCCAGGGCGTACACGTGTATGGCGCACATAAAATGCTGCCACCGTCCCCGGAAAATGTCATTTCTTGCGATCTCTTCGAATCTCTCCCTTCGACACAACCACGATGCGCTCAACTCCAGTATACTCCCAGGATCCGTCCTCTTCTGAACTCCTTCTTGAGCATGAATCGACATCTTCATTGGGTCCCGGGCGCTGGACCTACCCGACTAAACATATGGAGGTCGACCTTGGCCCTCGTATGTGGGGGCCATCGCATGCTCCCTGCTACGGCTTGAACGGGAAGGTCGAAGGCTCGATCCGCTTTTCAGGCAGTCTAAGCTCGGTAATCGCAGTCACATTGACGGTCAGTTCCCGGCATATCTGTGAGATACGCCCAGCGTTCTGATATTAATTTTAGCTCGAGGTACGCTTTACCACATCAGAACAACGGTCTTCGACGCTTTTATCGCGTACCATTCCCGTGTATACACCGTTTGCCGCGTCAGCTCCCCAGTGGAACGATGGCTGCCCGTTCTCACTTCCCATACCCACTGAAATCAACACGAAGGGGGGCGTATCGAGTATGCCACCATCATTTTCTTACTATAACTACAACACCATGTGCGACATCTCTTACTTTATCAAAGTGTGCATGGTTCGAAAGAGGAATGGTTTTTGCACGCATGAATCGTGAAGATTTCCATTATTTTAGATTTCAATCCGCCTAACTATTTATTTCTAGTCGTCTCATACCAATCATGTACCTTCCAAAGTCCGAGTCATCCCCAGTTCAGATGATACCGTCAAAGGTCCAGGAGATGCCCGTCTCATCTATGACACCGCAGTGGCCAGATTCGAAGAATAGACGTCGTCCGGTGTGTCCACCTGGGAGCTTTCATGATACAATCTACGTTAGTGGCTCCTCCGTCAACGACTTACAAAAGCATCCTGACAATTCCTCAGTTTTCTCTACCTTCCGCCACCTTTGCTTCGGGCGATAGAATCCCCTTCTCTGTCAGTCTTGATACTACCAAGCACTCGCTGTTGTCGCAGGTCTTGGACCAGAACATACATATTGCTCTCGTGAACAGGTTTTCCCTATGGTCCTCGGCCAACTCAAAACCCGTATGTTCTGAGCGACAGATAGCGTCAGGCTTCGTGAAGTCCAGACATAACTGCCAAGGTAAAATTCTCTTGCAGGGATCCATTCAGGCAGGATGTGCTGGGAGGGAAAGTTCGTGGCGTCTTGAAGGTGTTGCAAGCATGGAGGTATGCTGCCACTACGCGCCGTGCTTTCCTATTAACTGACTTCCTTTGTGCTCGGCGCAGTACATTCTTCGCGTTTATGTGACCGTCTCCGAGCATCTCCTCGGGAAAATCCCTACTTTTCATCATGAAACAGTCATTACGTTAACAACGGATGAGTGCGGTACATCACAGCGAGAATTGAAGACGATGGGCGGCATTCCTACGCCAGCTCTTGGTCTTCAAATTACACACAGGTACTGGCTTCCTCAGAGTATTCTATCCATCATCTGACCTCTTCGTAGTGACGAACCAGTCACTGTTGCCAATGTTTTCATTATTTGAAGAGGACTCATAGATGAATACCATACAATGTACTTCATATCTAGATATTCTAGATATAATAATGGTGTAAATATGAAGCCCAATTTCCGGCAGGCTTTGAGAAAGTTATGAATCAAAGCCGTATTTTTTACTCCAACGACTCATGAGAGATTTATCGCCGGTCTTGTTGAACCTTTCAGCCTGAAATAATCGTGGGAATTACTTTCCATTATTGTCCAAAGAGCAATCTGTATAGTTTATGTAATATATTCTCACGCCTTGTAGACGGAAAGTGTACGAATTAGGCGTAGACGAGACCATCACCCACCTGTACTCCTCAAGATGGTGAGTATATTCTGTGTGTCTAGTGTATCTTTGGCATTCGCTAACGTCGACGTTTGCAGACCAAACGCACGAAGAAAGTCGGTATCACCGGAAAATACGGTACAGTGAGTGACGACTACTACTCTTTTACTCGTTTGTGGCTGAGTATGTCCTTCAGCGTTATGGTGCCTCCCTGCGAAAACAGGTGAAAAAAATGGAAATCTCACAGCATGCACGATACACCTGCACTTTCTGCGGCAAAGTAAGCTGCCCTGGTCGATGGAGAATGGGTCTGCATACTCATAGCTCTGTCATTCGTAGGACACTGTGAAGCGAACAGCTGTTGGCATCTGGAACTGCGGGTCGTGCAGAAAAGTCATCGCTGGAGGTGCATGGACTGTGTCGACGACAGCAGCTGCGACTGTACGGAGGTGCGTTTGTATTTTCTCGGTCTGCCATGGATAAGACTGATTTGCCTTCTTTCTCCCTACAGTACCGTTCGTCGTCTACGTGAGATTACAGAGGCATAGAGCTACCATTTCCTTCTCTGTCGTTGTCATCGTCTTCCCACGTACTTTTTGTATGTTCATATGTCACCATGAAATCGAAACCACTATGAACAACAGCCTAAGAGCGTAGCCATGGAAATGATATTCCTTAGAAAATTCTGTACAAAATGTGATGTTTTTCTCGTGATGATCACGGGCCTGGTTATATGACCAACACATGGCGCAGCGTGGCTTTCACGTTGTTCTTTCGTCACCACCATGTAATTCGAGCAAGTCATTTTTCCTTGATTATACCAAGAAATAATGTCTTCGCAAAGCACTACTCCCGTTCACTCCCACCCTCTTTCTCCCGACGAAATTCATTCTTCATCTCGCAGCCGCATTCGTCCCCCTCGCGACGCCGATACGCGGCCCACCAGTAATTATTTTGCCCTCAAAGCTCAGTTCGAGAACGATGCTGTTACTTCACCTAGCTGGGACGGTAGTGTTAGAGGGCACAGGAAGGCAGAGCGGCGGCTGTCTACGCTTTCGACAGACGTCTTCCTCGACAAGCCGACTTCCTCGCCTTCGACACCGGCAAGTCCGAGGATAGCCCCGCTCATCATTGTCGGTGCTTCCAATGCTTCCATGTCCACGCCGCCTGGTACGCCGAGTAGAAAGTTTCCAGACTTCCTGCTCCCGAACGATGTTGAGGCCGGCAATCTACATCCGTCCGCTGCTTCACAGGTGCTAGCCACCAAATGGCACGAGTATTCCGACGAGGCCATCCAGTCAGCTATCTCTAACCTGAGCGTGTCTGAATCTCCAGCTGGCGTGTCCAGCCATCCTTACCATTCCGCACTACGGGTACTCTCGTTAGCTCTGAACAACCTGTCGCGTGCAAGGTCGGAGCTAGAGGAACAACGGAGGAAGTTGGAAGAGAGAGAAGGCGAGAGAAGGCGGAGAGCAGAGAACTTGATGAATGAGCTACAGCCGTCAGACCAGGACGTCGCAAGACGCGTACTTCAATCGATATTATCCGATGAGCAGCCCGACGAGGAAAACAAGGATCACGACGACAAGGATTACCTTCATGTTCGGAAGCGACCAAGTTTCATGGTGAGTTGTTCAGAATTAAGACGTATATATGCCTGCAACCATTCACCTCGTTCGCCGTTGCCTTTGCATTCCGGTGGAGCAAAATCTCGGTTGAATGTTCTGTCGTCACTGTATGCGAACTCCAATCTGATTACGTTACCCTGTAGTCCCTCACAGAATCTCTCTCGGAAGCCATTGCTGACGAAGTACCTCTGTCACGGAGCGTGCCAGACGACGTGTTAACAACGCCCCTCGCATCAACCGCGGATCTTGGACTGACTATCGAGTCCGTTCCAGCTGCCAACGGGGATTCTCGAATTCTTCGTGATACAGGCACTGACTCTGGCGGAGAGACCATTAAATCCAACGGTTTACCTCATAGATCGCGTCCAGAGCGGTCAACATTAGGAGACTGGATGGGCACGCTATGGGGCAAAGGTAAACCTTCAAATCGGACTCGAACAGTCAGTACAAGTGCTATAGTTCGTCCCGAGTCACAGGATGCTACGCCACGAATCCCTGCTATCAATAGACCAAGGCGCAGAACGGCAAAAAGCGTCTTTGGCACGCTTGGTATATCCATACTCAACCCAGGTTCATCGACCTCCTTGAAGGAAGATCCTCCTGTGGTGGAGAGACCAGAGCCATCCTCTGACGTTGTATCTATAAGGTCGGATCGCACGACCCACACCACATACACCAATGCTTCCGCCATTTCCTCCATGGGATCTCCCGTGCAAACACCTTTTTCGCCTGCTTTAGCCGCGCCGTGTTTGACTACTAGTCTTGATCTGGAGACCAGCTCGACACATTCAGTCCATGACCCTGCACCTGTCACTGGAATGCAGGGATCATCTCTTCGCGCTATCGCCAACGCTACTCGTGTCATGACATCTGATCCCTCTAGCGTCCTCACGGATGGTGGTCAGGACGTGGGACCTCTGGTATCAAGGCTAGCCTTTGAACTCATTCAAAATGCTCGTGACCAAGGCATTAATTTCCGGGAACAACGGCAGAAGGACAGGAAAGACCGTAAACCTGTCGAAGCGGATAAAGTCGGCCCTGTTGCTACGCTCAGTCAAGCACCAGGTGATGCCGCTGTTACGCTAAGCAGAGCCCTTGGTAGCCAACCGGAAGCGTCTACCAGGGCGAAAACAAGATCGGGGCCGTCGTTTTCAGTGCCTTCCTCGTTTGCTGCACCTCTTTTCGGGACGTTTAGGTCTTCACAGCAGCACAGGAAACCCTCAAATGCTGTCGGTGATAGTAGGAAGGGCGCTACACAAGATCAGTCTACACTACGCGGTGGTAGTAACGTCGCGTCACCGAATGGTGTAACTCGAAAGGCGCCTTCTGTTCCGTTAGAGTCGATAATACCTGATACTGCCAAACCGCCCACACAATATCTTTCCAGATCTTACACTCCCCTGACCTCACGCAATTTCCATTTCTCAATACCCCTACCCCATGCTGCATCACGTCTGACAATTTATCACGACTCGCTAGGCCAGAAACCTTTGACCGATCGTTATGGTTTCATGTACGACGTGTCGTTATATGATCTCCTCCTTCTCATTCGAGCTAAAGAGTGTGGGAATACCGCCCCTGCTTGTTTAACAGGGGTCAAGATAGCCGATAGGGAGGAGGATAATTCTTGGCCAGATGACGAGGAAGAAGAAGACTTAAAATCTGCCGTTGACATTGTTAAAGGAAACTGTGACTGCGATGGCGAATCGGACACGCGGAGCTTTCGTTCTCATGATTCGCCTCCCGCAGAATCACTTTCAAACAGTATTCAGTCGGGGTCATCTTCGAATAGCAAGAACCGCAACTCTCTTGCTGCACATTCAACTATGACCTCTTCGGCGACATCCATACTGTCTGTCAATGCAAGCACTCCTCGGCATGCGTGTGCCAACACTGTGCGGCGACTCCTAGATGAACTAATTGGCATACATGATGAACGGCAAAAGGCCCGGCGGAAGGATTGGGACGCCTTCGTCAAACAAAGACGCAAGGTAAAGTTCCAAAAGTCACATTCCTCAAACTCATCGATATCAACGGGGACGAACAAGGCAGTTGCTATACTCGGATTAGGCACGGAAGACACAGAGGATGAATTGGGGCACAGTGATGGGCTCATTGGATTTGCGCAACTTGGGCTCTCATCTAATCGGGACGAAAGGAAAGAATTTGATAAATTGTTAAGGGGTGGTATACCGTTGGTGTATCGACCGAAGGTGTGGATGGAATGTAGTGGTGCATTGGAGATGAAAGAGCCAGGGTTGTTCACGGATTTACTGGCGGAAAGTGACCCCTCAAGTCATGCGGTCATGGAGATTGAGAAAGATGTCGGGAGGACGATGCCCTTGAACGTATTTTTTGGCGGTGACGGAGCAGGTGTTGACAAATTACGGAGAGTCCTGTCTGCTTATAGCCGGTATGCCATAGTTCGCTTTCTCCGGACCTCATTTCTTACTGTTTGTCAAAACTTAGGCGCAATCCTGACGTTGGATATTGTCAAGGGATGAATTTGGTGACATCCACACTTCTGTTAGTTCACGCCGACGAGGAAGAAGCTTTCTGGGTGCTCACTGCTCTAGTGGAGCGCATACTTCCGGAGCATTTCTTCTCACCTTCTTTGTTACCGTCGAGAGCGTGTCCTCTTGTGCTTTCCGAGTACGTGCAGGAGCACGCATCAAAGCTCCATGCGCACCTTGTGGAACTGGGTGTAGATTTACCGGCTATCTGTTTTTCATGGTTTTTATCGTTATTCACTGACTGTCTACCGGTAGAGGTGAGTGTTGCACGTCAAGTCCTCCGCAGGGAATTGACCTACTATTCAATTTTCAGACTTTGTTTAGAGTATGGGATGTGTTTCTTGTCGATGGGCTAGATGTCCTGTTCCGCGTGGCTCTTGCTATTCTAAAAAGTAACGAGCAAGAACTTCTGCGTTGCCAATCTATCCCGGCGGTCTATGTCGCGTTGGAGAACCTGCCTACGAGGATGTGGGAGGCAGACAAACTATTACAAGTGAGTTCAATGTAGCATGATGAACCTTCAACGTATTGACTAGCATTATCAAGCTGGAAGCGGAGCTTCGGGCATCTGTTCTTCATACTGATCTTGTTAACAAACGGAATTCACACGTCTTAGCACTGGGACAATTGATGTCATGACATTGAGTTATTCTAACCTGCTGTTTTTGTTCGCTTTATAGATTATGTAGATAGAAGTCTTGGTCACAAATAATATGTACGACTCGTAGCTTACAGATACCATCCTGTTAATACTGTAAAACGCATCGTTGGACATCATGATTACGGCGTTTGCAAGGTGGCTCCTCAGTCTTGTGCTACTTGATTGGATGGGTGAAAAGAGGGTCAGTGCTGCTGTAAGATGGGAATTTAATCAAATAGGCATCTGTTAGTAAAGGCATTGCTGGGCAGAAGAACGACGCGAAACCTTGGCAAGAGTCTTCCGAAGACGCATTGTAACACAGCCACATCCGTCTCTGATCGCGACGTTTAAAATCTCCGAACACAAAAACTCGACCGTTCGCCGAAAACTAAAGTTCTTGAGGAAGGTTTTATCTCCTATTTTGCTGTACAAAGTACTGTTACGCAGAAGGCTCCGGTGCATTCTTTGAGCGTTTATTTCTCCGCAGTCATTAATTTTGTCTTCGGCTACTATTGCTTCCGCGAATTCCTTGGCGCTACGTGTACTAAATTGGTTGCCTCTACTTCAACTCACGACCATGATGCCACGAAGGCAAACAGAATCATCCCAGGAGAGCATTTTTGCTTCCATTGGAGCATTAATTCGTCAGTAAATGTACTCGCCTGTGAACAGTCGCTTAATCAAGTCTCGCTGAATCCATAGGGAATCGGCTGCGAACAAAAGCCTTAATATACGCTGTCTTTTCCGTGTTGTTCATCATCTCATATCTCGTGCGGGGAACTCGATTTCACGACTCTTTCTCAGCTGACAACTACAACCCAGTATCTGATTCCTCTCACTGTTAGTGATGTACCTAGCGAGACCGTCACCACCAACTATCTGAATGCCGATGTCTCGAGAAGGGACGCTGTCCGTGCCGCATTCAAGGTGCGGTTTACATGCTGTAAACCAGCCTACTGATCTAATATAGGTACCAAAGCATGCCTGGAACTCTTACGGTTAGTACAGACACGTGCTGATTGAATAAATACACACTGGTTGTTCTTGTATAGAGAAAGACGCCATGGGGGCTGACGAATACCATCCCATCAGCCACCGTGGATCCAACTTTTCAGAAAATGGAGGGATAGGATACACCGTGGTAGATGCACTCGATACCATGCTGATTATGGACCTTCACGATGAGCACGCTCGTGCGCGTCAGTGGATCCAGGACAAACACTCCTTCGAAAGAGAGAGTAACTTCAACACTTTCGAGGTGCACTCTTACCTGCCATGTCTCCATTCAAGCTTCATGCATTAAACTACATGGCAGACAACCATTCGTGTTCTGGGAGGACTGTTGTCAGCCTACCAACTCGCCGGCGACGCTCTTTATTTAGAGAAAGCAGTGGACCTAGCAGACCGCCTTCTTCCTGCATTCGATACTCCTACAGGTCTTCCACTGCCTATGGTTAACCTAGCAAAACGCACTGGTGTCCAGGATCAGTGGGCACCCGACCAAATCAGTACAGCAGAAGCTGTAACGCTCCAACTGGAGTTCAAATACCTTGCTCAATTGACGAAGAAAAACGTGTATTGGTCGAAGGTGGAGAACGTTATGTCTGTTATCTACAAGTCCTTGCTTCCGCACAGTCTGGTCCCCATTTTCATGAGGTATAACCCTTTACTGTGATAACGTATTGAGCTTACTGCTGGTGTGCAGTGCTAGTAAAGGAAATTTTACTCAATCTGATATCCGTCTTGGATCCCGGGGCGACTCTTATTACGAGTATTTGATGTCAGCGTTTTCTCTTACCTTCGGACCTAGAACTAACACAGCTGTCTAGTAAGCAATACTTACAAACGGTACGTTTTCACCACACACACATTTCTGCCGTATAATTAGTAAAGACAGGATCGGACGGAGCCTATATACAAAAAGGTATGCTACTAAGAAGGGATTCGCCAGACTAAAAAAAAATGTACCACGTCAGATGTATGCAGACTCGATGAAAGGCCTGCATGACAACTTGGTGCAGAAGACATCCCGTCGAGGGCTAACGTATATCGCTGAACTCATCCCTCATCGGTCAAGGGACGGTAGCACGTACGTTTCTCCTTTCTTTTACAAGTCTTTTAGGCAGTGATACCCATGGCCAGAACATGGGACCTTTCCGCCAAACAGGACCATCTCGTCTGCTTCCTTGCAGGATCGCTGATGCTGGGCGCCACTACCTCAGGAGCAGCCAAGCGCACTGTATCTATCCCTCCCCGCCTAAAGGAGCTGACGCCTCAAGGGCAGAGAGATTGGCAGACCGGCGTGGATCTTCTGGAGACCTGCATGGATACCCATCGAACGTCGACGTATGTTTGCAGTCCGTGGAACGGGGTGTGTTATCATCTAACTTGATCCTCTTACCCAGTGGCCTCTCCCCCGAGATCGTGATGTTCCGAACAAACGAGGAGAAGGGAGAATGGGACCGAGACTGGTATATCAAAAATTCTAGGTTAGCCGCCCACCGACCTCTTACTGTCCAACTTGTGTTGACGGTGTCGTTACAGAAAAGGCGGACCATCATCCTACGATGCCCGCTATATGCTCCGGTAAGTCGACCGACCAACGTGCTGTTTAACGCCTGGTTCAATCAAATCACCCCCCAGTCCGGAGACAGTTGAATCGTTGTTCATTGCCTGGCGACTGACCGACGACGTTAAATACCGCCAGTATGCTTGGAATATCTTCTCGGCTATTGAAAAGCATTGTCGTCTAGAGGACGGAGGGTATGCTACGGTCTTGGACGTGGACACAGTTCCTGTTTCGCGGGAAGATAAGCAAGAGACCTTCTTCCTGGTTAGTGTTTTCCATTGGAGGGGTTTTCTGTGGTATTGATGGAGCCTCCCTAGAGCGAAACTCTGAAATATTTGTACATGACATTTTCCGATTCAAGTGTCATACCACTGGACAGTAAGTTCTTGATACTTGCATTTGGGACTGGATTCTGATCGAAGCAGAATACGTGTTCAACACAGAGGTAGGATTTCCATCAATGTCTGTTCTTTCTGTGCGCTGACTCCGGGAACAGGGACATCCATTACCGATTTTCAAGCCTACCGACATGAAAGCTGCTTTTGTACTATGAGAGTGCGTTAGATGAGGCTATTTATCTGTTACGATTCCGTCGAATTCGTTCTCTCCGTCGCTGTATAGTATACTGGTACATTGGATCGGCCTTGGTTTGAAGCAATTGATTTTGGCCACCCAGACTAATACATTCATCATCCACCTATCTATCTAAAAACTCGTTCTATGTGGTATTTTTTGGCTAAAAAATGTGATCATGGTTAATTTTCAACCGTCAAGAAGCGATTCGTAAAGTTCATAGCTCGTCGTCAGCCTGTCAAACCCTCCTCAGCATCCATCTCCATCCGTTGCTTTTTATCTTCCTCTTTGAGTCTAGCCATAGCCTTGGCGACTTCGTGATCCCAATCAGTGCGAATACAGATGATGGTTCCAAAGACGGCGCAGTAGATGAGGGATACAGTCAAGCCGTACCATAGTCCATGTAGACCCATGCCGGCCTTGAAGGTGAGTAGAATTCCGAGGGGGATACCTACGCTCGAAGTGAGTACAAATGATACCATACGCGGACGGGGAGACCTACCGATAATATAGTATGCACTGCAAGACATAACGGATAAATAAAAATATGAGGAAGAGATCAACGGGTGCAATATACCTTAGATTCAGAAGTGCTCCAGTGACCTGTTTACCTCGAGCACGCAAAACACCTCCGCTAACAGCGGCTCCACCATCGAAGACTTGGAACACGGCCACGACGGGAAGGATGGCGGCAGTCTGAGCAATGACGGCTTCAAATTTGGAGTCAGCAATAGAGAACCTGACAAGGAAGGAATAAACCTACCAGGGTCGTCATTGAAAAGATGTCCCCAAGAATTTCGGAATACAAGAAACATTATGCTATAGTTGCATGTGAGTCAACGATACGATATAGCAATAGAGATAACAGCGGACCAGAATAGTGATGACATGATTAGTGACATGACAAGCGACGTATTGGACGCGATTCCAGCTCGCCGGGCTTTGCGTTCACCCAATAGGTTACCGATTCTATTGGAGATTAGAGAATAAGCTGATACGCAATCCAGCACCTGACTCACCTAACGGAAGCAGCAACCGAGAGGGAAAATGGCGCCTGGAAGGTTGTCGATGACGACACGAGCAAGACAGATTGGGTCGCGAGGGCGACGGGACCAAGCCTGTAGACTAATAGTTCGGGTTTAACAATATTAACACAAAAAGCAGACAACTTGCAAAGATGCGGCGAGTCCGATCACTACCATTGATCGCGTCAGTATGTATTTTTAAATTAGCGTTTGTGATAAGACTCACACTCCCATGCCCACCACTCGGAAGCGGTTTGGCCCACGCCACCTAGACCGAGGTGAGCCAGGACGCCGAGACTGGTAAAGCTCCGTCGACAGATTGGATGCCACGCAGTCTTGGGAGCAAAGAAGACACCATAGAGTGTTGACAGGAGAGCCACGAGATTGAAGGATATCGCTGTGGATATGGGTGCTCCGATAAAGCCGAGTCGAATCGGCTCAGGGCCCCAGACTGAGAACGTTGAGTAACGAACGTGCTTGAACCGAGGAGAACGGCTCACCAAGAAGGTAATTCAGCAACGCGTTGATAGGCGCGACGATGAATATGATGCGCGTGGGCACGGCGAATAGACCTGCAAAAACGTTCGTGAATAAATTTTATTGAAAAGAAGTCGAGCCAGGAAAATTCGCGCACCTTGTGACTGGAAATACCGCCTATTAATGGTAAGAATAATGAGCACATGGCGTGAGGAGCAATCAAAGTTACGTGCCTACTGATGCAGTTGAACGCGTACGCTATTAAGAAGGCGACGATTAGTGATGCGCGCAGGAAGGATAGTCTAAATATAGCTACCTGGTAAACCAAACGAAACATAGCGGAGATACACTGCTGCGAGATGAGCGACATCCGGGTCTTGCTTGAGCAATAACAAGATAGCCTCGGCGTTAAACCAGACAGCATACATGGGCTGCAATATTTTCAGTTCTTAACGGTCAGGGACGCGAAGGAAGGGCGCACAATAAGGAGAACCGCCATCACGACAGCTGTAATACGTTGAAGGAAGGTGAAAATTTTTCAAGTCAGATAACCACGATAGTGACATACCCATCCGTTGGGACCAAAGGCCAACAAGTTGAGGCTGCGAAGTCCATGCGGAAGGAAGCATAGTGTCAAGGGCACTTGTGAAGCCTTGGATGATACTGAGGCCAGATACACTGGCAGTCATCGACCCTAGGGTTATTGCTGCCAGGGCTGTCGTAGATAAATGTCCGACGGAGAGTACGGAAGCCATGACAAGACTGTACTCCAATACATGAGTTCTGAACGCGTCCTTTAGTCACTGACTACGTCAAGAAAGAGCAGAAAAATACTAACCCCCAGACAGGAAGACCATATCTTGTCAGTATCCGGAATTCCTCCCAAAAAATGGCCATAGTATTTTCATGGGATGCATCATCGTTGTCTTCGACATGTTCCGGGATACGGGGAATTGCAGGGTTGAGGAGGGGCGTGATTTCGTTGAACGGAGGTGGGGCAAGGTGGTCTTTAGCCATGGTCGGTTTGGACGGCCGAGGGACGCTTAAGAATGGGGAGCCCTCGGTGCTATCAGAGTCATATTCAGGTTCCTCGGTGTCTATCGGGACGGCATCGTCATTAGTGGAGCGATGAGCAGCATAGCGAGATAGGATAGCATAGTCAGACGGGAGGGAACCAGTGGCCTGATAATGGGGGGAGGCCATGGTAGCTGACAAGAAGGAAGATAAAGAAACATAAGAGATTTATATGTTGACTCGGAAAACAAGATGAAATACCTTGCTTTTAGGGGTAAAATGTCAGCGGCCTTCCCAGGGTCCATCCCTTCTTTTTGTGAGAAAAAAAATGGTCGTGTGCCCATTTCTTGCTTCTAATCCACCGCAAACCAGCAACCCCGAAGTTGCGTAAAAGGCCCGAACGAAACGGTTCGTCGCTGCCGGGCCCGACTGCCGCGGCAAAGATCAGTGCTGATGTGTGTTTGGCAACGCCGTCCAACTTGACCTTGAACTTCGTTCGCGTTCACCGAGCCGTCTGTTACAATGGCCAGTGTCAAGAAAAGGTGCTTTTCTTTTTTCTCTCTTTTACAACACTCAAATAACAAAATATCAGCAAGTTGGATCTACTTGTTCGTGTACGATACTCAAATCCACTTCCTGCACCGCCATGTCCTCCAAAACTGCTCGACATTCCAACCAATCCTTCGCGATATGCTCGGCCAGACCTCCTCAATACCCTTGCTAACAATACCCCATTACCCATGATAGTCGATGCAGAGTGCGGAATGCCGTTGGATTTGAGCAAATGGGAGTCCTTATGGGAAGAGAACGGCGACGATTCTGGTGCGCGAACTGAAACGTTTGCCAGTCTACAACTGCTGATCTTTGCGTATAGCATTGAATCCGGATCCGGAAAATCTACCAAAACTTGATCCCAAGGATGAATTTCTAGCCAGCGAGATGGCCGGACCATCATCCGGACCTTACACGAACAGTCACGCTACCCCGAACGGCCCTGGCATCCCTTCAGCACCCTTGGCTCACGTTCCATGGTTACGAAAGACAGAGTATACCAGTCGGACAGACAATACATCGCGCGGAGGACCAACCGAGTCGTGTGTCGTTTCCATCTTTGTCCATACATTAATCTAATGACGTACTGGAAGAAAAAATGCCAATGCAGCACCAATCGATGTATCGCACAGTGCTCAAATACGCGATATTGAAGCTTCATTTGCCTCCTGTAACGAAGGATTCTCACTAGAAACCCTTCGTCACCCGACCAGGCCAGACGTCACCGCGGCCGAATCATACGAGGTCCTTCCAGACGTGGAAATCTGGTCGAACCAGTACGATCTGTTCCGTTTCTCCGAGAGGCCAGGCGAGCGACCCATTGATGTGTGTACCTCACCAGTTTCGTCAACATTGTTCCTCATTTCGGACTTAGGTGGAAGACCCACGATTGGACTGTGCTATTTTGCGACCCATGAAAACCGAACACGACTCCTTCCTGGCATACTATCTCACCGATGACGATGAATCGGCGCTTGATTTCAAAGAAAGCCGATCACAGCTGCAACCCTACGAAGTGGCTCCCAATCAACCCGTGGGTATCCTTGTATCGCATCACTCTCTATCTCCATCCGACTGACTTGAAATGCGCAGGAAACCGTGTTCCGCTTCGTGCGAGACTACGAGACCGTCAAAGTCGAACAAGAGGTCCCCAATGAATTCCTAATAGTTCTTGAGGATGGAGACGAAGATTTAAAACCTTCAATTGGCACCGACACAAAACCTCGGCGTAACGCTAAACCCAAAGGTGCTTACTACAAGAACATTGAACGTAAGATGACTTTGAAGAAGAAGCGTCAGAATGTTGGTCTACAAATTAGTCACCGATTGCTCAATCCCACTGATCTTTTCGTTTCCCCTCAGGCATTTGAGCAGTACGAGGACAAATGGGACCTTATAAGGATGTCCCACACTGATATGAGTAAAGAGGAAGAGGACGAACGCCAGGAAGCTTTAGCAGAAGTGGTGGATCCAATGTTCTTAATGAGAGGCGACGCAGATGCCGATGGAGAAGGCGAAGTTGATCATGAGGCGGTCACCCTTCCCCATGCACCACCTGACTTCCAGCTTCCAATGGAAACATGATTACAGTTTTTGTATTGTACCGTATGTATGCTTGTTATATCAGGCTGTGAAGGGTTAGATTCCCATCGCTCTTTATCTCGCTCCTGAAGTTTTCTTATCACTCCGGGTCGAAGGAGTTCAGCCATACTATATATATTGTGTATGAAATAAGTAATCAACATAAGTGTACTAACATAACTAGGGTAATAAACAAATCAAAAGGAAAACTAAATAGCAATGCGATGTGGTATAAAGCGACTAGGGGAATCGATGCGATGCTGATGTGTGGATATATAATCTAGAGAAATGCAGCGATGATAGAGTAGAAGGAAAATAAAAAGATTGTACCCAAGTCAGTCCACCATACCAGTCGTACAAATATATCCCAGGAAAAAGCCAAAAAAATACAATATTCATGGACTAAGGTCCATAGCACCGCTACCAACCGTATGTCCTAGTATCTCTTCCAAGAAATCTGACGAGACACTGGCTAGAGGGGATGCCGCGAACAAGGATGTACCGTCCCTGATTGCGACATTATACAGCATTTCCATATTCATACGTGCTCGAGATACCACGGGATGAGAATAGATAGCTTGTATCCCAATACGCAGAGCTGGATCGGTCCGCATCATCTGCTGGATGAGCTCCAACAGTTCGGGGCTATCGTCCAAGTCTACTTGTGAGAAATCTTCTCGCCTCAACCGATGCCAGGGTTCGCCTCTGTCAGGTATGTCAGTAAAACCAGAACGTGTACCAAGGAAATCTGCGTACTGGTCAGGTACTACAATATTTGCTGCTGTCTCCAACATTGTCATGCCAAAACTGTTAATGACGTTAGCAAAGATATGCTATGCCATCATCCCGCAACATACCTGAAGATATCTGCCGCCTTGCCGTACTTCCCTTGCAATACTTCAGGTGCCAGATAAAGTTTATCACCCTCCCGCTCGAAAGCAGTAGGACCAAAGTAGGTCTCCTGCGGAGGCCGAGGCCACAAAGACGCCATACCAAAGTCTCCAATCTTAAAACGTCCATCGGATGTGACAAAAATGTTTGCTGGCTTGATGTCCAGGTGAATGACACCAGCGGTATGAATAAACTTAAGACCCTACAAAGGTATTATTAAAACAAGACCATTCATTTAAGTGTCAGGGCTTACGTTACTCAGGTCGGCAATAATCTTCCAAACTCTGGCCTCTTCAAGCCGAGGGTATTGGCGTCCGTACTCCCACAAGAAATGGGCTAAATTGCCCAGATCACATAATTCTGTTTGGATGAAAAGTGCTTCATCCTCTTCCCAGCTATCCACAAAGGCCAATACATTTGGATGTCGCTGTCCACCATTGGCCAAACGGAGGTGGCGCAGAATATCAACTTCTTCTCTCAATCGGTGTCTATGATGGTAGTCAGATTTACTTGATGCATAATGAATGTGTAATTCCTATTCACCGATGTTTGACGCCCTCAAACGTCTTGGATTTCTTTATAGCATAGGTTTCGCAATCGTCTTCTGCTTTTGAATGCACCTTGATAACCCTACCGAATTCCCCGCTACCAATTTCCTCCAGTTCAACGAAGTCGCGGTCAAAACGTCCCGAATCCTGTGACGATGTCAGGGATGGGCGCGCCGGATAACTTTTTCTCGGAACGGGAGGCCGTCGTTGCCCAGCTGAGGGCTGGACACGAGCAGTAGTAGGTGAGGAGAGAACAGAGTTCAAGGAAGAGCTGGACGTAGAACCAGGAGTGTGTTTCACGGCTTTCCTGCGAGGATATTCTAGGAAAATTTAGCATCGGGAGAATGGCACAACCAGAAAGATATACATACCTTGGGTTTGATTTCTTGTTGGAGTACCCATCATTGACATAGAGTCACTCCCGCTAGAAAATGTACCACTGCTGGTTCTTCGTGACAGCCATCGAGATTTGGGAACAGCCGGCAAGTCTTCTTTAGGTGTAGGCAGAGATGGTCGTCCCATGCCCAAACCGCCGTATCTTTCTTTCTCCTTCCGGGTGCTCGGACTGTCCTCAGGGTCATCTTCAGAGTCGGTACTCGGATCCAGGAAAGACTTTCTGTGTTTCCTCCCTGGCGGAGGAAATCCTAAAGGTAGACTCTTCCGTGGTACCTTGGCTTGCTTCATCTCCCAATCGATACCAAGACCAACTCTGTGTGCTACCGCGCTCTGCCATGGCCTGTCGCCAGACAGGTAGCTAGTCTTGACTTTCTTGACAGGAGTGTTGGGTACCTTCTTGACTTCGGACGGTGCCTTCGAAGGGGCTGCCAGCGTACGCTTGATGAATGCGTCGACGTCGCTTCTCTGTTGGTTATCATCATCATGGTGATCATCGGCTTCGTAAACTCCTGGCCAACCGGCGGAAGCGGGAGGGCAGAGGCCAGGAGTGAGAAGACCATGTTCATCATCAGAGAAGATAGAACTGACGCTCGTAGATGCCTGTGGTACATGATCACCGCTGGCACTACTGTTCATTGAAATTTCATCATCGCTGACGACGACGCCGGAATCTCTATTTGGTTTGAACTTGGAGGGGATGACCGCGTCAGTATGCCTCGGAGAAGGGGTATCGATACTGAGGAGGAAAGACGAATCTCGGGGACCTTCGCAAAGCATGTCGTCCTCTTCATCTGTGCTGTCGTAGTGGATTTCTCGGATATTATGAGAAGCAGGGGAGGACTGAGGTGATGGCAAAGTAGGTCGCGCTTGAAGGAAATTCCACTCCTTGCCGTCAGATCCCGCGTAACTATGCCTGTTGCTAGCGGGAGGACGAGGGACGATGAATCGCTCGCGAGATGAAGCCGAGGACAACGTGGTCGTCCTCGAACGTGATTGAGGAACGGAGGGTCCAAAAAACAGAGTGGCTGAATCCACACGCGCCAGCGGGCCCCGGGCATGGACGGGGGTGGGGCTCTTGGGAGTGTTGGCGGGTACACGCCGTCGAGGTAACGGAGAAGGCGCTTTGGAGGCAGATGAATTCGGCGACTTCCGTGCATGGTGGGCAGCAGGAGGGAATGCCACCTGGCCTCTAGTCGAAGGACGTTCCTGTGAAACCATTAGTTAGATAAAGAGCAAGACAGAAGGCAAAGCGTACCACTGGTGAAGGGGAATGAAAGACGCTTTCAAGAAGCTCGTCGGAGACTGGACGTGATCTCGCTCGTCTTTTGGTAATATGGCCTCCAGGAGAGACCGCCTCTATCACTTCCTCTTGCTTAGCATTCATCAGACGGCGGTTGTCTCTTCCGGTCTGATTGGGTGGGTGGTTCCCACCAAACAGCGGCCCTGTTGGCGGCTCCGAAATGTCACAGCCGGAATCGTCGTCATCGTCAGACTGATTCATATCTGAAATCTTCAAGCGGGTGAATGTAGTAGTTTGGTTGCGCAACGATGCGTCCGCTTCTGTGCCCGTTCGTGGTGTCCGAGGACCAAACTTGGGAGGTGGCAGCGGTCCCAGGCGGTCAAATGACATGCCACTAGGACCAAAGGGCTTGGACGAGGTGACGACGAGTGGGGTGAGGGTATTAGGTCGTAGTGGAGTAGCACTGGTTGTGGTCTTGCGTTTTGTCCCAGCGCCTACGCGACTGGGTGGATGAGCAATTGTAGCGTTAAGTTGTTTCGCTGCCAGAGCCGAACGAGCTGGTGGCTGCCTCGCTGGGGTGGGCAATGGCCGTGCAGTCTTGAAGACGAGGGTCTCATCCTCATCCCATTCCTGACGAGGCTTCTGCATCTTGGCAGGGGTCTGGAAGGGAGAATGAAGAAAGATATCGTCCGTGCTGTTCTGGCCGCCGAGCTCAGCATGTGGTAGAAAGACAGGCTTGCCGGTGCTGCGGTGGGGTGACGGTGTGAGCAAAGGCTGGTCGAAGAGTATTAGCTGCTTCATGGTAGTAGATTGAGAGCGACGAGGGGGAGACATGCTACCATCGCGCGTCTTGCGGTGGGAGGCGTAGTCCTTGATGGGAGTAGAAGCGAGCATGATGTAAAGAGAGTTATTGGAGCTCTTCGACGGCGCGTAACCTGTGCTAGCGTGGAGTTGGGAGCTGGGAAGGAGCAAAAATCGTTGGAAATCGTAGTTGGTCGTGTCGGCGTGTAACGAGGGAATACCGATGGAAGATTTAAGAAGGTGGAAGTAGACAGGAAAGAAGGATGTGACAGCGCTTTACCGTGACTCGTCACCCAGTCAACAAGATCACGTTGCCGTGCTTGAGATCACGTGATATCGTTTAGCACTTTCACCGGCACCGCTTCGGACCGATGCGGAGTCCGGACCCTGCCAGTGCTGAAGTATTGATCGGACCCGAGCCTCTTGTCACTTTTGAGCAGAACTGACGCAGACACAGTCGAGACGCGCAGTGACCGTCAGATGTATCTTTCCCTTCTGTTCCGTTCATCGAGTGCAAAGGAACGCCGGCCATCACATACTGTAAAGAGCAGTTAGTAAGTTAGTAGTCCATTATTAGTTTCTTACTTCTCAGATGCGTACAGCCCAACATCAGAACAAAAGGGATTGTAAATTGGCAGTCAACTTACGGCCCAGGCTGTTCACTCGGCTCTCCCCTCGTGTTTCAGTTTCATGGAGCACCGTTTCGAGTATGCAGCTTCAGGCCGACGTTGCGGTTAAAGTCCATGTTTTCCTTGTCCCGAAAGTCGGCTCATGAGTACAAGGAAATGACAATGCGACGTAGTAATTTGTCGACGAGTTACGGCATGTAACATCTCGGTCGACGTCCTCGGTCCAACCATGGGAGCAGTGCTACAAGTAGGCCTCAGTGATTCCCCGACCTTTAGTCATCCATAATGTGGACCAACAAACTCGGCTGGGACTTGAATGAAGTCACCAACACCGCGCTATCTCCTCCATCTGTCATGGTTCTAACGCGTCCATATGCCAGGAACTCGACAAAACCAAGCAAATCGTCCATTCTCGACGGACGCTTCAGTGGCGTCTTCAGCCGATCGGGGTAAATTGCCCTCGGATCGGAACGAGCTATTGCATATTACTTACTCCTTCGGACCTGATACACACGAGGTGGATGAGCACGGTGCCTCTCACGGATCGGAACATTATTATTACTTGTCGGTTCGGAGGATACGCTTAATGAATTTTGGGTCTTGTCGTGGCATTTCAAAGCTCGTATGCCGGCATCCCGCTATTACCATTTCACTTGGAAAGGGCTAGCCCTGCTAGTGTTTCCTCCATCTCATTCACCAAGCAGCAGACTGTAGTGTTTTGGTTACTGCTCGGATCCCTTTCGTATTAACAAATATTATAGTTGCATCTCGAACCCTTTGCCTGTCGGAACAAGCGTCATTAATGGGCTGGGCCCCACATTATTCAGCCAACGTGAAACTATGCACTGAACTCCATTGTCCCGTCCCGGTCCTAAACGAAGGATATGACATTCCGTCTTGCTTCATATGAAATGCCCGAAGGCGCCTTACACTTACTACGAGCGACATTCCAGACATGATAATGAAGCATTATTCATTAATACTCTTCGTAATATGCGTACTGAACGTATCGTTCCAAGGAAATGAAAAAAAAGGTCAAGATGCGAACCTGCCAGCACCGACTCTGCACTTTCAATCCGACTCACTCCCCGGATCCAGCTCATGCCAATACCCTCCCTCCTCTCCAGCAGATTCCGAAACCTGAAAAGTTTTCTTCCTCCACAACTTCACCCGCATCATCTTTTCCCGACTAACTCGACCTCCAGAGCCCGAATTCTCTCGCTTAGGCACCGGAGTCCTCACACACGTCTCTCCAGTCCCACTAGAACCAGCACTACTCGGAACTTCCGGTAGCGGTCGATTCCGACTCTCCAGCAGAGGCCCGGGCAACCTCAAAAAAATCCGCCGACACTGCTGACACTCCAGCTGGTCCAACCGACAATACTCTTCATGCGCAGGCCGCCACTTCTCCAACTCCCTCTCCGAGTCCAGGATGTTCAAGCTGATATCTAGGAGTCTCTGCGTTTCCGCATCAGCATCTTTCGTGCGGAAATCTTCTCGGGAGCATTCCCTGTGCTGTAGGATGTACGCAAGAAACGGAGTACCATGTCCAGCATCGCGCCTGGGCCTAGAGTGGAACTGCTCGAACCATACCGATTGGGCACGAGGGTTGTTCGAAATCGCACAGGTGCATTTCCCATCGCGAGTCGCGTGAAAGAGGTAGCAAAGCGGGCCCGACTTGAGAGGTAGAAGGATACTCATACCGACTCCACCAGGATAGGTGAATATGAGAGTAGTCGGCGCGTCTGGATTCTTTGAGAAGCGAGAATCAAAATCTCTCAACCCTTTCTTTATTCTGTTGAGTATCGAAAAGGTCAAAAGCCAGGTCGTAATCCCGAAATACCAAGACGCTCACAGCATTGACTGAATGGGTAAGGACAACTCTGCCGGCGTATCCACTTCAACGTGGATACATGCTATTATGGTCAACGCCCGTTCAAACAGCGGAGAGTGTATCGTATCCACGAGGCTATCAAATTTATGCACTCTGGTTTTTGCATTTACACACAACAGGGCGTTCTACAAACGGGTCAAAATGAAACGCTGTAGTAGAACATAGTACTTAGAGACTCACATCGCGAATCTCTGGCTTCACTAGAGCTTTAACAAAACTCTTCTCTCGGGGCTGCCGTTTCACCATACGCTGACCCATCACAGCTCTGGCTAGATTGAGCGCGCTGATCACCGGGCGGGGCGCATTAAGTTCGTTACGGGAGGTTTCCAAGGCGTAAATATCGCGTGTCAAGGGTCCAATAAGAGCATCGGTTTGCTGGTCCACATCATGTGAAGATAAAATCGTCCATCCATCGAAGGTAGTCATGGCGTCACTGAACTATGTGCAGCTTTCTCCACGCCTTTTAAGTACCGTAAGCATAGAAAGTATGGCACCCAGAGGTGACAACGAGGCTGCGTGGGCTATAGGCGCCCTTGTTGGAGACTTTTCACGCCGGACAAAAGGTTCGCCATGAAAGCTTCCCACAGCCTGCGGAGATCGCGACCCTTTTGTTATGTGCCTAGTCCACATCGTGATCCTAGATTATAACCAATCGGTAACGTGGTTACAATCACGGTGCTTCCGTTAATAAACTTGGAATAATTCGTACACAGCGCAAGCTTGAAAATAGCAGTTGTACGGTGATCTAAAGAAAGCAGGTAGGGCTAGAACAATTGTTGAAACGACAGTCAATGAAGCCGATCACCACAGCGAGCTCAGCACGCCAACGAAGTCCGATGGAAGTCAAGGTTACTCTAAGAACCTTCAGCGTCTTGTGTCGAATTATTACATTTGCCAGTGACTATACGCATACAACAATCATGATCCACGTATCCCAAAACCAAAAGAAAGATGCCACTTTTGCGTGCCTTATGCATTGAACACTTTTTCTCAGCCGCCGACCCACCATCATTGCCTACATCGATGCTTTCCCCTTCGACTTGAGTGCAGCAAAGCTGCTTGGGAAGAGAGGCGATGTACGCTCTTCCACACTAGATGGATACTGTCCAAGACTCAAGGTGGAAAAGGAGGATATGGATGATGGCCTGGAGCGTCTGCCTGTGAGAACCGGACTCCGGCTATGAGGACTGGTGGAAGTGCCAAAACTGGGTCGTCGTGTTCCGGTACTGGAACGACGAGAGATAGTAGGCGACGAGGCCGAAGACATGATACCCAGTGGCGTAGACGTAGACTGGGATGGCGTGGTACTGATACGAAGACCGTGTATTTGGGCCGGGAGTATAGATTCCTCATCTTCTGATGGGGTGGTGCTCGTAGCACTCTCCTCCTCCTCCTTAATTCCGTCCAGGCCAATGCTGTTGTTGGAAGGCGAAGGATAGAAAGGGCTTGTCGTAGGTGATGAAAGAATGGGTTCAATGTGCAAAGGGGAAGACGAAGGCGAAAGTGTCGGTCTTTCGACAGAAGGCCGCTGTGTTGTACTCACGGGCGATTCCATGACCGCATCCCAATCCTCCCAATGACCCTTTGCTTTTCTGCCTCCATCTTCCATGTCAGATGTATCGACTTCATCGTCTGAGATGTCGAGCTCTGGCGGGACGCCTAGGGCACCCTTTACACGCTCCCATATAAGCTCGGAGTGAGCCAGAATACACGCCCGGGCGTGGGTAACCCAGAGCGTGTCAGATGCCTCTTCTCGGGTAGTTTTGACGAGCCAATCATGGAGTTGCGCGTACGACCATTTTGCCGGATCTCCGGCAGATTGTGACTTTGTGCCAGTAAAGGTCAACTGTAATAAGGCAAACAGCCGAGCAGAAGGTGGACTGGAAATAAGTGCAGACACCTCAGCTGGGCGATCAATAAATGGAAGAAGGATGTCATCAGGTAACGGCGTAAAGGTGGGCTGCATGGCGGGCGAACTCTCTGTTGGAGAACGTGCGAGCTGGACGAGCTCCTCGGGGGTCAGGGCGTGGCTAATAGACAGCGAAGCGCGACGAGGGCTCGACGGAGGGTTGAACGACGATGACGCGAAGCTGAGCCGAGGAGCTGGGGGTTGCTTGAGCTGCATAGCTGTCGAACTGACCCGCATTATAGACAGGCGGCTGGTCGACTCTGTGTCGGCGTAGTTTTCATTTTTTCCATACGGATCGTTGGCGGAGATCGAGCCGCGTCGTGTAGAAAGGCGTCTGGTCGTCGTGGACATAGTTATCGCTGTGGTGGTAGTAGTAGTGGAAGAAGGAATGCGATGAGCGCATTGCAAGGATGTATTCAAGTTCAGATCATGTGCCAGATGTTATGACGTAATGACATCATCACCGAGTTCATATTCACCACCCCGTTTCCCAGCTAACGCCGCATCAATAGATCCTACGAACGTGTAAACTTTACTTTTGGCGATACTTTTTACTCCTCAATTTCTGACATCCCACTTGGTCTGCAACATTCGTAGTCGACAGATGCCTTGGAATAATGCGTTTATTGATGAAAGGTCATCTTACTCTGTCTTCAATAGAATCAACCTACACTTCCGAGTTGTCCCGTCGCATCGTCTGGGCCAAGCATCTGGGCCTCCAGAAGAGGACTTGACAGGATGGCTTGGAGCAAGTAAGATGAACGCTTGAAATTAAATTCTCGAAGCTTGGAGTGGACAGGAATGGAGTCTTTGAATTCAAAAGCTTGGCCTATGATCTCACGTGAGGCGGCCCGGACTTGGTGGTAAGACTTCCGAGTTTAACCTTGGACAGGACGCTCACGCGATGCACTACCAGCGTCTTGCTCTGCTTCCACAGCAGCTGCACATCGTCATACAAACAAGATGCGCCTCAACTAGCTCGAGTCCCTTTCCTTTCCCCGCCCATCCCCATCCGACGCCTCACCAGATATTCCACTTGCCATACAATGCATCTCAACAGGATATCAAGGCCAGGTGTAAGCCTTGCTCTATCTGCTCGAGTTTCATTTGATTGCATCCACTGCAGACTATGAACTTGTGCGACATCACCATCCAGATTCGATGTCTTGCCGTGATCTTCCCTCATCAGATCGTCAAGCCCGTTTCCAGGCGATAGCGCACGCATATGATACCCTTCAAGGCAAGAACCCCCAGACAGGCACCCGAAGGGACTGGGGAGAGTATGCAGACGAGTTGCAGCGGAGGAAGAGGAGATGGGAACAGCAGCAGTCGGCAAGATACAACTACGCTCACCCACCTAGATATAAGTGGGAGTCGAATGCTGATGACCGATGGAAGGACAATATGATATTGACCATTGGAGTCGTGGTAAGTCGCTTTTCTGCATTATATCATTGCCGTTCTACTTACACCGATATCACACAAGTCCCTGGTGCTAGGTATCGCTCCCAGTCTCTTGATGCTGCCCTTTTCATTACAGAAAACGCGCCAAAAGCATCTCGAGGTCGCGTCCGACTATTCCAAAGTACGAGCAGAAGCTATGGAAGAAGGCGAGGAGCGAAGGCAGAACATGAAGCACCATGTCAAAGAGATGAAGTTGCAGAGAGATGCTAGAGACGGCCCATCAGATACACCCAATGCATAACGCAGCGAGTATGTTTCAACGGTGAATTCTGCTTCCATTTTGATTTATTGCTTATCAACGTTTTATCGTTGAAATAATGTGAACTTATATTGAGGGCTTCACAGACGAGTCCTTCCTTTTATTCTCGGGTCATGTCGCATAGCCAGTGGACGCTGAGCCCAGATAGGCCAACGTGTATTCCGATATCCTTTCCTAATACATAATAATTACTTTGACGTGGTTTTATGTTGGTCAATTATAATTGACGCGCCAGATACTTCTCAGCGATACGGGGCCCACATCAGACACGACGGTAATGAGATTAACGTTCCTGAAGATCAAGCAGAAATACAGACACCCTAAGGAATCTGTAATCAGTCTACAAAAGGGTCAAAAGGTGATTTAAAAAATCTCACAATTATGTAAAATCCTATTCCCTCTTCTTCGACGCGTCATCCGTCGACCCTTTCTCTATCATGCCGTATATCCGGAACGCCATATCCACAGCCATCCCCAACGGCAGCAAGAAAAAAGGGATATAACTAGACAGCAGCATCCACATTTGACCCGCAGCAAGCTCATCAGAGATAAAAATTTGGAGAACACAAGGAAGAGTCGTCGTTGCTGTCGAAGCGCCGTAAAACAAGATAAGAACGTATATCGAACGGGATCCTGCAGGTGGTTATGATACGGAGTATTGGAAGGGTGTTGTACACACCTTTCCACAGTCCCCTCATGCCCAGCAGGAATACCGGTAATTGGAACACTCTGAAGGAAAGTTGAGGGGACACCGTTATTCCAGAGAAAGGCTCAACGTACAGTTCGAGCACCAAGAAACATTTAAACCAGACCAGCCCCTCCTCGCCTCGAATCAGACCACCTATCAAGGGATCCCCCGAAAATTTAATGTACCATTCTGGTATCCAAGGAAGATACGTGTTGGGATATAGCAAGCCTTGGAAGTCCATCAAGACTGACGCTGGGATGTGACACTGGACATGATTGAGCATAAGCAACAGGTGATGATGTCTCAATACTTGCCAGAAAGAAGGTAAAGTAGACAAGGTCAAGCGGCCTGGCACTGAGAGGAACGCGCTGATCCATGATGGTGGCCAAAAGAAATGATGTAGATGCTTAATTTAGTTTACTGACGCCCACATGATCACAGGATTCGGTTGTGGCACGATTTTCATTTCTCTTTTACACGAGTATCCAAGATATATCCTGCATCGCTTAGTACTCCATGGATCGCTCAATAATCCTTGTCAGATACTCTCGCCCATCCTCTCCAGCAACATTTCCAATTCCAGGTGCTAAATCCAAAACTCGCCTCTGGGGAATGGCACCATCAACAAGCTTGTCAATGTCGCTGGTAGTGTATCTTTGTTCATGTGTTAGTGTCTATCAAGTCCACGTTCTGTGCTAGATACGTACCCTAGAGCCTTCAAGCCTCGAGGAACTCCAACTCCATCCAAGAAACGCGCAATGGCTTCATATAGGTGGGAGCCTATATCGGAATCAGGGATAGATGTGATAGAAGGATCAGAAGGTGGTCGTGTTTGTGAATACCGCTAGTACTTGACGATGGCGATCAGGAGACGAAGGAGCAGTGAATTGGAAGACTAGGCCCAGAAAAGTTAGTATGGAAAATTGAATACCATAAAAACGCATTACCTGCGGGACCGGTGATAGAAACACTTGACACAAAATTTTAAGCATTTTGACAGCGATCTTCTCGGACAAAACATACCTGACACCATGAGGAATGATAGGAGTGTCAACGAGATATCCGGGGTGCTTATACTTGGGTCCCTTCTTGTTGAGACCAGATATCTGAAGCAAAGGTTAGAAATAACTTGCGAGAACAGAGGGTATTTACAGGATAACTCATTCCCGTGGCATAAATGCACACCAGCATTCCCAAAGCCGATACCAGCAAACTGATGATGCCAACCTGGACATGCGGGTGAGTACACGCGCTGGAAGATGGAAAATCCCCTGCTTACAGCATCTGTCGCCTTGCTTCTTCATCATCTGGATTCTTTGCTATGCGAGGCAAGTATTTGACAGTAGTTTGTAGTGCCCACATGGAAAAGATGTCAGCGACCGGATTGCTTCCTTGATATGCGGGTCGCAATATCGGGTTAGCTGGACGGGGTACGCGTTCCGTATACCTGCATGTCATAAGCACGTTTATTACAGAAGCTAAAAAAACCGATGTACGGAATGGCTGTATAGCTTTCCATACTATGGAACAGGGTGTCCAAGCCCGAACTAATCTGTACCTCTCGAGGGCAAGATTCCGTGTTCATGGCGTCCTGTATTACTGAATAGGATCAAATCAGAAATGGAACAAGATGGGGTACATACAACAATTCCAAGCACAGGCTTTAGGCTCGGCTAGCAATGCCTGTCTTAAACGAACGAGACGTAATGTCCAGGAATGGCTGCACCAGTGGTCTCGGAGCCTGTCCCTGCTGTAGTAGGGATGGCAATGAGAGGCGAGAGTTTCTCGGAGATAGGTAGTCCTTTTCCAACTGGCGCGTTGATGAAATCCATGAGGTCGGCGTCTTTATACGTGTTGAACCTTTACCAACTTCAGTATTGGCCCTCCAAAAGGAAGTAGAACGTACAGATTAGCAGCTTTGGCGGTATCTATGACACTTCCACCACCGACACTGCAATATTTACAATGAGTCTCTGATGACTGAAATGGCGAAGCTGCCTACGCCAAGAAGTGACTAAAGTCATGTGTTCTTGCCCACGCAATAGCGTCTCTCCAGCTTTCCTCTGTCGGTTCGGCGACAACCCTGTCATAGACCTCGAATGGCAGATCCGTCTGTGCCTCCAAGGAAGCCAAGGCCTGTGTAATTGTTACGGTCAAGTTCATCCGCCAGTTCACGCGAGCAGGAATATACGTTTTTCATTGGTCGGAGCTTAGCGATGTTAGGATCCGTGAAAACGCCAACCTGTACTCAGTGAACAAAACGAAACAGAGTACCCAACACGTTCAAATAAATACCTTCCGGGCGTTCATGTTTCTGAGATCCATCCCGACCTCGGAAGTAACGCCATCCCCAAATCGCAGGTTAGACGCAGCAACCTAGCCCATCGTTTAAGCATATATCCACACTATAAAGCGGCAGACATACTTCAAACGCATATTCCTTCTCTATAGGTTGCACCCCGGGCGACGCGAACCGTCTGAGCTGGTTGAGACCATGGGCGTGTCCGTGAGTACGAGAGGTAGTATTGCACGTATGGCATGGGCAGGCAGAGTGCTGGGAGGCATTGATGAGGCGAAGGATGGTATTTCTGCTGGCAGACATGGTGGGAGAGGTTACGTCGTTCGTGCGATAGGAATGCGGGGTACAACCCCACGTGTCAAGTCCACTGATCGTGCCGCCGGAACTTGTAGACCAAGTTAGGGGCTAACGGGATTAACTTTGGTGCTGTTGGCTTCCTAGTATCGCGCCAAGCCGTCGCTGCTGTCCTTTTCAGGCCTCATTGACGCGTCCGAGCTTGTAAAATATTGGGAAAAGCGCTCAAGTGGCCCGCGGCCGTCCCTCAGGATCATCATTGAAGCGCCAAAGGCCGAGGCGAGAGAAAAAGTACCCAAATTTTGACGATGGTACTCCGTCTGTCCGTAGCTCATCGGCCGTAGTTCTCGTGTAATAAATATGAAGGCCCCGAGATACAACATGAAATACTTCGACACCTAATCACTGATTTCCAAAAGAATACGACGGTGACGGCATCTTCACACCAAAGCCATACGCCCCCTCAGCTTCTTCTTTCCTGCTAACCATCGCGTATGTATGCTCTCCAGAAAACGGGTTCACATGGATCACACCTCCAACAAGAACCTCCGTATCTGAATCTTCTCGCTGCTTCAAAATTTTCTTCCACGGATTTGGTGTCCTGTCAGAATGAACACAATCCCGCTCCACACTGAGCCAGGATAGTGTTTAATAGCTTCCCATACATCCCAGCGTCTCCTGAAAGTGAGTTTTACCACTTCGTAAATCGGTTCAATGGCTATGGTGGCGGCTAGAATCTGCATCACTGTGAGAGAGGCAAAGCGAAGGTGGATGTGAATCAAATACCTGTCCGAATCCTAGAGGATCAAAGTCATCTTCCGGTTTGACTGTGTACTGGTAGTCGGGTTCGTCACTGTGTAAGGCATGCACCAATTCGTCATACAGCTCTTCCATGTCCGGGTAACCAGACACCCATATCGCCCGCCCATAATAGGATAAGCTATGAAAGCCTGCGAAAAAGACTAGCCACCGATGGGAACGAAAGACCACAACGCTAAATTTATAAATGGGTGAACACCTAGTCTAAAAGGCAGAAGACACTGTGACGTACTAGTTGGATACAGCAAGGATCCGTACAAAGTTCCAAGGAATCTGCAAGATGCGAAAGAACCTCCACTTTATGACTCTTCCCTGACGCCATTTGTACTCTCTGTATATATCCTTGCAATGTCGGAGAGTGTAAAGGAGATACATGAAGAGAAGAACAGGAATGAAAAATGACGCAAACTCGAAAACCACTAGGCCAGTGAGCAATCGGTAGAACAACCACCCTTCGAAGGAGGCTGTCGTGCACCTCTCTCCTTCGAAGACATGGTCGGGGGCAACATAAATGATGCATTCGAGGACGATCCAGATAACGAGCATGAGAGTCGACCAGATCGCGGTCCATCTCTTGGAGTCACCAAGACGTTCGTATAACCCAGTCGATTTTCTCATTACCAAGCGGAACGTGCTGTAAACGAGGTAGAGGGAGAGCGGAGAAATGGTGATGGTAAACACGAAATGTGCATCCGCGATCGAGAGCTTTTTGCGCCATAGACTAATGAATGTCGCTAGGAAAACCGTGTATGCCTGCATCAAAATAACATAGACGGATGCCTTGACATTCTCACGCGACCATGTCATGAGGATTGCTGGGAAATATGTCAATCAAGACGGTCGGATAGATTCAGAAAATTGGAGCGTACCAAGGCAAACGTTGGCGATGTATGCTGCATATTGTTGTCATTAGCCATGTCTGTAAACTCGAGGGACAAAACATACTGGACAATCGGACTGCGTAACCTTCAACATCAGGATTGCGGTCACTCTGCGCGATGCAGTCCCAATACGCAGTTACTTCATCGTATGCCGTATCACTGAGCGTGCTATTTTGAGAGCTGCTCATGTCGGCTCGACGTGTTCGTCAAGGAAAAGTTGGGGCATCAGCGAGATCATAATCACTAGAAGTAATACAGGAAGTAAGCGCTGGACCCTGCAAAATGTTAAGGGTCGAACCTAAAACGAAATTCCCCTAGCGATGTTACCAGGGTCGCATGCGGTGAGTGGTTTCATGTTCGTTTCGATTTGCGAAAGACATTCAGAGGATACAGATAGAAAAAAAGGTTTGCACAGCGAGAGGGCGATATGGTTCGTAGAGGGTCGTAGCGAATGACCCTTAGTCTCTCCTTTCCGTCTAAGATGAAATCTCGATAGGAGAAACAAGCATCTGGTCCGGAGGACACCGGAGCCGAACATCAAATCAGGAGGTGCAGATGAACGCTTCATAGTGGCTTGATGCGGTACCTGCATTACCTGCATATGAACACGTACGCGACCTTGCGCGAGACTACCGAAGGGACAAAAACCTCTGTCTCTGTCGTATAAACGGGAGCGTCAGACTCGAGAACGGATAGCCTTAAATGGAGCCTAATGAAGCACACTGCTCAGCGAGAACTGACTGATTGTTCCTTGTAAACTTACCTCACTGGTATATATCAGACAGAAACTACGACGGATGATTATACTCATTATTCACGAATGTCAAAGGTTGTCGACGGGGACATCTTATTTCGAGGTATTGCTATACCGCATAGGCACTTGCGAGAGATCGAACAGACCTGCTAGTTCGAAATCTATGCTGCAGATGCTGAGGCTCGCCGTAACTGTTGCGATCACTTCTAGGAAGATCTCGTTTGTTGTGAACCCACCTCCGACTCCAACTGACGCTGTTCAACTACTGGCCTACGTCGCCAGTACAGATTCTGAGTGTGACGATGCAATCGGTAGCATCGCCGGCGTCAGCATGGATGTCGCCAGCGGTGGTTGGGTACCAGTTGCGAAGGTGCAAGGGCATTCTGTGAGTCGTCGATGGGTCAGAATAATGTGAAGTCAGATTTCAAAGACTTACCGCCGCAAAGTCACTCTCTGATCAAATAAAATTCATAGCTTATATTATAATATGATACCGCGTCGTCCCTTGAGGTATTCTAGAACCTTGCGCCCTGGTCGCATTCGCATATTGTTCACTTCATCCCAGTCTTGAATATTATGCAAAAGAGAGGTGAGGATTTGTCCATAACACAAGAAAATTAAGCGAGAAAGTGTAAGTAGACCAGAAGAGTTAACCTGAAGAATGCATGGTATATACTAAAAGACCAAGGGTATTGGAAAGCGAATCAGAAACCCTCCGCTTCACCACCATACTGCTTTGGCACTTCCTTAGCATCGATGATAGGAAGAAGTGCCTTACCGATAGCCGGGGCTCCCGAACCAACCACTGACATTTTAGCCAGGGTGTTGGCAGAGATGAGAGGTTTAAAAAGCCAGAAGATCCACGTAAGATAGGCCGGTACGTTGACAAAGAACTTCTTGTACAATAATTCCGGGTAGTGATCGGAAAAGATGCTCGATGCTTCTGATGCGGCCTGCTTGGAGTTGGCGTCGCGGCTAGAAAGGCTCACGCCGGCGTAGTCTACGAAGGGCTCCAATTGAGGACATGTGCTACGGAGGCAAGTATTCAAAACTTACCGTGAATTTGTACGGTTTGATCCACGGTCTCAAAGTCGAGCAATGCCAAGCTCTTTTCCATGAGGGATACACGCCATCTGACAATGCATTCAGGATGAAAGGCTTATATACACATTCGCGAAAGACATACCTGAGGAAACGTTGAACGTCGCTGAAGGCAACCTTGACGTTCTTAGCTCCATAAATATTATACCTAAACACTTGTCAACATGACTACAATGACCACGAAAATGCAAAAAACATACACGACGGGCCTGTCTTCCTTGTCCTTCCCATACACGTGCCCGAGGGGGTCAAAGATATCAGCCGGAAACTCTTCCTTCATGGCCGCCTCGACGTTGAACTCAGAGCGCCATCGCAGCGTGCCGATCAGCATCGAACGCGCCTCAGTTGACATTGAGATACCTATGGAAATAAGATGGTGAAAGAAAAATAAAGAATAATGTCAGCCTACCTTGCACGGAGAAATTTCATGAGAACGACGCTGACTTTCGCGTCTATAGGGTTGGCTGGATCAATTTTCACACCCCAAAGGTTTATGGCTGTCGTCTTGGCATCCGCCTTGTCAGGGTATCCTTCAGCAAAAACTTTCCGGTAATTTGGTCTAAGAAAGAGCAGATTCGTGAGTGCGCAAAGGGCTTGGAGAATAGAAAGTGCACGCACCCTGAACTCTTTGAGAGCCTTCCACTCTTCTGTTGTGAAGCGTTCAGTTAATGAATTCTGAGGCTCATCTGCCTCCTTCTTATCTGACTCTGAAGGCGCCGTTTTTGCCTCTACAGCAGCTACTAGGGCAGCGGCGGGCTCAGGCTTGGATTCAGAGGCAGGAGCTACAGCATCAGCGGGCGCTGCGACGTTCGACAGTCATTTGGGAGGAGGCAATGTCTGTAGAGGGTGCAGGCACGGGTTCTGGTGCGGTGGAAGCTGCGGTGGCCTTCTCAGTCTCGGACATTATAAGAACACGTTGCTATAGAGTGGTGTGAAAGTAGATGATGATGAACGTAAATTGCGAAGTTATCTTTGCTTATCTGATAAGATGGAAGTCGCGTAAATAAATAAATAAATAACTGTCAAAATACTTTAGAACGGCTCGTTTGGTTCGCTACGCTGCCTGCAAATTTGGAGACGCACATTGCTACTTTTAGGTCGCCGTCGGTCCTTGCGACTTTATTGAGGGGGAAACATTCTTGGAAATTTCCTGTAGATGTTGTCCGGCAAGGTTCCGACCTCAAGGTCCTCCAAGATGAAATAAATACAAGGCTTTTGAGTTGTCGACGGCGTTCATTACTGGGCCAGGGCATGTGTATGAGCGCTTGCTGACAGCTGAGTTGTATTAGTACGGATAAACTGTGCATATGGATATACTGATGGGCCGATATGATAAGTATAATATACTTACTGCCTAAAAATTGGGAGTATCCATTGGGCATCATACGTAGATGCACCATTATTATCAGCTATATAGTGGACTTTGCGAAGGCACTGCAGGCCGGAAACAAGTAAGTAAAACACCAACTTGAAGTAAAACAAGCGAGAAACACAACGGATAAGATGACATAAACTTCCCACGCGGCCCTGGGCGCCACACCGCTGAATACTTTGACGAATTCGAAAAACTTCATCACTTTCACGGGAGTTGCCTTCTGCAGGTCGCCTCTACATTTCGAGTCCATCTATGTCAGCTCGTTGATACCAGCAACCGCCTTTCTTTACATCGACCGACATGCTCGACCACACCACCCTGCTCAATGGTTACCACGACAAGCAACGACAGAATGTAAACGACTCTTGGGGCCAGCCTACCCTGCCTTTGTACGCCAACGATTGGAGCAATGACCGAAAGCCCCGACTCGATGACATTCGCAGAGGTGCAGTGACAACCCTGTCGCATGTCAAGCAGTACATGGGGAAGCAGTGGACTCGAACAGGGGAGACAGGAGGGCGGGCCCTGACGAACCCGTCGTCGCCGCCTTCTAATCTCCTTTTCATCTTCCTATGCAGCCTGTGGTACACCTCATCTGCCCTTTCTTCCAACACCGGCAAAGCTATTCTCAACCAAGTTCCGCTACCCTATCACCCTAACCTTCGTCCAGTTTGGCTTCGTCGCCATTTACTGCCTCCTTTTCATGTCACCCATCATCAGGTTCACTAGACTAAAGAGACCGTCGCGAGCTATATTTCAGAGTACATTGCCGATGGGTCTATTCCAGGTCGGAGGACATATCTTCTCGAGCATGGCAATGTCAACGATTCCTGTCAGCACGGTACACACTATCAAGGTCAGCTTATCGTGGTATCAATTCCACTCTAGCTGACATCATTTCACAGGCACTATCACCGTTGTTCACTGTCGCCGCTTATGCCCTCTGTTTCCGAGTTAGCTATTCAGCCAAGACATATGTCTCTCTCCTCCCTCTTACCGTCGGCGTTATGCTGGCCTGTTCCTTCGACATGACCGCATCAAATTATATTGGCCTGCTATGTGCATTTGGTTCCGCCATAGTCTTTGTCAGTTCAAACATTTTCTTCAAGAAGGTCATGCCATCCAACGACTCGTCACAACCGTCCCATGCCAAACTTGACAAGCTGAACTTACTGTTCTACTCCTCCAGCATGGCTTTTTTCCTCATGATTCCCATATGGTTGTACTATGACCTTCCCGTGCTCCTTGCGGCATCTCACAACCCGGAACATGTTGTACATCCCAGTCATGCTCATTCGGCCCTCCATTCTGTCAGCTACTACTTCTTCATGAACGGCACGGTGCATTTTGGTCAGAACATCATCGCCTTCATCATCCTATCATCGACATCACCCGTCACCTACTCTATTGCTTCCCTTATTAAACGTGTTGTGGTCATCTGTGTCGCCATCGTATGGTTCAATCAATCCGTTCACCCAGTCCAGGTGTTCGGAATCGGTTTGACATTTACGGGATTGTACATGTATAACAACGCAAAGGCCGATGTTGATCGTGGGGAGAAGAAGTTGAGGAGAGTTGAGGCTGCTCGCGATTTGATGCTCCCGAGCACCATTGCCGAGTCTAAGATGATGTCGGGAACAGAGTCGCCTCCAGCGGCCATGGTTCACTCTGCAAGGGAGGGTGAAACTACGGGAGCAGCTGTGACATGGAGTGGTAGGTCAAGAGCCGCCTCAATACATTACCATCATCATCCTCCGCATCCTGCTGCAAACCTCTCGGTGAAAATTACGCCTCCAATCCTTAGTTCCAAGTTTTCTCCCATCAAGGAAGGGAAACTAGGGTCGCCGACGGACTCTTATCCTTCTCCGCCGCCTTCCCTCGACTCCCCGCCTTCGCACTCGATACACCTTGGATATCTGCACGATCATTCCAAGCATCCGCTCAATTCCCAGCGTGTCGGCGTTGTCGTGGCGTGATTTATACTTATTGGATTTACTAAGTTAGAAGAAGCAGAACATATACCTCTCTCTACTGGGCACTGAACTACTCATATACTACAGAACCTTTGGGCAGCATAGTAGACCGCATAAATTAAATAATCGGACTTTTGATTCATGAGTTGCTTACATAGCTCGGTCTTAGACACATCTTTCTGTATATTTTCCATTTTGTAGAGGACGCAGGCAGCCTTGTACACACCTTGGAAGTAAATGCACAGCCACCTATCAGGACTAGCTTCTTTCAACAATGTCCAAAAAGTCCAAGTCCTCTGCAAAGGCGTCATCCACTCTTCACGATTATTTTTCACGGCCTCGGACATCGAAGGGAACCACGAGCACGGCAACACCTAAGGCAAGAGTGAGACCCCCACCGGTAGCGAACCAGAATCGCAAATTTGTACTGCCGCCTTCTGAAGATATCATCGTGATATCTGACGATGATGATGATGAGGGAACTCCACGGCAGACTAGTTTCAAGAAACGAAAGCGAACATTGAGCAATAGCTCTGGGGAGGTCGAAATCGTCGCGGTGCACCTGGCAGAGCGCGACGAAAATGAGGAGCCGCTGTCATTTGGAAAGCCAACCGAACTGCTTCTCTCTTCAAGTCCACCCGTAGTTCTGGAGCATGAAGATGGGCCTGCAGAAGAGGGCCTCGCGTTCGGACGACCCACGACGCTGCTGCTGTCCTCTGAAGCAGGCCCCTCTTCTGACGTTGACACGGGCGACGTTCTGGACGTTGATGAATGGGGTACTGGAGACGACGAACGGGAGTTTCAGGATGACGACGAAGTGGAAATCTTGGAGGACGTTACGGAGCAAAGCGCAGTGCTAACCAACCCTGGCGACGCGTCCGCCCGACGTGCGAACGAGGATTTAGTGCTTACAGTATGTCATTGGCTCCTCCATTGTTGTCAATATCTAATATTCAGTGGTAGGATATCCATAGCCACGTCCAGACATGCCTGAATGCGAAACCTACGCGTCCACCTCTAGACAATGGGAGCAACGCGTTTGCAGTGTTAATGTCTTCACATAAGGAGAACGAAGCATGGAAGGAAGCTACGACCATGGAAGATCGCACCTTCCGGCCTAATAACAGCAATGGCGGTCGAAGGAAAGCGCCCTTTTACAAGGTTTTGCAAGGCATGCCCATCGCAGTGGATGCATTCAAGTATGGCCCTATTCCAGGGGTCACTGCATACTTTTTAACGTTTGTATCTGTTGCATGTCGCGTCTATTACTCAAAGTTCATCGAGGCTGTAGGCACGCTCACTCGGACCATTATACCAACTTGTCGTCCTCTTGGACAAATGGGCCCATCTACTGCTCCGAAGGAACCGCAAATCTTATAATGCATATGCTCAGGGTGCCTAAGAACTGGGTGCATCCTCTTCCCATGGATAAACCGACTGTCATCCCCAATACAGGCGGTGTACAGGTTACCCTCATTGAAGCGAACCATTGCCCTGGGTCTTCCCTTTTCTTTTTCGAAGGCAGACAGACTGCCAATGCTGGAGATAGCACCTTCAAATCCGTCTTTGTAGGAAGTTCAAGAGTTTTTCGGTACTTGCACTGTGGCGATTTTCGCGCATCGCCAAGACACGTTTTGCATCCTGCGGTGAAAGGGAAGCGGATAGATCATGTATATCTGGATACAACATACTTGGATCCTAAGGTGAATCCCCGTCGTTCTCCTGGATATGGAAGCGGTTTTGATTATTATCTCAGTATACATTTCCTCCCCAGCCTCTGGTTATCTCGGCGTGTGCTGAGCTTGCAAAGCACATAGTCAATGGATCTGTCGTCAAGGACAAGGGTGCTAGAATGAATGGTTGGTTAAATCCTGCTCCTCCCAAGGAAACAGGGAAGCAGAAATCAGACCGGATCCTAATGGTTGTTGGGTAAGCTTGGTCAAAGGTTCAAACTAGTCATCCCGTCGTTTATGCTCCCCATCTTCTAGCACGTACTCCATTGGCAAGGAACGAATTGTTAAAGGTGTTACCTCCCATCCTGTACTCGTCTTGTACGCTTTACTCACACCTCGTTGATTTAGCTATGGCCCAGGCACTGCAAACCAAGGTGTACTGTGATGCCCGCAAAGCAGCTATCCTTCGCTGTCAATGTGATCCAGAGCTACATTCATTGCTGACTTCAAATCCCCTTGATGCCCTTGTCCATCTCGTTCCTCTTGGTGTCATAACATCAGATCGACTGAAGGAGTACGTTGAACGATTTAAAGGACATTTCAGCCGAGCTGTAGGATTCAGACCTACCGGATGGACGTGAGTTCTTTAGTTTGCTTTTGCCATACTACGTTCCGACAATCCGCTTGCAGATACACACCACCTGCCGGGATGGACTTAATGCCGTCTGTCTCGACCGTCATAGCACGCTCGCAGAAGAACTTATTCACACATGCCGACCTGGTTCCAGCACGTAATTCTACCAGTGCGCTGCAGTTATATATGGTCCCATACTCAGAGCACTCTAGCTTCTCTGAGCTAACGTGTTTTGCCATGTCATTTCAATGGACCAAAATGATAGCTACTGTCAATGTAGGCAGTGAAAACTCTCGGCAGAAGATGGCAAAATGGGTGCAGAAATGGGAAGCGGAGAGGAAGAAAAAGGGGAGTAATTATGTGGTAGATTATCGGCAGCCGGATTACTGGTAAAATATCATGTAATTTTCCTCAGGCCTCACAAAGTCGCAACGCTTGGGATATCGACCATGGGTTGCATGACATAAATTGAATGTGGAAGTAGGAGGTCACACAGACACAACATAGCACATAAAGAACATCTACTCCGCCGTGGCCCGTTTTCGCCTAACGTCACGCTCCTCAGAGATAGTGAGTTTGACACCCTTACCCTTAGGCAGCGATATCCAAGGCTTGGCGCCCTCACCAATGACGAAAATGTTAGATACCCTAGATTCTGGATTAACGACGCAGGTAACAATAAGCAGAATGCATACCGGGTAGCGAATGTTCGGTCCAAGGAATCCTTGACGTGAACAATATCGAATCCTCCGACGTGCTTCTCTCTGTGTACGATAACACCAACACGACCCATGTTACGACCGCCCGTCACCATGACAATGTTGCCAGTGTCGAACTTGACAAAGTCGACGATTTTGTTCTGTTCAAGGTCGAACTTGATGGTGTCGTTGACCTTGATGAGGGGGTCGGGATACCGGATGGTTCGGCCATCATGGGTGACAACATGGGGGATACCACGGGCACCAAAAGCGACCTTGCGGACCTTGAGGAGCTTGTAGCTGGCTTCTTCAGCGGTGATGCGGTGGATCGTGAAGCGACCCTTGACATCGTAGAGTAGACGGAAGTACTCGCCAGACTTCTCGATGGAAATGACATCTGGACGACGCTGAATACATGACTACCTTTCCAGATAGATATTTGGACTCACCCTGGAATCCAGCAGGGTAGGTAGCGTCAGTGCGCACTTTTCCGTCAATTTTGATGAGACGCTGCATGACGATAGCAGTGACTTCACGACCAGTAAGGGCATACTTTAGACGGTTGCGGAGGAAGACGGTGAGAGGGAGGGATTCGCGAAGCTTGTGGGGACCAGGCGAAGGACGGGGAGCCTATGTCAATGAGGCTACTAAATATTCTCGTTCCAACTCGAAAAATGGCACAACGTACGTAGGTCCCGCTGAGCTTGTCCAACATCCATGATGAGGGCGCTGAAAGGCGCTTCAAATGCTTTTTGGGTCCCCTGGCCTAGAGAAAGGAAAAGTTGGGTCAGTTCCGTATACGCGATCCAAAGTCATCCAAACGAGAGACGCTGCATCCAGCTATTGCGGCCAGAGATTTTGCATGGAATTGCACTGAACAGCATCCCAGTAGGGCAGAGAGAAAGCGTACGGACCATGATTGCTTCAGAGTGTCTTGAAGAGTCTTGAGGAGCGAGTCGCCGTTAACAAAAGTTTGTTGGGGTCCGTGGGCAGGGCGTGACAAGAAGTCACAAGAGGTCACACAAAGCAAAGTTGTTGGTACACATACGTAAATACTGGATTTCCTTCCGGAGTCCACTTTCAAGTCAGTGCCTGTCTGTATTTCGTCCGACCGCAGTCGCAGTTTGCTGTTCTTTTCTATATTACTTCTTCTGCTAACTCGAAGTATATCAGCACTCAAGATGTACACTATGTATTTCTCCTGAAAACGGTAGTCATCCGGCACATCCTGGTATAAATTCGCCTCTTCGGTATAGTACTCACGCACATTTCCAATGATAACCGCCATTTGCTGAGATAAGTACTTACATCAGGGGCACGGGTCGACTAGTTCCCCGGGGTCAAGTGCAATCGATTATCGTCTGATTCGAGTCATATATAACTGGTCGCGAATTGCGTATCTGGTCCATCTACCCGCCATGCCTGCAGAACTCAGACCGACATCTATCCTTCATCGGACGCCCTGGAGGCCTCCTGTAGCTACCAGTGCCAAGGGAATCCAAATACAGCTCGAGGATGGAACTACTCTTATAGATGCCGTCGGTGGTGCGGCCGTAGCGTGCATCTGGCAAGCAACCATCCAAGTGGTTAAACAGGCTATTAAAGGATCAAGTGGATAAAGTTTCCTGTAGGTCATGCTTCTGCATCGATATCCCAGTTCCTGACATGCGATAAAGATGTGTACAACATGCAACTATCCAATGAACCGGCAGAGGAACTTGCAAAGTATCTGGTTTCCACCGGGGGCGGCGCGTTCGATCTATGTGGCTTCGTGTCCGGAGGTTGGTATATTATACTCGCTACACTGGCACCTATTCTAAGGTTGATTTACAGGTTCCGAGGCCATGGAAGCCGTGATCAAGCTCGCGAGGCAGGTTAGTTAAACTCACCAGACTACGATAAGCGTGTATGCTTAACTTCATCATTCAGTACTTCTATGAAACAGGTCAACCCAAGCGCACAAATTTCATCGCACGACAATTGTCCTTCCACGGGAACACTGTCGCAACGCTCTCACTCGCTCACCACGCGGCACGTCGCGCTCCATATGAGGCTATTCTCGATCACGGGAACTTCCATCACGTTTCACCGGCGTATGCTAAACGGTTCCAGCTACCGAACGAAACAGAGGAACAGTACGTGGAAAGGCTGCGGAAAGAGCTGGAGGATAAGTTCATCGAACTCGGTCCTGATACCGTTGTTGGATGTGTGTTCCTTTATTGATCTCATGACGTCAAGATTTTCCTGACATTCTCTCGGCTAGTCGTTGCAGAAACTGTTGTTGGTGCGACGACTGGAGTAGTCGCTGCACCCAAGGGGTACTTCAAAGCAATGAAGTCTGTTTGCGACAAATATGGCGCTTTGTTCATCCTTGATGAGGTTTGTCTTGGACAACATTTCTGTGCCTCTTTCTAACTCGTGTGATTTCCAGGTCATGAGTGGAATGGGAAGTAAGTGCCTATCTTTTTATGAGTGGGTTTATCAACGGACATTGAATTTCGTAGGAATGGGCTGTTACCACGCGTGGGAACTATATGGCGACGGTATCGCAGTGAGTGATCATCGATTTATCATCAGCATCTGGCTTCGATTGATTGATATCTCTGTTTGCGCAGCCTGATATCCAGGCTGTAGCTAAAGGCCTTGGAGGAGGGTGAGTAATGATTCTTTGGATTGGGTGCTTTATTCATGCCTACACAGGTATGCATCAATAGGCGCTGTTCTGATGTCCAAAAAGGTGGCGGACGGCATTCGTGATGGTTCAGGATTCTGGAAGCACGGGCACACATACCAGGTTTGCGATCTGTATACCATTTCAACCAAGTGCATTAGTAACCTTTCATCGTGTATTTAGGCTCATCCGCTGGCTTGTGCAGCGTCTCTCGCAGTACAGAAAGTGATTCAGTCAGAAGGCCTTATCGAAAACTGTCGGAAGCAAGGTGTTTATCTAGGTCAGAGTGCTGGTCCTTTCGGCCGGTGATCATTGATATTGATGACTGGACTAGGATCTCGACTGAAGGAGCGTCTGCAGGGCCCCAACTCCTTGGCAGCTCCGTTTATCTTCGATATTCGAGGAGGAGGCGGATTCTGGGGCATTGAGCTAGACTTCACATCCCCTGAAGCGGCATCGTACAGCCTCAAGGGCAAGCCGGTTGGTATTCTTGTTCAAGAGCGCGCCTTCGAGAAAGGGCTTATCGTCATGGGGATGACGGGAGGCGCCATTCGGGAAGGCGTCGACGGGAACCATGTTATGCTGTCGCCTGCTTACAATGTCACAACTGAGGAGATCGATAAGATTGTGGATATTCTGGGGGATAGCATAGACGAAATTTTGCAAGAGCATAAGGCTTAATTCTGTAGGTGTAGAATGATAATAAGTGAAGAAATACAATAAATGGCGTATCACTGGTACGCCACCTTACATAAGGCGGTGTGGTCAAGGGTGTTTGGGCCTTGCTTGGACACAGACGCTCTTGGACTCCGACCACAACTTGGAGCACGGCTCTGGGCATCCTCCCTTCATTTGCACGTACGACGACTGGATCGATGGCTGGCTGCATCTAAATGGACTTGTCATCATCTCATCAACAGGAAGCCACCGCCAGCTCTAGTTCGTCTACTCACCTCGACCTCGACTCATTACCCACTACTGGACCACGCTCGCTGCGCTCGAGTGCACGGACCAAGGCCGCAAAGAACAAGTCAAAGGACAAGGGAAAAGCAAAAGAACGCGATACGGGCCTTACAGAGTCATCGTCTGCCCAACCAGCGACAGAGTCTAGCTCCACACGGACCACCCGAGCCGCCACGAAAGCCAAACGAACCAAAGAATCTACCGCAAATTCCAAACCAAAAGACTTATCCGACGAGTCTTCACGCCAATCCAGACGGTATGCTTTTTGGTACACATACGGTCTGTCTATCGTTGCTAATGATACCCTAGAACCCGTAAAGGCGCATCTTCTACATCGACAGCCTTAACTATCAACGAACCACTCAAGGATCCCAAGGGTAAGAAACGCGCGGCACCAGACACTAACTCCGACGACGACGCTCCTGGCCCTTCCAAACGTGCAAGAACTACCGCATATTCCCTACGTTCCCAGTCTATCTCCAAACCCGCTAACATGCCCCGAAAGACCCGGTTTGTCATCATCTTTCATGTGTCCACCAGTGACTAATAGATCTCCAGTTCATCAGCCGCTGTGAAAGGAAAGATGGCCATACGATCTAAAGCAATGGCTGTCGCCAGCTCCTCTCGCCTCGAAGACGACGATGTTGATATGGGTGACTCTGACTATAAACGAGAAGAATCTGATCATGACGAACGAATGGAAGACCCCGTCGAAGATGGGAATGACCACGACAGCGCAGGATCAGAAGATGACCATGATCCAGGACCAGGAGATGGGCACGATGATGACGGAGATGATGATGATGACGATGAGGGCGACAATGATGTCCTAATGCCTTCAGGACCAGGAGGTGGTATACCCGGGGGGTTGGATGAGACGACTGCCATGGCTATCTTCGGCGACTATCGTCAATTTGGCTCTTACATGCTCTCGCTCTCATCTCGTCTCAGGACAATGCTGAACAACATCAAAAGCACTGCAGACCCTACCACTCGCCTGGTCACCCTACAGGAGCTCAGCGAATTGCTAAGCATCAGTACCGAGGACACCCTGGCCGGCTCGTTCCAGGTAGAGCAGTTTGTCCGGGAACTTGTCAAAATTCTAGGAGGACGCGGTGCAGACAACGATGAAGACGAGGATGCGGATGAAGAACATCATGAACGAGATGAGGATGCTGCATTAGCCGCCGCATTGGCCATGAGCACCGGCAACATATATCAAGGAGATAGCAACCTGGAAGCTCAGGTGCTTGCATGCCGATGCCTGGCCAATCTAATGGAGGCGCTACCTGGTGTGGCTCATACGGTTGTCTACCATGGTGCCATTCCCGTTCTCTGCAGTAAACTCATTGAGATTTCATACATTGACCTCGCTGAACAGACTTTGAGCGTGTGTTATCTCTCTCATTTCCATACTTCCCTTGACTGATCAATTTCTCCTAGACTATGGAGAAAATTTCAGAGGAGTTCCCAAGCTCCATTGTCCGCGAAGGAGGGCTTGCTGCTCTACTCAACTATCTTGACTTCTTTTCCATCGCAGTGCAAAGAACTGCTCTTCAAGCTGCATCTAACTGCTGTCGCAATATATCACCAGACCATTTCACCATGATTCAAGGTGTATGGCCTATCATCAGAAATTGCTTGGCGTACTCAGATCAACGACTGGTTGAATTCGCTTGCTTGTGTGTCATTCGGGTCATAGATTCATATCATCGATCATCGACGGAGAACTTGGAATCTTTGGTCGATACAGCATTGATCCGGGCTATTAACCAGCTTCTCATGCCTTCAGGTGGTTCTTCCATGATTGCGGCAAACACGTTCACTCTTCTGCTGCGTGCCCTCGCTACAGCTGCCAGGTGTAGTCCAAAGATCACTATCGCGCTCCTTGAAGCGGATGTTGTGGATACTTTGTATCAGATCCTCACTGGAGTCCTTCCACCTAGCAGTGAAAATGGATATGAACAGGGTAACTCTTCCGGAGGACAGGGTCTCGGAGGAGGTCTTGCTGATATGACCGTCATGGAGAACCTTGCGCATCGGCCAAAGGATCAAGTTGAAGAAGCTCTTAGTTTGATATCTGAGCTGATGCCGCCTTTGCCGAAAGGTGACCTTCCTTTTTTCGCTCTTCAGACGTTGTATTGATGATCTTTCAGACGGAGTGTTTGACCATAAAGCATATACGGAGAAATCACTTGCAAAGATGCAGAAAGCCAAAGCTAAGGCTGATCGAGCAGCAGCTCGGCAAGCATCACAAGCGACACTAGCAGCGGCTTTGATGGTCTTCCCTGCCGTTGAAGAGGCAGGGCCTACAGAGGCGCCTACGGCTGTACATACTCCCCAAGAAACGCATGGATCCGGAGAAACTGGTCCCAGCGGACCTCCAGACCGTACAGAACTGCTTCGGTCCAAGTCTGAGGTTGTTGGACGATTCATGAATCTGACCGTCCCAATTCTAATCGACGTGTATGCCGCGAGCGTCATTACACCGATCCGCGTGAAGACACTCACAGGCCTACTCAAAGCCATCAGCTTCCTTGATGCTGAAGGTCTAAAGCGAGTATTAACGGTTAGTTGATTCGTTGCAACATACCTGCCTCTTGACTGATGTGTTATTTAGTTTGTACCAGTCGCCAGCTTCGCTTCGTCGATTTTGTCCTCTAAGGATCATCCCACCCTGGTCATTGGTGCACTGCAGCTCGTGGACTTGTTACTCTCCAAGGTGCCTTCCTTGTACACGCCCACTTTCAAACGAGAAGGCGTCTTCCATGAAATTGAAGGCCTTGCCGCAAGAACCGTAGTATCTTCAAAAATGAAAGACAAAGGGGATAAAGACAAGGAATCTTCTGATGCTTCAACCCCTCCGGATATGAGCAGCGCAGCTACAACACCAGCTCCAACAATTCCAGGTTTTAAGAAGTTAACTTCTTTGTCTCTGGATCCTGACGACGCAATAACCCTGCGAGCTCGTGTCATAAAATTCAAGCACCTTTCGGGTGACGACCAGGGTGACTCTGATGCCGGGTTTGACACTCTTCGACGCCTTGTTGAACGTATATCTTCTCGAGCATCGTCGGAGAAGGAACTGACCGAGGCGCTTTGGGAGTTGGCGGATCTTTTCTCCTCGCCGCATACTTCTGTCTCCAGCTTTGAGTTACTGCAAAGTGGACTTGTCGATACACTGCTTACCTTCGCAACAGAAACAGAAGGGCTAGGTATGTGAATTCTTGTACATTTGATATCTTTTGTTTACACCTTTCACAGTGAGTCTCACCAGAAGAAGGGAGCTTCTGCTTGATGCTCTCGTGAACCGTAGAACGAAGCACCTCAGCAGTTCTCAGACGCCGTTCAGTACTTTTGTCAAAAAACTGCAGGAAAGTCTCACCAGAATGGAATCATTTGACGTTGTTACCGTGGCCCAAAGCTCTGACGGTATGACGCGCTATAGTTACTCATGTTCTTTATTAAACTTTTGGTTTATCTTTAACTTAGATTCAAAGCGAAGTTCACCTTCCCTTTTGGCTCGCCAGCTCCGTCTAAGGCTAGTGGCCGGTGATGAGTCCGGTGTACCACGTAACCTTCACAATATTGTGGTGTCAATCCATGCCATTGCCACTTTCCAAGCTCTCCATGATTATCTTCGACCACGCGTAGCTGGACTTTTAGGAAGTGGAAGTCGTCTATCTGGTATGCTTGCGGCTTTAGCAGCATCAGGCTTTACTAGTGGCCCATCATCCCGCACCGAAGAAACCGCCCCGGCGTCATCTACCACAGCCGACGCTGGTTCATCTACTCCTGCAGCCACACCTTCTATCACTCGCCGTCGAAGTCAGCGTCTTAGTGCAAAAAATTCGGCAACTGCTGAACCTTCGGACGCACCGGCTGTCGATCCGCTGCCTACTGACAACGTTCCGGAGACTGCTCCCAGTGACACTGTTGTCGATTCTGAAATCCATGCCGACTTCAGCGATGATGAAGTTGACGCTGAAGTCTTTGACGATGACGTCGACCCGGATACTTCTATATCAGACAAGACAGTGACACTTTCGGTTGCTGAAGGTACAGACCATGTCTTTCTGATCTGAATGTTTCTCACTTCATCTCTTATAGATGGTACAAAAGTGGAAGCGCAAACCCCTGATGGCACCCGAGTCGCAACGCCAAGCCTTTCAAGTAAAGACAATGCGCCTTCTCGGTCCTCTTCGTTAAGCAAGGTTTCTTACGCAGCTGCGTTGAAGGCTAAGCCCCAGGATTGGCATTTGGAGTTTTCGATGGACGATCATATCCTTCCATTAGACTTGACTATCTACGGTGCTATGCATCAACATGAGATGAGGAAGAATGCTGGGCCCGTCCCGTCGAGCCTGATCTGGCAGGGTGTCTACACGGTCAAGTTCAAGAAGGTACAAGGACCTCTGCCGTCATCTGACAGTAAGCGCCGCTGTATCTTTATCGGTGTACTGCATATATTAACTCGTTCCATAGCAAATGGGACCGAAAACGGAGTGAAGAGTCGATCTTCTGCGCCGTCGCTGACGTCTCTCCCCGAAGATGCTCCGCATGCCAAGATTCTGCGTCTCCTACGTGTACTCCATCAATTGAACACCACCGAGGCCGAGCGTGCAGTCTTCAATGGCGACAAGAGGAATTTACCCGAAGTTGCCTTTGTGAATAACAAACTCACCGCGAAGCTCACTCGGCAACTAGAAGAGCCCATGATTGTCGCAAGGTAGAAGAATATTGTATATCTCCTTATGGTATGCTGAACTCTCTTTTAGCTCTTGTCTACCCGACTGGGCGCTTGATTTGCCTCAGCACTTCCCTTTCCTTTTCCCCTTCGCCACACGATACAACTTCTTGCAATCAACATCGTTTGGTTATGCCCGGCTTATACTCAAATGGCAGAGCCAACAAGGTCGTGCACAGGATAGTTCACGGCGAGATGATGGCATTGGTTTCTTGGGTCGTTTACAAAGACAAAAAGTCCGGATATCTCGCAAGCACATCTTGGAGTCTGCAGTAAAGGTCTTCGAGCTATATGGATCATCTTCTTCCGTTCTGGAAGTAGAATACTTCGAGGAGGTTGGCACGGGTCTTGGACCGACGCTAGAGTTCTATTCTCTAGTTTCAAAAGAGTTTGCAAGAAAAGACTTAAAGCTATGGCGGGATGCTGATTTACCTGGCTCCGGTGTCTATGTCAATCATCCCGTGGGACTCTATCCGGCACCCATAAGTCCGGAAGATATAGCTAGCGACGGTGGACAGTACGTTTTGCATTACTTCAATGATGCCAAGATGCTTACCTTTCTAACTCCCAGAAAACGCACGCATGTGTTCAGAGTCATCGGCCAATTTGTAGCGAAGGCAATGCTCGACTCTCGTATTATCGATCTGTCGTTCAACAAGGTCTTCCTCAAGCTCGTTTTAGGCGAAGAAGTTCCTGTAACAGTGGCCACTCTGAAGGTGAGTTAAACTTATCACATTGTACATGCTAAGCTTACCGAATTGTTGTAGCTTGTGGATGTCGATCTCGGAAATTCGTTATTGAAAGTCCTCAACATTGTCAACACACAGAATCAAGTCCCCTCCGATAAGGTTTGACCAAATCAACTCTAATTTGGCACCAGTCTCACTTGCCTCTAGTTATCAAGAAAGATTGCCATGGTCGAGTCAGTTGATATTGAGGATCTTGCCCTCGATTTCACGATCCCTGGCTATGATATCGAGTTACGGGTGAGTAACGGTTGTTCCCGTTTCATAGTCGCGTTTCAACTGAAATTGCGTAGCCCGGAGGACGGGACATTGCCGTTACCGCTGAGAATGTCCATGAGTACGTCGAAGAGGTACTCGATGCTATCATCGGTAAAGGCGCTGCACTGCAAGCGAAGGCTTTCCGCGAAGGATTCTCCAAAGTTTTCCCTATATCAGACCTCCAGGCATTCTCAGCCGATGAGCTAGTCATGCTCTTTGGCAATTCTGACGAGGATTGGAGCATCGAGAGTATGTTGCCATGTGTCTATCTATCATCTCAGTGCTTACTCTCGAACAGCTCTTAGCGAAGCTTTGAAAGCTGACCACGGCTTCAATCCCGAAAGTCGGGCTATCCGTGATCTGGTCGAAATATTGGCGGAATATGACCCCCCGACCCGTCGCGATTGCTTACAGTTTATCACTGGAAGTCCTAAGCTTCCAATTGGAGGTATGCGCATCTTTTCCTTGTAGCTGAAAGAATCCATAACAACGCTTTCAGGTTTCCGAGGTCTAAATCCACCTTTAACAGTGGTCAGGAAACCTCACGAAGCACCCCTTACGGCAGACGACTATCTTCCCAGTGTCATGACCTGCGTAAATTATCTGAAATTGCCAGATTATAGCTCAAAGGAGGTCATGCGGGAGAAGCTACGCATTGCGATTAAAGAGGGTGTAGGGAGCTTCCATCTGTCTTAAATAATTGTTGCAGAGATATTGAAGAGAAGTCATCGAGTCATATGGACTTTGTAGTATTTTGTTTTTTGCTATCATGTTCTAGACGTTAGGTTACATACAATACAAGATCTCATTCATCACTACAGATGTAAGATCTTGTAAACTAGATATATGTCCACAAGCCACCCGATAGTAGCTTCTTAAATTAGGGTAAATGTGAGCTAAACCGGGCGTGAGCCTCCAGAGAGGAAAAGATTGCATATAGCATATAACGATAAATAGGAAAATACGCCACAGCAACTAGGACAGGACCTTAAGAAAGTGTGGTAACGTCAGGACGGATACTGGAAAGTCGTAAATTCGCTTACAGCCAACAAGACGATAGCCGTCACGATGGTAAGGACAATCATAAGGCAAGCGGCCCTCTTCCCTGCCTTGCGTTGATAATGTGCAGCTGTTGTGAGCTCCTCAGACGCCCGTGAGGTGTCCAGGGCTACTGATGATATGTTCGCCTCGATATTATCTAGGCGACGCAAGTAAGCACCAAAAGATGAGCATTCCATATAAACAAACGAACCAATCATCTCCCCCTGCTCTCCAACTATCGTCCCCAAATCTCGGTATATCTCTGCGAGCTCGTGAATGCCCGACTCGATCTCCCTGATGTCATTCTCGCGCTCTTGGATGAGAGATTCCTGGTATGCGAGTTCGTGCGGTGAGAGACGGGACTGGAGGAGGAGGGATTGGTGTTGGACAGGGTCGTCCGACGGTCTATGGAAAGAATTAGCTCTTGTGGTTGTCGGACTGGTGGCGACGACGATACGCACTGATGATGGTCATGGTCGTCCTCCACAGCCATACGAACGCCCTCTACGACTGTTCGTTGTCGCTCTGCGCTAGCTCGTTGCGCATGTTGGAACGACGAGAGAGACAGTTGAAAGTCGCGAGATGTCTTTTGCAAGGAGGCATGTTGGTGCGACTAGATATCGAGTATGTACCATGAGAGTTCGAACGAATGACAGTATATTCCATGGCTTACAAGACCACCCTGAAGGACTGCCAATTTCTTCAAGTCCTCCGAGCCTCGCTTGACCATCGACTGGGTGCTCTCTGTCAAGTCATGCCTGGAAATAGAGTCAGGGTATCCAGATTGCTGCTAGGGCATAGACTACGCACAGCCGTTTCCGGAGCACATTCGAGTCCCTTTGCGTTCCCAGTTGCTCTACGAGCTTGCGAATACCCTGTATGTTGGCATTGATCTTGAAAACCTGGAGAGAGAGGGACGACTGGAGGGACATGAAAGCGGCATCTTCGCTGGAGATTGGACCGGACGACGACGGGTTGGCTGAATAGCCAGCTTCGATGTCTTGGAAGCTCATCGTCGTCGAGCTCGTCGATGAAGAGAGCCGGAGATGCTGCGGTGGATGAGGCGCAGCGCTGGACGTGACAAGCAGCTGCCAAAAGGCAACTTGAGCTAAGAATATCCCACTGACATGTGCTATGACATATTTCGGACTTGAAAAAAAGTAGATGTTTTGCCAAGTCTAACGGCAGAAATAATACGATGGTAGCTACTACATATGAGATTGAATACGCTGAAGGAGTACCAGTTATGCACCGGGTTACAGGTCAAGGAGTCGAAGGCCACGATATAGACTTGTAATTCAAATATGGTTCCTGCGCTAGATAGAGGTCAATAAAACTGGTGGATATGGAATGACAAAACGCACCCGGAACAGACGTTGCGTGTTATCGAAATGGCTAGCATACGAAGAAGACATAGAATCTGTAGCTGATGACCCAGAGAACTGATGAAGAAGTACCGGAGGAACATTGTCGGCGTGCAAAGACGACGTCGAATCCGTAGTTGATAACCCATTGCTAGAGGATGGGGGAAGGGGCGGAAGGCCTTTATGTTCGCATGTTGTCTGAGTGGTGAATGTGGGCACAAGGGCCAATACCTTGCTCCTGATAAAGTTGAACAAGCCAGAATATCCGACTGATTGAAGAAAGGGTAACGGGGAAAAAATGTAACTGTGACCCTGACTATGGCTAGAGGCTGAAGGAGCGGAAGCAGAAGCAGTTAGCAGTATGTCCATCTTCTGGCGCAAAAGTCTCCAAATGCCTGTAGCAACGTCAGTATAGAAAATTAACACATGACTGCAATTGCTTACGAGCCCGCTGACATGCAGCACGATACATGTACACCAAGGTATACAATTCCAAAACAGTGTCCTGGGACTCATCGCCACGCAACTCGACATCATCCCATAATAGTATAGAGTACACTATATTGTACCACTCGGGAGAAAACACCGACCCACGCATTTTTCGAGGCGGAGGGGCTGGGGCGTGATCGCCTTGGGTGAGTTGAACCAAGTTGTTTTCACACTCGATCCGGAAATCAAACCACGAGTCGACCTTGGCCATCGCAATCTGAAGGAGAGTGGGCCATGCAGAACGAGGAAATTGAGTGGGGTCGGGAATTTGGGCATCAAGACTGGGTATGAGTTCGTTGAAGAGTGTAGAGAGCAAAGCACGGATAGCAGACGAATGTATAGTATAAACTTCTGTAGCATCGGAGGGTACCGTTCCATAGTCCGCAAAGAATGGACCGTACTCGCAATCATATAGGCACCCGAATGGCAGATAGTTGGAGTGGTTGTACACAGCGGAGACTGATCGAGGCTTGAGGTACATCTGGATGCCCGCCATGATAGATGCAGGTCAAGGACTGAGATAGGGGGACAAAGTTTGAGATCTGACTCCACTCCGCCGTCTCCTCCTGAACCTCAAGGGCTCCCACAGATTCCCGGTTACTGACGAAATTTCGGATAGATAGTGCCCTGGCAGTACTTGTGAATCGAGCTGAGGCAGGTCGTCCAGAAGGTCCACTCGCATGGACAATGACAAAGGAAGCCATTTTAAACTACGAAGAAATGACTCGAGGCTATAGGAACTCTGCAATTCAATGACGAGCAGTGCTTCGCTGCTGATAATGGTCGCATTTAAGAGTGAGAAAGCATCCGTTGCGAGGCACAACAGTATACATGCCGGTGACGAAGGAAAATGACCATTCGGCCGCGGGCTGAGACTTCAATAGGAATGATGCATAATCCAGAGCAGCCGGTAGGTTGGACAAAGCCTCAGTGACTGGCTTGAGAAAACTAGTACACGCGTCAGGAAATGGTTCGAGGATAGCAAAGGTGGTCTGCTTTCGTGAGGGGGCGCAGATAGCAACTTGGGTTCAAGTAGTTGACAGGAATGATGTCTCCATGTCACGGAGCGCATCGAGCCTGAGTGCCTACTTCAGCATCATCGTTTGAAGCAAATGAACGCGTCGCATCATTGCTAGCAAGGGTTTCCTGCAGTTCTGGAATGATCGAATGATTTACCATACCAAAAGCAAATTTCACCCACCATGGAAGGGGATATGCAGGGAGAGGCTGCAAAACGTGTTTACATCGGTTTTGGAACAAAGTCGCAATCACGCAAACTGCCGGCCCGGAATTTCGCCTGGATCCTCAACCAGCAGAGATTTCTTTCTTCTACGGGCGAATGTATATTATGCTCGACGAAAATTGCACCGATCCCATCACTCTTTTTTGGTGATGAGCACCAGACTTCATATATGCATAGTATACCAGGTCCAACAATTTGTTGAATACCAGAACTTGCTTCTGCACCTGCTCATTGACTCTTCCTCTTTTGGGTAGCTCTCCGCATCCCTTCGGTGCTTATTCTCTGGTTACCTTGAAGAAAGAGAATTAACATGTTACTAAAATTACTTACGAGTCTGCCAATGTACAGCATGATTGGCGTATTAGTAACGTCTTCAATCTTGACCGCAACTTAGAAAATTGTATTCCAGTTCCAATCTCGGAAGAAAATGCGCCGATCGGAGGATAATAATGGGCCTAGAGGAAGAGAGGTCCGTGTCTGCCTCAATTGGCCTCCACGACAATAAGAAACCTCAGGAACTTCGAACCACAACGACGGCGCAAGTCGCCGTCGCAACCTTCCCCCCACTATCATTCAGATACGCACACAAAGCCACGGGAAACCTACACATACAAAGCTCTAATACAACCTTACCGCACCTAGTGACCGGCCTCGCCTAACGCGTGCGCCGCCGCGTCTTTGTACTGTAATTAAACTTAGATTACGGGTAGTAAAAGTCGAGTTTAAAAAATTCAGGAACGAAGTTAACCACGAGCTATCACGTGGTGTATTATCTCATCTCATCTCACACGCCGAACGCAAGCTCGGCCTCCGGCGTGCCCGGTGAATCAGAACTTGGTATCAAGATGTGTCAATCCTAGCCTGACAAGCCATTTTATATCTATGGAATTTGTAGCTATGTAACGTCAATCCGGGATCAAGGGGGTACTGGAATTCCGGCCCGGCACACCGGGTAGGTAGGTAGGTCCAGCCGGAGGTCACGAAAAAAAAAAGTTGACCACCATTTTGGGGGTCTAAAAATGGACTTCAAGGGTAAATTTTAGAGCATACATGATACAATATATGCTACTGAGTGTGCTACTTACCTTAGGGCATCATACCTAGCGATACCAACACTCAGTCAATGCCATTGCAAAGTGGCCCTGCTGACTGGACATGGTGACATTACGACATCCCATTAGAGCACAGCCATGATTTAGACTTGATAGCGTACAGATTATGTTCAAAACACTTTCAATATTAATATCACGGCTATTTCAGGCAAAATATTCACCGAATTGAGTCGAAAGATACCCAAATTTAGCATAATGACATCATAAATGTCACGTGAAGGTAGATAGGTCCATCGTCGGTGCACGAAATTATTTAATCGACCCACTGTCTTTTAATTCATTATTAGGACCCCCTTGTCCGGGATGCCATCCTCCGACTAGGAATCAACTTGTCTGCGACTGAACAGGTATTGAGTCATAACCAAGTTCGACGCAACAGTCTCATGATCTTCCGAGTCGTTATCTATCTATCTATGGTTTGAACTTCAGCTGTATGTTTGACTGTCTTTCAAATTCTCTGATCCATTTGCTACAGTACAGGTGCGAGCTCGCTTTCCTCGAGTATAACGTCGCATTTATGTCTGAATCATTCTCAGGCTTCGTGGAGCATGCTTCGTGAGGCACATCCAATTATGTCCATCTTTCGCCATAGAGGCCAGAAGATCGTAATTGATTATTTCAACGAACAGAGATGAGTTTACAATCGATTATTCTATGCGGCCCGACATCGTCTGCAAGAGGCTACATTGAATCATCTTCATCTTCTCATCATCACTAGGCGCTTGTTTCTGTACTTAATGAACTCGAGCTGCACATCCTGTTGTCGGCCTTTCTCTTCCTTGCGAGCTTCCGGTTCGATTCGTTCATCAACGCAGCATGGAACGCCGTAAGTCGCATAGCCACAATAACTAGAACATACTCATGGCTGCCTTCTTACGTTTTAAAGGCATCAACAACACAGTAGCTGCCCACGTTTCTGACGTGCTTCAGATCTCAGCAGCAGCGGGATTCCTCCTCGTTGTACTGACAGCCGTCCTATCCCGCCATGTTCAGCGGCATTTCACATGGTTGAACTTCTGTGTTTCCTGGATAATATCCTGTATTTCATACACGCTCCTGGTCTTCACGGGTAATGGGTCGAAACATGCACCACCATTCGAGCTTTGCGTCGTCCAGGCGGCTTTAATTTATGGGGCACCTGTGCTGTGAGTTTCCATCACCCTGCGATTACTGATAATCCCACTGATATTATTGTAGAACAGGGGGTACAACGTTTTCCCTAGCTTTCTATGTCAGTTATCTTTCTACGGCAAGAAAGTGTACCAAAATATTCAAATATTATAGATGTATACCCATGTCAAATCTACTCTTGACAATGCATCATTAGGCGGAGAGTCCTTCTGGGTGAGCTTGGTGGCCGATTTCTTTCTCTTCATTGCTCTTGGCTCATTGAACAATTCTAAGCTCGTTTTGGGTCCTTATCTGATCTGGCTCGGATTTTTTATCGGAGTTCTGGTTGTACGTTCCAAATCATGTTCAGTGTATTTATTATTCCCGTCTTCTTTATAGTCTGGTATCAGGCAGCCCTCGCTGGTCAGGAAGGCATCGAACTATTGTGATTTCACTTCTCGCATTCCGTATGATCCATATGCTGCAGAATTCTAGTCATCGTCCTCAAATTCTGGTACAGATCCAAAGCATCTGCACTAGTTGTTGCCCTGGCGGTTATGGGTGTTATCACGGTTTCAAGTATTTTTGGACATGCTTAAAAAGATCCTTCACGGAGCTGATGGCCATTCCACAGTACGTGTGACCGTACGACTGTATAGGAATCGCAGAAGACTCGGACATGACACGTTATATGTAACGACGGCTATCCGAGTAATGCTCTTTGCACTCATTTGTTTTCTGGCTTTTGTGTAAGTGTCATTTGCTTTAATGAATCCAAGCAATTAAGCTGATGTGAACGTTATCAGAGTCAGCGCAGTGTATATCATTACCTGGAGCCCAGGACCTGAATTTGACATCATTTTGGCGCTGGGTAGGATGGTTGTAACTTAATCGCTTCCAGACCTTGACGTTCTTGAGCTCTCCAGTGCCCAACTTTGGTGTGATCATTTTTGGTAGTCAGGCGGTGAGTTTTGTTTCCCGTTTGGACTTGAAATGTATTAAAATTCTGGTAGGATATTTTGCGCGCCTGGATAGCGCTTCTGAAGAGAGCCAAGGCCTTCGGAAACAAGTAACGTTCACCTTGCACATCTTCCTGGAATTTGAGCATACAAAGTGTGGTCCGGGTGGAGATGTAACGGTTAGTAGTCACATCACTAGTCGGCACTATCATCCCGCAGATTGCAGCACTCTGAATCATACCCATTCATTTTCCTTACTCACACGTCATCCATGGCTCTCCGTCTCTCCTTATGTGGTTACTTTATTCCATATTTATATTTTACTTGACTTGTATGCATTTTGATGTAGACACTGCTCCTTCTATAATATTCCAGGGAAATTTGACTGAGGTTTTTGGAGCTTCGCACTTCCAAGTTCCGTCTACTTACACAGAGTAACTTATATAAGTAGTTTGCATCTACAAGAATGCAACGCACTACCAAAAAATTCGCGGTAAACAGGTGGATGCAGAAACGCACATGGACACTACATATAATAGAAGGCAGAATCAACTTTATTTGGAAGAAACGAAAGATTAGTCCTTGAAGGCCGCAGCAACTGGCAGCAATTAGCAAACAGAGCCAAAGTGAAAGGCTTGGTAAGTGCGAACCTCGATCCAAATTTGGATTACCTGCTCTCTTCCAACCATGTCGAAGCATCACCCCGGTACGTCGTAGGTTTCCCACTCTGATGAAACGACATTGACACTGTGCCATACAGATTTGATTATGTGCCGACGGCAGCCCGGTATAGGTGAGGAAACTTATTTGTGCCGCGATATCCTAAACTCATAGAGGACCAAGCTATCGGACGTCTATGTGAGAAATGTGATGGCAAGTGGTACGTAGCATCCCGTGTCGTTTTCTACATATCTTCATGCCCTTACAGTCCAGTCTGTGACTCGTACGTGCGCCCTGAAACTCTGGTACGGATCTGCGACGAGTGTAATTTTGGGACGTATGGTGGAAGATGCATAATCTGCGGCTCTCCGGGTGAGTTCTTCATTTTGCGGTAATTTTTTGGTCTATTTATCCTCACCGGCAGGTATTTCTGATGCATACTATTGTGCCGAGTGCACACGGCTAGAGAAGGATCGTGACGGGTGTCCCAAGATTGTCAACCTTGGTGCTAGTAGGACCGATCTGTTCTATGAGCGTCGTCGTTTGGGTCAGTCCTTTTCTCTCGAAAGTGTTATAATGCCTCATGGCCTCTCTAGGTTTCAAAAAGGGTTGATCCTCTGTTGCTGTATAAACTACATTGCATGTCTGTACATTAGACTGTGGAAATATCGACTTGAGAGTCATACCATCGCAAAACTGGAAGCTAACGTCGATCAACGATACACCGGGTGTGGAATGATAGGTGGACTGCGGGTTGGATGTTCAATATCTGTGAATATTCTGGAGAAGAGGTTGAGAACCACGCTGCATGTGTCAAGACACATGATACTCACTTGACGGCTTGCATGTCTACCAAAGATTTGAACACGAGGAAGACGTGCTTGTCATTGTGCACGTCCACAGGCTCACAGGCATCACACAAGTCTTTACCACAATACGCACACCTGAACCATACGCCCCGTATACGGGACATACAGTTGTCACATACAGCAGCGCTATTGTATACGTCCCTTAGGTATGCTTGATGGTATACTCATGAGAACTGATCCAAAAGAGACGTTCAAATCATTTACCTTTCGGGTCTACAAATAATACTGTTGCATCTGGCGGCGGACCCGCCGGCACCTTGTATCTGCACCAACATCAGCCAATGGATGAGTAGAAAAGAAAAAGCTCTCACAGTTTGGGTATCAAAGGGAACTGAGACTCTATGGGATAGTCAACGGGTCGAGGTAATTTGAAGAATACATGGTGAGGGTCGTGTAATCGATAAGACCTTTCCTCGCATCGAGCGCACTGCGTATAACCTATGTCACTAAAATAAGAGATGAACAAATGACTGACTTACCAGATTGTACGACCTTGGTTTTGAGGGACAATTGGCACATTGATATCGCACACCTACGATCGGCTATTGTTGACCATCCGCTTAATCAGTGGAAAGGGAAAAAAAGGAGGAACACGATACGCACCCGTGCACATCCGTTGCACAGATGGTCATGTTCGCTTTCATTGGCGTGTGATGTACCCACCACCGTCCTGCTATAGCCCGACACGACTGAGCTAGCCTTTGAAGGAGAACCTGCGTGTATTGCATGCTGTGCGTCCCTCCCCGTCCACAGATGTATAGCTCTCCGGCTTGCTGTTTGTACCTACGCCAAATACAGTCAGGAGATTACAAGACTCGACGCGATTCGTAGTTCACCTCGTTCGTCTCCAAGGGAAATGGGATCTAAGAAGTGTCAGCTGCGCGGCGCATGCATCCCAGCAGACTACTTACCTTGATCAGAATATGGGACGAATTATGGCCACCGTCAGCAGAGTCCAGATTCCCCGGTAGTCCAGCCGACTCGCAATTGGAGCATATGTCAATGGAATCGCAGATGGCACAGTGAAACCGGGCACCGACAATGTCTAGAAGACAGCTAGAAGATGGATGCCGTCAGTAAGGGTAACGACGCACACATGTCATCTCAACTCACTGCTGCGCATTTCACACCGGGATGCTTCATGACTAAACGAAGTCAGTCCAATTGAGCTTATAAAATATGTCAACGGCATCTCACATTCTTCGTCGCTAGGATCCGAGGGTGCATTTGGGAAATAATCAGGTTCACCGAGTGATCGCGGGTCTTTATCTGGTACGACATAAAATGCGTGTTGTGGGTGTCGTTCATGAACTTGGCTGTACACACCCGTCAGCGTCAAATTCATGGTCTGAACAATGCAATGACTCACCTGTAACATCCCCGGCACAAGTAGTGTTTCTTACACGACGCGCACTTGAAACACTTCCCAAGACCAACAGGTGTAACTGTGCCACAAGCCGAACATGTAATTGTGTCCGCAGCGTCTTGTTCTATAGTGTGAAAATTTGTTCAGTCAAGTGCGGGTTTGATGCCATAAGCCAGGCACATACCAACGTCCTTCCAACCTTCGTAGCTCCAAATCTTCTCGTGATATGCGTGTCTGAGTTTACCTTTCTCTTTCGGAGCCAGGCGGCGCCATTCGGAAGCACCCTCCGGGGACGATGATGCTTTATTGGATGCTGTAGGCGACGACCCAGAAGCGACACCTCCGGCTTCTATGGCGTGCATCAAGCCGGCAGACTCAATACACCCAGAGCATAGCTCGTATCCTTTGCTGGGCGACTGCGAGTATATCCCACCATCCAAGTATACTTGTGAAGTAGAACCCAGGTTAGGCACAGACGGGAGAGGTTTATAGCGGTGGTGAGGATTGGCGAGGGATTCGTAACTTCCAACATATGTTAGCGATGAACTTGAAAGATTTTGGGATGGTGGTTGGAGATGGCGGTGGGCCTGAGGGGGATAGGACAATAATTCGTCATCAAAGGGATCCCTGTCTTTCCCTTTACCATTCGTCTGACCGGATACTGCAATAGGATCTTTTTCTCCGCACATGGAGCAAACGTAACGGATTGAATCCAGGAGCACTCCGCATTCGGAACAGCTCGTCAGGACTTCGGGACTTGAGAGGGGAAGAGATTCAAGGAGTTCGCGAGGAATAGCATCTATGGTGGACGGGTTAGAATGGCTGCGAGATGGCTTCTCTTCTGGGATGACCTGTTGAGCAGCTAGCCAGTTGAGATGTCGGGACGTAGGTCCGTGGTTTCTCCATCTTGGAAGCAGTATCGATACTAGGATCGATGTCGTAAGTGATATCGTCGTGAGTTTGGGAAGCACTTGAAGATCCCGCAGGCCGTATATGAGTAGTAATATTTGCCTCGATTATCCACCTTGGAGCGCTAAATCACCGCCCAATGATTCACTCTTGCTCTACAAGAGAACATGTGTCAACTTCAGATGGTTCTGGCAGCATACCAAGCGTAGCGCGAATCGTGCGCTCATTCTGATCCCGGAGCCACTCCGCCCCACGATTATGGGCAAGGGAATCATGATTTATGCTTGAAGAGTCATCAACGATGGCCTCCTTCCATCTTTAGACGTTCAAACACGGCAGACGGGTCTTCCGGAAAGCGGCTCTCGACAGACTGTCGATAGTCGTCCAAGAAAGGATCCCCGCCACCACGAGCTGTTTGAAGGCCAGGACTTCGAGAACGTCCATTGGTACCGCGCGATACCATGCTAAACGAGGACTCGCCAGACAATTGTGAGGCACGGTCGGGAGGTCTCAAGCCAGCGCTGCGGGAGGATTCTGCTCTGGACATGGCGCCGGTATCCTTGGAGCTGACGGTGACGGAATCGTCATCAAGTTCTACGGAAGGGGCGCCCAAGGAGAAGGAAAACTCGCTGCCGTTGCGACCTCTGTATTCATCCAGGCTGATTACAGAGGACGTATCGGAGAGACTGGGGCCATCGTAGTCGACGGTGATATGGACGCGAAGGGTGATCTTGCGACTTCCGAAACTGCGACCGGACAGAATGGATGCCGCTGAGGATAGAGGAGGGTCGTCATTGCCTGCTTGGAAGTATTGGATAGCCTCCGTCAGGTCAGTTTCGTTTCTGATATCGGTGATTTCGCCGTCGTCGTCCTTGTAGGTGATAGCATACGTCGAAGCCGACAAGGAGAAGCATTGCTCTACCTGTGAGAGAAAGGTGAATGACGGTGCTGTATAAGACAGGTTGTGCTGTATACGCACCTTGTGCCGGAGGAGAATGTAGGTGCAGTTCCTAGAGGATGCAAAGGTAATCCTCTTGTTCCATCTGTCAAAGGTGCATTTCACGATGAGAGGCCTGTCTGGTCGACTCTGCATTGAATCGTTCCAAGGGTGCTACTAGCTGAGCGAGCAAGTCATTGCCTTGAACGGACCGGTCGATGTCATCGCGTCCGCAGTACCGGCTTATATAAACGATCTCACTTGGCATTCCCCTTCGTCATCCACGATGGCTACGACGACCAGCAAGACATTCTACTGGGGGTTTTCTACAGTAGCAGCCTGTACTCAGGACGAGACTCACGATGGTGCTGGCCTTTCATGTCAGGGTAACCGATTATATGCTTCTCGCCACGTTCGTGATGTTTTTTTTTGTTCTCATCCCAGTTCTCGCGCCCGGAAGCTTTCTTCTGCTCTATCCACACGTATCGTAGCCATATTTTCGGCATCAATCGCTGCCAGTTCTTTGACAGAAGGAGCTCACCAGGTTCTTCATGTAACCTCTTCGGCTCGCTTATGCTATTATTGAAGAACAAGCTTATCTATCCCCTGCTAGCATTGCATGTTACTTTCAGTGTGTTCTGATTAATGTAAAGCGCTTGAACGATTTACAATCCGTTCCCTACGCCATCTCTTCGTGCTGTTGGGCGATTAGAACTGGATGCTTGTTGCTGAAAAGAAATGCGTTGGGCGCTTTTGGCCTAATTCTTCTAAGTCTTCACTCTACCCAACCTGTCCACCATCGGGAGACCACCCTGGCAAAACTGTATAATCAGGGGCACGGATCAGGTTCAGATTTCCAAATTGGTCTGTCAAGGCTGCGCGGATGTCCTCCTTGATTCCAACCATAATGACCATCGACGTTGAGAGGCGCATTCGTAATGCAGGTATGTTATTCCTATCCATCAAGTGACTAGCTATTTATTCTCAAACATTCTTAGGTGCATTCGAGCAATACCATATCACCCGGGCAACCTTGCAGCTAGATTCATGCGTCATTTCTGCAGCCCAGTACAGTCATGCTGGAGGCGTTTCGCTGTCTAAGCAGGTGCTGTTTCCAGCGCTACGCCTACTTGTCCAGACGCATGGTGCTCTGGGAGTTCATATTGTGGATCGAGATGCTATTCAGCCAGTATTTTCTCGGCTACGCAGCGTCAACCTCGTTGAAGTTGTGGAATATGTACATGGTACTACCATTGACGAGGTATTGGAGGCCCAGTTCTTGAAGCCATTCGATACGACATCCGAAACGCCACTCTGGCGTTTGGTAATTCTGGAGGAGAAGATTGTGGTGTTGGCTTGGCACCATTGCATCGGTGATGGTTTAAGCGGGGTTGCGTTCCACCGAACCCTTCTCAAATCCCTTCAGCAGACCCAGCCTCAGGACATTGACAGCGTCGTCGAAGTTCCCCTCACTGCCAAGTTCTCACCCAGCATCGAAAGCGTCGTGAACGTTTCCCCTCCACTCTCAAATATTATTCGGGAAATACTCAATCTTCTATTACCAACGTCTTGGACCCCACGTGCTACTGCTTGGACCGGGAATCCTGTTGGACATACTCCCCACACCGCCACTCGCGTTAGAATCATGCAGTTCTCCGCTTTAGATGTGGCACGTTTCCACGAGGAGTGTCGCTCTCACAAGGCTACTGTCACCTCTACCTTATATGCCCTTGCCATCTCAGTACTTTCCCAAACCATCCGAGACATGGAGCCTTCTGCAAAATACAAAACGATAGCGGCGTCCATCCCCATTTCACTGCGTAGCCTATCGGGTACTTCCGAAGAGGATATGTGCGAGCATGTGTCGACCCATCACACTTATCCCGCATTCCAGCCTGAATTTTCATGGCGTTTGGCCTCTACATATGCTTCTACTCTTCATGAACAGAAGACCGCGTCACCACCTGCCAGTCGGCATGCTGAAATATCTGTTCGGTCGCTTTGTACCTTACTTTCACCGGGAAGTTTGATGCTAAGAGAGAACAAGGGCTGGAAGTTTCCAACGTCGGGCGAATCGTCACGCGTGGTGAATAATGCGTGGTCTATCGACGACATGTGGTTCGCCCAGTGCGATTCGTACGTTGGGTCTGCTCTCAAACTTAACGTAGTGGGACCTCCGTCTGGAAGCCTGACTATCATTGTTACCGGAGGACGAGATGCTACAGAAGATACTTTCGTCGATGCTTTTGTTTCTTTGTTTGAAGCGCGATTCGCAAATATTGTGAAATCTGAGGCAGAAGTATGATACCCAGGTCTGTCCGTAAGTACATAGATCTATCGTGAACATTTACATGTATTTCAAAGACATCTCTATACATCATCTAGAGCGAGTACGCATGAACGATAATAATTCAATTATGCTACGTGTACTTCTTCTCCAGTATAGAATTGACAATCACCACCCCTGTGGACAAGTCGGCGGAAGGTAAGCAGCTTGCAATTGATGGGCCGTTTCTGATTAGTCCGCAATCACAGGCGCTTGACGATGAGGTATGACTCAATAGGACGACCTAAAGTACCAGGCAAGCTTAGGCAACTGATTCCTCGGCCTTGAAGAATGTTGCATTTTCCAGCCGGGGCCTTATAATTCTACATATACGCTTCCTGGTGGCGATATAAGCGTCGGCAAAATATTCCGTTTTTTTTCTCTGCCAATGGAAGTATGTCGGCCGCTTGGACTGCTCTTCTTTCCATTGACAGTTTGCGTTGTGTTTACCCGCCCGCGTAAAGTGATCTACGTCCCGACTTGAGTTAGAAACTGGGTGTAATGATAATCTGGATTGTAAGGTAAGATGATAGTCAAAGCTCAAGACAACACCGATATCGTTCACATCACGACAAGAGGCGAGAGCACCCGATCTTCGATTTTCCCATGGTGATGTTGTGCCCCACTCCTCCAGTTACTGATCGAGCGCTTAACAAGTATTGGTCGTTGAGAGGCATATACTGATGCGGTATTGCTATACAGGTCCCGGAGGCAAAGGAGGCTGACTCGGAGACACAGGAACTGTGGGTACCGAGAATCTTCTCTTTCCTGGTTGCTGAACTGGTTTGCATATGTCCAAATGTGATGAGAACCAGTGTACGGGTTAAATTTTACCCCTCTGGAGCAAAGTACGGTGGGGGATTTCCTTTGATCATGGTTAAGCTGCTGCTAAGCTCAAGATGCTTAAACAGAGTTTTGTCTGTTATCCGTGTACGTTTTGCCAGTTTTTCTTCACCAGAGATATCTGCTTTCCAGGAGTTTTAGCGAATAGGATTTCGAATCTTTGCTAAGCGCTATACAGCTGTTGAATGCTCGGGATGAAAATGTGATTGGGACTAATTATAACATGCAACAGGACGCAATACGTGACTCGCCTTTGTTATCGCCAATTCCGTGGAACTGACTATCCTACTAAGAAATGCTGTACGAGTATTCTCAACATGCAATGGAAACTTCATCATCACGGGGAGATGGAAATGCCGTGAAAACTGGTATCAGGCTGTCATAAGAATGACACTGTGTAGTGACTGGTAAGCGCGCCTACTTTCAAGAATAGACTCAATTCAATGGTGTCGAAGATAATGGACCACGGTGGTAACATGGTGGGAATTCTTTTAATATAAAGACGTCGAAGGTTGGAACATTCGTAATCGACCTACGAAAGCCCTCTTCCACATGACTTCACCTCCTCTACTAACGGACAAGATCCCAGCTGCAGACTATGGCGATGTGAGCTTGAGCGATGTCCAAGATGCCGTACTAACGAGTAATGTTCTCATTTTAGCCCCAGAGCGTCATTGAAGGCGATCGATTTTGGGCGGTTGTCATCGGTATTGACAACTATGCATCGCCGAAAGATCCATCACTGTGTGGTTGCGTGTCCGATGCCGACAGTGTTGTCCAGCACTTGATCGAAAAAATGAGTGTCCCACCAGATCGTATCGAGCTCCTCCTTGGCAGAGTTGACGGTACCGCTACCGATTCATCGTCCAAGAATCTCCGGGAGAGGGACGCTACCCGTGCCAACATCGTCGATACTCTTCTCAGTCTCTCCACAAATTCTCAGATACGGGACGGTGATAATGTCCTGATCTACTTCTCCGGACACGGCACACATTATCTCTGCGGAGACTATTATACGGAGTTTCCAGCCAGTACAGGAACCATTGAGGCTCTGTGTCCTATGGACCGGGACCCACTCGCAGCCGACGTCGATAAACGAATCCCTGACATCAGCGATCGAGAGCTCTGTACTATTCTCTCTGAAATCTGTCGCACTAAGGGACATCATATTACCGTCATTCTAGACTGCTGCCACTCTGGAGGCATGACTAGAATACTTGGGAGTTCGGCATCCGCAGTGGCACGCCAGGTCAAGGTTCTGCATGTATCCAGGGCAATTGCAGAGATGTTTGCAGCTGGCGATAAGACGCTGGGAAAATTGAAATGTGACGATGGTTCACCTCGCTACGAGTCTATAGCCAAAGGGAATTGGAGAGCTGAGGAGGGAACCCACGTAACCTTAGCAGCGTGTCAAGCCTACGAGTTGGCAACGGAAGAGCTAGGCAAGACCAGCGCATACCATGGGATTTTCACCGAGGTACTTCTTCAGAAATTCACAGAGATCAGTTCGGTCGCGGATGGGAAGTTACCGACCTATAAGGACATTGAGAAAACCTTTCCCTCAAGCAAATTCGAGCCAGTCAGACAGTACCCGAAGGCCATAGGGAAAAACAGGGACAAGAGACTTTGGTACACGGTATGATATTACCTCTTGTTATTCCACGCATATTTATTGAAGCCGCATATTCAGAATCGGGACGCTTGTTGTATGGAAGGAGTTAGGAAGGAGGATTACAAGAGACCCCAGGGTGGACTCCACCAGGGACTGTAAAGGGCCAATGACTCACTGCGCATATCTATCTGGTCATTCCACGGTCTGAATGAGTATTATTTGCTTCACCTATTTCTGACACGAATTTGCATCTTAAAGTCCCAACTTAGCAAAGTGGGCCGCTGCGAGCACGACAGATACCTAACATAAATTTCAGCACAGCGACCTACGCCTATTCTGTTCAATTGCAAATTCTTCACGAATTAAGATATTTAATATATTATAATACAAATGAATATATAAAAAGCTGATGGGATTGTAGGCGGGAGCTAGCATGCACTATGCATCAACTGGTTCGTTGGTCTCTGGATTGTTAGGATAGGTGAACGACAGGCAAACCAAGACTGCGCAACGATGCACAGCAGAAAAACGGGTATCGTCGACGGCAGCGAGCATCGCTGGCGACATCGGGCGTGCATGTCATGTTAGTGGCATGCCACCCTGGATTATATGTAGTCGTAGGAGCGAGCTGGCGGTAGCTGTACATGCTGAGGGGGAGTCGAGTGGGGATCGACCGTGCTATTGAGTGTCACGGCGGGCTCGTAAGGAAAAATGAGGTCCGCCATTACATTCCCAGTGTTGAAAATGGAGCAGAGGTCTAATGGTGGTCATCCTGTGGTGTCAATGTTGACGCTGACGACGATGTCCGGGAGGGAAACCGACTTCAGAATTGAGTCCTCCCTTGTCGAAGCGGGCGGTAGAGGCCAATGTTGGATTTGGCAAAGGTGACAGCGGCGGGGGCGTCGGTAGTCATAGTCTCTGGAAGAGATCCTATCACCGTCGTTGGACGTCGGAAACCCGATCTCCACCCCGCCCTTCAGCGCCAGCTCGTACCCCTCCCCAGTATGCATGTCAGTCTCCTCCTCTCCCTGCCCCTCGGCCCTGTCCTCTGCATGTCCCCTCTTCATGTTAAAAGGTCCCCCATCCCCCCCCTCTTCGTCGTCGTCGTGCTGTTTGTCGTTGTCGTTGTTATCGTTGGGTTTGCGCTCCGTACGCCCACCCGCTGCCAGATGGGGTCCGATTTCGAATCCCAGAGTAAATGCAGTGTCGTCTATACATACAGAAGTTGTGCTCTACAGCCCGATATCGATGTGGGGGATCATCGATCATCGATCATCCGTGGCTGTTAGGGCTCCCGGATGCGTCAAAAAGATCTAAAATAATTATATTAGTATTAAAATTATATAAAATATACCTTGTAGGCGACTCTGGAAGGCAATTATAGTTCTGTTATTAGGCGTATCCGCCGTATACTCGTGAATCGTGCTGAAATTTGGCCGAAGGCCTCATGCAAAGTTCAAACTTTGCGCAAATAGCAGAGGCTACATCCAAATTAGTTTTCAGTGCGAGACATATACAATAGGTACTTACGCTTTTGAAACCAGAGTTTCCAGCCAATCGATGGAGGTCGGCAAGGTCCAGCCTAAGTTTGCCGAGGTTATCCAGGACGCGGAGCTTCGTGCCATAGGGGCCTTCCTCGACCCGCCCTTCTGCCTCGGCAAACGCCCGCGCTTTTGTCTCGTCAAACACGTCTACAGGATCATAATCCATGCCCATCTTGTACTCCTCTGCCAGCTTCCTCTCATCCACCTCGAGCTTCTCAATCTCTTTTTGGATGTTCTTTATATCATTTCTAAGAGGCTGGTTCAGAGTTAGTATGTTCAACACAAAAATTCAAGACGATTAACATGCCAGGGGTACAGTGTCGTTATTAAATGGTCCTCGGGTGTGGGCGCAGCGGCCGCGCGCGATTGAGAAGATGATGAAGCTAATAACGACAAAGAGCAGGAGCAGTTCGACTTCCGATCCACGCCAGAGATTCTGAGGTTCGCTTATTACTCCCATCTATCGTGGCTGGTGGCTGTATGGAAGAAAAGGTCGATGGGGCAAAAATGCATGATAGTCGCGTTTTTATGTCGTCCTGGCACGTGAGCTCGCATTGAACAATAAGCATTGAACTGTTTCAAGAGGCAACAGCGAAGCATAAATTCGTCCTGCAGAGCCGCCATGTGAGTCCCAAAGAGGAAGTCGTGACTTGTCTCAGGTTTGAGATCTGATGAACTGGCACATGACCACGGGTCAGTTGAAGTTCAACCCCTTCGCCATCACCTACCACGACGCGCGCCGCCGCCTTCATCATCAGCTACTTGACGCCACTCTCGATGCTGCCCCATAACCACCGACCTCGCGCTGATGTGCCCCCTATTATTTTTGTGGCTGCGTTCTACTCTCATCGGGTTTATGTAAAGCCGGTTCAAAATTGACTTGCACAATGCACCTGTGAAGACTACAGGGTCGCAAAGCCTCGTAGTGCCGAGCAACAGCAAACGTGGACCGGGGCGGGTCCATGATGATGATTGTTGTTCGGACGCTCGTCGACCAATTAGTCTAGCTGTTTTTGTGCTCTGCGGCGGCAAGCCCATCGTCGTTGTGCTAGACGCGCCTTTTTACCTGCCTGCCTACCTACTCGACTTTCATGGTCACGTCTGATTGTGACTTTCTCTTCTACATCCCTCATCCTTTCGATCACTTGTTATTCGTCAAGTCCCTGGCGTGTCGTGTGAAGGGGCGCTCATCATTCTACTGTCTGCTGCTCTTGGAACAAGATTCACTGGATGGATATTGTCTTGAGATTTGACGAGTTCCGACAGTCTCCAAACGATAATGCCATACTTGTCCTTGTGGACGTCTTTTCTCTGTTATTTTTTCTGAGTCAAACCCTGATATATTGTCAGACACGACTACATTGAAACGCCTCGACTACAGACGATAATGTTATATTTAAACTGGTGTTTGGCTGCGGATTGACGTGGCCAGTACTACCACCTGTTCCGATTCTGAATCTTTCCGATATCGAATCATGAAGCGTGCACTGGCCGGCTTGTGTGTATCAGTGCGTAGGTCCTGTCTAGAAGATAAGGGCATGTCGGGCGTCCGACAAGCGAGCGCTAACGCTAAATGTTTACTCTCATGCTTCCATGCTCTCCATGCTCAGCGCTCATGCATTGTCTACTCCGAAATAACTGCGAGCGTTGCCTTGCTTTCGTTGTACCTACAGTTGGTTGCAATAGACCTGATACATTAGTAGACTTTCGGCGGCTTGGCATAGACCCTACATAGATCGTTCGCTTTTCGCATTCTCAATGTGTTCGAGCGTAATGATCGAGGATGAATTGGCCTAGATCCGTCGCATGCCTGTGTGCGCCCTGTACCCGTCGTATCACCCTCAAGCACCTCTTCCGATCACCCCGCGGAGTTCGATACTCTCCTGACTTGGGGCATGCTGGAGTGAGCTCACCTACAAACTTGCTGCATCATATCTCTGCCTTTTATCCAATACCTTTGGCGTGAAAATTAAACGAGAATAGCTTCTTTCTTACCTCGTTGTCTAGATTCACGATGTTATAGACTTAAATTCCTTATGTCTTTGTAGTTTTTTAGTCCAGTTCGATCCACATGCTACTCATTCACACTAAAAAAAATTTGTGCATCGACAAGTGGATAGTGTGAATAGATCCCTTTGTTATGCTTGGCATATTTTGTATCAAAATGCTGTTGGGTGATTCCCCTTGCCCATCTTACACAGTGCCTATCATATCCAAGACGACTCCACCGCCGTCGTTCCTTACTCGTCTGTCACAGCGGCCTGTCACGACAAAGCCGGCTACTCTCTGGTCCGTGTTCATACTGGTGGTACGGTTCAGCTCAATGCAGAAGTTGAAGTTTTCGCTCTCCTCTCGTCATTCTTCCGCATGAGCATGACGATGTCATTACGTGTGCTTTGTGCTGTAGACATGGACGAGCGAAAACTGAAGATGTGAGCAAAGATGAAAGAGAATTGTGGGAGGAAGAGCAGGTGGTTTGATGAGAGCCGGTGCAGCTTTGTTGTGGGGAACACCCTCCACGGACCTGGCGATTTAAGCATTCTTGTCGTTCACCAGGAGAAGGTCCGGAGAGAAGAACGGTCTGCCTATGTAAGATGATTTTGTAAGAATGGTTTCGTACGCTCGCTCATACGTGCCTTTCCTCCCTGACAGACTACTTCGCCTTTCTCACCAATGTAATTTTACCCCCGCTTATCCAGTTTCAGGTCGCAGTCCTGACTGAGTTATTTGAGGCGACTACGGTGAAGCAAACTGCTCCATACGCCTTTGCATGGTGATACATCTATGGTCATCAGTCACACTGAGTGTGGCACAATAATCCGACACGGTGCAAGGTACCAAGTCTTTCGGTTTGTTCTGGCGAGTAGAGGATATCTGGCTGTTAGAAGTAACTTGAATTGGAATCGGAGCCGGAACAGAGTTTGATCCCGTAATGGAATACCAAAAGAGCGTGTAATAGGCGACAGCCTGTCCTAGCCTGTCCCAGTGTTCCTGGTCGGACGAAAACGGTGGATAACACATCAAATTCTGATCAGGGCTTTCGACCATAGCAACATGAGTCGAGATTCCTTTTAATGATAAAGCCGTCTCAATTTGCTGTGGTCAAAAACTCCTTCGTCAAATGACATCTGCTAGTCGCCTGCCAAGTCATCGTCATTCCATAGAAGCTAGAGCATTGAGAGTGCGGAGTATCGAAAGTAAATTCTAGACAAATACACGGACACTGTGGCTCTGCCACAAGCTGCTTCAGAGTGTAGTCCATACACTTCACACCCATCTTTGAGGGTCGCCGCATTAGCGGTATGACGTCGTGCCTCGAGGAAGTTGTCTGGTAACAAGAAATATCAAGCCAGAATCTGTCAGGATGCGTCGTTGTCAGACCCGCTGATTGTGTACTTTAATGCCCATGCGAGGTATTGATGCCGGTTTCGGTTGCCTTTGAATCTCTTAAAGGTGCACGGGCGGAGGAGGCAGGAGGACAAGGTTGTGACCAGCCCAGAGGTACAGGCCGGCGAATAGGGAAGGAACGAATCAAGACTATGAACACAGTTAATCGACCGGTAAAAAAACAGAATTGGTTAGAACTTACAGGTTCGAATTGACCGGGATGATATTCCGTGCCAGAGTCAAAGCAAGACCGGGCACTTCAAATTGAACGTAACAGTGCGTGTCTGCCGTCCGAGATGAAATTGGTGAGATAGATCTTCTACAGAAATGAGATCAGCTTCTGAGCGAACGTCAGAGCAAATTTGGGCGTCTCACCTAGAGACGGTGTAGATGTCGTTGACAAAAAAGTCGATGCCCGGTGTGGAGACGAAGGACTAGCAGGAGACGTTTCGAAGATAGATGGCAAGTAGATGGGGCATAAACGGCCACGTTCTGGATGGAGTACCAGCCGCGATAGATTGCGACTGCTCTAATTCTTTCAGCCTAGCCTCAAGTCGCGCCACTTGATCTTCTAGGCTCGTTGACTGTCGGCCTACTCGCACAGATTGTCTTTCGGGTATTGGTACAGACTGACTTTGCACCGTCGTATTTCTGTCATAATGGAATTAGACAAATCTTGAGTATGGGTTGGCCTCACCAGGGTGTCCTCGACACCAAACCCTAGACAAGATCAATGTATACATTCCATGACTGATACGAACATAGAAGTAGCGCAGGAAAGAAAATGACGTGCAGAAAGTAGGGCTTGACAGTGGAGGCACAACGACAACTAACATTATGATGGGCTTGAATCAAGCTGATGGACATCACCAGCTAGGCAAATTTATGGTATATTCTAATGGCTCCGCTCTACGTCGACTACGGAAATGTTGAATATAAAAAGATTCACGAGACATAGACGATGGACACACGTACATTTGCGGGAGACGAAAATGCATACGAACGACGGAGCTGAGTAAGCTGGAGCCGAAGGTTATTTAGGTGATCCAGTGCATGCAGGTCCTCTTCGAAATGGAGACCATGCTTGGCAAACGCCCGGCTTTTGGCCTCGTCGAAAACTTTGACGGGATCAAAATCCTCATCCATCCCGTACCGCACCGCTAGCTCCCTCTCCACCTTTTCCAGAGATATGATTCGACGCTGGATGACCTTCCTTTCGTCACGGGGGGTAGTACGGGTAAACATGATCCAAGAAGTCCTGTTTGAGAGGGGGGGAATGTCGCAGGGTAGTAAGGATGTCGTGTTCAGCTGGGAGACTAGATAATGGCTTTTGAACTTACCTTACATGCAAATTTGACACAATAAGTGTCGCCTTATGCTTAACACACTGCAACGAAGCAAAAGCTCAGATATAACGTGGCAGTAAAGTCCCGGGGATAATGGAAATGCTTTTCCGGGATTTTGGCTCCAACGTTTCCCGGGATTTTTGGTATATACCTAGATTTTTGCACCAGTATTCCGTCGAAGTGCCGAAGTGCCGGAAGCCTTTTCCCTGGACAATCTGGACCAAAATTGCAATTTTTTGGTCCATACCAAGGGTCAAAGATTGCGATCGTTCATGGGGCATTATCCGGGGTCCTGCTTCCTCATGTCATATCCCTTGTGCTTCATTACAAAAATAAGTACAGCGGAGATGGCCAATCAATCCATTTTTCCTGTTTTCCAGTGATGGTATTACGACCGACCTTTAGTGATTCTAGTGTTGTATTTCGAATCAACACTGTGATAAGGTAACATACAAGATACAATACAAGCAATGATTAGTAGCGGAGGGTATTTAGCTATTACACGTCCGCTGGAACTTCAAACAACATACAACGGTGTCGATAATGGTCCGAGACCGCAGCTTGGATGTCACCTCTCAACGCCGATTGCACAATTTTACCGCCGCAGATATAACAAAAATGCCTGTTGAAGTAGATGTATCAATACAAGAGTTCGTAGTCGTGGCAGATTGTACCCACGTGTTGCATCCTGGCGACATGCACTAGAGAGAAAAATTAGAAGAGCGCTCGGACACTTTTATCGACGTACCGTCATGTGGTTGCATCCGCTTTCCTTCTGCACGGGAGTCTTACAGCCTGTACAATATCAGGATAGTCGTTTGGTGTTGTTGTGGGATATACATACCTGGACAGTACTTCCAGCCTCGTTGCTTCATCAAATAATCCAACTCCGAAGATCCGTCACAGCTATGCTGAGGGCCGGTGACATCTATAGTCTGTTGACAAGACTTGCACCAGGTATGGTTACACCCAGGCAAGGGACAAGCGATGATACCGGCTTCCTGGTATTCCGTGCGATCAACAAAGGCGCTCTTCTTACATCTGAGTATGACGATGAAGCTGAGAACACGGAGAATAAACATGGTCGACATACTGGCGGCAATGAAGCAAGATAGAGAACGCAGACATCTGCAGCTCTTCAAAAATACGGTACTCCTTCTCTGGTACCCCAATGTCGAGGACGAGTGTTTCCGATAGTACTACATTAAAGGTGAGTCGTCATATAATATCCTGCCCATCAGAATGAAGACTCACTCGACTTCTTGTTACCGTCAGTGCAAACTGGACAGAAGACGGGGAATCGGTGATCGTGCAACTTCATCAGCAAATGTTGCCGAAGACAATCTCTACAGGTGGAATGGTTGCATTCGGCGACATAAGCGGCGAAGTCCACAGGGAATGTGTCCAGGCAGATGGCACAATTGAATAAGACTTGTTCTTCAGCTGCTAGGGAACGGCGCTCCTGCTCCAGCCGGTGATCCTCTTCCTCAAATTCACGCTGTAGATTGAGCGCAAACTCCCATCCCGTGCTGTTTTCTTGTGCGCGACCCTTTCCTTTCGAATTCTTACCTGATTTTTGTTGCTGTGAAGGCCCAGGATGCGCACCGAGCCACTTCGTCGCGACATTTGTTGGTGGAATAAAACGGCTTTGACTCTGTGATTGTCTTTTTTTCAGTTGTTCACATGTTTCCTGTAGCTCGTCGATCTCTTCCTCCAAGCGATTAGTCGTGGATGTCAAAGATTGATTTTGCGACTCTAAATCAGATAATTGAGCTTTAAGGGTGAGAATCGTGACGCTAGATTCGAGAAGAGCTTGCGTCAAGTCAGCAGGATCGGTAGACCATTTGTCGTTTGGAATAAAAACGTGGGCGGAGAAATTCGCGAGCAACTGTGCTTGCCACTGCAAGCCACTCTCCGAGAGAAGATGACTGTCGACAGACAAGATATCTGAGAGTCGCTGTGCTGCATTTTCGACGGTTGCCAGAAAGGTGATCCCAGATCCATCTGGATGAGTAGGCCGAGGATGGGTATCAAAAATGACATATATATTCTGTTCGGGAGTCGGAACCTTTGCGCAGGCGATAATTTCAGGTGGTCTTGTGATGACTGCCACACTAGTGTTATCGGATGCGAATTCAAGATCGCTTCGAGCTCATGGTAAGTAATGCGGTGAAAGAAGAAATGCAGTATTACCCGAGCATTTCTTCGAAGCGGTCAACCGATGGAAATCCATAGATAGGTTTTGTCAGTTTCATCGATGTCTGAAATAGAGGAGCTGCAAAGATAGTTTCGACCTCGAGATGAAGATTGCCCTGCCATTGGGAGCAGATGGAGACGATGTCCTAGGGAGAACCCTGAGGATCGTGAGAAATGGGCTCGGTCGACGCCGCTCACCTTCACCGTCTGCACTGAGGCAATGTCTGCAAGCAAAGCCGCTCCTCGAATGCCTTCCCGCTCTTTATCCAGCACCAATCTTGCAAAGTTTAGAGATGCTAGGCCGCATGCAGATACGCCACCTATCGTATATTGACTGGTTCCAGGATGGACGACGAGTTTCTCTTTGTCTTTGATAATCTGCGCGAAGAAATAGTTGGGATCGACAGTCTTGGACGTTTGCCTAGACATCGTAGGTCCATGGAATGAGTCGATGTACAGAGATTGCATGTTGTGACCTGCTAAGCGCGTCGAAGGCGATTAGCTTTGCAGGGTCGCACCGTCAAAGGCGCTGCGAGATCTCCAGTTAGACAACACTATTCCAGCCTGTATCACCTGAACACATTCGAACCTTCGCAGCGCTTATTCGAAGCAAATGCTGTTGTACTTGTGAATGCCGCTGCCAATCAGAGCTGGTCGGTAGCTTTGAGGGTGAACTGTACAAAGGGAGAACACACAAGCATGACTCGAAGAGGTCTCATTGGTCGGACCGGAAGTATAATAGGACCCCCACGAGGCTGTCTCTTTCACCCTCTACCCTCATCATGGAACCCCCCACTGCACCTCCCAGCGTATTTTCTACCACGGATACTAGTCAAAGTGAGTATACACGTTGCCCACGACGCGTCGTTGCTAATAGCATCATTTAGTGCTCTCCAATCCCCAGGACGGTACGTCTTTATGGTCTCGTCTTCAAGATATAAGCGCTCATATCAGCGCTAGCCGTGACCCCGCCCATCTCTAGCGGCACCCCAGATAGCATGGACGTCGATGAACCCAAGGTCACCACCCCTAGACCCGCACAGGGGAAAATGGATACCGACCTCGTTCACGAAATCCCGGGAATGTATCGTCTACTTGATTTGATCAGCGAGCCTGGAAGTGGAGGTCTCGGTACGCGAAGTCTATACATCGTCCGACACAATAATTAACTCTTTCTGAAGTTGACAAAATCATCATTGCCCAAGACTCACTGAAACTATTCGCTAACGACAAGAGCCCCGGCGCCTATGTCTCACTCACTAAAGTGGACTTCAACGTTCTCGATCGATTTGCCATCAAGCCTGTGGGTGTCTATGGTAGCAAAGAAGAAATTATTCGCTTCATATCGACCCGCACTGTTGTCAATCCTTCCTTGTGAGTAGTCACCGACGACAATCTAAACGAATCGAGCTAAACTGTATCATGCTAGGGCGCATAGACTTCTCAAGCCACAGACCAGCCTTGGACCATCTCTACGGTCAGGATTATACGCGTTGGATTCGTCAACTTCGGATCAATTATTTGTGATATATTGGCCGGAGGAGACCACTTGGAATGACGACGCCATATCTGCTGTGAGAAGGAATCGTATTACGTTTATGCGGTAACGTCTCTATTACGTTTATATCTATTTGGTTTTTGACATGAAGTCATCAGATATCTCACCAAAGTCTGCGACCAACTGTTGTGTATGATATCCTCCGAACAGGCTGCCTTGCTTGTCTGGAAAGAGAATTCTGAAGACCCTTTCATGGATCTAGACGATGATGCAGACCGCTTATTCACATTTGAGGTTCACAAGACCAACGAGCAGGAGGAAAATGTCACCATGCGCCCTGGATTCAAAGTATATAGCCCGTTTAATCATGAACAACACTCTCAGTTAACTGCGTCACAGATCAATTCATCTCACATTGCTCGCGAAGTAACGGACGATATACCTGTCGAAGCTTCTTTGCTTCATTCCAGAATGCTAAAGGGCGAAGCCTATCAAGCATTCGTCACCGTCAAGTACAAAGGTCCCCAGCAACGGCAAGAGGATGTTGCTAATCAGGCGTACGGTTCCATGCGCCTCCAAACTCTTCTGTCAGTTTGTTATTTTGGTGTGGATTTCCTGGCTCATTGATACGGGTTCGATCCAGTACAACCTCGGGTCCTGTATGCTTAAATCCAAATCTCACAGATCAGGAGATCGCGATATTGATCGAACATGGATTGAACAAGCGTTACTCTCTCGCATGTGACTCTTGGAAATCTCGGACGCAAGAAATAGAATCTAGCGTTGAACACTTCAGGCGGGAAGAAATGGCAAAGGTGAAACCGGACGAAACCGCTGAGAGTGAACTAGCCGCTATGTTAAGGTTGGCCATTGTGCACTCTGTAACAACCAGGTTCACGTAAGTGTCCGATCCTATCTCAGCGAATTCAGCACCAATTTCTTTTGTAACCCAAGAACTTTGAATAAGGAAGCGATTTGTCCCGCAGCAATTTACTCCGACGAGGAGACTACGAGACTGAATGGTATTTCAACTATTTCTACCACGTCTTGTCTTTAGTTTGAACTTTCTTGCAGCGTTGTTAGACAATTTCAATGCCATGCACCCAACATTTCGTCAAGAGCTCCAGAACAGCATGGACAATAATGATCTCGTGTCTATCAACTCACGTCCGTTCATTTCGGGGAAGAATAAAATTCTTGTCACGAGATGTATAATGATGGAATCGGAGAACCTCTCCCATGAACAACGACGGGATTTGATAGAAAACATTCTGTCATCCGAAAAATCGGACGATATCATCGCTTTGACGCAAAAGTCTCAGAGTTTCGTCTCGTCTTTCACCTCTCTCTTTCGCTTAGATAAGCCAGTCAAAACAAAAGATTTTCTTGCAGCTAGGAACATGGTTCAGACCGATCCTCATTTCCTCTCATGTCTGAACGAGATTCTGGGTCAAGAAGTTCTTTTGCAGGAAGCGATCACAAAAGTGGTAGACCTTGCAGAAGGCTACTTCCGGAAGAAGATCGACGGCGTCGTGAAGAAGTTGGTTGGTAGAGCTGTACTGGCACGGGAAAAGGCTTGTAAAACGCAGATTGATCGAGATGTGCAAAGCCGCCAAGATGCCCGACAAAAGGATTCGCGAAAGCAGTTCATTGAAGACATCGAAGCGCAGAACCAAGGAGATTTGTGAGTGCTCACTCTACCTTCAATCTATGAGATGCGGCATTAAGACTTGGACAGGTCTACTCTCATAATCGATAACGTTGATATCACAAACAAGTGGCGTACGTCCTTCTCCATGTAGCGACATAGCATTCACTTATACTCGTTGGTCAGCGAATTTCAAGGAGTATCGGCTCACTGCTTCAAAGATCGAGCATGTTGAAGCATCGATGGAGTATACCGTTCACACTCTCAGTTTATCTGAAGAACATCGCCGTGGCATCCAGATGGATTCTTCGTTTGTACCGATCCCGCACATAGAATCCACTCGTCGGCTAAGCACCCCCTTCAACCTTCCACTGAGCTCCAGGATATTGTGAGTGCATATTCTGGGCATTGTACGTGGCATTAATTAGAGTGCCCTTCAGATACATACACCTCCTTGCCTCCATCAAATGTTTGCTTGTTGTTGACGACAATCGACCCGGAGGCAACTTGTACATTTATCTTGAACAACTTTCCCTGCTCGACAATGCTATACAACATAACCGTCACAAAAAGATGTTGCATAAGGACAAACTTGGCGAGAATTTTCTCATAGCTTTTGATGAGATCAAACGAATGCTATTACTCTACGCCTCCTCCAAGGTTAGTCCACTCAGAATGTTATCTGAAAGCGCTATTAAGCAGCCGATAGTTACAGCTACATATCTTTGCGTTTGATGAAACACATAGCACACTCCAAGGATGGGGCAGCGCGGTCAACCTTGCACCTTGGTATGCGTCACAGTCTGTCTCCATATGTCATGCCTGTTTTGTGTGTGGGACCGAGGAGATATTGTTGATTGACAACGGATACCAAGCTCGAATTTTCTCGTTGATTACCCAACAGTTTAGGTACGATTTACCCCTTGAAGTCTTGCAAATGCATACTAATATCCGCTTCTGGACAGGCCCGCTACCCTATCGCTTGGCAGTCTTCCGCAAGCTGTTTATTCTTCGCCTGATGGTGCATGTTTGTTATTGGCATACACAAACGAGGATCAAACCACTTTACATGCCTATCATTGGAACAGTTTTGGATCGAGTCACGAGATAGCTCTCCAGCTTCCTCCCGGCTTCTCCAATGATTGCATTTTAAGCTCCTTCGTCAACAGGAACTGCATCCACCTCATATCTCTTGACGAACTTTCCCAGTCCTGCTCCTCAGTTGTATTGGATATCACCAAAAAGATAACCGAATTCCAATTCAAAGAGAAGGGTGGGAATAAAATCTCTCACGTAGAGGGTAGCCACGGCTCAACGCGCCATAATTCTCTGATCGAATGCTTCTCGGATGTTTGGACACGCTTTCCCGTCGTGGCGGCAATACAACACTCTATCGGCATCGGAAATAGAGCTCAGGCTCCTAAAGCTGTAACCTTTGCTACGGATCGTGATTTTGATAAGTTTGAACCTCACTTCTCTGACTTGATACAATCTTTCGAATTGAGAACCCGGAAACCCACGAACGATGTCCTGAAGCATATCAATGTGCGAGCAGTGCCGCTTTCCGATATCCCTTCTTTGGTCGCAAAGGAAGATACATGGCCTGTCTCACAGTTTCCACTTGGAGCATGGCTTGTAAATCTTTTCTGCCTGATTCCCATCCACATCGCCATCACCCGTGAGAATCGCTTCTTACCACTGAAGGATGGTGTTATATCCGTTGAATGGGAAAAGTCACTGCTCGGCGCTGAAGTTGGGAAGATCATTGATAGCGTCTCGATTGGCTGGTATGAATCGATTTTCCAGTCATACATGGCCAAGAAGGTATGAATCCAGTGTCGCTGTGGGCAACTAGTGACTGATACGATGAATTACAGCCTGTCAGAGTTGTCTCCTCCATGGGTAAAATTGTCTTCAAAATAGGAAACTTGCCACTTAACCGATAGAGATAGGTGAACAATCGGTAGGAAAGAGTTATACTCTGAATCACCTCGTAGACTCGTCCTTCGCAGGCAGTGCTATGAGAACGACGGGTTAGATAGATTCTTTCCTTTCTTGTGGTGCAATCCTCATATGTTACTTTTTGTAGAGGGTGTGTGGCTCTCGGTGACACCAACAGATGATGCCCTAGTAGTCGCACTCGATTTCGAAGGTTGGTGGTTTCGATCTTTATTGTGTCTTCCCTCAACACTTAACCATCGTATTTATAGGCGTTCACAGCATTGAGCGTTCCACACAAGAAGATACTCTGCTGGTTTTATTCAATACCGCTATATCTAACTTGGTATCGAACACATCAATTAACTGCGTGCCATTGATCACTGAGACCTTTGGCAGGTTCTCTTTCGAAATAATTTTGCATTGTCTCGAGATATTACAGGCCTTTTCCAGTCCTTCCAGTCTTCTTCTACGGTCCTCGATCCTGCTGCCAATCCATCGCTCTTTCAGTCAACACTAGTTATCATAATAAAGGTATAGCACAGTTATCTTAACATGATATCCGTCCAGATTTAATATATTTACTGCAGGATGTTACAGATATAGACAAGAGGGAGATCGTCAAAGAGTACGTTCCTAATTGACCTCATAAATATCCGGCATTAATCACCCTACTATGAAGGTTTTCCGCGAAGTTTCAGGTTTGTTGGCTTACGATAATCTGTCGGCACTCTCTGATCGTACACGCACCCTAGCAAATTGTTCAGGATGAACAGGATGCGAACTTTATTTCCCGCCTCCATGCTGGAAGACTGAATATTGTTCCATGGCCGATCATCGAATCAAAAAGTTTCTATAGCTTGTTTTTGGCCCTACAAAAGCGTCTGGATCAGCAAGTTCTTACACATCCAGCTGCGGGTGAATTTTTGCTTACGCTGAAGACGCTGATGGCGAAGCTCAAGGTCAGCATCAATTGTCGCACATCCAAGTTTATCTAACGTCCACTTAGGCAAACGACTGGGGCGCCCTGTCACGTAAGCAGATTTACACTGCAGAACATGCAAGAGTATGGACTTTATTTGATTTAGAGAGCCTTGTTGCTCATCGCGCACAACGATTGTTGGCAATGCTACCAAATGCATTGATATACGGCTATACTGAGATCTACCCAGAACTCGAGCCATTGAAGGTAAGTTTCTACCGAACTTCTCGACATTGTGATGAATTGTAGTCGTAGAATTTTGACACCGACATCTTGATCGATGGCGAAGATAGTGATGCCCGTTTTTTCCTCGACCTTTCCAGTAGGCCATCGGCGGAACGTGAGTCGACCTTGGATCGTTTGCGTTGCTTGTGGCAGTACAGGCATCACCGGCAAGAAATACCCGACGGTGATTGGGCCGATGCGTTAGAACAGCATCTGCAGAGACTTGCTGACATGAGGGTCAGCCGTGTTCGGGCATGGATCGAGTCGAACCTATCCCGGTTTACAGCCACGCATGCAACAATTACAGAATTGAATCGCGCCTTTGAGAATGCGCAGGTCGATTTGAGGTCAAGTGTTGCCCTGTGTAGGATGAAGTGTACAAATTGCAATCTTCTCTGTGTTGGAAGTCGTCGACATGATCCTGATATGCCCCACGACTGTCAAACATCTCATCAGTGTATCAAGCCTTGCGAATTCACAGATGAACATACCGATGAAGGAAAACCTTGTGGGTTTCCGTATGTGGTTGCTCGTCCCCTGTCCATCTTCTATTCTGACAAATTTTTCCGCATCCAGTGCTGCTCACACCGGGAAGCACATGTTAGTCGTGCTATCTGTTCTTTACATGCATACTGAATACATACCAGATGCACCGTCGATACCCATCTCTGTGGTCTGCCCTGCCACTTGAACGACAAAATTGGATGTCTAGGCGAGTGCACAAAGGTATTTCATCTGTATACATAGCTGTACCACTTCTGAGGTATATTTCTCAGATGGTAGATCATCTTGATGATCACATGTGCTCAGCTCGAAATCATGCCTGTGGCCAGGTCAGTATTCATGCCTCTTGCGTTCGTAACAGGCTCAATGACTTCGATGAAATTTAGCCTTGTCAACTGGAGAATGTCAAAGTGAACCAAGGACGGTCTTTCAGCTGCAAAGGGAAGTGCGTAATCTCCAGGTACGTACAACTGTGTTGTTCAACCAAATTCTGATGGTTATTCCCACTCAGTTCTGAAATTCATGAAATTCATGTGTGCGACAATCGTATGTGCCCAATTCCCTGTGAGCTTTGCAAACGTCTGTGCTCCGACACCAACCATCTACACGGGCTGGATACGCAAGCGACGCATCTTTGCGGGTTAGTCCTTTTTCTTTTCCGGGTTCATTTCTTTTTATCCTTGTCTAGTCAAGAACATCCCTGCCCGGCAGTATGTGCGGCACATGGAAGTTGTGAGATTGACACGGCCCCTCAATCCATCAAAGCGACGTTCACTGGTCGGCATGAAACGTTTGAATACACGAAGGTTCGTACCCATAAATTGCATAATGAATGGGGCAGTAGCTGATTTCTTCATCCTTTATCCAGTATTCGCAAGGTACGTTTGCTAGTTACATAGACAAGACCGTGACTCGATCTAAAGCATTGCAGTCGCGAAAAGACTCCCTTGCGCGATTGCTATTCCAGCGGGCAAGCAACAACATGAGGGGCCTCACATCCACTGTACAGATGCGAACCCTTTCCACTTTTGTGAATCACGGCAAGTCGCGAGTCGCCAAATTTCTAATCTCCGTTGACATCTTGACTCTAGATGTGATTACTGTGGTTATTACTGCACCTTACCTTTGGGTACATACAAGAGTTCGATATAATACTTCAAGGACTGACCGCTTTTTGGTAGGACACGTGCAACAAGAACACGAGACGAGCCATGGTTCCATGTCTAAGACTCGCTGGGCTGTTGATGGGCCTGCTGGCGCCTCTATAGAAATCAATGGCCATAAATTCGGGTCCGAGGATGACGGCGCACCAATGATGTGTAATCTGGTCTGCCAAGACATGGGAAGACATACTCATCTGGATTATTGTCGAGCGGATCCACAGCAAGTAGGGACTTGCAGTTCTGCCGAGATCCAGCATATCAGAGAACGATTGAAACCCAACCCTGAACGGCCCAAGGACTTTATCACGCATTCTTTGTTCTGGAGACGGTCAGGTATGTACCCATTGCCATTGAGCAACGAAAACCCGATATTCAGCTGATGGTGATGCGATCTCTAGGCTTTAAAGGTTTGTTCGAATATTACTCCTTTTCTACTCTTGCTTATGATCACACCCCTATAGATCCATATTCTCGCGATGACAAGACCAATTTTGCGAAATGGTGCGCCACATCCTCTTTCTGTAGCCTCTCTGCCTGACAGACCGGTTTCAGTGACGCTATGTGTCCTGGTACAATCGATTTAATGCATGACGTTCGTATGAGATAGCTGAGCGGTGATTTTAGGTCCTGAACATGCAGGAAATGGGACGAATCCTGGTCAGCCTTCCTACTGTACTTTGCCTCTATTCCACCCACCTGAGACGTCGAACCAACGAGTGGGGCTGGGATATCTGTCTAACGATGGCCATGTTTTTCCTTGTAAAAACCCAGCTGTCTTGCAACAAGCATTTCATGTGTAAGTCGAAAGAATACATTGTCCGTACCATTTCTCACCTACGCGCCATCAGAATATTTGTCATTGACAGGTTTGCCCTGTTCAGTCCACGTAACATTCTTTCTTGCTTACTGGTGTCAACAGGTCGGGCTCCATGGCTTCCATGGATCGTCGGCCACTGGCAGGTACACCCGTGACCACGACTATCCAGCGCACTTGTAATAACCGACTTGGAGCGGTGTATTCTTCCCTTCACGCATTTTGGGTGTCTCGACATGCTGCAATTACCGCCAATAGTCAAGGTCGAGCTGCAAACCGAAGAGATTCTTACAGTGTCGTTCTCTTTGACCATCACGTTGTTCGAGGAGTCACGAATGACTTCACAAGTTCTCCTGAGGTTCTCCTGAATGGTCTTCTGCGATATTCAGCTGGAGGTGGAACCAACTATGATACGGCTTTGCGTGAGGCCCAAAATGTCATGACACAGAACTGGAGCCCTGAGAGGTACGTTTAAAATGACTAAAAATAATTGGCGTGGTCTTCATTATGCACGTAGAGCACCTGTTGTCATCTTTTTATCTGATGGCGAATGTTCCGTTCGGGATGAGACCGTTCAAGATCTTTGTCGTGTAGCCATCGCATCAGGGTTAGGCCTTCCTTTCCTATGGATATAACTACCGTCTCACTGTTATACAGGAAACCTCTGTCCCTGCATACTGTCTCGTTTGGACCAAGCAATTCGGTCTTACGACGTATGTCCCAAATAGCTCTTGGAATACAGAACAACGCGCCGCCAGACCCCAATGCGCCAGCTGCTGCTAGGATTGATTCGTCATATGCCGAAGCCTTGGATAGTGTGAGTGGCAGTTCAGCCTTCATTTTTGACTGGGTCTGACTGTCGTTACAGGTTCGCCTGGCTGAAACATTCCTTGGAATTGCGGAGTCGTTGAGGAAACCAAGAGGATCGCTCCTGCACTGACCTAATCATTGTCCAAATTTCTCATCCACTTATGTATTCCAATGCTTTACGGGCGATGCTTTGTAACATATATACAGGTCGAAAACTTTGTAGGTTGTAATATCATAATCAATGGTATGAGTTGCACCGGGGTAGTACGACAGTTGCGCTAGTTGTGGACGACGCCAATGCCTTCCAGAGGGACGGGTCAGTGGATGGAGGTCGAGTCCGTCGACTGGGAACAAGGTGTGTCCAGTCGGTCACCTTGGATAGCACCAACCTAGGTGTCCTGGCATCACGCATCCCTTTCATTTGCGGAATTGCTTATCGTTAGTTGTGCCCTCGGCACTTGGCACCCCTACCTTCCTATATCCTGTATCACCCACAATTGTATTGAAACTGGAACCCTAACACGATGTGCAAACGACAGCAGCATTGGATTAGACATTCAGCGAGTTTCGTTTCGCATGTAGACACTCTACATGCATATAGGCAAAATTTATCTGTATTGGCCTGATGGTCTAGTAGTATGATTCCTTGTTAGGGTTGTATAATCATCGAGGAGGTCCCGGGTTCAATTCCCGGTCAGGCCCAGCGTAGTACCATTTTTATTTGTGGCCTGTGTAATTGTAGACTAGGGTTGCGCACGAAACCTCCGCGGGGGAAGTAACCGTTTGTTACCGACCCCTCCCCAAGGGGGTGGTTTTGCTACGGTAAGTTAAGTACTGTTACTTACCTTATCACGTGTATTATCACATGATTGACGCGCCGCAATTGCCGAATTTTTCCAAAACCTTTGTCTTCCTATTTTTATACATTTTCTTGATATAATGAGAGGTAGATTCATTGGTAAAGACAGTCACAGGTAAGTTACCTTGACGAAAACCCCTCCGGCGAGGGGGATGTAACTTACCAGTAACTTACCGGTAATAAACACAAGTGTATCGAAACCTAGGTTTCGTGCGCTACCCTAAATTATACCAGTGACTGTGACTCGGTTGGCGGATCCTGAGGCTCCCTCAGACTCTTGACTCTCGATTGAACCGCCCGACGGTTGGGAGTGTCTAGTGGGGACCGGAGAGCTCGTTTGTCAGGATTCTGGAGTCTGGACGAAGTATACTCCAAGTTTTCAGGTCGTAAAGCACTTTAATTTTATAGTTTACCATTCTGTAAATTTGATACGGCACCTTGATTTAAAACATCGCGTCCTATCATCCTTTTGCTCATTGTAGTATGTTACGATGGAGGTGCAGTGGTAGACCATAGCAATAATGGCAATACAAAGTTATATAAAGAAGACAACTGAGGGTGCTGAACCTGTTAAACACCGTAAACCCTTCTAGCACCCTCTCTTCCTGCAATGAGCACCCCCTTTGTGTCCCATGCGTCACCCAAGATAGACGCAATATACTGAGCGGTAAAGGGAATCATCAATGAATGACTTAATGGAAGCCGAGTTTGTTTCGTAAAAGTTGGGTTAGCAAGTAGGGCAGGGTAGACATTCGACGGGACCATGTACGGCGCATCCGTTTCCAGGACTATACGAAAAGTTTCCGGAGCCTTTACCATCTGACGAAGCAAATCCGCAGTATTCAAATTCGTCGAGAACGTCACGACGCCGGTGATACCGATGTAGAGGTTCGGGAAGTGAGAGAGAAGACGAAGGGCAAAGGCGGGTGAGTCTGTGAAACAGTGGACGTGAACGGGGTGGTCCTTGGGAATGACCTCCTTCATTATCCGTTCGGTATCTTCTTCCGCCTTTCGGGTATGAATCGTGAGAGGTTTCCCCTTCTCCACAGCCAACTTGAGCTGTTGAGTGAAGACGGTTTTCTGGACATCTTGAGGTGAACGAGTATAGTGATAATCCAGTCCTATCTCGCCGAGACCGACGCAGAGCGGGTGGTTGAGGGCATTTATGCTGCAATGATGTTTAGGGCTTTGAAATAAATGAACGCTCCGGAATAGCTTACATCTCTGCTTCCACTGCAGGAGTATAGTATTTTGCTTCGTGTCTGCCAGTGATTCAGTGTTGCTTCGAGCAAGGAAAAACAAAGAAAATACGTACGGATGCACGCCTATGACAAAACGATAGCTGACACCACCCCATTGCTCCTCCGGCGCATCCGCCAGCCGTCTCCATCCTTTCCCAGGCCTGGGCATGAACTCGGCGGGATTGTGCCATACATCAATGATCGTCTCGACACCTCGCCCTTTATAGATACCTCGGACGAGTTCGAATATGTTCGAGTACCAACCAGAGGGGTAGTTCGACCGGTACGCCGCAAACGTCAAGACGAGATGCGTATGAGTGTCGACGATAGTCGAATTCGAAGCGCCCGGATGAGATGGAAACGCACACGTGAGCGTGTCGTGCGAAGGAAGTGGTTGAGTGACGCGGTTGGATGATCCTCGGTATCGGTTGTTTTTACTCATGACAATACTCGGTGAAGTGTGAAGGCTGTTGGTGTCTCAAGTATTCCAGCTTGTTAACGTAGAAGAATAGGGGATTCTTACGACTGGCAATGACTCCGAGGTAATCAATTCGGATCGAAAAGCGGGGCCGAAGCACTTTTCTCAGACACAAGTCATTTCAATTTTCTAAAGAGACAGCAGACATTCCGAACGAGCAGCCATACAGAGCTTTACTTAGCTACATGCAAAACAAAATTTGAAAACGTACTTTCGATACAATGAATAACGAGGATAAAAAACAATACTGAACCATCACCTGAGGGGGTAAATCCGCTCAGTTCGCTCCTTATGAGATGAGAAAATCCGTACCACTCTAGCGTGACAATCTTGGGCCGGACCCATACTGTTCCCCAGCCCTTCGCTCCATCAGATCCCGAAGGGGCCCAAGAAGCCGAGTGAAAGCCTGCGCATCCAAAGCCGCCACCTTGAGCTTTGGAAGAGCGTGATCTCCCCGGTCGATTGCACTGACAGTCGCAGCGCGAGGAGCCAAGTGCAGAAGTGACAACTCTTTTCATAAGCGTCGGTATAAACTTGAATGAAATGTAGAGAGAAAAGTATCATACCTCCAAAGTAATCTCCCTTCTTCAAATGCCCCACTTGAAACTCGCGAACTTGGCCATTGCTACCTTCCTGCGACTTTGTCACTACAGCTTCACCCTCTTCGATGAAAAAGAACGTGTCTCCCATCTCTCCTTGCCTGACAATGGCCTCTCCGTCCCCATACACCCTGCTAACCAGCGCATCAGCGATTTTACTGCGTTCGGCAGCGTCTAGAGATGACAAGAGGGCCACAGATGATAAAAAGTGCTCATACATCGTGCGTCGTCGATGAGCCGCCTTCAGTATGATTGTCCGGAAGGTGATGCGGTCCAGCGCCCACAAGGTAGAAGGCTCAGTAGACAGAACCGTCGCAGCACGAGGATGGCCGTACATCAGTGCCAGCTCTCCAAATGAGGCCCCCGGTGTGCACTCTGCTACACATTTCCCAAACTCAGGGTGGTACCCAGGCTGGAGGAACTTGTCTTCTGAGGAGCGAAGTCCCGCTGGGGGTAAAGGATCCGACCGGATGAAGCACTCAAGCAGGCCCGACTCGACGACATAAAAGTAGTCGCCTACGTCACCCTGGCGTATAACCACCTCGCCTTTCTCCGTCTTCTTTTCCTGCATGGCATTGAGCACGCCTGTTTCCTGCTCCTCGTCAAGATCGCGGAAAATAAAGTTGTTCGCGATGGATGCTTTAATGCGACGAAGCTGGTCAGAAGTTTTTGGGAATACAGGAAGCGGTTCGTCTGGGGAGCTGTCGACAGGGATGGATTCTGCTGAGACGGAGGTGCGACGTTGAAAGATGGTAGGAACGGGTGGATGTAGGTAGTCGCCTGGATTGGTGGGTTGAGCGACGCCGCCACCATCGTCAAATTGTGCGAAGGGGTTGACCATCGGTGTCGTCAAGGGCGAGGTCGGGGTCGTGTTGAACTGGACGACGGGCGGGTTGTTGGCGAGCAAAGCATTACCGGGAACGTTGAGGGTGCCAAATGGGCTGTAAGAGGTGCTGTTCCTGCCAGCGAACGACGAGCGGGGCGCTGTATCAAGTGGAGAGACAGTTTCTGGGTTCTGTCGGGCACCAAAGGCCGTGTCGACATAGAGCTCGCTAGGGAGTTCACGCGAAAATGCACGCGAACGACGAGACAGAGCATCCCGGGTCCGTGCCCGCTGCTCCTCCAACCGCTGTTGAAACCAATTCGCACAGAACTGCAGCGCGTCATTGGGCTGCACACGGTTTGCGTCCCGTGTCAGGTCGTCGATGAGCTGGTCGAATGTCGACATTGGCGAAATAAAACAAGTTTCCCTTTATATATCAGGTGATGGGCACTACTTGAATGCTTACGATTTCGTTTCCAACGTACGTACAAGCTATCATGCATTCATGTTTCTGGTCGAAAAATCCAGCTGATAATATTGCGTTATAGTACAAGCGATATCCATTCGCAAAGCAGTGCCAACCGAGTGTCAGCCTGCTCAAAAGGTCCAAGAACTATTGTTACATTTCTATCTATCTCAAATCATCTTACAAGCTTCTCAATACCCACAGGAATCTGAAATCAAGATCAGCAATCGCAAATGGACAAGAAATTGAAAGAATAAAACGAACCTGCCATCCATGGGCAGCAGCTGCCCTCTTGTATCCCTCCAACGCCTCATATACGTGGTACTCGCGATGCCAATCTTTAGCGAGCCTCGCTGGACGAGGGTCCAAATTCGAGATAGCCAACTTGATCTGCATGATCACCGCAGGAATACTCGAGGATTGTTAGCAAACAGGAACGCCAAAAAACTTGATTATTTACCTGTAACTAGGCAACCAACCTGCAACAAAATATTAGCCGGACAAACACCAAAAAAACCCGTCAAACACACCGTCAGAAGTCAGCAAATCCATACATATAGATCCTCCTCCAGTAACATGGCCTCCTCCACCATGAATAAAAGGCAAGAACCGTGGAGTAAGAATCCTGAAAAATGGCGGAGCCAACGGGAACGTTGGAGGGAACCGAATCTCGAAGATGATCGAATTCACTCCTCTACAACGGCGTCAATTCCAACAAATTGTAAGAAAAGCAAAAAATACATACGCGATCTTCAAATCCTTCGCGATCGGCAAGCTCGGATCAAACGAATGCATCTCTACAATCCACTGGAATAAATTATCGCCAATGAATTCTGGCGGCATGTACCACCCCAGCTCTCGCAGACTGTTTGCCGCTTCCTGTTCCTTTAGCATCGATCTCAGCTCTCGCTGGACAGCCATAGTCGCAGAATTCGCCGACTCAGTGGGCGGGGGCATCAGTTTGTCGACCACGACGCTGACCCATTTAGGGTCGTGCTTCCAATCATCTGCTGGCTTCGCTTTCTTTTTACTACCAGACGTGGGTGGGGCTGGTGCTTTGCCCTTCCCTTTCGGATCAGGCACGATTATGACTTCGTCGGCATCGTAGAATTCATGATCGTCGTCATCGTCATCGTCAACAATAATTGGGTCCTTCTCAACATGGTCAAAGATTCGCTGGTCTTCCTCATCTGGCTCTTGTACCACTAGATCACGCTGACGATCCTGGAGCAATAAGTTTATGGTGTACCCAGGCTCAGGAATAGAGATCTTGCTGCTGCTCAACGTCAGCGGATGCTTGGGATCCAATTTTACGAAAGGTATGGTCTTATCCACAACCGAGGCAGTAGCGGTCGCTTCAGCTGGACACTTGACTAAGAGGTACCGGCTGCGAACAATTTCAGCTTTCGTAACGGAGCAAGTCTCAAACACTCACCAGACAATCCAGGTGGTATCCGCGATAACAAAATACGGATTCGAACTAACAAACTTCTCGGGTAAGTTGACTACCTCCGCTAGAGCAACACAAGCGTTGGGACAAATTTTGCTCTTGCGCCACATCGTGCTGTTACCTGCCGCATAATGTCCCATAGAAATCTGCCCGTCTTTGGCCAGATAGACACCTACAAACAGACGGGTTGAGATAAACAACAGGCACCATGGAAATTAAATTGAGCATATACCGTTTCCATACGCCCGCCCATTAGCTACCTGCTTGTACCACAATCCATGCCGAATTATCTATGACAGACGGTAAGGATCGGGAAAGCAGGAAAAGTGGAATCCAAATGACTGACCGAGTGCCAATTTCGCAAAGGAGAACCATGGAAAGCCTTCACATACCAAATAAGTGACAAATACACAAGAAGAACTAGGATACGAACAAAGAGTGAGGGGTACTTTACGGCGTTCGCATTTGTTGCCTGAGATTGAGTAACAGCAGCCTGGAATTTAGCTTCTGCATCTGGAGCCCCGACGCTGAAGCGGAACTGGCGCCATGATGGATCTAAATGCCGTATTAGCAGAAATACACAGGGCGGCCAGTCGGGCAAAACGTACCCAAATTCGTTATTAATTCCGCTCCCGATATGATGGGTTCAAGATATGCGGTGCACGATGCCACACACCTAGTTGGAAAGTGGTCACTAACGTGTAGTGGGCGGGTGTGATGATCTCAGCTTACCAGCGAAGGATCTGCCAAGCAGCGGGCAACACTGTAGGATCGAGTTCCCTGAGTTTTGGCTTTGATTTCCCGGGCTTGACTTTGCGTTCTAAGTGCTTTCTGAGCCAAGTGTCAGTCATAGGCTAGCGACTGTTACAGTGGCTTGTCCGTACTTCATCTCTTCCACCTGAAATATCCTTCATTAGTTCGACGTGGTGTGAAACAATTAAGATAGATAGCCTACCGTCGGCAATGTATTTAACATAGCAGCAATAGAGGCGCGCATCTGCATATCAGTTGAATAACCAATAATAATGGAGTCAATTAGAACAGGAAACCAACCTGAAGAATATCAAGATCATCAAAATCGCACAGACCATGGTTGTCGGCAACAGGCTCGCGTCGGGGAGTGGAAAGAGACGGAGTCTCAAACACCGTACCAGGGAAGGCACCAGGATAGCCGGCCCCTCGGAGCGTCGACGGGTGGACAATCAAGCTTTTGTCAGGAATAGGAACTCGCAGGCCCATCCCAATAGGGAGAGGCTCGTCAAGGACGCCTTCGGCAGCCCCAGAATAGGTCAGTGAAACAAGAAGATCCACAGTCTGTGGGTTGTGAATGATTTCATACTATAGAGATGTGAGACGTGAAGATGCCAAGTGTGTCAATGAGCAAAACAAACCTCTAACGAAGGTCCATGATTGAGAGAGTAGTATTGGTAGGCGCACAGTTTCGAATCGCACACATAGGGCTTCAGAGCTTCGAAGTCGGTGGTGAGTTTGTTGTGGCAGACAATGCAGTAGCGTGTACAGAGCTAAGAGAATATGAGGAAGGGGATTGGTCGAAACACAGATCGCCTACCGTCAGTCGTCTGATGAGATAACTAAACGCGGTCAGTGGAAGATTGATATCTTCTGATTTCCCAAGACCACGCAAGGGATCATGAGGCAGCGTTCGGTTGAGCTTTTGTTCCTCTTTTTCAGCTGCTTTTATTTCCTGTATCGAATGAGCAAGATTGGTGTTTTCGAGAGCGAAGCCGTTACCTTGGTTCTGAACCGATATACATCCTCTGCTGTCATCTGGCTCTTTTCAATTTCAGAGAACAGTAGCTCAGCGCCAGCCCAGCCCAGATCAAACTGTCTCCGTAATCGGACAACTTTCAGAAAGGATCGGTCCAGCAACGACTCCAAAGAAGAACTCAAGCTGAACTTGTCAAATCGGCCTTCGTCATCTTCCTCTTCAATGTCAACTTCTGGGACGACAGGCACAACGACTTCTTCGTCCATGTCAACGTCCCCGTCGTAAAAACTCATCGCAGCAGCAAGCTCCTTCTCTTTCTGAATGCGCAACTCATCTTCAGCATCCTGAAGGACTAGCCCATACCTGCGTACGGCTTCTTTGGCATTCACAGTTGAGGGCTTGTACCCGCCGCACAGACCGACTTGGAATTTGAGTTGCACACCCGCTCTGCGTGCGGCACTCGAATAGGATCCATCACTCGACAAAGAAGGATACATGCCTCTGTGCCCGGATATGAGAAGGGTTAAATGTTGTGAACGGGACAGAAGCCTCCGATCCCAAGCCATAAGCGCCCGCGGAGGGATTGCTTTAGATAGAGTGATAACTGGTAAGCTGATGGTTAAACAGAAGTCGTCGCCTCCAAAAGGAATGAATCCTGGTCGATAGCCTGTCCCCACAGCATCGATGAAGTCCCTAAGAAGAGGTCTAGATAGTGCTATTATAAAAGAGCTGCCGCTTACCTTTGCAGTTTGGAGCGACTGTAGGTCGAAACCTTGGACATTGCAGCATAATCATCATCATATTCCATACCGACATATTCTTCGTCTCCACTATCGTCTTCATCCTCCATGTCAACTTCTTGGTACTTCTTACCGGCAAGTGACGTCAAGAAACGTTCCAGAGTGTCGACGATCGGTCGTGCCGGCGATGTTGCGATCTCATTTACAAGCTCTGTTGTACGAGCGTCGAGCTCTGAATCAGAGGAGTAGCAAAATACTGTATGGTTCTTCGGATATTCAGAGGTGTCTGAAAGTAGAAGATCAGGGTAGCAATAAAGACAACGACGCGTATCATTACCATCAACAAGCATAGTGAGAGATATTGATGCGTCAGGGACATGAGAATCCTCAATAACGACTTCCATGGAACCTTCGTCGTCGCCTGGGCGGAACTCTGAGAGCAAGATTAGTATCAAGCCACAACATGAAAGGCGACTCACTCTTTATCCGCCATCCATGAACCAGGAATCCTCCGTCCTTGACGACTTGCTTCGTGTCCTCGAAATCGGCATTGAAACGTTTGCGGCCTTTGAGATGGGCGTTCTTGGTGCGGTCAATTTGTACTTTGGCGCCTGCTGTTGGGAGTGGAGCCTTGCCTGAAAGAACACGTTCTTAACGTGTAAAATATGCTGAATACCAATGATTGACGTACCACTGGTCACCTTTTGGCGTTTAGACGAAAGCTTCCCTCCATGACCCTCCGGCTCCGAATCAGAGTCGTGAATGACGATAACATCGCCCCGCGGCTGAGACACCTTGGCCTTGCTGCGATTAAAGAACATTATGTCGAGCGGTATGTAGATGAAAGAGAGAAAAGAGGAGTGCTATCAAGGAAAGGGTGGCTCAGACACAGTCTCGAGTAAGATGAAGGTGGCAGAGTCATGTTACTAGGGGCTTTTCAGGAAGTCTTGGCACGGCAATTGCCGCGGCTGCTAAGATGCTATGACGCTGTGTTTCTTACTCTGTTAGATGTCCGTACCGTCCTTGTCGACACACCATCACCCTCCTGCCTTCTGCCCGTAGTATCTGCCGTTGTTCACATACCTTGCTCACCGTCTGCATCGACGATGGCGTCCCTCATCACCATCGTTCGTAATAGTGCGCAGGATTTAAATTCAAACGGCGTCCAATTAATCTCAGCCTGACTGCGCTTATAGAGTTCCTCGAAGCAATTCGTTCCGTCAATCCTCCTGGAAAATGGAAGATCCTCGTGGTCGACGAGCATTCACAGAAACTCCTTGGCGCAGTGCTCAAGCAATTCGATATTCTTGAGGAGAATGTTACTCGTGCGTCTGTGTTATATTGCTGTTTTGACTCGTACTTATTCCATGCAGTGATTGAGTCGATATCTAACTATCGGGAACCTCAGCCAGAGTTTGAGGCTCTGTATCTGCTCATGCCCACAACCCAAAATGTCGATCGTATCATCCGTGATTTCTCGCAGACGAAGCAGTACGCCGCTGCACACCTATTCTTCATTGAAGGTAGGTGGTAATACCCATCGATAATACCCACTAACCTTCTTTAGGTCTTTCTGATCCTTTATTCCAACGCCTCACATCATCGCCGGCAGAACCTCACCTTCAGGCCCTCAAGGAGCTGTTTTTAAACTTTTCACCTGTCGAGGCCCAGACATTCTCTCTTCAGACACCGGAGATGTTCTTCAGTATTTACAGCCCACCACGGCATGAGAACGACTACCGCAGGGCACGCGAACGGCTAGAAGAAGATCTTCGTTTTACTAGTAAAATCGTGCGTTCCTCGTTCCCCCTTCTGTGATCACTTTGTAAATGTTTCATCCAGATCACCAATGTTTGTATAACGCTCAATGAATTCCCCTACATCCGGTACTATGTACCACCGAACCATCCCCCTCTAGGTGCCCTTAAGCCACATCTGTCTACCCGTCCACCGCCACCATCCGAAGGCAGTGGCCGATGGAGGACGAACCTTGCCCGTGGCGCAGATGCTCGCGCCTACGAATCTGTCGAGACTGACTATGTAACCAAGCTACTAGCGTTTATGGTCCAGAGCAATCTCGAGGAGCACAAACGGGCGAATTCCGATTTTGGAAAGATCGATGCCGGAAGGGGACGATCCACGCTGATTATCACGGACCGAGCAATGGATATGATGGCACCTTTGGTACACGAGTTTACGTATCAAGCTATGGCCAACGATCTGTTGCCCATTGAAAACGGTGTTCGATACACTTACAAGTTTCAGTCGTCCGTGGGTGCCTACGAGGACAAAACTGCTACTCTGTCCGACCAGGATAATGTATGGACGGCTGTGCGACACATGCACATGCGTGAAGCCATTGATAAATTGATGGCAGACTTCAACAAATTCCTCGAAGAGAATGCTGTCTTCAAGGGGTATGTGCTTGATCATCTTTTCTTTGACCCTTCACTGATGCTTATCAGGGACGGCGCAGCGAATCTTAATGATATGAAGGAAATGTTGGCGGGGTTGCCTCAGTACCAAGAACAGCGCGAAAAGGTGAGACGTCTGTCATATCTCTTTTGACTATCCTAAGTATCTGCTCAGTTCTCATTGCATCTAAACATGGCACAAGAATGTATGGGTATCTTTGAACGGGACAAACTACCTGTTGTAGCTAACGTTGAGCAGGTCGGTTGAATCTTTTGCCTTTGATATTCATTCATTGATAACAATCCAGAACTGTGCCACTGGTCTCACAGCTGAAGGCAAGACGCCCAAAAAGCTGGTGGAAGAGATGGTGCCTTTGCTAGATAGCCGGGAAGTGATGTAAGTCTTTTCTTTGCATCCAACTTACAACAAATGAACAGTTATCAGAAACGCGAATAAAGTCCGGGTGATAGCGCTATACATACAGCACCGTGATGGCGTGCCCGATGAAGATCGGAGACGATTGTATCAACACGCGCGTCTTTCGCTGGCGGAACAAGACGCTGTTAACGCCTTAGCACATCTCGGTGTGAGGATTAGCCGGGTACGCTCTTGTTTTCCTGTATTCTTCCAAGCATCGTCATCGCTGGATATATCAGGGACCCAATGATCGCGATATCAAGAAGAAAATAAAACAGAAACCTAAAGACGATGAATACGAACTGTCACGATTCAAACCTCTATTAAAGACGGTCATTGAGGTGCGTGTTCTAACACCATCGTCAAACTTTAAATTATAGCTGTTGGGTACAGGAACATGTCGAAAATAAGCTTGATGTCACACTTTTCCCTTATGTTAAAGACTCCCCCTCTGCGATGCCCCCACCTTCATTGCGTCCTGCCCCAACACATACAACGTCTCTGCGAAGCCAAAAGCCCGCTTGGCATCGTGCTGCAACACGTAATGCAGTACAGGAATCCACTAAACAGCGCCTACTCGTTTTCGTTGCTGGTGGTATGACGTATTCCGAAGTACGAGAGGTATACGAGTTGTCTTCGTCGTTGAGCAAGGATATCTACATCGGTATGTCTCCTTTTCTTTACGATCCTGCTTGCTAAAGTGTGCTCTAGGCTCCACGCATACCATCACGCCGCGACCCTTCATTGATGATCTCAAGGTGTTGGACCTAGGTGGAGTTGGCTCACGTGCATTGCCGAACGGTCTACAGGAGAGCGCAGGACAGAGACCCTATCAAGACTTTTACGATGAGAGATACTACACCAAGGACGGACCGCGTCCCCAACCCAAGCCAGCGCCAGGCACGCTTGCCCCGCCCAAGGAACGCAGTCGACCACAGCCCTCCCCCACGGAGAGCTACTCGTCCACCAACTCCTTCGGAAAGGAAGAGAAGGAGAAGAAGAAGAAGAAGGGCCTCTTCAGGTTCTGAAGAGCTAAAGGTAAATGTATAGTGTGTAATTATATACCCCTTCGCGAAATAATGGACCCTGGTACGACTTATGGGACATGCGGATGCATAAGTTGCTAGGTAGCGTTAGCTCTGGCGGATATATAGAATCTTCTCCCTCATTGGAGAGGATGACTTCAATAATGGCCACTAAGTCCTACATAGCAGACGTAAAGAGAAATTTCGCAAGGCCAAATTCTTGGACAGAAATGCAGAAATGGTTTTACGAGATTATTACGCGGATCGAGACCCAGAGCGCCCACCTGACGGCCCTTCCTTTTCTTACGTTCCAAGTTACTTGTGTCCACTGTAACATCATCAAAGTAGTTTATGCTACGTTACAACAAGCCGAGACCAGTAAATAGCTGCTGCATTGAAGACAAAGACTACAAACCTCTCGGTCACCTCGTTGTCATGGCACGACAGGTATCCAATATAGAATATCGAAGTAAAAAGGAGATAGACGTAGAAGTGGCAATGTCCAGCTTATAGTTCCGTGCATAAAATGGTCAAAAATTAACTAAAGCAAAGTACTCGCAAGAGCCACAAGGCCTACGAGAGAGAAGGTGGTGTATATTGATGCGACGTTGATGGTGAGCGCACCGCTAGAGCTTCCAGTACTCGCGGCAGAGCTTGTGCTGCTATCGGTGGTGCCATCTCCATTAATGTCAGCAGTTGTGTTAGGAAATGGGAAAGTGGCGTTGGTATTTGTTTCCCGGTATAAATCCGTTGTGGGTATGCCGTAACATTCACCGATGGGTTTCAACTGTTATAACGAGAACGACTTAGTACTTCTAACCATCGAGAAGCGAGCTACTCACTGTGAATGCAGGATTGTGGTTTTGTGCCGTCTCTAGGTTATAGCCGATAGCCAAGTCGACGGTGAGCTCATACAAGTCATGTTCAAGAACGATGATCCTGCAAGGCATAGATAGTTAGCATCATGCATCTACGATATCATGATGAGAAGATGCATACCCAGTATCAATGACAGATGCGTTTCCAAGAATGTTGTCGAATTCTTGCACACACTCTGGGCCAGTCTTCGTTCCAGCAGCGACCTCCCAATCTAAAAGACGTCAATTTATCGTGTTCGAGATATTCAAAGACGGAGTTTGGCGCTTACCGAAAGTGTCAAAAGATCCTAAGGCACCGGCAGTTGTCCAGATGATGGGGGTCAGACCCATTGCTAAGGAGATGGCGCGGACACGGTCATCTAATGTTCATCATGAGCTGCTTGAAGTATCAAATCAAAGAAAGACACCATACCGATATCACCGTATGGCGGACGCATGGTCGTAGGAGTGACACCGAGGACTTCCTTGATCGCTTTGCGGGTCCAGCCGAGCTCAGCAACGATTTGCTCGTTAGTCAACGTAGTCAAGTGCTGCGAGAGTAAATGAAACGATCAGAGATTGATCGCAGTCGCATGCTTCATAGTCTCACCGGGTGCGCCCATGTGTGAACAGAAATTTCGTGGCCATTCATATATTCTTCAACGAGAACAGCAGGACGTTCAATGACACGAGAGCCCACTACAAAGAAGGTTGCGGAAAGATCCACATCTTGAAGGTAGTTGAGGAGTTTCTGAGCTGTTATAACGTAAATTAAGCGAGCGGAGACAAAGGGCGAGTAGACGAACTGTAGGGACCGGGACCGTCATCGAAACTAACGCCCCATGTGAGCTTGTCGGGACAGTTGATGATGTCAGTGTCTCTGGTATGGGCGCCGCAAGTCCACCAGCCGCGGTTAGCGGCATCTTGAGAGAACTCGAGATCGCTGGCGCAAGTGCCGTCGGTAGTGGGTTCGAGGTCGGGGATGTCCCAGCCATCGAGCTCCTTCAGCCATGCTTGAACTTCGCTGGAATCTAATGGAAATCAATGAAGGATGAAAAAAGTGGTACGAGAAGGAAACGCACTGGTAGGAGCGACCTTGTCCTGCGTTGGCCATACACCTGCAGTGTAAACAACTGACAAAGAATGAGAGACCGGTAGAAAGAAGACGTGAATCACGGGACTTACATGGTGTTGGAAGGGAAGGAGCGCCTGAAACTGGGGGTGATGCCGTTGTCGCCCAAGTCGTCGTAGCAGCGAAGCTGGTGCCCGATGACATTCCAAAGGTGAGTGCAGTCAGAGCTGGCACACCAGAGACAGTGGCCGACTCTGTGAGGATTGTGGCTGCAACATCGGTATTGGCTGCTGCTGCGGCTGTTGTTGAGACGGCAGAGCCAGAGACGACTGCCGTCCCTGTACTTGACGACAACGACGACGACGAGCCTGTTGCTGCTGCTGAAGCTGCCGACGAGGTGGAAGATACTGCAGAAGTTGTTGAAGATGAAGAGGTAGCTTGTCGTTTGAGATTAGCATGTCGTTGTTCAGGTTGGGTATGGGCGTGAGCTGCCGTCGATAGGGCAGCGAAAAGAGCGGCGAGAGCATGCAACTTCATGATGAGGAAGAGGTAAAAATGAGTGGAAGCGCCAGACGATATTAGATGGAGGCAGCGAGTAGAGAACGACCTGCAAAGGTCGAGAAACGGTCAACGAGGAAAAAGTAGAAAAGGCCAAACAGTCTCCACCAAAAGAAGAGTGCCTATATTATCCCCTTTTTCCCACGATACCACGCTGTGACCATGCCAAGTGTTTGTCCTTGCTTATCCTTCCATCCCGTTCGACCGAAGTATTTAATTTTGAGGCCGTTCCTCTCTTGTTCTTGCTCTTGGTGTCTCAATATCTCAGCGCTCAGACCCAATCCCATCCAGCTGTGTTCCCTTAGTTTTGTTTTCCGTCTCCATGCCTTGTTAGTATGTCATTTGTCAGGGCTCAAGGTGTCGGTAAAATATATAAATGCTTGTCCCGCGGATGGCTCCGGATCTATAAATATCACGGTTCGATCATGCCCCCGGCACTGCCTTCTTCCAGTTCCATCGAAGGTGAATCCTTTGCGCCTCGTATACACCGTTCCGTGTCCCCCGAATCCAAGTAACTTGCCCTTTAAACCCTTCATTTGACCTTCTTAGTAACCACCTGTCCTTTTTCTTCACCATAATAATCCTCGGACGCCGTGGATCCATCCACTCACAGTTCTCCGCAGCTTTGTGTTTGCAAATTTATTCAACACCCACTGCGCCGTACGCCTGTCGATATCTCTCTATTAGGTCCAGGCTGAATGTTTCTCACTAACACCTATCCCTTGACATCGGATTTACTTTCCACTTTGGAACTTGTGCATCTTTATCTATTTAATGAGTGTGTACACCAATCATGGTTCACAGTGCTAAAATCCTTACCCTTGCTGCGCCAAATGTGAACACTTCTCCGGTTATTCCCAGCGCTTAAAGCAGACTTCTTCCAAAAATACCCTTCTGCATTCCAGAAGCATATCAATTCTTCAGGAAAGCAACCGGTAGCGGGCTGAACCTCCCTTCAACACGGCGTCAGATACCACACTTCTACGCCACAGTCACTACAGCTGCAGCAACATTACATATGCATGTCGGAATCATCTACGATACCATATTCAGCACCTTCTTCGCCAGTGACTGGGTCATAAGAAAACGGCACTGCCTCGTAGGCTGTTTTATATTACGACAGATCGATTGAAACCTCTTTGGAGCCTCAGACATGACATCGGACAAGACTCTTCGCGGAGACGGGATGTATATCCCGTAAACAGATCGAAACAGACATCGAGTGAGCTCCCAAAAATTCTCCTCGTCCACTTTCATCCTGCGTTGTGAACCGCAGGAATTTCAGAGCCGCTTCGAGAGGATTCGAATATTCAATATTCAGGAGTGAGCAGGTAACAATGTTCTACGTCCCTGAGACCTGAGGTTGCTAGGCACTAAAATGAGGGGAATTCCCTTTTCCGTCCTTTTCATCTCCTGATTTGATTGGATGAGCTTTCCCCCCCACCCTCACTCTTGCATACTGCCTTTTGTACGCGTCCTCTACATCTATATTCCAGCAACTGGTGGTCGCGAAGCATTTAGATACTAATACGGATCGACTATGGCCCTCGAACCGGTAACCGGCTCGTTAGATAACCGGAAATCATAACAAAAAGGGATCAGCCTCTTACCCCGCACTTGTCATGATCACATTTTAATTCGCCAGGGATTCCGGCTTGACCATGATCAGGCTTTTCTCTCCTCTACGTCGACCTTTCTCTACCATGTCGCGCCCCAAGAACTGGAAAGCTGCCGCCCCGACGAACGGGACGACCCACTCGCCTGCCCAGCTCGCCCTCCCGAAGCTGCCCGTCGTCGATCTCCCATACACGCTCTCCAAGCTTAAGGAGAGTCTCCGACCTATTGCGTGGTCGAAAGATGAGTACGACGCGGCCGCCAGGAAGGTGGACGAGTTTGGTAAGCCCGGAGGAATTGGCGAGGTCTTGCAAGCTAGGCTCAAAAAACGCTACGATGAGACGGAGCACTGGCTCGAAGAATGGTGGGACGACGGCGGGTATCTTGGGTACAGGGATCCGGTAAACACTCTCGTACGTTTTCGGTCGTGTCATCACTTAACCGGAGTTGCAGGTCGTAGTCTATGTTTCGTACTACTGTAAGCCACATCCTTATTCCGAAATCTCCATCGGGTTGATAACACTGTGATTAGATGGATTCGACGACCATCCCGCTCATTTGCCCCAGACACCTGCTGCTCGCGCCGCAGGCATCGCGCGCGGTGCTATGATATTCAGACAGAAGCTCAAACGCGGTCAGATCGCTGCTGAGGGTACCAAGGAGGGTCCGTTTTGCATGGACACGTATCGTTGGATGTTTGATTGTTGTCGTGTCCCTGGTCCCCACGGTCTTGATTGGAGTGTCACTCATGCAAAGCCAGGCGACACCGGTGATTCAGGTCATATCGTCGTGTTTCGGAATAACAGGCCATGGAAGGTCGACTTGACCGACAATGGTAGGATCTTGAGTACAGAGGAAATTACAAAGTGCGCTTCTTCTCCCATATTTTTTGTCCGATTACTTAGGAGGTCACTTACACAGGCAAATACAATACATCTACGATAATGGCAAGGGCGATTATCCTGGCGTTGGCATTCTGACGGCAAACAACCGTGATGTCTGGGCAAAGGACTACATAGAACTTACGTCCTCATCCCATAATGCAGACATAGTATCCACCATCCACTCTGCAGCTTTCACTATCAGTCTCGACAGTGCCACTCCGGCAACTGCTATCGAACACAGCCGTTTCCTCTGGCACGGACATCTCACTGGGAATGGCACCCCAGCTGGTCTACGAAACCGATGGGTAGACAAGCCGTGTCAATTCATAGTATACGACAACGGTCGCGCTGGCATCATGGGCGAGCACTCTGTCATGGACGGCACTCCCACCGTTCGGCTCTGCGATGACATCCTCAACTGGCTCGCTGACCCTACCTTCGACCACGGTACTCCATCCGGGACATTCACCCCGATGCCCATGGACTGGGAGGTCACCCCCGCCCTCACCAAAGCGCTCACCGCCGCAGATACCGCCGCCAAAGAACTTATAGAGAGCCAAGAACTCGGGTTCCACCTCACGGCCTATGGTAAAGCCGCAATCAAGAAATTCGGCGTGTCCCCCGACTCGTGGGCGCAGATGATCGTACAACTTGCATACCGTAGGCTCCTCGGAAATGAGAAACGGAAGGGTGGAACGTACGAGGCTGCAACGACGCGTAGGTTCCGCAAGGGCCGTACCGAGGCTATTCGCGTGGTTACGACCGAGTCGGATGCATGGGTCGCGAGTATGGATGATCCGAGTGCCACGCAGGAAGTGAGGAAGGCGCTGTTCGATAAGGCGACAAAGAAGCATGTACAGCTGGCAAAGGAGGGCGGGCTGGGCCGCGGTGTCGACCGGCATCTGTTTGGGCTGAAACGACTGCTCCAGGAAGGCGAAGAGGTACCTGAGCTGTTCACTGATCCGGTCGTGATGAGGTCGAGTTATTGGGTACTTAGCACTAGTGCGGTGTTCTCGAAGCATTTCCCAGTGTATGGATGGGGAGAGGTCGTTCCTGATGGGTTTGGTGTCGCATATATGACCGGATATGACGGTAAGTGCTTTTCAGTTATTATGTTGGAACTAGCTAATTTAACGACTCGCCAGATCGACTTCAATATACCATCACATCCCGGACAGAGATGCCCAATGCCAAGTTCTGTGAGGAGATTATCAAAGCTGCCGATGATTTGTATCAGTTGCACGCACCACCGTCTGAGACTCATTGTAGATTATAATTGCTTGTTGTATTAGAACCAATAGACATCAACCTGAGATGTTACTATTCTCTGATTTTGCATCGCAACCCATGTCATAATCACTATATCAAGGAAAAACACGGTCACCCGTGAATGACTAAAGTAAGCGAATAAGTTACCAATTAGGCAAAACATTTATGCTCGAGGTTGGGGTATACTATGCTACGATCGTGTATGTTAATAAAGTGTAAAAATACAAGACGAGATGCTCGATAGTGAGATATAAGTATACAGGAATAAAGACACGCATTAGAAAAACGAACAGAAATAATACAAAACCCATGCCAAAGCAAGAAATCCCAGATAAGGATTCGTCAAGCGCGCGCCTGCACTATCCACTAGCGGTACGGCGGCCCCAATTGTGTAATTGAGACAGTTAAGAGCATTCGTGTCGACCCAAGAAGGAACAGGTGTATTAGGCGTGTTTCCGGAGTCATCCAAAGCTCCGGTATTGTTATACCCATCCACCGTAAGAGCCACACTACTAGCGCGGTAATACTGTACTGCTTGTTCCGGTTTCGGAGTACTCGCATCCGAATCGTTAAATGCGATGGGAGCACCCGAAGCAGACGAAGTATTGATCACCGACGAGCAATTATTCCTAATATCCGTGATGAGGGAAGAGACCGTGCTGTTGTCAGCTACGACGTGGAATGTGGCGTTGCCGGAGCTCGCAGGAAAGGTGGCAGACATCATGACACCTCCGGGTCGACTGGAATTGTTCGGAAGTCCATACTAGTGCGACAGTCCAGCATGAGCACCGATTTTTTTTCATAATGGGTAGGTTTGATATCTTACCTCGTTGTTGTGTAGATAGGCGGCACCGCTATACCCAACGAGGCCGCCCCATGCCAAAGCCCAGTAATAAAAGGGAAACCCTCGACCCACCACGCCGCGACCTACTGTGCCAGGGTACCCGCTGCCGTATATGCTAGTCATCGTAGTTTGAACTTCAAGCGCTAAAAAAGAAAAATGTTAAACACACCTTGTACCATACACCTGAGACCTGGTGGCACCACCTTGAGGACGCCCAGCGAAAAGCTGCCCCGATGGAATTGTCGAAGCACTTCCCCCGCCTGAACTGTACGAGGAGGACTTCTTTGAAGATCCACCTGTACTGATAGGCTGGACACGTTTAGGGCCTCCTGAGGTGATAAAATCAGTCTTCGCAGGTAGTAGGCAACAACAAGATTTTTATTCACCAGAGCTGCCACTCGAACTTGAACTTGAGCCACCACTTTTTCCACCTCCACCACTTTTTCCTCCGCCACCTCCACCCTTACCACCACCACCACCACCTTTCCGACGGTACAACTTGCGAGGCTCGCTTCTGGGTGTAGAGACGAAGGGAACATACATTGCTTAGGGGCCTGTTGATGTGTCCCAGGAATTACGTGGAAAGTTCAGAATGCGAAAGGTGGAAGAAGCAGTAAAAAATGACTACACATTTAATACTAAGTAGCTGAAGAACAGCCTCTCACGTCGATCGCTCCAAAACAGTGAGGCAATGTCTTATTCAAGGGCGGATAAGCGGGAAGGAGCTAACAGACAACCTTTCCAGGTGACTCGAAGAGAACTGGGCGCTAGGCAGTGCATATACTGAAATTTGGCGCGCTACAATAATGATTGCAATCGGTGAGCAAAGCTATCCTTTGAAACATATGTAGACGGATCAAAAAAAATGGAGATATACATGTATAGGAGCATAATTGAAAGACCGCTACAACCAAGCAGCGAAGCACAGGAGTATCCAACTCCAAGTCAAGGTCCCCAGGCTGTGAGTGATCATAGCAGCAGCATTGGAGTATGGAAGATTCCCTGTCGGTGATGAATAGATGGAAGAGGAGGAAGAAGATGGCGTATCTGCATCGACCAAAGGTACAGCAGCGCCAATCGTTTGATTTAAACAGTCGATAGCTGTGGTATTGACCCACGATGGTAGCGGGACGTCTGTAGCGTTTTCAGATTCAAAGACAGCGGTATTGTTGTATCCGTCCAGCATCAGGTAAGCACTACTTGCGCGGTAATATTGAATAACTTGTTCTGGCTGAGGTGCAGAAGGATCGGATGCGTTGTACGCATTCGTAGTGCTGGAGGAAGTGTTGAATAGTGACGAGCAGTTCCCGGTTATATCGCTGATGAGGCTCGTCACGGTTTGGTTATCGGAGACGACGTGGAACGTCGACGAACCCCCGGCGCTTGAATTGAACGTCACTGACACCATCGGACCACCAGGGCGACTGCTATTGTCTGGGAGGCCGTACTGAATCATACCGTATGATCAGTATATACAGCACGCCCGACAACATTACAGGTACCTACCTCATCTGAATGCAAATAAGGAGCTGTGCCTGCACTAACAGCTCCTCCCCAGACTACTGGCCAGAAATAAAACGGGAATCCACGCCCAGCCACGCCGCGTCCAGATGTTCCTGGATATCCACTTCCATATGTTCTGCGGCAAAGGACGCGTCAGGAAGCCTCCAGGATACACGAAATGGGAACATGCCTCGTTCCAAATACTTGGTCTCGCGTACCCCCACCGATGCTACGCCCAGCGAATAGCTGACCAGAAGGAATAGTTGAAATCGATCCTCCGCCTCTGCTATACGAAGAAGCAGCTTTGGAAGTTCCTCCGGCAGACACGCTGCTGACCTTCCCATTGCTGGAACCTCCATTGCTACCGGATGAGCTACCGCCACTAGACCCTTTGCTTCCACCACTGCTGCTCGAACTTCCTGTCCCGCTTCCACTCTTCGAAGTCGAACCTGAACCGCCTTTACTTCCTCCACCGGTGCTCCCACCGCCGCCTCCCCCACCAGCACGTCTTTGCATTCGCGCCGTAATAAATGGGACGAACATGATTGTTATGTGTATTCTTCAACAGTAGTACCGTAGAAGTGATTATCACGAAGCAGAGTCAGGGCCGGACCTTATAGCGCTCAAGAGCTATTTCACTTTTACACGATGAAACAATTGGTTTGCTCGTCCCTGCGGGTAACACGCATCATGTGTGGAGTCATGCGATGTTATCACTACAGTCTGCACAGCTGTTGACAGCTGGAGTCGGATCCTTCTCGGAAGGGACAAAAGGTATCTTGAAGATGCTGCGACTTCTAATTAGTCTCCCCCATTTTCTAGAAAAATATCATGCAGAGAAGACGAGTCACAGCATGTTAGGCTCACTTTCTCGGATGCCAAACACACCTGTCCCAATAGTGTTCTGAATGATGGTATTGACTACTGCCGTTGTTTTTAGGCCATGTCAGAGGATAGCAAAGGAGATATTTACTTGCCACACAAAACCCTGCGCAGGGGCACATAGGGACAATGATCGTCCAAAGAAAAAGTGAAGTTGATCCAAACTGGAGATTGGCTACCGCAGTGAACACAGGATGTTTTGCGAATTAGGCTACAGCTCAACCCTCTGGCAATGACACCTTCAAAGCTATGTGTATATTGGGAGTAAGTACAAAGGAGTGAACAATGGAAAAGAAAGATTTTGTTTGTTAATTTGTCCAAGTGACAACCGTCGTAATCAGACTTCATCCCCTGATACACGCACATTGGGACTGACAACCGGTAGAACCCCACTAACAGTCTTGAACACCGAAGTAATACTGGTAGTCAAAGACCCGGAATCATATGTCGGTTGAGCAGCCGGTGCCTTGAAGGGGTGTGCTTCCGTATTAAAGACATCTGAAACCCCACGGTTAGGCTCATACAGCGCACTCCTTGAAATATAGAATGATCACTAACAGTCATTAATATTGATATTTGCCGGATCATCGAATGTCAGATATCTTCACCAGAAAAAATCAGTGCTTTACGTATGAGAAACTAACAAGTACCCACAGATACTTCAAGACTTCAGCGAACCAGAAGCTCTCCATATCATCGACCTTCCTGGAAGACGTGCTGTCTACATCATATATCCCATCATATGCAACGGCCGCTGATAGATACTTTTTGAAGCTATCGACCGCACTGGCTGCTCGATCTAGGTACTTTGTGTCGCCTGTAATTCTCCAGGCGTAAAAGTTAGACTCTAGAACTTCGGGCCGGAGTATATAGTACGAGGAAGTGATGTAGAATCCGTGTTCGTCGTAAAACGATTGTTGATCGGATGAAAGAGAACTGATGTTCCCACCAGGAGTAATATAAGCGAAGGCTTCCGGCCCGATCCCGGTACTAGCGGTGAAAGATATGAGAATGGCACGACTACAAGGACTAAAGCGACACGCACGCTGTACTTGCATATGTATTCCAACATCCTTCTAACAGTTCTAGGGCAGTGCCCACAATGGTGTCATTCCCGAGTAAGGTTCCACCTGGATATGAAATTAGGGCATCATTTTGAAAAGCGGGAGCTGAAATGTATGCACCGTATAACCAATTGCCTGCATGGAAGCAAGCCAAGTGTGAGCCGACGTTTTCATACTCTGACGATGCTGCATCATAGTCGCAGGTGTAGAGATGCTCTCCGACCGTTGAGCGCTGTACGCAAAAGGACTGAGCAGTGCCATATGAATGCCTAAGTATGAGGGCTTACTCTAAGCAGATACCTTATGGAAGAATCTATAGCCGTCACCCAAGTGTCGATGTAGAGAGTATCATTGAGGTTCGCCAGTCGGGGGTACTTGAGGAGGTATTCAAAATAGCTATCGGAACCACCGCCCCATGTCTCCCATTCCTAGTGAGTCTTTTATAAAATGGAGGAAGTTACATATAGACTTACAACGTAGCCCCCTACGAATTCGCCTGAAGACGGATCTATTCCTTGCGCAGCCAGGCCTGGATGGCTTCAGGTCCCTACTTCGGGTGAATAGATGAGAAATACTTACCAGGCAGGGGAGCACCCTAATGATAGAAGATGTCAGAAATGGCTGGTAAAATGACCATTAGGACAACTTACCAGGTTGGCAATATGACGCATAGCCTTGTCGGCGAGCTCACGGTAGGTGTCATTACCAGTATATTTGCTAAGTGCGGCCCACTCTATGATAAGCTAGGGTCGTGTTATGACAATCGGCACAGACAGATAGTAGAATTTGTACATACTGTCCCAGCTTCGGCGATATTGGACTATATGGTTAAACTTCAGCGGGTCAATAAGGGAAGAAAGATAGCAACCCCTCACTGTCGCAATATCAGGCTGGTTTGATGAAAAATCAATGAAACCGAAGGGTATATCGTTATCCTGTGGCAGCCTGAATACACCTATAAACAAGAGAAAGTCCGTACTACTCACCCCAACCCATGCATGGGCCATCTTGTCAGCCACTTCCGTAGCCTTCTCAAGAAGCACATCATCCTTGGACCCACGAAGTTCGTACACACTGAGAAGACCCCCAAGGTACCTGATTGTCGTCTCGAAGACACTATAAGAGTCGACACGTCAAGTGAGAAATAGTGATGACGCTAGGGAGATAGATATACCTAACATGATCGGAAGTCTTCGACGAGTTGAAGTCAATAGTACCGACGTAACCAACAGCTTCGTCTAGAAGGTCCTGTTGATTGGTTCAGTAAGGATGTAAGAGCTGCAAGGCAACAAAAATGCCTACATCCAGGCCCATCACATACTGCACCAACAGATAAACAAGGCAAAGGACGTATGATGCTAAAAGCGTACCATAGTGCTCATTGCATCAACGATGGAAGCACCCCACCCGTTCCGACCGTCGTAATACGACTTGCTCTCAGGAGTAAGATCATCATGACCCCAAGCGTAGGTTCTATGATGAATCGGTCAACGAGAACAGAAGGGAAATCTGGGGTAAAGAAATTTACTTGTAAGCGGCATAGCTTATTTGAAAAATATCCTTGACGGCATCTCTATAATCTATGGCGGAGTCGGGAAGTGTCAATCCATCTTTCTGCACAGACGAAGCTTGCACTTTCACGGTGAAAAAGAACGAGAGGAAGGAAAGAGCGACTGTCCAACGCATGGCTGGAGGACTGAAGGGGCGGGGGAACAGTTAGAAAGGGGAGACCATTTATACCTGGAATATAAGAAGTTCGGTCAGAAATCAGAATGTCAGATTGAAACACGTGGAAACTCAGTCACATACATATGGGCAACTTCTTCGAATATTCATGTGGGCTCCTTCCCGCCGTTTAACGCCAAAACGGGATTCTAATCGCTAGCATTCAACTGTCCCCTCCCATAAGCACCCTTAGATTTCATTCTGATTAATGATGAAAATTCAAGCGATCAACTATGGATGCAATTCGGGAGAAACGTTAAAAACCGCCGCAGCAGAAGGATTTTTACAGGAGGAATCAATATCGCGTAACCCTATTTCGGAATGCGAGTGTTCGAAAATGATGCCGCACTGATGCTTTGTGGTCTTGAAGAATGGTCCAGGAATAAGAGGTGTGGCATGCCTTGGTATTGCGAATGGCCCTTCCAAGCTACTCATAGTCTCGACGACACATGGTGGAAGACCGGCCTCGGTCAGAGCTGTTTCAGTCCTTGAGATCTAAGAGTTCATAGTTCGAATTTCTGGAATCAGACGTACGGCACCAGACCTTCAGGATAAGCTCTTAGTGCTAGCGCGAAGAATGGCAAACAAACGGTGGGTACGGACGTTCTAGGACTCGGAGGGTGCACATGACACTAACTCATGCGATGAACGCGTCGGTATTCGTCTGCAAGGGTGAAGACGAAGGAAATCTAGAAAAACTACCATTATAAAACAGGTGTGGCATGGCGACATAGTGACCATGAGGTTGCTAAACCACATTGAAGCATCGTAAGTATCCGCAGTCCCGTTACTATATTCTTCGAAGGGTTTACACGAACCAAGCCAGGTATCCATTAGATAAGACAATTTCCGACGGAACGAGCACTGGGGAAGGGATAAAGGCCAAAAGACGTGCAACCTTGACTCAGGCTTGTTGGTAAGTAGTAAAAAAAAGCAACGGTTTGAAAACTGGAAAACTGGATTTATTGGCCACCTCTGCTGATACAGCTCAGGTAAATAAGCGCAAACTAATCTACCTCGGTAGCTCATTGTAAGTAAAGGTACACGTATGAAGGGAAACGGTCAGGACGATAAGATAGGAGATAAAAAGGATGGTAAATCAATGGCTACGGCGTTATTATTCTTTGAAAAGCTCGCGTAAAAGGAAGGACCGGCCCGCTGGCGAGGGTCGGACCGGGTGGGGCCGTCATGTTTTCCGACTTCAAGTTGCACCTCGAAGCTACGCCAATAAGAACAAAAACGTAAAGCAAAAGGCTGATCGTTACAATACTACTGACCTAATCTTCAACGTATCTGCGGCTGTGCCAAGGCTGGACTGAGTAAGTATACTTAGTACTGTGACACAACTTCGGCGTGTACCAAATCAAAAATGAAGGCTGTTAATCCAGTTCGTGGAACTCATTCGTAGCGTTCTGGACTTGCCTGACCAAATTGGCGCTGGACGAGTATTTAAGTTTCTCATTGATGTATCGAGCATGTGTTGAGACTTCCAGGCTGTTTGAAAAAACCGTGATTTCGCTCATGGGAATTCAGTCGTGTGGTTTATGTGTTGTATGGTCGAATATCATTTCTATCCGTCTCAACTTCTAAATCCCAGATTTATATGTAAACTCGTATGTGTACCGGACCGACGTTCCGAGTCTGACCAATCGTGACGCGTTATCGCACGATTTGACATTGCACCGACACCATCAATTCGAAAACTGGCTTATTGTCTCTGGATTTTCTGCTTCGATTCAATTTGACAGACGCGCAGTATACGGCTGAATCTTATTCTTGAATGTTCGAATCGGAGCATATCTTCGACAGAGTGAAAGGCGCCTTTGTTGTGATTATAAATGTGGCGCCGGCGGCGAGCAGTTCACAAAGGGAACGATCCTTGGCGTAGGTATAAATTACCGTGCATACGAGGCGCCTCGTTTCCTACCCTTCCCTTCTTATTTTCATCTCCTTTCATATCAAAGTAGTGCTGGAACACTACCCATTTAATTTCTCACCGCAGTTTTTTCAAAGTCGACCTTACCATCGACGTTATTCATTCATACAATGGCTCGCAAGACGACCAGACGCTCCTTTCAACCCACCAATGCTCAGAGTAGGTTCTTTATGTTCTGTTTTTCACCGCCAATCTCATCTGAGTCTTCGCACAGAGCTTTGGGTATCCTGTCCTAGAGACAAGCGGTGGAATCTCATAGACGATATCATCGGAAGAAGTATAGAATTATCACCAATGCTTTGAGGCTCGCCGTTTCTGAATGAACATATAGGTATCAAAGAAAGCAGAGACGCTGGGGAACGAAAGGGCCATCGATCCGAGACCTACATGCGTGCTGCAGTCATCAAGGGAGTGAGTGTTTCCTAGCACTTGCAGTATTTGTTGATTCTGATTATAGGTGCAGACCGAGACGGGACTCATGAAGATGCATGGAAATATGGTTCGGCTCAGGAAAGCAGGATTAAACTTGCAAGTTCTTTCAGCATATTGGGAACACTCTCCCTGACGGACTTGCCTTTCAGAATTCAAGATGTGATCCAAGAGTGCCAAGATGATTCGCTATCCCCAGTAGCTCAACGCAGAGCTCATATGCACTGCTTCAAGACCAAATTAAAGCGTGTCAAACGGCCTCTCTATGCAGAGGTGTGTTCATTTGTCTTTGTCCCGAAGCTTTAACAGCTGTCTGACTCCTTATAGCTTTATAGCGATCTACAGAAGTTCAAAGCGCGATATGAACGTGAACGCTCATTGTCCACCGAGCCTGACGATCGCATGGTCCTGGATTCCAAAGAACCAGGAGTAGAAAGGTGATGATTTACATCGCTCTCTCATGTCTCGGGTCTTCTCACTATAAACAGCGGCATGAATGTCGAGCCTATTGCTAGTTCTTCCAGGCTCCCGCCCAGCACACCCACCAAGATGATCATCCCAGCGCACTCGTATCCTACTCCGGAATCCATCCCTCGCGTTGGTCATTTAGCATCCCGATTGTTTGCTCTACTGCCCTCCTCCTTTCTTCACCGTAGTTCTATGGACATCGACATACCCGAGTCTCCCATCCATGCTCCTCGCCAGTACTGCAATGTTGCGATCGCGACTAGTCCCATCGTGCTCGAAGAAGATATTGATATGGTTCCTCCGCATCTTAACGTGGCATCATCATCGCTCTCTTTCATTTCTCATCAATCCGCGTCGTCCAGTAATGGTGACATTAACATGGAGGACGGTGCTGGTACATCGCCGCGCTGCGCCGGATGTGAACAGGTAAGTATCTCCAAATGCCGGTGCAACAGAAACTCACCATTCCGACATTTCCAGGTGCAGAAGCAACTTGACGCGGTTTGCCAATTCCTTGTATACGGCGTGTTTTGTTCCTGATGCGCCGGATTTGGTTAGGCCCAGCTCGAGATTGAATATCTGAAGGAAAAAGTTGAGGAAATCACGGAAGAAATGAATAAGATCGACGATGAAAGAGTATGTTGACTTCTTTCTCTGGTGGCATGTTTGACATCGTCCATAGAAGGAATTAATAACGCAACTAGAGGAATCAGAAGAGAAAGTAAGCCTTTCGTGTCATTTTTCTGATGATCTCCTCGGCGTTGTTTATAGGTACGGTCCCGCGACTCCGAGGTGACGACATTGCAGACTAAGTTGTCAAAGACCCAAGATGCGATCCGGCTGCTTTTAAAGAATAACGCCGATGTACGGTCTTGATTTGTGTATCTTGATTGTACAACCCTTTTTGATGAACTTTTGTAGCGACGGAAGGTGGAGGAGGAGAAACGCGCAGCCATTCAGAGGGAATTGCATGAGGCTACGGCACGACAAGCAGCCGAACTTCAATGTGAGAATGAAGTCGAGAAACTGGTTCGTTCTTGTTCGTGATTATTGTCTGAGAGCCCGCTGACGACTTGAAAGCTTCTCGAACAGATGGATACAATATAGTGAATCTAAGTTACAGTAATTATAGGTCTATGGTAATACTGTCCCAATAATATGTCCAATGCATATGTGTCTGTGTAAAGTCCACGTAAATCCCATGAATAATTCTTCGTAAAAAGATACACAGTGTCGTCCAGCAACAGCCCTAATAGACGTATCTGATGCTCCGCCTCTTTGCCGATGGGGTAACGAACACGAAGTTCGGAGGAAGGAATGATGCGCGGTGCTGCTTTTTAGTCAGGCCGGTGATTTTCTTCCATGCTCTGACAACTCTGCGTTCCACATAACGAGTGTAAGACGGAAGTCGCATAGCAGACTTTGAAACACTACAACGGCAATCATGGTCAGAGTGTATTCAAAACGGCCTGAAGGCAGTCGGCGGACTTACGGGTAGTATTGGTCGTAGTCGGGTTGAGGAAAGGAAAAGACTGAGTCTTTGTAGGAAAGGGAACTCGTGGAAGAAGACATCATGTATACACGTGAGGATGAATTAAAGAATGGTTGGTAGTTGGTAGAAAGAACGGTTGGGATAGTTGCTGGGGGGATTCACTTGGGAAGAACCTGCTCGCCTGAAGAACTGAAAGGAAACGCTTGGGTTTTTATACTTCTACAATACAATAACAATGAAATACAATGCCTTCTACGACGGGAAGAAAAAGTTCCGCGGAAACAATTGTGTTAGGTAAGGCAACAACAAAGCGCAGCCCTTATATGGGTTCGACGGGCCGCGGCATACGCGTAGTGTTTGGATGTATTTGCATGGATTGAACGGTCCGAATCGGGAATGTCCGTGTTGTGCCTGCGACAGACCGCCACGACTGAACGCAAACCTGCATTTTGCCCTTGGATCCGTCTCGGGCCCTCCAGACTGTCGCTGCTCGCGTTTTAGGCTTACAGCACTTGGAACCTCTCTGGACATCGTTCGTGTCGACGAAGACATGGATTTCGACCCAATGAGCACACCACGACCCGCTCACCGTCGGCATTCTTCATCCCTATCCTCGCGTGCTACCTCCCATGCTCATACGACGACAGAGCTGCTTGATTCTTCCCCGTCATTTCAGCGTTACGAAGGGGAGTTTGTAACAGGGTCGTCATCATTCCGTACCCCACACCAAAATACAGCGTCCAGATTCATGACCTCTGTGAAGCGATCTTTATCAGTCTCTCATGGTGTGACCATGAAAAAGCGACAGACGAATGTTTCTGTATGCCCGTTACTACTTTTCCCTCGTCGTCTGTCGCTCATATACCTGCAGAAAAGTGGAATGTATTCTACCCCTGAAGAGAGGAACATGCCATCATCCTTCCGGCAACGCGACCTGTCGTCTTCACCGCCGACGATTGAACAGATTGCAATGGGTCTTCACCTTTCTCGTACTCCCCATTTGCGGCCAGCAGGAGCACAGTATCATTCGCCATACGGCCGAACTTCTGCGCAGGGGTCTCAGCATCACCACGCCCAGAATGAGACCTCTCGTCGCACGACTCCGTCTGTCGCACTCCCTCCTCCTCCTACACGTTCCTCTTTAAAGAAGCCAGGTTCGACTGTATCGTCGGCCAATCCTGGTCTGTCTACTGCCTCTTCAACAACAGTGACGTCCAACTGCCCTTCCACGCCGCAGTCGAACCGGTCACTTACATCTTTGAAAATGCGCATGTCGCGATTCTTACCCGGAGCCCGGTGTGTCTCAGCTCCATCGTCCGTAATGGGCTCCCCTGCATCATCGCCTCGTACGAGTACATCAGACATTCTCCCCCGGAAGAAGGCCGTGCGGTTTTCTACACCAGCCCTGGGGATAGAGGAGAACGATTGACGTATATTTATGGGTTGTATATTTTTAAAGCCCTGTCTCCCATTCTCGTGCACCTCCGGCGTTCCCTTACAGGCGGGCCTCTGCAATATCGTACATTCACATAGTTCCTGTTCATATTTACACGTTCAGCCTATTTTATTTCCACTCGATGGATATTTATGCTGTACAATGCATTTTATACTACGGAAAGCAGTGAATCTTACGATCCTATTTTTTGCGACTGCGCGTCATCATTATTGACAAATCCGATGAAGTCACGATATCGTCACAGCACAGTTTGCCGCGGGTCAAACTTTTGATTCATTTGTACTCGTCCAGACAACGACCATTATACCTTTTTTCTTCCTCCTCTTCTGTACACTTCTACCTCTCTCTTTCTCGCGACGACAACAACTATCATTCTTACTACCTTCAGCATTAATGGCGCCAGTAGAAACCGAGTTTTACGACCTTGTACGCGGGCAAATCCATCTGAAACCAAGCTCCTGCCACTGAAGCATTTTCAACTAGCTTGGAGTCCCCGTGGATGTCGATGAGACGCTGCTTAAGAAGGCGTACAGGAAACAGGCGATGAAGGTACCGTTTTTCTCCGTAATTGTTCCTTTAGTTGAGCTGAGTCTAGCGCAGTATCATCCAGACAAGAACCCATCTCCCGACGCCGAAGAAAAGTTCAAGGAAATCAGGTATCTGACTCTTGCATGGCTGGGCGCAACAAATTTTACTCAGAAATTGAGTTTAGCAAGGCGTATCAGGTTCTGTCGGACTCGGTGAGTGGCGTCAATGTCTTCCTATCTTCCTATTAATGTGGCGTTTAGAACCTACGAGCTGTGTACGATAAGAATGGAAAATCTATGGTACGCTTTTGAAGCGTGTTCTCTTGCGTCGCATTCATATCCTTATTTTCAAAGGTGGACAAGGAAGGTGGAATTACTATGGAGGACGCCGCAGGCTTCTTTGCAAACGTCTTTGGCGGTGAGCGCTTCGCGGAATATGTGAGCGGCCACTGCTTTCAATATCACCGGTACCTTAATGCCTGTAGATCGGAGAAATCACCATCATGAAGGATATGACAACCGTGGCTACCATGATGACGGAAGAAGAAAAAGCTGAGGTCGAGACTCAGCTCAACAGCGGTCAGAAACCCACCGGTTCTGTGAATGCAACACCAGCAACGCCCCCTGGTGATAATTCCGAATCGCCAAAGCCATCTCCACCTGTCTCTCAGTCAACGCCTCAATCTGCACCGTCTTCGCCGCCTGACGCTCAATCACATACAGGCTCCCTCGTCCTGCACCCTAATGACAATAAAGACGCGTCGACAGCCTCGTTATCTTCCAGCGCTAAAGAGAGCGCCAGAGAGAAGGAAAAGGAAGCCGCTGCACGAAAGAAGAGAATAGCTGCCGAACACAGGGAAAAGTGGCGAGAACAAGAGAAAGAGCGTCGGAAGGCCATGGAAGAGAGAGTCACGACACTGACCACGAAACTAATAGAACGACTACGTCCGTTTGTGGAGGCCAAGAACCCAGGCGATAAGGATGATCCGGAAACACAGGCATTTGAGGCAAAGTTCAAGAGGGAAGCGGAGGACTTGAAGTTGGAGAGCTTTGGCGTTGAACTTCTGCATACCATTGGAATGGTCTACATGATGAAGGCAACTTCATTCCTCAAGTCGAAAAAGTTTCTCGGCATGTGCGTGGCAATCCGATTCAGCTGACCTGGTTTCGTGTATTGAACGTGTGATAGTCCCGGATTCTTTTCGCGTTTGAAGGAAAAGGGTTCATTAGCCAAAGACGTTTGGGGCGTTATCGGAAGCGCGTACGTAGCTCGTTCTTCATATTTCTGTGGCGTGTTACCTGACTTGCGCTATAGATTGAGTGTGAGAGATGTGATGCTTGTAAATGTTTTCGCGTCCTTAGCTTCTTGTGGGAATTAACGCGTTGAGTGCACAGGAAATGGAGAAGATGCAGGCCAAGGGTGAACTGGGTGAAGAGGAGCTAAGAGCGCTTGAAATGGACGTGACTGGCAAGGTACAGGGTCTTTTACTTCGTTCCTTGCATAGTTTCCCCTGATTTGAGGACCTTAGATTATGCTGGCCTCATGGCGTGGAGCACGACTGGAAGTGATACAAGTACTTCGCGAAGTACTCGATCATGTGTTGAAAGAACCGGGTGTCCCAGATAGTGTTATGTATAACCGTGCCAGAGTCAGTCGCGTCTCGTTCTTACTTACGTGTGCTGACACGCTCACATCAGGGACTCCTTCTCATCGGAGCCATTTTCAAGTCGACGGTGCCAGATGAGTCGGATGCGGAGCGCAGAGAGCTGGAAAGGATGGTAGCTGAAGCTGCAGCACCAAAACCGAAGAACAAGACTGCGAAATCCAAACGGGAAGAGCTACTTAAGGCGAAGGAGTTTGCGGAAAAGCAGGCGAAGGTTTCTCCTTCTCCTTCACCTGCCCCCACTGCAGCACCGGCACCTGAGGCTTCCGCTTCTGCATGAGTATGATTATTGTTTACGTCTTTGCTATGTTCTCCTTTAGAATAGGTTTTTCTTATCTTTCACGCCTGGGATGATCAGTATCTTAATGGAATCTAGTTTTTCTTTACACCTTTCTGTACAAAACTAGACTGGGAATATCTAAGTACGACTCAGAAAAGCTTGGGGGCCGTTCCCAACAGCGTTTCATTGGCCGGTAATGGCAATGGTGTTGCCTCTCGCAGGCTGGCGAGCCGTCTTGCTTTGTCAGCGACGAACACACCGACGGCCAACGCATCTTCAGATTCTATGACCGTTGACACGTTTCGATCGTCATGCGCAGATCGCACCTTCGCGCCCAACGAGTATAAAAGGGCGGCCTCTTCGTTTATAGGCTATCTCTCTTTCCTTCCTTCGTCCACTACTCTGTTTATCGACTTTAATTGCGACAGGCCCACTCCGGGATGATATGCCAATGGGACGCATTAGACTACCACCGCGTCACTTGCCTTCCTATCCTACGAATACTGCACTATCTTTCGTAGTACCATTTTCTCCGCTCTGGCATGCTGCTGCGGCTAATATCGCTCGAATGAATACCGGTACTTACCGTAGCTCACAAGGCCAACTTGAATCGGAACCACCAGTTTCTTCAAGCCTTCTAAACCGCATTTGACGGCCGACTGGGTACTCCGCCAAGAGATACCTGGAGTATGCTGTCCGGATGTGATTGTCACCGTGGTCAGAGAAATGAACTACGGGCAACTTTAGTATCCACCTGGTTTGGTCTGTAGGAATTGGAACTTTCAAGTCAAGTCTTCAGCGCCTGTAGACTCAGAACAGTGTGCTTCTAGCGGACGCAGTGAATGACCATTCCGAGTGGTGTATTTTGGTGCTCCTAGTTATGAAGAGGCTCACAGGTTCTCGGACGAGATTAGATTGGTCTAGGCAAGTTCGGCTAGTAGCATGCTCTAGCCGATCTGACTATGTTGGACGTCTTGAACGTGTCAATACTTGAGTAGGCAAATGCCTCGAGTCTCGGCGTCTTGCTTTCTGCCCACGATCCACATTTCTAAACAGGATAGGCGACTAGAGGGCCGGACGTGATCTCTGCTCGTAAAGCCGTCGGTTACGGTGCGTCCTAATTTCAGCGCAAATTGAGAAATCATATATAAAAGGATACAGGAATTCAACGCGACAGGTGGTTTCCCATACATACAAGTTTCGAGATACGCCCACTAATTAATCAAAGGAGTAAATCATTGAAGGGGTTAATTCACCGACGGCAAAAATCAATACTTTGTAAGTACACGTACCTTATGGCGACTAATACAGCCGTTCGTATGTCCTTCGTTGATCAAACTACGGAAGCCCTTATTTGAGTTTCAAATTCTGCTTTGACCTGCAAGATATTTGCGTCAGCAACGCTTTCCAATAAAAAGATAATGCTCACAGCTTTGAGGAAAGCTTTATCGGACAACGCCCGGAGTCCTGTGAGAGCAAGACCTTTGGTTACGGTCATTGTAACTTCATGGGCTGCCATAGTTGCCGCGGCTTTGGTAAATGCAGGTGTGTGATTACCCCCTTTGGGTTCGGTCGGAATAGCTGAAGGAGAAATCAGCTGTTGATCACAATAAACAACATATCTTTACCATAGCATGGGTGAAGTGCGGGCAAGGCTAGTGAGAGTAAGAAGCTCTTTCATGACCGGGGTTTGAAGCTGTAATCACTAACCGAATGACACATTTCCCTGAAATGAAGAGAAGGTGGTCAGCAGGGGGAACAACGGAGAAACGCAAGCCTCACAAAGTCTGTTGAGGCTGATGATCCATCTCTGTCTGATGATACCATACCATAGTTCCTCCCGACCTTGTCGGCGAATTCTTTTCCTGTAACAATCAGATGACTGAGGTGAGTTTGACATTGGTAATGGAACGAGTATCACTTGCCAAGAACGCTATTCTGGAGGAGTTCATAATAAGGACTCGAGAATTTTATCTTAACTTTGCATGCCGTTGCTAGGGCAGCTGCTCTGATCGCGGGAGAGTTAAAAGCTAGTAATCGGTGAATCGGAACGGGGCGCTTACTCAAAACAAGCCTTGACACGCTGAGCAAATTCACCTACTTCCCCATGAGTAGGTGCGCGGACAATCCAGGTCATATGAGCGTAGTCAGGTATAACTGGAGAACCTTAGTTTTAGTCTCGACTACCCGGCTTGGACGGGTGATACATACCATTTGCAGTCCAATTTTTTCCACCTAGTATGCCGTGAATACGATGGTCAGGTTTAATCTGCTGTCGAAGGACGGAGATGCTCGAATACGCCAAGAAGGCGGCGTCGAGGGCATTAGTTCCTTCCCTGAAAGAGGGTGATAATTTCTGGGGGTCAGAATTTCGAGGACGGAGATGTCCTTACCATGGGGCAGCCCCCGCGTGCGCGCTACAAACATAAATCAGTTGCGATGAACGGAGACCAAACGCGGTGCTTGCCTTTGCCCAAAATATTCCACTTCTGCCTCTTGCATCGCTGTCGTCGAGCCAAGATTAGCCGAGTTGGAAGGTCCGGGTCCCGGATGACACCTGTGAGGTCCTCAATGAGGCTTGATTTGGGAAGACGAGGCTTACTTACATGATGCAAAGATCCATATCTTTATATGCCCCGCGTTCCAGCAGGATGATCTTACCCCCCACACGTTCTTCGGCTGTTCCGGAAATCAGAGATTACATTGGGGTGAACCTAGAATCCTGGACTAATTGCTTACCGGGCGTACCGAGAAGTATAATCTTTCCTGGGATGTCCAGAGCTTTCAGGGTGGCCTTTACTGCGATAGCGACCCCACATCCGCTCATAGCGATAAGATTGTGACCGCAAGCATGGCCGATACCGCTGAGGCCGTCCATTTCTTGAGGGATGTGAGAACCACAACATCCAAAAGAACCATCCACATTCTTACCAGAATTTATGCCGAGAGTGCTACCGCCCTTTCCATGCGTGTACTCGGCACGCCAAGCAGTATCTAGTCCCAGATACTGTCTGGTGACCTGAAAACCGTGGTTCTCCATGTAGGCACAGAGAAGATCGTGGGCATATCTGCAGGGGAAATTTGAGAGCCGGTGGAAGAGAGACGGGTCGTGTACTGACCGTTCTTCGAAACCGAGTTCTGGATGATCTAGATCACGTCCGTGTCAGCGGGCAACGGTGGACAGGCGGTGGTAACCATATAGATACTTGCCGTGAATTTTCAAGCTAAGCTGTCGAAGGGTGTGATTGAGACTTTCAAGAGTGTTGTCGACAATATCAACGAGGTCCTGACGCTGGAAGGAATCAAGGAGACCTTGGGGCGGAGAATAGGTCGGAACGGGGTCGTTAATGTTCCACCACGTCGAGGGGTTCGCATACGAGTAGTCGCAGCTAAGATTCAGACAGCCCTGTTTACATTCATTACTCGTTTGCAAGAATGAATACAATTCTGATACTTGCCTTGGAACATTCTGTCTCTGGCTTTGAAAGCTCAGGAGTAGTAGTACTACTCCTGGGTATGGTTCGAGATTTGGTCTTCCTGAAGAGGTTACCAAAGCAGCCAGCTTGAATGTCGACCATGGTGGCGTGGAAGAACGGCAGCCGCAACGGCCCTGATAATGTATGCCATGGTTATATACAAAGAGTACCGGCTATGCACGTACATGTAAAATTCACTAAGCGATCGCTGACGTAGAGCTTCTGATCAAAAGTGCCTCGATCAACTCCAGCCTCCCCTGCCGCTAAGTTCGGACCTAAAATAAGCGGTTTCGTAGCCTTTGCCAACTTGATAGCTTGCTATTGAAGATCCGGCGTTTGTATACAGATCCACTCCAATAATATATGCTATCACGCGCAGTCAATCGATAGGATATATGTTCTTGGAAAGGGCTGGGTGTCTCCCCCCTTGAAGAGAATAAGTATCCCGAAACTCTCCTTGGCCGTAGGCGACGGACCGCCGGTGATGGTTCCGTCAACGAGTCTGAAGCAAATTGCCACGGGCATCGCTGTGTATCGCAGCGGACTTGTTTGACGCCCGGATCCATGTAACTTGATAAGATTTATTCCGGTTTGTTCAACGGATCTGGCGCGATGACAGATCCTGAAAACTTAACCGGAATATCGGACGGGTGGTTGTCGCCGCACTGGAAGCTGCTGGAAGGTACAGGAACATCTATTGGCGTCAAGCCGAGATAATGTTGCACCATTCCCGGACAAAGTCAGAAACCTTTGAACATGTCAAAGGCGATGCCAGAGAATGAATCATGTCGGTGTGCCATTATCAAAGTCCGAACAAATGTGTTAGATGCAGTCTTCTAGAGCCTATGAAACTTGGCTCACTTGATTCTTCTTGAATGTTCTAATGAGCATTGAGCACAAAACCCTGGGTTTCGGACCGGTAAGCTACCAGTTAGTTACTGGTAACTTACCTGCTCTTGCTTGTTGTGTGATAGTCAGTTCAGCAAGATAATTCCGACACTATTCCATGTGCATTCTGTTTACAAAGACAGTCATAATTATGTACTCCTTCCGAGTGTATCACAGCTCACTAGGTCAAGAATATATCCAAAACACGAGGATAAAATTCTGAAAAAACAATCTAGGTCCGTACCAAAACACTCCGGGAGGGGTTGGACCATTGGTAGAAAACTGTAACTTACACCTCATGGAGGTTTTGTGCGTAGTCGTGCGCCGTGCGGTCTAAATCGGACAGGCCTCAAGTCAAAAAAGAAGGGGAGAATCACTTCTTCCGATAAACAACCCACGGGCTTGACCGGGAATTGAACCCGGGACCTCCTCGAACCAGCACCAACCCTAACAAGGAATCATACTACTAGACCATCAAGCCTATGCACGTGGTTGAGAGATGCCATACAAAGGAAGACTGTCTGCAGGAATACCAAGAATCAACACACCAATACAATCTCTTCCTCTCTTACGATCTGGATCCTGGCGGGCCATGACATCCACTGTACAGTCGGCGCAGGCCGATGTCTTGTCGCAGATTTTCCAAGGACTGAAGAATAAGAGTCATGAAGTACGACTGGAGTCTTCTGTCAACTTGCGTCGATATGTGAATATCTCCATTATTCCAACTTTACTAGAAGCTCATGCTCATGTCCAGGTTGCCACTACTGTTGCCGAAATGACACCTGATGCTGCAGCCAAGCTATGGGACGACAACATCAATCGAAGGCTTTTCGATCTCATGCATAGCCAGAATACAACGGAAAATTTTGGTGGACTCTTGGCTATAGGCGCGTCATTAGCCATTCTCGTACCTGCCACGCGAACTAAAACAGCTATTAGATCATCTCCTTGAAATTACTAGTGGGGAAACCATTGAGTCCAAGCGCAACTTATTTCGATTCTACAACTATGTCAAGCATCTCCTTCCCCACTCAGACGTCAACCTCATGTTAGTGGCGTCCAAGACCCTAGGACAGATAGCACACATTGGCGGTTCTGCTTTTGGAGACCGGTTTATGGATTATGAAGTTCCCGCTGCAATCGAACTGATGCAGCCGGAGAAACAGGAATCACCTCGATACGCCGGCGTCTTAATCTTGAAGGAGCTCGCTCGAAACAGCCCCGGATATTTCCATTCTCACATAAGCCTTGTGTTTGAAAACATAGTCGTCGCTCTGCGAGATCAGCGCGTTAATGTCAGGGAGGGCGCTGCAGAACTGCTGGCAGCTTGCTTAGAAATTGTCGTACAGCGGGAGCGTCAAAGTCGGAACACCTATCTGAACGGAATTTTAACGGAGGCTCAGGCAGGATTGAGGATGCCACAACCAGAGATCATACATGGCTCGCTACTTACGTACAGAGAACTTCTTTTGCATGCTGGGATGGTGCGTCTACTTATCTTCTCTGTTCATCATTCTCAGTCACGAATGTCATCTAGTTTATGAAGGAAACTTTTATGGATACGGCGGAGAAAATTCTCCGATTCCGAACCCATCGAGACAGTCTCGTTCGCAAACAAGTTATTGCGATGATACCATCTCTAGCCGCCTATGATACGCAAACTTTCAAGGATAATTATCTCCATAAATCCATGAGTCATCTTTTGACACAGCTCGAAAAGCCTCACGAAAGACATTTTGGTACGCCCAGCCATGAAATGTCGCCAACTGGTCGCCTGACCATTTCCCAGCCTTCATTGCTATCGGACATACGGCCACTGCCATAGGTAGTGATATCAAACCGTTTTTGGACTCGATCATGATGCATATCAAAGCTGGATTACAGAATAGAGGGCAAGTCATGGACCTGACCTTTTGGAGTAAAGATTCTAAGCGTAAATTAGGAGGAAGAACACAACATCAGAAGAACCTATATTCCAATGCATCGGTATGCTTGCTGTGGCAGTGGGACCTCATTTAACCAAGTTGCTGCACGACCAACTCGACCTTATGTTTGCCGCCGGACTTAGCGAACCACTCTGTCAAGCGTTGGCAGCTATAGTGCATTACATTTCTCCTCTTCTAAGCACTATACAGGGTCCGTGTCACATCTTTGCCACAGCCATAGCCGCTAAAACCTTTGCAGATAAGCTATTGGATTTGTTGTCGATGATTCTCAGCGGACAGCCATACAAACCTCTGGGTGCTCCGTCGACGCTGGCCAGAAATGAAGTTTCTACCGTCAACAGAGAGCTAAATGCACAGGTGATTTCAATATCCACTTTCTCACGTACAATTGTTCATATAAATTCAGGCTGCTGCCAACGACAAGAGTCCGGAGATAATCACATTGGCTCTCACGACACTCGGTTCTTTTGACTTCACAGGTAAGTTTTGCACCGCGTGTTCTCCTCCCCATGATCAAACCTCTTACAGGGCACTTGTTGAATGAATTCGTTCGTCAATGTGCACTGCCGTATCTTGAGGACGATAATGCGGACGTACGACGTGCCGCCGCTTTAACCTGCTGTCGTCTTTTCGTGAGGGACCCTATTTGCTACCAGTCCAGTAGCCATGCCATCGAGATTATTAGCGACGTTTTAGACAAATTATTGACGGTAGGCATAGCTGACCCAGGTGGGTTTTCTTCAAACATCTTACTTGGTAGTTTCTGACCATCATGCAGACCCGTCAATCAGGCAGACCGTACTTTCCTCACTCCACGAGCGCTTTGACAAACATCTAGCCCAGGCAGAAAATGTGCGGTCTTTGTTCATAGCCCTAAACGATGAAGAGTTCGAGAATCGTATAATTGCGGTCTCGTTGATCGGGCGACTCGCGAAGCACAACCCGGCTTATGTGGTTCCCTCGCTGCGTAAAGCACTTATTCAGCTCTTAACTGAGCTGGAATACACGACTGTCGTGTAAGTCGTTTTTCCATTACTTGACGGCCTTTGTAATCAAAAATTTGAATAGTCGCAATCGTGAGGAATGTACTCGGCTGCTTTCGTTGCTGATCAGCGCTACTCAGCGTCTTATCAAACCCTACGCTATACCCATTCTAGTTGTCTTGTTGAAAAAAGCCAATGACTCCAATCCTGCGGCGGCATCCAATGTCTTGATGTGCTTGGGCGAGCTTGCGTGCGTCGCGGGGGAGGAAACAATGGACCATATTGGAGACATCATGGAGGTCTTGACGGCGAAGCTATCTGACCCGTCACTTATCGAACGAGACGCTGCTCTTCACACTCTCGGACAAGTCTGCTCTAGCACCGGCTACGTCATTGACCCGCTTGTCGACTACCCGCAGTTACTTCCGCTTCTGGGGAAAATTTTAAAGTCGGAAAGTTCACAGGCTGTCCGCCGGGAAGTGGTGAAAGTATTGGGTATTCTTGGAGCTGTTGATCCGTACAGACGGAAGGTAAAGCACTTTCTTCCCTCACTGTGATTATCTAATGATTGCTTGACAGGAGCAGGGAAGTTCAGTTGAAGATGCGTCTAGTGAAACGCTGATCACCGCGGTCAATCAAGTCCCCATAAACCAAACTCCGACCATGGTAACCGACGACTACTATCAAAATGTGGTCATCAACGCGCTGTTGGCCATTTTGAAGGACCAGTCTCTCAGTACACACCATCATACGGCGATTGAAGCCGTCATGTCCATCTTCAAAACTCAGGGTCTGAAATGCGCATCTTTCTTGCCGCAGGTTTGCTCAACAATGAACACGTCTAATTTCTATGGTACTGACTTAAAGTAGATCATCCCCGCGTTTGCGACGGTGACAAAACACTCCGCTGCTCGCCTACAAGAATTCCACTTGCAACAGCTGACAATTTTAGTTGGCATCATCAAGCAGCATATACGCAACTATATGCAGATCATCCTCAACCTCATCAGAGATATATGGGAGAACGCTGCACTTCAGCTTCCGATAGTGTCCCTCATCGAAGCCTTGAGCAAGGCATTGAATGCTGAGTTCAAACCGTTCTTACCTTCTGTACTTCCGCTGGTCCTAAAGGTGTTCGACGGAGAGCTTAACGATAAGAGAACCAATACTCAGATGAAGATCTTCGACGCCTTTCAGACTTTTGGTGCGAATATCGAGGAGTACCTCCATCTCATAATCCCTCTCATTGTTAAGTCTTACGACCGCCTGGATGGAACAATGCCCCTTCGTAAGAAAGCCATCCAGACCATCGATGGTTTATCAAAGCGTGTCAATTTTTCCGACCACGCCTCGCGGATAATCCTCCCTCTAGTTCGCGTCTTGGAAGGCTCTCAGAATGAGCTGCGGCTTGCGGTCATGGATACCTTATGCTCACTTTGCATTCAATTGGGCTCAGATTTTGCTATCTTTGTACCTACCATCAACAAGGTTGGAGTTTCGTTTCCACAGTTACCGAAAGGACCAATTCATGTGTTTTTATCAGGCTCTCGTTCGAAATCGTATCCCACATATCAAGTACGAGAACTTGATTACCAAACTTCTCAACGGTGAACAGCTGCCTCAGGAACCTGGAGTACTAGAATTACTGCAGGTCTTTTACTGAATTCTTCATGTTTTAAATTGACACTTTTCACAGGTCAATCGAGAACGCGAAGTCGGCCGAGTACTCTGTTCCTGCGGCTGAAGCTGCCAAGCTGACAGTAAACCAACAACATTTGAAGACCGCTTGGGATACTTCTCAAACCAGCACCCGGGACGATTGGCTTGATTGGATTCACCGCCTCACCGTTGAACTCATGAAGGAATCCCCGTCGCATGCTCTTCGTGCCTGTATGAGTCTCGTCGATATTCATACCCCTCTTGCTAAGGAATTATTCAACCCGGCATTCCTATCGTGCTGGGGAGAGCTCTATGATCAATATCAGGTTTGTCATTTTTTACATATATAAGTTTCTTGATTGAAGAAGGCGCACTTATCAACAGGAGGATCTCGTGCGATCAGTCGAGACAGCTTTGACGTCAGGTACCGCGCCTTCTGAATTGATACACCGTTTACTCGGACTCGCAGAATTTATGGAACACGAAGAAAAGCCTTTGCCCATAGAACACAAAATTCTGGGGGAATGCGCACTGAAGAACTTGGCTTACGCCAAGGCTCTCCACTACAAGGAGCTCGAATTCTTTTCCGAAGCGTCGCCTGCTACTATCGAGGCGCTTATCTCTATCAATACTCGTCTTCAGCAACACGATGCTGCTTGGGGGACGTTGGTCATGGCTCATGAGCATTATGATGTTAGCAAACAAGAGGAATGGTATGAAAGGCTTGGAAGATGGCAAGAGGCACTGGGTGTCTATGATCAGAAGGCAAAGCTGGATCCTTCTTCCGCTGATGTTCAGATTGGTCGAATGAAGTGTCTGCATGCATTGGGCGACTGGGATCAGTTGGCGACCCAGGTCGACGAGATTTGGGCCAATGCCAGCGCCGAGGATCGCCGTGAAATTGCGCCCATAGCTGCTGCTGCTGCATGGTCCCTGAATGAATGGGATTCCATGGAGGATTATATTGCTACCATGAAGTCTGATTCTACAGATCGTGCCTTCTACCGTGCTATCCTGTCTGTACATCAGAACCAGTTCCCGAAAGCCTTGCTGCATGTTGCCAAAGCTCGTGATCTTCTAGATCCCGAGTTGACCTCCTTTGTTGGCGAAGGCTATGGTCGGTCTTACAAGTGAGTCGCCCATGAAGTCGGCACGCATTTACTGATTCCTCGTAGTGTTATGGTTCGCGCTCAAATGCTTTCCGAGTTGGAGGAGATCATCGCCTACAAACAGTATGCCGATCAGCCTGAGCGGCAACAAACTATGCGTAAGACGTGGATAAAACGGTGATTGTTCTTCTCCTGGGTTGTTTCTTGTCACTAAACGTGAGTCAGGCTACAAGGATGTCAACATGACGTGGAGGTCTGGCAACGAATACTTCAAGTCCGAACCTTAGTTCTGAATCCTGAGGACGACCCTGTAATGTGGATCAAGTTTGCGAACTTATGTCGCCAGCAGGATCGTATGGCCCTGGCTGAGAAGACGATCAGTGCCTTGTTGGCGCCTCACGCTACTGACGTACGTACAACCATCCTCCCGACTGCTTTGTTCTAACCGTCTTTCGGAAGCTTCACAATCCTCGTGATCAGCGCATGAAGGCCCCGCCCAACGTGATATATGCTCAGCTCAAGTTCCTGTGGGCGGCTGGGTCCAAAGACAGCAGTCTCGCTTTCCTTCGTCAATTCTCAAACAACCTCGCTCGCGACCTACAAGCCGATGATGGTCATGCTCATCCCTGGGTTACCAGGCAAAGGAAGAGTCAATTGTCCAAACTACTTGCACGTTGCTATTTCAAACAAGGCCAGTGGCAAATGAAATCAAGTGATGACTGGGTTTCGGTCAGTATACCTTGATGGTCTACCTTCTTCCGTCCTAATGCATGTTGTAGAATGATGCACAAGGCATACTAAATTGCTATGTTAGTGCTACATACCACGATCCAGAGTGGTATAAAGCTTGGCACACCTGGGCCTTGGCTAACTTGGATGTTGTTACTTACATGGAAAGCAGACCAGAGTATCGTTTTGTTGACCAACCCCCACCTGCGCTCGCGGTGCATGCTGTCAATGCAATAGAAGGTGGTAACTTCCTTCGTAGACCGACATCTCATGCTCAACATTGATTCTAGGTCTTTTCCGATCGGTCACTTTGCGTAACACGGATGCTCTGCAGGACACACTACGCATTTTGACGCTATGGTTCAAGTTTGGTGGACACCCAGATGTTGCTCAAGTCATCGCAGTAGGATTTGCCAAAGTTGGAGTGGACAATTGGCTGGAAGTGATTCCACAGGTCGGCGATCTCTAGCTTTCTTATTCGTGCAAATTCATGTCCTCGCACAGATCATTGCCAGAATTCAAACACCTCACACTACAATCCGCCGCCACATCCAAAACGTCCTTCTCATTATTGGAAGGCACCACCCACAGGCTATGATCAATCCCTTGACCGTGGCTTCGAAGTCCTCAAGCAAGGCGCGATCGGAGGGTGCGATCGGGATCTTGGAGCATCTCAAAGACCGCCACCCTGTTATCGTCGCACAGGTAAGCTGCTCCTCATGCGATGACTATTTTCCTTATGTTTTTGTAGGCTGTACTTGTGAGCCACGAAATCATACGGGTGGCTATCCTCTGGAATGAGCTATGGCATGAGGGTCTAGAAGAAGCCTCCCGTATCTATTTCACGGAAAAAAATCCCGAAGGCATGATTGCCGCATTAGAGCCGCTGCACCAACTCATGGAAGAAGTACGTCCTCCCATTAAGTGCATTTACCTTTTGACTGATTGGGTTGCAGCCCGGCCCAACAACTGCTAGAGAGATCTCGTTCATTCAGACTTTTGGCAAGGATCTGAGGGGAGCGCGCGAAGCATGTCAGAGGTACCGTCAATATGGCGATACTAGTGATTTGGATAAAGCCTGGGACATTTATTATGCCGTGAGTGTTCTCTTGTAAATTCTGAATTCCATCGTGACCTCTTGGGGAACAGGTTTTCAAGAAGATTGAGAAACAGCTTCCTCAATTGACTAGTCTCGACTTGCAATATGTTTCACCGATTCTATTGAATGTTCGTGATCTTGAGCTAGTGGTGCCAGGTCTGCCATTATACATAATCTTCTCAATGGTACCTAAACTAACTTACGGTCAGGTACTTATCAATCTGGCCGTGAGATTATCAAGATCTCTAGTTTCTCTCCCAAATTGCCTGTTATTGCTTCCAAACAACGGCCACGGCGGCTCACTTTACGGGGTTCGGACGGTAGGGATTATCAATATGTTTTGAAAGGTACAGCAGCACGGCATTGTTAGTGCACTCAGAACTAACCATACCGGTCCTAGGTCACGAAGATCTTCGACAAGATGAACGAGTCATGCAGTTGTTCAGTCTTGTCAACACGCTGTTATCTGTGGATACCAACAGCTATATGCGGCGTCTACATATCCAACGTTTCCCGGTCATCCCTCTGGCACCTAACGCTGGTTTATTGGGATGGGTCCAAGGCAGCGACACTTTCCATGTCCTTGTGCGCGATTATCGAGACTCTAGGAAAGTCCTTTTGAACATTGAGTATCGGTTGATGCTACAGGTTGGTTCCTCCGAGATTTCAACATTCTTGAGTTTGACAATGAATGATAGATGGCGCCTGACTACGAAAATCTCACACTTCTCCAGAAAGTGGAAGTCTTCGAGTATGCGCTCGAAAACACAACCGGTCAGGACCTTTACAGAGTCTTATGGCTGAAGAGTCGTGACTCGGAGCATTGGTTGGAACGACGAGCTACCTACACCCGTTCACTGGCTGTCAATTGTATGGTTGGACACATCCTGGGACTTGGGGATCGACATCCGTCAAACTTGCTACTCGAAAGAGACACCGGAAAAGTTGTCCACATTGATTTCGGTGACTGTTTCGAAGTTGCTATGCATCGCGAGAAATTCCCAGAGAAAGTACCTTTCCGACTGACTAGAATGCTTACACATGCCATGGAGGCAAGTAGAGATCTCTTCTACTCACCCTTCTGTCACCTTAACTTTTCGTAATAGGTGAGTGGCATCGAGGGGAGCTTCAGAAACACTTGCGAAATAGCTATGCAAGTTCTGCGCGACAACAAGGATTCATTGATGGCTGTCCTTGAGGCTTTCGTCTATGACCCTCTCATCAATTGGCGTCTCATGCAAGCGGATGATGTCAGAGGGCCACAAGGTCACATATACAATCCCTCGCGTCTTGGCTATTGCTGATGCTCCTGATGCTATAGATGCTTCAAACGACAGCGATCGTGCCGCCGAACTCGTCCAGTTGGCACATACTACCGCGTATGCTCAAGGTCCTAAGAGGAAGCTGAAGGCGGACGAGAATGACATATTCAGTGGTAAGCTCTGCCTACAGTTTACATGGAACCGCCTTACCCTTTCGATACAGACGGGCTTCTTGGCGTTCAGGAAGTTCGAAATGAACGTGCACTGTTTGTATACAATCGTGTCCAAAACAAGTTGACAGGTAGGATCCTTTTTTTCTGCTGCGTAGCAAAAATGCTTACGCCTGCTTTTAGGACGAGATTTCAATCCCGATGTTTCCCTTTCGGCCATTGATCAAGTCGATAAATTGATCAAGCAGGCTACATCTTTGGAAAATCTGTGTCAGCTCTTCTCAGGATGGTCAGTGAAATGCTACTCCTTTACCAGCGAAATCCCCTTGCTGATTCTGACTTATAGGTGTGCTTTCTGGTAGCGTCGGTACTGATTCAACGGACATTTGTCATCTACAGCCCTATATCCTAATTGCCCTGTAACTTATCCATCTGTCGCATAATGTACTCTGTAGTCTCATCGGTCTTTTCTACAACAATTTGTATATCTTTGCACTACAAGTTCTACCTATTGAGCCGTTGGACCTAGGAAGTATCTCGCTTGGAATTTGTAACGATTGGCGGACATCAGCAAACGAGCTAGGCTGGAGGGGTGAGTAAATAGTTTAAAAGTTGAGATCACATCAAACAAGCCACCGTAGGAGGCAGAATGGAGTATCTTCTTCCTAACGAGACATTGGTCACGAAAAGAGGGTGAATTCAACATCGAATCAGACCTTGAAAGGGGTCTAATATATTCAATGACAGACCACACAAAATCATGCTGCAGGGTTTCGTGACACCACCACCAACCATTCCGCGATTGACGTCCCAAAACTTTGAGCTCTGTATCAATGTGGACACGGAGCGACGGACTTGAAATCAGGGTGGTCCAGATCACCTGCGAATAGCTATTTCGACTCGGACTAAGTAGACAGTCTGGACTTCGTCGGCTTCCGAATATCCTCTGAACGTTACCTCCTAAGAATAAGGCGAGAACGCTTAAAGTTACACTTTCATTGCTATTGAAGAAACTGCCAGGTAGCCTGCGTGTACGAATCTAGATCGGCATTTTCCCCGGACGCACTTTCTGCTCAGGGTCCACCTTCCCGTATTATCACAACGGGTCGATACGTAACGCGGTCCGAATTCATTGCAGTGCCACCCTGGACAGGGCTGGAAAGGCGTGTTTGCAGAGTGGGTTCGGCAATCTGGCAAGTTCAACTTCTTGAACTTCGAAAATTTGTATCACTGCTATCTCCTCTCAGGATGCGGAGTCGGAATTCCGAGCCTTTGACCTGGGTTCGTCCGTCGTACAGGCGGGAACCCTGGGAACCAATGAGAAACTGCCAGTATGATATCTTGAATTCTGGGCTACCTGAGTACAGCACACAACACAAGAAAGGACGCAGGCTCCTCCTCATGCTTGGCTGAATAGATAACAATCAGTCATGAACTGCGTAGGTGAGTTCTTGTCCTGATTGCAAAACCCACTCGTCACAGTCAACAAGTTCTGAACCGCCCTGAGATTTCACACGAGTATTCCTGCCGAATTAGAGCAGATTAGAGCTCAACTCGTATTCTGTTCAATAAGCGCTAGATCTTTGAGCCGAAATTTACTTGGATCTTCCAAGAAGGGTAAATCCCTGGCAACGTCATGAAATGATCAGCGCGTTTCTACTAGTGCTAAGTGCCCCGACACTAGAACCGCACTCATTTCAGTTCTGATATGTTCATGGCACGATCATAATTCATTGAATACACGAGTCCGTTCAGTGAGCGCCGATGAAATTGTCCAAGTACATGTACATTGGCAGCCTGGGACAAAAAGTGTCGCCGCGGCGTCTGAATGATCAAACGATGATGCGCCGCCTTGTGGGACTCGGTACCGAAACCTATCTGCTACCCCATTTTCTCTATTCCCCTTTGAAATATTGCGGGTTATTGCTTATTTTTGTAACCGAGCCTGCGTATTATTCATAAGTGGGGCCCTTACCGCAATTACGGGCCGCCACGAATATAGCTTTTATTCCTCCTACGTAAACGGGATGTTACAACCTGGGACTGGCAAAGGAGTACGTAGGAGGCGGTTAAAATCACAAAGTCCGAAATTTCTCGCACAGATCCCTGGTGCGAACATTGCACAAAGTTAATCATAGATATTGAAGCAAGATTACTACATTTTTTCCCGCCCTGGTTCCAGGTCCTGCAGCGCTACTTGTGTGGAGTTTGGATAAATGCTTATCCATATTGTGATCATTCTGTACATCCATTCTCTGGCACCTGATAGATTTTAATAAAAGTGATGGAATCACTGGCTGCAGAGAACCACAAGAAGAATCGTGAACGAGGGTACCAGGAACAAGGAATGGATGTTCTGAAGGACCGTCATGGGCCGTGACGCGTTGTATTGCAGTTGCTGAGATCTACCTGCGATCTTGGAGCAATATGAGAACAATTCTAGCCGCGAAGGACTTGACCGGGCCCATCCAAGCACATCTGCATCTTTCAATCGTTAAGACCGGGGTAAACATCTCCACCTGGAGGAACGTAGGCCTAGAGCAAATACATCAATCAGAACGCAATAGATGGGAGATGTTCCCCTTTACCGCATTACTTTCGTCGCTAAGGTAGACATTGAACAAGATGCCCGCGTCTGTAGACTAGATCCCCGAATGAGTATACTGCGGCTCGGGCAACGGATATCAAAAAAACCCACATTATAAGCACCCGGGAAGGATAAACCCGAAGGCTCCATGTCTCCTCCGCCAGTCACTTTTGTATTGTCGGTTAGATTAGAGTTTTTGACAAGAAAGTTACTATTCAATTACCTTCAAGCTGAACGCAAACTAGACCGTATGTAGTCAGATGATTTTCAATGACGACCAGTTTGAATGACGACTAACCTGGATAGAACTGTGCACCGCCTTCTGATGACGCACCATGCAACGCAAGGTTTTCATGTCGAAGGAGCTGCCGTTATAAAAATGAGCATCTGAGCATTGGCTCAGTAACATGCCCCAACTTACGTAGTATCCAGAGGCGATGTTCTACAAAACCGGTCATTTGCTGACAATAGCGCAGCTGAATAAACGGGCTCACCTTTGGTATAGTAACGTCATAACTGGCGTCGTTATTGGCCAGAATGTCCGAGGCCCAAGTGGAGGTGGCGACATCAAAGGCGTCTTGTTGAATCTTCCGTAACGAGACATATGAACAAATGTGTGAGATTCGACTGATGCAAACAAACCTTGAACCAAGGAGCGTCTGAATCGGTCATATCTGCTAAGAAGCTTGAACAACCTTCGTCCGGACATTTGGCCATATAGTTTAAAACGGGACCTGGGTTTTCATTTGGTTACAAACTCGCAACGCCAGAAGAGGCGCTAACCGTAATGTCCCAGAGGCCAGCTACTCCAATGGATAGTGACTAAATGCCAGTTTAGAGAACGTGTCTCTGCCGAAGGCGAGAAGTCCTACCGTTGTCTCCACCAGTTACTGTAGAATGAATTTACTCCTACCGCTTATGGTGAGAAACCGTTTACCTTGGGCAGTGGCTCAGTACTCACAGAAGGAAGATACGAGTTTCCGATCGAACAAGTAAATATTAATTGAAGTAACGTCCGAGACAAACCCACGATCAAATTTAAGACGGCGACAAAGAAGAGAGGACGTACTTACAGATTTCGTAGGACGGACGACTCTCACAGGCTAACATTAGCGTTTGTTAGAAGAACGAATGTCATGGAATGCCAAGGTATGCCGTACCTGACGCGACTGGTACGGGTCTGTCAAAGGCCAATATGAGCAACGGGTTGCACGGCTTCAAGAGTGAACGAACCTGAAGTAACGTCCCTATCTAGAATCCAATTATCTGAAAAGAAGCCACATTGTTCAAGTTCAGACGAACGGATACTATGAGGTTTTCTCACGGCTAATTTCGATCCTGGGCACGTAACCACGAGCAGAGACTTAGCAGCAAGGTCAGTGGCAAGAACAACACATGAAGATGGAAACAGCATCGTAAAATGGCGGAACAAAATGTATGAGAGGTGGGTATCCACATTTCGAGGTTTTATATCGATAGTGAATGCCCAGACTTCGATCCTGAGGGGTGGCCGATGAGCAGGCAGCAGGTTATAGGCCACGAAGGAGACCAGATACAACAAATTCGGTGTGAGACCTTTAGGATGCAGAGAATTGCAAGTAGCCCAGCCCGTACTTGCGAGACGATAGCCAAAGAAACTATAAAAACTGCCCTATGGGATCAATTTGAAGTTCTGATAGATTTCTGGCATACATCCTCATTGTTTTAGGTACGGTTACCATGTCCAGACAATTACGGCGGGCGCTCTTGGCACAGAAATGGGGACGTGTTGGTTAAGACCTGTTGCGAAACCCAGCATGCGAAGCCTTTGTCATATTACAGGCAGCAAGCCCTTCAGAGAAGACACGGGCTAGTGCGACATTGCGAAATTCATCAAGCCCAGTGTAGTTTGCATCAAATGCAAACTGGTACAAGACAAAACTTGTACCGACGCGTCGGCACTGTGATGTGATTACTCTGCCCACTTGAACTTTCGTCGACCGAAGTTCATCCCTGAAAACTGCGCATCTAGATATTAGGGAGGCCTTTGATGCAAGAAGATTCTCACCAGATGGATGTCGGACTTGCCTGTTCATTTCAGGTTAGTGGAATCAATTTTCCTACCGTTTTTTTTTTCATTCAATCTTCTGTTGCCTCTGTTTCACCATATCCACATCCTATCATAGCCTTCAGCTTGCGTGAGATGAGTAAGGTGAGCAGCGATTCTCAGGCTAGCGTTCATGACCGTTTTGGGACAAAGTGATGTACGCGTCCAATTCAATGATGATCTTCACTTTTTCCTTTGCTTCTCTTCCTCTATCACCTACCGGCCGGACTCTTCAAAAACATGCCCAGAGGAATACCAAATGTAAAACGTGATGATACAGGCCTCCGCTATACCTCCTTCAACGTCCCGCTACCGTCAGTTTGATTTACTCAAAATTTCTGCTCGCATTTGACGCCCGGTTCTTAGACCCAATCCAAAACATTTGGGCACGACCTACCTGAAGTCGGATACACAGACAGTTTGGTATAGAAATTCGATTCGAAAGAGCATAGCACCGTCAGAGGATACCAACAAGGATAGGTGAGTACTTGTCAAGGTCCCCGTCTGCCATGTAGAGTTGAGCACCGTTCCAGGCGTGGTACCGCTGTCCTTGTCATACATCCAGGATCCCGCTTTCTCCGTGTTGGCCGCGCGTCAGATGTCACACCCATCGCAGTACCAAATGTCATAGCGCGCAGGACGACGCCGACACCAGCACCTGTCTTTGTGGAGGGTATTTCGAGACCACGAAAGGGCAGACATGGGACGTCAAGTGCAGCCAATTCTCCTTCTGCTGAAGACGGTGGCTTATCCGAAGACCCTGTACGTCTCTGCTGTTACCCTGTACATTGCTGAGGATTCAACTGCAAATAGTTTGAAGAGAAGCTGGCTGCCATAACTGTTTCTCTTCGGGACAGGATGAGGTTCTATAAATTGCGTGTTACACCTAATGCCGCCAACCTTGCATCCACCTTCAACACCGCATTTCAGCCAGAGATCATCCCAGAACATAATGATCCCTTTCAGGTGGAATGGTTCGACGAATCTTGCGGTGAGGATGTTCTGGTCGGTGAGAAAGTACGCTACTTTAGGTTCTCCATCCTCCTGTTCTTATTCTGTGTCAGGCCCTTCGAATAGCAGATCCTCAACATGCGGGGTACTCGGTCAAATGGCCTATATACGGTCCTAATTTCAACACCCGTGATTATTCCTCTCTTCGAGTCCTTATGGGAGACATAGAAACGATATTACGCCATACATTGAGAGACAAACTCAATATAAATCCTCGGGATTACGGGGTGAGAAGATCAACGTCAGCCTCTTCGCCTTCTAAAGCAATCCTCACAGATGTTTTCTGTTATTCTCATTCTTCCGGATTTTTACGATCGAACGTATGTCCGTGAGTGGGTGAACATGCTGTTAGTCGGCATGGGATTCAAGCAACTATGTGCTCAGCAAGTTCGTGCTCCTCTCTAACGCCTATGTCCCCACTGACTACTTCAAAGGAATCCTTGGCAGCAACGTACGGTGCTGGAGTCTCCAACGCATGCGTCGTCAACATAGGCGCGAAATCAACCTCGTTAGCGTGTGTTGACGAAGGTCTAGTCATCGCCGATAGTAGAATGAACCTGAATCTAGGCGGTGATGACATTACAGAGTTTCTTTTTGTGCTACTGGAAAGGATTGGTTTCCCATATCGGGATATTGACCTTTCCCGGGCATACGACTGGAACATTATGGAAGATCTCAAGGCAAGACTCTGCACTCTGAACGAGGTATGTAAAGGACCTTATGACATGATAGTTTTTACATGACCACCGCGCCGCAGAGTGTCGTCGCCCTGAATCTTTACGACTTTGTCGTTCGGAGACCGGGGAAACCCACTGAAAAGTACGGCTTACGAGCATACGACGAAATTATTCTCGCACCAATGGTATTAATTCTGTTGTTCTTTTATTTTTCACTTAGTAGTCATGTTAAAACCAGTGTCTTTTCGAACCTCGGGTCATAGAGTTTGACCGGAAGCGCGTCGGATTCCAATTGAACGGCCATCCAGATGTCACAGAAGACGTGCTCGAAATCCAAGGAGAAAACGTGGTCAGTCCATTCCGTCCATTCCAACATGCCTAAGGTTAAAGGACCTCCTCTGGCAGACATCAGCAATGATGATCTCAACGCAACACCTCCTGCCAAGTCCGACAGCCGGAGCTGCTCCTATCGAGCAAGGTAATGATCATCCTTCACAAAGGCAAAGTGACTGATGAAGATCCTTGTATCACATCAAGACGCAACCAAGTCTGAGAGTATTGATGTGGCGTCGGTTCCTGCCCCTCAGGATTCGGGAGCGGGAACGCCTGACAGCATCAAAGACGCAATGAAAGGATCGAGTGGCAACCTACAGCAGCTGATACCCCTTCCCGATGCTCCGGAGCCGATACCCCCATCCTCCAGCCCAACGAATGGCTATGACATTGACGTATGCTTCGAGGCAAGTAAATTGCCGCTGGATGTGGCCATTTTTAATTCTGCGCGGGCATCTGGCGGAGATGATAAGATACGAAAGTATCTTCAGGCCGTTCTCGTTATCGGTGGGGGCGCTCTTGTTCCCGGAATGGCACATGCACTGGAAAGCAGGTGAAAGGGCTCCTTCGACTGCGCGTCGCCCTTGGTGCTGATTTTTGGTTGACTGATAGACTTCAAGCGATTGCAACACCGCTGGTGGTCAACATGGAGAAGGTCCAGATTCTTGCACCACCGAAGGAAGTTGATCCTCGTGTGCTTGCATGGAAGGGCGCCGCCGTACTTGGCAAAATGGACGGATCTTCAGAGCTTTGGGTAACACCTACAGATTGGGTAAGTGTTTTGTGGATTCTCTTTTGGTACTTGCTAACCATCGTACAGGACATCTTAGGAATGCGAGGGCTCAAAGAACGCTGTTTTTTTCTGTAATTAAGGCTCTGTATCGTACGGACACTATTCAATGTAGCTACTGACACATTATTTGTTCGTTCAAACTAGCTGCGGGGAGCAATGATGAGTAAATCAGATGGGTAGTAATACAGGATAATTGGCGATTGCAAGTGGATGAGTGGGCATGCAATAAGTATAAGTGATTCGTGTGAAAATAACTGATGCGACGTTGAGGGTATATGGGGGTGAGGTTCTATAAGGAGAGTGAATGATGAATGGCCTTCACGATCAAGGGGAAGAGAAGGGTACGATGAAACCATACAGCCTATACACCCAAGTCATCCTTCATGGCTGCGAAATTCTCGGGTGTCAGACGGCTCCAATTGCTGTACAAGGACGACATCAATGCCTTCCCTTCACTGCAAAACGCATATAAGCATACAATGATGAGATATTAATGGACAGGTTGACATGCCTACGTTTCCTGAGCCATTCTTTCCGCGCGGCGCCGCCCTCTCTCCAGTGCGGCAAATCAGAGGGGTTATCAACACGGGTCCTATTCTTCTTGCCGCCTCTCCCCTTCTTTGTCTCAGACAGCAGGTATGCAAGCCTCTCGACCCATGAATCACATATAGCTGAGGCAGTTCTATTCGGAACAAAAGGGAACGTGAAGTCTAGTCGAGGAGGCTTTTCGGGTGTCATGACCACCAAACTCCGGCAAATGGGACAATCGACGGATTCATGCCAGCAGCCGCAGAGTCTATGCAAACGCGAGAATGTCCATTTAAGGATACACATGGCACAGAACGTGTGGCCGCACTGTCCCGCGGCATTCAATGAGAACGGAGATGCCATTATGTCGTAGCATCTGAAACTCGATGAGCCTAAGGTAAATACAATATAAGACAAACATACAGCGAGCAAGTGAAATGCTCCTCAAGCTGCCGGAAGATGTCTCGCGCCTCTCTTTCTTTTGCTTGCTGCAAAAGAGCACTTGTTTCTTCTTCCTTCTTTGACAAGGCAGCAAGACGCTGTTCGAGTTCCTTGGATTTCATTGCCAGGTCATGCTCCCGCCACGTTAGAGCCTGTTCCCGATTATCCGGGTCCGAGAGCGTCATACGTCGAGTACGCATTGCAATGGTAGGAGAACAAGACGGTGTCGGCGCTACGGTAGTATTCGCATCGTCCAGGACTCTGTGCCTCTTCCTGTGCACCTTGAATGATCCTAATTTGATGGGTTCTGCCAATTTGATACCTAGACTCAGTTCAGTATTGGTACGCGAGAGAATGATTGAAAATGTAGCCACCATGTTCGAGATTACTGAGCCTCAGGGAACGCCTGCGATGCAACACTGGCTGTTTCTTGTCCGAGCGTGTCATGGCCACGGCAATAGAGAGAAAAAGCCGCCTGGGAAACGTCGACAATAAGGCGCATTCCAAGGGCGCAGTGGCAGAGCAGAGCAGAGTATTCTTGTCCTAATGCGGCATTCACCTTCCACGGAACCACGTGGTGTTATTTGGTTCCCATGCGTCAGAACCAAACTCATAAATGCACCCTCAATTGATGTCTGTTGCTAGAAGCAGCTGTTGCCAGCTACATGCTGCACGACGGTCGTTCTCAGCCTCATTTTCTGCGATGTTTGTTCTAGGAACTACCAGATCTTGTTGACCCTTCATTTATCCTTACTTGATCCCCTCACAGGCTGTAACAATATCACAACTCCACTGTGCCTCCAGCGGGGAATACGAAGGCCTAGGGAATGTACATTGTATTTCTTTGCGTGTGCCTCGAGCTCCGTAGCCAACGCCTCTCGGATATCAGGGTCATCGGTGGTCATCGGTCCCGCATGTTTTGATTGAATTCGACATCGGCTGTCGATATCCCGCGGCCGGGATACGGATATCTGGCGCAGGCGTCAAGTTGTCATCCGGTAAAAACGACACCACCCAATGGACGTTCAGGTACTGTACCTCGCAGGTCAGCGCAGAGTGCTTTTTTCAATTTCTCAATTCCAATTAAGGACCTCAACAATAAATATTGACGTCAAGGCAAGGCCCTTCGTGACCTTGTGCCTGTTCCTTGCAAGATAACTGTGGATGTTGCGTGAAACCGTAAAATACTCTTAGGATCATATCCCGGTCGTCAACTGATTTCTTTGAATGGGCGCTGACATGAACATTGAGCCACACGTCTCTGGATACACCTCCTGCGCATGCTTTTACTCCTTCTGGATCCTTCAAAGCTCGGTTTACCTGGGCCTGCGATGCTTATATCACGCATCATCTCTCCGATACGCGATTGTTACACTGTTTGGAAAGGAAAAACGATGATGTGAAGAGGTAGCAACAGCCGCAGTACCGGTAAAGTGCATGCATAAAGTTCTCGTGCCTATGCTGTCGTATTATTGGTGGCTTAAGGCTGCGTCAAATGTGTCCTGTATTGGAAGCTCCTTTCGTCCCGTGGGTCTTGACTTCTCACTGTTGTCCAGCTGTGGGTCCCCTCACCTATCACCGTTCCATTTAAGTCAGAGAACCGCATAAAAACTCTATCCAGTGTCACAAGGATTAAACAAATGAACCCTGCTCGCTCTTCCGTTCCATTAACTTCTCTTCGATCGTGATGCGAAGGTCTAGTTACTTCTTATCAGGCACGATAACATGCGTGCAACGAACAACAAAGCGCAAAGATACGGTACACATATATTCCACCTGTCTCCAGCCAGGACCTCGGACCGTATGTGCTGATTATCTGGAACATCCCGTACTTGCCATGACAAAAGCCGGGGGGGGCTTTATGTTGTAAGGACGCTCGTCGGTAGGGATGATCACAGGTGCTATACGTGCCGAACGGACGAAATATAAAATTTAAAATTATACTCCAACTTGTAATAATGTGTTTTGTGCATCTTTCCTTCGCCTTCTTGTCTTCCACTTCCATTCTCCTTGGGCCACGCACCTTAAATCCGGGCCAGTTTTCCGTGTCTTATTGGAGGTTTATGGAACTTGGCAAAGGAATATAACTCCAGACGAGCCTCGCCCTCTCACAGGCGCCAACGTCAAATCTCGTGTCCCTTCACGTGGATCACGCAAGCAAAGGGTTCTCCTGAATTCAGTTCCTTGTGGGATGAAGATCTGTGCATTGTGGACAGGGACTGTCGGTATTTGAGCTAAGTTTGGACCATTGTAGGAATAAATCAGAGTAAATAAGCGTGCGCCATTTTCCCGCCTTGGACCGTGGGGGGCGAAGGGATCTTTGCGTCATTTGAGAATCCTTTCTTTCATCAATCACCATCAAAACCGGTGGAATATTTGCTTCATCAATGGTGGCGAGATGGTTGAATGTATTAAACCGGGTTTCTTGTGCAGATTGAGGAGGCCGGCAAATGCCTGGACAAGTGGGGTGATGACTTGTCATCGGATATACACACCAGAGACGTGGTCCGCAGAGACTCGTGCCTCTTGTACAGGATAACGATGAATTGTAATGGAATTATGTATTACAAGAGTAATGCTGACGTTGGCATCACAAAAAATAAAGGTCAGGTGAACAAGCAAAGATAAGGAAGCCTGTGAGAAGGGATTGCTGTGAAGAGTACAGAATGAAGACGGACGATCGGTCTGATATATAAGAAGACATCAACGCAGCGACAGGCAGGACACAGCCTGGTATAAACAGGCATGAAAGCGTTGTGTTGCGCCATGCCTGCCATCAGATCTTAGATCCGACCCGACCGGAGTAGAGCCCTAAGGTGCGAAACAAAGCGGGGCAATAGTGAAGACCAGAGGAGAAGAATTTTGCTCGGGTTCGAGACGAAGAGAGGGGGAGAGGGGGGGGGGAAATCCGAGATACAAAAGAAACTGAATGGTTGGTGGCAGCGGGTTGGACGTATTTGGCTGGAGTGAGCTGAAGGAGAGGGTATCAGAGCAGCCAGTCAGTTGACGCGTTCGATCAAGAACGAAGGCCGGGAAAACATCATCCACTGGACAAGGGCGGAACCAAAAATTTCACGCTCCTCTCGGATGATGGCCCGCCGCATGCGCTGGAGTGGATTCGCATGATATAGCCGGTATCACACCGTATTCTCGCGCTACGGCCCGTATACAAGGATTCTCAAACGTCGGGTCGCCACTTTTCGCACGCTGCGACACGACGTTCTCAAGAACGAAAAGAGAAAGGAAATGATACAGATCCTGCAAATCGAACTGATGGTTGTTGGAAGGCCGAGAAACGTTTCATAGTCCCGGCAGTCTTCCCGATATAGTATCATTGCGATTTGTTCGGCAACAAAAAACATATATAAAATTTCCCTGGAGAAGCTTGGCGGTTCCTAGATGGCGGAAGAGGGCGGAAAAGAAAGGCCATGGGAAAAAGGAGGGCAGATGGGGGCAGCAGAGAGGCAACTCGACGGTGGCGGCTGCTGCATCAAGTACTGATTCGAATCGCAGCAGGCGTCAGGCTGAAGCTGATGTCTGTGTTCGGCACAGGTTGAGTTGCCGTTCTGCTAGCCAATCGGAACACGCGATAGAAGCATCTGGATGTGACTGTGACTGTAACACGGCAAGCGGATCTGGATCTACTTCTGGAATTCCAGAAGGAGAAAAAAACCATCGCGGACTTTAAATTCCAAAATTAATGAGAGCCGTCACGCGAAGATCGAGATCTGTGACAGTCATCCATCATCCCAAAATGGGTATTCCGGAAAAGTCAAGCCCCCGCGAGCGCGAGCGTTTGCTATATTTCTGTGATTCTGAAATTCTCTCTTTCTGTACAAATCCACGCGACCGGCCACCTTGGACTCTGGCGTCCTGCTCCTCTCTCTCCTGGGCTCGCGCTTTGCACATAGTTTCTTCTCTCTGGCTGTATATACGCGCCCCGTCGGTACACATAAGTCATCTCGTCCGGAATACCGGTCAGATCGTTCCCCCCCAGCGGATTCTTCATTTATTCCTTCATTTCCTGGTCAGCCAGTGCATAAATGCTTTCGCCTCTTCCTTTCCAAGATTCCCTCATTCAGCCCTCAAAGTTCGATTCCTGTACCCGTAACCTTGTGACAGAGTCCGACGTCTACCACGACATTGGGCTCATCGTATCTGCTTCAGTTTCACCTATTCCATCAGACTCCCCCACCCTGGACGAAGATCGCCTTTCTTCGCCGACCTCCCCCCCCGGTACCACCCCCAATTTCCAGTATGGCCATCGCATGTATGACGAGCCAGTATCCCCCGGAACCATGTACGATTCTGATCAGCCAGCACCCCCGCCCCAGGTTCCATTTTCGTACGAATCTACCCCAAACCAGACCCAGAATTACTCCCAGTCTGCACTCAGTTCGCTGAGAGATTCGGACCCTCCGGCTCCTTCTTACCTTTCCGATTCGCCTTCTCCAGTTGACGTACACTCTTCGTCAACTCTCACCCAGTCCATGTCTTCCTCTTATACCTCTCAGGACCGCTATCCACACCGTTCTAGTATATCCGGCAGATATCAAACCTACCCTCCTAACTATCTCGATCAGAGGCGCATGTCCGAGCCATCCGTACACTACCCCGTGGAGACGGAAGGCTTCAGGTACACAGAGGGCACCCCAAGCACTGGCCACGCTCCTCCCCGCGCCGTGGGGTATCTTCAGCGAGGGGCAAGCCTCAGGGACCTGCGTCAGCAATACCAGTCTATGGATTACCCCACTTGCCAACCAGTTTCTCCAGGAAGCAACTGGAGATCCGCTGATGACTCTTTTCGTCCCAATCAAGAGCCCATCTCGCCCTACCAACCCAATTTCTCGGGATCTAATACCTCGCCCACCGCTGGTATCTCGTATTCACAGGGAAATGAGGATCATTACGGCCCGTCACCCCCAGGAACAGGTACTTCCACTTCATCTGCTCCTTCGGCGCGTACATCCACTCATAAAGAACTTGTCATTCCTCCTCAAGGCGTTCACCAGTCTCCCACAAGTCCTCACGACTCCGACGCCAGTAAACGATACTCATTCGTCGCTTTGGCCGGGAACGCCGTAAAAAAGCGCCCCCGCAGAAGGTATGACGAGATCGAGCGGCTGTATCAGTGCACCTGGCCAGACTGCAACAAAGCGTATGGCACCCTCAACCATCTGAACGCGCATGTAACCATGCAAAAGCACGGCCCTAAGCGTAGTCCCAACGGTAAGTCTATTCAATTATTGTGATTCTATTCTTCCATAGCCGGCGTACTGACTAAATTATTTTTCTTAGAATTCAAGGAGCTGCGAAAACAGTGGCGCAAAGCAAAAAAGGAATCCGAGTTTCCCTCCTCCAACCTGATGAGGCGGAGTAGTATGGGACGCCTTGGAGACGAGATATACGACTCTCGGTACCAGCACCAGCGGTACTCGTACCCACCTCCACTGAACATTCTTCCTTCGGGCGTCTCAATGTCGCATGTGCAACCCGAACGTTACTCTGTTGCCGACGACATTCGGTACCCATCCGACGATCGCAGTCATCGTATTGTCGAACGCACAAATTACGATGAACGTAACAGGTATTCCGCGCCTTCTGGCTGGCAACCACCACCACCGAGTAGCTACACCCGCTCTCAATCGCAATACCCGTCCGTTCCATTCCCTCCTCCGAGTAGTCTTGTTGCACAGCACAGTCTTCATCCTGTTCCTCCGAACCGCTCAGAGTACGTCCGCCCTACTTCGCCGTCACCCCCGGTGAACCGGCTACCACCCAACAGCACCCTTCTTACGCCGCTTCCAGGCTATGAGCCCCCCACGTCGCTGCCACTCCCCTCTCTAGATCCCAGCATAGATCTGGACTACGCAAACGAGGGCTATTACGATGATGAGAGCGGGAGAAGACCTGGTTCCGGGCATGCTGGTGTGAGTGGCGATGAATATTGAAGTATTCGAGCCGCGCAGGTTCCGAACGCCAACCGCTATCGGTTTTTTAACTAGACGGTTAGCTGTACATCTCTTTCGACTTGCCTACTGTCCACCGCTACCCACCCTAGTCCCGCCTACTCGCTTTCCTCGCGCCTGTCTGGACACCGAACAAGCTTGTAGGCTCCACCTACGATTGAATCGCTCCCCAAAGGTTCCTCATATCTGTACTACCGGGTCATATCCCAGATACAACTTCTTGCATATATTTTAAACCCCCCCTTTGCCCAACGTTACATCCCGGATTTTAACTATCCTACATCGGTCACTGTCATTTGTTTTCGTATGCATTATGCTCCGCCACTTGTACGATTCTCTCTAGTCAAATAGGTATCATTAATCGCCGTTACACGTACATAGTAAAGTACTATTTGACCTCCTCATCACGCATATTATATCTCTGTAACACCTTGCGCTTTAGCTCTCTCGTATATAGTTTTCTTGTTCGTTGCTTTCTTGTACTCCTTGCCTTATGTATATCTTATATCTCTATACTGCCTTGCCTTGATAAATTTCACACACTGCTACTTTGGATTCACAATGCAATATTAATTCATTATATTCCGTTTCAGATACACACGAAATTGGTCCGAGTCCGATCGATACGCTAAAGGGTCGGGAATGTAGATTTGAAACTGTAAAACCGCGCATGTAACCGGCGGCCCCGCTTGTGGCGCCTACGCAATTTGCCTCCGTCCTTCCGTTCCCCGGGAGAAGAAAGCAGATACACTTCGAATTCCCCGCAAGAGAACCATAGCTTCAATCACAAGACTAACGTTATCCCATCGAAACCTTTGACATACCCGGCCATGTGGTATTCTCTTAACGTAACGCGTCGCGCACAAGGATAGACTGCCATTCATTTAATAAAGTTGATTCGCGAGCTAGGTCGAGAGATCTGTCAGGGCATTCAAATTGAACTCCAGTCCCCTTCAAATCGACGGTAGCTGTGAAATATGCGATCAAGGCTTCGCGTAGCATAATCATCAAAAAAAGATACGCAGCGTGACAAAGCATGGATTCGAATGGTCTCGGGCGTAGGTGACCATACATCATTAAGATCACTTCAGGGAGGAAGCGGTAGAAATTTCAAATATAGATTGAGGCCTAGCTGTCGATAACAGTATACAGTGAGAAAAACGGCTGAACGGCCTTGAGAAATAGAAGTATCTCCTCGGGTTGAAGATAATTTACCGATGTGTTCTGCGGTACCGAAAACCTTGGGTGAGCCCCGGAATGCTGCTTCAGATTTTCCTTCAGGTTTTAGCCCCGGCCCCAGGGCTGTGAAGAAGGGACTGACAAAATGTGGAGCGCGCCGGTGAAAAGAAAACTTAATTGCGAGTTTGAAAATGACAAGGCATTCACCGGATTATGGACCGGACACGACAATAACGAAGACTGTGCCTTGCTGAGTTTTATCGGGGCGGTTATGAGCTGAATGATATGCAACTAGACCGGATCGAAACGCCTATACGGACTGGCCTGCCCGTTGGTTCCATGAGTCTTTGCCGGGGGAGGTCCGTTAAGAGCGAGTGAGTCTGAAGACGGAAGCTAAAGTGAAAAGTATGCCAATGACATGGGGTACGCTGCTGCTCACATTGCGAAGACAGCGGAACGTCGGGCCGTAACTGAGGAGTGTACGTATAGTAGGGTATCAATGGTAATGCGAAGGCGAGGTGAGAGTTCGGCAAAATCTGTCTACCACAATGATCGACAGGAACTGTAAGGAGACATCCTCATGCTCTACTCCACCGTAGTGTTTCCATGAGGTGGCTACAGCGTCCGACATCAGGCACAAAGTGCTCCTTATTCTGGTGGTTGTGGTGGAAAGTATACAAGTATACAGCTCCAGGAGTTGGGCGCTTTGCCGGTTGTTGCAACACTCCGTGAATATATATACCGGATACGGAATTGCCCAGACGCCTGTTGCAATAGGAATGATATGAACTTTAAATTTTTGAGACCCAAATGATCTTGAGAGAAAGTCCTTGGATGCACTGTCGGTTTTCTAAACACAACATGATTAATGATAAACATCAGATAACATCGACAGAAAACATACATTCAATTGTGAAGTAAAGGATCGACCGGTGTTGTAGAAGTTCTGCTTCTTTCAACCTTGTCAGGCCGAATGCAGGACATCATGAACGATTCGGTAACCATAATTCTCCGGCTTGTCAATGTCAGGAGTGTTCCAGTGACTGGGTCAGACATACGAAAAGGCCCGCAGAGGAAAACTGAATGATTTCCCTTCTCTGTATACAATAGACACACGAGAATTTCGTATCATGTGGCTGTAGAACTCCAAAGGGGGATTTATATTTGGACATCGGCAGATTCACCAAGACGAGGGAGTATTGAAAAAAATCCAATATCCGATGTTGCTCAGCGGCAGTCGTGTGAACGGCATGAAGGTCGATGTCAATGAACCCATTATGTAGCGGCGAATGAGTCGGGCTACGGAACGTCGGAAAGGTCCCCGTTTGGAAAAACAGGCCCAAAAGTCAAAATCAACGACATAGTCCTAGAGGAGTTGGCGAGATAAAGAGAACCTCCAGAGACTGCCAAAAAGAGAACATAGAAGTGCCGGCGAATACAATGACGGAATCAGGCGCTTGTGCGGACTGTACACGTCAAAAACCGTCGGACAATCCGATGTATTGAGTTCAGGGTTACGGATGTTGCCCCGCAGAAGGATTTAAACATCGAGATTGAGACCATCGCTATTGAAAAGAAAGAACACAGGAATGATGGCCGACGCTCGGAAGCACTACTTGACGAATATAAGCAGCTGGAGATATATTCAGGAGATGAATAACTGCATACACTGATAAAGTTATCCATACCGGTGAAACCCTTGCTGGAATGCAGAGTTGTCGAAAAAAGACCATTCAACGGGAATGGCCGTCAAATAAAAACGAATTCTATCAAGGCGGCAAATTTTTCAGACGATATTCAGTTCCTGTCAGGGCGCGCGCTTGGAATATTTGGCTTGCGGCTTCCAGGCTGTCGCTGATCCTCTTGACGAGTCGAAACAGGTGGCGTCGAGGCGGGCCGTGACGGCATGCCGTGACATTGCGATGCTGTGACAGACTGTGCAATGACGTCATCTATCGTTCCGCTTGACTCCAGTCTGGATTCTCTTGTCCTTCTACTCTCATCATCCGTTGAATCCGTTGCAATGCCCTCTATAACCGACTTACCCGTAGAGCTCTTCTTGGATAGTTTACTGCCATTACTTCCAGTCAACGATCTCGCTCATCTGGCCACAACTTGCAAGGTACTTGCCCGGCGCCTACACTATATACCGCCCAAGTCGTAACTTTTGGGCGTTGTTCTAGTTCTTTGCTGTGCTTGCATCCGATAGTACTTTTTGGAAACTCAAATGTCAATCCGACTTCAATTTTTCTGGGGCTGGAACTGCTCGAACAAGCGGCTGGAAGTTTATTTATTCACGTCTGTCCAAACCACGCGGTACGCTTCACGACATTGTTGTCAAGCATTTATTGTGACACACCCATCATGCAACAGTTTTCGTTTGGGGGTCAGTATTTCTATAAACCGCAATATGCATGTTATACATCCGACTGATGGTTGAGCGCAGAGCAAAATCCCATGGGAGACTCGGGTTGTCAACACTGCCTAAAACCTCGCTTAATGATGTACCTTTTCCGACTGAGCTGAAAATACCTGGCGCCCGTATCGTCAGCCTCGTCGCAGCAGGAATGTAAGGGTCCTCCGCTTCGTTTATCCAATTTAGGACAGTGACTTTCGCTCTTCCAACAATAGGTCGTTTCACGCTTTGGATTCAAAGGGGAACATTTTTGTTTGGGGTTCGTTGTATGCCTTTCATATTTAATTGTAAAATAAATGTTTACTCTCAGGTACTCTTGACGGACTTCACCGTGCCCTGACTAGTGATGGTTTTTCTGAGGCAGGCAAGCAAGCAGGACACCCGTTGAGACTGCATTTACCAGTTTCAATGCGCAGCATCAGGTTAGTTGCACACTTTAATCTGTACACCGATGTTCACTGTGGATACGCCGTAAGCTGCGGGAGACTGCATGCGGCGTCTTTGGATTCTCAAGGCTACGTTTGGAACTTCCTCAATTGGGGGCGACCATTCCGATTAACGTCGCTTCGTCTCAAGACTTTGGATTCCTATCCAATTCAGGTTGAGTGTGGGTGGAATTTTTCATCTGCTTTGACGAAAACCGGCGACATCTTTGTTTGGTGGCCATTCTCGGGCTCCATGGAAAGACATATCGTAGACAGGAATTCGGCGATGGATGACGCCGGCGATAAGAAAGCCCATGCCTCAAGCGATGGTGTCATTGCTTGTGTGCCTTGGGTCCTTGATATGGATCCCGTCGCTTTGCCTTCATTGCCCCCTCTTCCCGTCTTGAATACCTCTGCAGAAGGAGACACCGATGAACCCATCAAAATCATACAAATAGCATCGTATGACCGGCATCTTGTTGCTCTTACGACGAAAGGACATGTCCTCAAGTTTGGCTCCCTAGAAGACGAAACAACCGTAGTTCGTGGCCGATGGGAATATGTAGCTCCTTACTATCTGAGCGCTGGTACTCGTTAATCCTTTTTCTTTGCTTAGTTACCAAGGTACAGCGAAGTCGAAAGAGTCCGACTGCATGGGGCATTTTCTTCGACCGGTGGTTCAGTGGAGCCTCCGGCAACAATGAAGATCACACATGTCAGTGTCTGACCCGCCTTTGGTTTTCAAATGACTTAGATGTCAGAAGATATCCGCCCACTTCAAACACTTCATCGCCTATTCCACCGGTTCTAGTTCAATCGTTCTTATGGGAGGCATCGACACTACGCCCGATTCCGAGCCCCAAATCATCCCTGCTCTTCAGAATAAATCTGTCATATCCGTTGTGCTCGGAGACTATCATCAAGCGGCAGTAACGGCGGCCGGCAAACTGTTAACTTGGGGCGCATACTCCGATGGAGCTCTCGGACTAGGAGATCCTTGCAGGCTCGAGGCTGGTCGTCCAGGTGCATTCCAGACTGAGAATGCGCGCCTTATGGCTCTAGACAGAGGAAGAGGTACTCCCGCGGTCGTACAAGTTCCCACTGAAGTACGGTTCGATCATGGCAGGAAAAAACCGAAGGACAGGTTTTGTCTTTCGGCCGCAGCTTCTGGATGGCATTCCGGGGCACTGATCATTGACCTTGAGGTATGACTGACAGAACTATCAAGACGCAGCCATGCTTATAAATACTGAACAGGAGAATATGAATGACGCGGACAGTGATGCCGAGAAAGAGGAACTTGTAAGGCAACCCCCAACGACGGCGCGTCGCCACTCTACACCGCCAATCATCCCTCAAAATCCCGGCGATCCCTTTATCGGTCGTGGCACTCCTTTCTTCAGGATCGGTTTTGCCGGTAGGGGAATGAACCGGGGGGGACCAGGTCACGGACGGGGAGGTTCTTGAGATATATAGATATAGCCTGGGTACCGTGTAGGTGTTGTATAGTTTTCAGAATGTATTATAGTGTTCGTCGCCAGAGTACAACCTATCATAATTGATAGCTTTAGTTACAATTCTGACCCTATTCTTTAAGTATCTACGGCTCTATAGCCTGAGGTAGAAGCTTGTATAATGGCCTGATGGTCTAGTAGTATGATTCCTTGTTAGGGTGCTATAAATACCGTTCGAGGAGGTCCCGGGTTCAATTCCCGGTCAGGCCCAAGTTGATCCTTTTTAAAGGATCGCAGTCGTCGGACTGAAGTTTGAATTTCAGGGTTTACCAGGCCCTATGCCGGGCTCAGTCTTCATTTCTGAGTCCTCCGGAGAGGACGGCAGTCTGAGACTTTAATAACTGAACTTGTAGTTAGAATTTTTCGTGTAATTCTGATGGACAGTGCTGGTGCGTAGTTTTGACATACTCACTTGCCGATCATGTTCAAAACACTAAATCGTAGCGAAGCCTTGAAGGTATCTGGAGTGTTGAAAAACGGTGTAGTACGCCTACATTAGTTACAGTTCTTCCTTTCACTTGAACTAGGACATGTAGGGTTGCGCATGGAACCCAGGGAGTATAAATTACATATTTTCATCCTCCCTCGAGGCGGTACGGTATTTTGCTGTTACTTGCCAATCGCGTGCAAAATCACATGATTGACGCGGTACAGACCTTGAAGTTGTTCAGGTAGCCTGGCAAGCCGCTTTATTAGATACTCGCGGAGTTCAGAGTCCTAGTCTGTCTTCGCGTTGCTTGTACATTCCTCTTTCCCGTGCTTTGCTGAAAAAATTGAAATGGTCATGCATTGCTTGGTATAAATGTCTTAGGATCAAGTATGACAATGGGCGATCATACGACAGGCAAGTTATCTTGATGAAAGCCCAACGAGGAGAGGTAAGTAACCAGTAACTTACCGGTCCGAAACTTCGGTGTATCAAAAGCTAGTGATTCTTGGCAACTCTAAGAGTCAAAATATTAAGACTACGTTAATTTAACCAGACTTCTGAAAGTTTTTGACACTGACACTCACTGTACAGTGTATGAATAGGCTAATAGCTATATAACCTGGACTATCCGTTCAAAAATCATGTATATCACAAGGTAGGGCCTGACCGGGAATTGAACCCGGGACCTCCTCGAACGGTGTTTACAGCACCCTAACAAGGAATCATACTACTAGACCATCAGGCCACGATAGCCGCATTTTTCGGTCAGTCACCAATCCAACCTGTCTTATAAAGAGTCAGGTTTGAAAAGAGTCTATTTAAATCGTGTCAAGATGTTTTTCAACGGTAACGACATACGACTCTTCACTTCACGCTGGCCCCCACGTCTTACTGAATTCTCATCGATCATTGATTTCGACAGATTCCCTGCCGGAGAGAGCGATGCCCTCGATTTCGCCATGTTTTCCTTACCACTAGCAGCACCTCCTTGAAGCGCATTGACTGCTGCACGACCAAAAGAATAACGACCCAAGGGTGAAGTGTGAGAAGGTCTTGGTTTCGTGGGCAATGCATCTGGAGTCGTCATCGTAGTTGGAGAGCACGCGCGCTTCTCGGTTGTTGGCGTTACTCCTGTAGAGACAGGTTGACTATGCCTGGTCATAGTCTTTGCTGGGGAGTGAAGAGATGATGGACGTTTCTCAACGGGTGGTGTCGACATCGCGCGAGGAGGAGAGGACATGATTGTAGAACGAGTACTACTCCCAGGCTTCTGACGTCCGGCTGCACGTAAGAAAGTAGGTTGCTTACTGCCAGACGGAATATCCTGTGGAGGTATCATCCTGCTTATAGGAGCATAGATCGTATGACGCTTCGTTGCACGGGGGGCAGGTGGCGTAGATGAGCCTGTTGTCAGCGTTGAATTGTGAGGGCGTGGTGCTGCATCGCTTTGCACCTGAACCTCGTGTTCCTGGTTTGAGGATGCAAATCTGACGCTTTTGCACCGCTTGAGTATACCGCGCGGCAAGACAGTGCCTGTAGGAGATGGGCAAGAAGGAAGAGGTGACGAAGGAGGACGGTAGTCCGAGGCGACAGACGGCGGTTCACGAAACTCGAAGTTATTAGGATCAAGGGACTTGACCATAACACTATCATTACCGACGAGTGTCTCATCGAGCAGCACAGTTTGATCGCCTGCGACGAGTGCAAATGAATCGTCTTGTGAAGGGGCCATTGTATCACAGCAATCTGAGGGAGGCGAAAAGAAAGGTTTCTTTAATGTGTTCGCGAAAGCCCATTCATCATCGAGCGTCTCATCGGCCTGTACACTGGTGAAGCCATCGTCCAGTGGGGTCTTGACTTGAAGAGACACACATCGTGACCGCAGACTTCCAACCATGTCCTGGAGGTTCATAGATTCGTTGGCGACGCCGGCTGAATCAAAGTTAGGAGCGTACGAGGGTGTTCCCAAAAATGCAGTAGGAATGTCAGGGTATATGATGTCTTTCATTTTGTTGTCGCTTAAGGAGAGCGGCGGTGGGAGCGATTTCTGCCGCCGAATCGCTATAGAAGTGGGTGCACCAGCTTTAGAGTTGATAGTTCTTGAGGAATCAAGAGATATAGGTATGGCAAAGTGAGAATTGGAGACCATTAGAGATGGAGGTGAGGGAGGCACGTCGACGGCGTCCTCTTCAGGAGAAGGGGTGTCAGAGAAATATTTGTTCAAGTCGCGTAGTTGCAGCATCATGTCGACCACGTCGGGCTTCATGGTGTTGGCGGGAATCTGAACCGACCAGCGTTTCGTCTCGCCTTCTGTTCTGAGCGTGATTTCGCGTTCAAACACCAAAGCATCCCGATGGTACGTGGATTTGCGAATGGAGGTTCGTGTAGATGCCCGAGGAGCTGGCGGAGTAGAATCATAAACGCGATGCTTGCTTTGAAGAGATTCCTTGAACTCTTCAGGTGAGTACATCGAGCCTTCAGGTTTCCAAGCTGGCGCATCTACACATTCCGGATCCCCCCAGGGCGTGTGACCCGGTGCGATAGTTTCAGGAGAAAGATTTTCCTGGGAAACTCCATAATTGGATAGGAAAAATCAGGATAAACTAAACGTACTGCCCACTTCTTGATGCACAGGTTTTCCTTCAACATCGTACGAAGGCGGGGAGGAGTAGGGACGGTGATGGTCGCGTTATGTTCGCCCGCCTTGACGGATACGCTGAGAATTGTCGACATAGGTATCATGCATCCAGGAGGGAACGGCGGGATATTAGATTCTGAAGATACTGTTGATAATGAGTCTATGGAAAGCGACTCCAAGAGAAGACTAGTAGCATGTGCATCGACAAAAGATTTCTCCAAGTCAATTAGAGGGCTAGAGGACGTGCTTTGAGGAACCTTGTCGTCGGTAGAGGTAGCCATTGTAGTGATGGATGGAATCCGAGAGCAAGTTGCAGTGTCGACACCTCGTTGAAGATTTATCTTTGTTTGTTCTAGTGGGCACTTGATGACATTGGGGATCGACCAATATTGATATTGATGATCGGGTCGCGTGTCGTGACTGGCAGTCGTAAATAAAGCCAGAAGGCTTCGCACATCATACCGTAAGTTAATTCCACGGCTGACGTACTGGGTCTATTCAACGAAGATTCGGAGAACGGAGAACAAAGAAGTTGTGCTCCTCCACAAAAATGAATGCAAAAAAAAAATTTACAAAAAATTAAGCCACAGGACTCGGAGCCGCGCCCAAGGGCGGGACCGATAGACTTCATTGAGTTGCCTTTTCATTTCCCCGGTGATCAGTCAAAAAATAAGTGCTGAAACATGTATCACATTGGCCTTCGGGTATCGTTAATAGTCCATAAGATAGCCGATGGCGAATTTATAGCGTTCGCATACACGCACCCTCCGGCAAGGATCTGGCTCGATAAGAACGGCTTGAAAGAAGTTGGAGTATATCAACCCTAGTTGTCGGGTATACTTTCAACCAAAACAAAAGATGGATACCATTACTTACCAACTTGCCGTCAAATTAGTCTCCGTGATGTTAGGAGTGTTAACCAAGCGGTCCATGACGGAGGTTCCATAGGGCAATAATAATCCATAAATAAGCAGTAGGGCATTCCAACAAATTTGATGATTTCACGGGTTTTGCAGATCGTCGCATACGGGGATACGGAGGACTCGAAAGCACATATCTCCAACCGGTTAGTATGTAGGACAGTGAGCTTGATCTTAGATGGCGACTCTCTGGGTGGTATTCATCCAAATGACACCTTGTACGGCTACTTCCACAGAATGGACCAAATGCCGCAGGAATGCATGTGAGCTATGAAGTGGTACATATACATGAAAAGCCAGGGTCGGACGGACAAATTTATCGGTGAATTTGAATTTCGTCGGAGTGACGGAGTTTGGAAAAATCAAAGTCTGGGCGTGATGGATCATCACACACAAGAAGCCAATACCCCAATCTCCTGGTGGTCCTTACTCGAAAGCATACGGTACAGCCAGAGATGAGGATGCTTGTATTTCCATTAAATGACATGAAACAGCATGGCACTCGGTAGTTTCTTGGGTATTTCACGGTTGAACTTTCATTCGAGGCTTCGTTGCAGCAAATGGCTAGGAATCATATGGCTCTGCAGAGTGATATTTCTCTTCGTCCTCACCTTCGAATAACGAAATGAGCCTTGTGTGCGTCTCTTCACTTCGTGTGCACCCACTGCGAATCTCTTGGCTTGGCGTTATTAGAGTGCTTCTGTCTCTGAAAGATAATTGTCGTCGCATGATGTACTACTTGTAGCTACACATGGATACAATTCACTCGCATAAAAAGAAAGTGATTGTCACTTCATGTCTCCGGCTCTGTTGGGTCTTTTTATCTGTGTCGTCTTCATCATGCGGTTGCAAGTTGCAGCTTTCGCCCTCTTGGCTACTTTGGCCTTAGTTCAGTCGGCGCCTATCACCCATGACGAGATCGAAGCGAAGTCTGCTCAAGGATATCGCCTTCTCAGTATCGTAGATGGGGAAGACCCTGTATGGAAGACCGAGGATGAGAAGTTGCAGCTCATGCGCGAAGAGGTGCAATTCGTATGTTCGCTGGCTTATAATAGAAGAGCCTCTCTTAAGCCTTCGGGTCTTCTCTTCAGTTCGATGTGACCGATGTCTTTGAGCTCGAGCAGAAGCTGGCCGCCAAGGAGAAGAAGGTCACGGTGGGTAAAGCAGCTTGTGAGTCCGAGTCTGGTGTTTCTTTTTGCGTTTTGGTTGATAATTATACCCTTGAGTTCCCACTCCGTCGAAACAGTCGGAGGTAACACCTATTCTGAATACGCTCTCCATCTCCAACATGGAGAGCTATCTCGCGAGTTTGACCGCTTTCAACAACCGTTACTACACGTCCAGCACCGGGTTACAGGCGAGCAATTGGATTCTGAATACCGTTTCTGATGTAAGATCATCTGCCGGTGCAATGAAAGCTACTTTCTGTTGAACGAATATCCTAGATTGCCACCGACCGTGACGACGTTACTGTGTCAAAGTTTTCACATCGGTTCCAGCAATTTAGCATCATCGCCAAAATCCCCGGCTCTGAAGCTTCAACCCCGGTTACTATCCTAGGTTCACACATGGACTCAATTAACCTTAACAGTCCCTCTTCCTGTCGTGCACCCGGCGCTGATGACGACGGAACTGGTTCCGTTAACCTCATTGAAGCATTCCGGACCCTCATTGCTGCCGATTTCAAACCGTCGACCCCAGTTGAATTTCACTGGTACGCTGCTGAGGAAGTCGGACTTCTTGGGTCGCAAGATATCGCCGATAATTATGCTGATGACAACATTGATGTTCTTGCATTCATGGAATTGGATATGTCGGGCTAGTAAGTAAATCCGGCGGCGTTGGATTCCCATCTAAATCTCATCTGTATACTGATCCTAGTTTTGAACCGGGGACTAAAGAAGTCATGGCAATTCAGGCCGATTACATCGATGATGATTTGAATGACTTCCTGGGGAAAATAATTGACACCTACGCGTCTATCCCATGGACGATGGATATCGCCGTTCGTCGAATTGCTTTCTGCTGTTTAATCCGTTCCAAATGGCATTTATTTTTTTTTGATTTTGTAGTGTGGGTACGCATGCTCTGATCATGCTTCTTGGTACAAAGCAGGTTACCCCTCGACCTTCCCATACGAGGCAGTCACAGGTAATGACAACCCTCGAATTCACAGCTCCAGTGACACCACTAGCGTCACCGGCTTTTCTTGGACACACTCCTTGGAGTTTGCGAAAGTTGCCGTTGCATTTGTTTATGAATTAGCTGCTTGATTACGACGAGTAAACGAAGAACGCATTTATAGTTGATTTACGAGCGTGAGAGAGTAAATAGCACTGGACATGTGGTCCGGGCCGCTCAATGCCGTAATATTCCCACGACAACGGGGCTGCGCGGTCGTTCTTTTCTTCACTCCTTCATCGCCATCTCCATCCCTCGCCTGCCCTTATTCCCACAAATCCTCCATTTATTTTATTTCTGGGACGATTCGGTTCCACTGACAGCCGTATTTGTGGACACCGACGTTGTAATCTTCCGACACCTTTGCCTGACCCCGACCGGTACGTCCTGATCTCTTGTCTGATGCAATATTTTCTTTCCTGTGATGAATACGTTTTATATTTGCACGTCAGTCTGAGTGCGGCTCGCCGTACACTGGATGCTATTATCGCTTTCTGATTCTTTTTTGTTCATTTCACTTCCGATGCCTTCCACGTATACTGACAAATCCATTACACAGCAGGCCTCTTGGATACGACCGCACTCGTTTGGATATTAAAGCTATCGTTATTTGAACAGGCAAGTACTCGTACCGCGAGCTCTAGCATGTGAACACATTTTTACAATACCTTGGCATGTTCCATGAAATGATATAAAGTCTTATCCCGTTCCTTCGTCCACATTGGGCCATATCTTCAACTTGACTGAACGTTGCTGTTTCCTCTGTCGTCGATAGCTGGTGAGTTGCATGAGTGTGGCACCATTATTGCCTATCTGAATGCGACAACATCCAGCGCTCTCCCTACTGCTATGAGCAACAACGGAGGCCCTCTATCTCCGCTTCACGCAACGAATGGCGTCCACAGACCCGGTTTAGTGCCTACGAATAATGTCTCGACAGGAGAGGGTGTTACCGTTAGGGCTCGAATAGACCCTACGCTCACCGTGGACGACGTCGTTAAACAGCTCTGCGTTAACTTGAAGATTAAGGGTATATCAACGGATTATGCGCTAAGGGATGAGACAGATGAGTTGGTTACGAATGATAATCTCAGGAAGAAGATTAAGACCAAGGTCAATCTAAAGTGCGTGTCCTATCCTACCCAGTGACCTCATTACTCACCCCTCATTATTATGCATCAGACTCGTCGCTTCTCCCTCAAGAGAAGCCAAGGAAATCATCGACAAGCTCAGTATGCGTGATGACAAAAAGCTACGATTGGCATTATTTTCGTTGCAAAAATTTATTCGCGTACGTTATGTCACAATGGCTTCAAGTACCGGTTCGTATTAACGCGAAAAAACCAGGAAGAAGACTTTGCCCATCACTTTATCAACAATAATGGCCTCGCTGAGCTTGTGGATGTTATATATACGACCCATGGGAATGCTCTTGCGGTACGGATCACCCGGTTTCTTACCTATGCCTCTCGGCTCACATATCTGCAGTACGCCTTAACGGCTATGCAAAATTTAATGGAGTTAGATTATGGCTGGTCAAATCTGGACGACACATTTATCTTCAAAATTGTGCAGATTCTTTCTTCACCTCAGTCCCTAATTAACGTTTGTCGCCCTGCAACTGCAGTTCTCAAGAAACTGGTGGAAGCGGACCCTTTGACAGCACCCGGACAGATCCCGAGCACCAGTTCTCTTCCTCCAGATATCCCTGCAGGGTCAGTATATAGATATGGGTTCCATGTTGTGTTTGAGCAAATGAGAAGAGAACGGGGATTGCTTGAAACAGTTATCAACCGACTGGGAAGCGCAGATACGGCCATGGTGCAGCACAGGTGCGACCCTTGTGTTCTATTACCGCAACGAAAAGGTTAATATATCTTTATCAGCATGATGCTTATTAACTCTTTATTGGCACATGCAAGTGATTCACGCTGGGAAGAATTTATATCAGAGATGGAAAGATTAAATGTTCGCAAAGCTGTTGTTGTACGTCTCAACATTTATTCTCTTGCCGTATTTATATTCAGTGCTATGTAGCGCCTTATGTCATCACACACAATCGAGGACCTAACATCATGCATCCTGGATTTCCAGGCCAATATTATTCGTGTCACTTACCGGAAGAAGATGACGCCGGTGGATCCTCAGAACCAGCCAGCCCATGATGCAGATTTGAGGTTCATCTGGATGAGCAGCAAATTAGAAGAGCATATCGATGCAGACAATACAGTAGTCAGATGGCGGAAGCTGGGTTTTGACACCGAAGATATCGAACAAGAGTTCCGGGATGTAGGAGTTCTGGGTCTCGATTGTCTGGTAAGCGCTTCCAGCTATTTCGGAATGCCCAACTGATGAATCTGTCTCAGAAAAATTTTGTGACAAGTGATCCCGACTTTTCTAAAGTAAGCATGTTCAATTCCAAACATCAAAAATGTATCAATATATGTGTCGTGATAGGTTATTCTTGAACAGCTCAGCCGTCCTGAAAATAGGAGATGTCCTATTGGAAAAGCTTCAAACGAAGTTGTTGAGCTTTTGTCGGAACACTGGGCTATATTTGCTCCCGGCTGTATGTGTTTCCGGCTCAGTACCATTTCCGCGGCCTCATTAGTAACTACCTAGATTCCACCTCCACAACGTTTCAGCCTTTCTTTTTAGATTTTGCAAAAGCCCATTCCCTTGCCACGCATTTTTTCATTCGAATGTGGGGTGAGAGTGGTGCGGCGGCTGATGATTTCACCCGTGTCGCGGCTTTAGTCCGCAGCCAGTGCGTCGGGACGATCTTTTGCGAATGATTTTCAAATGCTGATCATAGTCATGTCACAGGGTGAAAGTTGGGCTTCGGAGCGAGAACGTTCGTCCGTGGCATGAAGTTGAGCATGACTTCCTTGAGTGTGAATACAAAGCGGTCAGGGACAGGCAGATGCAGGAGCTGGAGATGGAGGATGACCTTTTAAGCAAGGTTCCAATACGGTATGTCTGTCGCGTCACTTTTTCCTTTATGGGTCTTATTTTCGAGAACAGAAATCTTCGGGCGAAGATATACAAGGAGTCGTTTGAGTTCGTTCGGCAACAAAGAATACAGTGTTTACTACAGGGTGCATGGTTTGTCAACGCACTTCCTCCGTCTTCCCCTCCGACCAGGGAATCTCGTCGGCCCAGTAGGCCTTGGCGATTTATGCGTCTGGTACGGTTCCAGTTCTCAGAACGTTCATCAATAATTCCATTGCACAGGATAACGCTCTCAAGTACCTGCACTACGTTGACAGCGGTGTGAAGTTTCTCGTTCGGAATGGGCTGGAGGACTTGCCTGAACGAATCGAAGTTGCGGCGATCAGCGAGATCGCGACTGGGACATGCATAGCACCGCCGGGTGTCCTTCGCGATCATAATGACCTTCCCCCGACTAGTCCGACGGGACCGTCTCCGTTGTCTTTCTCCCTGCTGAGTGCTCACGAAGGCTCGCTGGCAGATCAAATTGCTCCAGACCAGTCTCGTTGGGCTGATTGGACTGACGGTTTGAACATGCTGCGTCGCGATGGTGGCCATGTTGCCTCCCAAGAGACAGCTGGTTTTGTTCAAGCACTTACGGAGATTGGTTTGAAGATTAAACTCTTGGGTATGTCTTGTTATACGGTGTATTGCGCAATCGTCTTAATTGTTTTGTAACGATACAGATTTATCTGGAGAGAAAGTCGAGATACCCAGTGGACTTACGGCTGGTCCACCGCCTGCCAATACCGATTTCTTCTTTTCAGACCTATAATAGGGGTGTACTGTGTAGCAAGGGATATTCAGGTGTTTTGAGTTTTATTGTATCTGTATTTGGATGGATTACATGTAGAATATCTGAGCAGATGTTTAATGCAGTTGGATGCAGTATGTATGCAGTTGATGCAAAGTACAATGATGTGCTAGTAAGTATGATGTTGAAATGCTTGGTGAGAATGTGGTATGCAGGAAGGAAAACGTAAAAAAACACCGGGGGTTGAACCCGAGTAATGATACAGTTAAAAGCTAGTAACGAGTGAATAGAAGAATGAAAGATACAGCAGTTGTACAGTGGGAGATAATCTTGCAGGCGACCTCTAATTGGCCTTACCATTTCCGTTGAGAAGAGATGCTTTATACTCAGCACCTGCTTGGAAGAACGGCTTGAAAATCGCGCCCGGATCGTGGAAATCATTATGTACGACGTTGACGAGGAAGCAGGTATCCATGAGATCGGATATTACCTTTCGTGAGGGAGAGTCGGCGTCATACACCTTGGCCCATTGCTGACCAAGTTCGTATGCCTCATCCTAAGAGGGCGAGATCAACCAGGAGCCCATTGGGTCTACGTGGTAGTAGAACTCACCTTCCAGGCCATGAAACTGACAGCTTCCACGATCGTAGGCTGTACGATCTCCTTCCCAGGAAACACTCCCCACGTCACGGCATTAGGTCCATCAGAATGGGTGTTAGTTCGTAAATCGCCACGCTTATTGATAACGTAGTATGTGATATTACTATCCCGCTCAATATGCGAGAGTAGAAGTGAAAGCAGAGCGGGTTGAACGAAGAATTCAAGGTAAGCCTGATGGGCGGATATCAATTCCGCTGGAATCGCAAGCGAAGCAAGGTGAGGACGGACTGACCTTCTGATAGACGTATCCGTTACTTGGGCCCCACCCGAACACTTTGTCGTCGCTTCTTACACCATCAACAGCGGGCTGTGAGTTGATGGTAAAAAATCCTAGCTCATTCATCTGTGCTAGTTGGTTCGCGATGACAGATGTCTCGATTGCCGGTGCTTGATCAGACCATGGCAGCGCGGATAATGTTCCCTTGCAAAATCTGGCGAAGAGTGTCGTCACATCTTCTAGCGATTTGGGCTCGCCCCACAGCTTGATGGCATCCTCTTTCTATATTGGCATTCAGCGGGTGTGAGTGTATATAGCGTACGAGTAATCCTCACGGTTTGCTTGATCCAGACACCGTAACCATCCAGCTCACCGTACGCGGGACTGCGAGAATCACCGAAACGACCGTTCGGGTACTCGTCCCAGTTTTCTGTGCGAGAGATGTAGGATTTTGTCCGGTTCGCCCAGAAGATTGGGCGGATTGTTTCCTTACGACGGCTGGGTGTGAGACACTGAAAAAAGAGATAATTAAACTGATCATTTTATATTCGCAGAAGATACTCGCCTGTCTCCAAGGCAGAGGCTTAATAGTCTCGACCCTCGGAACCAAATTCAGCTCTTCTAGAAGCATCTTTGTCCCCTTCTCCAGGTTCATGGTGTAGAAATGGAGACCGCGGATACCAATATCTTCCTTGAGGATTCTGCGACACATATCTGCTACCAATTTGGTCCCAATCTCTCTAACCTTCTCATCGTTGTTCTTATAAGGCTCCAATGCATCCAAGAAAGACTGAGGAATTATTGTCTTCGCCAGACTGGTCGCTCTTTGGAATCCGTTCCACGTCTGTATAGGCGCAATACCAGGAACGATTGGAATGGTGATACCGGCTGCTCGGACCGCTTTGACCCAGGCAATGAAGACCTCCACGTCGTAAAACATCTGGGTGAAAATAAAGCTGACACCAGCGTCGATCTTCTGCTTCAGATACTTTATCTCCAGGTCGCGCTCTTCAGGCGGGAGCAGTTGGTGTTGTGGGAATCCGGCGACGGCCACGTCAAAATAATCTCCATATTCGCGCCGTATGTGCGTGACAAGGTCGATCCCATGAACAAACCCACCCTCCACGGCTTCCCAGTCTTCCTTACCCATCGGAGGGTCCCCACGAAGGGCGAGGACATTACGACATCCGGATTTCTTTGCCTCCTGACGCAATGTAAGATTTTACGGCATGAAACCAAAGGTAATAGAAACGTACTCGTAGAGCAATGTCGACCTTCTCTTTGGGCATGTTCGTACAGGTGAGATGCATACAGGTCTCGATTCCGATTATTCCTTGACATGTCTTGACCATTTCAGCGGTAAGGTCAGAGGTCCGACCACCGGCATTCCTACCAAAAGATTCAGTCAGATTCCAGGCGGTTGCAACACGTTACTCACCAGGTGATATCGATGAACTCGGGGCCCAATGCCCTCATACGTTCTATACGGTCTAGTAGATTTTGAAGACCCTGCAGAGGACATAAGTCTTCCCCCGATGGAACCAAAGATTAAAGCAGACATACCTGGGCCGTCCGTGGAGGAAAGTACTCAAAGGACCACCAGACTTTGTCCTCCTTGGTGGACTGCCTTATTTTTTGGCTGATTTTCATGAGAGCGTAAGGATTTCGTTAGGAGGGGAGATGGAGGAGAGAAGGAAGGAGTAAAAAAGGCGAGTGATGGGCAGGTAAGAAAATATCCACACATTGTACGATTGCCATATCGGTACCATCGGACCGACATCGGCCTACCCTCAGTGCCACTGCAAATTTCAAAGCAAAATGTATACTCTAACTAGGGGTTTCTAGTCCAATACATTCATGAATACAACTACACCACAAGCAGCCAAGCTACCGACTGTAATGCAAGGAGGATGGTGAGTATAAAGCTTTTTCTTCTTTTCCACAACTCACTATTGGTCAAGCACCGGCCTTGTCGAGCAAGATCACACAGGTGGTGAACACGATGGCCATGACAACAGTCATGATAGCGAAATGAGGTCTTGCAGGAAGATAAGCACGGAGAGACGATGAAGAAACCCAGTACGTACTTGGGCGCCACCAGAAATGCTCGCATCCTCATCAGGTCACGACAACCGACATGGAACTCCCAGACTCCCGCCGCTATGGCCAACAATGCAGCGACAAACTGTATGATTGCGAGGGGTATCCCGTACTCTTGGGCATAACTTCCTTCATCCGATGTTGGAACCAGTCGGGCTTGCAGGATAAGCGACGACGAGAGAACAGAAAGCAGCAGCGCCAGCTTGATATGCGCAAGCATGTTTCGCTCGAGCATACAGAAATCTCGAGCAGCGCTGCCTGAATTTTCAATGGTGTTACGGGAGAATACTTGTGTCCACTGCATGGTAAAGGTATCGATAGAGCATTACGGAGCCGTACCCTATCCGGCTCTTGGCTTCAATTCGGAATGCGGAGTAGGAGGGGAAGAGATTTATGTCACGTGCTCAGACGCGCTGCCTCCAGCTTGTCTATGTTTGGCAATAATTTGGTTCGACTTTTACTATTCCCGACACGGCCCTACGGAATGGGCTTTCTCAGACGGATATTATCTCTTGGAGGCAAGAAGAGCAAGAAAAATCGAAGGCATGATGACATACAAGACCCTGGCGAGCTGGATTTTCGGTATCGACCCCAGACGGAGGAAGAAAGCGAGGCAGCAGCCAACCATCTCCTCCGCTCGTCCTCTGCCCGCTTTGCTACTGTTGCTGAAATGGACTATCATTCGCTTCCCCCTCTTCGTTCGTTTTGATTTTCTTATACATTGATGCAACTACTAATCGTTGCTGCAGCTCACCCCATTGACCATGTTCTCCGAACACCGACGGAATCAACTTGTAGTCTTGAAAGTGGAAGTCTTGCACGACGCGGTACTTACTCAGTAACAGTATACCCACGAGAACGCCATACCGGTTCATCGGGTTACAAAAGCACTGCGTCTGTGGAGGAGCTTGTGACGCCTCGTGCAGGTCGCTCAAATCATTCAAACCATCTTCCCCCAGAAGATAGTCAGATATATCGCCTTCGTTCAGACCCTTCCGTGGCAAGTCTGCTGGAATTATATGACAAAGACGGCGGTATACCTGCTCGCGCTTTCGCAGATTCGTCTCCTTCCCCACAATCGCAATCTTCTCCGCCGAGAGAGGGTCGTGCGCAATGTCGTAGGAGCGGTTCTACGTTGCGTCAGCTACTAGGAAGTCCTCTTCCCAAGGGCAGCGAGTCCGACACTTTTGAGGGAGATATCTCATGGGCCGAACGTTTCTTAGAGTAAGTTGTAAAATACTCTCCGCTAAATAAATGTTGGACTAAATATAATACAGTGAGAGAGACTCTGCTTTTTCGTCGGCATCGTCTCTCAGCATAAAAACTCCCATCCTTCCTCCCGAATTCGGGAGTCCAAGTGCTCGCGTCTACGCTGAGCCTATGCTCTCTCAAGACCATGATCGTTCCGTGGCCATTTCAGACAACCCTACCTTTTCTTCTATGGAAGTGGAACTGAGTGTACTTACTGACGCTACCTCAGCGTCGGAGCACTCAGTTGAGCCGCCCAAACCATACGAACACTCCAACCCATCGACCCCGCAGAGAGCTTCCCAGGTTTTCGATTTTCTTGCGGACCGACAGCGGCCTCATCCTTCCCCTTTCGACAATACAGAAAGACCGCTCCCAGCTGTCCCCAGTGCCCTTAGCTCCCCGTCTGACAAGAGCTCTGTCCATAGACCATCATGTTCCCAATTTTCCGACAGTTCTTATGACGCTATTTCCCTCTCATCTTGCAATCCCCCTGCTCCTTCAGAGGGTCATGGCATCTCAAGTCGCGGACGACCTCTTTCTGCTTCATTTGGCTCTTCTTCGTTGGGTAAGAGAGATCGTTCTGCCTCCCCTGCGCCACCACCAACGCCTGTAAAATCTTCACGCCACCGGCCTTCACGATATACTCCAGCCCCGGCTCTTCCTCCCCTCGTGTACGACGAATACAATCAATACAAGACTCCCAAGTCACACATAGATGACACGCAACCCACTACCGCCAAACCCCGCAAGGTCAAAGTCATCATGACAGATCCCACGACAGTCATTGTAACAGCCCCAACACCATCTACAAATAACATAGAACGACCATCATCACGCCCCATTGGGAGATCTCGCTTCAAGAAGGGCCCGAGTCCCGCTAGGGCAACTTTACTTGATCGTTCCAATTCTCAGGGATCAACTTCGGACCATTTCACAGCCCTCCCCACACGCCATAGGAAGGCCAGACGAGTTTCGATATCGTCTGCGGGGAGCGCTAGGCAGAAGGAGAATGGCACTGTGGCCCTGTCAACCTTAACTGCGAAGGCGGAGCTTCCGTTCACGCCTGTGCGTAGTCACTCGAAATCGCTCTTCCGAACGGCGGTTACTCCAGGGATATACACACCTCCAGATGATGTGGTGCCGTCGCCCGCATCGTCTACAGAACTTTCGCCCGTTGGGAAGCAAGTTATGATAGAAGCGAGGAAACAGAGAATGAGACTTGCGCCAGGACAATAGCCTTTGTGGGAGAGTACCCATGCTGTGTCATGTCATTATAGGGTTTGTTACGTTGTTATCACTATTTCTTTCGACTTTCACGCTATTTATGTTTTTATTCACGATCTTGATTATTTTGTTGCCACGAGGATATGCCACAGAACGACAAAACTCAGGCCAACATTTCCTAAAGAGACAGGAAACGGACATGTGTAAAATAAAGGTGGAGGTGACATATCTTGACTACTTTAACGTACAATAGGTCAAGGTGTGCGGCGGGGGTCGTTGCTACAGAGTCTAAAGGAGATAAATGTATGATGTATTGTGGGTTATGCTGAGATGTCATGAGATGGAGAGAAATAATACAACAAAGTAATGCCGAGACGAGGAGTAATGCAATGATGATCGTGACAGAAAAAGTGGAGATCCTAGCGGGGTATCGCGACAGCTGACAGACAAACAATAAGCTTGGTGCAGAAGAATGGATCCATGAGGCACATACCTAGGACTACGGGTGTTTACGCAGTAATGGAAACAACGCTAGACAGACCGCTTTTGACGTATCCCATGCTTCGAAGTTTCCTTCGAGGGGTGCGGCCTGCCGGTTGGCGGTGAAGGATCATCCCAGCAACCATGCGGGCGAACGCATTTGGATCGGGAGAAGAACTACGCGGGACAGGGAGGGCCCGGGCGGGTCTCACAGCCTGGGGTTTGACGATGGGAGGGCAAATAGTGGAGATACTGGGGAGTTTGACTTTTGCCTTGGGTCTGGCGATGGGAGCCATTGGAGGGAGAGTGGGGCATTGCACAAGGACGGGACGCCTGGCTTTAGAATCGTAACGGTAAAAGTGGGTATAAATGGGTTGCTTGACGTCGGAGTCGGTTTCCAGGTCTAGGTGCTTCGTGTCGGGGTTGCAGGAAGGTAATGGTGGGAGGAGACCTCGCTGTTTCGTTCGGTCACCGAATTGACCTGCGGGATCACCTTGGGCGCTGGGTGGAGGCGGTGGAGCATTGGGGCCGGCGGGACATTGGTGGCCCCTGGGACCGTGAGGAGCGAAGGGACTGACACCAATGAAGGTGCCAGACCGAGGTCGGGTGCGCCTCTGCTGAGGAAGGCCAGGCGGGAGAAGAGGCACAGGCGTCGCGTCAGCCTCAGTGGGCATATTAAAATTAACAGGGGAGAGAGGAGACGTGGCAATGGGCTTCGACATCGTGGAGTAGGAAGTACGTATGGGCTTAATAGACATTAGAGGACGCAAGTAAAAGGGCACGCAGTGCGAGTATCGATCGATGAAGATTTAAAGGCGCTGCCTCTGGATGCCCGCAGGACCATTATGACCCTTATAAAGGTGACTGGGTGGCAGTACAGGGATCTGTGGTCCCACAAAAGCCGACTTTGACAGTGCGAGATGATCCCATATAGAAACTTCAGGAAGCACAGCGTCCCTAGAATGGACGCGGAGCCTCCACGACGCTTGCGAGAACAAGGTTTGCCTACAATAGTCGACAAAAGGATTTGATTAGATTCGAAATCGGTTGCGAATCCATGTCCCAATGGGAATATGTTACGTTGCGTGTGATGGGAACACGCCGCTTTATTCTTCTATCAGGGCAGCCCCTGCGAAACACGCAAGTAGCTCGGGACATGTCCACAGCAACAAGGGGGGCTTGACGACTTGAGACTGGACCTGAACGACAGTATCTTAGTAAACAATAAAACAAGTAGAGGTCCTGCGAGGGTACTCACGAAGTGAGCAACAGTAGACCAAAGATGCCAGCAGCGCAGCTTCGAAAGTACAATGCACATCCACATGGTAATGACTACTTCCCCTGGGAATTATCCGTAGTGTCGCAGGGGTCGCAGCCTTGTTCTTGTTTCGAAGAATTGTTAATTGTCTGATCCATGATTCAGCAGGACGCACAAACGACGCCGGCATTATGCGTAAAATGGAACTTTGCGCAGGGCTGAAGGTCGGGACCTTGGTCACAAATCACGAGAAAGTGACTAGTACGCGGATCGGAAATCCCTACAAGTGCGATTTTGATTCCTTGGGCCTTGCGCTGGAATACAGGCCTAAGTAATCTTTGACTTGGAAATGCATCTCTGCATGACTCCACTCCAATAGTCTCTAGTTATAAAGTAAATTCGTTGCTTCAACGAATCGGAACAGGAAACAGACGTCAACGTACAGGACGATTACGGCGGTTGGAACACCGGATCGAAGAGCATTAGAAGAGCCGGATCGGCCTCTACTTCAGACTGAGGAAGATGTTGAACCCGTGATAAGGGCGAATCCAAGCGAAAAGGGTGCATCAGAAGTGTCCCTTATGCTCATGGCAATCCACTGTAGTATTGCGTAAGGAATGCACCATGCAAAGTGATGCATCATAGGGTGGATATCATTCCACCTCACAGAGATTTCGTTCAGTTTAGTCAGCCCAGAGGGTCGTTAGCGTTTGCAAGGAGTGGTTGAAGCCGACAGAAGTCAAGTATTGAAATAAGGTTTTCCTAGTTTTATGGTGGCTGTGATGCATCACGTGAATGGCGGGACCGTGGAAACTTCAAAGGAAACTTCAAGTAAACACACTAACAGGTTGAATATTTACTCCTCACGACGATGTCCTCCAAGGCTGTGGGCGACTTTTTGACAAAGCAGCTGCTCATCGAGAAAAATATCGCAAGTCGCGTAATTTCAACCTCTTTCTTTATTGACCACCTCATTGGCAGGTGACATATAGATCACTCAGTCGCGAATTGTCTGTGCACGTTAATGTTGCCAAAAAGTACGCGACTTCCCTGTCTTTTGATACATTTTTGACTGATAATATGCTCAGTGAACTTGCAGCATACTATGGAAAGGCTTCCATGGAAGCTCAGGACATCACTGCTACCTATGTCATATCGGGCATTTTGAAACAAGAGACGCGTCACGATGAGGCCATGGATGTAGATACGGATGAACAGGACAATGTGGACAGCGACGGATACGATGATGATGAGTCAGAGCCTGTTACGGAATGTGGGTTCACGGTGGTAGGGGAGGGCGACCTTGAATGTGCGTTCCATTTATTTTCGTGTTTTGTGGCATGCATTAACATAGCTTGGACAGCGGCGAAGATGAAATACTCTCAGATCAATGCTATTCATATCTATTCTTTGTCTCCATCTCCCATTCTGGTGCGTGATTTATGCGCCCTTCGCCACGTCTACCGCTTAGCGGCATCCTTCAGGATGGAGGGTTCCTCTGTGTACCGACTGAAAGGCTGCGACAAATCGATCTGGAGAAAGGAGAAGAGATGGCGAAGACAGTCGGGAAAGTTATGGGCGAGGATATTCCGGTATTCGCCCCCTGATTCTTTGCTCTGGAAACATTCTTATTTGTATTATAGCAGGCCAGCAGCTCGAAGGACCCTAAGATAACGAAGAAGGCGCCAGCTCCTCCGGTCGCCGGTCCTTCTAAAGTTAAAGCCAGCAACTCATTCACGGAGACAGCTTCGAAACCGAAACCTTCAGAACTGCAAAACAAGAAAGTCCAGCCTGCAAAATCGGGTACACTAGACTGGAGCAAAGCGAAACCCAAAGCTGCGAAAGAGGAGCCGAAAGATGCTAAGGTGGAAACCAAACCCAAGCAACCCTTGAAACCTTTGATGACTACCAAGGCCGACGAGAAACCCGTGAAGAAAGAGGAAACTGAAACGCTAGTCAAGAAGGCACAACCAAAGGTAGAATCATCCTGCCCTCTCTTCTTCCACGCCATAGCTCATGCGGCCTCAGAGGGGTACAAAGCGCAAGTCTGCGTCTGCCTTGATGTCTGATTCTGAAGATGATTCATCGTCGTCTCGTTCGAAACCTGCACCTAAAAAAGAGTCAGAAGTCAAATTGAAGGGCGTAGTTGTATCAGAAGACGAGGAGGACGAAGATGATATGCCAAGAATAGCCGCTCGGAAACCGTCTAGGAAGGTACAAAAAGCTGCCAAGCAAGTCGATAGTGAAGCAGAAAGAGATCTACGGGCCATGATGGACGTTGACGATGGTTTGTTTCTTTTGATCACTCTGCTACTCGTCCTTATCTTCCTGCGTGCGTAGATCAGGTCATCCGTGCCTCACGGCATGTAGAGGCTGTCAAGAAGGAAGAGGAGGAGGAAGAGGAGGAACCCTCAAAAGAAGGCGACAACGTGGATATGGCGGACGAGGCAGTACCAGCGCCCAAGAGAAAGAGAAAGGAAAAGAAGGTTGTTCCTGTTGGTCGTAATGGACTGAAGAAGAAACGGGTTGTCAAGAGCCGAGAAAGTATAGACGCCAAGGGTTATATGGGTAAGAAAATAGCTGACTTCCATGACTACTCTTGCTTATATTTATTCTAGTGACTGAAGACTACTCATCATATGAATCTGTCGATGAAGAAGAAGAGCCTCCCGTGGCGGCGAAGGCCAAATCCAAGCCATCAAAGGTTAACAAGGTCGACGAGGATAGTGACGCACCGGCCCCGAAACCCAAACCGCTTGCAAGGAAGGGGTCCAAACTGGCCGCGCCTACGAGAAAAGTGAGTAATGGAAAAACCGGGCAACAGACAATGATGTCGTTCTTTGGGAAGAAGTAGCGCATTTATCTTTATTTTCTGAGCTATGCATGTAAATACCCCGCAATCAATTTCATTTTCGTGACGTGTATGTATCACGTGCTGGGAAAATTTTGCCATGATTCATCCTCCCCACAAACACGCAGGATCCGGCAGGTAATTGCCTATCAACCCGAAGCGTACATAACAGACTACGTGCCTATCCCTTATCTTGCTGGACTGGACTCTCCTTCCATCCACCACCACGGCGTAGAATCTGGAGAGCGACTTTGAGGATTTTGAGATGGTGGAGAACTATGGCGCTGTCAATAGCGTAGTAGGTGCACCGGATCTTCCGGGAACCACCACGACCGCAGAATCCAGCGCACTCCTGGGCGAGAACCGAGACACGACATTCAAACGGGAAGACAAGGCAGACGGCCATGCAACCGTCGTGAGTTGCGTTAGTAATCTGTGTAATACCATCATCGGGAGCGGTGAGTGCCTTCATGATTGACTCTGGCTCGTGACTGACGGAATGGCGAGCAGGAATGCTCACGTTTCCCCTAGTTCGTTCTGTTCTGCGTATAAGGAGGCGTTTGATCGCTAATAAAGCCCATCATAGGCCATGGCTTCTGCAGGCATATTGCCTGGGATGATCACCTGCCTCTTCTCCGGATCTGTCGCCGCCTTTGGATTACATCTCTTGTCTTTATGTGCCGCAAAGGCACCGCACCGACGCTCGTCATTCTTTGCCGTCGCACAGCTCACGTTCCCCAAGGCCGCTGTATTTTTCGATGCGGCGATTGCAGTCAAGTGTTTTGGGGTGTCCATCAGGTGTGAAACGTCATGCCGTCTCGCCTTTCTGATCCCTTTCTCATGCGTGTCGCAGTTACTTGATTATAATTAAGGGTCTCATGCCGAATGTTGTCGCCTCTCTTTACCATGACCTTGTTGCTCCGGACGCCCCGGTTCCAGCGTGGGCATTGTCCGGCCAGAACTGGATAATGCTCTTCTCAGTCGTTCTTGTTCCCCTTGCCTTTTTAAAGAATCTACACAGTCTTAGACACACCAGTTATGTTGCCCTTTTCTCAGTAGGTGCGTCAAGTCTGTTTGCATTGCTTGTTCCTAAATTTAGTGATCTCGCATACAGCTTACCTTGTGATCATTGTGATCAAGTACTATTGCTGGCCTACCAAGAATATGCCTTCTGCTGGAGAAGTGCATCTTGTACATTTTACACCCAGCTTTGTCTCTACGTTTCCCGTTCAGGTGTTCGCGTTTACCTGCGCTCAGAATGTATGTCTTTTTACTCCAAAATTGTGTTCTTACTCTAAGTATTATTTTGATAGCTGTTCCCTCTCTACAACGAGCTCAAGAGCAATACGCAGGAGCGGATGAACATCGTTGTTGGTACATCCATTGGCACTGCAACTCTGACCTATGAAATTATTGCAGTCTTTGGATATCTTACATTTGGCTCCAAAGTTAGTCTCCTTTGATCGCTTCATTCTCACACCATTAATTAATTACCAAGGTCGGTGCCAATATCATCGCCATGTATCCCCCGACATCACTCTTCGTCGCCGTGGGACAGCTGGCTGTCGTTATCTTGGTCCTATTCTCATACCCTCTACAAGTACACCCCTGCCGGAACTGCCTAGACAAAGTCTTCCATGCAGGAAGCCCGCCGTCGACCAAGGTAATTGTCCATGACGACGACGATGAAGAGGAGAATCTTGATGAGCTACCGAGCGCCGTTATGACGCCATTGAAGCACTCTTTGCTCACTTCTGCCATCGTCGCAAGCGGCTTCACAATTGCTTATTTTGTCGACAACCTGCAAATGGGTAAGTTGCTTGATAGTGTGTTTAGATGTTTTCTTAATATCATTGATTAGTGCTTTCATTTGTTGGTTCCACTGGATCGACAACGATATCGTTCATTCTTCCGGGTTTGTTTTATTGGAAGGTCAGTCTCGGTGTATGTTTCTGGAATCACATGCTTATATTAAAATAGTTGACGCGCAACGATCCTAATGTCAAGACATTGAATCGGCTGGCCTTTGCGCTGATGATATACGGTTCATGCATCTTCATATTCTGGTATGTCTGTCCTTCGTATATGTGTTCATAACAATGATTGCTCATGGACGATGTAGCCTAGCTTTCAACATCTATCAGGTTATCACACCGAACAGTGGGGGACCCGCCCACTGAAATACGCTAATATATAGATCTACCCTACATGCATTTGTATTTTTGCTTGGAATATGCGTACCATTCTTTGATAGAAGTGAGTCTCTCGAAGCGTCGGACCTCCGGGCCTTTCGTAGCTTAAGTGAAAAGAACTAAAACTGAACGACTAAGCTATATACTGCTATATGATATAGCGGGAAGCATTTGGGTGATTTTGATATCTTCGGGATCGCGATTAATTTCCGTTTGCAGGGTGGTTGCCGCGCCTATTATTTGACTTGGCTGCTGTGAACTGGATCGTCACTAGCTCCAGGGGGAGATTTGCTAGCAATACTAGCTATGATCGTTGATTACATCAATCTTGCAGGCGAGTTCTCGGATGGGACGTGAAATGTATTTTGGAATTGAATATCTGAATATTATTTAACGAAACTCAAAATGACATTTCCTGCTCAGACTGGAAAGTACGGAGTATTCTTCAATTGAGAATACAATTCAAGGTCACGATTATAAGTGAATTCCAAGAGCAGAGCTACCTAAATACCGCTCTGGACTGTGTGGCTGGGTGCCGATACCGATAGAGATAAGAGTTCCCACGCCAACAGATCATTTACACCAGCTTGTTTTCTTGCCCTCAAACCTGATATGTCTCCACCGACTTCCATGCTGCAATTCATTTCCTGACCTTACTGCCTTCCTTACTCTCGTACTACCACCTGCTCGTCGTCAGAGCTTCCTTAGTATTCGATATGGCCACCGGTGGGTACCCTCTGCGCTCCACTGCGCTCCCCAGCGACCACCATCACTGACGCTGCGGACAATCCGTATCTTCCTCCCTTTCTAGAACAGAATATCCCTCAGTCTCGCTCTGACTCCTCCATCTCCTCGCTCTCCAGCTCACGAGCGTCTTCATCTTCGCCAGTATCGACGACCATGTCTGACGCTAATCCGGCCGCCTTTCTCGCTGCCAATTTCGATAGAAACGGCACAGTTGAATCAATCTCTGACTCTACACATTCTTTTGCCGAAGGGGACAGCCCTAGCGTGCCTTCACCACCCCCTGCCGACGTCCAGAGCGTCGATGGCGACCAACCCGTCGTCACCGACGCCATCTCTCAAAGTCCATCTCCCGACATCGACCCGCAAATCCTCGAGGCGCTTCGGAGTAAAGACAGAATATATGTTTTGAAGCTTGGGGAGCTCATGGAGGGGCTCATTACTGAGCGAAGGTGAGCGCAATCGCTTTAAGCGCTGCTGACGTCTGCGACGCACTGTCACGCGATGAACTGCCACTGCTCGAGTCTTGTCTCTACCAACGTGTGGATACTTACGTTTCTTTTATTCTAAGGGCCCGCATCGATGTCTTCCCCGGCACATCCTACCAACGATTGCTCGTCCACCGATGCTCCGCTTATTATAAGCTTGTCCCAGAAAACGATCCAGCGACCAAAGGTCTTTCCGTTTCAGCCACACCCGAAAGTCGCATGTACGTCAAATTCCGTTCTTTCAGTTTGACCAACTTCATCGGCTAATATTTGTTCGTAGCCCTCCGCGGAGACTGGCAGATCTTGTGCCTCCCGAGTCAACCGCTTCTCCTGCCTTTCAAATCATGCGGCGGAATCAGCAAGACCGCCGACAAAAGCCTCATTCGCAGGCTGGATCTGTTAATGGCGAAGATGCCGATCTATCTGATGCAGAGCCTTCTGAGGCAGGCAGCCTTGGTGGCCGCAGCAATGCGACTGGCGGCAGCGGCAAGAAGCGAATGACCATTGAGGAACGAGAGGCAGCCTACAATGAGGCTAGATCGCGTATATTTATGGACTTTGAAGAGAAGGAAAAGGACACGAGTGCAAGTTCGTCTTCGCTCAGTGTCGTCTCTGGTTCTACTTCAACGAGTGGGGGCAGTGTTGCCGACTTTGAAGATTCAGCCAGTTCTCTTGCTACCGAGAGTGAATGGTCTGCGCCTTCTATTAGTCGTGACAAGAAGCGGGCGGGTAACTCAAACCGTTCCTTGAGAGGTTCTGCGACACCCTTCAGTTCGAATGGAGCTGGTAGTTCCCGGAACTCTCGTGCATCGTCACCTTCTTCTTTTACGTACGCAAGTCTCTATGAGCCTGCTGCTCCTGGTCCACCCTACGACGGCTCACAACATCCTGTCCCGGTGTCTACGCCTGGGTATCAAGCGACACAATACTTCTACCCATATGCTCCTCCTGGGCAACCTCCAAATCCTGCTTACGTCGCCACCCCGTATTCTTATTTCAACCCCTTCCCATATGGACCTCCCGTCCAGCAAAACCCATCCGACCCTTCGTCAGGATCCCACAACGAAGTCTATTCTCCTACACCGCACGTGCCATATCCCAATCAGTATGTATGGGCTCATCCACATCCTCCGCCTGGTCCTGTACCTCTACCAGTGCCTCAGGGATCACCACCTGCGGAGGGTCCTGTCATGGTAAACGGTCCTCATCAGAATTCTCAAGCCCCAAACTCTTCTTCGTTCCAAGGATACAGTCCCCCGGTCTATATGTATCCTATGCCTGGTTATTATACACCCCAACCGGGACAACACATGCCAATAACCGCTCCTCCACCCCCCATGATAGGACAAGTGTATGATCCTAGAGTGTCTGCTGAAGGCCCATTTGGTGACCCTGACATGAATCGGCATCCAAACCATAATGGCCGAAGCGGGTATAGTAATGGACTTCGTTCCAACCGTAACGACAATGGCCATTTCAACGGCAGTGGTAGAGGCAGGATTCCCCCCCAGCCTCGGCATGCGTGGAGTTTTGGCCCAGGCATCGGTGGATATAACGGAAATGTTTCTGCAGGATCAAATGAAATTGGACCTCGATTCAATAGTACTAGAAGGCAATCCAACCATAGCAATGGGAGCTCAGGCAACTATAGATCGTCGAATTGGGATGAAGTTTCGTCTACGGCGGTAAGCTGTATTGTCAGACATCTTTCTGTATCATTCAATCTGATGATCGTTTTTAGTCGTCATCTACGACGTCCTCGTCGTCCCGGAGAACATACACATCAACGTCATCGCAACAGCAACACCCTCTTCCAGCTCGACCTGACTGGGCAGTAGGTCTGAAACCCGATCCTACACTGCACGCTACTCATAATCGCCATCATGATCACCCATCTAACAACTCCCGCAATATGTCCCCAATCTCGCCTCCTCGCAACCTGAACGGCAGTTCTCATCAGGTTATGTCTCCCCGACGGCCACCAAACAACCATCAGTCCGCGCCGTTCCATTCGAACGACTTCCCTCCCCTTTCATCGTTGTCGCCAACGGAAAAGCGCCCACCCGTGGTTGCTGGGGCTTGGACTAACTCATCTTCGACTCGATCCCTCCTCATAAACCCTGGACAAGGTAATGCGCTAGTTCATCATCCCAATAACGGCAACTCTCCCGTTGCGCAGCAGTCCCGGTTGGAAGAATCGGACCGTATGTTCGAGCGGCCGCCGCCAAGGGCCACCGAACTCTATAATCCCAAAGTTGTCAGACGTCCTACGATGTCTCATACTAATGGGAGGCAAGAGAAGGAAACCGACGGCAGACGTCGGGAACCTATACCTGGTTCGAACATCGCTGAACAGGTTCGGACCTTGACCTTGGAGGATTGCAACCTCGACGGTTCTGGACAATCAAGTAAAGAATCTTCGGCGTTGGCTATGCCGACTTAAAAGTTGTACCTCTTTTTTTCTTTGGTCTGAATCAGCGGTGCTACAGTAGTGTTGAGTGTTTTTGCTATCGAGTTTTCTCATTATCATATGTTTCTTGTAGGGGAGATGAGTGTGCGATATTACTTACAATAGAGAGGTTTGAATGTGTATCTTTGTTATCGTGAGTCTTAAGATCCGCGTCTGGAACAAGAAGAACGAAGATCCGTTGGAGGCTGTCAGAGAATTCAATCACAACTGTGGGTGATTTGTTTGTATTGTGACAATTAGGCTAATAATGTCGGAGTTGAAGTTTTCTAGTTTTCTTCCCACACAAGCATCCTCGGTTGGAGTACCGCAAGGCTGCAAGAACAGCTTTCTCCAAGTTTTGTTTTCTCTGCCCTTGAAAGTTTAGGGTGATAGTCACGAAGGAACATTTTAACCGATGGGGAACCGGGTCCTGCACATCGACATGTTCTCGTGTCCTTGGTCCTCCCGGGCCGGCGGGGTTAATAAAGTCTCGTCAGTTTCCCCAAGTTTCTCCGTACTTTCCTACGACCCAATTCTAACATGGACCCATTGTTTTTAGGCCTTGATTTATCGACTCAAGGGCTGAAGGCTGTCCTCGTCCAAGAGGACTGTGCTATCGTCCACGAGTCTGCAGTACACTTTGACCGCGACTTACCTCACTATGGAACCACAAACGGTGCTATTCGAGGCTTGGAAGGCGAGGTCACATCCCCGGTTGAGATGTGGTTGGAAGCGTACGATCTTCTTATGACCCGTATGAAGGCAGCGGGAGTCGACTTCTCTGCCATTTCAGCTATATCTGGGGACGGACAAGTAAGTGGATCTTCCATCGATGTGTGTCTCTCGTTGTGACTCTTTAATATTTTTTTTAATAGCAACACGGTTCTGTCTATTGGTCCCACGATGCCGAAGCTCTTTTAGCCAACTTGGATGCATCAAAGAATTTGTCTAGCCAGTTATCTCCGAAGGCTTTCTCATTACAGAAAGCGCCCATCTGGCAGGACTCCTCCACCACCCGTGAATGCCGTGAACTGGAGGATGCCGTTGGTGGTGCCCAAGCTCTCGCGGACATTAGTGGAAGTCGTGCATACGAACGTTTTACTGGCTCGCAAATATCTAGGGTGCGTATCTTAGTCTGTGGAAGTGACCTGAAACACTCTGACTACTTTTATTTGCGCAGATCCGTAAAATTAATAGGATGGCATATGACGCTACGTCCCGTGTATCATTGGTTTCGTCGTTTATGCCGTCTTTGTTTCTTGGCAAGATTGCACCCATTGAAATATCGGACGCTAGCGGCATGAACTTAATGGAGATCCTTACATGTAAGTGGGACGACGGGCTCATTGATGCATGCGGCGGCCCTGAATTGCGTGCAAAACTTGGACCCGAGCCAGTCGCTGGCGGAACGTCCCTCGGAACAGTAAGCCCATACTGGGTAGAAAGGTGGGGCTTCAGTCCACGTCAGTACACTCACCAGGCACTCTCGTAATTTTGATTGAATGTCATCTCTTTCAGACTGCATTGTAGCTCCATTTACAGGTGATAATCCAGCGACTGTGGTCGCTCTTTCCTTCCCGGGAGATGCACTGCTCTCCCTGGGAACGTCTACCACGTACCTGCTTTCTATCCCGCCATCTTTGACCCCCCCCAGACGGTTCACTACTTCTCACCTTTTGGCACACCCTACGACTGCCCCGGATGCTCAAATTGCAATGCTATGTTACAAGAATGGCGCTCTTGCACGAGAACAAGTGCGCGATCGCTATGCCGGTGGCCATTGGTCGAAATATAATGATCTGGTCGAGGCCGCACTTCCGGGATGTAATGGGTACATGGGTCTATACTTCCCATTGCCCGAAATCATACCCCCGGGGGTCAAGGGTGAATTCTTCTACCAGGCATCAGATCCCACAACCCCACTTAGGCTAGTCGAATCCCAAGTCCCTACTGAGCTCCACCCTCGGATGATCCTAGAATCGCAGTTCCTCTCTATCCGGTCGAGGATTGCCGTTATTCTACCGGCCAACTCGCCTCCGCTTTCACGTTTGGTCGTTTCCGGCGGGTCGTCTGGGAACCAGACCATCCGTCAGCTAGCTGCGGATCTGTTTGATATGAAGGTGTATATCAGCGCTACGAAGGAAGCTGCGGCGATGGGCGGGGCGTTGTTGGCACGGTTTGCTTGGTGGAAAGCGACCGAAGCACCGCGTGGAACATTCGAAGAGATGTGCTCTGGAATTGACGCCGGGGCATTTGGGATGAAGTGTGTTGCGATACCGAATCCTGCTGCTGCGCTGGCGTACTCGAAACTTGTTAAACCGTACGTTGCTTGTGAGGGTGCTGTGGTGGATGCTTGTGGAATGGGAGGTGTTTAATTTTTTTTTTTTCGTGTTCTCTTTTCTTCTTCCTAGATCTTTTTGAGGATACAGTGTGTTTAAATTATAATTTGGAAGTTTCAGGGTATTACAGTTGCGACACAGTTAACTATGTAATATATTATCGCTCAAGTTTTCTGCGCTGTGAATAAATGATCAAAAAGAGTTGATGCTCAAAACGGTCATCTGCTCTTGGAGAAGCCATTGCTACACTCGTAGAATTTCCTTCGCACCCTTTTCTTTACGCATCACGACGCCGACAACGACATTGACCCGGAAAATGTCTTCCTCTGCAGACGTGCTTGGAGGTAAACGGCCCGGAGAAGAAGCTAACGTGAATCCAGAGCCTCCTGCAAAACGTCCGAGGACTGTAGACGGAGAAACCGCGTCCGATAAGACGATAGCCATGGACGTTATCCTTCCAGTTTCCGATGCCCTGGTTGACGATATCGCCCAAAGCACCAGCGTAGTGGATGAGAAAGCTACATCTTCAAAACCGTCAGAAGGCAAAGGCAAGTGGAAAGAGAAGAAGAATGCTGGACGGCGAAGCAGAGGGACTCGCGTCGAAGGCCCAAGACCAGAAGGAGAGGAACAGTCGAAGGAACCGCGTCTGCCCAAACGGATGTGTGCTCTTCTGCTGGGATTCTGCGGTTCAGGATACAGGGGAATGCAATTGTACGTCTTGGCCTCGATTCTTTTCAATTACAATGTAAATTTTTTTCCTTCCATTCCAGCCAGAGAGCGCAATCCGGTCGCCCGCAAGTCGCTACCATCGAGGGTACACTATTCAATGCACTCGTTAGAGCCGGTGCTATTTCCAAAGACAATTCTGATGATCCGGTCAAAGTAAGATGCCATGTTACATCGCATTCTCAACCATGAATTTTCGCAGGTTAATCTACAACGTGCCGCAAGAACAGACGCAGGTGTACATGCAGCAGGAAATGTCGTGTCTCTCAAAATGATTCCCTTCGTTCCAGGCCAGGGCGACATGTTAACGCGTATAAACGAGGTGCTTCCTCCGGATATTCGCGTCTGGGACTTCGTAGGTCATGGTATAGACTTTCGGTGGTAAAACTAATGTACGAATTTACAGGTTCGAACGAAGAACTCATTCAACGCACGCCTGTAAGTTATTCGCGTATGTATTCTAAGCATCAAACTCATCATTCTCTAGACTGTGTGATAGCCGAAAATACACGTACTTCTTTCCATCGTATCTTTTGATACCCCCCAAACCAGGCAGTGCCTTGTTCCGAAATGTTGAGCGGTATACGAGTACTTCACCCCCGAGCCCTCCCACCTGCGATTTTTGGACCAATTTGGATCTCAAGACTCTGACGTTAGAAGAAGAGTTGCGTCGTAAACGCTTGTGGAGGGTAGATTCGACATACCTTGAGCGGTTACGAACTACGGCAAAAAGGTACGAAGGGACGCACAACTTCCACAACTTTACCGTGGCACGCAATCCCAAGGATGGAACAAACAAACGATTCATGAAAGTCATAGACGTCAGGCCTACCGTTGTTCAATAGCGTGCCGTTTCTGAAATACTACCACACAGGTCCTTGATCCTCAAACGCACGGAGACACTGAGTGGATACCAGTTGAGTTCCACGGTCAAAGTTTCATGCTGCATCAGGTACTACCATTGCTCATCCAAGTCCCAGTATGATGTTAACTTTTTTGAGTAGATTGTATGTCCCCACTTGTCGTGCTTTGATTTCATATCTCACCGTTTCGCCCGTCTCAGAGGAAAATGATGTTTGCCCTGATCATGTCATGCAGGACAGGAACACCGGATAGTATCATCAACGAAGTAAATCTCTATAATTCACCGGCGTTATAATCTGCTGACTTGGGTGGCTTTAGCTGTATAGTCTGCGCCGAATGGTAATCCCAAAAGTGCCTGCCCTTGGACTGCTTCTGGAATGCCCAATCTATGATGTCTACAATATGAATGTCGTTCCGATTAATCAGAACCTAGAGCCTTCTGACCCAAGCTACCGTCCGCCTATAGACTTTGCGAAACAAGCTGAGAAGATGGCAGAGTTCAAACAAAAATTCATCTATACCAGTATGCGTGGTATCGAGGACCGGAAAGGACTGTGAGTGACCTTGTTCTCAATACGAATTGATGATTCGACATATGACTTAGTTTCGATGCTTGGATACGGTCTGTGGATGCTTATGCAGGCAATGATTTGTTATATTACAACCCAGAGGGTACAATACCCGACGTGTGTGTCATCAAGGACGGAGAACGACGCCTACATCCCTTCAAGGAGAGAAGGATCTTCAATCGAACTGATTTCGAGGATGACGAAGAAGGAAAAGTCGAAATAGAGGATGAGGAGGGCGAAGAAGAAGTTCGAATGGATAAGAAGGCCCTAGAGGAAATGGAAGGCTAACCTCAAAACGTAGTATTGTCAATATAATACTCGCAACCTAAGACTGGAACTTCCGCATCGTCTGAATTTCATCCAATAAGGCTTGTAGGCGATCGTCGTCAATTTTGACGAGACTATGAGGCGGTGAGTACTGTACACATCAAGGCCGGGGAGCTGCACACCTAGGAATGACACTCTTTGCCTCTTCTGCTGTCGCGGGACACAGATTGGCAATTTGCGCGGTCTCAAATTGGGTCAGGGCTGGCTCCCGGCGAAGGGTCCTTGGATGATGTCAGATGTCCATTCATGATCTCCACTCAGAACGTACTCGCGAACAGCACTGGCGGAGTCCGTCGTGTTAAATTTCGTAAACGTCTTCACATAGTCCAGTGTTTTGTTGTACACTCTATCATCCCAAAGCGTTCAGTGAGTATTTGTCTACACGCCAGCCATACCACGCACGCAGTATCCGGGGCATCCTTGTCTCTGTTCTCCAACAGATATTTGACCTCGGAAATGAGTAGGCAACCGGCATTGTTGAACTCTGGCACTTTTCTGATAAGAGAGGGGCAGAATAAGTAAATATATGCGTACCTGGTCCAAGCTTCAGTGCCGACGCATCCTCTTCTTCCACTTGTGGTCGGTGCTTTAGTCTGGTCGTCATTCGACAAGACGAAGATGTTTGTTTGGTCGAGCTTGCGTCGCACGGCAATGACCTCCACCCAAAATGGCATCACGTTCTCAGGGCGTGTCGACGCGCGTCCGCCTTGCTCTTGCTTAATTTCTTCGTCTCTGTATAGTCCGCATGTCTACATTAACGACGGCCCAGCTCTTGGCAGAAGCAGACGCTGCACTAAAGACAGACCCCGTGCGCGCGGAGGCGCTGTACAAGCAGATATTGACGTCGTCGACCTCGGCGCCGAGTACTTCTTCGAAGGATGTTCAGCAACAGAAGACGCAAACACTGAGGGACCAGGAGACCGCGCTTATCAACCTTGGACAACTGTATCGGGATCAAAAGTGCGCTCATATACATTTCTGACGTCCTTCACAACGGTATTGACCTTGTGGATGCTTTATAGGAATGCCCAAGGTGTTGCTGAAGTTATTACACTGTCAAGATCCTTTATGTCGTCCACGGCCAAGGCAAAGACGGCTAAGCTAAGTCAGTAACCTGGCTAATTTGCCACTCCGCACTTAATGACACGCAATATCCAGTTCGCACTCTTTTGGACTACTTCAATGCCATTCCGGACAGCCAACAAGTGCAGATGAGTGTTCTGAACGACAATATCGAATGGGCAAAGCGAGAGAAGAGGATATTCTTGAAGCACAGTTTAGAGACGAGGCTCGTGGGACTGTGGGTGATTTTTGGTCGTTTGACCTGGCACAAATTGATGTTCGAGCCCTTACAGACAACTGGAGGATGCGCAGTACAAGCCTGCGCTGGCAATGATTGAAACTCTGCTTACCGAACTCAAGCGGCTTGATGATAAGATGGTCTTGACGGAGGTACATCTACTCGAGAGCCGGGTGTATCGAGGGATTGGGAATCTTCCTAAGGCCAAGGTACGTGCCAAATATCATAATGAATCTGGGGTATTGATGCTTGTATCATAGGCCGCTTTGACATCATCGCGAACCGCTGCCAACTCAATTTACTGTCCTCCATACCTACAGTCCTCTCTTGACCTTCAATCCGGTCGGTATTCAATTATTTTGAAATTTCCCCCCTCTGATGCCTTCTCTTTAGGTATACTCCACGCCGAAGACAAAGATTACACAACTGCCTACTCTTACTTCTTTGAAGCCTTTGAAAATCTGTCTTCTCAAGGGGAAGACGACGGGAGGGCACTTGGAGCTCTGAAATATATGCTTTTGTGCAAAGTCATGCTCAACCTTGTAGGTTATCATTTACATGATTTTTTTTTTGCTTTCTCACATGCAATCTAGCCTGAGGATGTCACGGCTTTGCTTTCAATAAAGCTGGCCGTCAAATATGCACAGCTCAAGGAGGTTGAGAGTATGAGGGCCGTAGCGCGGGCTCACCAAGATAGAAATTTGGCGGATTTCGAGAAAGCACTGAGGGATTACAAGGATGGTGCGTGAACTTCGTATTCTTGTGACTGTTTCATCTTATAACATGCCACAGAATTGTCGTCTGACCCCACAATACGATCACATCTTGCTGCGCTATATGACACACTCTTGGAGCAAAACTTGCTGAGAATTGTTGAACCATATTCAGTGGTAGAGCTTGAATATGTTGCCGATACTGTCGGACAAGGTCGACAAGCTGTCGAGGCGAAGTTCGTCCCTTTATTGTTGTTTATCAACGTATCCACTCACCAATTCACAGGCTATCACAAATGATTTTGGACAAGGTCTTCCATGGTGTACTTGACCAAGGTCGTGGTTGCCTACTTGTGTTCGACGAGCCTAAGCCTGATGTATGTCAACTAACATTAAAAAACTAATTTTCATGCTGATTTATTTTCAGAATATGTACATCGCTGCGATTGATACGCTGGAGCAAGTAGGCAAAGTAGTGGAGTCGTTGTACGCGAAAACTGTAAAGATTGCGTGACCAAATGCGAGACGCGTCAATGCGATCACGTGTTTATTTAATAGAAAATTCACACGCTCGTGTCTTGCAAACAATTCCTAAGACAAACCTCCATCATCCTCAACGTCGACGACCGCAACGACAATGTCTTCGAAAGCACAATCCGGCCTGCGGACGTTCAAGCGCGACTTTTCGTCGTCGTCAGTAATGCCGCAGTCTTCTCAGGAGTTCGACTGGTCATCCAGTCCACCTCCGGCACCACAGTCTAAGCCTCTCACTGGTGCTCAGCAACGGCTGAAAGACATCCAGGATGCTCTCGCCGGAAAATCGGTGTCTTCCGAGAAAATTTCTTCGACTTCTACGCGTTCGAAGGAGCCACTGGCGTCGTCCAAGACGTGGAACAAGCGACCCAGCGATCCTCCCACCGCCGATCTCAACCCTGCACCCCAAAAGAAGGCCAGGAAGCTCCCAGACAGCTGGTCTGAGCCTCCGGAGCCCAAGGTCCAGCGTTCATCGTCTTCAACAACGAAGTACACAGGCATAAAGGAAGCTTACGTCTTGCCTTCGAGCAAAGACAAGAAACGGAAGGTTGCGTCCGTCTTTTTGAGCCAAGAGCAGACCCGGATTCTCAAGTTGGTTGAAGAAGGAGAAAGTGTCTTTTACACGGGTAGTGCCGGTGAGTGTATTAGCGCATACATAGTGCTCTTTGTTTGACGCGTCACTTCACAGGTACTGGGAAATCCGTACTTTTACGCGAGATTATCAAAACGTTGAAGAAGAAGTGGCCGAAGTATACCGATGCTACTGCTATCACCGCTTCCACCGGTAAGCTCGCTATGCGCGAGGATTCGGCGTTGCTTACACTCCCATGTAGGCATTGCAGCTTGCAATATCGGAGGTGTTACAATCCACTCCTTCGCCGGCATCGGTCTTGGTACAGAATCTGTCGATGTGCTTGTCAATAAGGTCAGGAAAAACAAAAAGGCCTATTCCAGATGGACAAGGACGAAGGTTTTGATCATTGACGAAGGTTCGGACTATTCTTTTTCTAGCGGACAGTTAATCAATGTTATACAGTGTCAATGGTGGATGGTGATCTTTTCGATAAAATCGCACAAGTCGGAAGTAGACTGAGAAACAACTCTAAACCCTTTGGAGGCATTCAAGTTTGTTCAATTAATCCTCTCCAGTTCATCACTAATGCTTCAGCAGCTCGTCGTCACCGGAGACTTCTTCCAATTGCCACCTGTTGGGAAGTCTGGCGTCAAATTCGCCTTTGAAGCCAAGTTGTGGAGTGAAACGATCAAGAGAACGTTTAACTTGACGAAGGTTTTCAGGCAGACAGATCAAGGTAGTGGCGTTTATTAGTGTCTGCATAATATTCGCTGACAATTACGAAAGAGTTCGTCGACATGCTGAACGAAATGCGTTTTGGCTGCTTGTCAGCTGCATCAATTGCTAGATTCCGTTCTCTGTCCAGGAATATAGAGTACGACGACGGGCTTGGGCCAACTGAACTGTACGTGATTATATTTCATACACAACTACGATTTGAGCTGTGTTTCAGATTCCCGCGTCGTGAAGAAGTCGATAGATCCAATATTGGACGCTTGAGCGGTCTGCAGACAGAAGCTAGAACCTACCGTGCCCAAGACGGTGGTCCGTTGGCCTTGACTGATACAGGAAAGAAAATGTTGTCAAATTTCATGGCTCCGGAGGTGCTCACGTTAAGAAAGGATGCGCAAGTAGGTAGTCTTTTCGTCAAGCTCGGCACCTCATTCATACCTTCTTACCAGGTGATGCTCATCAAGAATACGGATGAGAGTTTGGTTAATGGTTCCATGGGGCGTGTCCGTCGATTCGTCGATCCAATGACTTATGGGATTGAGGACGACGTTGAGGCCCTCATGGAGGATGGATCATCCAAACCTTCGTCCAAGCCCCCGTCTAAGCCTGCGAAAAAGAGTGCTGTTGTCGGGGAGGTACAACTGTATCCGGAGGTCGAGTTCGTTCTGCCACACGGGGCGAAGCGTAGGGTTTTGGTCATGCCTGAAATTTCGAAGGTCGAGTTGCCAAATGGAGAGCTGCAAGTTAGTCGGTCGCAGGTGCGCGCGCAGCCATGGAGCATCTCGGTCATGTCCTTACGTCCAGTAGCTTCCGTTGATCTTGTCGTGGGCTATGTCGATCCACAAATCACAAGGACAGACGCTGGATAGAGTCAAAGTTGACCTGGGTAAGGTCTTCGAGAAAGGCAAGTGTGGTAGTTTTCAAACCATAGTATTATGTCTAAATGTGCGCAGGCCAAGCTTATGTTGCTCTGTCTCGTGCAACTTCATTAGACGGGCTTCAGGTACTCAACTTTGATCCAAACAAGGTATATATGTGCATCTATGTATCCTGGTCCCAGAAATAACAAATTGACTCCAGGTAATGGCTCATCCCAAAGTGATTCAATGGAGCAAGACCTTGGAAACATTGGCCGACGACTAGTTATGCTCTTGTGCTTCGGACACTTGCTTCACCGATACGCAATGCTTCTATCAATCCGCTGACAATGTTCGCGCAAAAACCTGCACATGTATAGTATAACTTTACCTACACATACTTATTATTAGACCCATTGTGTTATCGGCCTCCACCGGTATGCCGTGGCTTACACGAACGGATTGTCCGATATTCATTCACACCCCTGAGGCCGTGGCTAGATTGTGATGTCCATGAGGAACCAGCCCGTTATCCTTAGTCCTATCGCAAGTTTTGCCTCGGGGAACGCTGTATCTGTATTGGAACGGCCGCAAACGGAAATTTGTCGGGATAGCGTGAGGTGGATGAGTCTCCAAGGCTTTGGAAGATACTCACGATGAAGTTTTAAATTAGGAAACCGGTACATGAAGCAAACAACCCGCTAGTCGCATGTCCATTGTCCATTCACCTACTTCCGGTGTTACCGGCGCCAGGTCAATAAGGAACGGCCTAGGTCAAGTTAAAGAAAGATAAGCACCGCCACATGTTGTTGAAATTGTACCACGTGTCTACCGATCGTGTAGCCAGGCGCGCTCAGATTTCTGAACAAATTCGGCTACATCAAAAATCCTATCTCGAACCCCCTCGGCTTTGCTATCGGCCTGTGAGAAACTATCAATTTGACTCTTCATGGGGATAAATATCTTCTCGAAATGTCCCCTTTTCATCTTTGGACTCCCAGCTTATCTCGCTTCGTACCATCATTATGTCTTCTATACTCAAGGGCGACAAAAGCGACACTACAGTCCATGCTGTAGTCCAGGATGTTTCTAGCTCTCCTGCTCAGCTTGCAGATAATGCTAAACTCGCTGAACTTGGCTATAAGAGCGAGTTCAAGCGTGAATTTTCGGTCAGTCAATGTTTTCCAATGAAAATAACAGTCAGTGCTTACTATAGACACAGCTCATTGAGACCGTGGCATTTGCGTTCTCTATTATGGGTGTCGTCGCTTCTGTATCCTCTACCCTATCATTTGGACTCGTGAGCGGTAAGTTTATTGCTCCCTTGAATGAACAGAACCTGATACGACCGCTCAGGCGGGCATGTCGGTTTGGTCTTTGGGTGGTTAATCCCCAGCATCTTCGTAATGACTATCGCTCTTGCTATGGCAGAGCTGACGTCTTCAATGCCGTACGTTTGTTCTTTAACTTTGAGACTGGTGCTAATGCTGCCGATTAGAACGAGCGCTGGTCTTTATTATTGGTCCGCCAAGTTGGCACCCCCCAAATACTCGGCTCTAGCGAGCTGGATTACAGGTTCGGTCTTGTAGCGAGTACATTGACCATTGGCTCATCTATTCCTCACACCAGGTTGGGCCAACATTACCGGTCAAATTACACTCGTATGCTCGATTGATTATACTTGTGCTCAAATGATTACCACTGCTATTGCTGTTAACTCTGGCGGAGCTACAAATCTATCCTCTGGGGCGACTTTTGGTATCCTTCTGGCGATCTTGTTCTCCCATGGCATCGTCTGTTCTGCGGCTACCAGAATTCTAGCTCGCCTCAACTTGTTTTATGTCATCATAAACGGCGAGTCATCATTGCTTCTAACGTTAAGCACTGATCCTAGTTTAACCTATAGTCGGAACAACGGTCGCCGCAATCATCGCCCTTTTGGTCGCTTCGGGAAGTAACAAAGTCTCCACTAAAGATGCTTTCACCCTCTTCGAAAACAATACTGGCTGGTCAAATAGTAAGGTCCCCCCGATGCTTTGACTCCTGCATGCTCAGATTTTTCCTCGAGATGGCTGGGCATTTTTATTAGCTTTCACCGCGCCAATGTGGACGCTGACAGGATGTGCGCTTTCCCTCCCCCAGCGTCCAAGCACCTTGCTTACTAGAATTATAATCAGATGACTCTGCCGCCCATATCTCTGAGGAAGTTGCCGGTGCCGACGTTGCAGCGCCTGTTGCCATTATAACTGCTGTTGCTGGTACCGCCGGTCTTGGATGGATTCTGTTAATTGCGACATCATTCGCTATCCCATCCATCACCGATCTCCTCAGCACTGAGCTTCCTCTCCCCATGGGCCAAGTTTTCTTGGATGTTCTTGGAAAACGAGGAATGTTGGTCATATGGTCGTTCATCATCGTTGTTCAGGTGTGTACTTTTTTTTACCCATGAACACGAGACCTTCTCTAATGTACACTTAGTATGTCACCGGAGCTGCACAAGGCGTAGATGCCTCTCGTGTAGTATTTGCCTTTGCCAGGTTGGGGATCCTTTAATGGAGGGCTTATATTTCTCTGATATCGAGTTCTGTAGAGACAATGCGCTACCAGGCTCTCGATGGTGGAAGAAAATCAATTCCAGGACCCAGACGCCAGTCAATGCGGCTTGGCTTGTCATGGTCTTCGCCGGTATTTGTGGATTACTCGGGTTCTCAGAAACAGCTCTGACCTCGCTTGCTGGGTGGGCATCATTTCTGTGACTCTTCGTATATATTACTGACCCCATTTCTTCGTCAGCGCCTCCGTTATCGGATTGTACACTTCTTACGTCGTTCCCATTTTCTTGCGCATTACTTCCGGACGGAATAACGTCGTCCCTGGTCCTTTCACATTGGGTCGATGGGCCACTCCAATTGGCGCCGTTGCAGTATCATGGGTCACCTTTATCGTGGTGCTGTTATTGTTCCCCACCGGCCAGCACACCACTGCCCAGGACATGAGTACGTGACTCCTGCCTACAGTTCCCATCTCTAATGACACTTGTTGATGGTTCATTCAGATTACGCGATTGTTCTCATCGCGGCTGTTTTCATCTTCGCTACGGTCTCGTGGATGACATCCGCCCATAAATGGTTCCATGGTCCTGTCAACAACGTCGGAGATGACATAAATTCGAATGAAAAAAGTTCAACGTGACGAACACATGTTTTACATGTGCCAGGTAATATTCAGTCCGGTTTACTCTATCTTATAGTATTCTAAGTTCTATAGATGTCGTGCTTCTTGGTCAAGTCTTCAATACAGAAATGACTAATGTAGCATCGTTTAATTATCTAGTCGTCTTTTTTTACCATTGTTTTCCGAACCTGGTTCAACCGGCGTTCTTATTACATGTAAATGACCTAACACGATTTTGTGCATGTTAGAACTTGTTCTGCGTATTAAGTGCTGTTACCTTGCTTCTGCTTCAGTAATAAGGCTCCTTCGAGACGTGTTCCAAATACACGCAGTCCACATTATGTCTTAACCGACTTACCTCGGCGAGGGTCGAATAACCTATTAACGTCCGCGTTCGCATAGACGGAATCCAAGGAAGGAAGTAGGAGTTCCGTATGTTATTGTCTAGCAAATTTATACGATGAACGCACGATATTTATTCTTTAATTGGTGTGGTCGCACACTCATTCTTCACCAGAAGCCCTGTCAATAGACCTTCGTTTTGCCTCCTCTTGGTTTCTGTCTACACCTCGCTGAACCTCGAGATCCCAATCGGTACCAAGCCAAACCACGAAATATTCACCCAGTCCAACTAAGAACAAGGCCACAACTTGACCTTTATGAAGGAACGGAGGTAAGATCTTGAGCAAGCATTGGACCAATCCACGTACCAATCCAGAGACCTTGGAGGCCAAGATCGTAGGGAAAAGCAAGCGTGATACCCATTGGTAAGGCGAGTACATAATATGCAACAAGATTGAACAGAGCACCGAGATGCTGGCGACCTTGTTGAAACATGAGAGACTGGAAGCTAAATACAGGACGTTGACTAACCTTGACCGCGCAATACTCCTCCACAGGATCCGGCAAGACCATCAGCGACTTGGAAGGACGCCACTAAGGGCATCACTTTGCTGACGAGATCAACAACACCCTCATCGTCACTGAATAAATAACCATAGACCTGCCTTTCCTTAAGCACAACGGGTCCACAATCAAAACGATCAGACTTACGTCTTTGGTAGCCATCATAACGGTCATAACAAGAAGACCCACTATCATACTCAGTAGAGCGGACGCATGTGCGGCATTCTTTGCTCCAACGGCAGAACGAGCACCTATGAGATTACCCACACGATTGGACGCCGCGACTCCAATACCAAAAGGCAACGTGTTGAGAACTACGGAGATATAATTCGTAAATATAACAATGCCCAGTCAAATGTATACGCACTTTGGTCCGTGGTCATGATAACGGATTGTGCGGCAAGAGGAAGCGAACCTAAGCGACCTGCAGCGAGCGCTACGATCTCAAAGGCGGCCCTGAAATTTGCGTAAGGACCCCTAAATGTTCCGAGACACTTACTACCTACCATTCAGTCCCAACCATAAGGATTCCCGGAATAGCCAACTTGAGGAAAAGATAACAGCTGTGCAGATGGAACACTGCACCCAATTGCAACCCTCCCCAACAACCATTCTGCTGATGCGTGGGAGACCAAGCCGTGTAAACGGAAAGAAGGAAAAAGGCCATCCAGTAAGTTAAAGATAAGGCAACGGGAGAACCCAACAAGCCAAGAGATGTGAAGTGGACGAAGAACACATTCAATCCGATGTTGATGGGAAAGACTACTGCGAGAACAGCGGTGGAGGCTCCCATGATCCCTTTATGACACGGTAAGAAAACATCCGCTTCGATAAAATATACTTGCCTTGACATTGAAGATACTTCTTTAAGCTCTCAAAGCCGATGTATCCGGGCGCGCCGATAATGAGAACACGTAAGAACCTCTGGACATCACTGCTAAGTATTTCAGGCTGACCAAGCGCCAGTAAGATAGGTTCAATGAAAGCCCATAGAATGCAGACAGGAATCAGAAGAATCCACAACAAGACAATACATCTTTGAAAGTGGATGGACAAGTCCGTGGGACGACTTCCACCAGTGAAGGCCTGAGAACCGAGAGTATCGAGAGCTGTCGTACCACCCAGTGCAACGCACCAGCCTATAGAATAAAGTGGGATCATCTTTGTAAAGGGGAAGGAACCAAATACTAGCCAGTTACGAACGCCAACATCAGGGAAAATGCGGCAACCGATAATTCTTCGGGGCCTAGCCGACCCACAATGAGAATTGAGGCTGTTTGAACCGAGTTTTGAAGTGTGTAGGACAAAATAACTGCATCATCGTAAATATCCAGCAACTTTTCTACCGACTCGGATGTGGCTCACCAGGAATGGAATCGACGAAGAGCGACCCAAAAAGGTGAAGGCTCACGTGGCAACCAAGCGCCCGGCTCACATTTTCTCCTTCCGGCAAACCGTCGGTTGGAGATGAGGACCTGGAAAAGTCGGCCTCATTCTCGATGTCGGACGAGAGAGAATTCTGAAGAAGAGGTGTCGTCTCGTTTGCAGCGGTGGAGGAGAGCATAGCGTGACAGGAAGGTAAGGGGCTCTTTTCTGACTCTTAAATTTCACTCTTGTCACCTTTATCCGCCTCAGATCTTGGCCTTTCTCCCCTTGGATTAATACATAGCCGATCTCCTCGCACCGGTAATAATAATACCATGGTCCTTTGAAGTCATTTTTAGTTTTCTTATCAGCATTTGACTCGGAACTGACACTCCGGACGTGTGGAATGCCTCAAGGCAAAACACGACGTAGACTGACGGACTCTGACGGAATGACATGGAGCAATACAAACGGAATCATTGCGGAATTTATACAGTTTCCCGAGGCCAAGCTATGGTCTGGTTTCAAATTCCTCCGTCATTCTTTTATAAACAGGAGGAAGGGGTTTACTTTATCTTCACCCCAGTTCCTTCGAGTCACCCGCTGCAATATGAAGTACTTACTTTCTTCTGTATATTTTGCCACCTTCTTGGCCGTATCTATGGCCGAACATGATCATCACCATGACCATGCAGACCAGATGCCATTGGACTATGTCAAATATCCTCTTGAACCTCTGTACCGTACCACTACCGGCGAAGGCAAGTACCATACCTCTCCAATCGATCCCATGAAGCTAATGCCATCTTACAGTCACTGCTGACGCCATCTTCTCTGGCATTACCACCTTCGCTAAATTGCCGTGGGTCCAGTGTCTCACCAAAGACAAGGGCGAGTCATTTGACATCGCCTTCATTGGCGCACCCTTTGTGAGCCTTTGAGCGTATTGATTATTTCGAGTATCTAATCCTTTTCTCTAGGATACCGGTACCAGTTACAGGCCCGGAGCACGCTTCGGTCCAGGTAATATGCCTCGTGTCTTTCAGTTATGTTCATGACCGTAATGTGTCCATCCCTGTAGCTGGCATTCGTTCTGGATCTCGTCGTTTGACATTGTATGGCGGTTATAATGTTCCTCTCGACTCTAACCCGTTCCAATCCGGGCTCAAAATTGTGGATTGTGGCGACATTCCCGTTACGTGAGTACGGTCGGGTCCGCGACTGTTTTCTTTGTGCTAATTGATTCATAGGCCCTACGACAACAAGGTTGCTATCAAACAGATTGAAGAAGGGCACAAGGCGTTGCTTCATCGTGAAACGTACTCTCCTTTGGGGAACGATTCCGTGACTGGTCAAGCTTTGACGCCCCTCTCAATCGATGGCAAACATCACCCTCGTGTCGTTACCCTCGGTGGTGATCACACCATCGTTCTTCCAATTTTGCGTTCTGTTTATTCGGCTTACGGACCCATTTCTGTGATCCACTTTGATTCTCATCTGGGTAGATACCTGCTCTTCTGCGCCATTGGATGCACGCTAACTGAAGCAAACATATACAGATACCTGGAAGCCTTCTGTCTTTGGAGGAGCCCCGTCGGACGTCGCTGCCATCAATCATGGAACATATTTCTACTGGGCGAGCCAAGAAGGTCTTATTCAGAATGGATCATCAATTGCAAGTGCTTCCTGTTCTGATCCGTACCCCATATCCCCTGCTCCCTTTCATTTTTGTTTCTCTCTCTGCCGAGTACTTTGATCCTAGTTTGTCCTTTTTCTATAGCACGGGGCTATCCGGACGACACTTTCTGGGCTCGAGGACTACGACAATGACGACGACGCGGGCTTCAAGCGCATTGAAGCCCGCGAGATTGATACCATCGGTTAGTTTCTTTGATTTTTAGAAAGAGGCTCGTTGTATTGAATGCGGCGATATTTAGGAACTGACGGTATTATCAAGAAAATTCGTGAGACCGTCGGAGAGGCACCTGTTTACCTCTCTATTGATGTAAGCGTTGTTTTTCAAATTCATAGAAACGTCGATCATGGATTCATTTGAACATCAGATCGACTCCATCGACCCTGCTTTTGCTCCTGCCACAGGTACGCCAGAGACCGGAGGCTGGTCCACTCGCGAGATTCGCACAATCTTGAGGGGCTTGGACGGCCTTCATCTCGTCGGGGCTGACATAGTGGAAGTCGCACCTGCATATGACACCAATGCAGAGCTTACTACTATCGCTGCAGCTGATGTAAGTTTTTCGATACTTGTCGGGGATATTCTGGAATTGATTTGTTATTTGATTCTAGGTTCTCTTCGAGGTTCTCACTGTCATGGCTAAAACTCCCCTAGGTAAGGTGCGGGGTTCTCAGTAAGGCCGCAGTGCACTTCAAAGATGAGACGCTGCTACATACATGCATATCTTTTCTTTTCTTCTTCATTGCCCGAATAACGTTCTCGACCCATTGTGTTCGTACCGTACGCGAAATTGATTCTATGTCTTTCATCCAATCTAAGCGAGAAGGTGCTTGGGCTTCAGAGTTATTAACGGAAGGCATTGCAACCTGATCAAACAAAACAGAGCATTAGGTGGTATACTTAACTAAATCTACAATCAATGGTCATCAGTACGTCCATCCTACGTCCATCATAAGTATCGTAAAATCGTCACAAGTCATAAGTATACTCTTGCATTTGACTCAGTCCTGAATTGCTGCGGCCTGGACAACAATTACGCCCGACACACATCTCGACAAGACAAACGAGGTCGCTACATCCCCGATAGTCTTTTTTACCTCTGGTCCGACATGTCCATGCTCATCCATCAACTCTTTGATCTCTTTAGCATGATTCTCCACCGCCAGTCTCCTCGAGCGACCAATCAAAGTTAGCATGCGCTTACCCTTCATCACCTCAATCTCTTCATTTGCAGCTGCTAAGATAGCATGCAAAGGTATAGGTGAAGACAGCTCTCGGAATTTCATTCGTTTGAGTGCTTCTTGGGTGGGGTAGACAGAGGTTTCTGAGGGTGATGCATAGCGGGCCCATATGATGTTGTCCGCCGTTTCGGACTGCATTCGGGTTTCTGTCGTGGCGTGTCCGTAGACAGTATCTGGGAACGTATTTGCAACCTGAGAGTAATATTAGCATGATGCTGATCATAAACAAAAATTCCTTACTGATGTAATAGTGAGCTCGGTGCGCTCAACTGCTCCCTTCTCATTGCCGAGATGAGCTGCCTCGACAAACGCCATAGGAACTTCTACGTCTCGTTTCGTCACACGTACAATAGTCGCAGTGGTCTTCGGATTTTCGCAGAGCTGAGCAACAAAGTCCAATGCCAAACGATCATCAGGACCGCCGAAGAAAGGAAGAAATATATGATGGGAGCTTCCAATGGGCATTCCAGGAGTGCTTAGGTCAACGAAGAGCGCGACGTCAGTTTTACTATGAGCGAAAACTCCTCTAACGAAATGCGAATGTATTACTGCGGATTGATCTGTAGGGGCGTTTGTTCTGAAGAGAGATTCGAATGGATTATTCGGAGGGCTTTTGGTTGTGACCATGTTTTCGAGCAGGTAACTATCATGGGAGGTAGAAGGGGAAAGCCACGGAAGCATGATCATTTCAGAACCACTATCCCGCGCGTTGTCCGCAACAGACTGCGAGAGGTCATCGTACGGAACGATGGACAACGCGGTGCTGATGACCAAATCGTTGAGTTGACCAAACATCTTGAAAATAGAGAGAAGAGGGTCGCTGAGCAGTATCGACTCCGCCGCCGAAGACTTCATGACCGCTGAGGTACGATCTGAGAGTTCGATGAGCCGGAGTGCTTCGATGGAAGGTCCTGCGCTCTTCAGTTTCATCATGCTCTTTTTGGTCCCTGACGCATTGTTGTCCGAAGTAGAGATAGCATGGATAGACGGCTGAATCAACTGGGCCATGACCATCATTCCTGGGACGTGTTCGAGTTTGTCGAGAACAACAGTGAACCGAGTCTTCGACAATCCAGCTTCGCTCGCCCTTGAAGTTCGTGAAGAACCTCCTTCTTCGAGCCCACCAGAAACGTTGTTAAAGTTGGCTCCTGTTGCAGCCACACGAACGCGACATTCCTGGGGGTAGAAGAAGGTGACAAGAGGTGTGGTAGCAAACGTGAGGGTCAAGGCTTCCAGAACGAACATGGAAAAAACCCTCTGTGTCAGAATTCCGGCGGACAATCCAACGTTGAGTACAATGAGCTCCACAAGCCTGTAGCTGTCTTAAAAATGGAAGTAACGCGAAATGATATACACATACCCTTTGCAGCTCATCAAAGAGCCGATCGCGCCCGATTCTCGCCAGCCAAATCCAGCCGCAAACCTTGCGGAAAGAGTGCAACCACCAAACTTGCCAATAAAGGCCAATAAAATGATACCCACTGTATAAGCCCAGGTTATTCCTGGATGTGTAGTGTAAGAGAAGCCTCCATTGATTCCACAGTCGTGGCGCACCATTATTTAGGAGACCCAGATCAGTCGATAGACCGGACAGGGTGAAGTACTGTGGTACCATGAGAATGAACTACTATATGAAGCAAAAGGAAACGTACCAGCGGCAGGAAGATTATCGAGACCATGTCTTCCAACTTTTCGGTCAAGCGAATGGCCAAATTACCTTCCCGAGGAACAATGATTCCTGCAAGGAACGCACCTGTACGAAGTTACGTTAGATTAGGATTTAGGTGCTTCTGGAAATAAGCCAACTATAAATGCAACATACCAAAGATAGCATGGACGCCAATAATATCTGTGAAGAAAGCCGATCCGAACACCAGCAAAATCGTCACGGTCATGAAGAACATGGTTGGGCCATTCTCGATTGATCCAGTTTTCCGAGCTAACCATGCCATAGCCCTTTTAACGCCGAGCAGCAAGAAAAGGGTCCAGCCCACGCAGGCCATCAATATCCAGAGCGCAGTAAGGCCTGATCCCGCATTGACCAATGCCACTGAAAGGGCCAAAAGGGTCCATCCCACTATCGAATATTAGAATGACTTCAGGACAACAAACATGCAATTTCTTACCAATGTCATTCGCTACGCCCGCCGAAAGAACGACAATGCCAACTGTCGTGTCGAGGAGCTTAAGTTCAGTGAGGATGCGACAAAGAACTGGAAAGGCAGTAATGGAAAACGCGACGCCGGAAAAGAGCATGAAATGTGTGAACGCGACATCCTCGGTGATGAATTGTTTATACACGGGATAGGACAAAGCGGCCCCAAGACCGAAGGGAAGAACCATGCCTGCCAGACCGATAGAAGCGGAGAGCCTGGCATTGCGTATGACGACTCCCGCGTCTATTTCGAGACCTACGAGGAAAAGGAAAAGGCATAGGCCAATGTTGGCCACGAGGGATAGGTAAGGCTGTGAGTCCGTAGGAAATATATGCTCGGTGAATCCAGGTATGCGACCTATGTAGTATTAGAGACGGGAAAGGCTTTGCGTCCGACTAACACACCAAATGCAGTAGGACCTAATAAGAATGAGTTAAGTGAAAGGACGAGCTAACGAACAACACACCAAGAAGAATACCACCCAGAACTTCTGCTATGACCTTTGGCTGGCGTATCTTACGCAGTCCAAGGCTTAGCAAACTTGCAGTCGCGACAATGACGCCTACAAACAGTAGATCAGTCAGATTATGCGCACCACGGACAGACGTCGCGCCCACCAACTTGTATAATCCACAGTCGAATAGGATCATTAATATTGACCTCTGTGGGATCCTTTCCGCTTAACAGACCACCCTACAAGGTGGACATTCAGAAAGGTCCAGACAAGGCAACTGTGGAGTCTCCTGACCTGTTCCTGAGCCGCGCGTTTACTAAAAAGAGTGATAGCAGTGCTGGAGAACTCTGGCATGGGAAAAGAACGGTTAAGCACTGGGAGTGCAAGTGCAAGTGGTGATGACGGGAGTCAGGAAAGGACAGAGGCAAAGGAGACATGGCTTTATGCGAGAATCGTACAAAGAGGAATTCGATGATATCACTTGATCCCACGTTCTGCTTGTTCCGGATCAATGATGCTGGTTTCCCCGCACTCCCCTGCCTTCTCTGCATGCCTACAGCGACAGTCGCTACCCCCTATGTTCCCGAAATATGGCAGCTCGAGGCATCACTGCTACGGGCTATTCCTTGGCGTCGGTCGGTCCACCATTTCTTAAAAACTATCATGTTTATCCTGAGCGGCGCCCGATTCCAAGCTCAGCTGACTGCGGAGATTTTGCTTCTGCTTTATCGTTCACCTCTATGTATAAACTGATAGCATGCCTTCCCCGGCGCCACCCCTAGAATATCCTGCACCTGTTTTAGATCCATTTCGCACAACTCTCTTACGTTCCGAACTTTGCTCATCACGTACTTCACGTTCTTCGCTGTTATGCCTGGGAGCGACCTTAGCAGCTCTTCAGCAGCCGCATTGATACCGGCGCCTGCATCAGGATCTTCTTCAGCGCCAATTGCAATTGCCTTCGCTGGATCAGGCTCTGTACGGTCCACCTTTAGGTCTTTAAATATCTCAGCGGTTGCATATGGACTCGACGACCATATTATGCGAACACGAGGGAAAGTAAGGACGAGAAGCGCAATTTTTGACTGGATCGATGGAGATGAATAGTCATGCTCTGTGACGTTCCCAGAGGCCTTTTTCTTTGAGGCAAATCGAGCGTTAGTTTTGGCGTAGGATTTCATATCTGATACAATCTGTGGAGGACGATAAGACTATAGCTGGCTTATCTACGGAGAGCCGTTGGAACTGACCTCGAGTGAAAAGGCCTTATCTTCCTCGAATTCAATGAGTAAGACCGGGTTTTTGTAATGAACAGACATCAGTTCACACTGCGTGTATCTATAGCACAAGCATCAGCTTCAACATATTAGGGCGTTTGGTGGGACTTACAAACGCCCACTGTTAAAGGAAGATACAAGGTCCGCCAAACTCTTTCTTTCCACGCAGATTTCCGGTGTCAAGATATAATCACCGACAGTTAGGGTCGCGGGAATGACAAGCAGATTCGTAGCATGCAGCAGCGAAGGCAACGTGGATCGGAACTCCCTCATGTCCACGATGACCTGAAAACACTAAGACCGAGTCACAACTGTCATGGGAAGAGATACATACTCTAGAAGGGTCCTTATTTAGTTCTCTCCTGCCACCTGCAACTCTAGTACTAATTGTCTTGATGATCTCGTCGCTGGATGATGTTCTTTTGGGGTCCTCCAATATCGGCAACAGCATGGACTGAAAATTAATGATATTAGCAGCCTATCTTCACGGAGAAGAGTAACAACTGTACCCCTCGCTCTCTGATCAGCCGCTCAAAGCTCTCCTTCTCCCTGCGGATTCCCGCCAGGTACTTGTGCTCTTCACACGAGTTGGCGTACACCATATGGTATACACGCACCGATAGACCAGGATTCGAGCACTTGTACACCTGAGTTACCACGAAACATCACTACTCGAACAGGAAATTTGAACAAGGTAATCACCTCTACTCTCCGAATAAACTCCATACAAGGCTCGAACATGACGATAAACCGAGGCTTGATCTCATCCAGCATCCTGTCATCCGTGTCATCTGAGTACGGTCTAATGACAACAGTCTGGGGGGGCGGTAGTAGACCATAATGTGTGTCAAATTCGGGGCCAAAATTTAATGAAGTGATATCGGTGAGATTCATGACATCTTCATCGGCAAGTAGGTTGAGTTCACCATAATTCCACCTGGACAAAGATATCAAGCGACAACAAAAGAAGGAGTAGAATTTTCTCACAGATCTTCGGCAATAGTTTCAGGTGCCTCGGTAGGTTGCTTCCCAGAAGAGGCGGGAGCAGGCGCGCCACCTCTAACCCTGCGTCGACTGGCTTTCCGATCAGCTTTATCTCTATCCTTCTTCTTCAACGCTTCATCCAAAACGTCATCCAGATCACCTCCCTGTTCCTGGTTCGTACGTGGAGCGGGTGTTTTCCCGTCTTTTGCAGCGCGACTCTTCCAGAACAACCACGCTCGTAGTTTTTTCATCATCAACTTCCTGCCCCATTCCCCCTTTGGCCGTGTCTGGTCCAAGGATCCCATAAAGTCGCTCAACAGATTGCAGGTAGTTGTCGACGAACACATCACCAATGTCGTATTCGTCCCGGGAGCGTTATTAAATGCACGATTACCTTCGATCTTGACAATTTCTCCTTCAATCTCCTCCAACACTTCTGCGAGAAGACTCCACTTGGGAAGCTCTTCAAGCACAGGATCCATACCACGAGGAATCCATTTTGGGCGGTCGCTCTTGGTATCCGGTCTCTCACCCTGTATCTCATCTAAGACTTGCCAAGCATCATCGTCATCGTCCAGTTGAGGAGCCGAAGGGACACTCGACGTGAAACAGCGCCGCTTCGCGACTGAAAATATAATGTTGGCAACGTCGGTGAGCATCCATTGACTTTTTGCTCCACCACCGGCAGAGGTACTGTTGGAAGCAATGAGAGTTTCACAGAAGGAGTGAAACTGAAGTGGGTCGTAAGTGAGAAGATATCCCACGAGTCTTCGGAGAACGCCCAAGTCTCGCACAAGAGCTTTCGTGCTGGATCCAACCTTGTTCCACACTGGATCGAGCTGCTTGCGGACGATGTGGTCAAAGGAGGAAAAATAGGCTGCCGGAAGGGCCAACATGTCGAGGTCAAGCTATGCCAATGTCAAATCTACCGGGAATCAAGATAGGCATAACGACTTGCCTCTGTACGCGACCGTCGGAGTTCAGCTAAAGTCGTATTCATACACTGTACAATGGCACCATGAATCTCTTCCATTGAGGTAGTTAGATGCTGGGATAGTTCGACTACGTCTGCGCGCTTTCTTTCCAAAACCTGTTTTATGTCTTGATGAAACCTGTACGATAATGAGTGAAGAAGTATTGCGGACAAAACTCGCGCCTTTACCTTGGATATATGTGAACCTTCCTTAATCTCAGTTCCTTCATCACATTCTTCAAAGGTGACAGACCGCTAGTGATATGTTCCGGCTGGTCGGTGAAGGCTTTGAGGAATCCGTTGTCGTTCTTCTCCCGATACAATCTCGTAATGAATGAAACCAGATGTAAAGGAGAGACTCTGTAGAGCGTCAAGATGAGCAGCAAAGTAGAGAGAACAGGACGCACTTTTCTGCATGGAGGACTAGGATGCCCGTTATGAGATTAATAGGGATGTCATTCTGTAACATATCAACCACAAGGATACGAGATGTGACCGAAATGAGGCCTCCATTCTTGTATAGGTTCTGCCTAGACAACGATGAGAAAGACGGCGGCGGGAACAGAGAAAAGAGGCGACACACCTGTCCTTGCTCGTCCCAGTCTCATAATCAACGACTCGCAATCCTGGCTTCCTGCAACCCATGATGCCCAGCTCTTCGCCAATTTCTGTTTCTTCCTCTGGTGTGGCATTCACGAGTAGAATGAGGTTCTGCGGCGAATCGTATATTTTCATAAGAGTGCATACTATCCGTCGTAATCCCAAGCCGCGAGCGAGAAGCACCAACTCTGAGGTAGACGGGTCATGGATTTCTTGGATTATCTTAGTGTGAAAGGGTAGTAGGGTCGACATTTCTGGTCATTATCGTATTAAGAGAGCATCAAAAGGTAATTTGACTGGGTAGAGGATGGTAGTTGCAGGTCAAACCGTTCAGGTTCCGTTTTTCGCGAATTCAAAGGTATACATATTGAAAAAGTCTGGATAGAATACAAGCATAGCTACTCTGGTTGATGTATTTCAGATTCAGAAGCGTTCTGTTCATCATCGACATCGGCATCCTCCTCCTCCTCTTCTTCGCTGTCATCTTCGTCACTTTCGATGAAAGTCAGTGATACATACTCATCGCCAAGCTGGCTATCAGCAAACGAAGGTTTCTCAAGGGAGTTACCATTAGACCCAGATCCGGGGGTTGTCGAGGGAGTAGGATCACTGTAGATTAAGCTTGCTGGATCACCTGTGTTTGCTACAGGTTTCTTGTTGCGGTTAGCCCTGATGACATGAGGAAGCTTGCACCCCTTGGTTGTACAGGTACCCTTCTCGGCAAAATCAGGGCATTCCCTAACGTGCTGTTTGTCGCAGTCCAGTCCTCTTTCGCAGTATCCGAGGACAGCAAAGTCACGGCATACGCCTTGGCGAGCGCCCACATTAACATGCGGAAAAGGACAGTTCTCACGATTGCAGCGACCCTTGTTGGCGAAGTGAAGACATAGAGGTGTACGTTCAGGTGTCGGTTCGTGGGATAATAGGCAAGCAGTATTGGAACAGTTGCCTTGTAAAAAGTTCCAGCAGATAGCCACTTTGTTGGGGTCGTGATTATACATGCATGTCAGACCGCGGCTGCAGACACCTGTATAAAAGATAATTGTGATGAACATGAACCGAAGTGATTGCGCTTCGATGAGTGGTTGTGAAAATGAGTGACAACACACCTGTAGTAGAGAACCGAGGGCATGGCTTGTCGATATACTTCATGCGTTTCTGGGCGGGTTTCCGAGTTCTGGGAACAAAATCAGATTGGACATGGACGAGAGTCCTGTGGCGGGACAGACTGATAAGGCCTTCGGCTGTTGCTCAGAGTCATATTCCGGTTGGCAAGGGCGCCTCGTCGGCCGCGAGTGGACTTTGGCTTGTATGCACGATTGTTGGCAATAAGGTGACCAGACTTTCTTGAGAACGATGGAGGTTGTTGCATAGCCGTAGGTGCCGATGATTTCTGTACTGATGGCTTCGGAACTACGAAAAGAACGTTCAATACTTGATAAGATAGAGCAAAAAAAGTAGCGCACGATCTTTACGGACAAGCGACCGCGATGATGACTGGAAAGCGATGCCATTGAGAACAACTTCCTTTACTTGATGCGATGATGCCGGTTTGCTAGATGGCGGCAGTATTGCTGGGCGAATGTAGCTATTCTGGGCCTTGTAAAATGGTTTGTAATTGGGGTTCACGTAGGTATTGCTCCTTTGATATCCTGATGGGTCTGAAGATGCTGCTTTGTGAGAATTGATGGTCGCTTAACGAAATCATTAAGCTCTTGAACATAACATTGAACAATACACTTTACCTGTAAGCCTTGCTATTTCACTCTTCATCTGAGCTTCAGATGCCATAATTGCTGAGTGATGGTGGTTTGGAAGCAAGGTCGTCTTTGTTTGGCAGTGTTACTATGTCACATCGAATCGATGTGGGTCACGTGCACGATTCAAAGTTCAGCTTCGCGAGTACGACAACATTCAAGCGCTTATTTTGAGCCTTCTTTACAGATCTTCCGTGGAATCAAATTCCTGGCGTCTTTCTGGCCAGACCCCTTAAATCTATTCCTCGTCTTCTTATCCTTGTCACAAGTCAATCTAGGCACCTATCACTGGGTCTAACAGTATCTTTGGACACAATGTCATCTAATACCTGCTACCCGAGCTTGTGGCCGAGTCCTGGGCACATGAATACGATTAAGTTAAGTACCTTCGGACTCGGATTTAGCTCAGTAAGGTGCCCGAAGCTAGCCCGAGTTGAGGATAACGCGGAAATCTTTGCGAACCTCCACGGAGCTATTCGAACTTACATTACAATGCTCCCTTGGCGTGGAATCTATTTTCCATGCAGTATACCTTCTTTCTTGTATATAAAAGATTACATCTTCAACTATTACTTGTGAAGCTACTGGTTTTACAATGGCATTCCCTCCTGGAATCGCATACTTAACTCGAACCTCTCTACCTCTCCTTTTCCTTGGTATCTTTGCGTACTGGGCCTTAGGAAATGTGCAACGCGTCGTGGACTCTAGTATTGCTCTGTGGATTAGACTTTCAGTTGCTGTGATAACTCCACCCATCGTTTACTTATACCGGAGCTCCTTTGCTACCTTCAAGACCAGAAGGGACGCAGCCGCGAAGGGAGCTATCATGATCCCAGTCGTTCAGGAGGACTGTTTCTCCGTTGTTCGAAACATTCGGTACAACTTCAAGAATGGATACCCTGGTTCGCTGACATCGTTTGCTCGCCGGATACTGCCTAAACCTGTTCCAGGGGAGAGTTTTCACAATTGGAGCAAAGCATATGGGTACACATTCGCTCTTGATCTCTATTCCGAACGTCAGGTGAGTAGACTTCTTACAGGACGCGTTACCTGCCGCTGACGGAAATCTGGTCTGAAGGTCGTGACAATGGAACCGGAACACGTCAAGGTATGTCATCGATGTATTTCTTCTGCCGTCGTTGATTGAATCCACTATCCTAGGCTCTTCTGGCCACCCAATTTCAGGATTTTCAGAAAGGTTAGATTATATTATGTGATTTTAGTACACGATCATTGAAGATTTTAATGAAGGCCCAATCACTATCGCGGCTTTTCGATCCCTCCTAGGAGCTGGAGTCTTTAACTCCGACGGTAAAAAATCCTTTCACTGGGGTCAGGAACCGTGCTAATATTCCTACAGGTGACATGTGGAAGTGCGCCAGTCCGTAACACATTTTCAGCCTCTTTACTGATCTATATGATCAAGATTTCATCGAAACATGTCTCGACCTCTCTTTAATAAAGACAGAATCGGTGATTTCGATAACTTTGAGAGACACGCTGTCAGCACTATCGCTCAAATCAAAACCAGACTAGAGGAAGGCTACCCGGTTGATTTCCAGGTCTGTTTGCCAAGTAACGAAATTTCATCAGCCCCTCACCATCTCATCATCCCAGGATGTCGCTGCTCGTTTCACTTTCGATTCGGCAACGGAGTTTCTCTTTGGGAAGGACGTCGAGTCAATCGCCGCAGGTCTACCTTACCCGGCCGGATCCCCTTTGGCTAATCATCCAAATTTTGTGAACCATCCGTCTAGTCTCTTCGTCAAAGCCTTCTCACGCGGACTGGAACTTATCGCCGGTCGTGTACAAGGTGGTGGTACTTGGCCTCTTCTTGAGCTCTGGAAGGACAGAGTTCAAACTCATCGAGAGGCAGTTGATCGCTTTATCCAGCCAATCTTGGCTGAGGCGCTGGACAGGAAATCGAAGGGTATCAAAGCTGACAAGGATGAAGAAAACATGTCATTACTTGACCTCCTCGTGAGGAGGACCGTTGGTAAATGGCATGTAATCAGATGGGCTCACGCTTATGATTCTATCAGATGCCAAAGTGATCCAAGACGAACTTGTGAACATTCTAGTTGCCGGGAGAGATACCGTGAGCATTATTTTAATCATTGATGTTGCTCTGACTCTGTTCAAAGACTGCTTCTCTCTTGACTTTTGCTGTTTATATGATGTGCGAACATCCGAAAATGGCGCAACGGTTGCGGGCAGAAATTTTGGAAAAGCTCGGTACAAGGCAGCCTACATATGTAGATATCCGCGACATGAGGTACCTCAGGGCATTTCTGAATGGTGTGTCAGCCGTTGCTTTGAGCGTATCCGTGTCTGATGTCCATCATATTGAAGAAACCTTGAGGCTTTATCCGGTGGTGTATGAATTTGTTCTTCTGGCCTTGTAGAGCAACTCAGCTCATCTATAGGCACATCTAGCCCCGTTAATTCCAGGTCAGGATCTTTATGGTGTTATCATGCCTTCATATTATGATTAATATATCCCAGGACGTCCAAGACTGCTACAACTCTCCCTAACAAAGGCCGTGCCCCTTACTTCATTCCCGAAAGGACCAGGTACGTACTATGCACTTGTCAATGGCTTGATGAAGTCTCATAATCAGCGGCAATAGGGTGGCATATTCTGTGTTTTTAATGCACCGGAGGACGGACTTGTGGGGACCAGACGGTACTAAGTCTAGCTTCGCAATTTCTCATACTCATGCGACCCACTTAGCTCTTGAGTTTGATCCCGACCGGTTCCTTGATAGCCGCCTGCATAAGTATCTGACTCCGAATCCCTTTATTTTTGTTCCTTTCAATGCCGGCCCGAGGATTTGCCTTGGTCAACAGGTAACCCATAATGAGATATTCCCATTCGCGGGAAGGCTGAGGTCCATTTTTAATAGTTTGCCTACAACGAATCATCGTATTATCTGATTCGGCTCCTGCAGACGTTTTCGTCCTTTAGTCTTGCAATGGATGCTCAGCCTGCTGAAGGTATCCCTCCCAAGAGCTGGACCAAGATCCCTGGAACGACCAAAGGTCGCGAAAAGATTATGCTTGGGTTCCATTTAACTTTGTATGCCAAGGTATATCTTTTCTAACACTATGGATTTATCACACGCACCTAATGTTCGGTCGTAGGCAGGCTTGTGGGTTAGGATGAAAGAATCCAATGAAAATGTTTAATGTGTCGGTGGTCGTATACTTTGTTGTATGTTCAAAGAAATCAAATGCTCGTGTATTGCTGGTCTCGTCCTCAGGCATCAAAAAGGTAGATAACGTTGCTTGATATCGATTCGAGAGACCCACATTACTCCCCTTTTTTCTTAACATCTTCCGAGTCGGAGGAATTACAGGAAGGTTCAATCTCCTTGGGAGTAATTTCCACCAGACCAGTGCGTGAACAATGAAGCTGTAAACCCCTTGGCCGAAACCTCGCGGGAAGAGTCCATTAATTGATGGTGATCCGGTATGTCTGAATCACCACAAGAGTTGTGTGGACAACATTATCAGCAGCCAACGTCATCGTCTTCAACCATGACCCGGCATTCATTCCTTCGAGCTTCGAAAGCGGGGCTCCTTCAATTGCTACTTCGATTGTATGCAAGTCATGCTGACAGCTGTACGGCTACGTACATGCCTTCGAACCTCCAAGCTGAATGTGGCCTTTCAAGTCATGTACCAAAGGTCACAAGGGAGCAAATAGTGTCATTTTCATGGCGGAAGAAAGACGTTCGCTGAATGCCGAAAGATCATCAAAATAGCCAACCATATGGTTTACTCTGTGGGGTCGAGTTCAGAGTTCAGTGATGCTTTAATCCAGATCAAATTTGCTCATAAGAACCTGGCTTCCCGATAGGATTTTGAGCATGCATGAGTATTTTACTAGCCCGTTCAGGTTCTTTCCAGTTTCTCTGAGGCGCATAGCGATTTTTAGTGATTCGTTCATCAGTGACCCTAGCATATGCACTCCTTGTAAGCGACAGTTTCAAACCGGACGAAATCCTGGGAAAATGGATGGACAATAGATCAAATTCTGACCAAGGCTTTCGGTCATAGCAAGATGAGTCCTTTGATGGAAAAGCCAACACATTCTGCAGTGGTCAAAAGCCTAGGTAGAGATGTTATCTGTGTTTCAATTGTTTCCCTTCCATTCTGACCAGCACTAATCAGTCGCCTGCCAGGAGTGACATTATAAGCGAAGACGGGTAATCGATGAGGCATCACAAGCGCGATTGCCGTGGACGGTAGTCCATTTCCACTTTCCATTGAACCGCTTGTTCTAACATGAAAGCGTCCACGTATTTATCACTATTAAGACCTCATATATTGGTCGTTGGTCTAATTGGAAAAGACTACACAGCTTCACATATTTCACCACCCGTGGGAACTGGATCAACATCGTTTAAAGGAGGTGGCGGTGCGGTAGGAACGTCTTATCTTATCTCGGGTGGATTTTTTTGGCCGGCGGGCTTAGTCAGCGATCATATATGTCTCCCATTACCGTTACGACCATTGGTCTAACGTGTAAGGCATTCCTCAGTTCCGGTCTCTGTGCGGTCACGGTAAATGGCTTGCCTACACTCATTGAGGCCTTGAACAGCTCGCAGAGGGAAAACGGACGTGGCGTTGTAACCGGTAGGTCTAATTCATTGACAGTTATTATCACCGAAATTTGACCATCAGCGTGAAGTTTCCAACCATATATCGACGTGAGGACGGCCTTGCATCAAGAACACCACATATACCTATTACGATTTTTGCAGACTTGATGACCCCGTGACATGGGGGGTACTTCCCGCCAAATACTACCTTCGATCGCGGATGACACGTTGGACGCTTGGTGCTTCCGATATCATGTTTACAAACCCGTAAGTAGGCTTGCATGCCGTGATGAAGTGCTTAGTTCACCTTACCAAGCTAGAATACTCTCGTACTTCTTTACCCATGGACAAGTACTTGAAACTTTCCGCGGCAAGGGAATATTCCAGCGGTCTGTTGATACCGCCATAGAGAAATTGAACAAGGGGGATTGGGTGAGAACCGTGCTTTAGAGAAAACCCGGTATCTAACCTTACCCAGATTCATTTGTACGGGGAGGGGAAAGTAAACCAACCCAGCACATACCAAAAAGACAAGGACGGTTTAGCCATCCTGCCACGCTTTAAATGGGGAGTGTACGTATTCGCGTAATTCACGTCACCTTACAATTTGAACTAATCGAGTCTTCTCTAGCGGCAGAATTATTGGTTCGACCACCGCCGTACCAACGGTTATCCCAATGTGGATCACAGGTTTCGACACGCTCATGCCGGAGGGTCGTCCCTTTCCATACAACTTCATGCCACGGATAGGCGCACGCCTCAGCGTCACATTCGGCGCTCCCATTCCTTCGGATGAAATCAAAAAAAGGATTGAACACCTGAGAAAGACTTCGACCGCCGATTTGGACGTGAACATACGAACAGAGATTACCGCCATTGTACACCAGGCAGTCCAAGCGTTAGGGAGGTCTGTGTCGGGCGTATCACTGGGAGGAACAGCGGACTCGTAGTTTTTGCCGTCACTAAGTATGGGGTATTAGATCCGAGGCGTAGACCCAGATGCTAGATCTAGACTTGCGATGCTATATGCTTCAATGGTAATACACATGTATTGATACGAAACGATGTCATTGCGAATCCTACAGTTTTCCTTGCTCGCTTTCTCCGAAAACTTCTGCGAATGAAGGACCGACCTCTGGGATCATATCCTCCGTGACGACAGCCCGGCCTTGCTTTGCATACGCCCGACGGCTTGCAGTTCGAGTGACCATACTACTGCCGATAGCTGCTAGTAGAGGCATGCGTGATACCGGAAGTTTTCTATCTCTAGGGTCCGAGTGAGGGGGAGATCCAAGAAAGGGTAATCGGGGTTAACATACCCAAATGCTCCATCTTCATAACACTTCGCCCACGCCAACATCGTACCCACAGCGCCACTCAAAATGTCGCCTTGCCCACCACACCTCTTCATCCCACCTTCAATGTCAACTTCCACCGTTTCTTTAGAATTTTCCGTAGTACTGGTTTTGTTGCCGGTCGTATCGACAGATATGATGTCTTTGGCTCCCTTCTGCAACACCGTAACCCCACCAAGCTCACGCGAGACCATCCCTGCCCGTTCCCCCGCAGGGGTCTTCGGATCCACACCGACCTGCTCGCTGAGACGTTTAAATTCAACGACATTGGGAGTGACAACGGCACGATGGTATCCCTTGATCAAAGAGATGTCCTGACCAACCATGAATAGAGCATCTGCATCAAGAACGATAAACATCTCTCGTGAGCGTGCCAAATTCAGCGCCAGTTTTGCATAGTCCATCATGTATGACTCGCGACCGAGCCCAGGGCCGATCACTAGAACATGGAGACGAGAGAGTAGGGACGACAGTTCAGACTTGACGTGCTCCAGTGTCCTTTGTGATTTGATAAGTACACCAAGTTAAATGTACAACAGTGGAGCTCACGAATCTGGGGAAAGTATTGGGTGGACAATCAGATCTGGAGAGTATGATTTGATAGCTCCAGCCGCGGTTGGCGAGCAAATGACATGAGATAAATCGGCGCCCTAGTAAAGATGTAACATAAGATCTATCAGTCATGCAGTGATGGATCATTTCTACGCACAAAGCGCAGCGCTGAGATTGATGCAAAGAAAGGAGCGCCGGTATAGCTACAGGCTGTATGAATCGTCGAAAGTCTTTATCAGAATGGATAAAACTTACTCTAAAGCACCGCCAAGGACACCGACTCGACCTGGAAGAGATGCAATTATTCAGTGATTGATTGGGATGTCAAACAGGCACTATTAACCAGATTGGCCCTTGTGAAGGGTGCCATTAAGAGGCGGTATTAGCTGTTTCAGCTGTTCCAATATTCCACGAGGTACTGGCATCGGTATATAGTACAATACGGGCAGCAATATGGTAGTTACTGAAAACGTTTGATGAATGACGTATGTAGTCACTTGCGTCATAACGACGTCCCGTGAACGGAGTACAGCCTGTCAAGTCTGCGGTACTCCAACCATTACGCGGGGATAAAAGGATAGAACCAACATTACAGGAACTGGTAAAACAATACTCTTACAAATGGGATCATGACATGTAACAGAGAATGGAAGTATGCTTGCGTCGTGATGAAGAATGGATAAGTAGAAGATCGAAAAATAGACCAATAACAAGGTGGGGTCATACGTTTACCGTGTACTATATACTTAACAACAACACCAAAAGCGGTCGCAATAAGAGTGAACGAATGAAGGGAGGAGAGCGAATTAAGAACTTGAACTTGAGTCGGACTCATAATCAGCAAAGTAAGGATGCTTAAGTGCACGTTTCGCTGAACGACAAGAGTCAGTGACGGACCACATCAACGAAATGATGATCCCTACCTGAAATACGCTTAGCCGAATCATAAGCAAGGAGACGCTGATAGATTCAAGAGATGTCAGGCTAAGAATCAAGGAAGAAAATAGACACACTTTAAGCATGTCAATCCCCGCTGGATCCAAATCCGGGACTACCCGAGAGACATCTTGCACACTCCAACGGGGGAATGTAGGCTTATAATCGGGCAAAGCACTCACGCCTGGCCACATGTCCTCGGTCGGTGTTCCCAAAATCCTAATAACATTCACTCGGTCAGCCTGAACACAGCAGTACAAGAGTACGGTTCTCACCGGAATATCTTAAAGATTTGGTCTATTTCAGAATCACCGGGGAAGAGCGGCTGCCCCTGACAGGCCATCTCTGCAAATATGGTTCCGACTGACCACATGTCGACTGCCGTCGAATAGTGGCGGGATCCAAGAAGCACTTCGGGCGCTCGGTACCACAACGTTACGACCTAGAACGTCGAAGGTCCGCATTAGGAACATTCTGGTAGCGCAGATGGAACTAACCTCATGAGTGTAAGTCCTCATGGGTATGCCGAACGCCCGCGCAAGTCCAAAGTCGGCCAGTTTCAGATTATTGTGCTTGTCAATGAGGAGATTTTGCGGTTTCAAGTCGCGATGAAGAATCCGATGAGAGTGACAATAGACCAATCCTGAGTTCAATTGATGCAAGAACCGCTGGGAATGTGATTAGAAGCTGTCATGATGCTACCAGAGGAAAACAGAAACAAGACTTGAATCAAGACGCGTCGCGTCTCTGTCACGTGATCTTAAGAACGCGAAAGAGCCACTTCAGCTGTGATTGGGGCATTGTGGCGCCACAAAGATTATCGTCGGCTGATTGACCATTTATGAACGACATATTGAACGCGGGAGAAACAGCGCTCGAAGCCGGTCAACGGGATACTCCGAAGTACACACGCGCTGAACGCGTCGAAGGCCGATAACCGGCGCGTTGAGAAGGCGACGACAGCAGCAGGGACCGCAGGGAAGAGTATACGACGACATACCTTGGACATTTCCAAGGTGATAGGTGTTTGATTCTTGTTGGCAAGGTCCATGTAGCGCTTGAGATCCACATCTAAGAATTCAAATACGAGGTATAATTTCTGGTCGGCATGAACGATGTCCAGCAGCCTGAGCCGGGTTATAAGCCAGCGAAAATGAACCGAGGTGAGTGGCGCAGCAATATACCTCACGATGTTGTCGTCGTTTAGCTCCTTCAGGAGACTGATTTCACGGATTGCAGTGCTCGGAACGCCCTCGTCTTCTGCTTCGAGCCGTATCTTCTTCAGGGCCACGATAGTGTTGGAACTGGTATCCCGGGCCTTGTATACAACACCGTAGGTGCCTGCAGGCAGAAGATGACGTTCTGCTGGCCACTCCAAGGGTTGACTGACCTTCGCCTAGAGGTAATTTTTGTTAGCTGTAACCCGAAAGGCGCATGTAGGTGGCAGCGACGCACCGACTTTCTCTATCTTCGCATAGCTTCAAGGGCAGCTCATCAGTATAACATCGAGATGGTGCAGTACTGACACACCGTTCCATCTGTCGAGCTGAGCAGCGACGAGGTAAGATCTTGCGATAGTCCTTTGTACGGTGGATGTATGCGTGTTCTGATGCAGCAGTAAATGAATGAACGGCAGAGAAAACAGCAGCCGTGCGATGAGGAGATCAAGGTGAGCGTGGGTCGAAGTCACAAAGTTTGGACTCCTCCCTTTTAGGCCTTGAGTTGATCACGTAATTCAGCGTCTCATCATTGCTCACCGTCATAACAATCAATTGTTTCCACTTTACAAGGCTGGCCGGGTAGGGACCGCAAGGTTACCGCGATCAAAGCAAGCCAGCGGAGTTGCCACACATTTACACCAAGATGGTCTGTCTATCTCACGAAATGTGGCTACAAGGACATACATTACACACATTACCATACAAAATACTTCCAATGCTGGCTTCGTGGGGCCGTATTCTTAGCCCCGCGACGTGAGTGGTGTTTCATTTCATCCGGGCCTTGGCCAAGTAAAGCCTTGGTCGTCATGCCTTCTAGCACGCGTCATATCGATATACTGCCCGGGCCACGGATCGTCACCTACAAACAAGCTTGGAGTAAGAGTTCTGCTGTGGCATTTCCTGGTCAAGACTTACTTTGATCGATAATATTCACGTCTGTATCGTCATCTTCGTCGTCATCTTCATTGGGGTCCCAGCGGTCTTGCAGGGCCGCATTTGGGTTGCGCTGTCGGTCAAGTTCGAGATCTTTCATCAATCGATTCATCGAATCGTCTTTGGCAGCTTGAAGTTTCTGTTCCCGAGCAGCCCTTGCGCGCTCCAGTTCCGGTAGATACTCCCTTTGTGCAAGTACCATCAGCAATGAGATCTAGGGGCAACATTTGCCTTACTCTTCATATTCCTTCCGAGACGCCTCTACTGCATCAAAAAATTCTTTGATGCCCTGCCCAGTCACACTAGAAACGCCAATTGCCTAACAGCTGTATGAGTTTATCGTAGATGAGTTTAACACAAGTAACTCACTTTAAGATTCCTATAGAACTCATCTAGTACAAGACTCATGCTGTTCATGAGGCTATTCATGTACGTTGGCTCGCCTTCAGAATCTCGGGCTCCACCATGAGTTGCTAAAGCCTCTTGGAAGGCCTCAAAATCATGCATCCAATTGATCGCAAAGTCGTGCGGTTCGACATCAATCTTGTTGAACACCAGGATGAATGGAAGTTTGGTCTTGTACAAGATGCTATACGAAAGGTGAGCGCGCGATGTTAACACAAGGTAGAACAAGTTGACCTGCAGGCATAGAGCATATTAGACATGAACGTGGCGGGAGCCGTTGTCCGAGGAGTATCGATAATATATGCGACGACTGTGGGTAATGAAGACGCCACAGCATCAGTAATTATGGCGCCAGAGGCAGACCACGTAAAGATCTCAATTTGCCCTGGAGTATCAAGAATAACATAGCTGCCGCACAATCAACAATCAAGAACCACGAGTGCAAGGGAAAAGATATGCATACTCAACGGTCTCTGCTCTCTTTTCAACGAGCTCCAGCACCTGATCAAACTTTGTCGTAAAAAGATTGAGCGCGGTCAAGATGCCTCCATTGGGGCCCAAGTTGTACCTCGTACAGACCGTTTCAACCGGATGCGAGGGTAGAGTCAGTCATATACACACTGCTTCATGACTTCTTGATAGTTCACGGTATCCCGGATGTCAATGTTGGCTTCGAACGGCACATGGGTCACAGCAGGGTCGAGATTGAGGATATATGGCGGCGACGGAGGATCTTGCGAATGTAGATACGAATTTATTCGCTGGACAAAAGTCGACTTGCCTGCACCAGCCATGCCAATGGTAATGATGGCGACTGGCTTTTTCTTTGGAGGCACATCGGTCGTCGAGCTCGCCATTTTTGGATGGTCTGGAGGGAGATTCAGACAGAGAAGGAAAATGGACGTTTGTACACGTGATCGATGATAGATGACGAGTCATCGGCACGTGCACAATCAAAAAGTTGTCACCAATGTCAGCATGCCGGCATCGAGAAACTCACGAGTGGCAACCGGTACCGCCGTCCGGGAAGCCTCTAAGAAAATCTCGAGAAGCTGATAAATGTAGTTTCTGTGGTTTCATGATGCTGGGAGTGAAAAAGGCGAACATATCGGCATTTCTTGCCGCTTGGATCTAGGGCTCTCGACAACCAGAAGCACCGCCACCGCTGCCGACGGGGCCGGCTACACAGCCCCTGGTACTTTCACGTCATTTGTGCTGATACAATGTTACATCCAACTGCTCTCCGGCCTGGGTTCGCAGAGTTTTCAGCTTAATACTGATATGATCTTTCGGCGCCGGGTCTGTCAGCTTCCAGAAAATTTTTTCTCTTATATTAGTAGTAGAAGATGCTACGAACGCCCAACTACTTGACATGCAACGATACCACAGTATCAACCTTGACCTTGTCTATAGTACGCGAAAGCGACGCGTACAGAGAGCGTGTGACCTCTGTCGACGGAAGAAAAGTAAGTCTCCTTCCTCGGTGAATCACGTGGCTGGCCCTGACGGACGATTTGAGCTCGGTGTAGGTTGCATCTTACCAGGACTCGGCAGACTAACCTATGTATGCACTGAATGATCATAGGTGATGGAAACCGACTGCTAGGAAAGAAGTGCTCCAATTGTATTGCCGCCAACTTGGCATGCACGTATCTCGATGTTAATAATGTGATTATCATCCTGTGTTTTCTGTATAGTTGTAGTTCTGATTATTCTGGCAGCGAATCCCATCTCAACGGTCCGTGAACTTCATCTTTTCTTGTCCAAACATTTCGTCTCACTTTTGGGTATATAGTTACGTCGAAAGCCTTGAGATGAAAGTCAATGAAATGGAACAGTTACTGCGCAAGGTAAGAATGTTGTCTTGTCTTTTCCATTTAACCCTCTGACACTCGAAGTGTTCTAAAGATGCTCCCTCCCGATGCGGACCTGACTGAGCAACTAGAAAAAGAGCCTGCTACATTGCCTGCTTCTGACGAGGCTAATGGCTTGATACCTAACCTCATGCGATCTCTTGGCAGGGACATCACCAACGAGAAAGGACGCTTCGTTTCCGAGGATGATTATGATGACGTACTGGAAACTAATCTTCGGCGATTTCAGAACTATACTCATGGCAGATTCTTTGGCAAGTCCAGCCACGCACAGTTAATACAGACAGCACTCGACCTTAAGTGTGGACGCCCTTCATGTTTGTGCGATCCATCGAAGATTCCTCTGAGAAGACCCGAGTTCTGGGAGCCGCTCTGGCATACTCCCGGTCGTCTTTCACAGGTCCAAGTTAATGTGGAATACAGCTTCCCGGACAACGATCTACTGTGGTCGTTGATTGGCCTATATTTTACGGAAAGCAATATCTTCCTTCCTATTTTGCATCGACCAAGTTTTGAACGGTTGGTCTCAGAGTCGACGCATGTCAGTGACCCGGTTTTTGCTAGAGTGCTGTTGGCTGTTTGCGCTCTAGGTTCAAGATATTCGACTGATCCACGCGTCTTGATCGATAATGATCCATCTTCCAATGGGTGGAAGTGGATGCAACAGATCTTTGAGTGTCGCAGGGAAATTCCGTTCTTGAGCTCGCCTCTACTATACGACTGTCAATCGACGTGCGTAAGCCCGACTTGGTCTTCCTATATATAAAGACTGACGTGTCTATAGCTCAGTGCAGCATTCATGAGTGGTTTTGTACCTCAGACCGCCTGGACTATGGCCGGCATTGGTCTCCGTGTGGCACAAGAGGCAGGAGCTCATCGAAAGAAGGCGCATGATGGTCTCAATAGCGCAGAAGCAGAATCCTGGAGACGAGTATTTTGGTAAATCTTTTCTTCTGCGCTAACGGTGTGACTGACTTGCTGGATTCACATTCCAGGTGTCTCTTATGTATAGATAGGGACCTCAGCTCTGCGCTGGGCCGTCCATGTGCGATTAACGATGAAGAGTATGCTCAAAATAGTCAAAATTGATTGAACACAGTCTCACAAGTTTCATAGCATTGATGCTGACTTGCCTGCCGATTGTGACGATGAATATTGGGATCACATATATCCAGAGCAAGCTTTCAAGCAACCCGAGGGGAAACCTTCACTCATATCTTATTTTAATTGTCAAATAAGACTGACAAGGCTTCTGATGATCTGCTTGCGCACTATCGTATGTGGATCATAGTTAATCAGGTTATATTGACGCTCACTGCCTCTAGTACTGCACGGCCAAGCCGAAGGCTATGTTCGGTTTGGTGGAAAAGAATTGGGAAGAACAAATTGTCGTAGAGTTGGACTCTGCGCTCAATGTATGGATTGACTCGTTGCCAGATCACTGTTCGTTTTGTCTGTTTGATCCAACTAGTCACTAACGCTACGTACCCTAGTGCGATGGGACCCCAATCGTGAGAACCTCGTACACTGCAAACAATCTGCAACATTACTAGGAGCCTATTATAATCTGCAAATCCTAATCCACAGGCCGTTTATTGCCGCTCATCGCCACTCATCGAAGTGGCCATTCCCCTCCCTCGCAATATGCACCAATGCTGCTCGTTCATGTGCTCATATCGTGGATATCCAGTATCGACGCGGGGGCAAGTTCCCACTCTCTGGTGTGAGCCTAATTCACTTACAAGCTTGTTCAATCTGCTGATTTTCTACGCAGTTTCTAGCATTCAGTGCCGCAGTTGTTCTGTTGTTCAATATCTGGGAAGGGCAGCAGTCTGGCCTTTCGGCTGACGTTAAGAAAGAGATGGAAGATGTCTATAAATGTATGAGAGTCCTTCGGGACTTGGAATCAAGGTATGCTGCTTAAAACAGAAAAGTAATCGAGTAATTGAATGACCGACAGGTGGCGATTTGCTGGTGTATTATGGTAGGCTCCCGCTTCTCAGGACTTGGGTTTTTATCGATCACCCGTTCATTAGGGATATTCTTTTTCAGTTGACGACAGCTGGAGATCTACCACCGCCCAGCCCTGTCTCAAGTAAAAGAGATTCTGACTGTCCGTTTGATCCTAATGAATGCGGAATGTCCGGCGTTCGAAGGGACTCTTATGCTGCCGAAAATTCCTATGGTGAATCGAACTATCCTTCCGCCAGCGAGCCTATGGATACGTATGCACCAGGACCCTCTGAATCCCCCTCCTCCGAGCGGCGCACAACATCCATCTCTCAGCCAACAAACGACCCTCAATGCGATTGTCAATCGACGTCCGCATACTCTCAGTGGCCACAGTCTCAGGCTTCCTCCCTTCCTATGAACAGTGACTCATCGGAACGAGTGTATCCCCATGACCAAGCCACTTTCTCTCACAATGTTCCCGAACAACACCCTCAGATATACGACTATTACCAGCCTTCCTCCAGTCATCCAAGACAAGAGCATGATCCAGGGTACATGTTATATTACCCTTATGATAGCGACTCGCACGCGACCAGGTCACAGCCGTCTGGAGGAAGTAGCGATGACAGAAATTACGACAGAATGAGAACCATGTGGAACAGCATCCCGGGAACGATGGAGTGTGTTCTCCCCTTCCATAATTTGTTTGCTCTGCTGATTGTACCTAGATCAGGTGACTGGGGCAACTACCACAACAATGTGAACGAATCGTCCTGGTCGACTCAGTGAAGGGTTTTAAATGGTCACAACTTTGTAACAACACCTCTTACCTACCTACTTAGCCGCAACGTACTGATTCAGCCTATAATAATTAATATAATGTCATATCTTCTGTTTGTTGAAATCTTGTCTTCAAGTCTAAGTTGCAAGCACTGCCCTATAAATAAAGGAAAGCAGAATGCGGACGTCTCCTGGAAACTCATCTGGAACGTTGATACCCCAATATCGTCTAAGTCGCCTGAAATTCACAGCAAGTAAGCAAATACATAGTTTACGAAAGTCCTCATCTATGGTAGAAAAACGTCTACAGAAGAATACCTCCGAACAACCCCAGCTAAAACATTATCCACGTCAGACAAACTCGTTTCCTTTCTGGATACTTCGAGGTAAACATCTCCATCCGTATCTCGATTCAGCGCACGCTGAGCGATATGCCAGTGCTGCGGATTCATGCCTCGAGAAAAGACTTCTTGGACATCGGGGTCGCTACACGTTATCAGTAAAAATGGGCAGAATTTCAGAATCGGTAGTATCGCACCTTTCTAGCAGGTGTTGCGCGATATAGAACTGCTCTGGCTTGGCTGCGAACTTGTCGTTGGACATAGTGAATTGGGCCCTGGAAACAAGATGTCGATCCTTTGGCTGTAGAATCTTAGTAGCTGACGGTAACGTTTCCGTGCTACTGCTGAATGTAGATAAATATCAGTTCGAGTGTCACAAAATTTCTTTGGTTTTTGGTGAGTACCTGGTTAATGCGTTATCGTCGAGGATTCCCTTTACTTCCATGCATAGTTGATGGACCTTTGCAGCAAGACTCAGATCGTAGTCAGCGTCTTCAAGCCCAGCCACTGCAACAAGGACAGGATGTTGCTAAATTCCATTTAGTGATATATACTCAAAATATGTCAAGACTTACTGTCATGTATACTACTTTGCTCCGTCTTGTATTGAGACCATCAGGCGGGTCCGAGAGGTATACCGTAAGGTTAGAGAGCTCTGGCGGAGGCTCTAGGCTTGGTGAAGAAATGCTCCCTTCCTTCGAAGAAGTTGAGGAACCATCATCACGAGACGATGTAGAACTCTCCACAGAATTGTCATGCGAGCCCTGTGAAACAGCTTTTTCGTCCGCAGATAACGACATATTCAATGATCCTGGCGATGAGCTCTGAGAAGTCCCAGCCGAAGTCTCGGATTCACCACTCTCGTCACCATGAGAAGATTTCACCGCGGCATCGCCATTCATTGGCTTGGTACTGTGAACAGAAATCACATCTGAATGAATAGCATCGTCCAACGCGCTCTTGTCGATTTCAACATTTTCAACCTCCCCTCCGTCCTTGGGTGTAGGAGGGTTGACCTCTGCCGTTGGTATTTCTGGCCGCTTTGCAGATCCCTTAAATGTGAGGTACCCAGGCCAACCCCACTTTCGAACATCCATATTCATATTCAGGTTCCCCGTGGGCATGCCGAGGAATGAGGACGACCGTGTGTCTGCTTCTGGGTCAGGCGGCCGCTTCTTTACAGGGGAATCCGGTGGTAACTGCGGTGAAGGTGGGGGAGGGGGAGGTATTAGGCACATTAGGTGTTCTGGAAAGGAGGAAGGGTAACGGGCTTTGACAAAAGACGCGGATGGTATCACATGGGAGGGGGTAACTATTATCGACGAGGCTGTAGTGGGTATCAGGGATGCGAAATCGTCTAAGAGGGGTACCAGGGAGCGGTATTGGGGATGTAATGGTATGCCTACGACTATACGTCATTTACAATGATGGACGTGAATATTACCGTACGTACCAAGGTGGTCTCCGAATCCACGGTCGCAATCCAAATTCCAGGCCCATGCCCATGGGGTAAAGAATCTTTCTAGTTGCAGTTCTAATGCTTGCTGTCCAAGTGCTGAAAGGATACTCGTCAATGAACCGTGTGTAAGCTGCTCTCAGTACAATGAATATCGTTCAGCTACCAATGACTAGTCAACCGCCTACCTTGAATTGCTCGTATCCACGACAAATATCCGTTCTCAGAGATATGTCATCAACAGATGAGTCTTGGTAGTCACAGACTAAAGCCACGTCCTTGCTGGTGGTACCTGTCTTGGCTTTCTGCTTGCCCTTGCTTCGTCCAACGGTGGGTGTACGAATGGTCTTTGCCAGCTCGACGCACTATGCCACCCTACTGAATTAATATGACCGCAAACGCAGGCAAGAAACGGCACCTACTGCGGTTATCCAAAAGTCGGGCTCCGGAGACACCATGACCATGCGCCTGCCTTGGGAATGTATATTGTTACAGGCATCGTCTGGGTTGAACATACTATACAACGTTAAGGATTTCGCACTGACTGTCGGCAGCATATACTCACTCTGAGAAGTTCACCAAGGCTTTAGCTAATCCGACCTGTCTGAGCATCCTGTCGCGAGAGACGGCCCGTTCCTTCGATGTGTAGAACAAAATATGCGCTTGTTCCTCCGCATCTTCATCATCTGTAGGCAAGTTATCTGCTGGTCGTAGTGTCGGATTGTATATTGTCAAGTACAGAAGATTTGGTGGCGATCTGCTGTCCATACGACGTGGGGAGAGGAATAATGGCGGAATTCCCAAAAAGGACAGCGATGAGGATGTAGCACAGCCACGTCAAGATTGTCTAAGCGTTGAGTGGTGATTATCAAACGTCCTGCTAAATAACTACGTAGATAATAATATTGCTACTGTACTTTTATAGGTATGCTCTTGCGCTCCTGCGACCCATCTAAAATGGCTGTTAGAACGTTGCCTAGCAGGAGAAAAAAAAACATACCTCGACTACCTTCCACCCGCCAGTGAGCTCGTTAGTCAACTCGTCCTCTAATCGCGTGATGGCAGCAATGTATGTGCATTGTTCCACCCGATCTTCTGCACCAACCACAATTTCTCGCGTCTTCGCATTCCGGAAGAGAAGCACTTCTTGCGTGTTAAACTGTATCACGAAGATGGGAATGTTATTCTCCAGGATCTTGCCGGCAGAAACCTATGATTTGAGTGTTAGAAGGACGAACACGACAGAAAGCATGCATGACGAACATCAACTTGTCGGATATCAAGGACTTTGCTGTCGCTGATGAGTCCTTGCCGTAAGTACTGCTCCATTGTTGCCCATAGAACATTATATGTCTAGAAGGAACTTTCAATTTCCTTTAGCAGCTCGATTCAATAGAGACTCACGGCTTCCCCACACCATGCCTTCAATGCTTCCTGATCAGCAGATAGATACGCGTCCACAACTTCCGGTACAATGTATTCCCTCAGCTCGCGTTCAAAGCCCTCCCTGTTGAATGTTGGATCCATCGCCTTCATCAACCGCATGACCTGAGCCGTCTCGTTCTCATCAAACCACGAACCGACCGTCTGCGTCACCGACCGGATCGACGAGATGACAGGATTTTCTGTTTCTTCATACGAGTTCCGCAAGGACACAAAGGTCCGCAGGATGGGGTTTGTCTCTTTTAGCCGGTTCCATTTTTCTTGGCGGGGCGAGTCCTTGTGTAGAACAACAGACGAGCCAGCTCTGGAAACGGAATCAGTAAGATGGACCACGAATGAAGAGAGCTTACGAACTCAGGATTAGCAGCTGTTCGTTTGGATGCCGGTCCTAAGCCGCTATCTTTCCCGGCTTTGATTAGCCGTCGCTGTCGACGAAGACGGCGCGCCTCCTTCTCCTCAAAACCGGCGTGTTTCGCACTACCGCTATCGTCGAGCGCGTCAATCAATGTTTCGGAAAGAGATTGATAGGCAGCTGTATTCCGGATGGGCTCGGTAGACTTTTTTATCGTTTCGGAGACGGCGCCCGTTGCTCGAGATATCTGGTTGACTTGAGTGGCAACTTCAAAGCTGGAGGTAGGTACGTACCGCCCGGACGATCTCGCTTTCTTCCATGCTCTTCAGGGCTTCCCCTACAGCGTCTCCGACTTTGACACCGGTCTTCTTCAGCTCTTCGGCGGCTGCGCGCAACCGTGGATTTTCTTTGATGCTTGAGGTGAGCTACAAAATGATAGTATTAGCGACCTCTTACAAAACGCATGATTTAGAGACGTACTCTGGCTCTCTCATATGCTGCCCGGGCCTTTTTCATGGCTTCTGAATCCTGGAACTTGTCAACATCACCCTGTAGAAGTTTGACATTGTCCTGAAGTTCCCTGTTCTTCCGTAGCTCATCCTTCAGAACATCGACGAAAGTCTGGAATGGAGATTTTGGTGGTTCATTTAGTTGTCTCGAAGAAGCGTGAAAGTTCGCTCTTGGTGCGCCAAGGATAGGTGGTGGTATCCGGGAAGGAAAATTCCTCAAATAATGGTGAGAGAGAACTGCACGGCTGCGCAGAGATGAGCGAAGGACGAGACTCTGTAGATGTCGAGGTAGCATGAACGACAAGTCAAGACGACAAGAACGGCTTAGAGCTCGCGTAAGTTCTCCGAATCCGATCGCCAAAAAATTTGCCACGTGCCGCAGATAAATTTATTTAAGTTTCCGCCTGTTTCCGCATCCTTCCGCTAAATGAGCTTGAAAAATCCTATTATTTAAATGTACATCTAGTCTATATAGGTGATACTTTTTTGTCATGTCCGTTTCGAAGGACTCTGCTTGAAGCTTGCCCAGACATCCTCAGTAGCGACAGCGATGCGCTCCTTTATACTTCCAAAGCTGTCCAAAGCGGGACGCACATCAAGAGAGAAAACTGGCGAACCGTCGGGTTCCGGAGGGGCAGAGTAGTAGTCAATTACATAGCGGACCTCGTCGCCAGTTTTTGGTCGTCGAACTACCCAGTCGTGACGGTCAAAGGGCGGTTCGGTACTACAAGAGAAAGTTTAGCTTGCTTGGGCCAGACAACAATGAAATATAGAACGTACTTGAATCGAGAAGGCAATAGCCAGCCAGCAAACATCCAAAACCGTGCCTTGGGTGACAATTCCCCAGGCCGTCCTTTGAAGCGAGCTAGCTGTATGTCATCTGAACTGAGGCAAAATTAGTAACAAGTCGGATAGAAGACAAGTTGACGTACTCGTAGGCCCTCCTTTCCCATTTCAACACCTCCTGCCACGCCTGCTCGTTTAAGAAATTGTGGATCTCTACCATCACCTCAACGTGTTCTTCTGGCGTTTCCCATCCCTTCCTAACCAGCGCGTTGTAGAATTGCTGAGGTGAAGGGTACTCCCATTTGGCAGATTGATCACGGGGAATGGAAGACTCGGTGCGATCTAATGGCAGGTGCATGGTCTGATTTGGTGCAGGTGACTGGGAGAGATTTGGCATTTGGTTCAGCGAATTGAGAGCTTGCGAGTCAACAGGGCATTGGGTGGGTTTGGAGTGATCCACAGGGCATTGGGCCGGCTTTGCATGGTCGACAGGGCACTGAGTTGGTTTCGAATCCTGGTGCATTGGACATCCAGACGGAGGCGCCGTCGTTGTCGTCATTGCTGGCACTGATGTCGCCTGGCCCATGGTCGTAGTCGATTGGTAAATGGACTCGGTAGGCTTCGGTCGCGTCACGATGAGCACGTGATTTTTAACCGCATTTGTCCGATTCTCGGTCCGGATGCCGGTTACCATTCCTTGTGCGATCCCCCACATCCCCTCTCTGAAGTTCCCCACGATCTGTCGTCCCCTCCGAGTCGGCTGGCGGCAAAATTTACATGCTCTCGAGGGCGTTACTTTCAAGCGAAATGTGTCCGGATCTAGTCTTTTGCCCGTTTCGGCGGCCTGCTCTGTTACAGTGCTCTGAACATTCTACGTACCCAGCCACAGTACGGCATACGGCGAATCATTGCCCGCCCATGTCTCCGAGAAATTTCACTCGTTGATCCACCGAACCCCTCGATCATTGTCTGAGTACGTCTTCGTCGGCGTGGGTGAGGAGCGTTCGTCACCGTGAAACATGGAACTTTGTCGTTTCGGTCATTTCACAACCGCCTGGACTTGGTCACGTTCTACAGACGTTTTCTCACGACGTTCACGACGTACGACACTCAATTATCTGTGGTCTTGAAATAGACCAGCATTCTGCGTTTCTATGTCCGTGTATCAAGGCACATGTACCCATCAATCAGACGACTGGTTCTCTGGCGCTTGAATGCATATGGTACTTGACCGCCATCACCCAGCATTCAACCAAGGCGAGATATATGAGTACATATACCAGTAATTTTTGCCAGCTCTAACCCCCACGCAAAATGCAGCCATCGTAAAGTCAAGAATGAAAGTGGTTGGCCAAGATCCGGCGGAATATAATTTATTTTTTGCTCAACTGGCGCGATTTCGACCATGTGGAGTTTCGCCCGTCCCTGATGGATTTGATATGATACAGACGGATTTTGCGTTCTCCATGCCGGTCTGGAAAAGACATGCGTAACGAACTCATTTCGGGGAAACCCTTTAGGACGACCCCCGACATGATCTTAGACCAGACTGACCACCGCGTGGACATCGGGAGTGCGTTTCAGCCAGTAATGCTCAGTCTTGGACTCGTTCAGCGCAGGAATACGAATATTTCGGCCACTAAACTGACCAATGTGGCGTCTTGACTACCCGGTGAACAATGTGGGGTAAATAGAAGCACAGGAAGACTCTTCCCCGCAGGGGTTTCGCAGAAGCAAGTCATGATCCGGGGGTTGATCAAAATTACTCGCTGGTTCTATGTACGTTCATGCTGTTTCCATCTATCTCGATCCAGCTACTAGACTGTCTCGACATGTACCTTTTTCGGATCCCAGCCCTTGATTTTTTTTTTGGTATATAAACCGGAGTTATTCTCGTTGGTCTTAGGCCCCGACACCTCAATCGTACCTTCATCACTGCGTCTTGAATTATTGTCTAACCACTCATGGCTGGAGGTCCAGTAGCTAGCGGCCCCGGTATTGGGGCCAACGCACCAAAGGTATCTCTACCCTTCCCTCTGGTCCCTCATTGCTGACCTCTTGCGTGTAGAACAAGCTCGCAGGCATCGTCATGGTCTGCTTTTCTGCCTTTGGCGGTATCCTCTTCGGTTATGACACTGGTGTAATCAGCGGGGTCATAGGGATGAATGACTGGCTTCACACTTTCGGGCACCCGACAGGCGATGCTGATGGTTCCTACGCCATCTCTTCTTCTACTGAGTCCCTCGTCGTTTCAATCCTGTCTGCTGGAACCTTCTTTGGTGCCCTCGCTGGTGCCCCAGTCGCTGGTATGCCGGCTTCTTTCATTTACCTTACGGGACTGATTGATGTGCGGTAGACTATATCGGAAGGAAATGGGGTATCGTTTTTGCGTGCCTCGTGTTCTCTGTCGGTGTGGCCATGCAGACAGCGTCTACTGCCATCCCTCTATTCGTAAGTTTACCAGATCCATGTGTAAGATCATCAGAAATTTGACTGTTTTCCGTCATCCTCGTAAAGGTTGTTGGTCGAGTATTCGCTGGTCTCGGAGTCGGTCTCGTTTCTTGCTTGGCGCCAATGTACCAGTCTGAGACCGCGCCAAAATGGATTCGTGGTGCTGTCGTATCCTTGTATCAATTTTCAATCACCGTTGGCCTCCTCCTCGCTAACGTCATCAATAACGCCACACATAACTATACGAGTCACGCCTCCTATCGTATCCCGACCGCAGTCCAATTCATATGGGCGTTTGTTCTTGCTTCTGGAATGGTTTTCCTCCCCGAAGTACGTTCGTTAACATTGCATCCGGTTTAGATATTTATATTCAACCTTGATCGTTTTCGTTTAGTCCCCGCGGTGGTTGATCAAGAAAGGCAGGGATGATCAGGCGGCTGTCTCGCTCAGCCGTCTTACTGGCCTCCCCGCCGACCACCCTGACCTTGAGGCCGATCTCATCGAGATTCGTGCTAACCTCGAAGAAGAACAGGCTATGGGCGAGAAGTCTTATCTTGACTGTTTCCGCAACACCAAAAATAAGATGGCCCTGCGAACCTGGACAGGTATCTCAATTCAGGCATGGCAACAATTGACTGGAAGTATGTATATCCTCGATGATGTTTCCTATTCTTGTTGACACCACCTTACAGTTAACTTCATTTTCTATTACGGCACGACATTCTTCAAAAACTCGGGAGTACAGTCTGCGTTTTTGATTAGTATCGCTATTGCCATTGTTAACGTCTTGTACGTGCACCTCAGTTCGTCCTTTTTTGGTTTATTTTTTGAACGACAACTTCAACAGTATGACCATTCCCGCTCTCTACGGCGTAGAGAGAGTGGGCCGTCGTACCCTTCTACTTTACGGGGCTGCCGGCATGTGCATCTGCGAATTCATTGTCGCAATCGTCGGCGTTACCATCTCCACGGACAATATTACTGGTCAGAGATGTCTTATTGCCTTTGTCTGCATCTACATCGTGAGTGACGGTCGTGTATTTCCTTTTGTATTCACTGACGGTGCCATAGGCCTTCTTCGCATCGACATGGGGTCCTATTGCCTGGGTCATTACCGGAGAGATCTTCCCTCTGGAAGTTCGTGCCAAGGCGATGTCGCTCTCCGTGGCAAGCAACTGGCTGTGGAATTTTGCTATCGGTTACGCCACACCCTACCTTGTCAACTCCGGCGCCGGAAATGCAAACTTGGGGTCAAAGGTTTTCTTCATCTGGGGAAGCACCTGTGCATGCTGCGTTATCTTCACGTACTTCTTTATCCCTGAGGTATTATCACCCTCTTCTGCCACCGTCCACATGGTGCTGACGGGTTGTTTTTAAGACCAAGGGACTGTCGCTCGAACAGATTGATCTGATGTATCAGCACACGATGCCCGTGAACTCACTGAGATACCGGGCGAGACTCATTGCGGAAGGTCAAGATCTCAAACATGATATCGACCACAGGGAGGACGCTTCGGAGGAGAAACCACGGGTTTAATGCATGGAAGGACACGCTTTTTTTCTCTTTTGCTTTGGATGATTCTGTACTCTGAAAGGGTTTTGTGACGCTCATGAACCTGTAAAAACATACCTTGTAACGTGACCTACGATTAATGAGAAATAATTCAAATTGCAATTGCATTACCTAACACTGCTGTATACGGAAGTAAATTGTATTACGGCTTGTTTGGCAACAGCTTGAGCATAGTACGCGTTCAGCGCAACTCTTTGACGACCATAAAAACAAAAAACCAAATTCTTTCTTTTTTCCTACATTGCCCTTTTTGTTATGAACCCTTCCCAGTCGCTTCCTTCACCAGCAGACTCTCCTTCGCCTTCCCTTCGACCTTTAGAGAGCCGCAAACGACAGCGGTCGCAATCCATGGAGTCCGATACCTCATCATCATCCCAGAAACGCACTCTATCAGATCCTGCCACCCAAGAAAGTTCAGGTCGCAGTCCTCGCGCTGACCAAATGTCTACCCTATCTCTTTCTGACCCAAATCACGACATCGACACCGACATGGAAGAACCCATAACAGAAAATACCCCTGCATTTGCTGTGACGCCACCTCCGGAAAAAGTCCTGACCATTAACAAGATTCGTCTCAGAAAGATGCAGGAAGGGGAGACTTGGTACCTCGTCAGCAAGGGGTGGTGGGAGAAATGGCGCAAGGCCTGTTTAGGGATTGTAGACAAAGAAGGACCTCTCCAAGAGGAGGATCTTGGCGCAGTGGATAATTCTTCTCTTATTGATGAATTCGGTAACCTCAAGTCTCCAATTGTTGAGACCTACGATGCAGAATTTATCCCGCAGGAAGCATGGAATCATTTTGTTGCTTGGTGAGTAGGTTTTTATATGGCGCGTTCGCTGGTTGTATGCCTTGCAGCGGCGAAGCTCGGTTATTCAATGCTGTATATCGCTCTGGTTTTTGTTTCTCACCTCTCATTCTACAGGTATGGTGAACCGCAATGTGTATTGCCTCGAAAAGCCATTACACGCTCTAATGAAGTCTCATTGGAACTTCAGCCGCCTCGCCTCAGAGTACTTCGTCTCGCACAGAGTGAAGTCCTTCCCGACCTCGATGCCCCTTCCCATCCATACGTCACGCTCTCCACCCAAGACACGATGAAAACACTCTGCGAGAGTTTGGCCAGCGTCGTTGCTCCTGAGTCTCCTGACCCGCTACCCGAGTATCGTGTGTGGAAAGTTGAGCCATCTGGTGATGACTTTAATCATCCAGAATATCCATTATCCGAATTCAACATCAACCGCGGCACACGAGTAAAGCCCACGGACGATACCTTGGCAGACGGGCTTATTGATACGGACGATGCGTTTGTAGTGGAGTTCAAGCGAGATAATGGGTGGCTCTCAGATACACCGCTGACACCCAATACTGCAGCAGTAGCTTTTGAGCCAGATCCAAAGCCCCTTTTCAACTCGAGCGATAGTTTTTTCAATCGAATGGGCAATAACTACAACATGACAGTGACGACAACGAAGACGCGGGCTACGGTAGATGATTATTATGTATCCTCCTCGCCATCGAAACCAAACGGCAGGATCCATAGAACGGTAGAGCCGGGTACGTTAGGGTTGGGTAATATGTAAGCTTTCCTCTCTTCTCTAAGGACTTACGAGACTCACCGCATGCTCAGGGGAAATACTTGCTTCATGAACTCTGCATTACAATGTCTGGCACATACTAAAGAACTTGCAGAATACTTCTTAAGTATGTCAATCCCCTGTTTACAAGTTTCAAAAACTGACTTGCCACCGAAAGCCGGCGTTTTCAGAGACGAACTTAACCCTGATAACCCCCTTGGTATGCATGGGGCCATCGCTGAAGCTTTCGGTGCTCTTTTAGAACGCATCTGGGATGAGAACGGCATAGCATCATCTTATTCCCCTCGCGAATTCAAATCCCAGCTCCAGCGTTTCGCGTCTCAGTTCAGTGGCTACCAACAGCATGATTCTCAAGAGCTGGTTGCATTCCTCCTCGACGGCCTGCACGAAGACCTGAATCGGGTCTTAAAAAAACCATACGTCGAAAACCCTGATTGGGAAGGCGGAGGTGATCTTGAGCTGGTTCAGCTAGCCAAAAAATCCTGGGAGGGTTATAAGAGGCGGAACGACAGCGTCATCGTCGATTTGTTTCAAGGTCAATACCAAAGCACGCTCGTTTGTCCAGAATGCAAGAAGGTAAGTTGCATTATTTTATGAACTTCTCAGATGGTCAACGTTCTCGTCAGGTTTCCATTACATTCGATCCTTTCATGTACTTGACACTACCGCTTCCCGTGAAGAAGAAGTGGAGACACACAATCTTATATATCCCCTGGGATGTCCAGAAGCCTCACGTAAAGGTAAGCGTGTTCACATCGTTTTCGTGTTCCACCATTTCACGGGACCGTGTTAGATACCTGTAGAGTTAGGACCAGACGCGTCATTAAAGGACTTACGAGCTCTGCTCGGTAGATGGATGGGTGTGAACCCTGATTACGTACGTGCTACATCATTTTTTTCTTTGCGTTGCTAATACGACTATCTTCAGCTTCTTACTCTCGAAACATTCCAGCACAAATTCTACAAAAACCTCAATGATTCAGTGCTCTGCGGCGAAGTACAGGACAACGATGTGGTCGTTTGCTATGAACTACCTTGTCATGCTCAACAAAGCCGAACGTACAAAAAGCAGCCGGATGACCCCATCATTGTTCCCATGTTCCTCGCGGACGCTCATGTCATATCTACGTCTTTCAAGCCCAGCTACAGTCGCGGAGATGGATATTTCGGGCACCCTTCGATCATGGTCCTCAAAAGAGAGGAAGCTAAAAGCGTTGATCTCATGTATAACGCGGCAATCGAACGGTTACAGCGATGGACTACGAATACCCGGGATCTGTATGATTGGCAGGGCGAAAATTCCAAAGGCTCCGACACTGATCCTATCCAGATTAGTGGCGTCCGAGTGACCGATTCGCTTACCGAAATTCGCGAAGGTGGTGATGTCGTTACCGTCCAGGACATCGTTGTTGAAGAGGGCGATATAGTTGACGCCAAGAGCGTGAACATTGGGGAAGACGACGACTCGATGAGCGATAATGGCTTGCAATCCAAATCCGACATGGAACCTATAAAAGTCGGTCCTAAGAAGGGTATCTTCACGTTGCGCTTGAAATCCGACTTCAAGGATTACGTGTCTCCTCAGGTTGGCTACTATCAGACGAAGACCTATGAATCCTGGGACAAGAGGGAGGAGGACATTGACAATGAACCCGTTCTGCTCCGCGAGAATGATGCTCTGTTTTGCGAGTTTGACGAAAACCTGAAGGCATATTATTTTGGTGAAGAGCGGAGGCAGTTTGAACATGCCCGATGGGATACTTGGGGGATGTGCGTTCATCCCGAGTACCGGGAAGCGCAAGAGGCGTCAGCTGGGAAAAAGCCGAAGGACATTTCATTGCAAGACTGTCTCGATGAGTTTACCAAGGAGGAGCGTCTTGGCGAAGATGACCTGTGGTATTGTCCCAAGTGCAAGAAACACCAGCAGGCCTCGAAGAAGTTTGATCTCTGGAAGGTACCGGATGTGCTTGTCGTCCACCTCAAGCGCTTCAGCAACAGCCGGACCCTTCGTGATAAGATCGATTCATTCGTGGACTTCCCCGTGGAGGGTTTGGATTTGACAGCGATGGCTGGGGAACGGACTGTGGCTAAGAGGCTTGAAGATAGTGGTATTGCAACAGACACTCTAGAATTCGGCAACCTGGACGAGCCTTTGGTATATGATCTTTTCGGAGTCGACGAGCATATGGGTGGGCTTGGAGGAGGTCACTACCGTGCCTATGCGATGAACCATCTCACTGATCAATGGCATCATTTTGATGATTCGTATGTAACGTTGGCGCGTGCAACGGATGCTGTGGTGAGCAACACGATTTCTGTATCTTTGGTCGATCTATTGATGACTTTGTTTCTAGAATGCCAACGCCTATCTACTTTTCTATCGACGTCGAACATCTTCTCCGTTGGGTGGGCAAACCCACGCGAAGGTGGAAGCCGCTCGTTTAAGTCTCACTATAGAAGATGAGAGCCTTGAGGCGAACACTACAGTGGATACGCAGTTGCCGACACCTCCCAATGAAGAAGATAGCTACTCTGGTACTGTGTATCCGAAAACGCCTTCGTCATCAGACGATTTCACATTATCAACCAATCATTGGCGTCCAATCTCGTCTGCCCCATGCTCTTTACCCTCTCCTGCAGCTGATGACCCGCCAGGTTTTGACGAATCCCTCGACTCTAATGACTTACTCGGCAATTATGACAGTCATGCCCTCACGCGCTCACGACTCGACTACAACTTTCCTGATCCCTCTAGCAGCACATCCCCAACTTCGTCCGTGGAGGCCGAAGCAGACCTTGACACTGATCCAGACCTGGAGGATGAGGATTGGCAGGGTTCATCATCTTTTCGTGGACGGGCGTCACCCACTTGGTCAGAAATAGGCGTCGACAGGATAGCCTCTCCTTCTGACTCAAGTCTTTCAAGTTATGACTTGAATTCGTTTGCTGACGTTCATGCACGTCGACCAGACGATGAGCTTCCTTTAGCTTCAGCTTCGTAATATGACCATAGACTTCCGTGTAATCTATCGTCGTAATCACGTATTCGCTACATTGCTTTCCGATACTTATTTGCTACACCCATACTTTACATAGCTGCACAAAAATCCAATAATCTGTAATAACAGATAGTAATGTAATCCGACCAAATTCCAAATTTGGCAATTGACTAACCACTCTTCCTACCACAAACATCTATTCCTTGTCATGGCCCGCAGGAAGCGTGTCCTTGAGGACGGCGATGACTCAGACTCCTCTGTGGGATCAGAATCAGGCGGAGAGGGAATAGAAGATGACCCGTATCGCCGGAAACGAAGGCGAAAGGATGGCAAGGAGGACGCTATATACGGTGTATTTGGAGATGATAGCGACGAAGAACCTTACCAACGACGGCCAATGAAGAAGAAGCAACCTACATTTGTCTCACAGAAAGAGCCAGAGAATTTGCCTATGAATGTCGACGAAGAAGACGAGCTGGAGGAAGACACCGACACTGCTGGATCCGAGGGTGAGGAAGGTGAGGATGCTCGGGACGTTTCTGACGAGTCTGGACCTTCCAGGCTACCCTCACCCCGAGTTCGGGATGAGGATGAGGATGACTCGTCGTTCACGCCAGCGCTTGGTGGCCTAGGATCCAACTATTCGGCCTTTTCCAAGGCAGGTATTGGTTCGACTTCTTCACCGTTGTCAAAGGGTGGCATTGGTGCCGGAAAATCGACGACCATTGAATCCGCCTTTGCCAAAGGTGGTATTGGCGCTGCTTCCTCCCCTTTCGCCAAAGGCAGTATCGGTTCCGCAAAATCCACATCTATCGAGGCGTCTTTCACAACTTCTCAAGCTAGCACATCGACTCCTGCATACACACCCCCTTCCAAAGATCTACCATCAGCCTTTGGTGGCAATCGCTCGTCGTCTTTTTTGCGCAACTCTGGCCTTACTCCAGAGCCCCCCGTTCTTAGTCATGCAGAGCAAGCGCACTTCCAAAACATATCAAGCTCTTTTGGTGCACGAATGCTAGCAAAGATGGGATGGCAGGCAGGCACGGGTCTCGGAACGACGGGAGAAGGCATTGTCACGCCCGTAGAGACCAAGATGCGGCCTGGCAGAGCGGGTATTGCTTTCCGCGGTTTCAAGGAGAGGACGGAGCAATCCAAAATGGAAGCAAGAAGGCGAGGAGAAGTCGTTAGCGACGATGAAGAGGATGTGAAGGTGAAGAGAGCCAGAAGGAAGGAAAAGGAAGCCAAGGAGAAAAGGTCTGCCGTTTGGAAGAACCCCAAAAAGATCAAGACCAAGATAGAACACAAGACATACGAAGAAATCCTTGCAGATACCGGAGAAAACGTGTCGTCAGTGTCCGGTGTTGGCCAAATTATCGATGCTACAGGCGCGGTCGTACGTGACATTATTCATGCTTCTTATTTGAGGTCTCACTCTGTATTTTTGCAGCCCCGAGAAGTTAGCTCCCTAGCTGATATATCTCTGAATACCTGGTCTCCGTCAAACGATCCTACGCGAATACCTGAAGTCCGCCATAACATCAGACTGATAGCTGATGCATGTAAGAGTGACCTTGATGGCCTAGCAAGGGAGGCCAAATCTTTGGATGAAAAGAAAAAATGGGTTGTTAAAGAGGATGTACGGCTACGGAAGAGGGTCGAAGAAGAGGCTGAACGTGAGTGCCTTATCATTTATATCCCGTCAGAGTCTAACAGAAGCAGTCATTGCCCGTTTGCAGCAAGTGCAGCTTGTAGCTAACGAATTCGATGCCAAATCCAAAGAGCTCGCCGCTGCTTATGAAGTATCGCTTGACCCATTCTCTCCCTTGGTTTACCGGCTTTTGAGCGAGTATTCGAATGAGTTTGACAAATATCGACTCGATGAAATTGTTGTCGCGGCCATAGCGCCTTCAGTGAGTATTGTTTTTCGTGGAGTTTGTGGAGCACATTATTAAACCGTTTTCTAGGTGCGACGAATGGTGTCACAATGGGATCCCTTACAAGACCCCGCTTTCCTCATTTCCACTTTCCGGAGCTGGCGGCGTGCTCTCCGTGTCAACTCACCCCCTGAGAAACCCCAAACCCAGGTAGACGTTTATGGAACGCAAGTGACTCGGGCACCTGTGGTAGAAGCGTGAGTTGCATGTTATTATCAGATTGAGTACCTCATCAATTGACCCAATGCAGTGAAAAACCTATGACTCCCTTCGAAAGTTTACTATGGACTGTATGGCTGCCACGGGTCCGTACATCCATCAACAACGAATGGTCTGCACATAGCCCTACTTCCGCTGTCAAACTTTACGAGGCGTGGTCCTCTTTCTTACCGGCATTCATCTCTGACAATTTTCTTGATCAGTTGATCTTACCAAAAGTTCAGAAAGCTGTAGCGACTTGGAACCCCAAGCAAGATACAGTGACTCTTCAGACCATTGTATTCCCTTGGCTTCCTCATGTAGGCCTCCGTTTAGAGGAAGTCATTGGTGATGCCAGACGGAAAGTAAGGAACCTACTCCGTAGCTGGACGGCGGGCGACAACATTCCGAAGGATCTCATTGCTTGGAAAGACGTACGTCGCAATCTCTTCGGTAACTCTGCCTTTACTGATCTTGAAATACTACAGGTGTTCGATTCGAGCGACTGGGATAGCATCCTGTTGAAATATGTCGTCCCCAAGTTGGGTTCGACGCTGAGAAATGACTTCCGTGTCTACCCACGAAATCAACGAATGGAACCATTGCAACACGTCCTTCAGTGGGCAGAATTCATCCGCCCAAACATCTTCTCACAACTAGTTGAGACAGAATTCTTTCCAAAGTGGCTGGATGTTCTGCACATCTGGCTCATACAGCCGAACGTCAGTTTCGAGGAGGTGGCTCAGTGGTATTCGTTTTGGAAAGGCACATTCCCCGAGAGTGTTCAAAGCATGCCGGGAGTTTCACGCGGGTTCACGCGTGGACTGCAGTTGATGAACAAGGCGATTGAACTAGGACCTGACGCGCCCACGCGCCTCCCTAAACCCGATTTCCGTGCAGAAGTTGCGTCGGGCACTCCTTCACGTAATGGGACGTCGAAAGTACAACCAAGACCATCGGCTAGGACACAAGAAATCACGTTCCGCTCTATTGTGGAGGAGTTCGCTGCGTCTCATAACCTCTTATTCTTACCTACAGGTCGTGCACACGAGAAGTCGAGGATGCCACTGTTTCGCGTCAGTCCATCGGTTGACGGGAAGGGCGGTCTTTTGGTTTACATTTTGGATGACGCTGTGTGGGCGGCAGCGGAAGGTGTTGGGAGTGCTGTAGAGGATTACGTGGCTATCTCTTTGGATTCTATGGTTTTACGTGCTAGCACTTGAGACTGTACAAGTGGAGCCGAGCCTCGACTGATTTTTTTTCGAAATGGATGGCTGAGCAGAGGATGGTATCAAAACGAACCTTAGCCGAAGTCATGGATATAAAGAGGCTTAGAGTGACGGTGTTTTTTTCCGTCCGAGACGTACGGATGGTGCATGGTTACCCGCGAAATGTGAGCGTAGCGGACTTTGAAGGCCAGAACGTGGAAGATAATTCTAGAGCCATGCAATGCGTTTCAGACCGTCATGAAGATTGAATTCAGACGCCGTCAACCTGCCATCTATTGCTCAACAGCAAAGGCCATCAACCTAGAGCGATGTTGGCTAGGCTAGGCGGCCTGTTTGATAGAGATTCCAAGGTAACCGGAAATCACAAGAAACAGCTAGGGTAAGGAAATACAGGGATCACTGGCATTTACAACGGAAATACCATCGTTCCTTCTCATAAGGTGGCGGTGCCTCATCTTGGTCTTTCTCCACATTTGAATCATTCACTGTTTCCGCTGGTCGAGATTCCGCATCCTCCGTGACGTTTTGTGCGCGCCGTTTCCCGGAATCGCGTCGACGTCCGTGCTGAAGCCGCCGACCTATTGCATATAATGGATGGCAACAGAAATGGAAAACAGTGAATCCCAAGGCGAAGAGGATCGGGATCATTCCGAAGAGTGCTGTTATTGCCCATTTCCAGGCTGTGAATGAAACATCCAAAGACAGCTGTCAGTGTGCAATTAGCCAGTGCTGTGACATCTTCGCTGGATTGTTGACGCACCTCTGTCAAACTTTTGGGATTGTAAAAACATTTAGTCGTGGAGTTGACTGCGTGATCCCCCAAAAACGTTTCGGCTTTGCTGGAATCTAGTGAAAAATCTTGCGTGTAAGGAACGTTTGATTGGGTATAGCCGTTGTACGGTGAATAGGACATGATGAGCGTGACGGAATAGCAAGTAGGGCAGCGCAGGGTGCACTGGCGATGATTGGTAGAGCTGCAGCAATAACAATTACATCTGAAATGCTCTACAATGAGGACGTTAATAACAAAATAGGATTGACATACGACGTCGATGTGCATGATTGACTGCAAGATGATGCCAACGTTGGATCGGAGCAACTACATAGTGGCCGCGGCGTTCAGAATAAGATATGGGCTTGAGTGCAAGCCTACCTCGTTGTGCATGTCTGACATGTGCTGCAACATTGACTACAGCAGTGGTAGCTTTGATTAGGTGGGGCAGATAATCAATGCGTATAACGCGAAATAAAAAGCAGCGAATTTACCCTCTGTCACAGATAGTTCCGATGGCCTCCGGACACAGTGTTGTTCGCCGCACAGGCTGCCGGATTGTAACCACCATTTACTTGATTGATGAGGTCGCCACAGGTGCTTGCGCCATTTGGTGCGCTCGTGAAACAATTGGGTGAACAGTCTGAGTAGCAACAATATCGCGTAGAAAGCGTGGCGTTATTGACGGTACAAGTCGTCAGGGGCCAACCGTTCCGTATTATTTCTGCGACATGTTGAGCATTCCAGTCAGTGTAAACTTATCCTACAAACCTTTGTAGTTCAGTCCAAAGAACAAACCAAAAAAGAGGGGGAGAGAAAGGACGAAAAAACATAGAAACCAGCCCCAGTGAGGACGCGAGTATGTCATGGTGGCACGCGAAACAGGAAAGGCGCGACTCCTGTTTTTGAATGCTGCCAAGAATCTTAGACTCCCCGCATGGCCTTCAGATGGTCTCATTTAGATAAGACGCCTTCCGCTAGTTCAGCACCGCATTATTGTCTATGTGTGGCTTGTTGAGTGAGGGTTCATGTCCGAGTCCTACGAGATGAGATTCTTGCTACAAGTTAGTGTATTGAGGCTCAAAGTAGGAAACAACAGTCCCGGATTATTTGAGAGAGTCTGCTGGTCGGGAAGATCTAGTTCAGATAAACGAGAATGGCCACTCCTCTTGGAGACTGAGAAGGCAGCGATCGGATGAACATACTTCGTGGGAATTCGAGGCGATGTAGTCCAGCGGGCCGAGCTCCTGTTGCGCCTTTCCCACCTCGATATGGACATTTCTCGGTTTGAGCCGAGCGATAATTTTGTGACAATTGCTATTCTAATTTAGGTCCTTCTAACCCGGGCTTCAGCAGTCAGCGTACAATACCCTCCATCGTTTCTTCTGACTTGACCACCATCATCTCTGATTCTCCTGGAGATATTCCAGGATTCTTCCAGCTTCGGTTCCTCCTTGCCATCAATGATTTCTTTTGTTTTCCTTGCCAGCTACAAAAGCACCGTTGCATCTGTAGGTCCGAGACCAGCAGTTGCCAGTCATGAGTAGGCGCTTTCATATGGCCTCGCTGGATTCCATAGCAAAGAAAAACAATAAGGCAAGGTGATCCGTATCTTATCGTGCCATAATGCTCACGTCATACGAAATGACAAACAATAGCTGTCCACCACTGCGGTCATTTGCTTCCGTCCAATCAACTTCTTTTCGTTGATTCCCTTTTCTACTTAACTACGCAGCTATCACCGGTCCAGGGCGCTCGGGACTTATAAGTAGCCGCCACCAATTGTACAGTACCAGCGTGCGATTTTTTATTGTATTCTCCCTCATAAAGGCGACTGCCGTTAGTTCAGGTTCTGTTCGCCTTCATGTCCATGATTCGACGCGTCGTCATCGTCCTGGCACTCGCGGGTCTCTTCGCAAAGGTCTTGGCAGATACCCTTCCAAGCTCATACCCTCATGTTTATTCCAACCAACCGTCCACTGACCTTGGTCCTGATTGGCAGAGCTGTAAGCATTTCGCCTTCCTTTTCTTGCCAACTTCCTACTAATTTCTCGTCAGACTTTGAGGTAACCGAGTCATTACCCAACGTTACATTCGATGTGTCGCGTAGTTTTGCCGGAAACATCGCCGTTCAACGCGAAGGACATCCAAATAATACACTGTTCTTCTGGGCATTCGAAAAAGAGGAAGGCTCCCTTACCGCGGACACTAACGGCACCAGCACGGAACCGTGGGGCATATGGCTCAACGGAGGACCGGGGTCATCGAGTATGTACGGCCTTCTCTTCGGTGTGAGTATTCCATCTTTCAGCCGTGCTTCGCGCTCACTCAGTCTTAGAACGGTCCTATAAATATTGGCGGTGATTACAGTGCTTCGCGCAACAATTATACGTGGGCAAACGTTGCGGACTACGTGTGGATCGACCAGCCGGTGTAAGTTCTCACAGATCTTCATCCCCAAATTTATTTGTAAAATTCACACGTTGCAGAGGCGTCGGATTTGCAACTGCAGACGCCGACGGATATGGTGCGTTCCGAGTATAGGATGTCCCTTAATACATCATTGATTGACACACAATTGTTCAGTCGCCGACGAAAACCAAGTGGGAGAGGACTTCATGGGATTCCTGGAGAACTTTGTTAAAGTCTTTCCGAGCCTTGCCACAAGACCCCTCTATATTACAGGGGAAAGCTATGCGGGTACTTACATAGTATGCTTCTCATTAAATTTCGTGCCAGCTTTCTGATAATTCCTCTCTACAGCCCTATATCATGAAAACGTACTTTTCTATGTCAAAACCGCCCGTCAATCTTGCCGGAATAGGAATCGGGAACGGTGCGATCACTTCTGGGCAAGTGTTTGAGCTATTGCCTGCTGTAAGTATATTATTGTGGCAGGAACACCTCTGAAACATCGTTTCTCAGCTTGATACGATACAAACATACCCTCAGTTGATCGGTTACGACCCTGAGGTGTATGAATACTTTGAAGAACAGTGGGTACCGCTCCATCGCATCGTATCCAGGGATTGAATGTTCAACAGGAGTAATTTGTGTGGATACGACGTCAATCTCACGTACCCTCAAGGGGGCATCATTCCAAGTGTTCCCTTGATCCTGCCTACGGATCGTGATGTCATTTTTCTCCTTTCGGAGATGAGGATGCGATCATTTAAATCTCAGCTGTTTTCCAAGTTGTCGGGCAGAGCTGATGAGGTGAATACACTCACCAGACGAGATCAGGCAGCTCGAGGTGAGGAATGGAAAAGGGACCTTACCGGACGAGCCAATGGAACAATTGATTCGTGGGTGCGTATCTACTTTTCTCGTCGAATGAGAAGGTGCTTGATCAACTTGATAGTATGGTTGTCTGCTTCTGGATGAATTCATTGACTATGCCCTCAACTTCACGTACCCTTGGAGTAAGCCGAGATTAAGAAGCCTTTTGATACTCCTTACAACTTCTTTTTAGATATTACTCAGGGCTTCAATGTGATTGAGGCCAACGTTATCTCTGTTGCATGATCTGACTTGGTGTCTATAGGTGTATGACATACCGGATGCGCTCAATCCTGAAGTGACTACAGATGGAACTGTATTCTTGAATGGTCAGTTAGTCTAGCCTCGAAAATTATTTATACGAACTAAATTGTGATGTTCTAGATAATCAGACCAGGGCTGCACTCCATGCACCCACAAGCAAGGACTGGGCCCTCAGTATTGACTACACATTCGGCCAAAATGGTGCGCGATCATCGATTAACATTGCTACGACTTGGCTAAGTTGCCTTTTCAGGATCTGCTGACCCAAGTAAGCGTTCACCTATAATTGAGGCGTATGGAACTTATCTCGTGTGTTCTTCTCAGGTCCCGAGTACGGCATTTCCCTTAGTAAAGTCGGGAATGAGGCTGAGAAATTATTATTAGACCAATGGTATTCTTGACGGAGCTCGCAACCAATGCCACTGCACAGAATATCACCATCGTCCTGTACTCAGGCAATGATGATTCTCTCATTGCGCACCGTGGGACAGAAAGTATGTCACAATGTATATTTCACTGATCTAACGGACTTATGCCCAACTGGATAGTTGCCATCCAGGTAAGTCTCCTGACCTTCATCAGAATGTAAGTTGACGGTTTTATGCAGAATACCACATTCGGAGGGATCCAAGGATTTACAAAGAAACCATCGACACCTTGGTACGACGAGTCAGGCGCTTTTGCTGGTATCGTGCATCAAGAGAGAGGCTGGAAGTACGTCTTGGTCAACGGAGCTGGACATCTCGTCACGACAGATGCGCCTGAGGCCGTGGGTCTTTTTCACGGGGCTCTGATGGAAGCCACGACACTAATGAATTCAATGTAGGCTTTCCTTCTTGCTCGAGACTTCATTCTCGGCAATAACGAGACTGGCTTGGTGGACGGCGACCGTGTGGTCGGAGGGGAAGATTCGGCGTTGGCTGTCGACGTCTTGCCTGGCGGAGATGAAATCTATTACGGCGCCGGGACTACTCAATCAACGTACATATTCCCTTCGGCAACACGATCGGCCTGGGAGGCGTTCATCCAAACGGCCACCGCCGCTGCTGGCGTAACGTTGGAGAGTCAGAATGGTGGTCAAGGTCTGTATCAACTTGAGAGCACTAGCAGGTTCGGGTGGGCGGTGTCTATTATTACTATCTTATGTTGGATGCTTTAAACGATCTTTGATGAGTTGACGAGTTCGTGTATACTTTTATCGCTGGCCGTACTTTATTTTCTTATTTTATAGTGTTATCATGCTGATCGTATGAGAACAATGTAACTACTATAGAATATCCATACAGGTGCGGTGCAGACAATGATCCGGAAATCTAATCAACTAGAATATTTATATTCGACGAGCGTGCACAGAATAGTAGACGGCAACAAGGCCTTGCGCTCTACCTATTTCAGCTCTAGCGCCGGCGTAAAGGTCATCAAGGTCACTTGCATTCACTCCGAGTTCTAGAATGACCGGTCGCACAGAGTCCATGTACCTGGATAGGACTGCGCGAAATGCTCTCCCTATTCTTTGTATAGCATGATCTGAGCTCCAGGGCCCAACAGGAAAGTAGTGAGTTTGAGGTGTAACCTCAAAGAATCCCCCACTGCTTTGAAGCAGACTATGTACAGTTCCCGGCACATTCTGGGGGATCCCGCGGCGAGCCAGCGCATCGCGAAGAAGTTGGAAAAAGTGGCAAAAAGAGGGCGTCTGTGATGCGGGATCGAGGTTGTAACTGGGGTGGATGGTTGGATGCTGACCCCATTCTCCCGACACGAAGATCCCTCCCGGACGGAGAATGCGACTTACTTCTCGAATGATTCTGCGGTAGTCGCGAATCTGGAAAATTTATGGATCAGCATCGGCCCCGTGATGGTGCGAATATTGAGTAGGACTGACCGTCATGGAGACAGATCGTGCGTGTACGAAATCAATACTACGGTCTGGGTATCTGGTACGTTCGCCGACGTCATGAATCTCGAAGTTGACGTTGGGGAGTGGATACCGGGTGGCGATTGGAACTAGAAAAAATTGCTAAGTCAGGGAGTAAATATGGAGATACCTTGCGAGAATACAGTACCAATATCAAAGCCATAAAAGCGAACGTGAGGATATTGCTCTGCCATTTCCATAACCCTAAGGATCGATGTCCCTTTATCAGATGTAAAAGAATGTTGCTGCAAAGAAAGGATTTACCATTTTCCGGTCCCGGTACACATATCAACAACGATTTTATGGCGCCCGGGTTCCCACATTAGGATTTCAGGGACTGGACCCACATAGTGTGCGCCTATCATACAGAACAAAACGTTGTGCAGGACATTAAGCCTCTGAGATAGGCACCGACAGGTCAGGGCACGCGGACTGAATTGCTTGGTGATATTACCTGTTGTTCCGGGGTATCGACTGGTAAAGGATACGGGGATGTGGCCGAAGAATGGAAGAGACGACCATTGCTTTCAACAAAATAATTGATGAACTCGTCCGAACGTAATTCCACGAGGTCAGAGTCATCCGAGCCGAAGGAATTGTCTTCAGCGGAGTAGGAGGAGACGTTCTGGGTGTGTCCTGGCATTCCGAGGGGTACTAGAGAAAGAGACAGAGCCACAGACAGGTAGTTATATGTCGGAAAGTTCTGCGGAGCGCATGTAGGTCCCTGCTTGTTTTGTGTACAATTATTGACAGTGACAGGGTGAGTGCGAAGCTCAGGGAATGCCGTCGCTACGGTATAAAGCCAGAAACTACTATTCTGGCAAGTACAAGTACATCTCAAGTCAGAAACGATAGAACACATCAACATTCTTCTTCTGATCAGGGACCAGAAATATTGATGACATAGGTTAGGCGTGTAAGCTCTCTACCGGAACATTCCTCGAAAAAGAAGACTTCAGGTGAGCATTGTACGGCGGAAATTATTGTCAAAGAGGCGGCACGCGTGAAGGTGCCGGTGTGCGACCTGTACGACCTTGATTTGGAACGATCCAGAATCTCAATAGAGACATTGCCGCATGGCCGCCGGCTGGACATGGGAAGAGGGCTACTTTTTGCTGCAAATGATTATCGATATCGAAGCCGAACCGGTCAGTGCAAGGGGTGACAAGGGTCGCATCTTAGGCCGAATCCTCCCGAATCTGGCATCAATCACATCACGTGAACAACGTGATTTAATTAACGCGTCTGTGTTACCACTATTTACTCTGATGACTCAGCCCGATCATCATCCCCTCGCTCTTGTTCTCTCACTTTCATCCTCGTTTTGTTTCGTTCACCTCGCCGTTATTAACCTTCTGAGATGAACCCTGATTTCGCTGCTTTTTTCGCAGAGCAAGACGAACACATGCGTCTAGCTCGCGATGCACTCCAACAGTACCTGTCTCAGAAACTATCAACAAGGTGCAGAAGCCCCTTTCAATGAACACTCAACCCTGGCTGACGCGCCAAGTAACAGCAACATAGTTACTACTTCGCCGTCGACTTCATTGGTGCCTTCATCTCTGCAGACAGAAGCATCTAGTACTACGCCAGAGCCACATCCCGATCATATGGATGTGGACTTGTCTGATAAATCTCCTCGGTGGCACTCTCCGCCAATTCCCTTTATCATTTTCTCACCAGATATACGCAGGGGAAAGCGCAAGGAGACGTCAGAGTTCGTTGAACCAAATCCTTCACGTAGTAAGCGGCGCAGAAAAACAGCAAGTGGGCAAGAACCACCAAAGCCGCACTTGCCGACGGCCTTTGGACAAATGAGGTCAGCGCCTCCGTCATGTAACTGTGCCACGATTTTAATGGTTACGGGAAGTTCGTCTTCGCCCGTGGCGTGTACTAGCCATTCCGAAGAAATCTCACCAGCGTTAATCGCCGAGCCGCCGGCAAACTCCGTAACATTGTACAAACGACCGTCTATGTCTGACGCGCAGCGTACTCCTGGGATCAAGCTCACGCCCTCATCTTCCATCGAAGAGATATCCAAGTCAGTCCATTGGTTCTGACATTTTCCCCTTGTTCACTTCATCTCCGCTCAGGAATTCTTTTGATCAAGGTACAAAGACAGCAAAGACCAAGCAACAAACGTCCAACAAAACATCAGGCGTGCGCAAGCAACATGCAACGTATCAGGCCGCTATCAGGCGCCCGGCATCTGCCTCAACGCCTGGCGATGACAATATACTTCCCGAGACTTCGGAAAGCCCTCGAAGAACAACCTCAAGCGATCTGGAATCTGACATAGCTAGATGCATTGCCAACCATGCTAGTAAGAGCCGACAACCGAAGGTTCACAAAGCCTCCGCTCTCGGTAATAATTCATCTGCCCCTTCTCTCGACTCGGTATCAGTAATACAAGATTCCTCTTCGCTACAACTCTCAACACCCGCAATCAGGAAGACGGCCGTGAGCAAGCCCCAGAACGTCGTCAGTAAATCTACCAACGCTGGGAAGAGCGCTAAAAATAAGAAAATAAAAATGTCTCCCGCGGAATGGGCTGTCCATCTCATGGAAGAACAAAAGCGTTTGGACGCCGATCCCAAAACCAAGAAAGTCACCAAGTTCTTGACCGGAAAGAACATCTATTTTTGCGGCGGAGACCAAGACTACGCTTTACCACGAACTCAAGGAAACATGGAAATAGTGAGTCAGTTGACCAGTGGTTTACGATGGTGACTCACACGCTCGGTAGTTGGTGAAATTTGGCGCTAATTTACAGCCGCATTTCGATCCCAATGTCGTTACGCACATCGTTGTCCGTTCTACGTGCTCATTGGGTACATTGCTCAGCAAATGTGGACTACGCAGAATAAGTGACATACCTGACCATATACCAACCTTGACATGGGACTGGGTCTCCAATTGCATAGGTCAAGCTGAAAAAGGGCCAGATCGCAACGTAAGGTTGCCGTCATATGATCTTTATGCAGCCTACCATGAGCGGTTTTACGCTGGCCTTGAAGGCTACACCGCATCAGGCGAAAGGATTGGTCAAGCATCAGCGTCGACGAAGTGTCCCAAGAAGTGAGCCTTCATATAGCAGCCTTTTAACCTGTTTTCAATCAGGATTTCCACCCTCTTAGTAGCCGGGATGCCGTCCATGATTCAGAATCAGAAGAAGAGGCGGAATCGTCGGAGGTTTTTCCCAGCGACATGAAGGACGCGACTTCCACTTCCAAGCTCGATGTCTCGGAGTCGAAATTTTTCGAGGTGTCGAAAGATGATCCTCTTGCGGAATTTTATGACCAGGCAAGAGCCGAACATGAGAACCAGGTTTGTCTTAAGACGTTACCCTTCAAACCATTAATCGAATGTGTCTTGTGCCTGCCTAGTGGACGCGTTACGGCGAAGCCGAAGACTCGGAATCCGAAGACGACCAGCTCGAAACTGATACGGAGTCGGATCATAAGCCTGCTAAACCTATGAAACGGGTGCGTAGGTGCAGCGTACAGTGCTGGACCAAAAGTCTTATGACACTGAGTTAGGGTTATGCCTGTGATAACAAAGGGATGCAAGTGAGGCAGGTCTGTCCTAACCAAGACGTCGTCGATCTGGTAACGTTATTTCCATATTGGCGATGCTGTCAGACTGACATTTCGTAGCTTTCCGAACTTAAGGAGTTACATGCGGCGAAAGCGGGATCTGATGAATACTGGAGAGTCTTTACATATAATAGAGGTATATCTCGCGTTTTAAATGTCTCCTACCGTACGTGATTTGTTTTTAGCAATCTCCGCTATACGCGCATATCCTAAGCGTATCAAGCACGCAAATGAAATACTATCTCTTTCAGGCATTGGCCAGAAAACTGCCCAAAAGGTGGGTCTGTTATATAATGGAGTTGCATTCTGTTAACGATGTCCAGATCATGGAGATCTTGGAAACGGGAGGTCTTCGACGAATCCAATACGAAACGACAGATCAAGTCATCGTGTCTCGTATCTTTCAGGGTATCTACGGTGTTGGTAGGTCTTTATATGATGTGCTTTTCTACTGAGAGAAATTGAATATCGTCAAGGCAAAAAGATCTCTCTGCAATGGTACGCCACTGGAAATCGTTCCCTTGACGATCTTAGGACGGGGAAATACGGGTGTAAGCTGTCCAACGCTCAAAAGATCGGCCTCAAGTATTATGACGGTAACCTTTCATTTGCATTGGTTGTTGGATACATACAAGAAATTTGACGCATATGTCAGACATCAATAGCCGCATGCCCCGCGAAGAAGCTAAAGCACTGTTTGACCTGATAAAGCCCATAGGTGATTTGTCAATCTGTAAGGTTGAATGAATATATGAATGACTGGTCCTATCTAGCATTATCCATTGACCCCAATCTCTTCGTCGAGATCATGGGAAGTTACCGACGGGGCAAGGCGGATTGTGGCGACATCGACATCATGATCACTAGATGTCCTGACGACGGCAGGACGCACGCCGGTGAGTGGAAACTTTGAATTTGGGTTATCGGGATATGTCTTGACCGATCCGGAAATTTAGGCGTTCTTGGAAAGTTACTAAAGAAACTCCATGAAGCAGATATAGTAACGGAGGATCTAGCGCTTCCGGATACCCGCGATCTAGAAGCGATTTATCGTGGTCTTTGTCATCTTCCACAAGAAGGCTCGCGCCAAAGACGAATCGACTTTTTGACTATTCCTTGGAAGTCAAGAGGTGCAGCCCTGCTGTATTATACTGTACGTTATCTCTTGTTTCATTAGGGCCATTCTGATCGTCAATTGATTGCCATAGGGAGATGATATTGTGCGGCCTCTATCGGAAGTCATCCGTTGTCATAATTACTGATTTTTCTCTAGTTCAACCGGGCTATGCGCCTCAAGGCCAGGCACATGGAGTACTCTCTGAACCAGAGGGGGTTGTGGGAGGGAGTAGTACGTGATACAAGCAACCGCACGAAGAAGCTGAACACCGGTATGTACCGACAATCGAGGAGTTCGCGAAGCTCTAACGATCGTCCGCAGGTACCATAAAGGCATCGGAAACTGAGGAAGAAATTTTTAAGATTTTAAATGTGCCATACCAGGAGCCTCATGAGAGAGTCCGGAACTTTTCTTAATTAAATTATACGCTGAGTTATTGTGTATCGTTCGCCTGGTTGAGAGCCCCTAACATAAATGATATCATCCGTCGTTGGGTGGATGCGGGGACTGTGCGGGGGGGTCACCGGCGCGGTGATGGTATCACAACGTTAGCGAAACGCATGGGTCCAAGGGTAGCGATAAATACGAGTTGCAGCAAACAGAGCGCGTCAGAATGTTAGCCTGTCTCTCCGCTAGCAACTGGTGCTCCACCTGGAAACTTCCGAGTTGAAATTCAGGAGGTTCAACTGGACTTGAGACAATTTTTGGATTTCCAGCAGTCCTGTAGTGAGTTAGAGGCTAGCAGGAATTCGAGTGAGTTTTCGGACTGGAGAAATTGATGAACAGAGCAGAGTCTTGGTGACACAATTAAAAGGCGTCAAGAACGTGATAGTCACTAGTGTGACACCTGTAACGGTGCAACCTTAGCTGCACCACCCATTTCACTGTATTTCTATCTGAACGTCGTCGTCGACGACGGCGTTGACCATGGATGGGGCGCCAGACAAGCGGCATGCGGCCTACCAGTCGATTTTCGGGCGACCTACTCACCACCAGCCGCTGCCTCCACCCCAATATTATCCTCAATATCAGGACCGGCGCACCTACAGTGTCTCTTACCAGCAGTCGCCGCCGCCGCCGCCCAACGCGCAGTATATATACAGGCAGCCACCGCCCATGCAATACGGGTATCCATATGCTCCTTCTGGATCGTCCTTGGCGCCGCCGACGGTCATCACTCGCGCGAGATCTGTCGCCAGCAACCCCAACGGCATGGGCATAATCGTTCCTCTTCCCGAAGAGCCGCCAGATCCCAACCTCGACGCATTAACAAGGTCTGGCCTTACCCCAGCTCAGGCTTACCAGGCCCAGGTCTACCTGAATGGTCCACAGCGTTACCAGCCGTCTCCCATGCCCCAGAGTCGCACTCCTGATCCACCAAGACTCGGAATTCCCGTCGACAGCTCTCGACTCAATGTTGATTTTTCCAACTTGAGTGATGCCGGAACTGATGACAGCAGTGAGCTTCCGTGGGCTCGCAAGGGTCCAAGTGAGTCCACGCTTCCCGTCTTATTCTGATCCTTCTTCAATGTTTCATTGTTTCAGCACCTTCTCCCCCCATACCGCCCCATCATCACAGCCGCTTTTCCCATGGATCGAATGAGAGTCCATTTCCTCTTCACGTCGACACGCACTCTGCCCAGTCCATCCGTTCCTCGGTCACTAGCGCCTCTCCTTCTTCATTTACAATGGTTGAGCATCCCTCTATGGAAGAATCATCAACTTCCACTGTAGCCGCCCGTAGGTCCTCTGAATCCGCTCATATTTCTCGCGTCGGCGGTCCCCGCCAACGGGCTCCACAAGATCGTTCCATGTCCATGTCTGCCACGACACCAGTGCGCAATTCTGTGGCTCGTCCACCTGTTCCAGCTCACAAGGAAGGCCGGGATTCTCCAAACTCTATCCGTGTCCCTAAGAAGTCCCCTATTGTCTACCCGGCCCTTCTTTCCCGCGTTGCTGAGGCCTTCCGAGATCGTATAAACTTAGGCGATCGTATCAAGGATGGGTTGGAGTACAAAGAGGCATTTGACGGACGCGAGGCGGTCGATAAAATCGCCTACATTATCAAAACAACGGACAGAAACCTTGCCTTGCTGTTAGGGCGTGCTCTCGATGCTCAGAAGTTCTTCCACGATGTCACCTATGATCACCGTCTTCGTGATAGCCCTAATGAACTTTACAGGTTCAGAACAAAGCTTCCAAGTCCTTTTGTCAGCGGAGAATTGGGTATTCAAAACAATGAGCCCATCATGCCTAAAATTCTCACCGAACACGAGAATGATTCATCTCCATCTCCATCTACCTCTATTCCTCGACTGCGTAAAGGTTCGGTGACTTCTGATGAGGTCGAACTACCATCTGGAGTCTTCACCCTTCTCACCGACTGCTATTCTCCCACCTGTTCCCGGGATCAGTTGTGTTACAGCATAGCCTGTCCCCGTAGACTTGAACAACAAGCACGGCTGAACATGAAACCACAACCCGGTCTCTCTAAGCAAATTAGCCGAGAAAGTTTGGGTGACCTGCCTGATGCCGGAACCCTTTGGATTCATTCCGTGCCACAGGAAGTGGTTAACAGCGTTTCCGACCAAGAGAAGAAAAGACAGGAAGCAATCAACGAGGTCATTTATACAGAACGCGACTTTGTCAGGGACATGGAATATCTTCGAGATGTGAGTGCCGAAATCTCATTGTAACGCGTAACTGACAAGATCTGGCTAGATCTGGATCAAACGCCTGCAAGAACAAGACGACGTAATTCCACCTGAGCGACGGACGGCTTTCTTGGAACAAGTCTTCTGGAACGTATTTGACATCATTGCCGTGAATACACGTCTTCGAGACGCGCTCAACAAACGTCAAAAGTCATACGCTGTGGTAGAGAAGATTGGTGACATCTTGTTGGAAGCTGTCCCTCACTTCGGACCATTTGTATCGTATGGTGCCCATCAACTCTATGGCAAGTACGAATTTGAGAAGGAGAAGAACGCGAATCCGGCCTTTGCTCAGTTTGTTGAGACGACGGAACGATTGCCCGAGTCGAGAAAGTTGGAGCTTAATGCATATCTCACTAAGCCGACTACTCGATTAGCAAGGTATCCTCTGCTGCTAGAGGCTGTTTTAAAACACACGCCTGAGGACAACCCAGACAAGACTTTGCTTCCTGAGGCCATTTCACTTGTGCGAGAGTTCCTAGGTCGTGTCAATGCGGAATCGGGAAAGACGGAAAATCGGTTCAATCTGATCCAACTTGATCAGGCATTGGTCTTCAAACCTGGAGAAGAAGTAGTGAGTGGTTCGCTTAATATGCCTTTCACGATCTTAGTGACACGGGTTAAAGAATCTTCGACTTCGGGAAGAGGGCCGAGATATGGTTTATAAGGGTCCTCTAAACAAACGCGATGGGGAAATCCAAGTGTATCTATTTGATCACGCATTATTGTTTACAAAATCTGTCAAGACGAAACAGCACGAACAGGTCAAAGTCTATCGTAGGGTATGTTTTTTTATCTCTTTGTTTTCTCTATTTAACTTGTATGATCAAGCCAATACCTCTCGAACTCCTCCTCATCACCGCATCAGAAGACACCAACACTGGAAATGGTACCATTAGACCACGGCAACGTCAAGGGCTCGTCAAGAAGACGTCCTTCAATCGGGACAATCGTGGATCGCCTCATGCCCCTTCCATAGCAGTCCGCCCTCCGGAAGGAGCGAAAGGTCAATACTGGATCAACTTCATCCATTTGGGTCGGAAGTTCTACAATCTCGTCCTATGGTCAAATTCCCAGTTAGGCCAGCGCAAATGGCTTGAGAATATTTATCAGCAGCAGCAGGCTATGCGAGAGCGGAGTACCATTTTTGAGACCGTGACACTGTGCGAGGGCTTTTTCACTGGAGTGAACAAGGTCAATTGCGTGGCTCCATTGAGTGGGGGCAAGAGAATGGCCTATGGGACGGATGATGGGATTTATATCAGTGATTTAAGGGACATGTCTAAGGATCCGTAAAAGTATTGGCGCTCTTGGAAGTCATGCAAATTGACGTATTGGAAGCATATCAGCTACTCATAATCCTTTCCGGTACGTGTCCCGTTGTTTTGGGTAGTATATTTTCAGGTTTAACGGCACTCTTAGAGCGATCAGTGTTTACCGTCCCTCTTGATGCCCTGGACCCTATGGATCCTAATGCTGGTATTAAACGAGCGAAACGTATATCATCTCACACGTCGTTCTTCAAAGCAGGATACTGCCTAGGGAAGATGCTGGTATGCATTGTGAAGTCGACACAGCTGTCTAGTACCTTCAAGACGCTGGAGCCCATAGATCAAAATGTTCGTGGACGGAGCAAGCCGACGTTTAAAAAGTTGATCAATGGAGGTAACGATACACTGAAGCTTTTCAGGGTCGGTATCTTTTCCTTAAATGGTTTAGAAGAAACTGATTTTATGCCCAGGAATTTTACATACCGGTCGAGTCCACGTCGATACACTACCTCAAGACGAAAATGTGTGTTGGGTGCCCTAAGGGCTTTGAGATCGTGGATCTCGAAACTTTGGATACCCAGGGACTTCTGGATCCCAGTGACGAGTCTCTGGAGTTTGTCCGAAGAAGAGAGGGTCTGAAGCCTATGGCGATCTATCGCATACAGAACGAGTTTCTGTTGTGCTACGATGGTAAGATAAGTCTGTTCTATTGCTCGAGTCTCCGACTAACGAAGCCCCAGAATTTGCTTTTTATGTCAACAAGTCTGGTCGAATGTCACGGAAGGACTTTATGGTGCATTGGGAGGGGGTTCCAACCGGATTTGGTGAGTAATTCATGTCATCTAATCTATATAGCCTAGCTTATGCAGAGTAAAATTAGCACTGCATGAGCCTTTCGTGCTCGCCTTTGAACCATCGTTTGTGGAAATAAGGCACATAGACACAGGCGCAATGTCGCAAGTCATCCAAGGCTCCAATTTACGGTTGCTATTTGCAGACAACCCTCCGTCTGTCATTAATAGTGGCGGTGCGGCCTACTACAACTCTTATCCAGCTGGGTATGTTACAAGTAAGCAATGTACAATCACATCCTCTGACTTGTATATTTTCAGTTATGGGGGTTACGGGCAGCCTCAGGCGCAGCAGATGCCATATCATCCCAACATGAACGTGAATCAATACAATCGGAATTCACTAGGCGCAGGTCGTGACGAGATACTGATGGTTTCTGATGACCGGGTGTTAGCTCTACGAACAGTCCTTGGAGCGCAAAGATACATGTCGGATAATGTGTCGATGACATCACGCGGATCACGGTGACATCCGACGGCTCTCTTCTCCGATCCGTTTTCATTTCGTTCGTTGTTGTGCTTTGTTCCTTTGGTGTTTCCCTTGTCCTATATTAACCCGCACCTGCACATACCTGCTGTTTCGTCTGACATATCAGTTCACTCACATTGTTTTAGGATATATTCTAGTATCTGTATCATCAATCCTAAAATTATTTGGATCACGCGAACTTATATTCGGCGTTTCCTAGGACCTCAGGTATGCAAGTTAGGAACTTCGAAGGGCCATGTAGCGACTGGAGCATGAGAGACATGGCAGGAACATGTCAATGGTTCAAGCCCCACTCACGATCGATAGTGAAAATGCGGAGTGCTTCTTCTAGAAGCCTGTATCTGAACGTTCTGATATAGAGATTGAACTTCAAGTCTTGCATTGATGTTCGTCCGCTTGTTGCGCCGTAGAGGTATCTAGTTCCCTCTTAACAGCTATACGTCTCTTTTCCTCCTCCTGTCGGTGAGAAGTATATCAAAAGGGTTTGCACAATCTGTCTCGCGGCCGTAAAATCTAGTCTTCAGACTGTATCTGTATCTCAAGCATTAGTGCCGAACTACCAGGAATAAATGGAGCACGCCAGTCGAATCGATGGAGGAAGACTATGAAATATGCAAGGCGAAGTGATGGTCATGTTAACTTGTGCGATGCCGTAGAACTGTTCGGCACACAAATGATCTGGTATTTTCCAAAATAAGTATAAAGGAAGATGTATATTGTCTACATGCGCGCCATAGAGTTAAATACCAATCCAGACTGAAAACCCAGTTCTTCTAAGCGGTATCTAGAGATTCCAATGTGTGCTCGAAGATACCCATCGCTAAAACTCATATACGCATCCAAAGCCACTTTGTTCGGGCGAAGGATATCTAGAATGTTGCGATGCGCTTCAACGGTGATATCCACGAGCTGCTTGACAGTCTCAATCTTGGGGCATTTTGAGCACGAAGCAAGGAGAGATACTTGGTTCGTTGATTCGCCGGCACTCTCTTCCTTGTAGAAAGAGAGAACGTCACTAAAGAAATAACAATTATCGTTAGAGCTTGGTGATCACACCCGAAAGAACTGACTTGGCAGATCCTATGAATACCATCAGGTCTGGCACAGCCGTAATGTACGTAGTGAAAGGAACGGAAGATGAGAATATGAATAATCCCATAACTTCGTTAAAGCCAGACATCTCTGGCGAATCTTGTATATCTTTCAGCCGACGGAGGTATCTAGGATCCGTATGAGCAGCCCATTTCAAGCCAGAATATGACACTCACCTTCATTCCTTGCGTACGATACTCAAGGATGGCAGCTGTGATAAAGTTCAGGCTCCCTGTAACGATGATATTCGACGTGGGTGGATTTGGGAAATAATTTGGAGCCTCCGTCACAAGAAAACAGTACAACTTCTGCATGGGATCGCTTGGTGCCTTTCTCCCCATCACGCAACTAAAAAGTTCCTGGGCCATGTTTTCAGAGGAGTCCGATGGAGTGAATTTATCGTCCAAGTAGAAGAAGGACGCGAGATAAAGGATCATGTATACGCGAGATTGTATGTCCTGAAGGTGGGAGAAGCAGGCGGAGATAGTGTCGGCTCCTTGCTTCATGTATGGTATGAATGAGCCTGGGGTGTCTGGGTCCAGGATGACGCCATGGCGGACTGCTTCTTTGCACACCAGCGAAAGTAGTTCGTTGTCGAATGGGATCGTTCGTTGCGTTTGGAGATCGACAGAGCATCGACTCAAGAGTAGATGTATGCTCTCTCTGGGAGATCGTATCTCAAAATGACTCAGATCAATAGAGATAGAAGCAAAGAATCGGCTTACCGTTTGTATAGGTAATGTAGAAAGGGCCATCGTGGATAATTTTGTAAAGAACATGTTGCAATATATACCTGCCTTCAGCGCTGCGACTGGATATACGCATTGAGTACTGTGTTTTTCCGGGGAAGAGATATACTGAATCACCATCAAAACGTTTCACCATCGCTCTAGGGGACACCGGTGATAATGCCAGTAAGCCCGGATACACCTAGCTTACGAAAGTGTCACAAATCCCACTCCGTAATTGTTGGCGTATCAATGAATCTAGAGTTCTGTTGAATTGACAGCTAGTAAACGCATTTCATGGGCCTGGGGCATATTTTATTCAAAGACCTGTGACGCAATAGCTAACATATATTAACGGTGGAGAGCCTGTAGACATGGATAAGTACTGAGAGCACGGATGGGGAGAGAAATTGGAGTACCCTTTAGCCTGGCGTTGGTCAGATCTGATGCGTCTAACCTGGTCCTTAATGTAGACGGAGATGCTTCATCTTGGGACCGGCCCTGTCGTTATTTTCGACTCTGATTTGTCCCCACCAGCAGAATAAATACTGATCGATGACACCCATTTTCGACCAATGGAAGTTTGCTGGAGCCAACTTTCAGTCCACGAGGCGTTAATACACGCGTAGAGCCATCCCCTCATACGAATGCGTGCCTGGCCAGTTCCTGTAGGCTTCAAGGTTCTCTGAGGGAACCGAAGATTTGAGTTTGATGCTCTATGGCCAATGTTCATCGCGCGAGAGCCACGGACATCTCAGGTGACCAAGAACGAGATATGACCCTTTTAACACAATCGCCAAAGATCTGCGGAAGAACATCCGAAACGTTCCATTTCTTTGTTCTGAATGCATCCCGCCATTTCAAGAATACTCACGCAACATTTCAAGTCACGAGCTTCAAATTGGGTCGTTATCTGAGAACAAATTTTTATGAGTAATTTCTTACTGATTTACATATGTATGTTGCTGCTTTCAATGCCATCCACGATACCTTTCCTATGACCAAGATTTGCTAAAAATACACCCCGATTCTCAAAGATGACGAGTCGAGTTACGAAACCAATGTGCCTTATGTACTGGAAGCACTCGTGCCTGTAGGTATGCCGAATCCAAAGAAGCCTGGGATTAGCCTGACACTAAAACAACGAAGAAAGGTCACCGACCCAATCTTCAATGGCGGTTCAGAAAATCGGTATTCAATGGCCAGGGCCTACCCATCCAGGTTACAAGCTCTGTATGATCACGGTACTCGTCTCCAGTATTGGGATGGATGAGAACACTAAACTCGGCAGATGAGAGTCTATTAAATGCATAAAAGGACAGAAAAAACTCACGAGCAAGGTCCCCGATTAACTGCTAGCCAAGAGAACAACGTTCCCGTCATGTGAGGCGTGAAAGTATTCACTTCGAACATTGAAACAGGATGGGGTCCCACAGGTCGCTCCCAGAATCGATAGATTCTCATCTACACAAAAGGAAATTAGTCTTGAAACAGCGAGCAGAAATCAAGGTGCACCTCTGGAAACTCTCTCCTGATTCTTTCGTGCAGCTTCCTGGCATACTCAATCTCGTCCGGGGCGTGTTGCATATAATAGACTGTCGTCCTGGCTTCAATACCGTCGAGAACAGCGATAATATCGACAGCACCCACTATGAAAGTCGAATCCATTGTTCTTCTTGTCAATTGGATCCACGAATTCGTCGTATGCCTTGCTGAGTACCGGCTTGCCCTGCTCATCCTTCAGTATGTCGTTTGTCAGCGATTTGCCGTCTGGGTTGACGCCAGTCGGTAGAGGTGGAGAATTTTCGTATCCAATGAGAGGGGAAGGATATTTGGCCATTATTCGGGGCGTGGTGGTAGTGCTGAAGGGCGGAATGCATCCTTATATACGTTGGTCATGGATGAATAAGGTCGATGTAAGCAGTGTCATCACAGTAACGTAATCATCGGTACTCAGCGTGGGTCACTTAAGGTCACTTGTTAAAAGTTCAAGGGCATAACATATTCCTTATAGCCATGACAGTGAGAACAATCCAGTCACAATCCCCACTCAACGTAATGTATGCTGTATATTGGAACAACGCAATGAGTTCCAAGCTCAAAGGATATCCACCTAGTAAGCAACATTATCTAATACCCATCACTCAATTTCACCTCGAAGAATGTCTAGAATGATGCTGCATAGCGCGAGTTAATATGTGGTATATCGTTCAAATACCAAAAGTAGATAGTGCGCGCAAGATACTGTAATAGAAACGAAACCACTCGATTATGGGAAAATATCCAGCTCCTTCAAACGGTATCTAGAAAGTCCGGCATGAGCCCAAATGTACCCATCACTGAAGCTCAAGTACGCGTCCAATGCCTCTTCATTAGGTTTAAGGATATCCAAAATATTGTTGTGAGCTTCGACCGTAGAATCAACGAGCCGTCTCAGGACGTCTGTCTTCTTAGAGTTGTCGCATCGAGCAAGAAGAGAAACTCGGTTCAGTTCTTCCCCTGCTAATTCTTCCTTGTAGAAAGAAAGAACGTCACTAAGCGATCGAGATAAGTCATCGCGATGGGAGAATAAACGAAAGAACTGACTTGGCAGATAACATGAAAACCATTAGGTCCGGAATGGCCGCAATATATGCGGTCACCGGCACTGAAGCTGGGAATATAAACACTCCCATAACGTCTGCAATACCAGAGATATTTCTTGTGAACGTCGTATATCTTTTAGCTGAGGCTGGCATCTAAAATTCGCAATGAATGAGTACGTCACAAAAGTCGAACATAGACACAGACCTTCATGCCTTGAGTGCGATAGTCAAGGCTCGCAGCAGTTACAAAATTCAATGTGCCTGTGATAACAATGTTCGATGCAGGATGATTAAGGAAGCACTTCGGAGCTTCCGTCATCAGGTAACAGAACAACCGCTGTAGAGGATCGGCTGCGGATGACTTTCCAATCATGCAGGCGAAAAGGTCCTGTGCAACGTTATCGGAGGTAGAATATTCCGGGATGAACTTGTCGTCAAAGTAGAAAAAGCAGGCAATGTAGAGGATGATGTATATGCGGCATTTGATATCCTGGATATGGTTGTAACAAGTGGTGACAGTGTCGACGCCGTGTTTGATGTATGGCGTAAATAACTTGGAGGTTTCCGTGTCGAGGATAAGAGCCTGACGGGCTACTTCATCACATGCCAGTGAAAATAGTTCGTTGTCAAATGGAATGACGCGCTGTATCTGCATATCGACAGAGCATCGATCTAAGAGTAGCTGTACGCTTTCTCCGATTTCGCGTATCTCAAGACGAGAGATTAGTGAAGATTTGGTGACTAAGGAAGAGACCTGAGCTTACCACGTTAGCGGGCAGGGAGGTAGAGGACATTGACGATGAAATTGTGTTTGGAGTATCCGAGTACAAGATACCACGTCCTTTTATACCCTGATCTCTTCGAAGAAAGCCAAGGCCTCGGAACAGAGCCAGCACACCATGAAGAAGTTCCCTTTGAAAATGACAGGGTGTTTCATTCCAGAGGCCGAGGCGTTCCACACCCAATACTCGCCACCTGTGAGGTACAAGGAAGTCTATTGCCTATGCGGCGTCAACGGTTTGAGAGCATCCGGAAGTTCAGAAGGAACAGATCTAACATGCGACAGAATGAAGGCCCGCCTAGGTCAGTACGATAATCTAAAGGTCCACATGAAACGAGGGGGCTCCGTGATCAAAATACCGACGTGGACCTTGAATCTGTGCGTTGTTTGATTGCAAAAAATCCTAAGTTATTATGTATGGGCAAGCGGGAGGACCTAAAATTATGGCATGGAACGTAAGAAACGAAGATGAAGTTTGATTAACTTGTAAGGTTATAGGTCGGGCCGACGGTATTGTTTCGGCACCGACTCTTCAGTTCCACAGTAGGTCTTGTGATACTGGATGAGGAGATCAGCAACTTCTTTGGGAGATAGGAAAAAACGGGGGGCCGACCTTCCAGTCTTCATTCTGGCATTTGACGCTACAATAATCTGCACAAAAGTGAATGAAAGGATCGTCGGGAACGGCGGACGTCGCTCACGAGTTCTCTTGCACCGACCGCATTGAAACCTGCCAAACTCCACACCACAGTCTGCTCGACAACGCAGCTGGCGTTTCCAATATCGTTGCATACCAAACTCCAAGTCTGGGAATTCCGAGCCTGCGAAAGCCTCTAGCCCTTTGCGTTCCTCGTCTGTCTCCTTCTGCCTCTTTTCAGCCGACTTTTTAGCAAAATCAGCTCTCCAGCGATCTAGTGAATCTCGTTGTTCTTCGGTCATACCAGACCAGCGCAGAACAGAAATTGAGTGTCCGTTCCAGTGTCGATTGTACCAGATGCCTTTAGCCACCGCCTCTCCTTGTGCTCGGACCCACACCTCAGAGCCTCCCCAGGATGAACCCATATCAGATGTACTGACAGGTTTCCATGCCCCGATTTTGTAAGGAGGAACGGGATCTTGGATGAGGTAGCGAACGCCGTGATTAGCCTCCTCCCCGTATCTATCGATAAAGCCAATCTACGCGAATAAAATTTGGAGTCTACAAAGGTAGAATAGGCAACTAACCTCGACCTTTCTCCCTCGACGGCGGACATAGGAGTCCTGCGTATAATCTGAGTCAAAGTGCATGCTGAAGTCGAAGTCGTGGGTGCCCTCGACATCGAATAGCCGTTCGAGTAACTCGGGGCGGCCTAATCTGTAGAGCAGCATAGCGATGCCATTGGGTCCTGTAATCGCAGGTGACAAGTGATGCTGTCCCTCTTCGTCAATACCAGATTTGATTATTTTCGGGTAGTCTTCTGGAGAGGACGCCGGAAGAAGTTCAGTATCTTCAAATCGCACCTGAAATGCTGGTAAATATAGAAGAAAGGATAAAGAGAGGCGCGAGTTACTTACAACTCCGTACATGTTCAGTGAAAAGAGAGAACAAAATAAAGAGTTCACTGCTTACGAGACAATTTTGAAGTCCACGTGATATACGCGTGCTACGCGTCAAGAAGTAAGCACAGGGGCAATTCAACTAAGTACAATTCCCTCTCAACGTGTGGTGTATCGTCTAAATTTAAGAGGAGAAGTAATACGCATAAGCTATAACGAAACTAAAATACTCTATTTTGCGAAAATACCGAGCTCTTTCAAACGGTATCTAGAAAATCCGATATGACCCCAGATATATCCATCACTAAAATTCAAGTATGCATCCAACGCCTCTTTGTTCGATTTAAGGATATCCAAGATGTTATTGTGAGCTTCGACGGTAGAGTCAACGAGCCGCCTGACAACGTCGGTCTTTGTGGAATTGTTGCATAAAGCAAGAAGAGAAACTCGGTTCAGTTCCTCCCCGGCAACTTCTTCCTTGTAGAAAGAAAGAACGTCACTACATAGATGGTATGAGTAATTGTACCAGATGGGTAAGCAAAAGGACTGACTTGGCGGACAACATGAAAACCATTAAGTCAGGAAGAGCCGAGATATATGCAGTCACTGGGACCGAAGTTGGAAATATAAACACTCCCATAACGTCTGCAACACCAGAGATACTTCTGGTGAACGTCGCGTATCTTTTAGCCGAAGCTGACATCTACAATCGGCAATGAATAAATCCATCAGAGGTCGAACTATATACACAGGACTCGAAATATAGACACTAACCTTCATGCCTTGGGTGCGATAATCAAGACTCGCAGCAGTCACAAAATTCAATGTGCCTGTGATAACAATGTTCGACGCAGGATGATTAGGGAAGCATTTCGGAGCTTCCGTCATCAGGTAACAGAACAGCTGTTGGAGAGGATCGACGGGGGATGACTTTCCAATCATGCAGGCAAAAAGGTCCTGAGCGAGGTGACCAGAGTCAGAATATTCCGGAGTGAACTTGTCGTCAAAGTAGAAGAAGCAGGCCATGTAGAGGACGATGTAGATACGGGACTTGATGTCCTGGATATGGTTGTACCCAATGGTGACAGTGTCGATGCCGTGACTAATGTATGGCTTGAATAATTCCAAGGTTTCCGTGTCGACGATAAGAGCCTGACGAGCTACTTCTTCGCACGTCAGCGAAAAGAGCTCGCCGTCAGACGGAATAGTTCGCTGTGTCTGCATATCGACAGAGCATCGATCTAACAGTAGACATACGCTCTCGCCGATTTCGCGAATCTGAAGAGGAGGATGAGTGAGAACACAGTGAAATGGGAGAGAGTGAGCTCACCACGCTGGTGGGCAGAATATTGGAGGCCATTTATGTTGAAATCGTACTAGACAGATGCTTCGACACAAAGTTTTACATCCCTTTTATACCCTGGTCTCTTCAGAGAAAAAAGACCTCGGGGAATGGTAAGGCTGTCACAAGAAGGTCCGTGTCTGAATGACAGGGAGTTTCATCCTACCAGTTCCATTATTTTACCTGCCACTGTGCACAGGAACTCCATTGAATATATTGATGTCAACCGTTTTGGCGAATGCGTGGGTCACAACTTGAAAGTGGATCTATTATGAGATCGGTGACAAATGGGCGCGCACGCCCAGGCTAGTAATAGAGCGATCGAAAGGTCCGATCGCTTCATGGTCATAACCTTGAACGCACCGACATCTGATTAAAAAATCATTGAATATGGCTAGCGTACTATAAAGGTCTGAAGCCGTGGCATGGAGGGCGTGAAATGAGGTTTAGGTCAGTCAAAAGAAGATAGCTCACCGTGCAACTCTGTTACTAATTTTTAGCTCCATGACCCGGGCTTAATAGCACAGTACTCTTAAGTAAAGCCAGTAGCTTTATTGAGTGACCGAAGGAAACGGAACAGCGACCCCGTAGTCTCTCGTAGATAGACAGACGGTACATACCTGTTGAGAGTAGTAGGCGCGCGGTATTAATAATCGGACTTCACTTGACCCTGGCCCGGTTATTGACTGCAGCTGCTAGTAGCCGGAGAAGCCTAGCGGGCCAGCTAGTCATCCCGAAAATCGCCTTCAGCAGGTTTATTCAAGAAGCGATTTCTCTTCAAGCTCTTGGAAGATATGTATACATGCCAATCATACTCGAATTTCAGTTTTATGTACAGTATATCTGGAGACACAACGAAATTGCTTTGCCGGAAGGGATGGGAAAGTCTTTCTACATGTGGAGGCTGATGTGACGACGGGTACCTGGACGATCATTGAGAATGATGGATAGCGAACGACACCTTGCACCATCCGCAATTAACCTTACCTTTCTCTAGTCTGTTCGCCAACGGAGCTGGAGTCACCTCCAAAGTTATCAACTTGCTCCAAGTCTGAGATTTGCGCGCGGGCGAAAGCCAGAGATCTCCGACAAGTCCATTTGCTCAATAACTATTTTGCACGGCCACAACTAATAGAGAAACCAAAAATATTGTTTCTTGCCAAGTACCGGCCGCACCTACGCCATCGAGCTTCGAGCATAACCTGATGCATAGACTCTTCTCGGAGCGCCCCGCTATACCATTGATGGACTGCCTTGAGAAAACAGCAGTCGTAGATTGGTGTGACGCCCTTCTACAAAAATATAGGCCTACGATCGAAACTGCGGCGTATGCGCACATTGCTTGCCGACATGTTCGGACTGTGAACCCAGCCGTTCCTACACCATCACCATGTTCTGATGAACTCAGAGGGTACCTGAGAACATCTTGATATTACAACATACATACATTTGGTGTGACTTGCATTCAAACAATCGAATGGATCTCTACTTTGAGCAATTCTGGTACAATCATGGGAGAGTTGGACTCCCGCGCTGCATTCCAAGCACGCTTGCTAGTAGCTTCTCTCTGCCCACTCTCGAAGCAGATCCGGTTGTGCCTTGGCGAGGAGTTCGGAATATTTCTCAACTCCGGGCGTCAAAATCTCACAATGTAAACATGGTGTAAAAACTAAACTGACCTGCTGTAGACTGTTCCCTGAGGAATATAGCATGGCACCCATTCTCTCGAGACGTTCGTCGACATCTCCGCCTGAGCAATGATAGCAGTCATCTTTCTGCGCATATCCCAACATTCTCTCGTGAGACTTGATACCTGTTCATCTTCTGGAGGGGCCGCAGGGTACTGGGTGGTAGCTGGGTGAAAGACGCCCTCACGGCATCAAGAAAGAATGCCAAGAATCGGTCTTTCGATATTTGAAACGACTAAGTATGAAGCTCAGAACGTCAATTCTTTGCGTAGGTCCTAGAGTATAAAGCCGGCTCGCCAGGCTAGTCAAGAAGTAAGCAGTACGCAGGGGTATCGATCTCCGTTAATGACAATTCAGCCACAATTCCTTCTCAACGTAATGCATATCGGAATGAAAACACAAATACATGAAGTGATCTCCGAGTTGAAAGACACTCACCCAGTAAGTCACATATCTGGCATATCTATGTAATACACCCACCGCTGCAGCTCAGCGCCTCAAAGAATGTTACGACGCTGCATAGCTAGCATATGTGCGGTGTATCGTCTAAATTTAAAAAGAGATGTAGTACGCGTAAGCTATAACGAAACAAAACTACCCCCTTTGCAAAAATACCGAGCTCTTTCAATCGGTATCTAGAAAATCCGATATGACCCCAGATATATCCATCACTAAAATTCAAGTATGCATCCAACGCCTCTTTGTTCGAATTAAGAGTATCCAAAATGTATAAATCAATATGCTGAATATTTAAGTGTCTGTGGTCTCGACCACGGGTACACTCGAGCGGGCACTTGAGTGGCTTGACTTGAGTCAGTAAGAAATTGTGACGCTTGAGTCGGCACTCGAACGTCCAACAACTGAGGTAATTACACTCAAGTGCGACATTCAAGCGACCACTCTCAAGCCACAATTAAGTGCGTCAACTCAACTCACCAGTTTCCACACCCTCACTTAAATGCTCTCTGCTTGAGTCGTCGAAACACTCATTAACTCCCCCGTACAATCTTCAAGTTGTGTACGCCATGTACGATCCGGACCGACCACGCTCCTCGCCGTCCTTCCGATACAGTAAAAATTGTACAGGACACTGTTAGGTGATCGCAGGAGCATTTTCAGTGGCAATGGTGGAGAACAGCAGTGCGCTAGTATAGTCAATCGTCTTTGAAGAGCAAAATCCGAGCGAGGCATAATGGTTAGCATAACATCCAGTTCCAGAATTGCAAGGAGAGGGCATCACGTTTTCGGTGGACATGGTGGGAGAACAAGTCAGGAAGGTGTTCGTTGCAGGTTTTAGTTCCAAGTGGCGGTGGACCTGAAGAACAAAAGGCGCGAGGAACAAACAATAGGGGATGAACAATAGTGTATGCTTTGACCGTAATATAATTGTAATTTGGATTTTGCATGGTCTTTTGTCATTACTCAATGGCAAGTGGTACTGGCTAGTTAAATAGACTGGTCGCATGGTGGCAATACCTTTTCCTCCATCCTCCCTCCTCCCGACACATGTACCTGCAGCCTGTTCGAGCTTGGTTCGAGCAGGGGTTCTGTACTGTGATCATCATACGTCTCACATAGAAAACGATGCCTGACGGTCTTTAATTTGCACGTGTAAGTACTATGGCTTCCCTCGGAGTCAGTGAATGGAGTAGCAGTGGAAGGTTTGGGAATGTCAGAGCCACTTGAGTCTTGCGCTCAAATGACCCATATGATGCTGAAACAAATCAGCGCTTAAGTGATATTAGGCATCTAAGCGAGATGCACTTGAGCAGGGGTTATGTACTTAGGTGTAACGTAGCATGGTAGCTTGAGTGTATATAGAGCAGATCGCTCAAGCGGGCACACTCAAGTGCCCACTTGAGGGCGCCCCTGGTCGCGACCATGGATACTCAAGTAAAGTTCATATATTTATTGAAAATGTTATTGTGAGCTTCGACGGTAGATTCAACGAGCTGTCTTAACACATCGGTCTTCGTAGAGTTGTCGCATAAAGCAAGAAGAGAAACTCGGTTCAGTTCTTCCCCTGCTAATTCTTCCTTGTAGAAAGAAAGAACATCACTAAGCGATCGAGATAAGGTATCGTGACAGGTGAATAAACGAAAGGACTGACTTGGCAGATAACATGAAGATCATTAGGTCCGGAATGGCCGCAATATATGCAGTCACCGGACCGAAGCTGGAAATATGAACACTCCCATAACATCAGCAACACCAGAGATGCTTCTAGTGAACATCGTATATCTTTTAGCCGAAGCCGGCATCTACAATTCGGGGTGAACGGGCATATCCCAGAACCCGAATTTCGACACCGACCTTCATGTCTTGAGTGCGGTAGTCAAGACTCGCAGAGGTGACAAGATTCAAGGTGCCCGTGATAACGATGTTCGACGCAGGATGATTAGGGAAACATATCGGTGCTTCTGTCATCAGGTAACAGAACAACCGTTGGAGAGGATCGGCCGGGGATGACTTTCCTATCACACAGGCGAAAAGGTCCTGAGTAACATGATCAGAGGCAGTATATTCCGGAGTGAACTTGTCGTCAAAGTAGAAGAAGCAGGCCATGTAGAGGACGATGTATATGCGGCATTTGATGTCCTGGATATAGTTGTACCCAATGGTGACAGTGTCGATGCCGTGATTAATGTATGGCGTGAATAATTCCAAGGTTTCCGTGTCGACGATAAGGGCCTGACGAGCTACTTCATTACATGCCAGTGTAAACAGTTCGTCGTCAAATGGAATGACGCACTGCGTCTGCATTTTCGACAGAGCATCGATCTAACAGCAGACGTGCGCTCTCTCCGATTTCGCGAATCTGAAGAGGGAGGATGAGATACGGTGAAATAAGAGAAAGAGTAAGCTCACCACGTTGGTGGGCAGAGTAGTGGAAGCCATTTCTATGAAATCGCGTTTGGGGGTTTTCGAGCTGGGAAACCTAGTAGACATAGCCCAGGAGTTGCCTTACACCTTCCGCAGCTAAACCTGTCTTTCGGCGCATCACAGTCGGCTCGACAATGGAGCCGGGGTTTTCAATACTGCTTACCATGTTCCACGTCAGGTCAGTACCCGCACCAAAGCCTCCAACTTTTCGTCATCCTTATCAATACCTTCTTCCTCCTTTCAGAAAATAGGATCTCCGCGATCTAGCGACAATTTTCCTTGTTCAGTCATATCCGCGCCTGCGAGCCTGCGCAGAGATGAAATCGAGTGCTCCGGTGTCGGCTGTGTCCGATGCCCTTAACGCCTATTTCTCTAGACCTCTCCTTACCATTAAATACCAGATCCTCTCCAGGACGAACGTCCCTTAATCTCCCTTAATCAGACGGGCGCTACCAGATTTCCTTGCTTGGGATCGTGGAGGAGGTAGCAAACGCCGATTCCCCCCGGTATTGGTCTTTAAAAATCGATGGACACGAATGTAACGCGGAGTCCATCACGAAGATAGTGTCGGGGGCCACACGAGAATGATGCATCGACAAGTAAGCGAAGCAGATCGAACCTAGTCATCATCATGGATCTTCGTGGGCGGATCCTCTTAACCATATCTCGAGTGTTGATAACTATGTATCCACGGTCGCTATTACACGATGGCGCAGTAAAGGACAACCCCTACAGCCTCCGACTAGATGAAATGTCTGAAAGGGCATCAGCTTTTCTGGATCTAAGAGTACAACAGTGCAAAGTCTCAATACCAACAATAATAGCCACAAACCTGAAGTCAAGCGAGAACTACTCCAGTGACATCACCAAACCATGCCTTTTGATCCTTTAGGGAAGCCCAGTCTTCCGTATGCCCTGATGGCATTCATGAGACCGAATTCCAACGAGGCAGATACCATCGTACCTCCAAAGAATGTTTGGAAATGCATTCTTTCAATCCTCGAATCATTTGACATCCAGCCCGTAAACGGAGACGACAGCTTTACCGTTAATATAGAGTTCAAGCTCGCCTAATATCATGTCAGAAAACATTATACATAGCCAGAATACTGACCGTCCTCCTTGTCTACATCATTCAATTTCATTCGGAGCGCGACGTCGACCCATCTTCCCACCGGCCAGGTAAACGCGCCTCGCCCTACGGAGATTCTATAATCGGCGTTCTTCCTAGATCCACGAACGCGTAAAAGCCCTGCTTCGTTGCTCTCAGCCAACGGGGAATCGGTATTAAACATCCCCGGCACCACTAGGCCTGGAACACTCGTTAATGGAACATAGTTTTCGGACACCAGATGAACCTCCAAATAAGCCTTGCATCACAACATGGACTTCTGTCTTCTGTCGACCTACGCCGCCAGCTGACCAATATGCGTCAGAGATGTCCCAAACAGAGCGAATAACACTCACAGATGCCAGGAAGCTTCCCACCTTTAGCCCATTCCCATCCTCGCTCGAATATGACTCGATAGCTCATCTCCGTCCAGGAGGCCCGCGGGCCAGCGACGTAGAAACCGAACTGACCAACAGCCTCAGCCGAGGGATTGATGCTACCATGCAGATATACAGCCTCCCAGGTCCGTTCTGGGTGTTAGCCATCGTCAAAGATGGGATGGGAAGGTGCTGTAGGTGATACGACGTTATGAGAAGTGCAATTGAAGACCTTGTGCACGCCTAAGGCAGAATCGTCGAGAAGGACGTGTTTTAAGCTTGCATCGCCGCTAGACTTTGCCAGCGATGACCACGAGGTGAATCCTTTTCGAAGACACTGGGATTAGAGGGTGAGTGACGGAAGAGGGAGAGCAGACCGGGCCGAGATCTGAACGGAGATAATTTGCCAAGCATACACGGGCATCCCACGGGAGAAAATCATTGACAAGTTGGCCAGAATATAGACCTGTGACCGGTCCCTACATGAGCAAGCGTCGATGGTAGGCTCATGTAGGGACCGGTCACAGGCCTAGAAAGAATATACACCTCCATTACAGAATTTTGCCCCTGGTACTTATTCAGTCCATCCTTCCCTTTGGATTATAGTATCGTGGTGCTGGCAGTCAATGACTTGACTTGGCGCATCCGACAGAAGTGCAGTGAAACTTATTATGCGAGCAAAGTCCCTATTGTTAAGAAGGCCTGTTTACTGAAGAGCCTTATAGAATAAGAGTTCGAAGAGTCTATGTGCAGGTACATACGTACATCCATCCATCCATGAGTGCATAAGATAAGTAAGGTATCAACGGTTCCATGACTAAAGAACAAAAGAATCCGCCCAGTGCTTGATGACTCCCCACCCCAGACGATGCATCTCGAAACGCTTGACATCCCGTGAAATAATGGTAGCATGCGAGTTATGGCCAATGTCAAGATACACGAGCTCCTTCTTGATCAGCAGAGTATTCAATGCGCGCACAAGTTTCTGTTGTAGCGGTGTTAAGATAGCCTTGAGCTCCGAAGCAGTACTATCCTCCTTCATCTTGCGTTTGTCTTTCTCGGGAAGAACATTCTTGGATGAGGACGTGATGCCAGGGTCGTCAATGATGTCGACGACAGCGTCCTCTACTTGTCGCTCAAGATCGGACAACAGATGAATTAGACGCTCGCCGTTGGATTCGTTCTCTTTTTCCAGGAGTCTGATTCGGGCTCGGGAGGATCGTGATGCAAGAGACAGACGAACGATGATTAGAGATGCGCCGATAGGTATCAAGACAGGAAGCAGCGCGTAGAATACCTGAATGATCTATGTTAGTGATGTCATATGTTATGCCATTGGAGAGACGCTGACCAGGTTAAAGGGAAGCGGAACTGCAGAAATGGTGGTAGATATGTTCGCTCTTTCTTGTCCTTGAGCCACTGTCTGGAAAGTATAGCAGGTTTTGGCGTCGGGGCAGGAGATATGGCAGGAAGACTGTATGATTTGATTATAGGGTTATATTCTTCATGCAACTCGCTGCAAAAATAATAACCATCAGGGGGCTATTATAAGGATGACGTTGCCGACGTACATTTCAATTCCGTTGGTTGCGTGGTCCAAAAAGTTATCCTCTAATTCTATGGCTGCGGTCACATATGGTACAGTACGATCATTTACTCTTCGTAATTGTGAGCGAACATTAATTGAAAGATAACCCAGCACTCACGAGTTTGCGTATATTCTAATTGTTTTAAAGGCAGCTAGACTTTTATAAAAAATTTGATCTAGATGCATAGTTAGGCGAGGCCATTGCGGATCCAATACAGACAAACCTGGATCTGCCATGATGTCTAACAGTGGACGACCTGTACTCGACCATTTATCTACGCAATAAAATTGCTCTCCTGTTCGCGAAAGAAGTTTGGGTCCAAGTGTAGAGAATAAACTCGACACAAATGATGGATATGTAGGAAGCCCGACATGAGGAGTTGCAACTGTATTGAAGTTGAGAGGTGTGACATCTTCGAAGAAACCTCGTCGGTTAAGGATGCTGAAGATATAACTCGACATGAGTTCTTGAAAATGCTTGGACAAGAACTTACCCAACAACATAGCGCGAAACAAGGCCTCCAAGACTGTAGCCTGTGATGGAAAATCTGACGACTTTATCTCCGTCCTGTTGTAACTTCTCTACTTCGTCCAACACCTGACATTCAAGCTCAGTAATGGCTGCCTTACATGTACGATGAAGAACTACCTCTTGAGCTACCCTTTCACCTCCCCAGTCTATCCCGTCGTATGTAGATGCTTCTTTGTTGGTTTCCGCCACCAGGAGTCGCATTTTAATGCCGTCGGAACTGGGCTGCGCGTGTGTTTCCAGCATGATACGCTTCATCTCAGCCATGTGAGAAGGATTTCCCCACATTCCGTGGACGAGAACAAGGAGATGATAGGAGGACATTAGAAATACTAAGAGAGAGAGAGAGAGAGAAATAATTAGTGGTATACGAAAGAAAAAGTAAATGTAGTAAGCAAGGAAGGGAACTGCGCCGAGTGATCCGTGAACGCGTCATACTTTGGTGCAGTCATCCTGCTTACTCACCGACCAAACTGCGACATTTTGTGCTTCAAAGATGAAGCATCCATTCTGTACTAGCGTGAAACGGTTTGTACTCTTACCTTTTTTTTCAGGTCAACCATTGCATTGCACAATTTTTCGGATCTCTTTGAAGGCAAACTTAATCGTCCATTTCGTCTGTTGATATCTTGATTTGCACTCTCGGGCTCGTATTCTCATTTAGCCGTGATTCATTTCATTGCCTTGTGGTCTCTATACTCAGCGCTCACTCTCTGCGACTACCGTGACTGTCCGGCGCCCCGCTGTTCACCAACTTTCCACTTTGCTTACCGCTCGTCCGAATACCGGGAACAGCCGCTCGTCAGCAAGTTGGGTTCTTCCGGATCTTATCCTCTCGAACAATGTAGAAGGAATGTGACCTAGTCTTTGAGCTTTACAGGTAATATTCATGCCAGATTGCAAGGTCCATTGTTCACAGGGCATTCTCGATCGTGGAACATGACGACGATGACGACTCCTATAAGGGCTACACGGCTGTGCTGTCTCAATATTCCGCGTCCCTATAAATACTGCCACTCAACTCTTGACTCGTCTCTACCACCAACGTCAACCTCTGAGTCATCTCTGCCTCAATTTCACGATCTTTCACGCTAAATCCATCACTATGATCATGACCACCTCCAACGATCTCGAGAAATCCGTAGCTGAATGGGTGTCGACAGAGGTGCCAGAATCCGGTGTAGCTGCCACCGAAGGGAAACCTGCGCCGAAGGAAGGGGCTTTCGCATCTTGCGACTCGTCGCCAAAGACGTTGCACAAGAAGAAAAGCTCCTTTGACCTGCGGGTCGACTATCAACATGCAGCCCCCGAGGTTCAGGAGGCGTCGTCGAACGCCACTTCCTCAGGGGAGGCTTAAAGACACTTCTCAATTATACCACCAGTAAGATCAACCCTATATGTCATCTCCTTCGCTCACATCTTCCCAGCGACATGATGAACGCGACGAACTATTGACTGTATCAATTATGTGTTACGAGTTTCTACGAAGTTTGATTTTGATTATGGGACTTTTACTGCTGGATCAAGAGCGAGTTTGGATGTCGCTGGCATTTAGTCGTTATCTTGTTAATGAACTTTTTTGATCTTCTTGAACCGACTTTGACGTCTCAATCTCAAGTTGCGGTAACATCAACGGTCATCTCGAATTATCTTTATTTGAGGGCTACTAACTGCACTACTTCGCATGATTCTACGCTGGCTCTGAGAGTGAAGTGCTTTCAGAGACGGGAGAGCCCAAGTTCGGGGTACCGTCGCTGTTCCAGCTAATGCTGTTGTACACCATCAGCGTCGACTTCATTTGTAAAACCTCATAAGCACTCACGACTGCACCATCGTGTACCTAGCACCATCACAAGTACCAGGAGAAGTGGAAGAAGCATGGTAAACCTGAGGAAGACGAATCAAAATTCAACGGTCATGAATATTTTGAAAAAGACTCACCATCCAAATTTCCGTACCATCCTCGCTTGTGAAAAATCCATTGTGACCAGGCTGTATTTTAAGTTAGTATTCCGCTTTCTAGGTTATCTCATCACTCGAACCTCGTAGTTTCTGTGGCGTTATACAATTGGTCACAGCGTCCAAGTTGATGACGACTACCACTTACCCATTAGCACTGGTGAAGATAGGCTCAGAGTACTTTGTCCAGGAGGATGCACTGAGCGGATTCGTGCCCGTGAGCTCCAGTCTGCCTAGTTTGTACCCAGTTCCCGCGCAGTTCGAGGCAGAGTATGTGAGGAAGGTGCGTCCCCCATAGTACAGAGCAGCTAAACCGAAGGCGATGTTAACCGTAAAATCATTGCAAGAAGACGGAATGTCAACTTGCCTGGGCCTTCATTAACGTTGGCATCAACCATTTCCCAGTCGTATGTGGGCGTGGAGATCTTGACAGCGTTGCCGACGGTGGAGGAGCTTGTCATTTCTCTGCATCGTCGTGTTTTGTGTAGGGTAAGTACTATATCCAGGATGAAGGCACACGTACGCGATAAACAAACACTGATCTGAAGGGGGAAATAAGCATTAGGGCATAAATATCTGTAATCACACGAGAGGAACGAACAATCTCCGTCCCAAGCTGAGTACACCAAGTAGGTCGCGTCGCCGTAGAATAAGAGGGTGGCGTCGATGGACCAGTAGTCTCTGTTGGGAATGCTGATCCGGCCTAAAATAATACTTAATCAGACCAGGAAAGAATGCCGACAAGAAATGAGTCAGTCACCTTCATAGCTCCACTCAGAGTCCCAAATGCTGGTGGAAGATCCTTTGAGGACGTGGAGATATTGGTCGTCGAAAGTACCAGAGACACCGGCCGTGTAGTAGCTGAACGAATATTCATCATTTTGCTCTGTTCTTGAACGAAACCAAGGCTTACATGAACCAGGAACTTTCGGCGGCATACCTTGACCGGCTGTCAATAGATCGAACAATTCAAGGAAGCAGTATCCATACCACCAAATTTCAGGGGCCCCTTGAAGAAGAAAAGAAAATCAATGTAAGCCCACACAAGCCCCATGGAAGTGACTCACAGACATTGCAGCACCTGGACGCCGTAGAATCAGACCATACGACCTTGGGCGTTGCATCCTTCAACTCCTGCATCGACGTGCCCCGAGTGATTTGAATATCCGTCCATGTCGTGGTAGTAAGATCTGCAGCCAAGTCAGGGAACCTAGAGACAAGAACGAATGAGAAAAAGACGTGCAATAATATCCGTCGCTGTATACCTAGAGTATGCTCTAGTCAACAATGTGCGAATGCTCTGGAGAATACACAAGGCTCACGATAAAAGGATCAGAACCATCAGATGACTTGATGGGATTCTTGAATGCCTGGACAGACAAGCATTGCCAGACCAGGGCGAACAGAGCCAAGAGTTTGAGCATTGTCAACACGCGCGTGGAAAAAACAGATATCCTATGAACCACCTGGCATCCCAACCCTTTTAAACCATGCCCTCGGAGTAATTATACGGTCCGTAATTGCTCATCGCGGTAGTTTCGAGGTCTGGGTGCGCATAAAGGAAAAACTAAAGATGCGTCAGGCGGAGAACATCACTGCGCTTTTGTTCTTTTAGACTTTGAAGGAAATCTCGCTGATCACGCCAAGTCGCTTGGAACTGGCGGACCGAAGGGGGACCGCCACATCCCGCCACCCGACGATATTCCGATGCCCACCCGAGGATTCCTAATTCCATAAAATGGACCTTTGAAGCGAGGTAGCTGACGGAGAATAAGCAAATGTACATTTCAAATTTATATACAAGCAGAGGGAAAGATAACAGTCCTTCAAGTCACCAATGATTGAGATACCTGCAGAAAGTCAGCATAGATTCTACAAAAGTATTCAAAACGGTTGGTACCAATCATCATCTTCATGGAAATGAAAAAATGGGAAGATGCCATGTCCATACTCATCATCATAAAGCGAATCCGAGTATCCATCATAGTCACTGTCATACATCTCGCTATCCAGCACGTGACCATCCCACGCAACCTCCACAACAACTTCTTCCAGGAGCTCTACATCCTCATCGTACAAATGAGAACAATCTGACAGCGTCAGCGCCTGTACCTCTGTCCCACACTCTGCTCGCACCATCAACGCGTCTAACAGCACGTCGGAAAAATCTGAGAAGTCCGTCCCCGTGAGGATAAGACTGCGAAGGCGGGGAAAGTAAACGCTATCAGGCGTCTGCTTCTTCCTCCGCAGATTGTAGCCCTGATCTGCATCAACAGGTGCTGGGGGCTTGATCTCGCCTAGCGCTTCGGCGAAGGTCTTTGTAGCGCCTGAAAACTCTATTTTCTGCAACTTCGGTAAAGAGCCAAACAGGTCTACCCATGTCATATGTTTGAAATCGCAATCGGGGTCAAAGACCCGGAGGACTCGAAGTTGGGCAAGGGGTAAAGCTCGGCAAATTGTCTGTGCGACTTGCTCTTTGGTGCCAGAAGAGTCAAGTCGCCATGACAGGTGCAGTTCGAGGGCCGGGATAGCATAATCTACGCGACTAGTGGAGGGATTGACGGTGGTAAAGGCAGAGAAGCGGATGTCGGTTTGAAATGGGCTTGTTAATGACAGCGTCTTGAAAGGTGCACTTTTGAGGGCCTTGTCGGAAGAGCCGCCGGCGAATGTCCGTGATTTAGAGAGCGTTGGTACAAGGGAAGAGAAATCTGTCCCCGTCCCTTTGGTACCGTGTAGGATGAGCCGCATGGTGGCCGTGGAGGGAAAGTCGATGTGGTTCAGAACATTAGCGGTTTCAAGAACGTTAGATGTGAGGCGGATCAGTGATAAGTGAGGCAAGGATATAACGTGCGAGGGACGAGGCAGAGTCTTGGTGCATTCCGAAACGATGGGCAACGCATGATCTAAATCAAGTGTTTCAAGCCAAGGCATCTGTTTGAGCACGTCGACAAGCTGAGAAATGGTAGGTCTGAAGTCACCTGGTTCCACTATCCTGAGGTATGTGAGATTTTGCATCAGGGTGGAATCCCAGTGCACTTGACACCGATTAAGGTTGAGGTGGCGCAACCGGGGGGCTTGGCCGTCCAAGAAATTATCGGGAAGGACTATCTTTTCTTCAACTTCACGGTAGCCAGCATAAAATTGAGAAATACAAAGCTTTCTGAGGAAAGGCGCCCGCTTTGTTAAGTCAGTGAGGTATTTCTCCATGGTTTTATCACCGGTAAGGTTGAGTTCGGCAGCACGGTCGACCTGCTTCATGGCGTCGTCGAACACTGAGAGGATTTTGGGGGACATGTAGGTAAGATCGGCAACGATGGTTAGAGGGGCCATCTTTGATCTCTTGAGCATTTCATGAGCCCAGGCAGGGGTCTTGAAGGGGGGCGAACTCCACAAAGCTGGAAAACCGAGCGCAGTGGCGCGCCAGTGTCGTGAGACATGGGAAACATTGATCCACAGAAGTGAATTGTAGGATTCATGAGGGTAGGAGACGAAGAGAAAGATTCTGGAGAGCATTTCGGGGGGAAGTTTGGAGATTGGTGAGAGAGCATTTCGTCGTGATTTGAGTTCCCTGACTGCCTCTTCATGCTGGAGTATTTCTGCGTCAATTTGGGAGATTGAAGGAGAGCTCTGGGCATTTGGAAGAGTCGGTCACTGGAGAAATATTGAAGATATGAGTAGGAAACGGTAGCGACAGGATAGGGTAGACGAACCAGTCATGTCGTTTGGGTCGGAAGGTAGGCCAGCTACAGTTTCAGCCATACTGAACTGCAAACTGAACCAGTTTTTATTGCCCGGCAAAGGAGGCACAGCCTGGATACTGGCGTTGTCGTGGATGTCGGTGGCAACGATACGGTTGCGGAATCAGCGTGTGACGCCCGTGACCGTATTGCTTTTCTGGCACCACCACAGAAGACCACAGACGACCACAGAGGCCCGTTCAGTACTCAGTACAACTCTTATTTCATCAAAATAATTCTAGATATTTTCTGGCGATATACGTGGCCCTTCACCGGCGATATCAAGCCTCTCCGTTGAGCCACAGAATTGCTATCTGCTCTATATTTCTGGTAGCGTTCGCATCGCTTCACTGCGGAGCTAACTTGGCCGGAATCCTTTGCTTTCGCCTTCCTTGATGATCTTCTCTGCGGCGATTCCTCCTAATTCCAATTTTTACGACAGACCTCGGACGTGCTCAAATTCAAAGATGGCAGCAGGTTCCTTAAAATTCGACCTGTCGCTGTCACTCGATTGCATACCTGAATTTTCAATAATAACTGAACAATATTTGGAGTATAGAAGGAACTGGTTTATACTTATCCTGGGGTGAGCTCAATATATTACAGCCTGCGTTCCAAAAAAACATTACTGATAGTATCCTTCTTCAGCGCATCACAACCCCGGAAAGCAAGCTCAAAGGGTCGGGAACGAATGGAATGACTCCGATTCATGAGAATTTTGCCCCTGCTTACAGGATGTGAAAAACTGCCAATCCGGCCCCCCTCCGTTAAGTCCGGAGCTGCATCTGGTATTCATGCAAGCTACGGTTCAAACTTTGAGTTAATCTCACCAAAAATTGTCGCTAGAGGCACCTTCCTTATTCTCTGGTGCATTCTATAAAGGTCAGAAGGCTTCAATTTCTTCAAAGCTTCTCGCGATGCGGTTGCAATGGAAGCAATTAATAGCCGGCCCCGTGCCTTATTCTCGTCACTGATTTCCTTAACACGAAGTTGTCTCATGCACATGCCGTCGTCCATTCATCTTGTCAACGCACAAACATTCAAAACCGGTTAAATGCTTTACTCCGTTCGTCAAACTTCTTTCTGCACGCTTCATATATAAGTCGGACTTGATTTCTTGCCTTCCTTTCCCCTCCAATAATGTCGGCTCCCACCAGTTCCCTACCGCGAAAATCCTCCATCTTTCGTCGTCAGAGCCGCCAAATAAATACGGCGGTGGGCTATATCATTGTCCCCGCTCGATTTCGTCTTGTTCATCTTCATTCCAGGTCGTCGAGTCTAACGGAACCGAAGCTGCGGCAACGAATGGCGTCCCCATCGTCGCCAGACGAACCAACTAGCCATGGCACCGGGCTTCCAAAAGCGTTGACTGACCTCCTAGATCGGGGCAAGAAAGGGTTACCAGCTGTCGGTGGACCCTTCGACAGTAGTGAGTCGGACTTTTCATACATAGCGCGAAAGGGTGACATGTAAAATAAATCAGGTCTCTCTCGTAGATGCGGTACGCAACACGGATAGTCTAGATGACAGAAAGCTCCTGGTAACCGCTTCCCGCTTCCTCGTGTGTCTAACTCGCATACTCAAATTTTGATCGGCGTCTGTGTGCAGCTTGAACATGCCCTTGTTTTCCTCTCGCGTCTTCCACCTGGGTCATTAGCTGATAGCCCTTCAGAACAAAGTCATTGCCTTGCGTAAGTTGCGTCCAACTCTGTCGGTTTCCTAGACTGATCCTTTTCAAGTGTACAATGATCTTTCCCATCCTCCGGCTACTTATCTCGGAAACGAGTACAAATTCCGCAAGGCAGACGGCTCGAACAATAACGTCCTAGCTTCGGATATGGGAAAGGCGGGAACGCCGTATGCCAGAAGTGTACAACAAACTCATCCTCTGCCGAGGCGAAATATGCCAGATTCGGGCTTGATTTTCGATACGTGAGCTAGCAACCCCTTCTTCGTCTCTTAAAAGGTCTGATTCAGTTGCTTACAGCCTCTTGAAACGCGATGGTGCAAGTCTGAATTCTCCTTCCTAACGTCATGCTGACACAGTTTGCAGTTCGTCAAGCACCCAGGTGGTCTATCATCCCTCATGTTCGCATTTGCCGCTCTCGTTATACACACGTTGGTGGCAGCCCCATTGTATCTCCGCTCCCGCTAATAATAGCTTTCAAGTGTATTCCGGACATCACATACCGATATCAGCATCAACGAAACATCTTCATACGTGGATCTAGCACCTTTATACGGCCATAATCAAGCGGCGCAAGACAAGGTTCGGAAACGCGATGGATACGGAAAGCTGCACAAGGATGTTTTCGCTGAGGATAGGCTTATGCTGCTTCCGCCCGCTGTTTGCGTGCTCCTGGTGCTCTTTTCTAGGAATCATAATGTGAGTGAGCATTCATTCGTGGATGTAAGGAGGAAGCCGACCTATCTTCTCCAGTATATCGCCCAGAAGTTGCACGAGATAAACGAACATGACACCTTTGTTGACCCTTCAACGTTGTCCGAGGAGGATCGCTTGAAGCAGGACGAAGAGTTGTTCCAGACCGCTCGTCTAGTCAACTGTGGCTGGTTCGGCACTGGTATGCACCCCATATTCTCTTATGTTAATAGAGAGCTGACGTTCATCAGTCGTATTTTCCGATTATTTCTCATGTATCTTGGGTCTTGTACGAGAGGGTAGCAGCTGGAGTTTGAATCCGTTTGGTGTACGTACACTTACCGTGATGATCGATCTGCTACTCATCCTTGGCACAGGAATTCCGGAAGGATGATCACGCCACATTCGAGCGCGGAGAAGGAAACGTCTGTAGCGTTGAGGTATGTCCATATTTCCTGCCAAGGCATCAGTTCTTACACGTATCAGTTTAATTGTCTCTACCGATGGCATGCTACCACCAGTGCTAAAGACGAAAAATGGGTGGAAAAACTCATGGGTGACATGTTCGAAGGGAAACCCTTTGATGAAGTCACGACCACAGACTTCAAGGAAGTTGCGAAGAAATTGAGTCAACTGGACCCAGACTTGACTCACTGGACTTTCGGAAAGTGAGTGCTTCGCTTGCTCAAAATAAATGGGGTCACAGGACGTTTGTTTTAGCCTGACCCGACAAACAGACGGTTCCTTCAAGGACGAAGACTTGGCCAAAGTTTTGCAAGATGCGTAAGAAAGGAAATTTTGGGGAACCGCCAACGTCATTAACTGTCAACTCTAGGACTGATGAACCCGCGGCTGCTTTCAGGGCAAGGGGAACCCCGCGTACGTCGTCTCTCCATAAATGAAAAGAAGATGAATATTGATGCTTGTGAAGCTTCCATGCGCCTCCATGAAATACTGGGAATAGAACAGAACCGACTCTGGGGAGTATGCTCTCTCAATGAGTTCAGGAAGGTGCGCGCTCTAACTTCGTACTGCTTCTCCTTCGTACTGATTGCATTTCATGGTTCTAGTTCCTAGGACTTAAGCGTAGGTGGTTCCAACATCAATACGTTTTATAGCTCTGATGTCGGACGCTGACAGAATACGCCACATTCCTGGAGTGGAACTCCGACCCTGAGATCGCCAAGACTGCGGAGAAGTTGTACGGCGACATCAATAATCTCGAGTTGTATGTTGGTCTCCAAGCCGAAGAAGCCAAGCCACTCGTTGACGGAGCCGGCTTATGTCCTGGTAAGCATACTCCTTTAGGCCTCTGACAATGCCTTCTCTGATCAATGTGCAGGCTACACCATAAGCCGTGCCATCCTCAGTGATGCCATCGCTCTCACGCGTGGTGACCGATTCTTCACACGCGATTTCACTCCTGCGAATCTCACCTCTTGGGGTTTCGCTGATTGTCAACGTGACCCTAAAGCCTTTGGATTTGGCAGTGCTCTTGGAAAGCTCTTCCTGAGAACTCTCCCGCATGAGTTTGGAGAAAATGGTAATAGCGTTTACGCCTTCTTCCCGTTGATGACGCCGGAATCCATGAAAGTCCATTTGACAAAGATGGGTGTGGTGGATCAGTATGATTTGACGAGACCGGTGAAGAAGGCACCGGGGGTAGTGACGTTCGCGAGCGGTAGTACCAAGTATGCGAACAGGGCAGCAAAGATTCTTGACGCAAAAGGCAAAGGGTAGAGCATCTTTTTTCATTGAAGCAGTTCTCTTCTGAAACATTTGGTGTAGGTTCTACATCACACAAGATGATGAGAAACGTCGTGAAGTTGTCGTCCGCGCCCTTACTGAGGCCATAGGGTCAGAAGACAAGATCGGGCAGTATTTCTATACCCAGACCACGTTCCTTATGTCCGAGCAGTCGTTGCGCATGGTAGGAGGCGACAAGCTCGTCGTTGATATTGTGCGTGACGTCTTTAAACCGTTGACGGTCGGTTGGGTTGCAACGGAAGTGGTGCGTTTCATTTTCAATTCCGCTTGGTTTCACTTCTAACGTTCTTGGTTGGCAGGCTGGGATCCAGTTGACAAAGGGATCTCAACATGGAGCGTATACACCAGCTCAGTTGTATGACATCCTAGGGGATGTCTACGAGTGCGCTACAGGTCTTTCCCATTATTCGACAGCTAATTTGTCATCTTAACAGATATATATTCCTGAGCGTGGAGGACTCCAAACTAGTGAACTTCCAACACAAGATGCAGAAGGGCGTCAAGCACCTGTCTAGCCACCTCAAATCCGCTGAAAAGGTGATGTCAAACATATGCATTTTCCTTCGACGTCTGTTGAACGTAGCGTGTCAGTTCTCCATCGTCCATTTGGTTGAAAGTGCCTTTTCGTCCAATAGAAGTCATAAAAAAACCGATGAGAAATTCATCAAACGCCTGGCGGAGCTTGGAGTACCGAGTGATGAAGTCAACAACACGATCTTAGCCATCATGGTCGGTGCATCGGTCGAGCTATCTTTGGGTGAGGGGCGATATATCTTTTTCATATATGGCAGGACTCAATGACATCTTAGCCCTTACAAACATGCTCAATATCTGCCTCGAATCCGACGTACAATCTGCGACAAACGAAGGAAGAATTCGTGAAGTGATGCGTAAGCTAACCTTCATCTTTCTTAATTATGTCGTTTTTTACAGGGGAAGCAGGTCTAGATCCTACCTTCCATGAGGCATCAAGTACTTCTTTCTCTTCTTCTGTGCGCGTGGTCTTCATCTAATGGACGAAGTATCCACCACAGCCGCTCCAGGGCCCGCTACTAATCGTCACGTCCAACCAGAGATCTTCAGCGTGTCGAAGTAAGTGCTGATCCAATTTATCGTTCCTATCTCACCAGAACACTTCTAGATGTCTGGGAGAACCTTTGACTGTGAAGGTTTGTGCCTGTACTTGTGTTTCTCTCTCAGCTTATTTGACGTCTCGATAGATCTTAAGCGAAACGCTTCGAGCCGTCCTTAGCTATCCTGGCATATGTCGTGGCCCCGGTCAATCTGGTAAACTGAGCAGGTAAGCGAGAACCAGCTGTAGTCCTTGAACATGAGGCTTATCGGCGTATAAGGTTCAAGATCGAAGACAAGATTAGGGAGAATCTCCGCTATGGCTACTTGGACAGTGACCTACAGGTGTCTCCCTGGCCTACATCGTTGATAGTGCGGGTAAGATTTTCACACGGCAATTAGTCGTTTTAAACATTTTTTAACATGTCCTCTAGTTCGATGGATCTGTGAAGCAGTAAGAAGATGACTGATGTGTCACGATTATGTCGATACTAGTCTCACTCATCGAATGTATTGACAATGTCTGGCCCATGCACTCCCTCTTAATGATTGTAATGACTTATTAGTTACTCAAATACCTATGAAAATTGCTCAGAAGGTGCCATAAGCACGTCATGTTGGTATTAGCTACTCGAGAGAAGCACTACATGAATAAGGTTATGTCAGTATTCTTATCGACAAGTCGAAGTACTCGACGAGTTTAGGTTCCAAACATAGTTCCGCACCAATACGGGCGATTTCCGAAGGAGGGAAGTTTGTTTTATTGGTCGTCGGAGGTTGGAGGGTTAATTTGGGGTTAATAGATAGGTGTTCTTCGTTGCCGACTAATACAATTCGACTGGCGCGAGCACGTTAATTTTATACACAAGTAAAACAGGAATCCATTATTTCCGAGACTACGGTTACGCAAGAGGCTTTCACACGGCAAATTATCAGCCTGACTCGATCATTTCTCGTAGTGGGATACGCCGTACCTTTTGTGCGTACACCACTGTCCATGGCTGCGTTACAAAAGCTTCTTCTCCATTATTCCACTCTTTCGCAAGCGATTCAAGGAAATTATCAAAATCCTCCTTTGACGACACCAGCCCAAATCCGCCGCCTTGGAGAATAGGGCCATGAAATGCAGAAAATACCGTGATAAGATCGTCCCTGTGTTGGGTGCCATCCAAACCAGCCCAGGCCCCCAAAGGCAAGGCTCGCGTTTCTCTGTGTATGTTAATGAATCCCTGTTGGGTCAACATATCGGGGAGGCGTTTCGCGACGTCGGGAACCAGCTCTTTATACGCGAATAACTCCAAAAAGAGTTTTCGCATTTTGTCTGTGTACTCGCCAATATTTCTCGAAGGCGGACTACCTTCAACGAGCTGCACCCATCCGCCTGGAGTTAGAACGCGGAAGGTTTCTAACAACGCAGCTTTCCATTGTGATTCTGTCAGGGCCCCGAAGAGAACGCGTTGGTTGACTAGTGAGTATGTATCACTCCATTCACCAGGCAGGTTGGTGACAGAGTGAAGGGAAAAGTGAATATTCGACGGAAACGATTCGGGGAAGATATTGGATTGAATATCAAAAGCATCGATAGAGACCGACGCGGGAACTTCTTCCGCGAGCGAAAGGGCCCAAGCACCTTTAAAATTAAAGGTAAAGAACGGACAGATGCAGCCACGAACTCTACACTTACCGGACCCTGTACCGGAGTCCAAGACCTTGTCGCTTGGCTTCAGAGTTATGGGCGCCAACACAGATTTACTGTCGCATAATGCGCGACTAAGGAAGGAGTGCTGTAGATCAAGTCTTCGAATTTTAAGTACAGCAACTGCCAGGAAATGGATAGATGACGTACCGGCGTTTTTCAAGAGCGTCAGACGGCAATATGTAATGGACACCTGTTGCAGATGGGTAGACTCTCGTTGTGGATGAAAACATTTCGGTAGCCTGAGGAGCAAGGAGTACCACGAAGCGTATTCAAACTTCGGTATGGCCAGTACAAGACTTCTTAAATGAGGGGGCTCCCTTCAGATCCTGCTAGTATCGATTCAATTAGAGGTTATTTGCTCCGCCCAAGGTTTCAGAATGACGGTGCATTTGATACTAGAAGCCCCCAAGACGCGACAACTCTGTATGGGATTGCAATGGAGCATCACGGAGCATCATATCCCGACCTTCAAGTGACCAGTAAGTCGAGATCCGTACCCGCCTCTCATAGGAATGAACGGCTCGAGTTTGAGCCAGGGCAGGTGCTTATACAAATATGGTGCCACTACTGCGTTTTGTGCGCTCGCGTAGCACCGATGTTTGCGGACTTCGTGTACTAGATCCTCCATCGAAGTTTTCGGAATTTCGCATCCCACCTATATGCACCCCTGCTAGCCATATCTGTTTGGGTTCGTACGTCTGGTGCATAGCGTCTCCAGCCGTTGGTCAGTCATCAACTGAGTCCCGAACACCTGGGTTCCCTGCCTATCGGTTGGTGACATTTCATCCGGCTTCCCTCCCATGCGGCCCTCTCTTCTTTCAGCCGAAAGTTACCTCGCGGGTAGGAAAATCAACCCCCCCTCCCCAAACCCCAAGATACTGACTATCTTGATCACTCGCCATCGCTCGTTCGACTTGTTAAGTCTGACTGTCCCTACCTAGCTTAGTACAAAGATGGATCACAAATCTAGCGACGAGCTATCTTCGCGAAGAGCGGGAAAAGAAGAGCACCGACGCTCTTGGGTTGAATGTCAAGGGATCGTGTACGTACATATTCATCGCCAGCAATTAAGTTATTCTCTGGAACATAATAGTGCAACTCATCAAGAAAGAGAGTAAAACGAGCTCGAAGGCTATAGAACCAAGACTATAAGTAACACTATTTAATCAGAAGATATCCACATCCCACTTATTTACAAGGGCTAGAGAATCTCCGCTATGGCTACTTGGACAGTCAACGGATAGGGCCCGTTTTTTGAAAAAACACCTGTAATTATAGGCGACAGTTTTTTAATCAAGGCATCTCCCTCCACAGGTCTTATGAATGAGAATTTCTTCGGATGCTTGTGTGACAGAAGTTCTCCCGCGAGGATCCAGACTAAGTCTGGACTCTGAAATGACGCAGACCTCCCGACTTCTGCCTTACGGGCTATGGCTTTGCACGATTGTCGGCGTGGGGTTTCCAATGCCTTTAGACACGTGAAAAGCATAGATTTCAAGGTCAAATGTACCTATAGTCCTTTATTCTGTTATCTCAGCGGGTTTATAGTTATGCAGGTATATTATCATCATATGTATGTAATAGACAGCATGACCGAAATCAAGAGAGAAAGAAAATAAGCGAAAAATGGATTGACCAATGACAACGGTAGTCTTGAAGGAAGAAAAAGATTGTACCTTCACGTATGCCACCCTTGAGAATGGGAGTCTGAACGGGGCGGGTGTTGAATAAGGGTGTAGGATTCCTTGATGGGATGGGAGTGGGGACGTTGGGAGCATCGGGGGGGAATCGGACCGCACCATCATCTCGAGTACCATTGAAAGCGGGGGGATCCAGACAACGGTGTCAGTCGGGGTTGTATTTCAACCAGGAGGTTGTGATATTGGTCGGATTGAGGTGGGGATGACTCGGTCACGTCGTGCGAGATACAGGCCTCATAGAATCAAACGGTTGGTGTCAGCGTATTCAGCACCCTCAGAAATAGTGTTTCACTGAAAGTGACGGCGAGAGGGAGCATCATAATGAGGTGGGGTTCGTGTTGGTGGGTAGGTATGAAAATGGTCGGGTTAATGTCGCACGGGATAGCTCCATCGCAGGGGATGACAGCCAGCGGTATCATCTTGAATGAGCTCAGATATGATGAGTAACGCTAGCACCGACGATGCTGTCCGGTAACCCGGTCCGTATAGCCGGTCATCGTCCTTGACACTGAAAAGCCCTTTGTATATGGGCTACGGGTATCTTATTCCTTTCAAAACATATACATCAGTTTTATTACACATTAATTCAGCTGCTGAATTTTTTTGTATCTGAATCTCTTTAGGCGTTAGGCCATTAATATTGATTTATCGAAATTTCCTCTGACCAATACTCATCTTTCAACATATCTATCATTTCAATGGGTCCCCTCCTCTCATAGAAAATCGGTAAAAATGTGGAAAAGACTATATGGAAGTGAAAGTACAAAATATGATCCATAAAATGCTAAAAAAATCCAACTTTAATTTTTTTTCGGTCAGACGAATCGCGCAAAGCAGACTCCAGTTCACTGACACTGAATAGCATACGGTCAATCAATGCCTTTCAGAGAATTTCGGTATCTCTTGGCTGGGTTGCAATGTCCTGTAATTGATGTATATTATTTCTTCTGTTGAAAATACAATATTCAATGCATCTTCACACAATACTTACTCGATTGTGAGTTTAGGTTCCAAACGTAGTTTCGCACCAACACATGCAATATGTAAAGTCGGAGGGTTAATAAATAGGTGTTCTTCGTTGCTGTCTAATATAATTCGACTGGTGCGAGCTCGTTAATTTTATACACAAGTAAAACAGGAATCTATTATTTCCACGAAGAAAATGCAGACTAAGGTTACGCAAGAGGCTTTCCGCATGGTAAATTATCAGCCTAACATGATCATTTCTCATAGTGGGGACACCTCGTACCTTTTGTGCGTACACCACTGTCCATGAATGCGAAGCAAAGGCTTCTTCTCCATTATCCCACTCTTTCGCAAGCGTTGTGAGAAATTTATCAAAATCCTCCTTCGACAACATGGGCTCAAATCCGCCACTTTGCAGAATAGGTCCATGAAGTGCAGAAAACACCCCAATGAGATTGTCCCTGTGTTGGGTGCCATCCAAACCAGCCCAGGCCCCCAAAGGCAAGGCTCGTGTTTCGCTGTGTATGTTAACGAATCCCTGTTGGGTCAACATATCGGGGAGGCGTTCCGGGACGTCTGTAACGAGCTTTTTATACGCGAATAACTCGATCAAGAGTTTTTGCATTTTCTGTGTGTACTCGCCCATATTTTTCATAAGCGGACTGCTTTCAACGAGCTGCACCCACCCGCCTGGAGCTAGAACACGGAATATTTCTAATAACGCAGCTTTCCACTGTGGTTCTGTCAAGGCCGTGAAGAGAAAACGTTGGTTGACTAGTGAGTACGTATCACTCCATTCACCAGGTAGGTTAGTGACAGAGTGAAGGGAAAAATGGATATTCGGTGGAAACGACTCGGGGAAGATATTGGATTGAATATCAAAAGCATCGATAGAGACCGACGCGGGAACTTCCTCCGCGAGCGAAAGGGCCCAAGCACCTTTAAAATTAAAGGTAAAGAACGGACAGATGCAGCCACGAACTCTACACTTACCGGACCCTGTACCGGAGTCCAAGACCTTGTCGCTTGGCTTCAGAGTTATGGGCGCCAACACAGATTTACTGTCGCATAATGCGCGACTAAGGAAGGAGTGCTGTAGATCAAGTCTTCGAATTTTAAGTATAGCAACTGCCAGGAAATGGATAGATGACGTACCGGCGTCTCTCAAGAGTGTCAGATGGCAATATGTAATGGACACCTGTTGCAGATGGGTAGACTCTCGTTGAGGACGAAAACATTTCGGTAGCCTGAGGAGGAAGCAGCAAGGAGTACCACGGAGCGTATTGAAGTTGGCATGGCCCTGAGTACAAGGCTTCTTAAATGAGGGGGCTCCCTTTAGACGCTGCTAGTATCGATTCAGTTAGAGATCAGTTTCTGCGCCCAAGGTTTGATGCTAGAAGCCCAGGGAGAGACGACGCTGAATGGGACCGCAGTAGAGAATCACGGAGCATTATATGGGCCCGACCTTCAAGTGACCAGTAAACCGAGATCCGTACCCGCCTCTCATAGGAATGAACAGCTCGAGTTTGAGCCAGGGTAGATGCTTATACAAATATGGTGCCACTACATTTTGTACGCTCGCGTAGCACTGATGTTTGCGGACTTTCGTGTTGATTTTCGGAATTTCGCATCCCCCCCCTCTGCACCCTTGCTAGCCATAGCTGTTGGGTTCGTCCGTCTGGCGCACAGGGTCTCCAGTCGTCGGTCAGTCATCAACTGAGTCCCGAACACCTGGGTTCCCTGCCCATCGATTGGTGACAGTTCACCCGGCTTTCCTCCCATCCGGCTCCTTCCTTCAGCCGGAAGTTACCTCGCAAGTAGGAAAATCACCCAAGATACTGAGTATCTTGGTCACTCGCCATCGTCCGTTCGACTTGTCACGTCTGACTGTCCCCACCTAGCTTGGTATAAACCTGAATCACAAGTCCAGCACGAAGAGCGGAGAAAGAAGACCGCCCCGGGACGAGTATCAAGGGATCATATACATACACATCCATCGTCGGCAATCAAGTTATTCTCCGAAACATAATAGTGCAGCTTATCAAGAAAGAGTAAAACCAGCTCAAAGGATATAGAACCAAGACTATGGGTAACACTATTTAATCAGAAGATATCCACATCCCACTTATTTACAAGGGCTACCAACCTGATATTCATAGGAAACAAGTATGTACAATGTACAATTCGCCCAGCCCTAGAAGTAAAAGATGCTATCTGCGGTCCACATCTACGCTTCTCTCTATGGGAAGGGTGGGTAACACACAAAGCACCATCCATAGCGTCCTCCAAAGGGATCCCGCTTAAGCTGGAATCTCCGCAGTTACTTTGCCAGCAAAATGAAGCGTCCACGTGGACAATAGTCGGTGTTGATTTACTTGGTCTCCAGTGAGACTAAGAGACTCCGTCAGAATCGACACCCCCCTAGGGTAAGAAAAAAACATACCCAGGTGTTCCATAGGTCAAAGGCGCTAGGAAAACAAACATCGAGAACAATACGATGCAGAACACTACAAAGATTATAGGTCCCTTCAGGCCAATGTCCGCATAAGTTGGAGCTTTTGCACGAGTCAATAGGCCACGGATTGACGAAGGGTAGTTAACCGTATCAGAGAGCATGAAGCTCAATACGGATCCCGCAATCAGGGCAGAGGCTAGATGGGAAGGGAGATAGTGATGGACGAAAAGCTGTCGGTTCATGAGGAAGAAAGGGAAGTAGTGCACCGCCCAGATGACAAAGAAGAATCCTGTCGAGTTCCAGAGGCGGTTGCGAACGGCTGAAAAAAGCTAGCAATCAGCGTGAGGTCTATGCGAAATCTTGGTACTAACGGTCATCAATGGGTTTAAAGTTTCTACGACGGGCCAAAAGGTCGGCGCCAAGAATACCGACATAGATCGACAGCATAACCACGCATGTCCACCAGCCCACTAGATTACCAATTAGATATATTTGCTTTTGTTCATCGTTCTCAGTCCAGAAACTGATCCCGCTCAATAAGAACGGCCAGTTGATCGGGCTACTGGCATAGGGGTGCGAAGCCGTCAAACCTGCGTTGTGCTGCAACATCAAGAGCTGAAGTTCCCCCCATTTGCGGAAAAAGTTCATCTTCTTTGGGATCTTCGGCACAGCAGGCTCAGTGCGGTCGCTTAGATCCTCGACATCTAGAGATAAATATATGCTTCAGATACGAGATACGTTCTGGCATGCACTCGCTCACCTTCCGCGTCAATGACCTCGTCGACGTACCATGTTGCAGACTTCTCTGTCGCACTTTTATGACCGTTGATTTCCTGCTGATTGAATGCCCAGTCAGGAAGTTGTTTGTTGTGAGTCCACATCGAGACAAGGGTAGGGACATGAACTAGTCTGAAATACCCGGACTTTGTCTTCCAGGCCTCGCCGTCGTGAGAGTCGATGAGGTGAAGTTTGAATAGCGTGTCGTTATACCGTGAATGATCATCTCTTGGCCACGTTGTGAATTCCTCGTTAGTAGGCATAAGTGGCGACGCGACGTCGTGCGTCAAGAGGAGCGTATTAGTATTGACGTGGAGGAGCTGGATCATGTCTTCATTGCGTACAACCCGACCGCGACCAGTTTCGGGAAGTGACTTCGTGGGTATGATTTGCCAAAAATTGTTCGTATCGTTATGGGCATAGCCAGTAACCTGTTGACCTGTGAAAAGTTAAGGCACAGTTTAAATGTTGAAGGGTTCAGGATATTACCTTGACTGCTGATACGGCCATCCTCGTATTTCAGAGGATATTTCTCAGGATGCGAGTGCAAGTACACTTTAGTGTCCTTGTGTCGCAGAGTGATGGTGTCAAAATATCTGATCTCTGATGCACGGTGAGTACGTAAGATGAACCATCTTTGACATTCGTACCTTGACTGTTCAATAGCATTTCGTTACCCGCAAGTGTTTCTTGGAACGCAGGACTCATGAATGTGTCACCGGGTCCAGATTGTGTGAGGATAGCAAAGTGGATGTAGAAGAAAGACAGGTAGATCATGAAAGGGACGGCAATCAACCCGATTGCCCTAGCGGTAAAGTGTCTCCAAAAATGATCCTAGAGCAAAAGACTTGAGTCTACAGTCAAAAAGTATGAATATGAGACGTGCCATAGTATTTCCCTTCTTGTAATCCAAAAGATCCCAAAGGTCAATGAGAACGGCAACACCGATTGCGAAGACCGTGAGGATGCCATTGACTTTGGACCCCCAGGTACACGCCATAAACGTTCCCGTAAGAATCAGCCAGACCCACCATTCTGTCGAGAATTCCCAATAACGAAGCTTCTGGAATCGTATGTAGGAATATATGGTAAGCGACATGAAGAAGATAAGTGTAGCGTCAAGGAGGATAAGACGAGATTGTGCGATGTGGGCATTGTCTGGACACTGATGAGAATTAATGAAAGCACGGAATAGATGATGACGGACCGAAGAGAATGAGAGATGCTGAGAAAGCTGCAATGACCGTGGAGTACCCGCTCTGCTTCATGATGGCATATACAACCGGGATTGTAAGACTACCGAGGATGGCTGGGAGGGCGCGCATGCCGATGTAGGGAACATGATTGAGCGTGTAGCTGTCGCCTATTTCCTCGAACTGGAATTGGCCATCGAATCCAACGAACCAGCCTGCAAGTCCGAACAATAGCTTCGCGAACGGAGGATGAACGTCGAAGTAGTATGTCCGCAGGAGGTAATACGAAGCAAACTTTCCAAAATGGACCTCGTCAAAGCTGTACGACGATTCTTAGAGCTGAGATACAAGGGGAAAGCGATTGACGTACACGACTTGGTCAGGGTGGCTGAGTTTGTACAAGCGCAGCGCGAACGCCAGCGTCGTCAATACTCCAACAACGATAACACTGGCCCGCTCCGTTTCAAGAATTCGTTCTACAGGGTGACGATTGTTCTGCCCTTTCGTCAGACAATATTCTCAGCGGACGAGAAAACACACATACAGGATTCTGGTACACGTGTTCGGCGGGTTCATCCTCCTCGGTATTTTCAAAATGTGAGCCAGGAGTGCCCGTGATGCCCTTGGGACGTCGCAACCTTGGAGATTTTGAGGTCATCGACGTCGACGACGAGGACGACATGGTGAGGGGGAGTAATGGCTGAATGAGTGAAAAGAGAAGATTTCAGGGATCTGTTGTTGAAAGTTGGAAGCGATGCTATTATGTAAGCAAAGTTTTTCTCGCGAAGTCCTCCCTACTTGAGCTTCTAGAACTCCTATCCTACAACACTGGAGAGTAAAACTGGCCTTCTTACTTAAAATGACCATTTTATGGGCAAAAAAGCCGCAATGGATGTATATTCTCTGACCAATCTGCTTATCTGGTATTTTCTCCCGTGGATGCTTGGCAAAATATCTCCGTCGGATTTCGGCCCGGCCTGTTCTCCCACTTCCACCATGCACCCTCTGATTCCAGTGCCCAGCGGTCGTCTTCGAAAAGGATTTACCTCGTCGTCATCGTTGGCAAAGTCTAGCGGCAATGCAAGCATAAAACACGTCTCTCTCGACGATTCTGCCCTAGGCGTGCACAAGGTCTTCAATCGTACTTCTCATAACGTCGTCTCACCTCCAGCATCTTCCCATCCCATCCCTGATGACGGCGAACACCCAGAACAGGCCTGGGAAGCTGTATATCCGCGTGGGAGCATCAACCCCTCGGCTCCGGTTGTAGGTGGCTTCGGTTTCTACGTCGCTGGCCCGGCGGGATTCCTAGACGGAGCAGTGAATGAAACAATCATGAGCTATCGAGTCATGTTCGAACCAGGATGGCAATGGGCTAAAGGGGGGAAGCTTCCTGGTGTCTGTGAGTGCTACTCATTCTATTTGGGATGTCTGACGTATAACCGGTCAGTTGGCGGTGTAGGCGACGCGTCCTATCGGTGTAGCGGCGGTCGACAGAACGACAGATGCCAATGTTTCGATGCAAGGCTTATGTGGAGGTTCGTCTACTGTCTCTGATCTGTGTCTCTTTGACGAGCGTGCTAGGTCCAATGGCGCTGGGGAAATTTACACTTATTTCCCGCTGACAGAGAGCAATGAAGCAGCGCTTTTACGCGTCCCTGGGTCTAGGAAGAACGCCGATTATGGAATCTCCGTAGGGCGAGGTGCGTTTACCTGGCCTGTGGGAAGATGGGTTGACGTCGCGCTCCGAATCAAATTGAATGATATGGACAAGGAGGACGGTCAGTCTTCTGGCTATGTATAATGTTTTCTGACATGATGTTAGGCGAGCTTGAACTCTACATTGATGGTAAAACTGTCATCTCCGTTCACGGGCTGACTATGAGAATGTCGAATGATTCGAAAATCAAAGGAATGCATTTCCAAACATTCTTTGGAGGTACGATGGTATCTGCCGAATTGAAATTTGGTCTCATGAATGTCTCCAGGGCATACGGAAGACTGGGCTTCCCCAAAAGATCAGAAGGCATGGTTTGGCGATGTTACGGGAGTGGTTCTCGGTTAGTGTTTGTGACTATCATTATTGATGTTGGGACTTTGCACTGTTGTACTCTTAGATCCAGAAAATTTGATCCCCTTTCAGGCATTTCATCTATTCGGAGATGTGAGGGTTCTTCCCTACTGAGCCATCGTATAACAGCGACCTTGCCTTGTCATAATCGCACAAAGGGAATATCGATGACTGCATACATGGTTTTCAATAGTCATAATATGGCCAAGAGGAACCGCCCACGAAGATCCGTGATAACGGCCAGGTCCGATCTGCTTTGCTTCTTTTTGCATTCTCATAGGGCCTCTGTATCTCATGCGGATACCTACACTGTCTTCATGATGGACACCGCGTTACATTCGTGTACATCGGTTTTTAAAGACCAATACCGGGGGGAATCTAATCATGGCATTTGCTACTACCCTTCTTTAGTAACAAATCCGAGCCAGGAAACCTGTCAGCGCCCGTCCTGACTAAGGGACGTCTGTCCTGGAGTGGATCTGGCATTTGAGGGTACGGAGAGATTTAGAGAGATAGCAATTAAGGGCTTCGGACACAGCCAACACTGGAGCACTCGATTTCATCTCTGCGCAGGCTCTCAGGCTCTGAGACGCAGGTACGGTTGAACAAGGAAAATAGTCCCTAGATCGCGGAGATCCTATTTTCTGAAAGGAGGAAGAACGATATTGATAAGTATTTATAAAGATGACGAAGAGCTGGAGGCTTTGGCCGGCGCTGAAATGCCTGACGTGGGCAAGATTGAAAACCGCGGTTGCGTTATCGAGCCGACTGTGATGCGCCGAAAGACAAGTTTAGCTGCGGCCGGTGCAAGGCAACTCCTGAGCTAAGTCTACTATCTCTGACAACTTTCCCATTCCCCTTTGTGCAGGTCACAGCAGCGTCGAGTGCCGAAAGGAGGAAGCAAGATCGATGTTACGTTTTCTTCCCTCACCGTTTGAAGCTGCTGGCTCAGCCACTTCACAGTTACCCACGACAACTTGCAAAGTACCTTTCCCATACAGCTTCTTTTAAAAAGTAAATCTGACATGTGTTCTATTTTTCCTATATTTCCGCACCTTTAGGTCCTCCTGAGGATACGCTTATGGTAGAATGTCGCACACTTTCAAGGACGGACTGATATATCAGGACTAGAATTAGTATGGCAGGTCACGAATTCAATTCAATGGACCTACAGGTGGTCGCAGACTAATGCCTTCATTATACCATCAATAATACACAAAAGTCCGTGATCCCCTTACTGACATTGTGCTAACCATTGACATCGCAAAAGTAATGGAGCGCCTCATGTCGCAGGCATAGAATCTTTAGCTTTTTGACTCTTCCTAAAGTAGCTCGTTAGGCTCTTATCCTCGACACAGAAAACTTCGAGATCATCTACGCCATACACATTAAACACGGCGCCGACACCGTCACCACTTGTTACAACATATCTCGGGTATCAAGTGGCTGCATCTACATCGTGCCTCTACATATTCCTGCTTTTCTTGCTTTGCCGACAGTTCAACCCGAAATATTCTACCTTGATAACATTCGCACAGAACCTTTTCGTCTGCATGTTTGGGAAGTTGCGGCCGATCCTCTGCAGCAGCAGCAGTGCTATTACCTGACGATAGAGGCCCCGAAATGTTTCCCTAACCATCCCCTTGTCGTCGCCTTACTCTTTTTGTGGCCTGCCATGTTCAAACTCCGTACTGGTGCTACACATATCCCGAACCCATGATGTCTCCCCCTTCCATGAGAGTTTCCCGGTTGGTCCAAGGATTTTCCTAGGAATTTTCGAGCACCCACAAGGCCGACGTATTCGACACCTTCTATGACTTTTGCAGCTGGTGAAGGTAAGATATATGTAGTCCCTCAATTGACTTCTGCACTGGGTACCATCTGGTACTAGAATCAATTGACGGCGCGGGATTTAGAATGGGCGGCGACGAGGCAATGCTGATCAAGCGGGAATGTATCCGGGATTATATGTAGATATCTAGAACAATAGGGGCATGTAAGGTGATCGCGACCTTACCAAAACGATCGGTTACAGGTCTAACTTACTCTGTCACTTGTTGCTTCTTCAAAAATGGTCGAAACCACTGAGACGGTCGTTCTCAAGAGCTCCAAAGCTCTCAAGGCCTACTACGAACTCCTTGTAGAACGTCGCAGAGCCGCAGCCGAGAATCCACTGCGCATAGGTTGGACTTTTGTTGTTGAATTACCTCCACACCCTGCCGCCACCAACGACCGATGCCGTCCGTTGCCACCCTATGTGCATAATGGCGGTACCTTTAAGCTCATCTTGGCGGAGGCCCCCCACCCGTTCCAGCACGATAAGCAGTACTCCCAGGTTTGGGTCGCGGACGTCCATACCTTAGGCCTTTGTAAAAGAAAGCTCGGCAGGGTCATCATGAAGATCATCCAGCCCTCCTTCATCCGTCTTCCCGATCCTGACTGGTGTCTGGAGGTGCAAGACTACGTCAGACCGTGGACTCTTTGGCGCACCGAGGACGAGGCGTATAAGGAGCTCAAGCCGTTGGAAAGGAGTACCGTGCCATATTACTTTGGCAAACAAAGGGTCAGTTGCCTTCACGTATACTGTAGGTATCGGGCCACTATCAGCTGTTCCGTGTTAGGTCACGATGCCGGCGGGGGAAGATGCAGAGGTTTTATTCATGGAATATGTCGAAGGCAAGACGCTCCAACAGTGGAAGAAAGGCCGGCCAGCCCATGAGAAACCCGAAGACCTGGGGGATGCTAACGAAATATATATGAAAGAGACGAAACAGATGGTGAATATCATAATACTGAATTTGTTCTTTGCTTTAACCATTACCCGCTAGTACAAGAAGGTCCTGCTCGGCGTCCACGCCTTCAACAAGCTTGGCGTCGGACACAGAGATATACGCTCGTCGAACATCATCATTACTCCCTCCGGAGAGCCCGTGTTTATCGACTTTGCTCGCGCGGGCTGTAAAGTCGACCCACGCAAGGTTCGGACAATATACAGAAATCCTCTCAGGGCGGTCACTCTTGTTCGAAATTGTTGTAATCAACATGAGGACGAAATTATCGAATGGTCCAAGGCCGAGTTGGCGAAGCCTGAAACGTCATGGATCCGGTGTTGATTAAGCGGGTCGGGACATCTGTTGGTTCGCCTGTATATCACAACATATAGCTGAGCGGCTATTTCTCTTCCATGTAATTCTGTACTCCTGCTGCTCTCTAATATTCGTTTGAACATTGTCTTCCTATGGCTCAACAAGTTTGACAATAGGGATAATGCAACCTCGCAAAGTAAGAAGTGTGAAATTGCTAGTAAGTACTTGAAGAAAACATTTTAGGTCTAACAGCCGAGTCTGAGGATGCAATGGGCACAAGAGCTCGAGAGTGTGACATATGTCATGTTCCGATCCCAGGAGAACAGCGAAGGAGACGGTGAAGAGACTCTGAATGGACGGCGGTGTATGTAGTGGGAGGACTCGGAGGCTCGGAGTTTCGGACTGCGGCTACTGTCCGAATCCACTCTGTCTCCGCGATCGCACACTTATTATGTAAGCAAAGTTTCTCTCGCGAAGTCCTGCCTACTCAAGCTTCGAGAACTGGGCCTATCCCACAACACTGAAGAGTTAACTAGCTTTCTTACACTGCTATAATGGACGCATACTTTTTGGCCAATCTGCTTAGCACAAAAACGGAGCAGGGAATCCTGTCAGCGCCCGTCTAATTAAGGGTCATCCGTCCTCGGGAGGTTCTGGTACTATGAGCTAGGCCATCTGGTACAATCAACATGGGAGCACTCGATTTCATCTCTGCGCCGGTAGTACCGGTATGATTGAACAAGGAAAAAAGTAGCTAGATCGTGGAGATCCTATTTTCTGAAAGGAGGAAGAATGATATTGATAAAGATGACGAAGAGCTTTGGCCGACGCTGAAATCTCTGATGTAGAACATGGCAAGTAGCGGTATTGGAAACTCCGTCTGCATATTCAAAGAGGATTGTGATGCGCCCGAAAGACAGATTTAGCTGTGGACGGTGCAAATTAATCCTGAGCATGTTACTATGTCTGACTGACTTTCCCAAGTCACCTTTGTACAGGCCACTGCAGCGTCGAGTGCTGAAAGGAAAAATGGAAGGTTGGTCTTCCTTTTTTCCCCTCGTCGTCCAAGCTGAACCACGAAGCTTACTGCCAGTGCCGCGGAGCTGAAGAGTTGGCACCGGAGATGTACCTTTCCCTATAGCTTCTCTGAAGTAAATTGAAAATTTTACTTTGGTTCCTGTTTTCCCATACCACATATAGGTAGTCCCTCCTGCTAACACACGCTTATAGTCAAACAGTGTACACGTTCAAGGGGCCGGTATACCGGTATTCAGTTCTAATATTAGTCGTGGTGGCTCATGTGGATCTGTAAATTGCCGTATTATCATATCTTCATTTTACCAGAAGGTCCGTGTTCTCTTTGCCCACATTCTGCCAAACCATTGACATCGCAAATGTAACGGAGTCCCTTGTATCGCGGATCTGAAATCCTCGGGCTTTTTAGATCTTCCTGAGGAAACCTCGTGTTGATTTCTTAGGGAACTGTCCCTTGGCATGTTTGATAAAAGAATGTAGCATCTGGTATTGAAATACTCCGAAAACAGTTTCAACGTACGCGCAAATGGCCTCTCCTACTCTGCCCACCAACATGGTGAACTCGCTTCCTTCTCCCTATTTACCATACTCTCACCTGTCCTTCATTTTTAGATCCACAAAATCGGAGAGAGCGTTCGGCTACTCTTAGATCGATGCTCTGTCGATATGCAGACACAGCGCGTCATTCCATTCGACGACGAACTATTTTCACTAGCATGCGATGAAGTAGCCCGCCAGGCTCTTATCCTCGACACGGAAACCTCCAAATCATTTACGCCATACATTAAACACGGCACCGACACTGTCACCACTTGTTACAACCATATCCAAGGCGTCAAGTGCCGCATCTACATCGTCCTCTACATTGCCTGCTTTTTCTACTTTGACGACAAGTTCATCCCGGAATATTCTGACTCTGATAATGTCGCACAGGATCTTTTTGCTTGTATGATGGGAAAGGCGTCCCCGGCTGATCCTTTGCAACAGCTCTTCTGTTACCTGATGACAGAGGCCCCGAAATGCTTCCCTAATCACCCTGCATCGAACGTCGTTATAACGGGCACATTGAATTTTGTGACCGCTGCGAGTCTGGACTATCGCACACAAGGCATGAAGGTTAGTGTTGATATTCGACTTTGGTGATGTGTGTAGTTATTGCGGAATCGTAGATGCCAGCCTCGGCTAAAAGATACACGACATTCACAAGAAACATCTCTGGTATTGCAGACGTTATGGGAGTGTTCATATTTCCAACTTCGGTGCCGGTGACTGCATATATTGCGGCCCTTCCCGATCTAATGGTTTTCATGTTGTCCTCCAAGTTGGTTCTTTCGCTTACTTATTCACCCCAAGCAATAACTCACCCTATCTACTTAGTGACGTTCTTTCTTTCTACAAGGAAGAATTGGCAGGGGAAGAACTGAACCGAGTTTCTCTTCTTGCTTTATGCGACCAATCTAAGAAGACGGACGTCCTGAGACGGCTCGTTGATTCTACTATCGACGCTCACAACAATATTTTGGATATCCTTAAACCTAATGAGGAGGCGTTGGACGCGTACTTGAGCTTCAGTGATGGGTACATCTGGGCTCATGCCGGACTTTCTAGATACCGTCTGAAAGAATTGGGTATCTTCCCAGAGTAGACTGTAGTTTGGCTTCCGGTATACCTTGGGTATATTACATCCGATATAGATGTGTAGAGCAGCTATTGAAGACTGACTTGATGACTTCTCGTCGCTGCCTTGGGTCTGAGCTAATTTCGTATCTCTTTGGATAGACTCAAAAGCCTGTCGCATCAAGTTGTATTACTTTTAGTAGATATCAAATTATTCATAGGAGGTTCTGAAGTCGAAGACCTTGAGACGATAAACTTTACCGCAAACATCAATGGTAAATTTTCAGAGGCGACGACCTGTTCAGCTCGTAGCGAAGGTCGCGGCCACGTGACACGTAGCTAGAGTCTTCTTTTCAAATTTCAAATTCATTTAGCTCGAGCTCCAGCCACCACGGCATGTCATGGTTATCTTCTTCCATCGCACTCTCTTTCTTTCTTATTCTGTTCTCTCAAATTCCTTTGCAACATGTCATTCAGACTCGGACACGCCCTTGACATCGTGGTGTGCATCGTGTACAAGCCGGATAAAGCCACGAGGCTGCTCGATGCCCATTTGAAGGATCTGGCCATGGAGATGCGTAAAGATTTAGATGCGATGAAGATGCCTCATCCGCCGGAAGCCAATATACGGCCACCGACACTAGAAGGGATAGTTTTCTCGTGGACGACGAGAAAATATTCTGTGCGTCGCTGTTGTCGCGATATCGGTGTTGATCTGACGACAACAGCCGTTATACAATATCATTCATCAGACCGCAGATCATCAAGACGATGACATGATGGAGTACAAAAAGACGAAGGACCTTTGTTCCATGTCAGTTTCCAGGCTGGTCTCAGTATTATTGTCCGAGCTTTGACTCAATAATGCCACAGCGATAAGATAATTGTTTCTGAGGGGTAACATTCATTCTAGTCGCGCATATATTCAGCTAAACCTTCTCCTCCAGGCCTCCAACAGACTTTGAAAAACTGTCAAAGCCATCTACTGGAAAACGCGTTTTGGATTTGCGATTTCCCCGTTCTCAGTCTGACACCACGCAGACAAGAAGTTCAGCAGATCAGCGGCGCGAATCCCTAGCGAGCAATTTTGATCAGCGCGTAAAGGAGTACGAGGTGTGTGCTCTTCTGCTCACGAGGTGGATTCACCGACGCTATACAACGTGTGTAGGACGCGTGTCGTGCTGTTACAGTTGCAGCTAACCAAGAGTCTATGCCGCGATCCCAGTCGACTTCCCAAGAACCTGCTGTTAGGAAGCCACCTGCACCCGTCACTTTCGTGCCTGCATCAAAGGTAGAGGCCCTATGTAAAGCATTGACGCTGTGAGCCTCATAGTTGTTTTTCAGACTTCAACGGACCAATTCTTGGCATTCTTTCCTGATGCTGTGAGGGCCGCTCCCACCGAGCCACCACCCAAAGACCCGGCGCCGCCTCCAGAAAATGAACAGGTGTCAAGTCTCATGAGGGAGTACTGGGATACGCGCAGAAAGATGACTGCTATCATTGCTCAAGCGGAGATGGTCGAGGAGCGTCTCGAGAGGATGGGCGTCATACAACCCTTGGGGAAACGGTCTACAGCAGGTCAGTTTTTTTTTCCTCGCGGTTACATTGTGGGATTTTTACGTCTGGACTTGGCAGATCTTCCGAAGCTTCTCGCGAAAGCACAGCTGGATCTTCTTCGAGAGCGGGCAGAGAGAAGTCATATGGCGAACGTGCTCGAGGATGTAGAGCGGGAGTGCAAGTCTCCTGTCATTGTGCCAGAGTTGCTTAGAGCTGTGATACATTCGATTGTTTGAATGTAAATCTATGTATGCTGTTATACAGTGTATTCTGTGAACGGAGTTGGATATTTTCCGAGTTTAGCGACTTTTTCGGGCCTCTCTTTCAACCGTAGGCATACAGCATGGCTTTATACAGTCTAAGGGGCATCGCTAACAACACCTATCCTACAGCTCAAGGCGGTCCATGAACTATATGACACATATTCTCCTGTTAAGTACTGGAATCTGCATCACATGGCGCTCGATGGTGATGACTAGCCGCTGAGCGCAGTGATGCTTTACGCCATTTCCCTGTATTGTATGTCTCGCTGTGGCCAATTCGATCGTTATAATACAGGAGGCGTCTGTTTATATATAGCTGTGACTCAATATTATTATATATAACACCAGCCGCCCTTACTCACATGAATCATCCCCTCTGAGATGCCTACCACCCAGCCCAACGACGACAGCCCTCCAGCCTTCGAGCCCGTCAACAACATCGAGCTCTCCTCCATCAAGGACACTAAAATCGTCAAAGTCAGCGTCTACAACAACCGCGCGGAGATTACTCGCCACTGCAAGTTTACCGTAAGCACCGGACAGAACGTGGTGCAAATCAATGGATTACCGAATGCCATCGAGTCCCAGTCCTTGAGGTGCGTATTACTTTGCCTTCTTTGCCTACAGAATGCTTACAATGTTGCTGAAGGGTCGAAGGACGGGGCCCCGCTACCATACATGATGTTGTTCTGTCTACGATACCTCCTCCTCCTATTGCCACCACATCCGCCAAACTCGTTGACCTCCAGGACAAACGCGATCAGCTCCAAAAAGCTTTGGGTAGGGTCAGGAAGGCCCTTGGCTCACTCGAGAGCTATCTCGGTACAATGAACGTGCAATACATCGATCCCACCACGCTCACAGCCGTCGTGGACAACTATGACTCTGCCGCTGAGAAACTTGATGACCGAGTCTCAAAGTTGGAAAAGGAGCTCAAAGATACTGAGGATGCTATCAGAACTGAGCAGGTCGCATTGTCGAGTCCCCCAGAGGCAAATAGCCTCTTGAAACACCGTGTGTCCGTTGGCGTGTTTGCAGATTCTGGCGGCGAGGTCGAAATCATCTTAATATATGGCACGTTCTTTTCATATCCCATATTTGCATATACTCATCCCGCGTAGCTGTTAATCGTGCCAGTTGGTACGCCGGTTACGACGTTCGAGTCAACACACAGGCAAAAGAGACTCCTGTTACCCTTATCTATAAAGCTAACATCAAGCAGTCTACCGGCGAGGTGAGCAGCATTGACGTTACTGTTTCCAATCTCACGTTCCGTAGTCTTGGGAAGACGTCCCTCTCACTCTCGAAACCGTCACACCCACTTATGGTGTCGGCGTTCCCACTCTCGCTCCCTGGAAGCTCTCCATGTACAAGCCCGCTCCGCCACCTCCACCATCAGCTCCAATGATGATGAGTCGGAGCATGACCGGTGGTTTCCGCAAAAAATCTATGGTGGCAGAAAGCGATGAGGACATGGGATTCGCAATGTTTGATGAAGGTCCTCGTTCCAGCATGGCACATATTGGATCGGCCATTACTTCGAAGGGTAATGTCAGCGCAACTTACAGGGTCCCTGGTCGCATTACTATCCCTACTGATGGGGATGAGCACGTCTTTACAATAGTCCAGTTGGAACTCGATGCGTCTATGTCATGGGTTTCAGTTCCAAAGGTTGATACGAAAACTCATTTGAAAGTTTGTGATGGTCCTGCTTGCCGTGACATATCTTTTTAATGAACTGCAGGCTAAAATTACCAATGCGTCCGACTATTCTTTGCTCGCTGGTTCGGCGAGTATCTACGTTGACGGTAGTTTTATCTCGCGGTCTTCGTTGCCTGCAGTCAGCCCTCAAGAGAGCTTTGATTGTCCCCTAGGGTACGTTTAGAAAGTCAATCATATCCTATATTATCTTACATCGTTCGCAGGCTGGACCCATCTCTCCGTATCACATACCACCCTCAAAGCAAAAAGGTCTCCCAAAGTGGTTTCTACACTAAATCCTCCAACTACATCTACACCCAACGCATTTCTATCCACAACACCAAAGCGACGGTCCCCGTCGAGAACCTCAAGATCCTCGACCAAATTCCTGTCTCTGAAGACGAGCAGATCAACGTCAAGCTGGTCAACCCTGCGTTGTCGCTTCCCGATACGCATAGCATAAGGACAATCAAGGGTTCGACGACGAATGCGCCGAGGGCTGTTCCGCATGTTCAAGTCAGCGAGGGTGTGGTGGCGCAATGGGAAGGATCAGATGAGAGTGGAATCGACGTTGATGCCCTTGGTAAGGATGGAAAGATTAATTGGCTGTGCACGGTCCCGCCACAGGGTAAATTGAACCTTGTGATGCAGTGGGAGGTGTCGACGCCGGCTCGTGCGAATGTTACTGGGTTATAGTTAGTTATCTGTTGTTGCTCTTATATATTTCTAGACTGTACATGTACCTTGTATTATGATTTCGGTTACTGTACTATCATCATGTTCGATTATCAATTTCTCATTTTGATTTCCCATCGTATTTTTATCAGGAAGCCAGTAATAGTCTACACAAGCATATCAGTTCTCAGAGAAGTCCAGATCTGGAGACCTCACAGATCGTACGGTCTCCTTGATGGTCACCTGAATAGTTTCTTTTGGCGAGTACAGGTATCTGGCTGTGTATTAATGACTTGATGAAGATTCCACGTCCAAGGCGAAGCTCGGCCTGATTAATATCGCATTTCATTTTCCTTGTGAAACACGGCGAAACGCCACCAACGAGCTGATCCTTCCACAATAGCAAAGGGCTCGAGTACTCTATTTTGCGAATCAGAACTTGAAATGTGATCAGAACAGAAAAACATAGAATGAGGGGCCGGTATCTCCGAGCACGGCAATATCCGCGCCACCAATTAGCTCCCGCGGAGGTGATTGAATTCGACCTTCGGATTACCTTGTAATTGCACGACCACCGCTCCAAATTCCTTCCCCCCTCCATGGTTCCCGCTGGCGCGCATCTAACTTTGCAACAATTAATTGATGCTCTGACATACAAAGTAGTCGTTGCTCAGAAGCAAGCAAAGTGAGTCACTAGCGTCTCGCTTTTACAGCTTTTCTGACCGTGACGCAATGCGTAATAGAGAGACTGTTCACGGTCTCGTAGAGCAGGTAGACATCTGATTGAATGTATTTTGAATGCCACTACTAAAGAGTGCCTCAATAGATTGATGAACTGGAAAAGCAGCTTCAGATTGCAGCTGCGAGACTTCGAGGCTTCCGCAATTCACTGCAGCCTATCCACCGACTACCACCTGAACTAATAGCCACGATCTTCTATGGGACTCAGCAGCACCTTCCGAGCTTCTTCCCCATGCTAAACGACGGCACAGTCTCAAAATACGACGAACACCACCGGGACTGGCTGTCGCTGCTTCACGTCTGCCGGCGCTGGCGAGGAGTCATCGCCCTGTCCCCATTTCTCTGGGCCTCTGTGGACACCTCATTAATGCTGGAAAAGTTTCTGAAGCGGTCGGCATCCGCGCCGCTGACGCTCTACCTGGGTATCAGAAAACCTGGGGTGTCCGAAAAGGTCCTAGACGCCACATTGCGATATTCACGCCGCTTCAGAGAGTTCCATATAGCTGCCGATGGGTGGGAGGGCACCGCGCCCATTTATCCACGTCTGTGCGCGGCAGATGCGGCTCCCCATCTCGTCAGCCTGACAATCATGACAGAAGGCAGGGACGTCCTCGGGGGCGTCCTGCCCTCCTTGTTCAGCGGACAGATGCCCAATATCAGACAACTCTGCCTCGCGCATTTCACGTCGTGGCCCGCTGGCCTGTTCACCAATTTAACCCATCTGTGTCTGCATGACCAAAGCGATGTGGGTCGTATGACCACGTCGGAGTTTCTGGATTTCATCGAGCAATCACCGCGGCTTGAAGAGCTCAACCTCATTCGAGCAGGGCCTATTAGGCCGGACACGTCTGATATTCCTTCTCCCCCACGAGATCGGTTCATTCCACTTCCTCACTTGCGCGAACTTGACCTTGGAGATTGGCCCTCCGCGACGATAATATCCAGGCTCCTTTCCCACCTGGTCTTACCCAAAGAGACGAATATGTACTTTTGGGGGGTGCCCTTTCGTGATCCCGACGAAGATTTCGGGAAACTCCTTCCCAGGGATCACTCACGTCTAGCCAACCTGCAGAATATTAAAAAATGGTACTTGGCTCGTCAGCCCCTCGTCATTCTGGATACGCCTTGCATCTCTGTGGCTGGGTCTGTCCAGACACTGTACATGTATGGCACGTTCAGCGCTTCGCAGATCGAGTCTGTGTTACCCACATACCCGTTGCAAGATGTGACAGACGTCGGCGTGAGGGATAGTTGTGCGAGGAGTAATCGTTTGACTTCATCGAATTGGAAACACATATTCCAGCGTCTTCCGCGTCTCGCCTCACTTCGGATCCTCGCCTTTGGATCACCCTCTACGACGCGCTCCGTACTGCAAGCACTTCGACCAAAAGGTGACCATGATCATGGATTAATGGTGAAGAGCAAGAAGAGCGGTAGTGACGCTTCCTCCAAGTCCTCAGTATCGGATGAAGATGAAGATGAAATCCTCTGTCCCTCCCTCACCACCCTCGGTATCGAACACGACGCCACGCTCCCCGCCTACTTTGTCAGCACCATCGCACAAGCGCGCGCCAAACACTCGTGCCCTATCAAGACCCTCAAAGTCCTGGTATATCACGGCAACCCGTTTGGCATGCGTCCGCCGAGCCCCGTGACGGCAGTATCGGACAGCGACACAGACCAGGAGTACCAGATGCACACCGAGGATGATATGCATCTGTTCAAAAAACATTTCGAGGAGGTGGTCTTTGAGAAGGACCAGCCGCTCTCAATGGATGTGGTTCCGAGGACGTGGCCGACGAGAGCGTACGAGTGGACGAGAAGGATTGATTGGTAATTTTTGTTGAGGAACCAGTAGAGGGCTCTAACCTGAAATTTTGATTTATCGCCGCACGAACATTTCGATCTAGGACCTGCGCAGACACTCTGAAACTCATCTATCTCCCGTGCGCTGCGCGCTGTGTTGGCATCATGATGGTATAGTTATTGACTACTTGAATAGTCAAAGAAACGGCGGTAGGTCCGTTGCGATGAATAGACGAAGAATCACATTTGTACATGCTGTATCTACATAGGAAATTGGACATCGACTGGAGTTATATATAATAAATACATAAAGCTGAGGGGCCACCTTGCCATTGAACACGAGCTGGTCATAGAAACCAAGTCCAAAAAGTCCATTCTTTCACCAGTCTAGGGTGGACTACATACTCGGGCTATGAGCTGAGATTTGAATACTCCTGCACTCCAGCGACAATAATAAACCAATCGCACAAGGTCATACCCTGTTCGAGCAGCGACTTCCTTAAATCATCCCGATTCTGAGGCATTCGAATTTGAAGAGAGACATTGAGAAGATCGGTATGCGTCAATATACCGATCCTGTCAAACATTGATTTGAGATGAATTTTGTTGAGCGAGCTAAGGAAGGTCTCGACAGTGGGGTGCGCTGATTGTTTGAGTGTTTGGTCATCTAGGAATAGCACCGTCAGTACTATGCGTAGATGAACAATGGATGCACTCACCTGGAGCATTATTACTTGACTGTATACTATGCCGTATCAACCTGGGTTTAAGAGTAGGGAATTGGGGATCACCCGTCCGTGTCGCAGACTTTGCTGGGCGCGATTTAGGCATAGGAATATTGACAGGCCCAGGCCGAGTTGAGGTAGACATGTAGCTGAGGCGAGACTTTGAGCTTTCAATGGCTGCTGAAGTTTCAAGATTTGTGCCTAGTGGATCAGGACTGTCCTGTAGAACAGGATCCTGGGCTATTGGCTGAGAAGTTCGATCCGACGAATTAGCATCGTAGCCCAGTATATTAGGCTCCTCAACCAAGCGTTTTCGTTTGAAGGACGGCAAGACTGCGAGCTGCCGATCATCAGAAGATATCTCCGAGAATGATGAGCTCGTGATTGTGGTGAGGGCAGTAGCTACGGCTATAGGGAGGGTATCAGAAACACCGGAAGGCTGAGGATCAGCGGCAGAGTCATTGAGCTCCGTTGTCCTCTTCCGTTTTTGGCCAGGGGCAGCAGAAGAATCGCATTCAGTTGCAGCTGCTGTGTTTCGTCTCAGCAAACGGGATCAAAGGAAAGATGACGTAGCACCCACTGGCATCACCGACACGAGCTTTACTATGGCCATCGGCTAGTGTTGCTGGTATTAGCTCATGTAGAGATGTCGATGCGGTCTGCTCACTAGCAGATTGAGTTGGGCAATAATCTAGGCGATTCATAAGAGCGTTATCCGACGTTACAGAGACAAGCACCAACCTTTGACACCAAAGTCGTACCCAAAGAAATCCTTACGTTGTCCACCTATGTATTCGTCGTCCCAGGTCAAATTGTCCTTGTTGGTGTTGCGAAGATATTTATCAATGGCTGGCGCAGAGTTCCCAAACTCAGATGCGATTTTCGTTAGGTATTCATTGCGGCTCATTGCAGGGGTCTCGAGTCTCAATTGCCGGTCGCGTTGTCGCACCAGAGCACGCTCCCTTCGCGAGAAGGAGGGGACACTGTTAGCGCCAATTGATTTAAGTAGTAGGCGGATGAGATACACGTGGAAACTTACCGCACGCCGTCTGCATACCGCCAAGGATCTCTTCCTTTGAACATCACTGAATGGTGGTTCTGGTCAGAGATGCTGTTGTCACATTGTGACCATCACTTAAGGAGAAGGAAGAGCCGCCGGCATTTGTGGGGAAAAATGACTTGGAAATCAAGGAGAAAAATGTGGCGCACTGCTATTCGCGGATTTTGAGGGAAACCGAGCCGCTTTACTTGAAATGCTATAAAATACCAAGATGTGTATTGATAGAAGCAACACAACAGCAACTCTGCACATGGGGGCTTGAATTAAGCTTGAGGATGAGCACAGGGCCACTTCAGTGCATGCTTCTGATCATTTTCAAGTCTTGATTATGAACAGCTAATTCTAGTGCTTATCTGGATATTTTATGGAATAGATCCTCAACTGATCCCTTAGTGAATTTCCAGGTGGTGGTGGAATACGGTGGAAATGTTTCAGGAATAGCCGGCTTCCGGACATCAATAACTTCAGTGAGACCTATCTCAGCGGACGTTGGGGTATGCGAAGGGACGAAATAGACGGCCGGATTACTTCCTACCCTCCTCTGTGTAGAGTGCAAGCGGAACTTACGTGTAGGTGTTGACCATTCGACCAACGGCTGTGAATTATCAGTAGGAACTTTTGCTGCCGCGTTTCTCTCGACTCGGACCTACGAATGCATCCGCGGCAACCGGGTGACGGTGTAATTCACCGCTTTACTAGGATCTCACGCAATCTTCTGTATTGACGATGAAATATGAGCCACAAAGGCGCATATGAGCTACCCTCACGAGGATCGCTCGTTGTGGTCAGAAGACCACAAATACTTGATAACATGCGGCCGCAACAATGGGAAAGAGAGTCTGGAAGTGCTGTTTGCACAACTGGGATAATTAACATTTGGTAGTACCGATGTCATGATGACAGACAGAATACGAGAACGATCAACGCGATTTCTAATAGGTGTCCAAGGTTCTCCAAAACACGTCCGATAATTAGTTGGAGTTGTCCGCATACTTCTGTACCCCTGCAACGATAGTGAACCAATCTGCAATGGACATTCCCTGCTCTATGAACGTCTTCCGTAAATCTTCGCGGTTTTGGGGGGTTTCGCTGATCTGTTTGGACACTTCAAGGAGATCCTGGTGGGTACGTATACCACACTTATCGAATTGCGCCTTGACATGTAGTTTATTGAGTGAACGGAGGAATCCGTCGACAGTTGGATGGCCCGAATCTTTGTTGGTAAGGATAGATTTCGTTGGAACTTCTGCAAGATGCAGGTTAATACTCACGAAAATGCACTAAAAAAATATCTTAATACCTTTTCCTTTGATTGGCAGGCTTCCTACGCCGTTAGAAGCGGCGTTGGGCTGTGCTGGTTTCAACTTGTGTGTGGGAAGATGAGGCACAGCTCGACTCTTGATTACGAGCGGGCCTCTCCGCCCAGCGATCCGACGCGTTACAGGTCCAACTGGAGCCGATATAGGTTTAGAAGTTGAAGTTGAGGGTACCACTGTCGGAGTTGAAGTTTCCACTGCTGAAAGGGTGATTTGCCCGGAGTCGACAGTATTCTGGACATCAGTCTTTGGTTCCCAAGCGTCTAGGTGCGGCTTTTTCCTGGAAATGGCTGGAGGTATGTGCAAAGAGACAGCAGAATGTGATCGTGGCCGTTTTCGAGAAATAGCGGGTGGAATGTTGGAATCAGAGGAGGCGGACGGATCCGGATCGTTGGAAGAGGGAGTAGACGAGGTAGAATCCTGTGATTCAGGAGTGGAACCCGACGAAGAAGCGTCGCTCGATGCGTCTGGTTCCGCTCCGACCTGGGAGGGCACCCGTTTCGTCGTGGTACTCTTTTCAGGCACATCGGCTGTTCGAAATGTTGAGAATGTGATGGAAGGAATGAATTCAAATACTCACTTGTTGATGGAATCTTTACGGTTGCGGATGAAGCCGAAAGACCTGCTACCACGTATGTTTGATCAAAGAGATCTTTTGTGACGGATTTATCCAAAGTACGCACCTGCATCTTCTTGAAGATTTTCTGCCTTCAAAGATATGTATTCTGATGATGTTTTCAGCATGAAAAAAATTGTGGAATAGTGCCACTCTTACCCTTGACACCATAATCAAGACCGAAGAAATCCGGTCTGCTGCCGTCGAGATACTCCTGGTCCCAAGCAACGTTGTCATTGGAAGCATTTCGAATATAATTGCTGATCGCTGTAGTAGATATCCCGAACTCATCAGCGAGCGTCTTTGGGCTGGTTCCTCCACTCGTTCGGTGACGTTCCCGCACTAATGCACGCTCCTTTCGGGTACAAGAGGGTACACTGGCAAGAACGACAAGTATCAGCTCAGTAGTGTTTAAAAAATTGAATTAAAGTAATTTCTTACCGCACGGTGTTAACGAATCGTCGCTGGGCTTCGCGCGCCTTGAACATGATGGAGGTTAGAAGGTAGCCCGGAAAGTCTGAAAATGGAAATAAGCGATCATGTGCTGACCACTGCCTGAGTGTAACTCGCTGCGATTGAAATTTTTGGGGAAAGAGAATACCATTTGATGTATTTGAGTTGACCGGATAGTACTATGATATGTGGCAGTAGTCAATGCAACTTAAGACGTATTTGTAGACGTGCATGCTACTACATAATACATATGTTGATCACTAGCACGAAAATCGGGTCTATTATCCTAGCCTAGGTAATGTCACTTGTCACTGATTCGAAGTAATCGAAATGGTACTCTCGCCTCTGAAACCAATTCGACACGTCCAATTTCGAACCTTCTCATTTTCCCCCCGTGGTCATGTCGAACTGCCCACAACGCCTGCCCACAATTTTACCGTCCAAGAACGTGCAGCCCTAGCTACTGCCAAGGCAATTCCATCTCTTTCACGCTGGCCTACTGTGGAGGTATCTAATTGCTTTCTCTGCTCCTTTGTATAACCGAAGATAGTTTTATAGCTTGAATGCTCAGCCAGGGTGCATGCGATCCTATGTGCTTTGGAAAGACAGCTGTAAGTCTAATTTTTCTCCTCGAATTGACGCTCTTTGAGGAGTCCGGCATCGAGCACTTGAATATCTGGATAACAGGATGACTCTTGCTCTTCCAATTCATGCTTCCCCCAATGCCCTCCGCATGTCATTGGCAACAGTAGAGGCATAATCATCCTTGTGGAGCTATTCCGGGTTCCTAAAATCTCGTTTTCAGGATCAACCCAATACATACAGAGTTGAGGCCTTTCACGCAAGCTTGATAATGAGCATTCATAAAATCCTGTTGTATTCACAATCAGTGATAAGAGGAATCTTCCTGTTCCTAACCCGGCGTCTATCGTCTTCCATCGAGCATGTGCACGTATCGTGCATCTCAGGTGCTGGCAAATATGTTGATGACTTGTTAAGGGATGTAGAATATACGTAGGCGTAGGGACACGATGATCGTTATTGTATGAATTGAAACTGCTGAACATAAGTAACCTCTGACGTCTTTCTGTCGCGTCTTTCGCGAGGCTAAACACCTTGGAGACTGGGAAAAGATAAGTACATCGATATGACACTCATAATGACAATGATGGGATGCACGCCATGTGACCAGTTTCTATGCTCACAAGGAACAAAAAGAGATTGAAAGGCCCGGAGCTGGCTAGAAAACTACCGTTTCAGTTAGGATAAAGAGAATGCATGATTTGTAAGAGGAAACACTAGAGAACTTCGAATTTCCGCCATCTGGTCATTACGTTTTTACAAATGATTTTTCAGGAGAAAGCCGAGATAATTTCGATACGGTGGATCCTCAAGGAAACTGGTAAAAAAAGATGAATGATAGTTGACATTGGAAGTCGAAAGCCAGCACCTGGACCTTCTCGGGCCGTAACACGCAGCCGGCGCGTCGATGGCGTGAGAATTAATGCTCCTGTTTGAGTTATGCTTCTTGGCTCTGCCCTCCGTCGCTTTTCCGTCGTCCAGAGAATTTCGCGTTCATTTTACTCCACCTACACAAGACCTGCACCGTATTCTCGACGCACTGTCTGCGTTAATAACCTGCCAGATGGATACGATGCCGCCAATATCGTTGATTCCATTCGGGCAAATCCAGTCGAGCTGATTACACCGTCCAAATACCATCTTTCAGTTCGATTTCTCAGTGAAGAAACGGCTAACAAATGTATCTCCAACAATTCGTTGAGCGACCTGTCGTTAACGTTGGAGGAGGAGACGTCACCGCGACTATCTGCTTACCAAGTCGCTGAGTTAGGATTCAACCATCTATCACGCGCGTTCAGAATCATCAGCCTACAGCCGGACTTTGACGAAGATAAAATGAGGGAGATCGTCTATTCTCATCCGACCGTGGAGTATTTCAGTGTCGATCCAGAGCAGCAACAGGTGGATGTTCGTTTTTGGGACATTTGGCAGGCAGCAAAGGTGAGCTGCATACAAACGTTTCCTATTCTCAGTTTCTCATCAGTACATAGGCACGTCGCGCACTTCTTGAATACCCTGGCTTCCCGGGCTCCCGGATCGTGTCTGTTCTAGAGGAAGATCTCAACTACATTTTCCCGGATTGGTATCCAAGCGCAGAAGACAACAGACTAAATCTCAATCGGATCGTGATGATGTCTGACCTCGATACTCCAGAGCAGCTTGGATTTTGTATGAACAGCACTCAAAACATCGAAAATCACCTGGTGTTGTTCAGAGGGCTTTACAAGAGAGACAAGGTTTAACGCGATTTCTTCCTCAGTACGATTTTTGCTCACCTACCGATATAGTCTATGAGGCTACGCTTCATCACTGAAGCCTCTGCGCAGCAGTTCTTTGCTTCCATTCAACCCTCAGCTGAAGCAGCGGGGGTGAAAGTATCACTGAAAGAGGACATTCATATCGTGCCTCGCGGGGCGGTCACTGCCGTTAGCTTGGGCGCGTCTCGGGTGGTTTGCGTGCGCATTAGTAAAGAGAGACGGCGTTCTATTCAAGATTATCGATCGATGTTTATCCAATACGGAGCTCTGGGGCATATTTCTGAGAAATTCAGGTGCGTCTTAATTCAGCCACGGATGATGATGATCTCAATTCAATATTATCAGTGATGATTCAGATATGGGTCTTGTCTTTCTCACATATAATAGCATTTTCAGCGCAATGAGATGCATATATGACCTGTCGTGGTCGTCGAAAAACGTGCCAGGGTTGTGGGGCGCTCCCATCAATTTCCTCGGTGCCGAACACTTGCTTCCCTCTGTTGTCCCACCAGAAGGCAGACCTTCTTCTCCGACAGAGTATTAATGGCGCTAATATGACATCCGCCTGGCTGGAAGATATGTTTATAGGTGATTATTCTGATTCTTGATTAGCTTAACGCGCTTACAAGCTCTTCTAGTCCACGTACAATGATGGTATCGAAAACAATCGCGATTGAGTTGCCATAATCTCATTCTGAAATACGCATCCTGTAATTTCGGATTCTTGGCCTGTCTGTTTGCCTCCAGCCCCGTTTCTATGAACAATGCCCGAAAAGACACAAGTATATTCTCAAATCCTAAAGAAGCATGCTTGATCCTTAGTCACCCCTTACTTCAGCAAGACTACACTGGCAACCGCCTTCTGCTGGAGTGGAAGTCACGTTCGCTGGGCCGCTCCACCATCATATGGCACGGTGAATCTTTCAACAGTTCAACCTAGTAGAATTGTGGGCACTGTAGAGAGGGAACATGATTTGTGTTCGTTACTCTATAGAAAAAGAGGTGAAAATCAATTTATGGAGGGGCAGTCTGGCTCCAGGCAGATGTTTACCGTTACCCAGTGTATGTCCACCTCAGTACCGATCCCTACACTTACCTCAAGATACCATCTCTAGGACTGGTTGTCTAAGATTTGGAAACAGCTGGCTGCTAAAGTGAACGATACATGAGTGCAACGCGCCTAACGTTTATTGTCCAGACGATTGTCAGGGCCCGGCTTGAGGAGGCTCAGGCCTGTAAAATCCCAAGCCCAAGCCCGCTCAGGCTCAGGCTCGGTTCGGCTCGGCTTAGGGCTTTGAACCAGGCCCTGTCAATCGCTAAGTACTCCCCATCCATTGCGGAGAGTTGCAAGCCGCCGCCCCCTTCGTACCGATCTCTAAGCGTCGAATAAATTATTCTCTCGTTTCAGCGCTGGGCGTTCTAAGCCTGAGCGTCATTCGGTTTTGTCAAGGCATGCGGCACACGACGACTTGGCATAATAGTCCCTGGGTTATTCAATGGCGAATGTCTTTCACTACCGTTATATTAGCCGACGCCGCGCTGCGATGTCAGCCACTGCTGCAAATCCCGGGTAGGGTTCATCGCCCTCAGGCATCCGATTTGGTACTTAAACTGGCGGTGATGAACTTCACTTAGACTATCTTCATGTTGGCCCTTTTCTTTCTCTGCTACGCCTCCTTGGCGCTCTCTCTGCCTGAGGTTCAACTGGGTACAACGAAGCTTGTAGGGAGTGATCTATCGCTCTCGCAGCTAGAGCTCTTTAGCGGTTTGTGATCATCCGCTGTCTAAATACTGTTGTTGATCGGAAGCATCAAGGCATTCCATACGCTGAACCACCTCTTGGAGCGTTGCGTCTGCAGCCTCCCGTGCTGAAAACTGATCTCGAAGTTGAAACCTTCAATGCCAGTGATTTCGGTCTGGCTTGCCTCCAGGCCGTGGGTGTTTTCCTTTTGTTTGTGGTGCTCTTCAAAGGCTGAGCCTTTCAATATAGAGCTTGCCTATTGACGCAATCTCGGAAGACTGTTTGACCATCAATGTTTTGCGACCATCTGGGACATCCCATAACGCTTTGCTACCAGTGTTATTTTGGTCTGACATCCCTGTTTGAAAGGTGAACAGCCCGCTAATATTTGTTAAAAAATTCCTTTAGGGTCCACGGTGGTAGTTATTATGAAGGCTCAGCTTCTGTCTATGACGGTAGTGCAATTGTGACTCAAAGTGTCCTAAGAGTAGGTGTTATTATCTGCATCCTGTAGCACTAATACTGAGCGTCTAATCCAGGCCACACCCGTTATCTACGTCAATTTCAACTATCGCTTAGGGCCTCTCGGATTTCCACAAGCTGCGGACAGGGAAAACCTAAATCTTGGGCTCAAAGATCAGCTCGCAGCGCTAGAATGGGTCCAACACAATATCGGTGCATTCGGTGGCGACAAGAACAAGGTTTGATGCTCTTGTTAGCGTTTATAGATGACTGAAGAGTGAGTAGGTGACTGTTTTCGGAGAGAGTGTAGGGGCTAGTATGACATCTATTCTCTTCTTACATCCGTCAATTTCGGACCTGGCATGGGCGGGGGTGAGTTGAAATATTCCCAGCTTCATATGTGCTTGCTGTCCTCAACCCGAATCCCAGATCTTCCAGTCCGGGACTGCAAGCACACCCCCTTCATTCAACGCTACTGCTCGAGAAGATCGAGAAGATGCATGGAATAATTTCATCGCCGCCATACCGGAGTGCAATAGCTACGTCGGAACATCTCCGACGTTTTCCTGCGTGCAAAATGCGAGCTCTTCTGAAGTCTACGAAGGATTTTTACAGGCGTATTCTAAGACAACGGAGAAGATTCTTTTTCGTCCTACTCTTGATGGGCCTTCAGGTCTCCTTCCTGACTTACCTTCGCGCGTGCTCTCCACGGGACAGTTCGCGCGTTTACCGTTCATTGCTGGTACAAATCTAGATGAAGGTAAGGAAGCCCCTCGAATGTGTTGTACCTGTATTAATCCAACTCACAGGAACCCTGTTCAGCTCGCCGACGCAGGACTATACCGAAGAAGTGATTCGCTCACTACTGAATGCAGGCTACGCCCCCCCTGCTGTCCCGACAGATGTCATGAATGAACTGATGGCTCTGTATCCGGACGATCCTGCAGACGGGTCTCCGTATAATACAGGAAATGAGACCTTTGGCTTGTCTCTTGGCAATAAGAGGATGTCTGCAATCTGTATGAGCGAGCCTCCCTTCTTTTGCCTACATTTTTAACCCTGAATCCAGTTGGCGACCTGGCATTCAACGCCCAAAGACGCTTCTGGAGCCAAACGACCGCGGATGTGGGCGTGAAGTCGTATGCTTATAGATTCACGCAACGGCTTTCCTCTATGCCGGCTTACCTCGGGGGTAAGTCCTGTTTTACTTGAACGTTACAAAGCCAAGTGCTCATTCCGCATGAAGTGCCCCATGGGGGAGAGCTTCCATTCGTGTTCGGCTCGGTAGCAGACATGAATGAAACAGCGTCAGTAGTTGCCCTGAGTACTGTGATGATTGATTATTGGTTGTCATTCGCAACGAGTCTGGATCCCAACGACGGCTTCGGCTCGCAGCGCCCAACATGGGCTCAGTATACTGCTAGCGATCAGGTAATGCATTCCACTGTCTTCGCAGGACTGAAGTCTCTAACTTCAAGTAGGCGCTGCTACAAATTAGTGCCGACAACTTGACCATGGTACCCGATGATTTTAACGAGAAGATAGACTTTATCATTAGCCAGAAAGTCGCCTTCCGATATCGTTAGGAGGCCAATAGATTATAAGTAGTTCTTTTCATGTTTCGACACCTAAGCTGTCTTGGAGTTATTTGAGAATGGACTTTCGATCTAGTTCACGAGAAATCAAAATTGGCTTACGATATTTTCTGAGATACTACCAAGAAGTAGTAATCATGCTTGGGCGGGGGATGAGACAGGCATATAAGGACCTGGGTATGTATAACTATTCTCTGTACTATTATGAGCAAAACCGGGTGCTCGTAATAATATTTCTTCTGCTAGGCCTAATGATGTGACGATATGGGACGATCTAGGATCCTGCTACAAAGACACAGAGAGATAAATCTTGGGGCATTCTTTTAATTTCTGGTAGGGCCGCTGCGACGTTGAAAGCTGTGAAGACGAAAATATAAATCTAGAAAGTGAAAGCATGAGTTGCAACATTGTAGCCTCTTTCTCTTTTCGTTATTGTGCTTCTTCCCCCTCCTTCACACAGGACTCGGACATGCCGCGCCCCGCGACGGCCCACCACTTCATTTGTTGTCCAGACTCCACCACTCCCTTGGCATTGCAAGCCGCTGCCTTCTTCGTAGCGATTTTAAGTGTCGAATAAATTATCGTTTCCACGAATATTTGATTTTGTCAAGGCATACTTGAACTTTCATACTTGCTTGGACAGCGTCTCTCTCGGTGCACATGTGACGGCGAGAGCCATCCTGGTCTCAAGCAGTCCGATGGGACGTACGTTGGGCATGCCGCCCCTGAAATTGACGTGTATGAAGCACAGGTTAGCAATGACATCGGGCAAGTATCACAATCCGGAATGGGTAGTGTGTCGATTAGTTTCCGTGCGTGTCTTCCTCTTTGCTAAAGTTCTGTTATAGCCATTCAATGAGGCTACCTAGAAAGAACGTAAAGTGAACTATGTTTCAGTCCATTGAGGCCGACAGCCTTTCTGCGTGAGAGCAATTCACCGACATAAGTTAAAGGAGCGCAGCTATATATGCGGATCACGGTTCGGAAGCGGCATGTGCCAGGATATCCATGCCGTCTTTCTCACTTCGGGTTCAAAGTCGTTGCGCACGACGTCATCATAACAAATGACCTATCCCTATATAAGGACCCCGCACCCAATAGGATTTGAATCCCTGTTTCACACATACCGACATTCCATCTTTTTCACGCCATGTCTGCTGGAGACGGTCGGTACCGCATCGTCCATCACGGACTGCATTGTATATTCAAATAAAATTGCGGAGCATTTACGTGAATATTCGCAGATAACAAGTACCCTCACACCTCGAACTCTGGCTTGCCGCCGTCCCCTACGATCGAAAACCCAGGACAGGTATATGCTTTTCACACAAAACTTTTCCTTTTTCCTTAACCGCTTCTAGGTTTACCCTCCCACCGATCCTAGCAAAGGTACAGCACTCGCTTTCACCGAAACGTAACTAACGCCATTAGTATAGCATCCCCGACTCCCCCGCTTCTTCACCATGCCAACTCGTCGGGTCAATTCATCGGCAATCCGTTTCTCATGAGTGAAGCGTTCGGAAAGCTAGATCACGCCCTTGGGAATATCATCGCCATCCTAGAGCTGGAAGAAACCTCGGGAAGTAACAATCGGCTGTTAAGGAGGTTTTTGGATTGGAGGGATGAACTAGGAGCAATTCGGACGGGAAAGAAGATACGGACTCCTATGCATGTCTCTCCCGAGCGTGAATCGGAGGGCGGCTTGTTTGTGGATTGATGTATCTCCGTACGCCAATGTCCCGGGCTAGAGATGAAAGAATGTAAATGGGCATACTCATAGAAGGCCGGCCGTATGCCAATGCTATAAGCACTCATACGTCTCCTTTCGTCCGCTGCGTACCAATGCCTACACTTGGCAGCTGCGCCAAAACTACGATGTTGTCGGGTGCACATAAGTAGTAGTCGTCGCACTGGCAAGCGGTTCATAAGAGGGCTTCAAATCTTCTACCAACACGCAATCCAATTTCAAGGAGAACCTTTAGATTTCAGTCCCTTTGAAGGACCCAGAAGCTTGTAAATCAGGCTGACCCCGCCCTGAAGAGCGGCGGGTTGCTGTCGACGGACTTAAAGCCATCATCGCGTTCCCATGTTTCCAAGTCAGGAATTCGAATTTTGTAGCAAACGAGATTCAAATCAATGGTATAGGACTATCAGATAAAACTACGGACCTCGTTGTCTGAGGGAGTCTTCGCTAGGTATTTAATAGCATCTAATTTACATCCCATGACCTCAATTCCACGTCCTTCCCTCTGACATCTTCACATCTAGATGTAGTCACAAATTCCCAAGCTATTAGACTGAGGCAACAGGTATCATTCGATTTCACAATTTTTGAGGAATGAATGTCACTGATCAAAAAAAGTACTCTACAAAAAATACAGCACCTGTTCTTGATATAAGTGTACAGGCCCGATAGTACATTAGAAGGAGGGAAAGGAAACAGCAGGTGGAGATTAATGGACAAAGACGACGCGCTGGGGAATAGTAGGTAGGGGACCAATATATAAAGAGGGTCGTCATCAGCTGTAAGTAGATACACATATACACACAAGGAGAGGAGAGAACGTGTAGATAAACATTATACCAGAAAATAAAACCCGAATCGAAGGAACGTGAGTGCGATCGTGAACAAAGACCGATAGAGACAGAGAACGTGAAAGAAGGAGCCTACTCCCGAGCGACCCAATCAGTGCTCCTGGACACAAGTTCGATAGAATTGTCTATAGTCCAGAAAAGTCGCTCTGTTGCACTGCGGCCACTCCAGCTCTTCTGGTCTCTCAAGATCATAGCCTATAAGACAGATTAACAAAATAACAAGGCGTTGAAACGTTGGCACAAACCTGCTGGGCACCGAAATTTCTCTGATCTCGTGCAAACAGATCCACATTCTCGTCCAATGCCTCTGTCAGAATCTGCAAGTCCTGCAGAATCGCCTGCATCGTCCTCACTGCTGCAAGTGTAAGAATCTCCTTCCTGTTGCGTACGGTGTTGCCATGGGTATTTGGCGGCGGCAGCGCCCTCGATATTGTCTGCAACACCGTATGCAGAATCCTCTTCGTCTCGCTCAGGATCTTTTGCGCCTGCGGGAAGTTCCTCCTCGACACCAACACCAGAGCCCGCGTAATCATATCGCTCGCCAGCAATTCCATCCTCCGGCGTACAATCACAGGATCACTCACAGTCGATGGTGGACGCGGTATCGTAGATGTTGGCGGGAGTAGAGTTACTGTGAGCAACACTGGGTGGGCCAGCCGTGTGACGTTTTTCGCCGCCGTAGGATCAAAGAACGATCCGTCAACCTCGACAACAGGCACTTCGTCAATCATCCGGTCCATCATCCCATCCGCAAAATCTGTTGGGTCATCGATGGTAAGCGAATCCAAACCCATGCTCTGAACAAACTCCTGCGTCGCATCCAATGCTCGCCGATCGTTCATGCCGGAGCCCCTCACCGCACGAGCAGCCATTTTTTGATGCATATCTGAATTATCGAGCTCCAACTCAATAAGCATCTCTTTCCGTTCGCCATATCGTAGTTCTCCCACGTCAACATCTACATTCTGTCCGTCGGAGGAAAGAATCGACGACGGGCCGCCACTGACTTTGCGGATACGGAACCGGTGCCCATCAACGATCTTCATATGGAGTTTCATATTCAGCAACCCGATGGACATCATCCCTCCCACACAACCAGCGATACAATCGCGCAGATCATACCAGTCTTTTACGAATGTGTAAGTACCGCTCGTGTGATTTGACATCAGCCACAGAGATGCGGGGTCATGCGACCGGCCATAACCAAATGAGTGTATTGGTACATTCGCCGCTTCGGCTCGGGCAAGAACGAGATCCATTTGCGCACGTCGCGTGCTGTCCGAAGCATCGCTCACGAGGATCATCCCAGAAACAGGGTTACGCGCCTTTCGCTGCAGTACCACGTCCAAGCCTGTCCATTGTTATAGTTACTCGGTCTAGCAGGGTATGGTAGACAAGGAAAACTCACCGTGATTAACAGCTGTGACGACATCTGTCTTCTCGTCTTTGTTTCCCCTCACCAAAAATTCATCTTGACCCGGAGGAGGCATTTCATCGTCCCCCCGGTTGACTCCAATCTCATCGATAAACTTCTCCAACCTCGCTCTGCTCTGGGCCTTGGCTACACTCAAGAAAGGCGACTTCCTCACCTTCCCTCCAAGGCCGACTTCAAATGTAACAAGACTTAACCGATCTTTCTGTCCTAGCGAAGCAAGAACAAAATCGAGGGTTGTTTTGATTACGCGAATTTTGAGTTGGGCGGTGCTTGGCGCAGCATTAGGCGGTGGAAGAGACACGACGAGGATGAGATCAGTGGAGGGATGGGGAAGAGGAGTGAGTGAGTTTGACGGGCCAGAAGATGTGTAAGGTGTGACCAGACCCGTAGGCGAGTCATAGTTGCTAAGTTCGTCATCTTCTCCCAGTGGACTCAGCTTGTTGGTATGCATCTGTGAACGTTGTTGTTGGTGCAATGATCCATGTGACGTAGATGATGACATCGTTGAGCGTGATGATCCATTGAGAAGGCTGTCAACGGTACTGACAGTCGTTTGAGTACTTCCGCTGAGCATACGCATGGCCTTAGAGTTGCCACCAAATTCTTCCATGTCCAAAGCACGCGCCTGCTCTGTTCGTTGCTGTTCTTGTCGCTGCTGCATCAGCTGTGGATTTTGTGCTTGGAACATGTTGACAAGAGATTGGATAGTATTCTTCCATGCTTCGAGTGATGACCGGTCTTTGTAAATGAGAATGAAGGATGCCAACTCGTCTTCCATGTCAATAGTGAGTGACATTTCGCCGGCAGCCGACGTTGCCGTGACATGTTTAATATGACGAACGTAGATACGCCCTTTGAGTCGTAGGACGCCCTTTGTTTGGGTTTGGGCCAGCGAACCGATAGTCGAACCGGAGTCGGCAAGTCCAGAAGCGCTTGATAAGAGACGTCCGAGGGTTCGCTTTTTCTCTTCGACTACGCAAATGAGAGCTTCCTTGAAGAGGTAGACGTAAAATTCCCGGACCAGAGAATCTCGGCGGACGGAGAGCAAATCATACATCTGGAGAGGACCGAGGTCAGAGAGAGGATGACCCTTCCAATCTATGATACGATTCCGAAGGTCCTCGGTAATGGCGACGAACGGGGAATCCTCTTCATGCATGATGATATTAGGGTATGAGCCGGTGTCTGAATTCCTCGGTGGGTCATGGGGTACGGGAGAAGCACGATTGGTCTGGAACGATTCGGACTGCTGTTGCAAGCGGCTGGGATGGTGAGGTAGGGGAGACGAGTGACCCGAGTTGGAAGGTCTCTTGTCGGGAATGACCGTTGGAGCGAGATGTGTAGCTGTCTGGCATAACGGGGCCCGGAACGGCACCAGAAGCGCGCTTGCCAGGGAGCTCGATGACAACAATGCATGTCAGCGGTTGGGTGACGTCCTGGGTCCGAGTGAGGGAAGAGAACTCTGGGCGAACTTGAATAGAAGGAGCGACAATGTATTGAGAATGCTCAGAGGCAGGGTTTGAGCGTATGGAGCCCGTATGGTCGAGCGGGTCGTCTTCTGAAGGATCGTACTGAGTTGTAGACTGCAGTCGCTTGCGGGTAACTGGGGTGTCCCTGCCAGGATATAGAGCTTGTTGGTTAGGGTCGCCCATGCCCGTAAGAGCTGCCAGCTCTGCAGAAAAGTAGCATATATTCAGGTTTTTTGACGAATAATAGAGCCTAGGATACGCACTGTTCGATTTCCCCCCGTCGCCGTCGCCGACCTTCATTGGCCGCCTGCAGACACCGCAGACGCCCAAATTTGACTTTCTCGGTACTGTTGAGCGCGCCTGGCTTGGCGGTGGGCCATATACAGCAGTAAAACAAGCCTAGGAGCTGTGATCAAAAAAGTTTGCTGGCAAGAAGAAGGAAAATACCTCATGAAGAGCATGGCCACACTCTGGGACGATATGAGGCTTTTCTCCTGGTAATCTGAAGCTGAAGCTGAGGGGCTCGAGACAGACTGGGCAATCCTCTTCGTCCTCTTCGTCGTGGTTGGAGACGACGGGGAGGGGAGCAAGATGCATGGCAGAAAAAGGGTGAGAGGGCAGGGTATCTTCAGAGGTGGTAGAACGAAGAGAGGAAGCCCTGGGTTGTTGCTTACGGAATATGGAGGAAGCGAAGGAATTGAATGAGCGAATGGAGGAAGGTTTGGGCGGAATAGGGGCCAGGCGGGGAGAAGTGAAGGTCGGCGTCAGAGGCGGGTGACCTTGAACAATACTATTACCTGGGCCAGCACTACTCCCACCCTCTTGATCCCTGCTTCCAACACTGATCTGATCCGGCACCCGTTTGCCAAACGTTCCAATACCCATCTGCTCGTCGACGTCGACGTCGACGACAGCTGCGCTTGTGGTAGCCGTAAAAAAGTGTTTATCCAATTTATGTACTCCTTACTCTCTCATATATATTTCCTCGCTCTGTAACATAAGTACCACGCTGCTGTACCCCATGATCCGGCATCACCCTCACCATCGATATCCGTCCTGTCTGCCATACCCATTCCTGCTGCTCTTTTCCTTTTTGTAGATATATTTTACTGCCATTCCAGGCCATCTACCCAGACCAACCTTTCCTACTCCAGAACTGTCCAGGAAATGGGGGCTTAGGCACCACTTGTTCTCATAGCAACCGTCCTTTTCCGAGTACATGTATCGCGCTTTCAAAAAAAAATGTCACGGTCAAAACTCTATATTTTTAGCCGGGACGCGATCCGCTCCGCAAGATCTACCTCCGAAAAATTACTCGACTTCGCGGCCTTCGCTTGGACTTTTCTCAAGGCCATGCGGCATCGCGCAAATCTTCACGCTTCGAACGATGATACTTACACGTATATTGACCGCATCACCCGTGGGGCACTCGTGGGTGCTGTTGTTCTATATCATTCGAGGACATTGAAATCTATACTACCACCGCCAGGGGAAGTATCAAAGTTCGACTCATTCAGCGCTTGGCTGTCAGGGGATCACTATTGCAAGAGACTGCCTATTTCGCCGACTGGAAACTTACTTGCGAGCCGAGCGCCCTCGCCTTCAAATTCCATTCAGCGTTTCAGGCTTCAATGCAGTGTCGAACGGACAATGGGGAAGTGCGACCCACGGTATGTCGCGTCAACTGAGCCAGTGCCGTATACCATGCCCTTATAACCAGCGAGAGGGATAACATCATCTCTTCACCATGTCACGAGCAGCGGCTTCAAAGTGGAATTCCATCCAGCCTAACTAAACTCGTTGTATTCATCGCTCATGTAACGATCTTGATCAGTATGTGTATCGGAATTAGACCATCCATTGACAACAACTGAGAAATTTGCTCTCAGGGCTCACCTACGTCGTTAACTCGGTCAAATACCGCACACTCTGAATTCTGAAGTTCTCCCGTTCGACCAAGAACCACCGCCGCAGACAATCAATGTTGGTCTTCCGACGTCACTTCGTGGCGATAACTCAACAGTGAAAACAATAGGAAAATGTTCTCGAACTGCCCCAGCCTGTCTCTGTAACTTGTAAAGTCAGGCGTCTTCTGGTATTCTCCAATACAACTGGTGAAATTATTTTATATAGAAATATATGTGTATTCCTCTAATTCTTGCGGAAGGCAATAGAAAGGTCTTGTGACTTTCGCACCATTGCTTCCAATTCACATGCTCATCAGCGAAACCAACAAGGGGGTCGAGTTCCATAACACCCATAAATTGGTGGTGCTTTCAGGCGTCTTTGAGATCATCCTCTCTTCTACGCTTCACATCCCCGGTTGCTACTCCCTAGTAGCTCAAGGTCTTGCTCAACGAAACTAGTTTCGGCCCTCTCCAACCGTCTCATGGCGACTTGGGAGATACTGTACCTCCTGGACGACGAGAGCCCGAGACCCATGTTTTGGACCTGCTGAACAGGCAACTGCAGTAGCACATACAGAGAACATGGATTACAAGATAGGCTCTATGGGATTCACGGTAGCGTCTGCATGTATGCCATGCAATGAGAGACAGGCCGGACACTAGGCCTCCCAACTCCAGCATCATGTAAAACTTCGACTCGAAATCCGAATATCTGAGAACTATGGTCGAGGTAAAATCAATCTCAACAGGAATCTATGCTATGCGTACGAAATGACTGTACGCAGTGTTATCTGTTTCATTATGCTTTCAATAGAGAAATTCCACTCCTCGAACTCATAGGCAGAATTGGGTCGCATGCTGGTAATGACCTCCTTTCATCAACATGCGCATGTGTACCTCCTTCACAACCCAACTTAGGGACAGAGACGACGTGACTTGCTTCCGAGTCTTGCCAATGCGAAGCCATGTCAGGCGATTTGGAAAGCTGAGGAAGCCAGACAGATTCACAACCTTCCAAAGTCTCTGGGACCGTCCCACAGGTCGCACGGTCCTTTCGAAAGACGAATCCTTCCGCGGAGAAGGGAAATCAGTGAACGTTTCTCGATGCTTTAAATTGGATGGTATGCTGATTAAAGACTTGCAGCACCTATGACATGTGAAGTCTATCCCAGTGCGCTTGAAGGCTCGTATGAGCCCTCTGACTTGGTCAATTTAGCTACCATGGCTATGGCACTAATACCTCAGCCGTCCCAGTACCCACCTAGGTCTTGTAGCCATGCGAGGAAGTATGAAGGCTGCACTGAGGGCTAGTCGTCGCAGTACAGATGAGAGTGAAGGCTGGTCGTAACGCAACTTCGGTCATTAGTAATACATCATACTTTAGTCACAGTTCAACTTGGGAGATTTCTCTTGCGTTTCCAAGAAGTTTCAAATGATATTATGTGTGAAGTTTTGACGTTTTTTCCCATCGCTCTATCAAATAATTTCCGCCTCCCACCTTCCTACTCTGATGGAGCACAATTGTAGAGCCTCTTCCTTAGCATCTACCGAGTACATCAGATTGCGATCATGCGAGATCAGGTATCAGAATAATCAAATTTCCTACGGGGCACCCGAAGACTACTCTACATCCTGTTTTCGATGAATTCATCAACCAGTCAAGGATGTTCTTTCTACCGCACGGTGGAATCATTGAACTCTAATTTCTGATTGGATTTTCCATGGGTTATGAAAAAGGACAATAAAAACTGTATTGCATCGCACACTCCATACGCCCACCGTCTTCGATTTTGATGTAATTTTCAAGGTTTGAGTAGTATCCGAAAGGACGCGGGAAAGAGAGAAGGCGGATCTGGGAATGACATCCCCGTCCATATGATAACATGGACTCATTATCGTCCAGGTTGTTTGGACGTTGGATTCGTTTACGGAACGAAAAAGGGACATCTAATTCTATACGATGAATACAACAAGCTTACAAGCTCTCTTGACATAAATTTAACGACCAAAATAAATATAACATCACAGTACCCAATACTTCACTCAACATATCCATGCGCCAAATAATAGCCCTAGCAATACTGTGACGAAACCAGCAGTAGGCGGCATCTCAAAGGGACGAAGGGAGATACCGGCATCACTTCATGGAAATGATGAGAAGCAATTAGAAAAGCAGTAGATGCATACACGTACGAAGGCGGCGAAGTTGTACTTGAACTAGTGGAAGATGTCCCACTTGACGATGACGAGGATGTGCTACTGGTTGAGGATGAAGGCTTATTTGTACTGGTACTGCTGGAAGAGGATGAGGAGCTCGTGCTGGTCGGTGATGGAGAGCTGCTCGTTGAACTACTTGTGGAAGACGTGCTACTTGAGGACGAGGAAACGGAGTCAATACTACTTGATTGTGTCGAAGACGAGTCCGGTGACGTAGTAGAGTCGCTGATGGTAGAGGATGACGAGGAATCACTAGATGACGGAGCAGCAAGGGTATATGTCGAAGACCCTAAGACAGTCGTATCTCCAGTAGCCCCGCCTGGTGCCAAGGTGATTTCTGAACCCCCGACAAGTGATACCCGGGTCACATAAGTTTCCGTTGCCGAAGCTACATGACTTGTTTCAGCCATAGTCAGTTGGGTCAACGAACGTAAGTACCTGAGTCTCCGCTGCTAGTAGATGCTGCATCTGTAAAAGTACCGAGAGAAGTAGCAGTGTCTGTGAATAGTGCTATGGACCGCATTAGCACAGAAAAGTTGCCGGCAACTTAAAGCATACAAGAAGATATCTCCCGGAGCAAAGAGTCAAAGGAGCCGATATCTAAGAAGAGTTGAGCGACAATAGGACCGAAGGAGTAAATGGTATACCTGTTGCCTGAGGGGCAGGTGCGCCGCGGACTGGCACCAGAAAGAGAAAGAAAAAGAATAACGTCTTAGATGAAGCGTCAGGCATGATAACAAACGAACTTGATCAACAAGTGATGATGGACTTGGTCAACAAGGAGCGAGGAGACACAAGGCTAGCCAGAGCAAGGATTCCAAGGAACGCCAGTCCAAGATACTTATACAGTACCGCAGTCGAGTAACAGAGACCATTGTCATAGAAAAAAAGAGCGAATGCTATGGATCAGGCATTGGCGGTAGTGATATCCCAAGATAGCGGTTGGCAGTCAAGATGATGTGACTGTGATGTCACGGTTGATAGTGACCGCCACTTACGTCACTCCGCCACAGGACCGAAAACTCCGATTTCTTTCTCCTCTCTATCCAGCGTCGATAACAGTCGAATCACGATTTCAATGGAATCGTACAACTATGTCGATCCTACGAATTCAAATCTGGTCAGTCTCCAGCCATTTATTGTGGTAATTTGCGCTGACATTGATACACAGGTCTGTTGCATATGCCGGTATGATTACACGGTGTCTTATTGTCGCGTTGCCTCATTTTTCTGCAGGACGCCCTTCCTTGATCCTGTTTCTACCCTAACATGCTCGCATACATTCTGTCGGACCTGCATCATTGAGGCTCTTCAACATTCCTCGCAATGCCCTGTGGATCGACTTGCCCTTGACGTTGGAGGAGATAGTGTCTGCAAATCCTATTGTCAGATCCGTGAGTACATGATATATGCTGTGGTCCTGTTACTAACGTTACCAGTTGGTCGACGAACTCGTTGTCGAGTGTCCCTCCCCCGAGTGCGCACACACCTGCCAGCGGCATTTACTTGCTGGTCATCTCAGAGACTCGTGCCCTTTTGCTGAAATTCCTTGCCCCTTTGGAGAATGCGACCAACTCATACTCCGGAAAGATGCGGAGAGCCATCGCTGCGCTCACACTCTTATCAGTTGTCGCGAATGCGGAACCCAACTCAGTTCCGAAGACTTGACAGTGAGTCACCACTCTCAGCGGTCTTGTTTGGTCTTGCCAAATACGACGTCTATCGTCAATGGAAAAATTTTAGGAGGCACTCTTTCTCCGGATGACCCTTGTCATTATAAATAGTTACGCGGTGCTTTTCCTTCGCTGCGCAAAAATCAATACGCGTCGCGAAATTCACACTGCCATCCCTTATATTGCTCGTAATTGCCTCGCAGTGCTAATGTTCAAATTCACAGGAACACGAAGCAGAGTGTTTACCCGTGACATTTGTTTGCGATCTCTGTTCTGTTGAGTATTCGCGTGATCTACAGTCCTCGCACGCGGAGACATGCTCCGAGGCCGTAATATCCTGTGTTCATGCGTCAAATGGGTGTCCGTGGACGGGGAAACGATGGTCATTTATCAACTCGCATATTACCTCCTGTCCCTATGAAGCGATAAAGGGATTCTTGTCTCTTCACGAATCCAGATTAGCGGACCTTCGGGAAGAGAATCTCGGCTTGCGAAGCAAGATTGATGCCTTGCAAGGCCATCTGCAGAACACGACTAGGGATTTACAAGTAGCCAAAGCAGCTCTCGGCCCGTGGTACACACAATCTTTGGCTCGTTCAACCACAGATCGATCTCCACATGTGCAACAACGAGCAACCTCATCCACTCCTCGTGTAACCGAAAGCACCGTCTCTCCCCCGACACCAAGCCCATCAGCTGATACGCCTGATATTTTTGCACCGTATTTCCCAGAGGATGAATCATTCTCGGCTCACGCCTCCCCGGAGCAGCTCAGCAACTTCAACTGGAGACCATTGCACGGCACCTCACCGAACATTAGCCAAGCCTGGGATCCTGCGAGCCTGACGTCTCGGCCTGTCGCCCAGAACAACGTTGCACCGCTGGACCTCAGTACGACATTGGAGGGTTCATTAAGTGGCCTTCGGCAATCAGTCGTTTCCTTATCCGCATCCGTCGACTCCTTCAGCCGTCGCAATGAGATTGCTCTGACCAACGAGGCGCTGAGAGTGAATGAAGAAATTCGGTCCCTCAGAGCTAATATACATGGCCTTAGGATGCAGGTGTGTTTTTCGGTCATGACTGTGTCGAACATGATCTAACACTTCTTTAGGTTCATGCTATTATGATGGACCGCAATGCTCAAGTAACGGGCCGAATGCAGGAAATGCCGTCAGTCGACGGACCGTGGACCGGTCCTTCTCGTTTTATTCCAGGAGGGCCTCCAGTACCGTCCATTACCAAGTTGTAGTTTAAATCATATCATATTCGTTCAATTATCGTAGATTTAGTGTTCATATTATCACCCTTTTCCTTCTTGACTTAGACTTACGATAGCTCGGTGCGTACTTGAAATTTGTAACAATAAATAAAATATCACATTGTTAAATACGTCCTGGGATTTTTACTTATGAAGATCAAATCCTACAACAAAAAGCGATCAAGATCATCAGGTACCGAGAAACAAATGATCCACATGGGTAGATCGAGAAAGAATAAGCCAAAAAGAAAAGTGTCCGCAGTTAGAGCTGAGTTATTTACTGAAGCTCGGGAGGGAGAGCAGCGTAGATAGTACAAAGGTCCACCCAGCTTTGCTTGATGATCTCGGATTTGGGACCGGATTGTTCTTCCTTGGGGGCCTCAGCGAAGACGACAGCCAGACCAGCTTCCAAGTGCCAATCTACGGGTTAATTATGAGTATAATGACAGAAGGTGGCGGGACAACGTCACCAATGTGGCAGTGGAGGAACCACGGTCCGGGATTGTCGGCCCTGAAGCGGATGATAACGGTGGATCCTTATAGAGGGTGTCAATATTGAGAGGTGGGTAGAGCGAAAGACGTAAAACAGTACCTCCGACACCAACGACATCTAGAGAAGCCAAAATCAGGAATTAGGAGGGGTAGATAGTAAGTGGAAAGAAAATCTGACCTCGCTGGGGTGGGTTGATGAAGTTGGCAGGGACCATCGCGACCTTGAACGATGGAGAAGACGTGGCCGTGCAAATGGAATGGGCTAGAGGATATTCACTTCCGTGCCCGATTGACGTTGATAGTATATACTTACTGGATATGACCTAAAGCAAGAGGACTTGGATTAGAAACCCGGGAGAAGCGGCCTATGTGACATTGAACGTACCGTTGGCGGAACCGTGGATGACAACCTCGACAACTTCGTTTGGAGCGAGAACAAACGTATGTTCAGGGGTGGAGAATTGGTTTTCTGGCAGAAGTTCAGCAACTGAATAGTATCATGATTTTAGGACCATCGAACCTTCAGTGAATCCGTTAATCATAATATTGAACAAAGTCGGGAGGTCAGGAGATTTGTAGCTAATATCATTGATGGTCCACTGGAAAAAGATACTATCAAAGTCCGATGTCCTGAGCGCAAAATCAATAATATACCTCGAGATGACCGGTAGCGTCGTTCGTTGTACGGGTGAAGCGGAGATCGATGACTCTGTCCGCCGGGTTGCTCCCGCCAGGCGCCTCGGGGTTTCTCAATGGGACCAGAAGATGCTCCTCTAACACATTGCCCTTTTTCAATGAAGCGACGTTGGATTTGGGTTCGCCGTCATCGGCACCTTCATAGTGCAGAACGGCGAAAACGTTGTTGGTGTCCACTATAAGAGATAGCACATGAGAAGACAATTCAAACATTGAACCAAAGCTTACGATTCTTGTTATCAGACGAATGTTGTAGTTCCATGGGAGCGCTGATCCAATAATTGGCGACCGGTTGGTCCGCGTGGACAATGAAGGAGTATCTTTGCCCAACGTAAATGTCGAAGGCATCGACGGTCAAGGGTTCATGGTATATCCCATCAACCTTAAGCAACAATCGTCAAGTAGCACAGACGTCAGCCACCGAAAAAAGCTAACCTCAATGATCGTAAGAGAGTGACCTTCAATTGAGAAGGTATATCCCGAGTAGCCGGACATGTTAATGATGCGGAAGCGATAGCGCAATCCAGGCTGAACATTAATGCGCGCCCAGTCGACAGTGGGACCCCCCTGGATGGGAGAATCAGCCTGTGTGGAATGTGATAGTGATGCCTAGAAAACATACCACGAATCGCCCTTTGCCGTTGATGAGACCGCTATCCGGAATCTATGTTACCGATAAGTAGTGGTATTTAAGGGGGAAACGAAGCTACCCACCGGCTCATGGAAAGGGTTAACCTGTAAGTATGTCTCGGAGAGACCAATGGACGGCTGGAAGACCTTCAGGAGGTGAAAAAGAGCTGAACGAGATGTAACTCACGTTATGATACCAGTCGGCGAGTGTGATTACCGTGTCAGCATTGTCAACATCATACATATCGAGGTATGGGTCATCAGGATCTGGATTTTTATTTGAGCTCTTGAATGAATGGTGATTTGAGCTGGGACCGACGTACCATAAATCACCAAAGGTCTTTATGTTATTAGTTACAGACGAAGTCCATTAGGGTAAGATTACTTACCCTCGAAGGCCGTCCACGTATTGCGATGCAAGATGGCTATGGTACCAGAAGGTTCCAGGTTGCCCGTTGAGCGGAACTGGATAGCCGTCGGTTATCATTGAGAAGCCATCGTGAGACAATTAGTAAGACAATATTCTCACTATCATAGGTGTAAGAATGCGTCGGAGCCACGGGACATTGATTGACGAAAGCGGCTGAATTTGGACGTTCAAAAATAGGGAGCGCAAAGGATAGAGGTCACTCACGTCCGTCTTCGGAAGAGGTCCTCATTTGAAACTAAATTGGTCGTCAACTGTAGGTCCGTTGGGCCCTACCTTCTGTACTTACTAAACCGTGCCAATGAATTGTATAACTACGCCTAGCATAGCGCAAGATAGCAGGGTTAGTCGCGATCCATAGAAACGCGATGACACCGTACCTCATAGTGGGGTCGGTAAGAAAGTTGTTTGTGGTGATGTGGAGAACATCATCCTTAGTGTGCTTGGATGAGAGGGCCGGGGAAGACGCCATTGACGATGACGCCAGTCCGGTCAAACCCATCGGGAGCAACAACACTGTTGGCGACGTCAAAATTAATATTGACGTCGGCGGCAAGTGCAAAGGGTGACGCGAGTGAGAAGGAGAATGAAAGGTGCAGTGAAACTGAACATCTCGAAGGGAGTTCCTGGTTTGTAAAAGTTGAAAGCTTACAGGGTTTTATACGCGTACTTGAATGCGAATAAATAACGAATAACGGAGAGACAAATTGACATAAAAATGCCTCTGTTTGGGACTGACTGAGTATCTTCTAGTGCCTTGTTCTCTGCTTGCTGCGATCTTTCTGATATGCGGCATATACGAGATCGTGGAACTTGCAATAGACTCAAACTGAGAGCGATCAGGGCAACATCGAGCAGTGTTCCTAGTACCGGCTATGCGGAAGGAGATCCGCGCGGCTTGTCTGTGAACGAAATCCCCTGATTAATGGTCGTATGACAAAGAGAATGAAGACCTTAGCGCACAGCATGTTCATGAGGTCTACAACTCCATCTGGTCAAAATGAGATGCCCGAACCGCGAGCAAAAAAAGAACAGTCCAAACATCTTACTAGTGTGAGAGGGACACTGTAAGCACTCGTATGCTGACGAACGTTGTCGTTATCCGTGGAAAGCTAAGCTATAAACTAGGGCATTGTGTTCACTGTTGAGTCAGCTCATCACTTTTCGAGGAGTGAGAAGGCGACGTGTCTTAGGTGTTATGATCAGAAATGCAACCGCTTTCTGTTCGCCGTCCAAGTATCTGCAGAATATAGTTCCACGAACCTCGTTGCTCCCCTCGACTCCGATTCGGAGAAAAGCCAAGCAAAATCTACTCGGCCCACGGGAATATCGGGTTCAGGTTGGCGCCACCATACGTGACCTTTTTGTGGTTGCAGACGTACTGCAAAATATGGCGTTGTCTCCGGCACCTTCAGGGTCAAGAAATTGCATTTTCTGTCCCATGGTGAAGACCTTAACGCGATCGTCGGTAAGGATCGGTGATCGAACTTATTGGAGGTAAGGGACACACCTTCAATCTATGTCGCCACACCCTGAAAGTCAGCATTGACCGGTGTCGAAGTCTCTGCCCTCGCATATGACCTTTCCAAGACATTGAAAGTTAGCGATCAGAACTAAGAAGGTTCGAATCTTCAGTAACGAAAGACGCATCTGGCAAGTGCTAAACAGTATTTATGTCAGGATCGCATATGTACCTCTTGGATAACTGAACAGTAAGCACCGGAAGCAGATTGGTTGTACGTACACGAGGCGATGTCGCTCCTGTAATATACCTCAGAGGCAGGTAGCGAAATGTATTGGACGAAAAGATCAGAGCCCGATTGGTTACTTGGACATCACAGACCGTATGGCATCTAATAATCTTCCTGATTGTCGAACAAATATTGGACAAACGAGCCTGGCAAAGTATGCTTTGAATGCACAGAATCTTCAGCACTGTAAATCTGCAGCTAGGTCTGATATTCAACAGCAGAGAGAAAACAATTGTCGCCTCTCGGATGAAGTTTTACATTATTAGACGCTCGATGGAAAAGTCTTGGCCGTGGGATACTCTTATCCTGGTGAGAGACTTGAGCCAACAAAGTACATCTCAATGCAATTACACGCAATGAGATATGTTCTTGAAAGCCATGGGCCTCATGCTACGTAGGCGTTACTGTTCCACTGTTTCGGTGTGCTGTAGATCTGGCTTGGCATTGATGTTGACTCCCTGTATTTTGGATCTCAGGCTGTCAGAATACAAAGCGTCACATGAAACTTGCATGAACCCATGGATTCGGGGCTCCTTCCAAGGAACGGTAAGGTGATGATTTGGCGTTGAGCCTTCCTGATATAGGTGATCAAAAGGTTAGATGGCCTCAGTGTACGTGGTCGAACCACATTCCAGAGTGTCGGGTTAGGCGCAAGAAACGAGACCGTGGATTGGGGGCACAAGTGAATCTAAGAGATGCAGCACGATGGAGAGGGTATAGATAGATATGAAAACATCAACGAGCGCTCCAGGCGTCGTCAAGTCGATCAAGCAAGGCTTGCACTTCTTTTACTGCAGCCTTTCTTTCCCTTCTCGCGTCCTTCCCATTCACCATCGGTAGAAATAGCGTCAAGCCGAAGGAGAGATTGTAAAAGTAATTCCCCTAGACGGGCGTGCTCCTTCTCCTAGGGCAGACATGGAGGGCATGCTTTTGGGGTAGTGCATCGAGAAACGTGTTGAGAGAAGGTACGAGGCCCTGGCGGATTGAGATCAGCTCTTGCTGGATGTTGGACAGCGATGTCTGCTCCGTATTCTGGATAGAAGACGATGTCGGAAGGGTATCATGGAGAGGAAGGAGTGTGATAGAAGAGGATTGCTTTCAGATGGTAAGCACTGAGTGGCGCCTTATCATCCTTCATGATAGCGCCCTTGTAGATGAGTTTGAAGGCATCCAAGTGCGTTTCTTCTGCGACCATCTGCCGAAAATCGGCCTAGTCTCGTCTCTAATGGAACATTGAAAGAAAACCTGAATGAAGAAAGATATAAAAGTAAGTAATACGAAGTGTCATAAGAATAGAGAGCAAATTTTCACTTTTCTTTGTTCCACTTGACATTGACCATGGTGGTAAAAACTGAGAATGATTACGCGATGGGAGATGACGTCACAAACCGCCACCCGACGGCGTCGAGCGGGCCGGCGGGCTGTCCAACTCTAACAAGAAGTCAACCAGAAGTTTCACAGTTGTACCGAAAGCTCAAATTTTTTAGATAAGATGCGCGGCTTCTGCTTCGTTGATAACCAGCTGGTTCCTGCCACTTTTCTCAGACTTAGAATCTAGTGTGTCGAAGAGGAAGTGGCAACTGCGTTCATGGGCTGGATTCTGCACAAAACAGTTCTCCCTTAGTACCACTGGCGCGGCTTTATATTCAACTGTTGAGGAGGTGGCTGGGTGGAGTGGACTACAGGTAGAGCGAGTATCGAAAATCATCTTTCGCAGAGACTCACGACAATGCAGGGGGGATCAAGGGGGGATTTGCGTCTTGGCATGACCTTACTAGTATCCCCGATACGTGGGGATGGGGTGACAAAGATGCTTAGTATGTAATATTACAGTGGCGAAGTGCTCTGCCACGTACAAAAGGTGATTGAAATTTTTTATTCCAGCAGATGCTAACGGTACTTTGAATGTAGCTTTTCAAAGATCCTGAGCTATCGAATGCTGAAACTGAAGCATAGGCTGCATTTTACTTGCTCTCCAGTAATTCAAGGAGGGATAAGCGATCCGCCCACTCCGCGGCAACACTACCGAGTCTAAAAATAAGATGTGACTCGAGTACTTAGATGACGGCTTTCGGAGACGAGGGAATATTATTCTCTCACACGGTACACTATGTCCAACGAAGTCAAGCCTGCTGCGTACAAAACTCATGGCTATCATGAGTCTGTTCTGCGCTCGCACAAGTCGCGTACCGCCGAGGCTTGTGCGGCTTACCTTCTACCATCCATTCGCCCGGATATGAACATCCTAGACGTTGGATGTGGACCCTGGTACTATCACTGCTGGTTTTGCTGCGCTAGCGCCCAAGGGTCATGTCACAGGGATCGACATGGGCGCAGAAGTGCTGGAGCACGCGCGCGCGAATGCTGAGCAGCAGGGCTTAGCAAACATCACGTTTCAAACCGGCAGTGTCCTCGAATTGCCGTTCCCAGATAACACCTTCGACATCGTACATGCCCACCAGGTCATCCAACACACAACCGATCAAGTAAAGGCCCTGCAGGAGATGCGCAGGGTGACTAAAGATGGCGGGATTGTCGCCGTTAGGGATGCCGACATGTCTGCCATGAACTGGTTCCCGAATCTGGAGGGTTTAGAGGAATGGCGCAAGATCTATATGGCAATCGCGCGCGCTTCTGGGGGAGAACCAGATGCCGCTCGACGGCTTCATTTTTGGGCCAAAGGAGCCGGTTTCAAGAGAGACCAGATCTCTCTCAGTACTGCCACTAATTTGTACGCAACCGCCGAAGAAGCTGGCTGGTGGGGTAACATGTGGGCGGACCGTACTATGCAGTCACTCTTCTTAAAGACTGCCACTGAAGGAGGGTACGCTTCGTTGGATGAGGTTTCTCGTATTGCCGATGTATGGCGCCAGTGGGGAGGGCACGAGGATGCGTGGTTTGCCTTGCTGCAGGGACAAATGCTTTGCAAAGTCGAGAAGGATGGTAGTAAATAGTGCAAAGTCGTAGTTTTGCCCGCGACGTCAGTTGTTGCCATAAGGGAAGGAAAGGAGGCAAGAAACAGGCTGTAGCACTTTTGTATACATGGTAGTTTGTCATTTTCATTACAAGCCTTGAAATAAGAAATAAGTCATCAGAGATATTTACGCCACTCCCTTACTTTCCTCGTCACTCATATTCTCCTTCTTCTCCGTGTACTCGGATTCAGATCCAGGACGTAGATCGTGCTTATCGATCGTAGTCACCGGTCCCGTGAACCAATGGACGCCTCCATACACAGGGAAATAGAAGTAAATCGTCGCAAGAACAAGAGTCCCCCCTGCGATGATTGAAAACGTGGGAAGGTTACTGAATAATGCTAACTTACCTAGAACCACAACTGTGTAGTTCATGTCCTGGGCAGTGGGACTAGGCGTCGTAGGAAACAAGAATACGATGACCATGAAGACCATCCAAACAACGGCAACTAACAGCCACAGGAAGACTCTTGAGAATAAGTTGTGATCGAACACAAAGCTTGAATGGAAGTTGGGGCACTTACAAGTTTCCCAAGACTGAACGGACCTGGCTTGATCTTCTTACCTCCAAGGAACCTGGCGCTGATGGGGACCTGAGTATGCGATGTACTGTCCAGTGACTACTAGGGAGAATATTGCGCCAATAGCGACATTTCCTGCGAACCCGAGAAGACCCAACAGTAAGGAGATGAATACGACAGCCCATACACAATGGAGCGGCGTGTGACTGCGCGGGTGGACGTAATAGAGCCAATGGGAGAAGGGGAGACCACCATCGCGTGAGAAGGCGAATATTTGCCGAGAGCAAGCTGTAAGCTACAAGCCTTGCTTAAACACCTTAGCCGAAGCGATTAAGGGGGATACGTACCATACTTGTTCCTGTTGCGAATCTTCGGTCATGTCAGTAGCACTCGAGATTAGAAGATCAAGGCTCTCCTACTTACTGGAGTACGATGATAAGAGACCATAGTGCTAACGCTCCTTTCTTTCCAAATGAATTAAAAAGGATCTATTGGATCCATCAAGAGATAAGCAGCCGCGTAATTGAAAAAAAGCTCACTGTTGCCATCGGCTGCCCAACAGGACTGTCAAGAACAGCTGCGACATCCGTGCCCATGCAGAATGCAATTGCAACATTGATTCCTAAGTTTGCACAATTGAGTGTCATAAGAATATCCGCATGTATAATGCGCACCCCAACCAAGAATACTACTCGAAGTAGCTGCCAATATAATCGCAAAGGGGATCGCGACATTGGCATTGGTAGCCTCTTCACTAATGTGCACAGTCGAATCAAATGCACCTGACAACCAGATTAGCCTCAACTGATATATGGGTATGACGAGTAAGGCGAATTACCGATACTCCACAACGGGTAAAGGAAACTGAGAATGAATGCGTAACCATTTGGCCACCCATAAACTAAGACAAAATCAACAGGGGCAACGATGAAGGCATGGTGATAACTCGCAATTTTCAAAGTCCCCGAAGGCATAACTTGCCGTGTTCATGAATTCTTTGGGAGTAGCCGCAGGCAGGCCGATGATCAAGGCAAAGCATAGACTATAGGCGGTAGTCCAGGAGTGAAGACTCGAGACAAGATCCATACTTACAGAACATTGGCAATAATATAGGGAGTTTGCAAGCGTGCAATTATTTTGGGATCAAAGCTGCAGATAGTGCCGTGACATATTAACAAGGCAACGAATAGGGCACTGGAACGAGAAAAAGGGTCAGAACGGTTCTAGAGCAATGAGCATAGAGACCCACTATGTTTGGCCGGTTGTCGCTGTGAATTGCAAATCTGAACCAATACTAGCGGCGGCCATAATTTGAACGGCGCATCCCCAGTCAACGCTGGCAACAGAAGCAATGTTCCCAACACTGTTCGAATCTTGATGCCCGTTAATATGACGGAATTAAAAATGATCTCGAAGAGCTGACTTACACCCGACTATCCAAGCAAGGAAACAGCGCCACTTGGGGGAAGAGAACATAAAAGTCCAGTAATACAGACCGCCAGACGTCGGGGCGGCAGATCCTAGCTCGGCCATTGCAAGCCCAATGATAATAAGGAGAACTGCGCATGCTGTCCACTAGTAACAAGACCAATAAGACGATTTGTGGATACAGCTGGACATGCAAAAACTTGCCCCCCAAACCAATGCAGCAGCTCCGCCATTGGGCAGTGCGTACACAAACGTCGATCTGACGGCTAATTCAACGATCGGTCCCTGCAGATTCATCTACACGACTTACGCGAGAGAAGGAACAAGCCCGATGATACTGAACCCGACACCAAACACCTCTATGGGCCTAAAATTGCGACGAAACTCTGAATAGAAAATGTTAGCGCCAAAAGTTGAAAATTTATCGGCGACATTCTGACCTTGTTTGTACCCAAGGCGTGCCAGTAGGGCTTCATCTTTCGACAGAATAGCGGGTCCGATGCTAGCATTATCGCCTTCTCGCGTGCCGTTGTCTTCGAGCATGGTGGATGTTCTGAGCAGAGTGAGCCAACTCTCATGATGACGCAGATCAGTCGATTTCCCTTTCCCAGGGCCAGCAAAGCTCTTTACGGCATAGATACAGACAGCTGCCTTACTCGGGCCTGGTTCGAAGCTTGGCTGCACGTTATACTGCTGATGGCCGGGTAAGCCGAATATAATACAACACATGTAAAGGAACAAATAACGATGTAGAAAGCTAAACAACAGGGCCAACTGACTTAACATTGTGGACCTCCGTACCCACGCGACGCTACTTATCGACAGATCAGCCATGCCTGACCTAGTCCAGGTACGAGTGCTAGAGCACGTACACAAGTCACACCCCGACTGTGTGATTGAACTTGTTATTTTCGTGAAATGTCCGTAATTCCATGAGTTCGACGTCTGTAGAGGAATCCGTTCCTGTGGTCGTGTAGTCTGTGGTGGATTCGCCCATAGTTGTAGTCATTTGCGACTTTATTGGAACCTTATAGAACTTTATGCCGGACATCATATACGTGTCGATCTCCGGTCTTATAGCTCGATAGTGGTTTGAGCGCACAGAGATGACGAGTCTGTTGGCGAATATACTCGAGATTACAAACGAAAACGCCGTCATCAGTTCATCCAGAGTAATCTAGAGGGGTCATATCGTGTTAGTGCCTTGCTGCTGCACAGTTGACAGTTCGAGATTTTACCCGATTCCTGATCCACATTATGAGATTTGCTAAGTAGATGCAAAAGAGTCTAGTGATACAGACCGTCAGAATGCAACGGTGGCAGGCGATTCGCGGAGACTACTCACACGGCAAAGTACATCGCAGAGTCTCGAGTGAGCTGTTGCATCAGTTTGCTGCCTTGGGCCGATGGCCGATGCTGCCATGCTTTCCACAGCGCTAGGGAAAACAAGGTACTCTCGATGATGAGGATAGACATCCAGTAATAGACCACCCAGTGGGAACCGTCCAGTGGGTCGGCGTCGGCGCAAATGAATAATTCAGGAAAAGGTTCATTCGTGCCTGTTTCAGTGTCGAAGTCTGAGCGCTTCCTGTAGACGGAACACGAACTTACCAACAAGGTTCTGATTAGGGATACCAAAGACTAGTCCCATGGCCAACGCCTCCCCAAAGGTCAGAAAAACCTGTCAAATGATCAGCTCCACCTGAAAAGAGTGTGACCACCGCGTACAAATAGGGCAAGAATGTATCTTGAACTTTGATACATCGCATATAGTCGAAGCTCGAGAATCACTGAAAGATGCTTAAACAGTGATCACAAGGGGAAAAACATTCGATCATACCGTGAGAAGTGATGACCTGTAAGCTTGCTCCAGTGTTTTGCCAGTGAAAGAATGTATTACCTTCAGATTGATATGTGTGAACGGACGAAGAGGTCTGTGGTAGAAACATACATCTGCAGAAAATTGAGGGGCACCGTCTCTTCAGCAATCATTACTGGCACGCACAGCTGAACAAAAAATTAGCGCTTTGATGCCTATGTTTAGTCCATGATCGACGCACTTTCATAGAAGGATGAGGCTGCATAAATACTATCCGGAGGTGAGTAATCCATTCTTCCCGCACAGATCAAGGGGTTCCTACGAACCGACTGCATTGGAACTACAGAAATGGTACGATCGGCGATCATCGAAGATGCGGAAGATGCGGGAACACGTACATGTTGAAGGCTAGTCCATAATATCGACTCTGAAAAGTACATTAGCACAGCTCCATCACACTGCGAGGGGCTCACCCATAAGAAAAGAGCCTTCGCCAGCGACCACCTTTGTTGCTATCCCACGTGTTGGTAAGCGTTACGCCACTACAGCAAGCCACGTTACCCAAAAGAACACGATCTTGGGAGAAGAAAAGAAAAGTCAGGAGAAGGCCAGAGAGCTGCTGCTGTTCTCACCTCTGCATCTAGCTGCAGGACTAGGAAATTTGCAACGATGTGTCAAGAAGCTGACGAAGATTGGAAGGAACAAGAATTCGCACAGTATTCATACAGAATCAAAGCTGCACAGGCCACTAGCAAGGTTGAATATCAAGTCTGGCACGATAGTGGGACTCAGTACGACTTACGGTACGCATTCCGCTCTGCCCTCGCCTGTGAGAACCCCGCCAGATCAAGACTCCCAGTTGCCTCAGACATGGTTGACTAGCAGAAAAACGGGTCGTTAAAGTAGTATCAGGGCATCAACTTCTCGTCGCACCATGCTATTGTAGAGATACTTAACATCTGACCCAACGGGTGTAGGGCATCAAAAATCGAAGAACACTACAAACGAGCTGAAAATTGAAAGTCAATGAATGGGCTGATTACGGCTACTCCGACTGGATCTCGCCCGGCAACATTTATTTCAACAAACGGGGTTAGTCAAATGGCCGAAGCTAGTATTTACGGTCCGAGTTCACCATGCGGACTACATCAGCGGATATTACGCCGCCTCCCTTCCCAAGCGAACGAAGGGTCCATTGGAAGGCGCCGGTCAAATAGGGTTTATGTTACGGTCGAGGCGTGGTAAATGATGCTTCTCATACACTCGGAGTACAGAGTGGGTAGGGGCTCGTCACACTGCTTCGCAATTCCTACAGTGCTCGTGAAAATGATTCGCATGATGGTGAGTACTCCCAACTGGCGTGCGTGTATCGACATCACCGGAGACGGCGAGTTTCCTTTATGGCACACCGAAGTTTGGTGGGCCGACTGTGCCCGGTAGCTATCCGATACGCACACCGAAGTACACCCGATGGCTATCCGGCGTGCAATATTTGTAGAGTTCCAATGCTTTGTTCTTTAAAACAACCAAGGCGGTGCAGCGTGCATGTAGATACGCATAAGATTCACCCCGAAAGTGAAGGAAATGCATGTGTTTTTCACATCCTGACAGGAATATCAGACCTGCATGATTAAGTTCATCAAATCGAACAAGCATCAATACTCAATTCCATGACGAAATCCCGCATCTTTGAAATAAATCATAGGCAACAAACAGATCTTCAAGCTATAGCGAATCTGCTCCATGGACATTAATAAAACTGAACCAAGCGTGTGAGGCGAGCCTGCTCAGTTTCATCGGATTCTTCCAACACTGTGCCCAAAGTCTATGTATATTTGGAAAGTTAGACGGTGCAGTTGGAAATGCAAACGATAATGCGGACCTTGTTGACTGATAGATACTTCACTATCATATTCTTTCCGAACGTCTTCTCCACGAGGGCATCGGACTGGAATGCGGTTCTAGCTTCGTCCCATGTTAACGGCATCCGTTTGTTGATACCAAGCTCATGCCGTTCCTTCTCGTCCATCTGGGCAGCGGTCAATGGACCCGGACAGTCCTTGATGCCCAGCGGTTCTTGATTGATAACACCATCAAGACCAGCAGACAAAATTAACGCAAGCGCAAGATAGGGGTTGCAAGTTCCATCCAAAAAGCGCAATTCAAAGTTTCTAGACTTGGGGGAGACCGCGTTTGTCAGCCTGATGGGGGCCTCGCGGTTCTCCGTTCCCCAGCAGACATAGGTTCCACCAGACCAGACCTGTAAGAGACGTCAGTAACAATTCAGGATATATTACGACCCGGGATGCTCACACCATCAGCGACCCGTTTGTATGAGGCTGGGATAGGAAGCGTGATAGCAGCCATTGCTGGGAGATGCTTCAAGACCGAGGCCAGGAAGGAAGATTCCAACGATGACAGGGAATCTGACGGCTTCGGTCCACCAACCACGGAGTGAACTGATATGTGGGTGTGAGCAGCACTCCCAGCACTTGTCATATACACGCGTGGAGCGAAGGTTGCTCGGAGACCATATTTGATGGCAACATTTACAATAGTCTCGCGAGTGTGTATGAGTGCATCAGCGGCTTGAAGCGGCAGCAAAGGACCAGTGACGACTTCGTACTATATGCTACATTAGAATTGGACAGATGCGATCAGACTGGGGTTTGATATCTTACCTGGCCTGGCGCAGCCTCAGGGTGGTACATAGTAACTTCGATCCCTGACTTGAGTAAAGACTCCACGATCTCGCGCATAACGCGCGATTCGACGGCCCCAGATGGTAAGCCATCAGATGCCGTCCATGCATGATAATTGGCAGCTTCCACGGGGTTCGTAGATTTCAATAGAATGAATTCAGTTTCGAAGCCGACCAAGAATTCTACGCCTGTTTCTTTGGACTGTCTGTACAGAGGTCAGATGTAAAGTGGCACGTAGCTAGTCAACGTACTCACTTAACGACACGCTGTAACACGCTCCGGGGACAGAGATCGACAGCGACGGTCAGATTGCCATCCGCACCAAGGACAGGGGCTTTCTTTTGGAACCATCCTAATACGCTGGCATGTCCTTCTTCGTAGGGACAGAGCCTTAGAGTAGAAAGGTCTGGAACGTAGAGATATTCCCCGATAGCACTGAACTCGTCTGCGGTGTGCAAGTAAACGAGACCCATGGTCACTTTAGCGATGGCCACACTGGGACGAGGCGACTGAAGCATTTTGAAGAAGTGCGCCAGGGGAATTACGCGGAATCGAACAACACTAGTGAGGTCGACCCATGTCAGGCGAATGAACGCTAGTGTACAGGTCACTACTAGGTAAACCAATATTTGAACGAGTACTTACTGATACCTAGCCCTTCCAATTCATCAGTCTTTATGATCTTGGTAGGAGCAAGGGTCGCTGGAGAGTACTGGACACCGTGGCTATAGTCTGTAGACATGATCAGTAAAGATTGAAAAAACAGCTAGAAGATGGACTTTATATACCCTAGCCTGAAGAAATGATGAGAACATCAACGGCGTCTAATACTATGACGAGAAATCGAAGCACCAACAGGTGACCAATACTGAAGCGACCCTTACATGTCGTATCTCAGTATAAGTATATCGCCTGCAGCATCCAGGAAGCAGGCATGGAGGATCCTATTTTATGGTATCGAGGCCGCCTTTTGCCATGATGATGCCAGAGCGTCGCGAGGAGATATCGCAGAATGGCGCGATTCAGAAAGTGTTTTACACCATTTCGGAAGCCCAGCACCGGATCTTGGGTCCATATTTGTCGGGATCTGCCAGATGAAATGAACAACTCGTTCTTTCTTCTTTACCACCACCATGTTACCCAAGATTCTCGACACCGCCCTTGATGCTGTTGGCAACACTCCACTCATTCGTCTTGACAGAGTCGCCAAGCACTATGGGCTCAAGTGTAACCTCTGTAAGTCTCTGATCACATCGACGTGGTTTCTTCAGGCGGCTGACACCTCGGTTTCTAGTGGGCAAAGTCGAATACATGTCGGCGGGTGGCTCAGTAAAGGACAGGATTGCGAAAGCGATGGTCGAAGCCGCCGAGAAGGAAGGAAAGCTCATTCCTGGCAAGAGCGTTGTCATCGAGCCGACCTCTGGAAACACCGGTGAATGCCTCCCTATCTTTCATGCTCAGGCCACTGGATATTCATAGCCTGCACAGGCATCGGCCTGGCTATGGCTTGCGCAATCAAGGTATAACAACCTAGCGTGGTCAAGAAAGGGTACTGAATACTACAGATAAGGGTTATTCGGTTATTATAACCTTGCCTAACAAGATGTCCCTTGTATGCACACATATATGCTGTGATTTTTCATTCCTTCTCACTGATATATACAGGAGAAGGAAGCGGCCCTTCGTGCACTTGGGGCCGAGGTCGTTCGAACACCCACCGAAGCTGCCTGGGATTCACCAGAGAGCCATATAGGTAGACTCCATCTTCTGCCGTCCGGTAGTCTCGTGGCTGAATTCCTTAACGATCTCTAGGTGTGGCGCAGAGGTTGCAAAGGGAGATCCCTCACGGTATTATATTAGACCAGTACCGCAACGTTCGTCGTGCATTTTTGTTTCCAAGGAAACTGAGGACTCATTAACTATGTTCAGGTCAACAATCCGCTTGCTCATGAACTGAGTACGGGACCTGAGATTATCGATGCAGTCGTGTCTACACCGGCGACATCGTCCAAACCTTCATCTGGCAAAGTGGATGTACTTGTCGCTGGTGCTGGAACAGGTGGAACGGTGACAGGCATATCTCGCGCTATCAAGAAGACACACAATAAGGACTGCGTCATAGTCGGTGTCGATCCGGTTTGTGGTGTATTCTCCAACGTGAAATCGGAGGTACTCAATCTATTTCCTCTTGGACTGTACAGAAAGGAAGCATCCTCGCCGTCCCCGATAGTCTCAATGAGGCAGACAAGGGTGCTCAATACGTCGTTGAAGGTATTGGATACGACTTCATACCTGATGTTCTCTGCCAAAGCGACGTCGACGAGTGGATCAAGACCTCCGACGAGGAGTCGTTCCAAGCCGTCCAGGTTTTGATGAAGAATGAAGGCTTGCTGGTTGGTGGCAGTAGTGGTAGCTCCCTTTCTGGCGCCATCCGATGGCTTACGGAGGGCGAGAATGGTAAGCGTGTGGCGGCAACTGAGGGGAGGAATGTAGTAGTTTTATTACCGGATGGGTTCGTTTCCTTTGTTTCCCTTGTTCTCGTGCTTACTGTATTTTTCTGGTCTAGAATCCGAAACTATATGAGCAAGCCGTGGTTCCTCAAGTTAGCAATGGAGAAAGAGCCTTCACCGATGGCCAATATCATCGCCCAGGTGTTACAGTCTAAGTCTGCATAAAAAGACGTATGGAATGAAGAAGCCGCAACTATGTATGTGCAATAGACGTTTAAAATGACAGTATGAATTATGATCCAAAGCGCCTGTCAAATTACCGAGTACAAGTTAGTCCTGGGGAAGAGCACAATCGGCATCAAAATGTCAACAATTTCCGTCTTCGAAGATTCGAAAAAGGGATAGTCTATGACATGTCGTATTTAAGGATTAGCACCGCGCCCGGCGCCAACCTTCTTTAGCAGCATTTGCTGGTAATTCTCCCAATGGTTTATCATCTATCACAGACACGGTATAAATGTGAATTTTCATTCTTGAAAAGCCTTGCTGCTCACCTGCTTCTGTCTCGCAATCATACCCTCCAAGAAGGCATTTAAGGAATCTTTGATATCCTCGATTCGCTCCTGCTCGAACCTGGCAACTTCTGATTTGACCAACCTTGAGACACTTTCAAACTCGTGTTTGGCTTCCAGTGCTTTCCGTTCCGCCTGCCAAAGAATATGAGTCGCGTGCGGGAGAGGCGTGAAGCAGGCCTACATCGGCAATCTGTGAAAGTCCATATCCCGCCCTATCCGATGGTACTCGCCCTTGAGCCCTGTTGCGTTCATGAGTCTGTTTCACCCGGACTGCTTCGCCTTCAGCGTTCCGCCATGCGTGATATGTTCGGATACGGGAAGAGAACGCTAGCTGAAAGATTGTCGGTCAAGATTGTCGACGAGGGAAAAAAAAAAAAGAGAGATACACACTCGAACAGAGTTTATCAAGCGTGCATATTCGTCGACTAAATCCCGGAAAATCAGCACCTCAACGAAAGTTTTAAAGGAAACCTACCAGTTGCCATCAACGTGGCCATGTCCTGTTCTGATTGTGCAACTTGATTATCCTGGGCTTTGCGTTCAACATCTGCAAGGCCTGCCAGCGACTGTGCCAAATGACTCCCGATGTCTGAAGATGACAAGTCTGCTACTGTTTGTGCAAATTCACCGGTTGCTACAGAGATCTCTAAGAAATCGTGTTAACATTGTTAGCAGTGGACGGTTTACTGGACTGTCACACCTGCACGCTGCTTGGCCACTGCTTCGATGGCTTTCGCAAGTCCACGGAGTTGAGACTCAAGGCTGTCAAGGTATCCCTTCTGTTTATCGAACCACTGTTCAAAAATTTAAGCTCAACTTCCGATTTCTTCGAGAAACAAGGCCCACCTCGTCAGTTTCAGAAAACCTTGGCCCAGTCAGACTGTGCCCGATCGTAGCCATCAAACCGCCACTCTGAGCTTTCCGGTGTTTAATCTTTTCCTTCATTAGTGGCGTCTCACGATATCCAAAACGGGAGACCTACATCCAATGCAAAACTGTCGCTCTCCAGGAACATCTTCAGATCAGTGTCCTTGCCCAATATCGGGTGATTGGCGATCTTCTGTATGCATTTCTCTAGGGCAAACCTGCGTTGGCGTACGAACTGGTCGTCAAATCGACCGAAGGTGTTCTTTTCTGGAACAGGTGGGACGACGACACCAGGATTATTAAGTGATAGCTGCTCGTATAACCACAGAAAGTCGGAGTAGCGTCGGAGAACAGGAAAAGGATGGCTTTTTGGTATAGAGGAGACTGTGGTCCGTGTATGCACCGTGTACATTGTAAACGACCGAATGGGATCTCCTACTTTCTGAGGGTCGTCAACGCTAATATCGAACATGGGCTGGTCGGCTTTGGGTTCGTGTTGAGTTCGCTGCAGGACATTTAGTGTATACTAGAAGTTGTACAATACTCACTGAAGCGCACCGGAGACGTCAGTCCACCTCTTTCTGGCGAACGCAGTGTTCCAATAGGCTTGTCATCGTCGCTGTCATCGTCTTGTTCCGTTGGGAACCTTGACGCAGGGCGATCATTGCTCCAGTTCTCCTGCTCACCTCTCCATCCACCCAAAGTTTCGCCGCCTAGTGATAGACTCGAAAAAGCGCGGTCGACGTTACCAGTTTGTTCGAGAGGACCCCAAGCTGGTTCGCTGTGAGATAGTGCAGGACCGCTCTGAGATATGCTCTTGGTATGGCTGGGTAGAGCTGTATCATCCTGCCTTGGTGCTGGTTCCTCTGGCACAGGAATGGTGGGCTCGAGCTCCTCAGGTTCTGTTGGCCTGATTGTCGCTGTTTCAGAGAAATTCGTACGCGAAGGCTCCGTCTCCGTTGCTGCAGCTTCTACACTTTCGCGGAAGCCGGGGGATGGAGATGTTGGTGGAGACTTGTGCTCTTCCTCTTCCTCTGGCTCGTTGGCTGCAGCAGAGTCCAATGGATCCACCGATGTCGTTGGCGACACTGGAGTAGCTACCATGACCTCCTCGTCGTGAGCTGGCTCATCCGTAGGCGAGGTCGGTTCGTGGCTGCCGAATCCAGAGTGAAATACACTGTCGTGTTGCTGAACAAATGGCGACGCCCATGGATCTGGAGAGCCTGAACGCTTCCCGAATGGATCTGAAAATGGATTTTCTTCGAGGACGCTGCGAGAAGGCGCGAGTAGATCGTCGAAGCCGTCCATGGTCGTGGTCAAGTCAAGTTGCCTAATCAGAACCGTCTCATTTCGTTGCAACATAGATTCCGCGTTTTCTACGTATCAAATAAATTTACAAAGATCGTACAGCCTAATGCACAAGAGGTAGGACAAAGGTATATAAATGAGTTTGGGAATAACTTGAGTTACCATGAGTGATGCTAAGAATTGTACAAGAAATTTCGTAAAGAAATCAGATTCGTTTCAGGACATTAGCCTCTCGCCCCACACCAACTTGTAACGATAGGCGCGGTAGGCACCTAGTAAAGCAATCCAGGTAATCCAGGAACAGACAAGAAATGATACCGCAAAAAGGAACCGCATGAAAGCCTTCCATCGCCAAGAAACGGGACTAGTGGACGTGAAAATGATGGTCCTCCATCGTTCGTAGAATTCCGTGTTCAGCCATGTCAGGTCGGCAACAAGGGATCGGGCCTGTCATGAATTCGATGAGCATGTCGTAAGGAGAGCATCAAAAAGCGAGAAGAGGGTATTTGTATAGAATGGAGGCGAGCCTTCCATATGACTGCAAGAGAATACCCACCTTCTTTCGGCCAGAATCATATACCGCCCGCAAGTCCGCAACTTGGTGCTGTATCGTCGGAAGAGTCTCAGACAGATCCTGAAGCATTCCATTGCATTCGTCCAGCTCAGCTGAGATGTCTGGAAGCTGATGGTTCTTTGCACGTTCAGCGCGCCGGGTATTGCGCTATTCACAGGGTCAGGACGTCAGTGAAGACAAAGACAAAGACAACAAGGCGCACCCGGAGAACAGTAAAGGCCTCCTGCAAGAAACTGTCGATAGCACGGAAATTGGATAGACCCTCGGAAAGCTTGGCCTGTGACATCCAGTCAGCGACGAGACATTGGTCAACAAAGGCTACTCACCTCTAGGTCCTTCATTTGCGACTCGTATTGCGCCGCTTCCTTGGATACTTGCCTCAGCGCTGCCTCCAGCTTGCTGCAAGAGACAGTCGGATTAGATTCAGGAACTACAGGGGCGACCCCACGTACTGGGTAGTGATGAAAGCAGACGACTCGGTGTCCGTCGTCGACGGCTGCAGCTGCGGCAGGTCCCAAACAGGCTTGGTGGACGCCATGGACAACGACGACGACGACGACAAGAGGTAAAGAAGAAAGGGGGTTCAAAGAGGAGAGGTACTGGTGGTTACATAAATTCTGATATCTCTTCTACGCGGCCTCATGGAGGAATCCGCGAAAATGAAATCTCCTTTTTGGCTGCGGCTCCTTTCGGTCCGGAATTCCGCTGACCCGAACCCCCGAATTCCGAATCCCCGAATAATCCGATCATCCCTTTCTCTCAACGACGACAGCGGGAAGCAAAGGAAGCCGTCAAGAAGGTGAATCCAAGCACGAGTCGTATTCTAATCATTGCTGCCTCAAGTTACTTCCCTTGATGCACGCGTTGTCCCTCGTGTCAGTTCGCTCAGGCTTGGAATGGTGTGTGATTTCTAAATTACAGGCGTTAAACATTACTGTTCTTAGCTGTGATGCCAGCTTGCTGTGAGTACTTTATGCATGTGAATTCCTTGTCTTATGGAGGTGAACACAGATGCCAAGCGTTCATCTACCGCCAACAGGTTCATTGCGCTTTCCTCCCGTCAGGGGTGAGAAACACCCTGACCGACAAATGGAGTACCGCGAAGGCTCGTCAAGCGAAAGATCTTCCTCGCTTAGTCCTGTGACACCTTCTTTGTGGCAAGTGCTGGATGGTAACGAGATCACCCCTCGGTAGTATATACCACCCGACAGCTCCTACCGAGGTACGTTCGAACGAACCTTGTTCCAACTTATAAGTAGCTGAAAATACTTATTTTTGTCCAATGTTTTGCGAGACAGGAACCTCACAAGGACTTTTTGAATCTTCGTAACGAATTAAGATCTGCACATTCAAGAGAGTCTCACCGAAGATAATTGTTCGTGAGGTTACATCTCGTAATGACGATGGATACTGGGGCGAAGAAAAGGTGCTCTCAACCCCCGAGAACAAGAGGAAACGACTGGAAATGCCGAACATACGGTAGGTTTCATTCAAAAATAGCCCTTTCTGGGCCCTGGAAGTCAGAACGACATCGCATCTTTGAGGGTGCCATTCCTAGCCAAACTTTCTTGACTTAACTTTGTAGGAGCTTCCAGTGGCTTCATTCACTATCTCACCATCAAGCTTTCACCATCCAAGTGCACCTTCTGTGTACTACCATGCATCGAATGTTTTATTACCGTTCACCGGAAAATTCATACACGAGACATCATCTCAGACGACCAAATACGCGAGCGCGGCGTATCATAACATGGCGATACTCGCAGCCCACGCAATGTGCATTGGTCGGCATAACAAACTAGGAATGATTACATATGATGCTTCTGATAACAAACTCGGCTGCCCCTCGATGATGCTTCCCTTTCCCCGCAAAATTGATCTCAGGTCTTTCTCCGCGTTACTTCCCCCAACTCCAGGGCGCGACAGTACACGGCACCGACGACAGCGAAAAATAGTCTATTGCAATATTCTGCTTTATTGTCGTATCCTGCCATTGGTGTCTAGATAACACTGCGAATTAGCCGCGAATTTTTGGAGCCTGTTGTGATGCTAGGCACACATGCGATGCTTGTCTACGAAGAGACTGCAATATCCGCGTTTCCTCAGGCCTTGTGGCTGAGCATGACTTCTTACCTTTCCTAGGTTCTCGCAGCTAATACACTACCCCAGACTTCACTATTTGTGGTTGCACTCGGGTCGCTACAGATTCTCGGATAACTCTATTTTCTTGAAACCACCTGCGTGCGGAGCTCTCTGACATGCCGAGCCCCTTGTATGTTGCATCCAACGACGTTGCATCCATGGATATAAAGCATACAAATGAGTGAAGAAACGCCATTCCACCAAGCTCATACACGAGATGGTTTGCAGCCTTACAGCTACTCTGATTTCCGCTCTGATTTTCTCTTACCTCGTACGAGCCAGCCCCGTCAACTTGACAGTCTTTGATGGCAAGGCGCGCGAAATACTCGAACGCTCGACTCCCGCCCCTCCGCATTGGGTGATCTATTCTGACACCGGCACAAGTACGACGGGCCCGCCTGATGTATCTGACATTGATGTACGAATTTCGCTCGTGGATTGTGGAATTTTCTTATTGACCCTTCGGGTGGCCCTTAGGGATTCACAGTATTGTAAAGCATATTGCGGCTATGCAGGTGTTGTATCTGATAATTTCTTTTTGTTAGCTCCTTGTCATTCCTCCTCATGGCTGGCGCTTGGGATAAGGTAGAGTCTTGTGTAGTTAATTTGGTGCATCTCTTTGGTTGCTAAGTATTGTGGATTTCTTAGGCTTACGAATGGACCACTCTCACCGATGACGAGAGGACTGACATTAAATCCCAGTACGCAACAGCTGGTGTCAAGTTATTAGTGTCTGTCTTTGGCTCTTCCGATGTTCCCACCACATCCAGAGCAGATCCCATAGCGACTGCTGACACTATGGCCGCCTGGGTTAAGCAGTACAATCTCGATGGCATTGATGTCGACTACGAGGTTAGTGCCGCACGGTTGGCTCTTTTTTTAGTTTCTAACAACGACGTCTTGTAGGACTTTACTGCTTTCGACGCAGGTGACGGCAAAGCTGAGGTGATCCAACTCTTCATCTCATGTTTCCAAGAGCTTATCCGTCTCTACGGTAGCAATGGTTGGCAGACTTCACGACACAGCTTCGTGTAACCCTCCCAAAGGATTCTTACATTCTTACGCATGCTCGTCAGTACCTTTTTCTTTTGCCTAAGTATGTTGGTTGAAATTCTGGCTTTTTCGGAAGCGGTCGCGCCGTGGTTCTCTCCTACACACTATGGCGGTGGAGGATATCTCAAGGTTCATGAGATGGTCGGCGACATGATTGATTGGTATAACGTCCAAGTAAGCGAGTGACCTCTTCATGATTGAATTATTTGACAAACATGTCTTCAAGTTCTACAATCGTAAGAGCCCCCTTCCGTCTAGATTTTTCCTCATTTCAACCTTTCTACCAGAGGGGACAGACGAATACACCACCTGCGATGGCTTATTAAACACGTCTTCCGACACCTGGAATGGCACGGCCTTGTTCCAGATTGCCGATAACGGCGTAGACCTTTCCAAGCTCGTTATCGGAAAACCTGCAACAGCTAGCGATGCTTCCAACGGTTACATGGATCCGGACACTTTAGCAACCTGCCTTGCGACTGCCAAAGATCGAGGATGGGGTAAGTCTTTTGATACAATTTTACCGATCGCGATAGCTTATCAGCCGTTGAACGTAAAGATGGAGGTGCGATGGTGTGGCAGGTAAGTGTGATTCTTACGGACCATATAGAGAAATTTTTAACGAAGACCTCTCGGCGTCGGCAGTACCCTCACGGAGATGAGTCCTGGATTAATACTGTCAGGGCGAAGTCATGGCCGGTTTAGCTTTTATGCTTTTCTTTCATCAATTACTACCTCTCAATACCTTATTTTCTATCCCATTTGACCTCGGGAAAGTTCTATGCGTGATTCGATGCCGATCAGCCGATCGATGACCTCTATTCTTGTCCAACTTCTCACGTGGAGCATCTTTAAAGAAACTCCCATCCTATCGCTGTTACCAACCTCCCTTTGACCATAGCGGGGCCGTCGATAAGGTCGTTCCTATTTCTGCAAAATACGACCATCGGCAGCTGATCATTCTCTCGTGATTATCGCCTGAGGAGCCGTGTGGAATCGCCCATTTAGGTTTTTTAACTTGCAAACACAAGCGCGGACTCCTTTCGCGACCATATGCGTAGCGTTGCCTATTTTCACTGTAATCATCCCTCACAACTAACCTTCTGCCACTTGGCAAGATATCTTGTAACTGACCGCATGGCGCCTACCTTTTACCTGTTTTCTACGTGTTTTTGTCTATTGAAAGGCTTTCGACGACGTGTCTCTCCATGCTGCAGTCAATGCTAACGCGACTAAGCGGTAGTATTTCAAGCATCCTTACCTGGGAACACCTTTTGGCTCTTGACTCGATTTCTTCCAGGATCCTAGCAGACTCAGGAGCGAGCTTGATAACCTCGTGCTTTCTTTACGGTTAGAAATCATGTGAAGTTTGGACTTTGTGGCATGGATTGAAAGTCCAACTATAGCACCGTTCTGCTAGCAATAGGTACATGCGAGAGCCTAATTCATGCGATATTTACCATGGCATATAAAGCGTCAAAGCACGCTCTGAAAAAGCAACATTCGAGATGGCTCTCTACTCTTTCGTTGACCTAGCGCTATGTCTACTTGTTTCTCTTCTGGCTGTTCCAGCATTCGCAAGTCCTGTGAACAGTACAGCGTTCACCGAACTTAGTGGAAAGGCCCGCGGCATTTTGGAGCGTTCGACTCCTGCTGCACCTCATTGGGTTGTATACGCCGATGCATACCAGTCGGGGGTTACTGGACCACCAGCAGCGTCAGCAATTGAGGTATGGAGCACCAGATCCAGGGTTCAGTGTCTCAATAAGGTCGCTGATGATTAATTTCATAGGGTTTCAATGTCTTGTAAGTTTTTAACTTCGGTAATCTTCCCCGCATATCAGCTAATTCATTCTTCAGCGCGTTGTCCTTTCTTCTTATAGAAGGGGCATGGGACAAGGTACGTTACCTCGTATTGCACATGCCGGTCACTGAGCCGTGATTTAGGCCGCCGAATGGACAACGCTCACAAGTTCTGAGAGATCGGCTATCAAAGCAGAATATGCCGCCGCTGGCATATCACTTATAGTGTCCGTCTTTGGTTCTACCGATATTCCAACCACCACCGGAGCGGATCCGGTCGCGACTGCCAACACCATGGCTGCATGGGTCATTGAATACGACTTGGATGGTATAGACGTTGATTACGAGGTATGATATTCTTCCAACGCAGTGATTTCCCGCTTCTCATTGGGATATATAGGACTTTGCCGCTATGAACTCAGGTGTAGCCGAGGTAGGCTAGTCTACGTCACTTCTATGCCTAGGTCTTGAAACGTGTCGATAGGCCTGGTTGACGAGTTTCACTACCCAGCTGCGGGTGCATCTTCCTCAGGGTTCCTACATCCTCACCCATGCTCGTCAGTCGTTCATTTATCAGCTCTAATCTAGTTGCTGAAGTGTCATGATGCAGCCGTTGCCCCTTGGTTATTTCAGTCCTCTGACAGTTGATAAAAAAAAGCTGACCATCAATGTACTCTCGTCAGGTTCACGCCCACCCATTATCCTGGCGGCGGATATTTGAAAGTGCACGCGAACGTCGGAAGTTTAATCGATTGGTATAATGTTCAAGTCAGCAAACCGCTCATATGTAATGTCACAGTACTCACTGTGTCCTTCTCTAGTTCTACAACCGTAAGCCGATCACTTCAAGTCACTTTCTCAATTCTTTATGACTGTCGACAGAGGGAGCCACTGAATACACGACCTGCACCGGGTTACTGACCACTTCGTCTTCGACATGGCCCAAGACTGCCTTGTTCCAGATCGCCAATAGCGGTGTCCCCCTTAATAAACTGGTCATTGGAAAACCAGCGACGGCTAGCGATGCAAGCAGTGGTTATATGACTACCTCGACTCTAGCATCCTGCTTACAGACTGCGAGGAATCAGGGTTGGAGTAAGTTGCCTCACTTGTGACAATTGATGAACGCTGAGCATGGAACAATTGCAGATGCCGGCGCGATGGTGTGGCAGGTAAGGCATTAATTTTATGGCGTTCTAGTCATGATGGATAACAACTGACGACACTTAGTACCCTGACGCTGGAGTATCTTGGATTGCTACAGTTCGCTCTCTTTCTTGGGCTGTTTGAATATGTGCCCGTTCTGTATTCCCTGGTTTTCGCGTTTTCTATATGAATCTCAATGTGATTGCTCGCCATAAATGAAGATTATGACTGAAGACAAGGTTTTTGTTGGATTCTCCAATTCTTCATGCAGCTGCTAAGCGCGATCCATCAGTGAGTGTAGAAGAACAGCTCAGTTCTAAAGCATGTGTCTTCAATACGGTCAGAATTATTGTCAATTCAACTGATCTTCCTAAAAGTCCAGTTCCCAAATGTTGCACGTTCTTGAATCTAGGCCTAATTTTCCCTCAGCGCCAAAGTTGTGATAGAACTGCTCTTTTCCTTGTTCTCGCGTGTACACTGTCCAGCGAATTAAATTGAATACGATTAAAATGCGTGCAATTTGTACATGTCCATGATGCCAATGCAAAGAAAACCATATGTACGTGCTCTGTCAATCACTCCCAATACCTCGCCACCTTGTTATCAGGTTCACCACCAACTTCCAGAAAATCTGAAGGACGCTCTCGCTTCAAGTTCCGCCGCCGATTATTGACTGGTAAACGCTGGTATGCCGAGTCTTGTCCGGCAGGTTGTTGGTTTACGAACGGGTTCGACCAGGCAGCCGCCATGTTGTTATAAGCCGCTCCATTAGCATTCTGGACCTGCTGTTGTATTTGTTGCTGTTGTTGGATAGTTGCCAGCGCTGCAGAGAAGGTCTGGGCTTGCTGTAACTGCATTTGGAGCTGCTGATATTGCATTTCGGTCGTCTGTCGTACTTGCATCGGGAGGGAGGCATTTTGAAGCATGACGGAGATCTGAGAAATCTGCGCTTGTAGTTGAGGGATGCTGTTTACAAGCATTTCCTGCATGTTTACATCTACACCAGGCTGTTGGTCGGTATAGAAGTCTTGTTCCAGATTTGGTTCTTCCTGCTACACGTTTTCATTAGGTATCACGACGGTTCACGCCAAGATCAGCATACCTGAGCAGCGTCATCAGTTGTTGGTTTGGTTTCTTCTTCAGCTTCCGTTTTACTCGTTTCGATAGCCTTTTCGATGTAGTCCGTTACTTGAGTACGCATCGGCTTATCCGCAGCCAATTCATCCAGGGATGCAATTTTCTTAGCACAGTTTGGACATATGAAATCTCGCTCTAGAAGGTGCGTCTGTATACACTCTTCGCAATATAGCGTGCCACAGCAAGGAGTCTTCACAGCGTCACGGAAGAGTTTATTGTCGATGGAACAAACAAGACTGGCATCTGTGGGTACACGTTCACGGACATCGGCAGCGGTGAGTGCTTTGGTTCGTGATACCTGTTTTTGCCACGAGGCTCTGCAACTAAAATGAGTATCTCTAAGATGGTTGAGTGAATGAAGTAACGAACATGTCAGGTTGAGCAACGACATAACCGCCCTCGGGTGTGACCATGACTCCCTGTCCAATTTGTGCACCGACGGGGTTCTCCACCGCCTTAAGCATACTCCGTGGAATGCCTGTCGTTCGCTTTATGCGGGGCTTATTGTCGTATTCACGATCATTGTTCGTAGGACAATCCTTGATCCAGTGTCCTTCAGAGCGCATTCAGTGTAACTGCCATAGGACAAATAAACTAACCGACCTTTCTGACCACAGCGATAGCAGACATAACTGGGAGGCAACGGTCTGTCTGGTACTTGATAGGGCTGGTGTACCGAATGAGGTTTGCCACCACGAGAGAACCCCGTTCCTCGAGGATTGTTGTAAATACGAGGAGCGCTATTAAGAGCAAGTAGAAAGAAACAAAAATTCATTAGAAAACAGGCTACTACATCGACAAGGAACCCCTCGGGGTGACACCAACTGGGACATTTTTTCCTGTGTCTCTTCCCAATTCGCAGTTTGGGCTTGAAACATTGCAGCCATGGCGGCTGCTTCGTCACCCTTGGTCACAGATGACGCAACGGGTGTAGGTGCAGTCGGTGCAGTAGGCTAGCACAAGCGTAAATACAAAAGCCTACATCATAACAATCACGCACGGGTCTTTGCGGAGCTTCGTCCTTTCCATCAAATCGTTTTGATAATGCACCCTTGTGCCATGTAGATCCGTTTCTCGATACAGGTTCGGATGTTGGTACGACGTTCGCAGCGCCGGCGATATACATTGAGGCCTTACCCTTGCCAGGACGGGAGGCTGGTAATCGCTTGACGATGACATAGGAAGAACGAGGAATAATTTCGGAGTCGTCTTTGTACTCTGTGGCACGACGTGTAAGCTGGACTGAAAAATAACTAGTACTAACAGTACACGCACCTTGCTTGGACGCACTGTCATAGATGTACAGGTCAAAATCGTTCGCTTTTCCCATGTTGTTTGCTAAGATAATGTCGCGCTTGAGATCAAAAACAGAGATACCGGTGCCATCAAAGGACACCCTCGATTCGTCTCTTCTCGAGCTGAACTTGTAAAAAACAGATGATGCCATATCTATCAATTGACAAAGCAGTTGCTAATCAAGCAGAATGATAGCGTTCAACCTGAAGAGAATGTATTCAGGCAAGCGGTCGTCGTTGTCGTGGTGTGAGAAAGACTGAAATGATCGTGACTGGAGCGGAGTAAAGAAATGGAAGAAATTAAAACTCCGCTCGGCAAGTCGGCTTCTTGAAGGATCTAGAGCGTACTGTTTCATTGCTCGGCTAGCACCGAATATGTAAAAGTTCGACTAAGGCGAATAAAGACTCAGTTCCATCTTCTCCATGATTTTATCCTTCTTTCCCCATATTTGACTCAGTTTAGAATACCCGCACAAGCCCAGTGTGATTTCAGCTTCACAGAGTATACCGCGTACCACTTCCTCGACTCCCTGTTCACCGCTAATAGCAAGACCGTACATGTAGGGTCGACCCACTTGGATAGATTGAGCATTATGTTCAAAAAAGTCAGAAACCACTTACGTAGGACGGCTTGTGCGCCAAGTGCGATTGCCTTAATCACGTCGCTCCCTCGCCTTATACCAGAGTCAAAAAGGACGGTAAACTTGCCCTCAACCTGCGCGGCTTGAATGCGAGGGTCAGCGGTGATCTTCTCTAGCGCAAAAAGGGACGGGATAGAGCCGTCTATTTGTCGACCGCCTAAGGAAAAGCTCAACACACATTGAATATGGCCACGCATTTCATTCTCACCGTGATTAGAGACCACGATTCCATCGCAGCCGACCTCCATCGCCTTGACTGCGTCGTCTACAGAAAGAGTACCTTTCAAAATAAGCGGCCCTTCCCAATGCTTTCTCACAAATGCCAGCTCGTCCCAGGTTCGAAACAAACCAGAATGAATTTGTCTTGACCAATTCCTACCCAGCATCTTCATCTGGATCTCGTGTTCGTCCCCTTGTGCTCGTTTTGCATCTAACTCAGCAGGGTCAAATGGAAAAGGTATTCGCTCGTCAGGGCGTGCCTCGAGGCCCTGCGTGCTCATAAACGCGGGATCAGAGGTTCCCACTTGTATTCCGATACCATGCTTGAAAGGAAGGTAGGCTTCATCAAGATCATATGGACGCCAGCCCATACACATGGTGTCAAGCGTCACAATACAGGCTGTGTAACCACCCTTCTTGGCTCGCCCTAGTAACGACAGAGTAATCTCCTCGGAACGCGGCCTAATATCGGCCTTTAGTATCACCACGCATAGCCGCATTAATGAGAACATACCAATATAATTGATACCAACGTTGGCCGTCTCCATTGGCTTCAGCGACGTCCTCGAGAGAGCGAGTACTAGCGGTGCTAGTGATGAATGGAACGCCGACTTTTGCAGCTGCTCGTGAAGTAGTTACTTCTCCATCCTTATTCAAGAGACCATGAACGCCGATGGGAGCGAGGAGAAGGGGTGATTTGTATGTAACACCGAATAGAGTCGTCTAACAAGAGCATCGGTCACAGAACAACTAACGTATATGAGAGAGTGATTCTGACCTCTAGTGTCCGATCGGAGGCATCAACGAGCATTTTGGGAATGAAGCTCCATCTCTCAAATGCTTTCTTGTTGGCGCGATCTGTTGAGCAGGATCCCGCGCTCCCAAAGACGTACAGGAAAGCAGCTATAAGACGACACCGGCTGAATCACGACTTTTCGCACGACGGGTAGAGTACATACAGTGATTTGACATTGTCACCTCTCTTGCTTTGGCCTCCAGCTTTTCTGCATCGTATGATCCAATTGAAGGTGGCCGTCTGCTGTCATAGACAACATTCATATATGATGACCATGAATCTGGAGGCTCTTGTCCGGCTTCGAGAGCGGCCTTGAAAGACATAGTGTACTGGTGGGGGCCAAGAAAGACGAGAGATGATAACTCAGTAAAGCCTATCGAGACGTTATCTCTGACATTGTATTTCCTATCAAATGCGAAGTCGGCGGCCTTGCCTTCGAACAGACGATAAACAAGAGGGGGTAAGGTTCGCCGCGTCCAAGCACAGGTACCTGTTAGGATTATTGATCTATGACAGCCAAGAAGCTCAAAATTAGACAGCGACTTCAAGGATAAACGGAATTACCTCTGGATTCAGTCCAAGGTGAGGAGGTATATACATCCGACATGATAGTTCGGAGCAAGGTCGGACGGTCGGAACGGATCCGCGGAGCCGACAGGGGCGACCACGATCACTGCGTCGATCAAACGGTGATAAGATAGGAAACTCAGAATGAGTGTCCCACTTGGAATTTTCAACCGACTCTCATTTTCAACCATGTCTCTGAAGCCTCTCGTCGATGTGCATACTCACGTATACCTTCCCCGGTATGCTGCATGGCTCCGGTCACGTTCAGTTGCGCCTAAAATCATGTCAGGCGAGGGGGGAGAAGAGCGACTTTTGATCCTAGAGAACGAGCCTAGCGGTGGAAGGCCCGTGGGGCCCCAATACTGGGATCGCCAGGAGAAGCTCAGGTTCATGGATCTACACGGTATTGATATATCATTTGTAAGGTACGTTGGCTTTTTATTACATGTTTGATTTGAGAATACTGACGTGTTCCACATAGCACAGCCAATCCTTGGCTCGACTTCCTCTCTGCTAAAGATGCGCGCGAACTTGCGTTGGGGCTCAACAGCGATCTGGAAGAATACTGCTCCACTGGGCCATCGTACTCGGATTCCGTTTTGAAGAGATTATATGGACTCGGCTTGCTTCCATTAGTACCGGGCATCACCGTTGAGGCAATTGTCGAAGCAGTGAACCAGATAGCTGCTGCCCCTCATTTGAAGGGGTTGATCATGGGAACAAAGGGTATCGGTAAAGGGCTGGACGATGAGGCGCTGGACCCTGTTTGGCAAGCCATCGAAGCCGCCGGCTTGGTTGTCTTCCTCCATCCCCATTATGGTGTGGACAGCAATGCATGGGGTGACAAAGATAATGGACACGTCTTGCCGCTGGCTTTGGGCTTCCCTTTCGAGACTACTACCGTGAGTGAAATTACCGTGCGTTTAGCCAGTTAGCTAACGTGACTTGTAGGCAACAGCTCGCTTGATCTTGTCGGGTGTATTCGATAGATTCCCGTCGCTTAAAATCCTTCTAGCACACTCCGGTGGAGCACTTCCCCAACTATCCTCTCGCCTCGCATCATGTATCGATCACGACCCCGTCGTTGCTTCCCGTCTCAAGCACGATGCGCGCTTCTACCTCGGTAAACTATACTTTGATGCGGTCGCGTATGGCCCAGAGGAGCTTGGTTTTGTCAGTGAGGTAGTATCACGATCAAAGCGATTTGAGACAGGAAGTACGATAAAAGGAGAGGCGGACAGAAGAGAGGGGAGCCAGAGGATGCTGTTTGGTACTGATCATCCGTTCTTTCCTCCCCTCACGTCGACCGAAAAATGGAAGAGTGTTGTGGAGAATCTGGAAGCTATTGCGTCCGTACCAGGTTGGGGGGCATCGGAGAAGGATGGTGTGCGGGGTGGGAATGCGCTGTTGTTGTTTGGATTATAGATGTAGCTGCTGTAAACTAGTAGACAGAGAAACGATGACAACTTAAGACTGGATGACTTGTACTTGCTGTGATACTAGGAGGTGTTCTTTGAACACGACAATACTTCCTCCTTCGCTGTCTTGGCATGCCTCCTCATGTCTCGTGCAAAAATCTTCGAGGCTTTGGGCCCAACTATTTAATATTAAGTTCGCCAATTTAGCTGACGTTATGCCCATAAAATGTCAATCATTATTGGGCTCAGACCAAAGTTGTGATTCTGCAATCAACGCGGAAGGACGTCAGCAATAGATCTCTGCGAACTTCTACTTTGTTTGCACTTACCGAAACCCAAAGCTGTTTGATTCTTCAAGTCAAGTTTAAGTCAAACTGAGATATTCCAAATCAAATTCATCCCTTTGTATCTATCATTACTACTTAACTCGTACGATTCCAATTAAGCGGGCATAGACTCGTAAAAATGTAACATAAAATCTATCTATCAAGACTCAGTCTTGTGATCGAGCGAATTCTCTTCGTCGGGAACGCCCTTGACGTCAACCATAGCGTCGCCTTTCTTGTACTTGACGGTCGCAAGCTCAGGATGAAGACTGGTTTCGAGGGGTTTACCATCAAAGAGCTGTCCGATCCTGATATAGCACCGTCAGACATACGACTGGTCGATGAGGTAGAAACGATGGACTTACTCTTCGAGGGTGTGGCCCTTGGTTTCAACAATGAAGAAGTATATACAGACGCCGGTGACGCAAAGGATTGCGGTGCTAAGGAGATTAATGAGGTCAATGAAACAGACCCAGACACATAATCATGCACTTACTAGAACGTATACCACTTATATCCGATGTTACGCACTATCGAAAAGACGCTGTTAACACTGCTAACAGAAAAATAAAATTCGAAGAACGTACTGGCAACCGGGTTCGTGTACGCGCCGAAGACGGACAAACATTTCGCAGTAATTGCCCACACCATCATGCCCTTGCCACGCATTGAATAGTGGAGGACCTCAGCAGGGTAACTGAAGAAAATGGGACCGCAGGACACGAAGAAAGCGCCGTTGTACAACCAAACGAAGACAACAGCTCCGATACCAGCTCCCTTGTTTTTGGTTTTGGTGTACTCGGCGGTACATGCAGTGAGACCGATGTTTGCAAGGAGGACGGCAAACCATGTGCCCAGGAGCTGAGGTCGACGCTTGACGCGCTGGGTGAGCCAAAGACCAAATAGGGCCATAAGGAAAGTGAACTGAGGAAGAAGCACTCGACATCAGTGGAATTGTGAGGCTGTTCGGCCGAAGAAGTACTGACCGACGTCAGTCCAGCGTTGATACCGGTTTGGGTGACGGTGTCCGTAATCCCGACAAGCTTGAGAACTGAGTGTGGCTTAGCAGAGAAAGCATTTACTTCATAAGCAGCACGTACTCGAAGTGTAATCTATAATCATGTCAGAAATAAATTGCAACCCGCAGCGAAGAAAACTCACAGTAGCTGATGATAGCCGTGCCGCTCAAATTCTGGCAGATAGCAATCAAAATAACTAGAAGAAATGTCAGTCACATGTTGGTATGGATGAAAACGAAGAAACTTACCACAACCAAGGCGATGACGACTGCTCTTGCTGCTGAGAATTGCTTTCCACGTGTCCTGTTTTGTCTCCCTCTCCATACGGAGTGCTTCTTGAATTTCTGCATACTCGAATGCAACTAGTTCATCGTCGGCCCTGCCATTCGCGTGATACTTGGTTAAGAAGGCTTTGGCTTCCTCCTCACGGCCATTTTTGACTTATCATTGATTCAGTAAGACGGATTGAAGTTGATTGCGGCCAACTCACTCAACCAACGAGGAGACTCAGGAACGAATGAGATAAGGACAATCATGATCAATGCTGGACAGATATGAATCTGTACCATGTCTTAGTGGGGTGTATCTTGCGATACCAAAGAAAAATAAATCACCAAATAAGGGATTCCTAGAAGAGATTAGGCTAAGTTATTTCGTTGAAGTTCCTTGTTGTAAATGACTCACTCCACGACCAGTTGTTCTTGAGATGACTACATCCCTGATGGACAACCTAGATCAGAAATGAAAACCCCACGCAAGCGGAATGGACGAACAAAGTTAACCCTGCGTCATAGTGATTAGCTAGCGGCGAAGTTGGTATAATAAATAGACTCACCATGCAGCCGTGAAATTGCCTATGATCTAATCTTCCTGTCAGGTCTATATCATGAACAACATACAAGGTACTAACAAATGCGACATCGAAGAAACCGGCCATCCATGTTCTATGCTTCGGATGGGGAAGCTCTTGAAGCCTGCATATGACACAATCTCGTTAGTGCGGATTTAAACGAGAATGAGAAATCCTACATGATCGGAGAGCACATGAGGGCGAAAGCAAGACCTGAGCCGATCTAAAAAAGACTTTAGCAAGGCACGCTACATAGTCTGACATTGAATATACGTACAATAATCCGTGACACGATGAACATGGCGTATCCGTTGGTGCCCCCGGAGCCAGCAGCGCAACCGATAGCAGTACCTATCATATTGGTAACGGAAGAGTACCTATACGAACGAACATCAGTACGATTACAATCTTCATTTTGTGATTGAACTCGCCGTATGCACCATTTGCGTCCCCAGCGATCAGCAATGAAAGCAGCAAAGGGGGCAGTACATACTGTAATAAGATGTGATCAGCAATGAAGGCAACGAAGCGAAAAACTTAGATTACATACACCCGGCCAAGTACATCGCGGCATTCAGCAGACCGATGTGGTTAGAGTCGGGATTCCCAAGATCTTCGAAAGAGATCAGTATAGTATCACTTGCTTGGTCGTATTTGAGCGTACTTTTCAACCAAGGCTTCATGGACTGGAAGCCACTGACAAGAGAAGCATCGTAACCGTTCAAAAACTGAGCTAAGAAGATAGTTCCGAGTAACAAGTTGAGTTGTCGAAGGCCTAAAAAAAGGATAAAGTCAGTTCGATTCGGTCCGGATAATGAATGGAAGGCCTACCATCATTCTCCCACCAGGTCTAATGAGCGCAAAAACATTGAGTAGGACGATATCAAGAGACGGCGGCCGCTAACGCACCAGGTGGGAGCCATGATTGGGGATGCTTCGAAAGGCTTCGTTGCCAGCCAACATGTTGTGCAACAGGTGACGAGGGAAGTTGGATTATCGACGGACAAAGAGGAGTCAAGGGAAGTCTGAACGGCTGCGATGCCTTTATGTACAACTTCCATCAGGAACGAGCGAGATACGTACTTAATCAGCAGACCAAGAAAAAAAACAGAGATAGCTGATAGAGTGACGGACGGGCTGCGGTGTAATAGAAACCCCTAGGCGTCATGTCCAGAGCAGATATTGTAGAGCGAACCAGCGCCTGAGTATGCTAAGATACAGCTTCAACTTCCCAAGCCATAGAATTGTCACGTGATCCTGATATACCGAAAATCGGATTAACATTTTCTCAGGGAAGATAACGGTCCGCGATCCGCGCATGTCCGACTGGCCTCGGCAGTATAACGAGGCTACGAATCCTTTTGAGTCTCTTATGACTCTTATCAGCTCCATCCGAGCAGGTACGGACGCGCCTCACAGCCACTGTTATCATCTTCTGACCCTGTGTTCCTTGTTCGCGATAATCATATATCCTGGGCGGAGAGAATCCCCCACACCTTCGCCGCGTCCACCTAATGTCCACCCCTCCAGTTCCTTTCTACGGAGACCTCAACTTTGCCTCTGATAAATCGGCGCCTGGTGCTTTCGCATTTCCATTTGTGACATGCGTATCGTCGGGAGAGCCTTTGCATCTGAGTCCGCATAGAGTTCAGCTACATGATTTACGTGAGGAAGAACAACGGCCTTCGCTGGATGTTGAGGGCTTTACTTGGCAAACAGTACCGTTCGAAGGTTTGGACGGGGAGGAGGGATGGGAAGAACGCTATGCCAAAGAGACGTGCGAGTAAGCAGTCCAGTTTCCTTGTAGGATTGGGTCAGAATTGAACGGTGTAGATGGCTGAAAAAGCATACCGGTGCGAAAGACTGCAAAGCAATAAATTACCAGATCAGGTTTGCGTGTTCTCTGTTCCGTCACCATTGTTCCACTGAGAAATACTTTTGAAAGGACGTAGGGCGGCAGACGGAGAGTCTCGTCAAGAAGCCAACTACGCACAGGATTCTGCCGATCAAGTTCTCGGGAAGCAGCCTGTACCGGCCGTTCACGTCGATATCAACAGGGAAGCGGGCGCGCCAACGATGCCTGACTCCAGTACGAAGAAGACCCTTCAGCTGCAAAGGCTGAGAGAGTCGCGATTAGTGTGAGTCTGTTGTATTCGTTTCATGGTAAACGCTAACATTTCTGTAAAGTAATGTATGGCGGCCGCTTCGTGGACCGGTAATGGACGCGCCGCTTGCAGTGTGTGATGCTCGTACGCTCGACCCTAAAGACATGACCCATACAATCGACAAAGTGAGTAGTTGGTGCTCGACGTTTTATCTTGTTGGTCTGATCCCCTATAGTACGGTGGCGGATACTTTATCAAATATAACGGTTCATGTCACCGTTTGTGTGCTGGGATTCTGTTGTTGACTTGTCACCTTTTAGCGAATATGAAGTGGATGTACATACGCGATCAGATGCCAGACGAAATTCTGGTCTTTCGACAGTTTGACAGCAGTAAGGACGACATATCTTCTGTTGAGCTGAACTGACTGTACTCATTAGCTTTGATTCCTGCTGCTGGAGACGCAGCATGCATTGCACACACAGGCTTGTAGGTGAATTCGTTTTTCTGGGAAATTTAGTACTAAAAATGCGTCTAGTCATTGACGAAGAGCGAAAAAACCAGGGAATACCTCGTCAAAGCATCGAGCTGCGCTGCGGCCTTGTATATTAAATTTGAAGGATACTTGCTAGCAATCAGAAGAAAAATTTGAACTTGTATGACGGCATTGCGCAGCCGGTCTTCGCACAGCTCGGAGTTTGTTCGGCATTCCACGGCATATTCGTCATTCGCACAGCAATAGTGGTGTCGTGGCTGTGATAGCTGTAATTGCTTCAAACTCCGATTAAATAAGCAGCTCTTAAAGGTCAGGCCGGGCGCGTTCCGATAGAAAGTAATGTCAAGTGAACCCAACATAGGCGATTCTACTAGTAATGGTTTAGGAAAAGTTCTTAGCTCTTCGCCAGAGCCCGTTGAAACGCCCTCTTCCACTATCCATGATAATGCACTGCGCCACTCTCGCACGGTGTCCTCGTCCTCCTCGAGCTCGTCCTCATCGCGTCTTACGGAACGGCCACCACCATTCTCCAGGAAATTGACACGTGCACTGTTTATTCGACCTGCAGAGACAAGGGGTCCCAGCTCCAGGACATTTAGAGAGCATAAAGTCAGCCTTGACTTACAGTTGGGTTCAATGTACTATTTGTCTTTAACCCAATTGCATGGGCTCTGCACTATACCCATCAGACCGACGGTGCGGTCTTTGCCATGGCCCTTTTGGGCTGTAGTACCTTTGGCCGGTATGCTTGGTCACGGTACAGAAACTATCGCTCTTTACACAGGCGATGCTCTTGGTGGTGAGTTTTTATCAACACCAACACCTACAATAGCGAGAAGCTGACTTTTAATCGAGGTCTCATTAATGCATCCCTGGGAAACGCCACAGAGTTCATTATAGCTATTCTCCTGCTCGTGAAGTGTGAAATTCGTGTGGTCCAGGCTTCGCTACTTGGAGGTCTTCTTTCCAACCTTCTTCTCGTAACCGGAATGGCCTTCATTGTCGGAGGTGTTCGTTTCTCACAACAGCAGTTTCAGCAGACAGCAGGCACAGCTCAATACCTCCTTGCTTACCCTCGCAGTAATAGCCCTCGTTATTCCCACCTGTTTTGCATTTGCGATCGAGCAGGCCTCCGGAGAAGAGACCGAGCGTGATGTCATTCTTGAAATGTCCCGCGGTAGCGCGCTTATCCTCATTTTCATCTATGTGAGCTATATGGTTTTCCAGCTCTACAGTCATTCGTACTTGTACAATCCCGACAATGATGTCCTCAATGACGTCCACTCGAGCGCGTCTAGTGTACAATCTGCTCCAGCAGCATCGGCCCAACCGACTACGCCTATTGTTAATGATGAACTTTCTCGTCCGCCTGTCAACAGGACTCACAGTCTCACCCCTAGCTTCGGCAGTAGGTCATTTTTAGGACATGGCATGAAACTACTAGGAAGACGGTCACATTCACAACTCAGCAAGGTGGATGAGAAAGAAGCAGAGATTCGGTAAGACATCGCTTCTTTGCTCACTGTCACTCGAATCAACTGACGAAGAGTTGCTAGACGACGTGCCCAAAGAGGGCATCGCGACCTCGAAGCTGCCGGTGTAGCGAAAGGAGACACTGACAGCGAGAAGGAATTAGAGACGCCAGAGATGAACCTTACTGTGGCGATTTCCGTCTTGATTGCGGCTACTGGCCTCACGTACCTGACAGCCGAGGCCCTCACTGATTCATTGGAGGGGATCGGCCAAAGTGGAAGCGTCAGTACTGAATGGTTAGGTTTGATTTTGTTGGCTATGTGGGTCTGCTATCGTACAATAATGGAACGCCCTCTAACCTTTTCAATTATAGTGTGGGTAACGCGGCAGAGCATGTGACCGCTGTTTTTGTCGCGTACCGCAACAAGATCGACTTGGCGCTTGCTGTTTCTGTAGGGTCCTGCATTCAGGTAAAGGGCTGTTATTGTTTGACAAAACACATCTCTGATGTTTACGTGCAGATTTCTCTTTTTGTTATACCCCTACTGGTGTTGATCGGTTGGATAGCAAACAAACCGCTCTCGTTGCTGTACGTGGTTAACTCAGTTGTTCATGTCGAACATTTGCTAAGGCAACGACGTTTTAGATTTGATCCTCTTGAAGTCGTTACTCTGTTCCTGTCCGTCCTTCTCGTACGCTTTGCGACGGAAGATGGACGTACGCATTACATGAGTGGAATTCTTTTGTTTGGGACCTACGTACTTATTGTGAGTGCTATACTTGAATCTTTCCTGACCATGCCGCCAACACCGACTTCATCAGGCATTCTCGTTTTGGTTTTACCCTCAGAATGGTACTAGCGCCGGGAATCTTTTCTCAGAGTGCTAACATTAGATCCAATTACTATTAGTTGTGCCAATAGAGTAGAATACCTTTACCACACCTAATATGATACCAGTTGTCTTCCTATCACCTTATATTTGTACAACATTTCACGAATCATAGAGTGGAGTGTGCGAATGTGAATTGGATCATCCGACTGTCGTGTTTGCTTCATGTATTCATGAGAACATTTTAACGCATACGTGTCTAAATATGAAGAAAAGGTTCACATGGAACACATGGAATACCAACGGGACTGCTCACAGCATCACTGCGCGAGCTCCATGGGGACTAGTACACCGGAGCCATGGCTGCTCACCGCATGCTCGTGGGAATGCCGAGATCCGTGAATTACTCGGCAGGCTTCCTAACCCAGAACATATAATTGCATTCCGTCGCAGGCCCACGCATCTCTGGGAGCAAGATTCCAGCTAGACGAAAGGGGGTTGTACACTATACCCCGCACTTCGGCTTCTGTTCCTTGTTGGCTGGGCGGCCGAAGGTGCTATCCACGGACGGGACCCAGTAGGACTGGAAGAACCGGATGAGTTCGGAAGGTTTTATGAATTTGGAGTACGTGTGTGTTCCAGGAGCAACTCGTCGCAGTACATTCTCAGCCATCAGAATAGTGAGGAAATAGGCCTAGCGGTGTCCGGGAGATTGTGGAAAGGAAAAGATGGCCAGATGGCTAGAGACACTTTAGGATCAAGTCGGTAGTAAGATTCAGAGAGCTCAGACCTTGAGGAAGCTGAGCACATGTGGATAGAAAGAGAGCCGGATTGTCAACATGCTCCAGGACCTCCATCGAGCACACGACGTCATATCGCTTAGGCTGCGAGAGTAATGACTCTGCCGATGTGTGCATATAGGACAGATTTTCGGACAATTTGGAGTCTGTCGACGCGTGGTGTTTGGCTATCTCAATATTGGATTCGGACGCGTCAATTCCCACTGTACGGGCACCTAAACGAGCTAGGCTCTACGGGAGGTGAGACGAAAATCTCGGAGTAGATGAAAAAATACCTCTGACAGTAATCCGCCCCCACAGCCGACATCCAGAACCTGGAGATCCTTTAGGACATTTTGCGATGCAGTCTCATCTTCATCGCGCGCTGTTTCAAGAAGCTTCTGCCGGATGAACTGCACTCGGACAGGATTCATCTGATGCAGAAAAGCAAACTCGCCACGCTCATCCCACCACTGCGAAGAAAGGCGCTGAAAAGAAAGATATTTCTGCAGCGTTCACTGTTGAACGCAGGATACGCGAGGGAAGCATGGTGGGTCAATTTCCGGACGAAAAGCGAATATTGTTTGGGAATTTTTGAGGATAAATCTCGCCAAGAATGGCAAATTAGCCTCACCGGATCATTAGTCAGCAAGGGCAGTTCGGCCGAAACGTGCGGCATTTTGGCACTTTCCTCACTTTGTGCTCACTCAGTGGCTCAGTCATCCTAGCGCAGGGCGCATTCTTCCGACCGGCTCCTTGACCAGTTCCCATCATTTCATTCTCTATCCGGTCTAGTCATCCCATCGGTGCGAATTTCGCTTACAGGTCCACGTATCCAAGCACATTATCCGCAACCTATTACTGTATTAATATCACACGGGAATAATCCACGGGATGGCCAATTTCCTCACCAATCTTTGGGCACGGTCCCCTCTCAATCCGTCGTTTGAGTCTGTCGAACTGCCAATGGGCTCCTCTGAACCTCTCATGGCTAATGCTGATAAGGAGCTCGACCTCGAGACGCCAGCGTCCGAAAAGTGCGAGTTCAGGATTGAGGGAATGACCTGCGGGGCGTGTGTGGAGGTGAGAGTGCCGACCTGCCTAGCGTCTGGGGGGGTCTAAGGCAATTTTACAGTCCATCGAGGGGATGCTACGACCTCAGGAAGGGATCCACTCGGTCAAGGTGGCCTTACTCTCGGAACGTGGGGTTGTTGAGTATGACCCTTCGCAGTGGAATGCAGAGAAGATCGTCAGCGTAAGTATCTATTGAATGGATACACAAATATTATATTCATTGTTATCTAGGAAATTGAGGACATAGGCTTCGACGCTACCGTTATCCCGCCAACGCGAGAGGACTCGATAGTCCTTCGTGTGTATGGCATGACCTGCGCTTCCTGCACAAACACCGTCGAGTCTGGTCTGTCGTCGGTCCCTGGTATATTGAGTGTATCAGCGTCCCTCGCTACCAACACTGTAACCATCCAGTTTGACCGGGCGTTCATCGGACCTCGGGAGATGGTGGAGCGCATAGAGGACATGGGTTTTGATGCCATGGTATCTGACCATAACGATGCAACCCAAGTCCAGTCGCTTCAGAGAACCAAAGAGGTACTTGAATGGCGGTCACGATTCCTGTGGTCTGTCGCGTTCGCTGTTCCAGTTTTCTTCATTTCCAAGATATGTCATCTTTTTCCACCGCTGAGAATGCTCCTTTCCATGCACCTGTGCACTGGTATTCATCTCGAAGATGTCATCCTTCTCCTACTCACTACTCCCGCACAATTCTGGGTGGGTGCTAAATTTCACCGTAACGCATTCAAGTCTCTGAAACATGGAACCGCCACAATGGATGTATTGGTCATGCTGGGTACCTCGGCCGCTTATTTTTATTCCGTCGGGGCCATGTTCTTCGCGCTGTTCAATGATACACCAGGCTTCCACCCTATGCTATTTTTCGATACTAGCACCATGTTGATCATGTTTGTCTCCCTTGGCCGCTACCTGGAGAACAAGGCCAAGGGACGTACGAGCGCTGCTCTAACGGATCTCATGTCCCTCGCTCCTTCGATGGCTACAATCTACACGGATGCACCAGCGTGTACTCAGGAAAAGAAAGTGCCGACTGAACTCGTTGAAGTCGGCGACACGGTCAAGCTGGTTCCCGGTGATAAAATTCCCGCTGATGGTACCGTTTTGCGAGGATCGTCCAGTGTGGATGAGAGTGCTATCACCGGTGAAGCGGTTCCTGTGGTCAAGCAGGTTGGAGACACGGTTATCGGAGGCACAGTCAATGGACTGGGTGCTTTTGACATGGTCGTTACGCGTGCGGGAAAAGACACCGCTCTATCGCAGATTGTTCGTCTGGTCGAGGAGGCTCAAACATCTAAAGCTCCAATCCAAGCTTTTGCGGACAAGGTGGCAGGATACTTCGTTCCGGCAGTGATATCGCTTGGGGTGGTGACATTTCTGATCTGGATGGTCTTGTCCCATGTCGTCAATGATGAGAACCTACCAATGATGTTCCACCGACACGGAGCTAGTAAACTCGCGATATGCTTGCAGATGTGCATTAGTGTCATTGTGATTGCGTGTCCATGTGCGCTCGGCCTCAGTACGCCTACTGCAATTATGGTGGGAACTGGGATGGGGGCAAAGAATGGGATTCTGATCAAAGGTGGACGAGCGCTAGAAGCAAGTAAATCCATCAAGAGAGTCGTCTTGGACAAGACGGGAACGGTTACAATCGGCAAACTAACAGTTGCGGGGCTGTGGTGGGTTCCAGGGCATCAGAATGAAGAGTCGTATGGAGGTGACTCGCAATTGGACGGCAAGTGCGCGGATGGAGTAACTGACAGGATGGATGTTATTGCGATGGTAGCTGCAACGGAGGCGCGATCCGAGCACCCTCTTGCCAAGGCGATAGCGACGTTCGGGAAAGAGCTTTTGCGAGATCAACCACTCCCTGAAGTCGCTGTGGATCAATTCGAGAGCGTTACTGGAGCCGGCGTTAAGGCCGTTCTTGCCTGCCGCGGGCAGCGGTATACGTTACTCGTTGGTAATACGCGCTTCGTAACCAGGTCTGATGAAGAAATGCCGTCTTCAATTCTGGGATTCGAGAACCAGGAAACTGAACAGGGCAGGACTGTCATCTATGTGTCGATACAGAAAGGGTCTTCGCGGGAGTCCACGCTCATTATGGCCGTGTCCTTGTCAGATGCTCCGAAGCCTTCGAGTAAACATGCGATTCGGGCCTTGCAGAAGATGGGTGTTGAGGTGAATATGATGACTGGTGATGGGAAGGCTACTGCCTTCGCTATCGCGAAGCAGGTAGGAATCAAGCAAGATGGGGTTTGGGCAGGAGTCTCTCCGGGAGGCAAAGCGACGCTAATTACCGAGTTGATTGAGAAGCATGGCGACGGTGTCGCAATGGTCAGTGTTTTGTACCTGTATTACTATTTCTTAGAAGCGCTGATCTTCTTACAGGTCGGAGACGGTATCAACGACTCTCCTGCTCTTGTTGCGGCCACTGTAGGAATCGCATTGTCCTCTGGAACGTCTGTGGCCATCGAAGCGGCTGATATCGTGCTGATGCGTTCTGACCTTCTTGATGTTGTCGCGGCTCTTCACCTATCTCGGAAGATCTTTGCTGTGATCCGACGCAATCTTATATGGGCGTGTATTTATAATGTTCTGGGAGTCCCGCTTGCGATGGGGGTACTTTTACCGTTTGGACTGTACATGCCGCCGATGTTTGCAGGAGCGGCGATGGCGTTCTCGAGTGTTAGCGTTGTTACGAGTTCGTTGACGCTCAAATGGTGGCGTAGACCGAAGGATAGCGTTATGCCTGGTGAAATGGTGCCAGAGGAAGGGGGGTTCCTTGATGATGCGATGAGCGTTGTCGCAGATGCCTGGGACAGCATCAGGGGAGGTAGAAGTAGAGATGGGTATCGTCAGCTACCGGTGGAGATGACGAGCACATCGGTGTCTTCGTCTGCTGTGTGAGATCGTGCTTGCTGTCTTCGTTTTCTCTTTCTGCTGATCTTTGAACAAATCTCGTCCAAGCAAATTCTATGTACTGTTGTCTTTGTAAATTATTTTCTAACGTACTTACTGTATTATCCATATTTCTAAATTCAAGGATGACCATACGTCACTTGCACGCTCCGCAAAGGCAGCACAGCCACCCACTCTTGTCCACACGGCGTCATGTTTAATTCGCCTCGACCTGCTCAACGGTACGGCTCGTCCAGTGGCTTCGGAGGCAGCTTTGTAGACGAGAACCCTCTTTCTGGCTCTGCATACGACGGACTTGACCCATGGAGTACGGCGCCTAGTCCTTCACCACCAGTGCCCTCGACCACGGTCTTCAGTTCTGTTATCGGTAAGGAATACCACGTCTCTGCTCGGCATGCTGGATGTATTGTTCTCTGTAGCGGATGCGACGGTCCCGTCAATATACGATAGGGCGTTTGCGTCCGTCGACCCAACGAATAGCGGTGAAACATCGGTGAACTCGCTGTCGAGGGTGCTTTCCACGTCGTCGTTGCCAGCGGGAACCATTGATAGGGTACGGGGACCATTTCTGGACAAGCATTTTGACTTGACGTGACCGGTAGATCGTCAACCTTGTCAGCACTCGACCGCGCGTTTCCAAACTCGAATTCTTTGTTGCATTGGCCCTTGTTGCGCTTGCACAGGCGGGTAAAGGTACGTTTAATATAACAAACTATGTACAGAAACTTTATGGTTATTTGTAGACGTGAGCATCGAGCAAGTCGCTGCCTTGTCATCACAGAATACTCTTCCCGAGCCGAGTCTCGACTTGGACACGCTTCAGCCTTCCGCTTTTGGGCCTGTGCCTAATTTCAGACAGAATACTATGACTGCTGATGATCCCTGGAAAATTGGTGGGGGGATAGTTTCTGGGCCGTCAAATATGAGTGGTTTTGAATCGGCCCGTACGAATGGTGTTCCATCGACGCTTGCAGGGTCGGGACTACCGAAAGAATGGTGGAAGAGGCAGGACAGCGTGACGGTGACGATTCTTGGACAGCAAGGATTCATATTAAATCGATACATGGTGTACCAAGTATCCTCGGAAGTACGTTTTTCTTCATGTGCATGGATCGCCGGTTTTCTGACATCAGGTTTATGGCAGCGCGGTCCGGGAGTCGCGAGACGATACTCGGAGTTTGTGTTCCTTTGGGATGTTCTGACGCGAAGATATCCATTTCGCCTTTTCCCAGCTCTCCCACCAAAACGAATAGGCCGTGCGTAGTGCTCGTGTTGGTTATGTCATTTCATTTCATTGATTGTGTTTTGGCAGCTGATGAATACTTTTTGGAACAAAGAAGGTACGGAACTGCGGGTCGCTGACGATGCTCTACTTACTACTGTCTCCACCCAGGCGAGGATTGGCGAGGTCCTTGAACTACGTGATGTGTGCATTCTTCTGATTTGTCCGCTTTTTGGTAATTGCTTCTTCAGAAATCATCCCATCATCAAAGAGGACGGCGTTCTAGCCGTGTTCTTGACAGAACCTTCATTAGAGGAATGGCGAAAACACAACTCCATAGTTCTGGACGAGGAGTCCGCAAGTAAACGCGTCGACAAGGTGGAGGAAATGGCTATTCCGAGTGATTTGGAAGACAAGATTGCGTATGTCTTTTTTGTACTATGCTGTTTCTCAGGTCTGATTCGCCTCGTGGTAGAATTGTACGTGGCAAGGTCAACCCGCTTATCGAGCAATGGCAACGGATATGTATATTGGCGGAGAGAATAATAAGGAGACGTGAAGCAGCATCGGTACGGGTGCCCGCGTTTCGACGTACCTATCAGTCGACTCACGCGGCTTTGCCATTTTCTTCTTCTTCTGCGCCTGTTTCGCGAACGTCTTCCTTTTCGTCATCTTCGAACCGTTCTATTAATTCTTTGCTTACGACAATCTTCTCACTGCATCCGGCATTCGATGAAACACAACAGGGCGATCTCGCGCGATTAACGAACACTGTCCGAGCTGTCGTGGAAGTCAACGAGAATTGTTGGAGGGGAGACGAATGCGACTTATCTAGCGGGGTGAAAGCAGGACTTGAACAAGTTGCGGCCCATTTTCAGAGGCATGCAGAGATTTCCGAGCTGAGGGTGGGTGGAAGGGCTTCTATTTGGTTTGTTCTATCGGCTAACGAGGTTCTTAGACGCGAGTGTTGTTTGACACTACCCTGGAAGCGCTCAAGGTGCGTAAATATTGTGCCCACCTTATTCATTTCTGATAGTGACTATTATAGTCACAACGCGATCTGTACATCGCGGTGCGGGATCTATTGATTCGACATGACAGATTGTCCATTGACCAAGTCGAGAGGCTGAAGAAACGGGTGGAGACAAACTCGTTGAAGATGGAGGGTGTGCGGGCTGCACAGAAGGATTCATGGCAGGAGGACGTTGATAGGATAAGTGGGCTTATCGAGAAGGATCAAGCTACTATAGCGGCGCAGTTGAACCGGAGAGTGTTTATTCGTGCTTGGTGAGTGTTCCCTTGTTCTTCCGTTAGTATGGACTAGGTTTGATGGGGTTAGCATGTGGCACGAGCTACGCGCAGTGTTGCATAACAGGGAGAATACGTTAGTGACATTATTGGTGCAAAACTTCGCAAGAGAAGAGCAGGAGTTCGCGGAGAGCGTGTTGGGGAATTGGGCGTCCCTTGGCGAAGGTGTAGAAGGGATGCCATTTGAGTGAGCTTTATGATTTCTAGCATTATAGGATACCCGGCATTCTATGGACCTATTCACCTACTATCCAGCTATTGAGTACCTTGACTGAGCGACGCGTCGTCGGGAGCGGCGGGATTTGGGCGGTGATAAGATAGGATTTGTGTGATGAGTCATTCCTCTTTTTGTTTTTGCCCAAAAGGGTCGGTAAACTGCTGCGGTGGGAAAAATGTTGGTTCCTTGTTGCGTCACATCAGATAAATGAGTGCCAAATAGACCGAGATAGACGATTCCATCGATCCCAGGATTTTTTCTGACTTGGTTGCGTCTCGACCTGGAATTTTACGTACCTTGACTGGGCACCCATTTCTTGCTCGCCTTGAGTTTCGCTCAGGCCCCGCTCCGTCAAATCACCACTGTGGAGTGTTACTGTCCGACCAGCGGCGACGTTCCTGCAAATGATCCTCACCTCCTCCGGGAGTTGATCCGCCGAAAACGGTTTCCATATTTGCAGTCTTGACTGAGCTCGTTGTAGAAGTGATCAGCTGGATATGAATTTTAATCTGCAAGTGATTGCTTCGAAGGATACAAGAATTCACTGAATCCAATTGGTACCGTGATTTGTGAATAAATATACCACGGAGAAAATTTTTGTAGACGCGTAACGTTGGCTAACAGTCACGGCTTTTCGCGTAGGTATATATTCTTAGATTACAATGGCCGGAGTTTGTTATTTGTTTAATCTCGTTGAATGAAAATAACACGCTTTCCTTGTTGCTCATCCGGCTTAAATTGGTGGCCAGGTACGCATGGGGGAAATCAAATAGCGGGTGTAGCAGTACGAGAAGGTTGATTGGGCGTGTGGCCGTCCGAGTCACGTGTTTCCCAGCTGGACCAAGTGACTGCAGCAAACATCTTCCTCTCTACATCCTCTTACCCTTTACGTTTTTTCTCGCAACGCCGGTAAAACTAGCACCCATCCCGCCGTATAGAAAGAAAGAGAAAGCAGAAGCGTCGGCCGTGATTGTGACAGTTGATCTTGGTTGCCACAGTTACGGTGGGAGTACATCGCAGTTTCAAGGGAATCAGGGAATCAAGGATAATATCGAGGTGCGCCAGACGATTGTTTTCGGTGACGGAAGCAGTGACAGCAGCCTGCCAGGGCCACCAGACCTGTATTGATGTCTCTTTCCGGCCAGGCCAGCTCTCCTCATCACCGCCATCGTCAGTCCAAGATTACTGTCGAATACCACCGTCCTTCAAGGGAATCGATACAAGAATACAACGCTCTCCTTGCCGTTAGCAACCTACAGGCCTCGAGCAGCCCTTTCGTCCCTTCCAGAGCGCCGCCGCCTACCGCCGAACAAGGCGCAGCCAGCTCGTCCCAGAACCTCGCTCCAAAAACAGAACTCGCGCACACGAAAACTCAGCCTGCCGACCGAGCCGCCTACTGACATGGCCTACTCCACCACTACCTGCCCCCCCGCCTCGTCCAAGCCGAGCCAACACTGCTAATTTAAACGACATCTTTGCCGCGGAGCCGATCCAGCCGCTCCTCGCCCGCCGCCTTTCTACGCCCGGCCCGCCTCCACCTCCCCGCGACGACTACTATGCCGAGCCTGCCGAAATAATCTCCCCGCCGCCTCAGAGCGAATTTGCTGCTGGCAGGGCACGCAGCGGCACTACCAGTAAACAGAAGAAGAGTGTTCTTGGCTTCATTTTCAACACGCAGAAGCGACCTGAAATTAGCACGCCCTACGACCCCGTCCATCTTACCCACGTTGGCTTTAACTCATCCACCGGAGAGTTCACTGGACTCCCCAAGGAATGGCAGCAGCTCCTTCAGGAGAGCGGCATCTCGCGCCTTGAGCAGGAAAAGAATCCTCAGGCGGTCATGGAGATTGTCAAGTTCTATCAAGAAGGTCACGGCGACGTCTGGGATAAGATGGGTGCAGCAGAGGCTGAAGAATATCAGGCCGCGGTAAGCTTTCTGCTTTAATCCGAATCTATTGTGTTCATGCTGTACAGCGGTCTCCGCCTATTCCTCCCAAAAAGTTACAAACAGCAGCAGCACCTAGCGCGTATCGTCCTGCCCCTACACCTCCGACAACCGTAACGCCTACCCTTGACCGTTCCACGTCCCAAAGGGCGCCCAGCAACACGAACAAACAGTCCCCCTCGCCTTCCACAGTCCGCCGCTCCAATACCACCCGCGATAAGCGTTCCCCAGCCCCAGCTCCAATCAAACAACATCAACATCAACAGCAGCCCACCCCGAAACCATCACCCGGATCCTCCCAGACAGATCTCACGTTGAAACAACCAGGCCGGAGCCAGCAACAGCAACAACAACCAAGTCCCGCTGCCCAGAGTCTGGCGAAAGCCGCTGGCGTCGCTACTCCGCGTCGACGAGAGAAAAAGGTCGACAAGGCCAAGGAGGAGGACATTGTCAAACGCTTGCAACAGATCTGTACCGATGCCGATCCGACGAGGCTGTACCGGAACCTTGTCAAGATTGGACAGGGGGCTAGCGGGGGCGTGTACACCGCGTATCAGGTGGGCACAAATATGAGTGTCGCGATCAAACAGATGGATTTGGAGAAACAGCCCAAGAAGGATCTCATCATTAATGAGATCCTGGTCATGCGGAGCTCCCGTCACCCCAATATTGTCAACTATATTGACTCCTTCTTGCACAAGAACGACCTCTGGGTTGTAATGGAGTACATGGAAGGGGGCTCGTTAACGGACGTGGTCACTGCCAATTTAATGACCGAGGGGCAAATTGCCGCGGTGTCGCGGGAAACGGCCCAAGGCTTGGAGCATCTTCATCGCCATGGTGTGATCCATCGGGATATCAAGTCGGACAACGTGTTGTTGAGCATGGTCGGTGATATTAAGCTCACAGATTTTGGATTTTGCGCGCAGATTAGTGATCCTGCGAGCGCGAAACGCACGACCATGGTGGGCACACCGTATTGGATGGCTCCCGAGGTTGTCACGAGGAAGGAATACGGTCCCAAGGTGGATATATGGAGTCTGGGAATCATGGCGATTGAGATGATCGAGGGGGAGCCTCCGTATCTTAATCAGAACCCACTCAAGGCGCTCTACTTAATCGCGACGAACGGGACGCCGACAATTCAGAACCCAGAGAATTTGAGTTCGACGTTTAGCGATTACTTGGCGAAAACGTTGGAAGTTGACGCAGAGAAGAGGCCAAATGCGACGCAGTTACTGCAGGTTTGTATTTTTTTTTCTTTCGGTTACATGGATCGATTACTGAGTTTCCATCTAGCATCCATTCTTCAAGCTTTCAGAACCTCTAAGGACGCTTGCACCATTGATCAAGGCTGCCCGCGAAATGGCCAGTTCCAAGAATAAATGAATGATATTAAGATTCCACGTCTTCCTTTTGTTTAACTCATCTTTTCCGATTATGCATGGTCCTCGGCGCACCTAGACAAAAGCATTTATATCCGTCAATCTACTCGCCGTCCTATGTGTACCGCCACGAAAGCTTGAAATTGTAATACCGTTTCTCTTTACATTACATTTCCTTTCATCATCCTGTCTCTCTTTCAGTATTATTAAAAGTCGCCATTGGATTTTTTTCAAGTTGTTAGTGTGCTATTTGATACATATATTGACTGGACCCGTGCTCGTTTACATTGCGATGGAGAGAGAAAAAATGAAAGCAGAAGCAATGCAGAAGAAATTATTATGTAGTGTATCGTAAACCTAACCCTTATAGCCATGGCTGCCAACCTGGAATGATTTCGTTAGTTGCAATGTTACGTGAAAAACTCTAGTATTGAAAAAAAAAAAAGGATCGAGCCCTTACCTGGAAACATCTGACTGAGATTCTCCGGGTCCTTCGCCTCCGTCACGAGCCCGCTGACAGTCGACGCCACGCTTAGTGTCTTTTCCAACTTGCGCGCTACACCACTTAGGGCGCGATCCGCCGCTTCTTCTGCCCCGCCGCTACTCATATCAATCCCGATCCCCATCAAAGGCTTGTGCATCTGATCCGCCATGATGGTATTCCCATTTGGGTTAGAATCGGTTGGCTGGGCCGCCTTCACCTTGTAGTCGCTCATCGTCCACGTGTGGAGTGGATCATACCGGAACACCTCGAGGATGGTCATGATCACGTCGCTTCCCTCTCGGAGCACTCGCAGCGTTTCCTCGGCACACCGTTGGAAGACCCCGTTGGTCCCAGCGATACCCATCCCATCGACCATGTCGGGTGTCATGCGGAACGGAACACGCTCAGGGACGCGTAACAGCTTACCCTGGTCGAATGCGATACCCAAATCGATGTGGACCACGGCACCAGAAGAGTTGTCCATAAGAATATTGGACGTATGTCGGTCTCCGAGCCCAAGGACGTGTCCGACGATGGACGTCGTAGCAACGCTCCGAGTGTAATTCAACCGCATCGTGAACCACGCTGTCGGTGATTTGTGTCGCTCGGTAAAATAGTGCCGCATGACTGGGGGATGGCGAGTAACGATATCGTTGAATTCCGCGAGGATCCCTTGAAGATCATTCTTGGCTTGTGCTTTCCCCAACTGTGCTGCTGGACCTCCCTTGCTCATCTTGGGACCATATCTGGAATGAGCAGGAACTAGCCAGCTGCGCATGGGTGATGTGTTTAGGACGAATTCGAGGACGCCAGCTTGGGATGAAAGGGGTATCACTTTGTAAGAGCGCACATGGAGATTCCGCCGTTTGGTCTCTCGGTCGTGATCAAGCACGACGTTGACAAGGTCGAAGACTTGCTCCATAACAGCATCCTGGCGTAGATCATCGTTGCCTTCACCTTTAAACTATGGAGATGTCAACAAATACCCATTGTAAACTAGTCAGAGAAAGCTTACTAGTTGTTTATACGGTTTCCCATGAATGTCAAAACATGTAGTGATTTTGGGGAGGTTGATGCCTCCAGCAGTGTAGAAGACCGTTTCGAAATGGTTAAACCAAGGACAAGATTCATACTTCATGGTAAGATCAATTGGAATATGCGCAGTCATTATCGGTGCATCGAGATGTTTTCCATTCCTCGGACCAGCAAGTTTGAGAATCTTGAGTCCGTCCACGTTAGGTAAAGGGAAGTGCCCGTCCTTGTGAGGACTTTTTGCATACTTCGGGTCATTCTTGATACCGTAAGTGGCCCATCCCACCGACGCTTCGCAGAGGATATTGACATCCTGAGTACGCCTCACGATATTGGGCTGATTGTTTGTCGACAGCTTCTTGAAAATATCAATAGCAGCGGCTCTACGATCGGCCCAGATTTCTCTTTGAGATGAGGTAGTTTTCGTTGTGCCGCCTGTTTCGGTTTTCAGGCAGAACACCTGGTACAGGCTGTGAAACGGGTGCTCGGTACACATGCGCATCATCATGTGTTTCAGAGTTTGCTGAGCGTCGGACCCGTCTTTGTATGATAATCTTGCGGAGAGTTGATGCTAAGACTGGCGTAAGTGAAGCGTTAAATCACAGGACGAAAGAAACTCACAGCCAAGAAGAGAAACTTCCGCGAGGGAACTTTTCTGATTGAGGCTGCAACAGCGGCTTGTAAGTTCTCCTGGTCAAAGTTGGCAAGCCACAAGGAACAAAGACGAATCGGAGCGTCATCGTCAAACTGATCAGACATGATCAGACAACGTGCATACATCGTAATTGCATGTTCAAGGAAGGTGCCACGCTCGTGGAGAATTTGCCCATAATGTGCTGTATCGTGCTCCAAAACTAGCTTAGCCTTTTCCAGCTCCCGGAGCTCTGCACCGGACCTCGACCTCTGCGATGTGCGGTTCTCGATTTCCTGCTGCTTGCGCTGAACGTAAACCTTCAACCGGATACTGTCTGGTGACTTGACGATAGCCTGATACTGCTGTGCTGCAAAAATAGCACAAGCGTGATATACGGCAGCGCAAGAATCACTGTTTGTCCGATTCGCACAGTTCGCGATAATTTCGGAGGCAGGAAGAAAGAAGTCCCTCCAAATGACAGATGGTTTTTCCAAGCATGCTTCCGCCGTCCACGTACCCTATATAATCCTCAGCGATGTGAAAATATCTATAACAATTGGAAAAACACACCAAGCACGCGTTCATAGCGGCTAGTTTCGAAGCATCTTGCAGGGGAGCAGATTGGCTATCTCGAAGACCCCTCAAGAATTCCACGGCACGCTTTTCTTCATTTTGTGCCCAAAGCACACAGGCGAACTCCTCAGATACGTCGAAAGTAACAGGGTTCACTAACGTCTCTGCGCGAATGACAGAGTTTAAAGCGATCTGTACTTGTTGTTCGCGGCGGGCTACCTGTGAGACATGCAGGAGGCATTGCTTTTCAACTTCTCGCAATGTCTGTATGAAATCAGATGTCATATCACCCATTTGTTGACGTTCCTCTCTTCGTCGGACAGAACGAACGATAGACACTCTGGTGGCCATAATACTTTCCACAAGGCGGAATCTGTATATCCGTCACAAAACTCTCGAAGGACAAACGAGGAAGAAGGCTTGCTTACTCAATACCCGGTTCAACTACTGTGAATGGAGCCCATTTTCTCAGATCAGTGTCCTTTGACGACACTAACGTCGGAAAAGGCTCGTACGTCCATTGCGAAATCTGATAAAGGCATACTAGATTCTGGATCACTTCTCGAATCTGAGCAACATTCTCCGAACCCAAATTGCGCAGTCTTTCCATTTCTCGGAACATCGAAAGGCGAACAACGTCACGTCCGACTTCCTGATCCCTTTGGACATGAATAGCACGCAAAGCAAAATAGAGCGAGGCGTCTGAGCTCTGCTCCTGTTCTCGTTCAGGTAAATCCCATGTTTCCGTCCTCCAGCCTAATTGATAGTTCATGCAGGTGGACGTATCCCCATAAAAATTCTGTGAGGTTGTATTTGCAAGATGATTGAAACCAAATGAATGAATGGATTGAAGCAAGCCCTCCATGTCTCGAGGGTTCTTGCTCCCAGCTTCTAGAGCGGCCCCGTGGAAACGAAATGCCTTGTCCCATTGGTTCTCATGGTGGAAACAGTTGATCAGAAATTTTCGAAGGTCTAGAGGCTTGATCCCGTAAAATCCGTCAGGCTCATCGATGTTACTGTAGATGTGGTACATTATCTGTTCCACGAGTGCATCTTCGGCAAGATTTCGGCTCCCGTTCTCGGCGGCAAGCTCCAAAAACAGAAGGGCAGTGGTGTATGAACCGCAAGTGATCGCATTCCGTGCCAAAAGGACAAAGTCGATGGTGAGCCATTTATTGTACCCAAGAAGGTCGCTCGATGGCTGAGGTGGTGGAATCTGGCGTAGATGAAGAACGATATCGATGATGGAGCGCACGCATGGCATCGCTGCGTACTCGAAGCGAAGAATTGATTCGAAGTAACGAGAAAGAGTTTCACGATACATCTGATGGTCTGTCCTTTGCAAGAGATATTGAACGAGTATTGGCAACATATCCTCAGCAAAGAGGGCATCTGACTTGAGAACAGGGCTGATTTGGGCGAAGTAAGCATTTGTACTGGAAGAAAGGTCGCTGAGGAGTGTGCAGATAAGGCCTATCCACGAGGCGAAATCTTTAGAAGATTCTAGATAAGCCTCGGATGAGAGTTCGTTTATATCAACAGTGGGTCGGGATATTGGGTCGAAAGGGAAATCTTGGAGGTAGCCAACTTCTTCCGCAAATCCTTTATCCTGCGCAGAAAATTCTGCAACACCAGCGATGGCTCGCAGGGTGCGGTATACAGTATGTCGGCGAGAAACATCACTTCCCCCAAGTAATTTCAGGAGGGAAGAGATAATGGCAACAAAAGGATCTGCTCGGGATGTTTCACGCTTCCTTCCTGAAGTAGAAAGATCACTTCCGAACCCGCGGATAAGCCCCTTGTTCCATATGAGTAGGTTAGCAAAGGCATCAACATCCTCGCGATTTAGGCGATTGGACTTCGGAATGCTCTCCTTCAATCGCCAGAAATCTCTGTTTGCGAATTCGTCTTCATCGTACTCGTTTCGATTTGCGTGGTCGCCAAGGCGAACTACAAGTCTGAATTTGTTCGACGTTATGGCGTTGTCGTTGAGTGCATGCGATACTGATGAAGCACCAATCGCGGTGTAAAGTTCTGCAAGCTCTCCTTCAGGCCTATGGGACCACGCAGGGAGAGCGAGTAGCACTTGATATTCAAGCTGGGCGACTTGAGCCACCATGAGAGCCTGTTCGTCAATCCATTGACGAAGATCATGTCCCAATTCCTTGGTGGAAAGGCTCAGAGGCTAAAGAAAAATCGTACGCGAGGCGAGAGACTCGGATTAGAATGTCAGGGAAACGACGATTAGTCTGCGCCTGCTGACGATACATCGTGAAAGACCAGTTGAGAATTGATTGAGCACCACGAGCGAGATCCGAATGGCGCATCAGAGATATGGCACCACGCATTAGGACATGTAAAAGTGTCGCATTGTCAAACACCTCATGGAGGTATGCAACCCACACGCAAATGCTGTTCATGAAACGAACCTGTTCGTTGACCAGAAATGACTTTTCAATCCCGGCGAAAAGATCTTGGAGGACATGGTATGTCAAAGCCTTTTCGTGTTCCTTCCATGAAGCGGTGCCCCGTAGCCATTCCAGACAATGCAAGATGGTGGAAACCGTATAGCATGGAAGAGTGGGCTGATGGGTGATGAAATCCTCCACCGTGCGATATTCTACCAGTGCAATGAAGATCTGTGCCCGTTTCCCCGTCTTCTTAACGTCGAGGCTGCGAAGGGCGGTAACAATGGCCCCAGTGGGTGAAACATCATAGTCAAGCATGGTGCACAAGATTGCTGAAACAACGGTATCTAGCTTGGAAGCAAGGAGCGCATAAAAAAGAGTTGCACTCTCGACTCTTGTCCTTTGTAACAGGAGAGTGTCAAGAGTACCTTCATCTGGACTTGAGCTGGGAGGCTTCGACAGCAAGTGCTGGCCAACAATATCTCCAAAACAGTCTCGAATGCCATCGGCAATGGGCTTTTGGATCACTTTACAGTGATTCTCGAATTGTCGCTGTCCGAGAACTGCGGTGGCGGGGTCACCGGCAGTCTCCGCCAACACATTTGAAGGAGTGAATAATGGAAAGGTAGCAAAGGCGCACTCTTTGCGGTCGCTGTACCCTAGAATATGGGGAGGGAATGTGAGGCCATCCTTCTTCGCAGCGATGATAGAATATGCCAGTGAAGATCCATAAGCTTCGAAGAGCTGAGAAGGTGAGGCTAAACCGAGTCTCTGCGTAACGCTGCGCAAGATGGCCTCAATGTGGGTGGAGAATGTATCTTCAAACAATGCAGGCTCTATGAGATGCCAATACGACAACCGCCTTGCAGCCGAGCTAACAATGATGATATTTGCTAGCGATAGCATGCGAGTAAGCATACCCTCATAGCTGAGCGCATATTGAGTATCTTAACAAAGACTGAAGAAAAAGAGGAGGCCACGTACTCATCAAGATCGATCACATAATGACCTTTGATACTGGCATACACTGAATTCGGATCTCTCTCGGTTTTCTGGGCGAAGGAAAAAAGATGCGCGTTGGCAACTGCCGCACGAAAACGAACGCGTATATCGCAGTCTCCGCCCACAAATGGTAGAAGAGTGTCCGGGGAGGCTTCAACATCATTAGGGATCGTCTTCTTCCATATAAGAAAATGGCCATCCCGAGAGGGAAGGGTTCTCTACGACAAACCTATCGTACAACCGTACGAGTGTGTCACGAACTTTCCAAGACTTGATAACGCCAACCTTCAACGCTCGAGCCATTTGTGATAGTAGTTGTCCACCATGCTCACTATTGGGACCATCTGCTTCATTGATAGGAATCCAGATGAGAAGGATCGATTCCAAAAAATGACCGACTAGCAACTGATATTTTTCGTCTCTTGTGTAGGGATATTTGTCGGACAGGTCGACGATAACGGCCAAGAATTTCTTCAGGTCTTCGACCCCAAGATGGAGAGTCTTGCACCGAAACTTCTCGCCAAGGACCGAACAAAGCAAAATGAATCTGTCGGAATGGTCCTCTTTGCAACCGAGCACAATACTCGAAAGTTCATTGTCACGAGTAGGCTCTCCTGATAACGACTGAAGGATAGGAACAGTTGCCAAAAAAGACATACAGGTGTCGGCGATTAGACGAACGTTGGCAACAGTCGTCCCAATCAGACAGCTGCCTTGAACCGGTTCTTACGGGCCCAAAGTCAACGTCCATGGCATCCTCCTGTAATTGATGTCCAGCCAGGATACGCAGCATGTCAAGCATCGTAGCTTTCACAACTTGGAGGTGATCGGCCTATCATGAAAGACTGTCAGTACCCTTCAGAATGGTCACGAAATGCTGCGCACTTCAAGAGTACGCCAAATTATTCTCTGAAAATCCATCCTACTAGAGCGTTTTCGGTCAATATGCTGCTGCGGGTCGGACACCAAATCCTGTAGCACCCGAGCCCTGATTCCTGAATTGATATCTGGAGGTAAGAGATCGACAAAAGGTATGTCGTCGGCGCGGGGCTCCTCCGTGGATATCAGTGGTTCCAAAGCCTGAATGACAACTGCCTTTTCCGCCGTCGTCCACGGAGTCTCCCGTAACAAAGGCAGCAGTAAGGCGATGACCTTCCCTGCTTCCTTGATAGTGAGGATGTCTAACTGCATACCATTATGAATGAGGGAACATTGGAAGCAAAATGCTATGACCGCGAAGTCCAAGCAGAGCCGTACGCCTGTAGCAGAGTGAGGCCGCTTTGCTTCCATCCGGACCTTCCATTTCTGATGTATATGCTCCAGTAGTTCTAACATAAATTTCGATAACCGTCGTTGTCGGTGCCCCATGGCTAGAAGTGCTATTTCCTGGGGAAGAGGTTCGGAGCGGTAGGAAGGGGACGCCTTCGCTCCATCATTAGAGGGAACGAACTGCGGCAGCTTGGCATCCAGTAGAAAATCCCGAATGACTTGCGTCCGCTTCTCCTGCTCAACTACTTGAACAAGTTCAGAAACCGGAAGGATTGCCCTGCATACGACGTCTGTTCGCCTCGAAAATCCGCACACAGTCTCTAGCAGGTGGATCAGATCCTTAACCATGTAACATGGCATCTCTCCTTCAACTATGCGCCCTAGCTTCCAGCATCCTACCAACCAAGTCAACACTTTGTCCTCAAGTTGCATACGGTACAAACGGATGTCCTGGCTCGCCATGACCAGACAACGAGAAAGGAATGAGCATACAGAGTCATAGGGATAGTTAGGGCCTTGGACTTCGAGATCTTTGGTAAGCGTCTCGATATCCGCCAGAATGTGTGGCGCGTGGAGAGGTGGATGGGTGAACTTGTGAGTATGAGAATCAACGTGCAGTAATAGAGCTCTAGCGGCATGACAGGCGGCTCTGCACACCCCGGAGGTGGTCGCACGTCGCATGGCAGTTAGTCCATATTGTCTCCCAAACCATTTGATCACAGATCAATGTGCGATCAGTAGAGGAGCCTCCCGATGTTGGTAACCGACTTTCCAGACAATCGGCATGAGCTATACTGGCAATGCATAGAAATGCCCATGACTGAATCATGCTGTTGTCCACTTGAAGGGCTCCCAACAACAGTGTAATCAACCGTCTCTGGAGATCGCCATGCAAAACAGACCAGTGGTAGTCGATGATGAACAGGAGCCGTTGAAAGGCAAGAACGGAATTGAGTTCTATATCCTTCAGAATCTCGCTCATCGGGTCGTGCTCATCTTTGTCCTGGTTCAATCGAGACCGCTTCTTTCGACTGCGATCGACTGAAACCATAGATTCACGAAGCAAATAAAGCTAGAATTTCTTGATGCATTAGGGATAATCAGCAAAAAAAACGGCTTCGAGCTTACCTTCGCTACAGCATCGGCCTGAAGCTTCAATGCCGTCCAAAGAAATGCTTGCACATGACCAAACTTTTGGCCAACACGAAATGACCTTGCCACAAATGCCCCATCCTTCCGCTCCTCTTCGTCATCACCGGATAGCAAGTCACTGAAGCTCAACCTCAGTGAGTCGATTGAAAACTCGCTCCATTTGCAACCAGGAGCGTCTTTCATTCTGTCCAACGTATCCCAAAGGTCAGCTGTCCACGCATAGGTGTCATCTGGGTCTGTTGCAGTTATGAAAGGATACAAGACGTGAAGAACGGAAATAAGGTCTGGCAGCATATTGCTCTCCTTCATACCCCATACAGAGGCGACTGTCAAGTGTTGCCATGCTTTCCGAGCGAAATCTACGGTAGCATGCCGGCGGTTCAACGCAATATGAGAAAGTGCAGCGAGGAGAAGTTTCAGATAGTCAGAGCTGGGCTTAGAGTACAGCTCGAGGTATCGGTATAAACGATGAAGGATAGATGAAGCAAGCTGGGGCGTGTCGGCATTAAGGATATAGTCGTTTGCAGAAGGGATACGCATGAGTGCGACAAGGAGCTCGCCGCACTGCATCTGTTCAGGAGAAGCAGATACAATCCGACGACTATTCTGCAACTTTCGCCTCTTGGAAGACGACTGAATGTTTGAATCGTCAGGGTCGTTTTCTTCTGGTGTATCGTAGCTGAATTTATATGTGAGGGAGTCCCCGAGAAGGATGTTAAAGGCTCGTTCCACCAGCGATGTCCATTTGTCCCGAGGGAGATGGTCCGCATGAGGGCCGTGCTGTACCAAGCAAGTCAGAATTTTGAGGAACGACAAACCGACGCCCGGAATGAGGTTTCCTTGGTTTCTCATGTTCTTCATGGCCCCGTCGATAATTGTCTTGACGCTCTTGGATAAGAGATGAGTGTAGGCATGGTCGACAATCGTTCGTATCACGTCCGCCACTGATTCCATCCTCTTCATCGGCGCCGCCACTTCCTTCTTCTCAGCATGGGCTTTCTCCTTATAAAAGCAAAGGAAAAGGGACTCAAAGACCTGGCGCCATAGCTGTTCGTCTAGGTGCCGCACAACGTTAGGCTGCACGAGGAAGTCTTTGAGGTTTGCAACAGCGCTCATGCGTGTCCGGAGTGCATCGCCCTCCACGTCTCGAAGGTTGCGCCGAATTGTTTCGATCGTTACGCTCATTGTCGTCGTCGCAGGTGAGATGAGAAGAAAGAGGATAGCATGAGCTTGCCACTCGATGCAGGTGAAAGAATTGCATCCGAGTCAAAGAGACGCGTTCCCGGCAGTTCGGACCGGATGCCGGTCGATGGAGTTTTTCCGTCGGCTTCGTTCAATTTCAACTGTTAAATTCAAAGCCCACGGTTTGCGAAATTCTCGGTCGAACTTTGAGAAGTAGGCCGGAGCCCAACTGAGAGCTCGAAAAAATAGACTGAAATCAAGCGCAGGCTTACTAGACTTTGCTTTTGTAGAGCGTGTACTTTCGTACGTAGTAGACTGCAACTGACCAAGTCAACTAGACTTTGCTTTTGCCTTCGGAAAATCGTGCAAAGAGTATGCGTCTAAATGTTGGAATGTCGCCACAGAAGCTTAAACATTGCTGCAAATAAGTATCTAGTAGGCGAAATATAGAAGTGTAACTACTATAACCACGGCTGCCGCCGGGCTGCGCTCGGGCCTTGGTTACATTTATACCCACATTTTAATCCACCAAGTAAAGGTTCTAGCGTGAGGGGAAAAGTCAGTGGCACGAACACAGAGAATAGATAAACTTACAACAAACGAAGCTGGGATATCCGGCAATTGGTTGGTTAGCTCTAAATCACCCACAATGAGGAGTCCCCTAGATTGAGAATCCCGAGAATCCCAAGCCAACATTATGTCCGGTTTTGACCCGTCTGAATTAATCCAGTGTACTATACGGAAGAACTCAATACTATGTTCAGATATTGGTACTCCCGGGGAGCATTTACCATTCAACTTCCTCGTCGTGGGATCTATGGACCATATCGCAGATTGTGCAGAAATTTGAGGGTCAGACGGTGGGACCCAATTAGGGTGTGCTGCGAGTAATTGAGAAAAAATGTCCAGTTGGAAATAAAATGTCATGGAGTACTCTGGTTCACATTTTTGAATTTCGCTATGCTGTGATAGGATGAGAGTCTAATTAGCATACGAGTATCGAATCATCTCACCTTCGAATATCATGGGCTAAATGCGACCCTTCGATTCCAAAAAAGAGAGGGTCAGGGAATCCTGGATTCTGTACCTCTGATAAACCATATAATGCATAATATATGAATATAATACGTACAGTAATAACCAAGTCAAAGAGACCATCTCCTAGACATAGGTGTCCTCATCTTGACCAGCAGATCATTTTCAGAGCGAACCGAGTTGATATCTGACCTACAAACAAAAGGGTGGGTAATGGCGGCGATGTAGGACCCGACGAGTACCCTACATCGAAGAATCAACGGTTCCAATAGACCTTCCATCTTCACGGCGAACCTGAAGACGGCCGGTATAAGTGACGAAAGGGAGGGCTGACGGGGACGTTCGTCTTTGTACATCGGTAACGGTTCGTGTACCGCGAAACAGAGTTTTTGGAGGGAGAGGAGGAAGACCCTGAGCCATACGCTTCCCATTTGTCTCCGGAGGTGCCGGTGAAGCACGACAAAAGACAGAGGCGAAGAATACCAAAAAAACGAACAGTAGCCTAGTCATGACCGTGGGTATGGGATGAAGCTTGAAGACGCGCTTCGGTGAAGCAAGGTCATATATAAAATTGTAATACGAAGAAATGAGACCACCCATCGAGCGCGCATCCTTAAATCCCGCTTTGCAGGAAATCCAGAAGCACGGTCGCAGGCCGTCGGACACATGTAGGTCGATCTCATTACAGAAGAAAAGTCTATAGCTGAGTAGGGGCGGGGTTAACGTCCAAAATACAAGTTCGTACACGTACTTGCATTCACTAAGAAGAGTTGCAAGGCTTCTATTGCCTTGCGGTCAGCACGTGGGCGAACTTGTGGTTTGCAAATCTAGAGTCGATTCCGATGTATTGTCAGCGATCTTCTCGCTAAGCCTAGTGAGTTTAAGTATAGAATACAAGGAACAATACTAAGATCATGAGTGGAAGGAGCCAATTAGAGATGCGGCCCGGAGACCCGACAAGAGCGTCAATAACGGCCCGTATCACATTTTGAAGTTCCAATAAGCTCGTTACAGAGGTCATCTGGATGGCACACAGTATTCTTTACACCGGCCCGTTGAAACTTCACACAAGAATTTAAGCAAGCTAAATCCACTTTACTAACACGTTCCTCACAACAAACAGACGATGCCGTTTGAATCGAAAGAAGACAGGCTGATTCTTCGTCACGCGAAGGTGCACGTTAGCACCATTATTGATTGCTTCTAGCTTACACTGACGCTTCCTTTCCAGGGTCCAAGCGTTGAGATTCTTTGGTATGGAGCAACTATCGTTTCATGGAGCTCAGGGTCCAGATCGAATCCAGCGCTTTCCGAGCGCATCTTTGTATCATCAAAATCACCCCTGGACGGTTCAGAACCTGTCAGAGGCGGCATTCCAGTCGTCTTCCCTTGCTTCGCGTATCCAACCCATCCGGACCACCTGAAACTCGGTATACATGGATTCGCCCGGAACGAATACTGGAAGTGGGATGGGAATATTATTGACAACGATTCTGAAATATCAGTCAAACTTGGTAGGCGCTTATTTTCTAGTCAAGGGCTCTGCTCTCCCTAATACCGAGTCGTACAGCCCTCGACCCAGTCCCGAGCATCACTGCCGTCTACGATAAACTCTTCCATCTTGACTACGTCGTAACGCTTTCCGAATACACTCTGAAAACCGACCTGCATGTCACCAACACGTCGCCCGACACACCGTTTGAGTTCCAAGCGCTTTTCCACACCTACCACGCATGTCCTTCGAAAGACGTGCGAATCAAACCGCTTAAGGATCTAACCTATTACGACAAGACTAAACTGACGGATGGCAGGCCGACGAAGAGGGTCGAGGAAAGGGACGAAGTTGACGTAAACAAGTGGACTGACTCGGTCTACGAGAGTGCTCCCGGGACGTATGAGATCAGGTGGCCAGGTGGTGGTGTTGATGTCACCACCAACATGGAAGACCTTATCGTGTGGAACCCTCAAGTAACTGCCGGCCGAAAAATTGCCTGCAATGGAAGAAGGTGGATGGTATGTGTCGTATTACGCATTGATCATCAAGACCTGAATCTGTTTTCCAGGGACAAATTCGTCTGTGCTGAACCAGGTCTTGCACTGGCATTCGAAACCCTTCAACCAGGGGAAAGCTGGATTGGAAAGCAAGAGATCACGGTTAAATGAAGCCTTTTGAAGAGGCACGGAATTCGCTTACAACTACATAAAGGAAATAAAATCTTAAACTTATGCTACCAGAGCTATTGCCAACCAAGCCTTCGTCTGCTTCTGGCGTTAACTCGACAATGAGATGACAAGCGTCGCCGTGACTTGTTTCACAATGGCTTGCCAAATCATGGAAGGATGTGTCAAGATCGAATACTGCTTGATCTCTGAAGTTGTGATTAGTGTCTGATGGAATGATCGCAAAGAAAATACCTATAACGCACTCTTGGCAAAGACGACATACCATCACCTCAGTTCACCTGGAATATGGCATGGATGTGATGTGTCCTTGAAACCGAGGGTACCGTAAACTATGCGGAACGGGTTGAGTTGAAAAAAGGGAGAGTAAGAATGTAACTTACCAGTAACATCTTCGGAAAAATCGACAGGGAGTAGTGGTGCAGTTTCACTCTCTTCAGACTCTGGATACTGAAGCTTCCAGTGTTTCAAGGACGTTATTATCACCCATAGGCACATCTGATTCCTGTGCGGAAGCATCTTCCAAAGTAGGATATGGCAGGTAGGGGAGGTGATGGAGCTACTGGCGAAATCCTTGAAGGGGGGCGACGGTACTTCCGGTGACACTCTTGGTGGAGGAGATGGTGCGGCGGGAGATTCCCTCTGAGGCGGCGACAGCGCAGTAGGAGACAGCACGGGGACAGGCACATCATCATCATCATCACTGAGAGTTAGATCAATGACAACGGCTGGCAGTTTCTTGGGTTGAGAAGCCTTCCTCTCCACCGAACATTGGGTGGTAACCCTAGACGCAGATGCCGATTCCTGAAAGAAACCATAGTTAATCAAAGCGCCACTTAATGAGTCTCACGCTAACCTTTCTTGGGCTAACGACGCAAGAGGTATGATGCGTGGTTTTGACAGCCTTTGGGGGTCGAGAGCGACCCTCATCATGCATTGGTATATTTTCCATCTTAGACAATGACGATGAACTTGGGGATGTTTGAAGAGGTGCTTCAGCTTCGGAGATGGGCGATCGCGTGCGCTTTCTTTTCTTTGTCGACCCTGGAAGATTGGAGGTAGGACATTCGCGCTGCGGCCCGGTCGATGATAATGGGGTCGGACGAGAGGAACCTGTTCTAGCAGTTTGGGGTCCGGGTGGGCCACCTAGAACCTTGCGCTGAGACTTGGGTATAGCCTGGGTTGAAGGCGAAGATACCCCAGGTTGACGGGGGGTCGATGGCTTTGGTATTGATGAAGACGATGCGTTCGTTCTCGACTTTGACGACGAAAATGAGCTATTGATCTTCGCTAGATCAATATGCGGAGGCGCATTATTTGGAGTGGACGGAGGTACTGGCTGAGCAATGGGGGTGGACGATGTGCAGGACATAGGCGAATCTGTGACCAGCATCGGAGATTTGGAGGGAGGCATAGGCGAGGGCGTGGGATACATTGGAGAGATACCCGTACCCTGAGGCATGGGAGATTCGGTGAAGACGGCGGGGAGCATGGGACTTGATTCGTTAGCGCTGGGGTCGTCAAGGCCCGCCAGCCAAGTGCTCAGAGCCGGCGAAGGGTAAGAGGCCGTACCCGTTGATACACGTCGCGTTTCTCGCGGAACACTCTTCACCATAGCAGGGCCAACGGATTGAGAAAACTGTGGAGCAGAAGGGGCTGGTTGTCTTTGAACATTATCCGCTTGAAAGGGCGTCCCTGTAACTTTGTTCTTTTCATCTGCCTTCATTTGTTCAGCGAGGATATTATTCTCCGTATCTATCAGAATATGAGTGTGTGTGAACAAGCTTGAAATGGAAAATAAGTACCAGTCTGTCTTCTGTTCTTCAAGACTTCGAGCGATATCCAACCGCGCTTCCCGGCCGTCGCCCAAAGAACAATGTTCGGGTACTTTGGATGTCGAAAAAGATCCGACTCTTTTTTCTTCTGCGGTCCATTCCAGTGCTCCCATTTGGTGGTGAAGCCATATAGAACATGGTGTTTCGGTGTTTTGTCAATATAGACGTCTCCTGGACTACCTAGGCCGATGGGAGGGGCACCGACAGCACAATATTCGGTATACCTATCATTCGTTCCGGCAACGACCTTGCTGAATGACACGCCAGAGATACGCTCGATGCTCCCAGTCGCCGTCGATGGCCCTGCCGTACTACTCGATGGCGCGCTAGGAGCCATGGTGAAATGAAAACGATGTGTCCTCCTTTTGGTCTGCTGTACGTGTGTATGGATGGATAGAATAGGTATCACGTAGCAGATGTAAAAGAGAAAAAGAGGTCGTCTTTCACGGAAGTGAAAGGCTAAAAGACAAAGTCACGTTAAGTGTAAATGTCGCCGCGTGACAAAAATGGAAAGCCATCAATACTTAAATCGCCAAAATCGGGATCCTCTGCTACTCGCTCGAGCTGACAAACAAGTAGCCGTAAAGGGGAACTCGGAAACCGAGCCCCCAATTGATTATGGCGCGCGAATGGCTATCGTAAAAGTAATGTACAACAGTAACACATATATGAACTACAAAATATGAAGGAGAGGTCAACCCCATTCCCCATGCTATCCAACAACGAAAGCTCCGACTTAAACGCTGCGTTGACATCCAATATCAACGTGAACACCTGCGTTCGGGAAACTTCTCCACCTTGTGGATTCCTAACCGGTCCATGACGGCGGACATCCTCACTAAACTGCTCTCAATGATCCCTCACTGCACACACACAAGTGGCCTTGGCCTTGATCTACGCATAGCTGATGGGGGTGTGTTAACCAGGGACCTTAGGGTCATCTGGTGTCCAGCCACGTGTTGTTTCTCACCTACTATATTGCCGCTTCCAGTTCTCCTTCTCCCCAGTTACGTTTGCCGTCTTGACGCACTGAAGAGGTTCGTGTTTTCTTTTCCTTACATACCTATCATACCTGACACTTCCCCTTACTCTAGTTTCTGGCTCGTGTCCATGTACTCTAGGTATATAATGCATTTACTTTTGCCATCTTGTCGCACTGACAGCGAAGAGTTTTCTGACTCGTGTCCGTGTACTCTAGGTCCGTCGGTCAACATATGTGGACTACGTCAAGGTGAGTCCAGCTTTCTGTTAATGCCATTGCATACGTCTAGTATTTCAGGTGTCCTCTGAGGTACAAAGGTGCAGCTATAATTTACTCTTAATAGATGCTACCTTCTGTAGGCCAATTCGCAGGCCATCCTTGAGATCCTGCAATACACTGTCAGTAAATTGTGACGACTACTACAAAGGAAGAACATACTTCAACATCTTCGACCCCGACGCTAATCCTGATTAGTCTTGGATCTTCTTTAACATCCGCTCGAGCTCTGTATTCAATGAGTGATTCTACGCCGCCAAGACTTGTAGCAGCCTGCATAACTCGAGTCAAATCGTTTCCAAGAGTTCAAGAGATGATACCACTGACAACAAAATATTTTACGGTATGTGGTAGCTGGATAGCCTGCTCGGAAGTTGCCAGCTAGGTCACTTGTGTGTTAAGAGACCATCCAGAGGAAGAGAAAGATAGGCGATACCTGGATGGCAAATGTGCCGTTCCATCCACCTTCCATCTGATGTTTAGGTTCGAACCCTCTTGCATCCTTGGTCTGCAAGGACGAATGCCAAACCTTGGTGACGAGCCCACCTGGAACGCCGTCGAATGTCTGGCCTTTGGGTGTTCGCTCCACTGACTGTAGCCACTTTACTAAAACGGTCGCCGTCTCGGATTGACGTGGAACTCGAAGATGCAGAGTGCGTAGAGAACGGAGAAGCAACCAGGCTTCAAGGGATCCTAGTACATTTCCGAGGTACGTCCTATCATGTTGCAGCTATACATAGCAGGTTAAATTAGACGCTGTCGTAAAAGAGCGAGACGGGGCTAACAGTCGTCCATTCGTCCAGTGTTTTTACAACAAGCACGCCACCGAGTAGATCAGAATGACCGCCCAAGTATTTGGTCGCTAGCAACTTGCGTAAGACTTTACAGCATCGCCATTATCACTTAATATACCTGATTGAAGGATACTTATCGAAAGAATGAAAAACAAACTTCCTGCTGCGGAAACATAATAGCACGTACCAGTCTGCACCCCATTTGAATGGGTACTGGAGAGGTGGCGGCGCAAAGGTGGAATCTACCAGTAGTTTTCCTCCCGCCTTGTGTACCTATTATATCATAGGTAAGGGCGGCCGAGGACGTAGTGAGAACCACGGAACCTTGTCAGCATAATAAGCAATGTCCCTAGAAACAGAAGCGACGGTTAACAGTAAACCTAGGAATAGAAGAGCGCTGAGTACCTTGATTCTCCTGTTGGGTTTAATGGTGTCTCCAACCAGCACAGGTCGCCGGGCTGGAACTCATCGTCAAGGTCAATCATCTCCAAGTTTGTGTCTCGGCTTTTTCTGTACACCTCTATAGTAGCATGACATCCAAAGTAGCCTCCGTTTATTGCAACACGTTTGGGTTTGAAGAAAACGAGCGCCTTGAAGTGCGATATGAGAAGTTATGAAAATTGAATTCTGGGAAATCGTACAGCATACGCAGCCGACAGCCCAGACGCGTATGTAAGGGCATGTCCATCCTTTCCAAGAACATCAGTTTCAATGTGGCCTGTATTCTGTCCCATCTTATTGAACATACGTTGATTTTACTCAAAATGTGCTCGGCGCGAGTGCTAACACCCTGGGTGTACCGAGAATATACATGTCGCTCTGGGTTCTCTAAGTCCAAATTGTCTTCTCTATCTTCCGGAGAGCTCGTCTTGAATGCTATATACGGATCACTTATCGAGCAAAAGAAGAAGGGGATCACTGATCACTGACTTGATGAAACAGAGATGGACGGAGCGACTTCACTCCCACCGGTTGGATGTACAGCTTCATCACCGTGAACAAGGACAGTGCCAGTAAATTTGGCGCTCATGATAGGAATGAGTCAAGAAGAATGGGCTGAGTTCATAAAAATTTGTAATCTGACGTGATTCGGCCTTCGAATTTTCTTCGGACTCGAGTTCTGCCGGTAATGGTCACTGTACCGGCTGTTTCGATTAGATACCAGTACATAATGTAATGCTATAATAATATATATTCGACAGAGTACTACTATAGAGACCTCCCCCCCCGCGCTTGGGTCTTGCTTCAACAGTCCTGAATCCCGCATAAAAGACTTCCACTGCTCATCTATTCCCGAACGAATCTCCTGACTCCATCATCATCCCAAGATCCACCAGCTTCACGGTGGCCCCGCCCGGACGCAGTGCCCACACCTCGACGTCTTGTGGGCTTTTATCTTTCAACTTAGTCATGAGAAGCAATTTCTCGCAAGTTGATGACGTTACTTTGGGCAGCGTTCGGGCTAAATGCAGGCGAGCCTCTTTAATCTTTACGGGTTCATACTACCTTTCTGACGTCACAAAAATAAGCGTAGTGACTATGCGTATCAATCGTTGTCGGGTAATCTTGTACTCGCCTTCAATGAACGCTACAGGTGTGCTATCCATATGTTTCTGAAATATTACAGTATTGACCTGGTTACTCGTGGGCACCGGCACCACCTTCTGACTGTGTAGAGCCGAAATGTACCACGTGATAGCGACGCGAAATAGGGGCAGATCAGCTACTTTTGGTGGAGAAGGATCGAGAACTTGATGGAAGATGACGGAAAACGTACCACACTGGTTGTACATCGCTTGCCCCGAAAATTTCTGAAACACGTATTCCTGATTAACCGAATACTATTGCCTTCGAAAATTATTTGTTCTGTATTTGTACGATATCGAACGCTACATCCATCTTATACCGATTTTTGTATGACCTGAATGCCGACCTTTTTCAATAGAGACCCAGTTAAATATTCTGGCTCATGCCTCATTGGGGGCGTCGGCCCAAGAATCTGTTGTGAGAAGTATGGGAATGTGCCCCCGGGCGGGAAGGAAAGGTGAATTTGATGGAGGCTCCAGCGAAAAGAGGATGTAATCCTAAACGTTTGTACCATGATTGACTGAAAAATTAAAAACAACACCAAAACTACCTTGACAGAAAGGCCAGAGGCTGCAAACCCGCCCACCTTGACAGTGGGTTTGCATCGGATTTCACCTCCCCAATCGATGCTTTTTTCTTCATCGCGATCACACTGGGACGGCGGAGGAGGGATGGGCCACATAGTCCCTACTCCGATTTCTTGATTCTTCTGCGACTTTCGGCCCTGAATTTCGATGATGATTTGTCGGTGCATGGTGACGGAAATGGAAGGTTCGTATTCGGTAGATCGTTGGGGAAAGAGCATGAGGAGAGAGAAAAGCGGACCACTGAGTTGGATGTGGAAAGGGATCACGTCCGAGAAAGAAAACGCCTGGACGGATGGTACGAAGAACTATGACAATGATGAGCATAGAGCGGCTAGACGGACAATTTTCCTCACGTTGCATTGGATGGGGAGAAGGTTATAACTGCACTTTGCTTTCACAGTAACAAGGACCTGGTTCCATTCTTCAGGGCAAGTCTTGATACTGGAAAGTAGAGGGACATATAAGGGAGGGCGTTCGGGTCGGGTTCTGGGGTAGTAAGTTATGGGTACACGCATACTAGGAGATGAATAAGATAGGCCAGTGTGTATAACCTTGCGACTTACGACGATACCTTATCAAACCCAAGCATCAGTGGACGACGTACAGTGGTGATGGAAGCAATAAGTGTATAGACGGAGGTCACTACCAAGCTGGGAACAGCAGTGAAGGCAGTCTGGAAGGTAGGCGGCAATGGGTAGGTCCTTCCACTATCCTCAAATGCCAGCGGAAGATAGAAAGAGAAGGGAAAGGAACCCGGGCATGACTCGATCTCCGTTCGGGAGCAATTCCATAGGGTATACGTTTCGCTGACGGTCGGAACCGTCCTTGAACCATTCTCAGAACTCATGAAATGCAGGCGACCTTCAAACTTTGGGGAAAAGATGTCAGAACAGAGAATAAAGAGATAGAGGATGCCGAACAGAAAAAAAAACGATGAAATGGCACTTTACTTGTATTTTGACCTCAATTATGTCCTCTGATGAGCTGAGAAGTACAGCTCCGGCGATGTTGCCCATCCGGCCATATACTGGAGATGAGATACCATCCTCTTGTTGTGTTAAAAGGACAGTAAGTCTTTCACGATTCCTGATGAAGGTACCGTCCGCAACGCGCCCAACCCGGTGAGGTGCATGCTCAATGGACCTTTCTCCGTTTGTCGGGTCTGTACAATAATGAGGAGGAGGGGTATTGGAGCAGTAGGTCGGTGGGAAAGCTGAGAAGCACGGGACAGCTAAGAGAGGCAACATTTGTATGTGGGAAAACCAAGTCAAAAAATCGAGTGACCGTAGTTGGCTGTGAGTCACTCGGCGATTTTCAACACTCGATTTTCAGGTCGATCAAAACGTTCCCGAATGGCGACATACTCGGAGAGCCTTCGGAACTTACGGTCTCGTGGTCAGTGAAAGTTGCTTAGTCTTGCGCTCGGAAATGAGGCAAACAGTCCAGCCACGCTTGCACTTTCCCAGTCTTAAGGAGCTCAAGCGTGGTTTAGGACTGGCGAAATAAATAAGCGGTATGAATGGTCATATTCAGGTGCAGATAGAACTGCTTACCGATATGTTGTAAATGTCGATTCGAGTCATTGTGACACAGAAAGGAGTGGGGTCCTTTCAAGGTCAGACCTAGTAAACGTGTGCAAGTCTATAAGCTAAAAGAACATCAACATATCAACGTATCGCAAGACCTCAAGGTAGTCTTGGTGGTACGTGTCCAACAAGCCAGTAAATATATCCGTTCAAAGGTTGCTTTCAATGTCGAGAAGTTGTCTTTGACAAAGCTTGAGTTGATTTGTGCGGGGACTGATTTAATGTTGCTGTTCTGAATAGGTGAGAAGGCTCAACCTTGACTAAGTTGAAAGAGAACAAGCCCACGACACAGACGTTGAGGTGTGGGCACTACGTCCGGGCAAAGCCAGGACACTGAAGCACATTGCGATTTTATTAGTATATTCGGTCATAAACAACGAAGAGCTGTGTTCATCTTTGATTACTGGTGTTAATCTGAAGAGGTTTGTGCTAAACGTTGGATGTTGGCAAGTATTTCTTTGTAGAAGGTAAGTGAACGTACGTCATCAAGATTCGCATTCGCATCAAACGACAGCGTCGCACGGTCCGACCTTCAAAAATTCACGGATACGATGTGGCTTTTCATGTACTTGCACAGCAGCTGCTTAATTATGTCCAAAAGAATCGGAACTCGAGACGCAAGCTTTCAAACCATAAGTGAACAAAAGACCTTTCAAGAAGTGAAGAAACATACATGTTTTGTTAGTAAAAAGTGCCAGAAAAGAACGACGTGAATGTCACGAACTGCGAGTCCTGCTTATTATGTTTTCCTGAAAGTAAAGGTCCAAAATACTGGCAGCTCGGTTTGGCAAACAGGAGAATGCCGCACGTGCGAGTCGTAATTGCCGCGGCAGAACGTCTCGACCCTCGTAGGACGACAAATTCAGGTCCTGAACCACGGATACCCACTAATTATTCTTCGCTGATCACAATTTTCTGATTTCTACCATAATTCCATGGCGAACATCGGCAGCGTTTTTCTTGGTGATTCGAAGCGGATTCGTGTCCTGTCGTCCTCTAGTACTCCGCCATCATCACCACCTTTGTCAGGTTCCTCGATGTCGGCCATTCTTGCTGGAACATCTCCGACACAGTCCCCTGCACAATCGCCGCCACCAGCCTCCACGTCATTCAAGTCTTCACCTGCAGCTAAGGAGCGTCGGATTGACCCAGCACTGTCGCTAGAGTTACGCCTAAGATGGCTTGAGGCCATTGTGTTTGGGGTGAAGCACGACCGAAAGGGCAAGGAAAAAGAGAGGGTACACGGTGACCAGACACTCATCAGAGCAGCAGAGACGCTGCAGCGCACACTGGACACTATTGTCGAGAACAACGATGGGCTCAAACGATTCATGAGTCGCTGTATGTTCCTTCTGCTACGTGATTCTCAAGGCTCACCTACCATCAACAGACGAACAGCACGCCCATCTCTTGACGCCTTCCTTTGCACTGGCAGGACTCCTACCAGACCCACCAGCATATCAGAATATGTCACAAGAGGAACTAAACGCCTTTATCGGAGAAATGGGACATGATATACGTTCCGCAGACCGTGATATGCAAGAAATTGACGCGTTGCAGAGGAAGGGAGTCACAGGTGCAGGGAAACTGGCAGGTGTGTTTCTTTCTTATACCCTCATATGCGTGTCCTTATGTTGTATTCGAAGACTACGAGCAGTTGCAACCCCGCCTTGAAATCCTTCGCAAGTCTTATGATGAGAACATTGAGCATGCTGCACGACTTGAAAAGCGTATTGCCGCTATACTGGAACGTCATTCTACTCAGGTACGTCTTGACTTCCTTTCTTGTTCAAACAAAATCTCACTCTAGACAGGTTGATACACTGTCAGAACTGTTCGTGACGTGGGATGACACTCTCACTGATGCTGAACACAAGATCACGAAACTAGAACGAGCACTGGCAGAACGCAGACGGATGGGCCTCCAATAACATTGTTATGTACAGTGAGTTAATGACGAATACAGATCATAAACTTTTAAAAGGAAAAATGGAACAAGATATTAGCTACACGAACGCAAAATCCAACAAGGGAAGAATATTTAAGGACAGCACATAAACAAAAGGAAATGATATACACAACGCTAGAAGCCACTTGTATTGGAAACGTTTTGGTTCCGGATGGCGAGATGAATCCGCGATCGAGTCGACCTTAGCGGTGACTTCTTGTGGGAACTGCTCCAGCCCGAACCCGGTATCAAAAGCGACGTCCATCTTCTCTACCAACTCCCAATAACTGTTAAGTAAGTCCCCTTCCGAGCGAGTTGATGCTACCTGGGTGTCAATTGGAGGTAATTCTCGCGGAGACAGACAGTCAGACACAAATTCGATAGGGTGTAGGGTGCGACCCATGTCCCTTATATGATCAAGGAGTGGGATAATGTCTGCAGGACGCGCAGAAGAAGTCTTTACGCCTGACGGTTCTACTTTGGAACCCACAGTGACGGATTGACGTGATGGTTGTGCATAGCCCTAAAAGTGGGTTTAGTCTTTGAAAATACACACAAAAAAAAACACTCATACCCATCTAGGACAGGCATACGAAAAGCAAGGCCAATCATCGGAACAAGTTGGAGAATAGCAACGAGTCAGCATTGGCACAACTCCAGTTGGAATCTCGTCGTCTGAGCGTATAGACAAAGGGTCTTCCTGATCATCAAGAAACATATATATGCACTCTTCGCTGTTGTATATCGTTTCTTCGCCCCATCCCTGTGACCCTACCTCACAGAACAAGAACTGGGTCTGTAGACTTCGAGCGATATCCAGGACCAGCGATTCCAGAGGTAAAGGAGTATCAGTATCGTCGTGCTCTTCCTCGATACAGGCTCGTAACGTGGCCTAGAGAACACACTTTCAATATCAGCCTGAACAAAGAAAGAAGACGTACTAGAAGATCTTTTCCGGTGAAAGACAAAGGATATGAAACGCCATTTTTAACATTCGTGCCTTTCGTGACTAGTGTTCGCAGACAGAGGGCAGCTTCCGATAGCAAAGATATGCCCCAGCACAATGGCTCGTTGACTGCAAGTTCGAGATCCCAAATCCCGGCAGCCTCGCCCGTTCCTCTTCCATAGCCAAAGCTGACTGTAGGGAGGACGCTCGAGGGGCGGCTCTTTCGTGGAGACACTAACAGTCGGGGATCAAAGAGGGGTGGATCCAAATCATCCTTTGAGGCTGACCCGGCTGACGATGTAGTAGACTCGTCATCCCTACTATCATTGTCAAATAGGTCAGTAGCTGAAGACGATACATCTGATTCTGGCCCATGGTATTCCAGTTCCTCCACAGAACATATAGGACCTGATGAGATGGGTGATGACATAGTAATAGACTCTAAGCTGAGAGCAGACGGTAGGGCTTGCGAGGAAATCGACGCCCTTGATCCCCACGATCCCAAAGATGAAGTCGAGCCAGAGGAGTCAGGTACATCGAAATGGACACGCTTTTGGCTACCAAGGTTGACCCTCTCCTGGATTGGCGTTAGAATGTCAGGTATTGGACAAGGTAAGAGATGTAGATGCTGCGGAAATGACTATAAAACTCTGTCAGTATGTTTCCAGATCTGAAAGTAACATATTGATATACTGACAAGAGTCGACATTATGTCGACCACGGTGTCGATGTCTGGACGCTCACGATACTGATGGCTCCAACAGGACTCGATGAGTTTCCACAGTTCGTCACGCATCGCCTCAGAACCCGACGGACGTTCAGGCCTCTTCCCCTCTGTCACCTTGAGGACTATAGCAGGGTCATGAAAAATATCGTGGAATGGTGCATGACCCGTGTAAAGCTACAGATGTGAAATTAGACCTTAAAATAAGATAGTTATATTGTCTCACCTCCAAACATACACACCCAAGCGCGTATATGTCGGTAGCAGGCGTCAAGCGAAAGCGGTCAAGACCAAAGGACTGAGGAAAAAAGAGTTCGGGCGCCATCCACCGCACCGAGCCCTCATGCCTGGAAGTATAAGTGGCAGGAGTAGCATCGTTGAAAACAGTCAAGCCAAAATCTGTTAGGCAGGCCTGCCAGTCATCATTTATCAATATATTTGACTGCCAGAGTCGTCAGATTGATGGGGAAAAGACGCAGCAAATAGCACGCACTCCGCGAAGATCACCATGAACGATATGCTGTGAATGTAGGTAGGCCAGTCCTTGCGATATTTCATACAACTAAAAAGCTCTATCAAAAGGGCGGCTCTGACGCTGAAATTGTCAAAATCAACGTACTCGTTTATTAACGTTAGCTCTGCCGTTGTCCGCAAGATACTTGATAACCGTTCCATTTCTCATCCACGGAGAAACCAAGCAAAGAGCTGTCGGAAATTCTTCCGCTACGATTCCCAGAAATGGGACAATGTATGTATGCTTCAAGCTTTGCCATGTCAAGGCCTCTTGACAAAACCTCTATAGATGGTGTGAATGGCTTTCCAAGGGTGCTAGAATGATGACTAGGCCTACCCGACGGATACTAGGGAGGTTAGGATCCCTTTGGAATATTCTCATGCGCTTGAGTGCTACGGGTTGCCCGTTGTAAGAAGCTCTGAAAACGTCACCAAATCCCCCGCCAAAAGTCGCATGCTCGTCAGATAATTCAACGCCTTCGATAAAAAGCTTCGAAGGAAGCTTGTAACACGTCGAGGAGAGCTTTACGACAAGCCGACGAGCTTTAAGCCCTTCAGCAGGGTCACCGAGTAGAAACCCTCGATCAAGCACCTATATACACGATTAAATTTATTCTCATAGCAAAGTTGGGCTTACATCTTGAACAACATTTAAGAAACTTTGTGCATCGTCATCCAGAAGCGTCAAGACTTCCTCTCGGTCAGAATCGGATAGAGATACGCGGTGTAGTAATTCTGCAATGTCTTCTTCATCGGCTTGAAGTGCTTCTCTAACGCGTGGGTCGTCGCTAAGACCAAGCACTGATGCAATCTGCGGTAATCGATAAAATGAGTCCTATTTTATGGAGCCTATCGTTGCCTGGGTAGGAAATACCTGAAGTAAGCTTCCTCGATAGACCTGGCCTTTTACAAGCGATGTGACTGCGTTAAAAGACTTCAAAGCATCTGAATGGTCCTTTAATGTGTCCAGGATGCTAAAACGCGTTAGTTTCAAAAAATATCATAGCAATAGTTATCGGTGAACCTCTTACTTTGTCGTCATTGGCGTATTCACTGGCGTTACTTCCATCAACAAAAGCGTCATTAGATTCTTGTCAACGGCGTCAGCACATGGCAGTCAGTCGAAGAACTTTAACGAACATGATATATTGGCCTATTTGAAGAGAGAGGTTCAAGAGTTTCTTCGATTGTTGATAGTGAATTGCTGACCACCTCAAGTGGTGCGTTACTTGCGTTCCCAGCGTCTGCGTAGATGGCTTGGGGTTCAACTTTTGGCGAAGACTTCAAGTCGGTGTACTTAGCGTCGGAACAAGCAGAGGCCAATTGGGGAAAAGGAAGAGGTCTTTGAGATGCCTGTCCCAATGACTCCGATCTATCTGAGCCAAAATGTACGTTTGGCGAAAAGGAGACCTTCCCCGACGGATACGTTATTGAAGAATTGGAAACACTCTCCGCGTATGCAGGAGGCGGGTCTTGAATTCTCTTTTCGTCAAGCTGAAAAGAATGCTTAATTAAACACATCGTCCGTGAAGAGCATGAAATCTTACAGATGCATACTGAGAGCCAAATTGGCCCAGCAGCGACGTATCCTGAGGTTCTTGCGAGTTGTGCTCCTCCTGGCTCAAGCTGGAACTCGAAGACGACAGGCCACTGGATTCACCAAGATTATTGCGAACGGCGAGCTGGAAATTATATGAATTGACGTGACAAAGTGGATATAGATGATATTAACCTGGCCGACTTTTTCCTGGCGTTTTTTTGTTTGGCCACTGCCGGAAGGGTCTATCAAAGGTCGAGTATTCGAGCCATTGATACTTGAACTAGTGTTTGCTACCCAGGGGGTAACCAAAGTTGGCCTTGGCTTGCGTGTAATATGTAAAAACTCCAGCAACCCAAGAAGGCCCTTTGACCGTTGCTTTCCTCGCGCCTGAAATGTTCTGGGTCCGTGTGGGCGAGCATGATCTCTCAGCACCGTAACGCTTGCCGGTTCCGACGGCGACGGCGGAGCGACGGGGGTCAACAGCGCTGAAGGAACATTTTCTCTTACTGCTGTTTGTACGAGCTCCGAGTCTCTGTTGTCAGTGAGGCCTGGAATCGAGATGAAATAGCTGGCTCCAGTCAAATCCGTTCCACCGTTCGCATAATACGTCGCCCATGCCTGTACGTGTGGGTCGGCATAGATTCCGTTGGAGTCGTATACATAAGTTGGCGCAATAACACGGGGCTGGTTGCTACTTTCACCGATAGTGACCTTAGGCATGAAGGTCAGGAAGGCGACATGAAGGTTGAGAAACAGTCAAACGCACCGCCCTCAGTCGAGACGATTTTCTGATGAGTGCGTATCAAGTGACAGGCATCAAGGTGTCGCCGTGGAATCAATTCAGCTGAGGCAGTGCTGATGTCAACCAATTGTACCCACCTTTTGGGAGCACGGCAGAATCATTCAGACTCTAGGTCTTGAATCTCAAAGACGGGTCTGGCAAATGTGACAAGAATGTGCCAAAGACATAGTACTCAGAACAGGAAGCATGATGCTCAGAAAACAACAGGATACGGACTGTGGAACCGTGGAAGAGACGACCAGTAATCAGTATGTGGCGGCAAAACCCGAAGGCCATGGCAAGGCACCTCAGTGGGTAAACAGAAATACGACGACATACTCATTTTCACCTGTTGAAAAGCAGCACAGTCATTCTTTATACGTTTAAAAGCAATAATCTCGCGTTATAGAGGGACAAGATAAGAAATGAAAGAGATGCGACTCGACGAAAGAACGGAGACGACGCCAAAAAAAAAAGCTATCGAGGACCGTAACATTTGCACTTGTTTGGCACACCGCACCGGACGGGTTCCTCACATGCCGGCCGATTCTACTCGCTGCGCTCGCAATTACTTACTGTGCCACGCAGATCGTTCCCGGCGTAAGGTGTATAATAGTCGACCAGGCGATGAGAAGAGACCACGAAACTTCATATTTCGAAAATAAGTGCATATCAAGTATATAGTACACCACCCTTCTAGCATGATATCAACCTGACCCATTATCCCGTGCCAAATTATTACTATTTGGTCAATATTATCTTCGGAGTAGTCTGATCTCAAAGTCGGCGTGTGACGCCAATAAGATTGATCGCAGTCTGAGTCTCTGAGGTCAGTTTGAGCTCAGCTGCTCTGCCAACATTCCAGCCCGCGATTGAGGTCAAAACGGCCTTACCACTGTCCAGAAAATGACCTCATTTTAAGAAGTTGTCAGGAATTATCAGTGCGGAGACTAACCTCAGAGCGGTCATCAATTCCTCAGGCAACCTCATATTAACTTCGTCCTCATAAAATGGACATTTTGCTTCTTAACGGTTCCGCACTTTGACAGTAATGTGTGCGCGGATTGCTTCCCAGATATAAATCCGCCTGACAGGTGTAAAATAACCATTGAATACTTAATAGTTGCACCGTAAAATAGCAAAAAGATCATCTATTCTGCTAATAATTCACATAATTACAACAAATATATGGCAGATGGTAGTAGAGACCAATTATCGCTGATACTCTCTTACTCTGTTGCGACAACATCAGAAGCGTTGCCAGGGGTAACATTCTCAACGTCGTCGTCGTCATCGCTTCCCTCATTTTGATCCCCTGTTCGCTGTCGCTTTCCTGGACGCTCGCCATCACCTTGCGACAATTGTACCTTTGGTGTAAGCTCGTTGATCTTCTTCACCCACTTTGGGAGATGGAATGATGCAAGTTCAACTGAGCGGATTCCACTCTTCGTTGGATCGCCGTACTCCTTCTTGTCCTTGATGTAGATTTCATTGAGGGTGCTACATCACGACAACGAGAAAATGCTTAGAAGACGAAGCCCAGAAAAGCAGCCAGAGACTCACTAAATGAACAGCTCCTGACCATGCGCTCGCATACCATGCAACATCCGGTCCACCTCAGCCCAAAATGTGTCCCCCCGTGCTGTCTCAATATTAGCATAAACATGCCGCTATTGCCAATGAACATTAGCCATAGAAGAGGAAGTAAGAATTCTAAAACTCACCACGACGCTCAGTCGCATATAGAGCTGCTGTGTCTGTGGGATTTTTTCATTGCTTTTGCCGATCAAGTGCTTCGTAAGGCAGGCAATGTTGCGTAGTGCTCGGCCATCCTTGCTGTCTTGGATCGATACCTTCACCTGGGATAGCATTGTATTGAGGGACTGACAATATAACAAGAAGCAAGCTTACTGCGTCCTTGATTTGCGAGCGCTTGGTGGTAAGACAAGCAGAGATCCGTGACTGGAGGAGTGCATTGGCTGTCATATCGTTCTCCGATGGCAGATCCTTGATGTTCATTTCTCGAAGTGCGACCTCAAACGAACATTGAACAAACAGAGAGGGAGAAAGAATTTAGTAACACACCATAACATGGTAGCTGCTGTTTCCGACATAGCATACTGCTGTTGAAGAAAGAAGGAATGCCTTGACGTATTGCGAAATGTTTTTCTATAAAGGTAGCTTGTCAATCTGAAGAATAATTGTCTAATATCATGGACAGGCTTACCCAAAGGCCCTTCGAAATCTCCCAAGATTCTTGGGAGGTTTGCATCTTCTGAAGAAGGTCACGAGTTTGCAGAGTAACAGCCATGAGATAGAGCTGGCACTTATCGGCAGACAGCTATGCACAATATATCAGAGTCATGAATAAAAGAAATAAGCCACTCACTGTACTGAATTCATCGAAATCTACCTCTGCCTCATCACTAAACTCCATCTTCCGTTTGAGCCTTCGAGCTGTCGCGGTCATGTTGGGTGCAGATATCACAATCGAAGTTGCGATCATGGGATCATTAGAACCCTCCAGGTTTTGAATTCGATCAGGAGCCTCGACACTTGAGTTCTGTGAGTCTTGATGTATCTGGCTGAGTTGAGCCTGGAAGCGGCGGCGGCTTTCTTCAAGATACATGTCCACGCTGCTTTGGCGAAGGTCAGGATGAATATTCTCTTCGTTGTCGAAGGAGGAAGGCATAATGGAGAGTTCGAGGAAATGAGAGTGAAGATGAGAAAGACAAGCTATCGTTTCTGAGGCTTATATACACCAAAGACATTGTGGCAGCTGAGAGAGGGTGGCAAATTTGTTATTGTCATTATTGCGAGTCAAATCATGTGACACTTGCTGCGCTGCAATAATTCCTTCCTGGCTTCTGAGATTACTTTGTCCGATTGAACATGTTCCTGTACTGCTCAATATACTTTTTTGTCTTCCACTTGTTTGTCCAACCCTTCAGGACAAGAAGATATAAGATGTCCTTAAACCACTGAGCACGTATTAAAGGACATCCAGAAAACGGTGGACCAGCCGAACTACACTCTAAAATCCAGCAAATACCAGCATGCCTCCTCGTCGTGCTCCACTCCCTGAAGGTGACAGAGATATCACTTATTTTCTTGCCAGAAACAGGAGCTCATATTTAATATTTCATCAGGTATTGAGCAGAACAACGCAACAAAACAGGTTCGATGCCTGCTTTGCTACGAATTTGATCCATTTGGTGCGGGCAGGTGGATGGCACCCAAGTCTCTCAAGAACCACCTCAAATCCACGAAACACGACTCAAACCGAATTCGCAATGATACTCAAGTACAGCAACAGGCCATTCAGAACCAGAAACTTGCGAACACATATCAAGATGGGACAGTAACCTTCGAAACGCCTGCAACTGATGTTCATCTCAATTCAAGGACAAGAATGTTCACCGAGGATGAGGACACGAGGATGGCTGATGACCTTGCTGATGATTCTTGGATGCAACAGCCTCTCATACCGATATCGATCCCAGAACATCTCTCCTTTGATCCTGAGGAAGAGCGCAATTGCCTGCATCAACAGTATATTATGATGCTTGAGGAGGCTATACTTGGAAGCGAGGACAATAACTTTGATGAGTCTGATGAGACTACAGCCTTTTTGGCAGATGAATTCCGTGCTGTGGGTAAGTAATACCAACCCTTCTTATTTAGCACTCCCATGAACTGACCAGTTGCATGGGTGGCCAGACCTCGAACCTTCTTCAGATGAGGAAGACATTGCTAATTATTTCAACGGAACATCCACGAGTAAAGACTGGTCACCCTACCCTAATAAAACTGTACGTCGCTTTGACTCTGCAGCCTAGCATTAATCTTATGGTAAAAACAGATGGCGCTTCTTGATATTCTCGACAATCTTCCTCGTCTACGCCTTTCTACCAGTCACATGCAAATGATTCTTTGGTTGTTGCGGGAAGTTGGTGCAGCAGATGTCTCTTCATATCAGGCTCTGCGTAAACTGCAGGCTGGTCTACGTGAACAATGCGGCAGTTCTCCCAAGGCTTACAAGTCCGGGCTTGGAAATCACTTTTATGTGAATGATGTTCGAGATTCTATTGCAAGAGTATGACCATCACTTTTGTTACTATTGAGATGTAGCTCTAACTATTTATGCACAGGATTTCTCTAATCCTGAGGTCGCAAAACATCTCCAGTTCTATCCGGAAGAAACTGGAGGCACTGTTTCTGAGGTTTGGCAAGCAGAACGTTGGAAGGAATTCAAGCCTTCATGTTAGCCACTAACTCTATCGACTTAGATCGTGTTAGGATCGCTACTCGCACTTCGGTAGACGATGCTCTAACAGGCCAAAGGCGATGAAAGTCGATGGGACAAGTAGTCACGAAGAACGGAGTTCGATGTTAGGTAGAATAAACCTTAGCTGAAGCTGGGGTTCAGACCAGCTGAGGCTCTACTTAAATACACGTGAGTATTCTAAAAATACTGTGGCGCAGTCAGTCCGTGATGATCGCGCCTCGCATAATCCGGCTGACTAAAGAAAAGAAAAGAAAAGAAAATAAAAAGGAAAGAAAAAGAAAAAGAAAAGAATAACCGTAACATTACCCCCTCCTTAAGACTCATTCGTCCCGAATGAGAATATGTCTCCTCCCTTCCACACAAGCGAGTTGAGGGGCTCCCTTCTGCTTTAAAACGGGATCGATTGGACCTCCGCTACGCCATAAAAAGACACTTTCTGCGTTCGGCTTCTGACCCTCTCTCCCCCTGGACTCAGGTCCCTAAACTTCCTGAGCCACCTTGCGCCGGTTAGACCTCAACTGTCTGTCGGGACCCACGGTCCCTAAGGGTTCAATGCTCGTACTTGAGCGGTGGAAATCCCCTTATACACCATAAGTATTGATTTAGGACCCCTCCGTTCCGGAGGAGTCGATGGATGTTCCTTGGGAGGAAGAGAATCGCGACTCCGAATAATAAGACCATTCGTCGTCCTCTTCATCATCGTTGTCATCATCTTCGTCCTTGTCCCAGTCTTCGATGACTCGTTGGAGATTGTCTACATCCGATTCATCGATATCGGAGTAGGGGGTAGAGGTTTTGTTTGGTAAAATCATATTATCGACTGCGTTGAGTTCTTCAGAATGGGCAGGTGCGGTACATTCTGAAGAGTGAACGGTTATGATGTCAGTGACACAGAGGCTCTCGGGATTATTGTATTTGATTGGGAGGTTACGAGGGATCTTGTCGTCGTACCCAAGCGTCTTTCCCTTGTCGTTGACCATCCATATCATTTTTCGGATCCGTGCTTCATAATCGGTTACGAGTTCTTCTGCGTTGGCCATGTCGGAACGTTTGACCCAAGAGTTTTCCTCGCCGGGGTATCCTTTCCACTTGACTAGGTACTCAGTAATTGTCCGACGAGTCCGTCCTCGACCGATGACTCGGTCTCGTTCTCCTACAATCTCCTCTATTTCATATTCTTCTTCGTTATCAATGAGTTCTGGGGGTGGTCGCTCGGGACGTGGTTGATTCGAGAATTTGGGAGCATGGTATGGAGTAAGTAGCGACTCATTGAATCGGTTATGAATCCGCCACTTCACGGGGAGTTTTAATTCGTAGGCCGATGCTCCTTTCTTGGCCACAATGGAGAACGGGCCTACTCGCCTATCCCCTAGTTTTTTTGTTGGACGGGGGAGGTTTAGGTTGGTCGCATCTAACCACACCTTGTCGCTCACTTGGTACTTTCGTGCCTCCCCTTTATGCTTGTCATAGGCCTTTTTCATAGATTCGGCCGCACGCTCTAACGACTCCTTTGCTTTCTCCTGCACCTCATGAATTCCTTGAACCAGTTTGGACGCCGCCAGTATAGTATCTGGGCGCTGCGCCGTCTTGATGACTTGGCCGTCGCGGCCGAAGATTACTTTGTACGGGGAGAAACCCGTGGCGGAGTGCCTCCGGTTATTATGAGTGAAGGCGGCGAGCGGCAACCACTCGCTCCAATCGTCCTGTCGATGGTTGACGAACATTTTAAGGTACTTTTCGATCTCCTGGTTGACCCTCTCCGTCTGCCCATCCGTCTGAGGGTGATAAGCCGTCGAGGGGTTTCCAGTTACGTGGAGGAGTGCGTAGAATTCCTTCATAAATTTGGATACAAAGACAGCGCCCCTATCCGAGATGACTTTTTCTGGCATCACACCATACGGCACATAGATATAATCTCGGAGAATCTTCGCGAAGCCGAGGGACGAAAGCTCTTCTGTGCAAGCAATAGGGATAATCGTTTTGGAGAATCGGTCGACGATTACCAGGATGGAATTGTTTCCTCTCGAGTCGGGAAGCTTGGTGATCATATCGACCGAGATATGGGTCCACGGTCGATCAGAAACTTCGTTTGGATGGAGCGGCGCCTTCTTGGGACGACGATCTGCCTTGGTGCGCTGACAGACCTCGCATCCCTTGACATAGGCCTCCACCTCTGAGCGCATTCGTGGCCACCAATAATCTCGTAGGATGAGTTCTTTGGTCTTCTCGATACCAGGGTGTCCCGCAGTCGTGTGATCATGTCGTAGAGCTATGATTTCTCCTCGCAGCTGCTGAGCCCTGGGTACGTAGATACGATTGTCGTACCATAACAGTCCCTGGTCTCGGGAGACTCCCTTCTCGTGATTAAGGGAATCAGATATGCCTCGATCCCACTTACATGGGTCGTGAGTAGCCAGCTTGATCTTCTCGTGCAGTTCTTCCATGGTGGGCATGATGAGAGCGCGAAAATGAGCGGGTTTCAAAACCGTCACGTCTTGGTTGTCGTCCTTCCCTTGATCGTGGTCAGATCGTCTGGACAACAAATCCGCCTTGCGATTCTGCGCTCCGGGCTTATGGTGGAGGGTGAACTGGTATTCAGCCAGTTCGGTTACCCATCGAGCTTGTCGTCGGTTAAGCTTTTGAGGCTTGCGGAAGTATTGGAGATTGGAATGATCCGTCCAGATCTCGAAGTCTTCCCTAGCTCCCATAAGGTATTGGCGCCATTCCTCCAGCGCAATCATGATAGCGAGCAGTTCTTTGTCGTAGATCTCATAATTGCGCTCCGTGACGGACAGCGCTTTGGATAGGAATGCAACTGGTCGCCACCTCTCTTCCTGCCACTGGGACAGCACGGCCCCTATAGCTCCCTCACTTGAGTCCGCCTCTACCCTAAACTTTCCATCGTCGAGAGGAATGGCCAACACTACGTCTTCGCGGAATAACCCTTTAAGGTTCTCAAAGGCTTCCTGTTGGGCCTTTCCCCACTTCCATTCCACTTTCCCGGTGAGCATGGTGAGGGGCCGGACGTGCTTGCTATAGTCTCGAATAAACCGTCGATAAAAATTGCAAAAGCCTAAAAATGATTGGAGCTCCTGTTTCTTGGCGGGAACCGGCCAATCGAGGAGCCCGGAAATCTTGACTGGGTCCATGCGAATCCTCCCTTCGCTAATGAGCACCCCTAGGTATTCCGTTTCTTCCACCTCGAATTCGCACTTCTCCGCTTTGAGAAATAGCTTGTTCTCGCGGAGAATGCGCAGTACTTCCCGTATGATACGTCGGTGCTCCTTCTTGGTTTTCGATGCAATTAATATGTCGTCAAGGTAGACCGACACCTCTCCCACAGTGATGAGATCTTTAAATATGTCGTTCATCATCCACTGGAAAGTAGCGGGCGAATTAGTGAGACCGAAGAACATTATGAGAGGTTCGTAGAGGCCCCGGTTAGTTCGAAAGGCGGCCTTCCATTCGTCCCCTTGCCTTATTCTAACGTTATTGTACCCCCATCGTACGTCTAGCTTGGTGAAGTACTTTGCCTGCTTCAGTCGGTCCATAAGCTCCCCGATGAGAGGTAACGGATACCTGTTCTTGATTGTCATCTCATTGAGTTTGCGATAGTCTTGTACTGGACGCAGCTTACCGTCCTTCTTCTTAACAAAGAAGAACGGGGAAGCCATAGGAGACTTGGAGGCCTGGATGCGTCCGGTGGACAGGTTCTCGTCCAGGAATTTGTCCAGTTCCTCCTGTTCCGCCGGATTGAGAGGATAGACCTTGCAGTCTAGATTGGCGTTGGCGTTGGGAATAAGCTCAATAGCGTGGTCCCACGGTTTCCGTGGGGGCAAGTCGTCGAAGTTTTCTTTGGCGAACACATCTCTAAACTCCCTGTACTCCTCAGGTACTATCTCCTCAAAGGACTTGGCAGTCTTACGGGCGTTAGCTTGGGCGGCTAGCTCGTTGGCCTTTGTTCCCATGGCCCGCACGTGAAATGCTTCTTCAAAGTCGATCACTAGGATCGTATCTCCCTCTTCGTACTCTTCCCATCGGGATGTTGGGTCTGTGTCGGGGAGTGCAAAAGGGACTTTGCGACAAGTACAGCGGGCCAAGGTTACGGCCCCGGTATCCCAGTCTATTAACGGGTTATGTCTCTGTAGCCAATCATGCCCGAGAAATAGGGGGGTGGACCCCAAGTCCACCACGGCGAGTTCTATCCGCTCCACGTGATCCCCTATACGAAGCCGTACTTCGGCATATTCGGTGATATCACCGCCCTTGTTTCGGGTGCCATCGGCATTGTAGACCGGAACAGGGCGGGCTGCCTTTTTGAGGTTGAGGGCATGGTTCTGGGCCCAGGCGCGATCTATGGAACTGCCAGTGGCTCCGCTGTCCACTAGCGCCTTCACAGGGTGTGTTTCTCGAGTATCTAGCGTCTCCAACTGCACATTAATGGATACATTGCGCCCCTTTCGGCCTCGTATGTACATGGGAGGTTTTTTAAGATCCTCCATCCATTCCCACTTATCCCGCGCTTCTACCGCGGTCTCGGGCTTCTCCTTGAGTGCCTCCCATAGTTCGAGCGTTACTTCTTCAGCCCGACGGGGGTGTACCCATTGGTGAAGGGTAGCGAAGGCGGCTGATTCCATCGTGGCAAGTCGTAGCGCCCTTCGGGTCCAATGCGGCCCGAATGGTTCGTAATAAGTGTCCTGGACGGGCGTCTTCTTTGCAGGCCTAGGCTCCCAGGTAGGGGTCACGGTAGACTTCCCTGCCGGTACTCGGACCGGGATATCGGACCGAAGGTGGGCCTCCTCATCTTCTACTTCCTCCACGGAAACTCGGGATCTTGTACTCGTGGGTGGCATTTGGTCACCGGGCCGGTTGTTAGGGCCCCTCGGCGGCATTTGGTCACCTTCCGACGAGTTGGTGGAGGAGGGCTCGCGGCCCTGTGTTCGGCCCTGGCCACGGGCGCTTGTGCGCGGCGTTGTAACCTCCACTGTCGATCCATGCTTACCGCTCTTCCTAGACCCGGCGGTACTTCGGGCTACCCTTCGCGGAGGCACACATATTGGCTCCCTCGGGGGGTCTACACTTTTTGCTGTCGGGTGTCCCTTGGCTACTAGGGGCAGGTGGTCCCTCGAGTTCCCGGCCTCAGCTGCTTTTCCGACGCTTCCCGCTAGAACAGACGCCTCCACAGACGAAGACGCAGGCCCAGCAGGCTGGGTTGATGGCCTTTCTCCCACTCCGGGGTGACCTCCCTTCGTCAAGGGTGCAGTCGAGACTCGACCTAGGGGGCTCTGCCCTCGCGGGGCTTTCCCTATACGGTGAGCCAGGGGTTCCTGAGCTGGGACGGCCCCTAGGGGTTCATTGCCCAGCGCTGGCTGCGTAGGGCGGCGGGAATCCCCTCCTACGCCGTTGGCGGTTTGCGATTCTTCATCCTTAATTTGGTCTTCTGGTAACGCGGCAGAAAAAATGGTATATTGATCATACGGGGTACCTACATACGTAGTATAAGTCCGACTAATAATACAGGAGTGCGCACCAGGAGAAACTAAGTCCTTAGCCGACGTCGTCGAATCGCCTATTTCGACGCCGGCTTGTCTTTTGATGACTTCTCATCTTCCTTGACCTCTTCAACCTTCGTGTCCTTTCCTAACTCTTCCTTCTCGGCTTCAGCGAGCAATTGGCGAAGGCGGGCGGCGTTGGGTTTCTTGCGTGGTGGAAGTTTGACGGGAAGCCACTTGGACTTGTCGTCGGGGCATTTATGCTTTGGGTTCCACCCCGTGTTCCCACACTTGAAACACCGCTTGTCGGACCGCAGCTTATCGATTTCCATCGGCTGGCCGGCACCACCATAGGTCGTTCCCGTGGCATCCTTCTTGTCGCCGCCTGACCCGCTTCCTTTTGATTGGTTTTGATTGCCTCGACCCGAACCGCCTTGGTTCGAGGAGGGCTTACTGGCAATACCCTGCACGATGTCGTATCAATAATTGGCGTCGATCCTGAGGACTCGAGCCTTCCATTGCGCGTAGGTTGTGGGGTGCTCATTGTCCCCATGCATAACCGTCTTGCGCACCATTGGCCTAATCGCCGCTTCTATCGCCTCGAACATCTGCTTCTCATCTCCGAATTCCCCGCACTTGTGGGCCAAGCGTTCGAACTTGGCGAAGAATTCGACTGCGGACTTGAAGTCCGACTGTCGGACCTTCTTCCACTCCGCCTTCCAGATCGCTAGTTCCGCCACCTCCCGGAATTCTACCGTGATGTCGTTGGAGAACTCCGCCCATGTGGGGAATCTCCAATGGCCTCGTTCGTCCCGGTACCTGTAGTATTGATCACCCCACCATTCCTTGGCCTTGTCCCGTAAGTAGCCTTGTGCGAAGGTAATACGGTAGGGATTCTGGCCCTGATCGTTCATGGTGAAGTGGAGGGGGAACACCTGGAAGTACATCTCGCAATGATGGAGGAATCGATTAATATCTGTGGATTCCCCCGTGAAATACTCAGGTTGTGTGATGAGCTTAGGTTTTACGTCACTCCACGGGTTATTGTCCCTGCCCGCAGCTAGCGTCCAGGGAGGAATCGGGTCCGGTGGCGATGGTACCGAAGGTGGTACCGGAGGGTTGGGTGGTCGAGGTAACGACCGTAGTCGATAATTATCCCCAGGCGGGGGGTAATCCCCTGGGTACCCGGGTTTTCGCGGGGGTTGTGATGGTGGTCGAGGCGGGACGGTGGATTGTTTTCCCTTGTCCAAGGGCCCAGCGCCTGGGTCGTCCATATCGTCGTCGTCCGGTCCTGCACCAGCCCAAAACTGCTCCGTAGCGATCGGATTAGGCATGGGCTGGGGTCGCCGGTAGGGTTCGCACGTTTGCTGGGGCGCCTCGGGGTTTACCATGTTCCATACGACCGCTGCCCGGTGCCATGTCTCTACTTCCAGGATGTTTTTCATGAGGTATACGTCCCCCATGCTCTTCGCGGCAAGGTAGTCCTCCCCCGCCTCCGTAAGCATCCACTGCGCGTCTTTCTCCATGTCCTCCATGATAATCTCGTACAGGCCATGCCAGGGGAGAAGGGTAAAGATGGCAGGCCAGAGAACAGGTCCTCTAAGAAGAACCTGTCTTACCGCCGCCATTACCGTCGGTTCCAGGGCCTGGGCCGGGGGGCGACTGGGCATCCTCTGCCTCCTTCCTCTCTCGGGCGAGGCGGTCGAGCTCTCTGTTTCGCCGCCACCTGCCGATATCGGAGTCCTCGTTGGAGATTTCCTCCTGATATACTCTCCAGGCTCGCGCTCGAGCCTCGAGGTCTGTCCCTGCCCTTCGGGCGTATCCGGAGTAGCGAACGGCAGCGGCTCGTATTCGGTTGTCGATTTCGGCGGGTGTGGCGTCGGGCTCGACGGGTAAGTCCCAGAATCCATTGGGCCCGTAGAGGGCGTCCTCCTCGGCGCGTCGGATGCGTGCATCGTGCGCTCGGCCTCTGTCCATTCTGGCCTGGACTTCTGGGGATTCCCGGGCATCTCGAGGGAGTCGGAGGGACTCGACGTACGTGTGATAGAGGAGGGGCCATGGACGCTGGCTGAGAGGGACAGGGTCGGCGAAGGCTCGCGACGCAACCGACGGCTCCCAGTTGGTGACTCCGGCGATACGCTCGGAAGCGGTAATTGTTCCAAGTTCCTCGGTGTCGTAATCTGGGAACTCGCCCCAAAGCTCCCCATTCGTCGGCTCGTGCGAGGAGACGGGGGGAGACTGTATTGGGGCCTCGGGCCCTGCAGAGACCGGGTCGGGCTCTCCGCCGGTCGCGACTCTGGCCACAGGAGTTTCTTCCCCGTCGTCGGCGTAGACCCAACTGGTGTTGGGGTACCAGGCGACCGGGGGTCCTCTATCGGTTGGCCAGGCCCTTGGAACAGGCTGTGGCTGAGTTGGACCGGTGGTAGCCGCGGAGGCTCCGAGGCCAAACTCTCCGGGATCATCGTGGAAATCGTCCCGGCGGCCCCTGTTGCGCGCCATTCTTGTGCGATCTCTCTCGTCGTCTTTTGCGATTCTTCTGCTACGGACCTCCTCCCACGTGCCTGCGTGTCCCCACCCTGAGTGGGTTCTCTCGTGCGTGGTGCTTCCGGAATCGGTGGCATCTTCCTCCTCACCCGAGTAGAGGTCGTTGAGGAGGTCGTCGAGTCGGGTCCTTTCCCACTCGGTGAGCTCATCCCCTTCGAACTCGGTGTCAGGGCTTTCTTCGCCCTCGACCAGATTCCTGGTGCCTTGTCCTCGGTCTCCGTCGTCGCCAGACTTGTCTTGGACTGGAGACTGGTCGAAGAGACCTGGTAAGGGCGAGTCTCCTCGGTCGAGGAGTACCCCCCGGGTATCGGTGATGTCGATGGAGTCGGCTGGTGCGCTGGAAGCGCTTCTGTAGGAGTCGGTGCTCGACTCTGAGGATCGCGAGCTGGGTCGCGACGAGGTGTAGAGGGACCCTCCAGGTTCCCCGGAGGCGTTGGATCCGACATCTCCGATCGTCTGCTGAGATGCCGAGGGAATGTCGATTACCGGCGGTGGATACGCCGGGGCGCTGGGAATATAGTGGAGCGGAAGTTGTGCGCGGATTTGTCTCCGCTGGCAGCAACGGCGAAGTTGGTACAAAGTAATGGAGCAGAAAAAGAGTATAAAAGTTGCGAAGACGGCGAGAATGGATTCTGACCAGGGCATTCGTCAGTGGATCGATCCTTGGCGTAAGTCGACGATAGACCATGCAAGCTGGTAAACAGCGAGGATGGTAAGAACGATGAGAAGGGCGATGATCAAGCTGAGGTCAGTCTCGTAGTTGGAACTGCTCATCAGCTGGATCTCGCAGGAGTCGTCAGATGGAGAGCTCGTCACTATCAACAATGCGATTGTTAACAGGGAGGCGAGCTGGAGAGTGAGAATAAAGGGTTTAATGTTGGGATACGTGGTGTCCTTAGACAAGGCGAGGATATAGGGTGTATAGGGCGACTAGCAGACTTGCTAGCAGCAACGCCGAGAGTCCAAGTCCGACCAAGGCACAAGTAAGAAGTACAGTCGTAGCGACTGCAAGAAGGAGATCGTCGTGTAGGATAAAATTCACAATCCAGTCGATTACGAGAATTTGGAGGAGTAGGCGGAAGGGGATTACCCAAAGGACTACTGCGACAACAAAGTGTATCGGGTGAATGGTGAATACGTGGGGGTTGGGCAACTGTAAGTTGTTGGGCAACCAAAGACGAGCTTCAGCTAAATGTTAGCCACTAACTCTATCGACTTAGATCGTGTTAGGATCGCTACTCGCACTTCGGTAGACGATGCTCTAACAGGCCAAAGGCGATGAAAGTCGATGGGACAAGTAGTCACGAAGAACGGAGTTCGATGTTAGGTAGAATAAACCTTAGCCGAAGCTGGGGTTCAGACCAGCTGAGGCTCTACTTAAATACACGTGAGTATTCTAAAAATACTGCGGCGCAGTCAGTCCGTGATGATCGCGCCTCGCGTAATCCGGCTGACTAAAGAAAAGAAAAGAAAAGAAAATAAAAAGGAAAGAAAAAGAAAAAGAAAAGAATAACCGTAACACTTCACAGCTTACACCCATGTACTCCCGAGGACATCGCCAGTTCTATATCGAGGAGCTTGCTCAATTACGAGAAGGAACTTTTGTTATTCCTCATAACTGGATTATACGCCATGGAGAACTTCATGCTGATTGCAGTGAAGCTTTTTTTACTCCAGTATGCCATCGAGAAAACTCGTCTTTTTAATACTAATTGAATTTAAACTTGTAGGAGGGATGGATAATCTCATCAACAACGTCTTCTATTGCAGCTTCAGACTTTGAGTCTAATTATGAGGATCTGATAGTGAGAATGGGAGATGCATCTATCCCATGGAAAGGTCAGCCGAAACCCTTTGCTTTTGTCATATTACTGAATCTCTCTTCGTATTCCGTAGACCCGACAACAGTACAAGAAATGCCTAATCCTCTCCGTGCGCTTGCACAAGGAGATGACCTATACATTGTCATGATGCCAGTTTGGGCTGACGACGTCTCAGGAAATAAGTCTAAGCAATACAACAAGCATATCAATCTCTACATGGTAAATTCCTGCCTTCCGGGACAGTTGCTCCAACAGGAATATTTCATTCGATTTGTATCAACATCACCACACGCAACATCTCCCGAGCAGTTCTCTGCATTGAGGGACCAAGTACGGTAGGTTTGGCGTTCTATCTGAGTGCGAGCAATACTGATTTATCTGTGACAGGGACACAGAAATCAATCCTGTGTGCTGCTTTAATGCACATACCAAACGACATTGCCGCTTTATTCTCCGTGTGCCTGCATTACCAGCCGATAATCCGCAGCAGTCTGAAGAAGCATCTCATATTGGCGGCAATGGGAATATGGGCTGTCGCAAGTGTTATGCAGGAGGTTCACATGATAACACAGAATCTGATGAAGGTTATCATGATTTGCATTATGTGAGTATGTTTATTATTCCTGCGACAGATGGACCTGATTATTGTATCCAGGAGGGTGTTTTTCGCAGTGCTCAAGGCATACGTGAGGAGCTAGAGAAGCAGATTCGTCAAGCCATGCATGGAGTCGAGAAAATGGTGACCGAAATGCAAACAGCGACCGGGATCAAGGATAAGGTTGCTCAGCACTGGATCGAACAATTACTGGCTAAAGCAAAAGAAATGAAGCATGCAGAGCCAGGGCGGTCTCTCGAATCAGTCGTTGAGGAGCTTCAAAAATGGTTCGATGAACAACCAGGCGATAAGATTAATCCATTACTTGATATTGCTGGTGCGTGAAGCTTTCCTTGGATTATCAGAGGTGCTAATGTTATTCCTAACCAGGATTGGACCCGTCTCAGGATACACCCGTTGAGATCCTACATACCATCCTTCTCGGAATCATCAAGTACATCTGGCATATGTTGCATACCTCCATGTCTGATGCCCAGCGGGACCTGTTTGCGGTTCGACTGCAGGCAACAGATATTGATGGGCTGACAGTTCCTCCTATACGAGCTGCATATATGATGCAGTACCGAAACAATTTGATCGGAAAGCACTTCAAAACGCTCATGCAAACGATGGCATTTCATGTTCACGACATTGTCACGCCAGCTCAATTCAACCTCGTCAAGGCTGCTGGTGCACTGGGTGCGCTTTTATGGGTTCACGAAATTGAGAACATGGATGAATACTTGGTATGCCTTCTTTGCCTGCTTATGGCTCTGAAATTTCATATTCTTGTACCTCTCCTTATCCAGAAAGACCTTGAGACACTCATCGGGAATGTCCTCGATGCCTTTGGCGATGTCGAACCCTCTAAAATCCTGATCAAAGTCAAGCTACACCTTCTTCCCCATCTCATCAGTGACATACGACGGTTTGGACCAGCAATCCGTAACTCGACTGAGGTCTTTGAGTGCTATAATGCCATATTCCGACTGTGCTCAATATACAGTAACCATCAAGCCCCGAGCCGTGACATTGCCATCAAGTTTTCTGGCATGGATCGTTTGAAACATCTTATTAGCGGCGGTTATTATTGGTCTAACAGCAGTCAAAGATGGATGCAAGCAGGGAAGTCTGTGTTAGGACTCCTTCACTCTGAGCCAGTCATCCAGAGACATCTTGGATGGGTCACGCCTGTCAAGATAACCCCAGGTTCGTGACTCTATGTGATTGTTCCCTCCAAATATGACTTAAACCAGTCCCCGTATATCTCCTGTGCAGGGCTAATTCGTATCAAATCGAAGAAAAAAGCAGTACCAGTTGAATGGAGAACGACGAAAGCTTCTTCCCATTTTTCGGGTTTAGACTCGGAGTGTCCCTTGTCAACCAGCCTTTGGCGCCATGGGATAAGTGTGACAGCGCAGAACGGAGATCGCTGCAGGATTGGGTCCTGGGTAATCTATAACAACGAAGCTGTAAGCTTTAATTTAAGCCTTCCGCTTGTACTCATGATCTTTTTCAGGGTGTATCTGGCATTGGCCGGATTGCAGAACTCCTTGTTCATGAGGCGGAATCGTCCCTGGGATCCTTGCTGGTCGCTCTTGAAGTCTTCATCTTGGGTGACGCTCGGCATCCCGATTTTGACTGTCCTGTACTTCGACGAGCAGGCCCCAGCGATGGAAATGAATGTGTCGTTGTCGACACGAAGGTAGTTGAATATTATTTTCCAGTTATCTGTGCATTGAAAGCTCAGTAAATTTGCAGTCGGTTCAATTTATCATATCTGTCCAACACGATTGTCGCCTCATCGGTTGTCAAGCCTCCCTATTGCAGCCGCAACTTCAAGAGCGTCAAGTAACAGAACGCACATCCCGTGCACTTTCTCATGCTGATGACGACCACTTTGTGATCAACACTTTCGGTCTTCACAATGCCATTCTTGTGCGAAAATTCCTACCACGCTCTCTGACTGCGCCAAAGCCACTATACATGGACCGACGATCCCATCACTTTGAAATCGCATCAACACTTCGTACCACTCAGGCAGCCAAGCGTGCCCAGACGCAGGAGAAGCGGAAGGCGACACTAGCTTTGAACAAAGCCAGGAAGGATGCAGCCGAGGTAGCCGCAAGGAGGACCATGCTGCCAGAGGCAGATCAAGATGACGAGCTTGAACTTATTCTCGAGGAGGAAGAAAGCAACAAGGACGATGAAATTCAACCACAGCGAAATCGGAAGCGACCCCGAAAATTATGAATTTGGCGACCGTAATTTGCTTCTCCTGTACTTTCTTTCACATATCCTGGTAATCGAAATCGATGCATATTATCATTATACAATAGTTCTGAGTGTTACCAATACAGGCCTAGTCTATGGCTTCACCCGCTTTGCACAGTCACTGGATAAATTGGCAGGTTCTCACATGCGTCGACGTTTTCCGAGGTTGATTGGCGAGCCAGGATATGGCTGTGGTTGTGTAAGCTTGGGAGGAACTTGGAGGTTGAAGGGAAGATGGGAGTCGTACCAGAAAATAATCCTCTTCACCCTGCGAGTCAGGAACAACGTCTTCATCATTTTCTCTGCTATTCTCATCCAACCAAATTGCGCCTATTCCATCCTGAGTATCTCCCGGCTTCTGCAGCAGGACTTTGTTTTCTGATTGCGGCGCAGTGCCAGCAGCTTCGATCTGTCGTCGTCTTCGATCTTCCTCCCAGTACTGTGAGTATTCCGGATCAGGCTGGGTCGGCGAAAGCTCCTCTTGCTGTGAAAGTCGAGCCGGGGTCATAGGAACGGGCGGGAGGCTGATAACAGGGGGAGCCGCTGAACTGGAAGTACCAGGAGTCCTGACACTGGCAGGGGCAGTTTCTGAGTCAGATTCAAGTATAAACTTGAAAGTAAATGCCTGTGAACATAACGCATGAGTTCTATAAAGTATATTGAGCACACATGCACTCACGTATTCCCCAGGGACCAACGAATTGAATGTCATCGCCATAGAGATGTTTGTCCGGCCTTCGTTGCGTGAAGCCTTGCTGATTGCGGTTGCAGTGTTGCTGGACATGAGGGATGGGAGAGTGTAACAAGTGAAAGTGGCAGTACATTGGCCATCTGGTCTTTTGTGAATTCTTGATGTCGAGACATTGAAGTTGCGTAAATAGGGCTGAGATTGATATTGTGGAGGCAAAGTCAAGACGGGGCTCAAATTTGGCTCAGATTGGCCTCACACGTGATGTTCAATTTCGTGTTAGCTAGAGAACGTCATTTTAGCCCTAGTTTGATTCAATCTGGTCGTTATCTACTCTTGTCATTGTGCTATCCTACCAGCTACGTCAATTTTGCCTTCCTCCAGATTGGTGGTGTATAGTTCCAAACTTCGAGCCCATTTGCCTCAGCACTAAGTGCTTTGGTTACGTTACAATGTACTGCATTCTATACAAATGCGACGAGGGGTTAGCCTTCTCGTTACTTAGCTGCTTCTACCGCATCGCAGTAGCCCATTTGACCGTACACTGCAAGGGTGCCTCCTTGTTAGTACTTATTCGTAGACTGCGGAGACAGCCAGCTAAAAATGACAGGAAACCATATCGTACATACGTATAAGATAGGAAGACAGGTAAGTAAACTCGAGCTACAGATATGAGAAGGCGAAAGTGTGATACATCATCAAGGCTGCGGTCAAACAACTTATCACCATTGTGGTGAAGGATTCCCGTTGTGAGAGCCTCCATCTGGTCGTCTACGGGGCCAACCAGAATCAACAGGACGATTCAATTCGTTCCCACCCCCTCGACCACGACCCCTTCCACGACCCCTTGAACGATCGCCGCCTCGATGGCCAGGATCATGTCCACCACGAGAATCACGTCGCTCGTGATACTCGCCTGGTCCACCCCGGTCATACCCGGGACGCGAGTAATCCCGACGTTGATCAGAATTATTGGGGGGTAGTGGCGGATACATACCGTACATCGGGGGGGCGCCATTGTGATGTGGCGGTGGTGGCGGCTGCAGCGGGCTAATTCCCCATGACTGTGGCAATGGTGCAGAGACAAGTGGGGCAGCCGGTATCGATGGCGCTGGAGCGGGTGCAGGAGCGGGCGGTATAGGGATGGATAGACCACCCGGACCTTGCAGAGTTCGAATCATGAGCTGAATTTGCTCTGGAGTAAGCGCAGCAACTTCGGCTGCCAATGCCGCCGGTTCGATTTGCGGTGCTGCTATGGGAGGAGCAAGATTTGCCAAAGGTGGGATATTGGGTATAGGCGATATCGTTGGTACTACTGGAACAGGTGGCGAAATCGTTGGAGGCGGGACGGTTACTGGTTCTGGTGGTGGTTTCAGTTCTCCTTTGTTCAACACCCAGATGCCGATCATGTAGTTTGTCTGTCGTACTTTAGGTAAACGTAGATTGTCGAGAAGTTCCATGAATTCCGGAATTGGATCGCTCGAAAGTAGCGGAACAATGTAGAATTCACGTCCAGGGGCGTCCTTCGGTCGTGGTCCCCATGGAAATACCAACCCATGTCGTCTGTGAAAGAAAAACACATGAGCCTCGAACCTACGTATCAAGTCCAAGGAAACGTACCCTTTTCCTATTAAAAAGTCCGCGAATACCATGAAACCGTTGTCAGTTGCGTCAGGAGCTGGCGTGAAGGCCACGCCAATCAGCTCTTTTGAAGGATTTAATCTGACTTGAAGCAAGAACTGAGCCGACTTGTCAACTGGTACTCGGCCATCAATCCTAAGCAAATCCGCGGGGAATAGCGTACGCCAAAGCGGAGAGCCCACTTCTATTGGTCTTCCCCCCATCTGTCGCGCGACAATGGGTGTCTCTGTAGGAATCGAAGAATCCAAAGGCATTGTAATCTAAAATTGTGCAATTGATTAATGATTTATATCCTTGTGAACCGACGACTTGACACACATACCTTTCCTGACCACGCAGGTTCTGTGGCGTTGAATGCAGCTTGCAGGCCCCCCGGTGACAGAGGCCTCTCGGGTTCTTTCTCCTCCAGAAACATATCAAAGTCCCGATCATCAGCTTCTGCAATCGGCTCGGGGTCTATGGGCTGATCTCTGGACTCTTGAGGAAGGGAAGGTTCCTGCAATGTTTTCTCCTCCTTCGTGTTCTGTGAGGACCATATCGAGTTGAGGTCAAATGATGCGGAGAGGGGCGTCTCAGGAAGTGATGGACGCGACGCGAAAGGGGAGATACCTATGGTAGGAGAAGAGACGTTGAGGGTGGAAAGTTCTGGTGCTGAGACAGCAGGAGAAGCCGCGGATGCTCCGCTGGTAGGAGCCGCTTCTGCCATAGCATCGTCGTCAATGTTAATCAAGTCGGTAAGACTCAGTTCTGGTTCGACAGGTTCGGTCGTGTTTTCGTATGACGATGGTCTCGCTGAAGCGTATGGGTCCGCAGATGCAGCATGCACATCCTGCAATGGTACCGGAGGTGGCAAGCCCCAAGACGCGTTCTGCGATACAGAAGACTCAGGTGGAACAGACACAGACATTGTGCGCTGACGCGGCTGAGCGGCTCTGAGCCGAGCCATACGCTCCCTTTCCATCCTCTCCTGTTCTTCAGCTTCACGCTCGCGGTCTCGTTCACGTCGACTAGCAATCTCGCCATTAACATCCTCGATATCCTGCAGTCCCTTATGCGTGATCTTAGCACGGGGCGCTGTACTTTTCTGCAGAATTGAATGTTCCAGAGATTCCTGTTCAGCGATTTTGATAGATTGCTTCGTCTCCTCGTCCGCTAGATCAGTGGAAGACATAGTGGATATTTCTTTCGCGGATATCTTCCCCGAAACTATGCGCTTATGAAGAACGACACGATCAACTTTGCTAAGATTGAATTGTAACGTTCGAAATCGATCCCTATGACACGGAATAGTAGTCAGCACATGAGCAACAGTTTACATCTGCGAACAACTTACTTGTAACCATCTCCAGCGTGCTTATCTGAGTCACAGTATATTTCGTACACACAATGCTCAAGATCATTAGCAAACTGACGGGCAGCACTCAAAACAGCCTCCTTCTCTTCCTCAGTCAACTCCTCAGCCTTTTTCTCCACGTAGTCCGATCCCCCACCATCGTCTTTTATACGTACATGAGGATACTTGAGAAATATGTCGCGAAAGAGATCTTCGAACTTTCCGAGGCAGTACTTCCTTGTCGGATCTTCTGTTGATTCAGGAGAAGTCTTGGTCTTCTTTGGTGCTGGCGGGGGAAGAGGAGCAGCCTGGGCCTTGCGTTTGAGAGTATTACTAGGGCCCGGAGATTGATGAGAGGGTCGGCGGTTCCGAGAAGGCTTCTTGGAACTATCCGACTCTGACTCGGAGGAATAAGACAATCGACGAGTAGGCCGCTGGTGAGAACATGATAAGCTGAAAAACCCCGGGTACAACTGAATGTTACGGACCTTCCCCCCTGCTCTCGGCTGCGCGTTTTCTGCGACGTATTCGTCTTCACTGCTCGGGACATTCTCTGACTCTGACGGTTCCTCGACATCAGATTGGAGCGCCTTTCGTCGCGTAGTTGCCTTGGCCGGCACAGGAGATGCGACCTCTTCGAGTGCATTGGGTCCCTCCCATGTCACTGTAAAGTATAAGTCAGTGTCCATAATACGACGTCAAATGAGTTGACTGATAGAAACATAACATCTATCGCTCTGGCTCACGGTTATCTCGCCATTATTCTACATCTATGTAACTTCAGGGCTGCAAGTACGACTGGCAGATTCAGGATATGCCGTTTTCCGTCCATGAAACAGAAGAGACCACCACTTGCAGCACGTACATTGGATAGCACACGGTCATAAGATGTTGAGATATAATGCAGCGAAAAGTTACAATATATGGCAAAGCAACGACTACACGAGAACCAGAGCGAGAGGGAAGGAGGGAGATACTCACTTGCAGTACGACGACCAGTCTTCTCAGTACATCCGGGACAAATGTAGGCAGCTGAAGTAAACCAGAATGTCAGCACAGCTCCCAACCGTGATAGAATAAAATGGGGACAACGCTGCAGTTATCAAACATGGTTGAAAACCCGCATCGATAAGGAGAGGGGGAAGATCGGGGAAAGACCTGCTCACCTATATCTTCCGCTGTATCCTCGGTCAAATTCACACAAGAAAAATGGTACCTGTATCATCTAGAGTGAACATCGAGAAGGAATCGGAAACACGGAAGACGTACCAGTCGGTGCACTCAGCGCACTGTATCATCGGTGTTCCATCATCACCCTTCCTACAAGTGCAATACACTTTCTTGCTCTTGGTGACCTTGGTGCGTGTAGATTTGAGTTTGGTTCCCGATTTCTCATTTTCCTTCTCAGGATGAGGAGTCGCTTTGTGGGCGCTGTCACTGCGACCCTTTGACTTTGCTGGCTGTTTTACTGGTGAAGAAGACGACGGTGGTGTAGAGCCCAAGGCTGCTCTAGCTCGTGTCGTACGCGTGCTCATCGTCGTCGGAAAGCAAGTCTCACCGTTATCTGTGAGTGTGACTCAGATCGTGGCGTGAGAATCCAATAGACTTTGGGATTCAATAGGTACAAATAATTCACTTCCTTCGCGGCCCGGGCCCCGCACCTACACTGTTGCCTGCTTCTGCGTTATGCTCCTCACGTTGATGCCTTTGACGACACCTGCGAAGCAATGGACGGCTTATATATCTATTGAGGTTGACAGCGGTGGACAGTCAATATGATCCCACGGTGTTCTTGTACATATTCTGTCTCGGGCGGATATCATAGACAGGCTAGCTTCCTCCTGGGTTGCTCCGTAGATTACTCTGCTCAATGTAGCGTATGCTCTGGCTAGCTTTAGGCATGGTAACTTCTGAGCTACATAAATTGCGGTTGGTGCATCTAGGTGATCCCCAAAGCAACTGGATCAGGTTCGCCATGCGCGTTCATCGACAAAAAGGCTTGGGACCGGAACAAATGCTTCTTTCCACCGTCAATGTCATGGGTAAGCATCCACGACCCAATTTGGAGCCTTCGGGTAGTCCACCTGCACAGACCAAACCGCGTGGTACTCGCTGGCTGGGTCATGTTCGTAGACTTTTATAGCCGAAAAGCGGACGAATTCACCTACCATTTGGCTGTGTATTTCTGTTTTCGGAGAAAACGCGTCCCCACGCCCACACGTGATTGCCTCTAGGAGGGCACAGAAAAGCTCCTTTGGATCATCTGTGATCACCTCGAGGTGCTTATCAGCGACGCTGTACCACTATCCAGGGCCTTGTCTCCCTGTCTGGGAAGAGCTTCCTATGCCGCTGAATGAATCGACGAAGCGGTGGCGTTACGAATAGGGGACCCCATAAAGATGTGGACCTCTCCGTGTTGGTTCCATCCGAAATACAGACAATTTACGGACAGGGGTGTATTCCTGGTACATTGAGAGTGATGACAGTGCGCTGCGTCATCTCTGCATCATTCTCTAATCATTCTAAATTCAATCTTTGATCTAACAGAAGAGCTGTCAGCCTGATTTCACTCTCCAGTTTCAAAATCTTTCCCGTCCTCTCAACGGGCTGTCAATGGCGGGAGGTGGCGGGGGAGACGAATGGAGACCAGCCTGTTAATTTTACATATATTCCACGATATTCCGTGAATTTCCAACGAAAGGCAGCTGTTACAAGTAACACGCTTCCGAGGAGCGATTGAGGCCCAAATTTGTCAAAAAATCACCAGGAACTTCAACTGGTTGCCGTGATATGACCGATCGAACCGTCTTCTCCTTGCCCCCGACCTTGAGCTGTAGGCACCTTCCTCTCCCGTGCCGGCGCTGATACCCTGTATCGTCGCTGCGCCCAGCGGCGTCCACGACAGTTGTCGCCTTTCGTTGCTGTCCACGCCAAGCAGCGCCGCTGAACAGCCGCCCCGACCCGTGTGCTGCTTTCGATATCGACCCTTCATTTTTCCAGTCATCACTACAGTTGCCAACGTCGCGAGCTACGACGGTGCACACGACATCGAAGTCACAGTAGCATAGAATCGAGGTTGGATAGCTGTCCAGGTTCGTACTCTGCACTCATTGTCTAGGATTTGCCTTTCCCGTCCTACTTCTAGCTTTTGCTGCACATTCATCACTGTTCTTGCTCGCGATTCTTCTCGTAATGAATTGTTGTACTAACTTGGTTGCTTGCTTTCGTCACTACAGCGTCCGACTAGGCCTGGTTTCACTTTCCTTTCTACCCGCCATTCGCACTGATCGTTGTGCTGAACATATTATCGGCGACGACTCGTTTGTTCAAGTCCTGTCTGGCCATCACTGACAACCGACCATCTGGGCCTTAACCGTCAAGATTACACTTTGATTACCCCATTGTCTACTTCTGAACTCATTTCCGTGCCGTTCAATTCATACATGGCGGCTGCAGTACTTCCCAACGTCTCGGTCTCCGGCCCATTCCCTATGGCATCCCACCAGCGCATCTCAAACAACAAGATGCCTCCGACTGCTTCGTCCTCTCGTTCAAAACAGCCCTCCTCTTCTTCCTCTTCCTCAGCAGCAGCAGCGAATTCATCCACAAAACCGTTTACCCGCCTTCGTTCTTCCCTTGAGCAGAGTATTCGGACTGCGACGAGGTCTAAGAAGCAGGCACCTCCCATCGACGACTTCGCGACTATTACACCCAAGACCAGCAAGGGAAAGGAAAGGGAAGATCCACAGAAAGATAAAGAGAGACATGGGGTGCTAAGAAAATTGGAATCCAAAGTCAACTTCCGTCGCGGTGGCAGAGAGTCCGTTACACCGGCCTCTTCGCCCATTCCGCCTGCCGCGGACGAATCCACCGACAAGGTGCGCCTCGCCGGGTTTGTCAGTTTTGTAACGTCGTCACTCCGCCATGGATCTATGTCATCTCCCGCTCTCCATCTTTCTTCGCAGGCTCTGCCATCTCCCAATTCACAACCTGTAATTCCCACCTCATCTTCATCGACCAGCTCTGCCCTTGTTTCTCCAGCGCGACCAGCTCGAGACAGGACGCGAAGATCGAGCAATAACCATCCGTCGCAAATTTCACCACCAGCTCTCACCGATGGTCGCTCCGTATCCGGATCCAAGGAACCAGTACTGAGGCATAAGTCTACCAAATCCGCTCCTCACAATATCTCACCTCTACCATCCAGCCAATCGGTAGATCTAGCGACCCGTCCGCCAGGGACACCTTCAAAGCCTCGCCGTGAACTCAGTAGTCCTCCTGATACGCCGACACCTGCGTCAGGGTCGCGAGGGCAACTTTCACCCAAAATGCCTGCACAAAATTCAGATTCGCCATCTGCGTCAGCTTCCGCGATTCTACCGAGAAATTCGAGCCCCATAAGAGCTCGATCACCTTCCACTAGGAATCGCGTCGTCTTGCCGTCACAACGTGGCTTAACCTCGTCGTCTACTTCTCATCTTCCCACAGCTGGGTCGTCTCCTACACCCAGCGAACCTCTGTGGATTCGCGGCGACCGTCCATAGACTCTCCGCGGAGACCGTCAATAGACTCTCCTCGGCGGCCATCTACTGGATCCCCGAACTTAGCCAGAGACGAATCTCCATCACCAATTCGACCGCGACCTGTATCACCAAGTCAACGTTCATACGCTCAGAACAGGCACTTCAACATCTCAAGCGCTTCATTGACATCGCCTTCGGATCCCGTATCTCGTGAGCTTATTAGGTCAGCTACCACGTTGCTATGTAAGGAGGTCAATAAGCCTCCTGTGCATGCCACGCGAACGGAAGTAGGGGCGAGGGATTGGGAGGAGGTGGAGATCCGTATGCGTGCCTTGTCACGGCTTGAACGAATATGGGGCAAGAGTAGTGCGAACGGCAGTTCGAGCAATCTGTCTAACGTTGGTGCATTGTCATCCAGCGGACTTGGCGCAAGTGGCGAAGAGCGTGAACGTCGACTGTTTACGGAAGCACTGCGAGATGGTTTCGTGCTGTGCCAGTGAGTGTTGCAGTGCCTATGCTTCTATGCATATAGTTGACTTGATTCCTACCCTGCAGGTTAATGAATAAGCTCCGCTCAAGCTCAGTCGTGCGCCCTGACCCTCGCGAAGACGGTTTAGTCAGAAGTTCTAACATTACGAAGTTCCTCGCAGCCTGTTCCTCGTATGGGTTGCCTGATGACGACTTGTTTCAACGCGATGATTTAATCGAGGCTTCAGGAGAGTCATTGACGCGTGTCGCCACAACGATTATCGCGTTGATCAAGTTCGCCGAGGCTCCTATCGCCGATCCATCGAAGGTCCTGTCAGGTCAAACCAAGAAACCGTCTCCGGCAGGCCCTTACACTCAGGGTACGACTTCCCGGGCCGCCTCCTCCTCACCAAATCTATTCACCCAGAGCACTCCTCCGCCGACTCCGTCGCCTGGTCGCAAACGATGGAACCCGTCTTCCGGATTGCCCACTGTACGATCGGATAGTCCTGACGAGGCATCTGTCTCAAAGAGTCAAACACAACGAGATAGACCTATTGTCGACGATGATCGGAGCAAAGATATTGCAAAGGTGTTAACCCCTCCCCCTAGGTCTCCCCTTCGTGCTCGTTCCACCAAGACGGTGAATGAAGATGAGGATGGCCGTGGCCTGTTCACATGCGCCGTGAACCCTCGTTCTTCTGTCGCTGACTCTACTCGTGCTTCCATCGGCGACGCGTCCGTCCGGGACTCGGTTACCTCTAATCATTTCATTCGTCATTCTACTGTTTCGACCATGACCGATACCAGTACCGCTACCACAGGAACCATGTTCTCTAGTCTCTTGGACGTCGGAAGGGCGACAAGTAGTGTCTTAAACAAGTTCGGTACCATTCGAACAATCACCACTGAGGCTACTTCCGAATCACCCTCCATAAGTCGAGCGGAAGGCAGCTTTATCATTGAAGAGCTAGCTCGTAAACGAACGGATTCCAGTGGCAAGTATGATCGCAAGCTGAGCGATGCCGCAATTGTAGATCTTTCCAGGGTGATTGAGGAGACAGATGAAAGTAGCGCAAGCTCTAGGGGTAACGGTCGCCATAAAGCGAAGCGTGCTGCAGCAGAACCGGAAGCAGAAACAGAGGAAAATAAACCAGAGCGAGCTCATGCTCTTCGTCTTGGCAAAGGTAAATGGCCAGATGACTTCCTTGACGTTCTCCAGGCGCATAATCAACCTCGACCTGCCCCTGCTAAATCATCTACATCGTCCGATGACATCGATGATCGTTCCTACACCCCATCACCTACATCCACATCGGCCCCTCGAAAGCTTGCCATTGTCGGCTCTAATCGCCGGAATGAGAGTGTCGAATCTCTACCACAATTTCCAAGAAGACCCACTCAACGTGCACGTCATAGCATTGACTCACCGGTTCTCTTACCCCGTGAACCTTCCCTTCGCCGGGATGTCAGTCCCGACGCTGCCTCGTCAAGCAAGGCCATACTTCGACGACATAGTACCAAGCCTGCCCAGCGAAGTGGATCTCTCGTGCCCAAGAATGTCGATGAATCTCGGGGCTCGGATTCGGACAAGATGGTACCGTTTCCTCGAACAGCGTCTGGGGAGCACACTCCTCGCATTTCTCCACACTCCTCGTCCGGAGACAGCCCCGCCGGAAGTTCCGATGCCCCTCGTCCTCTCCGTGGTCGATTCCAAAGCGACATCGAGGGTAGCAGTAGGAGACGTACTCGTCCTAGCTCGTACGATGAATTGGGTGCCAAGCCTGCAAGATCCCGGATAGAGAGCATGGTCAACTTGGGTGTGGCGTCATCGGGGAACACAAGTGCTAGTGATTTGCTGTCGCGAGATTCGATGGAGGGGAGTGCGGTACGCAAGCCACTGATCATTCGAGAGGAGGGAAAGCCACCGACCCATTTCGTACGTACTCTTGAACCTCCGAAAACCCCACTGACTAAGACTTGATCCAGCAACTCGGTAATTGTATCGGTCGTGGTCAGTTTGGTTCGGTGTACAGGGCTTTGAACCTAAATACAGGACAAATGGTGGCCGTTAAACGGATTAGGCTTGAGGGGTTGAAGGAAGACGAGGTTACGACGCTGATGAGAGAGGTGGATCTTGTCAAGCGACTGTCGCATCCAAGCATAGTCAAATATGAAGGCATGGCCCGAGACACTGATACTTTGAGTATCGTTCTTGAGTACGTGATTTCCGTTTATTTACTCCGTGCTACCCTCGTCTTATTTGTGCCTATAGATACGCAGAGAATGGGTCCCTTGGTCAAACACTGAAGGCGTTCGGCAAATTGAATGAGCGTCTCGTTGCTAGCTACGTGGTCAAAATTCTTGAGGGTTTGCATTACCTGCATACAAGCGACGTTGTACATTGTGATCTCAAAGCAGCTAATATCCTCACCACTAAGAACGGCAACGTCAAGCTTTCCGACTTTGGTGTATCTCTAAACCTGCGTGCTATGGAGCGAGAAATTAAGGATGTTGCTGGGACGCCTAACTGGATGGCACCGGAGGTCATAGAACTCAAAGGTGCCTCTCCGAAGTCCGATATCTGGTCGTTGGCATGTACGGTGATAGAACTGCTTACTGGAAGACCGCCGTACGGTGATATCGCCAACAGCATGTCAGGTATGCGTTTCTTCAGGTCTAGTGTTCGTAATGTATTCATATACTTCGCCAGTAATGTTTCGCATTGTGGAGGACGAAATGCCGCCAATTCCAGATGGCTGCTCTCCTCTACTGGAAGGATTTCCTGCAACAATGTTTCAACAAAGATCCGGCCAAGCGACCCGGTGCGGATCTCCTCTGTGAACATGAGTGGCTCAAAAAGAACTGGGGTGCTCACAAGGCAAGTCTACTTACATCACACGTATTAGATGTTTCGTTGACTTGCCGCAATAGGAGCTTCGTCCGCAAGATAGCATCCCCTTCCTTCGTCGCGTCAGTGCAGATTTGCAGAAATCGGAGGCAGTCCGATTTTTGTCCCAGGTCGAAATGCCAGATACACCCCTGGGAGAATATCCCCACGACGATGCGATCAGCGGCTCACCTCCTCGTCGTCATTCCAACTCATCGGCTCGACCGTTGGCCGATAACGACATTTCACCTCGCGAACATACCTTTGTGAAAACCACATTCAGTAAACGTAAGTTTCTTTGATCGTCAGGTCTACATCACGCTAATAAGGGTCTCGTAGTAGCTATGACTTGCCGAGTGTGTCTTCTGAACGTTAAGAAGAGCGCTGTTCTTTGTTCGCAGTGCAGCCTTATCTCCCATTCCAAGTGTGCCCGTAATGCCCCGCCCACTTGCGATCCTCCGTGCTCAGCTATTATTATACGCCCAGTACGCCGAGAAGGGCAATCCCAACAGTGTTTACTCCAATCCAGCAGACCTGCTTCGCGACGGCCATCCTACGAGTCCTAATGTCCGACGTTTCTTACTGTTGCACATACGCACACCCCGCGGACAAGTATCGATGTGCCTCCTGCTACCCCAAACACAAGCGCTAACTCACAAGTGCCTACTGCGTTCAAGTTCATTGAAGCATTCAAGCGGTCGCGAAGTAACCTTACTCCAGATCAAGACTATTCCGTAGCTGGCTCGTCAGCGTCTTCTCCGGACAAGGCTAGCCGTACCAAGGGCCCCGCCTTGCAGCGGAAGTTAACGAGGGAGCGGCCACAATCGCTATCGAGCAACAGTACTGCACCGAATAGTTCTAGTCTCAGGAGTGCACCTGAAAGCACTGGAAGGAAGTCTACGTTTTCTACTGATACTGATGGTGGCACGCGTTCGATATCTCCCATTGAAGAGGGTGAAGTTCATTCACCGTCGAGGATAGCGTCCGGATTCTCAGACGAGGGTCATTTTCCTGGAGCTTTGGTCGATTCTCGTCGTCATAGAAAGACCAAATCCGCCGGTAACTGCATCGTGCAGTGAACATTTTCTTTCTTTTTTTCACTGTCCGTCCTTTCTCTCTATACTTGTGCACTAATCGCTCCTTGTTATGGTACATCACACTTTGTTTATATTATCCTTTGCATTACTCTCGTGTTTGACCCTGCATTCTGTATATTATTTCTTTTCTGTGCATACTACTTCTCTACTACATTGTGCAATAGCAATTTCTCAACCCCTCCGACTTCCCCCTCTTGCATACAGTACATATGTTACTCAATTCCCGTTAGATACACGCTTTCGCACTGGATGTGGACTTTGCCAGTGTACTGCAATGTATCGTTGTACAAACACGTTTCGAGGTCTGCTGAAGTGAGAGTGTCTGTGTAAGAAATGAATAATGTGACTGCACGCGAAGGAAAGAACCAGAAGACGGGAATTACTTTCGCGATAACCAATGACCTGATAAGGAAAGCTCGCGTTGATGGCGGCAGGCCCACTCCGAGAACGATTATAATGATTATTCGCGGAGTCTTTATGAGGATAACTCTCTTCGAGAAACTTTGATTATCGATCATCTTTCACATGATATTGTGTCGAACACTGTACGTCTACTTGGACCTTCTAACCAGACTTTAATCTTGGATTTGGACCTTGATGGCACCTTGCGCAGGGTCGGCAGCAACGTTGAAGGCATCGATAGCATCCTCAAGGGCAAAACGATGAGTAACCAGCGGTTTGACATTGATGAGTCCACCCGCCACGAGGCGTATTGCCTTCGGGTACTATAGGAAGATGAGTGGGCTCGTAAGCCTGGCACTGTGAAAGGGACTCGTATGCACCTGATTGGAATAACGGTATTGGAACCTGAGATCAATTTCATTTGCACTCAATTGCATGAATGGGAACTGTGGGTCATATATATGAGTGGATAGGAAGCAACCCTTGATTAAGGACTTACGTTCTGCTCGCTTTTACCGACACCGATAACGAAGACTTTCCCACCAAACTCCACCGACTAAAACGGCGTGGTCAGAAGACCCCACGGATATGAAAAAATGCACGCACGAATATTGCCGTACTGATGCTACTCTCCACACCAGTACATTCCAACGCAAGCTTCAATTCGCCACCTGCGGCTTCTTTGATCTTACTCGCCTGGTTTTTGGGTGCTAAATCACGTTCAATCAACACAGTTTTCACGCCGGGTACTAGTGACTTCGCAAAGTCGAGACGGCTTTGGAAGAGATCGGTGATAACGATGGGTTCGGCTCCTGCAGCGCGCGCAGCGAGAAGAGAGACTAAACCGATAGGTCCGGCGCCACTGGATCAACAGTTTTGAATATTAGCGCGTGAAAAAAGTGTGAAAACGCGTACCAGATGAGCGTAGGGTCACCGAGACGAAGCCCTGCACGATCGATACCTGCTAAGGCGACAGCCAAAGGCTCACACAAAGCACCTTCTTCGAAAGTCACATTGTCGGGAAGTTTGTGCAGCCATTGTTCGGGATGAACGTGCCAGCGTGTTAAAGTACCTAGAACACAAGGTTTAGGTGATGTGCTGTTAACATTAAATAAATTGATACTAACCGTGGTAAGGGGGAGTCGAAAAGAAGACAACATCAGGACAGCCATTATACTTTCCTGTGCGACAAGGTGTGCAGGACGGCTGTGAGCATGGAATTCCGACTTCCATTGCAACTCTATCGCCTACAGAGTCTGATGACCACGGCACTATTAATGAGCTTGCAAACGTACCGACTTTCCACTTTGTCACACCTTCTCCAACTTCAACAATCTCTCCTGCAGACTCATGGCCTGATCCACACTACGATCCCAATCAGTATCATTGTTACGAGATACAATAAAAGGTTTGCCCACCTCATCAGTGACGATCATGTCGCCGATCCTTCCGTGGCGCCAGAAGTGAACGTCGCTTCTGTCTCACGCATATATTAACACGAACTCGTTAGCATTAATGACGTCCGGGAGCAATTACCCGCAAATTCCTGTAGCACGAACATGCAGAAGGACCTGCCCAGGCCCCGGTTTAAGGACGAGGTTTCTGGACAAGGTGGAACTTCATGCGCAGGATTATAAAAAGCTGCAATATTGGCTTCCTTGTCTGTCTTCTCTCCGGGAGCTAGAACCTTAAATTCGGGATGCTGGAGGACTTTGAGGGGATTGTACAGTTCGGGATTGTTGGGCATATTTGAAGGTAAATTGCTAGGTGAGTGTCGAGTTGCTGGGGAAAAGAAGGAGAATGAATAGCAAGCGAACTTTTTCTACGGATGTAGGTCATTTGAGCACGGTTTCAGATCCGGGCCGCTTGAGGCCGCTGGGTGGTTAATCGTCAGGTGCGCAAGTTTTACATAAGCTGCTGTTTGATGCCATTTCGTGCTGATCAAGTATTCTCTAGTTGTGCTCGTACCTTCCTTAGAGCCCCAGGCTTCAGTATGTAGAGAATATGGAGCGCGAGAAACGGAAGGAAAAGCAGTTTTGCCTGATTTGCCAATCACCAACAAATACGGAAAAAACTGCCGGCCCGGCCAGCCATCTCCTGTTGAATAAACTCAACAATTCGTCTGTAAGCCGTGTCAACTATACCGTACAGAAGCTCTCGTTGAACAATTTGCAGATATTCGGCGTTTGACATTAGCATCCAGATACTGACCGACGTCGGCCTTTGCCAGCTGCAAAGCTCAGTGGTAAATGCAGTATTGACGCGTCATATCATCGCACTTACGTCGTGCTAAGTCAATTTTAGATGCCCGAGGATCGCTTGAATTACCACAAAACCATGGATCCATAATTATCCACCTCCATGACCAATGTCAACATGGGGAAAAGACGAAAGTGACAGTTCCGTTCCGCCTGCTGCCCGACAAGAACACTAGCCAAAAAAAAATGATCAACTAGGCACTCCAACTGCTTCCAACAGATGGCTGCACATGTCCGTCAATGTTTTGTTTTGGGTAAACCGAAATGTGGCAGTAACATAGCCGGTATACATAGATCATCTTCTAAGATGACATGGATCCGAGTTCCCTCGTTTTCATACCGCCATGTCTTCACTTATCCAGGAAACTGTGGCTGACTCCTTGCGTATCTCAAACTTGTCCTTTCGGCATCTTTTCTATGTTTGTGGAGGTGAGTTTTTTGGTCCTTTCCTTGTATCCTACCCTAATAACCCTTATCTAGCGTATTTTGTCTGCAGGGCGGTCTACTGGTTGATTGTATACCCGCGATTTTTTTCGCCGTTGCGTCACCTTCCTGGGCCGCCCGTGGGTGAACCCATCCTGGGCCAAGCCAGAAAGATATTCAGCACCCAGGTTGGAATGGCGGCGCGAGAATGGATTAACGATTATGGTTCAATCGTGCGGGCGGTGGGGCCAGTGGGTCTTGAACGTTTAATCTTTATAACTCCAGAGGGCCTCCACCAAATAATGTCCAGGCCCCTGGATTGTCCTAGGGTGAGAGCCTTTCCTTCTTTCTCCTTTGTATATTCTTACCGTCCGCCCCAGCCTCTTTACCTCAGGAATTTCTTCGAGCTTATCACTGGTCGTGGGTTATTGACCGTTATGGGTGATGAGCATAAACAGATGCGCCGAGTCATGAACCCTGCATTCTCTTTACAAAATCTCATGGCTCGTACGTGCTCTCCTCCTGTTATCTACTCGCCTAAACTATTCCGTAGAAACGGATATGTACTACGAACCCATCACAAAGTGCGAGTCTTCTCTTCTTCAATCATCAGCCGACATAACGGAACGTAACCCAATCCAGTCTTGTTAACATAATTTCTACCAAACTCGACATTAACGGCGGAAAAGGAGTCGTCCTTCCTATGTATGAATGGCGTAAGTCCTCTCCTCACTTTCCTTGTTCAGGTTCAACACACTAAGGCTGGACTCTAGTCAGCAAAGTCACTCTCGATATTATTTGTGAGACGGCTTTCGGATACCACGCGGACTCTTTAAACAACCCTCATGATGAGCTGGCCGAAGCATATGAGAGACTACTTAACCTTCAAACGGGTCCGTCTACATGCTGTTATACGAAGTTCTTCGCATGGCTGATGTCGAAGTTCTTCCTAGGCCAGAACATGTTTCGCTTCGTGTTCGCCATGACGCTTCCTGGCGGCCCGCGTTTTCTTTCATCAGACTTCGCATACAGATATCGCGCATTCTTCGAATATACCAGGTTCTTCGGCAGGTTCTTCCCTCCGTATTGTTTAGGAGGTTTTGAACGTGATTATCCAGCTCCCTTCACTGAGCTACTCGATAGCATGCATCGAATTCGCAAGATCTCTCGACAAATATTGTCCGAGAAGGTGAAAGACTTGGAAGAATCCGGTATATCCGCCAACGACATGCATGCGAAGAAGGACATTATGAGCCTCCTAATGCGCGCCAGGGCGAGTGAGACGGGCCAGCGCGGGTATGCTATGAACGATAATATCATGGTTGACCAAGTGGTAAGTTAACTTGATGCAACGGAAGAGCAAACTTGACCTGATCAACTCATATAGCTCACTTTCCTTGGCGCTGGACATGAAACCACAGCGAGCGGCTTGACGTGGGTAAGTATGATTCCGTTTATCATGCCCATCAATGTCCTCACTTAAGACTAGACGCTTTGGCTCTTGGCAAACAATAAGGAGTATCAATCAAGACTGCGCGAAGAAGTTACCCCTGTGTTCCAGGAAAATCCAAGGCCCGATTATCGAACCTTGAACGGACTTGAGTGGCTTGATTGCGTAGTGTAAGGGTAACCCTTTTATTGTCCTGTCTTTTGCTCATACCATCTATGGTTTAGAATGGAAAGTCTGCGCGTCATGCCGCCGATACCGACAACTGTAAGAAAGACCGCAACAACGGATTATATTGACGGCGTCCTGGTACCAGAAGGAACGCTTCTGCAAATTTGTGTACGAGCTTTTATGATTTATTCGTATTCTGATAGACTCAAGTGTGTACAGATTCGCCAGATTAACACGTGGAAACAGGTTTGGGGAGAGGACGCTGAGGAGTGGGCTCTCACATTCTACTAACTCTTCGTCGTGGTGCTGACAAAGTGTTTAGATTCCGACCTGAACGATGGTTCAATTTGCCCAAGGCATATAATCCCTCGTACTCTCATCTTTCCTTCATTTCCGGACCTCATTCCTGTATTGGAAAGACTATGGCTATTATCGAAATGAAAGCTGTGTTGGCGTAAGTGGAATAAACTTGATGTTATTTAACCTGATGGCGAGCTTCTTGACAGTTCATTAATCCTGAATTTTGACTTCGATCCGGCTTACCCTGGTCAAGAGGCCAAGCCTGCATCTGCCATCACCATGAGTAAGTCGTTGATATTAGTGAGATAATAATTGTTCTTGATGGAGAAATTTTTCGATAGAGCCGACGGACCGCATGCCCTTGACTGTTCGTCGCGCCTAATCTAATAACAGTCTTGATATAGACTTGCTTTCATTTCCTCTTTTACTGGACTCGATCTTCTTAGACAGGTCACCGGAGTTTATTGGACACGCTTTCCTAGCGGTATACATACGTTCTTTACCTTTATGTATTCCTTTCGTCAGTACTAACAGAAGGTGTTCCCTAACGATCACCCTTATAATTCACCGAACTGAAGCATATCCTCCATCGACAGGGAAAAGCTGTCCCGTCATGAAATGCGATGCATCGCTCGCCAAAAATACCATGACCGGCGCAAGGTCTTTTGCCGTATCTCCTATCGAGCCCAATGGGAACTGTTCCTTTAACAACTTATCGTGCGCGGCCCGTTGTTCGGGCACCATTGCCTCGATATACTGTTTGTACCTGAGCAGAATCAGCAATCAATAAAAATCAAGAGCGGAGTGCCGCCCACATTGGAGTCACGACATATGGAAGAACAGCGTTGACCCGTACGCCAGCCGGACCCCACTCTCGGGCCACACTGCGCGTCCAAGTATGCACTGCGCCCTTTGAAGATCCATATACAGCATTATTCACCTCGGACGTCAATCCCGCTTCTGACCCGAAGTTAATGATGGCGCCACCGCCCTGTTCACGCATGATCGCATACGCAGCATCATTGGTGTAGATGGTGCCGAATACGTTGACTTTGAATATGCGCTCGAGGACATCTGGCGATACATCATGAGCGGGTACATGCCTGTGTATACCAGCATTGTTCACGAGGACGTCGAGCCCGCCCATTTTCGCGGCGGCCTCTTTGAAGACTGCGTAGACTTGCGTACGGTCACTGATGTCTAGATGGGCATACGTGACTGTGCCTAGTCCCTCGGAGGTCACTTCCTGGGCGACAACCAGTCCGAGTTGATCGTTCACATCGACGGAAGTTACGGTCGCTCCTTCCGCAGCATATGCGCGAACTATGGCTTCGCCGATGCCCTGGGCACCACCGGTAACGATTATCCTTTTGGACTGGAGCTGCATGTACAAGACGAACCTACGATATCAATGGTGCGTCCACAATTCAGTAATGCGGCAACGTACGAGACAATCACCGATTCGATGCAAAGGGAAGTAATTGGGACAAGCATACAACGTCCGTCCGAATTTGCAGAGCGTGATGGGAACTTGGCTACTGGCATACCTTCATTTATAAGGACTTCAGGCATGCGTGGCTGTTCTCCAAACCGCACTCACCCAGAGACTCGGCATCTAGAACAAAGAAACTTGTGACCCATTCATCGTACGATAAGTCGCATCTGTGAGACCAAAATCCGCATGTACTCGTCACTGGAACTCGTCTTCTGTACCAACGGCCCAGTGAACCATAGGGAAACTGGTCATATTCCAACAGTCACAGCATAAACGGAGATAAACGGCCCCGCAGACCTGGAAGGAAGTAAGTACGTGGAGCAGAGAATAACTGAGCAACGGCCCGCTCTCAACTTCGAGCTCAGGAGAAACATAATACCGAGTACATAAAGCATATCCCTGCACAGCTGCCATTTGTTTCTACTAGAAATCGGCAACAAGGAGGTGAATTTGACGCCATTCCAACATCACTGACCATCCCGACAGAGACCTGAGACTTTAACTATAACTTACATTACCAAAGTCGGACTCCCAGATTCAGAGCGCAGCAGCTAGTAGGACAAGTCCTGCTCAGAAATTCAGCATAGCCTCACTACAGAATCATTGCTCTTTTCGCAATGTGAAGTACGGGATACACGTTGACCCGGAGCCGTGGGCGGAGGGGCAAAGGGACACTCGTCATCTTGACAACATTCACATCATGAATGCAGGGAGAAAGACAGCGCTGCCTGTCTGGAAACGAGGTAAAAAGTGGTCAAATTTCCCTTCCTGCATTCAAGATCCCTACGAACAAGATTGATACGAACATGATTTACAATAGTGTGGACCAATTTTGTGCCATACCCATACAAAATGTCCGTGGCCTGGTACTATATGAATAATTGCTGGCCACACTCAAAAACTGTTCGTGGCGATGCACATCTTACTTACTGTTCCGCGACTGAGTATTTAGAAAGTCGGCACGTCGAACGTTCCCGGACGATCTAAAGCAAACATCAGCCAAATCAAGGAAGGAGGTCCTTCAGAATTTACCTTGACCATTCGCAAGGATATACTCCTTATCCTTTTGGGCGAGGTGCTTCAAGTAGCTCTCAGTCTCGTGGGCCGACACCGCAACCTTGGAGTTGTGAAGCGCGCCACTTTGGATAGCAGCGATGGCAACATCGTAGCGGGACGTGTGGTTGCACAACATCATCTACAAGAATTTGAACTTTCCTAGTCAACGTAACAAAACAGTTGAAACATACGTCAAATGGTGATGTAGTCGTTCCTTCTTCAATGTAACCCTGAATCGTGACCCTATCAAGTCCGGCCCGACCGAACAACAAACCCTTCAACTCCATGGGATATCCATGGTAATTAAAGAGAACTGGCTTATCCTTGGTGAACAACGAGTGGAAAGCGTCCTCCGTCAGGGCATGGGGGTGTGATCCGTGCGCCGAAAGAATCATCAAATCTGTAACATTCACAACACGGACGCGGAGGTCGGGAGCGTACTGGCGGAGGAGAGCGGCAGCGGTAATAACTTCAAATGTCACTTCTACGCCGATACCGACGAGAACACTAGGGAAAAGATTAGACCGGATGAGATTCGGAAATGCAGAATGAATGCGTACACATCGGGACTGACACCGTCGTCAACACTGGCGAACTTCCAGACAGAAGCACCGGCAATACAGTGCTAAAAGATACACCTAGATGAGCAAATCGAACCTAGAGAGCTGTAGTGTCCACACTTACGCGATCAGCCTCTTCAGGGGATAGCCAAACAGGTGTGGGCTGCTTGCTACCAACCATCAAGTTGATGTAGTTCTTTGCCCTCAGACAATGAGAGACAGTCGACAAGAAACAATTCGCGTCAGGCGGAAGATACACACGGGCGGAGGCGGCCTTGAGGTTAAGGACGGCCCCGATGAACGATGGATTCTGATGGGAGAACCCGTTGTGTTCTTGACGCGTCCATGTAGACGTCTCGAGGTAGTTGATGGAGCCGACGTCTTGTCTCCATGGCGTCTCGGAGGCCTAGAGATGAATATAAGCTATTAACATTGACTTCCGATTTGACGTCGGTTTGGCGCACCATCTTGGCAAACTTGGCGTACTGCACCATCATCGTGTGGACGATACCCAAGAACGCTTCGTAACTCGGGAAGAGACCCGTCCTTCCGGTGAGCGTGTAGCCTTGAAGCATACCTTGGCAAGTGTGCTCCGAGAGGATCTCGATCACTAGATAAATCATAAATAAAGACGAAGCATTTGCGTAGAAAGATTGCCAACCTCGACCTCCTTTTGCTCTAGAGGCGATATCCCACTGGAAATTACGGCCGCTATTATCAAGGACAGCGTCCAATTTGTTAGATACCAGTTCATCAGGAGAGAATATCCTGAACGTCGAGGGGTTCCTGTGGAATAATGGTGAACATTGAAAACAAGGAGAGACCGAAACATAGCGTACAGATTCACAACCTCCTTCAAGTACCGTCCGACAGACTTCATGCAGCTCTCCTCCGACCCTTTCTTGACACCAAGGTCAGTCCATTCGGGCAGATCGAGCGGGACGTAAGCCTTATAACTCTCTTTCTTCTGCCCCAACCTCTTCTCAGCATCTATGGGAACAATGCTGAGAATCTCCTCAGTTGGGGAACCCTCCTTGGTGAACAATTCCTCAGGCTTGTAGCTCTTCAACCAGCTCTGCAGGGCTGCGAGTTCCTCGTCAGAGGTCTTGGCGTTAGGAAGGGGGACTTGGTGGGAGTGAAAAGATCCTTCAATAAGTTCACCATGGAACTCCTTCGGACCTGAAAGACCCTTAGGTGTACGGAGAATGATGACGGGCCAGCGAGGTTTCACGATGGCTTTTCCGGTACGAGCAGCAGTTTGGATCTTCTTAATTTCGGCCAAGGCCCAGTCCATAGATGCAGCGAGGTCATTGTCGATGTTCTCAACATCGGAAACAACTCGTGGTTGGTAGCCGTAACCGCTATTGATGATGACATCAAACTAAGTTCGTAAAGGGAAGATACGGAAACGCGCTTACGTGAAAAGAGCAATCATCTCCTTGTCGTCCATGGTTCCATAAATGGTACGCTCTGAAATCTTGAATCCATTGATGTGTACAATAGGGAGCACAGCACCAGACTCAGCAGGATCGATGTACTTGAACCCGTGCCAAGCCGTGGCAGTGGGTCCTGTCTCGGCCTCACCGTCACCAACGATGCAGGCGACGACAAGATCAGGTTTGTCCATGACGGCACCGAAAGAGACGCTAAGAGCGTATCCTAATTCACCGCCCTCGTGGATGGCACCTGGAGTTGCAGCATTGATGTGACTACATGCTAAAGGTGTGAAACGATGAAGAGTATAAGTTTACAAAATGCAGCACCTAGGAAAGCCTCCGGGTGCACTGAAGCCGGCAACAAGCTTCTTGAGTCCACGATAATTACGAGTGATTTCCGGGAAAAATTTATTCATAGAATCCTCCAGCCACAGACAGGCCAGAATAGCGGGTGCACCGTGTCCTATAGATAACATCAATTGGGTTCAGTCAGCAGACGAAATTCCGGTACCTGGACCGACAACATAAAGTGCCTCGAGACCAGTTTTACGAATGATTCTGTTGAGGTGTGCATACACCATGATCAACCCGGGACATGTTCCCCAGTGGCCGAGAAGGCGAGGCTTGATGTTATCATGGGTGATAGGCTTCTCGACCAGAACGTCGTCATTGAGAAATATCATAGCTGGGACGGTAAGCATCATTTTGAAGCGCATACATGCAGTTACTCACCAGTAGCAATGTAGTCGGCGGCACGCCTGAACTTCTGCAAGGCGTGAAGTTCATTACTAGGAAGGTAGTCCTTGGTATTGAGCTTGACCCCAAAGCTCTCAAAGACGTCAGGAAGCTGAGACGGGTCAGGCAGAGGGTTTGCTTGGAAGAGAAGTTGGCCAGGCATCGTGTGAGAAGGAAAGATGTAGATATTGGCATTGCGAGGGTCCTTATACGTGCGATGTCTCGTAGTTTGAATTTGTTTCCAGACCGTTCCGCGGCAGGACCTGGCAGGATCCACCACGGCTATTCGGACCGGCGGCTTAACTGTCAACAGTGACGTAATGACCTAGGTTAGTAACATCACTGTTAGACCTATTAGAGGGCCCGAACGCCTCTCTTCCACCCATACATGTACCATGTCTTCAAGAACAGGACTCGTCCTCGCCGTCAATGCAGGCTCGTCGTCGCTCAAGATATCTCTCTACGAGCTTCGAGAAAGTCCAACGCCGTGTCTGTTACTCACGTCTTCAATTTCAAACATCACTGCTCCACCTGCCAAAATCTCCTTCAAGCTCGTCTCGACGGAACCTAAGAATACTGTTTCCAATGTCCCGTCCATCACCGACCATGCATCCGCCTTTGCCCATTTCCTGCATGTGCTCCAGGGTGAAACAGACATCGACAAAGACGCCATTGTGAATGTCTGTCACCGCGTTGTTCATGGCGGGGATTACAGTGATCCTGTCGTTATCAGCGATGAGACCTATCATCATATTGAGAGGCTCACTGATCTCGCACCATTGTAAGAACCCAAATTCTACCTCTTATTTTCCTGGTTACAAATGTACTTTTCAGACACAACGGTGCTGCTCTTACAGTCATCACTTCCTGCATCTCTGTCCTTCCCAACGCTAACTCTATCGCGTTCTTTGATACGGCCTTCCATCGCTCAATACCGCCTCATATAGCCAGTTATGCCATCAACCAGGCCATAGCCACGAAGCGAGGTCTCAAAAAGTATGGTTTCCATGGACTTAGCTGTACGTCTTCCTCGTTTCTCGTCTTCGAGTCTGAATCCCATCAGACTCCTTCATACTTCGATCCGTCGCGGAGTTTCTGAGCAAGGTATATGTCATATGATTCGCCCGAGTTCTGATTCTATGTCTTCTATCAGCCTCCGACGGAGCTCAACCTCATTGTCCTTCATCTCGGCTCAGGCGCGTCAGTGTGCGCAATAAAGAACGGTTTATCGTACGACACATCTATGGGGCTCACACCACTTAACGGCCTTCCGGGAGCAACGCGTTCGGGTGCCATTGATCCCAGTCTCATCTTCCATTACACAAATAAAGCCGGAAGAATCAGTCACGACCCTAAGCTCGCAACGCAGGTGCATGTCACGCAAGTAAGTTTCTTCCTATTCGCCACTGTTCCACAGGATAAGCATTAACTCGACCACCTAGGCGGAATACATCCTGAACTCCCAATCAGGATGGAAATCTCTTACAGGGACAACTGATTTCGGGCTTGTTACCCGGCGGGCGAAAGAGGGCTCGGAGGTTGACCAGCTTGCGTTCGATCTTTTCAAAGACCGTATCCTCAATTACCTTGGGTCTTATCATCTGAAGCTCAACGGTTGCGTTGACGCAATAGTCTTTGCTGGTGGTGTCGGCGAGCGTAGCGTGGAACTCAGAGCAGTTATCGCGGATAAATTAAAATGCTTAGGCTACTATGGCGTTAGCGACGACAATGGGAACGTTGATAGCAAGGCTGATCAGGTCGTGATCGATATCAGCAAGGGGACCCCAGAAACAAAGCGCATTTTGGTATGCCGTACAGATGAGCAGGTGGGTTCTTCTATTGTCTATTACCGGAGTTATTCCTAATTGGATTCACAGTTTGAGATGGTGAGACAGTGTGTTCGCAATGACAAGTTTTGGCTCAGCGAATGATAACGAGTAATGTAACACATCACACAATCAATTAATTCTATGTATCTATTAATTGGCGATATAGAACAGAGATACGCCAGACGGAATGTTCATTGGTCTTTGGATCAGAAAAAGATGGCTTCCCGCGTAGGCGCAGTATATTACTCTTCAACAAAGCATGGGTATATGCCGGGCGGGAGTCATCGGTCTCGATAGACTCATAGTTATGATTATTGTAGCTAGGGTCTGGTCAACAAAGCGGTTGGTTCTTGTGTCCTTGTTTCAATAACCTTTTGATGGGATGATTCTTCCACTTTCACTACCTCATTCGTAGGATGTGAAGGGATGGAAACTTAAGACTCTCACCGCGATATATTAGCTCAGCTTGTTGCGTAGAGGTATACGTCGAAAGGGAGGCTATGACCCCAGGGCGGGAGAGTTCGGATATCATAGTCTTCGTTTGCGTGCTTGAAAAGACTATGGTACATTGTTAGGAAGAAACTGAATCAACCGCTGATCGCGACTCACATTTTATCTCTCAGGTAGTGTCCATTAATAAGGTCCACCGTGAAATTTTTGGTATCCGCTGCTTGAGAAAAGCATCAACAACGCTCTTACATTTCAATAGTCCTTCAGAAAGCCGTATCAAGCGTCAGACGGCTCGACGATACTCTCAAATTTCACTAGGGCACCCTGTGATATTGTGTCCATCCAAAGACGAGGCCCGGAATCTCTAGGAATTGCTTTTCTTGTTGAGCTCTTGACACCGTCCTCCCAACGTTTGTGCTGTAGCTGTATGATCCCTTCTGCAAGATCATACGCGACCTTTCACTCCACCTCCCCACTAGCAACTTGCAAACACTGTGGCAACGTCGTACCAGTCTCGTAAATCAGACTCAACGATCCTTATGAAAATGAGTCGTTCATTGGATGTAGGATCAACCGTTGGATTTTGGATCCTGTTCAGCATCTTCGTCAACCTATTGTCACAGAGAAAAAGAGAACCACTGACAGATTGCTGATGCGAAGGACAGAAATTAACACACGTAGTGATCAAGTGAATAAGTATGACACGTAGCGCCGCGTCAAAACAAGTATCATATAAAGCGACGGTAATGACTAAAGTTCATGAAAGTCTGGAAAACATAATAGTACAATGGAAACTGTATATAACACAAAACCACCATGGTCTCTTTAGAATATGGTAACTCGTAAGAGTACGAATGACAGGGCTTTCACAAACACCCATACAAGAAGTAGCGGCAGGTATGGCAGAATTACAAAGACGATCAGATCTCTACAGTAAGAATTGAGTGATGATACGCCACTGAGCAGATGATTCACCGCTCACCGTAAGAATAGTACATAGCGTATTATTACAAACTAGCTGAGGGAATCACTGTTGGTGGCACAAGGGTATACAATATATAGATAGAGAAAGCAGTCGAACTACAAATGTTCAGTGAGGCCTGATGATGATATCACTAAGCTTGGCCTATCCAAATTGGGGTCAATGACAGGGTAATAAGCTGATGCGCTGTTCTCGTAGATCGGGTTCAGTCCCATGGAAGACTGTTCAGGCGGAAAGAAATAAGGATCAGGGAACATAGATGTTTGCGGCGGTTGTTGTTCCATTATGAGTTGTTCTACTGGTTGAACAGAATCGGACGATGAGCGTCTTGAATCTGTTAAATCAACCATTAGCGACGACATGAGAGTACACAAAGGCTGAATGCACATACCAATATCCATGCGAACGGGAATCTTCGGCTCGGTGATTACATAGATGAGGGTATCCGGCGGAAGAACATGATTTACATGCTCGGTCAACGCACACATAATTCTTACGGTCGCAATGTGTGCAAGGTCTACAACAAAGTTAATGAGATACGTTGCGTTACTGACAGCTGAGAGTAGCCTACCGTTCACCGTTACAACGTATCTTATCTCGCCTAACATCTCCATCAGCTCTAAAGTACTAGCAAGTAATCTCCAACCTACCTGCAGTTAAGGCAGGCCTACATTAGAATAAAATAAATAAAGGTACTCAGAGAGGCATAATACACGAACCTGCTTGACTCGATGCCCATGACCACCCTGCCTCTTTGTGTTGATACAATCTTCATTAGCATTTCGACACGGGCCACACGGCCTTAAGTCATCGCATCGTCGGTTGGACTTTCCGGCAACCTTCGCAGCGTAACTTGGTTGATTTGGGCCCTCGCTCCAACATTACACATTCCTTCTTTCGGATTACGCAGCGCCCACAAGGCCGTTGCTCGTCGCACTTGGGTAGCATTTTGAGATCCCCTATCCAAGGATACTATGACAAGTGACGTACCTTCTTATTGTCCTTACGACACGCTTCGCACGCGAGCTTGACCCGTTCCCTACCATTCGGTCGGGTGCTCCTAGACGGAAGGGAGTTCTGTTGAATGCTTCGCCGTGCATCTGCATTAGCATCGACGCAAGGTAGACCCATCTCCCGGCAGCGTTGGCATGGCGCTCCATCTTCACACCGCACCCTCGCCTTCCTACAAGGTCCACAGCCCGTCACACATTGGTCTGGTGCATATCCCTTCTTCGTGCATACGCCACAAGGTCTACCGGCCCATATGAGAGGGTATCAAGCAGCGCAATCGAGCTAGGATCAAACCTGTTCCCGTCGCACCCGACCTTATCACGTCTAGAATAGGAACTTAATGAACTTCGTCAGCAGCAGATGGGAGTATTACCTGCAAGTTGAGCAAGCCTGTGCTGGAGATCAATCGCGATCTGAGAGTAGGACAACGAAACATGCATGCCTGGTCCGTGCGTTTGCCGTTCTTCAATGCCTTTCCCAGCGAAAAACTGAGGAGAGACATGTCTATCGGCTGCTGGTGCGGGAGAAGGTGACTAGGTGGATTCATGGTGGTAAAGGTCCAAAAAGGATACCCCGCTTAATTGGGAAGCGACGCCACATCAAGGTCCTCCGATCATTCTGGATCATCCTGGTATTTTGCCCGGCAAGTATCGCATCTAATTTAGAGAAATATACATGTATACAATATACATATACGGCATACATAATGCTATACGCAACGGTATTATCCCAGGCTACCAGTAGTTACGGGGATGCTGCTTGAGCTTGTAGTTATAGTTTCAGCTGTGTTCGTAACAAATCGTTGGGTAAGTAAGGCATTGGATTCGCTAGCAACAGGGGAGGAAGCAACTGTCGAAAGAGCTGCAGACTCTGTTCCAGTTTCCACGCTAGTTCCTGAATCAGCGCCGGTTCCACTGGTGGAACTACCCCCTGCGCTATATACGGCGATGTAGTTGATCTTCCATTTCGCAGCTAAAAAGAAAATCACTAAGATGAAGGAGAATGCATGCACTGATGCACTAACTTTTGTAATTTTTTGGATCTTTGACAGCCTCAGCGCACGTTCCTGGGCATCCCGCACCAGAGTAGGTTGCGTTAGCCCAGTCGCCACATAGTGTGGTATCGATAACCAGACTGTGATTTATGAAATGTGTCCCTGTATCACAAGAGTTATCGTTTGGTAAGAAAGCCGCAGGCTTTCCCCAATTCGCAGGATCGGGCGTCCCAGCAGTAATATCATCAGTTATACTCGTCTTCGGAAAGTGCCAGATCCGAATCCCTTCATCATTCCACAAGTGTGCAAAGACACCGCCTCCAATCTGATTGAATTGTTTGCCGTAGCTATAGTTAGGATTGGCTGTGTCCACCATTCCACAGCCAGAATTATCGGCGTCGCTAACGGCACACTGTTGATTACTCTTTTGATTACTGAGTTTTGCTGTCATGTCGTCACTTGCTTGTATCGTGCATCCCTCCCCAGTGTGGAATGTATACTGGTTGGCATTAGCGTTGTGAACATTCTCCAGGACATCAATTTCCCCTATGAATGATTCAGCTTGAAATCAACCGATAAAAAGCATGGATACCCTGGTGAGGCCAGTTGTCACCAACTGTCCTGGAAAGCAACGTATGAGCAGCATGAAAACTAGTTTTTCATGACGGGCCGTACCACCAAGCAGGCCACACAGAGCATCCATAAGGCATGGCAGAGAAGGAAGCTATAAACAGTCCACTATTATATGTCTTGACTGAACTGATGCGGACACTGGACATCCAAAAAGTCGTTAATCTGACCCCGGAAAGATGAATGGATATCAACATACGAATCGCGATATTCACCATCTCCTAAGGTCGTCGTATCATCAACAGCGAGCGTTACAATGCCATCATCACCAACGAACGCTAATTTCTTCTCCATTGCCGCCTCCATTGCCTGATAATTAACAGAACCGTGGGTCGGATCTGAATTTGACCAGTATTGCCATTTCCTGTCACAGAAATTCTCAGCCAGCATCATTCAAGGCTAGAACTACCCACTGAGGGTTCAGGAAGTCTTTTCCCTTGTATATATCGAGCAACTGATACGTTCCGCCTGCGGTTTGGTCCGTAGTATCCGACGCGCCCGTAGTCGGTGCAGGATTGGCTGATACAGCAGCACTAGAAGCACCAGTATCGGTAATCTCTGGCGTAGCGGCTACCTGCTGCCGCTTAAGAGGTGTATATTTCGACACGTCTATGTCTGATAAAGTCGTAGGAGATCCGTGCATCAAAACCGTTACCTCAGGTTCTCTCCTATGAACAGAACCTGAGGTCGAAGAAGGCGGATACGCTTCGAGATAATCCAAAGAGTCCATTCTCTTGGGTACAGCTTCATTTTGCACAGGATGGACAGGTAAGGAAAGCGAGAGGGTCGTAAACAGAATAATCGAGAGGGCTAATTGGAAGATGGGTAACATATCAGAGAAAGATTGGACAAGAAACCAGTTCTTGCAGCTTCTAAGGTCGGCTCGTGAGTGTGACCAGCACTTGAGACCGTGGAGATGTGAAAGTAACATTGACATTGAGTTGGTGCATGCTTTATGTAGGCCGCCGGTCAGAGATGCGCATTACCATTTTTAGAGATGGACCGAGGGTTGCGATGCCTTTGAGCGTAATTTTGCGGCTAAATTAGCCAGGCCAGTGCCAGTCGGCCATGGGGACTGTTGATGGTGACTATGAGGACCTAGGCGGAAATCAACAGAGAGCAATCAACAAGCTTCAAGACCGATTTATGTTCTCGCTGGCTGGTCCTAAGTCTGAAACACAGGTCATACAGAGTTGCAATGTTGGCCAGGCTGGCGGGAATTTCAAAACGAAAAAAGAGCTATTCTCCCTGTATAGTGTTAGGGGACGGAAGTTTCTTAGCCATTCACAAGACACGAGCATGCGAGATGGCGCTGGTTAGTCGTGTACAGAAGCAGAGTAAAGTGCACCAGATGTGCATGGTTACGAAGGTCGAAGGAACTTGAAGTGTAAAACTGTCAAGCCGCGGTAAAGGTGTTCCGGTTGATCCGATCCGCTTACTAGAACCGACTCAGGGTCAGCTGAAGCTTCAAATTTTGATTATTGAATGCTTGAACTTTCATGCATTGCATGAACGAATTCGTTACTTCAAAGCAAAGCTACGTTTTTCTCTGGTGTATATAGATTGTGGTATCCTTCGATATATCGTATATGCAGTTCCTTTGCTAGTCATGAGTCGTCCTTGACTATTCAGAACCTGATGACGCTGAATCTTCTCGAGTCGACTCATCTGTGACGAATTTAAAGTTCTGCAGTAGACCCTTGTGCATGTTCCCGGGTGGCGACGCCCACGAGGAAAGTTGAAACAAGAATTTGCGGCGTTCGACGAGCCAGATATTCTGCTTATTGTCTGCTGCGCATTGCACTTGCAACAAATTTCCTCGCTTCACGAGGCCCCATCAGATTCTCCTATAGCATTGCAGCCGCCTCATTAGCCAACGACTCGAGCTCAAGCTTCTTCGGCAACCCGAGGCCAATGCGATGATCATCGCATTCGAACAATGGTGGTCACGTAGGGTCTTGTTATTACATCAGTGACGCCGGAATTCTCGTAACCAAGGGACAGGCGGGCTCATTGTACTGTACTTACAATAATTCTGTGCTGTGTTACGGTTGTGAACGATCCACGTGAAAATAAAGAATAGAAAGGCCGCCTTGTGGCTTTTGAAGTCCACCGGTCATCCTGCTTCTTCTTGTTCTGGTTTAGACAAATTATCACGTCAAGTGTGTTATATTCCACACAGCTCGTTACGAACCGCCATACGTAGTATACCTGTATAAAAAATTATAACCCTAATGAAACCCGGTCCTTGTAACAGCAATTAGATACCGAAAAATAGCAGAATAGACCAGCACGATCAACGTTAGATAAAGATAGATGCGACCGGGCATCGCAGTGTATGCGTTTATGATACAGAGCTTGAGAGGAAAAAAGACGTGTAATGATCGTGATGTGCATGTTAGAATGCGCTCTCCTTATGACTGATAAACAGCAATGTAGTTGAGGGCCCACTGGGCGTCTAAAAGGTATTATCAACATTAATACGACGAATCACTAGAATGTTAGAAAGGCATACAATCGAAGTTGGTAGGATCCGCAACTGCGTCCGCACATGTTCCGGGACAAGATCCACCGTAGGCAGCACCGGCCCAGTCTCCGCAAAGTGTGGTATCAATGGTGAGGCTGTGATCGTAGAAGTGATCAGAGATACTACATGATGTGGAGGGGAAGAAGGCGCTAGGGGTCGACCAAGATGATGGATCCGGCGACTGAGACGTGATGTCGGCGGGTATCTCGTCGCGAGAAAAGAACCAGATGGAGATGCCCTCATCCGCAAGGAGATGTGCGTAGACGCCTCCCGCAGCAAGATTGAAGTTGTGGCCAAAGGAGCGGGTATCAGTTTCTTGGAACGCACAGCCGGAGTTATCCCCGTTACTGGAAGTGCACGTTGTACCCAATACCCTGCCAGAGGCGACTTTCGTGCTGGTCAAAGAACAGCCACTACCGGTGTGAAGGGTGTATTGGTTAAGATCCTGCTGATTGACGCCCTCAATGACATCGATTTCGCCTATGAACAATCTTCAGTCAATATTAGCCGATCGGTTGATTATAACCTACTTACCAGCGTTAGGCCAATCAGGACCAACAGACCTGGGAATAAAGGTTAAAGAGGTATTCAAAATGGACAAAAGATGTAATTACCAGTAAGCGGGCCATACACTACATCCGTGCGGCATGGAATAGATGTCCGCAATGAAAAGGCCACTGCTGTACTGAGTCTTCGAGCTGATACGAACTCTACAATCGTCTGTCAGTGTCCATATAGATGATAGCGCAGTGAAGATATTCTCACGATGCCCGGTTTTGGCCTGACTCTAAAGTGGTAGTATTGTCAACCTTAAGGATGGTGGTACCGTCATCCTGAACATAGGCAAGGCCTTTGGACGTAGCGTCCTCCTTGGTCTGATAATCAACGAGGCCGTTAGTCGGATCGGACGCCGAAAAAAAGTCCCATTCGCTGCGGAGGAAAAAAAATAAGCGGGCTGCATTTGTGATAAAGATAGAATGCCTTACTCTAGAAATGATTGCCCCTGATACATGTCCTTCAAAGTATAAGTAGCTTTGCGAACGTGGGGTGCTGATGCAGCGCGATTGGGATTCCTGCGGTGTCGGCGCGATACACGGTCATGCCCAAGGGCGCTGGCAAAAACTGGCAAAGCGAGAATGAAGAGCGCGGCGAAGGAATGCATTGTTGCTGAAGGAGAGTTTTTGAAAAAATGAGAGCTTTAGTGATAACGAAGGTCAGATGCCAGCTGGACCGTATAAAAAGGAGGAGTGTGAAAATGAAGGACGGGGAAGGGTTATATGGGCGGGGGACAAGGAGCACAAGGAGCACGAGCTGATGTGGGCCTGTGAGCCCTTTTATACGGAGGAGCCATTGTCCTTGATCGATTGATCTTTCGGTGGGATAAACAAATTTGGCTTCCGTAATGGTTGCCTGTTTGGGCAAAGAACTGATTGTCTCGGCACGTCGGCCCTGTCAACTTGTTTTGTTTGCAATCACCCCGCTCCGAGGTTCTCCTCGAGCACAAATCTGCAGATGCCACAGCAATGCATGAGAATTCGACAATGGGCTTCATTCTTCTGTAATAGCCTAATGGCCATTCACGGATCACCAAAATTGGTGATTTATTTATATCCTATAAAGAACATCAATGTAGCGCATGCAGGATATGAAGACAATCACCAGGTACAACGAGTCGAGGTTGCCGCAAGGGTGAATGAATCAGCTTCTTTTCCATAGATTCCGAGCATTACGTCCCTACGAAAAGTTTCTTGTTCGTCAGATAATTTGCTAGGAAACCGCGCGACTTTGTTCTCGAAGATGGGGGCCACTTGTTGGTAGCCACGCTCAGGAGCGCGAAAGTCGTCACGCACAATCGACCGTTGATCTATCTTCGGAAGGCGACAGACGGATTGGAGAGAGCATGAGGCACTGGAAGGCATCTAAGGCATCGGCAAGGTTCAGCCTCGCTTGGAGAGTCTAATCCACAAAGCAGAGATGTGCAGCAGATACGTGCAGATACTTGCGGTCGCCATAAGCATAGATTTAACCGGCAAACGACATTCTAAACTGCACAAGTACGGTCTCAGAATGACCAATGTGTAGGCACATGGATTGCCGAGGCCAAAACGGTCCAAGTCAATATTCCGTAACCAGGGTTGTCCTAATACATGGCGCCTCTTGCAACTCCGAGTCCCAGGATGGCCGGTGAAAGAGCCTCAGTACCGTTGAGGTACCGGGCTCGTGGTAACCTTAGGTACTTGTCCACCAAGGACCCACTTACCCCTGAGGATCGACTTCAAATAATTTCATTACCTCCCCTTGACCGACAGAAACTGTCGAAAAGGGTCGAGTCACTATCGGATGAAGGGTTTAACGTAAACATCCAAATAATGAATGAATGAAAAAGACCTCGACTGGCCTGAGCCAACATGTTTTGATGCAATCTTTCACCGACCGCATGTAAGAACTGTATTCTGCACGCACTGATATTGTACACGGAAACACAATCATGACCGCTTTTTATCATGTCGCGTTCGTTTGGAGTCCCACTCTTTTCTCCATTGGAGCCATTCGTGTTCGCGACCCCCATCCGTCCATATATCCCAGCCGTCACGTATTTGCAGCCAAGTGGACACAGGATTCACCAGAAGGAACATTTTAAATTTGCCGAATATTGACGATGGTTGTCGCCGCGGAAGTATCTGAGAAACAACAAAGAGGATGATGGCAAAGAGGACGCCAATGCCGAAACCCCACAAAATCTGATGGGCGTTATGGTATCCGAGGGCATATCTGCGTAAATTTGAATAAGTAAAGTACAAAATCACTATGACGGCATCGGATACACACCTGGAGTACGCGACAAGGAGAGCCCAACCACCAATGGCAGAATAGACCACGAGGCGCCATGCAAAATCGAGGAAGGTATAACCAGTTGTCCCGAATCGGTGTTGGAAATAGAGATGGCAGATCAGAAATGTCGCAAAGTAGCCCATGTATTGACTGTGAGAGGATGGAAATCCGTATCCGTTACCTACACGCTGAAATATGTCACGAACGTGCACATAAAACTGATTTCTGACAGGACACACCGACAGAGCCTGAAGGTCTATTCTCCTTTACGGCCCGTTTAATCAACCAACTGAAAGCCTCGCAGGCAAACTGCCCCGCCCACATTACTATAATGACATATTCCCGGGTCTGTACTGCCAACGAGGCATATGCTGGCTGGAAGGATGGTGATCAATGATGGCCCAACACCGGTACTGTGACACACACCATAAGAAGAATAGGGCTCAGTGTCACTAGGGCAAGCCCAAGAGAGAGCAGGGAAGAATCATCGTCTGCAAGGACGTTCTCATCAGCGGTTCACATGGCAGGAGAAGTCGTACAGAGAACGTGCGTCAAGTCCAGCGATGCCTGCGGCCCACGATGGTAGGCCATTATCCCAAGCTGCGGTACAATCAAGAAGATATTCGGCCGTGATAGCGACAATCACGTAGTGCACGACGAGGGCGACGACGGGGACAACCCCGGGCCTCCAGGACACCGCTGGTCACCGCCATCAGCATCACGTGACGTGACGTCAAACATTAAAGCAGTCGGAATTGGTCGAGAACGAGAACTCCTCTCACTCTCCTACTTTATCCGCCAATGTCCTTCCCTGTTAAAGAAATCGCGACAAAGCCTTTCGAAGGCCAAAAGCCGGGCACTTCAGGCCTTCGAAAAAGGTTCGCCATCGTCTTTATTACCTTTGATTAACGTCGCTGACGGTCGCGACAGGGTCAAAGTCTTCCAGCAGGAGGTACGCTGATGAGACGCGTCCCATTGATCAGGGATTAACAACAGACTTCTATAGCATTACACCGAGAACTTTATCCAGTCTATCTTCGATTCCATCCAGACAAAGGGATCGACTCTCGTAATAGGTGGCGATGGACGCTACTTCTCACCAGAGACCGTCCAGACGATTCTCAAGATTGGGTCTGCTAACGGCGTCGCTAAGCTGATCATCGGAAAGGACGGCATACTATCCACCCCCGCTGCTTCCAACGTTATCAGGAAGTACAAGGCTGATGGTGGTATCCTCCTGACCGCCAGCCACAACCCTGGTGGTCCTAACAACGATTTTGGAATCAAATACAACGTATCTAATGGTGGCCCTGCCCCAGAGAACGTCACCGACAAAATATACGCAAAGACCAAGACGATCACTAGCTACAAGATCATCGAGGACAAACCGGTAGGTTCCTGCAATACCACATATAGTCTCTTCATTCATCAAAACTGTATAGGTTGATCTGTCCAAGATTGGAGAGTTTACCTATGGTCCTACGAAAGTTTCCATAATCGATTCTGTTGACGATTATCTGATCCTCCTCGAGGGAATCTTCGACTTCCCTCTCATCAAGTCCTTCCTCTTTTCTCACTCCGATGATTATCGTGTATTATTTGACGGTCTCCACGGCGTTACCGGCCCGTATGCGTCCAAGATCCTTGTCGATACCCTCGGTTTACCGCCTACTTCTGTCCAGAACTGCGTGCCTCTTCCAGACTTTGGCGGAGGACACCCCGATCCCAATCTCACTTATGCTCATAGTCTGGTCGATGCCGTCGAGAAGAATGGTATTGAGTTCGGAGCGGCAAGTGACGGCGATGGTGATAGGAACATGATCTACGGCAAAGGCGCGTTCGTCACTCCTTCAGACTCCGTGGCTATCATCGCGGATTGGGCCGATGTTATTCCTTATTTCAAGAAGCAAGGCGGTGTGAAGGGTTTGGCGAGGAGTATGCCTACAAGCAAGGCCATCGACTTGGTTGCGAAGAAGAAGGGTTTGGAATACTTTGAAGTTCCTACCGGTTAGTGCCCTGTTCCTCCTTTCTTGCGTGCTCTAATCATATCATAAGGTTGGAAATTCTTTGGAAACTTGATGGATGCTGGGCGGTTGTCCATTTGTGGAGAAGAATCTTTTGGTACCGGATCAGACCATATCCGTGAAAAGGATGGTCTCTGGGCAGTTATTGGTAAGCCGCACGCTATTAGATGCGTCGCCTGGGTACTTAATCTTTGATAGCTTGGTTGAACATTATCGCCGCAGCCAATGCTAAGTCTCCCAACAAGCTCATTGGCATTAATGACCTGCTCGAGTCCCACTACGCGACTTATGGTCGTTCGTTCTTTAGCCGCTACGACTACGAAGAGGTCCCTTCTGAGGGTGCCCACGCTATGGTTGATCACATTAACAAGGCCCTGGAGTCGGGTTCCTTGAACAACTCCGTGCACACATCTGCTTCCACCGCCACCACGTTCACGGTTTCAGGACTGTACAACTTCTCATACACGGACCCCATCGATCATTCGGTGTCGAAGAATCAGGGTCAGGTTATTACATTCGCTGATGGTTCCCGGGTGGTATTCAGACTGAGTGGTACCGGGAGTCAGGGCGCGACCGTTCGTATGTATGTGGAGAGGTATGTACCTCCAGAGGCTGGACCCGCTGCCTTGAAGAAAGATGCGGCGGAAGGCTTGAAGGGCTTGATCGAGGTAGCCCTGGAGATCAGCAAACTGAAGGAATTCTTGGGCAGGGACAAGCCTACCGTTATCACTGTAAGCTTGCTCGTTCATGCCCCTCCTACTTTTGAGACTAACAATTCGTCCCTTCCAGTAATCTGAAATGGTGTGATCTCGAGAGTTGAAATAATGGACAAACTAATGGATGTAATATTACTACTCGTATTAGATGAGGTTTTTTTTTCCTCTGCGCCTTCGATTTAGATACCATCAATGCATTGAAATTAAAGTTCAGTGTACTGAGTTAACGTTTGAACATATTCATCCGTGTGGCCCTGGAATGAAATTAATTGGCACAAGGCCCACGGGTGTGTCCAGTCGTACTCCAGCCTCCCGCCAAAAAAATCAGAAAATCACAATCAAGCCTATCCGTACAATATGCAAAACTCTGGTTAGCTACACACCACTACTCATCTCCAAGAGCGCCTCGATACTCTTCCCTAAATCACCCGTATTAGCCTCTAGTACCCACTCTATAATCTCCCTGTCGACAGCGGGGAATATCTGTATTAACGTGTCTTGGGCTGCTTCCGCCGCCTGCTGATGCGCAGCATCAATCTCCTCTTGCATCCCCACCAGGTCCAGATTGGGTGTAGGTGTCCGCGAAACATGTGCAGAATCAGGCCGATATGGAGACGCGAAAAGTGACTGTGAAGGACCGATTGCTAATGGCTGATTTGTATATGGACCGGGCCGCGATGGCGTCTCCTCAATCCCAGGAGAAAAGGAAGGAGACGGTACCCGTCGCACCCGAGGCTTATACGGTGTTTGCAACGGAGGCTGGTACATACCATCACCCGGAGGTGTTTGTGGTGCTATTCGTGGAGAGCTCGATCGCGACGAGTCTTGTTGCTGCTGATATTGCCGAATTTGATCTGGGTGTGACCAGTGTGGTACAGGCAGAGGAGTTCCTCCTGTACGTTGTTCTCGACCTGTCTCGAATGGGGAGAATGGAGAGGCGGCGCTGTCAATAGCTTCATTGAGTATACGGCTTATGGCATTGAGGGGCTTTGATATAGTGTCGCCTGTCTTTTGAAGAAGTCGCTTCGCGTCATCGGAAAGAGTTTGCGCAGGAGTAGGGAGGGAGAGTGGTTGCGCGGATTCTTCGCCAGCGTGAGAAGAAAGAGAGGAGTTGCTTCGTGATGGTGTTGGTGGTGGTTCAGTAGTGAAGTGAGGTATTGCAGGCGAGTCGCCATCACTGGGTAGTGACTGGATGGCTTCCTCAACATTCCTGCAGAATTACTCATGAACGTGGCTCTTTCCGAACGAATGGATTGAACACTTACTTCTCGAACTCCTCTTGCGTAATGTTTGATAGAGATGTGTGATCCATGGTTTCGATGAAAGATACGGCACCCATCTTGACATAGAGATGAGCATTCCCTCTCGATGAGACAGCACATAGCATACAAGGCTAGATAGATAATACCCTGCTTCACTTTGCAGTTTAACAGGGTTCCTAAATCGGTTGATGAACCTGCGGGTGAATGGAGGTCATCGAACTGCAGTATCACAGATAATGATACCTACTCAACATTCGAGAGAAGATTCTCAGGGTTTGACTTCAGCACGACGAATATGAGTATCGGAACAAACGAATCTGCGCCCTCTTCTGTTCTCAAATGTCGAATTAAGCCTAGATGAAGAATGGAGCAAACGTGAACTCAGTACATTTGAACATCAAGATAGCTACTAACCAAATATGACTTTACAACAGTTTAGTATGCATATTAGCTTGTCGCGAGGGGCTTTGTAATGGTTGATCTTGAGTAGCTCTATGAGTAGAATGTAAGACTGGGATTCGGTAGCCGTAGAAAAGCGAACCTTGCTGAGCAAACATCAAGAACCCTTTGCTACCATCCCCCTCTGGAATATCGAGGTGTTTCTCCTCTACCCACCCAAAGAGGGCTATCCGTTGGGAAAGTACGCGATCTCGCTCCAGGTCATCTGCTGTGATTTGTCGACGAGGTATTACTCGTACCACTTGGGGAGTAAATGTGCTAGAAAGACATAAGGACAGAGAGTAACGTAGGATAATGATACTAACAATTGATAGAGCTGATTCATAACCAGCTTCTCCATGCCTTCCATGGCGTTGTCAAATTCGGCATCCGAAGCACTACGCCATACTTCACATTCACGCATTTGTTTTGCAATAAACTATGGAAGCGTAGATATCAATGAAGGCCATGCGCAGGCATTAGCAGTTGCGCACATTCAGAAAATCGTTTATGATCTTGATTTGGTCGTTGACGGTAAAAGTACGCTTGGCGAAGTTACTCAGAAATCTACAGTCGAATGATTCAATATTCAACAGACGAAAGAGACAAGACTCACGACTTGAGATATTTCGACACCGCTTCCGCGTTTCTGCTCTTCATCTGATCCAAGAATCTTTGAAAATCGAATGGTGGATCCCCCTTGCCCTGATCCACAGCTGGCGAGCCCTCTCTCACCATCCCCGGTGTGCTGGTTCTTGATGATTCCAGACTTGCCTGAGAAACCGGTTCGGGCTTTGCGGGTTGCTGTTGCTGAGATGCAAACGACGACAATGTATCGGGAGAAGGAACCGGCTTCGCCATATCAAGTGAAAGAGGGCGTGAATGTGTTAGTTTTGGCATCTGGAATGAGCGCGCCAAGGCAGCCAGTGAGGGAAACGACGACGACGAAGCCGGAGCATCGTTGGGCGGCGGGGTAAGATCTTTCGACGGCGGTGTTGGCGCGACCGGCGAAGGGTCTGGATGTGGCGGGTGTCCCTCAGAGCTCTCCCATGCCTTCCTTGCATCCTTCTCTTCTTGATTTACTAGTGGGTCGAATTCTTCAAGTACTTCCTGAGCGTTCACCAGTTCTGGAGGATCTGACGGTAGAGATACCAGCCCAGATGTTATCGATTCGTCCAGCACCGACGGGTCTGGCGTCTTCAAGCGATGTATTGATGCTTCCAGGTCTGCATCCTTCTGGACATCGTCCGCTGTGTCGTCCTTCCATGGATTCGGAGAAACGGCCTCGTCTGCCGTTATTGATGTCGCGCTTTGGGGTGAGTTGGATATCTGAAGCCTCTCAACGTCGGGTAGCGCGTCGTCGGCGCCTTTGGCAGAGGTAGACGCCATACCTGCAACGCCACTGGCACTGGACAGCGGTATTGGAAGAAAGGCCGTACGGTAGCAGACTGACTAAACGGTGCTTGCACGTGGCGCAGTCGTCAAGATAGGGGCTCGACGCGTCAAGGATACAGTATCATACAAAAGACAGCAGTAAATAAATATTCTCCTCATGATACACGGCGAATTCTCAAAGGCATTCCATCAGCAGGTTCTAGAAAAGTCCATCAATCACCAGGTTTCTCTGTCGGATAACTTCTTTCACGTACTCATCGTAATCGCAGCAGCAGGCTGGGCCTGTTGACCATCATATGCAGGTTCAAATTCAAAATTCGTTATCAATACCCTATAGAATTCTCAAGTCAAACAAAGCATGATAATACGAGTAAGCAGTAACTGACGCTAGAACAGCCTTCATCTCGATGATCGCCATGGTCTTGCCGATGCACCCATGCGGTCCAGCAATGAATGAGAGAAGAGAGAAAGCGGGGTTGTATGCTTTGGGCAAGTTCAGCCATCGTTCTGGATGGAACCTGCCACACCATATGTCAATCGACTTGATGTTCAATATTCCCATCAATCTTACTCACTCTTCGGCGTCTTCGCCCCAGATGGTCTGCCAGGTATTCACGCCTCGAATCTACGCCGTTGATCAACAAATAGAGTTGTCCATCAGAGGAGTTGAATCTTACGCAGAGATGCAACAGAGTACCCTTCGGAACAAGAACTCCCTCGATGTAATCAGTTTTAGCGGTTGTTCTAACTGTCGCCGGAACGGGAGGCATCACACGCAGACTTTCCATCCTACACCACCGTCATTACGTTGTCAACACAAGGCGATGATTTCATCAACTTACACGACACAATCCAACCATTGCATACTTTTCAACGTCTTGTAATCGGGCCTGGGGTTAGCTGCCATGACTGGACATACTTCATCGCGCAAGCGTTGCTGGCTTTTTTTGTCATTCGCCAAAAGCCAAAGGGTCTGATATCAAAAATGAGCGACGATTTCTGGACAAGGAGAGTTTACGCATACCCAAGTCAAGCCGCTCGCTGTAGTCTCATGACCGGCTCCGAGGAATGTCAGCTGCGTGGATTTTCAGCATGGTTTTCACATCAGAATGGGATCACTGACAACTTGGTCTATCATCGCAGCATCACTAATCGCATATGCTGTCCGATCCTTATATAAATCAGCTTGCCGCGCGCGCACCAAGATGCTCATAATATCTTTCTTCGTGTGTGTATCATCAGCAGTGATCCCTGATTCGGAGGTCTCTTTCATTTTCTGGTCAAGAATATGTTTCGAGATATCTCGAATACGGTGTGTTGAGTCGATTAAAGGTGTAAGAGGTGCTTACTTTTGTGTCAGCGGCGTGATGGTGATCGGATAAAGGGATACATACCAAGGAGTCGAATATAAGAGAATACATTTCTTATTTTATAGGCGAGCTTTGATGAGAAGAATTTTGCCCCGCCCGGGAGTGACACAACAAAGATGAAGCGAATCATATTCGGACCTAAGTAGGAAGGTTATCAACTTTTGTAGGCTGAAATGGTCTTGCTTTTACCTGACTGTAGGCTAAGCAGCTTTTCATATCTGTTATGCTGTTAGAGTCATTTCAACTCCAAATTAACACGAAGAAGACTCACGCCTCAGCTAGCTCATTATGCGGGTTATGGAGAGAGTCGGTATGGTAGTCAAAAGCTGTCTTGCAGATGATATCGAGCGTCACTTTACTCACTATACCCAATGATCAGTAGGCGGAAAAAGACAGGCAGAAACAGGTAAATTGTTTACTCCATTCATATACAGGTAGAACAGCTCCTTCAGGGCCAGGAAGTTGAGATGAAAGAACACCGATGAGGCTAGAAATTTGTCTCGAGATGATCAAAACGCGTGATGGAACCAATCAACTTGCCCTTCGATTGGATCGTAGTACATATCAGTTTCTGAATTTGAAAAGATGGGTCAGGATGCCAAGGCGGAGAGAAAAGGAATCCCACGCACGCGCCATGAGATTCGGGATTGAGAAGGCTGGGTTCATTGCTTTGCGCATCTGTCGATGCTCATTTCCAGTGACAGTGAGCAAGCCATAACCAGCAACGAGGCCCAAGATATGCCTCAGATACTGCGGCTGCAAACAGTGAGTAACGGACGATAGAGGCTACTAGCGTGATAGTGAACTTACCCTAGGATAATCTAACCACCCTTTTACTAGGATGTGGTAGAGGGCCTCTGGAGTCATGAAGATTAAGCGCTCGTTCCCTATGGGTCCCAAGATTCGTATGACAGATCCGTATTTCTTAATCCACTCCTGCTCAGCCATACCCGGCTCACTATCGAAAAGCTTCGCCGCTGGTCCAAAAATAGGTTCTCCAGTCGGCGGTCCAGGGACAGAACGAAGAGGGGACAAGAGATATGGGTATAAGAAGAGCTGATGAATGACTTTGTACACGACTAGCGCTGTGATTGAGTTGCGTGAGATAGTCCCCGATGACCCGTTACTTATCAGAAAACCTACCTCCAATAAAATAGTACAAATGTCGAATAGTCAAGCCCCAATCAGAGGCAGTCTCAGACACTGCTTGCACAACAGTGCTAATGGGCGACATGGTGATGTTGGAGGAGATGTTTCTTTGCATCCATCACTACGACCGCGTATTAATAGGAAAGGATTGAATTGTCATATGATCGGCGTTGGAGATCCCTATCAAATTCTCCTGAGATTTTTTTCCCTTTCTTTGTCTTGCGACATTCATCAGCATTCATCCTGACAGACACTGAGTCTCCTTCGAAAAGGACTGAACAGTAAAAAAAGAACAATCTTATCGAAGAGGATGAGCCTGCCAGTGAGCCTGAAGAACTTCAAGTAAACACGACAAGAGATATAAAGCTAATCAATACTGTTGCCGTTCCCTGGGTCCAAGATTTCTGTAATCATCACAATCGCAAGCAACTGAGGAGCCGACGGTACCGACGGCCCACGGCCCACAGTTCAGAGGTACGTAATTGAGATGACGTACATCTGTAGTCCCTCAAAAGCGTGATCATCTCATCTCAGAATTGCACAGTTTAGGCACACCGGACGCAAGGATACAGGTAATCGCATTACGAATTCCAATTCTCACTATCATCTGTTTATTTGACCACATGTACAAATAGGAAGCCAGAAGTATGCAGGCATGAAGGACGACAGGAGCCTTCATTGACTCTTCACAAGTAAGCACTATTGAAGACCGCCAAACTAAACCCATCCCGTTCCCCAAGGACCCATATACTTTCACTGAAGCGCCCTTGGTGACCCTCTAGCCGAGCGCTGAAGTACATGTACCATTACAGCCATAGCAGCCGACGCTAACAACCAGCTTCCACCGAACAATTGTACAGGAAGGAAGTTGATTTTACTAGTAATTGGATTGGTGTACCGGTCAAGGATTGCTCCAGAGACCGGAGGGCCGATCAGAGTGCCTGGCTGTAGGAAAACATTAGATAAAACGCATCTATAAAGTTGTGTACGTACCACAAAGCTAGCAAACATGACGCCGGTAATGCTCGCCAGACCTTCGACGCCATACAGATCGGCAGCAACTGCGATTGGGTCACAAAAGGTTATATATATACCTTCAGAACTGTAGCGCCAATCAAAGACGTACCGACTGGATACAAGCTGACATAACCACCAGTAAAGAATCCATAAAATGAAGTGAAAGCCATCAGTCCTGCGAGGTTATGGGTGAAAGGCCATATGGCCATCTGACCAATACCCCCCAAAAATTGGCACAGGGCTAGAACATACAAGTGGCCAAAACGATCGCCAACGATACCTAGAAGCTAGATGAAATGAGCAACTGGAAATTCGACTCGAGAGGCAATACCTACCACGCGACCTGTGGCCGAAAAGCCCGATATGAGAGCAGCAGCATTGGCGCCATCCTGTGCATTACGCCCCAGTTTGTTAACAACATAGTCTACATACATATGAAGTCGATGTTTCAAGACGGACTCCTGACACTCACCGGGTACATAGAATATAGGACCATAAAATCCAGGACCGCTGAACAATCCGATGGAGCAAAGGGCGAGGAATACTTTGTTCATCAGCAAAGACCGATCAACCTTTCTAGGCGGAACTACGGAAGCCCGAGCGCGAAGGAACACATCGGCTATACCAAGAGCTAGGAAGAAGGTGAATCAAAGGAAATATGATGCGTGACATTCAAGTCGAACATATGCAACTGACCAACCAGGGTCATGAGACCGGTAATGCGAAGCGCCCAACGAAAGCCAAGGTGATCGATGAGTTTCTGTGTGATGGGACTGAGCACTAAGCCTCCAACACCTAGAAATGGGTGACGTCAGAGTGGAAATAACCTAACTAAGATCAGTGGAAGAAATGACTTACCGTATCCGCTGGCTGCTATCCCGGTCGCCAGTCCTACGCAGTCGCGTTGAACAAAGGATTTGAGATAAACCCTGGTTCAAAGACTAACCTCGATGTTTGGTGAACTGTATATCCCATTATACTTAGGAAGTCGTAAAGACCATCGAGATACTAGTACTCACCCACTGGGACGGAATGCACACGGCTGGAATAAAGGCGAAGCCGCTTCCAATGCCGAACAGCAACCCTAAGATCACAGGATGAATGCTGTAACCATATGGTCGATACGAACACAAACCTTGAGTCAAATACAGATGCCATACCTGCGTTCTGTATGTGGATAATCAGCATCGTGTTGCACGCATCAAGGATACACACTTACGAGAACGACGCGATGATCAATGCTAGGCACATAACACACGTCCCGATAAACCCGGTAACTCTGAAACCGATACGCTGCGCCAGGATGCCAGCTACGCTGTTAAAAAATGCGAGTTACACGATTGATCCAACACCTTAATCACATACGAATGACTCACAAACCAACCAGAGGCTGCCCGGTCGCTTGTATAGACCCAACCCAAGCGAGATCCGAATTAGATACAGCACCTACGTCTTGTGACGTGAGGTAATGACTCTGGTATACGCCCCAGGAGGATTCAATCCTTTGTGTATTAATCGTTTCTTGAGTAATTTGAAATGCATTCGAACAGCAGAACCCACCCCAAAGCGAAGAAGTGGACCACTAAAAGAGCAGCCGACGCATATCCAACCGTACCCGCCATCTGGGGGACGTGTATCAGAGTCAGAGGATCCCAGCTCCGATAATTCGATATCGTTGTTGGGTGAAACCAAAGAGGGAGTATCCATGAAGCTGAGGATAACAAGATGGAGAAGACTACGTTGCATAGGCTTTTCGTATTTAAAGGCCTCCCACAGCTTACGGTCAGGGCAGCCCAAGTTCATGACATGAAAATTTCTTGGAAGAACCACGGCGCTTAAGACAAATGAAAGTCATCCCGGTACCAGAGGCACTTCGTCATGCGCCTTGAAGGGAACTCGAGTAGCGCTGAAGATAGCATGGTTAGCGCTGACCCACCACCGCCCGAGTGGCCAGCATGGTTGGACTAATGGAATGGAAGTCATGGCTGCCTAGGCTGCCTAGAAGAAACGCCCAAAGTTTTATGGCTGAATCTTCGGCAGTCTAACGGAGACCTCCTAGCGGCAAAGCCTGTGCGAGATGAGTTGACGCCTCGCAGTCGGAGAAACGAGAAGCCCAAATACTAGAGGATGGCCACAACGAACGGTTCACAGTGCCTGGGGACAGACAGCTGAAATGTAGAACCATACTGAGTCCTCGTCTGATAGAACGACAGAAGGGTGTTTGTAACGCAGTTTTACACCGTCCGGCGCGTCCACTTTGTTGTATTTTCCTCCAAGACTCAGTGCATTCTGTTCAAGGCCTAGAGTCCTCAAACGCCCACAGAGGTGAGCGCGGTTAAGTGACCCGTCATCATAGCCGATCCCCGGGATGTGATGAAACTCAGTTCGCAATCAAAGCCCTGGTGTTGGCACATCAAGACATGCCAAATAATACTCGACCAACCAAAACTCACACAATGATAGTCCTCTTTTCCACAGTGGCCGTAGTCTTCCCAAGACATGCATATGGTCCAGCAACGAAAGATAAGCTTGGGCCGTACTTCTCCGGCAGATTTAACCATCGTTCCAGACGGAATCTAGCATCGATGCGTTTAGGGCGGTGGAGTCCTTTGGAGACTCTCTCTCCCCATCCAAAACACGGCTTCACGTATCCACATTTTGAATCTACAGTAAAGGAGGGGTAAGCTGATATCGATAGAATGCAGGCACGCGATGTGGATAAGAGGACAAAAATATTGAGAACATCGTCTACTTTGATGGGTGTTGTAGGTACCGGAGCCATTGGGCGCCAGTTTTGTGCCCTGTGAGTAGTTCTGAAGTCTGAGAATGTGGATTGAATATGTGGAACTGTAACGTACGGCATAATCCAAGAACTCGGATCAGACTCTATCACTCGGCCTCTGCTGGCTCTCAGAATCACTCAAAAGCCATAAAGTCTACCCAACTTCCAAGACATCAGAAAAAAGTCGAACGTGGAATGGCGGAAGTACGGGCCCGAATCAGGGCGCTTGTATTGGTTACGTGTCAGGCGCCGAAGTGGGCGCTAAAGATGGCGCTTGGAGGGATTCAATGTGAGAATATTCCATGTGAGGCGTCAGGCATGGCTCGGAACAGATCGTGATATCCATATGTCAAGCCCAAGCGCGAGACCGCCAGGACTGAGCAACAAAGGGATCAAACTGGCGACGTTTGTACCTGGTAGGTATTAGTTGCCAGAGTGCAGATACGGGACTGCAAAGGAAACTCACCGTCGTACACCTTGGTCAACTCGTCGTTGGGGTCGTACAACAAATTGATGTGATACTTGACTGTATTTGATACTGCCTTGCTCACCAAGTTGTCGAGCGAGAATATTGGCTACAGCACAGTGCAATGCATAAGGTTCGGGCCAGCAAATGTCGAAATTGTTGCTTTTCCCTCCAGTTGTGTGAAACCTTCAAGGCTCAAAAATTGATACAGGCGATCCAGCCATCAGATCAAGGATTCTAGAGACTGAGCTGCTAAAAAGCACGTCATGACGAGACGTGGACGCGACAAAGTCAACCACTCACCCTAGGTCCATTCCTTCTCCAGAATATGGTGATACGCCCTGGAGAGAAAAAATAAGACACTGTACTCTGATGGTTCCAACTACACATACGAATCAGCCGTAGGTCTCGTCCGCGTTTGCTTAGCTGGTCTAACTGCAAGGTTTCCCAAGGAGGACTGATCAGCGGAGTTTCAGGAACTGGACGCAAAGCGGAAGAACCGATATCGGTAGAGAACGAACTCAGATATGATCTTGTATCGCAAGAGACCTGAGAAAATCCGATTTAAGCGCGACATACAGAAACAGATAATCGTCGTCAACGGCGTCCTAATTCTGGATTGTAAAAAGACCTTGAGTTGCAGTGCTAGTAGCCAAACGATTCGGGCGACAGTTCAACCAGTTTAGTCTATCCAGCTCAACGTCCAGTAAAATAATTGCTTCCCCCGGCTGTTCCCAAAGCATTGGGCCCGCTGTAAAAAACGTGGTAAGATCCGACTCGGAATTGGTCCTGACGATCCCGACTATATTTTCAGAATGGAAGCAAAAGCTAAATGCGGGGTCGTGCATACCAGGAGGCCGAATGGGATCTCATACCAACAAAGTGGTACAAACGAACAGTTATCAGTGCCTAGCTCGGATCGAGGCGCTTTGCAATACTTGAAAGTCCTGTTTTATAATGCTGGATCAAGGCGACCGCTGCTTGATGGATATACGACGAAATGGAGAGGTCCATCGAAGGGGAGCCTCCGGGCCGTTGATAGACAGACGGTCCGATCAGATGGGCGCATTAAGGAAGCGTGCTTGGTATTTCTTGGTAAATACACATGGTTATGATGACCTATCGGGACAGTCTACTGTAATAACCCCCGAGTCGCACCGCAGCGGAGATAGAGCGGAACCTCAGATCTTAGAGCTAGACTGACAGCCAGGGAAAAATCCTGAAAATAGTCAGAAGTAGAGAAAACAGGAAACATGGCGGAGGAGAACAGAATGAAGGTCAGCTCGATTGAACTTGAACAGAGAAAGGCAGTGAAGGCTGGGGGCTATGCAGTTCAAACTCCGCTCTACTCCGAAAGACGCGTCTTTCTTGGTGGCAATTCGCCAACAAGGATCAACCGCCATTTGCTTGTACTCCGTACCCATACCCTATCCTTCAAATACCCACAAAAGCCGTCGATTTTCAGACTGCGCCACTTTAGCACTACTTGACCGTTTTGCTACTCATTTTCTCAAAAATTCATCATGGGCCGGGCTCTCTTTTCCTCTGCCTACAACTCTGCACCCGCTGTAGCGACTCCCACGCCGTTCGCCGACACTCCTTACGAAAAGATATACGAGAAATGGAGCATGTTCAACCAATTCGACCCAGATTCGGATGATTTTTTCGAAGATGCCCAGTATGAGGCGTTCATTACCGACGAGCAGGAGCAGGAGCAAGACAGCGAGCAGTCAGACGTCGGTAGCACCCCTGCCTTGTCGCGGGAGGGCAGCATAGAGGACAGGGGCAGTCCCATGGCTGTTGGCTCGGACGATCCAGCTGCGATGCTGGCTGATGCAATTGACAATGGTGAATGGGACCAGAGCGTCCCCACGGCCACCATTGACGGCGACGGCGGCGTCGACGTCGAGAGCGATCCTCAGTGGCGGCGTGTGGGCGACCTTCCGATCTGGACTAGGCCAGTCCTCGCCAATACACGCTTCGTCTCAGACCCTCCAACATCCAGCTTACCGCCCTTCCTGCCGCCGTCATCGCTTCGCAACTCGACGACGGCGAGCGATCTTGACGATGACGAGCCACCCACCCCGCCGAGACGCAGCGTCGTTATTGCGCCCATCACCATCCCCCGTTCGCCCAGCCCTGTCACTCCAGATGCCCCCCTGACACCGCCCAATGCTACCTTTTCTCTATCTTCGTTGACTCCTTCCCCGGCTCCATCCGTGACGCCTCGCGTCTATCGCTGGCCTGCACCCCCCTCTCAGCATGAGAGCTCTGGCCCTCTCACCAACCCCAGTGCTCGCATGTCGCATGCTCGAATTGTGCCTCAACCTGCTCGTATCCGTCTTCCCACCTTTGCGGTGTGATCGCGAAAAGTATCGCTAGTCATAGATTGGGTCGGTCTGTTTATACAGTATACTATCAGCTATCTATCTTCTCGTATCTGAACGCATCGTTTCTTCCTTTGTTGTACTTCGGGTGGATTGTGTTTTGATTTATGCTGCTATATTTCACTTGTATAGATCGCGTTCTACTGTTTATTTTTCTGTATGCTCCCATCGATCGGCACACGCTCCTTCCATCTTGTATGTAACATGGCAATCTCTTGCGTACTTGCACTACTACCACAATGACTTTCGTTAACGGCGGAACAACCCGAGGAGTATCAAAATTTGGTTAAAAGAAAACCGTCACTTTTTGGAGAGAGCACCCCGTTCTTTGGCTGTTCGCTGGTGTGACAGTTTATGTACCTCCGCCCACACTGGGAACATTGTACAGGTGTTGACCCGTAATGTTTTCGTATGGATCCAAATCCGTCAGACGCTCCGTAGTTCCCGGCACTATGATGTCAGTCACACCTGTGTGGTCTGCGATGCTACTTTTAAGTATCTTGACGGCTTGGTAGCATTTCAAGGCGAAGAAAACATTGGCTGTCTCCATTTTAGAGACACCAACTACTTCGGGCTGCGATGTCGCACTCACTGAGACAAGTGTTGCCACAAACATGTCAACTTCCAACTACGATAGGGATAGCATCCTCTTGAATCAATATACCGGTCGCCATCTTCTAGATGATGCTCCGGGCTGTGTCGAGTTTGCAACCTTCGGCCCCGAATTTCAACTTTGGGAAAAGCTTTGGAAGAAAGGGCGACAGGTTGACCTGTGCAAGACAGTCCCAGTAACCAGAGACGGCACTGTTACCAACGACCGCACCCCCATCCCCACCTCCCTTCGAGCTATCAACCTTGACGGCCATCCTCTGTTTGATGACCTTCCTATGTCCGGCATCTTCGTTCGGCCAGAGTACCGAAAATGCTGTATATATATCAATGCGTGGCTGCAAGGAGGAGGCCTTCAAGTCCTCTTTGAAGATGTAGAAGAAGAGGTGGAATACAAGATGGGTGGGCAGGTCCTGGCTACGGGAGATTAACGAGTAGTCCACCTAGATCCGCCCAGAAATGCGATGGCCACCTATGAAACGAGTTTTGCAGAAGGATTGGCTAACAGTGCCTTTGTCATTACCGGGCATCCAGGGATAGGTGAGAGGTCATAAATATTGGCATTTATTCCATGAGACTCACTTACCGTTGACAGGCAAAACATTATTCATTTATTATTTATTGATTCTGCGGCTCCTCGACGGTCTTCCGACTGCCCTTCAAATCGGTTATACAAATAGCTTTATATTCTTTGATGCATCTGGTGTCTATATCATCATGCATCATCTCTCGACAAGTTCTCTACAGAGATATATCCCTAAAGGCACGTGGGCTTTAGTTGATGATGTTGTGTCTCTCCCCGGTGAAGAAGAAAACATATTCTCCCTATATGGCAGCCCTTTCTTTGTTGTGCATGCATGCTCGGCTCAACCTCGTTACTTTGACTATGCGAAGAAGAAGAGAGCGAGCAGTACATATTATATGCTTCCTTTCTCATGGAGGGAAATAATATTATGGTGAGTATACCATAGTATGCATCCTGGATTAAGCTTTTTAAACATGGAACACCCTTAGCCGACAATTGTTGCGGCAACCAGTGGTACCGACTGAGAATACCATTTCTCGGTGGTATGATGACTTCGGCCCTTCAGCCCAGGCTTGTTATAGTCAGAGTCAAAACCCCGACTCGTTTCTCACACATCGCATTGAAATCACTTCAATGGTAGGACAATTTGATTGGGACAGTACGGTGGCTTGTCTCCAAAATTACACCACCCATTACCCTTCGTCAAAATATCTTTACGAGTCAGATTCCCAACAACTTTTCCTTCTTATCCCTCACTACCGGCATCCATTCACCCCTGCTATGGTCTTCATCTCTGGGTACATCTTAAACTTGTTCTGCGCTCATCACAAGTATCAGTTCGAGCAGGATCGCCAGACAATATTCATGCTGATATATCAGCATCCACATTCCCGGGGGTATCTTAGCCACATGTTTGAGAATGAAGCGAAGCTACTTCTCCAAAAATGCGTGCCATGCAAGGTCTATCCCATGGAAGCAGGCCATGTAGGGGCTGAAAATTGCACCTTCGAAGCATCAGAAGCCATCCGACGCACTGTTGTACCGTTTTCTATCCTTCTGTCAACACCCATCATCTATTTTTACAAGACTCTGGAAGACATCTCCCTTGATCGTCTTGGCTGGTACCTACCCGAAAACAGCGACGGATCTACCTTGGATTCATTTATTGTCAGCAAGGATGTGGATGGCTCTACTGTTCTGTCATACCAACAGTCAACTGTCGGAGTAAGGCATGGTGTTCACACCGAGACCCTGAAGAAAGCCATCACTTGGCTGGGTACAGGGATGATCTCCAAATTCCGTTACATCGCTATTGTTCCTAGAATCAAGAATCAAAGGACGGTTTTCTGTTTTCCACCTGAAGTGCTTCAACATGTTGATGTGACTATGGGGGTCATTTTCATAGACCCGCAGGAGATGAGTTGAATGGAGCAGGTGGGTCTTCTCACTGATAGCATTCTGTGAAGTGCTGCTAACTGATAAATATGCCAGGGTCTGCCACGTCGGCACAACAGATCCTTCTTGGTAATCAAAACTCGACGTCGGTACTAATGGAGTGAGGGCCAATGCATTCACGCAGCGGATTCAAGTCCTATATTATCATCACCTCTTTTCTGCTCAGCAAGACAGCTTAGGCATTGAACAACGCTTAAAAGGAAATAGTTATGTATCTATTGGCCCTCTAACGATGTCGGAAAACGACTGTCTGGCTAATGATGAAGTCTATCTTCTCCTTGTTAAAATCATCGGGTACCATCGTCAAGTTGTCTGCACTGATTTGTAGTAGCGCCTGCTTGAAGTTAGAGACTTGAGTCCTGCGAAGGCAGTGGAATGCATTACCTGATCGCTAGCAGTATACTGAGCCCATGCTGGGCGCTGCAAGCCGAAGCCGTCGTTGGGATCCAGACTCGTTGCGAATGACAACCAATAATCAATCATCACAGTACTCAGGGCAACTACTGACGCTGTTTCATTCATATCTGCTACCGAGCCGAAGACGAATGGAATCTCTCCCCCATGAGGCACTTCATATGGAATGAGCACTTGGCTTTGTAACGTTCAAGTGAAACAGGACTTACCCCCGAGGTAAGCCGGCATAGAGGAAAGCCGTTGTGCGAATCTATACGCATATGACTTCACGCCCGCATCCGCGGTCGTTTGGCTCCAGAGGCGTCTTTGGGAGTTGAACGCCAGGTCACCCACTGGATTCAGGGTTAAAATGTAGGACAGAAGAAGGGAGGCTCGTTCATACAGATTGCAGATATCCTCTTAAAGCCAGGAGACAAGCCGAAGGTCTCGTTTCCTGTATTATACGGAGACCCGTCTGCTGGGTCATCCGGATACAGATCCATCAGTTCATTCATGGCATCTGTCGGGACAGCAGGGGGGGAGTAGTTTGCATTCACTATTGAGCGAATCACTTCTTCGGTATAGTCCTGCGTCGGCGGGCTGAACAGGGTTCCTGTGAGTTGGATTAGTACGCGGACAACACATTCGACGGGCTTCCTTGCCTTCATCTAAATTTGTACCAGCGATGAATGGTAAACGCGCGAACTGTCCCGTAGGAAGCAGGCGGGAAGGCAAGTCAGGAAAAAGACCTGAAGGTCCATCAAGAGTAGGACAAAAAGGAAACTGCTCCGTTGCCTTAGAATACGCCTGTAAAAATCCTTCGTAGACTTCAGAAGAGCTCGCATTTTGCACGCAGGGAAACGTTGACAATGTGCCGACATAGGAACTGCACTCCGGTATGGCGGTGACGAAATTATTCCATGCATCTTCTCGATCTTCTCGAGCAGTAGCATTGAATGGGAGGGCGGTGCTCGCAGTTCCGGACTGGAAGATCTGGGATTCGGCTTGAGTACAGCAAGCACATATGGAGCTGGGAATATTTCAACTCACCCCCGCCCATGCCAGGTCCGAAATTGACGGATGTAGGAAGAGAATAGATGTCATACTAGCCCCTCCACTCTCTCCGAAAACAGTCACCTACTCACTCTTCAGTCATCTATAAACGCTAACAAGAGCATCAAACCTTGTTCTTGTCGCCACCGAATGCACCGATATTATGTTGGACCCATTCTAGCGCTGCGAGCTGATCTTTGATCCCAAGATTTAGGTTTTCCCTGTCCGCGGCTTCCTTTCCCTGAGGAAATCCGAGAGGCCCCAGACGATAATTGAAATTGACGTAAATAACGGGTGTGCCCTGGATTAGGCGCTCAGTATTGGTGCTGCAGGATGCAGATAATAACACCTACTCTTAGGACACTTTGGGTTACAATTGCACTACCGTCATAGAGAGAAGCTGAGCCTTCAAAATAACCACCACCGTAGGTCCTAAAGGAATTTTTTAACAAATATTAGCGGCCTGTTCACCTTTTTAGCAGGGATGTCAGACCAAAATAACACTGGCAGCGAAGCGTTATGGGATGTCCCAGATGGTCGCAAAACATTAATGGTCAAGCAGTCTTCCGAGATTGCGTCGACAGGTAAGCCCTATATTGAAGGGCTCGGCCTTTGTAGAGCACCGAAAATAAAAGGAAAACACCCACAGCCTGGAGGCAAGCCAGACCGAACTCACTGGCATTGAAGGTTTCGACCCCGAGATCAGCTTTCAGCACGGGAGGCTGCAAACGCAACGCTCCAAGAGGTGGTTCAGCATATGGAATCCCTTGATGCTTCCAATCAACAACAGTATATAGACAGCGGATGATCACAAACCGCCAAAGAACTCTAGCTGCGAGAGCGATAGGTCACTTCCTACAAGCTTCGTTGTATCCAGTTGAACCTCAGGCAGAGAGAGCGCCAAGGAGGCGTAGCAGAGAACCAAGAAAAAGGCCAACATGAAGATAGTCTAAGTGAAGTCCATCACCGCCAGTTTAAGTACCAACTCGGATGCCTGAGGGCGGTGATTCCTGCCGGGATTTCGCGACCCAATATCATATGCCCAAAGAGGGCAAAGAAAAAACACTGACGTTACCGCACGGCGTCGGCTAATACACGTTAGTGAAAGGCATTCGCCATAGAATAACCCAGGGACTATTATGCCAAGTCGTCGCGTGCTGCATGCCTTGACAAAACCGAATGACGCTCAGGCTTAGAACGCGCAGTTGACGCGTAGCACTGAAACGAGAGAATAATTTCTTCGATGCTTAGAAATCGGTACGAAGATGGCGGCGGCTTACAACTCTCCGCAACGGACGGGGAGTACTTGCAAGAGGGTGGAGTAACAAACGATAGGCGCACCGCCAATGATTGTTCCGGGTCGGCTGTTCGGGCCGCACCACTTCCTTCACTGAAAAGTCCTAGTAAGCTCTTGCCTGCTCTTTCATCCCTGCAGGTAAGACGCTATCAGGTTCTCTACGAGAATTTACCCCCACAGGAACACGGGCATTAGTTGATGATGTCGTTTCTCCCAGCCGCCAGCCAATATGATCGACTGAGCATTATTTTTCAAGGCAACGATACCTTCAGCCTTTCCGCTCGGATCTGTTTCAACCAAACACCCTTCTCCTGCATTACGCACGGTCAATACGACGCTCCTTAGCTGCAGGTGAAGACTTGGATGACGTGGACGCTGGTGGCGGTGACTGTGCAGGGGACTGTGTCGGAGATACTCCGGCAAGAATGACCGACATCGAAGAACCTGACAAAGGTGGTGATGATGGCGGAGTACTAGAGGACGACAGGACACGAATCCGCTTCGAATCACCAAGAAAAACGCTGCCGATGTTCGCCAAGGAATTATGGTAGAAATCAGAAAATTGTGGTCAGCGAAGAATAATTAGTGGGTATCTGTGGTTCACGTTCAGGACCTGAATTTGTCGTACTACTAGAGAGTCGAGACCTTCTGCCGCGGCAATTACGACTCGCACGTGTGGCAACCTCCTATTTGCCAAACCGAGCACTGAGCAGCCAGGTGTACTTATTTCGGACCTTTACTTTCAGGAAAACACAGTATTAAGCAGGACTTGCAGTTCGTGACATCAACGTCGTTCTTTTCGTGCACTTTTTACCAACAAAACATGTATGTTTCTTCACTCTTGAAAGGTCTATCGTTTGTTTACATTTTGAAAGCTTGCGTCTCGAGCTCCGGTTCTTTTGGACACTATAAGCATCCGCGTAAACCACATGCAGAGTCGCAGCGTCGACGTCGTATCCGTGAATCTTTTGAAGGTCGGACCGTGCGACGCCGTCGTTTGATACAAATCCGAATCTTAATGACGTACGTTCGATTACCTTCTGCCAAGAAGTACTTACAAACATCCAACGCATAGTAAAAACCTGCAGCTGTTCAAAGTGACACCAGTAATCAAAGATGAACACAGTTCTTCGTTGTTTATGACGGAATATACTAATAAAATCGCAATGTGCTTCAGTGTCCTGGCCTCCCCCGGACTTAGTGCCCATACCTGGACGTCTTGTCGTGGGCTTGTTATCTTTCAACTTAGTCACGGTTGAGCCTTCTCACCTGTTCAGAACAGCAACATTAAATCAATACCCGTGCAAATCAACTCAATCTTTGTCAAAGACAACTTCTCGACATTGAAAACAACCTTTGAACGGATGCTTGTTGGACACATACTACTAGGACTACCTTGACGTCCTGCGATACGTTGATATGTTGATGTTCTTCTAGCTTACAGACTTGCGCATGTTTGCTAGGTCTGATCCTGAAAGGACTACTCCTTTCTGGTGTCACAATGACTCGAATCGATATTGACAACATATCGGTAAGCAGTTCTATCTGCACCTGAATATGACCATTCATACCACTTATTTATTTCGCCAGTCCTAAAACAAGCTCGAGCTCCTTAAGGCCGGGACAGGGCAAGCGTGGCTGGACGGTTTGCCTCATTTCCGAGCGCAAGACTAAGCAACTTCCATTGACCACGAGACCGTAAGTCCGAAGGCTCTCCGGTATGCCGCCATTCGGGAACGTTTTGATCGACCTGAAATTCGAGTGTTGAAAATCGCCGAGTGACTCACAGCCAACTACGGTCACTCGATTTTCTGACTTGGTTTTCCCACATACCAATGTCGTCTCCCTTAGCTGTCCCGCGATTCTCAGCTTCCCCACCGACCTACTGCTCCAATACTCCTCCTCCTCATTATTGTACAGACCCGACAAACGGAGAAAGGTCCATTGAGCATGCACCTCACCGGGTTGGGCGCGTTGCAGACGGTACCTTCATCAGGAATCGTGAAAGACTTACGGTCCTTTTAACACAACAAGAAGATGGTATCTCATCTCCAGTGTATGGTCGGATGGGCAACATCGCCGGAGCTGTACTTCTCAGTTCATCAGAGGACATAATTGAGGTCAAAATACAAGTAAAGTGCCATTTCATCGTTTTCTCTTTCTGTTCGGTATCCTCTATCTCTTTATTCTCTGTTCTGACATCTTTTCCCCAAAGTTTGAAGGTCGCCTGCATTTCATGAGTTCTGAGTGTGGTTCAAGGACGGTTACGACCGTCAGCGAAATGTATACCCTATGGAATTGCTCCCGAACGGAGATCGAGTCATGCCCGGGTTCCTTTCCTTTCTCTTTCCATCTTCCGTTGGTATTTGAGGATAGTGGAAGGACCTACCCATTGCCGCCTACCTTCCAGACTGCGTTCACTGCTGTTCTCAGCTTGGTCGTGACCTCCGTCTATACACTCATTGCTTCCATCACCACTGTACGTCGTCCACTGATGCTTGGGTTTGATAAGGTATCATCGTAAGTCGCAAGGTTATGCACACTGGCCTATTTCTGATGCATCTCCTAGTCTGCGTATACCCATAACTTACTACCCCAGGACTCGACCCGAACGCCCTCCCTTATATGTCCCCCTACTTCCCAGCATCAAGACTTGTCCTGAAGAATGGAATCAGGTCCTTGTCACTGTTAAAACAAAGTGCAGTTATAACGTTCTCCCCATCCAATGCAACGTAAGGAAAAATTTCCCATCTAGCCGCTCTATGCTCATCATTGCCATAGTTCTTCATACCATCTGTCCAGGCGTTTTCGTTCTCGGATGTGATCCCTTTCCACATCCAACTCAGTGGTCCGCTTTTCTCTCTCCTCATGCTCTTTCCCCAACGATCCACCGAATACGAGCCTTCCATTTCCGTCACCATGCACCGACAAATCATCATCGAAACTCAGGGCCGAAGGTCGCGGCAGAATCAAGAAATCGGAGTAGGGACTATGCGGCCTATCCCTCCTCCGCCGTCCCAGTGTGATCACGATGAAGAAAAAAGCATCGATTGGGGAGGCGAAATCCAATGCAGACCCACTGTCAAGGTGGGAGGGTTTGCGGTCTCTGGCGTGTCTGTCAAGGTAGCTTCGGTGTTGTTTTGATTTTTCAGTCAATCATGGTACAAACGTTTAGGATTACATCCTCTTTTCGCTGGAGCCTCCATTAAATTCACCCTTCCTTCCTGCCCGGGGGTACATTCCCATACTTCTCACGACAAATTCTTGGGCCGACGCCCCCAATGAGGCATGAGCCAGAATATCTAAACTGGGTTTCTCTTGAAAAGGGTCGGCATTCAGGTCATAAAAACTCGATAAAAGATGGATGTAGCGTTCGATATCGTACAAATACAGAACAAATAATTTTCGAAGGCAATAGTATAGCGATCCTCAGTGGCGGCGCATGGGCGACCTTCCCATCTGGACTAGGCCAGTCCTCGCCAATACGCGCTTCGTCCCAGACCCTCCAACATCCGGCTTGCCACCCTTTCTGCCGCCGTCATCGCTTCGCAACTCGACGACGTCGACGACGATGAGCCACCCACCCCGCCGAGACGCAGCGTCGTTATCGCGCCCATCACCGTCCCCCGTTCGCCCAGCCCCGTCACTCCAGATGCTCCCCTGACACCACCCAATGCTACCTTTTCTTTGTCTTCGTTGACCCCTTCCCCGGCTCCATCCGTGACGCCTCGCGTCTATCGCTGGCCTGCACCGCCTTCCCAGCATGAGAGCTCTGGCCCTCTCACCAACCCCAGTGCTCGTATGTCGCATGCTCGAATTCGAAATTGTGCCTCAGCCTGCTCGTATCCGTCTTCCCACCTTTGCGGTGTGATGGCGAAAAATATCGCTAGTCATAGATTGGGTCGGTCTGTTTATACAGTATACTATCAGCTATCTATCTTCTCATATCTGAACGCATCGTCCGTTCCTTTGTTGTACTTCGGGTGGATTGTGTTTTGATTTATGCTGCCATTTTTCACATGTATAGATCGCGTTCTACTGTTTATTTTTCCGTATGCTCCCATCGATCGGCACACGTTCCTTCCATCTTGTATGCAACACGGTAGTCTCTTTCGTACTTACATTATTATATATATATCAAACGGAAATGTATAGCCAATTTTGATTTCTCGTAAGCTGGATCGAAGGTCCATTCTCAAATAACGGAAAGACAGCTTAGGCATTGAACAATGTTTAAAAGGAAATAGTTACATATCTATTGGCCCCCTAACGATATCGGAAAGCGACGTTCTGGCTAATGATGAAGTCTATCTTCTCCTTGTTAAAATCATCGGGTACCATCGTCAAGTTGTCGGCACTAATTTGTAGCAGCGCCTGCTTGAAGTTAGAGACTTGAATCCTGCGAAGACAGTGGAATACATTACCTGATCGCTAACAGTATACTGAGCCCATGTTGGGCGCTGCGAGCCGAAGCCGTCGTTGGGATCCAGACTCGTTGCGAATGACAACCAATAGTCAATCATCACAGTACTCAGGGCAACTACTGACGCTGTTTCATTCATATCTGCTACCTCGCCGAAGACGAATGGAAGCTCTCCCCCATGGGGCACTTTCATGCGGAATGAGCACTTGGCTTTGTAACGTTCAAGTGAAACAGGACTTACCCCCGAGGTAAGCCGGCATAGAGGAAAGCCGTTGCGTGAATCTATAAGCATACGACTTTACGCCCACATCCGCGGTCGTTTGGCTCCAGAAGCGTCTGTGGGAGTCGAATACCAGGTCGCCCACTGGATTCTGGGTCAGAAATGTAGGGCAAAAGAAGGGAGGCTCGTTCATACAGATTGCAGATATCCTCTTAAAGCCAGGAGACAAGCCGAAGGTCTCGTTTCCTGTATTATACGGAGACCCGTCTGCTGGATCGTCCGGATACAGATCCATCAGTTCATCCATGACATCTGTCGGGACAGCAGGGGGCGCGTAGCTTGTATTCACTGTTGAGCGAATCACTTCTTCGGTATAGTCCTGCGTCAGTGAGCTGAACATGGTTCCTGTGAGTTGGATTAATACAGGTACAACACATTCGACGGGTTTCCTTGCCTTCATCTAAATTTGTACCAGCGATGAACGGTAAACGCGCGAACTGCCCCGTGGGGAGCAGGCGCGAAGGCAAGTCAGGAAAGAGACCTGAAGGCCCATCGAGAGTAGGACAAAAAGGTATCACCTCCGTTGCCTTAGAATACGCCTGTAAAAATCCTTCGTAGACTTCAGAAGAGCTCGCATTTTGCACGCAGGGAAACGTTAGAGATGTTCCGACGTAGCTACTGCACTCCGGTATGGCGGTGACGAAATTATTCCATGCATCTTCTCGATCTTCTCGAGCAGTAGCATTGAATGCGGCGGGGATGCTTGCAGTCCCGGACTGGAAGATCTGGGATTCGGGTTGAGTACAGCAAGCACATACGGAGCTGGGAATATTTCAACTCACCCCCGCCCATGCCAGGTCCGAAATTGACGGATGTAGGAAGAGAATAGATGTCATACTAGCCCCTCCACTCTCTCCGAAAACAGTCACCTACTCACTCTTCAGTCATCTATAAACGCTAACAAGAGCGTCAAACCTTGTTCTTGTCGCCACCGAATGCACCGATATTATGTTGGACCCATTCTAGTGCTGCAAGCTGATCTTTGATCCCAAGATTTAGGTTTTCCCTGTCCGCGGCTTCCTTTCCCTGAGGAAATCCGAGAGGCCCCAGACGATAATTGAAATTGACGTAAATAACGGGTGTGCCCTGGATTAGGCGCTCAGTATTGGTGCTGCAGGATGCAGATAATAACACCTACTCTTAGGACACTTTGGGCCACAATTGCACTGCCATCATAGAGAGAAGCTGAGCCTTCAAAATAACCACCACCGTGGGCCCTGAAGGAATAATATTAGCGGCCTATTCACCTTTGAAATAGGGATGTCAGACCAAAATAACACTGGCAGCGAAGCGTTATGGGATGTCCCAGATGGTCGCAAAACATTAATGGTCAAGCAGTCTTCCGAGATTGTGTCGATAGGCAAGCCCTATATTAAAAGGCTCAGTCTTGCAGAGCACCACAAATAAAAGGAAAACACCCACAGCCTGGAGGCAAGCCAGACCGAACTCACTGGCATTGAAGGTTTCAACTCCGAGATCAGCTTTCAGCACGGGAGGCTGCAAACGCAACGCTCCAAGAGGTGGTTCAGCATATGGAATCCCTTGATGCTTCCAATCAACAACAGTATATAGACAGCGGATGATCACAAACCGCCAAAGAACTCTAGCTGCGAGAGCGATAGGTCACTCCCTACAAGCTTCGTTGTACCCAGTTGAACCTCAGGCAGAGAGAGCGCCAAGGAGGCGTAGCAGAGAACCAAGAAAAAGGCCAACATGAAGATAGTCTAAGTGAAGTCCATCACCGCCAGTTTAAGTACGAACTCGGATGCCTGAGGGCGATGAACCGATTTGCAACAGTGGCAGCGTCATCAGCCCGAGAAGGGCAAAAAACACTGACGTCCGTCGGTTAGTATAACCGTTAACGTTAGTGAAAGACATTGGTCCTTGAATAACCCAGGGTCTATTATGCCTAGTCGTCGCGTCTCGCATGCCTTGACCAAACCGAATGACGCTCAGGCTTAGCACGCCCAGCGCTGAAATGAGAGAATAATTCATTCGACGCTTGGAAAATCGGTACGAAGAGGGCGGCGGCTTACAACTCTCCGCAAGGGAGTACTTAGAAGAGGGTAGCGATTGACAGGGCCGGGCTCAAAGCCCTAAGCCGAGCCGAGCCGAGCCTGAGCCTGAGCGGGCTTGGGCTCAAGACTTGGGCTTGCGATTTTAGAAGCCTGAGCCTCCTCAAGCCGGGCCGGGCCGGGACCTGACAATGATCGCTACAAGGGGTGGTGGAGTCTGACTCATTAGCTAGAGCCTAGGACAGAGCAGTGTCTTGCTTGCAATATTACACCCTGTCTGTCAACCAGACCGGCCATTTCTTATTATTCGTCATCATCGGACAACAAATCACTGACATATGCACCAGCACCTGAGAAATGTGCAACCCGCACACATGCTCGGTGAAGGGCGAGAAGCACAGGACTGGGAAGAGGAAGATTTTGTTCGTCGGAGGTTGTAAAGGTGACAGGATTTTCAGGTATGGTTCTCAGCACGCCTGGGAGGAGAGCCTCGATCCTATACGTATTAGGCTGTCCCTAAAAGCGAGGGATTAACGACATGAAAGAATTCCACAAACACAGTCAATACCTCTACGGCCACGAGACAGATATGAAGCGCATCAAAGGACCAATGGAGTAGAGTAGTTAGAGTCATCATGTTACTCATATGATTCAAGTCGCCAACGTCGAGCTTCTTGAAGATATCTGTCTTTCCAAATCTCGATAAAATCGCAGGTACCCTCGTCGGATTTTCAAGCTAAACTGATCTCCAGTTGTGAGCAATAGCAGGAAAGTAGATGAATACCTTGTCTTGTGGTGTGCCGCCAACAATGTTGGCATTTCGTCCGATGGGTATGATGCGGGCCTCATGGACAGTGTCACACAGAGCTGGACCACTGAGCAGAGGATGTCCAGGAGCCATGCGGTAGAGATCGTACATGTACTCAAAATCGTAGCAGCGAGACAATACGCATTGATGTCGGTCACGGTTCGAAGCCTATAATAGACATTAATGATGAAAACATAGACAGGCTGTGGTGACTAACATTTCGCCTTGTTTCCCAGTGGGCTAGGCTAGGAGAGACGTCCTCTTTTTCATCCCCAGATGATGACTCGTCCATAAAATTAGGGGTTCTTCCATCATTCGCCTTGACTGAAAGGATACATCGTGAACACAACTACGTTCGAGTTGGAAAAGAATAACTCACAGGTCCGGATGTATACTTCTGCATAGAGCTGAGTCAGTTGCTTCAGTCGTGCTTCATCTCCAGCGCACGACACAATTTCGAATGTAACGTTGTCTCTTCCTTCCACTGTCGGCGCCTCAAGTAGCATATAGCCCAGAAGTCTCCCCGCCACCCGTGGTGTCATAGATCCTGACGACATGACAGACCATTCGGAAAGAGATTCAATGGCTTGAGCACCGACATAGGCCTCATTCTGTTGCGCAGTGAAGTTCTCGGGAGCATGGGCGGGTAGCGGGGCAGGACCATGCGGGAAGACGAATTGCAGAGTGTCATAATTGGGCATTTCAATTGAACTCCTACGTCTCTGTGGTATGCGATAACGATGATAAGAGGTGGTGTAAGAGAGTTCTCAGCTTGTTTCATACTCGTCAGAGGGTTCAGTTCGATCGAAAGCTCCCGAATGTTGGTGTATGCGCATCCGTACTTCCGGATGCCAAAAATATGTCGTGCGGGGTGTATCCAATGGTACGCAGAACTGCTGAAGTATCCGCCGGCCTCAATGGACATGAGTTCACTTTACGCTCTCTCGAGGTAGCCTCATTAAATAGCTATAACAGAACTTCAGCAAAGAGGAAGACACGCACGGAAACTAATCGACATACCGCCCATTGTCCGGATTGTGACACTTGCCGGATGTCATTGCTAACCTGAGCTTCCAACACGTCAATTTCAGGGGCGGCATGCCCAACGTACGTCCCATTGGACTACTTGGGACCGGGATGGCTCTCGCCGTCACATGTGCACCCGGAGAGTCGCTGTCCAGGCAAGTATGAAAGTTCAAGCATGCCTTGCCAAAATCAAATATTCGTGGAGACGATAATTTATTCGACACTTAGAAATCGCTACGAAGAAGGCAGCGGCTTGCAATGGACCAGGAGTACTTACAAGGGGGTGGTGGAATCTGGACAACAAACGATCGGCTAGTTGCGGCAGTCCGGTTGTTCGGGCCGTGCCCCTTCCCTTACTGACTCTCACTGAAAACGTCCTAGTAAGCTCTTGCCTGCTCTTTCATGCCTGCAGGTAAGACGTCTCGCCATGCCTATGTCAACTCTCAAGTTCTCTACGAGAATTTCTTCCCGAAGGAACATGGGCATTGGCTGATGATGTCGTTTCTCCCTAAATTTTTCCTCAATATCGACTGTGTCATTTCTCAAGGCAGCGATACTTTCCGCCATTCCGCTCGGATCTGTTACAACCAAACATCCTGCTCCTGTACGCACGAGTCATTAGCTAGGACAGAGCAACGTCTTGCTTGCATTATTACACTCTGTCTGTCAACCAGACCAGCTGGCATTTCTTATTATTCCTCGTCATCGGACAATGAATCACTGACATACATGTCAGCACCTGAGAGATGCGCAACTCGCGCACATGCTCGGTGAAGGGCGAGAAACGCAGGGCTGGGAAGAGGAAGACGCTTCTCGTCGGGGGTGGAGAATGTGACAGGGTTTTCAGGTATGATATTCAGCATGCCGGGGGAAAAGGCCTCAGTTTTGTAAGTATTGGGCCGTCCCTAAAAGCGAGGGATTAATGACATGAAGAAGCTCCACAAACACGGTCAATACCTCTACGGCCGTGAGACACATTTGAAGCGCATCAAAGGACCCATGGAGCGATTCAGAGTCATCATGTTACTCAGATGGTTCAAGTCGTCAACATTGAGGTCCTTAAAGATATCTGTCTTTCCGAATCTCGATAGAATCGCAGGTGCGCTCATCGGGTTTTCAAGCTAAAATCATTTCCAGTTGTAAGCAATAGCAGGAAAGTAGATGAATACCTTGGCCTGCTGTTCGCTAACAGCGATGTTGGCCTTTCGTTCGATGGGTATGATGCGGGCCTCGTCAACAGAGCCAAATGGATCTGAAACCCTGAGCAGAGGATGTTCAGGTTCCAGCTGAGAGAGATCGTACATGTACTGGAGATCGTAGCAACGAGATAATATGCATCGATGTCGATCACGTTTCGAGGCCTTTCATAGATCTTAACAATGAAACGATAGACAGGTGTTGACGACTAACGTTTTGCGTTGTTTCCCAGTGGGTTTCTTCCATGACACTGGGAAGGGGGACGTCCTCTTCTTCGTCACCGGATAAATCAGGCGATGACTCGTCCATGTAATCACTGGGAGTCCTCCCGCCATTTGCCTGGACTGAAAAGATGTATTGTGAACACTACGACTACATTCATGTTCGGAGAAAATGACTCACAGGTCCGGATGTATACTTTTGCATAGAGCTGAGCCAGTTGTTTCAGTCGTGCTTCATCTCCTGCGCACGATGCAATTTCGAATGTAACGTTGTCTCTTCCTTCTACTGTCGGCGCCTCAAGTAGCATATAGCCCAGAAGTCTCCCCGCCACCTGTGGTGTCATAGATCCTGGCGACATGACAGACCATCCGGAAAGAGATTCGATGGCTTGAGCACCGACATAGGCCTCATTCTGTTGCGCGGTGAAGTTCTCAGGAGCATGAGCGGGTAGGGGGGCAGGACCATGCGGGAAGACGAATTGCAGAGTGTCGTAATTGGGCATTGAACAACTGCGTCTCTGTGGTGTGCGTATAAGAGGGGTTGTCTTCATTTTTGAGACAGTTCTCAGCTTGTTTTCATGTTCGTCAGAGGGTTCAGTTCGATCGAGAGCTCCCGAAAGTGTCCAAGCTGGATGTCGGGTCAGTCGAACACGCAGATGAGGGTGTATCCAATGATACGCGAACTGCTGAAGCATCCGTTGGCCTCAATGGACTGAATCATAGTTCACTTTACTCTCTCTAGGTAGCATCGTTGTGATAAAATGGTCGATCCTTGATACAACATATAATTCACATGGATATCGAGTTAAGAAATGTTAGCAGCTATCCACAAGAGAATTCTTGGGGACCGTTTGGCCATAATCATCGACCCATGTTGTCAAGTTAGGATTGTTGTATGCCTCAGCATATCTAAGATGGCGTTTAGAAAAAGTAGGACGAAATGAGAATTGGACGTACGTTTCTATATATGCAGCAGTAGGGAAATCGTCCGGATCGCAACCAACGTTTATGCTATTGGGGTCCTGGAAGCACGTAAGGCTTAGCGGCTGATATCTACAAAGTGCAGAATACACCAACCTGGTATACACGAATCCAGTCTATTGACATGATCGCGGGAAAGGTTAGATGATCCAAATCTACGTCTCCAAAATTGGTGGACATTCCAAGATTTGCCATAATGTACTGTCAAGAAGCCCATTAAGTTCAACGTGGTCATTCTGTTTAGGCTTTAAGACGAACTATCGGCTCTTGGGGGACAGGTCGCGCGGAGATTTCAGTACCAGTATCAGCTCCGACTCCGGCAGCGTTGATGGTCCAAGCGACCTTGCCGTTGTTTATCCATGTGATATACTGCGAAAGGGTCAGGATGGAGAAAATGGTTGAAGGAGTAATCGTCTTACGGCATTATCTGACTCGTAACCTGGGGAATGACTTCAATGAACCTGAAGAACGTGTCATTATGCTCCACAACTTACCAGGTTTATACTAATCATAGAGCATCAGCTGGGGAAGAGAAGCAGTTTCAGAATTTAAGCGCGCACCTCGAAACCATAGGTTGCAAAGCAACCGTCGGACAACTGATAGCAACTTGAATTTGACGTCGATACAACCGATGTTGCCTGCTGTGTCGATCCACCGATATACGAGTTCAGTGTTGAAATGCTGCTATCTGCAATGATGAGATTATCCGAACTGTTGTCCCAGACATATCCCTCATTAAATGGCTGTAGCAAAAAATCAGCAAAGAGGAAGGCGCGCGTAGAAAATAAACGACATACCGCCCATTGTCCAGATTGTGATACTTGTCCGATGTCATTACTAACCTGTGCTTCAAACACGTCGATTTCGGGGGAGGCACGCCCGACGTAGGTCCCATCGGAGTGTTTGGGACCGGGATGGCTCTCGCCGTCACATGTGCACCGGGAGAGTCGCTGTCCAGGCAAGTATGAAAGTTCATAGTTGTAGTCAGAATAGCCACTGGTTGTAGCGACTGTGGGTAAGCCATTAATGGTTTGATTTGGGGCCGTGCCGACGTCGCAAGCATCGTATGTGTATGGCCACTGAAATGCGTATTAAGAAGTGGATCGCTAACCTGATGCAAGATAGCGTACCATTCCGTCGAGGGTTGCACCATAGCCAGCGCGTCCCAGGTTGCCCATGGCCCATACAGCGGGCCATAGTCCTACAACGTTACTAATTCCTGGCAGTCGAACGGAAGCGGATAAATATCCGCCTGTAAAGCAGAATTTGTTCCTATACTACACATGAGCAAGCGAAGCCCAGAGGAAAGGACAACATTACCATGTCGCCACCATCCCTATAAACAAATGGTCAATATTCTATAACGGTGCTTCAGCCGCAAAATCTGACCTCCTTGATAGTCAAGTCCGTGGGTCGCCTTTTCCGACAGTGTGATGTGCATAGATCCATTCGCCGTAGTTATAGCTGCTGGGTCATACCATTCCATGTTATTGGTACCCTGCGAGAATTCAATTGCCGTCTCAAGAGTCTGAACGATCAATCTCACCCAGTAATGGAGGTCCACAGCTTCCCAATAAGGATCATCACCTGGATAAAAAGTCCGCCCATCGGTTTCAAACTCATCCGAGAATATGAGCTGCCACTCCGAGCCATCTCTCCAAGATGTGAAGGTATATGCATCTTCTGGGGTATCTAAGTCTATGAGGCCAAAGTTTCCCATTTCGGGAACCTAAATGATTGGAATATTGGTAAGGTGGCAACGAGAACGTCAGAGCCCCAACTCACCTGCCCCGATGCATTGACTCCCAAGTTCGAAGACGACGACAAAGAAGAAGTTTGATCTTGTACGTATGTTAGAATAGGGTATGCGACACTGGTCAGATTTCAATCAAAGTAGCCACAGCAACAGAGAGAGACACCGACAATAACGCGAGCAGGCAAGTGCAAAGGATCATAAGGCATCCAACGTTGGCCACGCCTCTCTTTGAGAAAGATAGAACATCGTCGTCCACAACCTTGCCATCACGCACGGTGGGGTTGTGGAGAGCATCATCTGGTTCCCGATAGTTCAGAGATAAGTTTGCACCCCATGTCATAGGATCGGCAGCAAGAGAAAACTGTTAGATTCTTTGGATAGGTCTTGCGGAATGGTACGCCAAAAGGAACTTACTTTTTCGGATAAAGACATCATTGTTGAGTTGGTCAAGGTATATGGTGTCTCCCCCTACGGAAAGACCGTGCGTCAGAGGGCAGAGCACAGCAGGAACAACAATTTGATACTGTACGAATTCTGAAACTCTGCGGTCATTGCGAAATGACCCTCGAGGGAGTAGACTCGCCGACGAAGCCTGAGATTCAATCGTACGAGCCCTTCGTGTAGACATGACTTAGTGAGTAAACGAGTGGATGGTTGATGGTAAAGAGCGCATGACGAAGTAACTTCCCATCGTGCAACTTGTTCCAATTGCAGCACGCGCAGCCAGGATGATGATGTTTCTTGGCCGGAATTTAAAATTCTGCTGCGCGTCCCTGATGAGATAAAAATTCGACAGATAAGTGACCGACCGTTAGCACTCCCAGTGAGCCCTGTCAGTGCTTCAGCGTTTGACCAATATACTCGTACACAGATATTTCCGATACAAATGTAGAGAAATCTGAGCTGGAGGCCCCATATTTCCTCTGCCGTGTGGGTCGGATGGCAACCTCTTGGAAAGCTCTCGAATCTCGATCACGTAACTGGAATATAAATCAATGATTTCAGGCGCAGTTACCTAGATCTACGGTTGTTGCGAGGGTATTTGACGCGCCAATTCTGGTTCCCCTCAGTGTTCCTCCTCTCGACAAATGACAGTACGGTGGCATCGATAGAGCGAAATATATCTCAAAAGGGCCCAGGGAAATGGCTAAAGCAATATGGGCATTTAATTAGAAACACCGAAGCGCAGGCACCAGTGATAGGCACGAGTCACAGTGAGAATTGGTGTCAGATGGGCTGCAGCTGCGGGGTGCCCTTGAAGATGCCAGAGTCCGCCGCTTCGTGCGAGTTCGTGACAGAGGCAATGTCGGAGTTTCAAATCCTTCTTTTCCCCGTACCGCTTCCTCTGCTCAATATTCACACAGTAAACCACGGCGTCGACACACTTGCAACGTCAAGTGTCCAGAGAGACGGCTACGAGTCTAACAATGCGAAGGTCGAGGCGAGGCGGAGACCAGCAATTGCCGCTGGCGATATCCGAAAAAAAAAAACAGAGGAGCCGCTAAGTGAACGGACGTCAAGCTTGACTTTTCCCTGATTCGTCTAGTCGAGAATGTCACCGTCAACAACAATGTACGTTTGTCTGCGATACCGATGACGTTCCAGCGAGCCTGAATGCTTCTTGTGACCAATATGTCGTATGTTGTAAAGTGTCTATTCTACCTGCTTGTCGACGTTGCGTGCTATGGCAACCATGACGCGTCTTTTTGTCTATGAAGTTAATCTTCCCTTATTTTTTGCTCTGTCCAAAGAAGCGTCAATTCAGCGTGCGTCTTCACTATTGTTTTACTGAATGTCTCTAGACATGAGGCCTGAGGCCTGAGGACGTAAGGATAGTTGCGTATCAATTTCAAGCATGAAGCAAAAAGAGGTGGTTTCGGTATAACAAGAACGAGAGACTCCCTTCAACTCTGAAAAACTTCCCGCAGCTCTGCACAGCATATCTAGTGTAAACGACGAAACAAATGTCACTTACCCTGAAGGAGCAGAAACATGCTCACTCCAAAAGCTTGTATAAATGTCGACCTCATACTTGAAGGCCATGGCTGCGGTTGTCAGTAACGGGCATTCACAAGGTCAACACGGGAACAGACTTCTATAAGTACAGCGTCGTCCAACTTTGTGTGTCCCGTTCCAAGTGCCTGAGTGCATTCAGTGACAATTGTATATGCAGGACGTACTAGTTCCGCGAATAACTATAAAGCGACTTGCCAGGCTAGACAATTGTAACCTGTCCATCTTTGTCTTTCTCAATTGTGCTCCATTTCTCGATTGTTTTTTCTCCGAAACCAAATATCCTGATGCAGTTTCATTTGCTCGCGGGTCTTCTATCGACCGTCTGACTCAGGTCGGTCCGGCGTCAACTACCCTCTTGTTACAATACTGCTCGCGCAACCAGGCGTATTCGCAACCACGACATACAAATGGAAAGTCCTTAGCCAACGCGATTCGTGCAGAGTATCCTTAACACTGATCATGCTTCATCAGTCCATGGTTCACGACGTACTTACCATTCGGGGCGCAGTATCACTCAATCTGATCTTTGCGAAACAGATATCACCTCGTTCACTTTGGTCGTCAAAAGAATCCCGATGAACCCGTGCTTGAGAATTCAGACGCTCGGAAGGTTGGGCGGCCGGTATCTGGGATGATGGCCATCGGAGTCCATCTGGAGGGATTCGCCTTCTTTAGGCGTCGCCTTTGATGCAGATAGGGGGAATCATTTATGCGGGGGCAATACCGAGTTTCATAGCAGATAGGCACAACAGTTATAGTGCAAACTGCGGAGACAGAGCGGGCTGAACCAGTTACAGGCCTAATAATTGAGAGTTTGAGGACTGATGAACACGCCGAGCAACGCGAGTAGCCCTTCGATCTCGATGTCAAATCATAATTGGTGCTGAGGAAGGCCTGATCATCGTGAGTCCTAAGATACAAGGTCGCATCAGCTATGCATGAGAAGTACGGCACCACTTCATAAATTCTGCACTGCGTATCATTCCAGTCCTAAAACAATGGAGATGATATGATATAAACCTCCTTCTAACAAACCCGTACCGATCAGTTCGCTGTTTCAGCAACGACCGACGCTAACGATCCCGCCTTTGGATCCGGAATAAAGATCATAGACCAAGTATCCCCCGACCGCCTCGTCGGATCCACGACCGGAGTGACGAATCCAGCTTCCGAAGTGAAAGCAGACCGGGGAAGGTGCGGTACCGGCGTATACGGGTAATTGTGCGATGTTATGGATACAAATTGAGGCGAAGAGATTTTCCTGGGCAGACAGGGTTAATTATCGTCTATTATTACAATTAAGAAGATACGAACGTGACGGTGTCGATGATAGACTGGACAAAGTCGGGACCGAGGAAGCCCCGCCAGCGAAGGTGCGTGATGTTGCCGACATTGGATGGGCCGGGTGACTCGTAGAGTGATACGTGGGGGTCAACGCGGTCATTAGCTTGTAATCTTTGAAGGAAGACGCGTTAGACAATGTTTACAGCTTATACGGGAAACAAACCTTTGGGCACCTAGGCCTGCCATACCAACCCACTCAAACAGGCCATGAAGGTGTTCATTCCAGTCATCGATGTCGTCCTGGCTCCCATTCGGCCGAGGCGGTAAGTCAACAACAGGTATTCGCACATCGTTCATGCTCGTCTTTTGGCATTTTACTTGACGCACAGAACCCAGCCGTGCCAGCTTGGCCAGGTCTACCAACAATAAGCCGAAATGGGGGAGAGAAAACGGAAAATACTCACCTTTCGAGGTACACAGGATGCTCCACGGCTCCCTTCTCCCATCCCATGCCTTCAACGCGCTGCTCCTGCGCTTTTTATTGCCCTCAGATTCCGTGTTGGCCTGGAGAGGAATATTTATGACTGGATAGACTCAATCTTTACGCGTTCGAGGCGAGTGGTTCACGTACCATGCCGCTCCTCGTGAGGATGTTTCCTGCCGTATCCCAACACGACTTTCTTCCCAACGAGTCCGAGGGTCTCGTACGTGTCTTTTGCTACACAGAGAGTGAGGATTCCACGAGGGTCGATATACCATACGTCGCCATCGTCAAAGTCGGTGCTTAGGACTGTGAGGTTGCTGGTGGGTGTTGACGGATGAGCAACGATGGAAAAGGATAAGTATACACGCACTTTTCCGGTCCCAGTTCCTTTGCAGACGCAATTACATCCGAGAGCGTCGTTTTTCCTTTCGCGTAGTGAGTTTCAAGAGGAAGCAACGCGTTTTCGAGTTCATCATCAGATGGAAAAATCACGTCCAACTGCCAAGGTTCTTAGCGATAGAAGATGAAATCGTAAGTGACATATTACCTGCTGTATGAATGGATACGACGATGCCAGTCGCGGGATTTTCTTTCCCTTCTCGTTGCCGGTAGAATAGCGCAGAGACATGGTTGTTTACGGAAGAGCTGCAAAGCAAGCAAAACTATTTGGTATTTTTGCCCCTTCCACATTAAGATATCTTACAATTGCGGCTACGATATAGACGTCTAATGAGATCCGTAAATATTCTATGTTAACACCTTCCCGCCCGGCGTGATAGATGAATAAAACTACACCGAGAGCTTAAGCCAATGGCGCCCGGAGATACTTCCTCCTGTACTTGGAGTCCACGCTGTCAAGGTAGTAAGCACCCGGCCAGATGTTATCGACCGAGCCCTCCGGTGTATACGAAACACTGTTGTGGTTCTTCTCGCGGAAGCTAATAGGAATAAAACAATCAGAATCGAAGCAAAGGACAGATGGAAATCAGATCGTACGTTTAATGCGTCCACAAATTCTTGAGGTGGCACGACCTTCATCGATGCCAAGCGGTTGAGAAGATCCATCTTTTCCCGAATTTCGCTAGTGTCGCCCTTGATGCGCAATGTCCAGAAACTGGCTGCGCAACCGGAGCCGAAGGCAAATAAGCTAGCCCGTTTGCCGAGGAGTGTGGCAGGCTCCACAGTAGGAGATGAGAGAGGCAAGACAGCCGTACAGGGAACCAGTGTACATGTTGCCCAGCCGTTTCGAGCACGCCATTCCAGGGATCAACCTTGTCCTTGAATTCCTGTTTGCCGGCAGCAATGAAAGTCTTTTTCGACGTTCTTGTCGGTCAGCGAGGCGGCATGGGAGGCAGCAAGGAAGCCTTCAGGGTTGGGGATGTTGGCATATTTGGGGTGGGAGGGCTTTGAAAGGAAGTCGTTGAAGAGCATGCGAGCAGTGACCCTTAACGGCCTGCTTGCCGTAAGGGCTATGGAACAGGTGATAGTCGACGTCATCACTGGAGAAAGAGTATTTGACGTCAGAAGAGGGTTTCGAAATCCTGTCAGGTCTTTTCTCTGAACGCGGAGTAGGCTGCGTCGAGAGCAGCAATATAGGTGACGACAGAAACAGGGCCATCGACCTCGGGATATTCCGAAGACAAGTTGGGTTTGTAAAAGTCGTACGTGTTTGCCATGTAGCTTCCATGGATGGCTAGAAGCACAAGTTAGAAGTTATTATCACGAGGCCAAAACACATGTACTCACGTTCAAACACGACGGGAGCATTGGGACCAATCAGAAGAGCAACGGCGCCCGCTCCACCGGCAGGACGGGCAGCGCCTTCAGCGTAAATGGCGATATCCCCGGCTACAACGATGGCATTACGACCGTCCCAAGAGCTGGATTCGATCCAGTTGACGGCATTGTAAAGGGCAGCGGTAGAACCGTAACAGGCGTTCTTGGAGTCGATACCCTCGATGTCAAAGTTGCCCGACTCAGCGAAGAGGTCCATGAGGTGAGTCTTAACAGACTTGGACTTGTCGATGATGGTTTCTGTGCCAACATCAATACGTCCGATGGACTTGGGGTCAATGTTGAACTTTTCGAGGAGGCCAGAGACAGCTGTTGCGCGTCGTAAGAAGAGCCAAACTGGGAAAAAAAACATACACACCATTGAGGGCGAACGAGTTTATATCCTCACGGTCATCTGGCCACGACATGTATTCCTGGCCTAGACCGATGGTATATTTTCCCTTCGAGACTCCATCGAACTCTTCGAGGTCGGCTTCAGAGATGCACTACAAGCGCGTGTTAGCATGCACGACGAGCACAGGAGAGATGCAGCACGTACGCGACGAGGGAAGTAGGTCTCCATTGCGAGGACACCGACATCCTTGGGGCGGCCGAGGGTAGCATCGAAGGCAGACATGATGGCGGTAGGTAGAGAGATGGAGGTATGAGAGGGAAAAGATGGAATGGAGAAAGGCAAGAATGAATGCGGGGCTTATATATGGAAATGCGAAAAATGGATGGTACGATTTTTTGGGAGGAATTACAGTCAAAATGGTACGGTCACTTGGTCCGAATTCCGCGCAAAAATATTGCCTCCCGCTAGAGAAGGAACGAAAGGCGACTTGCTGGCGGCCATTTGTGACAAAGCTTGTCCGTTTTGATTGTAATTTTAGTCGTTTGGTCAAGTTAGCTCCTCTTCGCTCTTTCTCCGGACACAGGGTCACACCCAAATTAGGCAGGTAGACCGCCATTTTGCTCCACGTGGTCATATCGGCATTCATTTTGATTAGTAGCCGTGTCTCAATTCAAGACGCTCACTACGAGACAACATGTTGTTCGTTCTTTGTTCTCCGGCCCCATCCAAAGGACCTTTGAGCACGATCTATCTCTGTCTAAGGTCGAATTCCAAACACAAGATCTCCTGCACCCTTTAGCGTCTTGTGTTTCTCTTGCGCGCTACTCTGGTCTCGTGTAGCTAACTTTTACCTCCATGTAGTGCACCTGCTTTTTTGGTAGCATACTACACTACATTGGTCCGGTCCCAGTCATTTCATTCTCCTTAATATGCATTTCTGCATGCCTGAGACATACCTTGAATCTCGATATGAACTATGTCAGGCGTTTGCGCGATATGTTACATATCCACTATCTGATCGCTATCTTTTCTTGTCCTCGTATGGTTTCACCTGGTGCGGACGCTATTCATTCCCGATGGACTAGCGCTGCGTCAGGGCATCACTTCTTAGGATCAGTTCCTTAAGGGTGATATATTTTCCCTTATGCATAGGATTACATGGCAGGGGAACTCCCGCTTTGATATGTTTTCCTGAAATCTCCGAACTGCTCGTCGCGGTGCTCTATAAGTAAGCTACTGTCAGCCTTCGCATCCAAGTTGCTTTTTCTCGTTTTCCAACATGGCTTGATATCGAACGCGTGATTCGTCATATTTAACCCTCGTTCTTTCGAAGTTTTTGACTTGCCTTATGGTGATGTTGCATCCGGTGCTTGCATAGCAATGTCGTTTCTGATCCAGCCCCTGGGTTACCCAGGCAATACTTACACCTCCGCTCCTTTTGTCCTTTATTTACTACCTTCAGTTCATGTAGATGTATATACCTCAACTTGGTATTTCAAAAATAGAACGAGTGGTTGCCTCACACATCTAGATATCCATCAGTGATACGTCGTTATTCGGCACGGTACAATCCATACAATAGGGAGAAAATTTCCAACAATTGTTGAACCTCTCTGATGTTACCAAGTGTAGTGCCTTCCTTCTTCAACCGAATGACTGCACGTTTCTCATTGTCAACTCATTGTTCATTATGTCTTCGGATGGTCGGACCGGACATACGTGAGAATTTGCCACGCATACGACGGATCCAAGCGGGGTCCGACTCTGGTTTTCAACAAAAGGCTTGATAGTGGCGCGTCCTTCTTGCTCTCTTATTACCACCCAACAACTAGCCTTTTCTTATATTTTTCTAAATCTCTTGCACGATGTCGGGCTCAGCAGGGCCAAGCATTAACAACACTGTACCGAGCTCCCATCTGTCTCTGGTTCCGCCACCACAATCGCTGGCTCAGGATTGTCCCATCCTTATTTGGATGTTGTCGCTCAATCGCGAGTATACTGCTGAAGTGGGTATTCTGTCTTGTCGGTCCAGATCGCTGATACGATCGTTTCAACAGGAATACGAGTCTTGCTATACTTTCTTAAAGGATTATACTGATCACGTTGAATTGGGACCCTACAATCCAGAAGATGCGGACTCTTTCCGTAAGTATCCTACCCCCCAAGATGAGCGTTATCCCGAGCATTCTTTTATCCAGGGCACCTCATTACACAGCTATTACCTGTACTCATGATGAGACATAGGCGAATACCACGATCCAAGTGGCGAGACCAGGTCACACAGAACGGGAAGCATTGGATAGAACAGGTCCGTTACAGGTCGTCCTCTAGTCCTCGTCACACATTGACAGGATCGTTCAGCTCCCAGATGACATGCCTCCAGAGAAATTCTTATACTCTATGATCGGATACCACATTGAATGCGGGCCTTCTTTGTGCGGAATCGCAATGACTCAGGGACCACAGAAACGAGTAGTCAATATCGGCCTTGGCATCAAGCAACTAACTGTAGAGCCTAGAGGTATCTCTGTCGCCGTGTACTTGGAGTCTTTGTCGCACAAGGCTAGCATTCACCCTCCTCCCATTCTTTTCCTCGATCTCACACTCTCATAGCTGACGCCGAATGAGATGGCCCTGATTCCACTTGACGAAGGAGATGAGACTGCCTTACGGCGCCTAACCATTATCTTGGCGCTCAAGGAAGCGTATATACATGCTATCGGACAACCTATTGGCTTTGATTATTCTAGGCTCGAATTCAACGTTCCGGAGAGCAAAGCCTGGGGCGACGGACATCCACTACAGGGATGGGAGTTCCGTATATGGAGCGCGGCACTTGGTGTGGCGCGGGGTGATCGCCTGGTAGAGGAGCAGTACCAATGTGTCTGCGCGTTCTTCCGCGGGACGAAAGAGTCGACATTTCTATGGAAGGACGAGAGAAAGGCGTTGGATACGTGGGTGCAGTTTATTAACATTGACCAGATGATCAAGGTCATTCCCAAACTGATGGCTTGAGACGAAAAGCCATGAACGAACTCTTTAAGGAATTTGTAGCTGACTTGTATCTATAAAGTATATCGTGCGGCATACCCTCGACTGTCGATTTTTATACTGTGGAAGTTGTGTATAACATCACTTACGTGCCTACTTAATCGTTGTATATAACGTTCTAGTCTATGATTTGTTGAATACCTTGTTACGGAGCAAACCGCGATATTATGAATCTAATATTAGTTCGAATCCAGCACATAACTCTGTTGATTATTCATGGTACCAAACTGATGATCACTAAGTTTTGTTCAATGATTGAAACTTTGAAATAGCTCAATCTCGTTGCCGGTTAGGTGGGATACACTGATGAATTTTTTCGAGTCATCGTCGGAAGGCGGGCCGTTTTGGGGCTGTGCGCCGACTCGAATCCAGTGACCGCGGCACCGACCTGCCTACAACACTCATCATATATTCTGCGATGTCTGCATTACATCCCTGGAAACTATCGACACTTCTACCGCTGCGGCATGGCTACTGTTTTGCATCGTTTTCGTGGATGCTTGGCGCTCACCGGGCCTGTGGTCGATGAGCTTGCTCATTCAGCAATTGCATATTGTACATCGACGCCAGCATCCACCACCTTCGACGGCGGACCTTCGTTTCATATCACCGTATTGACAAAGGAGGAGCTGAGGCGTCAAGATGAGCGGTCGGAACATTCAAAAGAGAATATTCAGGCAGACGCGTCTCGCATTTATTCAGCAGGCAAGTCTAGGATACCCTAGAACATTTTAAAAATTTGACTTCGCTGCAGGCATTGGTGGCAACAAAGGTGTCTATTTTGTTGTCATAATATGGGCCGCTGGACAGCAGCTTCGAAAGCGCCTTGGCCTGCCTCCCAAGGATTTTCACATTACACTTACACGAACTGATAATCATGAAATGGACAAGAGCATCCATTCTCTCCTGCATGGACAGCCACCTCAATCTCCCTCTTCCGACTTTCTGGACCATCTCACATATACGCTCCATATCACTGCGGACCATCAAACGGAACGGCAGTATTGTATACAGCTAATCCATACCATGCCAGATTCCCATCGCGGATTCCTTCGACTGGGAGACGTCTCCTTATCCCTCAGTCTGCATAAATTGGCCATGCTTTCATATTGCCGCGCATTTCCTCTAGCAACGAGCCAGAATGTGAAAGACTATTGTGTCAAAAAGTCAATCGAGTGCTCACACTACACAGAGTGGGGATGCTTGTTTATGGATTCGGAGAGGGAACAGTTACCAGCTGAAATAACGGCTTTGCTGCTGAGACCGTGGTCTGGTGAACTGCGTGAACTCTTGAGCGAGGCAAACATCACACCGACCCTGCCTGTCGCCTCGCGCCAGCCCATGTATGTATCCAGCGGCCAAAGGCTCCCTCGGTTCTTCCGTTGGCTCATTCCTTTCTATTTCGCAATCATGTCTACCCCGCGCACCGAACAGGACATCACCTTACTGGCCTCTATTGGTATCAAGCACGTCCTGACACTTACCGAAGAGGAACCCCTTCCTCAGTCATGGTTTGCCGGAACTGCCATCTCTAACACCTTCCTCCCCGTTTCCAATTACTGCCCGCCTTCCATTGAGCAAATGGATATCATTATGAGACTTTTCGATGACCCCGAGAAGGTTCTGCTACTTGTTCACTGTGGCGGCGGTAAAGGACGCGCGGGTACGGTCGCAGCATGTTACCTTGTAGCATATGGCTTCGGCAAACCGCATCCCAACCAAGATCATCCCGAGATCACAGCCCATGACGCCATCGCTACTCTGCGCTCACTACGTCCCGGAAGCATCGAAACATCACAGCAAGAGGCGTTTGTTTCAAAATGGTGCAGTACAATCTGGAAGCGCCAGGCCGTGCTCCCTGATCTTCCGTCTGAGCCGCCACCATCTCCATTAGAAGTAGAAGGTGTGCTTGATTGTGATGCAGACCTGTTCGTGCTCGTCGGTCTCCCGGGAGCTGGAAAGTCGTGGTTCGCGCAGGCGCTGGTGAAGCGTGATCCCAAAGTGTGGACGCGTATATCTCAGGATGACTCGGGTAGCCGTGCTTCATGCGAGGCCCTTATTGGCCGGAAACCATATACCAGACGTACGCTCTTGGACCGGTGTAATACATCATCTGCTGAGCGCAGGTCCTGGCTCAGTTCGGCATCAAACTGGGTGAAGGCGCCTATCTGTGTGTGGTTTGATTATGATCGTGAGCTGTGTGTGTCCAGAGCTCAGCGACGCACGGGACATCCTACACTTCCGCCTGGACATCGCGTCCAAATTGCTGTCCATCAAATGAATAAACAGTTTGAACGGCCCAGCGTACGCGAGGGTTTCAAGGCTGTTGTGATTATCAGGTCCTTCAACGCATGTCAGGAACTAGTTGCACGACTCTCTCCGTCGATAGGTATTTTCAAGTTCCCTCGTACACCTCATCTCATAGACCTTGGAGCTGCGACACCCGATGATCTCATCACAGACACCAGCGCCATTCCTGGACATGTTGTTATCACTGAAAAGGTTGATGGCGCCAATATGGGATTTTCGCTCTCTAGCGACCGAGAGCGGATCGTCGTACAGAACAGGTCTCATTATGTTGATTCATCGACCCACGAGCAATTCAGAAAGCTGGGACATTGGGTTGACCTGCACCGGGAGGCATTGATTCGCGTGCTTGGAAGAGACGAGCATTTCCCTGAACGATACGTCCTGTATGGGGAATGGATGTATGCGACCCATTCCATTCCTTATACCAACCTTCCTGACAGGTTCCTCGCCTTTGATCTATATGATCGATACCTGGAGCTATTTGTTGATCGTCAAAGTCTGAATGCACTTCTGTGTACGACATCTATCCAGGTGGTTCCTCTAATCTACGAAGGAAAGATGCCTTCAGAAGGGGACTTGAAGAAGCTTGTTCCGGGTCGCTCGCGCTTTTGGGATGGAAGGGTGGAGGGCGTGTATGTGAAGGTGGAGAGGGATGGCAGGGTTGTTTCGAGAGGTAAGGTTGTGAGGGCAGATTTTATATCTGGAAACGAGCACTGGACGAAAGGAAATCTGAGGTTGAATGGACTGAGTGTGGATGCTAGAGATGACTACTGGCATTGATCATTGGATGTTCGTCTTTTGAGTTTTTTGGTAGAGTTTTCTTTTACAACGGCCGGCTGCCAACTCGAGCAGAAGCTCGAGAATTACTGGGCCCACGGACCCAAATCCACATCCAATGGTCCATCGGACCGGCTTTGCCGCCAGACTATATAACCGTGTACGTACACATCTCCCCATGAACCTAAGTTGGTCTTCCTCGCTGGGCATCGTACTCGCAACCTTTCTCATCATCTATCTATCTGCAAGACTTTTTTCCAAGTCAGTGATTACTGAGATCGAGCAGATCGCCATGGCTCCTGACCAGTCGAGTGAGAGCGAATCCAAGACTAAGGCCGGAGACCGCAAGGAGAAGCTGCCCAAGGCTGAAAGTGACTGCGAGCAATGTTGGGGAGATGAATATGATGAGGAGGATGTCACTATGAGGCGCTGTTCACGATGTAAAAATCAGTTTTATTGCGTACGGTTTCCTCTATGTCGTTTTCCCTTCATGGCTGATTTTGTCGTAGAGCGATAGATGCCAGAAGAAAGATTGGAAAATGCACAGATATAACTGCTCGCCTCTTTATGACGATTCGACTCCTGCTACCTTTCCTCGCGATCAAGAGTCTGAGGACGAAATTCAACGAATGGGCAAAATTCTTGCGGATTGGATGAAGGCTTTCGAAGCCCAAGGCAATGCTGTCAAGACTCGTCAATGGAAAGGAAGCTCTCTTCCAGAGGCAGCTCCATTTCTAGGTGCGTATTTCTCTGTCCGTGTCGATGATCCTGTTATTCAGACACTGAGCAGAAGTTGTGCCGTCTCCACATTTCCCGCATTATAAGCGTGAGATCCCAGACCCGAGAACCAAGAAATACCGGCTTCCCTTGGTCCTTATGGCTCGGATGTTCCTCAACGATTTGGTTGGCGCGCTTTCCCCAGAAGCCAAGGAGACACTTTCCGGTTATATCAATGTCATCAATATGCCAAGTAGTCACGCAAAGCTTTATGGACCCAAAATTATGGCACGACCTGCCGATTTGAGTCCGGGAGAGTACGTTTCTTTCGTGGCGAGTGCCCCTATCATCACCATGCAGGAGTATGGGACATGCAGCTTTAGCAAAGAGTGCCAAGAGCGGTGGCGGAACCTAGCCACTGCTAAATTGTTCTTGTGGGATGACTAATTCTGAAGTAAGCCACAGGAGAATCTTATTATGCTACCGAAACTTATCTTGCTTATACGTTCGCGCCTAGGGATTCTGATACGAAGATCCGCCTATGCTATTATGTATGTTAGCTATGTTGTCGTTCTTGGTACGTGGCACTTTGGCGAGTAAAAGTAAGTTTCTATGCATATCCCGATAGCTGCGGCTGCTGATTAAACTACGAAGGGTTTCAGACATAAAGCAATCATTGCTTTCTCATCCGACATGTATTAATCAGATACCCAAAGAATCAACGTTCAACGTTCCATCCATCCTTTGAGAAAGCTGCGGACTTCCTGTTACATGTCTTACGCACAGAATTTCTGGAGGTAGCTGAAGAGAGGAGTAGTAACCCTGCAGCTTGACAACGTTGAGCAACTTGTCCTCCTGGTATACAGCTCTGAACCCGCCTTTTCAAGACTCGACGTGACAATCATCTGCCAACTTCCCTCGTGTGTCATTGCATTTCTTGGCTCTGTTCCTTGATTCCGCCGTTTGCAGCATATCGCGTTGCGCCATACGACACGTGATGGTCATTTTACTACATTTGCTCCCGCCTTATTCCTCCTTGGTCATTTCCCGACTCGGGCGGTAAATGTCAGTCTTCAAATTACCAACAAATGCGCGCTCGTACTACTCCTAAAATTTCATAGAGTTCGACTCGATTCCCTTGAACATTATCACAATTTATTTTGCATGCCTAAGTATTGTCCTTGTTAGACCAACGTTGGACTCATAAACTTTTAGAGAACGTAGCAGCATCTCATAAATCTGAAACCTCTTTGTGTGGTGTCGTCATCATCTCGGCAAGGCGAGTATTTGCAATTTTTTCTAATAGGAGGTTCCTTTTTCAGACTTATTACCTTATTATCGCGCCTAGTCGGGAAAAACTGATCGCGGATGACGAATTCGAAGGGGGATAAACGGTTTCCGACTGAATATTGCTCACAAACCAGGTCGATGAATAATCTTTCGAGTCATAGTCGGTGGACACCGAAGTCTACATATAAAGAGCTCGAAGGTGAAGTGTCAGGGTTGCAACGCTCTTTCAACCCTCCTCTCTCCACGTAGAATACTGTAACGATGGTCCAAGATATCTTCCGCGACTCTACTATCGGCCAGGCCATTAATTACATTTCCGACGGGCGTCTCTTCCCTTACGCAGACCAGCGACCAGATTTCATAGTCCCTCCTCAATTCCTACTTCCCTGTGACAGAAAAACGACCTCTACCGCCCCAGAGTCAGACGCGACAACAATCTGTGGCGACGCCGATAAATCTGGCAAAAGAATTTCGACGCCTGGCACTCGCCTGACGAGAGAAGATACCATAACTATAGATGGCGCTGAGGAGCTAGCGGAAAAGCAGATCGATGAAGCTCTCCAGTCAGATCCATACATTGTGGGGTGGTACGGGGACGACGATCCAGAAAATCCAAGGTGGGTTATTTCATTTCTGCGTCGAAAAGTCCGTTACTTACCCTCGTTCCGCTTTCCAGAAACTGGTCACCGAAAAAGCGTGCTTTTGTTGCATTCAGTATCAGTTTGCTTACGTTTAGCGTGTATATTGGCTCCGCCATATATACCCCCTCCATTCCGGGAATAATGACAGCTTTCAACGTTTCTCTCACTAAGGCCACACTTGGACTAACACTTTATGTACTTGGTAGGTTTCATATTGTCACTCGCATCTTTCCATCAAACTAATGCGACTTCTGTAGCCTACGGCATTGGACCTATGTTCCTGTCTCCTCTTCAAGAACTCCCTAGCTTAGGCCGCAACCCTGTGTACATGAGCACTCTTCTCCTTTTCGTCATCTTCCAGATACCTGTTGCCACCTCCAAGAACATCAGCACTATCCTCGCATTCCGGTTTCTTACAGGCTTCGTCGGTAGTCCTGCGCTCGCCACCGGAGGAGCATCCATGGGAGATATCTATCCTATGCACCAGTTTGCATATGTGCTCGGTATATGGGCGCTCGGGGCGGTTGCTGGACCTATCACTGGACCTGTGATCGGCGGGTTTGCAGCTCAGGCCAATGGCTGGCGATGGCCTCAATATGAGCTTATCTGGATCGCTGGATTCTCCCTCATCTTTCTGCTGCTGCTTCTTCCCGAGACGTATGAGCCGACAATCTTGCTGAGGAGAGCGCAGCGACTGAGGAAGCTCACGGGTAACCAGCAGCTCAGGTCTCAAAGCGAGAAGGCTTCCGAGGGAGAGTCCTTCCCGGAAATCATGAAAGAGGCACTTATCAGACCATTTATTCTTGCCAAGGAACCGGTTTTGATGTTCGCCAACGTTTACATTGGATTTGTTTGTAAGTAAGAAGTTGGTTTCACTGCGGGTACATCTCTGACCTCCGTTATCTTAGACGCTATATTCTACCTCTGGTTTGAAGCGTTCCCGCTCGTTTTCACCGATATATACCACTTCAACTTGGGCACCAGTGGCTTGCCATTCCTTGCTTTCGTCGTATCCGGCGCGATTACAGTCAGTAGCTTTTCAGTTCGCTTATCAAAACTGATGCTCACGTATTCCACTAGTACCTGGTCTACGTTCTCTATCAAATGTACCACATCGCCCCTCGATATGCCAGAGCCTTTGCCGAGGGAAAAGAAGTTGCACCCGAAATTCGGCTTGAGATCGGCCTCATGGCAAGCATATTCATCCCGACAAGTGTCCTTATCTTTGGATTCACATCCAAAGAAAGCATTCATTGGATCGTTCCCATTATCGGTGCCTCACTTTATCTCCCTGGCATCTACCTTTCCTTCCAAAGCATACTCACGTACGTTACATCGTCCTACCCTGCGTATGCAGCCTCGGTCCTCGCTGGAAATGACCTCTTCCGTTCAACGATCGCCAGCGTCTTTCCTCTCTTCGGACGTGCATTCTTTGTCAACCTTGGTTTGGGTCCCGGGTCTGCGCTGCTGGCAGGTATCTCATTTTTAATGATGCCCGCCTTTTTGGTGTGTATCGCGTCACTATATCAAGTAGTAGATACTTATCCTAACATCACAGGCACTGTGGAAATGGGGCCACATATTAAGAGAAAGATCCAAGTACGCTCAAGGCCCATAGAGGACATCGGAACACCCTAGACAACAATTCGGTCAGCTTACGCCGTTGGATTTACACTGCAGAGATCGACTAGCGTAGAGAGCGCCTCCAGCACGCTATGCCTAGATACCTGACTCCCATAAGGGGAGGTGCAGTCGGAGGACGCTTCTAGATGACATTAGACGATATCATTACGAGTTCAAGTTTTAGAATATCATTATTTACTTGCTACTATATTAGCCAGCCTAGAATTTGGAGCGAATTGCGCGTCAAATCATTTACACGAGGGAGTTAGAATGATTGAATTTGTTCCTGACGTGGTTCAGAGGTCTCCACATCAAAAACCCAGAGGGCAACTCCAGACTGCCCTTGTTGGTTCCACGACCCATAACCACTGGAGTCAGCCGAAGCTGCTGGGGCAGACTTTAGCTATACATCGTGGTGTTGACGCCCGCCACAGGTAAAAGATATGACAAGACCTATATTTATACTCGATACATACCACAATACTACTACAACGCTGCAACTTCCTCCGGAGCAAAGAGCTGGAAATTCCTATTGTACGTACCACTCGCAATCAGGTCCCCATCACTCGATATGTCTACCGACATAACCTTCCCTGCATCCGTCGATAGGGTCCGAAGCAGCTGCCAATCGTCAGCACTCCAAATTTTTACAAGGCCGTCGTAGCCCGAAGATGCAAAGAACAATCCAGAACGGTAATCCCATTCTTCCTTCGCAGTTTGAGCCTCCGACTCTCCTTCTGGAGGTTTGAAAAAGAGGTTATCGGCATGGAAAAACCGCACATCCGAAACATTGGACAGATGTGCAGGAATAGTATATAGAGCCTTTAAAGAACGTAGATCCCATATACGAATTGTATCGTCACCGGCACCAGTGGCAATTTGATACCTAGAATAAAATAACCGTTCAGCCAGGGGACAGGGCAGACGACGCATCCGAACCCATTAGGAGAAAACCCTATCGCATAGATCGCCTGGACGTGCCCATCTAGAACCATGGCAGTTCTTCCCGTTCGTAAGTCCCAGACCCTTCCAATGGCGTCCAAGCCACTGTCAACTATGTTGTTAGCCTGGCACCTGATGGTGATAGAAAAACGAACCCAGAAGCTACTAGAGCACCGTCATTCTGAAATTCGACAGAGTAGACTTCTTTTGAATGTCCCTCCTGCAATAGAAGTTCCTTCGCAGTGGCAACATCCCATAAACGCCAGGTTGTATCGAAACTAGCACTAGCCACATAATCTCCCGAAGGATGAAACGCAACTCGACAGACTCGTCCTTGATGACCTTTCATTACTGATACGGGAGCATCGCTTAAAGAATGCATTAGTTGGATAACAGCGTCATAATACAAAGTAAACACTGTACCTGTTCAACGACCACAAGTTGACGTTCCCATCCCCTGCTCCACTGACGAGATTTGCCGCGTCAGCGCTTAAGGATCTTGTAGCCTCGGGGTGCCAGGCAATACCACCTACACGGTCACTATGACCTACATCGAGTCATAAACGGACACAATTAACACTGTTGGAGCGTGACGTGCCTCGTAAGGATCGTATTGGTGTACAAGCAGGTACGTTCCACAATTTCACCGTCCCGGACCAGCTCGAAGTAGCCAGAATCTCGTTGTTAGGTGCAAAGCGAACCTGAGAAATGGGCCGCTCGTCACCAATCTGGGATCCAAGGTTCGCATATTTCTACAAATGAATCGTCAAGCCGGCGGCGTTTGCCAAAAGCCAAGCACACACTTTAACTTCGGCAAAAACCTTCTTCCTGATATCGACGATTTTACCAAGATCCATTTTGCTGTCTATCCGCTGTTGGGCGACGCGCTTTTGAGCTCTGCCAGAGAAAATGAAACAAGCACAAGTAAGCACCTTGAATGAATTCAACCTATCGGTAGCGAGACTGTTGACCTGGGAAGTGAGTATTCGGCTATTCGTCTTCGAGCCTCAAGCAGCTCCAAGGACCCAGGAGAATAGAATTCCTCCTCCTTGGAGAGTACGTTACTGATAATGCCTCTACATGAAAAGTGCGACGAACCTCAGCCTCACTTTCTGAACTTTCATCTTCATCTAGATGCATAGCATCATCCCCTCTTGCAGCATTTATTTGCGACAGCACGTATATGAGACGGTCTCTACGGTCGGCAGCCTACCAACAACACCACCGTGTCACTATCCATTCATCAAGCAAAACGGCACGTACGCACACGTTCACCGAAAAGGGTGATTGGCTCTCCGATTTCCCTCAACCTTATCTTGACACGATTATCGTCCGTCGGTACAGCCATGCTTCGTGCCTTTTTCTTTCTTTCCAGTTCCTCCAGTATAACTCGGTTTTCCATCCTCGCACGCTCAGAGCCGAGGTAGTTCCCATCGTCCATAAGCGTATCAAAAGTGAGTTCGGACATGTTAGCTGTAGAAGGGGGTATACGGAATCGAGAAAAGGGTTTGACCTAGTCGGAGAGAAAGAGAGAAGAGTGTGGCAGTGCAGCGACAACATTTTCACACGTTGGAATGACGTCAGCTGTTGTCCAGGACTATATAAGGCACGAATTCCCCCAATTCTTTTTCTCGTACCACCAAGAAATTCTACACCATTCAATGAATTCGTTATATTGACCCCCTCTGTTTTCCTAGGATGGATACCGCCGGGAATTATCTACGTCTTGCATCTCATTTTCCATATGCATTGACGTTAAACTACCCGGCTAGAAGAACTTCAGGCGAAAGCAGATCGTTCACCAGCATGGGACAACGTTTTGATAGCATGATACATGTGTAACTATAGGCTAAGTATTCGTAAATGTATGTTATTGTTTTACCATGAACAATTGGTACGTACGTGTAACAAAAACTTTGAAAACAATTATGCGGTCATGTTTTTGGAATATTTATTTTCCTTTTATTTTTCAGTCAAAATTCCGCTTAAAATACAAGTTCTATGCGCGTTTGCTCTGTGCCACCAGGCTGCCACTCACGATACCCACTGTCATGCTGCTATGCAGACAACAAGCGACCCAGGGAGCACTTTGAATCCCATCGAGAACACTACTGCTAACGTCGATGACAGTCCCTCCGAAATCCCACCACTCGAACAGACTCCGCACATCTACGATGCTGAATATTCATCTGTACTGGTGAGCTCAGCTGTCTGAGAAAAGGGCGTGACTGACTGCCTCCAGGTTGATGAATGCATGATCAAAGGCATTCCTTGCATGCGCAGGCGCGACAATTCGTGGGTCAACGCGACTCAGATCCTCAAGGTCGCCGGTGTGAACAAGGGGAAGCGGACGGTGGTCATGGACCGACGAGTTCTGAAGGGGCAACACGAAATTATACAGGGAGGACATGGAAAATACCAAGGCACTTGGTGAGCATTGTCCGACCAAATATCGTTGCTGTCTCCAAATCTAATCTTTCTAGGATCCCGCTCGACAGAGGTCGTGAGCTTGCACGACGGTTCCACGTCGACAAACTCTTTGCTCCGCTATTCGACTACACGCCCAAGAGTAATCCATTTGATGACGACCCACTAGAAGGCCCGTCTTCGCTGACTTCGGGAGTGTCGTCGTTGTCGATCACGGGATCGAACAATAACATGGCCACTTTCATATCTGGCCTCTCCGATCCATCGAGAGTGCGAGGAGACGCATTGCGCATGCTCAACCAGGCTCGTTCCGAAGGCCTCTTTTCGATGATGACCTCCGATTATTTACTCACCCAAACCGCTGTCCCTCCACCACCACCACCACCGTCGCTGAAGAGGAAACGGACCGAAGACAAGGCCAAGGAACTTAAACTAGACAAAGGCAAGAAAAGGGACTCTGCGCCTGCCAAACGTCCCAAGAAGAAACCTCCGAAACCCGTTAGCACTGAATATATTCAGTATACACCAGGCGTGAAAAAGGCAGGACGGCACATCAAAGACGCGCAACCCTTCGCAGAGTCCTCTGATCAATCTGACAATAACCTGCCACGCTCGACGACGCGCACGCTGAGGTCCCAGCGCTCTAGGAAGAAACCATTATCTCGGTTTCCTCCACCTCCGGGCTATGAAGATGTGTCATTTCGTGCAGATAATTCGTCCAAACACCCTTCAGAAGGCCATTTGCTTCGCACTAGGAAAGAGCCTTTCTGTTCAGGACCTTCCCCGTCGTCTGAAGACGACACCACGGACGGGCAACCCCAATCTGGGTGTTCAACTCCTCGTCCGTTGATTTCGGATGGTGGAAACGGACAGGACCATGACATGGAGAGCGAGGTGAGTTCATGTCGCTATTTCTACGTGCTCCAGTCGATCATCTTTCTCTAGGATCTTACTCGAATAAATGCACCTGATGAGAAGAGACGTAGCGGTAGCCCATACACGCAGCAGGATTTGGATGATGTATCGCGGAAAAATGAGCATCGTAGACAACCAGAGGAGAGCGGGAGCGATGAACTTGACGAGGCTGGTGATCGGATATTTTGTCGTCCTGTGCAGACCTTCACTGGGCATTCAACGAGAGCATCGGCAGCAGCTGGAAGGTCCTTGCGAAATCAGAATACAGAGCAGCAAGGTTACAGTGTGCGCATCTTGCCGCCCCCTAGGATGATCTTGCCACCAACGCGTGAGATTCCTCGAAATCCATCTGTCTGCTTGGTATCACCCTAGGGTTTTTTGGAGTGTTGTAGGTGTGTTATTGTTATGTTAATAATGGAATCAGATGTACACCGTTGCTGTGCGTCCCCGTAGCTCGACCTGGTCGATATTTTCCACCACCATATATCATATTGGTATGACAAGTTCTGAGAAATTCGATGGTATGCCAGGCGTCATTGGTCACTATCGATATAGCGGACTGTTCCGTGATGGATGATAAATGGCCCTGATAAATGTACAGTATAGGCTACTTTCCAACGTAGTGTCTATAATCGCGTATTGTACAGTAATGCTAAAGCTTCATAGATGCCATCCTAATCCCATGTCATAACACTCCATCACCCCTCTTGACCTTCAAGCTGTGCGCAATCTTCTCCAACAGCTTCTCCATTCTCGCCTGCCTTGCCTCCAGCTCCTCAAACTTTTTCCAGTACCCACCAGAATCAGCTTCTTCGACCGCAGCAGCTGTTTGCAAACTCGTAAATGAGCTGTCCTTGGGAGAAGACATTGACGTGGCAGCCGGCGGACTCTCGGTCAAAGGTCCCGAACCTCCGTCTGTTCGCTTGAGATTACTGCCTTCTTGACTTCGCTGATGTGTCGGACTATGGTGACCGTGGCCACCGTCCGTCGTCCCTCTCCGATGCTGATGCATTGATGACAGTCTTCTTCTACTTGCTGGTCCAAAGCTAACTAAATGCGGTGGACTGTGATTTTCATCGGCAACAGGATCTTCATCAAGGACCAGCGGCTGAAATATCTGAGCCAGCGGGCTGGTAAAACTTTGTGCAGTTTCAAAATTACGATTGAGAATGGAATTTACGCGGGTGCGAGCGATAGGGAAAGGCTGTGAAGGTGGATGTGAAGGGGCATTACCACGTGAATCGTCGAAGTGCGGATGGTTCGATTGAGGAAGTTGCTGCTGCTCAATTGTGTTTGCTCGTGGGGCCATCCGAGAGGGCGACGAAGACAGCGCGGAATTTCGACTCGGTAGTGAGTCATTGGATACATATGGATAAGTCTCGAGTGCACTCGTGTTTAACTCATCTTCAATTTCAAAGATCTGTATGGGACTGAGTAAACAATGATTACATCCAGGAAATTTCGCACTCACTGCATCAATATCGGCGTCGGAGCGGGTGAGTCCTTCGAACAACGCTGGAGAATATTATCTTAGAAAACTCTTTCGAGTAGACGATCGCCGAATTTTACCTAGCCATTTCAACCCTTTTGGTAACGTATCATAGACCTTTTCAGCAGCGACAGTAAAGGTCTCGGAGAACCCCGTTGTACCATGAAATTTAGCCTGACGCTCGTAAAGAGCAATCGTCAACAATATCGGAAAGCTGGTAGCCCTGTTCACAGAAGGTTACTCGTGTATAGATCACGACTGCCACACCCAGACATACCGGATCATGAACACATTAACCTGGTGGCTTCCATGTTAATTCGAAATCGTCAATATCAGATTGTTGGGAACATACCTTATGGAACCATCGTGGAGTGAGAATATAGCTCGCCGGTAGCATTATGCAGACCGCGATTAGATTTATTGGAGGTTGATACGAGAATAGGGAGTCAGCCTTGACACTAAATATGGAATTGAATATGTCCTTGAATTCCGCAATACCAGAGCGTACCCTTCAACTGTTGAGACCGCTCGTCTGAACATTGCCTTGGTCACGTAAGTAATGATGTTTACGCGTGTAGAATGAAGAATATACCTCCGCGGCTGCATCTTCGTTGATGGTAGCAAAGGTGTTTGATAGTATCTATGCATATTGATCAGTCGTTGGATCATTTTGATGGAAAGGCGACGGCGCACAGAAACAAGAACTATAGAAGAGATATGTTAGCGAGCAGTGGCCATCATCAGTCAAAGAATCTACCAACCGGTTAACAACAAGGTATTGCTGAGACATGCGTAGGCAACCATCAGTACGGGACCAAAGACCCGGTGGAACTGAGCTGAAAGAGAGAGTGAATGGATTCCTTTGACTTTTGAAGAACTAAAGCGTACTAGCCCTATCGAATCCACTGGCATCAAGCCCAAACCATAAATCAAGCATCCACCATGCAATGGTTCTTCAAGTTCATCATAAGAATGGCATGCCAGGGACGGTTAAGTAATAAGTATCGCACCCAACGCTGTATCTAGAGGATTTAGATTTAACGTCAGAGATAGAAGCTTTTTGAAACAAGATCAAATATACCCTGCTTCATTTCTGCTCAGTCTAACAGAAGCATTGGAGTCAGTAGAGCTCCGGAAGTTAAAAAAATCACTGACGTCCATAACGCGTATAGGAAACCGCAGAAACAAAAGGCCGCAATAAGCATCAATACAACGAATTGCATCATCATCGCTCGCAAAGAAAGCACCATCAAATTGTTCCTTAGTGTGACGAAAGCTAGACTGGGAGGCATGTGGATAATTGTGCATGCTAAATAACTTCAGGACCATACCGAGGGAATAACAAGCAGGCAATGAGAGCCAAACAGTCGATACCGGTTTTCCGAGCCCAAGAATCTTCACAAAAATGAGCAGATAGCATAAACCCAGCATGAAGATAGCGTACCATGGTGATAAACACCATATATACGAAGGATTGCATAGATGAGATAGGTAGTGACTAGTGCGAGATCAAAGCCATTCTTCCGGGTTATCAGCAGTGACTACGGAGTAGCGGAACGGGAAAAACGTACCCAAGTACCCTTGAAGTAGACCTGCATTCCGTGTTCTTGCATAGCGGCGACCTTCTCCAAAGAGAACCCCAAGCCGTAGATCAAAAAGGCCATCTCAGCGGCGTTTATTGAGTCCAACTGGTTCATTTCGATGGCTATAACGAAAAGGACGAAGAGGATTAAGAAACTAAGCCGAGACATGAATAAACGAATGAACAGAGAATAAGGAACTTTACTTCGTGTATTCCAGAACCGACCGAATAGCAGGCACTTTGAGCCGATAATGATCAAGGAGGGGTGCCCTTGTGAGGATCATAGAAATGGATTGGTGTTCGCTTGTATGTATCTGAAAGAATAGAATGATTGCTTGTTGCTTGGTATACACATTTTCCCCTTCACAACGTGTAAGTGATCAACTCGCAAGAGAATACCGTTTCACTCACGTCCAAATGCCGTCAATAACCTTTTGACATGACGAACTTTTGATGAAACGTTTGGCTCTGCCAAGGATGGCCATTTCGATAGCATTGCCCACTTGCTCTTCTAGATCTTCCCTTTCTTCTCTTGCGGCTTGCATTAATGCTCGATCAGCACCACTGTAAACAGACCAGCTGGTGGAGAGTGCGTGCACGAGATCCAACATGTTATCGGCATAGTCGCGTAGAGTACGTATGGCTAGGATCTCGCACAGTTCCGCTCTTGTACGTGACACGGAAGCTGTTGCCATGCTTTGGTCTCGAACGAAATGGACACGGTTCAGGAGGAGGCAGAATACAATGGACAGGTTTCCGGCGTGCTGTAGAGCAGAATACTTTTCGTAGAGAGGGCGAATGAGAGTGTATGTAAGGTCCGGCGCTGTCAACTACATATCTGTGTTAGACTTCATATAGAGCACGGCAAAAACACTTTGAACGTACGGCCTCGTATGTCAAAGGGGTATCTGGAAGATTTCAGCGAACATTGGTACGCGATATCTCCATGACGCACCTATAAAATGCTACACCCAAGCCATCCTCGTTAGTGCTCGCGACATAACACGAGAATTTGGATTATTCCACACCGTTATATCCTGCAAATCCGGTTACAGCGACAGCAAAACGGAAATGAAACTGGTCCGGAACTCACGGCCCTGATCATATGAATTATAGGATAGACTTCTGTAGCATCAACGTCGCTTCTGGACATAGTTTCTCTTGAAAAGAAATGTATTAGAGTGTAGAAGAGAGGCTCACGGTGATAGAAGGGGCTGGCTCTCAGAAATTTCTTCTGGTGCCATGGTTGTCGACGTAAAAGGGGCAGCGGCACTCCGGGCCGTGATCCAAACGCATTAAAATTTGAACGAAATTCCCACTGGTTAAGTGACAGGACCATGAATTTGAGTACATATTATTGTTGCAACTTTTTGAGCTAGTACTCTTGAATAGTAGTAAATGTAATCTAGGTGGCTCTACTAGTAATCATTAAATTTACATAAATGCCCTCTCTTCTGGTGCCTCTCGGAAAGTGTACATGTTATCGACGAAGTTATCCCACGAAGCCTCAGACAAGATAGGTGCCTTGGCGTAAGGAGCGACACCCATTCCATCAACCCATTCGTTCATGTTGGGGAAGGCAGAGATCATGGCAGCATTTTCCATGTCGGCGATACGAGCACGGGTGAGTAAACCGGCCTCCAGGTACCAGCCGATATCCTTCTTGATTGCAAACACCTCATAGATGTCCGCAAGGATCTGGGGTACATGTTCAGCAACACCAGATTCGTGTGCCATACGATGTCCAATGGCCTCAACGAGATCCTTGGATCGGGGAAGAATGTAATCGGCGTATTGCGTGCTGCGAGGACCGTACTTCTTGGCAAGAGCACGACATTCTTCGAATACACCCTTTTCGTCTGAGACATACAATGTTAGCCCAATTCAATGGAAGACTGATTGGGCACTACTCACGCTGGGCGAGGAGGCTCTGGGGGTAGAGGGGAGCAGGGACGGCATAACGACCCTGGAGCAGTTCCGAAGCAAGGCCTAAGAACACGAGAGTCAAGTCGAAGAAGACGATATGACATACAAAGCTACTCACGGATAGACAAAACAAGAACATCGCCCTCGGCAATAACGATACCTCTCATCTCAGCCTAAGACGTGTGTCAATGAGATTTCATTAGTCCGGAGAGTGGGAAAACTAACGAATTGCGTGACGATCTGGTTATAATCAAACAGGCCCTGAGCACCCAGACGCTCAGAGAGATTGAAGTGAGATGCTTGGGCGTGCTCCATGACAACAGCCTTGTAGATAGTTGTGATAGCATGACGTGCCTGGTGGCTGGCGACAGGGTCAGTGAAGTACTTGATGGCGTGCTTGGTCAGGGCCTCAATAACATATGTTTGAGCAACAGCGGTGAAGATTGGGATCTGCTGGGTGCGGAACGAAATAATGGGTACGGGGTTGGGTGCTCCAACTTTTCGGCGGAGGGAGTACTTGTAAGCAATGTGTGCGGCAATTTGGGTAGCAGGCAGAGCGAGAGAAGCAAGAGCAAGAGTGCCGACGGAGATACGCCAAATGGCGACCAAGAAGTCATCGTGAGTGGATGGCTTGTCTCCTACGGGGCCAAGGAGGGCCGTGGAAGGGAGTTTGACGTTGTTGAAGTGGGTAATGGCATGGTTGACGGGAGTCGCACCATGACGAGTGGGGATTAAGTCTGATAAACGGTCAATGAAATTAGAATATGTAAAAGGAAGAAATTCTTTACTTGGCAGTGATGTTCTTGCACATATGGACACCATCGTTCAACTGGACTACAAAGGGACGGATACCACGTTTTTCACCGCCAACAATGAGCTGAGACCACACAACGGCATAGCAAGGCTTGCCGAGGACGGGCACGGTGGGGGGCATATACTTGGATGCAAATCGGTTCGGAGAGTTAAGAATGAATGTACCATCCGGTTGCAGGGTAGCAGTCGTTTCCAAGTTTGTGGCGTCAAGGCCATGTCCAGCTTCGGTCAGAAGGAACTGGCCACTTCAAATATAGCTTGTTAGAGAATGTATTTGATCTAAAAATAGAAACTCTTTACATTGCCTTGCAATCCATCATGTCCTTGCACAGAGCCTGGAGTTCTGGACGGTCCTGGGCATAGGAACCAATGGTACCAACAGCTAAGTTAAGATGGATGGTCATGATGGTGATTGAAGAACCGTCATGCCAAGCAATGGGGTCGTTGTGAATCTTCCAAAACTTGGGGGTGAGGTTGATGATGTCCTCGAAGGTAAGCCCTACCGACATGTCAATGATAAGAATGGTCAAAGGAAAAATTCGCTTACCCCAAGTCTTCCAGATGAGCTCTGCACGCTTGTACGCATTGTCGGACAACGCAAGGGCGTTGTTGCGCGAGTTGGCGTTCGCACCGGCCGCCCTGAAGACATCGACGGCGAGGAGAGGTTCAGAGGGCCAATTGTGAGAGAAGGGCATCGCTGGAAGTATGGAAGAGAGCTGCTCGTCGAGAGAGGCTTGATGGTAACGGCTGCCTATCCTCGCCTTTAATACAAGAGGCAGGTAGCATCAATGTCAGTTACGTAGTATCTCGATCTGGCACAGAGTTCTGCATATCATTATTGGACCAGTCCAGAACAGAAAAAAGATTACCAGCGCCCGGGGGAAAATCACCTGTGCCACGCATCTCGCAGAAATTGCGGCGCGCACCGTGGTTTACTCTGTCTGCCGCTGCCCGGCGGGTAATGACAGCGGATCAGCGTTAATGGGATACGGAATGGTAGCATGTTTTCTGTGTGTCTCCTTATGTCTCCCAGCAATCAATCTCTAAAAAATGAGCTCGTTGGACGCGAATACTGGCCACGTTCGCGTCTTCGGTGGATGGTGATTGAGGGTGGCTTCAATCACGTGGCGGCTTCAGAGTACGTGAACCGGATGACATCATGATCACCACCTTGGCAAATCTTATATAAGGACAATCGTTCCGATATCGGACTGGACCGACTTGGAATAATTGCCGATCCAATTCAGCCTTCGCTTGTATCCACTAAATACAGCGATTTCGAATCCACAGGAACTTGGGAAGCGTAGGAAATTTCAAAGTTTGAATTCAATGAGGTTCGTTGCAGCTACCATCATTCATACTTTTCTCTCATCTGCTTCTTCCAGCGGCACCGATTACATTCGAGTCAAAGACCTGCTCGTCAATGTTTACCTATCATCAGGCGCGCGGTGGCCACCTAAGGAGCCAACCAAACCGACTCTGCAGCCTATTTTTATCACGTTATCCATACCATATGATATCAAGAAAGCAGCAGGACAACGATGACCTCGAAAACAGCATAAGCTACTCGGCTCTGGCATCTGCGGTAAGGGCTGCCCTCAGCCCCGCGTCCTCGGCGGAGTTCATCCCAGTGTTTGATTCCTTGGAGTGCGTCGGCTGCCGCATCTACGATCTCCTTCTTTCCGAATCCCCCTACCGCTCCGTTTTGCACCAGATAGAGCTGAAAATCTCTCAGACTAAAGCACCACTGCATTGCCACGCTGTCGGAATCGAATCAAGCGCAGTACGAAGCACGGATTTGTGGTATCTCGACCGGATCAGGTACATCTGCGAAGACATAGAATGCCATACGATCATTGGCGTGAATCCTGCCGAAAGACTTGAAAAGCAACTTGTCCGCTTGAACATCTCGATTGATTATCCGGGTTACCGTCCAGGTACAGGAAATTTTTTGGACTTCAGGTCCCTGATAAGGCGACTATATGAGGTGCGTGATTTGCTCTCAAAAACTAGCGTATATCAATACCCAGTTTAGAACTGTGGGAAAGACAGACTTTTTGACGCTAGAAGCATTAGCGTCCTACACAGCGCTAGAAAGTCTAAAGGAATTACGATTTTTCCTTCAAGGCGACCTGGCTCCATCAATTAATATCAAAGCCGCAAAGCCTTATGCTCTGGTGTTCGCTAGTGCTTCTGAGGTCGAAGTCTGTCGAACATTTTCCGATTACCCTTCCGAGTTCAAGACGGAAGGGGTAAAACATCAGGTTTGTTGAAAGCACAACATGGCCGTGCCGTGTCCTCTAATGCTTGTCTTAGACACCGGAGACGCCCTCGCTGTCTACTGCGGTCATCGCGTTCGGCTCAAACCTTGGGGATCGATTTTTCATTATTGAGCTGGCCCTTCGTTTATTAGAAGTACCAGGATATTCAGTACAAAATGCACACGCGGTTGTGGATATTCTCAACACCAGTTTCTTATATGAAAGCGCACCGATGTATGTGACAGATCAGCCTGCTTTCATTAATGGTGCCTGCATCGTAAGTATCACTCTTCCATCCATTTTCATTTTGCCGAATATATATAGATTCAAACCAATCTCCCGCCTTTGGAACTTTTAGGCCTCCTTAAAAAAATCGAAGCCACTGTCGGAAGAGTGCCTTCCATTCGAAACGGCCCTCGAGCGGTAGACCTTGACATTATTCTATACAGCGACCTCGTCGTCGATACCAGACCACAAGATCAACGACAAAGCGATGACAATTTAGAGGGAAGATTGGTAATTCCTCATCCGCGAATGTGTGAAAGGGAGTTCGTTCTCCGACCCTTGAAAGAGTACGTCATTTAGCGCGTCTGTAGTCTCGTTGCCTATTCGTTCTCTAGCATGATTCCCGACGACATACATCCGATCAATAGGAAATCAATAGCCACACTCTTGGACGAAGTGCTATCGTCATCTCCTGTGCCAGAGTTCCCAATGCAGAAGGTTATACCCTTTCCCAGATACCCGTTATCCTCGGAGAGTAAGGTACCCTTGGCTGATGTCCTCCCCGTTCCTTCTAATCTTACATACTGGACATTTCCCTGCTCGCATGCCTCTCCGTCCTCCAAATCACGTCTCATGGCCATCCTTAACTCAACGCCGGACTCATTCTCCGACGGATCAGTCCACAATACGCTCTCTACCGCTCTGGACTATGCCCGCCGTGCGACACAATCAGGCGCAGACATTCTAGATATTGGCGGCTTTTCGACGCGACCGGGTGCTGTATTCGTCAGTGTTGAAGACGAGATTGCAAGGGTTTCGCCGGTCATTTCTGCCATCAGAAAAGCTGAGGCTGACGAAATACTCCGTGATGTACCTATTAGCGTGGATACGTTCCGTTGGGAAGTCGCAAGGTCAGCAATCGATTCTGGAGCAAACTGCATCAACGACGTATATTCATTCACCGGTCCATTATGCTATCCATATCCTTCCGACGACGCCATGGAACAAACTATTGCCCAACGATATATCACTAAATTGAAGAAGCTGACCAGGGAATTTGCCGTTCCGGTGGTGTTGATGCACTCTAGAGGTGAGGCAGGGGCCAACAAAGATTACAGCGGTTATTCATACGCCGGATCAAGCAAGGCTGTGGTTGAGGGTATTCGCGTTGAACTCGGATTAAAAGTTGACGATATCGTGAAAGGGAAGGGAGGGGTAAGGAGATGGCTCGTTATCATTGACCCAGGCATTGGATTCAGCAAAACGGTCGAAGGCAACTTGGAAATCCTTCGGGATTTATCATCTGTAACGGATGATGTCTATATTGGACCTGGTTCGTCTTCCGATAATCTGCAACCCTCATCATTGCCTTTACATTCTATTATAGAGTCGAGCCGAAGGCGCAACCCCCTCACAGGCTTTCCGTCTCTCATTGGTTCATCAAGGAAGTCATTCCTAGGAACCATACTTGCGGATGGGAATGGAAGAACCACTCTGCCGGGTGAGCGTGGCTGGGCCACAGCGGCAACGGTTGCCTGTGCTGTTCAGCAGGGCGCTTGTGCCGTTCGGGTCCATGACATTGCAGAAATGGCGGATGTTCTTCGGGTGGCAAATTCGTTGTGGCGGTCGCATTAACAGCGATAATACCGTTCCTGTATGCACTTACCGCATCCTTATAGATAGCTGTCCTTCAATTGGCCGACCCAGTCGCCACTGCCTCGACTCATTTCAAGGGAACTCTCTTACACCGTCGATAATGCTGGACGTATCTCTATTTTTCGTATTATCTTGTCCGTCTCAGTGGACCAAGTAGAACGTTGATGTGGAAAACGACTGAAGGCAAAACATGACGGTTGTGCCGCTGGACAAAACCTGTGGCCACGGAGCCCAAGCTACTCCGTGACCTCAGAGGAGTCTTCAGGGGTCCTCGGTATCATTAGTGGTTGTTGAGAGGTTACGTACCTGTTACGTGATTACTTGCTGGAGCCCGATTATGTCAAGCACCCAGAACACGACGATATAAGTAACTCTTCTTTCCTTCGATTTTATTTTTTCCGCTCGGCTGGAACGATTTAGCAGCGTCTCCCTCCCTTAAAGCCCTCCTGAACTCCCTAAGGCGACGTGAGGGGGTTGTTTACATGCACTGACGTTTTATCCCACAGAGAGGTGCTAGACTTTTCCTTTTCCAATGTTCTAATTCGCTCAAACGGGCCAAAGCGAGCAAGCAGACAGGCTAAAGATTTCGCCTCTATAGGACGCTTGGGCGTCATCGATGGCGTTTGGCAATATTACTACTCTTTTCTTCGAAAACAGGGCGACATCCATGTCATACGGTGTGTATGCCCGAACGTTTAATACCAGGAAGGCAATCTTTAAGTACTTCCCACAGTTTCTGCTCTGACATTGGTGGTGTACGATATTATGGTATCATTTGGGCAGGAGGCGCGTTTGACGCTCGCCTTGTCTGAAGCTCGTTGACTTCTAAGTATTTTGTGTTCAGGTCGAACTTGTGTGGAGGTATGTGCTCAGTACTTCAATGTGGAAACATCCCTCTAATTTCGCTCACAATCAGGTCGCAGTGGTCATCCCCAAAGACGCTGTATTTCTTGGTAAGATATTACGCGGTCATCTACTTGAGGTGCGCGTCCCTTGGTGTCCGAACTTCATGCTATTTCTTACTATGTCTGCCTCTGCCCAAGTATTACTGCATGGGGTTAGTCAGTATGCGAACTTTATTCAGCTATTCTAAACGGCTAAATTGTAGTGAATATATCCGAGGAGCCAAGCAACAAGGTATGCTAAAATCACCCATCATCAGCTGTTACTTTAACCGACGATATTGAACTCCAGTTGTTCGTAGCTCTTGATTTCTACCACGTATTCACATGTCATTGTCGACTTCCAGGTGCCACTTATATTACTATTGGTTGTTCCTGTATGACAGGCGTACCTTTTCATAAGCTCAGTCTCACGGTTATCTTTACAGTGCTGGACCCTCAACATACTTATTCATTCTTGACCTCATTTTATTATTGCGAGTCTATGCTTTGTATAACCAAAACAAATTTCGTGCGCAGGAGTTGTTTAATTGCGCGCCCATCCTGATTTCTTTTTGCTTCGCAGTTTTTATCTTCCTCTCATTTTGTACCGTCGGTGAGTAAGATCGTACCACAAAGAGCGCAGATGACCGTATGCTTCTTACCAGGGTCGGCAGCGGTAATTGACTCAAATTTTCAGCTTGAACATTCCTTTTATACTTACATCCTTACAGGCTGCTCTCTGGGCCTTCAGTGTCGTGTGTAGACACATCGTCTCGTCTGCGGCAGTCACGGCAGCTCCTTGGAGGGGCTGTAGGTCTATGGCGCCCAACATGAAGTACAGCATTGCTGCATAGTCAGTCAATCATATCATCATTCCTCCGTCCAGCGTTACAAGTTGTCATACAGTGTCCCAAGCTTCTTGCTGTCAGGTATGTTTCGCAAATTCGTGCTCATGCGATAATAACGCAGTCCAGTAATATTTCTGGCTTTGACCGTGACGAAATTTTGCCGGACGTACCGCGCCATACGTGGGCGCACCTATGACCCGAGGACAATCATGACTCAGATGAAACACATTTCGCCGCTGTTGACAGCCTTTGTCGAAGATGGATGTGTATTTTTTGCATTGTGAGCTCGTTAACGTGGCTTCTATGTCAACAAATGCAATGCTGACCTTCGTTCCAGAATTACATGTGAGCGAAATTTTATGAGAAGACAGATGCCAAGTTAACTTGGTAGTTGCTCTAATGCTACGCATTGCCACAGCGTTCTTTATGCGTGGTCCCATCCATGCTATATTTCTTCCGTATGTATCTCTATGGCCATCATGGCGACAAAAGTTGACAGAGTTATATAGGTGGTCCATCGTTTGCTATTATTATGCTGTACATCTTCAACTTGTTCTGCTGACGGTTTATTGACATGTCTCCAGGGATCGCATCTCCTCTTAAACCTTAGGTGGTATTCCGTTCGTTATTGTAGACACGGCGAACCTACTTGGGATGACAGCATCTCTATCGTATTAACCACAATTGGGCCCACTCAAAGTCCAACACAACACAATCCGTCAGCTCTTCAAGGCGACATGTCGGATCAAGCTGAGACAAAGTCTGTAGGCAATAATCCGTCGTATTCTGTGTAACGTTGACTCCCGTTATCTTTATCTACCTTCTCCGGCTCCGTGACCCGATCGGAGCTAGGTGAACATGTGCGAAATTTACCAGCAGTCGTGTATGCGGCAAGCCTAAAAATTCGGGGAAGCTCATCATGGAGCGTTCGGCTACGTGATGGAGAACCAGTGATTCGCCACTCGCATGTGCGCTTTGCTCGGTAACGTACCGGCAAACTACAATCGGCACACGAACGTGTAGAGACCGGTAGCCAAACTCAGCTGAGGCTCATATCGGAGATGCCATGATGACATGGATGGCTTACAGAAACTGTATCTCATTGATCAATCGAAATGAAGACAGAGGAGAACGCCGAGTCAAGTCTCCAGCAACAAGGGGCCCATCAACATCTTAGGATGAGAACCGCCACATATTCGCAGCAGAAAACCTCCGCTGTCATACGGATCTACATCACTGTAAAAGGAATGAAGGCATTGCGCGAGAAATTCTTCAACAACTTTTCCAGATTCCGTTACATGAAAACTCCGTAGTCACCTGCAATGATTATACATGTATTAATGAGCATCTAATGGTATCACATCTCTACTTAGAGCGACTATAGCACATCTAGGGCTTCGGTCTTTTCCATCCTTCCCATCCATCATCAGATATAATACTCCGATAGCGGTGATGCATCTGTTGTAAGTACACCGGTATATCTCCGGAGTAATCTCAGTTGACCGCTGAAGTGAGGGTAGCGGAGATCATAAAAGGACTTAGAAGACGTCTAGCAATCGGAAATCGCGGCCTTTTGAGTTTTTCCTCTATTTTGCTCGTTCCTAGGTGACATTCACGTGATCGTGATCACACGTGGCAGGGCAAATTGGCAATGTTTCGGATCAGGCTTTTTTTCAGCGCCCACCACTGCACGTACGGCTATAGGACACCAGACAGATGCACCAAGTCCTTCTCATTGACGAAATTCTTCAAGAAATATTTCATTGGTGCTCTGTTCTGGAGGTCAATGTCCTATCTCAAGCAGCCAGAACGTGTCAAGCGTGGAAGGAGCCTGCCCTCGATGCGCTGTACAGACAACTCCCGTCGGTAGAGCCATTATGGTCCCTTTTACCATCTGTGAATGGAAGAGAGGAGGTTGGAAGTGCTTTCTATGCATTTTCTGAAACTCATTAATTTCTTGCAGATCATACCTTCAGATAAACTCCAAGTTTTCCACTCCTACGCTCGGCGCGTCAGACACATAAGTCACACCACTCGCAGCACCAAAATTCTTCAAAATCCATCGATGTATACTGCCCTTTGTGGCAAGAACAGTTACATATTCCCTAATCTAACCACCGTGAAGTTCAGGCTGTCCAAGAGCAGCTCGCATCCTTCTTTGTGTCTTTCACCTCGACTTCGAGAGCTTCAATTGGACGTAGGATTTTCAGCCAAAGATTCAAGTTCAGAAGGGCTCGAATATCTTCGCGAGATTGCCCTCGTTGCTTGCCACCTACAAAGCCTCACGTTTCGGGGTTTGGTACCGGGCCAGTTTGATAGTATAATTCGGTCCATGTCGACCCTTCACACCCTCTTGTTACGCACAGGACGATCGGTCACAGTGGATGTTATAACTTCTATCTCTACGCTACCTCATCTTAATTACCTTGAGCTCCATGCTCAACATCTGGAGGCGTTCCAAATCGAGGATATCTGGCGCTCTACCTCAGGATCTTTGCGTTTCCCCGCCTTGCAAAATTTGCGTCTGCGTTCTACCCCCGACTTCGCCATCCTCATTCTCCAAAAGATGCAATCGATCGCAGTCCACACGCTGAGCCTCGATATCGAAACTCGTGACCAGATCACCCCATTCTGGCTCGCCTTATTTAATGTCATGCAGGAGAGGTTTTCTACCTCCCTGGAACATGTGTCCATCATGCACTATTTAGAACTAGATTATGATATACCCTTAGACATAGACCTCATAAACACCATCGACTTCGCTGCATTACGCTCCCTTGCCCGCTTGCGGGAACTTCGATATCTCCACTTTGACACGACAGTACCTATGGACATAGGTACCGAGGATGTCACTCAGATGGTGGCATGGTGGCCAAACCTCAGGCATTTGGAGATGTGGCCCGAGAGTGTCGTGGATTGCGACGAGAACTCGCCTCGTATCAATTCCGGTTCCGCTATCAGGCTCACCCTGGATGTCCTCCCCGTCATCTCTGCATCACTCCCAAAATTAGAATCTGTCGCCCTCCCATTAGATACCTCTGGTATTACAGAGGAGATTGTTTCCCGTTTGCAGGTTCCCGGCCACCGGACTTTGCAAGCAATATCATTCTCCTACCCTCATGCACCCGACACGAATTTGCTGCCGCTGTATCTTCGTAAATTGTTCCCCGCTCTTCGACACGTCAGACGTGCGTCTGGACATGATGGGCTGTGGGCATCGGTGGCTGCTAAAGCATGCTACCATACACAATCTGCTTCGTAATAGAATTTCCGCCATAAATGACTATTGTTACTTAGATGAGGACACATATAGATGCACTATATACAATTCGCTAGACCGTCTTCTGCCATACATGTACCTATTTCTCTAATACACTGGATATACCCATTTTACGCGCCGTGGTGTAGTGCCAGATATTATACCGTCGGTTACCAAATTCCTTAAGGTATTCCTCCTCCCAGATGGGAAGCATACCGGGAGCTACACCACTTTTGATAGCAGCTTTCACTGAGTTGTGGAAAAATGCCTAGCATGCGATGAGCCAGTTCCCAGCTGAACAGGGATCTCTTCATACCTTCATATTGAGGTTCATGATGGCGCCCATTTCTGTCCCATTCTCCAAGTCTCGACCATTCCAATTAATGGGGCTGAAGTAGTTCTGCATAGATACATCAACAAAGCCACCGTGTTGCAGTAACATCTGGTCTATTGGTCGATAGACTGGGCTTCGTGTGATATTACCCATGAGGTGCAGCCACCCTGCATAAAACGAACTCCCGGGCTGTGCACATCTGTGGCGCTCTTGCTCGTTAATCGCGGGGTTGTAAATAAACGGAACGAGGGGACGTTTGTCTTCGTCGAAGGCAACCCAGTCGCCGTCGGCAAGAAGTAGGAGGCCTCCTAAATGATACGTAGGCGTCAAAGATGCCTAAGGACTTGGCTGATAACTGCCGCAGGCATACCTGGCTTCAGTGCTTCGGCGATGTCGGATATAAGACCCACAGGGTTGGGCACCTGGTGCGCCACAACTTGATCAGTATTTTTGGCGAACAGAGGACGACAGACGACAGACATGCTGGGCCACACAACGACAATGAATCACGTCGAAAGTACCGCGTAGGCTTTCTGGTAATCCTTCAGCCAAGTCGCTTTGCATGAATCTGGGCAAAGATTCGTCAATTCCGAGTCGTTTCATAGTATCCTGTGTGATACGTGCCGAAAATTTTTGGGGGCATCGCTAATCTCATTGCGCGTGAGGAGGTGAACTTTCAACCAAGATTGAAGACAGTGACGCACGCATACGTTTGTTCATGCAAGTCAAAGCCGACTACTTCACCTTCAGGAAACAGTCTTGCCATCTCCATCGCCCTGCAAAGTAGGTGCGTTAACTCGTCACAAGGGGCTGTGGCATTACTAGTTAGAATCAAGCTGACCATACAGCCGAGCCGCATCCAATGTCCGCGATAGTTGGGTGCGCATTCTCTCTCATGATATTTTGCAGAGCATCCGCAATAGATGTCGGGTATAAACCACCGATCATAAGACACCAGAGCCGATGTTGCAAACCAAGTCTCTAAGGGGACGATATATTGTAAAAGAAACCACGGTCATAGAGTAGATTGTAACCGACCTTCATCTCCGCTACGTCTGTGGGAAGTTGGTACGGCTGTGTCGAGGTCAACGGGAGCTTCGAGGCGGCATATTATCGCACCTTGAGCGCATACTGGTCGCGATCACTCGTCGTAGCGGCCATGTCTTGAGGATATTGGACAAACGAGGACGAGAGAACATTATATACCGCAGATTTGTGACGGGAATTGCCTAGCTAGACGGCATTTGAATTACTAACTCAAAGGGACAAGAACATGCTGAAATCTTCGTCTGGCCGAGGGCATGATAACAGACAAGGCAGGCATAAAAAACGGTAACATCAAACAGCTATCAAAGCGATCAAGCTGAGTTCATTGGCATACGAGAACATAGAACAACAAAACAGTACGATAATGCACAAGATCTGACTGCACCCCTGTTTAACTCTCAGCTTTAGCCTTAAACAACGGGGGGCTTCGTTCCAGGTGTAAAGGTGTAGGTCAAACCGCACTTGCCGCAGTACTGACGGTCCTTGTGGAAAGCCATCTACCATCCCCATATTAATACACAGCATCAAGGAAGAAGAGATGATCGCTTACGAAGATGCCGGCACCACACTCAGCAGTGGGGCATTCACGACGGAGACGCTTAATTTTGCCGTCGGAGTCGACCTTGTAGTATTTCAAGATGGACATCTTGACCTTCTTACGCTTATGCTTGATCTTCTTGGGGGTCTAGATATGGCGAAGAATGGGTCCACAATCACACGTAGAAGATGGACGGGGACTACATACGTTGTAAGTCTTCTTCTTACGCTTCTTGGCACCACCACGGAGGCGCAACACCAAGTGCAGTGTTGACTCCTTCTGGATGTTGTAGTCGCTCAAGGTGCGACCATCCTCGAGCTGCTTGCCGGCGAAGATAAGACGCTGCTGGTCAGGAGGAATGCTGAAAATCACTGTCAGGAACTACAGTAAGCCACGTCGAACAGATACGCACCCTTCCTTGTCCTGGATTTTGGCCTTGACATTGTCGATAGTGTCAGAGGATTCCACCTCAAGGGTGATAGTTTTGCCCGTAAGGCTGCAATAGTTTTTTGAGCGGCATTCACAGCAACGAAGGCAGAATACTTACGTCTTTACGAAGATTTGCATCTTGACGGACGCCTTTGTCTCTCCAACGATGTGAACGGTGGAATCGTCAACAAAAGCAGAGCCGGATGTGGTTGATGACAAAATTTGAGCGAGACAATTTTCCGTCCTGCAGGAGATTTAAGTTCAGACTCCGATCCGGAATATGCCGGAACAACCTGTAGCGCGAATGGCCTGTTTGGCATCTTGTTGGACACTCTGACTAGCACTGATCTACGGAATGCTTGTTGTTTGCCTCGTCATTTGAAGCTAATTGGTTTTTCTGGAACTGTATATTCTTACACACAAAAATAGTAGCCCACACGCTCATGTGACTGCATTATGTGCTTCGGGCTTTCCAGGACCCTGTGCTGCCTAAGTAACAGAACTCAGATGTTTTCTATAAGGATGGTATTGCGATAACTGTTGCGCCACCAAATCAGAAAAAAACGCGGAGTCCTTGGTCTCTTTGTTAAACAGCTTGTTGTCCCTGCGAGACTTTTTTCGAAGCCATGTTTCTGTCGTAGCTCGGCTAGGTGCCTCTAAAATGATCCTAACTTACGCCGTAGGCTCTCAGTTCCGGGACTTTGGACGAGCATGTCCATCTGGGAATTGTAGCCCTGGTCTTGGTGCTACTACTTGGGCATATAATAGAAACTGATTTCGCCTTTCACTTCAGATACTCGGGCCGTCTATCTACGCAAACGTTATTTTAAATGATCAGACATCCTGATGCTTCTGTTTATCGAATCGTCTGGGGCCTCGGTGACGAACCTTCGTTCTTAATATTCGCTGCATCTCATCAAAGCTCCAGGTCACCGCGAACTTACGACCTTGAAGTACAACCGATATTTATTTCTGCTCTCGATCAACCTCAAAGTTCACATTCTTGACATTTATTGAACGTCGTTGGGATAAGCACTCTTGGGAGGTCGCTACACCATCCGGCCTGGAAGCCTTAAAGATGATGCTTCTTTCTCTCTCTGCCGTTAAAATCTGCAGTGTGATGTATTTCAAGGCGGTACATGCGACTTCTTTTACCTTTCTCCCCTATATTTACCATGTTTACATGGAGTTTAGAACCCTTTTGTGATTTTTGATGTAGTATTTTTGAAATGTTGCGACTTGTTTAAAGCTCGACTTCTTTGGAGGCTGTAACTATATGAGTGTACGAATTCGTGACGTCTTGGACTCTTCGGTTGAATGCATCGCTTAGGAGATAGGGCTTATATATAGAGCAGTCATTAGAACTAAGGTTGCCATTTCATTCTAGGACGCATTAGGACGGGTATCAATCGATGACCATAAGCCTACAACTGTCTTGAGAGAATATTAAATCATACCAAGTCATTTCCGTACCTGGACCTTTGTTTTTAAGGCTTTTAATGACTATACCAAACCCCCAAAACTACTTAGGTACGAGCATGCATGAAGCCACGTGACCGCGGGCTGGTCAAGTGAACATCACAAGTTACTTACTTTCTCGCTTCGACGACCATGAGCAGCGACCGTGACTTGGAACGACATCTATAAGAGCCCATCCACGTCTCATCTCAGTCTCTCGCCATTTGAATCAGAAGTCTTCCGGGAATCCGCCAAATTGGCGGCCAACGTGAAGCTGGTCGCTATCAAAGCCGAGACGGTATCAGTGGAACCCAATGAGGTGCTGCTCTATCGTCTTATAGAGCTGGAAGAGAAGATGTGGCTGGCGTTGACGTTATTCAAGACGTCATATGGGACGTCATCAGCGAACAGCAGGGCTAGGAATCTACTGTAGTTCTCTCCTGGCTAACCTTCCAGATTACTGACGCTGATGAGTAGGAATTGCATTATTCACCTACAATCACATCTAAACATGCTGTGTAGATCGGCTTCCAACCCCCACAGCGAGCTTATCGAGCCGGGAACGGAATGTTACCACTCCAGGTTTGAATGAGACCGGGTAACGTGTGGCACTTCTTCTACGATCATGAAAATACTAGAAACGCAGCGTCATTCCCACCTCGCATCGAGAAGGAGTCCGCAATTAGTCCGAGTAAGCTCAGGCGCCATTAACGGTACAGGCTACTATTTTTGCCTGTGTCCGTTCCAATTCGCCTTCAATGGAGGTCACCGACGCCACCCTCAGTGGCTGCTATAGACAACTCAACATATTATACTGCGATGCTAATGTCTTCATTACAATGCCTTCCGACGCGGCGGACTAGAACTAATACTGGAGGCGAACCTGGTGAATCATTCGGCTCTCATAAGCCCCCTCTTTATTTGCTGCATCCTAATCCGTGGAATTTTCTTCACACGCAATACCATAGTTGGTGGACATTCCAATCGCGTCAAGACTGTTTTCCAGGAAGACTGTTGCCTAATGTTTTCTTTGCAGGTAGACCATCTATTCCTGTCAACTGGTATACAGGTATCTATCGTACATCTACTTATTGTCACGACAGTACGCATCTTCTGGTAATCTGCGAGATGACACGACTTACAAGCCGACTCTTCAAGGTGGTCTCATTAGTTGGGGCTACCGAATTAAGCTGGGCTATAGCGGAAAAGACGCGGACGAGCGTACAAATATGCTGAGACGGTGAATGAATTTTACCGCCCAGGCATGCCGTTCTACCAACACTTTGGCGGCTCATTAACCCCCGCGCATGCGACGCATCGCGTATTTGATAGTGGCATCCTGTACAATTGCAACCTGAAGCTACAAAATCGAAGGCTACCATGACTACATCATATGTCTACCGCTAGGTGTTTGCTTTAGCATCCTTTCTCGTTTCACCTTATCTAAAGGATCTCGATAGGTTTCAAGATAGCGTCGACAATATTCTTGAACGAGTAGACGCGCCAAATTTCAATTGCAGCGCTATGTAGACGGTGATCAATATCGTGACGTCGATGGAATGTCATTCGATCCGAGGGGAGATAGATGGGAGGTAGGATGAGGTCGCTGATTGCTCCAAAAACTAGTCCGGAACTGCGCTGGAAGTGAGATTTCGGTATCCGGTAAGTATCAGGTGCGGTTTATTTCCCGTCTGCTATTAACCGGATATACTCACCACCCTGTTATTCAGATCCGTACCGCCAACCGGCTGGCAGCCTTTAAACGCGACGCGTGAAGTCATTCAAGGCCTAGACAAATATTACGGAAAAAGATCGGCGGTGGCTGAGCGCTCGCTGAACCTGAACAGCAAGGCTACGTAGATTATTGACACAACCGATTCGGATGTGAGTCGCTTGCGACTGTTCGCTTTTCCAACGTCATTTGCTAGATCAGCTACAGATGGTCCTGACAGAGCTCCAAAAACACAGAAGTACTTTCGGGCGGTCAATATCATTCAGTGGACCAATAAGGCCCAAAGGTGACAGACGTCTGGACCTTTTCACCTCCCGCGAACCTCACCACCCGGACCGAAGATCCTTTGTTTCAGCGATATCCCTCTGAAATGTGTGCTAGTATACAATTCAGAGATTTTTATTGATGCTATCTTTAAACTTCTTCGTCTACATAGCCCGTCATTCACTGGAAAACAGCCATGAACATCACGAGAGGGCGGCGGGGCAAGGAGCAAGACGGACAAACAGAACAACAGACACAGCGCGACGAAAACAAACGGATGCAAAAGGGTGCGAGGAATAGTAAGATGAACAGAGGTATGTAGGGTAGTGAGTCAGAAAAAGTGAAACGCGCGAGTGAGTGAATAGATTAACGGCTCAGTGTACTGTAGGTAAATGAACTGAAAACACAATGGATTATGCTGGAAAAAGGTGGGGGTTCGCAAAAATGTTCCGTGTTGTTATTGTCCGGTATGTATAATGTCGTTGTGCGGTCCGTCTAATGCAGGGCGGGAGCAGGTCAAGGTTGAAGGTAAACATTAAAACAGATGACATCAGTGTGATCTCATGCGGCACTATACAAGAAGAGATTGTTTGTAGCCGCAATCTGTTTGAAATTTCGCACCGTCAGAAACCTGCCACACGGTAATTAATCAGCGAATCAAGACTCACAGCAATAGTGTTTTCCCTCGGGTGCCAGCTCGCATGCAGGATCTTCTTATTGAAGTCTAACGCCTCGAGCGACATCTGGTCCTTGAAACTCCCCGGACGAGCTCCGTTCTTCACCCCGAGCTTTGCCCCAGGCATGGCACCCCCAATCTTCCTCGCCTTGAACGCCGACTTGTCTGCTTGAAGAACAACGTCATTTAATGTGTCTGTATCGTATATCCGGAAATAGTTGTGGTATGAGCCCGTCAGCACGTGTCTGTAAAACATAGCATTAGCATCACAGCTATCAGGGCGCATTGCGATACACACTTGTCATCACCACCCCACACACATTCGAACTTGTCAAATATGCAATCGTTCTCGTACAGGTCGCAGAGTTTTCCCCGTAAGTGGTCGTGAATTGGGATCGTCTTCACAGGCCGCGATTCCATGTTAACATCCCAGATCTTCAGGGATAGGTAATCTCTTGACAGGATATACCTCCCGTCATGGCTGAATTTGACATCTGAGATGGACGATATGATTTCTGAAAAGAACGATCGCGTTGTAGGGTCTTCCTCTTCCTCAAAGCCTGATGGCAAGATGCATTAGCAATCAAACCGAACAATAAAGGAGGTCAAGGCGCTGACATTTGGCATGCCGATCACACAAGGCAGAGTCTCGCATGTCTGCAAGTTTGATGTTGCTTTTTGAACTTGAGTACATGAAGAGGTTGCAATGTATTGGATGGAACTCCGTGGCTGTGATGACTTCAGTTAGCTCTTCCATGTTGACGGGCTTGATGTCCACGATGTCTATAGTATAATTAGGAGTACGCTCTGGGGTAGCAGCCAAGACACGTACTGAAACTTTGGTCACTGATGTTGAGGTTCCAAAGGTTAATCCGTAGATCATCAGCAGAAATATACGTCTCCTGGTCTGAATTCACGGAGATCGAGTGTATGTGATACGCGTGAGCGTTTGAGTAGACTTTGCGGGGTACGGCAGCGATGATGTTGTCCTGGAGGGCCATCCGAGGCAGTCTGAGGTGATTGCGCGCTGTAGGTGCTGGCAAGGATTGCTGGCCGTTATGGTGATTTGATTCTGAGACCACCCGTAATGACTTCTCAAAAACCTTCCACAGCTTGATTGTTTTATCTATGAAAGCTAATCAGGGACACAGAGCGGAAGAACTACCTTGAGACGCACCATTTGTTGATAGCAGAAAATGTGCCGAATTCTGTCGTTTACACCACTTGATCTTGTTGATCTTCTCTTCAATTTCCAGGGACTTCAAGTAGTCGAACTCTGGCTCATGTGACTGGAACTCCGTGTAGAACTTGTATTCGCAGCCCTTTTTCTGTTCGCGAGGCAGGATCGACACAAGAGACGATGGAGGCACAATCAGTGAGAAAGTAGAGAAACAGATCTCGTGAGCTACTGGACCGCGAAGATGGATAAATCCACGCACCGATTCATTACGCTCGAAAAGAACTACTCGGCCCGCCCTTGTCGCCTGTAGCGAGATAGTTTCCCGTAGAGTCAAACTCCACGGTTGAGATGATGTCAGCTACAGCGGGTGGCGGCGATCAGTGCGCAGATGATGACAACGCCCGACCACAGTAAGACGGCGGGCGATAGCGACGACACGACGCACCTTCTGTAATATCCTCGATATCGCCCTTGTCACCAAAACACTGAGCGAAACGCCAGCCGCCTGAGCTTAGAGGGTCTTCCATGTCGAGTCGGACGATGAGCAGAAGGACAAAGATAGGATAGAGAGAGGACTATCGGAGGAGATGGTGATGCTTGAGAAGAAAGGTGTGTCGCAGCTGAAGAAGACCGGCTGGATTGCTTGGATGTGGTGTGTGTACTACATAAGGCTCGGTCCTGCATGTGGTCCTTTTGTTTGCTCTTGTTTTGCTGCACCCTTCATCGGACAGCGCCCGTATTTCTCCTTCTTATTCTACCATCATCACCAGTAGCAGCCATGGCTATCGCTCCCATTACCGGAATGCTCAGAAAGAGATTTATCGTTGACCTTACCTGCTCCCTGAGTCTTGCAACTGCTGGCGCTTACACTTTCTGGTATGTCTCTCTTTTTATGCTAGCTTCCGCCGCGTGTTGACTCAAATGTCACATAGGTATGGCTACCACTTGAAAGCGGGTATGCCGATACTGTCTTTGCCTTGTTTCAATCTTCACGTTACTGATTTGTCTCTAGTGGAGAACCAGGAGAACTTCTACCTCCAACTGGAGAAGGCCAAATTGGCGAACCGTCAGTAGGAGAGAGGGGAGATGGGACCGTGCGCCTAGACCTTTGTCCAGAACAAATCCAAGAATTAATCGGAATTATGCATTTTCCCTCTCTTGTGTTCAGTTAGCGGGTGGTCTGATAAGCTAAATGCAACCATATTCCTACAAATCCAACAAACAAACGAATAATAAGTTATCAACGCCGCCGTCGCGCGTTCAGCCGCTCGAACTCTACGCAGCTTTCTATGACCTCGCTTTCAATCTTCTTCACCTTTTCCCAGTCAGTTCCAAATCCAAAGAGTCCAATCTCTGCCTCTTTTGCTCGGTCCTTTTGGTCCAAACCTCGTCTGCACTCCGAATAAACACGCTCGGTGTAAGCGGTGTCCACACTTCTCTCAAATTTTGCCACCGCCGGTCCCCGTTCTGCGTTCGAGCTGGAAGCTGAAGATTTTTGTCTCGCTACTTCCGGACCAACTACAGGGTGACTTGTCCACTCTCCGGGATTGACATAGTATTTGACGCCAAGGTCTGCTGTTTCCCTCTCCACTGAATAGCGAGAGCCCCCTACAAACGAGTAACGAGGATCCGGGATAGGTGGAGAGCTGAATAGATTAGGTAGTGCTGATAGAATCGAAAATCCGAATAATATGAAGAGAGGCAAAAGTTGGACAAGTAATGACCGCGGTTCCGCTGCTTCCTGTTGTTGCCGGCGAAGTGTTGGCCCTCCAGCGCGTGTCGTACGGAAGCCACCAGGTCCAAATGACGCCGTGAATACTAAATTAAATCAGATCAGGGCTGACAGAGACAATGCATGGGAGCGCACCTGGTCCACCACCAAAGCCGTTACCGAAACCACTTCCACCACCAAAGAACATATTGAAGAGGTCCTCAGGGCTAAGCTCGCCATCGAATCCTTGACCCGGACTTGCGAATGGGCGAGATGAGAATCCTGACGGCCGTGATGACATGCCTCCGCTTCGGTCCTCTGGGTCAGCGCCGCTCTGATCATAGATAGCACGCTTTTGAGCATCTGAAGACAGTCAGAAGTGCACACAGTAGGGGTACAGAAGAGAGCATACCCGATAGGACTTGGAAAGCTTTAGAAACCACTACGAGAATGTCAGTATGTGGGAACATTTGATAAGAAAAGATTCACTTTTAAAAGCTTCATCTGCACCAGGGGCGCCGTTCTTGTCTGGATGCAAAGCCAGTGCCAGCTATAGATGCAAGGTGAGATTCAAAGGGGCCCAAAGCTGTATGCACGCACCTTTCGGTATGCTTTCTTCACATCTGCTTCTTCGCAAGTCTTGCGAACGGACAGAATCTCATAGTATTCCGTCACCTTGCATGCCCTTACCCTCTTCACAACCGATATTTGTTCTGCAGTATACTCTCTCTTTTCGCCTCCAATACCTCCAGCGGTCCCATTTCCCATAGAACTTGACGGTGATGACGCATTGTTCGTATGCCGATGTCTAGTCCCAGATGATGAGGGATGCGCTTCCGTGGATGAGGATGACGAAGAGGGTGTCGAATCAGAGCCATTCTCTGCCACATTAAGGGACGCCAGCAGCTTGAGTGCTTCGGGCGTCTCAAACAGAGCTAGAGACTTCTGGCAGAATTTACGGGCGGAAGGGTAGTTTCCTGCATCACGGTGCTTCTGTGCAATGGCGAGACACCGGATGGCCTCGTCCTTGTTGCTCTCCATACCGAAATTAGCGGTAGTTGGACCGACGTGGAAGAAGGAAGGAGAAAGATGATGTAAAGTGGCTGGGTCCACTAGGGTTAGGGTCTAATATTAGCCGAGTGTAAGAGGATTTGTAAGGCGTCTTCCTATGCAACGACCACAAGTGGAGGATTCGGAGGAGCTGAAGAGGTTTAGGGCAGAATGGAAGGCAGAGGTCGAGCACAGGAGAGCCGCCGCCGAGCCCAACGTCAAGGACATTGTCGACAACAGTGAGCACAGGCCTGTTCATCATTTACCTCTGCCTACTCCATCGTCTCCCACGAAGCCCCAGCACCGCGTATCTGCTCTTTCTCATGTACCTCTATCGGAAGCGCAAGGATCAGCTCTAGCCGTGTACCGGAGTGCTGTTGCCCACGAGCAACTCGGTGACCTAGACGAAGCTCTCAGGCTGTATCGACAAGCATTCCGGAAGGATCCCAATGTCGACAGAGCATACCATCGCGAAGAGATCATCGCTTCGTCTTTATCCGCGCAATTACATGATAGCCTGTCCGTCGTTGCCGAAGTCCCCGTGCACAAGACCAAAAGGACTAATATCGTATCGGCTACTACCTCTTTGGCAAATATAGTAGCTGGTTTTGCAGAGAAGTTGCACTTCGAGCCTGAGGTAGAGGAAGAAGATGTCCATCTGCGGAAGCTACCAGATGAGGTCCTCATCAAGATCCTGACTAGACTTGACCCCACGTCCCTTGAGCGATTCGCTACAGTCAACCGGAAGGCTCGAGTGTTCAGTCTTGACTCAACAATATGGAGGTGAGTATCTGCCATATCACATCAGTTACTTGGACATACTGCGTGTCTTAGGAAACTGGTCATCGCAGCATACAGACCACCCCAGGTGCCCAACCAAGACGAATTGAATGCCGCGGTGGAAAGGTGTCTGTACGACTATCGCAGGGTATACATAGAGCACCCTAGGGTGCGAATGGATGGTGTCTACATTGCCGTCTGCCACTATATGTAAGCCGACTACCTTTTACTTGTTTTCATTTTGGCTCATTCTCCACAGTCGTTCAGGACTGAGCGAGAACTCTTGGGTGAATGTACGTTTCTAATCTCTCCAATATAACTTCAACTCACTGTGCCCTAGATCAACCATTTGATAACCTACCATCGGTACCTGTGTGTATTTTCTCCTCTATCCTTACTTCCCACGACACTTACACTTGCCTAGGCGTTTCTACCCTAACGGACTAGTCATCTCGCTTCGTACAAACGAAGAGCAGCCTCCACAACATGTTATACCCCTTCTGAAACCTAGTCTTCGTATGAAGGTATGCTTCTTCTCAACTCTTTAAAGCGTTCATGAACTGATCTCCTCAGGGATGTCTATTTGGGCGCTGGATGCTCACAGATACAACAATTTGCATAACAAATCTCGTCGATGGAAGTGGACATCTACCCATCCCTCCTGATACCGACTTTTCCGACCTATCTGACGTCATTTTAGCCAATTCTGACGCGATACGTTATGTCTTCAGCATGACCCTCTCCCTCCGGTCTCGTCCCCTTGGGAGATGGAACAAGTTGGATATAATCACATTTAATTCGGTGAACATAGAGACGGGAGATGCGTCTCCTGTTGTTATGAAGCACGAGAGGTCTTTCTGGTTCTCCAAAGTTCGGTCGTTTGCCTGACAATTTCGCCGCGGATTAGTTGGGCACATGTTGGCTCGCTCACCGTAGAAATCGTATGCTGTTATAGATTGCCAGGGTTCGACGCGGCAATGTGATCAGAATCACACTTGTAATCTATGTGTATGTTATATATGTGTGGGATTGATTAGATGTCGTATATAGCCTCGAATCTGGAAAGAAGACTCGTGTAAGTATGATAAAAATAGGATGTCAGTAATAACATTAATTAGTACGCTACATAAGCAACACAGAGAAGGGGGAAACCAGCGTAAAGGCCAAGCCAAAAGACGACGTTTCCAAGCATCTGATTCTGCTTGATGATGGGCATTCGGCTCATCGCGATGAGAGGTATCTGTATTAGCTGCAGGAGGAATAAGTACATCCTGGGACGAGGGTTAGTCCATAAGGAAGTCACAGCGGAAAGAAACGATACCTTATTTTCTGCGTGACGATAACCATAACGAGTTCGTGTACGCATGCACTCAGAAAAAAGGTTAAGAACATAGCAGACGTTCTAGATAGCTTATAGCTGGCCATAGTCGAGGCATAAACATGACGCAAAAGGAACATGTGTACTGGCTTGTTCCATTTACGAGAAAACTCATCCCAGGAAGTGGAATTCCACCTATAGAGCAGAGATCTGCATAAGATTTGGTCTTGTCCTGTCAAATCAGCGCTCACTACGTGAAAAGAGGGATCAGTGATGATTTGCATCCCCGAAGAAGACGACATACCCAATCATCGTAGAACCGTCGGTCAGCAAAACTAGGGTCACTGTAAGAACACGCTTCATGGCACTTTTTTAACGCTTACTATGAGAGCTCGGCAAAAGCATTACATATGCATTCTGCAGAAAGTAAGCCCACAAGTCTATTCAGGTATTGATTTAGATCACTGACCGAAAATGATATAGAAAAGAAGGAGATAAGCCAGCATGAATGGCAAAGAAAGGTCGAGCAACGACCGAAAGAAAGATCCAGTCGTTTCGGTCCTTGGTAGTATGAAAGTCTCGGTGACTGAGTATAGGAGGACGAAGGTACCAAATGTTGCGGTCTATGAACGTAGTCATCAGAACGTGTATGGAGCAATAACGCAGAGAGTACCGTTTTCTCAAAAATATATAATGGTCGAATTCTGCAACACACGTCAGAAACTGTATCAATGTATATGGAGGGCTGAAATAACTTGTCTGTTCTCGGATACTCTAGTTCATATACCAAAGTAGGGATCAATTGATACACAGCGAAGTTTTTGAATGTGATGTTATTGGGCCAGACAATGTATTCCGGCCCAGGGCTCCTGAGTTCCTCTTGAAGTTCGGTATATTCCTTTGCGAGATCCGATATATACTCGTTTGGGTGATCGATGAGTGGATGAGGATCAAACGCGGATGGAATGACCTCGGCGGTAGTCTTCTGCTTCACATTCTCCGCGGTCACTGCGACTAGTCGCCTTCGAATCACAGCCGCCGCATTTGCGTCAACATAGGAACCTTGCATCCCTATAGGAACCGGAGGAGTCCCGACTGGAGAAGATATGGACGCATCGCTATCCGAGCAGGTTACACTTGTAGCGTTGTCTGCTTCTGTTCGACGGGCAATAGCATCCGCAAGTGCCTTTTCCCAGCCACCAACATGGTCAGTGGCTTGTCGTAGCTGATCGAGTATAACCTGGGATTGTTCGGTGATGTATTGCAGGTACCCGTTCACTGACATGTAGGAGTGCATCTTCATGATCATAACCTGGACAGGGGAATGTCGGAGACTGCTCGAGAGCAAGAATAGGTATACATACAAGAGAGTGTAGAGTCAAAAATCCAGACTGAACCCATGGCCATTGGCTATAAGATGATATAAATTGAACGGATGATATCAGTAGACCGGGAACGAGGTACATACCGGTTGAAAGTCCACGTCACAGCAGTGAAAAGAATGAACGTTTGGATAGTATGTTGAATGAAAACCCCCGTCCAGTAATATCGAATCCAACCCTTGCTGATGGCTTTCGCGAAGGGGACGCAGATGATAGTACTACCAACCAGGGCCGCATCGCTCAGCGCTAAGGTGATAGCATCCTTGGAGAGGAGAGTGGCAAATCGAAAATTGAGGGGTGCGCCATTGGATTCGTAGCTATTTATGTATGTCCTGACCATGAAGATGAATATGGATATCCAAAACAAGGAGAAGAATCCCTGTTCAGAATTAGATAGATTCTGCGGCAAAACGTGGCACATACGCGAAATTCGTTGTTACCAGACGACTCGTTATTTGTGTCAAAGTGGGAATTTCTGGGAGCAAAGGTGATTAGGGCCCTTAGTTTCTTGGACGTACTGGAGCGAAATGGTTTGGAAACGTAGAGAGTACCATCCTGCGTCTCGAATCCTCCGCTCGCTGTCCGTGATGTCACTGGGGCCTTTGAGACGGCATCTAAAGGCATCATGAAAGTTGAAAATGAAATGAAAATGAAGGAGACCGAGGAGCCGGGCTTATATGTTGAAATGAATATAGTTGATGACAGTGAAGGGAGATGTAAGCGATGTACGTCATCAACGTGATTTGCTTGGCTACAACTCCTGAGTCCAAATTTAATCCCGGCTTTCTTAACCGTCATGGACCAGGTATTTCTTTCGCCTTTTCTGCTTTCCCAGCGCGTTGAAGCGTCCATAGGACTCGTTTCGACAACTTTTGCAGAGTTCATCGTCCAGGGCTACGCCATCATCAAGACCTGGAGTAAAACAGTACGTCGGGCACGGACACCATGCTTCGGGTTCTCACATATATTCACTAGGGCTAAGACCATCAGTGCTTCCGAACCTGCATTCAAGCCGCGGAAAATAAAGAAGGAGGCAAAGTACCGGGACCGAGCAGCTGAGCGGAGAGTCGGCGGAGGGAACGACTATGCACAGGTACGCGATATCGTGGTATCACAGCCAATCTCTCACAAAATACAGGTTGAAGCTGTCCTAGAGGACTTCAATAAGCGTACTGCTGACCAGGGTAAAGATGTTGTGAGGTCCTTCGGCTGGCTGTTCCATTCAGACGCACTCACATTAACCAGGTCGATGCGCAACGCGGCTACCTCGGCGGAGATAGCGAACACACCATTCTCGTCAAGGGGCTTGACGTGGCATTGCTCGAACAAAATAAGATGAAAGCAGCCGCATCTTCGGTAGATGACGATACGCTTGAGAAGGCGTTCTTAGGAGAGGTCCCAGAGTCTACAGTGCCCAAGAAGCGCACTCGGGAGGACATCGTTCGCGAGTTGAAGGCTAAACGATCAAAAACGGAAGATTCGCAGCAGCCTCCAGCCAAAACGGATGCGCCCTTACCAAGTAACAAGTTCAAACCCATCGGATTCAAACCGATAGGCCAGAGCGATGCTGAAGTCAAGAAGAAGAAAAAGGTGAAGAACGGGGACAGGGTGAAAAAGAAGAAGCAAAATGTCGAGCTGACGGCAAAAACAGAAGGTACATCACAACCTGCACCTTCAGAGCCTCCCAAGGACTCCCCCAAACCACTTCCTGCACTCAAGCCTTCGGAACCGGAGCCTGAGCTCCCAGAAGATTTTGATATCTTCGAGGGCGCTGGCGAATATGAGGGTTTGGATGTCGGCGATGACGATTCTGACAACGATACTTCCCCCCTCAAAGAGGACAATTTACCTCTGGACGACAAACTACTAAACAAGCCCGGCGGTTGGTTTAATGATGATCTACCACCTCCGGTTACTTCTCAATCCAAGTCACCTCTGGATGCGGTTCCGGCACCTGTCCCAGTCCCAGTCCCCTCCGTTCCTGACGAAGATGAGGAGGAGGAAGCCGACAACGATCGCCCTATACGATTGGTACCTCTTGAGAGTTCTGCTCTTCCATCCATCAAGGACTTTTTGTTGATGGACCAGACTGCTGGATCCGCGGAGAAGAGACGAAAACGTAAGGAAAAGACCAAAGGTGCAAAAGACGCAGGCGGTGAACCGAAGAAGTTAAATGCAGAGGCAAAGGCTGACCGGGATTACAAAAAGTCGGATCGTTGTTTCTTGTGCCCATTACTAACCTATCTGACGCGTATCATTGCAGGTTAAAATCATATCAGGACAAAAAGGCTGCCGGAAAGTCATAGGAGCATTTGAATAGCCTGCTATATATTTAATACAGGTCTTCATAAATCGGATCTGTTAGGATGCCCTTGCAACAGCTTGTTAACCGTAATAGTCCGTAGATTTGTGTCTGCGAATAGAGCGCGAACGAGTCTTACGAGTTCATCAACCTCAAAATCCACCAAAGCCCCTTCTTCGAATAAGTATGTTATGTCTGCCATGGATGCTTCCTGTCCAAGAAATCAGCATGCTAGCATTCTGCGCGAAAAACAGCACTGACCAAAAGCTCTGATAGATAAGAGTACTTCAACCAAGATGGCGCATACGCTACCACAAAAGATGGCTAAAGAATATTTAGTAACTAAGAACGTGAGCACGACAGAGACATACCTGTTCCGGATTCTCGACGAATAGTCCTTCAAGAGCGTGGAGAATACGACATAGCTCAGCCAACCGTCTCGACTCTACCTCCGGGATATCAGGCAAGGCGAGAATGTCCTCTAGGACCCTTGACAGTGCCGCCTCTGTCACCGAACCGATAGCCATGTAGTATTTACTCTTCGTGAGAATCCCCCTTCCAACGTTGTGCGAGTCGCTTGATGTCTTGCAAAACTTTGTTGAGGGCCGCTTCACATTCATCATAGCGGTCCTGGTCCCCTGTGAAAGTGAACCTTACAGCGCCATCCCTGACGATCTCATCAACCGATTGTCTGTGTTGTTCCTACAGAGAAAAGTCAGTTTGTCAAGGATAGCAACTCTGATAATTATGATTAGTGACTTACGATAATATCATCCAGCCAACTGTTACCCAGAATTTCCAGCCGATGCTGAGACTCTTGCATTCGATCTTTAACAGCGCCCGCGTCAATTCGCTCGAGCTCTTGACTGAGATACAAGCAATCATTCGAAAAACGCAATGGAGCATCCAACGCAGTCTTCAGCTCTCCACTGAACACCACAGGGTACAATGCTTTGTACAGATCCACGACCGATGGTGCCGTCTGCAGCAACAGGTTTCCTTTGGGCGACTTTGATGGCGGGAAAATATTGGAAGTAGCCAACTCTGCCCCTTCATTAAGAACGCCCTCAACAATCTTGAGTATCTCCATTACCTGTCCCGAAACTAAGTAAGTTTCCGTCAAGGTGAGCTTTGGCGGCCGCTTTTCCGGCGGTTTGTGGGGAACGTTAGTTGCTGCCGTTTTCCGAGAGCTTGTAGGAGAGTTTCCGTTGACGCTTGTTTTGCCTTTATTCGCCGCCTTTGCCAGTGCGTCTGCAGCCTCGTGGGTCTGTGTGGGAGGAACAGGAGCAGCAGGTTCATCCGCAGGTATATCGCCCCAAGGATCATCCCAAGCCGTCTCCTCAGAAACGTTCTCGGAGGATTGTTCTTCATCGTTCCAACCCAAGCGTCCCCGGGATCATTCTCGTTATCACCATTTTCTCGCTTTCCTTCATCTGACTCTGCATCAAGTTCGTCATCGAACCCCCAGCCATCTCCGTTTGATTCCAAACCTTCGACTTCACCTTCTGCCTGTGTCTCTTCTTTTCCGTCGTCAAATCCCCACGCGTCTTCGTCGCCAGCAGGGGGGTTATCATCAGCTTGTACTGGGACGACAGTAGGCTGACGACTTTCCGTTTGTAATTCGACTTCCACAGTGAGAACGTCGTATTGATTGCGCAGTGACATGATGAGAGTTCTTGCTGCGTCTAAAATCTGGAGTCTCCTTCGCCGTTCGTAGTGTCCAGCTACACCGTCCGCCCAATTATGTATTGAATTGTCGTGTTGGTCGCCTCCAAGAATGCCTATAATGAATTTATCTTCGAATTCGACGGCGTGTCGAACGAGATCAAGGAAGGGAGGAAGTTTTTTGAAGGAAGATGGCAAGGCGGGTAACAAAAGATTGTTGAGAACACTAAGACTTAGTGGTTTGCACAGTGATCGGGGAAATTGAACCTGTTGGGGTTGAGGGAGAGAGGAGAAGAGGTGGGTGGCAAGGAAGGAAAAGACATTCGATAGGCTGTCAATTTTGTTCTCTCCAGAAGAATGGACGCAAGATATTTCGTTTGATGATATAGTGACGGAGATGTCTTCTTGGAGTATACGGTCCACGTAATATGTCGTGAGGTCGCGTCGTAGAATGTTAAGGTGGTTCACCAAGGCTTGTTCGGACAGAGATGATAGCACGTTTGAAAGATCAAGCATTGTCTCTGATTGCCGGACTTGCACAGAAGGTCGGACAATCAAGGATTCTGGAGACATGGATATGATTCTGGTATACGCCTCGCTCAGTTGATCTTCAGTACGAGCTTTGGCAGAACGAAATTTGTTCTACATCCAATAAGAATCATATGTTGGACGCGAAAACAATTGAACATACCTTGAGGTCGACAAGAATATTACTTTGCACCAACGGTAGAGGAACATCGGTAAGTAGTACCTCCATTTCCTTGCAAGCGGCCACAGCATCTGAAAGCTTTCCGGCATTCACAAGGCCATCCAAAGATTCGAGTTCCGTTCGACACCGCAGTAAATGAGACAGGCAGTCGTGAAGCACATTTGCTTCCGCGTTCTCTTGCGTCAAGGTTGCATGTTTCGTAAGAGAATGCATTAACGTCGGTATCAGGCCTGTCTATGGAAATAGGTCAACGATGAAATCCCAGAGATAGTGACTATTTACCTCTGGCCGTGACAACTTGTCGGAGAGACTGTCGACTTCGCTGGTCAAAGATTGCAGACGTGTCTGCACAGACTTGGCTGACGCCAGCTGCTGCTCAAACTGGGGCAAGTCTTCATGTATCCGTTCGCGTATCCGTTTCTGCGGAGGCGAATGAGTGACAGACGTGTATGCCTTGAAGAATATTGAGTGACCTTGGTAGCGTATATGGTATCGTTGAGTTCTTGGATCCACGACGACGCCAGCGCCGCGTTCAGTGATTCATTCGTCGCAGCGTCGATTTTGTTGAGGATACTTGACGAGACATCCTGGGGAGGAGCCCGCCGAGGGAGATGGGAGGGAATGGGAAAGGCCATGACGGTGGTGGCCGTTGACGCGTTGCACGTGTCCCTTGCTTTCTGCCATCATGTCGGTCCTTGGCCGCACTTTCCTTCTCATCGCTACGATAGCCATTTTTCACGGTAATATCAATGCTGCATGGGTGTAATGCACATTTACTGATGGCTCTGTCATAGCTGCATTTTCTACATATGAACGTGAGTTAGTTCAACGTGCTTCAGCGTCCCCCGTAACATATTCGCAGACCTTTCACATCTGAAAGCCTTGGAAAGACCCGAAGGACAGCTACCGCAGGACGTGGGTGTAACCATTCCTCGAGCATGCTTTTACTCAGTCGTGGCCTAGATCGTAATTGAAGCATTCGTGGCACTAGCACTTGGAATTCTGGGGGCATCCCTCAACGCTCCACCTTTGAAAGAGATAACATGGGCGAGTGAAATGGACAAACGGTGGGCATCACGATTCTTTCTCAGCTCATAATGTCTGTAACTTCGGATAGGTCAATCGACGAAATGGATGCCAGACCAAGTTTTGCCAGCTATGTAAATCGCGGAAAGAATATACTGTCCTAGCACTAGCTGTATCTTTATTGCATGATAAAAGTATTTAGAGGGATAATGAGTACGCTGTTACTTGGCCGACAGCTCTACTGCATTCTTGAAAGCACTGAGAAGCGCCGTCAGCTGTATCTTTTCGCTACCACCAGTGGACAAACGATGTCTGCAAGGCGGTCAGTACATGAACGTGGCATTCGCAGTTGAACGTACTCTGTTGTTGCGAGATGATCAAGGAGATAGATGCGAGCAGCCGGCTTCAGTTCAATGTGCTCGATGAACTCGTAAGCTCCCGTAATAAGGTCCTGCAACGCCAGTCCTCGCTCGGTTTTCATTGCAGAAATCACTGAATATTTATCAGTCATAATTGGCAACGCAAAAGTCGGGATACGAACTTTGGTGAGAAGTTGTGAACTCATCAGACAGCATAGATTTAACGATGGTTTCCACATCAGCAGGGTGTGGGCTCCCAGTACAGTTGTAGATTTCGGTTTCCCCGATAATGTCATAGGCAGCATGACACGCCTGTAAAACATTGAGTGCACGACGCATGTCACCCCTCGAAAGCTTTAGCAGAGCCTTCTTGCCGTCATCTGTAAGGTGGACTCTAGAAAAGCATCAGAATAACGAAATGGCGCAAAGAACAGACATTACACACTTCTCGGCCTCCACAACTGTTACCAATCTCTTCTCCACCTGATCTATAGGAAGAGGTGAAAATCGAAAACGAGTACAACGACTCTGTATAGCTGGCGCAATCTTGTTGACGTAGTTGCAAATGATGCAGAAACGAACGTTCTTGGTGTACTGTTCAATTACTCGACGAAGAGCTGCTTGGGCTGCTTGGGTCATCATGTCCGCCTCGTCGAGGATGATGAGTTTGTAGCCTTTAGAGAACAGAGTACGCGTCTCCGCGAACTGTTTGATCTGCTCGCGAACGACGTCGATACCACGTTCATCTGACGCGTTGAGCTACACGAATGACTGATGAGTTGGCTAGACATGCATTGGGTCCAACTTACCTCCAGGATTTGTTTTCGATATTCCGACCCGTATATACGACGCGCGACTGCTAGTATAGTGGAGGTCTTGCCAGTGCCAGGGGGTCCATAGAACAAAAGATGAGGTAGGCGGTTCTTTTCGATGAATTTTTCGACTGCGATGCAGGTCAGGGAAATTCGGCCATGGATGTCGAAACCGCGTACTAGTGCTGGTTATGTCTTTGTGTGATACAACATCATCCAAAGTGACCGGACGGTACTTTTCGACCCTAAATGCTATTGCATGAGAACTGCCACTCCTGCCTATGCGTGCTGCTCACCATGGTAGGTTTTCATCGTCATAGGGCCGGGCGTCGCTGTCAACAGCCTTTCCCTTGCCCTTGGCAGACGTAGGTATGGCATCAACATCCATCATTTCGGTATCCTCGTCGTAAAGAGCCATTGCAATGACGATGAGTGGTTGTGTGGAAAGTGAACGCGTCGACGCGAAAGCCGCGCGAGCGAATTTGACTTTCCCACACAATTATTTATTTATTTTATTTCCTCCCAACCTCGCGTGTCGCGCCCCAAGTACTTGACACCTTGCAGACAACGTCGTCGATGATGCAGTCGGGTCGACAAGCCCCCAACCAGCCTCCCGTGAAAATCTACAATGCGGTCTACTCGTCAGTACAGGTATGCTTCTCTTGCGTTGGCAACGGGCGCGGGCTAATTGGGTACAGGTATATGAGTGCATGATCAGAGGGATTGCTGTCATGCGCAGACGCGGCGACTCGTTCGTGAACGCGACCCAGATCCTCAAGGTAGCAGGCGTTGACAAGGGACGGCGGACGAAGATCCTTGAAAAAGAGATCCTTCCAGGAAAACACGAAATCGTCCAGGGTGGGTATGGCAAATACCAAGGTACCTGGTACGCAATCGTCCATCGTTGTCCACCTTTTCCTGGCTTATTATCTGTATAGGATTCCACTTGAAAGAGGTCGGGATATCGCTTTGCAATACGGCGTTGCTCCCCTGCTAGCGCCCTTGTTCGATTTCACACCCAGCACCAACTCTCTTGCTGCTCTTCCAGTATCGACTCCTAATATCAATTCCGTATCGCCCAGACCTCTCTCTGCATCGTCATCGTACTCGTCTATACCGTCTAATACGGCAACGAACAACTATATGGCAGGGATGCCGTCCGCGCTTGCTCCGCCTCCGATAATGCCAGGCTCAGCTCTTCGACTGCTCAATCAAGGTCGCGCCCAAGGACTTTTCACACCTTCAACCTCTGCTGTTTCTGCAGCAAGACCTGGCTACAAGTCGCCCAATACCTTCTCACAGTCTCCGTTCTCACAAACGCCCCCACCATCGTCACAACCGCTGAAACGAAATCGTTCGGAGGATGCACATACAGAAGCAAGCGCTCCAGAACCTCAAGCAGCTACCGAAGACGGACCATCGCCAACGAAACGCGCTCGAAAGGACCCCACACCTCCCGCACCTGCCCTAGATAAACGGCTAGTCCGTCTCGCCACCAAACCATCTATTCCACGAAACATTGATCCTTCCATACCGTTGAAAGATACGCGTCGCGCTGCCGTTGTCGCCTCGATATGCCAATCTGATGCCCCCGCACCCGTCATGGCTCTATTAAGTGACATTGCTCCCATACCTGGTTCTAATTCGATCGAAGTCGATACCATTCTCGACAACCAAGGTCATTCTGCCTTGCATCTTGCATGTTCATTGTCGCGCCTTTCTACTGTTCAAGCACTTCTCCAATCTGGTGCAGACGTGCATCGCGGCAATCATCTTGGAGAGACTCCGTTGATACGAACAATCCTTTCCACGCATTCGTATGATGCACAATCCCTTCCACAGCTGCTTTCTTATGGACTCTCACAATCTATCATGACTTTGGACACATCCCGGAAGAGCGTTCTTCATCACATCGTCGCGCTAGCTGGCGTAAAGGGCCGTGCGGTGGTAGCGCGGTATTATCTGGATCAGATATTCTTATGGATTGCGAAGGAAGATGGAGGCGATTTTGCTAAAATTGTGGATTTACAGGATGAGCACGGTGACACAGCTCTCAACATTGCGGCCCGAGTAGGCAGTAGGACGTTGGTTCGCACGTTGGTTGACGTTGGCGCGGACAAGATGTTGATGAACAAGTTGGGCCTTAAGCCGGGCGATTTTGGCGTCGAAAGCGAGGTAATATCTTTCATTGCGCTCGATTTATTTGCTCATATTTTTCAGGAGCTGAGTGGAGGACCCAAACCCGAAGACATCCTTGCGACGCTACGATCGATACCTCCCGTACCTGTGCAGAAGTCTCAAGATGTTATTGCGGACATGACCCACATGATACAATCGTTGTCTACAGAGTTCCAGACAGAGATAAAGAGCAAGCAGGACGCGTTGGATGTGACGCAGGCCCATCTACGTGCTGCGACGCGTGAACTGAGCGAACAACGAAAACAAATACAAATGTGGCAGGGTCGTTGTGCCGAGCTAGACATGTTGGCCCAGCGTGTACGGAATGTGGAGCATGCGATTGAGGATGAGGTGCAGTTCGACTGGACGGGTCGTGGTGGCGAGAGTGAAGGAGTGGAAGACAAGAGCCCAGCGTTCCGCTACAGAGGACCTTCGTCCACGATGACCGGGACTCAAGCTCCGGTCGTCACTATCGACGTGGATCCGCCCATGCCTGCTGGAGATTCTGTTGCCTCGTTGATCAGACTGAGGCGGTTGAAGATGTGGCATGAGAAGATGGAGGAGATAACGGAGCAACGAATGAAGGGGTTGAGAGGCGCGAGTGCAGAAAAAGAGTTCATGTGCCGAAAAATTGTTGCACTTTGCACAGGCATTGGTGTTGACAAGGTTGAGGACATGCTTGATAGTTTACTTGTTGCCGTAGAAAGTGAAGCTCAGGTCGTTGATATCGGTCGCGTGTCGGGATTTATGCAAAAGGTACCGGACATCTCCTTCTTCACTTACTCATAAGGCTGATGGACTTTTGTAGGTTCGAGATGGCATAATCTAAAGACAGTCTTTTAACGTCAAACCGTGTAAGTGGATATATTTATTCTCTAACTCGTACGACCGTCTCCTTGATTTCATGATTATCTACGCATTTGTATGCTTAGCGATTGCAATGGTCTTGATTTTTGAATAGGGTCTGAGGCGCTGAGCAATCCGACAATTGTCGCTCAGCTGTCATAAAGTTTGCAAGCCGATCACCTAGCCAGTACTATTATATAATATGCTCCTATAAGATCCAACATCTTCAACTGAGCCAATAAGTTGTGAGGTATGATTTCTAGACGTTATATTATCCTCTAATCATTCTTTGCGGTAGATTTGTACGTCAGTCACCAGTGCCACTTTCTAACATCACTGGTATACACACGCCCAGCCCTCCCTCATAACAACGCTGATTGTTGGCAGCTCCGAACTATCCTCACTTGTATCGAACCAACCTAGCCTTAGGATAGCCAACCTCCTGCGCACAGCCAAGTCAGGAAACGACTGGGGTCCAAGTGAACTTCACGCCTATAACATCCGAGTCGAGTTCCAAGACGCAATCGCTTTCTTTGGTGTTAACCCGTTGCCACACCCAGCAGTCGCTGACGAAGTCCTTCACAATCTGGCTGCTACCGATATGGTCGACGATAACAATTATAAACTCTTACGCTATATGGATTTCGCAATGGATCCTGTCCCTGCTCAGGAGTCCGCTGTGGACGGTTTTGTCGTATTTCTGTTGTCGCTGTTGGGTTATGTACCGCGAGAGAAGATGGCGCGCGCACGCACCGATATTCCACTGCTTATCTGTGGAGAAAGTCGCCATGCAACAACCGATGTTTGCATCGTGTATGCCGATGACAATTTACTCCTCGTTCAAGAGGATAAGCGACATAAAGAACCAAAGGATCCAGAACCGCAGCTTATAGCTGAGGCAATTGCAGCGTTCCAGTCCAATAACGCCAGGCGAACCCATGTCCTTGGTCAAAATCCTATCCCTGTCGAGACGATTCCGGGAATTACCCTAAAGGGTTCTTCACCTATATTCTACAAGATTCCCATAACCACTGAACTCGCAGAAAGTGTCGCACTTGGGCTCTACCCTGCTGCACCTACCATTGTGTATGCGCATCTCCCCAAGCTTCCTCGCCCTGCCCGTCGTCTGAGCGAGGGTATGAGACCCTTGGATATGTTGAGAAAGGAATTACCACTTAACCAACGTTGGTTAAGTGGTAATTCCTTTCTCAACAGGATAACAGAGCCATCATTCTTTCTTGTTATGAAGCATTCAAGATATTTATTAACTAGTGGGTGCCACGTAGACTATTTATATTGAATGAAACTAATGATGATTTGTAGAATTCGAGGGTAGATAGCCAGATGATTGAAAGCCGAAAGACGACGACGTCACAGACTGGTTAAGTGTAGTTTTAATTCTCGGTATAATTTTCTAGCGTTGTAAATCTCGTGAATCGAGTCTCGTTTTATGTAACTTCGCAGTCAGACGGACTAATATCTTCATCCTTTCGTACACGACCCGTGGGTGGTCGTACCAATGGGTGGTGGAGACCCTCAAGGTCTGTGCCAAATACTATTTTACAGCTCATAGACTCATATGTGCAGAGCTTATTCGTCCCGCTGTGAAGGGCACAATTGCCATTCTAGAAAGCGCGGCCAAGAATAGATAAACCTCTTTATCAGGTTTCGGGAATTCGCATTCAACGTTTCTCAGATCATCCGTGCAACGTATCGTCGTTACTTCTTCATACGCTGTAATTTTGAGGTGGAACATGGTACGATTACTCTGTCCGAAGCTAATCATGGGCTGGGTGGCTCTACTGGATACCTTCTTTCGACATACGGAGTGCGCACCGATATCTCCTCGTGGTCCCTGGTATATAATCTGTTTTCCGATAAACTGCTAGGAATGAATCTCGTTAACTCGAGCGTGGGCATCAACTACCACTGTCATCTTCGTCCTTCTCATCATCTTTACAGATTTACGGTCATCAAGATAGCCTATGCCCTGAAAAAGCCAAAACTTGTACGTCTGACATGTTCAATTAATTAAGTCGCGTCTGATTCAGGCACAAGTTGGCGCACTTGGGATTCAGTTTGATAGCAGGATTTCTGACGTAGCTAAATCCCGTATGTCGTTGCTCTTGTCAATCGTGTTCTGGCCCATTTACCCGAGGCGCTCGATGCCCTTGGTGTGCCGTTAGACTGCCAGGCTCTGTTGCTGCAGGGGCTTCGAATGACACCACCATACGGAATAAGCTAATCTCCCTGGTTCATACGAAGGCAGGCTCGAACAAGTCTGTTGGTGTCTTTCCTTTGACGTACAATCCAAGTAGCGGCAGTACAATCTCTGGTCAGGCTAGGTATGATTTCCAAGTTATTATGCGTCATCGACACTCAAGTAACAATTGAAATGCAGTGATAGTCCAGGCCAAGGAGCTATGTTTTCGCTAATGACTTTCAAGTAAGTTCAACCGTGTCATATTAATATATCTCGTGTTTATATTCCCTCTTTCATCTGTAGCCTTGAATCCAAAGTCACCTCCAGCACCTCTGGGTCCAACAACAGGGATCAAATTTCAAGTCTAAGCGCTCTTGTGCAGCGGTGAAATCGAACTCTGTATTACTGGAACTATTGGAACGCGCCTTACGATCTTTTTTGCTGACAGTATCGAACTCGGGAGCCTGCTAAAACTGAAGTAGCACACAATCTGGTTCAGACTCTGCCCTCTGGATGGTCATGGTGTGTATTGACATGGATACACCCACCCGCCAACAGACTCATGGACCTCAAGCCACCTTAAGAAGCTTATAGTTAGTCCCCAAGTCGGATTTTTCTGAGAATGCCATCTCTTGACGCCTCCCATCTACACTGTGCCTTAATGCGTGCGAGTGTCTTGGATTCGAATCGATGGCACATCTTTCCAACTATGGTGTTCCTTATTGGGACCGCATACCGGTTTTCTAAACTCTAAACTCTATGGGGTGCATACAAGACACACACTACCTTGACTACTTTCGAGGTCACCCCGACGCGCACTATTATGTACATTCAGGCGAATGCGACGAATGTCAATGTAACGTTCTTGACCTGTGTCCACGCATTCTCAAGATTCTCGGTCACCTCGTCAATGCAGGTGGACTCCCGTGAACCTGTGAGTCCGCGCGGAACAGCACCGGACTTCGCTTCCAGAAATTGCCTATCGTTCCCCAAATATTACATGCTGCGCAGTGTGTACACGGTGTCAGACTTGGAAGTACCAATCAGTGTGGATTGGAGTTCTTGATTGATGGAATTCGAAGGAACAACCACAAAGCACAGGTTATCTCTGGCCCTTCAAGCTTCATGACGTGATGTGCTAGCCTCGAATCAATTTGAATAATCGAGATAAATACGATCTCTTTGACTGGAGCCCAGTTTTTCCCCGAAAGTACGGTCCGGTTAGCCGCGACCATGATCGGATTCGACGATTGCTGCCCTTTTCTTCTTGTTGTACATGCTGATGCGGTCACTGGGCGTCCTCCGCACCAAGACTATCGCTTGGCTCAAAAAATGTACACGCCTCGCTTATGCAATCAATCGAATTCCGGGGTAAATAGCATCTGATCTACACCCAACTACAAAACTGATCTAACGGGCAAACTTGCCCAGTCAAGCGGACTCGCGGGGTCAACGTTGTTGCTGCCAAAGAGTCAGTAATTTCTATTACACGCTCCACAAAAAAAAAAGGAAACCGGGACATTCTTAAGACATCCAGCTGAGATCATGGTCAAGCAACGCATTTTGAATCACTATGGCTCGCTTAGGTCTGTGCCATTTCTACGTGCCTCGCGATCCCTGTGCTGACCAAAGTTTTCTTATTCAAGACTATTCTCCACGCGGATGCGGGGTACGGCCATTGAACGGCGTGGGGTCATTAGCGTCCCATCAATCAACCCCTTACATGTGACCAGAATCCGGAACAGCTAACAGAACAGAGTGAACGTTAGCCAGGTCAAGTGGGAAGCAACGTTCTCATATGATCTATCCAGTTCTATACCCTCACACGTTAGCTTCGACGTGAAAGTCTAGGACCTGCATATTGCAATTTTTCGGAGTTGTCAATAGGCATACCTTTTTCAATCGGTTCCGGTCTCGTCGAGCGTTTAAAAGGTTACTTAATACGTTCGGACTTCTTATCGTTCCCCCACCATGGATACAACCAACGCAAGTTCATCCCCTCCGTCGACCAATGAAAAGGACGTCGGTACCGTGCGGATTGTAGAGAAATCCAATGTGTATAATGCGCATATCGACGTCGACGGCGTAGACGAGCGAAAGCTCATGCGGAAGATTGATATCGCATTGATACCCTGGCTGTCTTTCTTGTATCTTCTGAGCTTTTTAGACCGTACGAGTATCGGAAAGTAGGTGTGGTTCTGGTTCTGTATCCATCCTTCAACTTATTTTCTTCTTCAACTCTAGCGCCAAGGTGTGCTCGCCCGTAAATGAAGGGTCGACTTTTTGTAACCTCTCTGTATCCCAGCTCTACAATCTAGAGGAAGACTTGCACATAACTGACAACCAGTACCTCATAGCGTTGACCATCTTCTTCTTCAGGTGAGACATCGTAAATTAATCTGTACCTAAATGCTAAATCTTCTTCAGCTACTCCATCTTCGAGGTGATTCTGCTGTGTGATGTGAATTGTGAAATTTTAGCTGACACATCTCGAGGTTCCTTCGAATGTGTTTTTGAAACGCTTGCGCCCGTCCATATGGCTGTCGGCTCTCATGTTCTTTTGGGGTATAATGATGGTGCGTTAATACCGGAATGGCGCTTCTAATGCTGATGAGGCATCAGACCGTCCAAGGTTTAGTGCACAATTATGGCGGCCTCTTAGGTGATCACGCCTTTTTTATTGCTCGTTCTCATGGACTGATAGTAGGACGTATAGGGATGCGTTGGATGCTCGGAACATTCGAAGCTGGCCTGTTTCCTGGTGTTAACTATTACTTATCATGGTGCGCGCCTCGCTGCTGTGTCCAACGAATCTCAACGCGAGAATCTTAGCTGGTACAAACGTTCCGAGTTTGGTATCCGGGCTGCCGTGTTCTTCTCTGCCGCTACTGTGTCCGGTGCATTTGGAGGTTTACTGGCGGTAAGAGCCATCGAGATCCGCATCATAAGTCAGTTCTCACTCCCGTATCAGGCCGCTATATCGAACATGGAAGGAATCGGCGGAAAACCGGCTTGGGCTTGGATTTTGTGAGATACTCTGTTTGTCCATGGTCGATTTACGAACATTCCATTCAGCATCCTGGAGGGCCTCATCACTGTGGTCGCGGGAATCGCCTCATTTTGGATTATCCAAGACTTCCCTGACACGGCCAAGTTCCTCTCAGAACAAGAGAGAACTGTGGTGGTCCGGAGATTGCAAGGGGATGACCAGTTTAGCGCGGCTGGCGAAAAGTTAAGGATGAAATACATCATGCAGAGCTTACTCGATTGGAAGACTTATGTCGGGAGTAAGTCAGTGTCACGTCCAACTACCCTGGGGCTAATTGTATCGGAAATAGTCGTGATTTACGCGGGTTGCGATATGCCACTGTATGCGTTCTCTCTATTTTTACCAACCATCATCAATCAGGCAAGTGTATTTTGATATTCTCGTGTACGTTTAAGTGTCGCTTATCGATTACTCATATCTATTAGCTTGGTAAGACCCGACGCTTATCCGAAGTTTCGATTCACGTTAAATTCCTTCACTTAGGTTTCAATGCCACACCAGCAAATCTTCTGACGGTTCCTGTCTATGTGTTCGCTTGTATCGTAACATGTCTTGTAGGCTTCTTCGCTGACAGATGGGGCCGGCGTGGTTATTTTAACCTGTGAGATCCATCATTCATGACTAGGAACCTGAGCCCTAATTACATTCATCCCACAGTGTGTTCCTTTCTCTCGGTATGTCCTTGTACATTCTGGGCCTTTGCCGAGCCTTTCGCACTTAACGGCTATGTAGGCGCTGCGGGTTACATCATTCTCATCGCTTCGAGAAGCGCCGCACTATCATACTTCGCTGTATATCTTGCGACCTGGTAAGTCTATTTTTGCAAATGCCGCTTCATCGCTGAACGTGCCTCGAAAAGTGGAATCTATCCCGTCATCCGTGAGTCTCGACGTACTTGATTGGGGTTTTCTCACCGACTGCTTGAACTTTCAAGCGAACACCATGTAAGTTTCCCAGGTCTTACTTGACGGGGACCGGCTCAAAAGCAAACTAGTGCTTGGATGTCCAACAATGTGGAAGGATCCTACAAACGTAGTGTTTCTTTGGCAATGGTGATCAGCTTGTAAGTCCAAGATGTTCGCATGCTTTACTAGCTACTCACTCTTTCAAGCGGAAACATAAACGGTGCAGTTAGTTCAAATGTGGTATGTGCAACTGTTCCCTCGTAAGGCCATTCACAGGACCTGACTATAAATACAGTACCGAGCCAAGGATAAACCTCGGTACATACTTGGTGCGTGCTCCTTCACACTGACAATGAGGTTTGCTAAATATATCGGAATATCTACATAGGACACGGTAAGGACGCCTGATATGTGTTGTTTGAACAAGCACTCAAAGAAATATAGGTCTGGTGCTTATGTACATTGGTCTTGGTATCACCTTCACCTTGATCTACCTGTTCTTTGCGAACAGAGAGAACGAGAAACGAGAACGAGGAGAAAGGGATGAAATCATCGGTGATGAAGACGCACAAGGAAACGAAAGCAACGGTCGATTCGTTACAGTCGAAGCAGCCAAGAGGGAGAAGGGCGATGCATGGAGCGGATATAAGTACACCCTATGAGAATATCATGTAGAATGTACAGGAAACGTCAGTTCCATGAGAAATGATTCAGATGACCTGTGAGCCTTAGATGGCGTGAAGTGCATGCTTCAATTTACCAATGTCTGGCCATGACATATATCAATAGGAAAACTGGTGTGAGTAAGTGATATATATCTAATAAATGCCTGGAATAAATTTGTACTTGACGACAGAGCAGTAGCGCTCCCAGTCTTTTCCGTATTTGATAGAACACCTGCAAACGTGTCAAACCTGGACGGGTGAAGTGATCAGTGAAGACATACCGTTCAAAGTCACGGCTGCAGCGATGTATCAGAACAGTGATGAAAAACACCGAATAGAAGTAAGGGATAGGCGTAGCCAGTCCGATAACTGCTCCCCAAGTGAAACTCATTGTCCAGTCTGCCACATAGTTCTGCAAAAAAATCAGGAAAGAGGCGAGTAATGCGTGCAATTACAATACGAACAGGTTTTCGTGAGTATGCCCACCATCCACTGGTGAGAAGTCGGTTTCTAGAGGCAACATCAGCCGCCGTGAAACAGAGAAGGAACAGACTAACATACCCGTGTGCAGTCTGGATGAAAGTGGGGTTCTTAACGGTATTCCAGGGAAGCTGAGGAAATGTTGAGCGGAACTCCGTAATTCCTTGCGTTTGCATCTTGAAATGACTCTTTTGAGCCATGGCAGTATCCCAGCTAGTTGAAGGTGAGCGACGCAAGAAAGAATCAATGGTATGTGAGTACTCACATATAATATGCCGTTAGAAGTGTCGTGAACAGAACAACATACGTTGGTGTCGAAAACTTGTATTTTGAAGGGTCATGCGAGGCCATGTATACAACGGAGTAAACATAAGACTAGACATTGATCAGAAAAGACGCAACAGGGTTGCTGAAGAAACTTACAAAAGGGACACCAGCCAGATTCCAGAAAATGACCATAAAACCCCATCTGTATTACCGTATTAGTTAAGAATGACTAGACAATAGACGCCTACTTTTCGTGATACATATCCCAGGTTTGGGGGATACATTCCTCTCCTTTCGCACTGAAGATAGTCAGGGACTGAGTGTAAAAGCGGACCGTCACCACTTACCAGGCATTCAGGTATAACCACGTTGCAAGGGTCATGAACGCCATGTTCTGTTTGGCTGATGAGTCCACAATGCTTTCTATGAGTACGAAATATAGAAACTCTTACAGGAGTGATATAGCCATACTGTTCGTACTGCTGACAGCAACCAGACACGGCCAAGAAGAATACAATGACCCAAGGAATACGAACTTCAGCCCACATTTTCAAATCGATAGGACCGATCCGAGGGTTTAGTGAAGCGCCCATGAAGACGTCGTAGACGAAACTGCCGGACATCCGTATCTGTGTGCCAGTAGCAACAGCAATAAAGTACATCCCGAACGACACGCCGAAACCCCAGATCATGGCAACGCTCATGAGATGTCCATAGTTGTCAATGATTTCAGTCAGACGGAATGTGCCGGTGTAATGAAGCACGGCAGCAGTCGCCATGGTCGCGTAGAGCGAGTATAGCGCATTACAGTTGTACATGAGTGTCCTGTAGCCCAATGAAGGTACAGGAAGCCCTTCCTGTTGGAAGCCGGGCATGACCCAAGCTAAGAAGAGTTGGAAAAATATGTTTGCGGAATAGACTTTCCATGCATAAGCATTGGGGCTTGCATCCTATAAAGAATGTAAGTTGACTGAAGATGCAGACATGAAGCTGTCGCACAGTGCAAACATGGCCCCACATTCTGAGCAAAAAAGGCTTGACGTCATCAAGAGAGGTAGGATGGACAAGTTTTCCGTCGTAGAACCACAAACAAATCCAGAGATAATACATGAGTAATGGGAATCCAGTCATAATGGCCGTGACACCCAGAGATCCACCGAACTCATACCTGTGCTCGACAAACTACTAAGCGCGCCGAGGATTTGGGAAGAAAGTATTCACGCACGTCTCATGCTGGTCCAGCCTCTGGTCAATTTTCTTCCCCTCTTCGGAGACTTTGATAATACCGTCCGCACTCTTTGGCGAACTGTTGGAGGTGTTCCGTTGTCGTAAAGTTCCGCTACCATCTGCGACCATTGTGAAGGGAATAAACAAATGTCAGAAATTTATCGAACGATTCTGTTAGGGAGGTTTTTGGTCAACAAGTGCAAAGAACGCGTTGATTTCTTGTCCGGGATCACGCGCACGGATCAAAGGCCCCGGGAAGCTCCCGCCAAGGTTTGTCCGGCAAAAACCCTGATTTTTGGCCTCAAATATGCATTAAAGATTGGCGCCTAAAATATGCTAACTCGGACAAGGTTTCTGCCGGTCCGTCTGTGCCGGACAGCGCCGCGGGCCAAATTAGGCCAAATTTCGGCGTCCTTCGCCTTGCATTTTCTGGATGAAATTTCAGTGTCGCTTCCATCCTTCTTTCAGATCCCAATAAGTCTTCGCTACGTGCTTCTCCAACTATAGGGATTCCGCCAGGTACCATTCCTCCAGGCCCTAGAGGCCCTAAAATATGCTAACTACGGACAAGGGTTTCAGATTTTCGGTCTGAAATATGCTATCTACGGACAAAGATTTCGCTTTTTTTGGGCCTAAAATATGCTAAAATCCGGACAAACCTTGGCGGGAGCTTCCCGGGGCCTACGGATCAAACGATACGCAGTGACATTTAACTAAACAGCATTGAGCAGTGTGATTTCGATATAAGCCCTCAAGTTTCGGTACTGTTTTTCTAATGAATTACTGTGCATAAGGTCAAACCTTTTTAATATTAAACGACGACATTAAGCAACCACGAATCCTACTTCCGAAAACCGGAGTGAGATTAAACCTTTCGACCTCATAACGTGTATCTATATCCACTCCATTTATCGCCTTTCTCCATTTTCGCATCAGCGAGGGTGGAAAATCGACCATTTTTCTCGTTCCCAACCATGGTAAGCTCGCCAATTATTTCGTCCCTCTCGCCCCTGTCTCGTTTCTTATTCTCTCTGTTTAAGAAAAATACGCAGACACTCGACGATATTATCCCAAGGCCAATGTACATGAGGACCATACCTGGGAGATCTCAGTTGACTGTCGCGTTGAAAGAAAAAAATTCATTACGCACCATGTCCTGTGAGAGGTCACGCCGAGTTTAGCCACTCATAAACAATTTGAGAAAGTATTTACCAAGTGTATACCATGGCTTATCACTGGCACGGTACTATAGAAGTCGATCGAAGGAGGAGTGAGTAACCTGTTATGACTGGCGGTACAACTGGTACATACCACGTTTGAACTAACGGCGCCGTTGAGATTTCCACTGATAGCAAGTTAAGTTCCGTTGACATCCGCTTATATGAAAGACGTACAAGCTGATCAGCATACCCAGAGTGACGCCTCGCTTATAGGTCCCCTCGATGTTATTAGAGAACCAGGCGCTGTCCTCACAAGTTCGGAAAATGAATGCTATTAAAGGACAAAGGACTCACACTGTGTTCGCTAGAAAGTAAGAAGAGTTACGTGGGAGAGCAGAACATGATACACTAGCACTTACGAACAACAGGGAAAATCCCACTTTTAGACCGGTATTAGCTATTAACAACGCTGTCCTGAGGGGAGACTGACCAGGTCGCAAGATACGCGGCGAAGTACGACAATGCAGCATTTCGCGATGCAATGAGAATGATGTATCCGGCGGCGCCTATTCAGCTATTGAGCAACAAGTTTGCTATAAAATGAAAAGGGGAATACCAAGGGAAAGGAATACGCTTCGGCGAATTCGATGAGTCGGACGAAATCTAGAATCACGGATCACACTCACATATTAAGATAACCACGTCGGCCCCATCTGTCACCGAAAAAGCCAACGATGCATGTTACGATGCAAGCAAACACATAAACAGGGACAGTCAGAAGATTAGCCCGTGTAGCAGTATAACCTAAAAAATCAGAGAAACAAAATGAATGTTCTATGCAGAACGACCAGCGATTATTCTTACCCAGCTAGACACGAGCAGCCTGTAAGCTCAAAAAATACATCTAACGGACACAGCATGCTTACCTCATTGATAATAGAGGGTAAAAACAACGAGAACGCGTACAATGGCATAGCACTGCCGGCGAAAGTCGTCACTATGATAGCCTGGTTGAGCCGACGCACGATTGTTTAGGACCCTGACTTACTTCCGATCCAAGTCTTCCAATCAAGTAAACTCTGCTTTATGTATTTCATCTTAAATTTCTCGCCGGCCGCACTGAACTGGCTGTCTGCTTGTAATCTCCGAACAACTACGGTCCGCTCTGCTTCGGAGAGAAATTTGGCCGTGTCAGGAAAGTCTTGGATGATCCAATATGAGGCGAGTGCTGCAACGACCGTGAGGAGACCTTCGAGGATGCTGATAAAATTGATATAGCTGAGTTCGCGAGTACAGAACAAGGCAGGCTTACAAGATCCAAGCCCAAGCGGGTTTTCCGCCGACTCCATCCATGTTTGATATGGCAGCCTAATAGTGGAGTGAATAGTTATTTGGAAAGGAGATCTCACTGCCTCTTACCGCTAGTAAGCCTCCAAATGCTCCAGACACTGTAGCGGCGGAGAAGAACATGGCCGCCCGCAGTCCAAACTCGGTTCGCTTATACCAGCTTAAAGGAACCTGTAAAGGTCTGTTGAAACGACAGGAAAGTACTCACCATGACAGATAGAAATTGACGCCTGGGTATAGGCAGGCTTCAAACATTCCCAACATCCATCGCATACCTATTTCCAAGTCATGTAAGAACAGCGGAGTTGAAATGAGTGAACATATTATGTTACCCAAAAGGCCACCGTAGTTGTGCACTAAGCCTTGAACAGTCTGATTCTTTGAGCACTGGAATTGCCGTATTAGAAAGGGCGCACCATCATTATACCCCAAAGCAGCATGAGAGATGACAACCAGAGAGATGGGCGCAGGCGTTTTAGAAACACATTTGAGGGGACCTTGTATAGTTCGTTAGTACATAATGGCGTTGAGAGGGTTACGCGATCTGTTAGTACCTCAAACAACGAATAGCTGAAAAAGAATGAGGAACCTTCAGTCACACATACGAAACGCAATACCTGAAGAAAAAGACCGTCAATGCAAGCAGATATTGGCTGTCCGTAATATGCAAGTCGGCTTCCAGATGATAGAGCTAAGATGAGCGAGAGGTCACGTCGATACGCTGGTCCAGAATAGTGTGCACAGACCTTGGCGCTATACGATGCAGTGAGTACGACAACTGAAGGAAAACATGCGGTTGAACGTACTTTCCGATGCTCGTACGATCCAAAAAACTTAGCAAATACAAAAACGACAACCAAGGTACCAGAGCAATGTCAATCTTCCGCAAGAGCTTTCTTTCATCTACGCCGCTGATATCGACATGACAATTGTACAAGTTACCGTCATCGGAGGATCTGGATGCCTTGGAGGAAATTGAGGACCCAACGGTATCCATGGGGGAGGGCATGACTGTCGAACTTGAGGTCGAGGAAGCCTTTTAAGCACTAAGCTTGGAATGATTTTGTTCAGATCCAGGATTAGTGGTACCGGGTCCGAATATCAGTAGAATATGCATGAATGACAGTCAGAAATCGTCTCATGTTAAGCGGCGCTACAACTGACAGTTGCGCAATTACTTGATATGGGTAGCCGCTCCGACATTGTCGAAGTTAGAACGATACTCTGAATAGATGTAGATCTAGCGACGCGGCGATTGTGATCTATCTATACTCTTTGTGAGTAATATCAATCGGGATATCATTATTTGAAACATTTATAGTGCCGTACTCACCATTCAATCAGCCAACTGTTTCGTGGAAGTTACATACACAGGAGCACGAGCCTGAAATTCATAAGAAAAGTAATCAATTCGTAGGCATCTTCAAACATGTTGTCCTAAGTCCATCTCCGCTCCACTGTGCAACTTCGACAAGGAGGTCTCTCTTCTTATCCGCTCCAGTGGCAGACCGTAGCTCGTAAAGTGTAGCTGGAACGCAATGCTTAGAACTAATTAGTATCAAATTATTGATTTACGTACACAGATTGAAGAGAAATGGTTCAGCAACCACAACACTTGATGGAGACGTCTTCAATGCCTTTTCCAGCACATCGATACCCTGCGACACGCGTTAATCATGACAGAGATAAAATGCTAATATGTACCTCTTTAAGTTTTCCTCGTCCCAGAAGTGTTACCGCCAAATTATTCACCACCTTTGGCGTAATGAAATCAATGCCCGCAAAGGTCACTGGAAGTAGGAAATGCACTGACGGCATAATTCTCGGCGTCCCTTTCTAAAATCCTCCTCAAGGTCTGGCTGGCTCGTTCCCATTGACCATGCGCTGAAGCCAACAAAGCTGCATTCAAGTCTTTCGCCGAGGCGTCCACAGACGGATCCACGGCAACGATAGAGAAATGTTTTGTGGCCATATCGATTTGTCCCGCTTGTAAATAAATTCTAGCAATAGTAGAACGCAGCGCAGGCGATGCTGATGCTTTTTGATTACACAATGGTTCCAGCAGCCTTGTCGCTGCACCAAAATCCTACATAGTCTAATTGAGAAGATAAATGTAGCAGGAGATAGACACAAACATTCATTTCCATCAGCTGAGAAGCCATAATCAACGCCAATCTTGCTCCACGTTCTTTCCACATCGCGACGGACGTCGGGTCGTTCTTCGATGTACGTGATTTGAGCCGGCATTTGCCCAGGAGTGAACTCAATAGATCAAGATACCCTATATGATCGCCCGCCCAGTATTTAAGACGCGCATGCATGACTTCCAGCTCGAATGGAAGAATCCGCTCAAAGACCCACTCCCGCGCTGAAGGTGGCGCAATGCCGTTCAAGACAGAAAATAGATTGGTACATTCCGCTGATGTTTGGTTGAAGAGGCGGAGACGAGCAAGACACGCCAAGCGTAGATACCAAAGCTAGAGAGACGCGATGTTTAGAACAAGATAGCGCATACAACACAAGCGACCTACCCCCAAAATTGAGGTTAAGTCTTCTGGGTCTGCAGTAACGAGTCTATCGCGAGCCATTCTCGCAAGCGCCCTCCAGCTGTTCGTCATCTATGCAGAGTGAAATTCAACCTCGCGCAATATCTCCGAAGTTGTAGACTTACGACGAGGGTATGGAAATTGGTGTGCTGCCACTCGCCAGTTGAATCTCGAAAGGGACGCTTATCAGGTGGATAAATATATTTGGTGAGAAGAGTAGTCAAAGGATCAGTCTAGTACGGGTAGTGTATGTTAACCGTTTGAAAAGCCACCACGTCAATATGTATGAAAGAGGGCGGCGCACATTCGGGATAGGTAAGAACATCGTGGGTAGCACAAGTCCCGGTAGATACAAGTCCGGTGCTTCCTCTTCATCTGGGTCGATGTCTACTTGTGCGGGTGGGGGTGGTGGCACATCCTTGTTAATGTTCAACAAGGGAGAAGCTAGTGAAGCTGCAAGGGGAATTTCTTCGGCAGGTGTTATACTTTGCCGCGAGGCAGAAAGTTGCGGCGACCCATCATTGTCGGAGCTCTTCTCGTCGTCGTCGTCGATGAGGAAAGGGTCCGGAACGTCAGGGTGGTTGTACACTGACGTGAATAGAGCAGACGATGATCCAGCTTCGTCGGCGATTTGGTTCTCACCTGATTGCTTCTCGGCAGTCTCGACATTATCCTGTTTCCTTTCCTTCTGCTCATCATACTCATCAACTATAGCATCAACAGGAACCTCCTCAATCAGCGGTACTGCTGGCACATCATGCTGCCCCATGCTCTCACCTGCAGTCGTCAGCGACTGAACTACATCATTCGACATGCCTGACGACGACGAACTTGTAGTGTCGTAGGAATGGTGACTGGCCCGGCCGATAGTCCCAGTGTTCAGACGCCCGAGCGAATCGCTGCTGCCGTACACCTTTGCGTTAGGATAAGTGAAGGAATGAAGAGAATCGGCGTCGGGGAGGGTGGAAGTAGAGGGAAGAGTGACAATATTTGGCTTTGGGGGCGTTGACATACTGGGACTCGGGCCGATTACGTGAGACGAAGAACCCCAGCGCCGTACCCGCTGGACTCCCCTCTTCATCTTCTGTGCCATGTTCTTTAATGGCGAACGGCGGGGGCTCCGGGCGCCAGGTTCTGTACTGCGAGAGGTAGGCAGCATGATGTGACTTGAAAATAATATTGCGGCTGTTTCTTGGGCGTCTTCAAAACTGCTTTTTTATATTTTTCGGGGTCACTCGGGACTCTAAGAACAATGGATCTAATCAAAATCAGACCGAGAATAATGGTCAGTAGGTCGGTAGTGATAGGATGATTGTGGAGCCCGCAGGTGTAGATTTCGCCTGGATTTCTCCAGGTCGCATCATCAATTCATCGATGGTGCGGTGCAGGGGCCTCTGAAGGGCCTCGACAGGCCGAGCAGGTCCCGGGTTGTTATTCAAGTCTTACCCTGATACTGCACTGCGTTTATATGGTCTCCCGGGTGTCCGTTGCTTCTGCTATTGCCACAGCGGGAAGTGCGGTTGTGATGCCATCTGAAATAATTATGATGGTCCCTAGTGTATATTCCATATGAAGAGCGCGACAATGAATGAACATGATATGATCTCTGATGTGAATACAGAATGACTGGATGACTAATATACTTACGAACTCTTTCAATGCTCTACTTGTTCTGAAAATTATGCAGTGTAGCGGTCCCAAGCTCCGCTAGGGCCACTACATCCCAGCCTGACGATTTAAAATGTAGTGACTGAGGTCTTGCCAGCCTGATTTACATCATGATTAGTACAAAGATATCAAAAGCAAAAGACCAGTAACATACCTCCTCCAACGCGACACATAACCTTCTTCGTCGTGTCAGAAGTACCCTTCCCAAGCCTCGTCAACGTCGTCAGCCGGCATGTTACAACTTTCTTGCTGAGTGCGTTGGAGAACGAATACTGGGCTTTGATCTCCTCTCCGTCCTTTGGAATCTTCTTCAAAGGAGGATCCACTCTCTCCACAAGCAATCCATGCGGTATCGAATTAACAATTATCCCCACCTCAACATCAAGTGGGTCTTTCGGGTTTCCGGGCACATATTCATGGATGGGATTGTCCATGCCTGGCGTATATGCCCCAGCACGCGAGCCAGAGCGCGAAGGAGCACGGCTTGACCCATCTCGGAAGCTTGAGGGTGGAAGTTTACTCTGCAACGACGGCCGCGGAGTTCGCGATGTCGCCGTGCCGTGGTAGATTGGAATATTCATCACTCGGGAGCGCAGGGCAGATTCTGGCGTCTGTGCACGAGCAGCGGCCGCCCGGAACGTTCCCGTCGGACTGTCGCGGCCATAACTTGAAAGCGACGTCGATGGTCGCGTTGGCGATGATAGATGTACGGTAGGAAGCGGAATCATAGAGCGGCTCGGTGGCCTAGGGGGGGTGGGCAGAATTGGTCGAGGAACTCAGCTCGGTTGAAGAATATGAAGGAGACATTGCTCTGTGCATCAACGTAGCATTGCTGTCGCCGTGATCCCAAGCACCATCTGATCCCAAGCTCCGCAGTTTATGAGACGGCGCTGGTATGTGGCTTGGCGTCCTTGGTCGTGGTCGTGGTGTTGGTGGTGCCGGACCGGGCGTGAATGCGCGTGAGGGAGTCTGCGCTCGCGAAGGAGGTCGGAAAGTTGGCATTGGAGGATGATTGGATGACTGTGACTGTGAGGTTGACACAGAAGATGTCAAGGGAGACCATGGACGTGACGATGCCATCGAGGCCCGCGATACACTGCGTTTGCTAGGAGTAGGAATTGGAGGTAAATCGTTATATATACCCATCGCAGAAGGTGTGCGTTTGGTCGGTGTTCCTTTCACGGTCAACGTCCGCTCTTCAGCAGTGACTTTCGTCGAACTATTCCACGGCGCTTTGCCCGCAGCCTTTCGTCCGATAGTATCTGCTTTGTTGGAGTTCCGAGGAGAAGAATCTGGTGTCAAGCTTTGACTGTACTTATGTCCCGGACGATCCGGTGTGATGGGAGTAGGAGGCTGGCCACCTCGCACTGAAGAGAAAAGGTTCGCCCTCTGTTGTCGTGAAGCTTGACTGGGCACTGGTTCCGAGGAGGGAGTCCGAGCTCCGTTTCGCCTGAGGGGTGTGACTGGAGTGACTGGAGCAGGCGGCTGCGACTGACGCGACGAGCGTGTGATCTTACGAGCAAACTTCCTGAAAGGAGATATAGAGCGTGATAATGTACTTGTTGCACTGGGCGCTCTTGATGAGCGAGAACCACTGGGCGGTGTCATTAAATAGCCATTTTGCGACGATGATGGTGTCCCAGAGTGGCTAGAACCGCCCTCACTGAGAGCGTCCCCGGACAAAAGAAGTTTTCGCACGGCCTCCATCTCAGCATCGGTTCGAGTTATTCTTTCACGAAGATTACGCCAGCGTTGGGCAGAATCTGAGTGTCTCCGCAAAGTTTCTCCGTTCTTCGTAACTCGGTCTCTTACACCTTTGTCGATGATGGAAAGGACCTTAGATGTAGCAGGCATGTAGTGTCTATGAAATTAGCATCAATTGATGGTATGTGAACAGAGGGGAGAACACGCACTTCTTCTTCGCTTCAAATGAATCAAGAAGCGAATTGAAGACTTCAAGGCTGGGAGGTGAGCTGTCTTTCCCATTGGAGGAAGATGGTGGTAATTGAAAGTATGAAACCAGATCATCTCTTCTATAGACTTTCCAGATGAAGTCCTGTAGACGGAAACAGTCAGAATTGCCACAGCGGGGATGACACGTTGTTTGATGAATACCTGACACCGATTAACAGCCTTTTCAAGACTGGACATCATACCATCCGCCTGGTCCGTAACTGTTCTGAAGACTGTTAGCCATTTGTCTTCCTTGAGTTCCTCCCGCAGCGTATCGCTTTCATCTTGGACATTTTCCCAATCTGCGAGCAGCGTGGCATGCTTCCGAATCATCATGGTGGTTTCACTGGCTTCCCCATCCTCTGAAAGCGTCGGAGTGGAAGAAACCTGAAGAAGTGGTCCCATAGCATCTGCGATGAACTTCATTTCCTTGGAGACAGCTTCTAACTTTTCGTCAAGAGCCATGAGAGACTGGTCGATAGTGTTGGTGGTCTTCGTTGCATCGCTTGATTCTTGACTTTTGTGTCGAAGTTCCTGAATGGCTATCGTCCGCTCAAGTCAGAACGGCATTCAAAGACAATGTTCACGTCGGCCACGTACAAAATATTCGCGCCTGGATATCGGCGATGGTAAGGGATGTCGCCGTCATTTGGGAGGATACAACGAGGGCGGGCAGTACGGCGGACCTAGATGGGAATAAGAACTTCATGGTGGAAGGTAAAGATGACACGGCGCACGGATCCTCGTCCTCACTCCTCCGCTTTCCCTCCTTCTTTGCAGAACTTTGACCGGGCGTTATAGTGGCGTTATCTGCAAGATACGCATATAAGTCGGAGACAGTACAGATCGCGTGGCATGCAAATCACCTTCATCCGTTCTGTCCTGGGATATATTGGTCGAGTATTCAGAGAGACTGGATGTTGAGGCGGCGGTATTTGGTGCATATACAGTATTAGAGCATGAAGGCAACGTAGACATAGATATTCTTGAAGAGGATGAACTGAGAGGAGACATATCGTAGGATTAAAGAGAGAAATGGCTCGCGGTACGAGAAGAAGTGAAAAGGTGGTTAAGGTTGATACGAGAATCCGCCGAAGTCGAGGCCACTATCCACAAAGTCGTCACAAAGGGTATAAGACTCGTTGAGGGAGGTATGACACGACGCCGGCGGATGTCTACTCGCCGTAGAGGTCGATGAGGAAAGGTGGCTGATGTCAGATTTCCCACGGTTGCAGTACAATGCATGTCCATCAAGTGACATTGTCCAACTTGACTTCAAGTGACAGATACTTCTACGTCCAAAGATCCAACTTCATTCTTCTCATCAAGAAAGATATCATACCAATAATTTACGAGGAATGAATACAAGTAAAGATAATTGAAGCGTGATTACGTTTATTAAGACCCAGATGCCCTCATGTTGTCGATGCTCTCCTTGAATCCGCGGGCAAACGCCTTGAAAGGCATGAGGAACCAGCCCAGTGCACTTGGAGCTTCTTTGTCCTCAGGTCTATAGTTCGCCCTCCGAGGCCGATTTAATCGTGGGGTGTCATCGTCCGCAGCTTCTTCCAAAGGGCGCTTAACGCCTCGCATTTCACTACTACCATCAGACGGTGCTACCAACGTGGATTCAGACGTAGCAGAAGGAGGCGGTAGAGGGCTACGAAGTAGCATGTCAGTGGAAGTCATACGAGTGGCAGGAGAAGGAAACCTACGTGGTACACGTTGTTTGGTGCGTTATCCAGTTCGTTGGATCGTAATCTCCCTCGAGCTGTATCGTAGATTCGCAAAACTTACAATCGACGTGTCGAGGCCCGCAATCCTTTACCTGGGGGTCATTGACAAGGCGAATTCTGTCTGCAGCCGTTGCCACACGAGTGCTGGGCCTGATAGAAACTGTCAGAGGAGCGTATAGGGTTTCTAAGAACCAGCGTACGAAGTATCAGAACAGATTAGCTGATGCTTGTTCCAGACAAACAGAGAATAGGTCTGGCTACTGCACCGGATCCACTTCTGACATCGCTTGCATAATGTCTCGTTCTCCTTAACTATTTGAGCGCGCAAATCCGATTCGAGTAACGCTTTCCTCTCTTCCTCAGTTTTAGGTTTTCTGTACTTTGATCTTGCACTGGGCGAAGCAGGCTGCCCAGTTTCCTCGTTCCTATATAAAGGATAAGAAGCCAGAAATAGAGATAGTCCCGGAAACATACAACATCGATGATGGCACCTGCTGATCACACTTTTCTCGGTGCTTCTCCCAAGGACGAACGGTGAACGGTCTCTTAGTCCCCAAGTTCACTACTTTCCCGCACCTTGTACACTTGACATGGTGCGAGTCGTCTTCGATGAACTGACATTCCGGTTGATTCTTGAAATATTCAGTACGCTCTGCTTCATTTCTGCGAACCCGGCTTAGGCTGATGAAGGATTCGGCGACGGAAGCATTGTCGTCCTCGTCAGATTCTTCTTCTTCTCGTTCCACAGGTTGTCTGCGTGTAAATGTCAGACACGATAGGTATCATCGTTTCAAAACTCGGCGTACTTGATAGAAGAGCGCGGCTTAGCAGATCGTCCGACAGACGAAGGAGGTTTCCTATTCGTCGACGGCGAGGCTTCATCGTTCGTAACACGGTTCAAAGATCCAACAGGGGATTGCCGAGCGTGAGAGGAACTAGGTGGCTTGAAAGTATCGTCGCGGCTCTGCTTCGGGGAAGGCACTCTGCGGATAGATTAGACCCTGTTTAGTTCAACACGGCGAAACAAACTTGAACTCGGATTTCTTCGTCGCAATGCTGCTTGGTGGCTATAAAGGATGAGAACAAACCGTTACTAGGCAGCCATCGCATCGCACCTTCATCGAGGACACCGGCTTCTTCCCTTTATTTACACGGGAACTAGCGTTCGATTGCGTTTCCAGAGGCATCTCGTTGTCAGATTCAGAGAAAAGTCTAGCATTTTGCGTCAATCCAATGCAATGCGCGATAACGTTAATCATACTCGGAGTGTCCTTGTCCGCCTCGCTTCTTCTGGACCGCCATGAGATTCGAAAGTTAAAGAAAATCGAAGGATAAACACCTTTTGCCTGTCGAGATACGTATACTTGATGATTCTTCTGGTAAAAGTGTCAAAAAAGGTGCGAATGATGAATGCAAGGGGGGTCCTACTTGCTCGGAGATGGGCTTTCCATGTGTACGCGATGATTGTGGGAGTATCCTTTGTTGATCCCTGTTTCCCATTATCTCTTAAAAAATGGAGCTTCCCGGTCCGATCTTCCGAATAACCCTATGACGGCTCTCCCACCATTGTCTGCTGCATACATCCTCTCATTCCAGTTTTCTTCTTGGTATCCTCGATTTTCTTCGAAAACCATCAAATCTACGATCATAAGGCGACTCCCTCCAGACTTTGTAGAATATCTTGACTCGGACGGTGTCATAGTTCCAGAGGGGTCAGAAAATCTGTCCGTGGATATGTATTCTAAGCCATGCGTCTCGTTTTAAACTTTATTTTCATAGTGAAAGTACCACTGTCGTAGAAGATGAATCGGACGACGAGGCCGGAGAACCAGAAAAACGGTACTCATTTCCCGACTTGGACGCAGAGATCAGACAATGCATCGCAGAATACGGCGCTGTATTCCCAAAGCTGAACTTTTCGTCTCCCAAGGTGCATTTATCATTATTATATACTCAACTACCATTAATCTCGTCAGGACGCATCTTGGATACTTCCAGCAGGGTCGCCCTTGAAATGCACGTCACCATCAGATATTTATCTTCTGCTTAAATCCTCAGACTCTACGAACCATGATCTAAGCAAAGATCACGTCTTTGAGGGCTGCGAGAGACATCCAGAGTCTTACGGCCTAGAACTTGTCCTCAGAAAATGGTATTCCATCGACCGAAGTCGGGAATGCAGATGTTTTGTTCGCAAAAACAGTCTTATAGGTTCATTTCGCGTTGATTTTCGGCTTCCAACGTGATTAATGCAGGTCGCTAGGCATCTCGCAGCGTGACTTAAACTATTACGACTTCTGGAATGACTCAACGACCCAGAAAAAGATCACAAAGGTCATCAAGGAATTCTGGGAGACAGAAGTCCAGCCGAAATGGGATCTTTGTGAGGACTGTACGTCTTGCTGCAGCTCTTGCTTATAAAGACTAAAGTTACATTCCAGACGTCTTCGATTTCCTTCTCACCCGAGACCTTTCGCGCGGACATATAATTGACTTCAGCCCCTACGCAGTACGTACAGACCCCCTTCTTTTCTCTTACGAAGAATTATGGGATGTGTATACATCTGGGGGGCACCCGGTATTGCGTGTTATCGACTCACGCGCACATCCGGCCGCGAATACGAATGCACCCATCCATCAACACAACATGATACCGTTTGAGGCATTCAGCCTGAGCAGCGGAAGGGACATCGACGAATTCTCCCAAGTATGGCAGGAGGAGCTCAACAAAAGTATGCAAGACCAGGAATAGTTCTCATGACATCTTACTGTCCAATATATAATGAACCATAACATAGACAATTCATTGACATACATCATGAGTATCACATAATGGCCGAAGGGCACCACCTCACCCATTGCCTCACGAGAGCACCACCACTTAGAAAGTGGAAGGACGGGAAGCAACGAAGGTCGAGCGAACCTTGGAGACACGGTGAGGAAGAGGGAATTTCAACCCAGGCGTCAACAATTGCCTGATGTAAGGGCGGCGGACGTCCTCAGTCTTCTCAATCTCGACGACACGGAGGATCTACATCCTATATCAGAAACCAGGAAACGACTTGCAATAAGCAGTTGACATACGTGGATCGAGCGGAAACGAGCACGGTGCCTAGCGGCCATGTCCTGGTACATGCTCTTGACAGCATCAGCACGGCTGAGGTCGCGGTACTCCTTGTACATGTTGTGGGTACCAGAGCGCGAATCGTATCGGAGCCAGATGCCAAAGTTCTTGACCTTCAAAGGCTTCTTTTCATGGATCTAGAAAGGAAAAAAAAGGCCATAAAAGACCATCAGCAATCCCATTCCGCCTGCCTCTTGAGGGCTGCAAGGGATGACTACACACAACGTTGACGCCGATGATTTCACCATTGGCTTTTTTGACCTTCTTCAATTGTCTAGAGGGGAGGGGTTACTTCATCTGAGTCTGTGAATGGGGGAAAACCAGCTCACCTGAGGAAGTACCAGAAGCGCGACTTGGCGACAACCTCATTGGGAGCGAAGATGCGCATACGATAAATTTTGGGGGTAGGCTCAGCCTCCGTTGGGAGGTGGCGACCGACGACTTGATACTCTTGGAGGCCCATTCTGTGAGACGAACGTTAGTGCCAACGAAGGTACATCCAGAGTTCCTGGATGCAATCCAGCCTTTCCACTGGGAATCTAGCGCTCGTTCTCACAGGGATAGTCTGTCATACATCCAAAAAGCATGGACAACAGATATGGAGACGTACTGGAAGGATGTCGGTGTCTTGAAGCTGGATGCACAGAAAATTTGTTGACGGGCGACGGGTCCACAGATATTTGTCTTTGTTGTGCAGGAGTCACTGCATCGCTCCTGCCTCTTTTGGTATTGAACGCATTCAGCTCCTGTCGATTTGAGTTCTTTCGCACCCGACTGCATTACGTTTCTTCGTTCCGATTGCCGGTCTAGTTATTGATCAAATTTTAATGTACATGAGCTGAAGAGACTGGACTTTACTCTGCGTTACGTGCATTCGACTTTGTCCTTCGGATTTTCTGTTTGACTATTCGTTGACTATTTACTGCGCGTCTATTGTATATAACAACAGAACACCAGCGACCATCTCATCACCGGTGATTGAGTAGGGTATCCAACTAACCCTTATTGCGCCCGTCGACGTAAATTCTCATGTCCGAAATTATCGAACCGAATACATTGCGTCCACTGGCAAGTACATACAAATCGTCACCGAAATTATTCATTAGTAACTAGGAGTTCTGTAAAGCAAACCATACCTGAACTTGTCGCAGGAAATTTAATACAATCTATGTATAATCACGACGACGAAAAAATGAGCGACTGGAAGTATACAAGAGAACATGAAGCAAAAATCATGATCACGATGAGGTCCTAACTAGATAAAACAGATAACAATCTGGACCTGCGGCTGGGGGCAGTAGTACTTTGCACAGATATATCGGAAGCGCAGACTGGGGCTGTAGTAGGGCGACCCGAGGCCGTCGATCGAGCAGGAGCTGGTGCTGTGTGATGAACTGGCCCCCTAGAACGACCAGGAGTAGTAGGGCCGGCCGTAACGGCAGCAGGAGGGCGAGTAGGGCCGGCAACGGTAGAAGGGGTTAGGCCAACAGAAGCGGATTAGGCGGGAGCAGTAGAAGAGTCGCATACAACGGGGACAGTTGGTATCTCGGGGTGACCAGTGATACGAAGCATGAGGTGGTCTCCTGGATGCTTCGTACCGTCTTCCATACAATCTGAGCACAAATCAAAACCAGCACCATCAGGATGACACCGAATGCTGGGTACATCAGACAAATGAAGATGAAAAGGAAATGAATGAACGCACTCTTGACATCGATACCTGGGTCCTCGAATAGGTGACATGCCACATCCGTCGCAGAATTGTTCTGGAGATAGCTGTAAGTTGGGATTAGGGGGGAGTAACGTAGCTTAATGGACGAACGGTGGTGGTAGGTGTTCAGTGCAGGCGAAGCAATGCAAATGAACCTGTGCCACACGGGGTGGTGGGAAGGCTGGCTTATCCTGCAGCCTTCACAAAAGTCAAAGTCCTTGCAGCTGCAGACAAAGTCAGGCGCGCGTTTGGCAACACATATTTAAGCTACTCACGACTTGCAGACGTACCGCTTGCCACGAATCGGCTTCTGGCTGCACCCATCACAGCGGTAGCCCTCATGTATTGGTACCTGCGAGTTGGACCCAATCCTCAGGAACGAATGCCAACTAGGATGGTCCCGCGGAGGCACGTCACAGCAGTCCGGACAGAGATCATAGTTCGGGCAGCTGAACACGGTTTAGATTTTGGTGTAGTTGAACGAGACATACGTACTTCTGGCATTTGTACCGAATGCCCACCTTGATTGGCTGGTGGCATCCATCACAGCTGACTCCATCAGCATGGAGCGACGCGCCGGCTGAGGTCGAGGCATGGTGAGTGCGGCGTTCTGAGTAGGCAGGAGGTGCATCAACAGAGAGGGAAGACATAATGGCGCGTAAATACACCAATCGGGGTATGGGGAAGGGAGAGAAGATAAGAGTTGACGTTTGCAGGTGGCTCCAGTGGAGTTCAACCCGCAAATATTTGCACGGCACTGCTTTCGACGGGTGTTGCCGATCACTCTCACGCCTACATTTAAATTGGATTCTGGAAAATTCGCAACCACAATGATCGACATGCATCCGTTCCGATCTCATAGGAGGCTGTTGCTATGGGATCTATCTCCGCAAGTTTTAATGCTTGCACCAACACTATTGTGAGGAGTCTCAATGGGCAGCAACTCGTCGCGATCTACGGAGTTAGATACATACGAATCCCGAAGGAATCATGCCCTCATTTGTGTATTCCAAGATTAGGCTTACTTTCTCAAATTACAGACGTGTATTTTTTTACCATGTGGCTTGACTCATTGAGTGGCATGTTCTAGCCAAGCAGAAGGCCTCGTGCCCATAAATCTCAATTTGCCATGATTCTGGAGAGCACTGGTGGGTCGGAACTGGAAAACTGGCATCATGCGCCATATCCTCGGATTCGGGTAGAACCCGGGTACGTAGACTATGTGTCCGTTGCAGCCGTGTGAGCATCAGAACTTGAAAGAAGGTTCCTAGTCATTCTAATGTTAATGTTGAAAAGCGATAGTCCCAAAGCCCTAATTCGGCGAGCCATAGAACTGGAATAGACTGTAGAACATATAATCGAGGATACACATACAGATACTGGCATCTTCCAGCTGCTACCATGGCAGTAAAGCATGAGTTGAGGACACCACTCGCGCTAGGGGCAACAGGTTCTTAGCTGAAGGGATCTTGAAGAACTAAACGCAGTAAACAAGGCTCAGAAACAACGCCAGAAAAATGTGTGATTGGGGGAAATAAAGTACCTTGAGATAGAAACTGGCTGACTCTTGTAATTCTGCCAAATTTTCGTGAATTATTCAAGTCCAGTAGATACTGACTGGAATAAAAGCCTGTCTGGATATCATTGAGCTTTCGAAACAATTTGCTTGATAAATCGGAGTCACTAAATCACGTAGTCATCAAGGAACATATGTAACTTCTTTACAGTACGATGATGACTTACTTATAACTTCAGCAGTTACGGGATTCGTGATATACATTAGCCCAGGCTCGCCTGGAGCTCCTTCATGGGATCGTAGATCAACCCTTGAATGCTGGTGTCAGCCTCGTAAACGCTTTCGACAACGCAATGATTAATGGGGAAAAGTCCGCTAACAGACATCCCTGAAATGCATAGATTCTGCTTACCCAAAAATGATCACGAGCCTCTTGGAGTGTGAACAATCATGACGGCAAAAGGGTGCGCATGTTATTCAAGTTCAATAGGTCAAGGGCATTGCAAGACTCGAATCATCTGGAAGGTCGGTATAGTACGGCAAGGTTGTAACTCGAAAAGGATAGAGGCAGGCCTGATCTGACTGGTCTGCCTGCAACCAGCCGCAGGGATGCAACAAGGCAGGCACGGAATACTAAACCCAGGGTCCACCGCGGTCTGTACTAGGTCATGGAGGTTCGTGATCTCGAGTGGTATTCACAACCGCGATCACGTGTTGAGAACTTCATCTTATTCGCCTGCGAAGTGCTTTCAAATAGCTGTGTGGACGAAAACATTTGTGCACCTCACCTGCACCGTACGGCAGTGGCTAAGACTGATAGTGCGCCTATAATGCTGTAAATTTTGGCGCAGCGATTACCAATAGCCTCATTGAACCGATCTTGTTCTTGGCTTCGGACCGGACTCGAGCGTCAAATGATACATCAGGTCTTCAATGATCGCAGAAGAAGAACCGTCGGTCATCCACCACCTTGTCCATCGTACTTTTATCGATATCTTTCACGGCACCCTCGGGTAGAGACAGTATAGTATCGCTCAGGGAAATTTGTATAAGACGGCTCAAGCTCCCGGGACTCAACTTGGAATGCAGGCGGGGTTCGAACTCACTTGTAATAATAGAGCCAGAAAGCGACGATTCTTGTGGAGAGGACTGAATTAGGAAGAGGGACAGAAACGCTGCGGATGTCGTTTGTCGGAGTATGAAGCACGGAGTTGCTAGGATCCTTCAAGCCGAGCGTTGGGGAACCAGCAGGAGTGCGTGAGAGGACGTCGATAAAGCTCAGTAAGGTACGATGGGATCTGACATTGAGATGGGTAGTAATCCACTACATAGTTGGAAATACCGTGGGGATCCCAGGGAACCCATTGAAAGGAGATTTCTGCTGAATTAAGCCGGCTGTCTTGTCGATGATGATGAGCCGAGCAACACTGCTCCCTACTGGCAGTTGAAGCAGAATCAAAGAGCTAGGGAAGGCATAATTTGAGCCGTGACGACGTAGACTGGTGTTTGTGCTCAGGACGTTGTGCTTAAGGCCTCGAAGACGACATAGCTCGCAGTGGTGTAGGACTGGATGCGCAAATTCACCATTAGTGATCAAGGAAGCCGTGTATATGAACGATAGTACAGACCATGATACTTTGTCCCGGATTTTCTAGTGAAGGAAAGATAGCTTTACTGGGATTTTAGACCTGTTTTCAAGCGCATCAGACAGTCTGACGGGAGTGTCGTCTCAAAATTTAACGGGAGAGGTTAAAGTGAAGAAGGGGGAAATAGTACATAGAAGACCAAGTATACTGTGGTTTGAACCATCGTTGAACTGAGTGGAAGAGACTTTGCGCCCCCGCATAATGTATCGGGAAGTAGTTGACACAATGACGATGGCCCCTAGTTTGTTCAAGGGTTACAATTATAGCCCAGCTCCAACAGAGACGAAGGTGGTCCCGCGATGCTGAATGGTAGAGAAATAAGACTGAAGTTAAAGAAGACGATCAGACTGGGGGGATACAGAGCCCATCACTAGTTTGGATTTTCTTTGGCTTTTGACGACCGTGAAAGCGAACAGACAAGTGGGATGACGGCGATCTCAACTTCATATCAAGCTGGGAGGGAGTGTTCCCCCCTTCGAGGCGACATAACGTCAATACCGCATGGATCGCGACAAAATCTTGACATAGAAGTGTTGTGAAGCAAGTTGAAGTGGTAAGCAGTTACGCCCCGAGTGCTGTAGCGTAACGTCATAGCCCTGATCCATTAGGCTTTTCTGTGCCTGACCGCAGTGCAGCCAAGTTCCCGTTCAAGTCTATAGCATCTACTAGTTGAACTAATCGACCATGAATATCTGTATGTATAATAAAATCTCGGAACACGAGTGCCGATGGAATAAGTTGTATGCACAATGAAAAGGATTTCTTGTAATGTATGTACTTCGGGAGGGAGGGATTATATGCGGTGGAATACACTAAGGGAAAGCTGGGACGGAAAGTGATGAGATGCAAAATGCGGGAGAGCAACATGACAGCGAATTTACAACGAGTAAGAGGCAGAGATAAATTATTGGAGTTAATCTTCATCGTCGCCAAGAGGCGCAGCAGCCACGAAGCATGGGAGTTTCAATTGGGACCAGCTCCAGGATTGATAGTTGAGTTTGTAGTCTTTTGCAATACCATGAGATCGAAGGAGATATTCCTCGATGGTGGCGTCACAGGTGGCCAGGGGCTCGAGATGGGGTTCGGGTCGCACGGACGGAGAAGGAGGAGAGTCCGCGTCCAGGTCTTTAACGCGTTCGCTATCTTCGTCAGAAGTGAGGGAAGGTGTTGGTGAAGGAGTGGGAGACTAGAGAGATAATATTAACAAGTGGGGCGCGAAGTTAGCCACAGAAAAATGCGACCTTCTTTCCCGTAGGCAATTTCTTCCCACCAAGGCCGGGAATGCTCTGCTTGCGAGCTTTCAGGCACCGCCCGCGGTGAGTACGCCAGTGGTGCCCGTCGTATGTGCTCTTTTCAGAGAGCTTGATACGAGAGCCACAGAGCTTGCAGGTGACATAGTACGGTTCTACGATGTAGGCAAGAGGGTCATTCTTGAGTCTTTGTTCTCGAGCCAACTCTGCTGCAGTCCTGGCACTAGACGCCGATCATTGATACCTTTAGTATTACGACTCCGATGAGCAACGGCGAGCATGAACTGACGTGTAATTCGGCAGATTATTGGCATTAATGGCAGGGGGGATGCGAATCCGACTACGAAGAAGGTCAAGTCTGCGGCAGGAATAGAAATGAATTTATACTTACAGAGAAGGTATGGTGGCCATTTCAATGTCTAAGGGAGAGTGCCGAGTAGCTGAACTGGCAAGAGAAGGGTGGGGAACGAGTGGGAGGCACTTCTGATTGGGGAGACGCGAAACGCGTGAAAAAAGGGCTGCGAAAATATTGTTATTACTGTGGGGAACAAGAAACGAGGCGTAAAGTCGCGAAGGGAACGTGTTTGTTGTTGGGCGTGAAGCGGGAAACCTGGAGGCAGACTCCGCAGATGGAGGCAAACCCATTTTATGTCGGCATCTTCCGGGCCAGTCCCGAGCTCCGAGTCCAGGCGTATTATTAGTAAATTCACAACCTCACCGTCGGCAGCGCCAGACAGGCCATTGGTCACACACAGATGTAGAGAAATCACCGCCAGCCGTCGGCACCAATCATGTACACCTTTGGTGACTTCCGTCGAGATTGTCGAAATCTACACTACTCGTTATATACATACGCTAATTATTATCAGTACAACAAAATTCAATCAAGTACCATTCGTATCCATCAGCTCATCCACCTCCGGCTGCCTATTTACTTTTCCGAGATAATTGGTTAGGATCTCCCTACTAAGTCGATCTGCATCCCTAATCATCTGCATCCTATCGATCTTATATTTCGTTGGATCCACCGAGTTGACATATCCAGCGTTTAGACCTTCCAGCGACCACAAATGCTTGTTCCTGCCAGTGGTGTCGTCTTTTGTCTCCCGACTCGTGCTGTTCTCACTCGCTATCGCTTCACGAACAATATCTTGCAAAAGGTGATGCGAAAGGATCCCGGGATAATACCTCCCGCTGATCATGGTGAGCGATATCGTCATTTCGTATCCATCCTTGAGGATGGGTCGAAAGTAGTACCCTTCCGGAGCTTCCGGCAAAAGGTACGGTGAGACAGGGCCGGGCTGCAAATTTGACAGTGGCATTTGGGTGCTCCCAGGTGACATGGGTCCCGAAGAAATACTTTCACTAGTCGCGGGAGCATTTTCTGTCACCCTGTTAGGATCCTCCCAGTCCTTATCAGCAAGCTCATATAGCACACCACTTGCACGGCATTCTTTCGTCTTTTGCCCCCCAGAAATTCCTTCGACCAAAAACAATCTCTCCAGCTTCATAAACAACCCCCTTGCCCCCGCTCCGTACTCCTTGGGCGATCGGCCCTGCCTGTGACATCGCTCCATTTGTGCTTTCCCGGGACCAGCGGGAGGGAGGATGTGCTGGGTACCTTCTGGTGCCAAGACAGCCCGGAGCGGCTTCAGTCGTACAATCTCGTCCACCCAGATACGCTCAGCGCCCCACCACATGCCTTGGAAATTCATCTGTTCGATGGTCTGTCCTATCACTGGAGACGGACCGAGCATCCCTTCGGTCACAGATTGTAGTTCCTGGGTTGAGAGCCCGTCACGGTAACCGGACGAGTTGAGGGTGGAGTAGAAACCTGAGGATGGCGGTGGAGCAGATATTGACGAAGACCCCGCCTGGTGCAATGCTGCAGCATTCTGACTACTTGCAGCCATAATTGCATCAGTGAGGGAGGATTGAAATTGCTGTGGTTGTTTGGCTGGGTCTTGCGGTGTGAACTTGAATTGCCACTCGTCAGTCATATTCCAGAACATGGCCAATGAATCCCCTATCTGGAGTGCGTAGGCGTACGCTGACACGACGAACGGCCAAGAAGGAGGTGGTAAGCTCTGTGGATTGCAGTTTTGTAAGGACTCTTGATCGAAATTGAATGTGTCTGGCGAAAGGGATTGTATAAACGAGATTATATTGCTCGGAGGAAGATAGGCTCGGTATGGGAGAACTTGACTGTCGGGAACAGTATATACGCGCGAGACGGCTAAGAATTTGACCTTGTATGCATACGTCTCTCTCACCTCCCACGGAGGCACGCGCACGGGCTGAACGACGGATTCGGATTGTTCGCTGGGTTCGCCCATTTCCACCGGAGGTAAAGATACCGAGTTCGTCCCGTTCTTCAGCTCCGTAACGATTTTCTGAAGTTTAACCTCCTCGATGATCGCAGGCCAAAGCGTAATGTCGTCTGTACCATCCGGAAATGAGATCGGATTGTCCAGCGCTACCCAGACAACTTCCCCTTCCCTGTACCATCGTTTCAGTCGCATCTTATGGGCGTCATGACAATATATGGCCCGGAGATCTTGATCTCGCTCTACGACCATCGCGATTTTGGTGATGTGGCGAGACTGCTTCAACTTTGCAGTCTTTTGAACTGATGCATGAAACCCGACTTTTCGAAGAGCACTCTGTTTTTGCAGCTGACGTGAACGATGCGGCCCGGGAGCGCGGTGAATAGGAGTGAATATGCCAGCTTTGCTTATGTCGGTAGTGATTTCACGCTGCGGTTTCTTGGTGCAGTATTTGCACCCGCAGTTGGTCGACATGTTGCCCGCAAGCCAAATGGCATGAGGAACAAATTCAGCAATGGAGCGAAAACGGCTTGGGCCGCCTGCACGTCCCATGAACATCGAGCGTCGACGAGAACGACTAGAACGTACCAAAGAGGTATATATCATGTCTTGGTGAGCCTCGAGGTCCTTTGTGGTGATCATACATGCGATAACCTGCCGGCCAGTCGAGCAAAACGTAGGAAGGACCCGCTATATTGTGATTAATGATGCGTGTCTCGCTGACATGTTAGAAAGATTACCAGGCCAATTCATCGCATTCGCCATAGATGCACCCAAAGAAACCCGCCACCGGATTGCAATTGAGTTGTCCAGTTCAATTGGCTGCATGAAATTGACATGTCCATCCCGGTCCACGATTTCTGTTGTATTGAGCGGCCAAAGTTCCTCCTTTCCGTCTGAGTAGTCGATAGTTCTGTAAGTGGGGTTCGCTGGAAGCGTGTGTTTGTCAGAGTACTGACGACGAGCCGACATGGAGAGACAGGTGAAAGCGAGATTAGGAAAACTCAGCTGTTTCTGTGGTAATAGTCCGGCAAACAGCGTGCACCGCATTCGAAAAGATCTCCATCAGAGTTCATCAGACTCGATCTTATTATCTAACACCGACACCAACTCTCTTCAGAAGAATGGAGACCCTCAGTGCGTTGCTCAATACATGCTTAGAAGTCCTTGCACTCATTAGCCAACTGTTACGGTGGCTCCTTACTTGTTAGTACGGTCTGCATTACGTCGTCCGTGGTTTCTCCAGCAGTTTTCTTTCTCGCCCTTCCAGTTCTTATAGGGAGCATACATGCCTTGTGAACTGAGCACCCTTGTAGAAGTTTTGTCACCTATGCTTTATTTGTGAGCTTCTCACGAACTCGAAGCAACCCTCGTAGACACGCCGTCAACCAATCCAGTATTAGAACTTTGCTTAAGAGGCTTCAGGAAGTGAAAAAGACCTGGCAGCGGTACTACCGCTGCTAGGGTACTCCATTTCCTACCAATTTAATGTAACATAGCCTCGGCGATTTAGATGGTACGTAGGAAGATGGGGTTGGAACTGTGCCGCTAATGGATAAAAAGGCCAGAAAAGTTATTGCATTTTTTCTTACTGGATCTATCCTGAATTTATGCGAGATGATGCAAAGAAAGAAAATCGAACACTGGCGGATTGCGGAAAATATTCGGGAAATGGACTTCAAATTTCCAGCATTTGTGTAGCAAAGACCCTAGATCCAAACAGCCAATATAGCAACCAAGTGATGCATCTTTCGTTCCGCACCCAGGACTGTGTGCATCGTGTGCACAGCTTGGTTTTCCGCTATTCTCGAGCAGTCTGAAAGGTAGTGTACGTTAGAGGCCGATTCACGCATTCTCTGTTAGCACCTTCCCTCTAACTCGGCACCTTTACTCCGCCATTGCTTCTTGGATAATATGTACCATCCGGCGCCTGGACCATCCAGCCCAATAAACCCAGGCATGCACCACCACCAGCGTCTCAGTCCCATTCCCGTATCAGAGAACAATGCTGCCAGGCAGCGTCCAGATGACTACGTCTATTTCGAGCGCTCGACGTCCGGCTTCTCTTCAGATGCCGTTGCTCGCTCGACCGCGGCGAAGCTCAAGCTGGTGTCATACTACAAGATGGCGGTGGACTCTGCTATTGAAAGGAATGCACGGTGTGTGTCCGAGCGGACCTGTTGCGCGAGTTCGTCTGATCTTTGATTCCTTTCAGACGGATAGAACTCGAAACAAGGTTAACCCAGACCCTAACTCCCGACGCCAAAGAGCGTGAAATACGGAAATATTCAAAGATGGAATCCCAGCACCTCCGGCTCAGGCGGACCAAGATTAAGCTGGCCGATTTCCGGACAGTCAAAGTCATAGGGAAGGGCGCATTCGGAGAGGTACCATCTGTTAGACGTCGGTCTATCTACGTCAATCTAACGCGTCTCACGTCAAGGTTCGGCTAGTCCAGAAGGTAGACACCGGAAAGGTATACGCGATGAAGAGTCTGCAGAAGGCTGAGATGTTGAAGCGGGATCAGGTATGTCCACATTGTTTTGTTGCTCGCATGTCACTGATTATTTCTAGCTGGCCCACGTACGAGCAGAACGAGACGTCCTCGCCGAGTCCACGTCCCCATGGGTCGTACAGCTGTTCTACTCCTTCCAAGATCCCCTGTATCTCTACCTCATCATGGAATTTCTTCCTGGAGGAGATTTGATGACCATGTTGATGAAATATGACGTTTTTTCTGAAGATGTAACGCGGTTTTACATGGCAGAGTGTATACTCGCTATTGAAGCCGTACATAATCTGGGATATATCCATCGGTATGGTCTACATTGTCCTTGCATGCTTCAGTACTGATCCTTGTCCCAGTGACATTAAACCAGATAACGTTCTCATCGACAAGAACGGACATTTAAAACTATCAGATTTCGGTTTAAGTACAGGGCTTCATAAGGTGTCGGACGGGGAGTTCTACAAGCGATTCTTAGAACAAGAGAAGACTCGTGATCCTGCTCGGAACAGTGTGCAAGTCAATCCCATCAATTTAACAATGAGTCGCGAGCAAATTGCCACATGGAAAGCCAACCGACGGAAACTTGTAAGTTCTCAAGGTTGTCTGCTTTTGACTTTTTCATGATTGTTTTAAGGCATACTCGACTGTCGGTACCCCAGATTATGTGAGTGTGATGACTCATAACGATCCGTGCTCTGCTAATAACAAGCAACACTCCAGATCGCGCCAGAAGTCTTCTTGATGAAAGGATATGGAAAGGAATGCGATTGGTGGTCGTTAGGTGCCATTTTCTTCGAATGTTTGGTTGGATATGCTCCGTTCTGCTCCGAAAATCCTGGCGATACATATAAGAAAATCATCGACTGGCCGAATTACCTTTTCTTCCCTGATGAGGTCTACATCTCAAGAGAGGGCGAAGATCTTATTCGCAGGTGTGTAGATTCTCTTCCCGCTCAGCACTAATTCTAATCGTACATGCAGGATGATGACATGGGCGCAAAATCGATTGACAGTAACGCAAATCAAGACACATCCCTTCTTCTGCGGTGCGGACTGGACTTCTCTCCGAAATATCGAGCCGCCCTTTGTACCTCATCTCAAATCTATCACGGATACATCCTATTTCCCGACGGATGATTTTGGCAATCTTCCAGACCAACTGGACCAAGTAGAGTCTGTTGGCGCCGAAAAGGACCTGGCGTTCTTAGGGTATGTTTCGTTTTTACCCTCTTACCCAAGGGTTGACACATTGGCGTAGATTCACGTTCAAACGTTTCACTGGCGGCCCACAATCGTCAGGTTAATGATTACTTCTCGGGACCGGACCACTATCTTTGCTTTGCATTGCTGTCTTGTCTTTGTTAGTTTACTACAACCAACCACGCACGCCGAACGGTATATGTATGCACAGCACAGTTCACATGTCTCTTGTAATAACGCAACCCAGGAATGACATATTTTCAAACACAGATGATAGTACTCTTCAAATTTTCCGTGAGTCTGATGTTCTTGCCATATCTCTGTTAGTCCGGCATATAATACGAGCATTTTTACTTTGTCGGTTTGGATTCTGTGAGTTCGGAAGACAGTACAGCAAACTCAATGGCATGCCAGTATTTCCTTTCTCAGGCCCAGGATCCTTTCCCAGTAGACACAGCCATCATAATGCAGTTTTTGTTTGTACCAAACAAGCCATTGCATTCCTTTTCCCATCACCTGCTCTGTTGTATCGAATGAGTACAGAAGATCCCGAGGACATACTCTCTGGTTCTTTGCAGATACTGTACGATTACAAACCTGTAACGCTGACTTCTGCAGGCTCGGTCTTTTCTTACACCTCCGATAACATTCCAGGAAACCCGATTACCCTCCGCACGCCCGACACTCATCCATCCAACTGGTCACTGCATGCATCATCCATCTGGGCATCATCTCTGTTCCTTGTTGACCACCTGCAGCTCCTAGATCTCCCCGAATCTCCGGTGGAATCATTTCGCGTACTGGAGCTCGGGGCAGGGGCAGGGCTCCCAGGAATATCGATGGCCCGTAAACATCCCTCAATACAAGTGACAGTAAGCGACTATCCTGATGAGGAACTTATCCGGACATTAGAGGGAAATATCGCCAGGAACGACGTGCAAGGCAATTGTCGTGCTGTGGCCTATGCATGGGGATCAGATCCGTCGGCGCTCATTGGTGAAGATGGCTTTGATGTGGTAGTTGCCGCGGATACGCTCTGGAATCCGGATTTGCATGTGCTCTTCATCAGAGCGCTGCAGTCGGTGTTGAAGAGATCTCCAACAGCGCTTGTTCATCTCGTTGCGGGCCTGCATACAGGGAGATACACACTTCAGTCGTTTATCATGGCCGCCGAGAAGGCAGGGTTTGCTGTCCTACAGGCAACAGAGACGGAGACAGGTGGTTCTGATACGCGGCCATGGTGTATCTCGAGAGCTGAAGGAGAGGATGAGAAAGAGAGAAGGCGATGGGTAGTCTGGATTATCTTGAAATGGGCATCACCAACCAAGTAAAAATGCATTTACATAAAAAGTGCAATAGGTAAGTACAATTTTTATGCTTATGTCGATTATTCAATAATATCATATTTTTCAAACAGCCCTGCGAATCGGTGGTGCACCAAAGGTCATAACCTTTGCGATCATCGTATCTGTGTGCCCATCATCCTGTGAACGGTGTTAGCAAAGATCAGATCCGAGAACGGTGGACCTCACGAGGAAAAAGATTAGATTGTCTTCCGTGACGCTGAACTGCTGAAGGATCAGCCCTTCAAACGCGATGGAACGTGATGTCTCTGCCGGTGTGAATGAAGCCCGGGAGCCGATCCATGTCCAAGATTGGGTAGACTTGCTATACGAGTCGGGAAAGGGTGAAAAGTCAATGGCATGAAGACGACTCCTTCCACCATTGACTCTATCCACCTCGATAAAGAACGCCCTAGATCCAGCAATCAAGGGTCCGCGGATATAAGGCCCATACTTTCGCAAATCCTTCACCATGCAGAAGGTGCTCCAATACGACCAGGGTAGGAACCCCTTCCTCGATGGATATTTGACGAACGACTCTCGGACGAAGAGCCACTCGCACGCGGTATGCTCGGGGCGGATCTTTGCGGTGATGGAAAGCATGCGAACCTCAGGGGCAGCGTAGAAGAGGGCATTGGAAGACGGTTCGTTGTCAGTCCTCGGAGAGGCGTTGGTCGAAAACGCGAAATACGAATAACCTTTCCATGCATCGGGGAGTTCATATTGATTCACGATGGACATCTTCCCAACGTCGTAAATTCTGTACGAGTTCAGGCTGTAAGAACCCGCCTTTCGATCCTGGCAGATACCGAGGAGGTGATTTTCATCTACGAAATAGATATCAAGATCTTCTAGCCACTGTTAGGGTGATTAGCCTGTTTAATGACGCTCATGGGTCTAGATTACGTACCCTTGCTTCCAGAGTACGCCAATTCATCAGTAGGCGAAGGGTCTTCCCCCCGTGGAAATCCAAACCAACGGTGACTTTCGAACCGCAAATCAAGGTGCTAACGCCGATGACTCGCGTAGCGATTGTGGTCGAGACATCGAAAGATGGAGTAATCGCGTGACGGTGCTTCTTGTTGGTTCCGATATCCTTGAAGGATAATGAAACGCAAATTTTTCCATTGTGACTATAGAAGCACAGTTATAGAAAAATGATGTTTAGACGAAGATGCCGAAACCTACGTGAAAACGTGGCTTGTAACGAGAAGACCCTGAGACCCATCGACTGCCAAGCCCTCCATTTGTGGTAAAGTGTACTTGAGATGACGCGTTTGGGACGGAGGCCGATTCGTCCTGCAGGAGGGAAGCTCTGATAGGTCCAAGGTATTGAAAACACCGTGATTATGTATTTGAAAGATAAATTTGTCGGAGACGCCTGCGATGGCCGGCATGGGGATTTCTAACTGAGATTCGTGGGTCCATTGGAGCCTTGGCCAGTCTTTCTTGTAACTCAAAAGGAGCTGAGCGCGAACGATGGGAGGTGCACGAGCATAAGACACCGCGCCGTCTTTCATTCCCAGGACTGCCAACTCGAACCGGTACCGAAGAACTTGAAATTCCATGACGATGTTGTAGATGCGACGGAACGCCTGTCAAAGGTATAAGCGGATACAGAGGCTCGAGGCGGGGGCCACGCCACCTTGCAGGCACGCCAAAGGGACGGCGGGTCAAGATGCTCCAATATGCCGATGAGGACATCATCAGAGATTTTGTAGAAGCGCACAGTAGTGAGACGATGAGGATGCATTTCTCGCAGAGAAAATACCAGTACTGAAGCTCCCCAGAGAGATACATATCGATTTTATACTCATCCTCGTTGTCATCGTTAGAGACCAGATAAAAAGATAGAAAAAGAAAAGAAAAACGGTTGCCCATTGCCCGGCATTGTCTTCGTGGTATGAAACAGTGAAAGTCGGCGCATTCGACTCCTGAGATTTGTTGGTCGGTAGGTTGGTCATCGTAGGTAATAAAGAGCTTTTTGTGAGTTCGCTGACCCAAACGATCCAGGATTAGAGCAGGGTGCCATGTCAACAACAACGCGTGCCGCAAGACGACGAAAGGTAAAGGTTGCGTGGGGGTAGGTCCAGTTTTCGGGAGCTCGCGAGACAATAAGATCCCTTAGTTGGGGCGCGACCTTCCTAAAATGCGAACGCGGAAGTCGGGTATGCGTTTGATGCGATATAATCTTTTCTTCGAGCGCTAAAAAGAAGATAATAGCCAGGCATGAGCTCCTTAAAGATTAATGAAGAACCGTTGTGTTCCTTTTCATATTGTCTATGAAACGGTGGAAGGAAGGCTTGGGAGTCAACTTGCAAACCTTGAGGACCGGCCCGGTTTCCGAGTGCAATGTCTATGTGGCTGTGCATGCGTGACACTAACGTGACTGGCTGGCTCACTAAGCTGACTAAGCTTGTACCGCTCGGCTCAACTCCTTCCCCGTCCTCCCCGTCCTCCCCGCCACGATGGTATGCAAAAAATGTGAAAAGGTACGGTCTTGTCGCGCCGCATTTCCTTTGTCAAATATCTTATTGTTCTTTGCAGAAACTTTCCAAGGTTGCAGCGCCTGATCCATTCACTTCAAGCTCTAGCAGCATCAAGGATGGCTCACGCAAAGTTGGAGAGAACAAGCTTCTTACAAGGCCAGGCAGCTCCAAGAATCGTTTTCAGGTGAAGTCTAGAATTTTCGGTTGGTATGTGTTCTAACAATACACAGCCGTATCAAGGGAAATGTAAAGATTGCAAGTCGACAGTCACCCAGAATAAAGCAAAGTACTGTCATGGTACGTTACCATTCCAGTTGCCTTTCGAATTTGTCTCCCGACATCCACTATTCGCATTTAGGGTGCGCGTACAAGAAGGGTCTCTGCTCAATCTGCGGCAAGCAGATCCTGGACACTACAGGCTATGTCATGTCGAGCAAGTAAGCCGGCAGAATTCTAGATGGATCGGAGTTTTGTTATCAATGTGTTGCTGTGCAGTATTATATCGTATCTTGTGTGTATTTCTTACTCTTTTAACGTAATGACATTTTCTCTCTAGCGGGCATATTTACAAATGCGTTACCTTGTCCATCGCTTCAAAGATCTACATGTCCCTAAGATTCAGTATGTTATCTCACGTCTGTTCCTTGGCGTCCCGCGAGGATCACCTTTTAATTGGCGATGACCGGCACCGCTGCTGATTCACCGAAACGTCCTTTTACGGGCCTTGTCTACATCAGGTTTGGGCGCCCAGATCTGTCGCAAGGCGATCCATCTAAAAAACATTTAAAGGCTTTGAAAATTTTCTGTCGACTCAAGCTACCCGTCTTTCATTCTTTCCGCCATGATCTCTACGCTCTTTTACCTCTGGTTTTCACTCCTTTTTCTTTCTTCCTTCGCGGTCGATATCGACATGGAGGGTCTACCTGACACAGGTCTCGATACTACAGACTGGGTGGATGGGGAGCTTCCCCCTCTCGAAGACATGTGGAGTCTGAATGATATGCAAATTGCTGCTAAAAATGTCATCACGAAACGCTATTATGGTGACCTCCTTCATCGCCCATGCGTGCATCATTCGCTAACATTATAGCTGGGTAGCGTCTTACAGGACTGCCGCCCTCGACGAAGTGACATATCAAGCGAACTTGAATATCTGGAAAAACGTCCGCCTCAATGGCTATAGCTTTCGGGACGTTTCAGATGTTGACCTTTCGTACGTCTGGCTTGCATGCTGTGTCGTTAGATCTACTTGCTGAGTGGTACGCAGAACGTCTATTCTAGGCTACAATTTTTCCTCTCCTTTTTTCATTGCCCCGGCTGCCAAGGCAGGACACGCAAATAAATCTGCCGAACTGTCACTGGCAACTGCTGCAGGAAAGGCAGGGATTTTATACGTCGTTAGTGAACTTGTGCCTATCTTTCGGAGTGCCGATAAACTTACTGAATATCATGATATACATAGCCTAGTATCTCCGCCACAAAGTCCCTGGAAGATATCGCAAATGTTGCGTTGGAGAATCAGGTCATGTTCCATCAAGAATATATTTGGTCGAACAGAACCCAATTGGCCGACGAGCTGAAGCGCATAGAAGACGCGGGCTACAAGGCCATCTTTTTAACCGTTGATAACACCGGAATTGACGGCATTAGGTGAGTCATTATGAATCAGGGTAGACAACGAACTGAACTAGAACACAAAAAAATGTAGAACACGCTCGTTGCGATACACCGGCTCAACGTCTGAGTATGTTTTATTGCACCATTTCCGCGGTTGTAGGGATGCTAAAAACTCTATACAGGTCTGGCCATTCAGCGACCTTCGATTTGGCCTCCCTATCTGAAATACGTAGTCTGACATCTCTCCCTGTTGTTCCCAAGGGCATCAAAACAGCTGCCGATGCACTGACTTGTCTTGAATTCGGTTTTCCTGCTATCTACGTATCCAACCACGGTGGACGTACCCTTGATGGTGCGCCCACTGCGGTTGAAGTCCTCCTTGATATCCGTCGGAATGCTCCAGAAGTGTTTGAGCGGATGGAGGTATACGCAGATGGAGGAGTGAGGAGGGGAAACCATGTGATCACGCTTTTGGCACTCGGTGCGAGGGCTGTGGGGTTGGGCCGGAGCCCTATCTTTGCGAACATCTGGGGAGAGGAAGGTGTGTCCAGAATGATTGAGATGCTCCAAACGGAGCTAGAAACGACGATGCAGTTGATGGGGGAAAGCAGTGTCGCTAACATCAACTCGAGCTATGTGGGTCTCGTTACATCACGTTTTCACCCATTCGCCTGACTTTCTCGTTCATAGGTTAACACAAAACTGGTCGAGTCGATTTACTTTGGTAATTAAGGAATAACTAATTTTTACACACTCATTAAATGGACATCTCTTTCCTTTCTCGCCTATCGGTAAAATGGATGGGTCTTCAATTTCGTTGCGAGATACTGCTAGGAGAATAGAAATATGCCGGCGCCTTGCACGACGGATTCTTCATCTACATATAATAAAATCCGGGAACGTCAGGTAACGACTTTCAAATGCAACACATGTGCCCGTGAGATAGCAGTTGCCATCGACACTTCCATCTGTCATTAAAATATTGTCTGTGCATACATGTCGTTCAAGTACAGAATACTGTACCGTGAGCACCAGCTTCGTCAGCCTAGCTTCAAGCCCATTCACCTGTTATCCCACCGTTCAAGTTCTTCAACTTGTTCGGGGTTCTGATGGGGAACATGTACGGCGTGTCAATTACGGCCAAGAAGTACCGGCAGCCCATCTTTATGGATTGGATTACTCCATCATGATAGGCAAAGATCACCCGGATAATTTGAAGCAGCCGCGCGCATCACTTCCAATAGCTTCCAAATTGTAAAGTTACTTGTAAAGTAGTACGATCAGAATCCTCCACTCAGGTCCCAGATTCAGTGAGGTAAGCCGGTGAAAATGTGTTGTAACCCATGCGGACAGATAGACAAATAGATCTGCTTCGGTGGGCAGTAATGCAAGATCCCGCGAGGGATATGGTCATGAGCTGAGATCGGGCCCGAATCACTCGGACTCGTCGCTTGCTAGCTAAGCGCAGATGGTTTTAGCGACACGTCTCTTTTACATCTCCCGCTGCTCTGTGGAACGGCTCGTATGTAGGGGATGTAGTTCCAACAGCAGTGAAGCTCTTTTCCTGCTTGAGAGTTCGAAGAAGACTGGATAGGCGGAAGGAGTGGGTTATTGAGATGTCATTATACATTGAACGCGGTATATGTCAATGGTGCCGTGAGGCGAATGTTCGGTCCCGCACTCAAAAAGCTACCTTGTTCTTTAGTATCTAATATACTCTCTAGATGGCGTTGCGGAAGAGTTCAATAAGCATTATATCATATTCTTGATGACAGAGTCAGTCAGACTCGACACCTTCTTCCCGCCTGAACTGCCAGAACGTCTAAAAGAGTAGGCATCCTGAAGAACATCTGAGATCGACCAGAGCTTCTCCAGAAAGTCCAAAATTGTTGATCCAAATGTCCAAAGTGCCACGGCCGCTTTTTCAATTTTGAGAATTTATATCAGAAAGTTGGTAGGAATCTGGTTCCAATAGCACACCTGCACGATTATGCCAACTTTTAGAATTTTTGGAAGAACAGAGGATGCTGAGGAAGGGCACCGGCGTATAAGTGGTCATCAAGTACGATCGGAGCGCCTTTGCAAAACTCCTGATTATTTATTGGGACTGAGATACACAAGATGAGGAAACAGGATTTTGAATGATACTAATAGGCATCCTAATGTTGAAATGAGCGGTAAATTTCCAGCCGCTCATTCGGATTTTAGCAGGGAACCCTCGCAAACAGGGGAGGGTCATCGTTGTTCGTCTACCTAATGTACATACATGCCGTGTACACTAATAGAAGCAATGTGATGTAATAAGGAAAGCCGAGGAGGAGAATAGATGAACAATGCTTCCTACTGAAGATCCCAACGTCGACTGCACCATGATGCGCGACACTTGATATTCCAACACCTAGATGAAATGTGAGGCAAAGCAGGACAGAATTGCAACCGCTTGAAGTAAAACGGCGTCGAAATTGACACTTCTGGTCGATCAATGGCATAGTATTACGGTCCCTCAGCAGGCACCTAGGCTTCCCAGCACAGGACGGGTCCTTGTTAGTTTTATCACCTACAATTTCTTGGAGAGCAGGGCTATTGTAGACGTGACGCTTTCATCTACTCTTGCTTGCCAATGCGCTTATCCAGGCCTCATATTTCATGCCAATTTTCGGTTACCGAGACCGCAAAAGAATAGTTGGTCTTATTTTAGACCTGTGACTGGCCTTTACAATGAGAAAGAACTCTTGCTATTGCAGAGACCAGTCACAAGTCTATTTTGCCCCAGGTTGACTTGGGCGAAAAATATTGGACCGGGAATACCGGGCCGAAACCAAGAATTTGCTTTTCCTGCTACGTTAGTAGTAGGTCTTATAGAGGGATGGTGGTAAGGTAGGCGACATCCAAAATCCGCTTAGGTCACGTGGTCCTTTGTGACATGACCAAATTGAGCGAACCAGATGCTCGAGGAGGTATAGGACTCGCTACAGGCTCAATGTTCCAGATATGAAAAATAGAAGTTGTTATAAAATATGGTAGGTAGCTGGAAATGAACAGGATTTATGAACGGATTAGTATCCATGAAGGAATTATCAATTTATTGCTAAAGTTGTGCTGTCCTACAATATTATATATATTTCTTCTCTAGTCCACCCAGAATGGTTCCTAATGCCCACATGTAGTCTACATAGTGTTTTGGAAACTTCAGATACTTATCTAGTACTCAACACACATACATTAACATCATTGTTAAAATTCCTTGAAAATTCCTTCTCCTTTCTTGGGCTCTATTGCTTACCTCACTGCTTCGTAAGTATTGGTTTAGCCTTGTGAACCCTTTATATTCATGTTTTGAAGTGATTCACCTTTATAGGAACCTAAGAGACACCTGAGATCTATGATTATAGGCATGGGAGCTCTTAAATCCGTAATTACTTCTTTTGAAGGATGTCTTTGGGAAAATTTTTGCTGGGACCAAACGAAGTACCCTTTAATGCACAATTTCTATTTTTTACTTTGGACATATCCATACGAGGAAGATGGATAGTTAACTTTTTCTTCAAGCGTCGCCCAATTTGGTCATGTCACAAAGGATCACGTGACCTAAGCGGATTTTGGATGTCGCCTACCTTAGCCGAGTTTTGAGTTTAACCCGAAGTCCGATGTCATAAAACTTTCTATTTGTGGAATAAATTCACGGCCCAGCGCTTCAAAATTTCCGTTTAAGTCAGAATTTCGGGGTGGCACAGTCGCCACTTGTCACTGTTTACATGTAACCCTCTGTTACTATCACGCTTTCTGCGGCGTTGTTCGGCCGATCTTGCCAAGGATTCTGACTGAACTCTGAGAGAAAATGCGAGCTGGTGGCAGCAGAATGCCGCCACCGAGCAAGTCTTTTTCTCTCAGCAGCAGAAGCTACCACCGCTGAGTGAATCATTTCAAGGGGTAGTACTCTCTCATTCATACTATTTTTGAATACTAACTATTATTTAATATTGATTATGACTTCGAGTTTTTTCCGCAAGCCAAGATTTGAATAATCCTTGGGCCTTGATTCAATCTCTCCTGCAGGAATTATAGCCAGTAAACCTCGCAGGATCAATCAATTATACATAAGCTTGGTTTATTATAAACCATCATAGTTATATAAAGAACAAGGCTTCAAGAGGGGTCAACGTAGCAGGCTTTGCCCCTGATGTGGGCCTTGCAGGCGTTATTAAGTTTTGATATACATCGCTTGGGTGCCTCGGGCGCCCATCAAGGGCGGGTAAGGATGCGTTTCGGCCTTGTTCGAAGGCGTTTCATCACTCAACCATTTAGGATACTCGCTATCTTTTCACTTACGCTGGTTTTGTAGCCTGCATGGCCGACGCTTTGCCAATATGTCCCATCCCAAGCAACTCCGACATCGCAGGGATTGGCGTCCGAGCTGCAACCTATCTCCAGGCATGCCTTGCCTTGTTTATGGGGTTTTCAAGCGTTGTTTACCGTACAGCGCACTTCTCGTCCACTTATTGGGCCGGTGAAAAAGGAGACGACTCGATGTCGGTAATCGAGGAAAGGGCTTTCCAAGTTCCTCCGGCTCTCACATCAGCTATAAAATCTGTGGAGAGTGCTCTCTTTGTCACCAGTATATCCGTAATCATTGGTGCAATGATCCAAGCAAGGTCGTCCGAGGGCCTTAGCTCCTACCACGCGCTTGTCGTCCTAAACTTGGCCCAAATCAACAGTTACACGGCCTACCTTCTATTTCTGTGTCGACTAACTATCGATGACCCTGGGGCCACAGGCATTGTCTTCCTCAGACTGATGCTCAGGATAGCCCTACGCAACTATGTCCTGTTTGCGGTCCACGCATGCATGATGGGAGCGTTTGGCTTATGGTTCTGGGGTAACAGTAGTGCATTCTTGCGCTACGCTTCCAGTAATGAACCGTGCAACCCAGTTTCGCTTTACTGGATATTCACGCCAGTGCTTTCAAATAACCAAGCCTTGCGCATTTTCTTCCTAATATACTACTCCGTTTCTGCATGTCCACCCATCGCTTTCATGGTCCCAATGGCAATGACGGCTCTCATCTTCGCTGTCGTATGGATCGTCCTGTACGCCCTTGCGTTCGTTTGTATCATTCTTTCTGCCCCCATACTGTTGGCCTTATATTTGTCCGGCCGTAACATTCAGAAATGGTTGGACAGCAAGTCTAAATCCCTTTCGAACAAGTTCGAGGCCATGCTCGATCTTTCCAAAGTGAAGTGGGGAACGGCAGTGGGAGGGGCGTTATGGTTGTTACCGATCAACCTTCCAGTTGTCTTCTACATCTATGCTACGGAGAAGATGATTAGGATGAACAGGTCAAACTTGGACGACGCGGGAGCGGAAGCTCAATGGTCTTATGGGCAGACCCTAGCGCTCATCACAGCACTGGTGACTGTGGTGTTCTTCCTTAGGGATGTGTGTAAGCTGGTGATAGAGCTGCTGCGACATAGCGCAAAACTTCAGAGTATTTTGCGTCCTAATGGGAATGGGAATGATAGCAGCTTGAGTTTGAGGAGGTGCAGGACGGTTTAGCTTCATCTACTATGCTGGCATGGTATCTTTATGGTTTCGTGAGCTATATATCCTATCGCCTCAAAAATATACTGATGTTGTGCAGCATATAGTATACAGTCTGTGTAGAATGTTTACGAATCTACGCAAGTTGCGTTACTACTCGAATGTGTGTCGGAGGCAATTGGTCCTTGGATCTCAGCGAAGCTCGAACGATCGTCTTCATTGGAAAGAATCGAATCAATTTTTGCCGCCCCTATAGAAAGAATTAGAAGAACATTCATGGCAGACAGAATAGTGGGAAAAACATTTATAATGTCCTTTCGTCTGGCAGAAGTATATCAGGAAGCTTGATGGTGTGGTAACGATAATTATATCAATTACCTTATCGTTGTAGTTGAACCATACGAAACCAGTTGCGACGTAGCGAATTTGTGCTTTGCTCTTTGCAGTGCATGAGTGAAGGGTAAGCTATAACATCCTCATGAGATGGGGATTATCCACAAAGAAGTCCAAGCGTACATCCACCGAACATGTCTTTCCGTCTTCAGTGTCGATCGTCCGAGCTATTGTTGCAACGTCACTATACGTCGCTGCGAATCTGGATCGATTGATTACCATGATAAACGTACGAGATAGACACGAGATACGTACGATTTCGTCTGTTCATTGGTCACTTCTGATGAAACAGTCGTTTCATCACCAACCGAAGCCTCTGCCACATCATCTAATAAAGGGATACCCAATGAAACCGAAAATGTGTTCGAGATGCCAAGCGTGGATACGGCTATAAAGGAAGTGAATGTCTTAAGTATACCCCGACTCTCTGTAGTAGACCCACTCGTGACCGTGTATTCACTCGTCATATTTGAGCCTTGCTGAATTTGCAGTGTCACTGAGCCATTAGTTCCAGCTGTCCCGGAAACATTGTCGACTTTCCTGTCTTGACATTGTGGATCACCTGGTTAGGTGGGTGAGTAAGGATGTCTACGTTCTTTCTTATTTAGATAAGTATACCATCCAATTCGACCTTGACAGGATCACCAGAGACGCAGACCTGAGCGGGACTCCCGGGGTACTTGAAAAGGATTGTCAGAAACATAGAGAATACGCATGATACGTTAGCTCACATCAGTTGGATTCGTTACAATATTTCGACTCCCATCTCCCCAATTATCATTGGCATACTTTTCAATGGTACCCCAACCAGGAACTGTAGAGCGCGCTGTGAGTGCAGACAATCCTCCATAGAGCCAAAAACTGTATTTACGAGATTTGGCTTCGTCAACAGTCAGATTGACGCATTGGCCTGCAGACCGCCCCGAGAGAAGCGGTCCGCGAGTAATGTAGCGCCCATACAGTGACCCATCGCACTTGAATGCCATGAACTGCCCATTGTCTTCATCGTACGCGATATGGGCTATGTCTCGCTGCGCACTTAAGCTTCCTAGAGAGGGTAGAGCCGAAGCACCAGCGAGAATCTACTAGATGTATCAGTCAGTGAGGCGGACAAGAAATTTACTAGGAGCTCGCCGTAGAAAGGTAGAATAGAGGGCCAGCCTTCATATTATTGAGAGATAAACTTTGGTGTGATCGGAAACCAGCCGATGCTCGATACAAGGATTGGACTTTCATCCTTTATACGATTACTGGGGCCCCAAGGCAGTATTCGGACGTAACGGAAAGACTCCCTGCACAGGACAACAGTGCGATTCTATGCAACACCCGATATGCGGGAGTAAGCACAGGCTTCAAAGTTTATACTAACACACGGATCAATATCCAGAGCCAGCTATAGACGTGCTTAGAGAACGAAGCTGGTACATCTAGCATTGTGCCGGGAGAGCTGGCTAAAATCGCTGGAATAAGTTAACCATGCGAACGGGGTTTCCTCTATGTATTAACTTGAGCTCATGAGACTGAGACGCGTACAATAGATAGGCAGCATTGCACGGCAGTGTCCACACAATGAACGCCGGTAGAATCTCAGGCGGTAAGTACTGAATGATCAGATCAATGCCACAGTCGACATCGCTATAAATATACTGAAATTGCCAAGTTACGCTCTACTTCCATTGGTACTAGTGCATTGGTTTCGCAAGTTCGAAATCGTCTATTAGTGTTCCGGACAAAGTCCAGCCTGAACGGTAGGACTTTGTAGCGGAACAGTCTTCTATCACTGTGGAGACCAAGCAAACATTGACGTTGTAGGTAGACTTTAGAGCCTGAGATGGTGATTCCCGTAGAACAACGGAAGACAACAGAAACAAGCCACAATCAGTCACTAGACGACGACCTTCCGCAAGGTGTAGCGGAAACGCCGTGTGTGGGAGCCGAGCTAGCGGCAAAGTCTCGACACTCAGCCTCAGTGCCATGGAAAGAGACTATAGATCCTGAGATGGCAATTCCTTGGAGCAACAACAGAGAGACTATAAACAAGCAGCAACCAGTCACTAGCCGACAACCTTCGTAAGGCGCAATCGAGATCAGAATTATTTCACGCGTGGAAACGCCGCGTGTGGGCAAACCTTCACAGAAACTGAGCTGGTCGCAAACTCCCAACGCTCAGCCTCAGTGCCATGACGCCTCCACGCCATCAAAGAAAGGTGGTACAGCAGAGGATGGATTTGGGTAACACCTTCGAAGTGTCTTAACGCATCCCGCAAGACACTAATCTTGCAGTCCGACCATGACTACGCGCAAAAGGATGATGGGATGAATGGATGATATTTCTTCCGTCTCTCAATCTGAAGAGAGAACAACATCAATACATCTTTGTCTTTATACTTGGTTAAGGAGTGAACACCTGCGGAAGAGGTCAGCTTTTGCTGGACCCCAAAGAATAAAGTATGATTACATAAAATACAAGCTCTCGCACCTACAGTATATCTACTATTCTATCCCTCAGCCCTGGGTGCATAGTCATCGTCATCGTCAGGTGGGGGTTTAACGATCCCACTCTGCAGCATCTCCATGATTATAGTATCGTCCCGAGCACGGCTGCCTCTGCGAAATATTAACAACACGAATCAATTTAATAAAACGAACTTCCACGTACAATAACACTCGCGCAACGTCCCTCATTATCGCGCCACTGGTAATATCAATCTTCTCCACCCCAGGAACGTTATCAGCCCGCGTAGGCCCGACATTAATCATCAAAACAGGTTTTTTGAGCTCAAGAGCATGTTTGAGCAGTCTAAATGCAGAGAACGTAGCCAAGGTGGTGCCTATTATCAGTACTCTGTCTGAGCATTCAATATCGAGAAAACTAAGCGAGTTCAGTAAGACAAAATGCAAGCAACGTTGAACCCCCTACGATCTATCTTTGACATGCTGCGATATGGACTCTCCGAAAAAGATGACTTCCGGCTTGTGCGTTGAATTTCGTCGATTTTCCGATAATAGGCACGCTGGGCAGTCTGGGACGATGAAGTCGCTGTACGACGCGCCGAGGCTTTCAGCATCGACCTAAGCCCACGTTTTCAAGTTGTTAGAGGAACGAGCAATTGAAAACGTCGCTTTAGTTTACGTACATCACCATCTGGGTTCGTCCTCAGCCTATTGCCTGTCCTCTCAACGTCATCCAGGAATTCTTTCCATCGCGGATTAGCTTGAGAGAGCATATGCTGGAAGGTCGAGCGGTCGACTAGGTGTCCGTGTTTGCAGCGTACGCGCTAAGTACTTGGAGATTGAATCGGGAACTTGGCAAGCAAGGGAGAAAGGTCCTGACATGTAGTGTCCCGTGGAGCTCAAGAATGGCTTGCTGCATCCGAACCGGGCTAATTTTCGATAGAGAGAGGGCTTTGTGGTGCAATCCATCAACGTTCTAGGCAATGAATAACGATGACGTCGCCGGGGTTGGGTGGATGACTGCTCACCTGGGTGATGATACGGGGAACGACTGAGGCATGTTGAAGGGCGGCGAGAGCATAGTGAGTAGTGTTGGGAACAGCGTTCGCGATGGGTTTGTATCCTAGATAGGACCGCAACCAGTATCGTTGCCTGATAATAATGAATTCTTTTCCTGGGCGAATCTACCAGCTCACGCACCTAAAAGCGAATCCCTTCTCTGATTCATCAACCAGTTCATGATAGAATATAGGTCTGGAACACTGGTGAGCATTTAAAGGCCCCGACACGAATGTAGTAATATTTAGTACTTGTAATTGGGGTTCATGTACCGCCCATCATGGCCTCTGTAAGCTCGTATGCCAGAATCGACGCTGACGCCGGCACCGGTGATCAAGGCGACATTTCCAGGAGCGAGGAACTCGACAACACGCTGAACGGCCTCTGCGGCGCTAACAGGGAAGGCAGTGGGAGTTGAAGAGAGTGGGATGGTCGGGATAGACACACGCATATGCCTCCGTGGCTGTGCACCTTGCTTCTTTCTCTCCGTTCCTCGCCATGTCCTTTCTGGTGGGACCCGTTTCAGGCGCCTTGGTTGCTGGCGGGGTAGGCTCTACATATTCCCCTGCTTCGTCAGAGCCCTGACTTCTGTTAGGTTTACTATGGGTTCTCCAATTTGATACAATCGAGGCAAGTAGTACCATCAGCGACTTTTTGAAAATGTTGTACTCAATACCTGGTTCATAGGACGGAGCAACATCGAAAAGAGTACGTCAACGTTTGCCCTTTATCACTGGCTGGTGGTCCTGATGCCATATACCTCGACAACAAAGCCTTCACCAACTCAGCGTTCGTCTCGTCGAGACTCCCAACGTCGTTATCGCACCACCGTCTGCGGCCTCGCGAATCGCCCAAAGACCGTTGGCATCTTTGATACACGAGACATGGAATGGAGAAGTGGATGCAGTATACCACTGGGTTAGGACATCCGATAGACGACTGCAGGAGTGGGGCCGCAAACTATTGTACGGCGACAAAGTATGAAACACCGAATAAAGCTTCGTTGTCCGGAAGGCTTTTGACCAACATCACCATGCGCACTCGGTTTCTACCTGGCTATACCCATCCGGTCAACGATGAATTATTCTCAAGATCCTTAACATGGACGGTCCTGAAAATGAAGACCGCAATGCTTTACTTCTCTGACAAGTTATTGAACACAAGAGACCGCCTCTTGGATCTCGTAACATCGACTAATCAGCTTTCTCCTGCTTTTTGTATCACCAATGCGTGCCTTTTCCCCGAATGCACCTGTACCAGTCCATCCCTTTCCCCTCTCGAATGCACATGACCTGTGTCTTGTTTTAACAGCTGGGAGTTGCCCTTTTACTAACCAGTCTCGTTGGCTAGTGGGAGCGCGCCACGGCCGACGCTTTGCTACGTCCTTCCTGACGACACGGGCCTAATCGATATATATTTTGAAACCATCAATCCAATCCTTCCAGTCCTGCATCGACCCACATTCACAAAAGACGTTGCCAACAAGCTACACCTACGGGATGAAAGTTTCGGTACCCTGCTACTTCTCGTTTTAGCCACTGCCTCGCATTACTCTGACGACCCAAGGGTCCTAGCCCATCCCGAATCAAAGCTTTCTACAGGATGGAAGTTCATCGAGAAGATTCCCCCCCTTCCAGAAAGTGGTATTGTCTCCTCCCAATTTGAATGACATTCAGGCGGCTGCTGTAAGTTTGAAATCTATGCATTTTCTCGATTAAGCTCAGGATGCGGTTGGAAGCTCGGGGCGATATTTACCATGGGAACTTCTGTTCCTCAGTTTAGCTGGACGGCTCTTGGGATTGGGCTACGCTCCGCAATAGAAATTGGGTTACATAGGCGAAAGCCCAAGGAGTATAAGCTGACAGTTGATGACGAACTCAAGAAGCGATCCTTTTAGTACATTCCCCTTTCTTCATATCGCCGAGGGATGCTGATAGTGCTATACGTAGGGCACTTGTTATGTTTGATAGACTATTAAGTCTTCATCTGGGACGACCTATCATGATACAAGAGGAAGAGTACATTGTTTTGTATAATTATGTTGCATCTGCTGAACGTCTATATTTTTTCTTTTTTTTGCCACAGCTTTGACTTGGAGCTACCGATTGAATGCGACGACGAGTACTAGGACATCGGACCAGATGGAGAAGTGCAATTTTGCCAACCGGCCAACAAACCCTCCTAAAATCAGCTATTTCAATGCTCAAATACAGCTGAGCTGTATAATGTCAGTTGTTGCGAGGATGCTGTATTCCATCAACAAAGGCCGAAACATGTTGGGTCTTACCGGAAAGGGATGGAAGGAGCGTCTTGTTTCTGAAATAGGTTCATCCATGAATGCATGGATGGACTCCCTCCCTGACCATTGTACGTCTTCCGTTATACCCGTTCGATATTCTGCTGACCACCTTGTTAGTGCGTTGGGATCCCAACTGCGACAATACATTGTTCCTGTATCAATCTGCAGTTCTATATAACACCTACTATGTGCTCCAAATCCATATTCATCGGCCCTCTCTACGCGCTGACTCTCCTCTGTCCGAACGGTCTCTCATCATATCTATGACCGGAGCCAGATCCTGTACTCGAATCCTTCAGGTCCATCTCGCCAAGATCAAAACTATCGCGCCCACATTCTGGTGAACTGAACATCTCTACTTTTGTATGAGAAGTTGATTTAGATGGGAGCCTTTATATCTGGCACTATACTGGCTATGAACATCTGGAGTAGCAAACGGGCAGGCCGTCCTCCCAACGCAGATGATCTAACTGGTTTTGAACGGTGCCTCGCTGCCTTCATACATGCTGCCGACACGTGGGTTGTTATTTAAATATCTCATCCATTACCTTGACTTTGGTCCGTTGATAGGTGGAATATTGCCCGTCGTTTACTGTGAGTTTGCCATTTCGCATTCCGAGCCTCATGACCGACCGACCACAAATGGACGCCTAGGAAAACGCTCGAGGCCATGGCTTCCGTTGAGACTACTTCTATTCCCGTTACCCATCTTCGGGAAAGTGCCGCTCCCATCTACTTGGACGGCCTACCTGAACAAGTGCAGCAATTCAGTACTGCTGACCTTTCCTCCTTCCTCGTTGAAGAGAGTCGGCTACTAACAGATCCAACGTACTTGAACTCAGAGCCCTTGGGCCCAACGAGCGAAGACCAGTCCCAGTCGTTATTCGGGATGGGCACGATCGATATGTGGACTACTGCACCTCCTGGATTTAGGTGAGCTGTGCCTATCTTTCGAGCTGGAATTTGTTTTGCTAATGTGTGTAGTTTTGCGGAGTGGGACGTATACGTTAACAATATGGGTCTTGAGCATGGACAACGTACTTGAAGATGTGACCAGACCCGGACAGAAATATCTAGGTAGATAGTGCTGATGAATTGAATCCACGCTTGGACGTCAATGACTGATACCAAGGAGCCGCCTCCTCGAGCATTCTGATACGCGAGGAAGATTCTATGTCACCAAGCGCGTGACGGCGAGAATTTCCTTGTTCAGTTTTCGTCGAGCGTAGGAGGGTAGGGGTCAGTCACAGAGTCATTTTCGTGGAGGTTGAAGACGGGATTGGTTATAACCGGAGCAAAGGGACCAGGTGATTGAGAGGGGGGGTCGTAGTTGATTTTTGAACATGTGTTGTGGGTGTTGATATAGATATGGTTTTTTTTTTTTGCCTATTTTTTCGAAACACTTTAGAGTCATCAAAAGTTTTCACAGGTTCCTGGCATATCGCCTCGACATGCAGTGGATCCCGTCATTTTTCTTCTAGTACAAATTAGACTCGGAGCATTCAAATGCAAAACTGTTGCTCGAAGCCTTTAATTGGTTCCGCCTGAGATCCTCTTTTGTATTCAACGCGTGCATGCCAATCTCCCGTGCGTACTTTTCTCTGTCCTGCAGAGACGTTAATACACGCAGCGAAATTAATTGTTGGAGCGTACCGCCAACAAAGCCTTGATATGCGGTCCCCCGAGCCGAGCGTGCGCATCCCCTGGAGGGTGCCAGGACTAGAGGAGCTGGCAAAGGAGAAGATGAGGAGCAAGCGGAGGGGCGTGGCGGGAAGGAGGAGCAATCAATTGTGGTGGTGATGACGCATGATTAAGACCCGGCTAATAGAACGCGTCACTGCGAATGAGTTGCCGGCTAACCCCATATTTTATTAGCGTTTCCTAAGATAATATTATCTATCAACCGTGTCGTATTCACCCACACTGCTCCGCTCAGAATCACTGCATCGTCTGTGGCTCTGGAAGCCCCGTCCAGCGCCTCGAACGTCTCCGGGTCGTTCATCTCAATATAGTCCAGCCGGACCCCCGGCGCGTCTCGTAGGACCTCTACAGCTTTCTCCATGCACTCTGCCTTGGTAAACCCAGCGTTCCAGGCCTTTTCCGCCGTTTGGAGAGTAGCATACAGCTTTGGAGCTACTAATCGCGCTTCGGGGGAGAGATAAGTGTTGCGCGAGGAGAGTGCGAGACCATCGGTGTCGTCCCGGCGCGTAGGTACGATGTGGAGGTTCTCCGGGGTAGGATGGGCGAGGAGGAGATCGCGGCACATCCGTCGGAGGAGGAGAGCTTGTTGGATGTCCTTTGCCCAAAGTACGTTCGAGTTGGCTGTGGAAAGCGTTAGATTAGCTTAGAGTAGAATATGGATAATACCTCTATGGCATTGAAGAGCTTGGTCACGACCGTTGCGACTCCACGAAAGAACAGCGGCCGACTCTTCCCCTCCATCTCGTCCCCGAACCCTTTGACCTCTACAAACGTGCCTTTCTGAGCAGCAGGGTCCTGGGTGATACCAGAAGGGTACATCTCCTTTACCGTGGGCGCAAACACCGCCGAGACCCCCCTTCCCGCCACGCTCTGCTCCGCCAAGAGCCTCAAATCATTCTCCAGCGTCTTGGGGTATGTATCCAGGTCCTCGTGGGGCGCAAACTGGGCGGGGTTGACAAAGATGGAGAGCACGGTGAGGTCGTTTTCTTGTAGAGACCGTCGGACTGCCCCGCCCATAACGTGTTAGTTGAGTCTGAGTAGTGGGGGGCTGGGGTAAGACGCACCCAAGCTAAGATGCCCGTCATGTAGAGCGCCCATAGTCGCGACGTACCCCACAGATTTGCGAGCATCGCGCGCAGCCTGGCGCCATTGTCGGTAGGAAGCGACGGTGGTGAACGTATCCAAAGACATCTTGGTGAAATTACGAAACATTTAACAAATAAATATACGATCTTGCCACGTCGTACGATGGGCCGGAGTGGAGGGTAGATAGATGATCGCGGATTTCCGTCATCCCGATCAGGACTACCATCATGTCCATATCCATATCCAAAGCAGAAAAATCCTACATCCAAACGGGGCTCCTCTCCACTCCTCCCGAAGACAAGACGGCCGCTCCCTACTCGACTTTCGGACCATCTCCCTCGAAACCGGGGTAGCCCCCCTCGCAAACGGCAGCGCGCGCCTCCTCCTCGGGGATGGGACCGAACTCGTCGCAGCCACCAAACTCCAAGTCTCCGATGACCCCCTCGCCTCCCTAACCTGCACAGTAACCTGCTCACCCACCGCCTACCCGCACCTCTCCCCGCCCACCCTCGACGACCTCCAATCAGACCTCACCGCCCTCCTCCAAGCAACCCTCTCCCAACACCGCCCCCTCAACCTCACCATCCTCCCCTCCAAAAAATCCTGGTCCCTCCACCTCGACGTCCTCGTCCTCTCCGACTCGGGAAACATCCACGACGCACTATTCATCGCCGCCCGTGCCGCCCTCTACGACACAAAAGTACCCCGAACACGCGCCGTTCAATATAAAGCCCGTAAAGACAGTGGTTTCGACATGCATACCGCCCCTACGGATTTCGAGCTACCCGACTATTGGGACGAGGGCGAGGTCCTAGCAGGGAGGGATACTTGGCCTGTGTGCGTCACGCTCAACATCGAGTCGCCTACTGTGCACTACCTCGATGCGATCCTCCAGGAAGAAGCCTCCACTCCCCTCCGCTTGCTCCTCATATTCTCCTTTGCCGGCTCCGAGTCTACTCTCCAGGGGATGCGTACGCTTGGATCGGGGGATCTCAGGGTACCGCATATCAAGGCTTTGTTGGTGGTACGTTTATATTCGCTGCGTGTTGTGCTGGTTGATGATGGATGTCTATTTAGGACGGCGAGAAATACGCACGGGAGATCATGCAGGCGTTGAATTCGAAACTCAAAGAAGAGGATCTCAGGCGGAACCAAAAGGCTCGGGCTCGGTTCGAGCAGCGGTTTTGAACACTTTCTAATGTTATCGCTCACCGTACGGCGTACTAGAAGAAAAATGACTGGATCCGGGTGCAGTCGAGAGGGATTGTGAAAAATTTCGACCAAGCTGAAGCGTCTCAAAAATAGGCGAAAAAGTCATATCTACAACACAACTACGACCCCCTCCCAAGCCATCTTTTCTTGCCTGGTTCCTTTGTGTGACGCGTCCTCGACCTCAAGGCCTCAACCTCCATAAAAATGACCCTCTGCTCAAAAACCCCTACCCTCTTACGCCGCATACATGATACTCCAACTCCAGTACCTACCTGGAATTTCTTTTGGCGGTCCGTGCAAGGACTTTATGACTACCGGCAGGAATCACTTTACTATTCTTGAAACGCTCCCTCACCTACTCGAACTCGTCATTTCTTCCACCTCTGAGAAAATTTACTTTGGTTTTATGACTACTCACTTTGGACAGGTATACTGCGACCGCCAACAAGGGGGTGGTGAAGAATTCCGGGATGATCGTTCTGCAAGCGCTCGACTCTCAGCCGTTCGTCGACATCGATGACGCGCGTAACGGTTCCTAGGTATATGTTCTTACCTGTATCTCCCTCTTGTGAGCAAGTCTGAAGTTTTTTCAGGGATGAGGTGCTCGGTTTTCCTTTCAATGAACAATGCTGAGACGCCACCTTGCACCTTGCACGTTCTATCACCAAAGAATTCATCTCCAACATTTCCTCCGAGTCACAAAGAAAAAAAAATCAGGCAACGAATCGGAGCGAGTTCGTCATTCATCCTCTCGCCTAAATCCCCGTGCTCGTGTTGTAATTATAGGATCGAGGAAAACACCAGCAGCGCCGGTCTCCAAGTTGCACAGAAGAAGAAAAGAGAATTTACGGCCCAAGTGCGCAGCTCGGGCTAGGTCCTCAGTACCAGTCACGATGCTTTTCTGTCAGCGAATCTCCTTTCCTCACCATAGCTCTCTTCTTACTTTCCTGACCCTTTACCAAGTCTCGCCCTGGGATGGCTTTTACCTCAGTACCGACTTGAAATTTTGTTTGGCGTCCGTGCCATGCAAGGGTCAGGAGATGCATCGTGATTCATTCTTGGCACTCGTGGCGCGAGAAGGAGAAACTTAGACTAACTCAATATCAATACTGACTCTGTTCAGTGGTGTGCCACAAGGAGCCATCTAAAATCCCATATCGATATGCTCCTTTATAGAGATCAAGATTCGTAGGCCACTTCTCTTGGAACATACGCATCCCGCTTAGCTCACTGGTGCTTCATCTGTGTAAATGTGCTGCGCACTCTCTGAAGTGATATTTAGTATGAAATAGTCAGAGCATCACGTAGACTACACTTTGGCATTATAACTCGATAATTCTATTTCCTCACGACTAGGCTTTCCTGCAATAAATCGCCGTACCCTACGGCACACCGTTGACCCCGGATGCTGTGGAGAATTGTCGTTTTCTCCTTGGGCTAGTCGCATGGGATTGGAAGACGCCGCGTCATCCTTTCCAAATGTACCCACACATCCGCCTTCGATAAAAGCTTTGAAATCGGCCATGACACAAGGTATAGCATCGCGCTGAACCTGTATCCCTCCCGGGAATTCAAAGTCCTGCAACCGCTGTAGACAGCCGGACCAGGCAGAGTCCTTGGGACGGAGGAGAGCAAGACGACGAAGAGTCCTAGTCTCACCCCACATAATGAGGGTAAGGCAAGAAGTGAACAAATTGTCGGGCTCGTGCAGGTATTCCAACGATTGCTGGCATATCTGAACACCCAAATCTTTGGATCCCAGTCCTGTGACAACCAAGTCCAAGAATGTGGATAAAACGCGGCCGACCTGTGCGCGCAATTTTTCGAAGAGACTCGATACAAAATAAGCTAGGGTCTCGTTTGTGAAGGGAGTGTGTTGGAATAAATAAGTACCCAGCTCGTAAGCTGCATGATGATAGTCGTCATGGTATGGTGAAGCCCATGAAGCATCCTCAAAGGCAATTTGGACAGATTTAATGGCCAGTTGTGGTGTGCACCAGTCTTTGGCAAGGAACGGTGGGAGAGGGAACGTGGAATTTAATACTCGAAAGAAGCCAGTCAAGATAAAGGTCCGATCACGGCGAGCAAAAGCATCGTCAAATTCAGCTGATGAGATAAGCGCGTATAGCAATTTCAGGACAGCGTAACGATTACTGTCCAAAGGGACGATAGGTGTGCTATTGTCATATGATGGACATGAGCTGACACCCAGGAAATCGCCGATGGCCCGCAGAATCTTGATGAACAAAGTATCACAGAAGGGAGAGGCAGGGATGGCCATGCTTCGTATGGAGGGTGAGCCGGCCATGCTCAAAAGAAGATAGAGCCGTGAATCCTGAGGGGGAAATACATCGGTGGGATCCTGGCTGAAAATGGTGGGCTCAACACCTATGTGGTCTTGAAGTATGAACTCAGCGACATATTGGTACAAACACTGCTGAATCGCTGTCCGAAGGGTAGCCACAGCGCTACCTTCGCAAGGTATTTTCATCCCCTTACGTTCAATGACATCGGTAAGGGGGATGAAGTCGGCATTCCAATAAAATGGGGGTATCTCAGTGAATAATATCTGCATCACTTCGAGATTATCAGGACCCGATGGGAGAAGCTTCTGAAGCAGATATGCCCATACTATGGGTTGCAAGCGAAGAGCTGTAGGACCATCGGGTACGGTTTTCAGGTTGGATATGACCAGTTCCCGGATCTCTTTGCGGCAATCTGTCTGAACAGACAGAAGGCCGACGTAAATGCCAGGAGAGAAGCATCCCTTGGCAGGTCGTGGTATTCTAAACATATAGGGCAAGTCTGTGAAGCGGAGATGGGCTCGAAGGAGACGGTCCACCTTACTTTCGAGCACAGACACGTCTTGGCCTGAGACAAGGGTTTCAAGAAATGTAGAACATACAACCGAGATACGTGCTACACGACGCTCGAGAGATTTCACAGACTTGAGTGGCAAAGCGCTAGTTGATTCTACTACAATGTTCTCCACGCTGGGGTTGGACGACATGTGAATGAGCCACGCAAGTGCCTGCACATCCGTTTCATCGGCACTAACCTCGACAGCCACACGCTCAGCATCCCTTAGCGTGCGAACGGCAGAGGCTCCAGAGGGTGATATACGGGATGGCTGTGTCCAAAGATTGGAAACCGAAGAGATCAGCCTTGAACTGAAAAGACCATTGTGTAGGATATAGCTGTAGAGAGGGAATATATATTGCGACAGCGGAGTTTTGTAAGGACACGAGGGGTATAAGATCGGAAGGAAGTTGGTGACGATATAGGCGAGGAATGATATGAAGGTGATTGCTCCAACAACGCTTGCAATCGGCACGCGCAAGGGGACGATAAAAACAATCAATCCCACAAGAAACACAGCAAGCGATGCGCTCATCAGGACAGGAAGGAGTCCAATAATGAAGGCTACACCCCATTGCTCCAGACCCATGTACCGGAATTGACGTACACGGCATCTGTCGCGTGGTGTTCCCGATGGCACAGACATGTACTGGTGGATCCACTGTTTTGTCAATACAGCGAATAGGGCAGTAGTGAGACTCAGCGAGAGGCTCGTGAACCACAAGCCATTGACCCATAAGTCCGATGTTGTGGGACGAAAAGCGAGGTCTGAACGAGGGACGTCATTTACGAGAGAACCATTCGATGCGGAGCGTTGGACATTGATAAGCTCGATCAAAAGTGAGGCAGTGACCTCGCCGTAGTCAACTTGGAGGCTCTGTGATGTCTGAGCGACAAATGTTGTAACAACTGCTGAGAAAAGACCAGCCTTTTCTCCTATCAATGAAGGGATTCTCAATCTCTGCCATTGTACTCACAAAGACGAGTAGAACATCTAGCCCATCTCTCCACCCTTCTACCATCTCGCTATCAAATGGAGCACATTCTTCGAGGTATGTTCTCCACACCCTGGCAGTTGGCCCAAGCTCCTCGTACTGCTTATCCTCTGGGAATTTCTGTTCGTAGTCGAATGGATCATTCCCTAGACTCTTCATAAGACGAGCAGCCACGGAAGAGAAGAATAGACGCACCTCTGACAATATACTCAGGACGCTCCATGCCCATTGTCCTGCGCCTCGACTTGCGCCGTCGACGGCGGGAATAAGATGTCAAATTCTCGACCTCTGGAACATGATCATGGGAGATATGAGGAGTCTTCGAATGAGCTTCGCCCTCAGAGGCGTCGGACACCAATGAATGGCTGTCGTTCTCATGGTCCTGGGCAGCACGATCAGAAGACATGGATGTTAGGGTGGAAGCTGCATGCAAGGCGCATTCTTAGGAGCCTACATTCCTCTCCCACGGTCAGCAGCGAGGTCCTCATGTCATTTTGTTACTGGAGGAAGCACTGGCAAGCATGGACAACGGCTGTTGGACGACAGAATTCGGAGCAGAGTCTAGGCCCACAGCGTGGAGCTTGTTCTGGGCACGTGTGAATTTCACAGATTTCAGCCCCTGGCATCGATTCAGTCTGTCACCCCCTTCTTCTCCCTGAGCCACAATTCCCATCCCAATCTCAAAACGGACGGTTTACTTAACGCGACTCGGAATGTGTTTGTTGTAATAATAGCTCGTATATATAGTTGTGCATTACTCTTATATAAATTATTATTAACAATAAACATAGCTAGAGGGCATCAAACAAAGCAATCAACCCATGGTCTATGGTGGTTAGGCGATATCGTGAACGTATTCTCCGCTCTGTGGATGTCTTCGACGATTGAAATCCCGGCTAGTCGCTCGAGAACGGTAGCAGTAGAAGACGCCCAACCTAACTGGCAAGCAACTTAATTAGATGGAAGTATGAGGGGGAAAGACAAGACGAACCTTCCTTCTCGCCGCATCCGTCAGTCCTCCTCTTATATACCCCTGGTTTTCATTCCCAGTCGTCTTGGAAATATAACCCAGTTCGATATCGGTCTTCCTCTCCCCAGCCGCTAAATCGATCGTCGTCAGCCCGTTGCGAAGGCTGGTAGTGTCCACATTCCCTGAGAGTATACACCGGTAGTTGTCTCTCGCCAAAACCTGATTTGGAGGCTCAGCTGAGAACTTGAAAGACACTCTTTACTTACTAGCTTTTTAGCATCACTACCGGTGGATTGCGACACATTTGAGAGGGCTGCGATATCGATGCTTTCTGGCGGTGACTCTGGTTGGACCCTACGCGTCGGTACCGGGCCCTTAACTAGTTGCAATGAACGTCATCATCCTCAGGACTCGAGACGCGGACATACACACCCTAATCATGCCCATAACATACAAATACGCCAACCCTGCCATAAACTCAGCATTACCATCACAACCCGATATCTCTCGTGCTATAGGAGAGCCTGGGTGATGAATAAGTGCATAACCTAGGACTCGAGCTGCAACTTGAGGGCTGAATCTAAACATGGCCGCGGGTTCGGAAGATACGTCCCAACTACGAAGAGCTTCGAGGGTGAGGCAGGATTCATATGCTGTGTGTTCATATGTATGGGAGAGGGGGTCGAAGGGGTTTGGTGGGAGGGGCGAAGGCATGGTGATGGTGGTCACTGGTGGTGCCAGTAAAGTTGAAATTTGGCTCCTGGCCAGAAATAGAAACGTCCCCATGATGCCGAGTGAGGAGATTATCCTTGCCCAGCGAAATGAGCCGTGGAAGGATACTGCCATGATTACGCCGCCCATGCAATAACGCGTCAAGGCCCTGCAAAACATCATATAAAACCGCTGCCTCCCGTCTATCACCAACGTGCGCATCATTCAGGCCTCCCTGAGGAACTCCCAATCTCTGCTTTTATTGTCAGTGAACCTGAACAAAAGTGTTATACATACAACAAGAAGTCGGACAACAAGGGATCCACGAACCAAAGACCAACGAGACGTGATATCTTCGAGCTCTTTTGTCGTAGCCATTCGTGTGAGATTTACGCCGCGCATACATCTTGACTACATGTTGAGGAAAATCCCAGCGAGAGTGGTATACAGAGTGCATGGTGACGAGCTGAAGTGAAGAAGGGAATTACGGCCCGTGTGCAATTCGGACGGACATCCGCTTATAATATCCACAAATCTACTTCCCTCACTGCCCTGCTCCGTACTCTCTTCTTATCTTACAACTCTCTTGGCCCTTAGCTTCATTCTTCTAGATGCTGGCATCTACGTTCGGTACCTACCTGGAATTTTTTTGGCGGTCCGTGCAAGGACTTTATGTATGACTCCCGGTGGGAATCGCTTTATTCTTGAAATGCTCCCTCACCTACTCGAACTCGTCATTTCTTCCAACACTGAGAAAATTTATTTCGGTTCTATAGCTACTCGCTTTGGACAGGTATACTGCGACCGCCGACAAGAGTCCCGGATGATCGTTCTGCAAGCGCTCGACTCTCAACCGTTCATCGACATCGATGATGCGCGTAATGGTTCCTAGGTATATGTTCTCAACTGTATCTCCCTCTTGTGAGTGAGTCTGACGTTTTTTTAGGAAGAGGTGCCTAATGCTAAGACACCACCGTGCACACTCTACCACCAAAGAATTCGTCTATGTAATCATCGCTGGAGAGCTTGGAGTCAGGACACGGGACAAATCCAGTGTCCAGTACGCGTGATGTATATTCTTTTTGCCCAAGAACAAAAATGAAATACTAAAGCCAACAATAGGTTGGACAGTGTCCATTCGTGCCGCGGCGCCGTGCTTATGTTCCTTCCAGCTTCCAATATTTCCTCCAAGTCACAAAAAAAAAAACAGGCAACGAGCGAGTTCGTGATTTATCCCTGTCGAGAGGGATTGTGAAAATTTTCGACCAAGCTGAAGCGTCTCAAAAATAGGCGAAAGAAGTCATATCTATATCAACACCCACAACACAACTACGACCCCTTCACAAGCCATCTTTTCTTGCCTAGTCCCTTTGCGTGACGCGTCCTCGACCCCAACCTCCATGAAAATGACCCTCTGCTCGAAGACCCCTACCCTCTTACGCCGCATAGATGATACTCAAACTCAATGCCAAGGTCCTCCACTGCAAAGATGGTCTTCGGATGGGGTCCCATGCGATTTAGAAGGCCGGAAGAGAAGATGGTGCTCCATCCGTTCCGCTCAACATGTATCCCACAGGAATAGAAAATATATCTCGTCTGGTATCAATCCCTCCGAGCTCTCTTATTAAGCTTATGAAAGTGTCGGGGCAATCGTATTCTCGCGATGTACCAGAGAGTTGACTGCCCCCTGACAAAGGCTTTTTAAAAAGGACCCTGCCCGTGGAGAAGGAAGCGCTATACTACTTGGAACTGACAAATTTTGGCCACCCCTACGATCATTACGCCCACCTGGAAGTTTCTCTAAAAGATTGAAGACTCGGAAACGCATCCTCTTCCCGTGAAGAGGGCAAAAGGGCAAGCGAATTCTTGAGTTGGTATTGCAGTCGAAGGGAAAGCGACATCAAAATCAGAAATGAAATTTACGTTTTGTTCGATTCTAGTAATACACACTACTACTTTACACTACACCCGAAAGATATTAAGCCTACTATCCCATGCACAAGTAGCCAACACCCCCTCCTCATACAAACTCCACCCACACCCAACCACAAACTCGGTATGGGGATCATGTATATACACCAACCTATCCCTATTCCAGACCCTACACGTCATATCATAACTCGCACTAGCCAACACATCCGGACTATGCGGACTCCACTGCACCCTCCTCACCGCATACTCATGCCCCGCCAACTGCACCTCACACTTGCCCCCCACCTCCCCTCCAACCATCCGACAATCCCACACCCTCACCGCCTTATCCACCCCACCGCTCGCCAACACGAACGGCCGGTACTTGTTCCAATCCAGCGAGAGGACCTCCCCTCCGGATACGGGGACCGTCAGAGCCGGGGCGGTGAGCGGGGCGGTGAACGAGTTGGATGTGGGCGCGTAGGAGGGCGAGCGGAGATCAAAGAGCTTGATGGTCCCGTCCGTAGAGCACGTCGCAAGTACGGCGGGCTGGTATGGTGAGAAGAGCGCTTGGTAGACGCATGCCTGGTGCGCGTGGAGCGTCGAGACCGACCGGGGGCGATCCGGAGTCCACTACACCGCGAGGTTAACAGAACTTGAATATAACAGAGACAGCGGGCGGCATACGAGTTTAACCTTCCCATCCCACGAAGACGATGCGAAATTCTCCTTTTGGAGGTTGGACCAGTCGACGGAGAATACCTCCCGGGTATGCTCCTGCCACGACGCAATGGCGAAATTGTTGAGCATAATGTCCCAGAGGCGGATCGAGCCGTCCCCTGAGGCAGTGACGAGTTGGTTTTCGTGGATTTCGGACCAGGCGAGGTCGTAGAGGCCGTCTTGGGTCTCGAAGCTCCTTGGGGGTTAGCATCAACTTGAAAATTTGCGGTAGGGAGAGCTGCTTACTATTTGTCTACATGTAATTCGGGTGTAGTAGAGACGATATGAAGCCGCCCATTACCGACTAAGCCAAAGTTGGCGGAAGAGGCGAGGGCGAGGCGGTTGGCGTGGAAGGGGGACCATGCGAGGGAGTAGTGTGCGAAACCTGGTGTTTGGAGGATGGATGGCGGGGGTTTGCGCCCGAGCATGGCGGGAGGGAGGAGCAACTGGGCGGAACTATCAGTGTGATGATGGCGGGAGGAAGAGCATGATTAGATCCGGCTAATAGAAACGCGCTAATAAGTTGCCGGCTAACCCTATATTCATTTTATTCCGTACTTGTTGGTTACTTACTAGACGTTCTTTCCTCTTGCCCAAGAGTTTTCGCTCGCCACCTTTGGATTGTGCGTTCCAACTCGCCAGTTCGTCGCGATCATGGAGAGGTGTAAGAAATGTTCGATGCATGGACTTTGATTACCAGAAGGGAAAAACAACTGGCCTCCGTGAGTTGTCTTCAACCTTTTTTTTCTTTCCTTTCTTTCGTCTGACCCAGGAATCATGGGCCAGCTTGATACTAAGAACCTCCACTTACTCCCAAGATTCTGGCCTCAGCGCTTGGCTTGGAACGGCGAGTCTGACTCAAAGGTTCAACGTTCAACGTTCAACGTTCCAACCGCAACAAGCCTTGCCACCACCATGCTCAACTTCGACCCCTCTCGATTCGTCTTCCCCCCCCACTACTCACAACCCCTCCCTGCTCCTTCACCGCCCTCCATCACCAACACCCAAGGTCATCGAATCACTATCAGCAATGGCCTGCTATGAATCCACAGATGGCAGGCCGACTCTTGGGCTACATGTTACTCGAGGAGCCTATATCTTGGAGCGCGACCGACACCACTGCGTCCTATCCGGCTGGGATACTTCAGCTATCTCCAGTGGACTGAACCTCTGCTCCGAAGTGACGTTTCATGCGGGAATGTCGATTAACGTCGCTCGTATCATACCCGTCAAACGAACTGCCAAGGCCAAGGTACGCATCCACATCATCCCTCGTCCAGCTAATGTATGTAGCGAGCTGAACATCCATACGCGATTCGGACGGACAGACATCTTCTCAGTGACCATGATGGTGCTTAATAGCTTCCCTCCATGCACGCTTCGCACTGCCGTTGAGGTAAATAAATCGTCGTTTCTTTCATGGCGTAAAAAATAATTTTTTACTAGGGCCCAGCCGAACACATAGGATCGAGGGGGTGTGCTGAGAGTAATCCGCTGACCTCTTTCGAATGCTCATCCTAGCCCGGCAATTCACAGGGGCTGCGCATTTGTTGGGTGCGGGGTGGTATGTTAATGAGTTGGTGGGTTATGAGTGAATAGTAGCATCTCTTGCGGGTGCCGGTTGTGATGAATGAGTGTTGATGAGGTGTTGATCCCAAGTTCGTGAGTTCAGGTCCTGGGCAGATGAAACTTTATGGCAGTCTACCCTAACCTCTTTCTTCTTGATACCACGCTGATCCGAGTCCGTTGGTCGTACCTCTTTTTTTAAATTTCTAGCAAGGCCCTCCCCCTTGATCGCTTGTTCCTAATATGAGAAGGGTCACTATCACGGACCTTTCAATCGCTGGGTTTCGAAGTTGCATCTGGGAATGTGTTGACATCACGACGAGCCATCCACACTACTCCGTTGGTCGTACCTCTTGGACTTGCACAACGCCGAGGGTTTACTTTATTTCTGGCAAGGCCCCCTTGATGTCTTGTTCTTGTTCTTGTTCCTAGTATGAAAGAAGCTAGCGATTAGGACGTTCTCGGGGACCTGGGATTTTCACGCGCTGCTTTATCCAATGGCTAAACTGGAGTTTGGATCTAGAGTCAACCACCCGCTATTAGGAAGTTATCTCTCATCACCCGAGTGTCGCATTTCGCATGTGGGGCTTTCAGTGCTGTGTTCTTGTTTATCACAGTCCGGTGGAGACACTGTCAATGGATGATCTGCTCGCTGTTTCTTCAATTGAATCCTCGAAGGCGGCATTTTGATGATTCACCGCTCAACAAGGTTGCTTGTTTCCGTTCTGGTAAGACGGTAAGTGGATGTAATGATCGTGGCGGCCAATGTCTATCCATCCTGATTTATCAATCCTTCTTCAACTGAACCGCTTGTTCTCTTGTATTTTAAGCGTTCTCGTTATCAGGAAAAAAAAAGTTATGGCAACCGTCTGTAAATTTATGTCAGCATGTCCCGTCTCCCGTCCCGTCCACGTCCCCACGTCTTTATCGCATCAACACGCCGAGACTCGTTAATTGGTGACTTGGCGGCAGATGGGCTCTCTTGGACGTTTTTTTCACCCTCGAGGGAGGGTCCAGAAGGTGGAGATAGTGGTACCCTCATGTCGCGGGAAGACACCTCGGAAGCATTGGACGTGGACGTGGCTTCTTTATATATCACGCAGCACCCCCCCAAAGGGATGTTGTCACCGTCCTTGCTGTGTTCATCGGCCGGGATCATCTGCTTCGGGCTCAGTAAGTATTTAGTCTACTTTGCCGATCTCTGGTTTTTTTTTAGAGAGAGACAGAGAGATCTCTTGAAATTTCTGCCTGCCTCGTTGTGGGGCCTAGGGTCGAATTTGTGTTTGATCGGCTTTAATAATCTCTCTCTCGAGTATTCAATTCTCCGTTTGGTTCCTCTTTCCGAGTTCAGGGAGAATTAGCCGCGACGTCGTATGAAAGCTCGGGCCTCGTTAAAAATGAATACGAATATCATATGCATATGCACGTCGGCTGAAATCTCACACCGAAATCTCCAGAGAGAATGAAGAAGCAGAAAGATGAGGCGGGATTTCTTTGAACGAGGTAGGGTGGGTGATGTGGCGTACGAGAATCTTTTTCTGATTCGGTCATCGGATGCCAGGCAGTCGAAATTCTTCACCGCCATCCTACGAGACGTGGCTTATTCGAATGGTGTACGTTAGCAACCAAGCGTGGTTCTTTCGTGGCGAATCAAATTTCAAAACCAGACCTCTGGGTTAACATGGGTAGGTGGGGTATATACAATGGGGGTAAATAATAATGATAACAGCTCATGGGTACAGCTCAGCACTTCTTCTTCTATGTCGTGACGCTTCTGGGTGTGTGTGTTCTTTTTCCGCTAGTGGGTCATCGCTTTCATTCCGGAACTTGGTGACGGTCTAAAATAAAACGAAGATGAGGCAAAGGGCTCCAAGGGAGTGAGAAAGATAAAAAACCCACATTATTGTCCAACTCCAGATCAAGATTAGATTGGGATGTCCCGGATGTGGTCGTTTCGTGGGCGGAGACGGATATGGTGTGATGTGGCGCTCTGCTATGCCGGTGTATAGGCATGGTGGCAGATGTGGTGGCGTTGAATGAAGTGGTTGTGAATGATAGTGAATAGTCGTCTGATGCGTTGCCGATGTCTCTTCCGCCGACGAAGCGTATGCGGGCATTGAATATCTGGGGGGTTTACTCTATGAGCCACATAAATAAGGACGGCAACGGCGAAAATAACTCACCACTAGGAGACTGTTGGAGTATAATTTGGAGAGAGCTATTGAAGGCGCGAGGTGATAGTTGTTATGCTTATACGCAAGGAAGAAGGCCAAGTCCAGGATCGCAAAAGTCGCACACACGGCACCCGTTTCGACCGTTATCCTGACAAATTTGGCGAGGATAACACTGGTGGATCGGAAACCGCTCTTTGACCGGTTGAGGTAGTAGATCATGCTTGCCGCAATGATCACATTACAGAGTGCGGTTCCCCCCAGCCAGACCTAGAGGTAAGTGTCAATGACAGTGTCCTTTTGACGCTACAGGCAAGTTCTGCGGACCGCGGTTGTCTTTTCGTTATGCTCCTGGACCTTGGAAATGATTCCGATGAAATGGGTGGAGACACCTGACCTATATAGGATTTCGTTACTAAGGCAGGTTCAAACCTATTGAATCCCTTACGAACCAAATGCCAGCAATGCCTTCTATGATAGCCAGCTAACATAAGGATGATTCATCAGGAGGGATATCATAAACGCCGACTACAACACGCACCAAGACGACAAGTGTAGGTAGCCACCACTTTTCACTAAACATCCATATCCGCCAGGCAAAGAATGTTTGGGCAGAAACACTGACTGATGACGCAACATAAGCTAGCAGGTTGAAAATTTATAAGTCAGACGACGCACTGATAGAGCTCATCACCGGCCCGCTAAACCATAACCAGCCGACCTTGTCCAGATCATCCGTATCGCCCCACTCCGTACCGAAATTTCGAAAGGCATCCCGTGTCGTGAGGATAGTCTGCAGGAACTCGAGGGTGTACGCTACAGCGACGATAGTTTTTGGTACCCATCTGTCGTGGGGGAAGGCGAGGTAATATATGTCTACGGGCTGGGGTAAACGCGATCGAGGGATCGAGGGAAAGGGGGGACTGACATGCTTGGACTGTTAATGCACCAAATAGACCCCAGTTGAAGAAATGGCCTAACTAGCTACAAGACGTGGGTTATTGGGATAGTGCTTGATACTGGGGGGGTGCTGCCGCGTACCAACGGTCCTGTTCTTAGTGCAGGTTGGTGCCTAAGCAACGTGAGGACAAGTGGGAAAGACTTACATTTCGGCTATTGGGACTTCAGAGCCGGACATGAGGAAGGGGACAAGGACGTTCTGTACAGCGTCCGATCGGCATATATATACCTGGTGGATCCTGCGCGTTAGACATAAAAAAGGCTACGTTATTCCGATTACCGTAGTGGTCCGTTCAGGGTCCCGAAGAAGCTCCGTCGTCAGAATTTTTGCCTTCACAGAACCGGTATGATGTTATTAATGTGCAAAAATAAGTATGATATACAAGACTAGGTTACGGATGTCATGATGTCGTTGGCTGGACGTCCCTCCTTTGGTTATAAATATCCTCGTCGACAGTGTTCCTCGTCAAGAACCTCCACACATAAACATGCTTTTCCTGTCCATAGCGAACTAGCCGGCCCACAGCCTGCGTCTCGCAAGCCTTGTAGATCTCTTTTGAGGGTGCAAGTAACGGAGACAAGAAAACGGCATGATTGGCTGATGTCAGATTAGCCCCACTAGCGCTTTCGTCCATGACATTCAAAAGAAGTACGCGTTCTTCGCTCTCGTTTTGGAATGTTTCGAGGTTCTTGCTCTTCTGATGCGCAGTTCCCCTAATCTCGAGGAACTTGATTTTGTTATAAGTGAAGGCTTCGGTCACCTTTTTCATGAGATCAGGGAACTGGACGAACACCAGAACTCGCTCAGTTTTTGGGGATCTCTTTGCTGAAGGGGCTTGATGATTAGATGTTTGAGATGGATTGATGAGGCAACTTACTTGAATCAAATTGACGACCTTCTCGAGTTTCATCCCAAAGTGCTTGCCCTGCCCGTCCCGACCCTCGTCGTCGATACCTAAAGTGTCGGCTTTGACCTACATTCAGCACCCGCGCAGCACTCTTGCACGCCCCAGATGCGGCGTAGACGCACTCTTCCCGCTCGGCGCACGTTCTGACGCACTCCAAGCATCCCATATGCCCACAGGAGGAAAGCACCGCCACCTCGCTAATCGGTAGCTTCTGCCGTTCGCATTTTGGACAGTTCACAATCGGTGGCTCCTCTCGCTGCTTCTGAAGATCGCGCACGACTGTGAAATACCGGAGGGAACGAACTCGACCAACCAACTCCTTCGTTAGTCGCCGGATTTCGTGTGTCTTCTCACGATGTTCCCAAACTTGGGCTTTCGTCTTCTCGCTGAGATTGACGTCCTCTCGCTTCGCTTTGCCCTTTACGACACCAACGCCAGCCTCGTCTAGGAGTTCGATGACTATCTCAGGTCGCCTCCTTGTCGTCAACACCTTCGCTTCTGCATACTCGGATCCACTCGTGGAACATGGATTCACTTCCGACGTTGCTAAGACTCTTTTCTCTCTTCACGCCATCTTTCACCGCCTTGAGGAGGTCCGCCTTACACTCGTCCAGCTGCTTTTGGCGCTCTCCCACGATAACGTCGCAGGCCTTCATGGCGTTTTCATTTGAGGTTTCCAGATCAAAGTGTGAACAGCGCTTGAGCAACGCTTCCTCCGCAGATCTGTGGCGTGTCAGAAAATGAACTTCGCAACCAAAAATGAATTTACATACTTGCTTTCGCCAAGGGATTTGGCGAGCCGTTTCTCTCGGTCACTTTCTGTTTTCTTGCCGCGTTTGATGGTCATATCAAGGGCACGTAAGTGATGCTCTAGTTCCAAATAGATGGCACGTTCTGCAGCGGGTAGAATGATATCGACAACCTTTTCCGTCCATGGAATCTCGTCAATCTCGGCGATATTCTGGAGATCGCGTCAGGATCCTGATAGTCTCGGAAGCAGCTGGTTACATACCTGGCGAACGAATTGGTCGAGGAAAGCCTGCCCGAGTTCATGCCGATGTGCATGCCACTCAAGACTATGGACTTCCCGAAAAGAGTGAAATTTCTCCACCTCTGATTGAAGATGAGCTGGCAAAATCATTACTATAGAAATGGAAGACTATACCTGTCTGTTCTCGCCGGCGCCTCTTGACCTCAGCGGACTGGCCTTCTCCATCATCATCTACACCAAGATGAATGTTCAGGAATGCAGCGATCGTCTTCAAAGCAGCAAAGTCATGAATGGGCGGGGTACCGGAGAGAACCCAATGCCGCTCAGCCGTCAGGTTGGTAACAAGTGAATGCACTTTCCCATCGAGATACGTATACTCATCAACGACTTTGCGAGCGAAGTGGAACATTTCCAAAGGAGGCGCGCGCATCTGTGTCCAATCTTTGCGAACGGGCTTTGACTCTAACTTCCACGGATCATTATCGACACGTTTCTGCTTTTTGGCAGGATCGTTCGCCCTCATCCCCAGCCTTGCGCTTCGTCGGCTTTTTAGCAGCTTTCTTAGGTTCATCGACATCCATATCCTCGTCTTCCGTAGCCGCATTAGAAGATACAGAGGGCCTTCGTGCTTTCGGTTTCGGCTTCGGAATAGTCTTCTTGGAAGGCTTCTTGGGAACGTCTTCTTCGTCTTCCTCCTCATCATATTCATCCGATGACGGGACCGAAGTGGGTGACGACTCGCCGTCATCGTCATCGTCCACATCTGAGGCCTCCATCTCGAAATCTTCGTCGTCGTCCGAAACAGCGCGTTTGCTTTTTCGGCCGCCTTTCTTTGTCTTTTCATCGACCTTCTTCGCCAATCCGCCGACTTTCTTAGACGTGATAACAGCTTCGCTGGAAGTGCTGTCTCCTTCGTCATCCGATAAGATCGTCACCTTCTGTGACGCAGCAGCACGCCGCTTCGGCCGCCTGTTGGTGTCGGAATCGCTCTGCTCCGCAGCCGTAGGAGAGGATGCCTCAGAAGAAACATTTCGGCTCAGTCTAGGGATAACCACTTCGACCTTCTTGAACTTTTTGGGAGACTTCGCCTTTGCTGCCCGGGCCGCCTTCTTCTCGGCTTCCTTTTGGTCAGCTGCATCACGATAGGACTTGCCCTTCAGTCTCTTCGACTGAATGGCTGCTGCAATTCGTTCCGCTTCCTCTTCAACTAGAACAGACCATCAGTATAGAAGGGCGTCGCATTAGGTAAAAACGTACCCCGCTTCTGGGCATCCTGTATTTCTTGCATAACGGCTTCAGAACCTTTGTCTTGAAGTCTATCGGTTTGGGCCTTCAAAGACTCCAGAGCTTTCCGAAGATTAGCATTGAAGTGCCTGCCCTCTTTCGAAGGAAGAGCGCCCGCCGCCGCTAGAAGCTGGAGGTTGTCGAGGTAGACATTACTCTTGAAAAGGTTGGACGCAACGACAACAATGTCAGCATCTTGGAAATCCTCAATTGTCGCGGAGTTGAGGTTTGATACGGTGGAAAGAACTAGTACTGTGAATCCCTTCTTCGTAAATTTACGGACCTCTGAGTCCCATTGCCTTGTTAAGTGGGGCGGCACGACAATAAGGGTCGACTTCAGTAGGATCTTCCCCTTGACACGGCCCATGGCATTGAACTCTTTCTCGACGTCCTTAGCGGCACAGTCAATAAGACCGAGTGTGATAGCCGTCTTTCCGTAACCAACTTGATCGGCTAGCACACCTCCACGGATATGAACCGGGCGCTGCGCACGTCCTTCTGCTCTCCATCCCAACGGGTCCAGAATGCTCTCCGAGATCTCTTCTTCGATGAAAGGCGCTGCATTTCGAGACTCCTGCTTCAGCATCCATTCTAAAGATCGGAGTTGCTCCTTGCGAAGCGGAACCTTGAAGCTGGGCGGCTGCGCATGTTCCTTGTCCAATTTGTTGCTGGAGATGACAAATTTGGGAAGGTTCAGGCTGACAACAGGGGTAAAGTTCATGTTAAGGCGCCATGAAAGAGTCGGCTTTTCAGTTCGACCAGTCTTGGGAAGACGGGAGAGCGCGCGATGAAGAAGAGATGGGATGTTGACCCCGATTCGAACGATACCAGTGTTGTCCTCCGTTAGCTTCAGCTGTGTGATGAATGGACTGGGCCTCCTCTTGAGCCTGCGTTCGTATTCCCCTGCTTCGACAGGATCCTCTACAGGGACGACTTTCTTGTTCACTTGTGTCCAATGTATATGAGGCGCCGTAGGAGCACATCGCTCGCAGTTACACTGCCCCTCTGGCAAAGTTACATCTTGCCACGAGCTGAAATTATTACCAGCGTCGCGGATACGCTCCAAGAGCCATGCCAACGCCTTGAAAGTGCCACGTTCATGGATCTTGTCCACCTCCTGCCATGATCCACGCGGCCATTCCGGTCCAGCATGATTCTTGAGTAGGACCGTGCACGTAAGAAGGGCGGTCGCACTCCGACAGGCATCATCTGAGATTGGGATCTCAAGTCCTTTGGCAGGGACGGAAAACTTCGCATCATTGCTTTGTGAAGCCTACGGGAGAGGTCAGCAGGTGGGAGTTTGAATAAAATATTGGCTTACCGTTAAATGAACATTCTCTGCCCTTACCCACTTACAAGGGGTGCGACAAGACACCTCTTCCTCCTCCTCGTTGGAGCTTTGCCGCCACGAAGGAGACAATTTCGCAATGATAGGTCGCGCTTCACCGTATTGATGACGGCGTCTGCTAGTGGAGAATACGAAGCTATCCTCCGAGTCACTGGTTCGGTGGGGATCCATAAGCATATACAGGGGTGGTAAAGTTCCTTCCCCTGACATTCTCTTATGTAGCGCCCCGTTCGCGGTACCACAACGATCATGAAGCGTATAAACCCCAGAAATATCACGATCGAGTTTGGGGACATCAGAGTTGGCAACTGACACCCGCAAACGTGAAAAGACCGTTTTGTTCCTGAAGGTATCTTCAGTAAGGCCCAGACGTGCTTCCCATGACGGTACCAACTCTCCTTCCCCTTTCACCTTGACGGCGATAGATGAATTATGAGGGAGAGCGAAATCCCAGCTGCCAGATAATAGGCTCTCAGCACAAGTGAATCTGCCCACCGGCATTTCCAACAACTGACGTATCTCGGCATTCGCAGGCTCGTGCTCTTCCGGTTTCGCAAATAAGCGCCATTCCGTTTGCTGAGGATGCAAAAAGAGCTCCAGTGTCGCCTCAGGTGACTGATACACAGCGCTCCAATATTCTTGTCGCTTGGGTTCCACAAAGCGCAGCTCAGACTTGGCTGCGCGAGAAACTGCAGCACACCAGCTCGACCATCGTGCCTCTGGAATCTTGACGTTGGCAGATGCCTTCAAACCATCAAGCACTTTCTGGCTAACACCCGAGAATGAAATCGACATGGGAAGCATGGCCTTTAGTTCCTTGGCGAAATCCGAAGGCGGCAACCTAGGATTCTTCGTAGAAAAGACGATAGGCTCCGGGTTATGCTCAGGACGACCACCACACTTCTTACAGTACGGTGTACCGCAATCCTTGCAGCGAAAGAGCTCCCGGGTAGTCATGTCTGTCCGTCCCTCACACTCACAAAGACGCGCACTTTTTTCTGCATCCTTCAAGAGGTCGATCAATGACCGATTGCCAGTCGCAGAAAGATCGAGGGGCTTCTCGACAAGCTGATCTTCACCGGTAATACGGTCCTCCATAGCTACAGCATCTTCAGCGGGACGATCGATTTCCATTGGTGTCTCGACGTCCGTCTGGGTTCCCCGCTTTGACTCGTAACTCTCCAAATCATCTCCAGCCTTGAGAAGCTTCTTCCCACAGACCAGTGCAGCCAATATACAAGACCCGACGACCGTCGTGGACATGGCATTGCCTGCTAGATCCGCCAATTGATCCTCCGTTTCACGCGTCAAGAGTAGCTTATCCACAGGAAGACCCTGCATCGACAAAGCTTCTAAGCCAACCATCGGCCCACCGCGGTTGGTGATGTATGGAATCATGGAGGGAGTAAGACATGGGCAGATTCCAACTTTATTGGAGCCTATGGTGCGATCGACGTTCTGAGAAAGATTCCAAACTTGGCTACAAGGAAACATTAATGATGACCTCCCCACGTTCGAGGAAGTGACTTACGTCTTGTACGAAGGGTCGATGCCTTTCTTTGCATCTCGCAGGACACTGATATCCATCAAGTCCCAAACTCGCTCCACTTGTCCGACACCCCAGTCTCCCCAAGCAAAATCCGGAAGTTTGCAGAAGCCACCTAACAGTAGATCAACTTAGTTATAAGAGCCAGGGAGAAAGCCGTAACAATACCTTCATCCCAACTCGTAAGAGGACGCTTCGATCCGAGACCCTCCTCTAGTCTTGCTCGCTGATGCCGAGACTCGCAACGACTCCAATCGGTTCGTCCTGTGCGTCGATCAAGGGCATTATAGCTTTCTTGCACGAGCTTTTGACGAGCGTGATGTATACGAGGATCGTCAGAAGCTAACAAAAAAGCGTCCAGAGTGGAGGATGCAGGCCGCTTGAGTTTGTTGGTAACGTAATCCTTCCACTCATCAGGAATAGAGGAATTTTTCTTGTCGACTGCGATCAGGTAAACTCTGGTGCGTGTATGGGGAATATAGTACTGTTTGGTATCGACACGGGAAAAGGATGCGCTATAGCCATGCGCTTCAAACTTCTCTTGTACCCGGGACCATGGAGCAGAGCATACGTTCTCGAGTATGACAATGGGCGGCCTATGGTTGGTAACCCAGGACATCATACCACGGAACGTACGTCCAGATTCGCCATTCGCATCGATGTCCTGCTTTTCGTTGTTGAGATTGGAGTAATCGACGCACGAGGTACCAGCCACTAAGAGATCAACATCGCCTGGTACCGGTGCTAATGCACCGTATGCAGTGTGGCTACAGTTAAATTAATAATCAGTTACTATCCAAGATGATAGAACGCACGCTTCAGCATTGCCCAGCTCGCAGACATCACGAAAGAGGATGGGAGGATGAAAGTTCCTCTCAATGTAAGCCTGTTTGAAAGGTTCTATTTCGCACGAGAACACATGTTCAATTTCGAAGTTGACGCCGTGTTGTTCTAGTATTGACTTCTGGATAAGTTCGAGGGCTAGAAGAGGTGATTCGGTGCCAGAACACATTGTCGCGACGCGCAGCTTACGTCCTGAGATGTGATCAGCGACCTGCTTGATACGGGGTATCCGGCTGACGAGATCGGAGAAAATGGCGGGTATATCGTGAATAGGTGGCAGATCCGACGCGTCTGGCGCGGCAGATTTAGTCCCTTTTTTAGTGGGAGCAATGGAAGCGTCGTCATCATCGTCCATATCGACATCGGAAGAAGGGTCATCCTTCTTCTTGGATCCACTAAAAAATGATGTGATGGACTGCTGTCCTTTGGACTGGCTCTTGCCCTTGACCATGGTTGGTGTTGGTGAGAGAGAAAGAGAAAGACGGTGTCACAAACGCGTGACGTCACAGGCATCACTTGCCCAAGGGGCCCAAGGTCACGCCGGTCACGCCGTTGCGTATTCTTCGCCTTTGTCATTTTGGCCATTTTGTAAGTTTTAGTCCCAGCCCTGAACCAACATGTTCTAAGACATTCGCATCTGTTCTTTATCTATTCTTTGAGGGTCAATTGACGGTAGTTAAAAGAGTATAATGAGTTCCCTATTGGTGCTGATAAAATAAACTAAGTACGAAAAAGGTTGAAGATAAAGTGTAATAAAGACGGAAAGACCCGAACGAAGTCACGGTGGCGCGCCGTCTCGTACGAACACCCACTTCCCACCAATGTTCTGCATGCTCCCGCCAGAACTAGATATGCTACTGGCCTGCTTGTCCGAATATTCTGTCTGCATATCAGAACCACCTCCCAGAACAATGGCCTCCGTGCCAGGATCTTCATGGCTGAACTGCGAGAATCCACCCCTCCCACGACCTCGACCTCGAGTAAAGCCATCACCTCGTCCTTTCTGAAATTGTTGTTGGTTAACGTATTGCCCTTGCGCTTGCCAGCCTGAATACTGATTCTGCTGCGGTATCCCCATCACCCCACTCATGGCCGTCATGAGATATTGCATCAACTGCTCCTGGGAAGGTGGCTGACCGTTTGTCACCTCCCACATCTTCCCGAAAGATTCCCATGCGGCAGGTGAGGTGGGATCAAATGTTTGTGGATTAAACGCTTCGAGGCCAACCGGTTGTTCGGCTGGCTGTACTAGCTCGATTGTAGTCGTAGAAGGAGAAGGGGGTGATTCATGGTAGCTAGTGGACGTAGACGCAACTGACGGAGCTGTAGGAAGCGTGTCAGCAGATACGGCTGGGGGTGGCTGTGTAGCTGATTGCTGTTTTGGCTCTGCTTCGGGCGATTGTGAACGAGGCCGTACATCTCGTCCAAACTCGTCTTTCTCGCCGTCACCACTAGACTCAGTAACATTTCTGGATTCTGCGACTGGCATTGACGGTCTCCTAGGAGGACTATATGGCCTGACGCCTCGCCTACCGCCATATCTACGGGGACTTCTAGACCGACTGTGTCCTGATCTTCGAGGACTCATGTCTTTTTCCTTGAAACGATCACGGGTATCCCTACTACCTCGTCCATTATTCCTGTCATGATCTCGATAGCCACTTCGGTGTTCCGATGGAGAAGCTCCTCGGTCGTTATTGTACTCTCTGTCATCACCTGAACCATTGTAACGGTCATGACGAGGGATATCATGACTATTAGGTGACATAATGGGTCGATATCGTTGATCAGAAAGAGGTATTGGTGATAGAGATGCAGCAGGTCTGCGAGGATCAGGGACATTTGTAACATTAACGAAGTTAGTGGGCGGTGGAGCCGGCGCACCGACCCCACCATTCCCCCGCTGAGCCGTCTGAGCAAGCTGCTGTAGTATAGCAAGCTGTGAAAGCTCCAGCTGAGGCGCGGTTGTCCCTGTCGTGTTTGCTGCTGTTTGCCTGGCCGAAAATGCATTAGCCTTCGCCGGATGGAGAGAAAAAAAATGCTCACCCGTTCAATGCGGGCTTAGCAGCCTGCTGAAGGAGTAGAGCGAGTAAAGTGGATTGGGGATCCGCCGCCTGCACTGGAGGACTTTGCGTCGCGGGGGGTGTTACGCTCTTCGATTGTAAAGTGGCGTTTCGAGGATCGGATGAGACAAGTGATTTCTCGGGCACTATTAGAAACAAACCATCACATTTCAGTTTTCTGACTTTCAGTTTACAGGAACTCCCAAGGAGAGCAAAGAAGGATGGGGTTGTATAGGTAGGGAAAGTACTTAGCGAATACATTGCAGGATAATGATAAGCACCTTTTTCTGAATCCTTCACCGTTTTGGTCAAGCTCGAGAGGATCTGCGCTGGAAATGTATTTGCTTTTACCCAAATATCAAGTATCTTTTTGGTTTTTTCCTGTAAAAGGGCGAAAAGGGTCGGTCAGGACCATGTCTAGTTAACATTATCACAGAAGACAGAAAGGCCGTAGAGATGAATGGCACAGGACAAATGCACCAAAGAAAGTAATCGTCAGACTCTATTGATAGATACGCATGCTGTCGTAATGCCTGTAGCGAAGATAAGGTGCACGCCCTGGCACGTCCTGTCTTCTTGATGATGTCAGTGTATGCCGTAGGACACTAACCTTGAATTCATCTTTTCCAGTGGAAAGCATATCTTGGAAAAGCCCTTCCAAGATACCCTCAACCTTGGAAAGAAACGTGGCGGCATTGCCTTGACTGGAGCCGGCTGAAAGCTCATGTTTGTTAACCTGATGTCGTGCCGCCCGAGAAAGTGCATCAAAGACATATAGGCTGTGGATCTTGGACTGGCGCTGGAAGAGCTTTATGGGTACGGTACAAGATAGACACAAGTTGGACATCATCCTATATAAGAGACACGGCAGAAAGTCGAGAGCGACAATCAGCACACCAGCACGCCAGTAAAACAATATAATGCACGCACCTTCATCGACTTGAGCGCGATTTCTGTTAGCTTGGTCACTTTCGACGCTGAAAGGCGCTTGGCAGTTACAATCTCCTTCAGCTGCGATTCGAAGTCCTGCATCACGGTTGAATAGCAATATACCAGTAGATGCAATGTAACGTACACTTAGCAATGCCATTATGGCTTTCATAGACCCTCCAAGGGGGCCAGGAGGAGATACGGGTAAGTACAGGGAGAAAGAGGATGGAGCGAAGATGTGGCGTGAGGGAGAGAGGATCGTGTTTACGCTTGTTGTTATGATGCGCACCTGATTTCCCGTTGCACGTTTTCTGGCTTCATGTCACTCCCAGCGAAGGCGACGCTTACTGGCGCCTGTCTCTTCACTGCCCTCACCGTCTATGCAGTTCACTTTCAGCAGAAGCAGGAGCGCGAGGTGAGAGCTTTACTTGACGTCGCAAGAATGTCTACTCATACGGGACCAGACGCAATACCAAGGTGTGCTGAAGGATGACGTTCGCCGGGCGGAGAAGATGCGCCAGCGCAAGGAGGACTTCGAAGAATCCAAACGGAAGCGCGCGCTGTATGAGAGCGTTCAAAGGGTTGAAAAAAATACCTCTGATGCATGATCCTGTCGTCTGGTACATATGATTTTATTATGCCTGGTTGAAAGAGTTTATTCAAAACATTTAGATCATCGACGTCCCTCCTATTCAGAAGCCATATAAACCTGGTCTGACTATCAGTACCTATGGTTATCGATATGATCATAAATGTCAGCTTGTGACTTGTATTGTCTACGCCGACGGTTCCCTGGATGCCCCAGTGAGGACATGAAATCGTTTTCAACGTTTGATGCTCACAGCACACTACCTGTGATAATGGCTTCGACTAGTCTAGCTCACTTTCAAACTGGAGGATACATCAGCATGAAGAGTGAAAACCGCCTAGGACTTAAGCTTGGTTCATTACTTGTCCTTGTAATTATAGGTTGGCACTCTTCGCAAACCTCCAAGTGCCATCTTAAGAGTATATCGAGTCTCTTGCCAACGATAACTTGTTTCCTTTTTCCTTTGCTACTATGAATATGCTCCCCTCTTTCTTGTATTCAATTCATCTTTCCTATTCTTATTTTCTTGCTCTTATTCTATTTCTTGGTTCGGTCCCGTAGCAATTAATTATTCTTATAAGTAATCTAGTTAGCGTTATATCTTCCCAGAGTAACCAACTGTAGCACGGACGTCGTTATCCTTTTTTTTTAAAGGAGCACCGACAACTAATAAAACAAACAAACTTCCTTCTTACGAGCCTAGCTCCTTGGGTCTTTAACAAACTCATCTCCTAAGAGACACAGCAACTCCCTCCATCCAAATTTGTAGCCCTTTCGTTAAGATGGCCCAATAATATTACTACAACTTGGTGGGCGTGGCTTCCCTCGTCTTGAGGTCGGAAGAGAATCACAGCGAGTTACGAAGGCAGCTCGTGCCGTCATCCCTTAGTCTCAGTTCGCTCGACAGGGCTACCATCGTGGGCCATTGACCATAGCCGGAGTTAGAACTTGCATCACGCTACTTAGCGTATGTAAGTAGATGCAATAAAGTTTGTTCTGCAGTTGACACTTGCATACGCAAAAGCGTCGTTTCTCCTTTCCTCAGGTTGAAATCACACGACATGTTAACCTTGCGACCTTATGCTGACAATGATGCCTATAGAACCACCTCTGAACACGACTCAACCAGTGGGCCAAAGGACGTTACCGTACATGGTGGCGATCGAAATAGGTTTGACACGATCACGTTCAAACGAGCTTAACCATCTCCGGACTCCCCTTATTTAAATGTCCCTGATATGTACCTCTGACCTCTGTTTCAAGTTGCGACGTATGTCGATACCACTGCGCAGGTTCGGATTGTTGCCGTTTGAGCCAGATAGTAGCTTAGGGTCTCAGACGGAAAGTATGTGATAAAACATGGAGAGTCTATGGTTGATGTCATCCCCACAATAATTTAAGTACACTTGTTGGGAGCCACCGTTTTTCCCCGACTGCGATCTCACAAGTTTCAGACGCAAATGTATTGGCAGGGGCGTCTGGTTTCGCTTGTATCGTATCTAGGATTGAGATACAGCGGATACAAATAAACATATGAAAAGTCCCAGAAACCTCCGTGAGTAGTACCAAGAGTTTGCATATACAAGATCCTCAAGTCCGAATCGGGGTCAGGACATTCTACTGTGAGAAGAGCCGAGTCCATCAAGTCTAACTCGGATAAAAATCAGGTATATGTCATACCCCTCCTCCGCCACGAGTCTCGCCCACAATATTCACGAGGAAAGTCATAGGGCGGCGGCGGTTATTCGGACAGTAAAGGGATGGCCAAGTTCAAGTACAAACAGGCAGCCAGCGCTTTTAACTCAAATCGCAACTCGGAAAAAAGCCGTTCCAGTAGCGTTAGAGGAAAACAGAGCGCTAGGTCACAGGTTGCTAACCGCCTCCGAAAGATACCGGAAGAGCTCGGAGTTCCGTCTAGAATCGTCATAGATCGTTTATAGCCGCCCCGTGCCCATCCAATTTCAACCTTCAAGGATCCCTCGTCACAAATTCAGGTATGTAGTTCCCTACGGAATCCTTCCTCGTTTCCGCTCCCCGCGATTGATGAATCATTAATGTGGGGGTATGAGGATGATCATGTGTATGTCTCGTCACCTTCTGTAAATACCGCCCGTCGAACATTTATGAACTGAATTGGCCATCGTCACAGTGATTACGGGCTGCGCTCGGCCCATATGCTGATCTCGTAACATGTTGCAAGATGTTGAAAGCCGGTCTCGAGCATGTCCGGACGGAACATGTCAATGTTCAAGTTCTAGCTTCATCAACGTTTCATGATCAAGCTTCGTTGTACGTTTCTGTTGACCAGCGGCAATGACTGGTATGACTCATGTGGACGGCAGGGTGTTTCTCTAAGGAAAGCGCTTCCGCCGAGAGACCTAGCTGTAGGGGGTGAGTCGATGAGGGATGGTTCAATAGGAGCCAGGAGGCGGGGGATCGTGACCAGAAAAGACAAGGTGAATTTTGTATTCTTGTCCGTTCGCGCCGTCGAATTGAAATTAGCACACTCGGAGAGCACATGCCAGATCAGGAAAACTGCTCATTTGTTCCACTTGCCGCAGCGAAAAGAGGAACTTGAATTCGGATCGGAGAAACTGGTCTGAGAATGATGGGTGACCGCTGGGTCTGTGTTGCCAACTGCGCTTGTGGTATTAGCATAACACCCGTGCAATGTGAGATCGAGATACGTAGCATTTGGTCCGGTGAGAACACAATGGCAGCTGATATGATGTCAGTCACACAGGCGCTGGTCTGCAGAGAGCGACGAGATATTCTGACAACACAAGGAAAAAGGGAAACACAGGGAGAATAACTGCCCCCTCCTAGATGAGACCATGTAAAAAACGTTGAAGAAGACGTCGAATATAGGCACAGACAATAGAGGCTCTTTCACTTGGGAGCTGACAGCTGACTGATTGCGCGGAGACAGATCAATATGGATTGCGGGGTAAAGGCAGTTCATGCAAAGGTCATATGAAGAGAGTATTGCACGATCCTGGCAGGTTTTCGGTACACGACAACGGGACGGATCAGTAGCAGGGCTACTACTGGGCTGGCCAGAAGCAACATATGGTCGACTGCTCTAGTGTGGCGCGGTGCGGGGTATTAAATAAAATTTGTAGCTTTCCAGGCACTCGGGAGGAACATTCTTCCCGGGCCGAGATGATACGCCGGTTACGGGTGACTCCGGGTGTTACCCAATCAGACCGGATCTTCGGAGCGGCCTCAAAAACTGGACACCCTCAGTGGGGCTTTTTCATTACCTCTCATTGGGCAACAGTCTGTTCAGCACTATTTCGTTGTTCAGCATTATTTCGCTGTTCAGCACAGCGGACTCACGTTCCTCGTGTCGTCACACGACGACGGCGGTCCTTTATTTACCCTGCATATATCCACAGTGACTCTGACCGGCGCACTTTCTCCCGTCGATCGCGGTATCCGTTTCCGACAATCTTGAAACGAACCACTCTCCTTACCACCTTCCACCATCACCATGGCCAACTACCTCCCGGTTTTACTCGTCTCGGTGGCGACGAATGCGACGCCAGACGACTCTGCTCTATCCACTTTGCCACGGGGTCAGGTTGATTACTTGAGCCACGACTGGCAAGAAGAGGATGTCTGGAAATCGTGGCGCAACATGACGAGACAAAAGAATGAGATTGCGAATGGGATGCGTCTAGAGAATGCCAGCTGGAGAACTTGGTGGAAGCAACGTAATAAGCTTAAGACGGTGTCCCCAGAGACGCTCAACTGGTGCGGCAATCACCTTTTTCTTTCTATCCTTGGACCCTAACAACATTTTCAATTCCTCCCTATTTCTGCTCGGCAGGCTGAAGGATTCGGATGTAACCTGGCTCTATGGCCCACTACATACCGCGGTAGAATGGACTCCACCCCCACGCAAGTCGACCGTCACCCCAAATGATCATCTCGACTTGTCTTCACCCAAGCATAAACCTATCTTGAAGCACCGTAACCTTAGTGAATTTCTTACTTCGGATCTACCCCACAGTCCGGCCTTTAGCCCTTCCGAAAGCGATAGCGAACAAAGCGCTAACCAGCAACACCGCCACTCGGAATCTCAAACGGACGTTTCTGCAGGCAATCAATCGCGGCCTCCATTAGGGCACACCAGGTCCGACACCCACATCGCTCGCTGGGGCCCAGATCGTGCATTCCGCAGGGATTCGCCACCAAGAGTCGACCCGCCCGCAGCCAGCGCTGAAGACCGTACATCCAGCACATTACGTTCATCAAACCACGCCTACAGCGGCACCGACCTCAATGGGTACTTCCAGGCACATCTGCGGTCCAGCGATAATTCCCCGCTCTCCGGATCCGATGCGAACAACAGCACTAACACAAACAGCTCCCTTCAGACTCAGCCAAAGAAGAAGCATAAGCATATCACTTTCAATACCTTCGTCGAGCAATGCATAGCAATAGATAAGCCGAAGTCTAACCGAGCTGAGAAGATCAAGAAGGATAGTGTTTCGCTACCTACTGGGAGTCGCTCTGGCTGGGATGGCCGGACAGGAGCGAAGGGTGTCAACTGGCAGATGAACTACGAAGATGATGATGACGACGACGAGGAGGGTGATGAAGGAGGGTGAGTTGCTCGACCTTCATTCTGGAAACAAACGTCTGAGTTTACCGTCCTACTAGCTACGATGAAGATGCCGAAATTTCTTCTGCGTCCCCGCAGACATCGTCTGATGAAGAGGGTCCTTCGCAGCATTGGGAGAAGCGACAGTCTCATTCGTCTTCTTATCCTTCGGCGCACAATGATGATGATTACGCCGACAACGAGTGTGCTATCTGTACCGATTCAGAGTCAGAAACTGAACCGTCGCAGCCTCGAACGGCTTATTCCTATCCCCTCGTGAATCATGTCCAGGATGATTCAGATGACGATGATGATGGCATAATCGAAATGCGACCCTCGAGGCACACCCAGGTCTCGACCGCGCCTACGCCTGCTAGCCAGAGGTCGCAATCAAAGGTGTCCAATGCGTCTTCGTCAACCTCGACCTCATCTGCATCGACCTCGTCATCGATAATAGCCGAATCTCCGAATTCGACAACTCCAGAGTCTGGCGGTGAGAAGCGTCGGAGGCGGGGATCCAAGTCTGGGAGAAATGTCAAGGCGGTATCTAGGCGGCGTCACTCGTCCAGCGCATCAGCAGCGACTCTCCGGCCCCAGGCACCTCCGTCATCGTCCTCTTCATCGTCCTCGTCGTCCTCGTCATCTCCATCCCTAGTCTCAACCAATACCCTATCTCCTTATACCTTAACTTCTGGGCCGGACCACGAACAAGCAGCACAGAGTCACTTCACGCACAATGTCAGTACAATTGCACCTATTGCCCCGACAATGTTAAAGATTGGTGGCGGTGGTGATGACTGGAGTTGGGACGGGTTTGGCGTGCGCCACCATTTCTCCGGACATCATCGTACTGGTCATTCACAACATAACGAGCTGTGGATGGAAGGCTTCGGTGACGAGGGTTGGAGTGATGAAGGGTACGGTAACATCGACGATGGTACCAAGAGCCACCCGACAGCCTCCGGAGCACCAGTAGAATTGGTGTATGTTCCCAATCCAGCCCTGGGAAGAGGGTTTGGCGGTGTGTACAGACGCGATGACACCCCGGACATTGACGAGAGTGAGAAGGAGGATGACGATGCCGCACCCCGAGCACGGCTGGCAGAGGACAGCGGTGAGACGACATATCATCATAAGGGGGCATACTTTAGTGTTACAGACGACCCCAGACAACAGCTTAGGGCGAAGAAACTGGAACGAAGAGCTGGAGGACCGCCTTCGCCTGTACGCATAGTTGTACGCACGCCGCCTCAGGTCCAGGCTGATGCTGAGGGCAGCCCTTATGATTATTTTGGGGGCATGGATATGAACCCAGGGGAAGATTACTTTGGACGTCCTGGCGGAGCTGGTAGGCGAAGAGTGGTGAGAAGGGAGGATGACGCGGTGGAAGACGAGAGGAGGGAGAACGCCGATCCTACGACGTCTCAGTTGACACCAGATCCGGTCAGCATCCCTAAAGTGTCAAGACCTACATCGCCTCCCACAACGACATCGCTGCAACCACCGCCTACACGTGGGCGAACCTCATCTCCAACGAGGTCATCACCAGCTACATCCCCGTCGTCATCAGCTGCAAGCGCCCCTCCTCGTGGTAGATCCCTAACACGTTCACCGTCGTGGTCGAGTGGCGTTTCGGACCGCGAGCGATCGAGGTCGAAGAGTGTGAGCTCGACGTCGCCGATGGGCAGCTTATCGCCTGATGGTAGCCATAACAGCATTGGTGCAGTGGCTGGCGGTTTATATGCTGGCGGCCGGGAGGAGAGAGAGAGGACAGGAAGAAGGAAAGAGAGCAGACGATTAGGAAGCTCGAGTGGGAGCAGTGTGAGTCCTGATGCAGGTTCGACAATGCCGGACCAAGACTTGCTCTCTTCTTCTATCACTTCTTCAAGGACTGTTCGACCCTCGCAAGGATCAACGGAAGACATCTCAGAGTCTAGACCTTCGAGCTCCTCTCAGGCAGAGCACGATGCAGCGTTCGCTATCACGGAAGAGCCAAGATATCCCATTGAGGAATCAGATACACCGCGTTCATTGCAGCACACGCCGACGAATTCGCCTTCTAGGAGTCTGAGAATATCACATCCTAGTCCCAACTCAACGCCGACGAAATCGTCGACCCAAGACACTGAATCTGATTCGAACTGCACGACCCCGACGCCGTCGTCTCCTCTCCAAGGGCCTCTGCCTTTACCGAAGCATCACGCGAGGAGTTCGGGTCGTCGGAGTGCAACCGATTCTAACTCTACTTTCCAGTCAAATAGGGCGATGCATGACAAGGACGACTCGTTAATGGGTCGGATGGTCAATTCTGCAGGGTCTTATCTGGGCTTCTGGCACTGAAACCGCAGATCTTTACGCTATTGACGCGCGCGTTTTTTGTTCTGTTGCTGGACTCTTCCTTTTCTCTGTCATTATTGTGTTACACTAATTCGTAATATTCATACCCGACAAGCTTGCATTATTACCTACAATACCCACTACAATCGACCACCCGTCTCATGACCGCATCTCTTTTCATCCTGTATCATTTATTCTGCGTCTTTTGCTCCTCCTGCACTTGCCTGTCTGGATGAATGTATGTTGTTAAGTACATAGCATGTAATATTAAGTTAAATAGCCGGCATAATCCATTTGCTTCTGGAAAGCATCCCGAATTTCAACGTTCTCCACCTAAAGCTGATGACATTATTGCATAACTTAAGCTTCATGATGGAGCCACATTTCCCACTGTTCAATTATTCTGCCTTCTCAGTTTCCCTTGCCTCTCTTTTCTTTTAGGGCACATTTGCCTTACCACGAACGACTTCGATTCTGTGAACGGCTCAACGGTGTTCTAAATGTGCAGACGAGAGAGTCTGAGTCCTGTCTACTACTTGCAACGATGCCGACAACATGTCACTCCAATTCGCCCTGAAGACGACCTGCTATCTTTTCAGTCGCTACGCGAGTCCTCACTGGTGGAAATTATTGAACTCGAGAGCCTCTTTTTCTAACTTGAACGCGTTGTTCGCCAAACTATGCTTACAGTGGGTGGCTTTTCATCACACACTGGGTTGGGCCAACTAACTGGTGACGTTTATCTTAGCTTTAAGAAGGGTAGGGTCGACTGGACTCCTACGTTTGAGCTTTGTTATGGGATAGCGGTGTCCACGCCGGTATATATAGACGCGAATACAATAACCTCGAATAATGAATGTCGCTATAACAATATGATGATCAATCGCCTCGATGTTGATGCAGATGTCTGACACGCACCGGCAAACAGAATAACCCTCCCTCGTGGTGACTTCTCTTCTCTCAACACACCTGTCGCCAGCCCGCCGCGATGGACTCTCATACCAAGGAGACAAACCCAACCGACTCTACCACCACTATCGCATCATTCCCATTCAACGACACGAATGCAGATCTCATTCTCCGTTCCTCTGAAAGGGTTGACTTCTATGTTCACAAATCACTCTTATCTCTTGCATCGCCCGTTTTCCGAGACATGTTCGACATCGGTCAAGCAGCGCAGACACTCCAAGGCGGCATTCCCGTCGTCCAGATGTCAGAGGATAGCGATGTGCTCCACAAGCTTCTGATCTGGTGCGATCCTAGATCTATACTCCTTCCGAAGCAATTCACCATTGACGACATTTCTCGCGTCCTCTCCCTGACGGATAAATTTATGATGGAGGGTATAGCAGGCCGTGTATCGATGTTACTTTCCGAGTACGTTAAGGAGCAGCCAGCACGCGTGTACGCCTTAGCGTATCGAGGATGTGGGTCCTGGGGCGCTGAGCTCATGCGAGCTGCGGCATGGCAGACTCTGAAATCCGATTTCCCTCATCACACTCGCGCCTTCGATGACATCTCAGCAAAAGCTTTGATGCGCTTATATGAATATCGCATTGATTGCATTACAGCTGCCCAGTCGCTGATCACGGATTTAGAATGGATACCAATAGACAAACCTTGGCAACATAGGCAATCCTCCGAGCAGTTCGGTTGCAGGTGCATCTTTTTAAAGTGTGCAGGTGGCTGGACGCATGTTGCCAGATGGTTTGTTGAATATCTCCAATGCGCGCGCAACTCTTTGAAGGAGAAGCCATGTCGTGAGGCCATATTTCAACATGACTTGGGTCCCGATGTCATCGATGTCGAGAGCAGGCAGATTGCGCCTATACCCCATCCTAGGATAGAATGTTCGGCACGCGACCTGGATGACAGCAAAACTAGAACATCCTTTTCCTTATTCCAGCAAGAGTTCGCAAATGAAATTGACAGGGTAACGAAAAAGGTACTTGACACTCAAGTGTACTCTGAACCACAAGCATTGACTTTTTCCAAGGTCGAATTGGTTATTGATTAGATATCGTGCAAGTTCATAGCGGACTATATGCATAGTACAGTTTGCGCCATTGAGTATTTCGACTCTTCATTTCTCTACACTGGTGTCCCACCGCCCAATCCACAAACTATCGACCGATTAGTATTTATGGAGAGAAGATGATAACAAGGTAGCTTACTCAAATATAGCCATGATCGTCCATTTCCTGTTATCCGCCTCAGGGAAAACGAGTGAGCGAGGACCGTAGAATACCTGGTACGGATGATCGTAAGCGGAAGTGGAAGTGGGTAAAAAGACTGGTACCTCATCGTCAACCTCGTCACCTTTCCTCGGCAAACAATGCAAGAATCGCCACCCAGGCTTGGCTCCGCCTTCCTCGCACATCGCCTCAGTCACTTGATAGCCTGTAAAGTCCTTCAGACGCTGCGCCTTGGTGGACTCTTGGCCCATTGAAATCCTAGAAGCGTATCAGCTACGAGTCGGACAAGGAGTTTTGAAAAAGAAAGTACCAAGTGTCAGTAATAACGACATCTGCGTCTTTCACCGCATCCTTCGGGTTCTCGAACCATAATATGTTACCAAAGCCGTGTTTGCTTTCTTGCTCCGTTATTTGTCCAAATGTCGACCCTTCTAACCGTATTCCAAGTTCCCTGACTTTGGACACTACGGGCTCGGGTGCGCCGTACCCCACAGGACTAGCGACACGCATTTTATGCCCCAACCTCGGGAACGTGACAAGCATATCATGCAGGACATTCGCCGAGTCACCAACATAAGCTATAGTCAAAGGAGGGAGTTCTGGCAAAGGGCCACTTTGCTTTTTCGCCTTTTTGCTCTTGGCAAATTTGGTTTTCTTGTCGGATTCAGTCGACGGTTCGGGTTCTGATTCCTTTTCTTTAGGTTTAGAGGCTGTATCGGGTGCTGGTATGGGTTTTGCTGCGAGGGATTCGGGAGTAAAGAGGTGGGCATGTTCGTGTAGGGTTAGCAGGTCGGCCAATATTTGGGTAGGATGCCATAGGTCAGAGAGCGCATTAATAACGGGAACCGGGGAGTATTTTGCGAGTTCCTAACGGTAAAATGGTGAAAATGGAGAAAAGCGAATACAACATACCGTGACTCACCTCGACTTCGTGATGTCCACCGACACGCGCGAAGATACCTTGACACATTCCTCCAATAACTGTAGCAGTATCCCTTACACTTTCCCCTCCGCCTTCTCCCTTATTCCAGCTGATTTGGATATCATCCTTACCCAAGAATAATGCTTTCCCGCCGAGCACGGTCGCGCTTGTCTCAGCCGCAATCCGCGTTCGCGTGCTTCGTTTTGAGAACATCAACGCGACAGTCTTGCTGAAGAGGCTCTGACTTGGTAGACGGAGGTTCCTGGAGGCGTTGTTTTTTCCCTTTTCATGGGGTGCTAACCAAGGAAGCGTGAGCTGTTTCTGGTAGTGCGCATGGGAGATGAGACGACGGATTTGCGGCACCGATAGGTCGGCAAGCGTTAACAGATGCGGTGGAGGCATTGTGAGGAAATAGTGGTCAAGGCGTCCTGCACAACAACCTTGACGTTCCTTTGTTGTTGTTTGTGGAAAGGAAGGATTGTTTTATTATGTAGTCGTCGGTGCTCCTCTTTACAGACGTTCCGAAAAACCTTGTCCACACTGCCAAAAAGGGCAGGTAAAATCAAAAAATCAGATAAATACAAGAAAATCGTAGAAATAGCATACAGACTTCATTTGTGCGTGTCATTTAGTAGAAAGATACAAATTTAATGATCCATGGGTGCTGCAGTGTGTCGTAAAGATAATACTTGAAATAAGAACATCTGACCGATGAAGAACTAGTGAGCGCCGCCAGATTTACATGTTCAGGCTGTCTCGCACCGAACAGCCGGTCACACCTTCGTTCTTGCCATCATCGTCATTCAAGAGACAAGAAAAGACAAGACAGCTTTGAAGAACGATTCTGCATTCAGTCAAGCAAGCCGCCGCCGTGATTTTGCCACAGTTTGGACGTCGACAGCTCCCGGTCTCCTGCAACACAACGCCATAGTCCGCCCGCACCATTTCACTGCGACAAAGACATCTGCAACTGGATATCCTGGCTTTATTTCGTCAGTTTTCACGGTTAGGACTGGGCTGGTGGGGGTTCAGGCGTTGTAGACTGGGAAGCTTTGGAGAGGGCGCAGTGGCTGGTATGCTAAACATACATCTTCAAGGGAAGTTACCCACTTTCATTTTGGAACGACTTATTACTGTTTACAAGGGAGAAAACATCTACACAGCCTCCCACACCACTCTAATGCTCCGCCGCTGCCTCCCATTACCGCTAGCACAGACCCCGCTCATGACGTCCTACCATTGACCTATTGGCCTCATACCTGTTACATTACCTCTATACACCTCGTACATCCTCAACAAATCTATTTATGATACATTACACTCACGAATGAAGGCACCATGCTATTTTCACAATTTTCTTGCATTTTTTTATTTTTTTTATTTTACTTGCCTTGTTTGGCAACCGTGGACAAGGTTTTTCGGAACGTCTGTATTTATTTAGATATATGACTCAGGACATTGTAATATTAGTACAAGTGACTCAATCCTTCGTGATAAGTGAAGTGAGTCGAGTAGAATCATAGTTACAATGTAATAACTCGGAGGCCCGTATATAAAAGCAGTTGTTAGATCAAATAACACACCTTTCTACCTTCACTTACATTCCCTTAAATCATGGGACCTGGGTCAGGCCTGAGGAAACGCCTACCAGGTTAACAACTCTACTCTATTGAACATTGAACATTCTTGTTTAGGGTCTGTTCGGCTGCCAGGCACGGCCAGTTTTTGGCGCCAATTAGTTACCGTTTTTGGAAGACCAACATGAACCGGCTTTCCTCGTCGTCGTTTCGCTTGTTTTTGAGCTCTCTACATGTCCTAAAATCTAGCACACTATTAAAACAAACACCCTTGATGTTATTCCATTTATTTGAATGATTTTCTGTGCGCAATCTACCTAAGGAATGCTGTTTCTGGCCTAGTGTTGCCACGGCTCAGCTGCGCTTAGCTTGGCTCGACTTATCACCGACTCGGCTTCGGACTGACTCCAAAGTCAAATTGTGTCATTGGCTTTGACTCGGCTTGGCTCAAAGCCACTGATTTCCAGCCGAGTCATCGGCTTCACTCTAAATTAGGCAATGTAATTCATATAGCCTACTCTACGTCAATTACTGCCTCGAAAGTGTCTAAAAAGCGCAGAAAATCATCCATTCCAGAAGGGACTTCCGATTCCTCATCCATTAGACCCTCAAGTGAAGCTGTATGTGTGGCCTTGTCATAGTGCTGTGTAAAATTTAACGTAGCACCCTTCTTCAAGCGAAACTTCAGTATCTGCAGCGCTTCCATCAGCTCGGGTGTAATCCGGGAACGGCGATCTGTGATTGTCTGCTTGCCAGATGAGAAGACTCGTTCGCAAGGTACAGATGACCCTTGGATCGGAAGGATATCCATAGCCATTAAAAATAGAGTTGGATAGCGTGTACGATTTTCCTATGAAAATGTGTCAGAGAGAAGGGAATATCTTAGAAAACCACATACCTGCCAGAATAACAAGCTACTAGATAAGGATTGACGATCAAGAAGATATGCATCAAACTCTTCAGCAAGGGTCTGTCGTACTGTCGAGCTGATGGCAGGCATATCAAGACCGAGTACTTCATCCGCCCAGTTGCGAGTATGCAGAGGTGCGGGATTTGACACTAAAGTCATCGTAGAATAGCTTTGGAGCTGTGAAGTATTATGAGTCATGCAATATAATAAAATCAGTTATAGTTATGAGATTACCTCCTGCATAAATATATTCTTGACCCACCCAATCTTTGTCGGGTCATGCTGCTCATACCATTTCAGTTTCATGGTAGGATTTAAGACTGAAATAGGTTTTAGAAATGAATTATATGGAGGAAACGAAACGAAACGAAACTCATAGAAAATATATATGCCGGGATATACATAACACGGCCATAGTAGTCTTCCAGCTTCTCGAGGCTGGCTGTTATTACGTCTCGCATTTCCGGCATTTTCTCCTTCAGTAAACGCCACCGAATAATCAATGCTGAGAAAGACGGAAGAGCATCACAAAGCGTGGGAGTCTTCTCTGCTGAAAGTCGTTGTTGAAAAGCATGTGGAACCTAATATTAATGATAGCCGTTAGAACGAGTTGCTTGTATAAGCTTGGTACTCACACTTAGGATTTCGTGAAAAAGTCGGAGAACAGTCCATTCGTCATCACTTAATTGATGTTTTTGAAGTTCGCGCTGCTCTCGGCACTGAAGGAATGTCTGGATTGGCTGTGTCCAGATTTTGTTAACAAAGAGAAGGCAAAGCAAATTATTATAGAAGAGAACAACATACCTGGCGTAAAACAATTGCCCTCTCAATCATAATATCTGTTGAGGACCACCGGACATCTACATCACGGAGTAGCTGTAGAGAACCCAACCCAGCTTGAGCAACTTTCTCGGAAAATGCCTGACGGCGAAGCGATGATGATCTTATCTACAGATGCCATAAGCAACTTGGGAACCCACAAAAAGGCTATCCACTTACCGATCTAACAAGAGAACGTAGTGTGGAAATGGGATCCCGAGTAATATAGGCTAAGGCTCCTTCATTACCCACACCATTGTATTGTATCTCGCCAATTGCCTTCTCAGCCTCATGGCATGCAAGATTTACAATATGAGGAAAGCATCTACGCATTTAATGAATAAGGAACTACAGGAGAGGTCAGACTCACGCACCGAATTCGGTTGTCTACCCGATCAAAACACATGTCCGGATATCGCAGTCTTAATAACCTTTCGAGATGTTCCATCATCGTGTCATTATTTGTCGCATTGTCACAAGTAATCCATCCCACCTAGCGTAGAAACATTGGTAATATGTTACCCCCAAACGAAAGACATACGCACTTTTCCCGTAATTTGCAAGCGGTCAAGGATGTAGATGAACACTTCCGCTAAGTGCTCCCCTGTATGATGTCCAGGAACGCGATGGAAGCCAATGAGATCTGAACGCAGATGCAGTGTTGCATGACCATCAACAATCCGGTTCTCGATCCAATGACAGGTAACAGCTATGAAGGGACGCATATTCAGGTCTGTCCAGAGATCCTCAGTGAACGAAATGCGTCCCATAGAAGCCTAGATTGCTACGTTCATGAGAACTCTTATATAATAAATAGCGCTAACCTTTAATTCTGAAGTGAGGTCATCCATGTATTTGTCCCACATCTCAAGGATACGAGCACGTAACGATGATCGATGGGGTATGTCAGAGTCTTTCAAGCTTTCTCTAAGCATCAAGAATATAGACCGTAGATGCGGACTCTCAATGGCATTGATTGACTGAAATTTCATTAACACATGCAAATTTGGATCAAATATGAATAGTACAAGCCTGGTCATCAGCAACGACCCATGCAACTAGCGAATCAATGAATGCTTCATGCGAGAATGCACGATGTCCAGTACTGTTAAATATGGAAGATTGCTTCCCTTGGTCGAGGTGAAATTTGCGGATCGCATCTTGATATCGCTTTTGAGTAGAGCGCACCTGTATACCCTGATTGTCACACTTCGTCAGCCATGAAGTGGTGTGGTAATCAAGCAAGTGGCGCCGTAAGATATCGGTACTTGTTTTTGAGCCAAAGTCTGATGCTCCGGGAAGCTCATTATCCTTCTCGAAATCCTTCGCGCTGTGATTAAAATAAAGATCAGAATTCAGAGACTTAGATAGACAACTTTGAAGACGCACGTGCAGAAAGTGCAATGATGGCGGTTCTCGGACTTTATAAAGAATGACCAGACGTCACGGGCAGTATTACGGCCTTTTTTGACAGTATGACCAGCAGCAGCATGGGAAAGTCGTCGAGGTGTTCCTGGTGTTCTGGACAATCGGCGGGGTATAGGGAATGGGTTACGATGAGGAGTATGCGGAGCTTGAGCTGTATGATCAGAATCTGATGGTCGCCGAGGTGTTTCGCTATGAACAGCGGAATCGTCGGACAGAGATGATGGAGGAGACAGCTCAAGGAACTCTCCATCTGAACTCTCTGGATCATCAACAAAATGTGCACGTCGGGAGCGTGGTACCGGCACCGGCACCGGCACTGCACCTGGCACCGTCTCCCTGGGCTGATGAGTGGGGGATGGAGAGATAATGGGTTGTGATGGCACCGTACTGCCGGAAGCCTGTGCCACCTGCATCGATGGATCTGAAAAGGGGACAGCCGTTGTCTCTGACGGAGTAGGTTGACAGTGGTTATAGCCTAATGTCAAATATCAGAACTATAGATAAGACTCAATATATAAGTACTTGCCATGAATGCGGAACATTGTTTGAACACCGGGAACTGGAATGGCCTCTGTAGGAGGCAACACTTGTGTTGGCCCATTAGATGCCAGACTGGAACCTGCGTTGGACCTGGAACGCATGGGAGCACCGGCACGAGAACGAGAACGAGTAGTTGGTGGCACAGTGGTATCTGGTACGGGCTCGACATGGGAGTCTGTATGATCAGCGTTAGCCATACTGCTGCCATCAGCTTTTCGTCCGCCTCGCTTTCTGCCAGCAGGAGCCATGGATGTGCAATGAATAATGTACTTACTACTTCGAATGGTTTATATACGTGAAAAACGATGACGTAGTACCTTCTCGTTCCAAGCGATGCACGGAAAGGCTGGACAAACAAATGTTAGGATGGGGAATGCAGGCAGTCAGGAAGCACATACATGTCAGCGATTAAGCCAACAGCCAGTATCGTGTAATAAATCCCGACCATCGTTAACAGCGGAGCATACTAAGCGGACAACAAGGCCACAGGTACCCTAGAATATAATCAGCCATGTCCTACCGCCACCAGAGAAGAATGAGCAATTGAGACAGAAACGGAAAAAATTGCGCGCGCATGTATGACTGCCACCTGGCGACATGTCCTCAGATGACATAGTGCTTCGGAAACCTTCAATGCGGTATCTTGAAGAGGTTATAACATTATACTGTGCGTAAAACATAACATCTAGTGAAAGTTGATACATAAGAGCTGTCTATTATTCGATAAGGATGGATAATAGTAGTAAGACCAATAAACGTACCTCTGCAATTACATGCATGACTGCGTATGCATCCTACACCATCATCGGGTCCCACTATATCACTCGGAGAAGGCGTTGGCCACAAGAACACCACGAAGGAATGCCAGGATCAAGAAGAACGGTTTCATGATGGTGCGACATCAATGGAGACCTGCTTGAAGCCATGACAGCTGGATGTTCTAAGGCTTGAACTCAGATATGACCAGCATATACAAAAGAGTCACCTACCTTCAATTTAATATCTGCACATTCCACACACGCGAACTCCTGAACAGTCCATTAACAACATACAGCTTATCAGATGGAATCAGATAGCTGCAAGCCGTGAGTGAACAGCCTACTGACAGAAATGCAGCCATAATTCGGGAGAAATAACATAAGTTACCCCATCTATCAAGTTCTTAGTCCTTCAGAATGTCGGCAAGATGAATAGAGCGAGAGGCCACCGCATTTTCGATGACGGAGAAGATCAGTGAGAGCGAAGTCCAAAAGTGGAACGAGTCAGCGACTTGGGTCCGCTCAAGCCGCGAAAAGCTGAGTCATAGCCGAGCCGAGCCATCCTAGGCCCGAGTCATTGCCGGTGACTCGGCTCATAGCATTTCCGACTCCGCTCGGCGACTCGGCGACTCGAAGCCGAGTCGTTGGCAACACTATTCTGGCCTAGCACGAAACTTTGTCTTTCTGCCTCTAGCTGAGGTCCTCTCCCTTAGAAGCACGAGAGGCTCTATCAAGACCATGGTTAATACATTTTCATCTATTATCCAAGGACTTTGAGCTTTGAGATCCTTGGTAATATAAAGACCTACCGGCGACTCCGATCAAGGCAGTCAAGGTTGTCAAACTGCCTTGAAAGTCGATGTCTATTTACCTATACATTGTTTGATATATGTATATTACTCCAGGAGATATAAATATGTCATTATTACCATCTCAGAGATACACATGTGCTTTGGAAGTCTTGACTACAGCAGGAGGAGCAGCTTGAACTTGTATTATTGCTCTAATTCATCCTGGATATGTTCCTAGATCATGGTTGTCTAACCGATGATGTATCATAATGTACTGGATGATTTACAAGCTATTCAGACGGTTACGGATGTTCAGAAATACGCAAAACGACGACGAGAAAAGTCTGTTCATGTTGGTTTTCCAAAAACGGCAACTAACTGGGCGCCAAAAACTGGCCGTGCCTGGTAGCCGAACAGACCCTTAAGTCTCGTCTTAGCTAGTATTCGGTTACTCAACGAATCCTCACACCACTGCTCCTAATCGAACGTCCATTAAGAATTACGGGAGAGGTTTCGATTGAACCTAAAGCTAGGCGCTACTCTAACAAGCTACTTCAGAGGAGACAAGGCCACAGAGCTAGCCTAGCTGGAGGGATAAAGGTGATTATTACTGTGCATATGCGCCTCCAAAGACTATTAATCTTTCCTAGGTTTATCTTGAGATGTACACCTACGAAAGGTATGCGTTTTGCGTTCGGCTGTCGGATGCTAGATTGAGAATTGGCGCCTCAGAATCACAAATAGCATTTCTGTTCTGCTTCACGGTATAGCGCCAGTCAGCCGCCGAAAGAGATACTTGTCATCGCTCACTGCTCCCGAATTCCTGTGACTTTTCTGCATCATGACTACTACGAACACCACCGCGACCGTTGCCGATCCTCCTTTCAATGACCCAAAAACTCAGATCTCATCCTGCGATCCGCCGATAACGTCGATTTCTATGTTCACAAATCCAACCTTTCTTGCGCATCTCCGGTCTTTCGAGATATGTTTGAAGTTGGGCAAGGAATGCAAACCCTTCATGATTCCGCGCCTGTTGTCCGATTGAGCGAGGATGGCAATGGGCTTTACAAGTTGCTGATGTGGTGTGACCTCAGCTTAGACCCTACCCAGACTCCATTGAGCATCGACGACGTCGCCCTCATTCTCTCCATTACCGACAAGTACATGATGAACGGCGTTGCCAGTCACGTCGGCATACTTCATCATTACATTGAAAAAGAGCTGCTCATGGTATATGCATTAGCCTATCGCGCCCGCAGCTCATGGGGCGAGAAACTCATGCGGGCAGCTGCATGGCAAATGCTTAAATTTTCCAAACTACCTTTCACGCCATCTACACCGAAGGCCCTCAAGGACCTTCCTGCCACGGCGATGTCACACCTGATCAATTACCGAGAAATGTGCGGTGTGTCTGCTCGATCTTTGGTCGCAGATATGTCCTGGTTAAAGGGCACGAGCTTTCCGGCACCGTGGGCGCATGGACAGAAGGCTTTATGCAATTGCCCATCCGGCTCCTATCGTGACCGTCGTGTCTACCTTTGCCCGTGGTGGTTACGCCTTATGAAACGTATCGGAGATGCACTTTTAGAATCGCCCTGTGTGGAATCTTTAATTGTTTGTGTCGGCAAAGATGCATCGCCTGTTACCCGAGTCGCTGGAGTAAATCTTGCCGATGCAATGTGCTGCAATGCATGCAATGATGGTATGGATCTAAGCGCGGCAAGCGAAGGGTTGATGAAATTGCAAGCGGAACTCGCGGAGAAGATCGAATTGGTTACTAGACAAGTTCGTGTAATATTGCTTCTCCCGAATTATCCAGTTCTCAACGTCGCTTTTACTTAGGTTCTGCTAGTCATTGATCCGTAGGAGCGTAGAGCCAGAATATTTGTGTGGTTGCTTTGACTTTCACGCGTTATGTTCCCGCCTAAAATTACCTGGGGCCGCAGTAAATCAGAATTCTGAATGATCTTTGCCCGCCGATTCGTCAAAGTCTGAGTCCTGGTGCTGGAGATTATGGAAGTTCTGATGGTAAAGTTCCAGTGATCACTGATGATCGTTAAAAAAGACAAAATTCAAGTTAAATTGGTACCTAATTACAAAGATCGGCCTAGCAGCTAGTGTCCCCAACATTGCATGGCAGTTAGTCCGCACTACTGCATGCACATTACCATTGAGTCTTCGTTTAGAAAGAACTTAAAATGAAGTTTAATGAACTGAATAAAAATGTTTAGGCTCGTGACCAGCCATGCATCGCCACGTGGCTGCGCTTGTCACTTTGGCGAAGCGGCTGGTCCGATACGTTACGAATTTGGCAGGACCTGCCAAAGGTGAGTGCGCACTTAGGATTTCGTCGTCGTATAATCATGAAAAAAAGTGTCAAAATTGATATAATGAAAAGATGGTATTTTTCGATTTCAAGTCGATTGAGACCAACTTGTTTTTCTGAAGAAAATGAAAAAATTCTAAGTCTTTCATGTTGAGTGCACCAAAATGGGGTATAAGCGATGTCGTTTGCCTCTCGATAATTGGCCTGTGCTTGTCAGGTATCTGAAAAAGCTCGGTACTGTGCAAACTTCTCATCCTGCACCCAAGAAGACCCCCGCACTGAGGAAGGGGGGGATTTTTCCATGTTGAGGTCATCAAACTTAAAATTTTTTCATTTTCTTCAGAAAAACATGTTGGTCTCAATCGACTTGAAATCGAAAAATATCATCTTTTCATTATATCAATTTCGACACTTTTTTTCATGATTATACGACGACGAAATCCTAAGTGCGCACTCACCTTTGGCAGGTCCTGCCAAATTCGTAACGTATCGGACCAGTCCTTCGTAGGCTCATGTCCCTTGATCCCGTGATGTGAGCCGAAGAAGGAAACTGGTTGCGAGTCTAAAAAATGTTCTGCGTTCTGTGACACATCACATGATCCTCAGCATTCTGTGACTCAACGCGCTTCACGTGATCTGGAGCGCTCGTTGATCTTCAAATGGAAACTTGGAACTAGCAGAACACCAGCCACTGCACTAAACTCGGTCGCAGTCTCGCCGTTCCTCTACCTGTCTTCTATCGTACAGTTAGTTTTCAGCGCCATTGGAGTGATAGTGGCGTATTTCTTATATCGTTCGGCTACAGTTTCGAAAGGAGCATGGCGGCCATGCAGCTGGAGACACCCTCGCGAATCTGGCGAAGAATAGAAGCCATAGAGGACCGGGACATGCCCTCGTTACCCTCAATACCTGGATTCGATGACTCCGATGGGTCCATTGAGGCACACACGCCAACGGATGATCTCAGTGCGTCCGACGTGCATGTTGGTACTCCGATGCATTCCACTCCGGCTCTGTCTTCCCATCACACGCCGACTTCTCGCAACCCTTCAAGTGTATCTAGCACTACTCGCTTTGCCCATTCATTTGCACGCTCGGCGCGTTCGTCGGCTGCGGCGTCGGCGCCTCGAGGAACAAAGACAAACGCGTCGTACAGTTTCGATGTCAGTGCAATACCATCACTCCCAGATGTTCGTGACGAAGGGGGGATCGAGTATCTTTTAGATGAAGAGGAAGAGGACGAAGGTGTTTTGAGGCAAAGCAAAGATAGCGTTCCCGATGTGTACCTGCCTCCGGATGGCATGGATGGCGATGAGGAGCAGGATGCTTCTATCTCTGAGGCTCTTCAATCAGTCAGTCGCTCAAGCTCCCCTTTCTCTGAACACGTTCAGCCTACTCCGAAGAAGAACTATGACTATGTGGTTCCGCTTAGATCTGAGCCAAAGGTACGCTTTTGCACGAAACCGCTAAAACATAACGCTTATACATGGATAGCCCTCCCCCCTTGATCCATACCGGAACATTTCTATGCGTCGCCCTCTTGCACGAACACGCACTCCGTCATTATCACGGAATACCCTCTCACCAGCATCATCACCGCCTAATTCTACACCTCATAGCACTAAATCTGCGTCTATGAATCGTTCAACAGTAGAATCTCCAATTCGTGGAACGTCAGTTCCTTTACCGTCTTCCTATGCGGGGTCCCCCGCCACCTCTCCAGAAAGCAATGGCAATCAATCAAAACAGGACCTATCCCTACGTGAATCTGATTGCCATTCATCTATGGATATCACGGAGTTACACGTATCACCGATCAAGGATCTTCAGGCTGAGGGACAGGATCAGTCGTGCACCTCGTCTAACCAGTTGGGAATGGCCAGTGACCAAGGAGAACGGGAACCGACATTTTCATCTGACGGTAGCGACACGTCCTACCCGCCTCAAAAACAAAAATCTCCTGCTCACAAGTCTCCGGCACCTATGTCCAGCGTCTTTTCTTCTCCAGCTCAGTCATTTGCTTTCACACCCACCCCCGCCTTCCCCCGTCCGCGGGCACGGTTCAACCTCCCTCCTCCACCATCCGATCTTCTTGCAACTCCCAAGCCAGAGGGAGACAACCATTCAGAGCTAGGCGAAGATGAGCCGTTGACTCCTCATATGCGCCGAAAGTCGTTTTTGTTGTCTATCGTGAACTCTTCAGTACGGCCACGGCTTAAGCTTCCTACGCCTCACCCACGGAATGTAATACCTCCTACCCCGAGTATTACTGAGACGGTGGCGGAACCTGCGGATGGACTTAGCCCAGCAGTAAACCTCCGAACTGCGTTTGCTGGTGCCACCCCTCGTCCTCGAATGAGCGCAGGAAAGCCATCCCATCCACTGGCTCAGGCCTATACGGCGACAACAAGTTCAGAAGATTCAGAATCTGGCTCTACCAGCGGCGAAGCTGCCCCCCAAGTTGCTACGCGTCGGGCTTCTATGGGAGCTGTGGTTCAGAGTCCAGCGTATGACGGCTTGGCAGACCGGGTTTCCTTCATATCAACTGCATCGTCGCATGACTTGACTACTCACGTTCGTGCCAACACTTCTTTCGATCCCGCTATGGGATTCGGGGTTGGTGCACAGGCTAATGGGAGGTTTAATGCCGGAAAGCTCAATACGTACCTGCATGGGTTGAACAGACGGTTGCAAGAAGAGAATGAAGCTCTTATAGAACGTCTGCGACGTCTGGAAGAAGGGAAAAAAGACAGCCTCGAAACAGAAAAGCCCTATGAGGACGAGGCTGGCCCCGCAAGCAGACGATTGAGTGGAGGAGTCAGCAGACGGATTAGTGCGGGGTCGACTCTGCTGGGTAATGTCCAAGAAGATGTTGGTGGCGAAGGCTGGATAGAGGAGAAGGTGGCGTTGGAAGAAATGATCGAGTCATTCAAAGAAGAGATAGAAAAGAACGTTTTGGAGAAAGAAGAACTTGAAAAGGCGCTTGACGACGAACGACAAGAACGAACCAGAGACAAGGAACGGTGGAAGGAGCGTATGTCAGAAGTGGAGCAAGGTGTAGAGGCCATCGTGGATAGCCTCGAACAGAAGCTGCGAGATGCCGAGACGCGAGCTCAGAATTCTCAGGACACCCTCATTCGTACAAAGGAGTTGGAAAGGCTGTTAGAGACGGTGTCCGCGGAACGGGATCTGGCTACAGAGAGGGCCAAGAAGTCGGAGAAAGTGTTGGAGAGTGGCAAGGAGTTAGGCGGGGAACTCAAAGCGGCCAACGACCGAATCAGTGAACTCATGAGCGACCTCCGAATCTCCAACACTCAAATCAAAGAACTGGAGCAGGAGGTGTTACGCTCTGACGAGAGAATTGATGTGCTCGAGAAGGACTTCAGGGAAGAAAAGAATCTTGTGAAGGAGCTGAAGAAAGAACTGTCGAACAAGATGGACGAGATCGATGCTGACACTCGGACGATTCAGAACTTACGAGGGGAGCTGAAGGCGGCGACTACTGAACTGCAAGCTACAAAGTCATACGTTTCTGAACTCGAGTCAGATGCAGAAGCAGCGGCTGACCGTCTGGAAGCTCTTGAGCTTGAGGTCACCAGCGCCAACGACCAGATCAAGGGGTTCCAAGCTGAGGCTGAAGAAACTGCGCAACGATTAGAATCTTTGGAAGTTGAAGCCCAACAGGATAAGGAACTCGCCCGTCAGATGGAGGAAGCCCTCGATGCCGCAGAGCATAAGATGGCCAACGACGATCAAGAACTGGCCCAGCTCAGGTCTCAGCTGTTGACACTACAACGCGAGCGAGAACGTTCAATGGAGGCCAGCAGAAACAATGTAGATCCTTCTCGAGAAATCGCCCCGCCCATAAACGCCGCCGACATCGAAGCGCTAGAAGAGGAACTGGATAACGCCCACAGGGAGATTGCCCGGCTTAACACGGTCCTCAACGCATCTCCTGCTCGAAAGGCGATAGACAAAGCCAAGGATGTGAAGATCGACATGCTGGAGAAGGAGAATGAGGCGCTGTCTGAGAGAATCAAAGCATTGAAGATTGCTTCGACAAGCTTCAGTACTCCAAGCAGAATCGTCAGCAACAGTGGTATCTCCCCGATCCACCGTCGCGTTCTTTCGATGTCAATCAAGACGCCACGAACGCCTGGTACCCCGCTCAAGGAGGCAAGTCTCAGGCTGGTCTTTTACCGAGAATTCAACGAATTAATTTCTTTTCTAGATGTCGTGGCTAAACAGCCAGACCGGTGATTCTGAACATATTGCTCCACTGATTGCCGAAATATCGCGATTGCAATACGAACTCGACATAGCTAATGAGAGCATTGACGACAAGCTAGACAAATTAGAAGATGCTGGTTTGGGTGTCGTTGGGCTTACCCAAAAACTGGAAGATGCTCGGGCTAGAATAGTGGCATTGGAAGACGAAATTGCCCGTCTTACCAGGAAGGAGGAACGCCGAATGAGACGCCTCGAAAAGGCACGATGCCGAAAATGTTTGACCAAGGTCAACATGGGGCTCTCCGAAGGCGATGATAGGTTCGTAAATTACCGAAATATGACTGCTCATTGACTAACTATTTTACTTAGTTCTTTGGAGATATCTCATCCCAGTCTTGCTTCAGAACCACCAACACCCCCTACGAAAACGAGCGAGGCCCTTCGCGCTAATTTGCAATCCTTGAATTCGCAACTGTCTTCCATGAAGAAACAATGGGAACAAGAGCGCGAGCAGCTCCAGGGCGAGAAGGCCGTGCTTCAGGATGTTGCTAACCGGTTGAACGATCAGGTTCGACAGGCGAAGGAGGAAGCCACGAAGATTTCTCAGACGGAGAAAGCCGGACAGAAGATTCGTTCAGATGTTCAAGCCGTGAGTAGTATTCTTTGGTTATATTAGGTATTGCTCACAGCAATGTCAACTAGGATTTGGACAAGGCAAAGAAGACAATCTCTGAACTCGAGACTGAACTCAAAACTGAGCGAGCGCAGCTTCGTATGCTTACCGTTGAGCAGACAAGGGTTGGTCATGAGCGAGACAACATCGTGTTACAGCTTCAACGAACAGAGACGGTGCGTGTATAGGCATGTCACGAAACAGGATAACAACCTAATATAATTTGGCCAGGATATGGAAGACGTCCGACAGCAATTGCAAAAGTACAAGAAAGAAAATCATGATATGGAAACCGAATTGCGACGTGTGTATTTCGCTACTGTCTAGACCCACTTCAATAATCTTCTTCCAGAAAATGCAAATGCCGAACAAAAGGCCAGGCTGTTGGAGAATCGAGTTTCCGAGAACGCCGAGACGATTGAGCAGCTACGACAAGAACGAGCGCTCCTAGTAGCTGACCACAAAGCTCTTCAAAAACGCTTCTCTGAAATATCCGAGGTTAGTCCAACGTAGAGATATAAAATAACGTGTTTGATTCATCGCAATTTATTAGCACGCGAACCGACTGCGCGACGAACATGCCGCGTCCCAAATGTCGCACGACAATCGCATACACCAGCTCGACCTCCATATGACTGAGATCGACGATCTTCGGCGTGCTCTGTCAAACCAAGGCGAAGAACTACAACGAGCCGAGACCGAAAAGAATCGCATATCCGCAGAACGCAGCGAGGTCTCCCGGACAGTCGCTATTCTAGAGGCTGATTTGAGGCGGGTGAAAAAAGACGCGGAGGCCTTTGGTCGCGATTTGAAATTGCTTCGGACTGAGAAGGATCGGGCGGAGGCGAAGCAGAAGGATGAGTTGGACAAAGCGGAGAGGACGAAAAAGCAGGCACAGACACAAGCACGACTACTGAGTGAGCAGCTGGACGGACAGAAGGCGAAGGTTGCGCATGCGAAGGAGCAGTGGGAGAAACACGTTTGTGCGATGTATGTGCTCATTGGAACTTCTCCGCATTCAACGAACACTCATGACTTCTTTCAGGGATGAGCAGCAACTATCGGCAATCAAGCTCCAGCACAACAAGGAGTGCAAAGGCCTGATTGTCCAGATTCGATACCTCAAGGCGAAGTATACCCGCGAGTCAAATATGCGTCTCGATTTAGTATACCAGAAACAGTATTTGATGGTACTTCTGGGAAGGATGGAGAACAGGTACGCCGTCTGCACTCAAAGTTGCACTAGATTGATCTTGATGAGTATTGCGCAGCGAGAAAACCATATTCGCAGCTATTTCGCAGATTGGTTTCCCTGTAGAGCCGCCTCCACCTGTTGCGAAGCATCGGAAGCTCAAGAGTATTGCACAAATGTTTGTATTTTTGTCCCGGGTGAGGTAAGTGGCGTACAGAACGACAGGAGGTCTCGAGCTGATAGACAACCCTTGTTTTTATAGACGCGCCAGTGCTGAATGGCAAAAACAATGCGAGTCTAAGGAGGCCGTTGCTGCTGCCTTGCAAGACGTGCGGAGACGGCGAGCCGCTAAACCGTCCCAATCATAATCTATCTTTTTTCCATTTTAATCTTTGTCGACGCATTGTATCATTCTGTATTGCTATCAGTAAACCACTTGTTATACACTATCACTGTATGAATAGTATTAGATTTTCTCACCTGAGGAGGGACGGCAACCGAGACGTCTTTATTAAGCAAGTATCAAAGCTTTTTCCGCGCTAGCCGCTTTGCGTTGAGGACACGGTAGGCACTCGGAGAAAAAACGTATGAAAGTCCACTCCATATCGTCGTCGCGACAACAATCCACCTGTTAAACCTTATCAATACTGTCGGTATTAAGACACAGACGGTAAACTCACTGCAACCCGGTTAGTGCAAGATCAACAGTGAGATGTTGGTCGAGTAGCGTGATTCCCGCTTCTGGTGAAATTAGCTGGCCCACAGTGGTAGCTCCCATCAAAAGGAGTTGCAATGCCGTATTTATCTTTGCAGCAATCAGCGCGAATATCTCATCGAAAGGAGATGGTATATACCTTGCTGATTTCAGTCGGACGAACTTCGGCTGAAGGAATGGAGAAATCCCAATACCGCGAGAACGTTTTCTGAGGCATGATACAGTTAAATCATTCACAGAAAGTTGGGTGCGTACCGGATGGGGTAAGGACGTATATCGTATCTTGAATGCAGCCAGCACAAGGAGCAGATCTCGACCGAGGATTACCACTGCAACAGGAGCTGCGCGTGTCTTGGTGAGGCATTCAAGACATGAGTATTTTTGAAGGAGACGCACCAGGCAAGCACCCTTTCATCGCCAGAGTTACTGTTAACGTCGTCATTAACGCCTTGTCCGCCGCAGGATCAAGAATCGTTCCCAAAACCGAATGCATTTTGAAACGACGCGCCAAATACCCATCAGCCTGTAGATATAAGTTCTAGAGAGAATTCAAGGAGAACGGTACGGAGGACAAACCAAGTCGGTGAGGCCAGCGTAGACCAACAAACCTGTTGCAAGCTTGAAATCGCTGTTCAATATTGACCAGCCAAGAACTGGGCAGGCTATGATACGCGAAAGTGTTAGCGCATTCGGTATCGTGTAAATATTTTCTCGTGTCGTTTTTCGTATTGTAGACGCTTTTGGAGTTGGGGGATGATGTTGCTTGTACAGAGAAGGTTGAACAGAAAAAGGTCGGCTGTGGATGTGGCCCTGGAAATAGTGTCCTCTACATCGAGTAAAAGAGCGCAGAGAAGAATTCAGAAGTGAGGACGGGGACTGGCACACGGAGGAATAAAATATTGAGGCCATTTGCACTGGTAGTTTTTGAGGAAACGATATGACGTCAAGCTTTTTACGAAGGACTTCGGCACCTTCGGGATCGTAGAAACTGTTCCCACATGAAGGAAGCAAGGTATGTAAGTACAAGCCCACTAGTACTATACTTGGTAACGAAATCTAGGATCCAAGTAACCCAACTGCTCAATTTCCTCGGCACTTTTCCCCTCCAATCTGTAATCCCTTTCTCCTCTTTCTCTCTTCGCGTTCTCCCATCTGATATACAACGCACCAATGACCACAAGGACACAGGCTGTACTGCTGGTGGCGAGGTTGAGAGTGTTGCCTTTGTGATAATTGGGTGCATCGGAGGGTAAGTAGGTCCACACGCTGTCATCGAACGTAAACCAAAGGATACAGTGCGTACGCTCATTGCGTAACTCACGCAATAACAGAACCGAGTGCACCAATACCTGGGAGAGTAACTGTCAGTGAATATGATCGTGAAATAAAGTATAAATTTCAAACCAGGGATTATGGCTGTCGCAACTGCACGTATGGTATCAGGTGCAGCGTTATTCGTTCCCCACGTCAGAAGCACGGGCCCTGAAGTGGAACTCCCTGCAATAGACAGAAAGCATGCCGCATATCTAGAGAAATACGATAAGTGAGAGCTTTTCAAAATGTCCAGTTAACGCCTCATCTTGCATGAGGATTTTTGGTCCCAATAGCAATAGCATATCCCAAAACTATCAATAAAGTCGAAAAAAAGATGGGAATCGCCCGCTGATTCTTTCGATAGCAATAGTATGCATTAAAAATGATCCATACTGCACCCAGGACATAGGGCGGAACCGTGCGCAATTGAGATTGTACAGTGGCTTCCAGGTCAGTCAGAAACTATTCTGAGCATTCTTTATGAAAGCTCATCTCACTGTATTTCCCCACTATATTCATAGACACGCCATTAATGCATAAAGTAGTGAGTGAAAATTGACACACGAACATGTAGCAATGACCGTGGGCATAAATAAACTTAGTCCTTGGAATGATACGTTGATCATCAGGTAACAAATTGAGCATATCGCAGTCTGTAACAGATTCGTTAGAAGGATGAAGCAGCAAAGACTTGAACGGAATTGACATTAAAATTGAAGGCCCTCCATACGAGCTTCCAAGTCGTCCTCTCCCTCATACCCCCCACCCGCGTGGCCTGGTCTGCGTCAATCCGGGTAAGTGCCAAGGCGCGTTCCTGAGGATTTAGCATCCGAGTATGTTGTGGATCCGTCGGCAGTATGATGAAACACAAAAGGCCAAATCCTGTGGTAATGATGCCCTCAACAAGAAAAATCTTCCGCCACGACATGACCGTTCCTATATCCTTTAGAGAGAGGAGTCCCGACGCAAGGAGTCCACCAACTAACACCGGGATACTCAGTCAAAAAAAGTGGCTCTAACAAAGAAAGCTTACATGCGCCTGCGAGGTTAGTGGATACACCGAAGAAGATCCCAAGTCGCAACACGAGCTCGGAGCGTCGATAGTACTAGGATAGAAAGAGTTGTTGACATGGACCGAGATGAACTTGAAGCAAACAAAACTATTCACTCTTGACATGATATAGGTCAACCCCGACTGCAATGCAAATAAGATAAAAGAGCAAAAATCAGGGTAGCATCGTACCAAAGTACCACCTTCAGCTATACCCAAGAAAACCCTGGTTATAATAAGGCCAGCAAATGATTTGACAAACGCCGTGCCAATCGAAACGATTCCAAAACCAGTAACCAGGCCAGCGAGCCACACAGAACCGAAATGCTTGAGCATAAGGTTGGACGGGATTTCGGCAGAGATGTACTGGGTATTTCCATCAGATCGGATGCTGAAAGAACAAAAGGGACGCACAAGAATAAAGAATACTGTTAGTGCAATGTTGAAGTCAAATCCCTGCATGTTCAGATCCTTTTCAATGCCTGGAACACGAGTCTGATTTTGCGCCCACAAGAGAGACGGACACTCACCTGCAATTTTAGCATTTCCTGATAACAAATGGCATCTTTTTTGAGTGTAAACGATCCGAAAAATCACAAACCTATCGCTGTCCTGTATGTGTCGGTCGACAAGTAACATTTAGATCTTTTCGAAATACGAAGTCTGATTAGCTACCTGTCAATAAAATTCATGCAATCTCATCAAGTCAAAGTCAAAACAGGACCCACGCCAAAACATAGAAAATGCCTCACAGATAAGCGTAAACATGGGCAGCAGGATCCAATCCAGCTTCTTAAGAAGACGTTTCTCCGCGTCCGAGTCAATAGCATGATCGACAACAGCGTCTTTCTCGCTCTCGGAGGACTCGATTTGCTTTGACATGGGGAGAAAGATATTGGCAAAGAGGCATCATTAGGAAGTGATGTGTTTTAAGGGCGTTCGTCGAGAACTCATGGCCAGTCCCTGAATCAAGACGACATTCTCTGTTTGAAAAACCATAATCCATAGGGAGTAAGTAAAACGGCGACTCGGTCTCATGATTGCCTGTCAGGTGCAGTAAACGGTGAACTTAGCCCTGATAAGAAGCGAAGCTGTGGCACAGAAGGGCACAGAACAGTGATAAGTATCGGAATGTTGCCGGTCGAGGGTGTCGATGAGTAGGGAGTAAACGCGAAGCCACAAAGTTATCATCGCCAGTGAATTTTTTGGGAGTTTCTCTTGACACTTTCGAAGTTCTATTTATGTCAAGGAACGTTTCCGCGTTTCCCAAGCACTCTGGAGTCTGTATTGGGCTGGGAAAATGTACAATGCGGTCGTATGGATTGGTCCTGAACAAGTCGAGGCCCGCTATCGGCCCGAGGCCTGCCGATGGTTGACCCGTGCCGTTGCAGTGGTGTACCTCAGCCTGGGTGTGTTACGGCCGGATACAGTGCTCTCTGGAATTGATCCACAAACTATATTTTTCCCAAAATGTGTACAGATATCAAGTTGAAGTTCCCGGGCTCTCATCTTATTTGACGGCAACGGCAGCCACTGGCAGCAAAACCCTGAGTATCTTGCTTCTTTGAATTCAATAGACTTTGGTGTAGGTCCTACGATTGGAACTACTATCGCAGTGGACACTCTGAATATTGCTCTCAGAATTACTAGACATCTGTCTTGTGTCCTTCTGGTTGCATAACACCGTTTACCTTCGTGGAGCTTTCTCAAAACTCGGCTTATTCTGCCCAACAAATTCTTCTACATTCTATGGCATCCTTGAGGAAGGTGAACACTGCTAATTTCTCAGGACCAAGCTTTGTAACGTAAATCTGTTGCTTTCTAGACTATATTTTGGCTTCAACGAAGCGTTCTTTGCGGTGAGACGCGCTAGATTGGGGCAACGCGTGTTTGATCTCTAGCTGGGTTCCCATCAGTGACCACTCTCTAAACAGTTTTGACGGGTGTGTTGGTGAGTTCTCCTTTACAAAGTTGATAAAGAAGAAATCCTATACTTATTTAGATAAATAGTCGATTTATGGTGGCCACTATCGTCAACAGAAGGATGAATCTCTATCGCTTTCTCCGTTCTCTTGGACAACCATGAGTATATCCACCATCTATTTAAATGCTATCCTCAGTCCTTGATGCCATAGCGTTCCCAATATCCTTTCATGTCATCCAGTTCATGCGTCTTTCCCTCACTTTCGAGCCATCTCATTAAATCTCGCATCTTGAGTATCGCCCGCACCTTGCCACATCCTACAACTTCTTCTATCTCCCGGACTGTGCTCGTTCCACCCTCTCGTCCAACCTCTTCTCTATCAAGACATTGAACTACCCCGACCACTTCGCCTCCAGCGCTCCGTACGGCATCGATGGCGCCCCTGATAGCCTTTCCAGACGTCATGACATCGTCTACAATGACTACTTTCTTTCCCGTCATCGGCACTCCGACAAGCATTCCGCCTTCCCCATGATCCTTGGCCTCCTTTCGATCATAGGCCATGCCCACATCCCGTCCGTGCTTCTCAAACAGCTTGACAACAGTAATTGCACCCAAAGGTATTCCCTTATATGCAGGGCCAAATAATACATCGAAATTGCCTACATCGGCCAGGGTGTCGGCAAGAGCAGTAGCCAAGACAGACAAGGTGGAACCCGATGAGAGGAGCGAAGAGTTAAAGAAGTACGGTGACTGTCGTCCGGATTTGAGCGTGAATGAGCCGAATTTCAATGCCCCCACGGACATTGCATGGGTGATTAGGCGCGCTTGGGAGTCGCTGAGCGCGGTGGTCATTTTCGGTGGTGGTGGTTAAGGCAGCGAAATTTTGCGATCGGCCCGAAGACCCGGAACCGCGGTCAGAGAAACACAGCCACGTTCAGCCCTGCTGAACGCTATCACTGAGGCGACTATTCATTCGTCTTCTGCGCGTTTCTTTCCCTGTACTTCCCTTGATACCGGAATCTTTAAGTCGCTTCCTTGTCTTTTTGAGTGACAACAATCACTCACGCTCACCTTTTTGAATGCACACTAGTATCCGAGGCCAACAAACAGCGCGGCTTTCCCTTCGCACCAAGTTTTTTTGATCAACTACGGTCTGGATTTTCCCATGCAATCTGGCGCATGTGTAATCTTTTGTCTTGCTGTGGTTCTTGTGGCGACCGAAAGCGTGCTTGGCCCTCCGAGGATTTGCGTCAGTCTTGATCGGACGCCGGGTAGAGCAAATCACCACCGCTTTCTACCGCATTTCTATCGGCAACTTTCTGCGCGAATGTGGGGTATGTATAGAACGTGTTCACGATGCGTACTACTCAAATACCCCGGGTCTCGCGTCCGTGTGTCCCTTAAATCAAAATCGGCTTCTCCAAGAATACCTTCGTCGATGATGATCATCTTGGAAGGCAGCACGAGCAATCAGCGCTCCAGTCGTTCTTGAGTCCTGGTATCTAGGATCTTTTAATTAGGTTTGCTCGTATTGAGCGGGCTGTGCAGTGATGGGATGAACCCTGACTATTCCTCGGAATTGGCTTGCCGCGGCTATCCAGGGATACCGGGGATTTATTCTTTTTGACGTTACGTTTTTACAGGCACTGGTCTTGGACCATGAACATACACATAACTCGTTGGAGTTACATTGGAAAGAATGAGTCGTATGCGGCTCTGGATGCTGTCGACAGTACTTGCTCGTATACAGGGTCGGGGTAACTTCGTGGACCGGTGTCAAATGCAATCACATAACTTGCCGTAACGGAACTTCCTCGCCAGTCAACAACAAGTAGACCGTGACGGATTATGTCTTGACGCTGCAACATCAGAGTTCTATGAAACATCAAAGTACGGCGAACATGGGTTTCTCATTAACCTGGCGATGGTATCGCTATATTGAACCGTCGACGGCGAGTACGCCCAAATTTATTTCCTCGGAAGTCGGCCTCTTCCAAGCGATGGTTCCTATTACCGTTGTCCCGCTTGAAGTTCTCGCACCCGCGTACGAGACGTGCCGAGGACAGTTAATGTTGCAAGCGATTCTCGGTGACACATACTTAGCAAGAAACGAGTACTCCCGTACGTTGTCGTCCAGGTGGCGTTTCGGGGTGGCGTGAAACACCCCTACGATGACCGCGCCAATGTAGCCTACGCTAAGGAGAGCTGGCAGTCGCATCGCCCATGCATAGGAACCAACTTCGGCGCCGAGGGAACAGGATTCCATGTACCCATCACAAAAGTGAGTCTTGTACCTGTTCCATACACTTACTTCAAGCCACTTGCACAGGCCGAAAAGGGCGCCATTAAGCCACTTATAACCAACGACATGAGCAATCCGAGGACAAGTGACAGATTCCCCTAAGAGACGCTAGCGGCATCCCAAGCATTTCTATCTCTGGTATGGCCAAAAGTCATATTCGAAAACCTTGAACATGAATCCTAGACTTACGAGGTTGAAGGAGACGGCTGCACAAGTGCAGTCAAATTCGCTATAAACAGATCAGCCGCGGAAAAACGAGGACAAGGTGCCACTAACCTTAAAGCGCGCAGTAAAGTCAGCTGCTTTGTGAAGGACCGATCAGACTTGAGGAAATGACGTTTAGTCCTCAACTTTGGCATCGAGCAAATTTAAGCTCAAGCTCGATAGCCACGGGTGCTCCAAGAAACACTGTTACTGTTTGTTCACGGCTAATTCCTGTGCCCGTTAGCTGGTGTCAAGTGGAGAAATCTTGAAAGATGATCAGAAGAAATTCAGCCACCAACAACACAAGGTGATTCTAGGAAGGTTCGTGAATAGTGCCATTGATCAAAGAAGACGAAGCAACTCCACACCACATCGCGCAGTCGGTATTGTAACCATCTCAAAGCGCAGCACTTCCTTGAACCAATATTGAATCAAAATAAAGCACGGACGGCGAGGGTACAAAATTATCCGTGATAGAAGGGCCGGGTTCGCCCGGAATGTATTGTAGATGAGTCTACGAGAAGCTTTGGCACCACATGTTGAACTCGCTGTGCCATTCTCTGTTGTAGAAAAAACACACATGTAATGATCAAAGGAGTCAAAGATAGTGTTCTAATACGTTGGGCTTGCCATTCGGACCATAAATCGTTTAGAACAAGATCGTTCGGAGCCTGAAAGAATTCGAGTGGATAAAATAACACTAGGCAAACGACGATGGATCAAGAGACAGACAAACCGAAGCCAAGGATCTTCTACCCTTTTGAAGCCGTCTGACACGGACGAAGCTCAGTCGTAATAGCTGCGTCGGACTTTCTTACCCGTGCACTAGGAGACTGCCCAAAAATCCAGGTGGGATTCCTACTAAAAATAGTCTATCGTAGTTCTAGAAATAAAGCATCACCTGGGCGTAAATCATGAGCGATAGTTCCGAACGCATAGATACAACAGAGCAGCGAAGATCTAGAGGCGATGCCTCATCAGCATCACGTTAGACGGAGAAATCTGATGACCCACTTTCCGCAATGTGATACTCATTTCCCAGCGAGGATTCTAGTTTAAAACGAGGTGGGTTCGATGTTGTATTCTTGTTGAACGAAAGCGTCGACGGAGATTAACGCGGACAAAGAAGCGTATCTTACAAACTTACAAGTAAAAGACAATACTGTAGCGGATGGTCCCGTCTGATGGAAAGCCCAGTCTTTCGCGGCATGTACAGACAGATCCAGAAGATCGAAACAGATGAATCGATGGCGTTTGACAGCGGCTTGATATCTGAAAACGTTCGGACAAGCCACTAAGATATATACTTGGACCAAAGGTATAGATTTAGATCGAGGCGTTCCCAGAGTTGGGGGGGGGGAGGGGCCAGTGGAACTGTGGAAACCGATACTATGGCGAGCAATACCGGCAACACCGACATCCATGATCCAAAGTACATATGGGCCCATCTTGCTTCTTGAGTTCGATCTGAACATCACCATCAAGCTTCGCTAGAGTATTTTGATTTCCTCGGGTGTTTCGTCTTGCTGTAGACACCGTCCGATGACTATCATGAGGTGGTGAAGTGGCTGTCGTCTCCAGGATTATAGCCATAGATAGTAGATACCACCATACTTGCGTATGAATCCGAGCTTAAGAACTAGAAGACTCGAGACCGTCTTGGAGGTAATACGAGAGGGGAGCAAAAACGGCCACAGACGCCACCTTGATCCGATCGATATTCCGCAACTTTTTCCGCACATCGCATGTGGGAGACATAACATATTTACGGTAAAGTCCAGATATGGCTTTGCGGGATGTTATGCAAGAATAAAGTTAATAGAGTGGTGATGTATCGAGAGATGCTGGTTATACAGATGTCATGCAGTGTGTAATAATATAGTATGAAGATGGTATAGATTATGAACAGCGCTCCAGGAATTCCAATACAGAACATACAAGTAGAGCAATGCAAGACATCAGGACGACTGTGGACGTTCACAAGGTATAGGTGAGGGTACTGGTGTCCGACGGCGAGACAGAGAAGCCGGCAAGACATCGACATCTATATCATGTAGTCGAGGAAGAGTCGGCGTACCAGTCCGCCGTCTTTTGAAAGGGGGCAATGTAACGTCCTCTTTCAGGTTTTTAGCAATATCCGTCCATGCAGAACATGTCACAGGTTGTGCTGTCTGCGCCGATGTGATTCGAATATTGGACGGGGTTGCACGGCGTGCCGAGTGATGTATCTGGATAGCCGGCCGAGATATGCGTTCGGGTGTCGTTGAAGTAGATGTGGACGATGATGATGGTGGGGGGGATATTCTAGAAAAGCTTGAAAATAGCCTGTTGAAATTGATCAGCAATGAAACAAGTGAACGAGAGGAACAGAACACACTCTTCAGCATCTATCTTTCTCTTCAACACATTGTACCGCCGTTCGAGCTCATCTTTTTCCTGCTTCAGCTGTACAGCATTGTCCCGAGCTATACGAGCTACGTTTAGAAGTCCAAGTGTCGCCGCAGCATGGACTTCGGCTCGTCGTCGCCACAACCCGCAATTTAGCCGTAGAGCAGCATTCTCAGCGCTGATCCTGGCACATTCGGATACTGCTTTGGGGGTATCCATGGAGGAATCGATGTTTGGGTTAGGTTCATCGAGGTAGAGGCGACGAATGCTGGGAATTATATGGGCACGGAGGTGGGCAGGGATGAGGGTAGGGTCGATGTTCACTATTGACTCCTTAGACATACAGTTGAAGGGGACAGGTAAAGGGCTCACCAGTCGTGTACGGGGCTCGACATGTGGGGCAGTAATGTATGGTAGCGTACGGCTTAATGGCATTGACAGCGCGGTATACGCATTCGGTGCAGAACACATGCCCTGCAGCAGGCATGAGGGAATGACGAAATAGAGGCAAGGAAGAGGGACGTACCACAGGGCAATGCAACTGGTTGCTTGAGTTCGTCGATGCAAATGCTGCAAGACGGCATGATGAGAGTGGATGTAGTAGTATGTCGGTGAAAGGACTGAGGAAGGGGCCATGTTAGGGTGAACGCTTTTATAAGATCGAAAGATCGCGGACAGAACAGGCAGACGGCCTTTCCGAACGTAACCGAGGAGTTATCAATGTCATGTTTCTTCTCTCAGGCGATGGTGCGAGAGGTAATCCACAAAGGCTGGATGACTCTTGACCTTAGCCGAGAAGACGGATTAGGTCAACGGTTTGAAATATATCGGCCTCGGAGCAACGCGACCTTTTCGGTCTAGGCCCGTGGAAACATAAAATCCACGTAAGATCCATCGGGCGACCTCTACCTCCTTGGCGATACGGCCGTGTGAGTTCCTGTGAATTCCGTACGAGCATACTTGGAAAACAACTAGTTCAGTTGTGTGCCTCCACGCATGGTAAAATCTGATCCCATATGAAGCAGATTCAAATGAAACTATTCTCCGATCTCGAATGATAGATAGCAGAGAACTATACTCATTATTCATTCAAACCGATGTTGCATCACGCACTGCAATGCACCGCGCCGGTTACAGTGGGAACAACAGCGGATCGAAGAGGGTATCAACCATTCATTTTGTTATGTATGGGAAATCGTGCTACTCTCCCCGAATCCACCCTCTTTCCAGGCCGGCCTATAATTGCCCTTCAGAGTATACAGCCTCCCCGAAGTGTATACTGAGTGGGTAAGCCAGCGCGACCTGTGGAGAGGGTTGGGACATTAGATCGGAACTCGGACTCCAGTTGATTACCGGTAACTGCAATGTCATAATCATAGAGACATTAGCAATTCAATCGCTAAGTCCATGTCGGAGGGATGTGGCACGCAGCCTTACGACAGTGCTCCGTTGATCACTTTGAATAAGTCGGTGTCAATAAATGGCATTCAAGTGTCCTTGAAGTGATGCGCAGAACATCGTGAATGGTAATATACACATACCCGGAAACCGAACTGTGATATTGTAAGTAAAATCCTGATAGAGAGAATTGCTTAGCAACACCACCTTTTCCGTGGATCGGAGAACCAAACTGTCAGGAGGACTTACGGAGGAGGCTACAAAGTTCTGCGCTCCAGGTTTACTGCCTTAATCGGGGTTGCGAAGGTCCGCGGCGCGACATCAAGTAGATCAAATCGTACCTGCGAATGACAATTTGAAATTGAAAACAACAGATTTTTTTTTGGGATCTACTAACGTTTCCTTGGGTTTTTCTTCCCGACTTGGAGCAGAACAGTTAACAGGAGGGAGAACACCATTCAGGGCATTTCCGTCAATGATGACCTAACAGGACAGCACTCTATGAATGTTAGAGAGTACTCCGCGGAACGGGAGCCTCGCTAACGAGAAAGAACAGGACCTTCATAGCACTCAACCGCGGTACAACGAAGGATTTACTCCGTTTCTCTAGAATCAATGAAAAATCGTTACCTCAGTCAAACAGCTACAAAAAATATCAATATGTACTCACGATAGTCTGAAGTCCGCGCCTTGTGCCTTAAGCTTACGCAGCTCAGCCTCAGTAGCACCTGGGACATAGAGTCCATAAAGATGACGACAGTAGAGAAGTCGGTCTTCGAGATAGGGTAGAGGGTTATACAGGCACTGAGAGAAGATATCCATGAGAAATATCATTGAGAATCTGTTGGGAGACTTCGCATGAGAAAAATAACTGCTTTCGTTAGCGCGTGATACTCTTCGTGAAGTATTTCCAGCATTTCTTTCGGTTATTATTATCATCTGAGAAAGTCAGGAGGTCTCGATCTCAGCCGTGGTAGACTCTATCCTTTCTTTCCTGAGAGTCATCGCTGGGAGTTTCATTGACGCTGGGGAGAGACTGAAAGGCTGGAAGTAGGTATAACTCGAGCAAAAGGTCCCTAACAAGCGTGTAGCGTCCAGTCAAGAAAAGTGCTTCTACATCAGATTCCATCTAGAGAAAAATCTGAGAATGAAAAGTATAACTGGTTGATGCACTCACAACGAGGTCTAGGACCAAGGCAAAAACTAAAACGCACTAATTAGCCTGTCAAACAGCGCCAAACCAGTTCACACGTCCCCCTACGATACTTAATAGACAGATCCAAGGGGATAGGACCAAGAAACTAGAGGATTAGGATCAAGAGGATGGAGAGTCTCAGAGTCGGAACCGCTACCGTAGCGTCCTAGTAGAAGGTAAACTTGTGGTTAGTGAAAATAAATGCAGAGGCCAGAAAGTAGACTCGCGAGGAAGGTGCCTGAAGTTGGTGGCAAACAGAAGCAAGCAGAATTGCGCGCAGGGTTTCTCACGTGACAAACGCGACTTTGACCACCAGCTTCCATCACCTCGTCGATTCTTGGACTTCGAGTTCTGAGAGCTCGTCAATCTGGCTCCTACGCGAAACATTAGTTGAACTAGGCACTGCTGTCTCAGAATTTGCTGCTGTCGGCAGAATTTGATCGAGGTACTGGTTATCTTATAGCTTTCTTTGTTGAAAACGTTGAGGTATTCCGACACTACTACAGTTATATTATGGAACAGTTCGTATGTTACTGCTCGATATGCTTGAAAGAGAATGCTATTTCACTCATGCGGTCCCTGTTGTGCGGTCGGTCGTTCACTGTCATTTCCTTTGACCTTTGGAGGCTGATAATCATGTTACAGGACACAGTTTTTGTGCAACATGTTTGCATGAATACGTGGCAGCAACTTCACGACCAACCTGCCCTGAATGTCGCGAGAAGATCAAACGCGGCGACGAGAGACGGATCTATCTCAACATATCATATGTTCCACGAGCGGCCACCGTCATCTCAGGACTTGCAGAGATGGATGCCAATGCGAAACTTGTCAGTGTAGCCAAGGCGGGAAAGAAAATTGAGCAGGCTACTAAGGATTTGCGGTGTGATCAGGATCTTGCGGTTCGTGCGGTGCCTTTGCCATACCTTCTATGAAGCTAATGACAGTAGGAAGCACTCTTACGAGCAGTTGAAGACTTCAAGGATCGTATCGCGCCTGCTTTCGCAGAACTGGATGCGAAACGCCGAGAGATTCAGAAGATGACTAAAGACCATGCGTTGGCCCAACAAGTAGCAGCAACTCGCCACCGAGAGGTCGAGTTAGAGAGAGACAAGGGCTCTATTCTTTGCAGAACAAGCTATAAAGAAGACAACGGAGTACGAGGAAAGCATGTCGAGTCTCAGATCTGATAATGCCGTATTGGAGGAGAGAAACAGTTCGCTGGAAGCAAATGATGCCAGACAAAAAAGGACTATCGAAGCCTTGGGGACGAGCATGAAGGCAAAGGATACCCAAATCGTGCAATACAGGCAAACGATCACTGAACAGAAGGTGTAGTCACTAGATTTTGTTTCTTCCTCGATTACTCAATCCGCTTTAGAACCGAATCCATCGATACAAAGCACGAATTGAGGAGCTCAAGACCCAAAAAACTGCCGAGCAGCCTGTCGTCCTTTCAAATGAGGTAGACATTTTGTTCTCATACGAAAACGTATAGCTCACACCTTCGCAAGATTGACCTTGACGATGCCATTGGCCCTCATTCCCCTCATCGATCCCTGACATCCGACTGCGTTCAACAAGATAGTGATACCGGAGACTTTGAGGGCATGCCAGGACCGTTGTTCAGCTCCGAGCAAGTACCCCAGGGACTGAAGCGGAAACGAGCCGAGGAACGCTCTTCCAAGCCTCTGCGCGCAGTGAACGGTAACTTTGGGAAACTGTTCGCAACGGGACCTAAGCGGTTGGTTCGCGTGCCGAAAGGACCGTAGGTTTAATAATAATATGCTGTCAGGGGAGGCGAACCTAGTCGTTTTGAAACTCCTGCTGTGTTAACTGCCGTTGGGATGTGTTGTCCGTCGGTATCAAGAGTCAATGACGATCCGTCGGTACATGATGTTTAAGGCTGCAAATTGTCGACCCGAACAAGGTGAGACCAATTCAGCAACAGTGTCATCGGGCCTCAGGAGATACAGTTTCAAAAGGTAACAGTATGAATTGGCCAAGGCGGGACGTCGCTGAAAGGCAGTAATGGTAATAGAGATTAACAGCAGCATCGGTTCCGAATCTTCCGGTGCTTACTGAGCGACAATTAGCCAAGAAGTATCATGTCCCATCGAGGGGCAATAACACTGTCCTACTGAGTGTATTTGAGTCCAGAACGAGCATATCAATGAAGTAAGAGGCAGGAGAGTCGCGTCGGCGCGGCGGCAACAATGTGTTCCTGAAACCCCCATTCATGGAAAGTGTAGTTCTATATGTGGAAATTACATATGAACCATTCCCGCTTACCTAACACCCTGTCCTAGTTTTGTACCGCATTTCCATCTTGGGAGCGCAGCGCCGCTTTTCGCAATCCACTTCCATGTCCTTCTGGTCGAAGGCGCACTCCTCCAAGTGGGCAGAGGATGTCGCCAATGCCGGTTCCAACGACAAAACGATATCGGGTACCCTCCCCATACCTGTCCTTTCGACGCCGCGTGCAAGGCAAAGAACGATACTCAAGCCATTCAAGGCGTTATTGAAACACTTTAGGCGTCGACTGGCCCCGCCGACCTCACGCTCAATGATGGATGCCCTTGACCAGGCCGTGAACTACCCCCTTGACCTCAGTCCACCTCTTGAGGACGAGAAGGATGAGATTGATGAGATTGTGGTTGACCGATGTTGGTCGGAAGAGTACGCCAGCTCTTCACACTCTTCCGATGTCGCCGACAGTACCAGTGGCTTCGGGGAATTCGAGGAACGCAACAGTACTTCCGCATCGCACCGGGCGGGATTTTGGGCCTCTTGCAAGCCTCTCGTTTTCATCAGATGGCGACTGTGGCGTTGTCTTCGAGATTTTTTTGATCCTCGTTTCGAGAATCCTGTCGTGGAATTGGATTATGAAAAGGAGGTCTGGGAAGTTTCAAAAAGTCTGGCTCTATGGGCGTCCATATTCTTTATTGGGAATTGGTTGATGGCCGTGTTGTCCATCCCTACGCCCACCGTTCTCGCCGACAAGGTTAGTGGATCCACGTCTATCTCCTTTGAATTGATTTGAATCCATTCATAGATATTCTATTTCGCCATCGGCCCTGTCCTAACATTCCCCATCCTTGTGCTCTGTCTGTACGATTTCCCCCTCAAATATTCGCTATTTTTTCAGTGTTTCATCTGTGTATCTGCCTGGTCCTGGTCCGTGTCGCCGTCCTCCCCTGATAATTGTACCGGCTCATCGTCGCCTAGGTCGTTCTATCAAATATTATTTGTATATCTTTGTGGTTACTATAGCCACGATGTGCACGCATTTACTTGCGGTAGCAAAGACTTCTTATCGACATTCTAGTAAGTTAATAAATGAATCGTGACTAAATCGGCGCTAACAGCTCACAGCTATACATCTGCTCTGCAGACGGTCGCACTATTCGGTCTTAATCTTGGGCGCCTCCCCGCTATGATTGGCGCACTTTCCTTTCTCATTTTTTCCACCATATTGATCATCCCTCACCACACAGCGTGGTATCGAAGTGCGAAATTCGCCAATTTTCTTATTGTAAATCTCATCCTGCTCCCAGATATCATCAACTTCTTGGCGTTCCAGAGTTTTCTGTTATACATGCACTACCAGCGAGACATGTCTGCTCGACGACTGCATATGACGCGGATACGCCTAAAAATGCAGGTACACAAGACCACTAAGGCCCAATTGAATGAACGGAAGGCGGCAGATTCGAAGTACCGTCTCACCAGTTATGTTTTCCATGATAAGTCTGCAATTTCCCACATCTACTGTCTTCCTTACTGTTTCTTTACAGGTCCGCGTTCCTCTGAATACGGCTAGTGAGTCTTTTACAGTCCTACTTTGTCGCAGCGCTAATTTGTATCCGAATTAGTCTTGGCGGTACAGAATATGGATGCATCCGGAACGGTTCCGAGGAGTCAGCTGTTAGAATTCAATGCTCTTGAAGGCAGCCTTAGTCAGATGTCGAAAGGCAAGTAAATGGCATTATTAATGTTTCCTTGCTTCCGTTACTGATGCCTGAATGCAGTTCTCAACGATGTCTTGGACTTGTAAGCTCCTTTCAGAAACATAGTAACTGTTTATGGTATTGAATAATTTTATTCACAGTAATCGGATGGACAGCGGTAAATTCGAAGTTCTGATGAGGGTACGTCCTTGGCCAACAGTGCAGTCAAACTTCTTACACTCTGCAGCCGTATGCGTTTCATCAAGTTTTGCGATCAATGTTTTTAACGCTGGAACTCGCCACCAATGCTCGCGAATTAGACTTCGAAACAGACCTGGACATGAAGATTGATGATGTATGCCCTTCTATCTCAGCTACGGTCGCGTGTACTGATCATATCTACACATTCGTGCAGTTTGCTAGGCGAGCCGAGTATAAAGCTCTTGGTGAAAGTGACGAGAACATCGAGTTGCTCTTGAGGGATAATCCAAGCGGTGAATTAGCAATGGGCTTAGTTGCTGGGGATGAAAATCGGTTGAGACAAATCGTCACAAATCTTGCGAGGTGAGTATCTTATAGTTACACACTATTCACATTGATGTTTTCTTTAAAGTAATGCGTGTAAATTCACACCGAAAGGTGGAAAACTCAAGATTTCGACGCGGCTCATTCTCCCGGAGCCGAGCGTTGATGCAGATGGCGAAGATGACACTAAGGCGTCATACTCGAGAAAGACGTCGTTGGACAAGGAGCATGAAAAGACTGAACACACGCGTTCGTTGTCGGTGAAGGAACTTGAGGAGCATAACAAGCAACTTAGCGGAGCGCAACGTTGTTTCGAGAGAGAGAAGATCGTGGTCAGAATTGAGGTCACGGATACAGGAATTGGGATACCAAGTCACGATATGACCAATTCCAAACTTTTCTGTAAGTATTATGTTTTATTATCGGTCCCCTCTCCTGATCAACTGCCCCAGCTGCCTTCACGCAGACAGAACAGGGACGGTTGCAAGGTATGCTTCACGCTCTGCATCTTGAAGTGTACAGGAATAACGATGGCCATTAGGTGGTAAAGGAACTGGTCTTGGTCTAGCTTTGGTACGCCGCATTGTGAAGCTTAGTGGAGGTCGCCTGGGTGTCTGCTCAAAAGTTGGACAAGGATCAACATTTTGGGTGGAACTTCCTCTTGGCGTGGGACGTAAAGTCTTGCAGCCGGCACAGGAGCCTGTCCCTGGGACTCCAGGTCCATCGTTCATAAACATGTACACACTCACGAGTAGAGCCGGTGAAGACTCGCTGCAGTCAGCGAAAGCGAGTGTCGAGGGGACGGACGTCATCAGAGCCACGCCAACTTCTCCGTCGATGCGTTCTGCTTCGGCGCTACATGGGCTTATGAATCAAGGTATGTTACTTTTTCTTGATACGTCATTATGACAGTCTGTAGCTGACTTGTATTCAAAGGTGGTAGCGTTGAATTAAGCATCGCAAAATATGACTCCCATTCACCTGTGCCAACGAGGACCATCGGAGATCGTTCAACAGGAACGGAGTTCCCACGAGCTTATGAGGACTCGGACGACTCGCCCTCATCTCAAATTGTCCTTCCACCTCCCCTCGAACAGAATAATTCTGACGGGACAGTAACGGAACAGACATCACGGGATCGACCAAACTTTATCGCTCTACCTAGTCCTCAGTCCTTCGTACTCGACCCCCAGCAGTCACCGCCAGCTAACCCCCCGTCGCCTTCTATCACTCGAGGGTCGCTAATGAATTCGAGTTCAGCTCTGTTCCACCAATACCAAGTCCTCGTCGTAGATGACGATGCTCTGACGCGCCGGTTAATGACTCGAATGCTGGAGCGACTAGGCTGCTGTGTGACGACGGCGGAGAATGGGGAAGTCGCGCTTGAGATTTTGTTAGGACGAAGTCCCGTGACAAAAACGCCTGCTAGCGATAACTCGGTGCCTATCTTGGAAGACTTGACTCCTCCGACACAAAAGAGATTTATGGTGGTGTTTTTGGACAATCAGATGCCAGTAATGTCGGGGTTAAAGACCGTGTCGCATCTGCGGGAGGTCGGGAGGCGTGATTTCGTTGTTGGAGTTACTGGTACGCCAACTTCTTTCATAATTGTGTGTGCCTACTGATGAATTTTTCCACGTTCACAGGTAATGCTTTGATTACTGATCAAAAGGTCAGCTTTCTTTTTCTTGTTCAGTTTTTTGACGTTCATGATTATTTCTTTCTGTAGGAATATCTTGAAGCTGGCGTCGATCAGTGAGTTTTCTTCTCCTCTACCTTTTCACGGAAGGTTGACGTCTTTGCTCATAGTGTTCTTACGAAACCTGTACTGGAAAGAAGTCTTACACATATGCTGCACCTCGCGGAGCATCGCCGCAAAACTGCTGCTGTTGCAGCGGAGGAATAGCGCTTGCTTGTGATATTTTCACCACGTTTTTCTCTTGGGCCTTGGGGATCTTTGGGACATCTAATATGTATCATGTAGAATTTATATCACGAAAGACACGTTTCGTCGGCACATTGTAATGTATAACTAGCATAGTATTAACTTAACATCTTAAATATTAAATAGTGAATATGGTTTTCGGGTAATCTGAGGCTAAGAGGCTTGTGCTTTTCGTCATTTTTTAGATTTCCGTGGACGTTATGGCTACTACCTTCGAACGACGTCCCTTTGGTTAATCCATCGCGATGCCTGCAGCACGCAACTGTCGAATCTTACTCACAGCATCGAAGAACTTATCTTAAAAGGTCTACTGTAGATAATTTCTCATGGTAGGTGTAACTGGGATGCACCTGATCTCCAGTTGATGGTTGATGCCAAGCATGAAGAAAATTTGAAGAAAATAATAGGGTAAAATGGGAGTACCTTTTCGTCACTCATAAATTCCTTAAACGCATACGATTGTCACTTGATGAAAGATAAACTCAGTTTAAACAGGCTTTCGCCGTACATGCGAAATCGCCAGTGCCACCACTTGCTGGCTAAAATTCTGGTTCCTCTAAAGTCTCACGCATTACCCGATGTGTGGCTTGATGAATGAAAATGCAATATAACACACGAGCATATGTATCATAAGGCATAGTAGAGCAAAGAGGCGAAAACATTTATTTCTGTAAACACGATGCCAATGAGCAAATTGAATCAGAGAACAAGGATATACCGCCTCACCAAGATGATGCCGTCGAATCGTTGCTTGAACCATGCCATCGTATCGTCCTTCTTGATACGGTGGGTGAAGCCAATGCGGGCCTTCTTCTGCTTCCGCCTTGCCACACGAGCACCAGGACGTCCCATCACCACGTAGAAGTCCATACCGAAGATACCAATACCAGGGTCATACCGAGCCCCCAAGTCGATATGCTCTTGGATACCGAAACCAAAGTTTCCCGTCTCGGAGAAGTTCCTTCGTCTCAGCTCGTACTCCTTCACCTTCAAGCCACGCTCCAAAATCTCCTCAGCCTTGGGGCCCCGAATCGTTACATGGACGGCAATTTTTTCGTTACGACGGATACCGAAGGTACGGACGGTGTAACGGGCTTTGGAGGTGACTGGTGTTTGACCAGTGAGCTGTTCCAAGACCTTGGATGCACGGGTCAGACGATCACCAGATTCACCAACGGAGATGTCTGCGAGGATAGTAATTTAGTACAATGCTTCACTTGCTCAGTACCAAGGACGTACTGATGACAAGTTTGTCAATCCGGGGCTCCTTCATAGGGTTGGTGGGCGTCGCCTTCGTGTCGGCCTATAGGCATGGTAATTAAGTTACAGGTCAGCAACATAGTAGATGACGAGCTCACCATTTTGTTGTCGGTTTTGTCGATGTCGTTGAAGGATCTTGTGCGAGGAAATAATGTGAGGCTTAGGTAAGTCGGTGGCTGAAACTTAATTTTTGCAGTTTAACGGCATCTTCCGGAGTTCCTTCGGACCGCCATCTTGATTGACTCCCCTTACATACGTCTTGCTTTGCGTGGCCTTTACCATCGACGGTGCAATAGATGTACCTTGTCCATTTTTCGTGTGAATGGATATTTTCCCAACATTCTAATGACACTCCCGCTTCTGAAAGTTGCGTCTATACCAGAATGAATATTGGACCATGCCAGAACTCACCTCCTACTTACTCGCTCATACAATGATATCTATAGTAGGTCTTGAATGTCTCGACCTGCCGGTCATTCGTTATCGTCCTATGCTCATTCGCTACACAGATGCCAGTATTCGTCATGCCAACGTTTGAATATCTCTCCGAGTGTTTCTATAACCAAACCCTGGTGCGCCTCTGGTAAATATTCGGGCCATGAGCGAAGCCGTTTAGGATCTTCCTCGACGTGATGGACACGGTGATATTGTGCACCTTCGTATATATCATATATGTGGTCTTCTGTGATAGCCAACGACTATTCATTCTCGACCAAGCATCACCCGAGACTCTTCCATGTTACTCAATGCATATCCAGGTATGACGTTGCTCGGCCTCTCTTCTCGACCAGAAACTTCACCAGGGAGGGCAAGCTTGCCCGGTATGCGTACCATCAAACTCATGCGTCGTGCAGGATAGTCTCCTCGTCCTTGTCCATCAAATTCCAGCGGCAAAAGGTTTCTGTTCGCTAGAGTTGTGATTCATAGTGATAGCAATCTGATGCATTCCTAGGGCCATTTAGTATGATTTCTCTAGTCTTGGTGTTTGTGCTGAATCTTAGTTTGCCAGATGACCATGTCCGGGATTTAGCCTCTAGATACATTTATCCGACGGTCGATCTTATTAACGGGACACGGATGCAAGAATCGTGATGGGTACCTTATTCTTAGGTGGTCGTACCAAGAAATCCATTCATGTTCTGCCTTTAATGCCGGTCAAACTGGTCATGGGGCATTCAGAGCAATACTTTCGATGACAGACAGGTTTTCCCGGGACGGGGATGTCGTCTCTTAATCGCTATCGGTGGAGCGTCGAACAGTTGAAGGTAGGTAACTGAGAGTGACGGTGGAGCTCAAGTCAGTAATGAGTATCAACTTACCTCGCAGAACGGCCCGATTTCCGGCCCAAGATCACTGCTCAGGAATTCGGTAGGGAAATCCAAACGCTTAACGTACCAAGTGCGGAGACACCTCGGAAGTCGCCTCTCGTGCCGGACACTTTTCGGTATCATTTAGCGTCATCTTACCTCGTAAGGTCCAAGACTTGGCGTACAGCTGGCCAACATGAACGCGCTGGCAACTGGTTTTTCACAATCGTTCTTGTATAAAAGATGACCGCACCACTGCTAGTAAATTGTCAAGCAAACCTCCAGCATGTTTCCCAAGGTCGCTCTCCTCTCCCTCGCTCTCGCCGCTGTTGTCTACGGCCAACAAGTCGGGACTCTAACAGCGGAGAACCATCCCACACTCCAAGTTCAACAATGTTCAGCGGGTGGCAGCTGTACGACTCAGTCTAGGGCGGTTACACTCGATTCCAACTGGCGTTGGACACATCAGGTTGGGAGTGCCACCAATTGCTACACCGGCAACGAGTGGGACACGTCTCTCTGCCCCGATCCCACCACCTGTGCAGCCAACTGCGCTTTGGACGGTGCCGACTATGCTGGCACGTACGGTATTACGACCAGCGGCAACGCGCTCACCTTGAAGTTCGTCACCCACGGACCATACTCCACCAATATCGGCTCGCGCGTGTACTTGCTCGACTCAAGCGGCAGCAAGTACCAAATGTTCAACATGAAGAACCAGGAATTCACCTTCGACGTCGACATGACCGGCCTCCCTTGCGGTCTCAACGGTGCTCTGTACTTCGTCCAGATGGACGCCGATGGCGGAATGGCCAGGTTCCCTACCAACAAGGCTGGTGCCAAGTATGGAACTGGCTATTGCGATACCCAGTGTCCGCAAGACATCAAGTTCATCAACGGACAGGCAAGTTTTCCAGTCTTTCTCGTCGTTCTCTTTAGCTCATCGTCAATGTTTAGGCCAACGTTCTGAACTGGGCGCCTTCTGACAGCGACGTTAATGCTGGATCGGGAGAATATGGCACTTGCTGCAATGAGATGGATATCTGGGAAGCTAACTCCCAAGCCGCTGCTCTCACTCCTCATGTCTGCTCGGGCATTACTGGCCAGACGAGGTGCACGGGTACCCAATGTGGAGCTGGTGATGCGAGATACGATGGAGTTTGCGACAAGGATGGTTGCGACTTCAACTCGTGGCGTATGGGCGATGAGACATTCCTTGGGCCTGGCTTGACTGTCAACACCAACTCCAAGTTCACCGTCGTCACCCAATTCCTCACTTCCGACAATACCACCTCCGGCACCCTCCACGAAATCCGCCGTCTCTATGTCCAGAACGGCAAAGTCATCCAGAATTCCAATTCCAAGTTCTCCGGCCTCACCCAGTACAACTCGATTACCGACTCCTTCTGTAACGACCAGAAGGCGCTTTTCGGCGACACCAACTCGTTTGAATCCAGGGGTGGACTTGCTGCTATGGGCGATGCATTCAGCGCCGGCATGGCTCTAGTCATGAGTATCTGGGATGATCACGCTGTCAACATGTTGTGGCTCGACAGTAACTACCCCACCGACGCTCCTGCATCCCAACCCGGTATCTCTCGCGGACCATGCGCTACGACTTCCGGCCAGCCTAACGATGTCGAGTCGCAGTCCGGCAATTCACAAGTCATTTTCTCCAACATCAAGTTTGGCCCCATTGGCTCTACTTACGCCCATTGAACGTGCGCTACTCTTAATCTTCTTTGCATATCGCCACTGACTAGAATAACGCGCAGAAATTAATACTAAGCCCCTTCCCTTGGTGAGTCACACATTTGTTTTATCTGACCTTGACTCACGGTGTCCCTACAGATTTAAGTATTTACGACCGTCTTTACGCCTTTTGTTCTCAAATTTCCCACCGGCGGGTTTCTTTCATCACTTCGTTCGTGTCTTCGTTCCTTAGCTTCGAGATTTCTATTAACCCGATTGATACCGAAGACTGGTCGACATAATCCCTTTCTTTTCTTCCTCGGTTGACAGGCTCGCTGTACGTTTCTCACATAGCTCTTCCTTCCCCGGCCACTTATCTCCCGCCCAGGTCTTCCTCTGACTCTCTTGTGTGTATCTGTGGACCGCGTATACATGGGGTATGGCGTGATAATTGCGGAACAAAATCCGCATTAGCCAGACGTCGAACGGAGCACTTTTACTTACCCCAGAATGTCAGTATAGAAGTCTAGCCAGTTTATAAAAGACCTTTGAATTGATTGCTCCTGAGAAAAACTGCAAGAAATTTTGAGTGCTTGTTGTCCGCCTTTGACCAGCACTCTCTAACGCTGCTGTGTGCCTCTTTTGGTCCACGTGCCGAAGGCTCGGAGAAAGTGACGGGCAAGTGCGGACCGGTCATCTCAAGATGACCTTTTGCTTGCATGGCGCGCGTCGTACCCATCACGAAAAAAAGTTCTTGACCATCATGTGTTGCTTGTACGGATTACATCTACTTCTCTTCTAAGCGAGGGCTCTCACATCAAGACAGGCCCATCTGACCATATAAAAGCCGCGTCCGATGTCTGCTTCATTCTCGTCAACCCGGACTCGAGATCTCTTGCAAGATGCTCGTATATCTGCTTTTGGCTCTCTTGCTAATCTGTAATCCAACAACCTTCGTCGAATGTCTTCACACACATTCTCGCCGAAATTCCACTGGTCTTACGGACGCAGTCACTTGGGACCCTTATTCGCTTTCAATTCATGGACAACGAGTGTTTATCTTGTCAGCGGAAGTCCATCCATGGAGGATCCCAGGTGATCCAGCTATCTGGGCCGACATCTTCCAAAAGGTCAAAGCGAACGGGTTCAATACCGTGTCGTTCTATGTCAACTGGGCTCTTCATTATCCTACACCCGATACCAATGATGGCGGAGGGGATTTTGAAGAAGGAACCTACAGGGATATACAGGGATTCATTGACCAAGCGAAGAAGGCTGGTCTTTGGATGATTGCGAGGTCTGTCAGCATGTTTTGATTTCTTGGCCTCTGTTGATTCTTTTGATCAGGCCCGGACCGTATATCAGTAAGAAGGATTTCATACGTCCTGGATTTGTTTGATGTCATTGCATAGACGGAGAAACTACGGGTGGAGGGTTTCCTGGTTGGGTAGGGAATATCGCAGGCAACCTCCGCACGAACAATCCAAGTTATACTGAAGGTGCGTCAAAGGCATGCGACTTCGGTTTCAGAAGCCATGTTCTAAATGCGCTGTACCAGCTTGGACGCCTTATTTGACCTCGATATCCAAGATAATTGCAAAGAACCAGATTACGAATGGAGGACCCAGTAAGCGCCAAGCTAACTGAAGAAGACTTGTGTTCATGTCAAATCCATTTAGTCATCCTTGTCCAAGCCGAAAATGAATTCTCTGAAAGTGCAAGCAATGATGAATACATGCAAGCTATCATCGACTTGTACAGGGACAACGGTATTGTAATGCGTATGTCGGCACTTCTTTCATAAGCCGATTACTCTCATGTTCACAATCATAGCCACGACTCATAACGACCAGCATGCTGGACAGGCAGGGTACCTTCTCTTGCTTGTTTCGCTCTTTTCGCGTATTTATTACGTCACAGAAATTTCTCACCCGATCGTCCTGGTCTTGGGCGTGTTAACATATATTGGTATATCTTTCATGTGCTTTGCTCGCCAGGAAGCTCACTATCTGATGCAAGCGGCGACTCTTATCCCCAAGGCTCTAATCGCTGGGCGCAGGTTCAGTCGATATATTACTCCGCGCACGAGGCTGTTGCCCCAAGTAATCCTTTATGTCTCGCTGAGGTATGATACCGTAGATGGGTACTTCTTCCTTGACTCATCATTGTAATTCAGTTTGGGGGAGGCTTCCTATTGCAGTGGGGTTCTGTTACGCCTCGGGGTGGTACAGGATACGAGAAATATTGTGTGTGGAAACTTTTCCATCTTGACACTTTGTGATATATTTCTCTGCAGCGAATGATCTCACCAATGCTACTTTCGGTACCGGTTGCCGCCACTAACATCGGTAATGATACTAATTTGTGACATCAGAGGATGTCTTCTACAAGGAAAACTAGCAAGTCTCACATTCCTGATTCTCTTTCTTTGTCAACTGAACGCGCAATTTCGCGTAGCGCGCAAACGGCCACCATCTTGAGTGAGTTGCGGTGTGTTGACCGAATTCCACTCTTCTGATGATGCTCACAAGACATATACATGCTGTTCGGAGGTACAAACTGGGGACAGACCGCGGCGCCAGTGAGTGCGCCCCTCGCATCTTTAATCTGTGTCTATAATTTCGTTAACAGGTTTCATATACCTCATATGATTATGGCGGAGGTTTGCTTATCTATTTGCGTTTGAGCACAGCACTTATTCCGTCCAGGAATCAACGAGAACCGCGTCGCTAACACTAAGATGAACGAAATGCGTTTACAGGGTTCGTCCTCTCCAATAGTCACTGATTCCGTGAGGGCATCTTGAATCACATCCCCACAGGGCTATTCCTGCGTGTCTCTCGCGACCTACTGTCGTCGGATCTCATAGCGAATGGCACCAACTATACAACATCCTCGCTGATTCACACAGCGGAATTGCGCAATTCCAATACCGGTGCTGCGTTCTACGTAACCCGTCATAACGACTCCACGTATAGTACACACAGATTCTTTGAATGATCGCTATGCTCACGTACTTGCAGATCGACGGAGCTGACTACTACGCAGATTCGTGTAAACACTTCCCAAGGGTCTTTGCTGATACCTCAAACTGGCGTGTTGACATTTAATGGACGGGAGAGTAAAATAATTGTGACCGACTATGTGTTTGGAAGGAGCTCGACGACTATACTATACTCAACTGCTGAGTATGTATCTCATCTTCTGTAGCTCATGGCGATGTTAACCCTCTCTTTAGGATTATGACGTGGACGACGTAAGTATCGCTCCTGGTGGCAAGGATTTTTCTCAGGCTAAGATCTCCGATAGGATTGGTGATACGGACTATCTTGTCCTATACGCGCCGGAGGGCCAGACAGGAGAAACCGCATTTTTACTGCCAACTGAACTCAAAGCAACGAATCTCCAAAATGCCCCTGGAGCTACGGCGACTCTCTCTGACGGTAGACTGACGTTACAGTACACCTTAAATGGATCTCAATTCATTCCCATCCAATTGCAAAGCAATAAATTCGTGGTCATACTTCTGGACAAGGCGACTGCGTACCAATGGCATGCTCCAATCATAGAAGGAAGTGGTACATTCGGGAACTTCTTTTCGATTGGAACGAACGAAATGTCAGTCTTCTGACATCTTTTCACCTACTCAGTGATCTAAATATGGTTTAGTGTTCTCGTTGGAGGACCATATGTTCTACGTTCATCAAGTTTAAGCCAAAACACGTTAGAACTAGTCAGTCATTTTGAAGTATTGCTTACCCGTCATCCATTTTACGCTGCTTCATGCCCAGACCGGAGATCTCAATGGTACCACTTATGTCGAGTTCATTGCTCCATCATCTATATCTCAGTTGTCATGGAATGGCAAAGATATACCGATATCTAAATCATCTCGTGGATCGTTCGTGGCTACTATTCAAGGTGCAAATGACAACATCAGCTTGCCTACTCTCGACGACTGGAAAGTTTTGGGCAGGTGGGATGGGAACACTCTTTTCGCATAACAATATATTGATTGGGATCACTCAAGCCTGCCTGAGATTGAGCCAGATTTTGACGACTCTCAATTTGTTCTAGCTGACATTCGATCCACCAACGTAAGACGCTTTCTCATCAACCCGAGATCGCTAACTGGAGCCTTCGTTTGCAGTACACAAACCTTCCTCCTTTGTATGGTGATGTCGTGCTCTATTCGCAGCAATACGGGTAAGTCATGACAAATGCCATGAATTGCCAACGATCGGTAATGATCTTACTAGATTTTATGGCGGGAACTTGATCTTCCGAGGACATTTCGAAGCGTCCGGAGACGAGACCACAGTGAGGCTAGCAGTTCAATATGGGTTTGCTGGCGGATATACTGCGTGGCTTAATGGTGTCTTCCTTGGATCGGGCCAGGGAAACTCGACCGTGAGCTTGTCAGAGGATTCTTGGGCTATTCCTGAAAATACACTCCGTGTGGGGGAGGATAACGTGCTCGTTGTTGTTCAAGGTATACTGCTTGCAATTATTCTATGTCTTTTCGAAGGCTCACATTATTGCGCCATATAGATCACACTGGGTATGTTGTATCTAAGTATGCTGAGGACAGTAGAACTCTCTGACACGGTCTAATAAAGCATCTCTGAAACTAGTAGTACGTCTTCCGCCTGCCCCGGCCGCCCTATGCGTCCTGATCTAACAATCTCTAGCAAATGGTGGCAAAGAGCCTCGAGGAATACGAGGGTATGCTATTGATGGTGGAAATGCGACCTTCACATCGTGGAGGCTACAAGGAAATCAAGGCGGGGCGGCCAATACGCCCGACACCTTCCGAGGATATTTGAACGAAGGGGGTTTATATGCAGAAAGAATTGGTGCACACCTACCTGGGTACCCTGACGTTGAATGGAAAAATGATACGCCTCTCTCCGGTGGTGGCCTCTCACGCGCTGGAATCAATTTCTATCGCACGACATTCGACCTGGTAAATGTTTGCCGACTGAATATCGAACGCCATTGAACTGATATGCTTTAGCCCGTTCCTGATGGTGTCGACTTCCCTATCCGATTGTCTATAATACCTAGCGATATTAGCTCGAACTTTAGAGTTCAGATTTACCTGAATGGATGGCAAGTTGGCAAGTACATCAATAACATTGGGTGAGTTCACTTTAAAGAGGATATTCCGGAGACCTGACTGGTATGTACTTAGTCCCCAAACAGATTTCGTTCTTCCCGCAAGGTGATATCCATCTCGCACGAAATTATCTTAGTTATAGTGTCATTGACATTTACCCACTAGTGTTCTTCGGCGATCCTCGACAAACACGTTGGCGCTATCGCTGTGGTCCCTGGATAACTCTGGGGCTTCCATAGCTGGTCTCGAGTTAATATCCGATGGGACCTTCTCAACCTCCCTTGTTTTCCACGATTATCGTACACCCGATTATGCTGAACAGCAGAAGGATAGGCCATCTGGAACGTACTATGAATCAATGTAAAGGCTAGGATGGAGATGTAGTGTAAATGATCGCTGCGCTGCCAGTGCAACTTTTTTGTTTCAATTTTGTCTGTGGAGCGTCTCAATGGTTGAAACCATTTCGCCAAGGTATAAAAATCGTGACTCGGCTTTTAACCAAACATTACAGGCTCTCTTTGCATCGCAAGTTACTTCGACTATATAGTTGTAGTACGTATCTTATCCTGCCAGGAAAGACTTCAAGTCAACTTCTTTCCATATCATTGCAGGCCCCCCATCGCCATCACATCGGCATGTGTTTCGGCGAAAGTCGCCCCGAAACTGCTAGGTTCCCCTGTCGCTGGAAATTACTTTTTGAAGATGCGACTTGCCTTCCAGAGCGCATGCAAGGGAAGGAGGCCATGCCGGTGTGGTTGCTGAAGTATTATCAACGGGAGTACGGGTACTCCTTTGCCGAAGGCGCGCATTTTCGTGTGGCGGGGGCCTACCCATGCTTCGTCCCGCTCCACCCCCACCTCTATGAGTCCGAACTATCAAAGGGTTCGGGTGGTTTAATGATAACGGTAGTTGAAAGAGTCGAAGCTGGCGGCGAGACAGTCGAGGAGTTATTGGACAAATTTAAACCCTACCAGCTCATCGGGTAATACAAACATTCAATAGGTTACAGTCATTGTGATATTGGACGTCAGAAACATGGTTGAACGTTCAAATGTCTGGACTTTGCGATACTAAGCAATACTACAGGCTGTCCCAACATTGTCTTTGTTTGCAACTCGCTTCAGCGTCAGTGGCTGTGCGATCACACATTTTCTCTACTTCCTCTTGTATATTCAACATGCAGTCCCATCCAGTGTACAAATACTTTCCCTCAAGCGAAACGGACACCTCTTCTAGGATGGGCTGTGGACGCCTGGTGCCTCAAAGTTGAAGCTTGAAGTTCTCAGACATTTCACCAGACTGCACCGCGCTCCTCCGGGCTACGGCTTTTTTAACATCCCTAACCTCTCCATATCAATTGTACAACATCGCCAGCCGCTGCTTAGGCTCAACAAGTGAGTGGGACTCGTGATATAGATCCATGCACATGGCTGACCACAGTCTACGTTTCAGTTCCTACGTATCGCCTCCCTCCTTGAGGTCTACCGAGATTGGTAGCCTAGTAGCCGGCCCGCCTACTAGCGACTGTCAAATGCCTTGCTAACAGAGCAAGCACGTATGTGAAACTGCCGCTTATGGCAATGACCTGAACCGTCCACCAGCGTCCCTCCAATCATTAGGTTCTATCATACACCACCACTACAGCATTGTCCCTCTACATCAACCTCCGGTCAACACATATTGGCATGCACGACATCTGGAACAGAACATTATCGAACGCTGGGACAGAGACTTCGGTGGGAGCGGGAGGTGTCAAGGTGTCTTTGCTAGAAGGACGGTTACGATGCTATTGCTGCGTATATCATCTAAGACCATCTTCAGAGACTGACATATGAAGATACTATCTGTCATCCCTCCATACACAGACTTTGCCCCCAATAACATCGTCGAATCGAGGATGACCCAAGAGGTTCTACTATCCAAAAGGCTGGAGCGTGTTTCATCTGTATGATATCCTCGATTTCGTCCACGGCTTGCCGCTGCTGCCGTCGTCAAAATCAACGAAGCAGGTCAACCGCGGTTGGGCGAGTACCATCGCATTGATCGTTTGTTCACTGTTGCTCTCTCCAACCACAACCACAACTTTCGACTCATCTAGTCCTTTCGTCGCCGTGATGCCTGACTGCTTCCGAACCCAACCATTGGCGTTCACCCCTGGCTACACCCTCGACCGGCTCGGATGACTCCGACTATGAGAAAGGGTCGGAGAGGATAACGGTCTAGTAGCTTGGCCACGTTCTATTTGGCCATGCCCTTGTGCGAAAGCGACATATCGATATTTCAATAAATGATGTTTTTATAATTCCCATTCTCCCCTTCCAGTGTGTTCATCAATCTATCTGTCGGGGTCTTTCCTCGTGGAGCTTCCTCACGACGCATATTCACTCCTAGAATGACAGCTTATTGGATGCCTCGTTAGTTGTACAAAGGCTTGAGACTTAATCGCTTCCGTGAATAATTGCAAGAAACGTCTAGACGATGCTGTCTGCTTTGACCATCACTCTAACGCTTTTCCCTAACAAAACTTCGTCTTCTGACTCTTCCTTCAGTCCACGTGGCAAAGCCTGGGGAAAACGGGTAAGGGCGGACCGTTCAAGATGACCTTTTGCGTGCATGGTGCGCATCGTACCGATCATGTAAAGGTTCTTGACTGTCATGTGTTGCTTCTACGGAATACCTTTCTTCTCTTCTAAGCGAAGCTTTTCGTATCAAAACAAGCCCATCTGACTATATAAAAGTCGTCACTGTATCCGATGATGTCTCCTCCATTCGCGTCAACTCTCAGAAGATGCTTGTATATCTGCTTTTGGCTCTCTTGCTGACCTGTAACCCGGTGATCTTGGTCGAAAGCCTTCACACGTACTCTCGAAGAAATTCTACTGGCCTCACGGACGCAGTCACTTGGGACCCTTATTCGCTTTCGATTCATGGGCAACGAGTGTTTATCTTGTCAGCGGAAGTCCATCCGTGGAGGATCCCAGGGGATCCAAGTATCTGGACCGACATCTTCCAAAAGATCAAAGCGAACGGATTCAATACTGTTTCGTTCATTGTCAACTGGGCACCTCATTATCCCGCACCTGATACCAATGGCGGTAAAGGGGATTTTGAAGAAGGAACCTACAGAGATATACAAGGATTCATTGACCAAGCGAAGAAGGCTGGTCTTTGGATGATTGCGAGGTCTGTCAGCATGATTTTCATTTCTTGGCTTGTGATAACTGATCCTTAGAATCAGGCCCGGACCGTACATCAGTAAGAAAGATTCTGTCCGCCTTAGATATTGTTTGACGTCATCCACACAGACGGAGAAACTACGGGTGGAGGGTTTCCTGGCTGGGTAGGGAATATTGCGGGGAACCTTCGCACGAACAATCCAAATTATACTGAAGGTACGTTTAAGGTATGCAGATTCGGCGGCAACTATGTTCTGAATACATCTTACCAGCTTGGACCCCTTATCTGACTTCTGTATCCAAGATAATCGCTAAGAATCAGATCACGAATGGAGGTCCTAGTAAGTGCCGACGTGACAGAAGAAAGCTTTTTTTTACGTCGAACGCATCTAGTCATTCTTGTCCAAGCCGAAAACGAATTCTCTGAAAGTGAAGGAAATGACGAATACATGCAAGCTATCATCGACTTGTACAGGGCCAACGGTATTGTAATTCGTACGTCAGGCCTTTTTTTGAACAAAGTTATTCCCACGCCAAATATGATATCATGTAGCTACAACTCACAACGACCAACATGCGGGACAGGCAGGGTACTATCTACCTTCTGCTTTACTCCCTTCACATACTGATCACAATCGCAGGAATTTCTCACCCGATCGTCCTGGCCTTGGACGTGTCAATATATATTGGTATACCTTTCGAACACTCATCCCTTCAGGAAGGCTCACTACCTAATTCAAGCGGTGACTCTTACCCCCAAGGCTCAAATCGCTGGGCGCAGGTTCAGTCGATATATTACTCCGCGCACAAGGCTGTTGCCCCAAGTAATCCGTTGTGTCTCGCTGAGGTATTATGCGCAACAGATGGGTGCACCTTCTTTGCCTCACCATACTGCTTCTACAGTTTTCGGGTGGCTTTCTATTGCAGTGGGGTTCTGTTACACCTCGTGGCGGGACGGGATACGAGAAATATTGTGTGTGTGAATAACTTCTCATGTTGCCACTTTTTGATATATTCTCATACAGCAAATGATCTCACCGACGCTTCCTTCGGTACGGATTCCCACAAGTGTTGTTGTACTGATACCGATATGTGACGTTTGATCAGAGAACATCTTCTACAAGGAAAATTAGCAAGTATCAGATTCCTGCTTCTCTTTCTTTAACTCAACGCACAATTTCGTGTAGCGCGCAAACGGCCACCATCTTGAGTGAGTTGCGGTGTGTTGGCTGAATTCCACTCTTCTGATGATGCTTACAAGATATATACATGCTTTTCGGAGGCACAAATTGGGGTCAGACCGCGGCTCCAGTCAGTGCGCGTCTCGCATCTGTAACCTTGCTTTCTAATTTCGTTGACAGGTCTCATATACCTCATATGATTATGGCGGAGGTTTGCTTATCTATATCTGCAATTGTACACGGCACTTATTCCAGAAAGGAATCAACGAGAACCGCGTCGCTAACACCAAGATGAACGAGATGCGTTTACAGGGTTCGTCCTCTCCAATAGTCACTGATTCCGTGAGGGCCTCTTGAATCACACCCCCACAGGGCTATTCCTGCGCGTCTCTCGCGACTTACTGTCTTCGGATCTCATAGCGAATGGCACCAACTATACAACATCCTCGCTGATTCATACAGCAGAATTACGCAATTCTAAGACCGGTGCTGCATTCTACGTAACTCGTCACAACGATTCCACGTGAAGTGCACCCAGATTCTTTGAATGATTGCCATGTTCACCAACTTGCAGATCGACGGAGCTGACTACGACACAGATTCGTGTCAACACTTCCAAAGGGTCTTTGCTGATACCTCAAACTGGCGCGTTGACATTTAATGGACGGGAAAGTAAAATAATTGTGACTGACTATGTGTTTGGAAGGAGCTCGACGACTATACTATACTCAACTGCTGAGTATGTAGCTTATCTTCTGCAGCTAATGACGATGTTGACTCTCTCTTTAGGATTATGACATGGACGACGTAAGTATCACTCTCGATGACAAGGATTTTTCTCAGGTTGAAATCTCCGATAGGATTGGTGATACGGACTATCTTGTCCTCTACGCTCCAGAGGGCCAGACAGGAGAAACCGCATTTTTACTGTCAACTGAACTCAAGTCAACGAATCTCCAAAATGCCCCTGGAGCTACCGCAACACTCTCTGACGGTAGACTGACGCTTCAGTACACCTTAAATGGACCTCAATTCATTCCCATCCAATTGCAAAACAATAAATTCGTAGTTATCCTTCTGGACAAAGCGACTGCATACCAATGGCATGCTCCGATCATAGAAGGAAGTGGTACATTTGGCAATTTCTTTTCGATTGGAACGAACGAAACGTCAGTCTTCTGACATCTTTTCACCTACTCAGTGATCTAAATATGTTTTAGTGTTCTCGTTGGAGGACCATATGTTCTACGTTCGTCAAGTTTAAGCCAGAATACGTTGGAACTGGTCAGTCATTTTGAAGTATGCTTATCCGTCATCCGGTTTACACTGTTTCATGCCTAGACTGGAGATCTCAATGGTACCACTTCTGTCGAGTTCATTGCTCCATCATCTATCTCTCGGTTGTCATGGAATGGCAGAGATATACCGATATCTAAATCGTCCCGTGGATCATTTGTGGCTACTATCCAAGGTGTAGATGACAACATTAGCTTGCCTGCTCTCGATGATTGGAAAGTGTTCGGCAGGTGAGATGATGACACTCTTTATAAAATAGTCCGTTGACTCGGATCGTTCCAGCCTGCCTGAGATTATGCCAGATTTCGACGATTCCCAGTTTGTTCTAGCTGACATTCGAACCACCAACGTAAGACGCTTTCTCGTCAACCCGAGATCACTAACTGGAGCCTTCGTTTGCAGTACACAAACCTTCCTCCTTTGTATGGTGATGTCGTGCTCTATTCGCAGCAATACGGGTAAGTCATGACAAATGCCATGAATTGCCAACGATCGGTAATGATCTTACTAGATTTTATGGCGGGAACTTGATCTTCCGAGGACATTTCGAAGCGTCCGGAGACGAGACCACAGTGAGGCTAGCAGTTCAATATGGGTTTGCTGGCGGATACACTGCGTGGCTTAATGGTGTCTTCCTTGGATCGGGCCAGGGCAATTCGACCGTGAGCCTGTCAGAAGATTCGTGGGATGTTCCTGAAAACACGCTTCGTATGGGGGAGGATAACGTGCTTGTTGTTGTTCAAGGTATACTACTGCTTGCAACAATTCTACGTTTTTTCGAAGATTCATATTTTTGTGGTGTAGATCATACTGGGTATGTTATGTCTGAACATGCTGGGACCAGAGAACTCTCTGACACGGTCTGATAAAGTCTTTCTGAAACTAGTAGTAAGTTTTACTATATACCCTGGCGATCTTGCATGTGCTGACCTGACAATCTCTAGCGAATGGCGGCAAAGAGCCCCGGGGAATACGGGGGTACGCCATTGAAGGTGGAAATACGACCTTCACATCGTGGAGGCTACAGGGAAATCAAGGCGGAGCGATAAATACTCCCGATACCTATCGAGGATATTTAAACGAAGGGGGTTTGTATGCAGAAAGAATCGGTGCACACCTGCCTGGGTATCCTGATGTCCAATGGAAAAATGGTACGCCTCTCTCCGGTGGTGGCCTCTCACGCGCTGGAATCAACTTTTATCGCACGGCATTCGACCTGGTAAATGTTTTCCGACTGACTATCGAGCACCATTGAACTAATATGTTTTAGCCCGTTCCTGATGGTGTCGACTTTCCTATCCGATTGTCTATTACTCCCAGCGATATCAGCTCGAACTTCAGAGTTCAAATTTACCTGAATGGATGGCAAGTTGGCAAGTACATCAATAACCTAGGGTGAGGTCATTTCAACAATAACTTCCTGGTATCCTGGATATCTGACTAGCATGTACCAGTCCTCAAACAGATTTCGTTCTTCCCGCAAGGTAATAACGACGTTGGAAGAGATTACCTCAATTATAAGTTTACTGACATCCACCCACTAGTATTCTTCGGCGATCCTCGACAAACACACTAGCGTTATCGCTGTGGTCCCTGGACAACTCTGGGGCTTCCATAGCTGGTCTCAAGCTAATATCCGATGGGATCTTTTCAACTTCCCTTGTTTTCAACAATTATCGTACACCGGATTACATCGAGCAGCAGAAGAGCAGACCGTCTGGAACATATTATGAACCGATGTAAAGGTTGGGATGCGGATTTAGTGTAAGTGAATCAATAACATTATACATGAACGGTGCGAGAGTCACGGTCGAGAGCGGCTCGATACTCCTTCATTCACTATCATCGCCTAAGAAGGCCATAATACTCTGCCTGGCCGACATCTTCGTCCGTGTGTCAGTTATAGTACATATAGACAGGTAACAAGTGTATTCACCTTCCGCTTCACAGGCTTTTCAGTTATCTCTTCGTCAGAGTCATCTTGGTCAGATTCAACTGCCTTCTTCTCTGCCGTGGCGCGGCTCCGCGACGAGCGGCTTACGAATGATTTCTCAAAGGATTGGACGTCAGCTAGCAATATGAAATGAGTCTCTTGACGTAGAAGAGCGAGGACGATACTACATACCTAGTTCTTGCTCCATCTCTCGTTTTTCTCGGATGGCTTTGGCTTGTTCCATGCTCATCCGACCCTTCATGCCCAGCTCGGTGAGGATATCCTTGATGGTTTTAATCTGCTGCGACGGTCGATCGACGCCTTCGAAAAGCTTCGCCCATGGTTTACGCACACCGCATGCTAGAACTAAGGACTGATCGCCGTGTCAGGACATCATAAAGATTAGACCTTGGAGTCAATATACCTTCAATCGCTTGATAGTGGCATCGTCTTTGTCCGATGGTTTCTTGTCAGCTACTTTCTTCGTTGAAGGCGCCCGGCTAGATTTGGATTCCTATTAAAAAAAAGGTCAGTATGAGGGTAAGATTTCGGAGGCCGAATATCGTAACCTTCTCTTTGGTCGTAGTCTTCTTCTGCGAAATAGGTGGCTTATTCTCCATATTTGAGTCACCAGAACCCTGCTGGTGGCAATTCAAAGGAAGTTCTGTAATTGAGCAACAAGCTGCTCACCCCAGCATCCTCGACAGGCTTCGACTTGGGTTTCGAGCGCTGTTTATCACGAGCGACAGCCTTTGGCTTCAGTGGCGTGGATTTCTTCTCCGGTTTAGAATCCTCATTATCAGAGAACAAGCTCTTGGATTTAGCGGATGGCCCTTGGCGTTCCGAGTCGAGGGGTTTCTATGGGAGGTTCGCATCAACGACGACGTATTATCGTACGATGCCTACCTGATGTGAAATGTAGCTTCCCTGTCCAAATACAAAAGGATTGACAGGGTCGTATGGGATATCATCCTCGATGTCAGATGAAGCTACAACGGACTTGGGTCGTCATTAGTTTAGACAAGAACAAACCTTAGGATACACGCACAGCTGACTTGAACTTCTTCGCCTTGGAAACGCCCAGTCTCTTTGCTTCAGAGGACTCCGTTGATTTGCGCTTCTTTGAGGTACTGGCGCCGCCAATCTGCGTGCTGCAGTAAGCCAGGGCCCAGCGTTGAGGAATATGTTGAGAAAGGACCAACCAATCTAACTTCGACGTCAGAGTCGGAAGCGTAGGAGCTTGCGCCAGAGGAGAGCTGTCCGGAATCCGACGACATGCTGGAAGAATGTCCTTGATGATATCGATAGGTAGAAGAACCTTTTCTTGAAAGTCGCGCCTGTCACACTCTGTCACATCAACGATTAAGAGTCACGTGCTAAGACGCGCTGTAAAAATAGATTTCCCGACGCGAAACTTGCGCGAAACCGTAACGCGAGCCCAAACGTCATAACACGACTTGTACTTACTGTGAAGGCGACTGTAAAAAAGAGAAGCGCCATTCACATAAAATGCCTTATATGGTGTACCTATATCCGCTCCATTTATCGCCTTTCTCCATCTTCGCGTCATTGACAGTGGCGAATCGGCCATTCTTCTCAGGCCCCTTCTCGGTAGTAGTGTCACCGATGATCTCGTCCCTCTCTCCCCGGTCCCGTTGCTTGTTCTCCCTTTTCAGAAGGATTAGGTATACTATTGAGAAAACTGCGCCAATGCCAAGGTACAAAAGCACCAAACCTATATGCCTCTGAGCCAGCTGTCCGGTATCCAGTGTAAAAGAAACGTACCATGTCCTGTTATAGGGTGTAAAATTATCAATCAATGAACCTAGACCGCAGGGAAATTTTACCAAGGGGGTACCAAGGTCTATCACTGGCACGGTACTGAGGAGAAAAGAGCTTATTCAAGTAGTTGTATGAATCCGTAGCGTACATACCACGTTTGCGCTGACGGCGCCGTTTAGGTTTCCGCTGTCAGTCGAGTCAGCTTTCAATGAAACCTATCGTTTTGAAGGACGGACAGGCTGATCACCATGGCTAACGTAACGCCCCGCTTGTAGGCTCCTTCGACGTTGTTAGATAACCAAGCGCTACATTTTATGATCAGGTGATTCATGACATTATCAAGAGATAAAAAACCTACATAGTATTCGCTAGACGAGCAGCAAAATCATTCAGTAGAGATTAAGTGCTTGTGAGACCTCAGGTCTCGGCTCTACTCACGATTAATGGGGAAGATACCGCTGGAAACCGGATTCAGCAACAACATAGTCAACGCAGAGGAGTGAACCTACCAGGCAGCAAGGTATACAGCAAAATATGACAGTGCTGCGTTTCTCGATACAATGAGGATAATGTATCCTACGACGCCTACCCGGTCATTCAGTGCAAGTAACCGGTCAAAAAAAAATAAAGGCGTACCAATACCAAAGAAGACCCTTTATTACAGCATTTGTTTATGCTTTCAATTTTGATCGTTAAAACCACTCACAGGTTAAAATAACTACGTCGTCCGTATCTGTCAGCAGAGAAACCAACGATGCACGTTACGATGCAAGCGAGTACATAAACGGGGACCGCCAGAAGATTCGCTTGTGTGGCTTTATAACCTGCAAACACAGTCAACCTCTTCGCCTAGCGGAGGAGTCAATAAACAGAACCTAGCTAATGAAAAACGAAGGAGTCATCAGCCGCCAAGAATACACTGCATCAACACAACGCTCGCCTGATAGATAATGGATGGTAAAAACAAGGAGAAAGAGTGCGTTGGCATAGAGACGCCAGCGAAGACCAACACTATTTCCCGTTAGTATAAGCCGAACGCGCTAGAAAAAAACGATAGCTCACCCCCAACCCAGGTCTTCCAATCAATGAAACTCTGTTTTATATATTTTGCATGAAATTCCTCGCCGTTTGCACTGAACTGGTCGTCTCCCTGCAATCTGCGGATGACGGCGGTCCGTTCTGTTTCAGAAAGGAATTTAGCCTTGTCGGGGAAGTCCTGAATGATCCAAAACGAAGCGACTCCCGCGACCACCGTGACAAGGCCTTCTAGAATGCTGAACGATATGTTTATGAGAACAAGACGTTAAAAACGAGTAGGGTTAACTCACAAAATCCACGCCCAAGCGGGCTTTCCGCCAACTCCCTCCATGTTTGAGATAGCAGCCTACATCTATGTGAGAAATGGCAGGAATAGAACTCTATACTCACCGCTATCAAACCTCCAAATGCTCCGGATACAGTAGCAGCAGAGAAGAAAACAGCCGCCCGAACGCCAAACTCGGAACGTTTGTACCAACTAAAGTCATTGACTGAGCTTCGCCGATAGCAAGAGCATACTGCATACCACGATAGGTAATAGTTGATTCCAGGAAACAAACCAGCTTCGAATGTTCCAAGCAGCCACCGCACACCTATATTCCCAATATGTTCATTGAATCGAGCAATAAGTAGGTTATAGCTACCTAACAGGCTGCTATAATTGTGCACTAAGCCTTGAACGGTCTGATAAATGTTCAGCATTAAGCGCACCATTTAGGTAGCTCGCTTACCATGGTTACACCCCAGAGAAGTATGAGAGTTGACAGCCAGATGGAAGGGCGGAGGCGTCTCAGAAGGATATTCGACGGTACCTTGTGCGGAATTTTCAGTTGAAAGGCTGTTGCCACGATCTCAGTATATGCTACCTCGAAAAATGAATAACTGAGCAACAGTCAGACCGGGACCCTGTAGGCTATAATGCAAGAGAATGGCTTACCTGAAGTAGAATATCGTCAATGCGATGAGATATTGGTTATCTGAGATATGTAAATCTTCTTCGAAATGATAGAGCTGGAACGGAAGAAAGTCGCATCAAATCGCTTTCATATACTTATAGCGAGCACTCAGACCTTGGCGCTGCACAGACGTTTAAAGGAATCGAATAAGGAAATCGCTTAGAAGGAGCAAAACTGAACGCACTTCGCAACGCTTGAGCGATCCAAGAAGCTCAGTAGGTACAGGAAGGACAGCCAGGGCACCAAAGTGATGTCAAGTTTCCGCAGGAGCTTTCTTTCGTCTACACTGCTGACATCAATATGACAGTTGTTCATGTTCATACCGCTAGCGCTGTTGTCAAAGGTGCCAGCTTTCTGAGATGCAGCCGATGAGACTACAGACTCCGAGTCGGTGGTATCGCCAGGCAGCGTGCAAAGGCGTGTGCTATCCATTCTGAGAGTGCTTTCGAATGCGGGACCGTGTTCTGTAGGCGTTGTTATGCGATGGATGGGGTGGGATAGAAGACAGCGACAAATTGATCGTTGAAGCTGCACTTGACGTCGAGAATCGTAATCGTATCGTGTAGATAGCGTGTTCAGGGAACGTTCAAGGAGAAAAGACAGTGGCGCGAAAGAGCTTGGGTTTGATATGTGAAAGCTGAAAGGCGGGTGAGCAAATGTGAGACTCACGATGTCACCAAGAGAGCAATAGAGGCGTGTCACACGTACTTATGGTAGTAAGAGGATAAGAAGAGGTTGGGGCATCTGGGATGTACAAATACACCATCACTGAAGAGCGCAGATCATTCCGCGGGTGCAAATTCGGCAATGGTGATCGTCATGCGCGTCATCGCGTCATCGATGTATACCTCGCCGTTCGGAAAGTCCCCGCCAACATGTGTTCAGGAAAATGACTAAATTTGGCCCTTAAATATATACAAGCATTGTAATGACCTGGGCATGCCACTTTTGAAACCTAGTATCGGAACTGGCGCGTAAAACTAGGGTCACGCGGTGTTCCGGACGGCAGGGCGACATAGTGGTGAAGCCACTGCTTTACGAGAACTGCGACTGGCGCAGTCGTCAGACCAAGAAAAGGCTAGTAAACAAGAGCCCATTCACCCAGACGTCCGTGGTAGTAGGAATAAAAGCGATGTAGGGGCTCAGTGGGGAGGTAGCGATAGCGTCGGCCGAAGAACCATTGATGATGGCACATTGAACAAGGATCAGTTCAAATGGTAGAGATAATGACATGGCAGCGTAGTCTGCTTGCAAGCTCTGGTACGTTTGGGCGACAATTGTCGTCAAACTGCCGAGAAAAGGCCTGCCTTTAACACATTCAGAGCGAAATCCAAGGGAAGAAAGTAAAGGCCTACAAATACAAGCAATACATCGACGTTATCCCGTGACTCTTCGACCATGTTGGCGTCGTGGCTGTTGCTTTCATCTTCGTAGGTTCTCCAAACTCTCGCATTTGGTGCCGTTTCTTCATAAGTAACATCCTCGGGGTATTTTTCTTCGTAGTTGTATAGATCGTTTTCTATTCAGCACCCCAACAATAAAGTCGCACCTTTCTTAGCTACCGGTCTCTTGACCGTCCCAGAAATCTTCTTCGCACTCGCCGCCATAGCAGCATTCGGCAAGGCAGAGGCATGGAACTCATTCTGTTTCTGCTCTCCTCTCTCCTGCACCTCGGATACCTCCTTATCCGGTTTCCCTCTAGCTTTTTCACTTTCTCCTCCTTTGGCCTCTGCAAAGCTCTGCACTGGATCCAAACTCGATGGTCCATCGATTCGGTTAATTGACATAATGTCGAATAGCGGTGGGAAGGAAATCAAGGTTGGGGAGCTGTAAGAGCACAGCCAGTTATATGTGCTGACAAAAAAGAAGGTCGGGAGTCTCAGTCATCATATGAGCGGGGGCTGGAAGCTCCACAGGCCTGTAGGAGTGTTCATGGGAGGAGAGCCTACAGGAGAAAGCAGAAGAGGGAGTATCCGTTTGAAGCTGGATGAGTTTCAAGATAAAAAGTCACAAAGGTGGAACCTGGACCTAGAACACCGAAAAGCTGTGGCCGTGCGCGGCCCGCACAGCCGTTTACGTGGCTTTTTTGCATCCTCCGTCATCGATCAGCAAAAATGTTTAAAAACTGCTGGGCCGTACATCGTTGATACTAGAAGGGAACTTTTCTGAGGCCTCAATATAAGGAATATGTGTTCTGGCGGCATAATAGCTCACACGCTGTGAACAAGTTTGAAGCTTATACATATGGCCAGGCTTCTTAGGGTCCGCTCTGTTTCTCGTCTCGCCATCTCGAGGCTCTCGCCACGGTTATACTGCCTAAGCTTTTTCACGGGGCAGCTATTCTACTCTCACTGCTATAATCTAACAATTGCTACTATATTCTATTGCGGTCGCGGACTCGGATATCTACAGCTGAATGGCAAAACCCCGGTTGGATAGACTTCCCCGGCGTTGCCTTACTTTCCCGGCTTGGATTGAAGGATTTGTCAGGGACTTGTAAAATCTGCCGATTAGTTACAGAATCACTTCTTTGATTCCTTCTATCATGAACTACTATGCACGACTATGTCTTTGCTTCTGGCTCGTTTTCCCTCTTTGCTTCGCGGTCAACATTGACACCGAGGGTCTTCCTGATACTGGCCTAGATACCTCAGACTGGGTGGCAGGAGAGCTACCGCCTCTCGAAGATATGTGGAGTCTAAACGATATGCAAATCGCTGCTAAGAATGTGATCGCGAAGCGTCATTATGGCGAGCTTTTTACGCGCATTATTGGAAATATGGAGTATCTCTAACTTTCTTACTCTTTTCACAGTATATTATAGGACTGGGGCATTAGATGAGATTACTTACCAGGCCAACCTGAATATCTGGAAAAGTGTCCACCTCAACGGCTATAGCTTTCGGGACGTGTCAGATGTTGACCTCTCGTATGTCGAATGATTTGTTATCGCTAGAATAGTTCATACAAATGATCTTCAGAACGTCTATTCTGGGCTACAACTTTTCTACTCCTTTCTTCATCGCCCCAGCTGCCGATGCGGGACATACAAATCAGTCCGCCGAACTGTCACTGGCGACTGCTGCGGGGAAGTCGGGGACTTGATACGTCGTGAGTAGCTTTATGCTGATTCTCAGGCTGTTAACCATCTGTATCTGTTTTTCCTGGTGTACAGCCTAGTATCTACGCAACGAAGTCTTTAGAGGGAATCGCAAATGTTTCGCTAGACGGTCAAATAATGTTCCACCAGCAATACGTTTGGTCCAATCGATCCCGCCTGGTAGATGAATTAAAACGGTTTGAAGACGCTGGCTACAGGGCCATCTTTTTGACCATAGATAATACTGGCGTCGACGGCATCAGGTGAGCGGTCATGGACTAATATTAACTCATGCATTAAACCAGGGCACAAAGATCCCGTTCATTGCGATTCACAGGCGCCGGATACAGGTATCGATTGCTATGCTGTCTTTCATAGTTGCGTTTATCTTAATGTTTTGTGATAGTCCGACTCATTCAGCAACCTTCGACTTGGTCGCTCTTGCCGAGATACAAAACTTAACGTCGCTTCCTATCGTTCCCAAAGGTATCAAAACTGCGGCTGACGCGCGGATATGTCTCGAGCTTGGCTTTCCTGCGATCTACGTGTCTAACCATGGTGGACGTACCCTTGATGGTGCGCCTACGGCAGTGGAGATTCTTCTTGATATCCGACAGAATGCCCCAGAGGTGTTTGAGCGGATGGAGGTGTACGCGGATGGCGGAGTGCGGAGAGGAAACCATGTTATCACGCTCTTGGCGCTTGGCGCGAGAGCCGTGGGTTTAGGTAGGAGCCCAATATTTGGAATATCTAGGGGGAGGAGGGTGTGCTGAGAATGATTGACATCCTCAGAACCGAGTTGGAGACAACGATGCAGTTGATGGGGGAAAACAAGGTCAAAAATATTAACTCGACTTATGTGAGTCTTTGGAACACTATGCCGTTGGCGATCACTCTGACCAAGTACTCCTCATGTAGATCAACACGAAGTTGGTGGATGCCTTACTGTAAGAATTCGCAGCTCCGCAACGTCGCAAACTGACATCCTCTGTAACCTGCCATTAGCCAAGATGCCGAGGCACAAGTTGCAACGACTGCAAACTGTAATGGAGTGATGTACCACCCGCTCACGTTACAGTAGGAATGGAACCGTTATAAACTTGCTAATAGAGATGTAGATAAGCTCGGTACGATGAAATACGATATTATCAATCGCTCAATGTCAAGACAGGAAAAATGTTGATTATCTGAGTTCGAAATCCCGATTTTCAACTCACCTCGGAACGACAGGGAATCCAAGTGCAGATAATCTGAGAAATAACGGAACTTCAAGACTGTGGGTCCTTGTGTTGGGATTTGAAAATTGAGTATTCATCTTTACGTAAGAACAAATAATTTTTCAGACGTTGTTCGTCCGTTTATCTCCTTCGTCGATTTTCATCCGTTATGTTGACCCCAACTACACCAGAGCCGGCAACCAACGACTCGGATATGCTGCTCTCTTGGATGTATAGTCATACAGAAACGATGGGTAATAATTTACCATGATGTCAACTGTCAACGACCAACGACAGTACTCCCATCAGTACTATGCCGCCATTTCCTGGGTACGTCCATAACGGTGGATGTACGTTGCGTCAGTGTAACTCCTTATATATGTTGCGTACTGGCAAAGCTTCAAAAGCTTCTTCCCGTCCCTTTAGTGAGTAGTCTTGTTCATCTGACAATAAGATAGGGTAGGTCAGGCCGATGCCTTAACATTTTCGTATCCACGTTCGGACGACCATCTGTCATTGAGTGCGTTTGTCTCCGATGTGATTAAGATCACCCAAGCGTCCGCGGGAATGTACTATAGATATGTTGCTCTATATCAGTTTGCCTGTCATTGGTTTACGTGACTCTTGCGGCAAGCTCGTGTTCTAGGTATTGGGATGAGAATTAACATGACAAATAGTTTCTACCAGTCAACATTACAAGTAAACGAAACGTTAATCACAAAACGCTGTTCCAACCGTAATATTGTAATACTATTCAATTGTGATCAGTAACAACAGGATGAAATGAATAATATGAGTGCCTACAACGAGGTGGTACATGTTGATACCTGAGCTGGGAATCGACGCTGAGCATGTGGGGTCCTCATTACCAGTGCATGCCTTCGTAGTCTCCGCCGACGGTAGGTCTCCGTTTTGAAAATATTCGACACCTACGTACGACCCAGTGAGATGTCTGTCAGACAGACGACAGGAGCTGAGTTACCGTGATGTTCGTATCCCAGGTCTTCCGATATCATGGTAGGAACACTGTGGGCCTGTGTTAATTGTTGCGGTCATCAAATGGAGCAGCAGCGTACCCATCACTGCCATGTACACCTCGGAAGACATTAGAGCCCAGTTGCGCATCAACGAAATAAGCGTAGGTGGGGTTTCCGGTCCTGCGGAAGATGTTTGTCAGTCACACAAAGACACACCAAAGGATAGTTCGGACCTCGGTTGACCAAAGGTGTACATTTTCACCGGGCTGACAAGATCAAATTTTCAGGCGCATACCCAAGCGGCGATAGGAACACGTACATATCTGGAAAGTTTTGTTGCAATGTGATGCTATATGAGGCATAAGTACTGTGTCACGGAAGAAAGAAGAAGATTTACCCAGCCAGACTGGAAAGCGCCCCGCCCAAGGAATGTCCAGACGTGGCGAGAGTGTAATTGGGATGACTGGCCAACTCTGATTGGATTGTTGCAATCACATCGCCAGCAATGGAGTTCCAACTAAGCGGGAATTCTCGGGACAAGGCCTAAGACTTGAAGCAAAGACAACTTACGCAGTGTGAAAACCATGGTGAACTTGAGTACCGGCTAATTATCCGGTCAGATTCATGGCCAGTCAAAACTGAAAAGAAAAGTTTACTGGGTGCATTGACGCCTTGAATGCTCAGGTCGACGAGCGGAATATCACCGTCGGTTGCTAAATCCTGAACAGTCGAGCTTTTTCACGATAACATCAGTCAGATGTACTTTACACCATGGTAAATACTGACCTTCCTCTGAGAACGATGACGATTTCGCCTTTGGTGTCGTCACGGGCGAGAAATCCCTGAGTATCCGTAGTTTCATTGTCGTATCGTTGAACAAGGGTGTTTCCATTTGGGCTAGCGCACTCGTCAAGATAGGCAGAAGAAGCGTATTGAAGGTAATAGACGAGATCATCGTATGTATCTGGAGTTTATCAATAAGAATTGTGTAAAGAAAGACACGAGCCCCGACGAACTGTTGGACACTGTACAGCGGGGCTGGATTCCACTGGTGGGTAAAGACGAGACGAGAGGAAGAGCGAAGAAAGAAGTTAACCAGAGCATGCTTAGCTACGCCTGCTTAGAATGAGAATGAGAGTTCGACAGCGGTGGCAGCCATACGAGTAAGGCTTTTATATGTGGGGCACGACCATGACCTTGTGGATAAGGACTTGGGTGGCTTGAAATGACAGGCGCATATCATAAAACTGGGATGCCCTTGCTTCTCTGTCGTGAAGTACGGCTTTACAACATCCTAAGACGAGTATCGTCCTCCTTGTGTCATAGTGTTGATGGGTATGGCCGAAGATCTTTATAAATCGACTGCACGGGGTATTTAGATCAAAAGCCTGATCATAGGAACCTCTTCGGCAATTATGGACGAGACAAATGCCATGCTCAAGGGATGGTTAGGAAGACAGCGAGGCTGCTAAAAGAACGAGTACTCACTCAGCTGGCCCGTTTTGCGATATCAAAGATCGAGAGAGCGCAAACTTGGCAAGAGACATCAATAACTCGGAGGTCCAGTAGAATGACAGGATATAAAATGGTGCTCTCTTCCATAGAGATCAACCGTCAAGTCAGGAAGTGAACAGACGCCGGTTCGGAGGAGCTTCATAACTGCCGCCGCATTGCTTTGTCGAGTAAAAAGGCCCCCGGAGTTCGAAAGGACGGAATACTCACTTTCCGTGAGGTGAAAATGATCGGACGATAGACGATGCAATGGTTATCATCTACCTGAGGGACGATGATGGTGTCAATAACGAGTTTACTGGATTCTAATTTACGCGGCGTACCGCTTAGATCGTTCTATAAATGTCCAGAAGTCCCGATACTACACTGCAGCTAACACCAGTGCACACGCCATGCCGCAGATGTATCGAGCGTGGTTCCTCTGTTCCAAGTTTTACCGCGGCTTTGCAGTCAGACAGGCGTCTCCCCACGTGGAGGTATAAGTAGCTGCCAGGACAACAGATCATAGGCAACGGTCTGTAAAGTAACGTTTTTTAGATGGGCGAATAAAAGAAAGAGCCTTGTTCAAGATGTCGCCTCCAGTCTAAAACGTACGATATTCTGCAGGGATTGACCTCAGAGGGGAAAAATTTGACATTAGTCGTTGTTTTCGTGTGTTCGATAACAAATGGCCAAGTCGATGAAGGGAATGATGGTGGTACAGGTTCGAGCCCCGTTTCGACTCGTGACCACGAACGATCACGGTTATCCGACTGACCCATAATGCCGCTGTCAATGTCATCGACGTCCATGCCCATTACACGCGAATTCCACGACTTGTCTACACACCTGAGCGGCTAGGTTAGTACTCCACTTCTCGTAGCTCTGTGGTGGCGTTGGCAGGCAAATCAAACCAAATAATCATTGCCATCAGCTTCTGTATCCTCTTAACATCAGTTTGGCGCACGGACCTCGCTGCGTATGCGTGGACTTGGTGACATCAAGCTTAGCATATTAGCGGGACTATTAGTCGGATCCAAAGGCCCGCAAGGACGCCAGATTCCTCGATGACAGAACTGGGCAAGCTGGCAAAGTGCTCGCCTTGACTTCAGCGCCGTAGTCAGCGGCCATCGTGCCCAAGGTACGTTGCAGGTAATAACCAAAAATCTGTCTCGCTAACCCATCCCGGGTAACAGAAATTTATCCTATCATAGTCTTGACCTCGGCTACGCTGTCACGGACCACCTAGACTAGGATACTCGTGTCACTCGTTCCTAAATCTCCCATTCCGCAAGGAATCCGTTCCAAGGTTCTGCTGTTAGTCATCGTCATTCTCACGTCGTAAGTGGTTTTCCTCATGGATCACTTACCGGATGCTGTAACTTAGGCTAGAAGCTATGATAGTGCGCTGGACAGTCAGAGACAGACCGTTTCAATGTATGAGGGATAAGGCGGGTCCGCATTGGGATATTTGGTCTAGGATCAATGGGTCATCAATAACTGTTGCTCTGACTATACAACACGCATGCCATCCATGTTGTCTCGGGTCCAACTAACCCTCCTCGGTTAGCAGGGAAGCAAGGATCGTCGCTCTTTCGTGGGAAGCAAGACATCCGGACATTTATGTTGGTATACTTTCCTGCCATTTCTGCTCGACCTTGGGAAATAATTTTATGCATCATTCCATTCAATAGGACCCAGGAAGGTTCTGCTTGCCAGTATCAAGCTAACCAGGAGGATCTCTTCATTAAACGGATGTCTATGTAAGAATTATCAAGGGACACAAATAGACAGACAAGGATTACGGTATGTTTTTTTCGAACCTTATTCGTGCTCGGTTTGGAAACCACAAAGATAACGAGATCAAAACTCCGACACAACGCGCCTTGGATTTCTTCAACCCACCTCCTTAAATTTCTCCACCAACTCATCTCGCCCTCAGCCTCATCCGTGTCTCGATATGCCTTATTATGAACTCCCCCCACTCAGCGACGACCTTGATCTGAATAATTTTGACACACTCGCGACGAGCTCCAAGAGAGCCCAGAGTCTCGGCCCACTTTGGTTTATTCCCCCCCGCTACAAACCCACGCGTTCCAGTAAGGCTACTCGTCCCCTCGCTGCACCCTACGCTCACCTTGACTCAACAGACACACGTCTGGACGTAATTTCCATCCGTCAAGCTCGGTACCGGGATCGCCATGCACGAACTGTCCCGGTGCAGGGAAGTAGCAGCGATGAAGACTCAGATGACACGGCGATGGACACCTCGCCGGATCTGTATGGGAGCCCCCGATACATGCTCTCTGCAAGTAATGCTCCAGCCGCGCCGTACAGTACGCTGTTTTTTCTTTTTTGGCTCTTATGCTTGACGCGTGCAATTATAGCTCCACGCGCATTTTCTTTCCCACTCCACACCCAACAACAGCAGAGCCATTCAATGAGGCCTTCCTTCCCTTCGTCGAGCTCGGGGCCAGTTCGTGAGTGGAGTCGCTATTCTTCTTGCGGTCGTACTAATTGATATATTGCCCTTAGCCCATCGAATGTTCCCGCCCTATGCTTATGAGCTGCCTAAACCCGGCCGCAGCTATCAATATTGACCTGCTCGACTTCAAATCACCGCTGTTCTTCTGCTCTGTAGCTCTTTTTATAGTTGTCCTCATGCATTGCTATGGTAGTATCAATCATCGAACAAATAGTTGGCAATGGAAGTGTAATGTTTCCATTTATCCCGCAATTATTTATATTATTATGATTTACTATTGGTATACTCGAACTCTCCCGTAGTAACTCCAACTTGATACTCGATTTTCAAATTATAATTCTTTTCCATTTTATGTCTTTGATTCGTTGCCCATCGTCTACTCGAAGTGTAGAAAAATAGCAATTTAAGCGCAGCAAGTGGCTAGGTCATCATTCTACTAGCTAATTCTCAGAGTCCTCTGAAGCTGAATGTGCGAAAGTGGTCACCGACCAATCCGAATACGTAAGCTCTTCGTGTTCGATGTCGCAAATTGTCCAAATGAAGATCGATCAACTTGTCCTCCCACGACGGCATGGCCTCTGCACCCTTTTCCTTCTCCCGTTGTTTGCTGACATCTGTGACTATACCGGATTTATCAAACAATGTTTTCCATGCTTCCATTCTCAGGACCGCCTCGTGCGTACCACGGCCCTTAGGCGACCACTATATAAGGACGCGGTGTGGATCCAAAAGCCCACGGTGATATCGCTTCCCACTATACGGGTACCACTGTACTGAGCACCTGGATAACGTTCTATCGATATCTCGTACTTCCTTTGCATACCAGCAGTCACCTGTCTCTGGATTGCCCTGCCCCCCCACACGATTCCTGACACAATTATGTTGTTCATGCATAACTATAACCAACTCGGCCGCACGACTCGGACAAGGACAATGCACTGCAAGGGTCAATACTGGCTCGTGACTACTATCTTTGGTTCTCTCGGTCTGCACGCTTAAGTCCTATCCTGTTGCACTCCTCTTGGTGTTCACAACGCGGTCCTGATGCCACACACGTTCTCCGCTAGCCAGTACCTTGAACATCACATCATATGAGCGCTCGAACACGTTGCCAGGTTCACTGTTCTGGGTAATCATGTTACTTTTATGTCTAACGCCCCATTAATACTTCCCTGGATGATCGTCAGTGCGGAAGCTGCATCAATATTTGTCCTGAGCGCGACAATGACCCCAACCGTGTACCATGGCGGCATGCTTCTTTTCCTTTTTTGCCAGTATCCTTACTTTCGAATCTCTCGATGACAAACTTGCGTCGATACAAGGTACCGGAGATCTCCTAGATAAAAACTCTATGTGCGCGCGCATAAAGTTCATTTCTCTTGGCTGAGCATGTTCCACAATGATGGGAACGTCGGCAGACCGGAACTAGTGACAACACTTATCCGGAAGCCCTGGCTGCGGAATAATTGGGGTGGTTCTGGTCTTCGAAGGTGTTCGCGTTCAATGCGAATCGGGTTCTTAACTTATGATCGATAGTCATGGACGTTTTCGGTTCGTCAGCAGGACCAGTCGGAGCTTAGTCCAAGAACTGCAACTTCAAGAATATCAGAGAGGTGAGCACCTTGTCAATCAAGTGAAGTTCTGAGACCACATCAATGACATAGGTCTTAGAAAGTTGAATTGAAGTTGAGCCTCTTAGAGTGCTAATTGCACAACGGGGATGTCTCATGCTCTGCATCAATTTCTGCCTGTCAAGCCACCTTCGTAAGGGCATCCGGTTTCCCACCAAGTTTACCTGGTTTGTCTGTTTGATGCGCAACCCGGCGATATGTCAGTCTGGTTTGTATATCATTACGTCTACTTCCCGGTGGCGTCAAGAGACAATATGCCAGGTTACCTTCATGCACCTAATTACCATTTAGGTGTATCTAATACCACCGCATTCGTGGGAAGTCATTAGTACCTATAAATCATTGCATTGTTGACTGATTATGCGTTTAACACTCTTCCTCAGAAGGCATCATTGACTTGCTACTGTTAGGATGCCTCGAAATTGGCGCACTACACTCTTCCTTGCTACACAAACGGGCACACAACCTGATGAGGTGATCTACCCTGCTCTCTCGGACGAATTCGAATCTCCCAGTCTCGACAATGTGCCCTTAGATCCTATATGGTACAAATCGCCGGACTCTTCACGACAAAATGTGTCAGGTATGCTCCGTCCATCGACTGTATATAGCGGCAGTCTTCTGATGTTATGGTTACAGATACTCACCTCACGTTGATGAAGATCAGGCGGATGCAGCGCCGTGAGAAGGAGCGTGCTCGAGAAGAGCCCGAAGTGATGGAGGAGGAGTCGCTCGCAAATTCGCTTGCGGCTATTAGCATCGACTCTGAATCGAATAACGTGCAGGAGAAGTCATCCTCGGTTCGTTCCTTCACGAGTACGTTCAAGCCACAGTATGGTAAGGCTGAATAACTTTCGTTGTTGGCCAGGTCGTCACTGATTGATTGTTTCTTTGCAGGTACACGGGCGCTAACGGGCAACGTTCTGGAGCCAGAAGCTCATCCATCCCTAGGGGATTCTGCTTCAAACGCTAGCTCTGAGAGGAGAAGCAGTCAAGGTACGTCTGTCTTCATTCCCGCGTACCTCATCATATACCGATCCGTTTTTTTCCGACCCAGCCCGACGGAACAGAAATTATCATCCCTATCAGTACCGTCAGCCATCAGTAACCCAGGACGAGGGACATTCGCCATGATCCTCTATGCCTCGTTTACTCTCCATGGAATGTTTACCTACAATTGGTAATCAGTGGATGACCCTGTTGGGCGATCAATTTCCGGGTCAAGGGAACTCGGGCGGTCTCGCAACCCGACAGGGCGTGTAATCTTATATGCAGCTTGTATGCAGCAGACTATCAATGGATTTATTAATTAATAACTTTACATCCCACCATCTTCGAATTCGACAACGCGGTCAATATGCACATAGCCTCGATTTTTTGTAAACTCTCTAACGGGTACGTCCGATGTTCATGGGCTTTATTATGAAGGGCGACTGCTCTTTGCTCGTCCTTTAAGCCCCTCTCGGATAACTGGCATCGGCTGGCTGCTTACCTTCAAGATTCTTAACCATCGAAAGAATACTATTGTCTTTGTGGTTTGGACCTCTTCAGAGTGTTCTCAGGATCGCAATCGACTCTGGCCCAGTTCTTTCAGTATCTTGCCTTTTTAAGCGGTTGCGTCTCGCTAATGGTTGTAGTCTGTTTCTTTGGTAACAGAGATCTGGATGTGTCTTTCCGTCTATCAGCTATGATGACGAATGCTCGACACAGCGTGCAGATCCTCTTCGTTCTGGCGATGCACTGGATTTGGGTCTATATATGGCAGAGTAATTCAACTCGTTCCCGTGGCACGGGCTGGTCCTTCTGCTCACAAACGATTTTTCACATCTCTAGCGATTTTCTATGCATCCAAATATCTTATTGCTTTTGTCTTCAGTGTCGCTGGCCGTTGCTGTTCCACGAGATTGGTCAACGTGCGTTGTCGTAGCTCAAGTATCATCTCATGGCTTCATTAAAAGATTCTCCAATGACCCGATGGGGTCCATGAATTGCAAACCAACGGCTCAAACCGATGGAACGCAGCAAGCAATGATCGATTGTAGGAAAGGGTCAACCGGGAGTAAGAGGGACATTTCCACGTATGTCATCGTTTCGCCCGGGCTTCTCATTGTAGAAGGCTAAACATTCCTCAGGCGAATGTACATTGAAGGAACGTGTTCTTCAAAAGAGGACTACGATAAATACTATCAGGAGGCGTACGACAAAGCCAAGAAGTCATGCAGCAATGGCCATCACGCTGATTCTGACTACCACCACCAATTTCCTGTTTTTCTTTCTTTCGCCTTCCACCTACTCATTTGCTCGCAATAGGTACATGAAGCTTGGCTAGCACCTTTTGTTGATCATTGGAAGGGTGTATATGGGCTGGCGCAACGTTTTGGACCCCTTTTTGCTGTCTCAGAATGTTCGTTCGCTATCCCGCACCTGGATCACCTTTCGCTGCCATGCTTCCTCACTTTTTGCATTCATGAGCACTGTATAATGTTCCTGACCTTTGTGTCATATTTGCAGGAGGTCATTATGACCGTACTATGACCATCACTTCTTTCGCACTACTATCCAAGTGACTGAAAGGGTCGTTTACTGCTCCGTTATTCTGTCCTCTCTTCAATTTTGGTCTGATTTTACTATGATGATACATATGTCATCGATGTCTCCGATGTTCAGGTCTCGATGGACGTTGCATTTCCTCGTTTCCTCGAGGGACATTGATCCTGGGCACACAAGTACTGTACCTTTGCTAGCCATTACCAAGGACACATTGTCTCAATATAGTTTCAGTTTCGTCAGCATTATGACGCTTGTATGACGTGTCATTGAGATATTTAATCCTGCTGTGGCTATTTATGTAGTGCCTCAGCCAGGACTGGTTGTGCCCTAATGCTTATTTCTCTTCGTTCACTCCCTAGTCCCTTCGTATGGATCCGATCCCGTGAGACGCTGCATAGTTATCGGCACTATGTTGTCAGTCACAGCGGCAGGGTCCTACGCGGTCTGCGATGCTACTATAAAGTACATTGACGTGATGATACTATTTAGTACATTGACAAGGCTTGGTAGCAACGGCGCAGAAAACATTGGCTGTTTCCTTTTTAGGGACCGCTTGCCAGTGCGACGACTACTACTACTACTACTACTAATTGTCGGAAACTTCCTAAAACCCTTATAAGGAAGCTGGCAATATAATGACCGGATAAGTGACGGCTCGGCAGGATATGTGGCATGTCAGGTCCAGGTTACCGTATCCGTAGTAACCCCCTTAATATAATGTCATTATATGCGTCGTATTAGCTGGAAGTGCCATAGAAGCAAGTACACACGAGAAAAGTGCATCAATAGAAGGATAGATGTAAGACACTCACCCTCTTCACATATAATATGGATAGTTCCTCGGTCCTGGTCCAGCATCGATGTTTTTGGCTCCTTGTGAGTCTCACGCTGATTCCAATCAAATGACGGCATTGGTTGGCCAGGAATAAATACGATGGCATCAGAGAACGACGGAAACACGTTCATCTTGCTTGTATGTATATGATCCAGGGATCAGAAAGCAAATTGGAGGCAGGGAATTCAAGCCAATTATGTTATTTCATCAGATTTCAACTTCTACTTTACTTGATTTTTGTGGCACTATTAATGAAATCCATGGGATACTGATTTAATCTTGCGGATCATGATGTCGGAACATGCGTTTTGATATGAGATCTAGGATTTCTCCGAGATTAGGTGAACAATTATATGTATGCATGTACACGGTAAGGCTTCTTCAGTCCATCTTTCCCCCATCATTCTTCTGCAACCTCAACATGTCCTCAAATATTCTACCTCAGCGTCGAGAGAGGTGTCCTTACTGCAGCTGCTTCTTTAGCATTCAGGGAATTGGAAATCACAAGCGAGCTTGCAAGCAGAAGTCAGACCAGCAGTTGTTGGATTCCCAATTCCACAATGATTTGGACCAGCAGACAAGAGGTACGATATACAAGTTGCTTGTCTACAATTATTTTAGTATTCTGAATTTATTCTTTATAAAGCTACAGCAAACTCATTCACACCAATAAACATTATAGGATCTGCAACTTTGGATTATCATAGCACAGAACTTGAATGTATGTTGTTATTATTTTGATATCAGATATAATATCTAAACAAAATCTTCAGGTGTCAATGAAACATCTCCAGAGTCCTCATCAGTTGATGATCAAGTTACTCCAGAAGATAACGATACTTCCAATGCAGCTTGCTTGATTCTCAATTCCATTGATCATGTCAATCTGATTGATGAGAAGATTGTCAAGGAATATCATCCTTCTGCTATTTTAGATCCTCAGATCTTGCCTCTCAGAGATTTTTTAGCTGACAGCACAAGCAAGCAGAGTTCACTTTTTGATAGCCACCCTTGGCATCCATTTTCATCTCAGTTGGATTTTGATTTAGCAGAATTCATTTTGCGTACAGGCATGAATCATCAAGCACACAGTGATTTTTTCAGCATCATTGACCGATGTGGAGGCAGTCAATCAACAGAATACACTATCCAAAATGAGAATGATCTTGCAGAAGCATGGTCACGGGCAGAGAATTTGTTTACCAAGGTAAATTCATATCTTTATTAATATACTTATACTCAAATATTACTATGTTTTCAATAGTTCAAAAAGGAAACAATATCAGTTCCATATAAAAATGAAGTTCGAAATTATGATGTCCACTACTGACCATTATGGGATTGGACACTTGATTTGTTACGGGATAAAGATCTTGCACCACATTTTGTATGGGATGCAATTCATTTATTTTGGGAAGATAAAAATGGCATTCGAACATGGTTTTTTAATGAACCATGGTCAGGAAATATATTTTGGGAAGTTCAAGTAAGCAGATATTATTGCCAATCTAACTAATATACTTAAATTTAGCTATAGAGTTCTCTTCCTCCTAATGGAAAACCTTTAGCATATATTTTGTATGCTAATAAATCACGTTTATCTTCATTTGGTACTGCCAAAGGCTATCCAGTTATGGCACGCTGTGCTAATCTTCCTGATCAAATCCGAAATGGGAAGAATTTTGGTGGAGGTTGTGTGGTTGGATGGCTTCCAATTGTGAGTTGGATATTTTTGCTTTTCAACTTTTTTTTATGAATCTTGATTTTTACAGGTTGAAGAAGAAGAAGATCATAAAGGAAAGCCATCATGGATCAATTTCAAGCGAGTTGTCTGGCATAAAGCTTTTCGGAAAATTCTAGGATCTCTTGCACAATATTCTCGCAGTGGTTATGCCTTTCAACCACCAAATTCAGACAAAGTTATAATCTTATATCCTTTTATTCTCATTCTCTCTGCTGATTATGAGGAACAGTCAGTATATTTCATATTTTTATAATATATGCAAGCTGATATTGCTATAGTTGTATGATGACATTGACCAGAGGTGGCAGAGCAAATTATCCCTGTCCAGTCTGCTTGATACCATTGACAAATCTATCAGATCTTTCAATAACATATCCATTATGGACAACTGAGTCTATGAAAGAGATATATGATAGAGCTTGTTTGCTTAATGCAGATCAAGCAGAAGAACTTTTGAAATTACATGGTCTCCGTAAAGTACCTGTAAGTAAAAAATTTAAATACAAGAAAAGCTATTGACAATTTGTTCAGAACATCTTTTGGGAAATAGAATGATCTAATCCCTATCGTGCTGTATCTTGGGACAGACTACATGCTTTCCAAATTGGATTATTTGATCATCTGCTATCACGGCTCATTGAGCATGTAGATAGATTCAAGGGCCGAGATGCTAAAGTTAAAATTGATGAAGTGTATGTAAAATATTAAAAGTAATTACTTATAACTAAATCTTTTTGATTAGGATTAAATCATTTCCACGATGGAGGAATCTTACCCATTTCACATCCATTTTTTCTTTTGACTTTGCTGATGGAAAGAAATATGAACATATGTCACGAGTAAGTGTGTATTATTATAATTTAAGTTCATTATTTATAATACATTTAGCAAATCCTTTTTGCTGCTCAAGCAGTTTTAACAAAGGCTGCGGATCCTGCTGGTTATTTGCTTCTTAAATGTATTCGAAGTCATTTAGAATTGGATGTGTATGCAGCAATGGATGTGCATACTGAAGATACGATAAAGGCTGGACAATCAATAATGCAAGTTTTTGGGGAGAGAATGAAGGTATATTAATAAAACTGATCAATAGCTCTTTATACTAATAAATGTTTAGGAGTATATAACAGCTACTCAGGACAGTGATTTTCAAAATCCAACACATTGGGATATTCCAAAAATGCATACACAGCAACATCTATTCAGTGATATTCAAGGAAAAGGTGTAACAAAAAATTATAACACTAAGATTAACGAAAGTATGCATGGACCACTTAAAAAGGCATATCAAACACGAACAAACTTTAAGAATGTTGCTGATCAAGTAAGACTTCATTCTTTTAAGATATGATTTAATTTAATATACTTTTAGATTCTTCAAACTGACCATTGGTACAATGTTGCTATGCAGATTCGGCAAAAGGTGGATCGATGGAAAAAGCATACAAAGTACAAATCTGATTTGCTCAATGCAGATGATGATCTACCTGAAGAAAAACATTTCACTATTGAAACTCATGTATCTGATAGTCTTTTGGAGAAAGCATATCTACATAGTCCTAAAAAGACATCAAAAGATCCTAGCACATTTTCTGAGCTAGAGAATGCATTTTCTCATGATTTAGCTTATGATCGGTTTCGAATTCGTCTTGGAGGTTTCATGACAGGATTTCTGAATTGAGTATCAGAAGGATGTATTGCAAAAGGAAAAAAAATTCATTATTCTCCTAATGACAAGGCTAGTATTATTGATTTAAACAAATATTGCTTTTACTGAGATTGAAATTATATAGATAACAACTTATCAAACTCTTTCTGTCAATTATCAGTCATACATAAATCTAAAGCAGAATTCAGACCTACTACGATGTAGTCCAATGTTCTACAATCATCCACATTATGATGGTGTTATTGTCAATACTACTGATGGGTTGTATGTGGCAGAATTAATTCAACTCTTTGAGTGTGAATTTAATGAACAGAAATATCCATTGGCATTAGTTCATCCCTATGATGCTCCTGTAACTGATGGCCATCTACGTTGGAAGCATCAAAGAGATAAAGATTTAGGATTTTATCGAGTTCGTGCACGCCCACGAATTCATTCAGCCTTTGTTTCTATATATTCTATTGTTCGTGGTGCACTCCTGGTAAAAGATGCAGACTCAGATCTTAATAATGGCCAGGATTACTTCATTGTGGATATCATTGATACTGACATGTTTCTCCGACTCAAAAAAATTGAATCTCAGCTTCGACATAAATTCCGGGTTTCAGCCAATCGGAGATCATAATTGATAGGGCTGCACACTGTACAATATACAATATATAGGTATAAAATCATGGTCTCAGATGGTTATGAAACTATCCATATACTGTACCATATGGCCAGTTTAAAAGTCCTATCAGTGTTAGTATATCAGATTAGGGATGTGCACCGTACCATTATGGATACAGACAATATGGCTATAGACTATATCAAAACTCTTGTTCATGGTATGGTACAGTTGACTTCAAATCTGTACTATATCTGTACTGCTGTTCATATACAGACAGTTTTACAGTGATGACAAATATCTAGAGTCAAGATGTGAGTGTTATATGCTTTATTAAGATCATCCGTACTTACCTCAATTGTATTAGACTATCTCTGGCCACTCTCCCAATGACTGTATTTTAATTGTATGAATACGGCCATATTTTAGGTCATCAAAAGTAGCCATGGTATGGGCCCATATCCATATTCACCGTATGTACCCACTGTAGTACAGATACAGTGCACATCTCTATATCAGATCCTTAGGTCAAGGACATCATGGATGTGCACCCTATCATTACAGATACAGCTGTAGACTAATGTATCAAAAATTCTTGTTCACTGTATGATCTGATTCGGATTATCTTTGTTTACTAGTGAATAAATTAGCGTAAAGGAAATAAAAATATTACAGCAAACTAGGATTGAACACAAGCAATGGCAAAGTTACAAACACACACAAGGCATTCTACCAACTAGACTATAGTACCATTATTGTATTGATAAATTAAACTCTATATATGTGCCCACGGGAACAAGAAAAGGCAAAAAAAATAATACCCCTCGCCGTGCTGGGCACAGCAGGGCGTAGGCGTCGAGAGCAGGGTTGGGCATCGAGCTGTTAGTGGTATCAGTACCCCTGCCAATGAAATATGACATTTCGTAGGGATGGAGAGTGATATACCACTTGTGGGGGGCAAAAAAGTCGGCAGGGCAGGATCGACGGCCGTTCGACGATGATGGGGGGGGGAATGGAACAGAAATGACTTCACCACTGTATTTCCCGTTGTTGAAAATGGGAGTGGTGAGGCCATTGCCCCATGTGGAGGGCTGTGGGGGGCGATACGAGGTGGAAAGGGCGGGTGTCGGGATGGTGGGCGGGCAGATGGTGTCGACAGGGTCAGGAGAGAAAAAAACATCGGAATCATGATCTCCCACTCAATGAATGGGAGATGCATGAGTTTGGGGTTGGTAGGTGGGCAGGGTGGTGTGGTAGAGCCCGATGTTTGGCGGGGAGCGGTAGGCAATGGCGGAGGTGGTAATCGTCGTACAGCTATGATTTTTGGCGCGTTCAATGCGCACTCCAGTCGTCCATTGATGGTCCAAGGCGCACAGTAGTCGTCCTCATCGTCGGCCGTTGGCATCTCGACTTTCCTCCTTCCATCCCGCTCAATCTCTCCTGCCCTTTCCCGCTCCCACATGCCCTGGAACGTCCTCCACAACCCACCCCTACTCTCCAGCATGGCCCTGCACCATTGTACATCCCTCCCGGTCCCTCCCATTCCCTCCCATTGTCGCCACCATCGTCCGGGTCGTCGTCGTCATTCCCATCGTGCCATTCGGGTTCATACCCCCCCTCCTACTTATAGATGATGGCCGATATTCAATTCCTAGGTTTGTTTTTACTCGTCGGTGGGTTGTCCATCCGTGTGTGGACACGATTGGCCCTGATGTTGATGTGGGGGTAACTGGCCGAGTCGGATGGGGATGGTGGGCCGTATTTGCAGCACTAGGGGCGTTGTTGGGCACCGTGGTCATTGTCGATGGCTGTGGTTGTTTCATCCATCACGTGGAGCTAGGTCTAGTGCTGCCTCGCAAGAGGGCTTACACGCGGGGGGTGGGGAGGGTGGAACGGTCGCTCTGTGTGGCTGTTGGGGCTGCCGGGTGCATAAATAGACCCTAAAAAGAAGAAGAAGAAGAAAACATATGAGAACATACCTTTTCAAGCCCACGAAAAGGCTGTTGGGGAGGCGGATGGGTGTTAGTCGTCAGCGAGGTGGTAGTTAAAGGGAAGAAAAGAAGTAACACAGCCACTCGATCACTGCTCGGTTGCTTGGACCGCAGCGATCGAGGGAGCGGAATGAGTGTTTGAGATTCATCCACAGCTCAAACCACTCACTCTGACGACTCATAGGCTATCGTAATATTCTGTAGTAAGTAGACATATAGCAAATATGTATATTTGGGTGGATCAGGATATTTATCGTATAAAGTAACAGATAAACGGTATTTCAAGAGTATCTGAAACCCATGGCCCTTCGTCGATGTACCTTACCGTCCTGCCTCATCGCCGCCTCTCTGAAACCTCGTTGAAGTCGTCTCTGTGATTACACATCCTTGTAATACAGTATGCTGAAGCCCTGCCTTGTTAGCCACTAACTCTTATCGACTTAGATCAACCTAGGATCGCCACTCGCACTTCGGTGGACAATACGCAAGGAGGTCAAAGGCGATGAAATAGAGCCAGTTGCGAACTTAGATAGTCACGAAGAAAGGAGCTTTGAGTTAGGTAGATTAAACCTTAGCCGAAGCTGGGGTTTAGACCAGCTGAGGCTCTACTTAAATACACATTGACTACACTAAAAATAGTACTGTGAGAACGTCCGATCAGGACCGCGTGTTGGAGTAAGCATGAATATGTAAGGAAAAGAAAAAGAAAAGAATAAACCATAACATTACCCCCTCCTCAAGACTCGTTCGTCCCGAATGAGCCTGAGCTCTCCCCCTCTGTCGCTGATTCTGTGTAGTAAGGGTTTGACTCGTCATCGTTTTCCTGATCACTACCGAAGTCCCAATTTTCATGGATTCGTTGTAGATTTTCTAAGTTGATCTCAGACTCCTCCTCGTCAACCTCGGATTCGACGGCGGGTACTCCATTTGCTTCGTTCGTGGTGACGCTGTGTGCAGAGAGGGAAGAGGGATAAGAGTCTTGTTGGGTGTCGCTGTTATACGACAGTCCATCATCGGCCCTGGTTATCTTCCCTCTTATGCGTTGTATCTTTGCCTCATACTCGTTAACCAGTTCCTCCGCATTGGCCATGTTTGACCGTTTCACCCATGAATTCTCCTCCATTGGATAACCTTTCCACTTTACGAGGTACTCAGTTATTGTTCGGCGATTTCGACCGCGTCCGACTACTTTGTCCCTTTGTTCTACTATCTCCTCGATTTCGTACTCTTCTTCGTCGTCGATCAGCTCCGGGGGTGGTCTCTCAGGATGTGGCTGATTTGGAAATGCGGGGGCGACGTAGGGAGTCAGGAGGGATTCGTTGAAACGGTTGTGGATTTTCCAACCGACTGGTAGTTTTAGCTCGTATGCTGAAGTCCCTTTCTTTGCGACGATAGTAAAGGGGCCCACTCGTCGATCCCCAAGTTTCTTTGTAGGATGTGGGAGATGAAGGTTGGTCATATCGAGCCATACCTTGTCTCCTACTTGATATTCAACGGCCGTACCCTTGTGCTTGTCGTAGGTTTTCTTCATCGATTCCGCCGCCTTTTCCAATGACTTCTTCGCCTCGCCTTGCGCCTTTTCTATTTCTTCTACCATTTTTCCCGCTGCCAGAACCTTGGTCGTCTGTCGGGGGTTTTTAATGACCTCCCCATCCCTTCCGAAGATGACTTTGTAGGGGGAATACCCTGTCGCTGAGTGCTGGCGATTGTTATGTGTGAACGCCGCCAACGGAAGCCATTCGCTCCAGTCGTCTTGCCTATCGTTGATGAACATTCTGAGGTACTTCTCGATCTCTTGATTGACCCTCTCAGTCTGTCCGTCCGTCTGGGGATGGTATGCGGTGGAAGGATTTCCCTCAATATGAAGGAGTCAGTAAAACTCTTTCATGAATTTGGAGACGAATACCGACCCCCGATTGGAGATTACTTTCTCGGGCATGACGCCATAGGGTACGTAAACGTAATCCCTTAGAATTTTGGCGAAGCCGAGAGAGGTAAGTTCTTCGCTGCAGGCAATTGGAATGATAGCTTTCGAAAAATGGTCTACTATAACGAGGATAGAGTCGAAACCTTTGGAATTTGGGAGTTTGGTGATCATGTTGACCGAAATATGGGTCCATGGTCGTACCGGGACCTCATTGGGATGTAGAGGAGCCTTTTTTGGGTGGCGATCTGCCTTAGTCCGCTGGCATATGTCGCACCCTTTTACGTAGGCTTCTACATCTCGGCGCATGCAGGGCCACCAATAATCGCGTAGTATTAATTCCTTGGTTTTTTCGATTCCTGGGTGTCCGGCAGTGACGTGGTCATGTTTGAGGGCAAGGATTTGTCCGCGCAGTTTGTGGTCAACGGGTACGTAGATACGCCCGTCGTACCATAGCAGGTCTTGATCACGGGAAATCCCCTTTTCATGGTTTAGGGAGTCTGAAATCCCTCTGTCCCAACGACGGGGGTCGTGCGTAGCGACCTTGATCTTTTTGTGTAACTCCTCGGCGGTGGGCATAATTAAGGCCCTGAAATGTTCCGCCTTGAGAACGGTCACATCCCGATTATCCTCCTTCCCCTGATCGTGGTCGGCTCTTCGTGATAAGAGGTCTGCCTTACGATTTTGTGCTCCCGGTTTGTGATGCAAGGTGAACTGGTACTCCGCCAACTCCGTTACCCACAGGGCTTGTCTTCGGTTGAGTTTCTGGGGTTTGCGGAAGTACTGAAGGTTAGAGTGATCCGTCCAGATCTCGAAGTCTTCTCTTGCTCCCATGAGATACTGACGCCATTCTTCAAGGGCGATCATGATCGCCAGGAGTTCCTTGTCATAGATTTCGTAGTTGCGTTCTGTCACGGACAAGGCCTTGGATAGAAAGGCCACGGGTCGCCACTTCTCCTCCTGCCACTGGGACAACACCGCGCCTACCGCCCCTTCGCTGGAATCCGCTTCCACCCTAAAACGCCCTTCGTCCAAAGGGATGGCTAATACCACATCCTCGCGAAACAGTTCCTTGAGTTTTTTGAATGCCTGCTGCTGTGCCT